CACAATTACGTCTTTCTCTTCCCTATACCCTCACTATTGTCTCGATTCTCCCCTCTTGAAGATGCACGCTGCCCTCGCCCTCACTCTTGGCCTCGCCAGCCTCCTTGCCGGCATACAATCCATCACGATCCGCCAGCCATCTCTGGCTCATATTCGCCAACCAGCCATCGGCGAGGTCACTAAATTCAAGACATTCGACCCAAGCCTCTGCTCCCTCAGAGGCACTGATGGGAAGCACTATTGTGTCAGTGCGTGGCCTTCCGACTTTTACAAACCCCTTGGCGAACAGGACGGCGGTAGCTCTGGTATCCTTTGCGGAACGTTTGAAAAGATCGACAAGGACAACCATAGTGTCCAAGGTGGGTGTCAAGGCAAAGCAAGAGAGGTAATGCTGTTTTAGCTGACAATCTCTGCTCATTCTACACGCAGGCACCATCTGCGCGATCCCCACTGAGCGAGCCACTTTCACCCTAAAAGAAAAAAGTGTAGAGCATGCTTCGAGTGAACAACCTCCCGAGATCTACATAAGCTACACGAAACCCAGCTCCGACACCAGCAACACCATCACGGGTGTGGTGCCACAAAGCAACCAAGTGCCAAATCCCAACGAGAGCAAGGTCAAGACGCAATCACTTACTCGTAGGATCGTCGTCAAGGGATCTGGCTCGTCAGACTATGTTGTCCAGTTCCGGGGCACTGACAAGTCAACGCAGTGTATATTCACGAGTAAATACCAAGCTTACCACCACCAGCATCCCTACGATCTCAAGGTAAGGGCGCTCTACCTCCTTCTTTGACCCTCCTATTCTTTTCGCACCCTCACACTTTCAGTACCCATAGGACTGGGACGGCTCGACCACTGTCGGCGATGGCGTAGAGTGCTTCTACGTGGCGCGCATGCCAGTTAACGAACGACCTACATCATACAAGACCGGTCGCATCAGCGACATCAACTCGATCGGCGGCGACCCGTCAGTGTCTCTTTGAGCGAAGCCGAGCGCCAGGGGATGTCACTGATAGCAAGTGGTCATTGATGTGATAAATCATCTACAAATTACATTTGGTCTTGTCTTGCTCGTCTGCTCGTTGTCGTTTGTGTGTTCCCTTTTCTTTTGTTTACTCTTCAACTTTCGTTCCCCGCTCGAGAGTGACGCCGTCAGCAACCTCGGTCATTACAGTCGTTGGCCGTGGCATCTCGGAACCATGCCATTGTAGCAGGCAATCCTCTGTCTCTTCTCTCGGGTGAGGCATAACAAGATATGACGGTGTTAGCTCTTGCAGGCAGGCTGAACGGGCAAAGGCAAATGGATGAAAAGACAAAGACTTACGAGGCCTCAGCAAGGTGTTGGATTGCCGGTTAGGGCGGGGGACGCGCGGATGACGGCCTTGGACGTATTTTGACAGCCACCGTGGGAGAACATTGATGAACCTTTTGTTCCTGAAGAATGAAACTTCCGAGACAAGTGGTGCGATGCCACGTACGCAGGCTGCTATGCGCACAGAAAGCGCGCACGCAACGCGGAGCAGGCGGGCTATCGAGTCTGATACTAGAGAAAAGGGGAGGCCACGGCGGAGGAGCACCGTGGTCGCTTTTAAAAGAGCGAAGGAGGAGGGGAATACCGTGCATGAGAAGAGACGGAGACAAAGATCTAAGAGGAGGGGCGTGTGTTTTGCGTCTTCTCTACCTCCCATCCCCCTCTTCAGTCTATCCACCTTCCTTTGCTTAGACGATGCACATTACTATCGCCCTCACCTTTGGCTTCATCGGCCTCCTCGCCGCCATTCAGTCCGTTGAGATCCAACAGCCACCCACCCAAACACGTAAACCCTCGTGCATATGTGGATCCTCATACCGACTTCAAAATCAAATACTGCTACCCCAAAGCCAAGCACGCAACGCACTACTGCGTCAGTTACTGGCCTTCCGACTATTACCAAGACCTCACCCGACAGGGCGACGTGAGCTATGATGATATCGTTTGCAAGAAATTTCACAAGATGGACATAGACCACTATAAAGATGAAGGTTGGGCAATGATGCAAAAGAGGATGAGAAAGGCCGCTTCAGCTGACTGTATCTGTTTCTCCTGCACTCAGGCGTGCTTTGTGCAGTTCCCATCGAGCGAACCCGTCTCGTCTTACATCAGATCCGTGTAGACTATGCGTCAAAGGAGAAACTTTCAAATATCCAAATCAAGTACGACCAACCCGAGCACAGATCAAACATCGGCAGCACCATCACCAACAGGGCACCAAAAGGCAAAGACCTGCTAAACCCTCTTGAGAGGAAGGTCAATTCGCTTTCTCGCAGGGCCACCACGAATTCTGGCTCGTCATCCTACGGTCTTCACTTCTGGAACGGTGACACTTCAACACACTGCATGTTCACAAGTGAATACCTCGCTGCGGGCGGAGTGTATCCGTACCCTCTCACGGTGAGGGCACTCTATACTTCCTTTTTGACCTTCTTGCTGTAAATCAGGACTTATGGCTCACACAACAATGGTCTGCAGATCTGGGGCGACTCGTCCGTCCCCGCCGAAGGCATCCAGTGCTTCTACCTGGCGCACCTGCCAATTTATCAAATACCCAAACCTTCCGGAGCCGGTCGCAAGCGTGGCACTTCCAGCACCGGTCGCACCAGCGACATCAACTCGATCAGTGGTGACCCGGCAGTGTCTCTCTGAGGGGGAACGAGCACGCGAGGAGATGAAAATGACAACTCGTCATCGCAGTGGTGTCTTAAATACAAAATACATGTGGTCGTCTCGCTCGTCTGCTCGTCGTTGTTGAGGTTGTCGTGGGGCTCACTTATCTTGCACTGCTGCCACTGCTCTTCCTCTCCTTTTTCCGCTTAATGGGCTCAATCCCTTGTTCCAAATTGGCCGATTTCTTCTTCTTGATCTTCTCCTCCGATGGCGCCTTGGTCCCACCAGAGACCTTTCTCTTCGTTCCCTGCCCTTGTGAGGCACTCTCTTTGATGCTCTCCCATTCCTGCTTCTTTTTCCTATCCTCCTCGGCACCGTCGGCCTTCTTGTCCTCCTCTTCGCCGTCGTCATCAAAGCGAATGAGTCGACCCATGATCTCGCCCTTGCCCTTGCCCAGCGCATGCGTCACGAATCTCTCCACCTTGTCCTGATCCTCCCTCGATACCGCCCGGTTGTGCCCTCCCTCGCGTGTGCTGCTGCTGCTACTGCCGCCCTGATCTTTTTCGGCAGCTTGAAACTTGGTAAAGTAGCCCTTGACTCGCTCGAGCTCGACGAGGACGGGATGCTTCGATGCGTCGGTCCCGTTCAGTTTGAAGAGGATCCAGACGAGGTCGAGAAGTACGTAAGCCAGCGATGTCTGCAAGCGACCGGCGTCGAGCTTGCCCTTGTGGCCTGACGAGCCCGTGGACGAGACCGAGACTGAAGCATCGGCGCTGGTGCGAGACTCGAGCTGCGATGTCAGCTGCGAGAGCTCAGAGGAGATGACGGGGTTCAGAGATGCATGCAGGGAATCGAGCAGTGTGCGTAGCTGCGCCACTGTCGGTGCAGGCGAGCGCAGCGACGACGACGAAGCCATCACTCTACTTGCTTGTCGTTGCAGCTTTTGCACTACCTGAACATTTGCTTTGTTTCTTTTTTTTTTGGAGAGGGCTGCCAAATTATTTTCGGGAGTCGGGAAAATTGTCACAAGTCTCCCTCCCATGAATTGATTGAGGATCAGAACGAGGATGCAAAGAAGACATTAGACCGTAGCCAGGATCGGACCAGACCGCCAGAGCCCCGCTCGCGATCACAAGGCACCTGTTCAAAGGCCCTTTGGAAAGCATCGCCCACCAAATCACATTGCAAGCTCGTCCTCCTCTTCTAACGAGAGCGCACGTGACCTGGCTCTCCCAGAAATTTTTGGCTTTTTTGGCTTTTTGGCTTCTGGATGTAGGAGGCAGGATTGCCGCGCTTTCTCCTCCCGTTCACACAACACCACTGGCGAAGAGCCCAAATTGCAACATGCCGGCGCTGGATTTCATGGCCGACGACGATGGCAATGGTGGCGCCGACTTTGACATCTCGTCTGCTCTGCTTGGCAGCGGAAAGAGGGCGGCCGCCAAGCGAAGGGCGGCACCGCCAACGCAAGGGGACGACGATGGCGACGACGATGATGCGGCATTCATTAGTGCGGCAATGAGTAGACAGAACAAAAAGGCTGGGACAGAAGTGGCAAAGCGGGCCGTGGCGTCTACTTCGGGAAAGGGCAAGAAGAACAAGGTGGCCAGCGGCACCATCACGGGCGGCGGTAGCTTTCAGAGCATGGGTGAGCTGGATTAATCGTGCATCTTGTTCCAGTCGCTGACCTATGTCGGCGTGAATTGTGGATCAGGCATCCACCCATCGCTGCTGCGATCACTTGTGCTGAGAGGCTACACGACTCCTACGCCAATTCAGAGGCAGGCTATCCCCTCGATTCTCGATAGCCCACCAAGGGACCTCGTCGGCATGGCTAGGACGGGTTCTGGCAAGACGCTGGCATACCTCATTCCCCTCATCCAGCGGCTCAATGGTCGACACTCGCACACTGTTGGTGTCAAGTCTCTTATTCTGTGCCCATCTCGAGAATTGGCACTTCAGATCTTGAAGGTGGGCAAGGAGATCGCGCGGGGATGGAAGTCGGACAACGAGGGCGGTCAGAGCGAGGCCATCCGCTGGGCTCTCATCGTCGGTGGAGAAGGCCTCGACGAGCAGTTCGCTCTCATGGCCACCAACCCGGACGTTGTTATCGCTACGCCCGGTAGGCTGCTCCACTTGGCCGTCGAGATGAACTTGGACCTCAAGGCGGTGCAGTACGTCGTCTTTGACGAAGCCGACCGCCTCTTTGAGATGGGCTTTGCTGCCCAGCTCCAGGAACTCCTCGATCGGCTGCCTACCAATCGACAGACACTCCTGTTCAGTGCCACGCTGCCCAAATCACTGGTCGACTTTGCCAGAGCCGGTCTGCAGGAGAATCCCAAGCTGGTTCGGCTCGACGCAGACAGCAAGATCAGCTCGGAGCTGCGCATGTCCTTCTTCAGCGTCAAGCCGTCGGAAAAAGAGGCTGCGCTGCTCATCCTTCTTCGTGATGTCATTGGTGTGCCGCTGGGGGAGCAAAGAAGGCAAGACGAGGGTGGCGAGAAGAAGCGTAAGAGAAGGGCGCAGATGACCGGCGCCGACGACCTGCTCCCCCACCAGACGATCATCTTCTGCGCCACAAAGCACCACGTAGAGTACCTGCTGCTGCTGCTCGGCACAGCTGGCTATTCGTGCAGCCACATCTACTCCTCGCTTGACCAGGCTGCCCGTGGAATCGAGATGAAGCGCTTCCGCGAGGGCACCTCGAGCCTCCTCATCGTCACCGACGTGGCGGCCAGGGGTATCGACCTGCCCGTCTTGGAGCACGTCGTCAACTACGACTTTCCAGGCAGTCCAAGGGTGTTTGTTCACCGTGTCGGCAGAACCGCCAGAGCCGGCCGCAGGGGTTGGGCATGGAGCCTATTCACGGCAAACGAGCTTCCCTTTCTCTGCGATCTCCAGCTCTTCCTGGCGCGGCCGCTAGTCTCGACGCCCAAGGTCGAGGCCGAACCGTTGTCGAGAGTGCAAGCAGAGGATGAAGAAGGCTTGGATCTCCACGGCAATCTCGTCGTAGGCACCTTTGCCAGGGACACACTCGACAACGAGACAGAGTACATCACCGGATCCCTGACAAACGCAAACAGCGCCGTCTCGGTCGCCCTGCCAGCCCTCAAGCAAGTCGTGGGCCGCGCACAGAAGCTGTACGAGCGAAGCCAGGCAAAGGCCAGTCAAGAAAGCTACCGAAGGGCAAAAGCGATGGCTAAGAACTCGGGAGGAAAGTGGGCGTTGGCTGGCAGCGCTTCCGAGGACACAACGGTGCATGACGTCTTGATGCGACCGCGAGTCTACGGCCTGACGCCCCTGAGCGACGCAGGAGCGAGAGCTGTCGCAAGCACTGCTGCTTCGATAGACAAAGACGCTGCCGCGAGAGCTGCCTTGCTGGCCAAAGTCAATGGCTTCACACCTGTCGAGACTGTCTTCGAGGTCGGGGCGAGGGGAGCGACGCCCAATGCTTTGCTGATGAAGGACCGAAGAAAGACGCTGGCGGGTAAAGCCAAGCGAGCCCAGATGAAAGAAAGCCTCGAAGGTGGTGCTGGTGGTGGCGTTGAGGAAGATGAAGTAGAAGATAGCCTGATAGCCCTCAAAGCTGGTGGAGAGATCGATATGGCGGACGAAGACGAGATCAGGGATACATTTGACACGACAGCAGACCCGGCTTCTTCTTCGAACAGCAAGAAACAGAAGCGGATGTCTTCCTACAAGGATCCAGAGTTTTACATGTCATACGAGCAGAAGGACGCCAACACCGAGCGAGGCTATTCGCTCCAAAACGGCGATGGCAACTTTGTTGAGCAAGCCCGCAATGCCACCTTCTCCCTTGGCGGCAACGACGAAGGAAAAGTTGCTCGATTCGGCGTGCAATCTCAGGCGCCCAACCAGGCTCGGTGGGATGTCAAGAAGAAGAAGTTTATCAAGGGAGATGGCACCGGGAGCGACAACCAAAAGATCATCCGGACAGAGAGCGGAACCAAGCTTCCGGCGAGCTTTCGCAGCGGTCGCTTCGACGAGTGGCGAAAGAAGCAGAGGATGGATCTGCCTAAGGTCGGTGAGCGGGAGGACGACAAGGTCGTCGGCACCGCTAGGGGCCTTGCGGGCGTTAAGTTCGGACATCAAGGCGGAGGCAGTGGGCAAGGTGGATTTCGGCACAAGATGGTCAAGGAGGCGAAGCGGCCGTCGGACAGGCTTGCCAAGGACTATAAGTCGAAGATGGAGCGATTCAAGCAGCGAACAGAGGGAGAAGGTGCAGGATCACGGGGCGAGGGACCCAGAAAGAGATTCGACAAGGGCCCGTTCACAGGAGGGAAGGGGGGCAAAGACAAAAAGAGTGGGGTCAGAAGAACGGGACGGGGGGCGCGGAGCGAGCTCAAGAGCGCAAGTCAGATTCAGAAGGAGAGGGCCCTCGCGGAGAAGCGCAAAGAAAAGAACGCGAGACCATCCAAGAAGGGCGGCGGCGGCGGCGGCGGCGGCAGAGGAAAGGCAAAGTCGAGGCGGTAGAAAAGAGTCATGTCACCTCATTGTCAATCCTTATGCACGCTTTAGTGAGCGCCATTCTTACTTGTGCACTGTCCAATACATACACCTGGTCTTTGAGCGCAATCATCCTGACGTCTGGGAAGCAGCCATTTCACGTGAAAATAACCTTAATAAGAAACACGTGGCGCGCTCTATTTCGCTGGCGGGCAAGCTCGCGCCTAAAACGACCCTAGCGTTGAAGAACACGGAAGGAAGCGAGAGAGAGCCTCCTAGTCCTGTTTGGCTAACCGATTGTCACCACCACCACCAACGACACATACATCCGCACCTGCTTTCCTCCTTCACTCTCTACTATATTCCAAGATGGTGAGGCAGAGAGCGCTACGCGATCTATAATCTGACCGGGTGCTCATTCGGTACATTCACTTGCAACAGGCTTCGCGAAGGAGGGCCACGAAGAAGGGCGTGTCATTCTGCCTCATGGTTGTGGGCGCCAGCGGCACAGGTGCGTCAAAGGACTAATATCCTATAGGAGCGACAATGCTGACACCCCGGTGATTTCACAGGCAAGACGACTTTTGTCAACACCCTCTGCGAGTCCGAGGTGATTGGGCACAAGATTGCCGACAATGCCGAGACTGCGCACATTGAGGAGGGGATCCGCATCAAGCCCGTCAATGTCGAGCTGGACGAGGACGGGATGCGCATTGGACTGACCATTGTCGACACACCCGGCTTCGGCGACAACATCGACAATGAGTACAGTTTCCAGGAGATCGTCGGCTTCCTCGAGAGGCAGTACGACGATATCCTTGCGGAGGAATCGAGGATCAAGCGTAACCCGCGCTTCCGCGACAACCGTGTTCACGCGCTCCTCTACTTCATCACGCCCACTGGACACAGCCTGCGTGAGATGGACATTGAGCTCATGAGGCGGCTCAGCCCCAGGGTCAACGTCATCCCCGTCATTGGAAAGGCGGACACCATGACCCACAGCGAGCGGGCCGAGTTCAAGAAGAGGGTGAGCTCTCCTTACCTTCCCTTTGCATAATTCGAAGTTGCTGACCCAGAAGCAATCTGCTAAATTTACAGGTCATGGAGGACATTGAGCACTACGGTATCCCCGTCTACAACTTCCCCTACGATGTCGAGGAGGACGATGAGGACACGATCGCCGACAACAGCGAGCTCCGTGGACTCATGCCATTCGCCATCGTCGGCTCTGAGGAGGAGGTCGTTGTTGGAGGCGAGCCTGTCCGAGCACGTACGTACCCGTGGGGTCTCGTCGAGGTCGACAACCCCAAGCACTCGGACTTCGGTCGGCTTCGCAGCGCCCTTCTCAGCACGCACCTGACGGACCTCAAGGAAATCACCCACGACTTCCTCTACGAAAACTACCGGACGGAGAAGCTGAGCCGGACGGTGCACAGCGACTACGCCGACACGTCAATTCCGGGCGATGAGCTGGCCAACCAGTCGGTCAGGCTCAAGGAGGAGCAGCTCCGTCGCGAAGAGGACAAGCTCCGGGCGATTGAGCTCAAGGTGCAGCGCGAAATCCAGGAAAAGAGGCAGGAGCTCCTGGCAAAGGAAGAGAGCCTCCGAAACCTCGAGAACCGGTTGGCGGCGCAGGAGTGATTTCGCCCCTCGCTTTCACTTCTCCGCAACCCCGTCTTCTGCTTTCTCCTTTTCTTATTTCGGTCACCGGCTTCATCCACCGCCTTTTGTCTTTCTTATTTGACAACGAGCAGCAACCCTTTGGCGCTCTTCTATCCTTGCTCGCCCAGCCGGAATAGCTTGTTCTAGGCGACGTGATCTCAGGATGGCCTTCTATCTTTCCAGCTCTATTCCCTTGGCGTTCCTTTTGTCTTCTTCTTCTCGAATGCGAACAGTGATAACGACTATTCTTAGCGAGTTTGTGATAACTTACGACCAGCTTTGTGCCGCAAATATTGGCAAATCCGGAGAGACATGGACAGAACGCTTGCTGAACGCAGTGTGTCAACAGATTGTGCATTGAATTGATGGTGACAGGAATGGAAAGGTGAGGTACTGGGTAAAATGAGATTGTGAGGAGAGAGCAATGACTGCGTGTAATAGATTAGAAGAGAAAAGAAGATGGGGGATATTCATGTGGTAGTTGCTAGATGATGAGTCGATATGTGTGCGTGTGTCTTTGTGTCTGTGTGTGTGGTGTGTCTTTGCGGATAATATTTTCGTTGACTTCTTCAGCGGTCAACTGGAAAGGAGGATCGCTATGCGGCCGTAGAAAGGTCTGGGACGTTGCCATCGCCTCGGTTGAGCGCCATGCTCATGATTTCCCATGTAGCCTTGACGTCCTCGTTGTCCACTTCGTCCTCGTGCTCTTCCTCTTCCGGTATGGCGCAGTGTTGCGTTCCGCTCAGTGCTTCTGCATCTTCGGCACGGACCGCCGTCGACGGCTTCGGGAATTCCTGTCCGCTCGCCAACGCTCCTGTCGGGGATCCGTGTCCGTGCATGGGGACAAAGTCGAAGTCGTCTTCGACTTCTGTCTCTTCGTCATCTTGTGTATCAGCGCCCCGCCTTCGGCTTCGCTTGCACAGCGTGAGGCAGTCAAGATGGAGAAGTAGATGAGCAAGGAACCTCTGCTCGAGTGCCGCGTTTTTCTTGAGTGTCATCGGGGCTCGATCTTTGGTCGTAGCTTTTGCATGTCTCGATCTGCCGTGATCGGTCCTGCCATTGCCGCCGTCCACCTCGTCCTGCAACGAGACTGCCATTTTGGAGCCGTCCTGCTGCTCATCGAGCAGATGTGGGCACAAGAACAGATTCGGCGCAAAGACGCCCGCAAGCATCTCGACGGACAGACCTGTGATGTCCTTGGCCTGCTCAGTGCAGAACAGCTGTAAAAAGGAGACAGTGAAGGCTACGACGCGCTTGTTGAGCTTGGGTAGCCTCTCCTGTACAATTCTTAGGCAAGCCTTGACGGACTCTGGCTGATTTGGCGTGGCAGCCGCCTCGAGACAGTCGTAGTAGATCGAGGGGGGAAACAGAGGCTCTTCCAGCTCCCTGAACCAGAGTTTCAACAGACTGGCCAAGACTGAGACGTCGCCGTCAAGCTGCGAGACAAGACCGACGAGGCTGTAATGTCCCTTCTCGATTCGCACGCGCAGCTTCGTCATCAAGTCGGGGTCGCCGGGCGTTCGGAAGACCAAGGGAGCCTTAAGAGCATCCATGGCAAGCATAGCGTCGGTAAGAAAGGTGAGACTGCATGTGTGTGTCAGAGACGGAATATTCGACAGATGCAACAGAAAAAGACAGACTCACACAATAGGAACCTTGGCCTCTGGGTACACATCGGCCTGTCGTTGCATGATGACGTCCAACGTCTGACCAAAAACGCCCGGATGGAAGGCCGCCTCGGAAGCACATTCGATCTCCGCAATCGTAGGTGTCTGCAGCCGTGACCCTCTTCTTGCGATATTGGCCAATCGACCCAGGCAGTACCTCGCCATGATGACCTCTTCTTCGCTCGTCGAATTTGGGCCTTCACTCTTGGGCTTCTTGCGCAAGGATGAAGAAGATGAGGAGGAGCAAGACGGACCTGAGCTGGCGCACCCTTTAATAAAGCTTTGCAAGTGACCGTGTAGATCCCTTGAGGGCGCAAATGTGACGAGTAACACGCACATCCACTCCCATCCACTCTTTCGCGACTCGAACCTTGGGTTCGAAGTGAGCTGCTTTATCGTCTGAATAAAGATCTCATCTCGAAATGCAGAGCCGGATGCGATACCACGCTCGAGAAGCCAGCGCTCCTCCATGATGACTGAAGGACCGGAAGCATCACCCCTGGAGCTCTCTTCCGTAGTTCTTGGGGTGGGTTCCTGCGGGCTGCGAGTGCAAGCTCCAAACATACTCCCTCTTGCCTGACTGGATTCGCTAGCTTGTAGGGAGGGTATCGAGGGCACCTTTGGCCAAAATACGGGCGTGATGCGGTCGCCCATGATGCGCAAAATGACTTTGAAGCCTCGCACAGCATCCTTTTTCGTCTCTGAATCCTCAAGAGCAAGGAGTGGCGAGGTGATGGGTTGCTTTTGCCATCTGAGAAGCTTCTCTAAGGGCGTTTTCCTCCGAAGGATGCCCGATCGATGGACGGCAAAATGCCTTTTGGCGTAGCTTTCGATTGCAAATGCCTCAATCTCCCGTCTCAGGTCAGCTGGGAGGACTTTGTGATCGCCGGTGCTCAGCCTGGTGGTTGGCAATCGAGGAACAGGAGGCGGGGGATTGCTTTCGGACGACGCTGCCGCAAGCGCTGCCATTCGCTTGCGCTTGACTGGATCCCGTTCGCGACGTACGATACGTCGCAGCTCAAACGAGGCCGGCGGAGGAAAGTCGGCGGAGCTGTCTTCGTAACCTGGGTCGGATCTGCTGCTTCCTGACTGAATTGGAAGGCTGTTCGTGGATGGAATGGTGGAGAGCCCGGCTCCTCGTCCAGAGTGCGGCTTGGTGGAAGCTGACGGTGCCGGTGGGGGAAGACCGTTGCGTTTTCCTGCTGACGAAGAAGCAGAGCGCAAGTCTCTCAGCGTCCTCGAGGACTGGCTTCTGCGCGGTTTGTGGGTCCCGCTTGGCTTTTTGGACGTGGACGATGAGGGCTCTTGCGATGGCGGCGGTGGCTGTCTTCTCCTTGGTTTTTGATTCGTCGCCGACTGTGGACCAGGAGGTTGGGCCGCCCAGGCGACGTTTCTCTCTCGTTCCTTTTCCATCTCTCGTTGACGCTCGCTTTCCATGAGCATCACACGCCGCTTGGTGGCCATATATTGCTTGGCTGGCCCTTCATCGGCGATCTGGTCGAGGGAGCCAAGGGCTGCAAGGACCTGTCCATCGAATTCCGTCTGCGAGAAGCGCTTGCCAAGGGTGCTCTGCTGGATGGCCGCCATGGGGATGACGAAAGCCTTTGGTCGCTCCCATGTCGTCTCGCGCGTCTTCGTCTGGAAGAAGTAGGGCAGACCTCGCTCCTCATCGTACAGCTCCCACCATTGTCCCCCCGACTGAGGTGGCAAGACAAAGGTCCCCGAGGGCACGGCCCAAGCGCATTCGCCGGACTGTGGATTTGCAAAGAAGCTTTGGCCTCTCTATTGTAACGGGATCGAAAACCTTTAGCCATCGTAAAAACTTACACCGCGGCCCATTCGCTACACTCACTGGTTGCTCCACGACGCACCAAAAGTTCTCGCCCCACGCCAGCTGGCTATGTTTGAACGATGGGGTGGCACCCTCTGTGGCGCTCCTCTGCCTCTTTCCGTACGCACCAAAGGTATCGTCTGTGGACCCGTCGCCATTGGTGATGGCACTGCCGCCACCGCCGTGGCCATTATTGTTGTTAGTATTGGGGTTGGTGTTGACCGACGTGGAAGAGGAGGCAGCCTCGAGTGAGGAAAGTGCTTGAGTTGCCAGAGTCTGCTGGGTCGAGGCCGTCGAGGCCGAAGCCGAGGCCCTGGCTGCTCGCTCCGTCGCCTTGCTCCGCATGCCCTCCCGGTGAGGCTTGACCCGATCAGTGCCTACGCCGAAGCCGCCCAGCTTGGGCGTCGTAGGGGGCACATACTCGCTTGGCTCCTCGTCAGGAAGCTGGAGCAGCGATGCCTCGTCTTCCCCATCTGTCAGCACAATCGACGCCAGCTCCTGGTCGGTCAGCGAGAGGTCGACGGTGCGGTCCAAGAGGCTTGAGGGCGCGGGCGAGACAACGTGGTGGGCGCGCGAGATCGGAGACATGTCGCTCAATGCCAGTGGGACCCGCTTCGGCGTGCGTGTTCCTCCCTCGGAGGGCGTGGGCGATCTGCCAAAGGTGCGGTCGGCAGACTGCTGATCGATGCTGAGTCGGTTGCTCATCTCGTCTTCACTCATGGGGGAGAGACCAATCCTCTTCATCTTGACCGCCGCTGCCCAAGCTGGTTTCGAAAGTGCCGGTGGTTGTGCGGTCCGGTTAGCTACCTCTGAAGAGGAGGAAGGGGAGTCCATCGCCATGTCCGTCGACGTCGCTGCCGTCGTTGAGGCAGCGAGACCTGTCCTGCTGGGTATCGAGTGCTTCGCACTGAGGGCGGTATGTGTCATCTGCGTTGACGTGCCGTCGTCGTCGTCTTCTTCTTCTTCTTCGTCGTCGTCGTCGTCGTTTCTGTCGTCTGTGTTCCCGTCGTGAGCGTCGTGGTCAAGCTTGTTCTTCTGCCATTCAGATTCCGCCTTATCGTTGCTATCGTAACTTGCCACCCTAGCATCAGCTAGCTTGGAAGTCGTCTCAGGAAAGCCGCTCGAAGCGGGCGGCAGACCCGTGCCGCCATTCTGGATTGCAGCTACGGCAGCTGCAACGCGCGCGGAGGGGTACGCAGGTGGTTTGCTCTTTGGACGCGGGCTAAGCGGCGTCGACGGAGACTCAAACGGGTGATCAGATGAAGAATGTTGGGCCAAAGCGGTGGGCGACGTCAGCATCTCGCCTCGCCGTTCGCGTGTCGTCGGCAGGGTGCGATGGAGAAAAGCGATTCTGTCCTGAGCGTCGGCGCGCACGCGGAAGCAACACCGAGAGTATTGGTATAGGTGTTGTCACCTGCTCACTGCACTCTCATCGCTTGTCAAGGCGAGACGCGCCGGGGACGATTTAAAGCGAGGCCGATCTCGGCGTCACGAGCAAGGACAAGGAACGGGAAAGAAGAAAGGAAAGACGAGCAAGGTTGCTTGTCCGGAAATTAGGAAAGCGAGCAGACGCCCTGCTTGCGAAAAGAGCTTTCCCCTGCAGCTAAAGTAGAAGCGGCAGCAAGGCTAGCTACTAGTAGTAGTCGACTAGGCAGATTTCCTCCTCGATGCGCCCCTTTTGGTTCCTTTGCCGGGTTTCCCTTTTCATTTTCTTTGCAATTGCGGCGCCGCTGCAGATTTGGTTACATCTTTGCAGCCTAAGCTGGCACCGCTATCTCCATTCGGCCTAAACTAGGGTAAGGGAGAAGTCTTTTCACATCTTAAGAGAAACGGCCGCTCACTCCCGTGTGCTTGCCATTGTTGTTCTCCGCACGAGAGAGCTCGGAAAGCTCTTCCTTCCTAACGTAGCCCAAATTGATGAAGGGGTTGGATAAATCTATCTGGTCCTTGAACCTGGCCACCCAAGCTGATTGCGCTAAAACTTTATTCATCCGAACGCAATCAGAAACTGGAGGGGAGCGCTTGTATGAAGTACGCCTTGTCGAGGACGAGACGGGAGCTCACACTGATATGCCATCCTCTACGAAAGAGCGACGACTTGAGATTCTGCAAGGGAGCAGCCACGCCCTGGGCTAGTAATCTGGCCAAACATAATAGCATCTTACAGCGAGGCTCAGAGAGCAGAAGAAGGATTCGGCGACAGATCGACAGAATTGTCTCAAAGATTGTTCGGCCCTGTGTCAGTGGCTTGAGTTTTTTGCCACGTGCGCTGTCGAGCTGGTAAAAATAAAGCGCGCACGTTTCGCCCGGCTTCTCCACTGCGAAGGGTGGCAGGCGATTCGCGCAGACACAAGCTACACTACTCGAAGAATTCGTCTGACCCTGGCCTGTGCTTCTTCACTTCGACACATGCCGATGCTTCCACGACGATGATTGCAACGACGACGATGGCGAGGATTGTGGCGCCTGCGTTGCTCTTTCTGTTATCCCTGTTGCACCTAAGCTTTGCGCGGCAATGGCTGTCTACTCAGAGACCATTCATCCCGCTCGACGAAGGACCGCCGCCGCCGCCTTCAATCGACACTTTCAAGGAGGTGCAGCTTTCCCACACCGGCATCTACATGGGCAGCATCCTGTCGAAAAATTCACCGCCGTTTATCTCGCTCTATGTCAAGCAGCCGCTGTTCGATGTGAAAACCGTCGAGGTGCGAGCGCAGAAGGTGACACGGCGAGGATGGTACGACGTCAACCTGGGATGCGGAGGCCTCGAGACCGGTGGCGTGGAAGCGTGCGAAAAGGACGACATCAAGAAGGCAAGTTCAGATTCAACTTCTTCGATGGCCTCGCAACTTGAAGACTGCAAGCCATACAAGATCATCGAGAGCCAGTGGCGGCTCCTCTTCACGGCAGAGTCGTGCCCAGCGCTTGCGCCTCTTCTCGATTCAAAGAGTGCGACCAACGAATCGAGCTTGGTCAGCACCACACTGTCCTTTGACATCCAGCGCGTTTTTCCCGCAAGGCGAGAGAAGCACCACTTTTGGCTTGCAAGCTTGCAGAGGGGCTCCGACGACGCAGACGACATTGATGGTCCGGCAAAGTGGCCCTTTGCCGGGACCGCACATGGAGGACGCGACTCGACGTCTGAGCGATACACGGGCAAGACGCCCAACCGCATCGCTGGTCTGATGCAGGATCCCTACATCCCAAAGGCGGCCAAGCCGTCCTCGGGCGATCCCCTCAACGGCGTCGATATCGGCGCCGTCTCGTGGGACTACGGCATCTCGATCGAGGTCCCCAACAACGGAAACTCGTCAGACGGTCCCACCGGTCCGCCATTGGAGCCCATTCATGCGCCCGTCTCGGGACAGATCGTGTACGTGGGCCAGTACCGACTGGCCAGAATGCCAGACAACCACCGGAACGATGAGCGAGGATGGGGTATCATGATCAGGGACGAGTGGGGCTTTGTGTTTCAGCTGCTAGGCCTAGATGGAGACTCACTTCGCTTTCAAGAGGGCGATTCGGTTGGCAAGGGTGAGCTGGTCGGCGGCGCCTCTAGAACACTGCTGTCGAGGGAGCCTCCGTGTCGCCACAAGCCAGCAGACCCGCCAAAGATGGACGACAAGTCTCGCAGATATCCGTTCCGGCGTCGCTTGCTTCGTCTCTTGATTGCCAGACCCGATCCGAGCTGGCACTCTTGGAAGGGCTTCTACGGTGAGAGACATGTTGATCCTTGATGATACTTTGTACGCGCGCTCATCGTGTTGTAGAGTCTGGCTGGCAATACTACAACCCGCTGGATGCAATGACGTGGGGCAACTTCACCAGCGTCGTCCCCGTGGGTAGCCCTCTGTTTTCCCGACGTATTCGAGTTTTCAGTGCCACCGCTTACACCCTTTCTCCTCTACAGCCCGACGCTAATCCGACATCCCTCTTCTTCGCGAAGCCGAGCGAGGATCGTGGACTGACACCGCCCTCGATTCAGTCGACGACGAAGGACTTCTTTGCCGTGACGCTGTCGGGCAAGGTCGAGATCATCATTGGTTTTGACGCTTTTCAAGCCACACCGCTGGAGGCCAGTGATCAGATGGACCCGCTCGCCATCCATGCGCTTGAGTGGAGTGCCTGGCCTCGGATCGGCGAAAGCCCTGGGTCATCGTCGTCAATCAGCCGGCGTACCGGTGACGCTCATGCTTTCAAGGGCGACTCGAAGCAGTGTGGAGACAAGCCTCAAGACGTCGAGTGGCGCTCTTCGTTTGAGCACGCAAAAGTGAGTAGTTTGACCGCTCAGCCCTTTCTCCTATCCTTCACAACGCCAACAATTTCCTCCCTCCAGATTCCCTTTCACTGGTCCACACCGTTGCCCAAGAACGGACTGCTGGCCCACTATGTGCCTGCCTTTACCGTGGGAACCGTGCCCTTTCTCAAGACTTCGTACGCCTCTCAATTCGACGAGAAGAGCCGCAAGCTCTACTTTGCGCCCACGCGCAGCCTCCTTGGTGCGCCCGACGGGAGAGGCGCATGGGATACGACAAAGGAGCCCGAGGGCAACGGCGTGTACGAGGTCATGGTGCGGGCAAGGGACTGGTGGGGCAATGAGGGCTGCTTCGGTAGCCTCGTCACGATACGCAATTGAGTCTGAGCCTCCCTTTGCCATCATGTACCATGTATCTCGCTTCATCCAATGCATTTCTGGAAACGATGGATTGTACTCCTCTCTCTCTCTCATGTTCGCCCCTCGGAGGTGCTACTGGCGAGCTCCTTTCTCTTTCTTGACCGTCGATCAGCCCGGATATGATCGACTTCCTCGCGGATCGCCGCTCTCATCTTCTTGACGAACACATAGAGTGCCCGACTGGCATTGAGCTCGGCCACGAGGCCACCGATCTTTGCCTCGGGCAGCGCTGGTTCGCATTCGGTCACTGTGGGAAGAGTGAGCCTTGGTGAGCGCGCAACAGCCTGCGCGCAACTCACCCCTGTAATTTCTCGAGTCGACATCCAGGACAAATCGAGCTTCCTCTGCAGTGTCATCGGGATTGACGAGGTTGAATTTGAACTCGAGAAGCTTTGCTTGGCCGGGCACCGCCTTGATGTAACAGCCGAGCATGCGCCCAAAGAGGGCCAGCTCCGGTCCGTTGCGACTGATTTGTCGCTGCAGCCGCGCAGCTCGGTCTTGCTTCTCACTCTGCTTCTTCTCCAAGGACGCCTGCAAGGCCTCGAGCTCGGCTTGAGCTTCCTGGATCCGATGCGTGATAGAGTTGCGCTGCGAGAGGAGCTGTTGTGCCTGGACTCGAGCTGCCTTGTCTTCCTCCTCTTCCCTTCCGATTGCTGCATACACCTCGTCAGTGTCTTGCCGTCATTTGCTGCTCCAGCACCCGTGCTTCCCCAATCGCAATGCAGTGTACACTCACACTCAATTAGAACCTTTTCGAGCTCCTTTTGCTTCTCGGTCCTCAGTCGCAAGTCCTCCATACCGTTGCGCTGCTCCTCCACCCTCCTCGCATGCATCTCCGACGCCTCCTTTGCCGTCACCGCGACGCCCTCCTTGAACGCTGTGAAATGCTCGACAAAGTCCCGCACAGCTGTGCCGAGCGCGTCGAAGCGAAGCGCATCGGGCAGGTCCGAATCTCCGCCTTCGAAGTCATCCTGGAGCAGCCAGTGCGAGTCGAAGCCGGCCGGTTGCGACGAGGGACCCGCCACAGCCCGACTCGAGACGGACGCACGCAGCGAGCGAGACAGCGGTCCCGGCGTGTGAAGCTTTCCCGGTGTCGCGAGGGAGATCCGGCTAGCCATTGTCGGTGGTCGGCTTTGATGGTCGATTGTAAAAGAGGAGAGAGCGACGCGTTGATGGCGGCAAGTGTTGATCCCGACGGGGTGTTGGTGTCACGTGCTGCTACGCGTTGGAAGGCATCTGCCGGGTTGCACAAAGTTATTCCAACAGTGAAGCAATCCGGCCCAGAGGTGATCAGTCACTTTTTCCTACCGTTCGTTGGCCTTTCCTTTTCTGTCAAGCTCGTCAGGCCGGCCGACTCATATCAACATCCAGCCAGCAGCGACAACGGCACAACTCAAGCCGCGGTTAGGGTGGAGCACGTTCAACTTGTTTTGCCAACACCATCTGCCTCACCCTCTGTCCCCTCTATGGTGCCTCCTCCCCCGTCCTCGTCGTCTGCGACGGCGCCGGCCTCTCGCATCTTGGTGGCTGCATCGCCCAACAGCCCTGGCCGATCGCCATTTTCAAGCAAGGACGACCTCAAGTCGCTTCTGCCGGCGTCGTCCTCGGCCAATCGCCTCCGCGCGCTCCAACAGCAAGGCCCTCCCCCGGCGCCCAGTTCGGGCTCCAATGCTCCCCACAGCAGCGGCAACAACGACAATGCCGACGACAGCAGAGGCAGTTTCCGAAGCTGGAAGAGATTCGAGGGTCTCGAAGGTTGGGAAAAGGACCTCGTCGACAGCCACGAGGTCAAGCGAAAAGCCAACGTCGCTCAGCTCTGTGAGTAGAGCAATCAAAACAGAGTTATAAGGGATCACTTACAGGAGAAATCGTGCCAGACTTCTTGAACCACTACTTTGAGTCGCTGCGATATCTCTCGGACCGGCGTTCGCGCACCAATGCGTTCAAGGAACGCACCGGCACCCAATCCCTTGTCGCTCAGCTCAAGGCGCACGATGCCGACACGATGTCGTACGTGGGCAGAGAGAGGGTCCACCTCCGCAAACGCAGAACCAAGCTCCGCCTTGCCTCTTTCCACATTATCACCCAAGTCGGTCAAGGAGGCTATGGCGAGGTGTTCCTTGCGCGAAAGAGGGATACGGGCGAGGTCTGTGCCCTCAAGAGGCTTCGCAAGAGGATCTTGGTCAGAATGGACGAGGTTCGTCATGTGCTCACCGAGCGGGACATTTTGACCGCAACGAGAACGCCGTGGCTGGTCCGGCTCCTGTATGCGTTCCAGGATGCCGAACACGTCTTCCTCGCCATGGAATACGTGCCTGGAGGCGACTTCCGCACCCTGCTCAACAACTCTGGGGTGCTCCGCGAAGAGCACGCTCGCTTCTATGCCTCAGAGATGTTTGTTGCTGTCAACGAGCTGCACATTTTGGGATACATTCATCGCGATCTCAAGCCAGAGGTGAGCCCTCCCTCATTACCCACTGACAAGCCAAAGCTTACTCAAGCTCCCTCTGAAAGAACTTCCTTGTCGACTCGACGGGCCACATCAAGTTGACCGACTTTGGTCTGGCCGCAGGCACGCTGAACCCAGGCCGGATCGAGTCTCTCAAGGGCAAGGTGTGTTTTTGTTTCTACCTACCTCCTCGCCTTGATCAGGCTAACTCTTTGTGAAACAGCTCGACGCCGTCAAAGACACATCGCTTATCTACCGTACCCCGCACGAGCGGTCATCGCTGTACAAGCAGATGCGTGCTCAAAACGTCGCCTATGCCGACTCCATTGTGGGTAGCCCGGACTACATGGCGCCTGAGGTGCTGCGAGGTAAAGACTACGACACGAGCGTCGACTACTGGAGTCTGGGATGTATCCTCTTTGTGAGTCACCTCTACGCAGCTCTGTGTGTCCCCGTGCTCACTGCTCCCTTGCACCCTCCTTTTTCAGGAATTCCTCTGCGGCTACCCGCCCTTCACTGGCGGCGGTGACCCTGAAGAGACATGGGCGAACCTCAAGAATTGGGAGAAGGTCCTTCAGCGGCCCGTTTACACCAAGCCCCAAGATCTCCAGTTCAACCTCACAGATGTTGCATGGGACGCAGTGACTCGCCTCATCCAACGGCGGGGCGAGCGCATGTCGACGCTCACGCAGGTCCAGACACACGCCTTTTTCGCCCCAATGCAGTTCACCAAGCTGCGCGAGCTCAAGGCGCCCTTTGTGCCTCAGCTCGACGGCGATGCAGACACGGGCTACTTTGATGACTTTGACAACCCCGAAGACATGAAGAAGTACAAAGAGGTGCAGGACAAGGCGAGAAACGTCGAGTCCAAACTCAACGACGGCAGCAAAGAGGCGGCCAGGAGAGCAAACGGCGGGAGAGGAATGTGGGCCGGCTTCACGTTTGGCAAGAACGAGGCGAAGAAGTGGGGCGAGGACGACGATGAGACAAAGACGGGAGAGGATGTGTTTGCGACGATGTTTTGATTTTCTTTGCTTGCTTCTCGTCCCCTCCTATCCTTCTTCCTGTTCCTGCCCCCTCCTCAGCATTTCTTCTTTCGATCGTAGCCGATACCTTTCCCTTCTACTGCTCTGTCCGGCCCTTACCATTCTTTCGCCTCCAAGCTAATCACATCTTCTATTTGGATCTTGATCGTTTCATTCATGGCATGGCAAAAGAGACAGAACGACGATATGAAAATGCGAAGATCGGCGAGAGGAGAGGGGAGGGGGAAACCAGACTGAAGTGAGCAACTCTTAGACAATGACGCATTCAGACTCTGCATCCTTTCGTGTAGGCCTCGCGCCCTTTTTGCCGCCCTTGGAGCCACGCTGCTGCTTGAGCTCCGTAAGCCTCATCATCGCACGTTTATTGCCCTGGGCTGCGGCGCGCATGTACCACCGTTTGGCTTCCTCGGTGTCGGCCTCGACACCGATGCCGACCTCGCAGTAGTAGCCCACGGCGTACTCTGCCTTGGGGATGCCCTTTGTCGCGGCTCGGCGGGCCCAGAGGTAGGCTTCGCTGTCGCTCTGCTTGAGCACGCCCTCGCTTCCGGTCAAGTACCAGCCGCTGAGGGCGAGCTCCGACTCTCCGTCATTTTTGCCCGCCGCCTTGGTGTACCACGCAATGCTTCGTCGCGGGTCGACAGGGCACGTCAGGCTTCCGTACTCGTACGCTGAGCCCAGCTTGAACTGCGACGGCGCATAGCCGAGCTGCGCAGCCTGGGTAAAGAGCTCGCGGGCGTAGGGCTCGTCTTGCGCAACAATGGTCGAGTTGACCTTTTCGTACAGCAGCCCAAGCTCGTGGAGGGCGTGTGGGTTATCCTCGTCGGCTTGCCCCGCGGCGCGCTTCAGCCAGACGATGGCTTCCCGCACGTTTCGCGGCTGACCCAGCAGTCCGTTGAGCAAGATCATGCCGAGCTTGTACATGCCCGCCGTGTCGCCCAGTGCGCTCGCCTTGCGGTAAAAGAGGACTGCACGGTGGTGGTCTCGGCGCGTGCCTGCGCCGACCTCGTTGCAGACCGCTGTCCGATAAGTGGCAGCGGGATGGTTCTGCTTGGAAGCCTGCACGTAGAGATTGTACGCCTTTTCGTGGTCGACCTGCAATCCCAACGAACCATTTCCGAAACAATTGGCCAAGAAGAATTGGGCCTCGGCGTACGGCGGCTTGCCCAGCCCCATGCCCGTCGTAGCCAGCCGCTTGACGAGCTTGAGGCTCTCGGAAAGCAACGCATCTCGGTATTTTCTCTGAGCCTTGGGACCATCCTTTGGATCCTGGATCTTCTTGGCGGCCTCGATGAGGTAACGACAAAAGGCAAATTGGGCCTCGGGGTCCGGATCGCCCTTCATCCTCGCTCGGTATTCGGCCACGAAAGCCTTTGAGAAGGGCAATGTCTGTTGAGGCGCCGAGTCCTTGGACTTTCTTCGCCCGACATTGCCGCTACTCGCGCTTGCCGCGGATGCCATGCTCATGTTCGTCGGTTGTCTGTTGAGCGTTGACATGGGGGCCAGCCCGCCACCAGCACCACTCGGTGCCATCATGGAAGGATTGGTTCCAGGAGGGGGAGCAGGGTAGCCAGCGCCAGCTCCTCCATAGGACGAGGGAGCACCCGGGTAATCGAGACCATACCCTTGCGCAGCTGCCATGTATGCATTTTGTCCACCACCGGCCGCCGCCGGATCATAGGGAGCGCCTGCAAAGTAGCCGGAACCATGATGTGCGGGAGCCTGTTGGTAGCCTGGGTATGCGGCATACCCTGATCCATCGTCGTAGTAGCCGCCCTGTGGCCCGCTGCCTTCGGGAGGATACCATGAGGATTGGTCGTAGGGCGCTGCCCCCTGTTGCTGTGGATAGCCACCGCCAAGGTTGCCTGGCGAAGCGAACATACCGTCCGAGCCATAGGCTGATGAGGACCCGGCCGCATGAGGGGGTGGCACCGAGTCGGATCTGAGGTCCGCCGCCGTCTGGTCGACCTCTTGGGCAATTGCTGCCAGCGAGTTCTCGGGCTGAACCTCGGCGGCGGACTGGTAGATCTCCTGATTGGCATAGGCAGCATTGGCACGCTCCACTGCTGGATTCATCGCCTTGGCGCCAGCGGCAACGCCGGGGCCGGAAGTGGGGCCAGGCGACTTTGAGCGATTGCTGATTGACATTCTGTCAAAGTCTAACCCATAGTCGTCGGCCAGGGGCGGACCCCGAGAGGCTGTCGAGGTAGAAGCGACATTGGGATCGAGAGCAGGCGCCGAGGAGTTGGCCTGCTGGTACATGTGTGCGCCTCCTGCTTGTGTGCATTGGTTGTTTCTCTCTCAGCTTCGTGCTCGCAATCAAGGGAGGGGCAAACAAAAGAAGACGTGCATGCCGTGGCTCACCTAGTGATGGACTCATCGTCTGAGCCCGAGTAGGGCCAGCGACTGGCTGATAGTGACCGACGTCCCAGTAGCCCGGGGTAGCTCCTTCGTAGGTGCCAGCTCCAGCGCCTACAGTGTTCGAGCCGGTGGCTGTCCGATAACGTTGCGGGCCCACTCTTGGAGAGGCAAAGGACTCTGCGCGTGAATCGGCCCGAGGTGGAAACTGCTGCTGCTGCTGCTGATGCCGATAGAGGTCTTGTTGACCTTGCAGAGAAGGTTGCCGCGGTCTTTGCGATTGCGAGTCTGCTGCCGCCCCGCCTGCTGCTCTGCTGTTGCTGCGCTGTGGATGGTCGAGGTGCGGATAGTGGCTAGCCGGCGGCCTCTCCTCGTAGTCTTGGGCATAAGCAAGGGAGATTGAGCCATGGGAATTACTCGACGACATTTTTGCAAAATCTCGGGCGAGAGCGACGAGAGATGGCGCGTGTTGTTGCTGCTGCTGCTGCTACCTCCGCCGCCGCCTGCCGCTTGTGCGTTCCCTCCCTTTCCTCTCCTCTGCCTGCCCTTTTCCGCTTCGCTCTTTGTAATTCCCTTTTTCTTTGTCGAATGACAGCAAGAGACTTGCAGGGGGGAAAATAGCGCCAAAGGTCCAGGCCCTCGGATTGTCGACCTTAATATTACCTCTTGGCTCCCTTTTCCGTCCGTCGCTCGACACGTCCAAAGGAAAAGGACCCTGATTGAAAGGCGCAGCCTTGCCCGTTTTCCCCACGAATGCCTCTGCTCAGCGCCGGGCTAGAGTGGCCACAGAAAAGGTTGGCGAATAGAGAGAGAAAAAGGGGGAGATTTGAAGCGGAGAAATTGGATGGAAGGGAGGCGTGGAGCCGTTTGACGGATGAATCGAGGTGGTATGACAAAGAAGTGCGATGGATGCGCTAGCCTTCAGGGCGCGCGTCCCGCAGGGCGGTAGGTGCGGTAGCGTGTGTGTGTGTGTGTGTGCCTGCCAAAGTTGATTTCTATAAGCCAACCAGCGATCAGATCGAACTTTCGAGGCGGCTGGTTCTCTTCCATTCAAAAATGCAAAGGTAGGGATGGGGAGACAGAAGCCAGGATGCAGATTGTCGTCTGACAGGGGAACAGGATCGATGAGTGCCATCCAGAAATAGACCAGGCCAGCGTTGAAGGCAGCAATTTCACCCACTCGCCCTAAACACAGGAAGTCGGCGGCACGAGACAGCCGAAAGAAGGCAGTGAGGATGGCAGAGAGAGAAAGAGAGAGAAAGAGAGGTGAATAGGGCAGTCAAGCGAGGAATATAGGCCCCAGGAGAAAGGGAAATGAAGCTCAGCTTCTCGTTACATTTGCCAGGAAAAAGAATCTTGAGCTTAGACGGGCAAAATCTCGTCAACGACGGTTGGCAAGAGGATCCACAAAGAAGTGCGCGGGCAGAGCAGAGCTGGGACCTCCTTTACTTGCTCATCATCATCTGAAAGCCGAGGAAACAGGGTCAGAGTCCCGCATCGCGCATATAAGGTAGCTAGCAACAACTCACGTTGACGAATTCCGAGTAGTTGATTTGGCCGTCACCGTCGACGTCGGCCTCGCGAATCATTTCCTCTACCTCATTGTCTGAGAGCTTCTCACCTGCAGAGAGAAAAGTGCGTTAGTCTATCGATTCTGCCAGAAGTACATGCAGCTTCTGCTCACCAAGGTTGGTCATGCTAGAAAAGAAAGATGACAATGCCCAAGATGTGAGCGCCTCCTCTCGACCTCCATCATCCACATAGACGACCACTTACACATGACGAAGCTCGGCAGCGCTGATGAAGCCATTCCCATCCTTGTCAAAGACCTTGAAAGCCTCCTTGATCTCCTCCTCGCTGTCGGTGTCCTTCATCTTGCGCGCCATCATGGTGAGGAACTCGGGGAAGTCAATGGTTCCATTGCCGTCGGCGTCAACCTCGTTGACCATGTCCTGCAGCTCTGCCTCGGTGGGGTTCTGCCCGAGCGAGCGCATCACCGTTCCGAGCTCCTTGGTTGTGATAGTTCCATCGCCATCTGGATACACTCTGCATGTGAGCCTATCTTTTCGAGCTGAAGAGACCCGGTCATCTACTCACCCTTGTCGAAGAGGGAGAAAGCCTCCTTGAATTCGGAGATTTGCTCTGTCAGGGCAAGTGCGTCAGTACCCTGCATGTCTCGTTGAATCGTGCCGGCGGCAAGCACACACCCTCGGTCTGCACGAAAGTGGAAAGAAAGAGCACTGATTAGCACAGCAAGGCTTCTACAGAAGAGCATACTCACCAGTTGGTCAGCCATCGTGTCAATAGATGCGTCGGCTGCTTGAGAGAAAGAAGATTTGGATATGAGTGGGCTTGCTCTGCAGTGAATGGCTATCGCCTGGAGAGTGATGTGGGAGAAGAAGGACTGGAGAGGCGACGAAAGTTACAGCTCATAGACACGCGAGGCCCATTTTTTAAGTTGCATTTCACTTTTCCACTACAAAATCATCTCGGGACCGCCAATCAACATACGCCATTCGTTCCTCCTCAGCCCGTGCTCCAGGACTCTCGTCGGGGCCACCTGAGCGTTGACAGCGCTTCAAGGATCTTTGTTATGAGAAGCGTGACGACATTCGCCGATGTCTTCGTAGTCACGAGGCATAGTATTTCGGCTGCATCAAGTGTTGCTCGAGGCTATAAGGAAGGGTAGAAGCGATGCGGCGGTGTCAACCCACGTGGCGGCTCGGCCTGCAGAAAATACGTCACAGAATGGAGGGAACGTCGACAAGACTAGACGAGATTCATTTAGGCGCACTGTCTTTTATCTCCAGTTTGAACTTCGTCCTCCTTCATTCATCACGACAACGGCGGTTAAACATCAGAGCTGAGAAAGCATCCAATTAGCAGCCACCTACGCACACAAACAAACGACAGCCAGAGTCGAGTCGAGATTATACTTCTAAATTCCGGTCTTTTCTGCCCGCCGGTCCAGGTCAACGCAAGCCCAGCATGCCTCCGATGGCCTCCGACGCTCCTTCGCAGAAGCCTGCCGAGCCGATCCTCTACTCCTTCCCTTCAAGTGATGACTTGTCCACGGCCCTAGGAGACTTTGTTATCAAGGTGCGTTTAACCTATGTGTCTCTGCTTCGGGGCGTGATGGACTGGCCCGCTGATGATAATCTATCTACTCAATAGGCGCAAAACGAAGCTATCGACAGACGAAACAAATTCACGGTTGCCACATCGGGAGGAAGCCTACCAAAGATCTTGGCCAAGCACCTCGTTGATCGCAAGGATGATGCAGTTCGCTGGGACAAGTGGTGGGTGTTCCACTTCCCGAAGCAGACCTGCCTTGACCAATTTGTTGACTGGATGCACTTTCTGCAGGCAAGTCTTTTTCGCAGACGAGCGCATCGTGCCGTTGAACCACGAGGACTCCAACTACAAGCTCTGCAACGACGAGTTCTTCAGCAAGACGCCTCTGCAAAAGTCACAGATCCACACCATCAGTGAAAAAGATCTCGACGACCCCGAGGAGGTGGCTGACGAGTACGAAAAGCAGCTTGCAGAGGCCTTCGCTGGCAAGGAGTCTGTCCGACACCCCGTCTTTGACCTCATCCTGCTCGGTATGGGTCCCGATGGGCACACCTGCTCCCTCTTCCCCGGCCATGAGCTCCTGCGGGAAAAATCGCGATGGGTGGCGCCCATCGAGGACAGCCCCAAGCCGCCTCCAAAGCGCATCACCCTCACCGTCCCCGTCCTCAACAAGGCCCACCGCGTCGCCTTTGTCCTGACGGGCGAGGGCAAGCAGGAGATGCTGTCCAAGACGCTGGACCAGCCTCAGCTGGGCCTACCCGCCAGTCTGATTCGGCCGAGCCCTCCCGGCGACGTCTACTTCCTCTGCGACGACGCTGCCACGAAGACGACGCAGTATCAAAAGACTGAATTCAAACTCTAGCGGGCTCCCAACCCCCTCCCTCTTTCGGTGTATCAATGTTTCCAGTGATCCTTTTTCCCCCCTTTTGGTCTGTCAAGCGAAAGTATCAAGATGCTCATACTGTCTCAAACAATGGATGTCTCCTCGAACAAGGGCACTGTTGTGTTTGCTGCAGTCGAAGAAGTGATTGGAAAGAAGAGATGCTGTAAAAAGGGTTCGTGCGAGATATTCACGTGTTCCGGAGCATTTCTTGGACTTTGGACCTCCCGTTGAAGCGCCCAGCATTACGCGCATCGACAAACGGCAGCGCAGTGACTAAAGAGGGCCTGGAAGACACAGTAAGAGAGACGCCCACTAGAAGGAAAAGGGAGAGGAATGGGCGTCGCCTTTTCGTCCCTCTGGGGCAGCCTCTTTGGCACAAAGGAGCTCAAGATCTGCATCCTGGGCCTCGACAATGCCGGCAAGACGACGCTGACGTATCAAATGACCATGGGCCAGGCCGTGGCGACGGCGCCGACGGTGGGCAGCAACACGGAGCACTTTACGTTCAAGAATCTGCGCTTCCTTCTCTGGGATGTGGGGGGCCAGGCCAGCTTGCGGGCCAGCTGGACACAGTACCTCTCCAACACCGATGCCGTCGTCTTTGTCTTTGACTCGACGGACCGCGAGCGCGTCCAGCTCGCCAGGGAGGAGCTCCACCGGGTCGCGAGCGACGAAGTGAGTGTGTGGCGTCCATCGGCGAGACAGCCGTCTTGCCGCTGAAATCTTGTATTTCTCCTCCGCACAGCAAATCGCAAAGGCGCCCATCCTCCTCTTTGCCAACAAGCAGGACGTCGCGGGATGCATGACGCCAGCCGACATCTCCGAGGCCCTCTCACTGACGAGTCTGCGGCTGCAGAACTGGCACATCCAGGGATGCTCAGCCTTGACGGGCAAAGGCTTGACCGAGGGCCTGGACTGGCTCGCAAACAGCCTGGGAGCAAAGGGGTAGCACGGAGGGAAAGGCGTCCGGAAAGGAACTGAGAGGAACCATCTGTCATGTACGATATAGACATTCAGCAGCTGCAATGCACAGCATCATCATCGTTCCGTCCACACAGACGCAGGAGGAGGCACGGTTGGGAAGTAGGAGGGGAAAGAATTGTATTGGTGGGAACGGGGAGTGTTGTTGTGTTACAAAGATGCAGTCGTCATGGTCTTGCATGTCAAGCTCGGCTGCGCTTGGAGCGCATCGGACCTGTTCCTCCCGCTCTGCTCCAGAGATGAGCTTTAGACAAATAGGAGGCAGTCCAGAGCCGAAGAGCACACTCACTTCTTTCTTCGTGAGCCCTGATCCTCATCGACGTCCATCATCTCGCCGAACTTGTCGCTTCCCAACCTGTCGTACCTTGATCCATTGCCACTACCCGCTCCTCCTCCCATCGCGACGTCGCCAGGAAATCCTCCACCACCACCGCCGCCCCCTCCAGGACCGCCTCCGAGACCCGCCGCATTCGGCCTGTTGGCCAAGCTGAGAAGGACCCTTCTGAGCTCTTCATTGTGTGCGTTGCGCGATTCGATGCGCGACTCGTCGGCCTTGCGCGTCTCGTTGATGCGCGCCTGGAGCGTCTGTAGCAGGTGGTTGGTGATGCTCGACCTGTGTGAAAGTTGACCCATTCATGATGAGTCACCAACAGGTTTGGGAGAGGAGAAGGTCTGGAATTGGTGTGCTAGCGCGACTCACCACTCCTGGAGCGACGTGGCCAGCTTCTCGATCTCGGCAGGCCCACGGACATCGCGACCCATGACGCCGTCGACTTCGAGGCGTTGCATGCGCTGATCGAGCCTGCCGCTGAGCACGCCGGCGTACATGGCATCAATGACGACGTCTTCGAGCTGCCGGACCTGCTTTGGGCCCAGCGAAGCCGCGAGCTTGCTGCTCGTCGCGCCAGACGAGGGACCTGCTGCTTCACGGGCATTCGCCTGCGCGTCTCCCGAGCCCAGGCCCAGCGCGGGGAGCAGGGTGGCATAGGAGAGTGACCGGCTGTGTGTGGCGAGAGAGACGAGGGTGAGGTGCCGGAGCTTGACGAGCTGAGCCTCTGTCAGGCTCGGGTAGGTGCCAGGCGGGGCAGAGTGATATTCGATGAGATCCCCATAGGCAAACAGCTCCAGCTTGCGGTAGCTCGCTCCGTGTTGAGCGTCATTTGCGAGCTAGCATAGCGAGTACAAGCCGATGCAGTGGACAGCCTTGTCAGAAGGGTGGCAGAAGGGAGGGAATGGGGATGAAGAAGTCGCGACTCACATCGGCGATGCCGTTGCACTCGAGCAGCTCGGAGAAGACGTAGCAGCCTGGCGCAGCGGTTGCCTCCTCGATGAGCTTGGCTGCTGCTGTGCCGCGCATATTCTTTGCCAGGAGCAGGAATGGCTCCAGTTTGGCCAACGCCGCCGAGCTGGCCGTGATCGACATCAGTAACGGACGACGATGCACACTTGAGTGAATGAGTGAGTAGTAGTAGGAGCAGCAGTAGTGATGAATGGCTGGACTAGACAAAGTCAGTGCGCGTGCGATTATTTTAGACTGGCTCCGATTCAGGCTTGCTTTGGTTAGCGTTGGCCCAAGCGCAGTTCTTCGCGACGACATCAAACAGCAAAACGGCGGAAAGGGCCAGCTCAGCAGCGGCAGTGAGGGCTGAGAGACGTGATCAGAGAAGCACAGGACGCCGATCATGGCGAACCACATTGCTCTGAGGTTCCTCGGCACTTCGTCCCAGACGGGCGCGTCCAGGAATTACTCCAGGTGGGTTGCATCTATCTACCTCTTAAGAGAGGCCCAGAATCGTCGAGGAAAGCGTGCTCATCTCTAGGGCTTCTGTTTGGCAGCCTGCTCGTCAAGATTAACAATCATGCTGCCATGGTGTAAGTACATGATTTGCTCATCTTCTAGATAGGACTACCTTGGAGTGCTCAATCTGTGTCTCTGAAGGGATTGTGGCGAGGCGACTCAGAGGCAGCTCCTGAGCCGATACGTGGGCGGAGACGACCGAATCGGCTCCATTCGACACATCTTCATCACTCATCTCCACGCTGATCGTGCGTAGAAGGCTCACGCTCAAACCCGAGCAGGCTTACTGATGTGTCATTGCTGCTGCTGCGCAGACGTCCTTGGAATTGTCCCTCTGCTTCTCTCAATGATGGGTCCGACCGGAAATGCAGTGCCCGAATCGAGCTTCAAGGTAAGCATGGTGGCTGGGTACATAGATTTCAATTCATGGCATTGTCTAATACATAGCTCATTACAGACACCCAGAGTCGAGATCTTTGGTCCGTCTGGCTTGCGCGCACTCATCCGAACCACCTTGACGCTCTGCTATTCCCAGCTCTCGGGCTCCTACACCGTACATGAGCTCTTGTGGGAGGGTCAGGCTGCCTATCCCAATGCCGCCCTGACATCCGTTCAAGGTACTCCCGTAGCGGCTTCTGCGCCCGAGATGGACGCCAGCCTCAAGGGTGCCAAGCTCGGTGCGCTTCGCTTCATTCCCCACTTGCCCCCGCACGAAAACGAGCTGCCAGGCATGGACTTCCGCATGGACAACGAGTCTTGGTGAGAGATGACGAGAGAGAAAAAGACGCAGTGAGGAATATAATGACTCATCGTCAAGCAGCTCCTGGCCAAACATCGCCTCCGTGGGCGGCGTCGCAGTCAGCGCAGCCCCGATCCTTCACCGCTGCCCTACGGTAGGCTATGTCTTTGACGAGCCCGACGGCGCCTCTCCCGTGCCCCAAGGGGTGATTGACCTGCTGCGAGCCAATTCCAAGCAGCTTCTCGAGCAGCAGAACATCCGGAACCCGCTCATGCTGCTCGGCAAGTTGACAAAGGACCGTGTCGCCGTTGAGCTGCCAGATGGCACGGTGCTCCAGCCTCCCCCGCTCAGCGTGCCCGGCCGCAGAATCGTGGTCCTGGGCGACACGTACGATGCCACTGGTGGTCTCGACGTCGCCTCGGCAGAGGAAGGTAGCGAGGCGGAATCGCACGCCTCGACTGGGCCTCGCGGCATGCTGGCGCTTGCCCGTGATGCAGACGTCGTCGTTCATGAATGCACCAATGCAGCCATGTCCGACCGCGTGCTCGCCAAGGGCCTCAAGGTCGAGAAGCGCGACGAGGTGCGAGCCAAGGCGCTCCTACGGGGACACTCGACGCCCCAGGTTGCTGGGGCCTTTGCGGGCCGAATCGGGGCGAGGCAGCTGCTGCTCAACCACTTTAGCATCAAGTATCCCGCCCCGACGTCTGCTGGCGGCTGGACGGGACCAGCAGCCAAAAAGGAAAACGAAAAGCGGAGGGCCGTGATGCGTGAGATTGAAGAGCAAGCCACCGAGGCCTGGCATGCCTCGCTGCGCTCTCCTTCAGACCATGTAGCAAAGATCCATGAACAGAGCGCAAGAAGGAGGAGGGCCGTGGCTACATGGGACGGCTTTCTCTACCGTGTCCCGAGGAGAGACGAGGGCGACGAGGAAGACAAGACTCTGTCCGAGCACGACGGCACACCCAGTGCCAATGTCAATGACGGTGGAGAGGATGGCGATGACGAGGACGACGATCGTGCTTCCACGACGGCCTCATCCATCGCTGGCGCACGTGAGCCAGCGCAGACGGCCGTGCCAAGGCGTTCAAACGGGAGCGGCCACAGAGGCAGCCGCGGCAACAGCAGAGGAGGCGGGGTTGCCAGGAGGGGAAGAGGTGCGGCAAGAGGTGCTGGTCTGCCTACTGGCCCTCGCAGCAGCGCAACATGAATGCCGCCATTATCGACTTGACACGACGGCATTGGTCGGATTTACCCTTTGACTCATGAAAGCTCGGTCACCCAGGCAAAAGAATCGCAAGCCGTGGCACGCGGCGTTTACAATGGCGCGCGCGGCTTCTACAAGAGGCCATGGTGGAAGCGCGACTCTTGCCCTAAGTCCGGTCTTATTCGGGCCGAGCAGAGAGTGCCATGGCTTTAGAGTGGAACGAGCAAGGCGACAAAGGAGATACACTACTGTCCTTGTCCATAGGCGTTATGCGGCCCGACTGTCCGACGCGACAGGGAACTGGTGGCTAAATCCGCGGAGGCGGAAAGCGTGCACAGAAACTCAAGGAACAGCTACAGGTACCCTACGCATCTCTAATTTTAACGTCTCCTCCACCGCGTGTGTAAGATTGCCTGACACATGAACCTCAATTCTCTCACACCGGCCATCATGCAATAGGGAAAATGTTTTTGAAAAAAAAAAAAGAGGTGATGGTATGATTGCTTTTCTTTTCCAATGAGGGTTATCTGGGAATGATATTGAGGAGGTTTCTCTAGAAGACTGTAGTGGAGGCCGAAGTGGGCCAAACCATCCAGTCGTTTGCCTCTCGGCTCGCAAATGGGGTGCTGACTGACGGTGCAAAGTCAAACATCTCATCGAGCGGGTCCACGTCCTTTGCCGAGGCAAAGAGCGACGGTGTCGCCGCCGCCTCTTGCGCTTGCGCCAGCGAGGAGGGGGAAGCAGCGGTGGAGGAAGGAAGCGTGAGGTCATAATCGAATTCCTGTGCTCCCTTTTGCATGTCCTCGTAGTCATCTTCTTGGCTCAGGCTGAGGTATTGGTGTTTTGGGGTGGAAATGTCTTCGCACAGCGTCGCGTCGCTTGATGCTATTGATCGCGGCGAGCTGCAGAGCGAGGGCGGGAGCGATGCGGATGAAGAGTGCGAAGAAGATGGAGATTCTGCTGCTGCTTCGGCCTCCCAGGTGCTCGTGCTTGTGCTGGGCTGTCCCAGATCGAGGCCCAGGCTCGAAGAGGACGGTGCCGGCTGCTCGTCGACGACCTTGCGCTGGCGTCGCGAAGTCGACTTTTTTGCTCCTGGCCACGTCTCCCGCCTCTTGATCGCGAGCGGGTTCATTGTGGGCAGCTGCTCCTCGTCTTCGGACCGTTGCGCGTCGACGTGCCGGAGCATGTCAGCCTCAAAGGCGATTGAAGACCAGTCGATGGGGAAAGCCAAGATGGCGTCGAGGCTGACCTCGCCCCGGATGACAGAGGCAAGCAGTGCTTGCGACCGTTGTCGTGCAATGTCCTGTTGGTTAGCCGTCGTTCGGAGAACACCTGTTCGACGGTGAGCAGGGCCGGAGCTGGTGCTGGCGCTGCTGCTTGCAGACTCCCAGTTCATGCTGGTTCTGCTGGAAGACGACGACGAAGAAGAAACTGATGGTGAGGAGATGGCGTAGCTCTGCGAGGTGCTCCGGCGCATTGCAGGGAGCAAGAAGCTAGAGGACGGCGCTTGTGCGGTGCAGGCGCTCATTTGTGGAGTTTTCTGCCGACGGTGCAGAAAGAAGTGCTCTGAAGGGAGTAACGGTTGATATTCACCGTAGCACAGGGCTGAGGTGGAGTTCAGTCAATGGTCTGGCTCGTTGGCTTGTTCGAGGTACTGTCGGTGCTCGATGGTGAATCGATTGAGATCGTGTAGAGAGTGAGAGCCAAGTTGGAGGAAGGGGAGGCATGATGCCAAGATGTCACCATTATATATTTTTGGGAAGGGAAGCAGGACAAGAGCAGTAATCCCTTCTTCTGCGCAGATGAGCGGGATTCAGCCTCTGTCATGCTCACACGTCTTCACGGAATTTACCTGCAGTAAGCTGACTAGCATTCGGTGACTCTCGCAGCGCCCCCCTTCCGCGGCGCGCGGACTAAAGCTCAGTTGTGCGCTCCCTCAACGGAGACAAGCGAAAAAAAGAATAAAATCGGAAACAAGCATTACAGCAAATTTTAATTTCTTCGCTATTCATCTGATTAAAGCAGGCACTGTGGAACTCTTTTCCGCGGAAGTCGCAACTTGTTCGCATTTACGCTCTTCGGCTGCGATCAGAGGCCGAATAAGCCACGGAACAGTCAATTTCAGATGCGCTTTCCGGAGAGTAATCGGAATCGTCTGAAATCTCCATTTCCGCTCTCAAGCCCTCAAGTCCGACGAGCATGCGTCCGAATAGCTCCTCCCCTCTCTTCTCTCGGGCTGACTCGACATTCCACAATTCATAGGCGGAACTCTGCAAGATTACCCGTCCCATCTCGACGTCCAACCTGTGCTCTTCTGTGCAGCCGAGCGGAGTTCTCAGCATCGACACAGCAGCAAGCTCAGTTACCAAATGTCACTCATTTACGGACGTGGAGATAAGTACGTGTTGACATGTAAGCACAGTGAGCATGAACCCTCGCATTTAATTCTTGTATTCGTCGGCTTTATTGACAGAATGTTTATGCCGTGTCAATAACTTATCATTTCCCCCGTTCCTCGCTCGCCCGTTCCTCGCTCGCCTTTCACCGCTTATCGCCGCGCGCGCCTCCTTTCTCGAAGGGGGTAGTCTATTTCCGCTCAGCTTCTCACGCCTCATCACATCTACTACTAACTCCTTGTCTTTCATCTGACATTCTTCTGACGAAGTGGTGCTTCACCTTGCATTGTTCATCCGTCCACATCACAGTCAGTGCGTAAATGATAGCAGCAGCTGTCTAGCAGCATAAGCGACGATGACGACGGCTTGCCTGTATTTTGTGGCTTGACCTGCGTGCCTTACTTCTATTTTACTTCTTTTCCAAATTTTCATTTAGAGCGCGATCTCATTGCAGGTGACCGATGAGCGCGGAGCGGATCTGGCTGCTTGCCAGCAAGTGCAGCATCTCAGCCCAGGAACAGGACATGGATACCAGCACCGGACTCCGGTGCTTGGCCGAATCTCCTAAAAATTTGAGACCGGCCGGGCGGAGTCGTAAGAGGTAGCGTACCATGACCAGAAGAGCTACCTCCACAGCTACCACAATCTCGATCAAGCTCCGACACCTTCTTCTGCGTATCTTTCTTCCGCTCAATGCTCGTTATGTTGCCGACCTATTGGACGCCGCGGAATGGCCCCACTGATGCTCCACAAGGTGAACGATGCTCCACACGTTGGGTGAAGCGCCACCTTGGCTGCTGGTGGAGAGGATGAAAGGAGCTTGCTTAAATTGGCAAGCCACAAGCTCTTTGTCAAATTATTCCTTCATGTCTACCGCATAACCTTCATCGCAGGCGATGAAATGACGTCTGTATACAGTACAGATGAGACATGAGCCCCACAGACGGGTCAACTAAAGGTCAATCGGAATCGACGCTGCCCCTCGTGATCGTTGAAGCCACCAGCTTTCATCCCCTTGCACCGGGAAAATGGATGCATTTGCTGAAATACTCTGTTCCATCCTCCTATCCCTCGGAAGAAGGGCGGTCCTTGAATCGCAACATTCTTCCAGACCGGATAGTCCGAGCTCACGGTGTTTAATGCTGCTTTCTCAACTCAGCTTCCGATGCAAGCAGGAATCAGCAAGGTCTGCGTGTCTTGCTCGCTTGCATCGGTTAATGTTGAAGCGGATGATGGTGAAGCAGTCAATGCCACAAATTCTTCTGCATATACCGTCGCGTCTTCCTGACATGAGAGCTCTGACAAAGAGGAGAACGAATACCATTCTCACGGTCTACTGAGGATTATGAACACGTTTCTTCCGGTTACACAGTCTGCCATGGCGATATTCCAGCCCCTTCTAAGACGAATGCATTTCGCATTTTGTCATCTATTATCACACCAGCACAACCAGCTGTGACGCTTCGGCAGTCATCGTCCTCGTCAGACGGACCCCGTAGAGACTTTTCTCGATTTTAAGAGACGCTCCAGGAACTCCGCAAGACAGCGAGCGACCAAAGCAACCTCGTGGAGAATCTGTGCCTGGTTATGACGAAATAAAACAATTTTAACCCCCCACCCCTCTTATCTTTGATATTGATTGAAAACACAAGGCCAACTCGAGATGAGACGAAATTTCGGCCGAGAGACGCATGAAGGATACCCGCGGTTCGTGCTCAAGTCCGCCGAATAGGCTGGAGCGGCATCCGCACGTCGCGTTGACTTGCAGGATATTGCTGCTACGCAGGGGCGAGCGATGTCGACCCTCATGGACAACGGAGAACAGGCGCGGCCGAAGCGGATGCAAGGTGTCAGCTGCGATGCCTGCAAGTTCAGAAAGGTGAGTCGGAACGCAGCGAGGCCATTCACTCTCCGTTCGAGGGGCTCAAGGCTTAATTGCTGGGCGAGGGTTGCTGACATCTTCATGATATCCCCCACAAGGTCAAATGTGACCGGCGTGCCAAGATTGAGCGAAAGCGAGAGGAACACGCCAATCGAGGCCTCAATCTCGATCACCTCGAAGATGACGTCGCGTGCAGCGTCTGCACGGCACACGGCCTTCGGTGCACGTTCACTTCCGTCACCAAGCGTAGGCGCGGACGTCGTATCGTCGAGATTCAGCGTGGACAGCTTGAAGGTCTGCCTGGGAGTGGCAAAGATGAAGCGCACGGTGGCGACGATGATGATTTTGACGAAGGTGCCCTAAAACGTGGAGAGAGAAGGAAACCCAGCGACACCACGCGGGGTGCAATCGAGGGCCCATCGCCCGTTGCTGGGTCAAGCCGGGGCGGAGGCTTATCACTACAACCAGCTAGCAAAGGCCTCTTTCAAGTGTCCGGCCTAACACGGGCCCTTCTGGATGCCTGCGTCATGGCCTACTTTCGCTATTCAGCGCCCTGCATGCCCATCCTGCACGTCGACTCCTTCCAAGCTCGCTATGCAGCCTTTTTTGCGATCTACGAGGGCAACTACAACATGAGCATGCCCAACGTCGAGCAGCCCTCGTACGGCGATCAGCTGCAGCCGATCAGTGAGATTCTCCTGCTGGCTGTAGCATGCATCGGTGCCGGACTCCTGGAGCCTCCCATCGCTGAGGTGGGCTCCTCCGCCAAGTTTCAGCTTCAAGAACGCATAGCCCTGCGGTTCCAGGAACACCTACGACACGACGGATGGGGCGACGACTACAGCAATGAGCGGACTGACGTCATTGAGGCCGTGTACATCATGTCGGACCCGCAGCTGGCCATTCTTGACGAGGATGAGCCATTTGCCGGCTGGGATGTGCCCGCAGATTACCGTGACAAGTTCAAGCGATCGCCGAGAGACCCGCTTCGACTGAGCCCGACGTCGCACGAGGCTGTTGTCAGACTCATGTTCAAGCTGGGCATCAACAGAAGGCCGAAGCGAAGAAAAGACTGCCCACCGGGCGACGACCGCGTCTGGGAGGCCCTGGACGGCAGCTACGTCTCGGAGCGCGAAGTGTTTAGAAGAGTTCGCATCTTTTGGTCGGCCTTTTGTCAGGATACCTTTGTAAGTTGCTTTTCTGATTTGATCCTGCCGTTTGTCCTGCCGTTTGTGATTACAGGGGCTATGGGCTGACAAGCGCCGTCAAAATCAGCGCTCCTTTGGCCAACGCAGGAGCCCACTCATCAACGACGACGATTACGACCAGGATCTGCCTCGATGGCTGCCCCGGAACGATGGCGACTTTAATGCGTACTTCTTTGCCGATGCCACGCGTGAGAAGACTGGGCAACATAGTGACGACTTGGCGGCTTTCAGCACCGAGTTCTCGCCCTTTACGCCCAGCAGATTTGCGAGCGCCGACCCTTCACCAGCATCGTGGGGCATTCAGGTGCCTCGCTTCTCCCGCTTCGATGCCTATCAGCTCGAGACAATGCTTAGGATGGCCTTCATCGTAAGGGCTGTCTCCATCCGCTTCGTATCGCCCAGGTCTCAGGGTCGTGGGGTGTTGACGTCTGACGTGGAGCGCGCGGTGTTTTCTTTCAAAGCTTGGCGTGCTCAGTTGCCGTCGGAAGTGACGTGGGAGGTGCAAAGTGCGCCGCTCTTCGTGACAAAGCGCATGGGCAAACATGCCTCGTCCAATATGGTAGCCATGCGTAATTCGCTCAAGACCCTCTTCCTCGAATCCCTCTACCTGGGCCAGGTCCTGGGTACTTGGGCTGCTGTCGACGACTTCGGCCTCCGCATAGACGTCGACGTGACCGAGGCGGCCCACATGTTTGCCATCAAGCTGGGCATGAACACCTCGGGAACATCGACCATTCCCGGTGCACCCCGAAGGAGTCAAATGGCGCCCGAAGACGTCCGCAGGAAGGTTCGAGCCCAGCTCGACGAGCTTGTTGCTGCTAGCTTCTTTCGGATTGCAAAGGTCCACAAGGAAGCAGCTGAGCTGGGCTTGCTGAGAGCCAATCGCAGCGTCTTGATGAATGTCGCCAGTGCCTACTGCGTCTGGGGATGCGGCTTGGCTAGCCATCTCCTGAAGGCTTCTGGTGGTGGACTGCAATCGTCGATGCCCTCTCCATCGACTTCGTCCTCTGGTCCAACAGAGATAAATGGGCCGTCGCTCACCGCCGCAGACGTCCTTTCGAAGGCAGAGGACCTCATTGTAGCAGTCGCAAGCTGCGATTCCTGCGAAGACGCTCCTAAGGTGGTCACTCAGCTACGCCTGATTCTACAAAAGACAAGGAGTGAAGCGCCCATGACGGCGGAAGACGCCATTTACCACCACACTCCTGGTCTCACCGATAGAGTCAACAAAGCCATGTACGAAGCCTCACGTCGGGAAGCCAGTTCGAGCCAGTCGCCGTCGGCATCGACAAATAGTTCCGAAGCAGCAGCAGCGCCGGCGACATTCCCCAATTCGGACGAGTGTCGGGACCTGATCAAGAGCTCCTCATCTGGCCCAGCAAAGTTCGAGTCGCTCTTCTCTCGTCGAGATGAGAGCCGCCGACCCATGGCTGGCTCGACGTCGTCTTCAGCCGATCTCGAAGGGCCGAAGAAAGAAGAGCAGCAGTATGCCGCGACGGCACCCGTCGAACAGCCGCCTGGCAATCTACCATTCTTGTTCCACTTCTCGGGCACGAGCGAGAAGTTGGGAGGAAGTCCTTCGAGCGGACAGTCTGGACCCAAGATGCAAGTCGATGAAGTGGAGCTCCTTTCTGGAAAGGCCGAGCAGGCTGCCAGAGCAGCCCAAAGCAACAACAGCGTCACGCCTGCCAATCTCGGCTCTCTGGCTATTCAGAATAACCAGATCAGCAATGCCACGACGCCATCCTCTACCATGTCGTCAAGTGTTGGGACGAGCGGGCAGCAGCATTCGCCAAGCGTCGACTTCGACGTGCCAGTCGTCGATCCTCACTGGCTCGCTCAATTTATGTCTGAGGAGCCCCAAATGGACCTCATCGGTGGTGTGCAGCTCGGTGCTCAGCTAGACGCTTTACCAAATCCCGCACAGGCGTTCTACAGCGCCGACAACTCGAGCTCGAATCCGTTTGCCACGGCACCCTCCTCTGTTTCGCCCCAGTCTTCTTCTGAACATTCGCAGCACCAGCATGATTATCATCAATACCAGCATCATCCGCAGCCTCCTTCTCAGCAGCAACACCCGCGAAACCAGCAGCAGCAGTATCACCAGCCAGCTCAAGCACAAAGCTTCCATCTGCAACAAGGAGATCCCTCGTCGTTTGCAAGCCCTTCCTTCACTTCCGCTGGCGAGAATCAAAGTACGGACCGGCAATGGGCGAACATCATGGCTGCGTCCGATGCTCAACTGTGGGCCGGTGCTGCTTGGGAAGGCTTTGATTTCGACATGACAAACGGCACCTCGGACAGTGGTGGCGCATATGCACAGCAGTCATCTTCTGCCGATGCTTCTTGAAATTGCTTTCTTTACCCACCATGAGCGTCGGCGTCCTATGCCTTCACTTGCTCTTGATTCTCAGTGCCTCATGTGTATTCCATCTTTTCTCTCTCTTTCGTTGCGTCGGCTTGTAGATCATCCCAGTCCCTCACACCGATATTTGCACGCTATTTTGCAAGGCATCCTCTCTGCCTCGAGCCTCACACTGAAAGCAAGTCAAAATCTGTGAAGTGAAGCAAGAAGCGGGATTGTAGTTGGCGGGGGTACAATGTCTCTACTTGGGAAGGTAGGACACCTCTGCGGCACACGAGGAATTGGTCGTCGAGGGCGTGGGTACGTACTGAGGAGAGAGACGATCGTCAGTCAGTGTTGCCTAAATTCAATAGCTAAGCACACGAACTACTCACGTAGCCACCAATGATAGGTCTGTACCGAAGGTATGCTGCTGGTCAGCAACTCGACGTAATGACAACACATGGAAGCAAAGGACGCACCCGTAGGTGTGGTAGAAGTACCAGAACTCGTCGAGGTTCGCCTTGCTGGCACCAGAGCAGCCAATGTATGGCGTCGCGCCAAACTTCTTCTCGAGGGCCTCCTGGATCGCCGTCAGCTTGTAGGTCTTCGTCGTCGAAGGCACAATGCCGGCCTCCTTGAGCCAGTCAAAGGTGGGAACTATCGAGGCCTCGTCAGCAGCGAACCTCTACAGACTAATTACGGTAGAGCTCACGCTTTTGGAACCTCTGGACGATCTCTTCAAAGTAGCCGACGAGGGCTGACACGGTCTGGTTGGCACCGTTGCGAGGAGCGACGCAGTAGCTCCTCAGCGTCGTGAAGCACGTCCCGTGCTTGTTCCACTCGTGCTCCCAAAAGCTAGCGTCATTTCCGCTAATGTCCTTGTAGTACACTGTCATGTAGTCGTACGTCTTGGGAGAGTACTGCTTGATCAATGAGGCGATCTGTGCACCCGTGTACGTAGGGATGCCAGAGTCGGCGGTGCAGTACTGGGGGTAGGTGCCCTGTGTAACGTATGGGTCAGTCTCTGCGAACCAGCAGCTTTCCACGTCTGGAGTCCTCGATTCTCACATCGCAGTAGTCGGGCCAAAGGCCTGAGAGTGTGGAAAGAGAACATCAGTGGGGATTTGTGAAAGGCTGACAGCAAGTGCGCCCAACGCACCGTGAATAGTCGTGGAGTCATTGGGACCCGTCGAAGGCTTCGCATCGTAGAATTGCGTAGCGAGCACGAGCCCGCTTTCCTTGAAGCCAGGCTTGAGGGCCCCGTTGTAGCAGCACGTCCCGAAAGAGGTAGGGTCGACAGGGTTCTTGGTGTCGCTGCAAGACAGCTGCGATGCGGCACGAGCGCACGCTGTGATATTCTGCGAGAGGTTGGAAGGAGAGGCGGTGGAGAACGACGTGGCCAAGACGAGGCTGCTAAGGGCGTATGACAAGAGCTGCATGGTGAAAGGTAAGGAAGAGGAAGTGAGGTCTGGGGAGAGGAGAAACGTAATGGGGCGAAGAGAGAGTGGAAGTGCTTCTTCTTAAATGTGGCCATTATTCGAGAAGATCTCAGTCTTCTTGGCTTCCAAATTGTATGCATAATCAAACAGCTCCAGTTCCTTGTGCCTGACTCTTCCCATTTAGCTTCGACGGAAAGATGGAAAGACCAGGGAACGTTACACTAGCCGGTACAGTGGCAGGGAAGCCGAGCGAGGGAACGTGATGCGGTATCAGCGTTTAGAAAGTGCCGACCTTCGGGGGCGCGTCCGGATAAAGCTTCTCGTCCGAGACTCCGTCGCGTCGACGCTTCTTTCCCTTTCACTAAACCTCACCACGAGACGAGACAGACATGGCGGCTCGATACGGCGGCCGCTTTGCGCCAAACTACGAAAGTGAGGCGCGAAGGATTCAAAAGGAGCCCATCGTGTGAGTGTCTCTCTATCTCGCGTAGATGGTCGCGAATGGACGGGTTGGTGGATGGATGGATGGCTAATGTCGTGAGCCCCGTAGCGTCTGGCGGAAGGAATGGGTTCATCCCAAGGCGCCTTCGTCTGGCGGGGTTGGAGCGTCAACGGCGGGCGCCGGTGTCAAGATCATGAAGTGGGTTCGGACAGGCGATACGGTGCAGTTCCCAGAAGAGGAGGACGTGAATGAGCTGCAGCAGCTGCAGCAGCCCGAGATCGAGCATGAGCAATCGTTGCAAGACCAAGCGCAGGTGCAGGGCGACCAGCAGACGGGGCCCTCGGTCGATGCTGAGGGCACCATTGCGAGAGCTTCAGATGCCATGGAAGTCGATCAGCGGCCAGGAGTCGAAGACATGGACATTGCTCGAGGGGCCGACTTGCACGCAGAGCAGGCTGCCGCCGATCTCTTGGAGCAGGCGCACGAGGACGTGCAGGACCGACAAAGGGCAGAACAGACTGGTGGAGACCCTCAAGCTGCTGTTGTTCAGCCTGCGGAAGACGAAGAGATTGTAGCCCTCGCCAAGGAGCAGGGGAGCATCGCGACTGACGACGTCGAGGAGAGACTACAGCCTCCTATCGAACCGGAAGCGCAAGAGCAACAGGCCGACGAAGAGGAGGGAGAGACATCGACGACTGCGCCCAGTGCCATGCAGATCCAGGTTGATCAGCAACCTCTGAATTGATTGAACTATTCCATTCCATTGTAATTCTATGCTTGGGACTCCTAAAGACAAATTTGAAGATGCACGACGAAGAGAAGCAGCAAACGAGAAAAGGTGCCAGGGAAACGGGAGGAGAACTTAAACGGACAAGAAGACCTTCGCTCCGAAGGGCTCGAGTTCGTCCGTGCTGGACGTCTCATGCGTTTCGATTGCCAGCGTGAGCTTGACCAACTGTGCTTCCTGCGGCACCGTAAAATTGACCACCTTGTCGGAAAAGTTGAGGACGACGAGGGCCAGCTTTGACTCTGAACGACGGTCTCGCTTGATAAAGGCAAAGATACCTTCCTCCTGTGTGGGGCAGAGAAGGAAGCGACCATGGGTGAAAAGGTCACTGTGCTCTTTGCGCAGAGCCAAAATGCGCTTGTAGTACGCCAAGACGCTGTCTTCCTTCTGCAGCTGGTCTTCTGCGTTGATCTGCTTGAAATTATCGTTGATCCGCATCCAGGGTTGGACGCCCTCTTTTGTGAATCCTGCGTTAGGCCCGCTTGTCCATTGTACGGGTGTTCTGGCATTGTCTCTCGCGAGCTTGTTGATACCTGTTGCAAGCATCTTTGCCAACTCTTTCTCACCGGCACCCCCCTCTCGCTTTTCGGCAAGGTAGTTGATTGTATTGAGATCCTTGTACTCGTTCGCTTGCCAGCTCGATGGCACGTTGCTCATACCCAACTCTTGCCCTTGATAGATGAAAGGTGTTCCCGAAAGCGTGGCGAGGTACGTGGCCAGCATCTTTGCGCTTGCGACTCGATTCTTTGGCGAATCGTCTGCGTATCGACTGATGCTTCGACCTTGGTCATGGTTCTCTAGGAACACAGTGGTCCAACCGTCGTTTCCGTCGATGAAAGTCTGCCACTTGTTTGTTATGTCCTTGAAGATATTCAGATTAAATCCGACATCCACGAAGAGGTCCGAGGGTGACCTATCCAGGTCCACAATGTCGAATTGGAACACCATCGAGAGCTCTGAGCTGGACAGCGAGACGTAACGTAATACGTCAGCTGTCTCGGGCGTGCACGGAAGCTCCCCGACGGTCATGGCGTCGTAGCGATCCAGGATCTCGCCCATTTCGGTCAGGTACTCGTGCATCCTCGGACCATTGCAGAAGAGGCTCGACGCGTTCTGGATGAACTTAGTCTTGTCCTGGATTGGCGCATCTGGAAAGTCCATCGGCTTGGAGTACCTGTTATGATCAAGCTGATTCAGTCAAAGGTCAAGCAGCCACACCAGCAAGCACTGACATGTTGACAGTGTCGACTCGGAAGCCATTGACGCCCCTCTCGAGCCAGAACTCCATAGCCGATTTGTAGATGGTGTGTCTGCACTCGTCGTTAGACCAGTTCAGGTCCGGCTGCTCGATCGCAAAGAGGTGCAAGTAGTACTCCTGGGTCTTTTCGTCCCACGTCCAGGCCGATTGCGAGAAGCAGCTGCTCCAGTTGCTGTGCGTGGCTCGGGTTAGCTGTGTAGACAATCTTGCGTACTTTGAGACGAAGCAGATAATTACTTGGGAGGCTGACGATTTCCCTGTTCATCGTACTTTGCTGGACGCCAGATGTACCAGTCTCGCTTCGGATTGTCCTTGGACGACCTGGATTCCTGGAACCACTTGTGCTGGTCCGACGTATGGTTGATGACCAGGTCGAAGATGATTCGCAGTCCTCGTTGGTGACATTCGCGAATTAATCGCTCGGCGTCTTCAACGGTGCCGTAGTCTGGGTTGATGGATTCGTAGTCACTGATGTCGTAGCCTATCGTCAGAAGGTCAGTTTCTTCTCGATATGCACCTTGTTCTCCGTTGGGCCTCACCCTCATCGATGTTCGGCGATGCATAGTGGGGCGAGAGCCAGACGGTATTAGCCCCGAGCGATTTGATGTAGTCGAGCTTCGAGATGATTCCATTGATGTCACCCGTGGATCCGCCATTGGCGCTGTAGAACGACTTTGGCCAAATCTGCTCGAAGCATCGGTAGCAATGAGCAAAAGGAATGCACGCGAGGGAAGCAAAAGTGTTGTACCTGATAGATGATGGCGTCTCGCCACCACGTCGTCTTGGGCGGAGCGTCCGAAGGCATCTTCACTTTGGCGGCCATGGTCGTCAGCCGGCGATCAAAGAGTAGAGGCAAAGGAACCTGTCTTACCTGAAACGGAAGCTAAAAAATAGCAGGATAAAAGTGGAGCCCGTATTTGCGAGCGCGCAAGCGTCCCTTATCAAGTACTTTAGGAAGGGGGCAGATCCGTTTCAAAGAGGAGATCAAGATGAGCGATGTTGACCTTTCACTTGCGCCCTTTTTGTAGCAGAGTGATGACCTACTGGGAAAGTCTCAAGGGGACCTTTTTGCTCGGCAAATAGGCTCGGGCAAGAAAGAGGAACTGAACGTGGGGGACACAAAGCACTATAACCTGTGCGCACAGATAACACAGAGGGCAAAGACAGATAGCTCGTCTCCGGGATAAAGTGAGGTACTTGACCACGGCGAGATTGCGGAATGACTTCGGAGCGGGCCCAATCCAGCAACGCGAAAAAGATAGGTGTCTCAGGAAATGTGAACCGCGTTCTTGGAGAGGACTTTGATGAAATTGACGTTCTCTTTCTTTATTATCCGCCCATGCCTTCTACCACAGTACTTTGAACAGAGAATGAAGGCTTGAGAGGGGGAGGACAAACCGGATACCTTGCAGCTTCGATGTCGGTCGAGGCTCGGTGCGGTGCGGTGCGTCTTCGGTCCTTGTCAGTGGCGTCGTTGCACAGCTGGTGCGCAACCTTCCCCACGATTGAGGTTGTGGGGCTCCAACTTTTCACACTTCCCCTCATTTGCTTATCAAAACGTACTCGGTCGGACAGTGGCGCCTGTCCAGCTCTGATTTGGCAGGTGAGAAATGATCCGCAGGCACCAGTCCATCGCGCGCTGTTTGCCTGACCGTGGCACGAGATCAGACCGGGGAAACTACGGTGAGATCCTTACCCCGCCGCCACAATCTCGCTAGCGTCACAAGTCCTCAAGACCTGGACCTACCAATTTAAAAATAATTCCACTGTGGCTGATTTCTGCTATATTCCCCGGAGAGCCTCATTGTCCGAAAGGAGAATTGCAGCGGGCTCCCCGTTTTGTTTGGCGAGGCTGGGCCTTGCGATCTGTAACGTACCGCGTCTCGATATTCTGGCGATGCAGTGAATTAGTCGCCATCTCAAAGGCTTTGAGCCTATAGCAGCTCCTTAGCCCTTGCCAATCGGAGTGTCAAATAGCTGTCTGTCCAGGCTCGGTCCTCGTCGTAGAACAAATATGGACGTACAGTACCCCACAACAGCCTGGCAGCATACGTCTCACCCTCCTCCAGAGTGACGCCTCATCTGACGCACAGCAGCCTGATTCTTGCCGAAATCAGCGCCACAGTCGAAATCTGGCCGGCAGAACTGTTGGGTCGAATTGAAAGTCGTGAGAAGCCACACTTGTTCGTTGTAACTCCTTCTTCTTAGGTGCTCTACCACATCGCACGTCGTAGACCTGTACTGTCGACAAAGATCATGCCCAACGGTCTCGCTCTTTTCTCGGTGCGTCTTCGGTGACACTTCGCTCGCAAGCCAGCATATTCGACGGCAAACGCCATGCATCTTGCTTCCCCGCTTCGCAAACTTGTTATTCCTTCTCTCATTGTTTCATGGTGACAAACGCTTTCGACTTACCCCGCCATCTCGCACCCCACTACCCCGCAAGGAGCAGTTGATCTTACGGCAGCGGCATAGAACGCCACAGAGTGCTGCCTAAAGCTACATAAGCGACGCTGTTTCGCCCTCCTCAACAACATTCACCGAGCCCCTCCTCACCTCCTCATCTTCTTCCCTGCTTCTCGTCCTCTTTCTTCCCTTCTCCTCCCAAGGTCCACCAGCAATGACGACCGTCGAAGGATCCACCGAGGTGGCTCGCATCGACACCAAGGCTGCCGCTAAGATCGCATCGCAGGTCGAAGACTACGATGCCCTCGTCCACGATGCCCGCGAAGCCGCTGACGATGAGCATTCGATGGGCATCCTCGCCTCGATTCGAGCGTACCCAAAAGCAGTCTTTTTCTCTGTCGGAATCAGCTTGGCCATCGTCATGGAAGGATGTGAGTACTTCAGCGGCCGTACAACCTCCGCAGAATTGAGCATCGTGCTGACTTTGAATCCCCATTGCGAACCTCCAGATGATACCATCTTGTTGGGCAATCTATTCGCGCAACCGGCTTTCCAGAAAAAGTACGGAGACTGCAATGACGCCGGAAAGTGTCAAGTCTCGGCCGCCTGGCAGTCTGGCCTGCAAAACGGACAGCTTGTGGGCAACATCCTCGGTCTTCAGCTCGTCGGCTTCCTCACAGAGAGGATCGGGTACCGGAAGACAATGCTGTACAGTCTCCTCTTCATGGCCGCCTTCATCTTCTTCCCCTTCTTTGCACCCAATCTCCCCGTTCTTCTCACCGGCCAAATCCTTCAAGGTCTCCCTTGGGGTATTTACCAGGTGAGAGTCACGTCTCTTCACACACCTACCACATTATACTCACTATTCTACTCAGTCCCTCGCCGTCAGCTATGCCGCCGACGTCTGCCCCGTCTCGCTCCGCCCGATCCTGACCACCTACGTGAGTGCTTTGCAACTCGTTACACAGACCTTCACTAATCTCTTCAATAGGTGAACCTCTGCTGGGTCATTGGACAACTTCTCGCGTCTGGTGTGCTTCGCGCCACCGTAGAAAGGACGGACAAATGGGCGTACAAGGTGAGAATGGTGAACAGGGCCTCAAGTGGAAGATTGCAAAGGCTCATCAGCATATGATCAACGAAGCTGCCGTACGGTCTCCAGTGGATGTGGATCCCCCCGATCTTCGCCGTTTGCTACTTCGCACCCGAATCGCCATGGTGGCTGGTCAGGCAAAATCGAATGGACGAGGCCGAGACTTCTCTGCGACGCTTGGCCGGAAAGTCACACAATTCCCGTGAGACTGCGCAAAAGACTGTGGCCATGATCAAGCACACCGATGAGATGGAGAAGGCAATGCACACTGGGGGCGGCTCCTACTTCGACTGCTTCAAGGGCACCAACCTTCGCCGTACCGAGATCGCCTGTGTCGCTTGGCTCATTCAGACTTTCTGCGGCAGCCCACTCATGGGTTCGTCCAGCTACTTCCTCGAGCAGGCTGGACTTCCCACCACACAGGCCTTCAACCTTACCATTGGTTCCTTCTCTCTTGGCGCTCTCGGCACCATGTCCTCGTGGTTCATCATGCGATGGGCCGGTCGCCGGACAATGTACCTCTACGGTCAGATCATTATGTTCACCATCCTCATCGTTGTCGGATCCCTCGGCGCCTCAGGCGGCTCCCCATGGGCCATCGGTGGGCTTCTCCTCGCCTTTACCGCCGTTTACGATGCCAGCGTCGGTCCGGCCTGCTACTCGATTGTCGCCGAAATTGGCTCAACTCGCCTTCGCTCGCGCACTGTCGTTCTCGCCCGAAACGTCTACAACCTCGGCAGCATCGTCGTAAATATCATCAACCCAAAGATGCTCAACCCCAACGACTGGAATCTCGGCGCCAAGAGTGCCTTTGTGTGGGCCGGAACGGGTGCCCTTCTTCTCGTCTGGACCTACTTCAGGTTGCCCGAGCCCAAGGGAAGGACCTACGGCGAGCTGGATCTCCTTTTCGAACAGAAGGTACCGGCAAGGAAGTTCGCCAGCACCATTGTCGACGAGTTCGGCTCCGCCAGTCAGCAACAGCACGCGAGGGCTATGGCGCAGGCCCAGGGCGAGAAGACGTCAGTGGACGAGGAAGAGAAGAAGTCGGGCGATGTTACTCCTCCCGTCAACACTCTCACGTACAATGCCTAATCTTCTGGTCATGTACCTTACCTCTCCATTCTGCTCCTCCTCCTGCTCATCTTCTTTCGCCTTCACTTGCTCGACTCTTCTCTGGGTACTTTCACACTTTTCTACTAGCTCACGGGTGCACTTTCATCTTGACGAACCTATAAAATGCAATGCTACGAAATTCCACGATACAATCTCCTCGTAAGCTTCGCAATAGCAGTCGAAAACTGGAACATCTGATGCGAGGTGAAGCCGAAATACTAACCAAGTGAGCATTAAACACTCCAAAGAGGTCCTTGCTGGATCTTGGAGCGCGATTTATGAAATAGGAAAGCATCTTCGTCTCAGTCTTCATTGTCGCCGAAACAGCAGAGGTCGAAACTGGTATAATTGCGGCGAGTATCTAATGATTACAGATGTAAGGGCTGCCGGGCTTCCCTGAGCCACACCAGTGTCTTTTCCGCCACCGCGAGGGCTTCCTCTGGCATACCTGCCAACTTTGCCACCTTCAAGCCATGTGACTCGCGGTTGATTCCGTCTCTCAACCGATGCGAAAAGATGATGCTGCCATCGCTCTCGTCCTCTTCTACGTCTGTGCACACGAATTTGACCCCCTCCTCTTCTCCTGGGCTCTGCTCGTGCCGTTTCGATAGAAGATCGGCAATCTCGTGCAGGTGTGTCGCAAACAATGTTCGACACCCATTCTTTTCCAAGAGCGTTCTGAGCGTCGCGAGCGCGATGGAAACGCCCACGTCTGTCGTCGTGCCCCTTCCGATCTCGTCAGCTATGACCAAAGACCTCTTGGTGGCTCGCTTGAGAATCTCAGACGTCTCGGCCATTTCCACCATAAACGTAGAGCGGTCTCTTGCGACATCGTCCCTTGCGCCAACGCGCGAGAAGAGGCCATCGACAAGACCGATGCGAGCTGACTCACAAGGCACGAACGAGCCCGTCTGTGCGATGAGGCAGAGTGTAGCCACCTGTCTTAAGAAGGTGGATTTTCCACCCATGTTGGGGCCCGTGACAAGATGAAGCCGGTGGCGTTGCGGGTGCATTTCAACGTCGTTTGGCGTAAATGACCTGCCGTGCGCCAGAAGGCCCGTCTCGACAGCCAAGTGCCGACAACCTTTCACTTCCAGCACGCCTGAGTCGTCGACGACGGGTCTTACAAGCCTGCGCTCAACAGCCAAGTGGGCGAAGCTTGTGAGGACATCTACTTCGTCGACGAGGCGGGCATTGCGCCGAATAGCCATGGCTTCGACAAGAACATCGTGGCGTAGCCTTTGAAGCTCCATCGCTTCCCTTTCCAAGAGTTGACGCTCTACATGCTCCATCTTGCGGCCCAATTTTGTCCACTCCGGATGAAGATAAGTCCGGAATGTCTTTCCGTGTGCAGAGAGGTACATCTTGCCCAGCTCTTCGTCGTCGCCCTTACTCTTGGACGCACCACCCTCTTGGACGTGCACAACAAAGCCCTGTTTCTGTACGTTACGAAGCGTCAACTTCTCCGTGCCCATTCTCCGCCGAAGCTCCTGCTCAAAGCGAGCAGCACGTCGACGCAATGCAACATGCTCCTTGGTCAGCGAGGTGAGCTCTTTCGATGCGTTTGGCCGAATCATGTGCTCAAAGGCCGTCCCCCAAATGCCGTTGCGCTCCTCGCTTTGATCGTCTTTGTCCGCTCTTTGCTTGTTGCCAATCTTGATCTTGCTTGCAGAGGCCCTGGCCTCACCCAGACCCTCATCTCGCCTCACAGCTGCTGCAGTGACGTCTTCGAGTACCTCATCGTGCCTCTGCCTCGCCAATTCTTCCTGATCCCTTGATCTCTTCTCAATGACTCCCTCATCAATGGCATCGCCCAGCCTCGCGCCAAGCTCGTCTAGCGACTGAAACCGATCAACAAGCGTCTGCAGCGTCTTCCAGCCTTCCTCTCCGTCCTTGCCACCTTGCCGCTGAATCTCTTCGCCGAGCAGCTCGACGAGCGCCTTGCAAGTGGCGACAAAGTCGCGTATTTCAAGTAGGTCCTGCTCGTCATTACGACTCGTTGTTATCCTCTGTAGTGCCCTCGAGACGTCGCCCACGCCCTTTCGTAGCCAGGTTCTGAGATCTTGCCTAAGAAAACCTTGTTTGACGAACAGATCGACGAGGGATTGCCTTCTGTGTATGACGGGCAGCAGGGTGCTGGGCGCCGTGAGCCACTCGGACAAAAGGCGAGACCCGCCCTTTGTAATGGTCCGCCGCACCGTCGAAAGAAGACTGCCGCTGGTGCTGCCGGTGGCAGAGGCACGCACCTCCAGAGCGAGCAGTGTATGCGCGTCGATATGCATAGTCTCAGTCTCTCGCCGTCGGCCGAGATGGCGATGCAGGAGCGGCGGCTGCCCTCCCTCCTCGCCCTCCTGCTGGTGGAAAGCCAACACATCGAGGTCTTCGGGCATACTGTCCAGCAAACGAGTCCGAATGTGTTCCGTCAGGCTCTTGACAGCTCGTGTCTCGGCGTCGTCGTCGCTGTACTCGGGGGAGTCGTCTAGCGACGGGGCAGCCAGGCAGACGTGCATCTGCTCGCGATTGATGGCCTCCCAGAACGGGCTTCCGTCAGGCTCCATCGCTTGGTTGTCATACGAAGATGGAAGAGAGTGGCTCGGTCGATTAAAGAGACCGGGTTGGACGACTACCTCTCTCGGTCCGATTCTCGCCACCTCGTCTCTCAAAGACTCGACGTCAAAGCACGTCGTCGTGTCGAAGTCGGCCGTTCCCACGTCGAGCCAGGCCAGGCCGTACCTGCCTGCAGCGTCAGCCGTGACGGAGAGGACCCAATTTGAGCTAAAGGGATCCAAGAACTTTTCGTCGATGAGCGTGCCTCGACTGACGACCCTCGAGACACGCCGTGTGATGGTGACCTGCGGTGCTTCATTCAGTCGGACGTCCCCGTCTTCCTCCTTCTTGCTGATGCGTTTGTTTGCTGGCGTAGTGATAGCCTTGAACTCATCACAGATCGCTACGAGCTTGCCGTGATCCTGCACGAGCACCTTGAGGTACTTTTCGAGCTGAACGATGGGGAAGCCGGCCATGGGCACCGTTCTGCCTCCAAAGGTCCGCTTAGCCAGCTTGATGCCCGTGAGATTGGCCAGGACAGGTGCCTGCTCAAAATAGGACTCGTAAAAGCCACCGACTCGTGTGAGGAGGATGCAGCCGGGGAAGCGAGCGAGGTTCGTCAGAACATCCTTTGCTAGCGGTGTCCATTCTTGTCCCTCTGGCCCGAGCTCGTCGATTCGATCAACGACCAGGCCGAGCGTCGAAGCTTGCGCTTTGCCCTCTTCCTCTTCTGCTGTCTCCAGCTCTCCTCTTCTTCGTCGGGGCGAGTCCTTCGCACTCGATCGTTTCTCGAAGCTCGGGAGAGGCTCCCTCGTCACGCCATCCTCGTCCACAGCGCTCAAGGGCAAGTCGTTCCACTTCACCGACTTCTGTTTCCTCTGCTGTGCGCTCGCTGGTGAGACATTGAAGCTCCGCTTAGCCAGTGCCACTGTGCACGGCGTATATGTCTGACTCCTGCCGACGACCAGCGCCCTCCTGGCCCCCTTCCAGATCCACAGCATCGCCCGATCCTTGATCTGCAGGTCTCGGCCAATTTGCTCAACACAGCTTCTTCCAGGGAAGCAGCGCTCGAAGCCTTCGCGCTCGGAACTCGGGCAACAAATTTAAATTGCCCAGGCCTAGCCACACACCGCCCCAGCCGATAAGTTGGAGCGTAGCGCAGCCTCAAATGGGCTTGCTGAGCCCTGCCCTGGAGCGATTAATTGTTCCGACGGTGGCGTAGCGACAGGTCTTGCCGATCGCTCAGCTTCTCTTGGAAGCGCGCTCTGCTCAGTCCATTCGGCACAGCTCTATATAAGCCGAGCAGTCTTGCTGTTCTTGCATCTGACCCTCCCACCACTCTTTCTTTTTCACCACTCTTCATCAACATGGATCTCATGATGGACCCCCGCATCTCTCATCACCACGGACCCCACCACCACCCCCATCACCACCGAGGAGGACCCGGTCGTGGACGTGGTGGCATGCACATGCGGTCGGAACGTCACCACCACCGCGGCCACGATGGCCACCACGGCCACCACGGCCACCACGGCCCTCCTCCCTTCCACGCCGGGGGCGATAGCGAGGGCGAGTGGGAGCGCCTCGACAATTCCGAAAGTACGACTGCCTCTTCGGCCTCATCGAGGAGCCCATCGCCTGGTATGGGCGGTGACCCCAGAAGCCCAGGTGCGCGACACCACCACCACCACCATCACCATCACAACCGGCCTCATCACCACGGCAACCAATTCTCGGAACTTTTCCCTGGCGCCAGTCGCGGACGCGGATTTGGCCCGTGGACACGGCCACTTCAATCCCTTCACGCCTCACGCAGGCCCGTTCTCCAGCGGCGCTGGAGGACCCTTTGCTCACCACAGCCACCACGAGCACGGTCCTCCTTTCATGGGCGGCCACCGTGGCGGCCACCACCATCATCATCACCGTGGAGGGCACCACGTCCACTTTGACTCGGTGCCCCACTCCTTCATTCCTACGGCCGATCACCACCACCACTCGGGGAGCGGCCTGCTCTTCTCGATGCTCGGCCGTAGTCACGGAGGTCTGGGCGGACACGGCGGTCATCACCACGGACCGCCTCCCCCTCACCACCACCACCACCGTGGACACCACGGCCCTCACCATCACTAAGGGGCCCCTAAATTGCGACAGGTGATCAAAACACCACCGCCATCACCTTCATAAACCATTAAAATTTGCTCGCGAGAAGATGAAATTGTAAATATAGTGTAGCATCACCATCTTTGGTTGTATTTCTATTGTACAGTACAGTATCACCAACTGTCATTGTGTGCGCGTGTGTGTGTTTGTGTGCATCTTAACGGATCAGAAGGACCAGCGCCTGCCGATGCTCTCAATCGAAGCATATTTGTTACGGCGAAGAGAGTCGAGGATTGTTGAAGCAACTGATATTAGACCAGGCGTCGTAGGTGGTCAGAGAAGCCATGCACACGAGCGTGGAATGACATTACTCACCGTCCTTTTCGCTTGGACTCAAAAACATGAGGGCGGTCTCGAAGCGGTCGCAGGACGGCAAGACTCGCATGACGGTCCCCACGACATTAGTGTGCTGGACCTCCGAGCCATCCTGCTGCTTTGTGCTTATGCTTGTGAGGCCTGCAAGGAGCGAGACGAGGAGGTCCGGCTCAAGGAGTGAGCCCAGTGTTTGCGGCAGCGCTTCGAGGTCGAGCGACTGGCATGTTTCATCAGCTTCAGGACAATCTTTCTTAAATGGAGGTGGAGAAAGCAACTCACCGACAAGAAGTCCAGGATGTCCTGGGATGAGCCTGCAGATACTTCCCTCCAAGCTCTGTGAAAGTCATACGCATTCAATCTGCGCTTCATGACACTATTCACCATAGGAGGCCGAGGAGCGGTTGCAGCAGCAGCAGCAGCAGAAGCACTTGATCTCTTCGGAGTACCAAGGCTTGAGAGTGCATTCAAGGAGGCAATTGTCGCTTCGTTAGAGGCGTCGGTTGCGTCATCCGATCTCGCACTTGACTCCACAACCTGCAGTGACCCAGTGTCGACAGAAGATGATGTTTGGCCTGTCGCGGTTGCTGGTGACCCTTCCGTACGTTCTAGCTTCCTCGTTGAGACTTCCCGTAGCATGCCACCTGTCTCGCCAGGAAAGCGGGGCGGCGGAACTGTGTCGCTAGTTGCGCTCTTACTGTTAGGCTTTTGCGTCGGTGCATTTCCGTCCATACCGACTTGTTCGAGGAATCGTCTCGCTGCCTCCACGCTGCTGCCTCCTTCTTCCCCTCTCGGTGTACCTCCCTTGCTTTCCTTTTTCCGCGCTTCGGTATCAAGGTCCAGCGGAGGCTGACGTCTCTCCTTCCTTCGCCTGTCCTCATCCACCAGCTCCTTTTTCAGCGCAGAGATCTCGGCCTTGGCGTCCTTGTTCTGCGCATCCAAATGCAGCACCTTTTCGAAATCTGCAATGGCGTCTTCCAGTCTGGCCATTTGCCTCCGAGCGCTACCCCTTCGATAGTACGCCTTCACATTCGCTGAGTCAAGACGAATCGACGTTGTGGCATCTCTTTCCGCATCTTCGAATCTACAAGATGATCGCTTTAGCTGGGGCCCGTGCATTTTAGGACAGGCTTTGACATGGACTCACTCACTTTCCAAGCTTTAGGTAGGCCATTGACCGATTGAGAGGATAGGTGGAACTGGACGAGTCGCACAGGATCGCATCCGTGTACAGACCCACAGCTTCCGCATACTGACCCTTCTTGAACGCCTCATTTCCCTTTTCTTTGGCCACTTGAGCCCTGCTCGAGCTCGCCATCGTCGTGCAGCTAGCCCTCTTTCTTCCCGAAAGAGCAACTTTAAAAAACTCAAGGAAGACTCCTAGATTAGTGTCAAGGTACCACGTGGCTGGCGCCAGCCACGCGTTCTCACCAGCTCGCTGGAGACCATCTATCTGCGCTTTATCGACCTCGCAAACAACTGCCCCTACCCAACTTTTGCCTAAACTGTCTTCAGAAGCAGCGACTCTTCGGCGCGCCCTTCTCCCTTCAAAGCTACACTGTAGTCCTTCGTTTCCGTCTTTTGTTCTCTTCCACTGCTACAGTATGGTGAGTGTGCTGGTACGGTAGGGCAGGCGAGCATGGACGTTGCCCGCTGCGGTGTTGGTTTTGGGGCGATATCCGAGGAGAGCAGGGAACAGCGTGGCAGGCACGGGGACCAATTGAGAAGCGGACCGTGCTGAATCGATCATATTGTGCAGTCTTCTGGCGTCAAGGTCGCGCCAGAGTGCCTCGAGGCGTACCAGGCGCTCAAGCTCGGCAAGAAGGTCAAGTACATCATCTTTAAGCTCTCGCCGGACAACACCGAAATCGTCGTTTCCAAGCAATCGGAGTCGGACGACTACGACGAGTTTCTCGAGCACCTCCCTCCCGGAGAGTGCTGCTATGCCGTCTACGATGTCAGCTACCAAAAGGGCGAAGAGGGAAAGAGGAACAAGATCTGCTTCTTCACATGGTGGGTCTCTTGTCGACGTTGGGTCCTTTCTTTTGACTCTCGAGGGGGAGTTTGCAGCCGTTTACTGACAGCCACGATACTTTTCTGAAGGTCTCCTGACGACTCCAAGATCAAGCAGAAGATGCTCTATGCTTCGTCGAAGGACGCCCTCCGCAAGTCGCTCGTCGGCATCTCGTCGGAGATCCAAGGCACTGACATGAGCGAGGTTGCGCACGAGACTGGTGCGTTCTCTATCTCTCTTGCCCATACAGAATCCTTCTCAAAACTGACTTGTCGCCTTCAACAGTTCTCGAGAAGGTCTCGCGCTCGACCTTCTAAGAGATTCTGGTCTCGCAAAACAAAGATACATGGCCGATAACAAGCTCTAGGTCCCCCCCACAAGAGGGGCGGACGCGGCCTTGTGTTATCGTGTGAGGGAGGGCGTCCTCTTCTTTCCTCTTTGTCAAACTACAGCAGCCAATCTACCACTTCTATCCCTCCCTCCATCCCACTCTTTCTTTTGTCTACTTTCCTCGCTTCCTTATATATCGAGCTTGTCGTGGCGGTGCCGACAAAGCATCCCTCAGAGGGTTGGTGAGAACCATGTCGACCGCCCGTTAGGCGGTGGTGATCTCAATGTGCGAATCTAGAATCTCCGGCGGCTTCAATCACACCGAGGTATGAATAATCGATGCCTATTCTGGTGGGTGTGATGATATGAGAAAAAAGGAAAACATGAGCCGGATCGTCGTCAGGTGCGACGAGCAGCATTCTTGCTTTTGATGGTTTGTCCCATGGCAGAGGACGATGACTGGGGAGACCATTTGATGCATAGTACACAAAGGGGGAAAAGAGAGAGAAAGGGGGATGGGAAAGAGATGATACCCGCCCAATCGAGCGAAGAGAGACGACAAACATCCACCCGCTGCCAGCGTCCCCCTCCTAACCCAAAGTAAAGCAAGCGAGCGAGTCTCAGTGTGTAGCGTGTCTTCTACGGCATTTACTCGTCGTCCTCCTCCTCTTCCTCCTCCTCCTCCTCATCGTCGTCCTCCTTGAGGCTCTCGAGGCACGCCACGGCAATCCGGTCCAAATCCCTCATGCCATCCTGGCTGATCCTGCGGCCACCCTTGGGGTCCTTCTCAAGAACGCCGATGCCCTCGAGGCCCTGAACAGCCTTGCGCTGGACGTTGGCCGACGAGGCGACGTGGTGCTGGGGGCGGTGGCCCTTGTTCTTGGGGCCGCCGTGGTGCTTGGTCAGCGCGCCGATACCGACCGACTTGCGCAGGTAGATGTGGCGGGCGAGCGCAGCTGCATCGGGGCGAGTGTAAGTCTGTGCAATTCTCAAACAAGTGTCTTGCAAGCCACGCAGGGCAAGGCTGCAGCTACGCACCAGCTCGGACGTAGAACCAGTCAGGGTCGTAAGGAGGGAGCTCCTTGAAGTGGCCCGTCTTGACGATGTCGACCCAGACGGGGACCTCGATCTTGCCAGACCTCTTGAGGTGGTTGGCGTAAGCCGTGATGAAGGCGTCGGCAGGGCAGTCCTTGACGTTAACCACTGATGCGCCAAGACTATGGGTCAGCATTTCGTCCTTGCTCTACTTTCTATCCCCTCCTTCCTCCTCCTCCTCCTTTTTCGCCTCAGATCTGCCTGCCTCCCTGCCTTTGTTCATGTCCCCCTATCCTTTCGCATCCGTCGCCCGCACGCATGCCCACAAGGTAGCTCCTGGCGCCCCCGTTCCTTGCACCCTTCTCAAACATGGCCTCCCAATTCCTCTCGAGACACTGCTTCCCTCTTTGTTTCCCCGAGACACCGCAAAGAAAGTACTCACTCTGTTGGAGGAAGGGAATCAGCAATCTGAACCAAGCTCAACATCATGCCGTCAACCACTCACCTTGTCGTTATGTGCTTGAGACCAGTCGAGAAGGTGTAGTCCAACTGTCGAAAAAGCCGCCATCCCCAGTCCAGTCGCTCACACCGCAGCCTCAAAGTCACGTGTAATTCTGAAACGCTTGCCACGTGGTTTGCACGCGCGCGCGCCCATTTGGCGGACAACTCCACCTTTGCACACGAGAAGATCTCCGTCATCCGAACATCCGTCGACAAGCAACATCATGTCGGCAGCTGCAGAGACGACCAAGAAGGCCGCGGCCTCGGCCACTGAGGCGCCCAAGCAGGAGGCATTTGGCGATGTCATCCTGACCAAGGTGAGTCTCACATTATCTGATATAATTCACCTCTGAATGCTCACACGACCCCTTCCCTCTGTATCCCAGTACAAGACGGCCGGTGACATCACAGCCAAGGCGATCAAGACGACGATTGATGCCGTCCAAGAGGGAAAGACGGTGCTGGAGATCTGCAAGACGGGCGACAAGGCCATTGAAGAGGGCGTGGCAGCGGTGTACAAGAGCGACAAGAAGCTTGCCAAGGGATCGGCCTTCCCCACGACGGTTTCGATCAACCAGATCATCTGCAACTTTGCCCCGCTGGCTTCGGACGAGGCCTCGTCGCAGAAGCTCAAGGCTGGCGACGTCGTCAAGATCCAGACGGGTGCCCACATCGATGGCTACGCCACCGTTGCGGCCGAAACTGTCGTCGTTGGCGCTTCCAAGTCTGCCCCCGTCGAGGGGCCCAAGGCCGATGCGCTCAAGGCCGCTTGGACTGCCGCCGAGACTGCGATCCGGGTAATGCAGCCCGGCAAGACGAACCACGAGGTGGCCAAGGAGATCGAGGCTTCCATCAGAGAGTTCCAGGGGATCCGCGCCGTGGAGGGCATGCAGACGAACCAGATGGACAAGGACGTCATTGACGGCAAGAAGAAGATCGTCCTGGCTGCCGAGTCTCAGTCGAGGCCTGACGCTTGCAAGCTTGAGGAGAACGACGTCTTTGGAGTTGACATCCAGGTTACCACGTCTGAGTCGGGCAAGCCGAAATCGGACGAGGCGAGGACGACCATCTACAAGAAGACGGGTTCGACGTACCTGCTCAAGATGCAGACGTCGCGCAAGATCTTTTCAGAGGTGCAAAAGGTCGCTGGCGCCTTTCCCTTCAACATTGGCGTCCTCGAGGACGAGAAGCGGGCGCGGATGGGCCTGCAGGAGTGCGTCAACCACTCGCTCGTCACACCTTTCGAGGTTCTGTACGACGGTAAGGACGGTGCCATCACGGCGCAGATCTTCTTCACCGTTGCCATCAGCAACAAGGGCGCTATCAGGTTGACGCCTGCGCCGACGTGGTACAACGAGGAAGTTGTCAAGTCGTCGCAGTCGGTCAAGGACGAGAAGCTGGCCGCGCTCCTCAAGGAGCCGGTCCGACAAAAGAAGGCAAAGAAGCCCGCTGCCGCCGATGGGAAGACGGCTTGATAGGGTAAAAGTGAGGAGCCTCACATGGGCAACGACGTGATGATTCCGTTTTCATTGCAAATAAGCCATAGCAAGAGAGACATGTGTAATCCATCCAGTTGTCAACCCAGTCACTCCATCATCTTCCCGGCTGCCTTGGTGATGAGTTGGAGGAGTCGGTCGGCGGTTTGCTTCAGTTCCAAAGGACTCTTCTGCACCCAAGGTGTAAGGAGAAGTAGGTCATCCGCCTCTTCCCCACCTTCGACTTCCTGCAAGGCATCGTAAAAGTGGTCCTGCACGACGATGTAGAGTGCGTCGGCCGTGGCGCCTCTGACTGTGGGAAAGGCATGCAGGAGAAAGCTCTTGGCGTGCCCGATCGAATCACTGACGATGCTTCTGCCCGGTGAGCCGGCAAAGCCAATGAGTTCAAGCGTGAGCTGCATCGATGCGAGGACCCGCTGTGGGCTCTTGATCTTCTCGATGGATCGATTGGCTAGCGTCAGAAGCTTCTTGAACTGCAGCTCGACCTCCTGAGTGGCGGTTTTATCGTCTGAGAAGGCCCCTCCTTGCAGTAGCACCAAAGCAGTCTGCAGAATCGGGACGAAGAGCCTGTTTGACGAGACATGCTTCGAAGCAAGTTGGGCAAGGTCTTGCACGAGACTCAAGGGTGGGTATCTCGACTCGTCTTCGATTCCGTCCAAGGGAGACAGTGAGGGTCGGCCGTTCCGGAGGACAAGGCCGCACAGACTCTTGCCCAGCGCTTGTTGCTGCCACAAAGACATGATCAGCACACTGCTCCTAAGCGAAGCGGAGTAAAAACTCACAGACATCTCTAGTTTGCTCCCGATGCTCAACACGAGGCCCTCCAAGAGCTTGCTCCTGTATGCTGGAATGGTCAAGAGATCGATCGCCTTCGGGAAGATCCATCTAGGATCCTTGAAGGAAGAGGTGGGATCCGGTCTGTCATCCACGGGAAAGACTCGAGCAAAGAGATCTGGTCGCTGCACAGTAGGGTTGCCATCGCTTGATCGACGGTAAATGATGGCGAGAAGCTGTTTGCCCGCCTCGGCTCTAATGCCGTCGATCCGCTCGACCATCTGCTTCATGATACCAGCGATCACCTCGTCATAGAGATGTTGCGGTAATGCCGTGGAGGCAATTTCCAATCTGTCAAACATCTCGACGAGCTCACCCAGGCCAGAAAGGCAAGCCATGCGGACCCACGAGCCCACATCTCCGCGTGCATCGGTCGTGTAATCGTCAAGGCCTCCCAGAAGAGCCTCAACCACCTCTTGTGCCCTCCCTAGGGCCTCGCGAACAAGCTCTCCCTCCGTTTGAATGCAGCGACACAGTGAAGAAACAATTGAGAGCACAGCGTTGCGCCTCGTCTCGACGTTTGTCGAATAGCTCGCCGAGCCCTTCCTGATCAAGCCCAAAAGGAAGCTCAAGGTCTTGACAAGCATTTCGGTGCCGTCGCTGTCCATCTTTGCGAAGTGAAGGTGACCCAAGACCCTGACGTGGCTTTGTTGCTGCGCGATGTTGAAGCTCTTCCACTGATCCAGAATCGATGTCGCACAGTCCTTGGAGTTTCGACATTGGCTCACGGCGCCCCAAGCTTGGGCTGCTGAGAGGTGGATCTCCTCCTCCTGTCGCGCAAGGGCTACCTGTAGGATTGTCTCCCATCTTGGGCCCGTGGTCTTTGGAGTAGTCGACTCGCCAACTCCAGAAGCGAGCACCTGGGCGGAGCAAGCCGTCTCGATGAGTCGACATGCACCGCGAAGGACATGAATGCTTCCAAGCGTGCGAAGGCTGGTGAGCGGGACCAGATCAAGAGCGCGGAAGCTGTCTGCTCGGCACCTCTCGAGCTTGTCGGCGTCGCCACAAATGCTGCACGCAGCCGAAAGTTCGGCAAGAGTGAGGAGGGAGCCATGAAGGATAAGCATGTCTCTTGAGTTGCAGCGTCTCCTCTTCCATTAAGGAGAAGGACCACCTCGTTCAGTATCCTTTGCACTCAAACGTGATGAATGGCTGCTTCTCACCATTCTCTCAACAATTCTGGGCGCCATGTCGCCCAGATCGATCTGCGCAATTTTTGCCACTGCAGAGGCGCCAAGCTCGCGCATCGCGACGTCCCAGTGAAAGACCGTCGTCGACAAAGCGTGCTCCAATATTGGACCCCTGTACTCTGCATGAACGGCGACCTGTGGCGCACACTCCAGGAAGGCGTTCCTCCTCACGCTCACTGCGAAGAAATCCGTCTTTCGTATCACATCGATGCCGTGCGCAAAGAGGCCAAGCCGGCCCACGCACTCCTGGTATGCCGCACTGGCCGCTCGCCTGATCGAGACGTCGCGGTCTAGCAGTGTGACGCAGACTAGCTGGTGCGAGAGGCTCTCGGCGTACGGTCGAATGGCGGTAGCATCGTGTGCCCTTGCAAGAGCCCATAAGACATAGCATGCAGCATCGCGCACACCGGTCCCAACCGAGTGTGCGCCTCTTCGAACGTCAAAGACGAGGGCCTGGGCGAAGTTGCATGTGAATTCTTCTCTGCAATCACACTTTCCTGGCTTCGTACTTACCTTTTGCACCCATTCTAGCTTGTCCCCAAGGTCATCTCCTCTCAACAAGCCTCTTCTCGCTAGTTCGGCGAGGGCCAAGCAAGCGCCCTGCCACGTATGTTCGCTGACGTTGGAGAGATCTTGTCGCTTGCCCATGAAGTCGACCACATTGATCGAGAACAGGTCTGTCACAGCCTGCGCTGTCTGGTCGATGAACAATGGCGGTAGTCTCGTGCATAGGCGTGCCAGCCCTTTGGCTGCAGAATATCGCACGACGGTATCTTTGTCCTGGAGAGAGTCTAGCAGCTTGCCGATGTAGCCGTCCAGCTCCTCTGGCACATCTTCTTCCTCGTCTTCGTCCGCGTTGTCTTCCTTGTCAGCGTCACCATTCTTCGCTGGATCGCCAAGCCGCCTCGCCTTGAGACCTCGAACCTGTCTCCTTCTCGGACGCAGCGCCTTGATGCCCATTCGACACGCCATCTTCGCTCGGTACTTTGCTACGAGGCTGTTTCTGGACAGCTCCGGCGCCGGGGGGTCGCGACCATCGACAGCGTCTCTGGCTTCGTCTTCATCTGCGGAAAAGAGCGAGAGGAGACGGCTGATTTCTGCCATGTGCGGTGCCAGCGTCTCGGCGGACGACGTCTTGAGCACGCTGCAGACTGTCTGAAGGATGCCCGTGGCCTGCTCCACTTTCGATGTCAGTGATATCCCTTTTGCTCTCAACCAAATTATCCCACGCACCAGAAAGACCGATGGCGTAGACGGCGGCAGAAGCACCTCCCTGGTCCAACCAAGGAAGCGGTTAAGGCCATCCTTGGAAGCGTCGTTCCTCTGGAAAAGCTTGCCCAGCAATAGCGCCGCTGCGTCCCTTTCCTTTCCCGGACTGGCCAAGAAAGCCTTTGCAACTGTCTCGATGCGTTTCTGCGTCGATGTAGCTGCGCTCGATGAAGCTGGCAAAGATGAAGAAGTGGTGGAAGACTGGGATGAGTCGAACTTGACGAGGTCAAAGGGTATCATGCAGATGAGAGAGAGCCAGAGGAGAAGGATGTATCGGACTTCCCATGTCGACCACGTCGAGGGCGTCGAGTTCGAAGTGGGAGCAGCCAGAGATGTTTCGAGGAGCGTCAGCGTCGGTTGAAGGTCGCCAACGGCATGTGGGAAGAAGTGGACGATGGTCTTGTAGCCTCGGACCTTGGTAAAGTAGTAAAGCAGTCGAGCGAGACGCTGTGTAGATGAGCCTGACGTGTCCAGCTGTGCCATTGGAGTAGATGCCGAAGGGCGAGAAACAGCGTGTTGAGCGCGAACGACCTCCTGCAGGGCCTGAACAGGCGGCTTGACCAGCGCATCAAGGTAGGGATCGAGGAGGTACGACTGCTCCTGGTACAAATCGAGCTTGATGTGCAAGATGTCGAATCAGAGTTTGGAAGGAGGCAGAAGACGAAGAGCAACACTCACAATGTCCATGAGCCGTTTCAGAGCCGCCTCGCTCTTAGCTGTCCTTATCCGCTCCTCGTCCTCTTCGCGCTCGACGTGACCCTGGCCGAGCATCTCGGGAAAGAAATCGGGGCCATGGAGGATGGCGAGGAACTCGTCGGCCTGCTCAAAGCGCACCAGATCCTTTTCCTCTGCCACAGCACCCGCGTCTGCGCCTGTCGGCAGCAGGCCTGCGCCCGTCTCGCCCTCCATGGTTTGATCAACTTCCCTTCTTTGTCCCAAGAAGCCCTGTCTGTCAGTCCGAGCCTTAAATTTTCCACTCTCAGCGCGCAGGGAACAAGGCAGTCATATCCGACTAAATTGGCCGTGCACATTCTGGATTCTCGTTTTCCGTGTTCCGAAGTCTCGCCTTCGCCCTTGCAAGCCCACCACCACCACCTCTATTCTCATCATGGATCCGACGAAGCCCAGCAGCAGCGTCTCCTCGCGCTTCGTGAGCCAGACGGAGCTGGAAGAGGCCCAGAAGCGTGAGCAAGCGTGTCCTTTCGCTTTATCTTTCCTCTTTCTAAGTATCTCGTGTGGCTGATCTCGTGATCCTTCTTCTCTTTGCTCGTTGCTTGCTCGCCAGGCCGAAAGGAGGAGATCCGCGCGACGTACGCCCGCATCGGGCAGGAGCCGCCGCCCGAGGAGGAGGCCGAAGCGCCCTACGACCCTCGCTCCCTCTACGAGCGGATACAAGCAAACAAAGACGCAAAGCAGGAGGCCTTTGAGGCCCAGACGAAGCTCTCGGCCCAGTTTCGCGGGATAGACGACGCCGAGTCGGCCTTTCTCGAGCAGGTCGCGCGTGAAAAGAGGGACGAAGCGAGAAAAAAGGACGAAGAGGTCAGGAGGGAGCTCGAGGAATACAGAAAGGTGATTCGGGAGAAGGAGGAGGAGGACGAGAGAAAGAGGTTGGCGGTGGCCGAGGCTGCAGCAAAGAAAAAGAAGGACGAGGAGGCCGCCGCGGCCGCTGCACCAACGGCAAGCGCAGGCCAGCCAGCGAGCAGCAAGGCAAAGGGCAAGAGAAAACGAGAAGGATTACTGGGCATCGTCAGGAAAAAGCCTGCCACGGAAGCAGCGCAAGCGAAGGAGCAAGCAGCACCAGAGAAGGGGCAGGGAAGTCCGAAGGCAGGGGCACTCGCCGAGAGCAAAGACAAGGCTTCTGCATCAAAAGAGCAACAACAAACAAAAGAAGTCACGAATGGGGAAGCGGAAGGGTCGTGACAGGCTCAGTAACCCAGCTTCTCGACTGACTTGCATCTCAACCATCTCGTGACGTATCTACGGGTCGTTAATAAACAGAATGTACTGTACTACTCGTTGTCCACGAGGGCATCCGAAGACTCCATTGTCCTCGACCAGGACCTTCTTCGCTCACTCTTGCTGGGTGTCCTGCTTTGTTGTTGTAACTGTCAGAACCTCGACTCGCTGTTGACACACTCAGAGGAGGAGAGGAGAGAACCCTCACCTGGGTGCAATCGCAAAGGCATTGCATTCCTTGTCACTCGACGATACTCACTTGTCGGCAGAGTCAGTCGAAGGAGCGAGGTCCCGGCTCTCGCGCTTCGTAAGTTGCGCGGAAGAAGGCGCCACCGTCGACGTTGGCCGACTACCCGCCGCCCTGGGCCCTCGGACATTGCTCCTTCCGCTGCCCATGCTGCCAAATTGCCTGCTGAGCCTGGCTACATTGGAGGTCGGCGTGTCCTCGCCAGCCGAGGAAGAAGCCGTATGAGAGGTCGCAGGGGCGGCCTTCTTGACCTCCTCGTCCGACTCGCCGGGCGTGTCATAGGCCGAGCCGCCACTGGTCGAAGATGGGCTGGTGACTCTCTCGGGAGCTTTGAGATTGTTGCTGGTCGTCGACTGCAGCACGCGGTCGGCCAGTGGGGTTGGCGCCTCTTCGTCACCGGCAGTGGCTGTCTGGGCCGCCTCTTTGGCTCCCCTGGTCGCCACCGTGGGTCTACCGCTTGCGCCGTCGGGCAGTCCCTGTGTCATCAAATCCGTTGGAGATGCAGCCATGCCGATGGATCCATCCTTGGGCGGGAGCATCGGGACGTCATGCCCGGCTGACGCCGCCATTTTGCTCCTCGAAAGACGCTGATCGACGGGCTTGGTGCGCTTGCGGATGGGCGTGCGTCGCTGCGCAGCAACGGCTTCAGACTCCTTTGCCTTGCGGTCAGTCACCGTCGGCAAGAGCTCGTCGTAGTACTTGATGAGGTCGATCATCATGAGCGCGGGCGACTTTGTCCACATCGTGTGCGGAGTCTCAACAAGCGGACGGATAAAGACAGGGGCCAGGCTGAGACCGAGCTTGTGCAGGAAGGCCAAATCGGGCTCTTCGGTGGGCGTAGTCTTGATGAGCTTGGACAGGTGGCCAAGCAGGGCATCGAGGCACACGAGATGAATCTTTGGCAGCTTGCTCAGGATCACACCGAGATCCTCGAGCACACCCTTTCGGATCTTTTCTTCCACTGCCGGGTCAAGGTCAGAGCCAGTGCCTGGAGCCCTCTTCCTCGCCTTGCCCTTATCCTTCTTTGGCGTCGCCTCTGTCGGTGTGTCGGGCGTCTCTTCATCGTCTTTGCCCGCTTCTGATTGCTCCTTCTTCTCCTTCTCCGCCGCCTTGATCCGCGCCTCCCGTTCCTGGCCCTGAGCTGCTGCATATGCGTTGATGACGTCCATCCACAGCTCGCTACTGATGAGTGAGTCAACAAGCTCGAGGCACCATAGCTTGACCGTCGCTGCCAAGGTGGGCGTGTCGAAGCGCGAGAGCTTGCTGTCCAAGCCTGCGCCCACGTCGGCACCAGGCACGCTCGAGCCGCCCAGGTGGCTGATGATGGCTTCACGGCAGGCGTGTGACGCCGACAGAGGCACCTCGTAGATCCACGACTTGCGCTTCTCCTCGTTGACACGAACCGTGAGCGACTTCTCGTCCTCAGCCTCCTTGGCCTCACCTTCGGCCGTCGTCGTGATCCTTGCCTTGGGCCAGCGCGAGGCGTCGTTGTACTGCCTTTCCAGCGCAGCAAGCAGGGCAGAGAGCGTCAGAGGCAAGGCAGGCAGACCAGACTTTGAGCCCAGGAAGGCAGATGTCCTCAGCGCCTCGCTCCCTTCGCCGTCTTCGACCAGAAGCGCCTCAGCACGCATGTATGCACGGAGGTTCATGCCGAATCCGCCCGCTCCGGCACCCATCAACGTGCTGGAATCGTCGTGGTAGTAAGGGTGGAAGACCTGGGCGACAGGACGGTACGGTCCGGTTCTGCTGTCGGCCATGACGTGCTGGAGACCGGCCAGCGGGTCCAGCGCCGGCTCGAGGGCGGCGCAACGCTGGAGTGAAGAGTGCGTCATGGGGAGGAGCGGCTCAAAGGCAGCATTGAAGGCGGCCAAGACGCTCTTGATGGCGCGAAGCCGCTCGGCCTCCCAACGCTCTGCCAGCTTGAAGTGCTCAGCGAGTGTCTCCTCAGTGCGGCAGCGAAGTTTATCGAGATTTCGGACGGCTTCCTTGTAGGCTTGCTCCGCCTGTTCAGCCTCTCTTCGGAGGCGCAAATGACGAGGCTCTGACAGGCCTCCGACAGCTGCACGCAGGTTCTGCACCGTGGGGTTGACAGAAGCCTTGGAGAGGGCGCTAGAAAGCGCACTTGAAAGGGTGACGCTCCTCTTGAGGCCTCCAAGAAGCTGCTCCTTGTCTTCTGACCGCTCCGACGTGGGCGACGAGATCTGGGCGCTGATGCTCCTTGGGCTCAGGGGTGTAAACTTGTCGCCCTCGGCCTTGGCGGCCGCATTGGCACGACGGAAGCCAAATTGCTGCCGGAGCGTCTCGCGGCGCTTGAGACGTTCGGGATCCGCCTCAGCCTTTTCATCCTCTGCCTCTGCCTCCTCCGTTTCATCGTGGTCGGCCTCCTTCTCGGGCAATGCTGGGAGGGCGGGGGAAGAGGAGGAAGCATGCATAAACGCTTCGTCACCCGAGTGCTCACCGCCGGCGAAGCGAGCGTCGTCCTCGGCCTCATCGGCCTGCCTGCACTTCTGGGCGTACTTTTGCTGCAGCTTGTCGGTCTGTTATTGCAGAAGTGTGAGTCAGCCATCAGGACGGCTTCAAACAAGAAAGAAGCAGAAGCCCGATCACCCACGTCTTGCCATTGTCGCTCGTACCACTCGACGGTGGCATCGAGATGCTCCCAGCTGGCCTGCACCCTCTTCTTGTGGTCCTCGCTCCACTTGCCAAACGGAATGGTAATTGTCTTTTCCAGGTTGCGGGCCACTCTCGAGTGGGCAGCGCTCTGGGCCGTCGTCGCTTCGGCCTCGAGGGTCCTGAATGCATGGCTAGCTGCACTGTCTCCTGCTGCGAAATTGCGCGCCGCGTCGCTGACGCCGCTTGTGAGGAAGCCCTTGAAGAGTGGAGCGGTGTGCGAGGGCAGCGGAGAGGGCGTCGCCAGCTTCTCTGCGTACTCAAACTCGAGGTTCGCCCGGTGGTCGACGAGCGACAGGACCGACGTGTCCTCGTCGATGCCGGCCTGCAGGCGCGAGTAAAGCGCCTCAAGACCCTTGCGGTAGTCTGGCGCCGACCAGAAGGAGCTCTGGAACGTGGCGGGGATATTGAGCGTCAGCGAGCCGGGGTGCGACATGGTGAAGCGAGATGGTCTGTCTAGGCGGGCGGAAAGTCCAGTCCAATCCAGCCCTGTCCTGTCCTGATCAGGAGCTGAGCGTTATCCCGGCAAAAGAGGGGACGTGCGAAGCGTCAGGAGGGTGTTACGTGGCAGACTCAAGGGTGGGAAAGAAGTGCTGTATGAATCGAGCTGTGCGCCGGTAGCTACTTCCTGATCGCTAGTGGTCGAAGCCCAAGTGGATTTCGGTAGCGCAAGTTGGCAACACAGCCCTAGGTCTGGCAGCTTCGTGGAGCAAGCTCTAAATGAGCCTTTCCATGTCTCGCCTAGCCCGAGATCACGTGCCCGGCGCCGGCCACTCTAAATTTTTCCTTTTGAAGTGTGTGTCAAACAGGAAGACACGGGCGGCGATCTTCTTCTCAATCGGTCATTCGAGTGTCCAGCATTCCTCTGCTTCCAGGATGACCGACGTCGAGAGCTCTTTTGCGCCCCAGTTGCTCGGCCAAGAGAGCCAGAGCAAACACCGCGAGAGCTATGCGGCTTCGAAGCCATACAGACACGCCGTCGTTGATGGCCTGATCAACGAGGACCTGCTGAAGAAGGCGCGAGACGAGATCGTCGAGGAGCTGCGATTCACCGAGAAGGAGACGGACATCTACAAGGTCAATCAGACAGGGGACCTCGCCAACCTCGATGGACTTCCCGAATCGGAGAGGCATAGACTAGAAGGCGTACTGCAGGTCCGCAACGCCATCTATTCCAAGCAATTCCGCCAGTGGCTTATGGCCGTTACGGGGTGCGGTCCCCTGAGCGAGAAGAAGAAGGACATGAGCATCAACGACTACACCAACGGCTGTCATCTGCTGAACCATGAGTGGGTGTTTCTGAGCGATATCTTTCCAAGCCTTCTGCTCACGACCTCTTGCGCTGCTGCCACAGCGACGTCATCTCTACTCGTCGACTATCATACATTCTCTATCTCCCCGACCCTGCCGAGGCGTGGAAGCCAGAGTGGGGCGGTGCTTTGGAGTTGTACCCTGTCGAGGGCAAACACGTTCCCTCGAACACGCCCAGCGTTGTGATCCCACCCAGTGAGTCCGTGTGAGAAGTCTTGTTTGGAGCTGCGCAAGGAGGCTCAAGTGTGCTTTGTATGCAGAGTGGAACCAGTACACTTTCTTTGCCGTTCAGCCGGGGCATTCCTTCCATTCGGTCGAGGAAGTGGCACACCCAACAAAGAGCCGATTGAGCATCTCTGGCTGGTTCCACCGTCCTCAGCCCGACGAAGAGGGGTACGATGAGGCCGATGAGAAGCGCGAAGAGCAGGAGCGAAAGGACCACGCCAGCGCAGAAGGCCTGCTCTCCAAAGAGTTCGACGCTGCATTCACGCCCTACGCAGACGCACTCGAGGCCCCTCTGCCAGGCTCGGACCTGTCTCTGGAGGACCGCAAGTTCCTGTCCTACTTTCTCAACCCGCTCTACCTCCAGCGTCCAAACCAGGCCGCCCTTTTTGACAGGTTCGGCGACGATTCGCACATCTTGCTCGCCGACTTTCTCAACAAGGACTTTGCGTCGGCCGTCGAAAGGGGGCTCAAGGCAGCTGATGGCCATGATCATCTCCGGTGGTGGGAGCTTGACGGCGGTCGCGAGAGGGCCTCCGTGCCAAAACACTCGACGGGCGTCGAGCGAGGATGGACGATTCAGGGACCTCCTCACCGCCAGCGTTTCCTCGCTTTGGGACAGCCCAGTGTACCTGCCGAGGAGAATCCAGCGCCTCCGTCGTCGGCTGCGTCGGAGCTGGATGCCGACGCCTTGATCGACGCGCTGAAGACGAAGCTGCTCCCTTCGCCTGCCTTTCGACACTTCCTCGCCAACATCTCCCAGCTCGTTCCCATCGGCGCACGGCCCATACAAGCCCGACGCTTCCGACCAGGGCTCGACTACACCCTGGCCCGGTCCGATGAGGAGGCAGTGCTCGATGTGGTGCTCGACTTGACACCCGATGTCGGACGCATGGCTGTCGAGGCTGCCGGCGCTGGCGCACCGCGGGGCCTAGCAGGCAAGGCCAAGAAGGCAAAGATGAACGGGTCGGCAAAGACGTCCAAGATTGGGCCGAAGGCGGCCAAAGCGCTCAAGGAGGCATGGCAGAACGGCGAGACAGGCGGCTGGGAGTGCTACATGGCGCCCAATGACGAGTCGGATGACCCGGCAGTGTACGGAAGCGGCGCAAAGCGCGAGGCAGAAGAGGCAGAAGAAAGTGCCGCAAAGGAGAACGGCAACGCAGAGGCAGGAGAGGGGCAGGACGGCGGCGCAGAGGACGAAGAACCGGTAGAGATGGAGCTTGATGAAGAGGAAGATGATGACGAAGAAGAAGACGAGTCTGGAGTGCTCCTGAATCTAACGCCGACATTCAACACGCTGAGCCTGGTCTTGCGAGATCAAAAGGTGATGCGCTTCGTCAAATACCTCAGCGCCAGCGCAGGCGGAAGCCGCTGGGACATCAGCGCCGAATACGAGGTTGGCGCGGCTGTCGTGGAAGAGGAGTGATTCGTGGTCGGGCTGGCTTGTTGCAATCATCTGTATTTCTTATCTCCGCTCCTCATATTCGATTCACTTTCAGCTCATCCGAAGTCACAGCGATGGCTCTCCGCTACAGCATCTGTCTCTCAGTCCCTTTGTGCTGTTCGCACCCTGCTTTCACTATCGCCTCATAAGAAATTGAGAAGGGAGGGATGTGGTGTGTGCACGCGCACGTGGGAAATTTGGCCCGCATTCTCGCTACCGGTATGGGGGCTTTTGGACATGCACGCCCCCCTATCGCCAAAAGCAGGGGTGGGAGGGGGCAGCGTGCTAAATACTGTACATTTGACTTTAAAAGGCCGATTGCACCGACAGATACATAGACGGGCTCCGCTCGCCTATTCCATGGCCTGCATCATTCCGTTGTCATCTCGTCTCTCTCTTATTTGAAAAGAGGCGGCGAAGAGGAAAGAGGGCAGCAGCAGTAGCCATGTCATCGTCGGCGGACCAGAACAAGGGCGGGGGTCCCCAGACCCCTGGGGGAGGAGCAGGAGGAGGTGGTCCAGCAGCACCTTCGTCGGCGAGCAACAAGCGCCAGTCATCGGTCTCCAACACCTCTTCTGCCATTTCTCAAAAATCAATGGTCGTGGGCGCTGGACAGGGAAAGAAGCAGCAGCAGTCAGCTCATAGCAGCGAAAACTCACTAAGCACGACGCCGACGCAGAGCCAGATCCACAGTGCGCCGACGTCGACTTCACGGCAGCAGCAGGCTTCCTCGACCGAGACCATCGGCAAAGGACAGCCCCCTCCGCCCTCCAGCCAGCAACAGGTGAGTTACCCTCCTCGTCCGGCTGTACGCATCTAGGTCGAGCTGACCGACTCTTGACCGCAGAGACAAGGCAGGATGTCGATCTCGGGTGAGAGGTCGACTTCGTACGCGACATCGGAAATCGACACTGTCTCGGGCCTGTCTGCGAGTGAGTACAGCTCTGCCGACGAGGACGGCGGTGGTCGCGGAGACAGGGGAGGCGCCGGCGCAGGGCCCGGTGAAGGAGCACGAGGAGGAGGCAGGGGAAGGTCCTCCATGACGGGGACCAGTGTGCCAGCGTCGAGCCTGAGCCGGTCGACAGGCCAGCTCGCCTGGGGACAGGCTACGCCTGCGCCTGGAGGCTCGGCGGCGGCGGCGGCGGCCTCAGCGTCAGGAGCGTCCAAGTCTTCGGCCAAAGGAAGGAGGAGGTCATCTGTGCAGACGAGGAATGCAAGCAAGGCGAGGCGAGGCAGCACGGCGCCCAAGGACTTTGACGACTACGACGAGGAAGACGGTCGCTTTGGCCCGCTCGACGATGAAGACGACGAAGTGGAACCTCACGATCGCGGCGAGGAGCTTGTCCGACGCCGCATGAAGGCTCGTCAGCGCGAAAAGGCGGCGCGTATCAAGGCTGAGAAGCAGAGAGAAAAGCAGCAGCAGCAGCAGCAGCAGAAGCAACAACCATTGAGCCCCCGCCTCAGACCTACCTCGCCCGGCGTAGGCTCATCTGCAGGCCAGCTAGAGCGAGAAGGACGGCCGACCCACATCAGCCTGCCCCCTCTCGATGGCAGCTCCCTCGCCCCGCTGTCTACGTCGTCAACGGCACCGCTGAGTCCAGGCACAGTGAGGGGCCCGATGAACTACCCCTCGCCTCATTCACACATTCGCAGGCCCAGCAATCAGCAGCAGTGGCAGGCTCAGGGGGCGCAGCAGCAGCCACCGAGTTCGGCGGGGATTCGGAGGATGAGTGGCATGAGCGGCATGAGCGCGTCGACAGCCGGGTGGGGCAACATCGGCCAGGCTTCCACCGTGGGCCCCCAAGGAGCGGGAACGAGGATGCCGCAGACGGCGAGGGAGCATGACGTCTTCTCCGACTCGGGCGAGACGTCCGCCCACACGCAAGGTCCGGGTAGCAGCATCACGGCAAGCAGCGATGTGGCACCCACGGCTGACCGCGAGTTCGATACCGACGAGGAGCGTGACACGGTCGCTGGCTTGGCAACGGACGCGCCCACTCGCAGCCACACGGGCGAGAGCCACACCGAGGGGCCGAGTGAAGAAGGCCGGGCCAACGAGAGTACTGTGATCCTTGACGATGAGCAGATCCAAGACGAGGGCGACCACGCGAGCGCACAAGAAGGTATTGAGGGCGAGCGAGGCCCAGAAGAGGACGAAGAGGAAGAGGGAGAGGTTTCACCGGGCAGCGGTCTGGGCGACGAAGACGGCAGCGACGACGGCGATGTCGAATACACGCTCAAGGATCGCCAGGACGCTATCAACATCGAGCATCCCTTCGGTCTGCCGATCTGGAAGCCGGCCCTCTACAAAAAGTCGAGGACAGTGACAAGGAACGCAGAGTCTGCGCTCCACTCGATCCCCAGTGCAGCGGCCGAGCGCCACCTCCTGCCTGGCAACCTCCTCTGGACCATCTTCGCGGGCTTCTGGCTCAGTGCCGTGTGCTTTGTATGCGCCATTCTTGTCAACCTGATGCCATTCGGGGGCAGCAAGTATGCCCGCGTGATCTGGGAACTGGGCGGCTACCTCTTCTGGCCGTTTGGAAAGTATGTCGAGGTTGAAGTGGCTCCCGGCAGCATCGAGCGGATCCGAGGAACGTCAGCAGCCTACGAACATGAACATCAACACCAGGGTAATGCTCACGGGGAGTCGTACGAGTACGAGAACTCGTTCACACCAGTGGCAGCTCGATATCCACATGACCACCACCATACCGTTTACTTCAACTCTAAGCCTACCTCTGGTACCGAATTCGAGAGACACGACACCCTTCGTCAGGAGGATGTTGGTCGAGATTCAGAGGCCGACACCACAACTGCTACCGCAAAGCCTAGTGACGGTCGCCAGCACAGCGGAAGCGAGGACGTTGAAGCCGCACTGGAGGTGCCCACAGAGTCATCAATTCTTCGTGGCAAGGCCAGATCGTACGGAACCATTACTGAAAATGGAAAGTCGACGGCGCCACTGACGGCACAGGAACGTCTGTTGGAGGAGAGGGATCTCTATGGATACGTCCAAGACGAACAAGGCCGCGACGTCGATCTCTACAGTCGCCTGCCGGGCATGTCTGCCTATCTGGTCGCATTCTGGCTCATCATTGCGCCACTCATGGGCCTCGTCTGCCTCGCTTGCTGGTTCACGGTCTTTCCTATCCCCATGGCAAAGCTCAACTGGGTCCTTCTCAAAAATCTCTCGAGTCAGCCTTTGGCACTTCACTTCCGCCGAGCCCCGAGGGCTCGTCCCTCGAGCTTCAATGGTGAGGGAGACGAAAATAACCAGGAGGACGAAGACGACGACAATCCTACGAGCAAAGCACAGGCTATCTTCCTCCCTCTCAAGCCGGGTCAATTTGCCCCCGGGCCCAAGAAGAACAAGGGTGGTCGCCTCATTCGTCGGAGCAAGATCTTACTGTGCACCTATCGGGCGATGGGTTTCCAGTACTACAAGTATACTGTCGGCGGCGTCAACATCCTGTTTGTCAACACGCTTCCGTTCGTCTTTTTCACCATCGCCGACTTCTTCCTCCTCGAGCCTTATGTCCATCGCCACCACATCACTGGCTTCCTGGCCCTGATCTCGGCAGAAGGCACCGTCTTCGTATTCGCCCTCGGCAGCGTCATCCCACTTTCGTACTTCATCGGCATGGCAGTCGCTAGCATCAGTGCACAGTCGAGCATTGGCATGGGTGCTGTGATCAACGCGACATTCGGTTCCATCATCGAAATCATCCTCTATGCCATTGCCCTTACGCAGCACAAAGCCCGCCTCGTCGAAGGTTCCCTCGTCGGCTCCATCCTGGCCGGTGTCCTGCTCATGCCAGGCATCTCAATGTGCTCTGGTGCGACAAGGAGAAAGGAGCAGCGCTTCAACGCCCGGTCCGCTGGCGTGACGAGCACGATGCTTATCATGGCGATCATTGGTATCCTCACGCCCACGCTGTTCTACCAGATTTACGGCACCTTCCAACTAACGTGCAAGGGATGCCCAGAGGGTGGCATGCCTGGCGAGGCTTGGACGTGCAAGCGATGCTACTACCAACACGTGCCGCCGGCCACAGACCCCTTCTATCAAGACAATGTAAAAGGCTTGATGTACACCTGCACCGTCGTCCTCGTCCTGTCGTACGGGGTCGGTCTCTGGTTCTCTCTGCGTACCCACGCCTCACAGATCTGGCAGAACCCTCAACCAGTGCCCGCCCAAGTCCCAGCTCAAGGCACGCTTCCTCACCACCACTCGTCGCAGCAGCAAGCAGAAACGATGCAGCCCCCACAACCTCAGGGTATTCTGGCGCCTGTCCAGCGCAATTCGATCTACAAGCGTCTTGTGCCGACACTCTTGCCGAATAATCGACCACCGAGCCAGGGTGGAAGCACGCTCAAATCTCATCGGAGCACCGCCTACAACCCTTCGGCCGTTGAGCATGGAGCCGAAGCGAGTGGCGCCAGTCGTGGACCAGCCCACACGACGGGCTCGTCGAGCGAGCCTGCGCCGCTGCAGCTGCCCGAGAGCTTCAGCCAGGCCGATTACGAACGTGCCGTGGCGCTGACTGCTAGTGCGTTCCAGACGGCTATTCAGCAACATCAGAATCAGCAGCAGCAACAGCAACAGCAACAACAACAGCAGCAGCAGCAACAACAATCAAGATCTGCCCACATGCCGCATGCTCCGACCTCGGCAAAGCACATTTCGATGCATGAGAGCGAGCACCCCGATGCAGGTGGAGGTGGCCACGGCGGCCACGACGCGCCCTCTTGGACCCGCGCCACCTCGCTAATCGTCCTCATCTCCTGCACGATCTTGTACGCGGTCATTGCTGAGATCCTCGTCGATGCGGTCGATGTCGTGCTCAAGGGCTCCGGTCTCGATATCAAGCTTCTGGGTGTGACTCTCTTTGCCCTGGTACCCAACGCGACCGAGTTCATGAACGCCATGTCATTTGCGATCAACGGCAATATTGCCCTGTCGATGGAGATTGGCTCCGCCTATGCGCTTCAGGTCTGCTTGATTCAGATTCCCGCCATGGTGGCATTCAGTGCTTGGTACAATGCCGGCCAAGAGGTCGTCGACATTCACTCGACATTCAGCCTCATTTTCCCGCGGTGGGACGTCATTGCCGTCATTTTCGCCATCTTCCTCCTCACCTACACCTACATCGAGTCGAGGTCCAACTATTTTAGAGGCACGCTGTGCATTCTCTCGTACGTCGTCCTGGTCTCGGGCTTCGTCTTTGCGCCGCCGACGGGCGACACGGAAGACCCAGGCGATGATGGTTCCGGCGAAGGCACGAACCTACTCCAACACTTTTCTCTCGCTGGCAACGGCGCCTTTGGCGCAAGTCCTCTGTCTCCCTCATCTGCCATGACCACAACGGCATTTGGCGGCCTGAGGCAGCCGACGACTGGCTTTGCACCAATCCTTGCTGGTGCTCAGTGGATCGGAGCAATTGTCACGAGCCTCTGGACCAGATAGTCAATCTGTCTTCCTTTTCAATCCTTTGTTCATATCAATCTCAACATAAAAGTCACGTCCTCTCAAGTCAAGCCATAGTGGAAAGAAACGACACCGTAATGATATTTGAAACCAGCTCCCCCGCTCGTTTGATGAAGTGAGAAGTGAGGGTATATAGAGGAAGCAGATTGGGGGAAAGGGGTAGCAATCAGGTAGAAGAAGCGAATGCTTCACGGATCCGGCGAGCTGCCAATTCGTAGCTCTCCTGTCTGAGCTCTTCGGCATGGGTGCCCGGCTTGACCATGTGGTCCCAGCCATGTCCCTGCCCGGGCACTTGCAGGTGCACGGCGCCCTTGTTGGGACCGCCGATGAGGTGTTCGTACATTTGTTCACCCTCTCTCGCCAGCGAGTCGCCCTCGCATGTAATGAGGGTTGTAGAAGCCGGAAATGCAGCCGGGTCCGCATAGAGGGGCGATACCTGCGGATCTTTTCGCGAAACGTGGGGCGGCAGATAGGAGGCGTAAAACAACTGGCGAACAACGGGAGGGATGACACCTCCAGCTGGTTTCCCCTCCTTGCCCGGCTTCGTCGGTTTTGGCTTCACTTTGGGCTTGGCGTACGGAGACTCGGCAACATTCGTCGAAGGGTAGAAGGCGACGACGGCTTGAGGAAGCTGGGAGGGGCCGCCAGTGGCGTGGAGACGGACGCACGCGGTCAAGACCAGATTGCCTCCGCTGCTGAAGCCCGTCAGGGCGAGCCGCGTCCGGTCCCAGCGGCTCGTCTCGAGAGAAGGCTGGCCGTCTTGCTGCTTCTCAAGGATGGAGGTTTGGAGATAGCCGCCAGAACGGATCCATTGGACGAATGCATGCACATCGTCCAGTGCGGCGGGGTATGGGTCCTCAGGCGCGTGACGGTAGTCGACGTCGAGCACCACGGCACCAACCTTGTCAGCGACGAAGCGCAGAAAGCGGGCGTCGGTGCCATGGCCGGGAATGCAGAAGCCTGAACCATGCAGATTAACGATGATTGGCCATTTACCTCGAGTGTCGTTCGATGATGGTGACGACGACGGAATCCAAACGTCGAAACGGATCTTAGAGCCCTGGGAACCACGCTTCGACCAGGGAAGCGTGATCGTGCGTGAGGGCTTGGGCGCAGGTGGCGCAGAGGAGAAGGTGGCGCTGAGAACCCGGATGAGACCGATGAGACCCCGGAGAGCCTTGATCCCGGCCAGCTTGAGTACGTACATGATCGTCCGGGTCAAGACAGACAACATGGCTTAGCTGAGCTGAGTCGAGCGCTCTCTTAGCTTTGCTGACTTCTGACGCGCAGAGTGGAGCAAGACCGTGTCGGTTTTCGGGCGTCTTTTCCGAGCCATCTCGGAGACCACGTGCGCCTCAGCATAGAAGCACCTCGTCGTCTTCATCTTCATCATTCTTGCCAAACGTTGCCACCATCAACACTCCTACTCAAAGAAATCTACCAGTCAACGACTTTTCATAATGCCTCGCTCGTCTCGCTCCGGAGGTTCGCGGTCAGCACCTGCTGGCTCCCGTGGCACGCACACGATGGCCTCGTCTCGCCCCTCCCAGCCTCAGCACCAGCCTGCTCCTCACGCAAACCAAGCCCAGACGCCGATGCAACAGCAGCAACAGCGAGGCCCTGGACTGTTTGGGCAAATGGCCTCGACAGCAGCCGGCGTAGCTGTGGGATCTTCGGTCGGACACGGGCTCTCCAACATGTTCTTTGGCGGCGGCGGGAGCTCGCAGGAGCCCGCACCGGCCCCGGACGCCTCGGTTTCTAACGCTGGCTACGGCAGCCCCAGCAACCCCGGCCAGCCGGGTATGAGTTGCGAGGTTCAAAGCAAAGGTGAGTCTTGCTTGAATGGTGATACATTCGCTTCTTTGGCTACTGCTGACGATCGAGCCTCGTTAGATTTCCTTCGGTGCCTTGATGCAACCAACAACGACATGAACTCGTGTGCTTTTTACCTTGACCAGCTCAAGGCGTGCCAGGCCGCTGCTCGTCCGTACTGATGATGGACATGTCGGCCCGCCTTTGTCGTCCTCGTCGAAGGAGGCTCCCCCTAGCAAAGAAATCTACGACGAACGACGCTCTGTCCATTACTAAGCAAGCTTCCTCCATCCATCAGCCATAAGACCCCATGCAGCATCACTTTTCACCGCTCTCATAATCAGTAATCAATCTTTGGTCATCTTACCATGTTATAAACTGTCAGCCTGCGCAGTCACATGCTGCCATCAGATCACGTTTCACAGACCTTAAGCCGTGTGGCTGGCTTTCTTTCCCAGGTGTTGTGTTCCGCTGTATCAATTCCACTAAGGACTAAGAATCTCCGCCTTCGGACGCGACCGCGACCCAGAACGAGCTTACCAAAGCGATGGTCATAGCTCAAATTCGCTTGTTCCTGCTCCCGATGCACAAACAGGCCACTAGCCTGGCGGTTGTCAGCTTGCGAAGCACATCGAACGCGTGTTGCCGGCAGACTAAGATCGACATGCAGTCTGGATTTGCCTCTTTTGTCCCGCTCGGCTTGCTAGAGAATATAAGCTGGTTGCGCACGCACCCATCGCTTGCGGTGATGCAACGAATGATCTAGGCGCCCGAACGGAGATCTAAAGAAGGGCAAACATCAAGATTTGTTTGTCCCGTGACTGTCCAGCTCCAGCCAATTCACAGCATCTGATTGCGTAAACAGCAAGTGCCCTACCAAACGACGTCAAGCAAATAATTTGTGGTGTTCCTAAGAAGGCTCGGCTTCGAGAGTTAGCTCGTAGTAGTAGCAGTGCGGTGTGAGTCTTCCCCGTCGCTTTCAAACTTTCAACATCCTGCGTGTCAAAGCCAAGCCAAGCTACCGCGCCGCAGAATGTCATCAAACCAATTTAAGCAACTTCTCGCTCTCCATCGTCCCATCTGCCTCGGCGCTACGTTGTATTGTGGGGCAGCGGCAAGCAGCTAGTAGTGCTTGTGAGTCGGGATGTATTTACCGACCGGAGCTAGAGTAGCAACCGCATATCAGGCCCGGCGTTGAAAGTTGTCGCTCGTTGCCGGCAGTGCAAGGTGACAATGAAGAAGCAATCATGCATTAGTCCAAGCTAATGCAGGCAAGAAAGATGCTGTCTTCTTCCTCTTGTCTACGGTAATACAGAAGTTGTAGCTGCTTGTCATATTGTCAGGAAGGAGAGGGGCGGGGAGGGGTCCGAGAACTTTTGGGAGTCGGTTCAAGTAAAGCTCTGGGCCCAGACTATGGGCAAGGTTTCGAGAAGCAGGAGCCACAGTAGTAGCTAATTTTGAATCGACTTCTGTCTTGGAAAAAGAAGGTAGAGCTTTGTCCTCGATCTATCAGGATTCTCACCGTCGGTCGATGCACACTCGGCTGCACCGCTATTGTGCTTCTGCTAGAGCTGCACAGAGCTCGGAGGGGGACGCTCAATCTCAGGCTCTTGCAAGCTAATCCACGGGACCTTTTTTTCTGCGCAAGGTAGGTCAGTGATCGCATGAGTCCCGTTTCCGGGGTCCGATGGGGAGCTCGCATGCATCGAAAAGTTTGAGAACGTATGAAGCTCGGATGGGTGGCTGAGCCGCTTCCCTCATTCAAAAGCATGGGAGCGCTTGTACGACTTTCGTTCCCACCAAGCGAGAAAAAAAGAGCCCTATTAATATTTTGGCCTCTCGATTGGGTGCATGGACACATGTTCTGCCATTCTAGCTCAGCCAGCTTGAAGTCTAGGGAGAACTAAATGAGATTGAGTTCTAGGGGAAATCCGAGGCACTGCACCCTATTAGGAAGAAATTTGCTTGTTAACCCTCGCTAACAGTCTCCGTTGGTTTATTCTTTTTCGAAAGAATCCAAATAAACCCTATATTACTTGCCCGTCTTGACACATTCAAAGCTCACACTGCTCCTATGCCTTCGCCAGCAACAGGGGCATGCCTTTTTTCTTCCCGTTTGGACTGACAAGTTCAGTCCCACGCCATAGGAGAGCAGGTCTGTATGCCTATGAGTCCCCGGCAGACCCGAAGGAGGAGCGGCTTTCGACTCCTTTGGATCGCGCCTAATTCCCCCTTTCGTGCTTCTAGCCGTACCGTGAGAGAAAAGAGAGCAGCCCCATACGCAATTGAAATAAGCACAAGCACCGGGTATGTGTGGACGTACAATGGGGTGGACTATACTACTGGCCTGAGTAATTACTGGGAGGAAAGCTCACAAAACACTTCGCCTGCAAAAAGATTTGGGGCTGGTAATTTTATAGCATTATTAGGGACATTAAAATCAACCTTCTCGAAGTCGGCGTACAGCTTATTCCCCAAGAGGGGAGCAGGTATCGATAGGTCTGTCAGGGAAAAATAGGGAAAGCTTACTTGGGTGTCAACACGTCCCCTTTCTAGAGGTCGGACCCAGCGCATCGAGAGGCGTCTCTCGCTCGGCCCTCCTACTTGCACCATCTCGCTTCTCGACGATCGTCGACCGCACACTCTTCTCGCGGAGTCCGAGCGACGGCAGCAACAGCTTCCGGCACCTTGACTAGTTCACCTCTGTCATTTCTGCGACACTGCACTTCAGGTCCGGTGCCGGCTCACCTCCTGGTTGTGTTACTCGTTTGGGGGCAGGTGCACCTCTTCCCCTCTCCTGTGCGCAACGACACAAAAGACGAAGAGAGTGCGGACAGCGCTAGAGTAAGGTTTGCGATTGGTGAGTGTCCATCTTCCACGTACTTCGGAGAAAGAGAACGGTCCGAATTGTTTGTGACTGGGTGCGGAGGCGGAAGCGGACGAGGAAGGGGGTGCCTGTCTCACTTAGGGAAGCAAGCAAGCCGAGCTTGTCGGAGAGCGCGGATTGCTACATTCCGAAGTGTTCAGATCAGGGCCCTCGCAGCTTCGTCGGGGGGCGGGCCAGGGATAAGTGGTGGTTTTATTCCATCGATTGCGACATATCAATCAAGGGGGGAGAGGCGACGCGTCTCTTCTACGTGCCTGTTTTGCTGGCGACCCGGTCTCGTCTAGTACGTACGTGACATCTTGGCCGAGACGCAGGCTCGTCGAGGCTGGGAAGAGGCAGTGGTGCAAGGAACATTTATGCGGTCACAGGATGGATTGGGAGAGAGAGGCATGACAAGCAAAGCTAGGGCCATGTGGCGTGGAGCTGCTATTGCGGTGGCGGCTAGATCACCAAAAGTCTCCTTATGGTCCACACCTTAAAGAGGCTCCATGAGCCTTGGGAGGACCCTTGCGCCGACCAGATGGGGAAGGTTACAGATGGGCCGAGGAGCAGATGCCTCGGTGACAATCGGATGCCGCCTTTTCTCTGGGTCGATTTGCTTGCTTGCTTGCTGGGCGACCGTTTCGGGATAGCGGCAGAGCTCTAAGTTCTCCTTGCTTTCTTTTATTTATTTTTTCTTTTGGATTTTCCTACCTTTCTCGATTCACCGTCCTGTCCCTCCCTCAATTTTCCCTATTGAGTAGTGTAGGAGTACACACACTACGTACTCCCTACTTCCTCTACTTTCGATCTTTTCCCGTTCGCGTTCCCCCCCTCCTGGGATCGCCTTCGCTTCGCTTCCGGTCTCGCTTTGGATCGCTTCTCCCCCTCTCTTCTCTCTGCATGGGAAAGCCAGCCTTTCCTCTTTGACAGGGTCTACCGTGGCAGACAGAACGGCCTATTGACGCAAAACGCTCTCTTTCATTCCCCTGCCACTCTCTATCGCGCGCGCATTACACCGATCCACCAAACGCGTGCCTATCGACGACGTGGACACATCACGTACCCATCCCGACTTCCTCTGGTGGTGCTGGCCATCACACATAGCAGCAGCTCTATTCTGGCCGGACGTAGAAGAGGGCGGCAAGGACCACGGACCGTTAATTGGTAAAAATTATCACCTCCGCGACGGATCACATTTAGTCGGAGCACAAAAGGTTCAGAAACAAAAGGATTCTCGACAGATTCGAGCATGGCACCCGTGGCAATGAGCGCGAGCCTCTTTGGTGGGGCCTCGTCGAAGAGGGGAAAGGGTTCTTCCCAACCACCAACGGCTGGCGAAGAAAAGATGGCAGTTGGCAGGCGACCATCCGAGGCGATGGCCTCAAGCAGCATCGAGACGGTGCTCGGCTCCAGCCACCGCGAAGACGGGCCGCCGTGGTCAAGAACAAAGGGTGCCGCTGCCGCTGCCGCATCAAGAGTGTCGCGACCTGGTCTCATGGACAGGTCTGCACCAATGTCGTATTCGTCGACATCTGCGACGTCGTCTTCCTCTCCTCGGCTCTCCTCCTCTTCACAGCACACATACGGAGGTCAAACCGGAGAAGGAGACGATTCACAAGCGGAAGTGTACCTCGAGTCGGATCAGGAATCAGACAGCGCGAGTAGCGGTGTTGCAGGGCCCGAAGAGTACGTCGTCGCGCTCCACGATTTCACCTCGAACAACGCGACTTGCCTTTCCTTTGCCAGCGGCCAGGTCATCAAGGTCTTCAACAGGGACTCCTCGGGCTGGTGGGACGGCGAGCTTGACGGCGAGCGAGGGTGGTTTCCCAGCAATTACGTCGATGAAGGCAACATTGCCATGGGAAGTCCCTCCAACCGGTCCGTTTCTCTGTCTGGCGACAGCCCGCGGCAGAGCTTCGACGGTAGCAGCGCATACGACAATGATGGTACGCTGCAGGCACATATTTTCTCGTCCGCCGCCTCAATTGCCCCTTCAGCTGCCCCTTCGACGGCCACAGTCACGTCGCACTCGTCTTCGTCGCACAAGACGTTGAGTGCGCGCTCCGGACACCTGCGACCCTCGCGCTCGCCGACGCCGACGACGAATAACTACCAGCGAGGCACGGCTGGCGGCTCCTCGTCTTCGTCCTCTTCCTCTTCGTCGAGCGTCTTGGATCCCATTCTGCATGCCATTTCTCTCCTGCACAATGCCGTGCGGGCCAACCGCATCGCCCACTTCCAACCGTCGACAGCCTGCGTCATCTCTTCGGTGCGCTCGGTCCTCTCGGCCACCGATTGCCTCACGCGAGAGACAACGGTGCTCAAGGCGCACCCTGTTCTGGCAAAGGAGCGCAAGCTCATCCTCTCGGAGCTCAGCAGGCTCGTCACGCAGGCCCGCACCGCTTCGACGCCGACGCCCGATGAGGCGCAACGGATCGTTGAGATGGATGAGATGCTGAAGCTGGCCGACTGCGTTCTCAAAAACGTCCGTCGGTTCCTCGATGTTGCCGTCGAGTGCGGCGTCTCCGTGCCCGACCGCCGCTCCTCGGTCTACGACGATCTGTATGCCGATGGTGGCGCGAGCAGGCGTCATGCTTCGCATGCCTCACCTCCTCCCGACCGCTCCGAGCAAGACAAGACGCCCACGCCACAATCACCCCGCAGCTCGGCATACCTGACCGCATACACCTCGGGTCAGATGTCGCCGAGAAGCTCGCGAAGCTACTTTTCCGCCGCACGCAACTCGAGCTATCCTGTGCCCGAAGAGGAAGAGGACGACGACGACGACGACGAGGACCTGGCCGATGAAGACGAAGAAGAAAAAGACGGTCGAGGAAGCGAGCGGCAGCACATGACTCAGGCCGCACGAATAAAGGCCGAAGCTCAGGCTCGACACCGTCCAACAAATGGAAGCGCTGTCAATAGCGGTTTGCCGCACGCGTCAACATCGTCGACGTCGCTCTCGTCTCTGATCTTTTCGACGAGCTCGCACGACTGTAACCCAGAGGAGGTGTTGGAACGCCTCAACGCAACGAATGATCAGCTGCTGTCCATCATTGCGGCCTTTATTGGCCACATCCACAGCCACAGCCGCGACAGCCACGCTTCGAGCTTCGCCCATCTCATTGACATGACGAGAGAGATCGTCGACGGCGTCCGCGCCCTTCTTGTTATCGTCGAGGCCGTGCACGACTCAGAAACGCTCAAAGCGGACATGCCCCGCCCCATGGCCATCCTCAAGGACACGCGCGAGAGTCTGTATGAGGCCACTACCGCTCTCGTCACGGCCGCTCGCATCGTTACCTCGGCACCAGGCCAGAGTGCAACGGTGGACGAGGACGAAAAGGAAAAATTGCTCAACACCGCAACTTCAGTGCTCCGAACCGGGGGCGAATGCGTTGGCGCCGTTCGACTCTGTCTGAACAAGGCCGACACAATGATGTTGCTGACACTTCCACCGCTCATGCCGGCTCACCAACACCCGTCTCAGCGAAGCGTCAATGGTTCTTCCACCAGCCTTAGCAACGAGGGCGATGAGGACGAAGACGAAGATGGCTACAACGATGACGACGATTATGACAGTGCAGATGTTGATGCAATGGAGCATAACATGGACGACTACAGCGTTGCCGATCGAGCCACGAACGGCGTACGTAGGGGCAAGCATACACTCTCCTTCTTGGGTCGCAAAGCCACGAGCCTGAGCTGCCTGCGCGAGAAGTACGAACAAGACAGTGCACAATCTGCTGGACACTTTGACCAGATCGATGAGGACGACGACGCCAACGATGAGACTTACCCCGATACCACGCTTCGCAAGATCAAGAGCAAGTCTCCATCGCACTCCGCTTCCGGTTCGTCTGATTCTTCACGATCTTCCGGCCTTGCACCTGCTTCGCGCAGGAGAGGCAGAGCCGCTACCAACCTGAGCAACGGCTCCAGCAACGGCTCCAGCACTGGATCACAGACGTCCAACGGCGCGCACAAGTCCAATGCTTCTCTCAAGCCAGAGACTGCTGGTCAAATGACAGAGTCCACAGGCGACGGAAGCGACTCGAGCGAGCCCATGTCGCGGGATCACTCGAGAGCGTCTGGATCGACGCTTGATGCGCGCTCAGACACGACAGCTGACACGTCTGCGAGGCCCTCGATGGACCGCAGCGAGCCCTTGAACTTCGACGAGCTTGGTCCTATGCCTCATACGGCTCCCGTCAACGGCTCTTTCGGTAGAGACAGGAGCGCTAGTGCTGCTCCTCAGTACTCTCAAACTCAGCAACAGCAACAGCAGCAAGGTTCAGCGAACTCGATCGCGCGTCGAGGTAGTGATGGACCTGAGCTTTCTTCATCGGCCCCCGCCATGGGTCGCGCCCGTGCGGGAAGCAGCGCATTTGCGTCCATGCAGCAGGCCGGAAGCGCACCTTCCCCGACATTGTCATCAGGGCCAAGACCTGCGTCAGGCGATCAAAGCTTTGTGGAGCCCGACTACGGGCCTAACGACATCATTTTCAACTCTGAAAATCAAGTCACTGGTGCCACTTTGTCTGCTCTCGTCGAGCGCATGACACCCCACGACACTACTATTGACGCGACCTTTGCGACGGCCTTTTTCCTCTGCTTCCGCCTCTTCACGACACCAATGGAGCTCTTGGAGACACTCGAAGCCCGGTACAACATGAGGCCGTCTGCGAAGGTGGAACTAGATGCAGATGAATACACGCGCTGGATGGAGATCAAGGTGGCACCCGTTAGACTTCGCGTGTTCAACTTTTTCAAGACTTGGCTCGAAGCGCACTGGAACCCGCCAACGGACTTTGTCATCCTCAATCGCCTCATCGACTTCATTCGTACTTCCATGACGCACTCGCTCCACCGCCCTGGTCAGAGACTCGCAGAACTGGCTCTCAAGCGTCAGGCGGCCGGAGACAGCCCCGCTGGCAAGCAGATCAGCTTCCCCACTGCAGCCACGGTCAAGCTGCCTTCGAAGAACCACCCGGCATCCCTCAAGCGGATGGTGTCAACGGACCGAGTCAAATCGGTCGGCGTCAACGGTGGTGCTACGATGAGCGCCCTCTCTAGTGGTGGTATGCCTTCGCCCCTGTCGGAGGTGCCGAGCATGTACTCCACCAGCTCGATGGGCAGAACATCTTCGGGTGGACCGGCACCAACGCCCATCGTAAGCAAGGCGCTTTTGAATCAGCTGCGCGTCACGCCTCTCCCGCGCATCAACATTATCGAATTTGACGCTACGGAGCTCGCGAGGCAGCTGACGATCTTGGAAAGCAAGATCTACTGCTCCATCCAGCCAGAGGAGCTCATCGGTCAGGAGTTCAGCAAAAAGGCCGGTGTCAGCTGCGCGGTCAATGTCAAGAGCATGAGCTCGCTGAGCACCCACATCACGGGCTGGATCAGCGAGTGCATCCTCGGTGAATTTGACGCTCGAAAGCGAACACAGTTGATCAAGTTCTTCGTCAAACTTGGTGATGTGAGTTATGATTTGCCTCCCATTTCTTCATGGAGCGGTTAGCTTACGGGGCCTTTTTTTTTCTCTTGCAGCGATGCTTGGTGTTGAACAACTTCAACACCCTCATGGCCATCCAGTGCGCTCTCAATTCGTCTACAATCGCTCGTCTGAAGAAGACATGGGACGGCCTTCCGACAAAGTACAGAGGCATGCTCGAGCAGCAGCGTCGAGCCACAGAGCACACGCGCAACTTTGCCGCCTACCGCCAGAGACTCCGGGCCACTCTGGCACCTGCATTGCCCTTTGTCGGCCTCTTCTTGACCGACCTGACGTTCTGCCACGAGGGCAACTCTGCTACTCGGCTCCATCCTGCAGACCCACAACGCAAGCTGCTCAACTTTGACAAGTATGTCAAGATGAGCCGCATCGTCGGCGAGCTTCGGCGTTTCCAAATGCCATACAACCTCGTCGAGGTGCCGGAGATCCAGGCGTACCTGCACGCCATCCTTGATGACGTCCAGAATGGCAAGGGGGCAGGCTCGGCAGACGATCTCTACCGCAAGTCGCTCATGCTCGAACCTCGGTCCACGTCTTCTTCTCACCAGCATGAGATGCCGCCATCAGCCGCGACGATTGCGAGCCGATCACAGGAGTCGGGGAACAACAAGCTGGGTCTTGACATTTTCAACTGGAAATAGTTATCTGCCGTTCCTCCTTCTCAGCTTCCTCATCACTTTCTTTTAGCATTTCTCCTTGTCTCTATCAGATATTCATTTTCCTTTGTATTTCGTACCGTATCGGGATTGCCGTAAGACCATCAGCACACTGCCTCGTCACAATCTCCCCCTCCCCTCTTCTTTTGTCTTCACTCTCTCTCACATTGCCCTGTCTTTACTCTAGCCCCTCTGGTCATTTTTCCTGTCACTTTTCGTCTTTTCAACTTGATCTCTTCTTCTCTGCTCATGCAATTCTTGTCCAACTTGCTGCAGTCTGATTCGCACACTCTACTCTACATTGTCTATGGCTACAAGTCTCTATGGAAAACAAAGCTGGAAAACAACACAAAGGCCGAAACGGTAAGAAAAGTAACGAAAGGGGAAAAGAAACACTATCAAAAGGCAAGAGGCAAGTGATCCAGCGCGAGATCCTTGACTACAAATCGGCCGCTGGCGTTGCTCGGGGAAAGGCGGCCTCCGACGAGATCGCCGAGGCTGGGCGTCACGCGACCTGACCTCGCCCCGAGGGGCAGGTGGGCGGCAGAAGCAAAGGCCTTCTTCTTTGTGGGCGTGAGGCAGACGGAAGCTCTGCGCGACGAGTCGGCTTGAAGCTGAAGTTTGGCAGAGACGTGCGCCAGGAAAGGCGAGAAGGAGCCGTCGCCTGATCGCGGTGTGGACGGAGCCGAAGACGTCTGATCGGGCGAGACGACGATCGAGGGCAGGCCTTGCTGCAGCTTTGAGGCAGAAGGCAGAGAAGCAGCGATGCGCGGGTCTTCGATGAACGCGCGTCTCGCCCAAGGCTCCAAGTACTCGGCGTCGTCTTCTTCGTCCCTTTGCTCATCATCCTCTGCGTGTTCGGAGCGATGCTGCTGTGACTCAATTTCCTCAAATCGGCCGAGGACGAGGATGGCGCGCTTGGCACACCACTCGACAATGTCGTTCAAGAAGCGTTGGGCTACACCCTTTCCCTTTGGCGAACATCTTGATGATGATGATGACGGTGAAAACCTTGCTAGCCCTTCGCCATCGGGTCCGACAGACGAGAGGAGAGCAGCGGCGCTAAAGAGGTACGGAGCCGTGTGCGTGGTGAGGTTGTCGAGGAGAACGTCTGCGGTGAGCTGGAACAGATGGGGTAGCGTGTACAGGTTGCTGAGATGGAGTAGCCTCAATGCCGTGTGCCAGCTCGGTAGGTGCGGTCCAGAGCCGCTTTCCTCTGCAAGCGAGTATAGGCTCGACAGCGTTGATAGAGGTTGCCGAGTGAGGTACGATGGTAGCCGGTCCGTGTAAAGATACGCTGCGAGGGCATAGACAACTTCGTAGGGCTCGTCAACTTTCGCAATACCGAGAAGCGCCTCTTCCATGGCGCTGTTGAGGAGCGAGGAGAAGTGGGGCAACCTTGAGAGCAGGATGAGCTTGTGGACGTGTACCGGAGCGGCCTGAGGCCATGTCGACTGGAGGACAAAGTCGGAAGGCAGGATGGTGTACGGGGATCGACCATCTTTGCAAAAGGCGGGCGAACCCAGCAGGGCTTCATAATCCCGTGCCACCGTCGATGAGACGGCGCCATCGAAAGCGACGGAGAGATCCGCCTGGATGGGAGATCGTACAGCAGCACGGTCAACAGCGCCCAGGTCGCCATCGTCAAGACGGCAAATAGCAACGACGAGACTTGTTGTGGAGACGAGGAACTCGCAAGCACCAACGGTGCCCGGCTGGTCGTCGTCGAGCTGGATCCAAGCACCCGCCTGTGGGCTATAGAGATGAGCCAGATCGGAACCTGAGGCAGATCGTCCAACGATCAATGCGGCTTCCTCTCGAGCTTTGACAGCGAAAAGCTGACCGTGGTAGGCATCCTCGGGTGGTTGTCCATGCTGGCCGAGGGACTCGCAATAGGTCTCGTCCTCGATCGAGGCCGTGTCGAGTCCGCCGCTGGCGTCGTGGCGGCGCCACTGGAGCATGACTTTGTCCACAGCGATGCTTAGCGACTCGCTTGGCGTCACGTCTGCTCCCAGCTCATCTCGGCCTCCAACAATGAGAAGCTGCCTTTTAACCAGCACAGCAGCGTGACCGTACCGCTGTGGCAGTTCGAAGCGAGGTGACCAGCGCAGCAAGCGAAGATCAAGGATCTGCAGCGTTCCCATGACCCTGGTGATGCCATTGGCGTGCGAATAGCCCCCGACAACAAAGAGCATCGGGCCCTGATCCGTTTCGACGACTGTAGCCGTATGATGGATCCTTGGTGCGATGTCTTTGACATCGATGATGCCCTCATTCAGGCTGGCAAAGTCTTCTCCTGCGTCTGTCGCACGGAACCCAGCTCGTAAAGGGAGCCAGGTCTGCGCATCGACGTCGAAAATGTCAACCTCGCCGCGGTAGCGTCCGGACTCGTCTGTGCCACCGAGACAGCAAAGAAAGTGCCGCTTGCCCAGCGTCCCTTCCAAGCAGAACGCAGACAAGGAATGGCCAAAGCGTGGGCCTGGACTGTGCTCGAGCGTGCTCTGGTATCACATGTTAGCCGGCATGCATCAACCGATGTACATTGTAGATTGCCTCTACTCACCTCGACCACTTGCCAATCGAGCTCGCCCGCCTCATCCACGTGTAGCTTTCTCAATACCGCATCGCCACCTGCCTGGGGAGTATGGCTCGCTGGTCCTGCAGCTGCGGCCCCTCCAAAGACGTACAGATCCTCGCCATCTCCTGCTTGAGCGTAAGCCGGCCTTGGGAGTGGTGCTAGGCCTGTGTCACAGTCAGCTTTGCGGATCCTGGCTTTCTCGCTATAAGCCGCTCCCTTCTTGCAATCTCACCATTGATTTTCGTCGTGCTTCGAGTGTCCATATCGTACCGTCAGTCAACTCGTCGTCGTGAGGGGGGAGCAGACGGTAAGCCCCTTGATTGACACCGTCTTTATCAAGAACCCCTTCCGGGGAAGTGCCGGGTCGCGTCAGGCTATCTAAGCGTGTTTGTTCTCCCAGGAAAAAATTTATTGAACTTTTGAAAAATAGTGAAACCCCGGTGAAAGCGGAGAATCGGCCTACCAAAACCGGGTCTTAGATCTGGGAGGGGTGCGAGCGAGGATGCAGCAGCGCGCATGTATAATGGACTCTTCCGTTTCTTACATCTAGATGGGTGGTGGTGATGCTCCTCTCTATGGCAAAAGATCGTCTACAAAGTGTGCAAATGAATCAAACGTGGTGACGGGAACGGCTGCCCGGTCTTCGTCTCCTTTCCTGTACTTGCCTGTCCTGACTGCAAAGGGATGAGCCGGATGGGTGGTGGAGAAGGAGGCAGACATGAGCTTTCTACTTGCAAAAATAGAGGACGAGGAGGCCAGCATCTCACCCAAGACTCTCTCGAGGCCCATCTCGATTGCGCCTCCGCCCAAGTCAGCTTCGACATCGTCTCCAATGACAATGTTGCGCTCCTCCTCGTCTTTGTCTATTGTATTCGCGCTCTGTCCATTTTCCGGTGGAGACGCAGCCATTTCGTCGAGGCAGGTCTGAAAAAAAGCGGCACTGGGCTTTCCACAGACGACTGTGTCCTTCGCCTCTCTCCGACTGGCGGCCTCGAGGGCTGCGATGTAGGCCCCGGGCCCCAGAGAGAGCGGTTCGGAAGGACCTGGCCGGTAGTAGAGGGCTTCGTGCAGAGCAGGACTAAGCATGCACTTCTTCCTACGACTTGGAACAGTGAGGCTCACCTCGATGGGTCGCAACGAGCCTCGTCTTACTTGTCCCTGATGAGTCACTAGCATACTCGCCCGCGAGGATGCGAAAGGCCTCGTCCATCCATGCGGCCCCAAACAGATCCGGTGCCAGCCCAACGACGACGGTATCGCACGACCTGAGCTTGGCGCGCTCCTCGTCGGAGAGCGAGCTTGGCGGCCGCTCTTTAGCAGGAAGAAAGCAGTCGCCCGCAATGGATTCTGATGAGCTTGCTGTTGCGGAAGGCGAGGAAAAGGCTGCTTGGGCAGACGGCGTGAGGAGCAGGAGCGGACGCCATCGCTGGGCGACGCACATGCGTCGACACGCCTCGAGGCTCGTCAGGATCGACGAGGCAGGGACATCTTTGGGATCGAAGCCTGCGCGGACAAGCCGAGCTTGGAGATCCTGCGTGCTTTCCTTTGTTGTGTTGCCTGTCACATTTGCGTCAGCAGGGCTCTCAGCCCTTATTCCATTGTGTTTGCGACACTCACTGCAGAATCGAAGCTTGATTGAACTGAAGCCGCCCTTCTCCGCAGCCAGCGTCGTCGGCGACGATGCTGCTGATGTTGATGACGAAAGCGCAGCGGCAGCCTGCTGCAGCCTCTTTAGCGCCTTTGCCGCACCCGCAACCTCATGATCGCCAATGTGCAGCGTTCCGGAGAGATCAATGAGCAGCTGGAGCCTGACCATGGGCGCTCGGGCAATAAAAGCTTCTTGGACTAAGTAGGCAGAGGTGGAGGGAGGTGCGGAGGTCGACTACCAAACAGCCTATTTCTCTTTCGGACGCGACATGCGCATGGGCCGCTGGTGACGGCCCCGGCTTGGCTGCAGTGACAGTTCACGCCCGCGATTGAGTCCGCTGATAGGGCGCGGAGCGGACGGGTCCCCTCCTGAGGCAAGGCCGACAAACTCGAAGCTGCCGACACCATAAGCGCCCACTCTTGGCTCATTCACCATGGTGAACCTTTCGCGGCTAATTCTGCCACTGTTCTTGGTGTTGGGATGCCAGGGAGCCAACATCGTCGAAGAGAGAGCGGCCCAGGCACAGAAACCGCTCAGCTCCGGCTCTGACATAGCGCAAGTCAAGAGCAAGGACAACTTCGTCCGCGTCGATGGCCTCACACTGCGTCAGGGTTCTGACCAGCAGCAACACTACCTCTCAGCCCTGAACTACTGGTCCTGCATGAATCTGGCTGCAGGCAAGGAGGCTGATGGGGATTATCAGAGGCTCCTCGAGGAACTTGACCAGATGGCAGAGGCCGGCATCAACCACTTGCGCGTCATGGCTGCCTCAGAGGGCTCACCAACGCGGCAGCCATTCAGGATCCTGCCGGCGCTCCAGACGTCGCCCGGTCGGTACGACGAGGACGTCTTTGTCGGCCTCGATCGCTGTGTGGCCGAAGCTGCTAAGCGCGGTTTCCGTCTGACGATGGTGTTGGGAAAGTGAGTTCGGCGCAAGGATCCCTCACTTTCTCACTCTTCCTTTCTCTTTCTCCCCTCTTGCTTACTTATTCTGTAAATCTTCCTTGCGCGCCAAAGCACTTGGCAATGGACTGGCGGCCTTGCACAGCTGTACTCGTGGGCCCACAAAGATCAAGAAATCCCCTACCCGCGCTCCTGGAACATCAGCGCAGCGCCCCAGAGGCACGACGGGGTCCACGCTGGCTGGGGCAACTGGACACGCGCCTCTGACGGTCCCTTCAACGAGATGACCAACAAGTTCTACACCGACGAAGCTGCACAGAAGATCTACAACGGACACGTCCTCAAGGTGTTGCATAGAAAGAACACTGTCAACGGACTTGTCTACTCGCAAGACCCTGCCATCATGGGTGAGGTTGCAGAATGGAGAGAGAAGATCCTCGCTTTGCTGACCCTCCCATTTCCACTAGCCTGGGAGCCCATCAACGAGCCACAGGTCCAGGGCGACTACTCCAGGCCACATCCAGAAGATGCCATGATCAGATGGCATAACAGCGTCGCCGCGCTCATCAAAGCCAACACGCCTCATCAGCTCGTCACGACAGGCTTCGAGGGCAAGCAAGGACGCGACTATTTCAGAGCGATCGCCCAGAGCCGTGACATCGACTATGCATGCAGTCAGTCATTGTCCCTTTGGAGTCCTCTCAGACCTTTGGCTCATACAGCGTCTCCTTCAGTTCATATTTGGCCGCATATCTGGGTGAGGTCAAATACGGGAATTTTTCACCGTGACAAGCTGACAGAATAGCATACAGGGCTATTATGACATGCTCGATGCATCCAAAGAGAATTTGAACCGAGCGCTAGACTTTGTCAAAGACTACATTGCCAGTGAGCAGCTTCCAACGCTTGCCTTTCATACAGCACTTCGCGCTGAGCTCTGTGTGCTTGACTACTTCGACAGACGCCGAGAAGTGGGCATCAGAGTTGGGCAAGCCGCTCTTCGTCGAAGAGTTCGGCTTTCCTAGAGACAACTGGCTGCTCGATGTGACCAAGGGCGACTACCAGGTACGCTTCCTTGCTCCTCTTGTGGCCATCTGCATTGAACTAGTCTCACTCTTCTCTTTGGACCAGTACGGAAGCCGGGCGACGACGACCCACCGGGATGCCCTCTTCCAGCAGGTCCTGAGTCAGGTATGGGAGAGCTACAGCGAGAAAAGGGGGCTCGTAGGAGCAGCACCTTGGTCCTACGGTGGCATATCCCGGCCAGAGACGCAGATCTTGACAAAGCAAGGCATTGTCTGGTCTGGAGATCCTCCTCAAGAGCGTACGTGCTGGAGCCCATAGCCGCTGCACCGTGACGTTACATGCTGACTGTGACCTCCCTCTCACCAACTCAGCGCCTGGCTGGCACAGCATCTACGACGGTGATGCGTCCACGTTGAAGCTGTTCCAGCGACAGTGCGAATTGGCCGGGCCGCTGGCTTGCAGGTCCCTTCCTGATAGGAAATGACGGGGTCATGCCTCTCCTCGTTTTATTTTTCCGGATCTATTCCTCCACACACGGATTTCCAGCTAAAGAGAAGAGAGCACGTCCTGTACATTAAGAGTACATAAAGAGCTGCGAGCAAGCACTCCATCGTCCCCTTCACTGACTGTGAGGGAAGTGCTACTCCAGAATGAAAAAGGTAGGTAAGTTCACGAGGTTTGTCGCAGTACAGCGGTCTCACTCCCCCGTGGCCGCTCTACCTCTTCTAGTTCATCGACAAAGTCCAAGTCAAGCTCGACGGAAGCGGAGGCGGAACCTCCGCCTCTTCGGCCGCACGCAACCCCATAACACCCCGTCCGCCCTCGACGAGCGAGCCGTCTCGCCGTCAGCTCTTCCTCTACCGTGCTCAGAGCGGTGTCAACCTCGGCAGTCTCTTTTCGCTCGAGGTATGGCTTACACCAAGCCTATTCGAGGGTGTCAAGGATGCCAAGAGCGAGCACGACCTTGTGCGCTCGCTGCCCGCAGACCAAGCCAAACAGCGTCTCGAACGCCACTGGAAGACCTTCGTCGACGAGGGTGACTGGAATTGGATGAAGGGCCAAGGGATCAACACCGTCCGGCTTCCCATTTCGTACTTTCACTACCTCGCCGGCCATCCGGATGAGGCTGTTCGAGGCCTACTGAAAGGCACAGAGTATGAAGCCTACGCACCAATCTACGCGGCTGCCTACGGTGCCATTCAGGACATCGTTAAGACGGCCAACCGCTTCGACATGGGCGTCCTCATCGATCTTCACGCAGCTCCCGGTGCACAGAATGCTGACGGGCACTCTGGCCTCTCCCAAGGTGGTCCCCAGTTCTGGACCGGAAGCAAGGCAAAGTGGAACCAGCAACGTACCGTCGAGATCCTCGTCGCCATGGCAAGAGACTTTGGGCGGTCCGAAAACGTCGTTGGACTCGAGCTGCTGAATGAGCCTCAGAATTCGAACCGATTGCAAGGCTGGTACGACGAGGCTCTCGGCGCTATTCGCAAGGAGAGTGATGCGTCGCTTCCAATTTACGTCGGCGATGGCTGGGACACAAACCACTACACTGGCTTCACCAAGCGGCACAACGACTCGAGCAGCGAAGGTGACGGCTTTGTCGTGGTCGACCACCATCTCTACCGCTGCTTCACAAAGGAACATCACGACCTGACAGCTTCGCAGCACGCCGAATCGCTCGAGGGGACCAACCCAACATCGACGTGGCTTCAGAGGATGTCCGCCCAGAGCAACATCTCCATCATCATTGGCGAGTGGAGCGCTGCACTGCACCACACGTCCTTCAAGGGCCAGAACAAGGAAGAGGGCCAGAGCCGCTTTGCCACGGCGCAGCTTCGTGCCTTCCAGCGCAAATGCTCCGGCCACTTCTTTTGGACGCTCAAGAAGGAGGGTGGCCCCGATCGCGGCTGGTCCCTCTACTCGGCCGTCGAAGCCACTGTGCTTCCAAAGGGCGGACTTCAACTAAGTCGGCCGGGCGGTGCGGATGCCTCTCTCGCCGAAAAGGGCACTCAGCTGTGCAAGGAAAAATACCAAAGCCACCGCACTTACTGGGACTCGCATGGCGGCAAGGCCGATGAGCACTGGCGCTACGAAAAGGGCTTCCAGCAGGGCTGGTCCGATGCCACCTTCTTCTACTCGCGCGCGGGCGCTCCCATCGGCTTTCGCGGACCGTGGGCCGCGATGCGCACCGCAGCGCATGCTTCTGAGAAAGGGGGCAGCCATGCCTGGGAGTACCAGCACGGCATGCAGCAGGCCCTCGAGTTTTTTCAGCGCACCATCGAGGCGTAGACTCTGACCCCATCGGATCCTATAGATAGCATTTGCCATGTTATAGTTGCTGACTCTCCTTCCCACTATTCACTCATCCTCACCGCTTCCTTGCTTTCATAGCTTACTTCTCAATCACATCATGTCAAGCCAAACGGCTGCGGGCCGGTCCGAAGTCATCATTCTGATGTTCAGCAGCCTCAACTTTGAGGTGTAATTGCAATAGGAGAAAGGAGATCGACATCACAGGTGAAACGGAGGGGAGAGAAGAGAGAAGAGAAGAAGCAGCTAGGTGAGAAGAGAAACACTTAGGTAGACAAGAGAAAGGTCCAATCGACTGTGGCCGACTACGTCAGACAGTGGCTTGTTGGGAGAGGAAGCAGGATGCCATCAAGCATCCTCCTCCTTTTTAAATGACGTGAGGTGCCGTCCAAGAGAAGCTCTTGAATTCGGCCTGGTCCTGTGCTGACAGGACACTGTGGACAGGCGTCAGAGTTGGCTTTTCACTAGTGAACTCGGTGTCGAACCAGCTCGTGTCGCTTGGGTTCTTGAGCGTGGGAAGGAAGGGCGGCGGGACACGCTTGTGGAACATGTCGTCCCAGTTGACATCTCGGAAGAAGGGATGCGCCTTGATCTCTTCGGCGTCCGTCTGGCCGGAGCCCAACCGCCTTGCAGGGTCCCTCGTGAGGAGCTTGTGCAGGATCGAGACCGAGTCGGGCGGCATGTGAATTGGATACAGAGGCTCGTCCTCGAGAATAGCGTCAAAGATCTCGTCTTCGTCGTCGCCACGAAAAGGAGCCTGGCCAAGGAGCATTTCGTAGATGAGAATGCCAAACGCCCACCAGTCAACGGCTCGACCGTAGCGCTGCTCGAGGAGAATTTCCGGGGCCATGAACTCGGGCGTACCGCAGAAGGTGCTCGTCGTGTTACCGAACCACATGTCCTCCTTGCATAGACCGTAATCGGCTACTTTGACGTGTCCATCGAGAGTGAGAAGGATGTTGTCGAGCTTCAAGTCTCGGTAGATGATGCCCTGCTTATGGAAGTACTCGAGCGCCAGTAGAACCTCCGCTGCGTAGAACTTTGCCCTTCTTGGCGTGAACTGCTCTCGTTGGATGTGCAGCATGAGATCGCCTCCGCTGACGTATTCCATGACAAAGTAGACTCTCGTCTCTGTCTGGAAGCACGAGTGAAGGCCTAGGAGGAAGGGATGCCTCTCTCGCGCTGCGGCCAAGAAGACCCTCTTCTCCGACTTGGTGCTTTCCACCTCATCGTTCTCGATGATGAATTCTTTCTTGAGCACCTTGATCGCATAGAGGTAGCCCGACTTCTTTTCCTCGGCAAGCATGACCTTTCCGAAATTTCCCTTTCCGAGCACAGCCAAGAAGTTGAAGTCGTTAAGACCAATCTTTCGCTTCGACGAGGGTGGGTTGCGCGGAACCACCTGTTGCTGTTGCTGTGACGCTGGCGGCTGTTGCTGGATTGCCTGCTGAGGGATGGGCGCTTGGATGGGCTGCTGCGTCTGTGGGGGAGCCACAGCAGCGGGAACGACCTGCTGAACGGGCAACGACTGCTGCGATCCCGATGGCGGAACTGCCTGCTGCCGCCACGAAGAGCCGGGAAGAGGTGTTCCACCGATGCTTTGCGATGACGGGCTTGACGTCATCTGGGGCCGACTTTGGGACATTGACGGCGGCTGCTGCGGGAGCGGTCGAGGTGGTTTCGAGGCCATATTTGGATCATTGTACTCGTACGGCCTTTGTTGTTGTTGCTGCTGCTGTTGCTGTTGCTGCTCTGGCACCTTTGGCGGCGGCACTCTACCGTACGGCGAAGGTGACATGCGGCCGGGCGCAGGTTGACCATAGGCAGAAGCCGGTCCACCAAGCTGCTCTTGAGGTCGAAGCGAAAGTTGAGATGTCTGCTGCTCGATCCCGCTCAAGCCCCCACTTGGCCGGCCAGCGGGAGGGAAGCCATTTGCGGGCAGCGCACCGGCTCCTGCTTGTGTACGAGCCGAGGTTCTGACGCGGTTGATTGCTTCCATGTCGCTCAAAAGCTGATTCGCCATTTCCATCGACATACCACAGAGGTCGGGAACCAAATGAGCGCAGTCGGCATGGCACGTTAGATCGCACTCTGTTTTAGATATTGTCATGAGCCTTGCCGTCTCTTGGGAGTCTAGTCAAGGAAAACGACTCACCAGAGCATTTGCGCGCATTCTTACGACCGAATGGCAGGATATAGCCGCAGTGGCAGCACCAATTCGGTCCAATGTTGGTGATCGGAACGAAGCGATGAGGGATCCGGTGGTTGATCTTGACTTCATCGCGATCCTACAAAAGTTCAAATAAATCAGCACGGCCCTTCTGCTGAGATGAGGCCCGAGGACCACCACTTACCGCCTCTGCGTTGCTCTTGCTGATACACTTTGTCACGACCTTTTGCGCGCACTTTTTGTGACAGGTGTAGCGACAGTCCTCGCACTGGCTTCCAGCCGCGTTCAGGAGCAGTTCGCCGCACAGGGCGCAGCGGATGATCTGGTAAAATTGTCTCGAAATGAATTTGTGGCCGTTGATTTCGGCAACGTCTTCCTTCTTCTTTCGGAAAGCGCCCTGTCGGCCCAATCGTGCATCGTAGGGCCTCTTGCGGACGTTTTGCTTGACGAAATTGACACGCAAGAAGATAGCGCCAGCGGGCTCAACGGCGAACCACGACTCCACGCCGTCCGATGTCGGACCGAGGGGGACAGGCTGGCCAGCAGGTGTCGTGTTGAAGGTGGCATCCATCATGGGCCCTCCGCCTGGCGTCATGGTGCCAGGCGGCCCACCATGCTGCTGGACGTCCTCGGCAGTCACCCACCCACCAGGTGCGGCTGGGCTGCCGTCGGGGCCACTGACTTGACCAAACTTCTTTTTTCGCAATTCCTCGACAATGTCGCTGATGCGAATCCAGAGCATTCCCACGGGCTCTGGATGAGCCGTTCCCACTCGATCGTAGACAGTCACCTCGATTTCGTTGGCGTTGTCTACAGCCACCTCGAAGTCCTCCTGCCACCGATCGTTTCTGCTAGGGTGCGTGCGCGCTCGGGGCGTGTCTTCCACCTTGATGACGACCGTCGATTCTCGCACATTTCGGGTGCTCCTGGCCGGTGCGTGGTCGATATCCTTGGCGCTCCTGACTGAGATCTGAAGCGTGCCTGACAGTGGCTTACGGGCATTCCTCCGCTGGTCCTCGAGCGATTCGGCTATGACGACGGAATCCATGTCAGTAATCCGTCTCTGATGCTAGCGTGGTTCTACTCACGCATCTCCTCCTCAGCCGCGCTCTCGTCCATGACGTGGAGCTGCTTGTACCGCTTCAAGCTCTGCTGCAGCAGTCTGATCTTGCTCGCACTTTCGACCCTCTTTGATTCGGCATCATTCTTAGACTTGCGGTCGCCTTCGGCTTGGTACAGCTTGGCCATCTTGTCGATGCCCATCTTGTACTGCTGCTCGATCTGCAGCTTGAATTCGAGCTGATGCAACATGCGCGAGATTTTGGCCGTCGTATGCGGTGTATCATACTTGATCAGATCTGTAAGAGAGAGCAAGCCTGTCAGCCAATGCGGGTTGAGCCTCATCCTTTATCAGGGCCTCTCTCACCAAGATTGGTAAAGTTCTTCCGCGCGCTGGTGCCGGCTCGATTGACGTGGGCCATTGAGCCAGGTCCAGCTGGCTGAGGCGGTCTCGATTGAAAGCCCGTAACATCGGGGCGCGGTTGGCCTCGGTAGTCGTACGATCCTCCAAAGCCAGCACCATCTGAGCTGGGAGCCGATGGCAGGGGTCGGTCATCGAATCTCCTCGCTGCACCGCCCAGATTGCCGTGGTGCACATTGCTCGAAGTCTGAGAGCTGAGGTAGGAGGAGCTGCTATCGCCGGGGTAAGGCCTGCCCGAGCTCGAGAGGGAAGAGTTGCTGGCGTTGCTCGAGCCGAAGCTGCCAGGTCCCATGCCACCAGGTGCCACGCCGCTACCCGGCGTCCTAGGGCCCGCCGCACTGTCGAAGCTGCGAGAGCCAGGGGTCCCACCACCGCCACGGCGGCCATGCTGTAGCGTGACAAGCGTCTCCTCTAGATAGGAGATGTTGCGCTGCGCATCACGAATCTGCGCCTCGGCCTGCCGAATCACGTCCGGGTTGGGCGTCGCTCCCCTCAACGACTGGTAGCCCTCCATCATCTTGCGCTGCGTCTGAATCCGCGCATGGATTTCTGCTATTCTCGACTCAGTAGAATCCTGCAATGACTGTCAGCTTGAAATCCCTCAGCAGAATCATTTTGGTGTCATGACTCACCGCCATGATGGGAGAAGATGAAATGCTCGTCGAGATGTCGTGCGGGTCCGGTTTTCAAGATCTAAATGAAAGCGACGACACTAGCTGGCTTGCTGGACTGCAAGATGAAAGCAGGAGTCGCAGCCGGATAGAGAGTTGGTTCACAACCGCGGTGCCCTCGTCTCCGAGTATGTGAAAGACGAAAAGCCCGCGCAGGTGACGCTCCAGGATGGTGCCGTTGCCAGTGGAGAAAAACCCTGAGACGGACAACGGGAAACGATGGCCGCTATTTCACTAATGGCTGGCTTCTGCCTGGATGCAAGCGTTATCTTGCTGCGAGTCAGCCGCTCCCTTTTGGCGTCGTGTTCGTGTCGTCAGTCGTCCCGTTTGTGTGCACGGGTGTTCGTCTTCGTCGTGTGATGGCGGAGGCTAGATGAAAAAGGGCGGTGTCGGCAAGGTTTTGGGGGCGACGCGCTCGCGCGTGCTCTCTCCGTCCGTTCCCCTTCTTCGGCGGAGAGACGTTTGAAGTGTTTCTTCTAATCTTTTTTAAATCTCTCCAAAATAGCTTTATTCAATTCAGGACGCCCATCTCCGATCGACTCGAGGCTGTTCGATTCTTCTCTTCACCGTCGTCATTGTCGTCTTGTTCCCCCCCTTCATTCACATATGTATAGACGCGAAGAATGTCAGGTACCTGGAGACATCTCTCGATCTCAGCTTGTCACGTCAGGGCAGATGAGTTCTTTCAGCAGTCGAGTCCATATGCTTGCGCAAGTGTCCAGAGCCAGCTCTCGATTCCTCACTCAGCGTCCGTCATGGTCAACGACGACGAGGTCTTAGAACACACGGAGCCCACGGACCTCGATCGTCTTCCTGTGCTCCTTAAACGAGTAGCTTTCGAGCTGCGGTTTCAAATGAGCTGCCACTCAACGAGACAGCTGGCCAATCTAGGCCTTGCCTCCCACTCAGAACCGGGCAACCAAGCAGACGAGAGCGAGATCGCGAGAAGTGGTCGCTTCATCCCACCTCATTTGCTGCTGACAAGCGACTTCAGCTCGCTCATTGAGGAATTCCTGATGACGGTGCATGGGCTCATCTCAGCGAGTTGCCGAATGGTCTACGATCTCTGACGGCTTTCTGCACCTTCTACAGAACAAAGATGCTCTCTGTATGCGCTCCTTTAAGATGCGTGCAGTTACAAACAGTGCGCATCGAGACGGCGGCTACCTAAGCTGTGAGATTTCGCCTCTATTGTCTGATAATACTAAACGACTCACCTTCCGACCGTAGTTAGGGTCATTTCCGACAATCACGACCTTGAGGACACTTCACATGCGCTCGCATGGCTCGATCACATCACGATCCACTTTCGGAGCGCTGATGTCACCGACGAGGATGGCGTTGAAGGTGCGCACAAGTTTCCCTCACAGATTTGTACTCATCCCATACGCTCGCCATCTAGTTACTGTTTCTTCTTGTCATCTCCCACCTCTCACTTCTTACAACTCATCGACCATCTCCATGTTCTGCACTTCCGTAGCGTTTTCCCTCTTTCTCTGACCAGGACCTTGTTTTGAGCAGCATCGAGCAAGTTTTTTCTGAGCACACGTCGTCTGGGTGTCGGGCTCCGACTCCGTTTGCTCAAAGTACTTTCGCGCGCCGTAGAGACATACATGGTCAGACGTTATGGCGATCTCTTTGACCGGGGCAGACTTTCCCACCTTAGGCAGTCCAACAGACTCATTGATAGTCTCGCAGGCTCGATGAATGCCATGATGCAATGCTCGGAGAAAAGGATGAACAATGTTTTCGAAACGCAAGTCAAGGTGAGTGTGTGATGACCTTTTTTACTTAGATACGAAGCATCTGAAAAAGCCATTTTCTCTGTCGACTCGCTTTTTTAAGGTGCTGAAGAGACGAATGCGGAGGAAGCAAGACCAAATGCAAAGCACGGATGTCACCGTCATGAGAGAGGCACTCTGTATGACGTCGAGGCTCCGAGACCGGTACACGTACCGTAGGGTCAGTCTCTGCTTCAATTTTCTGTAGGAGAGGGGTGACGCTGATCAATTACTGCTCCAAGAACAGAAGAAACTCATCATACCACACGCTGTGCCGAACCCAACATTGCGAGTGTGCTCGGCTGCGCTGAGAGAGGCCGTCTTGAGCGAACCAGTCGATCTCATAGAAGATCCGACCGGAATCGACATCGACATTGACACTGACGAGGGAAGCCGCAGTAGCGAAGAGGAATGTCAAAGGTCAGAAGAGAGCAAGGACGAAAAGCAGGAAGCGGGCGAAAATGGATGATCAAGGGATCAAGTTGGAAGGCGGATTTGGTTTTGTGCATCGAGCCTTTTGTGCCGGTGGCGCCACAAAGAACAAGGAGCCGAGCGGTAGCAACGAGGTCTACTGACGCGGCCATGCGCATGGAGGGTACTTTGCAAAGCAAATCGACCACAAAGACAGAGAAGGAAGCAAGTCCATCCATTACCAGAGCAAATTGTGAAAAGAAACGGAACAATGACATGAGATTATCTGCAAAAGATGGAAAAGACATGATGATGTGATTACTCTTAAATGCGTCCGGATCCTGTTTGTGTTATGGTATGAAAAGTGATGAATCGGAAAAGAAAGAATGAAGAAGAAAATACTACTCTACTACTACTAGAGCGATGCAAGCCTCTCGAGCGTAACTTGTAACACAGACATCTGCGGCTCTACCTCGTCTGGTCTTTTGCCTGTTCCCTCTACTGTCCACGCATCGAGCCATCTCTGGATGGGCTCGACTAGTCCTGATCGAGCGAGCTGCAGCAAATTCTCATCTGCATCGAGAAGCAGCGGACGCTCTCCCTCGTTGTCCTTGCTCCTGTGTCTGTCCTTGACGACGCAAAAGTAGACGAGCCCACAGCATTCGGTAAGCCAAGCTCCATGATCGTCCAAGAACGATCTGGCAGCCTGCAAATTCCCCTTGTCGCCCTGCTGCATTGCGGAAGCAGAGGCAGAAGCGAGCGGAAAGGGAAGCGATTCGGGAAGCGCCGAGATGGTGGGCGCGACATCGGTCAAGAATCTTTGACAGGGTTCGACGGTCCCCTGACTCAATTTGGCATCGATGAATTCCCGCGCCAGGCCGAGGCTCGCTGTCCTGAGCTGGGGAAACGGCGATTCGACGACGAGATCCCGGAGAAGCTCCACGGCAAGACCGTCATCGGTGTGCTGAATGAGGAGTCTGGTGAGCACCCTCATGGCGACGAGACGCGCAACGGGCGAGGGGCAAAGGGCTGCATGCGATGAAAGTGTCTGGACGAGAACAATGGCCAACTCCCCGTCCAGCTTCGTCCCTTCTGCGAGCCCTTCAACGCACCACATGACCCAGGTCAAGGCCGCGTCGGCGAGCTGACCCGAGCCTTTGAGAGCGTTGCCATCCATGCCCGTCGAGCTGGTCGTTGCCGGGGGGCCCGCGCCGAGACAGGCGATGATCAAGGCCAGCGATTGACGCAGCTTCGCCACTGCGGCCCCTTCACCGTCCTTGTCAAAAGTCTTCTCTCCTTCGCGCCGCTTCTGAGCTTCAAAGCTGACGAGGAGCACAAAGGCACCAATGTTGATGTTGGCCGTACGAGCCGTCTCCTCCGTGCCTAGCGGGCCGTTGCGCGCAAAAGCAAGCGTGTAGAGATCCAGTTTGAGCGTATCGACCGTTTCGCTGACGAGCTGCCAAGCAGGATTTCTTGCCGTTTGCGAAGAGGCACTCTCGCCTCCTCCGCCAGGCCGCTCAAAGGCGTACCTGGGCTGTGAATGGCGGAAGTGGAGCTCAGCCAAGGAAGGGCATCCCTCCAGGGTATAGAGATGAGAAATGAGAGGGACGAGCGAAGAGAAGAAAAGGTAGACCACGTCAGACGATGCTTCCTTTGCCCCTGATCCACCTCGTGACTCCCAATCCCTGACTGCCACGACGAGGTCGCAGAGCATTCGTGCCAACTGGGTGACGACATCCTTCGAGCCGTCCCCTCCCTTGTCCAGGATCGAGAGTGACCGTCGAACAGACTTGGCAACGGTCAAGGCGAGAGGTCCTGTGAAGTTGGCAAATTTGTTGGTCTTGATGCGAGGGATTACTGCGCAAAGCCAAGAAATCAGCATCACTACTTGGGAGCCTGCGCCTTGACAATAAGACTTACCGATGCTCAAAATGCGCATCAAACCGGCCACCTCACAAGCCCGGCTCATGAGCGTCGACCCTTCCTCTTCCTCTTCCTCGCTTGCGACAACTTCAAGGCGCTCTTGAGAAGCCAGGAAAAGCTCTCGCGGACTGGCAGATCGCGCAATAAGTTCGAGTGCTTGAAGGGCCAATGCGCGTGATCCTCCGCCAGTCTCCTTTCCCTGCACTCCTAGCACCGGGCTCAAGGCGCCGAAGAGTGAAAAGGAGCGGGGCGAGACAAAGTCCTCGAGGGCGGTGGTTTCTTTGGCTCGAAGCTCCTCGAGGAGCTTCACGATGTCGCGCATCAGAGACTCGATCCGAGCCTCTTTGCCCTCGTCCTCCTGCTTCTCCATTGCTTCGTTCAACGAATCGACAGCAGCATCAATGACGTTGGGGGTCGGGGACTCCTCCTCTTTGACAGCCACCACCGAGAGCTGGGACGGGTGGCGCATGTTGCTGGGGCTAAAGGTCGCATGTCGCCTCGTCGGCGACATCCTGGCCAACCGCGCTGCGGCCATATGCCTTTGACGTCCCCTGTGCGTGTCGTCTTCGCTGCCGTGATCAAGGTGGAGAGAGAGGTGATGGGCAACCTTTGGTGTTGAATTGTTCGACTCGACTGTTGTTACCGACGTAGAGCGAGACTGGCGGGGCGTATCAACCTCCTCGGCCACCGGGCTTGTCCCGCCCGCTTCTGGGTCGAAGCTCGTCAATCCGAGTGATTGGCGAGCAGCATGATGGTATCCAAGAGAGAAGTAGTCTTCGTGCTCGGTGCTGTCGACCTGTCCTCCTACGGCGAGGGCGCTGCGTACCTTTTCGACTGCACGCTCGTCGGAGATCTCAAAGACGACACGCGCACCGCGGCGGGAGCTGCCGCTGCCTCGGTGGCTCCTCTTGCGTGTCCTCGAGGCCGGTCTTGAGGCCGATGGTGACCTTGCAGGTGTGGCAGGGTACAAGGCCGGGAAAGAGGTTAGCTGCTGATGGCTGGAAGATCGAAGCAGGCGTTCTGGCGAGGTATCGATGGCCAAGCCTGAACCGTTGCCGCCCTGAGCTGACAGCTCCAAAGGCTTGCCCTCGTTGGTGTTCTGCCTGGATCTCGATGTCTTCCCCGAGGCAGCGGCAGACGAAAGCTGGGCAAGAGGCGCATCCTTGACAGAGCCAGAATCTGCCGTCACTCGTCTGGACTTGTCACCCTTTCGGCTTTCGTCGTCTGTCGCATACAGCCTGTCGTCGTCAAAGGTAGCGCCGCCATTGAGCAGGGGCGTGCTAGCCATCGAGCTGGCGCGTGATCGTCGCCCGACCGACGACGAGGTGCGCGAGTGAGGCGGTCGAGTAGAAGTGGCCGCGACCTTGGGAAAGCGTGCAATGAGATAGAAGGTCAAGCATCGTGTCACGCCATCCTTGCTAGTCGAAGACGAGGTGGGCGTCGCGTTTCCGGCGGGCGTACCTGGAGCCTGAGCTGGCCCGTCGGGACGTGGCTTGGCAGGCGTAGAAGAGCTGCGTTTGTAGGTGGGATGCTGCTGTTGCTGATGCTGCTGCTGTCGCGGACTCTCGGTTCTTCTCCCAAATGCCGCCATGATGCTCTGGACAAGTGACAGGGGCTTCTCTTCGGTCTTCGGTGGCTCTTCGACGAGCTCGACGACACACTGGAAGACTTGAACGTGGGCCCAGCCGTCTTGACGCTCTGGACCGGTGCCTCCTGACATGGAGGGAAACAGAGGCGTGACTGGTGGTGTAGGCCCTTCCCCCATTGTTCGAACAATAGCCTCGGCAAAGGCTGCATGGTGTTGGACAGACAGTGGCGCGACTGCCGAGGAGGAGGATCCCGAGGATGTCGAAGGCGATGAAGTGGGCTGAGGCACGTCAGGCCAAGAGTGGTAAAGGATGCCAGCGCATCGAAGGCAGTACTTGACAAACGACAGTACTCTCTCGGGAGGCTGCAGCGTCGGGTTGAGAGCAATGATGGTGTGTGCTGCGGGAAGATCTGCACCAGAAAGTATTGGTGGAGAGTTTGTCAGGGGCGAGGGGGGCCTCGAGCTGGCTGGCGTGCTCCTTCGAGAGGCACCTGGACCAGGGGTAGGGGCGGCCAAGACATGGTCTGCCAAGTGAGGAGCCAGCAGAGGCAGCTTCATCGTATGTGTGGGTTCGACGGGGATGAAGGTCGTGCTCTTGAAGTGCTTGGTGCCTCGCTCTGGCTCGCCGAGCACCCTCTCTTGCTCTTGGACCAGCTCATTGAACTTGCGCATCCTTTTTGGACCATCCATGTCGAGAAGCGCCGCTACTCGTTCCCGCATCGGCGCGTCCTGGATGGCGGCAACGGCACGCTGGGTGCGAATGGCCATGGCCCGCAGGCTTGAGTGCGAGGCACCCAGAGGAAAGCGAGCACCAGTCAGGCAGCGAAGCATAGTGACACCACACGTCCAGGCGTCGACTTCGGGGCCCATGTAGGTCACCTGGCCAGGCGCACTGGCCAACGCCTTGACGATCTCAGGACAGTGGAATGCCGGGCTGCCGCAGCAAGTCGTCAGCTTGGGTTCACTCTTGCTGAAGTGGGTGGCTAGACCAAAGTCAAGGAGCTTGAGCTGCATCGTAGTTGGGTGGACGAGAATGTTCTCGGGCTTGATGTCACGATGGCAGATCTGGAGCGGGACGTGGATCGCATGTACGGCCGACAAGAGCTGGTTGAGAATCTTTTCGGCGGCCCAGATTGGCAACACGGGGGGTTGATGATCGTCGAGCATGGGCAGGAGTGCCTCGAGTGTGACGTAGCCATCGAGATACTCTTCGACCAGGTAAAAGTGACCCGGTGTGCGAATTGTCTCCTTGACGGTGACGAGGTTCGGATGCGGTGGAAGCTCGGCCAGCAAAGTCGGCTCACGTAGAAGCCTGGTAGCGATGAGGTGGTGATGGGGAAAGAGGGCTGTATGCTTGATGGCCGACAGCTCGCCTGCTCGTGAGGCCATGAAGACAGTCGAGAACTTGCCTCGGCCAAGGATCTTTGGCAGCAAAGTATAGTCGCAGATACCTTTGCTGAGCAGAACATCTGCACTCGGCACATCGCTCGGCTGTAGGATGGTACCTTGGTCAGCAAAAGAGTCTCAAAAATCAGGTTGTTGAGTGGCGACCAGATATTACGCACCTCGTAGACCTTCCCCTGGATGTCTTCGAGCTTGGGAAGAATGTCGGACGGGTCCTTGCTCGTCTCGCCTGCGTCGAGAAGCTTCATAACCGACGACCCGGCGCCTCTTGTCCGCTCCCAGTGCTCCCTTTCGGCTTGCTTCGCCGCTTCTCGTGCCCTCTCATGCTCCGGAGACGGTACTGGCGGCTGCTTCTGCTGAGTCGGTCGCTGCTGCTGCTGTTGCTGCTGGCCACCATTGCGCGATCGACTCTGGCTCGATCGTCGACTGACGTCTCTCTTCATGCTGCGGCCCTCCATTGCCGCCGTTGAGCAGGTTCCGTCCTTGCCCTCGTCGTTGACCTTGCCGACAAGGGAGGGAAGGGAGTCTTCTTGATGAGACCGCGACGTTTGCTGGACTGGGTTTTGTTCCTGTGTCATCGGAATAAAAGGAAGAATCTGAAACCCAACTGGACTACCCACTGCCAGCCACTGCTGCTGTACTACACTACTCTACTGGTACTGGTGCCACCAGGAGATTAGGGTTATCAACAGGATAGACCTCGGCTTGTCTAGACCAACCCATTGGTCAAACGACGGAATCGTATCTTGAATGTTGTTTTTTAGGCCGCGCCAGGCATTTAGAAATGAGGAGTGGAGATAAGGCAGGCAGGGCGAAACTTGAACCCCCATCTCGATCGGGTTCTTTGCCGGCTAGAGATAAGAGGCAAACGGCAGTCCCTGACAAGTTTTGGTCATTTCATCTTGTGTATGAAATGACAAGAGTGAGAGAGAGAGAATCCTCCTTCTAGACGAGACAGCGGCGACGATGACTTGGCGACTGGAAAGACACACGAAGACAGGATTGGAGAAAGGAAGAACAGGACAAGGAATTAAAGAAAAACACACAATCGAAAGCCGAAAAGAACAAAAGAGCTTGTGGTGTTGTGAGGGTGTGTAGGAAAGGGGAGAGTGAAGGGAAAAAAATGGGTATCAGCCAGTTCTTCAAGTCGTCTTCGTCGGGTCTTCGCTCTTGTCCGTCAACTCTCCCAGGCTTCTTCCCTCGGTGCTTGGCCTAATCTCGACCTGAGAGGCCGAAGTGGTCGACCCCGCGGCCACGTTCTGCGGGCTCTCGACAATTTCGGGCTGGTGAGCCAGCTCGGGACGTTGCTCCGAATCACTTCCTTCGTCTCCCTTGCGTTTCTCGGCTTCGCGCTCTCCGGCTTCGTCGAGCTCCTGGACACGCGCCGTCTCCATCTCCGTGTCGTCATCATCATCCTCGTCATCGTCATCGTCGTCCTGGTCGACCACGTGTGCCTACAAGCAATCTGCGTTTAGCGGTTTCAAATAAATTAGAGTGACGCTGACAGAACCCACCTCATAGACCATGCGTCCCTCCTCGTCTGTCTGGCTGCCTGGCCGGAAAACAATTCCTGAGCCACCGAGACTAAGTCATCGGTCCGAAGAGATTAGAGAGGGTATGCGAGATGAAGGGTAGGCGCGCGTGTACTCACGCTGAGACGATGTGGTCGGGCAAAGTGAATGATCCACCCATGCCGGGCTTCTCTTCGTCGCCGCCAGCGCCTCCCGCTCCGGAAAGACCGCCAGCAAGGGCGGAGAGGACGCTAGAGCGACTGTTTGCCGCGCTCGCACCGCCAGAAGAGCTCGAAGCATTGCTTGATGTAAACACAGGCGCAATGTCCTCGGGTGTCTCGTAGCCAACATTCTCCTCGACTCGCTTCTTGATCCAAGCGTACCACTCTTCCTTTGTCCGGCCACCAAGGAGTGCAATGACGCAGATTGTCATCTTTTGGGATGGGTTTGAAAGTCAGCAAGACCCCTCCAGATAAGGAGAAAATTGAGTATTGACTCACATTGTCACATCCGACACCGCCAATCTCAGTGTCAGGAGCAAGACAACGGTCCATGGCTTCTTCACAAATCTCTTTGAGATCTTTTCCGTTGGCGATTTGCCGCCTGACGAAATCGATCACCTGTTGGCTGCTGAGGCAGTCCCAAATGCCATCGCAAGCGATGACGAGAAACTCCTCCTCGCCATCGATGATGCGCGTCTTGATTTCTGGGTCGGCAGTGACGATCTGTTCAGTCGCCGGCATCGAGAACTGACGCTTGAACTCAAAGTCGCCCAGTGCGCGGGACAGGGCCAGGTTGCCATTGACACGGTTAAATTCGATGAATCCGCCAGCGTTACGGATTCTTTTCGCCTCGCCTGGTTTGATTCTTGTGTCTTAGCATACACAAGGAATCGAGACAGAAGGCCAAAAACTCACCTGGATTTTGGGGCTTGTGGTCCTCGCTCAGAGGTTCGGCCTCACCAGACACGGAGAGGACGCAGCGTGAGTCGCCGGCATTTGCGCAGATGATCTTTCTCGGTGTCTTTCCCGGATTCTTGGGGTCTCGCTGTTCGTCAGGGGAAGCGACCAGAAGGCACGCGACGGCCGTGCATCCCGAAGTGTCCTCTTGCAGCGCCTCATCTGAAAGCAAGGCGGATGAGTGAAATTTTCTCAAAGCCAACGTTCATTAAATGACCACCCACTCTTTCTCATATCTTCGTCAATTTTAAGGAAGCCTCTTTTGAGCGCGCCTTCGTAATCGCCCGTCTTGTATTCCCGCGTCTCTGCAATACATTGGTGCAGTGACTCGCCAGCATACGTCGCAACAGCAGATCCTGTGAAGAGTGACGGCCTTAGCTGAGGTTCGCGGAAGAGAGGTATCTGCGATTCTCACCTCCATGGCCATCGTAAACGGCGAAGAAGCTCGCCTTCTCGTCGCCGGTCTTCTCGTCAAGGTTCAAGATCGTGGCATGGGCGTCCTCCATCGCTGTTATCGACGCAAAGATAATACGATAGAGGGATGCATGAGTAAATATGCGAGGAGGGTATGGATGGGAAAATCGACTTACAGATTCGCCAGCCTTGCATCTCTGAGACAGCATACACCAGCGTATCATCCTCGCCGACCAAAGAACTCTGCAAGATCCGAACAGTCAGCTTGATAAGGATCCGCGTTCATGCGGGCGAAAGAGAACACACCTTCTCCGTCACGGGCTCGGAGAGCGTTTGACCCATCTTGAAGAGGGAGAAAGAGGGACAAGCGAAATCCGCTCAAAGATGCGCCGGATAGGGGTCGTTGGGCACAAGGAATGGAAGCGATGCCGCTTCTCTATCGTGAGAAGATGGTCACCAGGAACGGAACGAGGAGCGAGAATGAACCGACGACGAAAACGGACTGCAGAAGTTGGAGTCGGAGGTACTAAGCGTAGTGCTCATTGAGATGCAGCCTCTTGTGGCCGTCTCAATCGAAGCGACTACAAATGGGCACTCTGTTCCTTCTTTTCTGTACTTTTTTTCTGTTTTCAATTTTTGTATTCAATTGCCGTCTTCACCAGTCACGAGGCGGGAGCCGACACTCCGAAACCCCAATCTGATATTGATACCTTTGTCCGCCGTGCTGCCCCGATGGGGCGGCACCCCATCAACATGAGCTGCCAATGTTATCTGGCAGAATGAGTGAGCATCGACAGTGACGATGAAGACCACGACGAGCAACGCGATGGCATAAGCCGCCGTGTTGACGCAAGGACCCTTCCTTGCTGGTGAGTCAAGTCTTTGGCGTGTCGCGGAGCGAGGCAGGTGCCGAAACAAGTTTTCTTACGTAAGCTGGGAGCCTTCACTTCTCAGTCGCGAGCGCGAGAAAAAATTCCGCCATCATCTCAAGCTCCTCAAGATGGTGGGTACGACGAGGCGGAGTCGGCGAGGCTCTATCCAGGATTCTAGTACTGACAGCGTTTTTGCAGAGACCTATCCTCCTTTCAGGCCACGAGCGGTCTCTGAACCAGATCAAGTTCAACCGCGAAGGTGACCTTCTCTTCTCCTGCTCGAAGGACAACGTCGTCAACGTCTGGTTTGCCCACAATGGCGAGAGACTCGGCACATACGATGGTAACAACGGCACCGTCTGGAGTCTCGACCCTGATTGTGAGTCATCGGTTGCTTCTGAACGCGATCAAGAAGCCAGCTCACACTGTTTGACGACAGACTCGTCGACTTTGCTCGTTACTGGATCTGCGGCCAACGAGATGATGCTCTACGAGGTCTCGACAGGCACTCGACTTTTCAAGTGGGACTTTCCCACTGCTGTCAAGCGTGTCCAATTCAACTCGGATGGCACTCAGATTCTTTGCATTACCGAAGAGCGCATGGGACATCGAGGATCTCTTCAGGTGTTTCGCATCAACCGAGACCTGGCTTCTTGGACGCAGCAGTCCAAGACGCCAACGCGAACAATCACCTTTAGCGGACCGCGTGCCACGGTTGCGGCATGGGCTCCGTTCGACCAGTACATCATCACCGGACACGACGACGGAAAAGTGGCTATGTACTACCACGATGCTGAAGAGCCAGAAAGCGGCATCGACGCCGAGCTTGAGGAGAAGCAGACAAAAGCGCATCCCGGAAACGTCGTGACCGATCTTCAGATGAGCGCAGATCGCACCTACTTCATCACCAGCTCCAAGGACAAGTCTTCAAAGGTGAGCACTTTGTGCTTTGCTGAGAAATCGCTTCAGGAATGCGTCTGCTGACTACAGACTGTCCTTGCCAGCTCATCGACACCAAGTCGCTCTCCATCATCAAGACATATCAGACGCAGACACCGTTGAACAGCGCTGCACTCCACCCAACAAGACCCTACGTCATCCTCGGAGGTGGGCAGGAAGCTATGAACGTCACTACTACGAGCGCGCGCCAAGGAAAGTTCGAGGCTCGATTCTGGCACAAGGTCTTTGAAGAGGAGGTGCGTACTGCTCCAAACGTGTGCTGAGTCTTTTTGCTTACATTTCACACATCTCCTCTTCGTACGTTCGTAGATCGCGGCACTGCCTGGGTAAGTCTCGTGTGTACCTTTTCGGTCGACCGGCTTTGTATTGACTCAATTCTCAACAGTCACTTTGGTCCTCTTAACACGATTGCGATTTCGCCGAACGGCAAGTGCTACGCCAGCGGTGGTGAGGACGGCTACGTGCGTGTCTACTGGTTCGACCCGTCGTTCTTCACAGCCAAGCTGTACGGACCGGATCTCGAGCTTGGGGCCGACGACCAATGATGTATTATTGCTTCATAGAGGACATTTCATCTAGGAATGCTCTCGCCCAAAATATCAGCCCTTTTCTCTTTCTTTCGTTGTTCATCCATTCATTCGCGCCTGAGCGCCTGAGAGGTCGCCTTCACTGCCCCGCATCGAAGATGACATCCGGACCAGGACCTCCCTGACACATGTCTCGGTACTGAAGGGCCAACATCGCGTCAATTACTCTCCTCCTATTGCTCAAGCTTGGACCTGGGACCAGATATACTGACCTCCTGCAGCGACATATTGGATACGGCAAGATTTGAGCATACCTCGATGAGGCTGTTGGGAGCCACACGGAGCGAGTGAACGATGCGTTGGCCCTTTTCCTTCTTCTTACGAACCTCGACGACGAGGAGACTATGATCCTTTGATGTTTTTCCATCCGCAACGACGATGGCATTCGAGTTCCACTTCTTTCCGTCCAGTTCGTCAACTGCATAGTCGACGAGCGCCTCCGTCGAGGCACCCTCTGGCACCGAAGATGGTGGCACGGGAAGGACTGTATCCCACAGGCCTGACTCTTCGGGCGGCATTTCCCCCGAGGTCACTTCAGCGATGAACTCGGTGGAGCGAATGTTGCTGAGGAGTGAATCCAGGTCTCCCTGATTCAACGTTGTGTTGAAGAGTGGGATGGACTGGCTCATAGCTGTGTAGTGCTACACTTTTCGTCGTCGAAGTAGACGTTCTTCCTTTGCCTTGAGTCCCTCGTTCGCTCCCTCGCTCGCACGGGCAAAAAAATAAAAATGGGCAGCAGCTGCACGAGGTGATCGGACGGTAAGTAATTCGCGTCTCCCTGCTATTCTCTCGTCGTCACGCAACCGCTTTGTCGAGGTCTTCGTTGTCATTGTCGTTCAGTCTTCACAGCTCATCAAAATGACCGCGCCGGGACAGACTTGGGCTTCTCAGCCCTATCTCGACCACATCTCTGCGGGTCCCTCGTCCCACAGTTCTGACGCTTTTGACGATGCGCGCAAGCATACGCAGTGGGTATCGCTTTGGTCGCACGTCTCACCTACCCCTTTTGCTTCTTTGCTGAACATAATATCTACCCCACAGACAACCAATCGTGACAGGAACCTCGATCCTGGGAATCCGTTTCAAAGGTGGTGTCATGCTCGCGTCTGATACGCTTGCCTCGTACGGCTCCTTGGCTCGCTTCATGGACGTCCGTCGCCTCATCTCAGTCGAAGGAGCCAACTCTATCGTGGGAGCCAGCGGCGATATGAGTGATTTCCAACATATCCAGCACCTCATCGAGAAGACCATGTGAGAGGCCTGCCTCTTTCGTTCATCCCTAGGGCATTTTGAGCTAACAGACCATCTTCGACAGGCTTCAAGAGTTCAACGAGGGAGACTCGCACTCTTTGACGCCTCCGCAGCTTTATCGCTCCCTCTCGCGGACCATGTACGCCCGGCGAAGCAAGATTGACCCTCTATGGAACTCGCTCGTTTTGGGTGGTGTGGACCCGAAGACGGGAGAGTCATTCTTGGGATATGTCGACCTCCTCGGCACCACATATCAGTCCTCAACAATCGCGACTGGCTTCGGTCTGCACCTGGCACAGCCACTGCTGCGCAAGGCCGTCGAAGGAAGGGAGAACGAGATCGAAGAGGAGGAGGCGAAGAAGATTCTGCAGGAGTGCATGAAGGTCTTGTGTACGTGCTGTCTTCAGATGTCTTATATCTGTCTATCCGATGGACGCTAACTCTGGTTTCTCCTCTCCTCAATGCAGTTTACCGCGACGCACGCAGCCTTAACAGGTTCCAGATTGCTACAGTCACAAAGGCGGGTACTCACATCTCCGAGCCGCAGAGTGTCCCTACGTCTTGGGGCTTTGCAGAGGGTCTCCGCGGCTACGGACCCCAGACACAGTAGATGTACGGTACCTCGAATGAAAGTGCAACAGGCAAATGTCAAACCAGCCAACATGACCACAGAGATGCTGAAGGCTTTATATTGCGGTGATTTAGAGCTATATAGAGGATCCTTCCTTTGTATCTTGCGACGATTGCGCACTTAACCCTGAGCACTTTATTGGGAAAAGGGAGACGGACATGTAAGCAGAGAGAAAGGGAGCAAGAGGGGTCAAGGCGACTCACTTAAGCTGGAAACGGGCAGCGATGAAGGGCAGGCTGAAACCGAAGCTGAGGAACGAGACGATTCCGAGGGCCAGGCCGGTCTTGTGCTTGGGGCCTTGAGGGAAGGGCACTGTGAAGGGAGAGGAGAAGAATCAGGAAATGCTCCTTTATGCAGATAGGCAAGTTGAGACGAAGGACTCACTGGACTGCGTGACATTGTGGACATGCGTGATCGTGCGCGGTAGGAATCGAAGGGGCGTTGCGGGCAAGGAAGAGGTGGGGTATAAAGTCAAGCAAGGAAGGATGGGAGAGTCGGGCACACAATCAGCTCTTCTGTCGAGCGTCTTCTCTCCCAAGGGACGAGGAGGAAGAAATGACTCACAGTCTCGACAGTGTTCTCGACGTGGGCCATACGGGCGTTGAGGCGGACATGGCGAGCCATCAGCGGCACAGCGCGGCGAGCAAGGATCGACGAGGGCATCTTGTGTTGTGTTTATGAGAGAGGGGCTGGAGCTGGTTGATGCTTTGAAATGGAAGGAGCAGAGTGCCGGGAGACGAGGACGTGCAAAATCGGGAGAAAGGCAACACGTGGCATTTGGCACCCAGAACTGAGAACCTCCATTCATGGCAGTGACAGGCTACTCCTCGGCAACCCAAAATTGCTTCCACTGGCCGGGCTAATCACGCTCAGTGGGCTGACAAGTGAATAGGGCAACAAGTGCAGATCTAAGACCTCAATTACTATATACAAGGGGAGCGGCCGCTTGCGCCTTTTTCCACTCGGGCTCAGAGCTGCCCGGCTGTCTCCCAGAAACCAACTTCGTGCTTCAGTGTCTGCCTCCAGATCTTGCTCGCCTGCTCCAAGAGCCTGTCATTTTTGTCCTCGCTCGCCAGCTCATCGACAAGGTCAGCGATGTCCCTGACAAAGCTGACGAATCCTGGTGCGGACCAATTTGGGATGAGCTGGACAAGGGCACGCTTGACACCTGGCGACAGGGAGTCCTCCGCGGTTGATCCTGATGGCAGGAATGTCGAGGCGTGAGTCCATGCGTCAAGGTAGACCTGGGACGGGCAACAATCGTAAGCGAGGTAACAGCGGGTCAGCCTTAGTTACTTACCTTCTCCATGGCCCAGAGGAGCACAAGACCTTCCTCGAATGTGCCCTCTGCTGCTGTCGCAACCATGAAGTCCCTGTAGGCCTGTTCGTGTTTGTCAGGTTAGTGGTCTTGGGCCTGGCCCGGTGGCGAAAGCGAGGCCTCGAATGTCGCTTACCTTTGTCTTGTCCGAAACGGCATCGATGCTTCCGTCCCTGGGCTTCGCCGCCAGATCGAGCCCGTTCTCGCGGGCCACATCCTCAAAGAAGGCGACCTCTCGATCGATGTTTGCCATGGCACCTGCCAGAATTGCCAACCTTCGCCTTTGCTGCTTGCTGGCCAAGGTATCTGGATCCTCCTCGGGCGAGGGCATCCTGGCAATGAGCCTGCCCAGGAACTTGGTGTAGCCCAGCAACGCATAGAAGCGGTCTTGGGCCAACCACGACTGCAGCGCCTGGGGCGACAGCGTCAGCTTGCCGGCAGAGACAAGGAACGGATGCGTTGTTGCGGCAGCATAGTCCTCTTTGCTCTGGCTCAAGAGCCTCTGCGTCAGAGAAGAGCTCATTATATCCTAGCTTCCGCCTTCTTGATGATGGTGGTGTTGCGGATAGTGAGGCCAAAGTGATTCAGGTCAGGAAGAATTTCATGCAGAAAAGACGCGTTTCCTCGGGGTTACGGTGAATTGGACGGCACCAAAGAGAAGTAGAGGTAGGTATATCGATAGTTATCGAAGGAAATGTGATAAATGAGAGGAAACGATGACACGGAAGAGGAACGGCACGGAAGACGAAAGGGAAGCAAGGATGAAGGAGAAGGGAATGTCGTCTCGGTGGCCTACGACTGCGAAGCGGGCGCCTGAAGCTGAGCAAGCTTGGCATCGTCAAGCTTCTTTTGCTCTTTCAACTCCTTGATGCTTTGATCCATCGCTTGGATACGCTGCTCGCTGGTCCTTTTCAGCGCAGCCAGCTTCTCGTTGTGGGCGGCATGGAGCTGCTTTGTAAAGTCAGCGAGGGACAAGGTTGGAAGAGTGTTCAACTCCCGCGCACCTTTTCAATGTCGCCATCAGCACCATGACCGTTACTGTTGGTTTGTTTTGCCGCGAACTCATCGAGCTGCGCGGCAAAGGTCGACTGGGTCTCTCGGAGGGCAGTCTTGGCATCATCGAGGTCCTTTTCCAGGTCAGCAATGCGGCTCTTGTGCTCGGCCTCCATCTGCTGACGTTCGTCGTCGGCTTCTTGAAGCCGCTGCTTGAGGAATTGAGCCTGCTCGACCTGCTGCTTGAGCGCCACAATCTCATCGTCATTGCCTCCTTTGGCTGCCTGGCCTTCTTTCTCTTGCTTTTCCGTCAGCGAGGCCAGCTCCGTTTGATGTTGATTCTTGAGGGTATCGATTTGGGTTTCATGCTCCGTCTTGAGTGTGTCGAGGGCGCGCTTGTGCTCGTCAAGCTGCGAGGACAGGGCCTTTGAGTGACTGTCTTTCTGTCCCTGGTGATTCTTCGACTGCTCGTCCATCTGTTTCCTATACTCGCGCACTTGGATCTCGAGCTCGTCGGCTTTCTGCTTGTTCTCCTCGGCCTGCTTGGCCAGCCTGGCATTCTCATCGCCGTGGCTCTTGCGAATTTGATCGACTTGGCCCTTGAGAGTGGCCAGGTCCGAGTGATGGTCTTTGCGCTGCGATTCAATTTGAGCCTTGTGTTTGGCCTCGGCATCTGCCAGCTGCTTCTGCAGATCCTTGTCAATGCCCGCCTGCTTCTCCAGCTCCTCGACGCGCTTCTGAGACTGCAGATGGGCGAATTCCATGTCTTCGGCCTTGGACCGATGGTCTTCAGCCTCTGCCTCCAGCTTTTTGAGGGCCGCATCCTTGGCTTCTCTGTCCTTGTGACCGGTTTCGAGGTCGCTTCGCGCTTGGTCTGCCTCTTTTTTCAGAGTGTCGCGCTCCTTTTGCACGGCTTCGTGTTGCTTCTGCCACGAAGCGAGCTCCTCCCGAACGGTCTTGACTTCGCCATCCGATTTCGTAGACGCGGTCTCATTGGCCTCAGCCACGCGCTTCTCGGCTGCTTCCAGCTCAGCCTGCTTGGCCTGCGCTTGGTTCTTTGCCTCCTGAAGCTGCTTTCTGATGTCCTCGAGCTCTCTCTCAGCATCTCCAAGTTGTTTCTTGACCTTGCTAACCTCTTCCGTTGTCGATTTTGAGGCTTCATCGCGGTCCTTTTGGACCGCAAGCAGCTTCGTTTCGTGGCCTCGCTTTGCCTCTTGGAGCTCCTTTCTCGCATCCTGCAGCTCCTTTTCCAGGGCCGCCACCTTTCCGGACGTTTCCTGAGCATCCTTAGCCTTGGACCTAGCCTGCTCCTGCTGAACCTCAAGCTCGGAGATCTGCTTTCGTGCCTGCTCAGCCTCTTCGCGAGCCTTGCTCGTCTGAGCTTTCTCGTCTGCAATTTCTTGCTTGAGCTTGGTTGTCTCGTCCTCGCAGTCTTGGATTTGCTTCTTGAGCTTGGCTGCCTCCTCCTTTGCCGAAGCAAGAGAAGCCGATGCAGCTTCACTTTCACCGGAACGTGTCTTGTGCTCCTCTTTTGCCTTGACTAGCTCCTCTTGAGCGGTCGAGAGCTCTTGGTGGAGGCGCTGCAGTTCCTGAGTCTTGTTGCTTTCGGCTTCCGAGAGCTTCGCCTCGAGTTCCTTGATACGTTCCTGGTCACAGTCTCCGTTAGTCTCGATGTCAGGCTTCTCAGCGATGGGAGCGGAAGCCTTGGCTTGTTCGACCTCGCCCTCGAGCTCCTTGATACGACGATGAAGCTCCGCAACGTCTTCCTGTTCGTCCTCTCCGGTGGCCTCAGGCTTATCGGCCTTGCTCTTCTCTAGCTCGGCTTCAAGCTCTTCAACGCGGCTGCGAAGCTCCTGCTCTGTACCTGGGGCAGCCTCATCTCCCTCGCTGCCGCTCTTCGCAACGCCATTGGTCTGCCCCTTGAGCTCTTCGAGCTCCTTCTCGCGCTCCTCGAGCTTTTCCGTCGTCTCCTTGTGCTCGGCGGTGAGCTTCTTGAGCCGTTCTTGGAGCTCCGCAGCGGTGACTGGCCTCTTGACGGTTGTGGCTGCCGTCGTCGACGAAGCGACAGAAGCCCGTGGCCGAACAGTGGCAGAAGAGGTCGTCGTGGCAGGCCTTGTGGCAGCAGCGCCAGAACCCGTCGACGTCCTACTGGCAACCGAAGACGGGCGCACAGTAGCAGTCGTGCCCGCTCCTGCTCCTGCCGTAGACGTGCGCGGTGCAGTGGCAGCGGGCCGTGCTGCCGTCGTCGTTGGGCGAGTTGGGGTTGAGGTGGTAGAAGCCCCGGCCGGTCGGGTCACACCCGGTCTAGCCGTTGTCGTCGTAGCGCCTGTCGAGCCCACCGGGCGTCGAGCAGCTCCAGCTGTAGCACTGACAGTTGAAGTCCGAGGTCCCGTCGCCGTGGTTGTCTTTGTCGGGGTCGCTGGCGTGCGGCCGGCCGTTAGACGAGCTGAAGGCCCAGTGACAGTCGTCGTCTGTTCATTTGCAAGTGAGATAAGAATCTTCGTGAAGATCAGGTCTCCTCAATTCCTTTGCTCACCTTTGCAACGCCTGGTCTGGCCGTTGTGGAAGAAGGGGCCCGAGAGGCTGGAGAGGAGGTGCTGGACATGATGGTATCGCTGAGAACAAGAGGGTAGAGTTTCTGGCCTGGGGTCTTGATGTAGGGGAATGGGCGTCGACCACTGGTATCTTGTGGTAATTGTTCTCCGCTCTCTTACAGTCGAGTCGAAGCGCTTCTGCCTTGTGCGCTATCGATTACACGGGTGAAGGTGCACGGTCGTCGTGAGGGAAGATCATTCAGAGGGCCAGCAAGGACCGCTCAGCCTCACGTGCGCCTCCTAACTTTAATATGCTGGACGCTAAAAGTGATGATCGAGACCAAACAATGGATTAGAGCTCGATTCACGAGCTCGACCGAAAGTAGCTTGGACGGTAGACTATTGCCCTGAGAAATGGGCCAAGAGGCTCTTGCAACTCGGCCATGAGGCTCGCTCTGCATCCCATATCTCAGCGCAGCGTGACGTGATGCCAGATTCGAAATAACAGTGGGTACGCTTTTTCCTCCGCTGTTCATGTCGTCAACGGCCGGAGTTAGATGGAACAAGTGGCGTCCCTCTTAATTGACAGAGAGGCGATTCTCGGCGCGCTCGTCATCCTATCCGTAGCTGGTCCCTCGAGGCCTGAAACTCCGAACAGTTCCTTTTTGCTCGAATGACCACGGCGGTCTACTGAGACAGTGTCAGACAGATCAGGTCGATTGTCTCGTGGTCAATATCTCCGGACTGAAGCCCTCCGGCCTTGGAAATTTCAGCTTGCAGGCCACCTCAGAAGCTCTTGGGATCCCAACACTCTACCATGTTTGATGTCGGCTGATCTCTCATGGTTGTCTGGCCGGTTAGTCGATGATCCGACAGATAATTCTTAGCTCGTCAAAGTCAACCTTGTTCTTGGCGAGATCGTTCACGAGTTCCCCACTAAATGTACATAAATGCTGAAGAGAGTCTGGTCTTTGAGTGTGACCTTACGGTGGGATCTACCGGATGGCTTGGAAAGTGCGCATCAGCATCTGCGATTGTCGCTATGCATCTGCTAGTCTGTCGATTCATTGAATCGACATTGAAAAGGACCAAAGTAGCTTTTCAGATATGGGGCTTCGAGAGTTATTGGAACGGATGAAAGCCTTCATGAGGCGGGGGATTACACGAATACCTTCCTTCAAAGGTATCCAACTGTCGCGATGTTGCGACTCGCATGACCGTTGTCGTCTTCGGTATGCCTGAAATTGCCCATGATTCTATGTCTCACACAGGAAGGATGAGCCGCAAGCAGATTTTCTCCTAGTGTGCACCACTTTTCAACTTGTTTCTCTCCACAGTCCGACGTTTCGTTTTAGCGGAATAAATTTTGTTCGAAGACCACCATTCTAGCGTGCTGCACCAAGCGGTGCGAATTCATTTGTTTGGTGAAGAGGTCTGCCTTACTTCTTGTTCCAATTTGTGGGGAAGTGAAACCAGAGTGAGGAAGAAGCTGAAGGGTCCGCTAGGTTGTGCTCATCCGATGGATTCCCCGTCTACTTGGGTTTTCCACTCCGGCCCCTTCCCTTCACCCGGACACATCATCCACAAGCTTGCCCATCATGGGCTCCTTTCCCCGTCTTTCCCTTCTCGCCTTCGTAGCATTCGCCTTGTCCGTCTATGCTGGCCTGACACCCATCCGGACGCGTGATGGAAATGGAGGTCAGCAGGTCTGGCTGCCTGGCCAGAAGCAGCAGATTGCCTACGGTACTCCTCGGACCGAAACGTCATACAAGTCGTATAGCCCAGACACTTTCGTCGAAGCATCAATCGTTTCCGTTTTTATCCCGCTGCCGGCTTCAGCGGGAACTCATCCTCCGGAATGCGACTATTTGAGCTACATTCGCTATCGCCACGTCGACGGTCCCAAGAACTCCTTGGAAGCCGATCGTGTCATTTCTTTCATTCCTGGTACCATCGCTGGCGCCGGCTCCTTTGATCAAGTCGCGAGGAGCTCGATCTTTTACGCAGATGAGAACCATCAACAAAAGATTGAGGTCTGGGCACTTGATCGTCGTGCCAACTGCCTCGAGGACAACACCGGCGCTGTTGCTGCCGTTGAGCAACAAGATGCCCAGCTCGGTTTCGACTACTACTACAACAAGAAAGAAATCAACGGCAGGTCCTTTGCCGGGTTCCGTCAAAACGGCGATGCCGATCTTGAGTTCCTCGCTGAGCAAGGTGTCGAGCAGACGATCGAGGATTGGTATGATCTCGTCCTCAAGGAGCTTCCCGATCAAGGGTTCCGGACCAAAAATCATTACATTTCAGGCCATAGCTTAGGCGGGCCCCTTGCCGCATCGTTCTCCAACTTTGACAAGGATGGCAACGCGAACACGACGGCCGACGCTGGCTATAATCAGCACGCCGGGACCATCGGTTACGACACCGTTGTCGACCCTCATTTTGGACCAGTGAGTTGTCATGCTTCCACCATAGGTCAGAGTAGCACATAGAACAAGGAAACTGACTGAAGGTCGAATGCAGGAGCTGCCCGATGCCTTCAAGGCTTTTGACTTCATCCTCAAGCCGATCGTCGAGGGAGGCTTCGATCTCGCCCAAGCTGGGTTCAAGAGCGGCGTGCTTCCGCGCAGTCTTCTAACCGCTCTGCCAATCGTTCTTAACTCAGAAGCAACAACCTTCTTGCAGCTCGTCGGAGCCGCCGCCCAAATCAAACCAAAGGAAGAGGCACCCATCAAGACCTTCCCCCGCACACCGACGATTGTCAGCGCTGCACAGTTCTTCTTCTCCCGATATCTCACCAACTTTATTACTTTCACCCCCAGCGCGTTCAACCTTCGCGCGACCAATGAGGCCCTTCTTGGTGCTATTCTGTCCGACCGCACCCAAGGCTTTGGTTTCCTCCAGGTCTCGTGTGGCTTCGGAGCGGGTGGTGCCATTCAAGAGCGGCAATTCCCCGTGGGATACAATGACTTGCAGGATCTCGACACGTCCAACATGTCGGCCATCAAACCGCTGCTCGAAGCCCTTCCCTCCGGCTCGCCCTACCCTCTGGCGGTACCCACTGATGCAGGACCGCTGGGATTGGGAGACGGGCCGCTGTACACCTGGCTCAACTACAATGAAATTTCGGCAGACGGAGGAAATGTCGCGAAGGCCAACAATGGCAAACCTTTCATGAACGCCAGCAACGAGGTGACGGACATTGCTGAGCTCGCACGATCCATCTCTGAGATCCCTCTCGACTTCACGGAGCATTACTACGCTACCCGGACTACTACCGATTACTTGTTTGCTGCGTTCGGCTCGGATCAAGCTCTTGGCAGGACCACGGTGCACCCGAACGGTTTCAAGGCACGACCGATTATCAACCTTGTGGGAAGCGAGGGTCTAGCCATTGGAGGCGGCTTCGGAGACTTGGGCAACCACGTTGTTCTCGATGGCTACAATCACCTCGACGTCATTCAGGCTGCTCGCAACCAAACACTGGGCAGGAAGGAGCTTAGCAGCATCTCCACGGCCGATTTTGTCTCTAAGCTTGGCCAGGGCGTTTTGCCTTGAGATAGACGTATTCTTATTTCTTGACTTGCATAATGATTACCCTCAGACCTTCTTTGATTCCTGTTGCCTCCTAGTAATCTCTCTGAAAAGAAGTCTCCTCGCTTGACACCGCAATCCCAGCCACTTTGCTGAGTTTCGTGCTGAATTGTCGAGGCGGTACCGTGACGGCTTCTAAACGCCGAGTCGGCCCTCACAGGCTCCCCGCTTTGCCACGTGGACGCTTTGGGCGAAATCTTCAGTCTTGGCTTCGGCGACGCAGTGGCTTGTTATCAAATATAGACCGGGGCGGCACAGAGAGGGTCTCACTTGCTTGCGAGTAGGCCAGAGACAAGCTATGAAAGCTTTGCGTAGCCTGTTTCACTGCTGCGTTGGTCCAGTGGCGAGAGGTGTACTTGGGCTTAATGGCACGCATGACGACACAGGGAAGGCTATAGCTCAGGAGATTGATGACACAGGTGTACACCAAAGGCCCTACATCAAGAGACTTCTATGTTCTAGGAGCAAGCTGGTCAACGCTTTGCTTAGCGAGTCACAGCATGTCATTGCCAGGGTCTGAGACCGTTGGCTGATAGTCAGGACGCGAAAGAAGCGATATGCGTGCGTGTTCGGGCCACTATTCCAGCTCCTGTTCTCCTGTTCTCCATGAATACGTGTATTTGTGGACCGCGAAGAGAAAGCTTTAAAAATTTATTAGTCCTGCAGCTCACTTCCAATAACACAATTAGTGGGAAGGGGGGAGTCGACGCACGCGCGAGCAGGCGCGCCTTCGGCTGGCCACAACTACTCCTGCCCAACTCCACGACGAATCGCCATTGTCAACTTCCAGCCTTTCTCTCGCCAACGTCCGGCTGCCCCGCAAGTGTCTGATAGGCAAGCAGCAGCGAGCCACGAGGAGGCAGTGCCGACAACAGAATAGCATCCGTTTCATAGCTCCCTCCGTCACTCACTTCGTCTTTCGCTGCCAACGGGCCATCGCAGACGTCCTTCTTCCTACTGTCTCGCAGCTCGCCGACCCTCCGGACATCCATCGACTGGTATACGCTGCTTCCGCTGCTGCTTCCGCTGCCGATACCGTACTTCTCGCCCTCTCTCCGGTCCCGAACAAGGACAGCATCGGTGAAGTGCTCCTGGGCTCAGCAAGCTCTGGCTGCTTAGCTGGTTGATTGGTCACAGCGCTTGGCTGCAGCAATAGCTGGGCTCGATACCGCACCAAGGAGCGCCCGTTCTCCTCCCCCTGGCACTGCGAGTAGACCTGTAAGGCGTATATCCTTGAGGGCCACACGCTGTTTTGATCCAGGTGACATCGCCGACAAAGTCGGCAGAGCTCTAGAGACAAAGCGGGAAAAAAAGAACGACCATGTTCAAATCACTGGGCAAGATGATGGGTGGGGGTTCGAGTAAGAAGGGCAAGTCAAAATTACAGGACAATGACGATCTTTCAAGCGTAGGGGCCGACGATGTTTCGCTGGCCGAGAGCGGTTCGGGGAGCTACTCAAAGGGTAGAAGCGTGCCGGCGGCCAACGGGGCATACGACAATGGTGACGACCGAGGCGCATCGGGTGCAGCGCCCGTCAAAATCGAGAAGCACGGCGGGCTGAGCAAGCACGAGAGCCCATTACCTTCGCCCTCGAACAGCGCACGAAATGTGGATGCCAATGCAGATCTCAGCACGACGAACAACGGAAGCTACTCAGAGAGCCCCACAAGCCTTCGCGATAGCCAGACTTCATCACAGCAGCAACGACCTCGGAATAATTCAGATCTGAGTGCGCGAGGAGGAGGGGGAGGTGCCGGCGCTCCAGCAGCGCCATCACCCTCGACTACTGCTGCAGCGGCCGCGGCAGCGGCAAACTCTCCACCAGGCATCCCTACGACACAGACGATCCTTGCCAACCCCATCGGAGGGACATCTCTCGGACCGGCTCCGAGGTCAGGCAGCGGTGGATCATCAGGACCCAACAACGGAGGATCAACCGGTGGATTCGCAGGGGTCGGAGCACAAGGGCCAGGACTAGGAGCAGGTGGACCATCGTCAGGATCGGCTTCGACGGCTGGCTCGACCGCGGGAAGTGGAGCTGAGCAGGTACGGACGTTCGACATTGACGACATGATTAATAGGCTCCTCGAAGCGGGCTATAGCACCTCTAAATTGCCCAAGCCTGCGCTCAAAAATGCTGAAATCACAGCCGTGTGCACGGCAGCGCGCGAGGTGTTCCTCTCGCAGCCGACTCTCATCGAGCTGAGCCCTCCCGTCAAGATCGTCGGTGACACGCATGGTCAATATCAAGATCTACTCAGGCTCTTTGAAATGTGTGGGTTCCCGCCTCAGGCGAATTACCTTTTCCTGGGCGACTACGTCGATCGTGGAAAGCAAAGCCTCGAGACGATTCTGCTACTACTCTGCTACAAGATCAAGTACCCCGAAAATTTCTTCCTATTGCGCGGCAATCACGAATGCGCGAACGTCACAAGAGGTAAGTAGCTTCTTTGGCGCTCTCGATCGAGATGATTTCACTCACGTCTTCCTCATCAGTCTATGGATTCTACGACGAGTGCAAGCGACGGGTAAACATCAAAATCTGGAAGACATTCATCGATGTCTTCAACACGCTCCCCATCGCTGCAGTCGTAGCGTCAAAGATCTTTTGCGTCCACGGAGGTCTCTCCCCTTCCCTGTCCAACATGGATGATATTCGACGGATAGAGAGGCCAACGGACGTGCCCGACTACGGCCTACTGAACGACCTCCTTTGGTCCGATCCAAGCGACACGGCACTAGACTGGGAGGATAACGAGCGCGGCGTGTCGTACTGTTTCGGCAAAGCTGTCATTCAACAATTCCTCGCCCAGTACGACTTTGACCTTATTTGCAGGGCTCACATGGTGGTAGAGGATGGCTACGAATTCTGGAACGAGCGGACGCTGGTGACTATCTTCAGCGCACCAAATTACTGCGGAGGTGAGCAATTCGCTCTTGGACGACGTTGGAGAACGAGCATTGGCTGACAGATTCTCTGCAGAATTTGACAACTTTGGTGCGGTCATGTCGGTCTCGGAGGATCTTCTCTGCGCCTTCGAATTGCTGAAGCCTCTCGACGGACAAGCACTCAAAAAGGAGATGGCAAAGAACAAGCGGAGAAGTCTCATGCAGCATCAATCTCGTGCCACTTGATCTCCGCAACCTTCTTCGGTTCAAGTCCGATGTCGCGCAAGCGGAGAGACGTCTTTCCGCTCTTGTCTCCTCTCGCCCTGTCTTTTACCGTCAAGCCTCCTCCTCATCCTGATGGGTACATGACTCAACGAGACAGCGACGACGACAACGAGAGCATGGACTCATCCGACCATCACCACCAAGCCAGAATCCTCCCTTCTGTGTCACCGTCGCCGAAGACAAGGCAAAGAACTACGACCCGTCACGTTCTTCTCACATGGCCAAAACGGCTTTCCAACTTCCTCTTCTCTATCATGACAAATGACTTGTCGCTTTACTGTCTGATTCGCGCTTTCTCTCTTTACCTGACTATCAATTCACCCTCGAATTCTTACCCTTCGACAAGTAAAGATCTCCGGTCCTCTTAAACCCCCTCTCTCATGTCTCTAATCTCTCGCTCGATCAAATCCAAGATTCGTCAAGGGTACCCGTTGTTGCACTCGTGAAGTTAAGCACCTCGCTATTGCTGCTGCTTTTGTGTGGGCGGTTTCTCTCTGCTTGCTTAAATACAGTGGATCGTTCTACTTGAGTGTGCGCATGTGTGTTTCTTTGGATCGTCCGAGAAATCGTTTATGTTCGTTTGGGGGACAGAAGAGTATTTGACTCGTGTCCATGTTGGGCAGGCAGCCTCAGCATCCAATCGCCGTCAGCATCTCGTCCAGCTCCGTGAGGTGCTCCATCTCAAAGGAATCGTCTGACCCTGGCTGCTGCTGCTGCTGCTGCTGCCGCGACGCTTCTCTACCGCCAGTCTCTTTGTTCCTCGAGTCCGTCGTCGTCGTCTCCGCTTGTGCAGCGTCCTCGCCGCTCACCGCTGCGGGTCCTCTTCTTTTTCGTAGAGGCGTAGTCGCATTCGATGGCCCGCCACCAATAATCCTTGGCTTGGGATTCGCAATGGAGCTTCGCAGAGCTTTGTCCGGCGAGCGTGAAGCCCTCGATGCCGTGTTGCTCCCCTTTTCGCCACGCTCGATCCCTTCCAGGCCTTTCGACATCTCGCCGAAGCATGCTCTTGTTTTGCTGACGTGCCTAATCACCTCATCTGCTGCAACTGCACCATCTTGGGCGTTGCTCAGGGCTTCTTTGCTCCCCTTTTGAGTATCAACATGGTTCGCCTGCACAGGTCCGAGGTCATGATGATGGCCCTTGCCAGTCGTGCCATCCTCCTCAAAAGTGTCGACTGCCGTGCTCCGGGCCGGCGCCGCTCCAATATGTCCCTTGCTGGTCGGAGACTGCCATCCTGCTGTATCCTCATCTGAGTCGTCGGAGATGACGACGACCTCGCTCTTGCAGCTCTTCCTCTTCATGGAAGCAGTCGACGGAACCCGACTAGGCCTTTTGAAGGGCGCTCCTGGCCCGCTCCGTGCTTTCGTAGGTGATGAAGATAGGCGATCTTCAACAGCAGCGACGGCATCGGGCGATGGGCCATGCATGTGGGTAGCGCGCTGGTGAGACGACGAGCTTCTTGAGAGACCGACGCGGGATCGTGTTGTCATCATAGGCCCTGACTTCGCCCTCGACAGACCGACGCCGAGGCTCCGACCCGACGATATCGAGGTGGTAGCTGCACTGCCATGGCGCAGAAGTTGCGATGGTGCTGCTGAGCTCCTGAGTGACTTGGCCTCCTCGTCAAGGCACGGAGCAGTGGGACGAATCTGGAGCGCTGATGTCGAGGCCGCCTTGACGGGCGTTCGAGCGCTCCTGCGGACACCTTGAAGAGGTTTCTGCTCCTGCTGCTTGAACTCCGAGGCCAAGACACGCTGAGCATTTTGCTTCTGTGCAACGCCCTTCGCAGGCGAAGCGCTGTTGCGCTGAGTGTTGACAGGTTGCAACGGTGGCCGGTCCTCGACGGGAATCGCGCCCTTGCCATCATGGTTTTCGTTAATCGCGTCCATCTGTTTCATATCGTTGGCGAAGACGTCTCGTGGTTCGACCTCGACACCGATCTTGGATGCATGCAAGAGGGGCTGACCCAGGGACCGGGCTGCGGTCAAGCAGCCGTGCTGTTGGTGGCACGCAGACAAGCGACCGAGGCAGGGCGAGCTGGCCGTCTTCGTCCAGGAGCCTCGTGCGGCTCCGTTGCTGATACGATTGCCAGTCACGTCGTCCTGATGAGGCGGCCCAAACGAAGCTCCGTCCGTCTCGACGCTCTTGTCATGTGTTACTCGTCGATGGGAGAGGAGTGGCATATCTTGCGAGAGCGACCTGGCTTTGCTCATGAGTTGGTCAGGCTGCCTTTGCATGCTACTGTTGATCGCCCCTTCGGCCGACCATGTGTCCTGGCTGCTGTCGTCGTCGTTACCATCGTCGTCATCGAGTTGAAGGCGGCCTTCGAGATTGGCGAGGAAGCTCTCCAGCTCTAAACCCAAGCCCTGCTTTCTTTGATTGCCGAGGCTGGATCCACCGCCGCGTTTCGACTGTCTCGCTGCCTTTCTCGTGCGCTGGTCGTGATCTCCATGCTGGCTCTCGTCTTCGTTTTCGCCTCTCGCTCGTCGTTTCGCCCTCTTCTCTGCCGAAGTGCTCTTCCTGAATGTGGGATCCTGTCGCCGTTGGCCTCGCAGGAGCTCTTCCTTGAAAGCCTGCGTTCCCAGCGGGCTGACCTGTGCATGGGAGCCCGCGTCGTCGCAGGTGGCGGCAGCCGCCATCGAAGGGCTGGGCGAAGCATGCCAGTAGACATGTCCCGCCGGTCTCCTCTGTACGGATGAGGAACCTCCTGCTCCTGCTCCCGCGCTCCAGACCTTGGCAGGAGTGGTGCCGGACGTCGGGGCCGTCGAAGCTGAGCCCACAGCTCCTTCACCCCGGAAGGGAGTGCGCTTCAGCGCATTCTGTCCAGGCTCGGACGTTTGGCTGGAGCTCTGGCTTCCGGAAGCCACCCCAAAGGTTGCTCGTTGTGAGGGAGAAGCGCCAAAGGAGCGTTGCGAGGGAAAGTTGAGCGAGTCGAACAGCTCTGACATGGTGGGCAGTCCTCGAGGCCTACGCCAGCATGCTTTGCAGCGAGGGAGGGGAGAGAGATTGCGAAAGATGAGACGGCCGGGCGGCAGGAGCGGTGATATAGAAGAAAAGTGCGGCTCTCTTCGAGTCTGAAATGTGACTAGACAGAGAATGGGAAGGGAGGGCCCGCCAAAAAGTGTTGATCTTTGGGACGCGACCTTGATTTCAGTGGCTCCGAATCACGTGTTGTCGACTCCGCTTCACAGCACGGCATTCCCCAGGCCCTTTTGTGGGTTTCGTTGCAGTACGAAGCAGACTCCAGACGAGAGGAAGTAGGCAGGTGTCTTGTGATGTATGTGTGAAGGACTGTGAAGGACTGAAGGATAAGCCGCCGCCGCCCGTGCGCCCTCGAGCGGCTTGGTGTTCTTCAAACTGTCACCCCCTCCACCGCGTCGGACGCTTAAAAATCAGAGCGCCGACTGGCTGCTTGATGACCAACGGCGAGGCGTGCACTGTGCAATGCCGGCGACGCGGGTGCTGACAGCTCTGGCAGGATGTTTACTAACGCTGTCCGCTGCACTCTTTCTCGTGCCTCCCCGAGCATTGCCGGACCGTCTGGCCGTGATCGCCGAGGACGCAGTGCGAATCGACAATGACTTTTATTCCACTCACGACTGGTGGCATGTGGTTAGTGCAGCTTTGCCGTTTCTTCCGCTTGTGTGCCCTTGTATAGTAATGCATTTCGGAGCAGGACCAGCCTCTTCGACTTTTCAATGCCGCTCGAATCCCCTGGTTCGTCCAGCAATGGAGCCACAAGCTGTCCGGTCCCTCCGGTGACGAGAGGTCGCCGACTTTCCTCGACGTTGGCTCTGGTGGGGGCATTGCCACCGAAGCCCTGGCCCGGTCCTTTGCCTCTGCCCGATTCGTCGGAGTGGATCTATCGGAAGGCTCGATCGTTGCTGCGCAGCGGCACGCAAAGGTCAGCGGCCTGGACATCGAATACATAGTCGGGTGCGTGCCTCCCCTCCGTCATACACGCAAATGCTCTCTCACCGTAAATTTCATCTTGTTCCTTGTCATGTACTGACTCTAACACATCAACGAACAGACCGGCGTACGACCTGCCCTTTTCTTCGGCGACCTTTGACGGCGCGGTGTGCAGCGACGTGCTGGAGCATCTGCACGACGTGCCCCGCGCCCTGTCCGAGATTGCGCGCGTGCTGAAGCCAGGTGAAGCATGGCCCCCGTCTTTGTCATCAGCCGTTTACTCACATCGCTGACCTCGCGTCTGTCTCTCTCTTCTTCATTCCTCCGAAGGCGGCGTCTTTGTCTTTGACACAATCAACCGCACCCGCTTTTCGTGGTTGCTCGTCGTGCGCATCGCCCAGGACCTGCTCCACATTGTGCCTCACGCCGCCCACGACTGGCGCCTCTTCATCACGCCCGCCGAGCTGGATCTGGCTCTGAGGCAGGCAAACTTGGTGCCGTGCGACTTGGCAGAGATCGTAGGGATGCGTCCCACGGTGCAACTGCGGCCGCTTTTCGATGCAATTCTCGGAAAGTACTGGACGGGCGGAACAAGAGAGAGGGGCTTGCTCGCTTCGCTCTTGGGTCCGTGGACGTTGACGGCGCACCAAGGTGGTTCCTACCTTGGCCACGCCACAAAGGCACCAGTCGAAGAGCCACACTGATCACAAGCAGAAAAAGGGTTTTGGGGGGCATTTACGGTACAGGCACCGTCGCTTTTTACATTCTTCTCCTTCGGACCCTCGTCCCTTCTCTCTAGAATGCTACAGTACACAGAGAAATGATGGAGAAAAGCAAGGAGGGAAATAAGAGTAACTTCTAGTCGTAGTAATGGTAGTAGTAAGAGTGAGTAATCTGCTTTGCCTTGCTTCTTCTACTGCTTGGTGTTGCGGTACATCATGTAGGGCAGCCGCATGGCGTTGGACGCCTCTGTCTTTGCGCGTGCTGATCTCCTCGTCTCAAAGTTGTCTCGCCAGCCACCGGCGAGGTCGTGCAACCTTCGGCGCATGCCCGGCTGGAGGTATGGCCTAAACCTGGCCAATTGAATTCGGAGGGCATTCTCACGGTTGCCCTTGGCGCGGAGCCAGGCCGTCAGCTCGTCGATCTGCTCCGGTTCGGTAAAGACAGCCCATTCATCGGACTTGAGCATGCCCTCCTCCTGGTGCTCCTTCTTGCGCCGATCGTTGAGATGGCGCGTGCCTCTCTCGTGCGAAGCGCAGACGACAGCCCACTCCTCGGCATTGACGCCTTGGACGTAGAGCCTGCCCGTGCTGTACGTCACCGCGCCACCGGGCCCCAGTAGCGAGGCGGCGCCCACGCCGTCGAACCACCAGTACCGATCGTGGAAGCGGTCCTTGCCAAGCGGTAGCAATCTGGGCGCTTGGCTGTACTTGCGGAACTCGCGATCGATGGCCTCTTCCCGTCTCAGAATCCGAATCTCTTCCTCATCGAGACGCCGCCTCTCAGTCGCGATTTGCTTGTTCTCGGCCATGCGTAACCGCTGCTCCTCCTTTGCCTTTAGCCTGTCCGCGGCTCTCTGCGCCTCTTCGGCCTCGCGTTGCATCGCCTTCTCTCGTAGTGCCTCCTGCCTCGACCCAAAGTTGCGACGCGACGGCATCTCATCGGATGAAGCCTCGCGAGTCGTCGCCCTCGAGCTTCTCGCCTGGGATCTCGACCTGTCCGACTCGGCATCGTCGTCGTCATCGTCGTCGTCGTCGACATGATCTTCGTCCTCCTCATCGTCCTCGTCGGCTGACGACTGCAGCTCGTCCTCCTCGTCTGCTTCGTCGCTGTTGTCCGCGCCGTTGCTTTGGGCAGCCGCTGCCTTCTTCGCACTGCCATTCGTGGCCTTTGTCCGCTTTGCCGGCGTGGCTTCGCTCCCCGTCTCGTCGGACTCTTTTGCCTCTTCTCCGTCTTGCTTGCTGGCATCCCCTTCCTCCTCGTCTTCCTCCTTCTTCTGGCCTTCTTCAAAGATTGTCCGCTCCTCAAACCTACGACAAGACAGAATAGCCCTCTCTTTATCAGCTTGTCGGCCCCTCTCTGTGCTTCCAAACAACTCACAGCTTCTTTCTGGCCCTCGAGAGCTCCACGCGCTCCTTTCGCAGTTCCGTCAGTGCAACCTCGCAATCGTCAAAGAAGCGCTTGATGGGCTTGGTCATGACGGCCTGGTCGCAGAGGAAAATGAGGATGCGGATCTTGTCGTCAAATGCCAGCGTCGGATACCGCTGCACGGGTGTCGAGTAGGAATCGGCGACGTAGTGGCCACCCTCGTCCTTTTCGGAACGCTGCACAATGCCGGTGAGGTGCGACAGGATTGCGACCAGGCGAGGGAATCTCTCTGGCTCTCCGCGCTGAGGATAGATGAGAAGCCCAAGGACTGATCAGCGCGTTGAAAGACCTTCGCAGTGTGAAAGAAGACCCACCTTGCTCAGAGCGCCGCACAAGCTGTATTCCCATCCTTCTCTAAAATTGTCGGGCTTGAGCGACCTCTTGTCCCATGACCTGCCGTATTTCCTCGCCGCAGCAAAGACGTCGTTCTCGTTCATGTCGGCCTCTGGTACTGCTGCCTCAGGAGGCTCTGACTCGCCCGTCGAATCGGCTACGCTGCTGGCTCGCGAGTCGAGCTCGTCGGCTTCTGCCTCGCTCTCGTCCTCTTCCCCTGACTCGTTGTCGTCCGAGTCGAACTCGAGCTTGGAGACGGCTGCTGCTTTCGATGAAGATGCGGCCGCATGGTGATTGTTGCGCGTGGCGATGCCTGTGGCGGGGGGCGAGGGTGACTCTCTTTTGGGCGAGCCGTCTCGCACGATGACATTGATCAGGGCAGCATGTACCTCAGCGATGAGGGCGCAGGGCGGATCCGAAGTCGTATGGCGCAATGCCGCCTCAAAATCATCGAGCGTAAAGGGAGATAGCGCCAGAGGTTTGCTGGAGAGGAAAAAAAGAAAGAGAAGGTGAGCCAAGTCAAATCTTTTGTGAAAAGACAAGAATGCAAGACGTACCCGCAGGCTTGGAGAAAGTGGTAGGAGTTCATCAGAGGCTCGAAAATCTCGGCAGGCACCGAAAGTTCCTTGGACGGTATCGGTCTCTCTCTCCTCCTCGGCAGCTCCTCCTGATCTTTGCCCCTCGCCTTGAGCTCGCGATCCGATATGGGGTCCAGCTGGAGATCTTCGATGGGAAACTTGATATTCCTCTTTCGTTTCTCTTCCGCCCTCCGTTTCTCCTCCTCTTCCTCCTTTTCCTTCTGTGCCTTTGCCTTTGCCTCTTCGCTCTCTGCATCTCCTGGCACCTTTGCCTTTCGCCGCTTCTTGCCAGACTTCGTAAGCCCTTCCTCGTTGTCGTCGTCGGTGATCTTTCTCCGCTTGCTGAGCTTGCCCTCCTTGATCAGCTCATTCTTGCGCACCACGGCGTCCGAAGGCGTGAGGGGGATCCCGTACCGCTTGGCCAAGACCTGCCGGACGATCCAGGGCGAGCCGATACTGGCATCGCGCACGACGCACTCCTTGATGTACTTTTTCAGAATCGTCTTGGAGAAGCTGAGCCGATCTCTGCTGAGTGCATCGGCCTTTCTCTCCATCAGTGTGCTCGAGAAGTCGCCCGACTGGTTCTGTGTAGAGGTTCAGCAGGGGGCGGCAAACCAGCGAAGCATATAAGCAACTCACCAGGTCCTCCAGCTGAATCGTGTAGATGTAGTCGTTTGGATTGTCGATGCTGTTGGCGTCCTTGATGTCCACGTTGAGGTCTGTGCCGATGCGGTGGATGATCTCCTCGATGGGCACCTCGACCTTCTCCTCGGGCAGATCCGAGAGCTCCGAGGTGGAGTCGCCGTCGTCGACTTCCATCTTCGTCGCCTCTTTCTTGACCTTGCTCGCCTCTGCGTCCATCTGCCTCGCCTGCGCTTCGGCCTCGTTGTGGTGCTTGATCAAGGAGCGATGCGGAAACACGCCCTTGACCCTCGCAAGCCATCTGGATTTGAAGGTCAGCTTCCTGATTCCCTTTCAGCTCGTGAGCCCACAGGGCACACCCACTTGTCACCTCCAATGTCGACAATGAGCTTCTCGTTGGGGAAGAAGCGGTTCTTGAACCGGTCAAAGACAAGGTCCACCAGGTTGTCCAGGCGACCGGTCACGACTGGGTGCATGGGTAAGAAAGAGGAGAGTCATGTCAGTGGAAGGCGTAGAGGGACGAGGCGGGATCATTGAGGGTGAGCGAGAAGCTCACAGAACTGGACACTGCGCAGGATGGGCCCCTTGAGAGCTTCGGGAAACTGCTTGTGCACGGCAGCCGACTGCTGTTGCTCCGACCGGACGGCCTCAAAGTAGGTCATGTTGATCTTGCCCGACAACTCGCACTGGAAGATGTGTTGCCGATAGAAGGAGAGGCGCTGCGAGTAGTCTCTGCAGGGAGATCACAGGGCAACAAGCACCAACATTCAGCGGTCGGCAAGACGAGGGCGGGAAAAAGGAATGAAAGAGGATACGAGATGCAGGACAGGCTGGATTACTCACTCATACTCTGTGAATATCTCACCGGTGGCCTCGAGGTAGAAGACGGCCGTCTCGGCATCGTAGTCCTGCTCCTTTGGTGGGGGGACGAGCTCCACGGGCTTTCGTTTGAGGAGCGGCATCGTGGCCACCCGTCGTTGGCCGCTATGCCAGCCTCACAAGTGCCTCGAGGAGGGATTCGTTTGCCGGCTGGGGAGGCTCGCGAGCGCGTCTGCCTGCCTGTCTGCCTTCTTGTGCGTGTGTGCGTGCCAGTTCGAGGGGGGGCCAATGTATGCGGTCACAAGAGGATGCCACAGTCGTGGTGGTAAGCCCGGAAGAGAAAAACGCGTGGAAAAGTGATGCGACGAGGTGTTTGGCCTGTTTGCTTAGCAGATCTCGGGCCAAAAGAATGGCGAGGTGTCGGGCCCGGGAGGAAGGGCAAAGATGGAGGTGGGAAGAAGCGCGAAGATTCGGAAGCTCGTCACGGTGGGGGGTGGATGAGAAGAAGGCTGGGCGAGTGCTCTAGAGGACAGTGTTCGGGCCTGGTGTGGTGGCGAGGGACCGCGTCGAATGAAGGGCAATGGTGGTGAAAGAGGGCGACGACATCAGCCGGGAAAGTCCTTGGCTGTCTTTGTCTCCCACCCGAGGGAGAAGAGAAAGCGGAAAAAAAATAATGGACTCGAGGCGGGCCCATGGCGCGCGCTCGTGTCGAGGGCGTGTTTTTCGAATATCAACATTGTATGGAATCCTGCACTCCATTTCAAATGAAAGCGCTTGAAAACGCGTCAGGGCCCCAGAAGTGGAGCTGCGCTTCCCCTCTAGTTTGCAATTTCCTTCCCCTCAAACCTTCGTCTGCGTCGCCCTACCGGCCAACCATCCCACTTGGCATGGAAGTCCACGCCGACGTCTGCCTTCTTCCTCAGACCATCTTCCATTTGCAGTTCAACTCAGACAGCGCAAACCAAGGGCTGGGAGCCCGATCTGCCCCGGAAGCTAGTCAAGCCGATCATCTCCTCCTCGTCGGTCTAGAGACTGTATCGCCCTGGCTCGGCTTTGATCGGCACTTCGCCTCAGTCTTCAATAGAAATGGTGACCAATCATTGTCCTGGACCGTAGTAGGGGTGTGAGAGAATAAAAATACAGAGAACAGGCTCTAGGGTGCAACATCGGACTGGCATCGGATCGGTTGGCCACCTAGACAAAAAGTGTGTCCAAGGTTATTGGTGCGCCCCTGACCCACAGCATCCTCGTTCCTTTCCTGCTCCTCGAGCACTTCTTGGGACAACAACAGCCTCGTGCTTCGCTCTGTCCATCTCTGCGTCGGTCTTTGAATTTGTTACAGCCTCTGCTGCCACCGCAGCCGTCGCCGCTGTGTCCTCCCCTGTCGTACCGAGAGCAGAGCCATCTTTTGCCTTGCCATCGCCACAGCCACAGTCGTACGTCTCGTCGAGCTTGTCGCACGGGAATTCGGGTTTGCCCAGCCGTTGGTTGACCTTGTTATGCGCCGCGCAAAGCCACAGGGCGGACGACATTCGACTGCTCGTCTGTGGCGGAAGCTCCTTGAGCAGCTGTTGAAAGTGGCTGGCGCACTCGCCGCAGGGGTACAGCCTTGAAAATAGATGGAAGAATTGCTTGAGCGACTCGCGCTCTGCTTCTGTCGGGTGGTCCGGGAAGCGAAGCGTCATGGTGTGCAGGAACTTCCAAGTCGCCCGGCCCAGTTCGGCTCTGTTTGTTTACTTTCTGTCAGCTTTCTGGCTTGAACCACAGTGACAGCCGCAAGAGAGGAGAGCAACTTACTTTGCCGTCTCGTTTGCCATCTTGCCCATGATGGCGCCGTCCGTTGTGGCGTCCAGCGCGACTAATCCCGCGCCACCGTTCGCAGATCCGCTCTTTGCCTTTGCCTTGTCGCTGTTCGAAGGCGAGCCATTCCCCGCCCGCCAAGTGTCTGTTTCCTTGTTCTTTGCTGCCTCGAAGAGCTTGCCCGCCGACTCCTTCAACGATCCCAGCTTGTCGGCGCCCCACTTCCAGCTCTGCTCCACACTCGCGTCCACGGGCGCCGGCTCTGGGCCGTGGCCCTGTGATGTCTGCATCAGCGCCACATCCTCCGAAGGGATATACGGTGTCTTTTCTCGCGAGAGGTAGAAGAGCGAGGGAAGCAGCAGCACCATCGAGGCGAGAAGGAATAGCTGAAGAAATCGCGGCATTGTAGCGACTCTCGCGTAAGTCTCTCTTGCGATCTTCGAGCGCGATTGGAGCGTGAACGACACTATCCAGAATGCTTTCGCAGCCTGTGAGAAGTCGAGCAGAGCCGCACAGACTGGCGAGCGGCACGAAAAGGGAGCACGACGTTGAGAGTCACACCTCCGGAGCCATAGGAGCAAGGTCGCGCGCAAGCAGCAACGCTTTAAATTTTGGCGCTTCCACGCGGTGACTATCCAGCACGTGATTTGGAGCATCTGTGCTCCTCCAAGAAGCACAACGGGTACCGCTCAGAGGCAGAGGACAGCTGCTCGGGCCGTTTTCGGGTGATACGGACGCAGTGTGTTGTACTGCTTGTAGCAATGCGGAGAGCACAGGTCTTTTGCACCGTTGACAGAAGGCTTTGCCTGTTGGAGCTTAGACTTTCGCTCTGTGAAAGTCGAGAAAGGCTCACGTTGCACTCGCTGCAAAGTGTCTCTCCAATTCCTTGGTGACAATTGTCCTTCTCTTGGGTCATGGTCCCTTGCTACCATCCTCCTTGATCCAAGGCACTTCGCCCAATGAGCATTGACAGTCTACCGGCTCGAGACAGTCCGCGAAGTGAGCATTTGCACGTGAGAAACACCACGTGGGTCGTTTAGTGAGCACTACGCGCCCGAAAATCTTCGTCTCAAACCAACACCACCCTCGCCTGAAGCCATTCTCCCCTATCACCGCATAGCCATCCCCGAAAGAGGCAAGTTACAACATGTCGTCGAGAGACACGACGTCGCGTCGTCAGGACGCATACAAGGCAAAGGGACAGTTCAAGCAGGATGAGCTGCGCCGCCGACGAGAGGAGGCACAGGTCGAGATTCGCAGACAGAAGAGGGACGAGAGCATGGCCAAGCGCAGGAACCTCAACATCGCAGACACGACCCTCACCGATGGCGACTCGGACGAAGAAGAGGTGTCTGGTAAGCTCTTGGAGAAGCAGGTGGGTAACGGCTCTCCACTTGTCCGAAAAATCCTGTTTTCTGATCTCTAAATGCGCCCAACAGCTGGATGATGAGCTGCCCCAGATGATCCAGGGCGTCATGTCGGACAACGTTGACCTTCAGCTTGACTGCACGACAAAGTTCCGCAAGCTGCTGTCTAAGGAGAAGAATCCGCCCATTGAGAGGGTCATCGAGTGCGGCGTCGTTTCGCGCTTCGTCGAGTTCCTCAGGAGCTCTCACAGCATGATCCAGGTATGCCTGAAACGCGCTCTTTCGTCTTGGCTTGTGCTCATATTTCACTCCCTCCACAGTTTGAAGCAGCTTGGGCCCTCACCAACATTGCATCGGGCACGTCTGACCACACCCAGGTCGTCATCACCGAGGGTGCGGTTCCTATCTTCATTGAGCTGCTCTCATCGCCGGTCCTCGATGTGCGCGAGCAGGCCGTCTGGGCGCTGGGCAACATCGCTGGAGACAGTCCAAAGTGCCGGGACTTTGTCTTGCAGCAGGGCGCTATGGAGCCGCTGCTGACGCTCCTCAGCGAGAACCACAAATTGAGCATGCTGAGGAACGCAACGTGGACGTTGAGTAACTTTTGCCGAGGCAAGAACCCTCAGCCCAACTGGCAGCTCGTGAGTCGGTCTTCGAAAGTGATGAAATCTGTCCAAGCTGACTGGTCGGCTACTACTTGCACTGAAGGTCTCACCCGCCCTCATGGTTCTCACCAAGCTCATTTATTCGACTGATGACGAGGTCCTCATCGACGCATGCTGGGCTATCTCCTATCTCTCGGACGGAGCCAATGAGAAGATCCAAGCCGTCATCGAGTCGGGCCTCTGTCGTCGGCTTGTGGACCTGCTCATGCACCAGTCAACGGCTGTCCAGACCCCTGCGCTGCGGTCGGTGGGCAACATTGTCACGGGCGACGACCTGCAGACGCAAGTGATCATCGCTTCCGGTTCATTGCCTCCCCTCTTGGCCCTTCTCTCAAGCCCGAAGGACGGCATCAAGAAGGAGGCCTGCTGGACCATCTCGAACATCACCGCCGGTTCTTCCAACCAGATCCAAGCTGTCATCGACGCCAACATTATCCCCCCGCTCATCCACATCCTCAGCACGGCCGACTTCAAGACGAAGAAGGAGGCATGCTGGGCCATCTCCAACGCCACTTCAGGCGGGCTGCACGAGCCCTCGCAGATCCGATACCTTGTCTCACAGGGCTGCATCCGGCCTCTGTGCGACTTGTTGAAGGGCATGGATAATAAAATCATCCAGGTCGCACTCGATGGTCTCGAGAACATCCTCAAAGTTGGCGAGGAGGACAAGATCCGTGCGGGAGCAGGGGCAGTGAACCAATATGCAGCCTTTGTCGAGGAGTGCGGCGGTATGCTCTCGATCCACAACCTGCAACACCACGAGAACCTGGAGATCTACAAGAAGTGCTGTGAGTGATCCCTTTCTCGTCTCCTTGTTGAGCTGAGGCTGACGAAGAGCTCCTAGTCTTCATCATGGACAAATACTTCCCCGACGAGGACGAAGCCGAAGACACTGGCGTGGCGGCTCCCCAGGTCAACGAGAGTGGTCAATTCAGCTTTGCTTCCAACCTGGCAGCTCCCGCCGGCGGCTTCAACTTTGGTCAACCCCAGGGTGGCGCTCCGATGGGGAATGGGATGGACGGGATGAATCAATGAGTCAGTAGTAGTAGACGTACCAACGCGGACAAGAGCATAGGGCGGCAGCAGAAAGCTCCCTTCCGCAGGCCGCAGGCAGCATGCAGCTGCGGGCAACGAGCAACGATTTGCGACGACGGCAGGAGATGGTGATATCCTTCTCACTTTGTGATTTCTCTCCTCCTTCAAAGACGAAACATACGAGCCATTTTCCTCCTCCTCTGTAGTGAGCCGTGCTGAGTAGCGATGCTTGGCAGACGGATGTGCGCGCATTGTGGCCGAGTGACAGCAAGGGAGAGGTATGTAGAGTAGCTCGTGAAGAGAGCACAAACTACAGGTAAAAGCTCCACTGCACAAGATGATATACAGGGTCGGTAATAATGTAGGAGAGTAGCAGCAAGTAGTACGTAGTCCTAAACAACACTACTGGGAGGACATGCGTATGCCGGGCCGGTGTTCCCCCGTATGCACATATTTGCAACCCTGTCTGGCCGCCATCGGTTGTGATTTGGAACGCAGCTAGCAGAACTGCGCGGCCGCTGCTGAGTGTGTTGACCTCGACCCTTCTCTTCTGCTCCTCCCTGGCAGTTCCGCGCCTGCTTCAGCCTCATCGACTTCATCATCCGTCACCCTTAATAGTACTTCCCCCAAGTCCTTCCGCGCGTCCGTCAGCGAGCATCGAGGACCTCCGGACTTGAGCAGCGTGCTGGCAACTCGCGCGAACCCGCAAGCGCCGCGCACTCGGTCCTTCGGTCAAGCCGCCACGTCCGCCAGGCCATGTCCGCCGGGACGTGGGAGAGCGATACAAACGATTCCTTTGCACGAAGCACAAAGGTGCACTCCTGCCTGCTCACCTCACAGGGAACAATGTGCAGCCGTATTCGCCTCCTCTTGGCCACCTTCTTTCTTACCTTCACCCTCGTCGCTTGCCAAGGCAGCCCTGTTTCACCACCTCTGCAGACAGCAGCCACCCCAGCAGTGGTTCCAAGCACCGCGTCCACTCGACCAATCAATGCCTCGAACTCTTCAACGCAGCTGTCGCCCAGTCTGACAACATACACGACCGCCTTTGAGAAGACGCTGGTGCCGGGTCAGTCTCGCCCTCACGGCGTGCCCTCGAATGCCTCCGTGTACAATGTCACAGCCACCGAGACTTCGACTTTGGCAGCTCCCACCCCGGCCACGCCCACACCCACGACGGCGAGCAACGGCGCCGCAACACCTCCAGTCCACACAGACGAGCTGCCACTGCACACCGTCATCGATCCAGCGTTTGGAATCCTCGGCGTGCTCCTCATCCTCACCGGCCTGCCAATGGCCTTTGTGGGACAGCGAGTCTCTTGGATGGTCTGCATCATCTCAGGGTGAGTCTGGTCTTCATCTGTCTTTCCTTTCTTCAACAAACTCGCCAATGGCTTGTCATGGCCCACGGTACCCGCAGCGTCTGTGTGGCCTTGTCAGTCGGGCTCCCATTATATTTTTGGATCTGTCAGGCTCAGCTAGCCGGCGTCAGCCACGCCAAGCAAAAAAAAAAATCGAGCCAGACTAGCTAGTGTAGTGGAGCAGGGTGCAGGCCAGCAGAGGCGCACGGACAACCGGAGACCGGGCAGATTTTGGCTATTTCCCTCTTTGCCTCGAAGATTTTTTTTGAGACTTTTTTTTGGGGGGTGGTTTTCGGCCTCGCGCATTTTTTCTCCCAGGTCGAGTCGAGGCTTCCAAGATTCCAGATGGACGGATGACGGCAGCCGTCCTCGCTCTGCTCTCTTGTGGCCTGACACGGGCGGCCTGCCTGGATAAATAATGCCATGGAGCCTCCGTCACGAATAGCAGCACCGGATTTCAACATGATCTGGGGGAACGAGCGGCGCGTCAGAGCAAGTGATAAAATGGTAATGGCTGACGTCGATTGCCCGTTCTATCCAGCTTCTACCTTGTAGGCATCTTCACCCTTGCCTTTATCCTTCGCTTTGGCGTTGCAAAGGCCGTCTTTGATCCCAGCCACACAGTTAGCGGCCTCTTCCTCCTCGCCTGCCTCGTAGGCGGTGCAATCGGCGGCATACTTCTCGTCGTCTTTCGCTCCGGTGGCCTTCTTCTCTCCGCTAGCTTGGGAGGCTTTGCGCTGGGTCTGGCCCTACAAGCCTGCAAGGACGACGGCCTGATCTCTTCAAGCCCCGGTCTGCGCTGGCTCCTCTACCTCGGCTTGGCCACTGCGACATTCTGCCTCGCCTGCCACCCCAAGCTCCAGTCGCCTACCCTCATCTTTAGCACGGCCATCACGGGCGCCACTTCTCTTGTCCTCGGTGTCGACTGCTTTACCCGCGCCAATCTCAAAGAATTCTACGTCAGGAACATCGGCTTCGACGACATCTTCGAAAAGCGGCATCCAGACACGTTTTCGAACCACCGCTGGCACCTTTCGCAGGCCTGCGTCATTGAGCTGGGCGTCGTGGCAGCACTCACGTTGATGGGCATCGGTCTGCAGACGAAGATGTGGTCCGAGCTCAAGGCCTCGCTCAGGCACATGCGCAACGACGACGAGGAACGGAGGCTCCAGAGCAGGGCAAAGAGAGCCGCCAAGCGCATCTTTGCCAGCGCTCAGCGGGACCTCGAGGCGTGGGAGGAGAGGCATGGATACAAGAAGACATCGTCCAGCGAACGAAACAATGGCTCCACAAAGGCCGCAACGACGGGCAACATGAAGACAAACAAAATCGAGGGACAAGGAAGCCTCGTGATGCCTTCTTCGCCTGCATTTGACGAGTCGAAGCCATTCATCGGTGCCGGCAGCCCCATGACACCGCATTCGATGGATATCTATCGCAGCGGCACTCCCATCCACGCGAGAAGGACCTCCGAGGCAACAACCCTCTACCCCATGGACACCTTCAACTCGACAAAGGGCCCGCTCACGGGCTACTTTGACCAGGAAGAGAAAGCCCGAGCGCAGGCGCAGCGTCGCCGCGAGAGTGAGAGCCCGGCCGAGGACGCGCAGAAGTTGCACGAGGAAATCAATGCCATCCGGCGAAGCATTCACGAACTCAGCACAAGCATCACGCCTCCTCCGCCGTCCATAATTTCGCATGACCGCTCGCAGACGCCGCTGTCCTTCCGCGAGAGGGCTAGCAGCGAAGCCGGCCTTCTCGGGCAGCAACCTCGCTCCACGTCACCGTGGTTGACCGACGATCGGAGCCGTTCGAGGGCCTTTTCGAGTGCGACAATGTCGGGCGCCCTTCCCATGCCAGCGCTCGACTTTCACGAGCCAGTCCGCACCACTCCATCGCCCTCACGATACACACCCGTCGACGAGACGCTCTTCCAAGGAGATGCGCCACAACCCTTTGCCTCTATGCAACGCACCGGCTCCTCTCCTGCTGCTTTTTCCCCCACCTCTAGCAGTAACACCGTTCGGCCTCAAGCCCAGGATTTTGACCAGACCATTTCGACTGCCAGGCCAGCCCAACCCCGCTCCAAGTCGTCGGCATGGCCTGGAGAAGCTGCTGGGGCGACCAACCGTCAATCTCAGCAAAACCAAAGCCCAGATGAGGCTCGGCGACGCCGTTCCTCACAGCAGAACTCGCCGTCTTCTCGCCCATCTTCCGCCATGTTTCTTCAACAGCACTTGCACCAACCACAGCAACAGCAAGGGAAGAGACGCTCCGTCATCGACACACCTGAGAATTCAGAAGCGCGCTACAAGGCTGCACTGGGACGCGAGCCGCGTCGATCCTTGACCGGTCAGCCCGATTTGTCGTCCATGTACACAAGGGAGAAGAGGCATTCGACGACCTCGGCCATGCTGTTTCAGGCACACCAGTTCCCGGTTCAGCTTCACCACCAGCCGCTCCAGCAGTCACCAGCGATGCTGCCGCCAGCTTCGCGTTTCGATGCAGGAGGAGCCACCTCGAAGGCCAAAGACGACAAGCGAGACTTGACGATGAGCGTGAGCGAACTGCAAGACCGGCACAAGTCTCGCCTCTCGGCTCTGCAGCGCCCGACGAGCATGCGCATTGACGAAGAAGCAACGCTGCAGAAAGCTAAGGAGGACTGGGAGCGGCGGGTGAAGATGGAGAAGCGGGCCTGGGAGAGGGAGGAGAAGAAGAGACTGGAAGAGGAGAAGGCGCAGAGGAAGGCTGCTGCTTCCCCTCGCAGGGCTTCGAGAATCGGCAAGACGATGACGTTGGATGAAATGAAGAGCAGCACCGACGATGAAGGACAAGAAATCGACGAAGACGAAGTCCCGCTGGACCAGCTCGACAAGGCGAGAAGGAGGAAGAGCAGCGGTACAGCCAAAGCTATCGAATGGCGTCAAAGTTTCGTCGGTACTCCACCTTCTCCCATACCGGTTCTGTCTCGTCCTCAGCTTCCCAACGTGCGAGCGAGCTTCGTTGACACTCAGGGCTCGAGCAGACCTACGAGCCCCGGACCGCAGCAAGCTATAAGCCCTGGTTCAAACAGGGCTGCGAGCCCCGAGGCGTACTTTCCCCAGCAACGGCCTCTTGTGCAGCATCAGCAGCAGTCGGCTCATCGAACGAAGCGCACGTCCTCGTACGGCTCTAAGCCTCTACTTGACTTCAGGATGGAGGAACTAAGGGCACAAAATCACGATTCCCACCAGAGGAAGCAGATTTGATGAGAGTCTTACTACGAAAACAACTCATCAACACACATGGCCCAGAACGGACGATATTCTTATCCATGGACACTTTTTCCCTCACCTGCCCCGTCTATCCTCGACGAGATGTTCCCATGTCAACTTTACACAAGCGTTTCCTACCATCACAACTGTCTAATACGAAGCCAAATACTATATTTTTGATGTCTCACTCAGTCTCGTTTCCCAACAGAAGCGTCAGAAGCAGCATCCTGGTGTCTCTGAGTCGTATCGATGAAGGTGCTGATTGCATTGATGTTACTGTACAAAATCTGTGAATCTAGGCCAACACTGCCGTTCTCTGCTCCGTTTCTTCCTCTTGCTGCTGTCTTGCTGCTGTCGCCTCCTCGGCGGGCCGGCTGATGGGCGCTGGCTCTGTCGTGGGTGCCTCTGGCATCGAGACGGGCACGTCTTCCTGCACACCATTGACCTCTCGCTCGAGTTTTTCCATCTCTCTGTCGACCTCCTCCTGGTCCTCCCGGCTCATCTGCGTCTGAATTGCCTCATCGATGTCGCGCTGGTAGGCCTGCGCCTCGGCCGTCTCTTCCATGAGCCTCTCGACGCTGGCCAGGTCCATCTGCCGATGCATCTCCTTGAGCACGGCATTGCCCTGCCGTAGACCCTCGACGACGGCCGTCTGGACCTGGGCAAATTCGATGCTGGACACGAGGCCCTCGAGGTTCGCGAGCTGGCTGTCCGTCTGGCTCAACTGCGTCTCTTGGTACCGGCGCCGACGGAGACACGCGAGCGCCTTGGCGCGGTCGCCCGACGCGAGAAACTGCTGCGCGAGCCGATGCTCGTGCGACGAGAGAGTCTGGAGCTGCGAAGCGGGCAGAGAGGATCAGAGTCTCAGTGAGGGGGTTACTCCCTTAATGAGGGAGAGTCAATGGAGGGGACCGCATACCTTTTTCTGGTATTGCTTGACCTTATCTCGTTGGACTTTGAGACTGTGAACGAGAGGACCTCCATGTCAGTGCGCGAATAGTGGCAGGAACAAAAGGCAGGCACACACTCGAGGATCGCACGATCTTGCGGTGTGATCTTTGTCCCGCTCTTGGACGCCTGATTGCCCATGTTTCTCGATCGATTGCTGCTTGTCCAACTGTCGGCGTCGAGCGGGGGAGGAAGGGGGAGGGGGGATTCCAAAAAACATCTGTGCGAGCCAAGGTCCTCAAACCACGTGTTTTCCCTGACGTGCTGATTCGTCTCTCTAATCGGCCCCCCGACTCGTCCCACCTTCCCCGACGCCATTCACCAGGAGAGAAGAGGGAAAGGGCAGGATGTCGCTCCCTCGCCACTCGTACGACCCGCGCCGCGTGTGTCTTCTCCCCTTTCCGGCCCTGCCGCGCTTCCTGCGGTCCAACAAGCGCTCAGCGGGCATCTACGCCAGCGGCGCCCTGTTCAGCCTGGCATGGTGGATCTTCTTTGACGCAGTCATCCTATCGGCAGTCCGCTCGCGTGCTCCGCTCCCGCCCGACCAGGGCGGCCCTCCACCTGGTGATGGCGATGGCGACGAATGGCTGCCTCCAGCCGTCTCTGTGACATTCTCGGACTGGATCCCTGGCCTCCTCGCAACTCTTGGCATGATCGTCGTGAACCTCATCGACAAGAGCATCCTGGCTGAGGTAGGCGGCTTTGGCGGCATGTCCTTTGGTGGCGGTGGCGGTGGTTTTGGTGGAGACGGTGTCCAGTGGCGGGCGAGACTCTTTCTCTTTGTCGGATTCGCCCTCTTGGCCGGCGGGCTCGCGGGGAGCGTGACCCTGCTGACGATCAAGTACATCGTCGCGGACCTCCCGCCTGGGTATGAGTACTACGGATTGGCGAGCGTGGTGAGTGATCTTCTCCATACTTCACTTCCCGAGGTCCTCACTCATCTCTTATTGCTCCCCTCGCATTTTTCTCTCCGAGCAGATCCAGAATGCTGCCATTATGCTTTCGACGGTCCTCCTCTGGATTTCGCAGAGCACAGAGAGCGACTACGAGTACAACCTGACCTTGTAGGCTCTCGCTGTACAAAAGCGGGGAGGGCAGTGGAAAAAGGACAGAGCGATAATGCAATAATCTTTTGAAGGACCCAAAAAGGGCCTGATAGTGTATACAAGCGATGACGACCACAGAGAACGGAGGGGATGACTGGATTAATGTGCGTCAAAGAGGTAAATGCAGATAAAGCCGTAAATGGGCAAGACGAGGTTGTCGTTTTGTGAAGCGACGCCTTCCAGGATGCCGAGTGTCAAAGTGACGAGGAAGAAGCGCGAAAGCTGGAGCGCAGCAAGGGTCAGCCTTTGCAGACAGACGAATGAAGGATCGAAACTCACATTGAAGGCATCGCACCAGCCAATGAGTCTCAGCAGGCAAGCGCTGGCAAAGATCGAGGTGACAAATGCAATGCTTCCTTCGACCGTCTTGGAGCTTCCAGGCCATCTGACCCTCCCGTATCTTCTTCCAATGATGCTTGCCAAGGCATCCCCGACGCCCAGCGTCAGAACACCGATCTGGTGGGCGATGCCGCCCTGCGTGGGCTCTAGCCAAAGCGTCCCTGCGCAGCCGGTCAAGAGGTAAAAGTGCGACAGAATGACGGGCCCAGAGTCCTTGTGGTCGGTAAACTCCGACATGAAGACGTGCAGCGCTGCGCCAAAGGGGTATAGGGCGTAGTAGCGCGTGTATTCGGCCATGATGAAGACGGAAAAGGCCAAGCTGAAGGCCAGGTGCGTGAATGCGGGCTGGATTGAACAAAAGGTGAGTGGGTAAGCGAGCGAGCGAGCGAGCGTGGAAAGTATCAAGCATCTACTCACGTCGAGAGCAATGCCGGGCGCAAACAGAAGCACGGCAAGGGCATGAAAGAACTTTCGGCGAGCATTGAGGCTTAGGTGTGCGGCCTTCTTGAGGGCCAAATGGCTGTTTGGGTTGGGAGCAGCCGGGCCATTTGGGCCCATTGCAGACCCGTCGGCAGCGCGCAAGCCAACTTTGCTCATCACTTTGCCCGATGTCGTCTCGAGGGGCTCATTGGCAGAGTAGGGCGGCGCTGCAGCGAGACGAGCTGAGTTGACAGATTGCGTTACTGTTGAGGAATTGCCCGGTCGGAGGCGAATACGCTTGCCGCTGACGACGGTCGCTTGCCAGCCCGCAATGCTGCCACTGACAAGAGCAAGCCAGTAGCCAACGAGCAAGGGACGAGACCACCAATACTTGCCCTTGATGACAAAGTGCAACGTCCACATCCACGGGTTACGTCCCCCGAGCTGCCACCAGACCCAGAAGCCCAAGACGCCGACGACAAATAGAGCGGCGAAAAGGTAGAAGAAACCGGCCAGCAGTCGGCGGTGGAGATCACGCTTGTGAGGCCATCGCAGTCGATGCACCGGTTTCTGAGCCAAGTGCCGGGACAGATAGAGAAGCGGCGAGAGGAGGAACCCAATCATAAAGGTGCCCACGACGAGAGCTAACTGGAAGACGAGCAAGGGGGTTGGGTGGCGAAATGTCTTGACAAAGGCCGTCGTTGCGGGCGTCAGCTTGGCGGCTGTCAGATTGAGAGTCTCAACCGAGAGTGTGACGCCGACAGTCGAGACAATGGCCAGCTCGCCCAAAGTGAAGCTCCTCCTGGCCAAACGCGAAATGACATAGAGGTTGGATTGGTAGAATTGAGCGGTGGTGAACAGCTCGACGCGGGAAATGTCGGTCCAGAGGGGCACGCCATACGAGGCGGCTAGCTCCCTAACGATGGCCAGGAGAGCAGAGAGAAGCGTCGAGAACTTGATGAAGCTCCACAATCGCCTCCAATTGCTCGCTGGGAACTCATGTGGGCGCTTAATCCATGTCGTGGCGAGCAAATGGGCCAGCAATGTCGTCGAGGTGAGCGTCTGAAGGCTGACGAGGTCGCACCGAGATAGAGCCATTGCACTGAGCCGGGGATGGGGGACCGATCTTCGGCTGCCGAGAATGTCTTGGGGCCCTTCGACGCGCCACGGTGGGAAGACGAGGGGGTCTCCAGAAGCCAACATCCTCTTTGACGGCTTTGGATCATCGAGCGCAGCAAAAAGGCATGTCACTGCCAGCAGAGGTCCCAGCAAGAGGCCGCTCATGGCACCATCGTCGGAGCAGGTACGATAGTTGCGGGCGTCCGTCGCCCAGATGGATCCGAACGTATCGGGAGACCGCAGGAGGTAGTAGAGCGTCGAGCATGTCACAATCATGGCAATCTCTGAGTGAAGTCGAAGCAACCGTCAATTTTCATGATTTTCTGAAGCTTCGTCGGTCAATGCTTACCAAATGCTTGCAGTCTGACCACCTCCTCTGCATTATCGAGGAGCTTTAAGCATGCCCAGGCGCCAGCTGCCACCAGAAAGGCCGCCTCGAGTAGAGGATTAAGTTGTCTCGATGGTCTTTGTGGCCTTGCTCCTTTCCTCTGCTGTGCTGTTGTTGTTATCTCTGCAACACCGCTCGGAAGCTCTTTTGTTCTGCCGGGCGGTGTCGAGTTAGGGCCCGAGCTCGTCTTGCCCAATGCCCGTTGGACAGTTTGCGTGGCGAGGCCCGCAAAAGATCCGTCACTGGTGCCTGGTTGAGAAGCGCCTTTCCAAAGTAGTCCTGTGCTGGGCGCCGATATCGGCTCTGCTCTCTCATCTGGCCGCGTTGATGCGCGTCCATTGCGTCTCTTGGGAGGGCCATCGGCGTGAAATGAGGATCTTTTGTAGGACGCCGAGGGAGGACCACCGGCTGCTGCTATCCCTTGTATACTTCTACGATGAGGGACGTCCCAGTCGAACACATGACGCCCATCCGAGCTCGATCCATCGCTGCTGCTTTCCACACCGCTGACACCATTTCCTCCGCCAGAAGGTCCAGCTGCATATGTCGTGCTCGAGATCACACCATCTGTGTCCTCGTCCAGCCCCCTCTTGGTCCAGACTCTCCGTCTACGACGAGCGAGGTCGTCCGAATCATCTTTATCCTCGAATGTGGATGTGTGGTCGTCTTCCTCGTCTTCTTCGTCGTCTCCGCCATGTCCATCGTCCTCGATCGGAGCATCGAGCCTTCTCGGCCTCTCGCTCGATGTTCTGCCATTTCGCTGCTGAGAAGTTGAGCCACGCCTTCGCAAGACACCCCGTCCATTCGAGCTTAGCCCTGCTCCATTGACCGCTTCCCTGAAACCCCGTCTCTCTAGCAGTGCCGAGGACTCGCCATTGGCTTGTGATCCTCCAGCATGATGGACGGGCAACGAGGTCCTTCGTGCGTGCTTGCGAGGCCTGGTCAGGTCCACCTCGTGTCTCGACGCTGTCGAGTCGTTTGACCACGTCTTTTTCAAGGAAGCCGACCTGTTCATCGTGCCACACTCTCCTCTAACGACGACCAGCGACGGCGAAGTACGGCAGGCAGGTGAAAGACGAAAAGCCTTACCTCAAGGTTGGCGAGGAATATTCCGCGCAACACGCTAACGACTTCCGCTCCACAAGCAACAAGGGGTCTCGTCGTTATCCTCGTCGTGTTTTTCTTTTTTTTTGGTTGGTCTTTTGCCTCCTTGTTTTTTTTTTTTCGCGATCGTGGCCTGACAGTCTACAAATGCAGCAGGTAAGCAGAGCACGAGTTGTCCATCTGAAAAAAGTCACACCCTGCTCGTCGTGGTGTGGGCATCCGAGGCAAGCTGGAGTAGGTGGAGCCGGCGTCAGCAGAGGTTGTAAAATTAGAGCAGGTAATGCATAAAGATTTTATAGGGCTGTGAGGGCCACGTGGCGTCGCTGAAAAAAGGGCCCGCTCGTCCGAGGACGTTGTCCGGTCGCTCTCGTTCGCTCGTCTTCGAGACGGTACTTCTAACCACCGGAACCCGCCCCCCGGTCCCCAACTCTTGCCCGTCCGGAACTTCTTTTCCACGAGCGCATTTGTGACGGCGGCGGTGAACAATGACTACAACGGCGGCCCCCTCGCATCAGAGCCATTCCATCACACCCAATGATCTCGAGCTTCTCGACCTCATCTCTTCGCTACCCACGCGCTCCTCCGCAGCGTCCCCGTCGACGTCGTATGGCTCCCTGCATGGCGATGGACCAGCCAAGAAGCGGCCGCTGGCCACGCTCCAGGCTCTCCGAAGGCCGCCGATAGATCCGATCGTCCTCGCGGCGAGCTTATCGTCCGGTCCGCATGTGACGAGGCACCACTTCCACCACTCCTTTGGAGGAAAGGTGGGAAGCAAGCAGATGAGGAGGAGCGAACGCGAGGAGCAGCAGAAACAGGAGGAGCAGGATGCACTGAGAAGGGCGCAGAAGCCACCGGCGAGGCATCGGGCAGGCTCGTACGCCAACTGTGACGTCGAGGGCGAGCACGAGGAAGCGACAAGGGATCTTCACGAGGCCGTGTATTCTCAGATGGCCCGACCGAGCAAGCAGATGCCTAGAAGCGAAAGGCTAAGGCTGGAGAAAGAGGCCAAAGAGCAGGCAGAGAGGGCAAAGGCGGCCCATGATCGGGCAGTACGGGAAAAAGAGCAAGCTCATGATAAGCAGGCTGGTAAAGGTGAGCCGCATACAGGGTTATCTTCTTGTCATCTCCGTACTAATGCGGGTGATGCTTTACAGCCTCAGAGCGTCCAAAGCTCTCGCGCGAGCCTACAGCGCAGATCGAAGAAGAGCTACACCAGCGCAAAGAAGCTCTACGGTCGCGCCAAGCATCATCTACTGTACAGAACGCTTCGCTGGTAGAGACCGGAGGCGCCGTCGGTGCCAATCTGCACGATGCTGGTGCGTTGTCCACCCCTGCCGCCATGCCTTCTATCGTGCGACCACCGCCATTGCACGTCCGTTGCTACGCAAGGACAAGGATTCCCACGCCACACGGAGAGATCTTATGTCACCTTTACCGGAATAACCGAGACAGTAAGGAGCATCTTGCGTTCGTCGTCGACCCGGCACAGAACGAAGTTGGTGGAGACTGGGAGCGGGGTGGAGAGGTCTCGTCGAGGCATATCCGGAGCAAGACCTTGGACGAGGTCTGGGGCCCCCAAGAGACAGAGATGGAGCGCATCGTCCGCGGGGCCTACGTGGGTAGGCTCGGACCAACGTTTCAGAAGGCGAGCGAACCACAAGCTCGGCATAAGGCTCCTTCACCTGGACCAGGAGAAGTCGAGCCTCCGCTAGTGAGGATCCACTCCGAATGCTTTACGGGCGAGACGATTGGATCGCAGCGGTGTGACTGCGGAGAGCAGCTCGACGAGGCTATCCGGCTCATCCATGCCACTTCTCCTACTAGAGGAGTGGTAGTGTACTTAAGACAGGAAGGAAGAGGCATTGGACTGCTCGACAAGCTGATGGCGTACAATCTTCAAGACATGGGACACGATACTGTCAGCGCAAACATTCTGCTGGGACACCTTGCCGATGCCAGGCGCTACGACATTGCAGCCGAAATCCTTCGCGATCTGGGCGTCAATGACTGCAAGCTGCTGACCAACAATCCTGAGAAGATGGAGTCGCTCGAGCGTGAAGGCGTGCACGTTCGTTCAAGGGTAGCTATGGTGCCTCGCGTCTGGCGAGTCGGCCACCACCACGGCCGATCCCGACGAAGGACAAAGGGAAAAAGGTCGAAGCTGCCGTCTTCCAACCTCGCATCGAGCGTCATGTCTCAACTCAGCAACCACCACTCGGACGGCGAGGGGAATCACGAAGGCGAAGTCTCCGACGATGGTTCCGAATCCGACTCGTCGAGGGATTCATACGTGGACCATATCATGCGAAGGTCTGGCGCGACAATGTTGGGCGGCAGTGTAACGAGGGGACCGGAGCTGGAAAAATACCTTCGCACAAAGGTGGAGCGCATGGGCCACATGCTCGATCTGCCTTCAGCCGCCTCCCCGGCCGAAGCGGAGGGGCAGCTGAAGGGGAAGCCCAAGACCATCCTCCACGCCGCCGACTCTGGGCAAGAAGACGAGGAGTCTGCATCGTTGATGGGGGAAAGCGAGCTTAGGCAATTTACTACGGACGACCATCATACAGCCGACGAAGGCGATGAAGACGAGATTTTGATTCACCACCACCACCACCATCCTCATCATCATTAGAGTGTGTTGCTAGCAGCATGTGCTTTCCAACCTCAATTGCATCCCTTGTCTGGTCTCATGCAGCCATTGCTAGATCAGCGCAGCCCCAAGATCTTGCTCGGGCACCCTGCCTGGGGACTTGCGTGGAGAATTGGGCAGACTGAGCTGTATTCCCCGCAATGTCCGTTCAGCTCAGCTTTGAGTGTTCCAACAGAAGCCCGATCCGTAGATGAAGATGCATGCCAGCCTTTCAGATTCTGTCAACTCGTATTCGCGATCCCGTCAATGGCATCATCTCCGTCTTTTGTGACTCGCCTCCACTCTGTCAACGCCGCCTTTCACCGCGCCGTGTCGATTGTGTCGCTTGTGTCAACCTGTATGACATGTAAGATATTCCCGCAATCTGTTCTTCGGCCGTTAGGCACCTCGCCCGTTCGCTTTTTCGGTCGTTGTAAGCCGAAAAAAATCCGATTAACAAAATTACCATGCGGAACTCAGGAAACGGAAAGCGGAAGTCCGATTGTATTGCGATCACACAATCTCTTAACACGAATCTTGGGCTCCCTTGAATTGAAAGCTTCAAAAAACTTAAAATCAGTTGTCCCTGCATAAGGACGGGCTGCTTGCACTGCGCTTTTGTTTTTGCCTTCCCCTCCGCGGAAGATCGCGGCGACACGTACTGTAATTTTTTTCCGCGTCCGTTCGGAGCGCCGGCCGCGCTTATGCCCGAATGCCTGCGCTGAAGGGAGTGAGTGAGTCAAAGGGGATACGGCAAATTTTCAGTTTGCATAAAAGAGGATGAGCGTGAGCGATGAGCATGCAACGTCAACATTCTTGCGCTCCCCTCCTATATCTATACGAGTCACCACCGCTTCCGCCCAGTCATCTCTTGACAGCTTCGACTCAGCCCACAGAGGAAATTCGCCGTCTATAAGAAGACGAGGATTCGCGCAAGCTCTGCAGCAAAAGAACCCTTTTCTTACCTTTCCCAACACCAACACTATCGATACTACGCGTTGATTAGAGCAACAATGATCCGCTCACTATCATCGCTCCAAGTCGTCGAGTCGCACGTCGTCTTCCGCTCCTTTTCGGACCTGTACGAGGTCGAGCAGCGCCAACAACAAAACCAATCGCGACGGGCATCTGCCTCCTCGTCGACATCGTGGCTCGCACCCCTGCGGAGCAAGAATGTCGCTACATCGGCGTCGCGATCAAGCAGCCGAAGAAGTAGCACGACGACGAGCAGCGCCGGCGACGCAGAGAGCACATTTGGCTTCCACGACTTGAGCCGGTCAAGCTCAAAGACATCGGCGCACACAGAGATTGAGGAGGACATCGAGGAGCGGGAGGGCCACGGTGCAGCTACGGGCAGCTACCTCTCGGCGCTCTACGACTCCAAGGTGGAAGCGAGGCTACGCCGAAAAGAGGCAGACGTGGCGACGCTTTACGACGAGCCAACGTCACTAGGCGATGAGACCACGGTCCAAGGACAGGATCTTTCACTGAAGAGGTTCCCTCCACGGCATCACCGTTGATCCCGATAGCTTTGATCTTGCCGAATTGTAAAACGCATTTGTACTGTACTACCACCACTGCACATCACCTCTTCGCACACAATACCAGAATAATAATCAAAGGGGGATCATCCTGATCTCTCATTGCACAACAAAAACAAGTCCTGATTCAGCAGCGGCGACGCAAGTAGAAAACAGAGATGAACCATACACAGGGAACTGAGCGGGTAATTTAGTGCTTTCGATGGAATGGGTTGTGGATCCGGCTCCTTCTCTTCGACGGCGAGCTCTCGGCGATGCTGGCCCCATCGCCAAAGGTCGATCCATTAGCTGCCATGCCCATGGCCGCATCGTTGTTGATGGCCGTGCCGGGCGGCGCGACGGCGGCGGGTTGCAGGCCATCGGGCAGGCCGGGCACCTCGGGGACCTCCTGGGCGGCTGTCACGGTCGCATCGCCACCGTTGGCAGACACCTTGCGGCCGCCTCGGACAAAGCCGTAACCGGCCTTGCCCACGCCTCCGATGCCCTTGCCCACGCCTCCCACTGCACCGACACCAAGCTTGCCCACGCCACCCACCGCACCAGCGCCCAAGCGTCCGACACCGCCGACGCCCTGCGTGAATGTCCTTCCCAGGTTGAGCGACGTGCCCTTGCGGCCGCGAGTGGCAATGAACTCGGGTCGGAAGACAAAGCGCGCTGTAATCGTCCCGTTTTCGGCCGCCCCCTTGCCAGAGATGGGAATCACCTTTTCCGTTGCCTGGAATGGCTCCAGGTCCGCCAGGTCAATTTGAGCCTGGCCAAGCTTGTCGGGCGTGCCAACCTGGTCCCAGTCAAAGATCTCAAAGTGGCAGTCGGCGTGCACGCGCGACGGCACCTCGCATTCGCCCAGATTCTCGTCCCACGTCGGGTTCAACGTCTTCTTGACAACTTTTGACTTGAAGACACGCTCGCCATTGAGCATCAGCGTCGCGTATGGGTCCGAGTACTTGCCACCACGGTCGGCGCCGCGCAGATTCTTTGCGCTGATCAGATCCACGCGCAGGAAGCCCATGTTGTTGACGCTCTCCACGGGCTCGAGGTGAACATCGAGGGGAATGTACTTGCACGTCAGCTGGACGGTAGACTGACCCGTGCCCGCGTCGCTGGCCAGAGTCAGCTCGCCGACCTTGTCGAGGCATCGCTCCATGACATCCTTGGTGTTGCCCTGGAACTCAGCAAAGACGCTCTGGTCATCGGTACCCGTTCGCAGCTTGAGCCACATTCGGGACCAGTCAAGCTCCTTGATCACGGCCTCGCCCACCTCGTCCCAGGTGCACTGGGCAGTTCGAGCCTCTTCTGTGGTGTACGAGGGCCAGTATCCGTCGTCAAAGGCCACCTCGAGGCGGCAATTCTTCTTGTGGACATTGCCGCCGAGAATGTTGAAGACGAGGATGCCCGATTGCGTCTGCATCAGCTCCTCGTGGGTCATGTTGACGCCGCCCTCGCCCTTCTCTTTGGTCGCCTTAGTGTCTGACGTTTTGGCCGTGGCGACAGTGTTGATGGAAGCCATCGACTCTTTGCCCTTGGTGTGGCCCGCCTTGGACAAGGCAGCTCCTGTCGACTTCGCGTCACCATTTCCGGTCACGGCCACAGTTGGCGAAGCAGCACCATTCTTTGCGTCAGCCTGGGAATCGCTAGTGATCTCCTTGATCGATGCTCCGTCGGGATCGCCACCATCGTCTCCATCGTCGGGGCCTCCGCCGGCCTTGGATGCCGCCTCGTTGCCCGCGCCAGCGAACTCGACGCCGTTAAGGTTGACGGCAGGAAGGAATTCACAGTCAAAGGTGATCTCGCCCTTGTAGATACCTCGGCCAAGGTTGAGCTTCTCCACATGCTTCTGCTTGCCCGAGCTGGCATAAGGCATCTTCTTGTTGCTCGAATCCTCGGAGGCCAGGTCGACGACATTGATTTCGCACGAGCCAATGGGGCGGTCCTTGGTGTTGTTCTGGTAGTCCATGAGCTCGACGGTGATCTTCTCTTTGAGCGAGTGCACGGGCGCATAGAGGATCTCGCCCTTGAAATCGGGGTTGAGGTTGTTGTTGTAGATGGTGCTGCCGTCAACCTGCTGGCCCCTCGTCTTGAGCGTGACATAGGGGTCGCTCTTGCCACCCAAGGCTGCCTCGACGTTCTTGATGTCCTTTGCGTTGTGCATCCAGAACTTGACGGCACCAATGGCAGGGGTGTAGCCACTGCCTCCGTTCATGCTGCCTGACATGAGAACAGGCTTCCACTCTGCGCTCATGCGCACCTTGCCCTCTTTGCTCTTTGCCAGGGGGAACCAATCTTGCTGCTTCTCTTTGGCGTGTAGCAGATCGTCGAGCTTGACGCTGAGGTACGATGCACCGGGATCGTTTTGGTTGTGGTCGTCGATGATGTGCACCCCAATGACGGCCTTGCGCCTCTCGGTGACGAGGAACTCAAAGTGCTCTTCCCAGATCGGCGACGTGGTTCGCTTCAGCGTCGCAGTGTCCTTGACCTTGTTGCCATTGAGGGTGATGCGAGCCTTGGGGTTGATCTCTCCCATGAGCGCCTGACGCTTGTCGAGGTCTTTTGCCTGGTGGAGCGTGAGGCGCACAACGCCCGACCTCGTTTCGGGCAGCGGCTGCGTCTGGCCATCGGGGCCTACTTCTGGCTTGATGACAGGGTAGTATGAGAGAGAGTAATTGACGTTGCCTCTTTCCTTGCCCTCAAGCATGACAGGCGTGCTAAGGTTATCGTGCTCGGGCTCCACGTCAAGCTCCTTGAGCTCCCAGGCGGCCGAGCCCAGCTTCGAGTCTGGGCGGTGCTCATTCCAGTCCATGATGTTGAGGGTGAGCATACCGTTCAGATTGTTGAGGAGAACGAAGTGCGTCGACTTGAAGATGGGGTTCGCCGTGCTGTGCTTGTACTTCGTCTTTGCCAGTGTCTCCTTGTCATCGACCGAGACGGCGATGTACGGATCAGGGGTGCCGCCGCCAATCTTGACGCCCTTGAGGTTGCGTGCGTTCCAGATGGTGACTTGCAGCACACCGCAGGCCGTGTCGAGTGGGGTGCCAGAGAGAAGCTCCTCGAGGTTGACGGTAAACGCGTTTGGATTGTACATCATGGGACCCACGTTTGCATCGACCTGTCCCTTGACAAAGCCTTCGAGACCGGGGACGACACTCATGACATCAAAACCAAAGGTGTTGCCGCCCACAGGCTTGAGGACAAAGTCGAATTGCGGAGGCGACATGAGCGAGACGTCGACGGTCTGGACGTGGGGAAATGTCGAGATGAGCTTCATCTTGATGCGGGCATGAGCGGTGAAGGAAATGTCCTCGACAAGGATGGGAATACCGGCGCCGACGACACCGCGACCGATGCGGATGGTCAGACAGATCTTTGGGTTGATCTTGCGCGCGGCCTGGCGGACAGTGAGGTCCTGCGTGTCGTTTGGCGTGAACGAAATCTTCCAGTCCATGCAGACGACATCGTCTTCGGTGGCGGGGAAGGTTCGTACAAAGTCGATTTGAGGTGCTTTAGTGCCCAGAGTGAAGGTTGTGAGGCGGATCGAGTCGAGGAAGGCGGGGCATTGCTGCACGAGGATGGCATCGACAGTCGAGATAATGGTGGCACTGAGCACAGGCTCGTAGATGAGCCAGAAGCGACGAAGGAACTGGTTGATCCAGCCAGCCGTCTCATTCTCGGACATCATGTGCTTTTTGGCCAGCTCACGCGAGATGTCGTCTCGAGCTCGCTGACGGGTCCTACGCATACTGGCGTTGTAATACGTCGCACAGACGGCGCCAATGACAAACATGGTCGCGATGCCTCCACCAAAGCGAGTACCAAAGTAGGTGGCCAGCACGGCAAAGACAATAACGGCGCCATCCCACCAGAAGCGGCCGTACCATTGATCAGCGAGGTACTTGCTCACGAGGCGGGTCTCGGGATGATCCAGCGTCTCCTCCTCGCCCGTGGTAAGGCCCGGCTGGCCATTAAGCATCTTCTTAGCGACACCCGTGTGGCCCACTTGGTAGTAGTCAGGGATCGTCGAGGTGGCCTGGCCCACCTTCGGACCGGTGCCATCACCCATCTGACCCTCGCTCTTACTGGCACGGTCGACGTCGGCGGCCGAAATCGTTGTAGCAACCTTCTTGCCGCCAATGTCAGAGATCATGCCTTGCAGGATGCCGAGATGTCAGCGATTCGGTTGTAAAGAAGCAATCGTCACTGAGCTTCACTTACCCGTTCCGCCGCCGGGCTTCTCTGCCTTTGGGCCTTTGATCTCGTTCATCTTCTTCTTGGCTTCGGCCGCCTTTTGCTCCGGGGTGGCATCTTCGTCAAACTGCATGACCCTCGCGCCGCCTTCCTGGCTGGCCTGCAGCTTGGCCTGGAGAACCTGTTTCTCGGCCTCATCCTGCTTCGTCAGATTGGCAAGCCCATCGGGGCCTTGTTCCGAGTAGTCCTTCGCCTTGACCGAGGACATTTTGTTTCGTCTTCGATCTTCTGCTTTGACCGACTAGTTGCTAGAAGACCCCTCTCCCGCCTGCGACTATATGGAGAAGGACGGAGGGGGGAGGGCGAGGGATGAGAGAGGAGGGAGGATGGACTAGTGTATTTTGCTCGGGGAGAAGGAAAGAAGGGGAAGAGGTGTACGTGCGAGCGAAGCAATTGGAAGGCAATTGGATGATGATATGGATGCTTCAAAACTGAGGCAGGCGCGGACTCTGCTTCGATTTTCTGATCGCTTGGAGACCGTGCGCAAGGATCGCAGCTGACAGCCGTCTTTTCCTCACGTGCGCCAGAACATCATATTGCAGCGGACTTATCAATTAGACTATCTCGTCCCTGGGAGGTGTTTGTTACACGCATTTTATCAAACGTCAAGGCCAGCTTCCGAGCTGTCATGCTATGAGAAGCATTGCTGTACGTGGGCTCAGGCAAGTGCGATGTTTGGCTCGCTTCGGAAGAAGAAGCGATCGGCGAGCAACGCCTCGTCCTCCTCTGCCGCGTCCCTTCGCGAGCAGTCGCCATCGCAGTCGGACAAGGTGAAGGAGCAGGGTCCAAAGAGAGCCTCTCTCTTCTCCTTTCCCTTGTCGCCCTCGCCCTCACCCTCGTCGGTCAAGGGAAGAAAGGGGCAGCACTCATCGCCACACCCATTGCCTTTCGCACGATCCACCGCTACGTCGATGGTTGATGCCCATGGCTCCGAGACTTTTCCTTCGTCGCTTTCCTTCCAAGAGGCGACCACCACTCCCACCGGCTCCTCCTCGTCACCCCTTTCGGCGTCCACTTCGCTGGCGAACGCCCAGCAACGCGACCAGCAATTCCGCCATCCCAGTCTGATCATGCAACCGTCTTCTTCGAAGCCGGGTGGCAGTACGCCATCGCCTCGCACTCGGATCTCATCGCTGCCAAGTCTCATGAAAACGAGCGCAGTTCAAGCTTCATCAACGACGATTTCGGCCGCAGCGGCCGTGGCAGAGCCTAGCTCGAGGAATGCTGCTGCTGTTCAGACTGAGATGGACGGTGGCAGCTCGCCTTCGTTGAAGAGTGCCACAACCCCCGATGAGAACGATGCTCGAACGCTCCTCTCCCATCTCAACGCCACTGGTGCCAGTGGGCAGGACAGCCCATATCGAAAGAGATCACCGCGCGGCGCCAATGCAGACTCGCTCTCAAACGGCTCCACCACAAAGTCTGTCAGTGGCGGCTTCCACAGCGACACTCTTCCGTCGCCAACGACAAGGTCGTCCTTCCCACCTGGACATAAGATTTCCTCCATCGAAGAACGGCCGTCTGATAGAGCGAGGGCATCGTCGGATAGAGTCGCAGCTGAATTCGACAAAGTCGTTGCGGACAAGACTGAGGAAGACAACGTCGATACTAGCAGGGCCCAGATTGGGAAACGTGTAGAAGGACAAGCCACCATCCTGCAGCCCAATGGCCCAGAGATTGAAGCATCCAAAGAGGCTGATAAGGCCTCTGATTCCCTCCCAGCCACAGACGGTAGTGCGAAAAAGGGCGATTGGAGCGACATGGCATCTTCGATGGCGAAAATCGACGCCTTGTCGGTGCCTATATTTGACTATGAAGTCCGCCGTTCCCGCCGCCGCGGGCAGGAAAACCAAGAGATGAAGCTGGCTGTCCCGCTGTTGTCTATCAAGGAATCCTCCACGGTGCAAGCCAGGCTCACCGTCGGCCTCGCCTTTGAGCGTGTCGCACGTCTGTCCTTTCCCGATCTCGGTGGCGGCAATTCCAAGAGGCGTGCTCTGATTGAGGCCAAGGAGCCACCTAAGACGACGGGAAGCGAGACAGCGCGAGGGCAAGACATCGATGGTACCTGGTCTTTTGTCTATGCCATTGTCGAACGCCATTCACTTCGACCTCAACCCTCGTCGGCTGCCGCGTCAAGCGGCGAGAAGCCAGCCAAGGGCAGCGTCGCGCTCATCGCCGTCGAGATCGTCAGGCTGGCCGTGCCAGAGATCTTTGGCGCCAGAAGGGCGGCCTATTGGGCCATCGAACGGAGCGCCAGCCTGGGAACCCCGCTCATCAATCTCTTTGGTTCTTGATCTTGATCGCCGGCGCCTTGTGTAAACTTGGGCTTTTTTTTCTTTTAATTCCCTCTCCCTTTCTTCCTTTTCCTTCTTGTGTCTATCAACAAACAATGTATATTATCTTCAATCTCTCCTTGGAACGGCGACAATCTTCACGCATCTGAGATGAGAATGATTGAATGGCAAGAAAGCAGCATGCTGATGAGTGCGTCGTTACTTGACTGTATGATGGGTTGTCAAGGGGTTGGGGTAACTCGTGGAGATTCCTTTTCATCTACAGGCCCAAGGACTTGCGGACGTCGTCGCGAATCTTTGCCTCGTACGACTTTCGGTCGTCTCGCCAGAGCTTGCAAGCGTCGATGTTTGCGCCCGACTCGACGTTTGGCTCCGCCAGCATGCTCAGGACTGGCATCGTGATCCGTCCGGCCGGGCTCCCATTCCCGTGAGCATTCTCTTTTGTTCGAACAAGTGAAAGGGCTGGCAGGAACCAACTCACCACTCAGAAGAATCTTTTCGATGGATTGCACCGGCGACCAGCGCTCCGACGACGACTCGTACACTGATTCATGCCCGCACCTCAAGCTCAGCGACTCGCGCACGAGAGAGCAAAAGAGAGAGGGGTGCACTCACTGTTGGGATCATCGCCCGCCGCGTGCAAGATGCTGATGCACACTGTGCCGTCCGGGTAGACATTCGGGTGGAACAGCGGCGGGTCAAATTTCATCACGGGCGGCTCGAGCGGGTATGTAGGCGCTGTACACGACGTTTCCACCCCCTCAATCAGCTTTCCTGTCCTTGCTCCCCCTCCGCGTACTGTACACCAGAAAGCAGCACTAAGCAGCAGCAGCAGTGCAGAAATACTCACGGAAGGAGAGACGGGCAACAAAGACACCGCCCTCGTATGGCGAGTCCTCTGGGCCGGGCACGAGCGCCTCCCATTCGAGGTAGTTGCTCTCGTCGATGGGGCCCGTGGCGGGAAAGAGGCTGTTGGGATCCGAAGAGAGCTGCTTGTATTCGATCGTGAGCCGCTTGATGGCCGCCGAAGAGGCGCCACGTGATGAGAGCATCCTGCGCGGTAGTATAGTAGTGGTGGAAAGGGAGCTAGCCGTAGGTGATGTAGGGAAGGCGAGGGAGAGAGATATAGAGAGATGGAGCAAAGATCAACACTGCAGCTGCAGCCCGCTCTAGCCCAAGTGACAGGCGCCAGGTCCCAGGCGCACGCTCGCGTGGCACGCGCGTCTTCTTCGTTCACTCTACAGCAGGTCTTATTCGACACAAGAGCCAAATGATAGATCCAAATCAATTTACGATTCCCGAGGCACACAAAGAGAAACAGATGACACTACGCTACTACTACTTTCGGGGCCAGGCGAGAGCAGCTCTAGGCAAGGGTAATGGCAGCCGCGCTCAGGACGAGGCGGTCGCCGACGTACGACTCGAAGATGACCTTCTTGTCCTCGACCTTCCATGCCTTGACAGTGATCTTCTCACCGGGCAGAACGGTGCCTGCGAAGCGAGCCTTGATGTTGTTGAAGGGACCAAACTTGTTCGCGAGAAGTCGGCCACTGACGCCGTAGCTGCAGAGGCCGTGGAGGATGGGCTTGTCGAAGCCGCCCATCTGGGCAAATGCAGGGTCAACGTGCAGTGGGTTGTAGTCACCCGACAGTCGGTACAGGGCAGCCTGGTCGGGCGATGTCGTGTCCTCGAGGACCGCGTCTGGGTTGCGGCTCGGGGGCTTGTTTGGCGCGGTAGACTCTCCCTGGCGCGACGACGACTTCTTGCCGCCAAAGTTGCCCGAGCCTCGGATGAAGAGCGTCGACTCGTTGATGAAGACGACGTCGCCCTTGCTGTCCTTGGTCTCGACGCGCAGCACCACACTTGCGGCCTTGCCCTTGTCGAGAGCCTCGACGAGCTTGGCCGTAGAAGTCAGCGTGCCGCTCGTTGGGATGGGCAGCTTGGCAATCTTGAGGCTCTGCTCGCCGTGGAGCAGCTTCGTGGGGTTAAAGTCGGGCAGGAAGTCGAGGGGGAAGGTGCTCATGGCATCGAACATGGGCACGACACCAAAGGTGGGGATCACCTGGAACTCGTCTGCGCCCTCGTAGACGTAGTTGAGGTCGGTGGCCTTGGCACCGATGCCGAGGTTGTAGAGAATCACGTCTCGCTCAGCGTACGTGTACTCGGTGGGGTCCGAAGTGTGCTTCTTGGCCTCCTTGACCGAGTCGGGGTCCTCGGGGTCCGAGAAGTCCTCGCCGCCTTCGCCACCCTCATCGTCGTCGTCCTCACCGCCGCTCGAGCCAATGTTGGACATGATGTCCGACATGGCCTCCTGGTTGTTGGCAGGGAAGGCAGACGTGTCGGGGTTGAAGTCGAGGATCTTGCCCATCTTCTTCTGGATCTGCTCGGGGTTGAGCTCCTTGGAGTGGCTAAATGCGTGGCCACCAGTCCTCTGCCAGCGCACAGCGGCGATCCAGCCACCGGAAACCTCCCAGAGCAGCTTGGTGTGCTCCGTGTTGGCCTCGCTGGCCAGGTAGCCGACGGCGGGAGCGATAAAGTCGGGCTTGAAGGCATCGACCATCTCCTGGGGCCAGATCGTCGAAGTCATGGCCGTGCCGGCGTTGGGGGCAATGGTGTTGCAGAGAATGTTGTTCTTCTGACCCTCGATGGCCAGCGTCTGGGTGAGACCGAGGATACCACCCTTTGCGGTAGAGTAGTTGGCCTGGCCGAAGTTTCCGTAGATGCCCACGGCCGACGTCGTGTTGACGATCCTGCCGTACTTCTGCTTGAGGAAGATGGGCCAGGCGGCCTTGCAGATCTTGTAGGTGCCGCGGAGGTGGATGTTGACCACGGACTGCCAGTCCTTGTCGTCGACGCCGGCAAAGGACTTGTCGCGGAGGATGCCGGCGTTGTTGATGATGACGTGGAGGCCGCCAAAGGCATCGACAGCGGCCTGGACAATCTTATCACCCTCCTCGACGCTGCCAATGGCGGGGGCAGCCTTGCCTCCGGCCTTCTTGACCTCGTCGACGACGGCGTTGGCGTTCTTCTCTGAGAAGTCGTTGACGACAACGTTGGCGCCCAGCTTGCCGAACATGAGGGCGTAGGCGCGGCCAAGACCGGCACCGGCACCCGTGATGAGGACAGTCTGGCCGTCGAACTTGATGGGGCCATCGCCCTGAGGGTTGGGCTTGGCCTCCTTTGCGCGCTCGAGGAACTCCATGTGGTTTGCGTCGGTGATCTTCTCGGGGTACTCTGGGTTCTCGTCAAAGTCGTTGATCTCATCGATCCGCTCTCGGACAGCAGCGGGCGTGAATGTGTCATCAGTCTTGAAGACAACGCCGTGCGATCGTTGACGGCGGAGCGCGGCCATGAAGCCAGCACCCGACTCAAAGACCTGGCCAGAGATGTCTGAAGGCGAAAATTTTCGTCAGCTGGAAATTACGATAGATCAGAGGAGAGGAGGAGGAGGGCTCACCTTCGTTGCCTGCCGAAACGAGGAAGGTGGCGAGGGGAGCGACAAACTCGGGCTTGAGCTGCTCGAGAATCTCTGGGGGCATAATCGAGGCAAGCATCTGCGAAGCGGCAATGGGCGCAATGCAGTTTGCCAGGATGCCGTACTTTGCACCCTCGATAGCCAGCGTCTTTGTAAAGGAGATCATAGACATCTTTGCTGCGCTGTAATTTGCCTGACCGAAGTTGCCGTAGATGCCTGCTGCCGACGAGATGTTGATGATGCGGCCAAACTAGTTTGAGACTGTCATCAGCATCCCTTTCTTTCTTTGCTTTTACGAGGTCAAGAGATCCTAATCCTCACCTTTTGCTTTCGCATGATCGGCCAGGCAGCGTGCGCACACTTGTAGGAGCCCGTGATGTGGACAGCCGTGATGGCGTCCCACTCGGCGTCAGACATGGACTTGAACGACTTGTCACGGAGGATACCGGCATTGTTGATAAGAATGTCGACACGGCCCCACTTGTCCATGGCCTGCTTGACAATCTTGTCGCCCTCGAGGTTCGAGTCGAGATTCGCAATGGCTTCTCCACCTGCCTTTGTGATTTCCTCGACAACGACCTCGGCCGCCTTTCGGTTCTTGTCCTGCGTAGAGGGACCCAGGTCGTTGATGACGACCTTTGCGCCTCGCTTGGCCAGGCTCACCGCGTAGCTGAATAGTGAGTCTCTTTGGTCAGCTACACCCTATCCGAGATTAGACCCGTGCAACAGATAACTCACGCCTTGCCCAGACCATTGCCGGCACCAGTGATGATGGCGACCCTGCCCTTGAGCGAGAGCTTGCCATTCTCAGTGGTGGGAAAGTCGGACATGGTTGGTTGATCAAGGGGGGGAACAGAGCTATGGAAAAGGGGGGAAAGGGAATGATGAAGGAAGAGTAGAAAAGAGAAGGGAGAGTCGCTCGCTTCTTCTATGGCGCTTCAGCCTAAGGGAGAGAGATACAATAAGCGGGGAAGCTGAAGCAGCGATTTCCACTTTCCACTCCCGGCAACCGGTCACCGGTTTTTCTAATCCTAAGAGCACGCGCGTGTCCGTCTCTCCAGATCGGACTTTTGCGTCATCGGGTTTCGCGTGAAAAACGGGGCCTTTTTCTTCTCTGTCACAAAAAGAAAGACAGAGCGCTTTCTATTTTGTCAATCAAATCAAGAAGCCTGGAGGGCGGGCGTACGCTCGCCTGCGCCGCCCAGGTGTCTTCTCCTACAGAATAGAGAGGCCTCCTCCCTCACAGCAAAGGTAGAGGGACCGAATACACTTGTTATTACAACGAGAACAAGAAGAATCCATCAAAGGAGATGATAGAGGGTGATAAGAGAGAGAAAGATTCCGTCCATGATACCTTGCCATGTTTTCTTACTCGGCGACTTTGTTGCTTGCCTGCTTGCCTACACTTCTACGAACTGACGCCGACGAAGCCGCCGCTATTGTTACTTGCATCGAACCCGTGCTTGACTTCTGCATCTGCATTGCTGCCGTCTACCGCCCCTTCGTGGTGGCCGTGAGTGACTGGAATCTCAAAGGGAGGCGGCGGCGCAGGATCCTGCGACTGAGTTTGGCCGGGTGGGCCTGCCATCGGACCCGTTGCAGCTTCGTGTTGCGTATGCCCATGAGTATGGGCGGCGTGCGCATGAGCAGGGGCAACCGCACCACCGCCAGCACCTCCTCCTCCTGCTCCTCCAAGTGACATGCGTGACGGTCTCGATGGGATCGTCCCCCCATTTTGACGAGTGATGGCATTGTCGCGAATGAGCTGATACCGATGAAGGCAGTGTCTCTTAACCTCGTCCGTGTCCCGCAGGTCGTCTGGCTCCAGTCGATGGGCAATTGGGTTGGTGATGAAGTCAGAGACAGCCTGCGTGATGAGCGCCTGCGTCTGATCGCTGGTGGGAGACGCACTGTCTTGCACCCAGTCGATGCGCATGAATGGCTGCCCCGTCGAGTCCTTGGGCAGGTCGTCGTCGCCGGGGTACAGGGGAAACTCTTTGCTCTGCGAGGTGCGCGGGATACCAAAGCGCTCGCAGAGCCAGTCGGCAAACGCCTTTCTCACCGAGACGACCTTGCGCTCCGTAGCCGTCCGTGGCTTTTTCTTCTTCAAGCTGCCGCCCCCGGCACCTGTCTTGTCCTCCTCCTCCGAAGATCGCTTTCTACGATCCGCTCCATCCAAGGCGCCCGAGCCGCCTCCGTTGACAAAGCTGCTGTCATAGTCAGCCTTGAAGCCCAGGAACGGTAGCCCGGCGCCGACTTGCTGTGTATCGGACCTTTTTGCATACAGCGAATCAAGCTCCTGCCTCAGGTAGTCGACTTTTTCCTCTGTCGCGGCCAAGCGTTCCCGTAGCATCAGGACCGTGTCCTCGAGATTCTTGATCCTCGTCGCATCATCCTGCGGTACGGCATCGTTTGACGGGTCCGGCGCTGCGAAGTTCAGGTCCGCCCCGTTCGCCTGGCCTCCTCCGCCGTCCTCCTGTCCACCGCCTTCTTGCCCGCCAACATGCTCGGCCTCGTGGCCATGCCCGTGGTTGTGGGCACTGGCAGCGATGAGATGCTCGACGAGCCCCACATTATCGTCGCGCGCCTTGCTCTCGGGCGAGCGCGGCGGTGCAGACGGCCCTGCTTCGCTCGACATGTCCGCGCGTTTGAAAGTGGTGTGATTGCAGGAGATGTGGATGCAATCGAGGTGAGGGAGGGGCGTGCGTGAGAGACGCGTCGTTCAGTCGAATTTCAAGTTGCGCGCGCACGACCGTCTCCAAATAATACACAAAGAGGCGGGGCAATTGGGTCGAGGGCAGAGGAAAATCGTGCCCCTTCTTCGTCCTCGGTGTACTACAAGCTTGTGAGAACGGGTCTCTCGGTGCAATGTCGTGACTTCGGCCGTCAGCAACCAGCAGGACCGGGCGCTCTGTTTGTTTGGATGGTGGATGGGTGGGGACTGGTCTTCTGCTTCCGGCTCTCTCCTAGGACGCGCCCTTCGCACGGACGACACGTGGCCGGCCTCTTTAAACTTCTTTCCTTCTCCCCGATCTCCCATTTAACACCTTCCGGCCTCACAGACTGCCGGTTTGCACAAGGATTGTGAGCCCCGATAGCTTGGATCTAAGTTTGACGTTTTCCCGCCCTCTTAAACTCCTCATAATGGTCAAGAGGGCTAGTCTCATCGTCCTGATATTGGCCTCAGGTTGCGGGCAATCCGTCAATGTGGCGAATCTATCCCGAAATTTAGGCTTGGAGGGATCATTTGCTCGTCTAGAAAGGTAATCGTACAGCGGTTTTTTTGGTGCTACGGAAGAACGTACTTTCTTGTTGTAATCTAAGGTGTGCAATGCTCCGAGTCTTTTGCCGGGTTCATCCACCAGTGGGGCATCGGCAGGACTTTGAGCAGGGTGATGGAGAGGACAAAGATGCAGAGCGCATTGACCGACGAGCCCGCATCGAGGGCGGCGGCCAAGACGTAATTCCGCTTGCCAAACCAACGCGGATGCCGTTTGCGAGCCCACCACTGCGAAGCCCACGCGGCGGTAAAGCCCGAGAGGATGATATTCGTGGGCGTCTGAGGTGGCGAGGCAGCGCCATGAATGAGGACGGGAAAGTTGACCAGATGCCAGTACCTGCGAGGCCATCGCTTATTGAGCATCCAGGGCACAAAGGGTGCAAGCGCGCCAATGGCGAAGCCCCAAAAGAGGATCCGGTATTTGCCGCTAAAGAATTCAACCGGGCCAATGGCGCCCCAAATGACTGAGGCGGAATAAAAGATGTTGAGCTTGCGACCGTCCCACTGTCCCGTCGGGTCCACCTGGGTCCCGTCGAGAAAGGCACGGTACCCTGCCGCAGGGCTCAGCACCAGTCGGACGACGGCGAGGTTGACAACACAGCCAATCACCGTGCCCCAGACTTGCGCAAGGAACATGGCCTTTGGTGGAATCTTCATGTAGTGAGCCAGCTTCAGGTCCGTTGTAAGGTCCAGCGCCTGCGACATGGCTTACGGTGATGCTTCGTCAGCCCTGGGATCTTTCGTTCAAAATTTTGGAGGATCTGCTCACCCATGTAGCCGTAGCATTTGAAGCAGACATTTGCGATGGGCTTGCCAGGCAGCAGCAGCCCGGCGACAAACTCGGTGATGACGTTGAGGCCGATGCCCGTGTCTGACACGGCCTTGATGACGCCAACAGGGATAAGGAACAGAAGAGCAATGCCGACTGCGAGCAGCAGGCCCCATACCTGTGCGCTCGAAGCATCAGGACCGCTCATTTCAACACATACCCGCGAAATCAACTTACCGGCAGCTGTAGCGGCGTCGTGGCGACGAGAATGACGGCTGACGAGAGCGAGACAACGAATGTCATAACATACCAGCGTCTGGGCACGGGATGATAGGCCTTCATCAGGCGGTTGTGTACATCTTCGTGGTTCGGATATCGGAGGGCCTTGTAGATGTCCTTTCGATGCCAAAGGAGCACATGGCTGATCATGCTCGTGAGAACGGCAAACGAAAGGCCATAGCTGAGGGCAAACCAAGGTGTGAGGAGCAGAGGTTTCTTTTTGGCCCACTCTGCTTGATCGAGGGAATGATCGGGCGTCAAGACCGACTTGACGTCGAATTTCGCGTGGTTCTGCTCGTACATGCCCGCATCGATCGGCGACGGGAAGCTCTGAGCGTCCCAGAAATCCATGGCGTAGAGGATCGGCATGACGACGTACATGGCCGCAGCAATGCCGCCGTAGAAATTGAGCGCAGCCCACCACGGCTGATAGAGTGGACCTGAAGTTGCGATCGCGTTCCAGTCGAGGGAGATATTAGGTAGACCAAAGCCTTTGTAGCCGGATGAAAGCGTACGAAACGCTTTGTTTGAAGGATCGATAAAGCACAGTAGTGCCATTGAGGAGAGCGTTGGCGCAAAGAGATTTGGCAGGAATTGATAGGCCTATGCATCATAAGAGTAGTCAGGATCAGCAATTAAGCTCGTGTGCACTTGCATGCAGTACCGGAAAAAGCATACTCACGAAGATGCCGACAAAAGCCATGGTAAAGAATCGGAGCCGAGGGCGCATATCGATGGAGGACTGGTCGTGCAGTGTCGTGAACATTGTCGTAGTGACGAGCGTCGACGGGAATATCATGGCCACGGGCTTGACGAGTAGATCATGTACAAGACCGGCAAAGGAGAAACCCAGCGTCTGTGTCGTGAGAAGCAGCGTGAGGCTTGAGAAGATGCCAAGGTGAACGTCGAAGAAAAGCTCGCCAATGTTGATGATGTCGGCGGCGTACGCGCTCACTGTTCGAATGCGAGCCCGTCAGACACTTCATCCTCATATGAGCTGGCAGAGAGGACGAAAGGCAACTCACCTGCGGCGCATGATGACAGGACAGCGATCAAGAGGTGCTCTCTGACGAGGGACTGTAAGCATCGGCGAACACAAGAGGCCGGGGTAGGAGTCATTCTCACTTCATATTGAAAGGGCCCGGATTAAGGTCTACGGAGAAGCTGGTGAAAGGGATGTGCGTCGATTGCTTCGGAAAGCTCCTGGCCATCCAGCGGCCGATGGGTAACGAGACGAGAATGACAAAGTACGACGAGAAGGAGGGCGAGTTGGACTTGTAGAAGAAGAGCTGGAAAGGCAGAAGTCAGGGTGTGAGTCGCCAAGATAAGCCTGCGATGTCTCTCACCTGGCTAATGCCAGCGCCAATGATGGCGAAGAAGGAGCCAATGAGCGCGACTCTGATCGTAAATGCCGGCAGCGTCGGGTCGTCTGTGTCCGGAACGGCCCTCGAAATGATGACCATCGGATCATCTGTCATCTGACGCTTGCTGTGCGCGCTCTCCTCGTCATCAACAGCATCTTCGTCTACTCCGGCCTCCCGTCGCAGCGCTGCAGCCGCCCCTGGCGGGAGGTCCAGCGACGCCGAAGGCCGTCCAGTTCGGAGCCGAAAGGTCTCGTCGGCAAAGTCCTCGTCATAGTCACTGCTTCCCTCGTCTTCATCATCTGCATAGGTGTCCCCCTTGCCCTTGCTTTCCGGTTCGCCGTTCGTTGCTGCTCTAGTCGCATGGCGCCGGTGCGCATCGCCTGTGGCTGAACCATCGCGAAGAAACGACTGGAGCTCGTGCGCGTCCTCGGCTGCGTCGAGGCGGGGTGGCGCCATGGCCGTGTTGAAATCGCTGGCGTGGACCCACTCTCCGTTTGTGGGCGCGAGCAAGAGGAAGACGAGAGGCGGGCAGAAGACACGGTCGAAGGTTCTCTCTTCTTTCAGTGCATTGGGCCAGGCTGCTCTGTCATGATTGGTGAAGAATAAAACACAAGACGCTGGGCGCCAAGTGAGAGCCAAACAAAATCAATTGCAGCTCTAAAAATTGGGCTGGCTCGAGCGCCGACGGCTGTGAAGAACGCGTGGCCGGCTTGAGCTGGCTGACAGGCTGGCAGGCAAGCAAGCAGGTCTGCTACTACTGTTTTTGTTACTACTGGCTAGTTTTACCCTGTCGAAGAGGCCTGCAAGGCGTGAACGATGTTGCCAAAGGTCTGCTTTTCTTCCATGTCGTCGGCAATGAGGACGATCGCCCGCCTCAATGCACTGACAAAGGCCTCCTCTCTTCCTCCTCCCACTGACCCCTGGCGGTAGCCAACAGAGAGTGAGAGCGCGGCGTTGCCGTTCACCTTTGTTGCTCCATCTACGTGCGCAAGACCGCAGGCGTCGATGTAAAAAGGCGATCCCATGGGGCTCTGATTCTGTGCCCATGCCACGTCCCTGACTGAAGAGGGGAGCGCAATCTGACCGATGTTTGACAGTGCCATCGACTCTCGATAGGGTCGGTCGCTTTGCATTCTTTCCAAGAAGAAGGCTTCGAATTCTGTCGGCACGCGAGGGTCTGACGACTGGAAAGTGGCCGAGTCAGGAACATAGGCCAGCGCACCGAGAGCGTGGCGGCCATCGACGCGACCCTGGGGTGAGGCAACTAGTCGTAATGGTGTTTAGCATTCGTCTCCATCTGTTTTCAACGCAAGTTGACGCTCACTGTACTGCGCATATGCCCGGGTAATGTCCCAAAAGTCGATGCTCTTGCTCAGAGACCCGTGCCAAGACGGCTTTGGAGAACAAAGTTCAGCTCCCAATAAGCTCGGAGAATCGAGGCGACTCACATTACCGACAAAGTTTCCAGAGCAATAGGTGTGATGACGGTCCGGGGCGACTATTCTTTCGCTGACGGCCGTCTCAGTGCCGACGTACAGAAATGACTCAGAAAGGCCGACAATGGAACAGAGGGCCGCCAAGCAAGCTGAGTGCACGAGCGGGTTGAGGGTCTTGACCTCATGACGAAGGGCGACAGCCTTGAGCTTGGCGACGATGTCCGCCTGATCAAAGTTGAGGACAACGATGCGCTTATCGGCTTCGATGGGTTTGACGGGTGGTGGTGGCTCCTGTGTAGGCCACCGGCCTTTCTCCTCGAGCCAGCTTCGAATGTACTTTGGGAAACGAGTGACGACGAGGTTCTTCCAAATCAAGTCGACGACAAAGAAAAAGCCGGGAGTCATGCCGAGATCTTTGATCGAGTCCGGCGGATATTCGGCTGGCCCCAGTCCGCCGGTGAGGATGTCGAGCGGTGGAAGCTCGTCGGCCATCAGGGCCTGCAAGAGATTCGCAGAACCTCGACCGTCACAGATGACGTGGTGCACGGCCAGCGTGACGGCCACCTGGGCCCCTTGCTTGCTCTCGAGAATCCTGACACGCCAGAGAGGTGCCCTGCCGAGATCGAATGCAGCAGTGCACTCTACAATTTCCCTCTGGAGTAGATGGGAGGAGTCTAGGTCTGGCTCTTCTCTACACCGACGAAGGACATCGCTGGCACGGAGGTGCCATCCTTTGCGACGAGCGAATCTCGGCGTCCTCGTCTTCGCCCCATCGACGTATGAAGACAGAAGCGGGAGCAGCTCGCCGAGCTTTTCGATGCGTTCGCTGAGTCTGCTTTCGAGCTCGTCAATGGCTCCAGCATCTCTAGAAGGATTCAGCTGCGCGACAAAGGCCACGATGCTCGGGAAGCCGAGGTTGGTGCGGGCGACGCAGAAGCGCTCGTGGAGGCCTGCGCTTCGATCAGCTCCCTCCGTCGACCCACAGAAAGAAGATTATTCTCTTTGCTTACCCAGCTGTCGATCAAATGAGCTCTCGGACATCTATTTCGCGGTTTGGTCGGAAAAGCTGGAAGTCGCTCCTTCTTTGAACACACCGCGGACTTTTGCGGGAAAGAGGCGCCGAGCCCTAAATTCACGCTAGATCGAGATAAACAGACGTGCAAGCTGAAGCGAAGATTCGAGCTCCGTCGCGTTCGCCTCAGGACAGCATGAGCGCACCAAGCGACGAAGCATCCGCTTCAGCGGCCGCAGGACATGCCTCCACGAACAAGCCTCAAGGAGACGAAGGTCATCAGACATCCCATCCTCACCATCTCAAATGGGGCGACATTGCCGTGTCGGGCTTTGCGCCGCCGTCTGAGGCAGAGGCAGAGGAGGAGGGGCCAGTGGAGGCCTGTGGGGCGACCAAATGGGCCCAAAAGGGAGCCAGCGTCGAAGAGCATCGCCGCAAGCTGACGAGGGATCGCTCGATGGAATTGCTCGATTCCGAGTCACGTAGGATCCACTCTAACCGGCGCTACCTCGTTCGCAAACCGCGCGCGCTCCAGTACTTTCGAGGTCGCACGCTGGTCCGATCTGACGAAGAGCGCTCTTCAGCCAGGCTCGGTGAGGCCTCTCTCTATTCAAGTGCTTAGCACCGCCATCCTGCTGATCGTTTCGAAACCATAGAGCTCTTTTTCGACCTCACATTTGTCGGCATCATTGCCGTTCTCGCCGAAGAGGTCATTGCCGAGCCCACAGGCGCCTCGCTGGTACGCTACCTGATCACCTACACCGCTGCCTTTCTCATCTGGTCCTGGATGCGCGAGATCTTCAATGCCTTTTACAAGGATGACCTTAGCCAGCGCGTTTTGGTCCTTGTCGTCATGGCCTGCCTCATCGTCTATGGAAACAACGCGCCAAAGGCCGAGCAGTCGCGCCATGAAGGGCCCGCCCGTGCTGCAGCCGTGGGCAGCTACCTGTTGGCTGAGGCCGCAATCTTTACTACCTTCTTCATCTATTCTTTCCACATCAAACCCTACCGTGCCCAGCTCCGCGCTCACACGCTCGCATGGCTCTGCTCCAGCGCCATCTGGATCGGCCTTATCTTTGTCGACAACATAAGGGGTGCAATCGCAATGGCCGTTGTCGCTCTCGCGCTCGAGTACGCCGCTTGGACGTTTGTCTACACGCCCGTATTCAAGCGCATGATGCGCCTTCGCTATTCGTCGGCCCTGGCTATTGACCATGAGATCGAGCGCTTCTCCGATTTCATCACAATTGTCATGGGCGAATTTCTCTTCAGGTGAGTGTGTAGTCTCCATCTCTTATCTCCTACCCTTACTACCTCACAAGCTAATGAGAACATCCCTTCAGCGTCTTCTCAGACAGCCCAGCTGGGACTGGCGTGCACATATCAGCCGGTCGCGCCGTCATGGCCGTGATCCTGGCCTTTTGCTTCCAGCTCCTCTACATGCAAGGCAGCGGCTCCAAGGCCATCGACCACCCGCTCCGGTACGAGATCCGACGGGGCATTGCATATATTACGCTCCACCTGCCCGTCGTATGCGCATTGACCCTCTGCGGCGACTCCATGGCCGACTTCGTGCGCAAGGCACGTGTCGAATCGTCTATTCGGTGGATCGCATGTGAGACGTACGCTATTGGCATGATTGGCATGTGGTGCCTGGCCATGCTGGAGCACAGCAAGGATGGCAAGGGTGAGCTGTGGCTGCCCAAGTGGGCCAGGCTCATCCCCCGGCTCGTCGCAGGCATTGTTGCGATTTTCTTGCCGTTGACCCATCAGCTGCCGCCCGAAGAAGAGGAGGCAGCAGCAACTGGAGAGGGGTCATCCCACAGCGGCAGCGCCTTGGGGCTTCTCGCGCGCTCCGCTGTGGAGGGGGCAGCGGCGGCGGCCGAAGGAGCCGAGACCGAAGGTTCGTCTGCAGAAGTTTCCCACGGTGGCCCAGACATCACCACAACAAAGCTCCTCGGCATCCTGACCTGCCTCTCCGTGCTTGCGCTCCTGTGGGAGATGGTGACGTGCCTCGATGGACCCAATGCGCCGCATGACAGTGCACCGCAGCACCTCCTCGACCGTGCAGACGACGGGCACACGACACGGGCCGCGCTCGAGACGCCAAAGTGGAAGGGCTACCCGACGCTCTTTGAGCCGGGCGCTGCGACAATTGATCGGTCACACCAGCGAGAGCAGGGCACCGACGCCGCGCATATGAGCGCAATCTCGCCGGTAACGACGATGGATAGTGGAGAGACGCAGGTGTGATGCACCTTTACCTTCCTCTTCACACCTCTTCACCAAAGCTGTGTACCTTCTATTTTCGAGCTTATGCTTGGCTTCGTTGTCTGCCTTTCCTTCCTTTACTTCTTGTTGTTTTCTAGGTTCTACTTAATGGATTGACAGTGCTGGGAACTTTGCTCCTCTTATGCCCCCGCAACTACTCTGGCCCCGACCAAGCCTACTAGAGATTTGATTTGTGCCACTCTCTCGTCGATTGGGCGGTAAAGTGGTGCATGCTCAGCTTCGTCGGCACGCCTCTTGACTGCCTCGCTTCGCATTGCCACCACTTCTACCTCGCTGTCTCTTCGTCCTTGGCGGGACTGAAGCAGGGCTAAGATCGCGGTCAGGACCATGGACTGTTGACGGAGCATCCCCGCCTTTTCGTAGTCTTGACAAGTGAAGTTGTTGAGCGCCAGCTATCAGATAGCGACAGGGAGAAGGGACAAGGAGGGACTCACCTTTCTCGCTCTGCTCCAACCACTGCAGCGCCTCTTGCTCTTCTGCCTCGACGTCCCTCGCGGCTACTGTCCTCTCTGCATCCCTACGCGCCTGCAAATGGGCCAAAATTGACCGAGCATAGGCCCACTTTGCCTGAGCGCGCCTTTCGACGTCGACATCGACGAGGCACTGCGGTAAAATCTGCTCCAGTATGTTCCGCGCCACTTCTCCGGTACTTTCCTCCGGCCTTCTGCCCCTGTCGGCATCTCCTTGCTCCTCGTATACGTCCTCCCCACCATCGTCATTTTCTTGTCCTTCGTCATCATCGAGCATCACATGGTCGTCGTCCATCAGCAGCACCTCGACCCTCGCAAGCCGGGCCATACGGTGCACGATAAACATCTGCGCCCTTTCCGCTCGCTCCTCTACCTCCTTCACCATCGCCAGCGCCCTGCGCCGCTGACCCACTCTTCCAAAACATTCCGTCGCCGTCCTGAGCTGTCCGAGGAGCTGCTCTTTGCACGTCGCCCGTATTCTCCGACCGTGCATCACCTCGTCCCGATCTGCTGCTTTCATGTCTACGTCTGTCGCTGCTTCGCCGTCGACATCGCGCGCCACGTCAGGGTAGATGCGGCGAATGGCCGAGACTGCCTTGGAGCGAGATGCACGTCTGGCTTCGAGGTAGACTATGCGCCAGAGGGTTGGGAACCATCGTTGGTAGGATGGAAACGTGAGGCGGTCGACCAAGTCGACGTCGATAAGCATCGATAAGGCTGCCTCGTAGTCACCTCCTTCTGCGAGCTGGTGAAGAGCTTCTCGTCAATAGAGGATGGCGCACCGGTACAAAAGCAGACTCACTTGCCCTGCCTCGTGCAGCACAAAGGAGAGCTGATGTGTGTGGGACTTTGTCGATGCTGCAGCGGCCTCCTGAATGCCTACCTCGGACCACATCTGGGCCATGAGAAGCGACCGTTGGGTGCCGCTGATGTGACTGGCGGGCTGCTGGTGGCTACTCTCCTCCAGAAATGCAAGAACCCTCGCCCGAGGCTGGCCTCGATCGATGTCTCGCTGCAGTTCCCACATGTCCGATCTCGCAAGGCGTTCGCCCATCGTCGAGGATGCGCCATGACGAGGAGAGCTGGATGAGCTGGCTGGCAGGTACATCTCTTCTTGACACTGTATGCGCCGCATCACACGATCGCAGACGGCCAGAAACTCGAGATCTCTCGACGCCCGAGCGACGTGAAGGGCCTCGTTGAGTGACTAGGATACAGGGTCAGCAATTCTCGCAGCGGAGGAGAGACGCCTGTTCTTTTACGCACATCTCGGGCCATCTCGAATGCTTTTGTGTCGAGATAGAATTCGGCGTCGGCAAGCAACGTGTGGTGCAGCCGTCTGTCCGGAGAAAGAGAGGGGTTGTATTTGAGAAATGGAAAGACGCACGATGTTGCAAGAAGCGAACAGTCACTCACGCATCGTACTCGCCCGGTGCTTGATCCAACGAACCCTCCCTCACGGCCCTCGCTGTCGTATAGTCACCTCTCAGCATGGCGAGGCGATACCTTTGTTTTGACAGATGGTGAGCCTCGTCAACCACCACAGCGGATCTTGTGCCACCCACCTGACGGATGCCGGCTTCTCGTCCTCATCTAGAGGCTGGTCATTTGGCCGATGTGCTTGTCCATTGACCCATACATCAAGCTGTGCAGCAGCTTTGACGATGCTGCGCTCATCGGCACCCGAATACCTCGCATATATCCCCCTCAGGAACCTTCCCAGCGGCGATCTGGCATCTATGTGCCTGGGTCTCCTGGGAATCCGGTTCCCCTCCTCATCCACTACCTCTTCGTCGTCGTCATCGTCTGACTCCACGTCATGCTCTTCATCTTCGGAGCGGAAGAGGACGCGGTCGACTCTCTGAAAAAGGGCATGGAACGCAGCGGGTCGAGTAGCAGCCTCGACGAGGAGGAGACGAATCGTCTCACAGAGCTCGTCGATGAGCGCGTCTGGGTCGACAACGGCAAGCGAGGAAGTTGAGGGAGCGGCGTCGAGCGCGGACCGAAGCTCGTCGAGAAAGTCTTCAAGGTTGGCAGGCGGTGTGTGGCTGGCCTGTAGCAGTGGCAGGAGCAACGTCTGGGTGAGATTGCATCTGGCACCATTCGACTAGGCAGACAGACTCACGCTCAGGACCAGACGGGCCGAGTGGGAGAGAAGACGGGAGCACAGGGGGCTCGGAGGCACGTTTGGGTCCCTGTATGCGTAACACAGCGCCAGGGCGCATGCAGCGAGGTTGGGCCCCGTCAGCGAGCTGCCTCCCTCCATTCGCGTCTGTCTCCTTCTTTCTCGTGGTGTTGGTCTCGCAACAGGAAAGACGCGTCCTAATTCTCTCGTCAGATCAGGCTGAGGACAAAGCTAAGGTTGAATGTTCCCAATTTCGACAATTGGCAATTTGAGCAGTCATTACAAGCACCTTCAGGGACATGTTGACATTGAATAGGAAGGAGAGGCACACTGCAAGAGGAAGGGAGACACACGCCGGCAGAAGAAGAGGCTACTTGCAGGCCCAGATATTCATAGGCAGCCCTCGCTTGTCGGTATTAGCATCGTGCCTCTCTCCCTTCTTGTGCCTCTTGCCAGTCAAAGAACCGTCTGCTCTGTCGGCAGGGACCGTGTCTTCTCCTTCCTTCAGTACGGCTCTTGCTTTTCCTTGGACCCATCTGAGGGCCACGACGGCGCACACGAGGGCATCCAAGACATCGTCAGCCGCCGTCCGGATCTTGCTCGTCAGATCCGGCTCGTCCAGCTCCTCAAGCTGCCAGGTAGAAGCCGCCAGATCGAGCTCTAAGACTTCGAGGTCCATCTCGCCGGCAAGCAGCTCGAAGCGACGAGCCCTCTCCTGCTGCCCCTTCTTTGTTGGCATGGCCTTACCCTTTGACAACCCCAGAAAGGCCAGCTCCGGGTGTGCCTCGAGGACTGGCGTCGCCGAGTGTTCACGCAAGCAGGCATTGCTGCCCTCGCCTCTTGGAATGAGGACCTGGTCCAGCTCGTTAATCTTGGCCATGATGTGGTATGTCTGTATCGAGAGACCCAGGCCTTGCCGTTCTGCACCTTCCTCGGCACTCGCCATGTTTGCAAGCGAGACTTCTTTGTGCGTCGCTCCGGCCTTGAAGGCCTCCAGCGCGGGTCTGGAAGGGGGCGTGAAGATCGACGAGGGGCCCACGACCTGAGAAGCGAATGTCCGTCAGTCACAAGTTGCAAGCGTGCGCTCGAGACTTTGCTCGCCTTGCTGCTGCTTGACGGTGAAGCGGCGCCTCTCCGTGCCTGCTGGAGCGTGGAGCGAGCAGCGCGATCGCACGGCCGGCCGCCCCTCTCTGCACGAGAAGCCAAGCCGATGGGCATGTCGATGGCAATGCAGCGCACTCGATACCTATGACCCTCCACGAGCAGCGCCTCTAGACGCTGCAGCGATCGGATGTGAAAGACTTTGCTCTTGCCGTTCTTTATATTCAACATGGCCACCACCCATCCAGTCCTGGCGCCGTCAATCCCGATGACGACTTCCTCTCCGTCCTTCTCTTCCTCCTTCCCGCCTGAATACTCCAGCTCTGCCCTGCATCTCCCTTGCCCTCCCCCATCCTTCTTCTTTGGCATTCAGGGCAGGCCACGGCTGCTACTGCAGCGCAAATATGTTCAGGAACGTTCAATTTCAAATGAAGGCACGTTGATTACATAACCGACCCAAATTTGCCTGGATCCCCATAGCAGTCTAGAGATCGGGCTACCTTACCCCTGCGAACAAGCAGCTGCGCCTTCACTCCCTTGACGGCATATCGCCGCCTGCAGCTTGTTGAGAGATAGAAAGGAGGGGCAAGCTTAAGGGGCGCGAGCAAAGCAGGGACAGACTGGGCAGCAAGAATCGGCGAAGAAAGAGACTAGCAAGTACATGCCTAGGGCAGCAGGGGCGCGACGACAGAGCGACGATTTCGACGAATCGATCCCACTCGCGACCTTTGGTGGTACCCAGCAGCGAAAACAACGGCGAGACGACAGACAACAAGAGGAACCAGGCATCATGAAGTTCTCGCACAGCTTGCAATTCAATAGCGTGCCCGACTGGGCCGACAGGTACATTGCCTACTCGAATCTGAAAAAGGCCATCTACAACCTCGAGCAGGAGCAGCCGCCCGACGTACCTCCCGCTGCCTCCAATGTCGGCGACGACATCGAGCAAGAGTCGGCTGCGCTCCTGGCCCACTCGTCTCCGTCGGATGCTGACACGACGTTTGTGCCGCTGCTGGACAAGGAGCTGCGCAAAGTCGTCGCCTTTTACGGCCTCAAGGAGGCGGACCTGTTCAACGACCTCGACAAGCTCCGTGCCGACCTTGACCGGACAGAGGCTGAAGAGGGCGCTTACGATGACGACCGAGACGACGATTTTTCAGACGAGGATGCGGTAGGATCCGACGATGGAGACGAGGGTGCCGAACCACTGTCGACGCCGACAACGATGAGGGGCACGCGCCAGCGCCGAGCAAGTCTCGAAAACCTTTTCCAGGATCCACAGCGCTACAACGAAGCGTCTAGGGAGGAGCGGGAGTTGCGAGGCTGGACGACCAGACCAAAGGCGATGCGCCGTCAGAGCCGAGCGGGCCAGCAGGCGACGGCAACAAGCGCCGCCGGTGGAGACGAGCTCGTCGACACGTCGACCAGTGTGGATGCTGATGCACCCCCGCACAGACCCAGAAGGCTGAGCCAAGCACTGGCAGACGATAGCCCCAACGGCGCCCCATCTACACGACCTCGGCGCACTTCGACCCAGGGCCCCGTGCGGCGACTGTCGAGCATGTTCAAGCGACGGTCATCCTACCGCAAGTCGCTCGGCATCGTCAGTACAGGCGGAGACGGCCAGGCGACCGAGGCGGGGTCCTCTGCTAGGCCGGGTGACCTGTCTGCGTCCATGTCGCGAGGAACAGGCGCAGAGAGCGAAGGAGGAGCTTGCAGCTTTGCCGAGAACAAGAGCATGAGCGTCTGGACCGCGGAAAACGACTGGGCCATCGACCTGCGCATCACGTTCAAGAAGCGCATCACCAATCTCTTTGTCACCATGAGCGAGCTCAAGCAGTTTGTCCAGCTCAACGAGACGGGCATCAAGAAGATTGTGAAAAAGTACGACAAGATCCTCAAGTCTAATCTGAAGGACCGCTACCTGTCCGACGTTGTGGCTCTCCAGTACCCCTTCCAGGCTCCCACGCGGGCCAAGCTCGACGACGCCATCGCGGGGTTGACCAACTACTATGCAAAGGTCGTGACCTCGGGTGACATGGATGCCGCCTCGTCGCAGCTCAAGACCTACCTTCGCGAGCAGGTCGTCTGGCAGCGCAACACCGTCTGGCGCGAGATGATTGGCATCGAGCGCAGGGCTCAGGGTGCTACGCTGGAGCAGAACATCATGGGCAGCCGCATGATCCAGGACGGCGAGGAGGTGAAGCCGACCCGCATCTGGACTCCCTTTGGCAAGGTTCGACTTCCGCACTGGCTCGGCATCTCGACGGTGCAGCTCTTTGTCGCCTTTGCCATGCTTACGCTGCTTCTCAAGGCGCCCGGCCTGCGCTTCTTCAGTCGCATCGAGGAGCAGAACTGCCTCGCCATGCTCGTCTTTTGCACCATCCTCTGGGCCACCGAGGTGATCCCTCTTTTCGTCACGTCCCTCATGGTACCGCTTCTGGTTGTCACGCTGCGAGTAGCGAGGACTGACGACATCGAAGACCGGCGCATGACGGCGCCCGAGACGACCAAGTGGATCTTCTCCCAGATGTTTGCGCCCAACATGTGCCTGCTTCTGGGTGGTTTCACGCTCGCCGCTGCTCTGTCCAAGTACAGCATCGACAAGCTCCTGGCCCAGAAGGTGCTTCGCCTGGCTGGAACAAGGCCAGCGACGGTGCTGCTTGCTCACATGGCAGTGGCCTGCTTCGCCAGCATGTGGATCTCCAACGTCGCTGCGCCCGTGCTCATGTACTCGCTCATCCAGCCCATTCTCCGCAACCTGCCCTCCAAGTCGCCCTTCGCCTCTGCCCTCATCATGGGGATCGCTCTGGCGTCCAACATTGGCGGGCAAACGTCGCCCATTGCCTCGCCTCAGAATCTCATTGCGCTGCAGTACATGGACGACGAGCCCCTCGGCTGGCTCCAATGGTTCGCCATCACGATTCCCGTCTCGGGCTTGAGCCTGATCATCATCTGGCTCCTCTTGCTCTGGAGCTACGGTTCGGGCCGAGGCACCGTCATCAAGCGCGTAGGCGAGAGCCGCGACTCGTTTACAGGCATCCAGTACTTCATCTCGGCCGTCGCCTTGGCTACGATTGTACTGTGGTGCCTCGAGAGGAACTTTGAGCACATCGTCGGCGACATGGGCGTCATTGCTATCCTGCCCATGATTCTCTTCTTCGGCACGGGCATCCTGACCAAGGAAGACTTCAACAACTTCCTGTGGACCATCGTCTTCCTGGCCATGGGAGGAATCGCCCTCGGGAAAGCCGTCACGTCGAGCGGACTCCTGGCGTCTCTCGACGAGTTGATCCAGGAGCTCGTCAAGGGCATGCCCATCTGGAAGGTCATGTGCTCCCTCTTGGCCATCTGCCTCGTCGTCGCCACCTTTATCTCCCACACCATTGCGGCCGTGCTCCTCGTGCCCATCGCCGCTCAAGTTGGAGACAGCCTCGCGGAGCCGCACCCGCGGCTTCTCATCATGGCCACAGTCCTCACAGCCTCGGCAGCGATGGGCCTGCCCGTCTCGGGCTTCCCCAACATGGCCGCGTCGGCGCAGGAAGACTCTACGGGCAAGCGCTACATCCGAGTCAGCGACTTCCTCCGCGTCGGCATTCCCGCGTCGATCCTGGCCACCATTGTTGCAGGCATGCTTGGCTATGCCATCATGTCCCTCCTTGGTCTGTGATCCATTCTTCCTCTTACAGTACAGTACAAGCACTAGATTACACAATGGCCCTGTTTTGCCTCTCTCTCTTTTCGAGCTCGTCATGACACGTCCATCTTTTCATCTTGCTGGGCGAGGAGTGTGTCTGCTCGTTGTGTGAAGTTTCCTCGGACGGTTCTGCGTGGGTTGCAAGTCAGCAAGTTTATCTTCTATGATGCACAGCACATTGAGAGTAGACGCACTCTTGCCGCTGCCTGAAATTCTCCAGTATCTCGATGAGGTCCTCCTGCTCTGCCACGTCCAGGTCCTTGCCCTTCAAGCCATCGACGCTCTCCTTTGCTCTCCGAAAGGCGTCATCGAGCTCCTTTGCCTCGCGGACCAAGTTGCCATGCAGCTTCGTCGGCGCATAGTTGCCGCCCGACGCGCCCGCCGCCGCCTGGTGCTCGCGGATGAGCTGCAGGGCCACGTCGACGTCTTCCTCGGACGAGGCGCCGAGCGTGATGTCTGGCCGCAATGGGGCCGGGGCCGGGGCCGGGGCCGAGCTTTGCGGCTGTTGCTCGTTCTGAGACGGCGCACCTGTTGCTGCGCCAGTGTCGGGCGCGGTGCCTGGCGCTTCTGTCCGCATGAAGAGGCTGTCCGACGACGACGAGGCCTGCGCGACGAGCGAGGCAAGCGAGAGGATCCGAGGCAGGAGCGTGGGCAGGTGCGTCGGGTCAAAGAGCGAGGGCGACGGATCCGACGTTGAGGCGGCAGCAGCAGCAGCAGCATTCGAGGAGCCTTGGCCGCCGCCGCCAGCATCGTCGGCTTGGCGTTTCATGGCCTTGTGCCTGTATAGGACACTGTCGTTGGTTGTCTTGAAGGTAGAAGAAGAATTGAAGAAGAATTGAGAGTGTGCGCGCGTCGGCCGGCAGCTCCACTCGCGACTTCTCGGGCGAGCCAAATTCAACTCCCACGATTTATGCTCCACCAACGTTAGTCCAAATCCAGTGAACACACCTGCTTGCACAGACACGGGTAGCGCTGGAGCTTCTTCTGACAACGAGCGGACAAATGCCAACAACTGAGCTTGCATTCTCATCTGATGAGCTACAATGGCAGAAAGAGGTATCCATGAGATGTTGGGAATCAGACGAACAAGACCTTGGACGAAGAAAAATGAAGGGTTTGGGTGGTATCTCTTGAGGGTATGTGTGTAGAGTACTTGTTGAAAATGTTGAGCGGCTTGCGAGCGAGCGTTGCAAATGCAAGATGTCGGTAGAGTCGATGAGTTGAAAAGCAAATACGCAAAAAGGGTGAATGGCGAAGGCGAAAGGGATGAAGCAAAGGGTTCAAGATGTGAGGGTAGATTTGCCCTTGCCCTTGCGCTTCGAGGTCACGTAGCGCATCGAGCCGGGCCGCGCTGGATCTTGCACAAGAGCGAGGTAGAGATGAAGATCCCTCAGGGACATATTGATGGGGTACGGTCGGATGGCGAGCCATTCTAGAATGCTGTTTCTGTTTCGAGAGAAAGAGCTCCATCAGCGCATGTCAAAGGTGCAGGAGCAGTGAACCTACTTGATTCGAGCCAGTCGACCATTTGGTTTACCTCTCGATAGCCGTTGCTCGGTCCATGTCCAAGCTCTCCTATTGAGGATGGAAGTCTGGTCGTGAGCCGTCCCTCCTCCCGTGAAGCGCGACATGGGATCGAGCGAGGAGTCGACCGATTCGTACGATATTGGCTCAACGGCCTTGCCGTCGAGCGTGGTCAGGCCCACACGCACGACCGAGCCGTTTTCTGGCCTCTTTGACGGAGTGGTGGAGGTCGGGAAGCGGCAATTCGTCGAATGGGACTTTACGGGATCGATTTTGGCAAAGGCGATTTCGTCGACAACAAAAAAGATGGCGTTGAGAGATCCTCGGGTGAAAATGCCCTTTGTTCCCTCCTTGACCCAGAGGCCGCGCTTGTCCAGCTCTCTTTCAAGCTCTGCACGCGGCATAGGTCTATAGGCCACGCTGCTGGGAAAGGCCGGCGAAAAGAACCGACGATGCTTTCTCAGCAACTTGTAGTCGCCACTGTTTTGTCGCCAAAGATCGTCCCAGTAGAGCCACCACCACTGGTGAACTTTGCTCCGGTTGATGGCGTTTAGGCGCTCGAACAGGATGTTCGTCGCAGCTCGATAACGATGCGGAAAACCCCGAATGGCAGCGCTACTGCTGTTGGTTTCGAAGCATGCCCGCAGCTCTGGCAACGTCAGGCAAGGTCGATCGAAGATGTCGGTCAGGAAAGCGTAGTCCATGATTTTCTCCTTCTGGATGGCCTCGCGGACGAAATCATCGCGATAGTTTTGGAGCATGTCGCGCAGCAGGGGCATTCTGACCTCCAGCACAGACTGGTTGTCCCGCAGAAAACGCTTGACCTGCCTGGTCAGCGCAAAGGTATTGTGAAGCCCAAAGGCAGTTGCGCCATCGATGGTGCGGCTAATGCGATCCACAGTCAGACCCTCTGGGTCCTGACGCTGACCGGAGGTGTAGGTAATCTCGACGTCAAAGCCAGAAGCAAAGTTGTATGTCGGCCAAGCCGCGTGCTCCTTGCGCTTCACCCTCAAGGTGCCCTTGTCATAAAAGACGGGTCGTGCCAGGGTGTAGCGCTGGCGCAGTCGCAGTCCGAAGATGTTACGATCAGGTCCATACTGGATCGCTTCGACATGGGGACAATGAACCTCCTGTCCGTCGAGGGCACGCAGTGCCAGGCGAACCCAGCGCCTTTCTTTGACATCCTTCTGCTCATTTTGCCAAACGAAAGCCTCCAGATCCTCCAGCTGCGTGAGCGCCACCATTTTGTCCTCGCTATCCCGTGCCTCGTCGTAGCGAATCAGGAGCGTAGGAGGGAAAGGGACGAGGAAAGCCTTGCCAAACCACGACGAGACACCATCGGCAAAGGGCGGATTCAAGGGTCTCCAATAAGCGTCGGGTCCGGCGAATGATCGCTGAATTTTGCGCGCCACTTTTTTGAAACGCCTGGCTCGGTCGTCGTTCATGCGAAGCTCCTCGACATGCTTGCGGTATGTGGTGAGACCAATCGCCTTGAGAATCTTGAGATTCTCGACGTGTCTCTCAGCTGCACTTCCCTGAAAGTTGAGCAGGTATGGCGGCCAGTCATCGTCGGTGCTGAATGTGACGAGGTGTCCCAAAGGCATATGGTACGGCGCAGCACAGAGTAGAACTGTCGAGAGCGTTTCCTCCCAGACACGACGTTTAATGTGCTTCCTGAGGTTGACCAAGGGCGAAAAGACGTCTATGCTGAAATCGACTCGAGATTGCCATCGCTTGATCAGATGCTCCATCCAGCCGGCGCCGGCTAGAGAAAAGTAGATGTTGCCCGTGTAACTAAACGCTTGGATGATGTAGAGAATGGTCGTGTTATACACTGTCGATCCCTGAACCTGAAGTGCCACGAGAAGGCCGATCGTGGCGGTCAAGACGTAGCCCACACGGCTCACCATTTCCGATCTGTTGGAGATCGGATCGACGAAAGGTTTCACGATGATGTGGGCAGCCATTAGAACAGCCTGCAGGCAGATGAGGACCGTTTGCTGGATGACCAGGACTAGTCGAGTGTTCTTCGTACGCCAAATACAATTGTCCTTGGTGAAAATCGAGATGATCAAAAGCGTCGACAGCTTGAAGCAGAGAATGTACAGCGGCTTGTCTGTCAAAAGCAATTGTCAGTACGTACAATGAGTCTTCCTGCAAGATCAGGATGCCACTCGAGAGCTCACAATTGCCCCATTGGCGTCGATAAGCGTTGTAGAGAAAGTTCAGCGGCGTCGAATCGCGGTCCAAGAGGCGCTGATATTCGTTCTCCATCTCCGCAGGCGTCCTCTTTATCCCGAGCTCATTGTACTCGTGCACCTTTGGAAGGAGCGACTTGATCGCCTTTCTTAGCTTATATGGAAACCAGAGCGTGTAGCCCATAAGCGTAGCGACGGCTAGCGGGATCACGACATAGGCCCAGTTGAATTGGTCCCTTCTCATCGTTGTCGTATAGCAGAAGTCGAGTGGGTCGCGAAAGACGTGAGGATCACCCAAGGCCGGCGGATTTGGATTCTCCTCGGTCAGATACGGATTGGCCACCGGCCAGAAATCGGCATTCCAGGTAAGGGCATCCATGCAGAGCTTGCTGAGAGGAATATAGAGAGTGGTGAGGAGCATGACGATGGCTACGTTGACGAATTTAGTCATGGCCGTGCTCTTCTGAGGCTGCATCGTCGTCCCTTTGCCACGGTTGCCCTTGACCTTTTGTAGTCTCGCTTTCGAGGTAAGACGAAAGAGCCACGGCTGTCCACTATAGCCTTCGATTGTCCGATTAGGATTGTACCTCGTCGTCATGTCCCAGAAGGCGTAAAGAAGCAGTGCAACGGTGGCGATCCATACGACCAGAATAATGATTGCCCCGCCGAGCGCATTGGCGAAATCCAAGGCCAGGAAGGAAGGAACGTAGTAGAGCAGAACACGCTGAGCGCGATTGTCGCTGAGTCGAGGCGTAAAATGAAGGTTGAGAGCCATAATCTGCACAAAGTCTCGGAACAGTTCAAGACGAAAGATACCGGCGGCGAAGGTAGAGCCTTCCATACCGATGACGAAGTCGACAATGGTGCCCAGGATGGAGCCAATGCCTGGCAGACTTCCAAGAAAGCCACCTGGTGGCGCACGCGGACCCACGGCATTGCTCTTGAGCTCGTTTAGGGTGCTGCTCCGGAGCAGCATCAATGGTGGAAACATGTCGAGGCGCGTGACAGGATGGCTCTGCGTCGACAGACCGGAAGGGACGCCTTCCGAATCGGCACTGACGCTCGAATTTGGATTGTAGCTGGGAAAGACCTTCTTTTCACTATCATCATCATTGTCGCCAATCAGCGTGAGTGCTTCGTCGGAAGTTGATCCTTGCTCCCCCTCATTGCTTTCAACAGCCCTTGTTGGTCTTCTCCGCCTCGCGCTGCCCTTTGTAGCCTCTCGGGGAACGGAAAATTGAGCTCCGCACACTTCAAGCTGACCTGCCTCCCCGCTCGTGCGCGCATATCCGTACAATTCTGCTTCCTCCTCGGTGCTCAATTGCCGTCCACTGCTGAAGCGAGGAGTGCAAAAGAGGGGTTCTGACGCGAGGAAGGCGTCGAGGTCGGGAAGATGCAACGGGGCAGCAGCATCGGCAAAGACGTCCCTTGCTGGGTATGGCTTGAGACCCAAAGCAGCTTCTTCGTCGTTGCCATCGACGGGGCGTCCGAAGAGTGGAACATGGTCTGCATCACTTGCGTCACCCTCTGCAGCTTCGTCACTCGAATCGCCATCCCCGAACGGTCCTTCTTCTTCTTCTGATGGTCGACCTTCGTTCTTCCAGTCCGGTTGCCCATACTCGGGGAAAACAGGAGGTCGGTTGTCGTCTGTTAGCGTAGGGAGGCCGTCCCTCGTTGACGAGCGCGAAGAGGAAGGAGGCAAGGAAGGACGGGGTTGCGTAGCCCCCGTCCTCGACCGACCAGAAGCGGGAAAGGGGACGGGCGCATCGCGAGCAGACCGAGGCGCATCACCACTGGGATGTGTGGAGCTCGAAGGCGAAGATCTGGGAATGCCACGCGAAGGGATGTGAGGAGTTGGAAGAGAAGGCGACGGAGGTGCAACAGGGGAAGGAGCCGAAACAGGCGTAAGGCGCGGGCTCATCTCGATTGCGAGATTGGGCAACGGTCGTGCGCCATGGGCATCAACTTTGCGAAGGCTGGGAGAAACCTGCTGAGCCGGCGTCGGGTGAGGATGTCTACTGCTGAGATGAATCCCAGCAGCAGCAGCGGTTGGTGAGCTCAGGGGTGACCCAGGACTGGGATTGGACCAGTACCGATACGCAGGTGGCGGCCTTTGCGCTCCTCTAGCGGTTGTAATCGGTTCCCAGTTCATATCTCCCACGGCTGCCCTGATCGTTGTTCCCCTATTGCTTAACCCTGCTCCGGCGCCAGGAGAAGAAGCAGACGCGGACATCGGAAGCGATTGTCGACGCCTCTCCGCCCAAGGGGAGGCTCCTCCTCTCAGGGCCTCCTCTTGGCTTGTGTTGACATTGGTAACCGTGGCTAAGCTCGCTCTTCTTGGGCCTCTGGCATGCGGAGTCATGGCCGGTCCTGCAGCATCATTGGATCCTTCAAATCTGTCGACGAGGGAGCGAATGCGGGTGGAGGGACGTCGACCTTGGAGTCGACTCCCCTCTGGCTTCTGATCTCCCTTGTCCTGTGCTGGATGATGAGGCATCGTGGTCCATGTAGCCCCACACCAGCGTTCCTATGCTGGTAGGCTCTCTCACTAAGAGAGGAGCATGAAGACGAAGGGAGAACGAAGAGCTGAGGCGGGATGGAGTCCGAGCCCCCCTGGCTTGTTGCCCCTTCGGAATATTTCAATTTGGTCAGACAAGCTAAGCGTAGGATTAGCCTTCCCACATGCAGGAGATTTGTTTGGGCTGTTCTTGTCTCCGAGCTGCGTGTGAAGCCAGCCCGTGAATCTTCTTGGTTCTGCTTGTTTGCTATCCACACATGACACCGTGTACTGTCAACACAAGGTTACATCGTTCCCGACATGGGCTTCCGTGATGAATGAATGGAAGCTCTGCGCTCTCTTGCTACCGACAAGACATACCGCGAAAGCCCCTATTTCGTCTTGCGTGTTTCTTTCTCCACTACAAGTCCAATTTGACGCGCGTCGCGGATCAATTGATCGACATTGAGACCAACACTACAAGATTTTACTGTCACGCAAGAGTCGTAGCCTAGTAGTGTAGTAGTAGTAGTGTAGAGTAGCGTAGCAGTACCGCGGCAAGTACAGCTTTATTTCACTACTAATCGACAACGCCTTTGGAGGGGCCGTGAGAGCGGGACTTGGCTGGTCCTTTCGATGAATGTAAGCTTGCACCTAATCTCGCATCATTCGTGGTTCTCGCGGCGATTTGGTAGTGAAGCCATCGCGAAGTATCTGAGGGTGCTCCCCAGGACAAATTTGCTGCCTGAAGTCATGTTGGGCGTTGCAGATTTCAGAGCGGTCTAGATATAGATGCTCCCTATTCGTACGTCTTCTCCGCTTCGCGAGCAGCCGTGGCGTACAGCGTCCGCGATACACGAATGCGCCGTGCCTCTCGCCACGCTTATACTGTATATGGCAACGTGCCGTAGCTGACAGATTCCTCGGTATTCCTTTTTCTTAAGGCATAAGTTCAGCACTTTGCGTTTGGCAGCATACTCTCGAGCGTCAGGTAAAATGTTTCTTACTTCAGTTCCGTTCTCACTCCCCTCGCTCTTGCTCCTTACCCTAGCCTGTGGTCATCGCCATTTCAATTCCTAAACGGATATTCTACTCCAGTCGTGAACGACAGGATGTCGAAATGCCTCATCTACCTGACTCTTGCTGGTCGGATAAACATGCTGAGAATGTCGCAAGCACTCCGATGCCGCGGTAATCCTTTCTTCCGTCCTCTCTCTCATTCTTTTGTCGCTGGACGAGCGGTGCGGGCGAAATTTCCTTGAGCTATTTCGGGCACAGCACACAGCCGCGCCTCAGGGCGCGGTGTTGCGCCGTGGCGAGTGCTTTGTTCAGTGCTGGAGCAACTGTCACTTTCCTTTCTCTCACACCACTCATATTACCGCCGCATCTCAAACATCACTCTCATGCAGTTGCCATACATCTACACGGCCATCCTGGCCGTCGTCGTCATCGCTACGGCAATCGATGCATTTGTTGTCTTGGATCGTCGTTCCATTGATTACTGCACCGCCTCGGCAGCGTGCGGACCAGGCACCAGACAAGGCTGTTGGTAGAGGATCCGCTTCACACTAAGAAGAGTTGACAAATCAGCTCACACACAATCCCCTTGTTGTTACAAAGGCGTAAGTATGTGCGCCAATCTCACAACCGAAACGCAGAAGAGCTGCTGCAAAAATCAATGCAATGGTGAGCAGCAACCCCCCCCCCCCCCCCCCCCACCCGGGGGGTCCCGCTTTCTTCTTCCTTGCTGACTGACTCATGAGCATATTTAGGCTGCTATGGTCTCGGTTCCTAGGGCTTTCCACAGGAAAGCGACCTCGTTAAGACGCAGCTTCCGAGCTGGGTCTAGATCCCAGCTCACTCGACACCACCCAGTCACATCTTCGCTTCTGCCTCTGTCTTAATCTCCACCCAGCTGTGTCGACATCTTTCCCCATAATCTCTTCCCCAACACCTCTCAATTATGTGATTTTGTCATGACTCTCTTCGTTCCTCGCCCTTGCTCTCCTTCCTCATCAGACGTTCGTCGCGGCACTCTGGACAGGAAAGGACATGTTTGCTCCCTGACGCTGTCTAGCAAGGAGCCCCGCTGTTTTGCATTTGGCTCAGCACTTGGCGCATAAAAAAGGGTCGAGTACGGCGGGGTTCAAAGCGGTCTATAAGCGGAAGTGGTACTCCGCTTTGCGAGCCGTTGCGCCATGCTCGCGAGGCGCCTAATTTGCCGCCATCCTCGTCCATTGTTTTTTGTCCTGGCATCGAGAGAAAGCTGGTTGATCCCTCGAGTTTCGTGAAAGCTTCACGTTCTAATGAGCGCCGTGTGGATCGAGGGATATTTGAGCCATGTGACCATCTTTGAGATATAATAGAGGGATATGAGCGTGGCTCGAATGATCCTGTAAGCGAAAGCAGCCCGCAGAGCGGAGCCAGTCTGTACCTCCTTTCAGCTTTTGGTACGCCTAAGAACCCAAACCGTGGATTCACAGTCCGTCCAAGATCAGCTCAACGGTCCTGGCCGCAGAACTTCCACACAAGTGACTTAAAAACCCGCTTTTACGAAATTTTTTTCTCCCCTCCTCAAACCACCACCATCGCTTTTTGTCAGATTGTCAACAGAGACAAACATGCACTTCAGCAATTGCTTTGCCGCCATAATCTTCTTTGTCGCCTGTTCGAACGCGATAACGTCCGTCTATGCTGCCAATGTATTGGAGACGAGAGAGATTTACAGCTTCGATTACTGTGACCCCAGCGCCCCCGATTGCGAAGGTGACGGGGGTGTTGCACTATCATACGCCACGATCAAGACAATTTGTGCGTATGAAAATGCTCTGTTTCCTTCTTCAGAGTAAATTCTTACTTTCGACTGCCTTTCTCACCAAAAGGCGACAATGAATGCTCCGAGGTGAAAGATGAACATCAACGCGGTTGCTGCGCAAAGACGTGTATGAGTGAGTGGCTAACGAAGAGATCGAGGACAAAGATATCGAGAATTGAGGCCGCGTGTCACCCTCCTCTCAGAGTGTCATTCCACAAAGCGTCCTTATTATTGAAGTTCTCTCGAGCTATATTTGGATGCCTTGGCTGGACACGACAACGCTCAAAGGTCAAGCTCGCTCAGGGCACAGTGGGCCTTCTCATCGTCACACATCTCTGTCCGATTCTGCTTCGCATCCGTTAGTACAACGATCTACGATCGGTGATGTTGTGTTGACCGCCAAGTAGACCCTTTTCCTCTTTTCCAATTTCCTCTTCCTCTTCCTCTAGTGCTGTATTCCTTATCATGACCTGCCGTCATTCTCACATCTCGTAGCCGTATCAGAATTTCAGGTAGTGTGGTAGTGAATAAGACGAGTTCAATCAACCTCTTTTTCTGTAATTGCAAATGGTCGCTGGGCGGAGAAAGTACGCCGAGAAAGTCACAAGCACCCCGATTCCGCGGAACGGCCTTCCTCCTTTCTTTTTCTCTTCTCCGCCCAGCGAATGTTGCGGGCGGACTTGGGGATTATAGTTGAGGCCCAGCATACATACAACAGCGCCCCAGGGCTAGGTTGCGCGCCCTGTAGAATCTCGTATTGACCTGTATTGAGAAAGCCGCCCAACTTCTTGCCCTCACACTACCAGCACTGCATTTCTTCGAGGAACGACCCACAATCATGCAGCTCCCATACATATACATGGCCAGTGTTGCCTTCATCTTTGCCACCACGGCAATCAACGCTGCCGCCCTTCCTGACTCTTATTCTGTGGTCAACTACTGCTATAACGCAGGGGCGTGCTCTGTCGCTGACACTAAGGCTTCATGTCAGTAGGGCGCGGCGTCACATTCGAAGAGGGAACTTTGCGCTGCACAGGCTTGCAAGCTCACGCAGCAATCCATTTCCTTATCACGCAGGTGATGAATATTGCAAGAGAGTCTCGAACCCGACGCAGCATCAGTGCTGCCACGACAACTGCTATCGTAAGCATGGACGAACCACGTCACTAATCCCACTTTCTTTGCACTTACGTACTCGTTTGCTATGTAGGCTGCGCAGAAATGAATGCAGAATAGCTCTCACCCATGGGATAACAAAACACATCAAGACGTAGCCTCCAGAGCCCGGACCACTAACTTACACCAGCCGTTTCTTCCTTTTGTCTCTATCCACTAAAATCATGTCATTCTCCTACCTAATCTTCCTGTCCAACAATGTCATCTCCTTGAGAGCCTCTCCTCTCCTTGCCCGTACCCATCCCATTTCTTATTAGATGTCCGATGCGACACTCTGGACAGGGTAAAGACAGGTACGATTGACAATGCCTCTCACGGAAGGGCCGTTCTATTCCTACTCGCATTTGTTACCAGGCTTCAGCCCAGCGAGATGCTTTCGGTAAATTTTCCTCTCTCTCTAACACCTTTCCTTCGGTGGCCTGTGGTAAACTCTTCTTTCGTCTTTATTTTGTATCCTGCGTTCACCGATGAGTGTGATGATGTCAACGCCCTTGCTCTTCTGTGTACGAGAGAGCGTTGGCTGATAAACGTAGTCGAGACAATCGCGAGCACCCCAAATTTGCGGAGTTCTTACTTTTTGTTTTTTATCCGGCGAATGCTGAGGGGACGGACTTGGGGAGGATAGTTGAGGCCCAGCATACAAAAGCGCCTCAGGGCTAGGTTCCATTTCGCGCCCAATCAAGTATCGCATTGATCTGTATCGACCAAGTCGCCCACATTCTTGCTCTCACACAACCAGCATCGCTTTTTCTTCTTCAAGAAACAATCCGCAATTATGCAGCTCCCATACATCTTTATGGCCGTCGTTGCCTTCTCCTTTGCCACCACGGCAACCAACGCTACCACCCTTCCTGACTATTATACTGCGGTCAATTACTGCCATAGAGGAGCGCTGTGCTCGGACACCGACACTAAAGCTTCATGTCAGTGGGACGGGACGCGGTGTCACATTTGAAGAGGGAACATTGCGCGCTGCACAGGCTTGCAAAGCTCACGCAGATTTCTTATCACACAGGCGATAAATTTTGCAAGAAAATCTCGGATCCAACGCAGTATCAGTGTTGCCACAACACTTGCTACAGTAAGCATGGACGAATCGCGCTACACTACTACTAGTCCCTCTACCTTCGAACTTACGAGCCCGTTGGCTATGTAGGCTGCGCAGAAATGAGTGGAAAATAAATCTCTTCCACGGGATAAGAAAACGCCTCAAGACGTAGCGTGCAAAGCCCAGACCACTGACATACACTACTTCAGTCAGAATCCGGTTTCTTCTCCTCGTCTCTGTTCACCAACTTATGTCATTCTCCTACCTAATCTTCCTGCCCAACAATGTCATCTCCTCGAGAGCTTCTCGCTTCCTTGCCCATACTCAACCCATTTCTTTTCTTTTTTTTTGAGACGTCCGATGCGGCATTCATCGAGAAAAAGACATTTTTGCTCCTTGATATGGCGTCGCGAAGGGGCTCGCTGTTTTGCATTCGCCTCAGCTCGCAGCGAATAAAAGCACCGAGAGGGGACTGCCCTTCTCAAGATCAGATTGTTGCAAGAGTAGACAGATGGAACAGTAGTGAACCAAAAAGAGAAAACAGAGAGGGTTATCGAATGAAGTGGTAACATCGCAGTCATGAAGGAAGAACGGAGGAGGTCCCCACATTACTCGTATCCGCCATAGGCCGATTGTCGATTCGCATCGTACTGGTAGGGGGGAGCCGCGGCGGAGTCATCGATAGAAGAAGGTCCCAAGTGTTCTTGACCTGGAACGACGGAAATCCTCTTGCGAATGGCAAGCGGTGGCGTCGCAGCAGCATGGTCTGCGCCCGAGCCCGGCGTGTTAGGCCGATCGATGCCGGCGCCATTGCCAATGTAGTGGTCCGCAGCCGAAGAGTGGCTGTTTGAAGAGCTCATGTGCTGAGCCGAAGGTGTCCGTGCAAAGCCCTTTCTGAAAGCAGCAGCCGTCATTTTCCGCCCCTCGGGCGCCGCTTCGTACCCGCTTGTAGGCGGCTGGCTAAGCGACGCAAGGCTCTGCGATGCTGCCGTGGGTGGGGCGGGTGAGTACGATCTTCGCGCCGCCTCTTGAGCCGCACGGGTGGAGCCAATGGAGTGGAAGTAGGATTGGTCGTCTTGATTGGCGACGGCACCTGATGCCGCAGAGGGTGTTCCCACGACGGGAGGAGGCGTCATGATGCGAGGAGGAAGGGCGGCAGCGTAGCGCGAAGGCTCGCCCTGGTACGCTCCGTCCAGCGATTCTTGCGAAGGCCCACCACCCACAAGCTTCAAGGGCGCAGTCCCGCCCACCTGTCTCTCGTCGGGCGAGGTCGATGGCTGCATGTCGGGGAGTTGAGGCGGCGGTGGAATGCCCGAAGAGGTAGGCGATGCATACCGATCGGCAATGGGGTGCTGTGATGACTCGGTTCGGCTGTGGTAGTTGTCATAGCCCTCGCCGTTGGTCGTCGCATAGTTTCTTGATTGGCGCCACTCCTCCGCAGCGGAGTCCTCTGGGATGTCAGCCGCGGAAGACTCCTGTTGGTGCGACTCGTGGGTGACATTCGCGTCGTCGTCGAGTGTGCCGCGCTTGTTGAGCGAAGCATGAGTGGCATAGATGGGCGTCTGAACAGCATTATCGTCCTCTCCGCCAAATGCGCTGGTCTGGGTCGTCTCGTAAGGTGTGTCGAGCTGAGAGGCGTTAGGGTCAATGCTGTCGTCGCCGACCATTCCAGCTCCGGCACCACCATATCCGGCACCGCCATTGAGGTCGTGGCGGCTGCCACCGCCAAAGCCCGCTCCTCCGGCTCCGACAGGCGCGAATCCGACATCGGCAATGCATCTCGTCGCCTCCTGCATCAGCTGATCCGTCTTTGCCGTTCCCTCGTACTCGTCCCTCGGCATGCCCGGCTGGGTCTGGTTGAGCGGGATCTCTTCGATGAGCAACTTGCCAATCTCTGCCACAACGGTGATCTTTTCGGCGAATTCGAGCAGGCCGCCACACTTGATGCCCATCGCCTCCTTGGCGGTCCTCCTCTTGAAGTCGCCGATGGCGGCCTCCTCCTGCAGAAGCTCGACGCGGAGGCTCTCCATCTCTCCCCTAAGCTCCTTGAGCAGCGACGTCGTCTTCATCAGCTCCTTGTTCTCGGGCCCCATCTTTGCCAGCTTCTTCTCGACGCTCTCAATCTTGGAGCCCAGCGAGCGTTTCCGCGCCTTGAGATCGGCCAGTGCCTCCTCGCGGGTCCGGACGGATTTAAAGTGCTGCCTGATTGTGGCGAGATGCGCATTGAGGCGGACCTGCGACGTGGTGTAGTGCTCAAAGAGCAACGAGAGCTTGCCTAGCACATCCTGCAGATCCTCGCCCTCGGCCGCCGCCCACGCCTTGATTGCCTCGGCCGACTTGTGAAAGTCCTGGCCTGACCGTGTGTTCGACTTGATAAAGTCCTTCTCCGTGTTAATGACGTCCTGCAGCGATCTGTCGATTGCAAAACCGTTAAGCTCTCCTTCTTCTTCTTCTGGCCCTGCGCTTGCATCATTCTTCCTAGAACGTAAAGGCAAGGAAAGCATGGAACTCACTTAAGATCACGGTTGCCCAGCCCAAAGCCCGAAGGCAGGGTGCTCTGATGAGCGACGGATTGCTGAGCCTTTCTAAACATCGACATGAACGCTTCTCGGGCTGTGGTGGCGCGGGTGCGTGAGTGGATGGAAAGAGGAAATAAAGGACAGCCAGAGAGGTGGAGCGGTGCAATACGCAGGATCTTGGCTCTCGCCGATTTCTTAATTTTTTTTTCCACGTGTGGGGATGGAGGCCGGCACCGCCACCGTCGGCGCACGATCGGAGCAGGCGGTCATGACAAGCTGACTGTGGCCTCGGTCAGGCTTTGGCAATTGCGCCTCAAGAAACAGTAATGGGGCATTGCCAAAGCGTACAACAGGTTTGGTCTACAATAAGGACATCCATGATCGCGCCTGCTCAGCCCGGTACAGATCCACCAAGTGCCAATGCAGAGTCTGATGAAGCTCTTGGGTCCTGTCGAGGCGAGGGGTCGGTGAGCTCTATAAGCCGTCGTGGGGAGGCAAAGCCCTAAGCGTTGGTTGCGTGCATCTCTCTAGTCGCTCAGCAGGACGCCGTTGACGAAGCCCCAGATCCCCAGGCCAAGCGTAAGCAGGCCTCCAAGCTTACACCCTGGTCCCCAGGCTGGTCTCGCGCAGGCCGAGTCATAAGAACACGCCTTGTAGGTGAAGTGGTAGCATATACCGAAGATGACGATAAAAACGGCAGTCTGAGACGCGCTCCATGATCCCTGCGTCCATTGCTGCCCATTCCGTCTCGCCGGCTCGCCCACGGGCGAGCTGGCAGACTTGCCGCTGTGGTCAGACACCTCTGCTGCTGCTGGATCGTCTCCTGTTGGCGCATGTTGCCGACAAGTCGAACGCTGCCGCTCCTCTTGATAAGTCCGCAAGAAGAGGAACAAGAGTATTGCACCATAAATAATAGGCAGGAAGCTGTCCATGCCCTGGTCGGATAATGACGAAAACAAGGTCGCCCGGAGGGCTTAGGCACAGTCTGGGACCTACGCGCCGTCCACAAGGTCGGCTCGGCAATTTCGTAGCTTCAACTCTCCGGCACACAATCAAGGTAAAAATATCTCTCTCGCGCCCACATCGAGTGTGCCACAGATGTTCAGTAACAGCGAAGAACAAGAAGAAGATGTACAGTACAATGCAGAGCGGATAATGAAGAGAGAGAGGAGACAGATCTATGAGAGCCTAGCAAGGGCCTCCACGAGGGATCCCACCTCGGCGGCGTCGGCGTCGACCTTTGCCATGGCGCTCTTGGGACCACTGAGGACAGTGTCCTTGTCGCGCTTGTTCAGCGAGGAGAATCGCGCAAGAAGATCGCCATCGATGAAGCCGGCGCTGGGGCTAACGCGATGGTCGGTCCGAAGCATTCTCCAGCTGCAGAGTCGAAAAGAAAACGGGGGATCAGCAATCTGCACCGTGCGCGAAAAGTGATGGGTAGGAACTCACTCTTCGGCAGAGATACCGCCAATGGGCTCGATAAAGTCATTGAGGTTCCGCTCGACCTGCGTCGCAATGTGTCCCTCCCTTTCGCCCAAGCTTGCAATGACGCCAATGGCGCCGGCAGCCGTGACAAAGACGAGCCTCGGGTCAATGTCGTGGGTACGCCCCGTCCTGGAAGATGCAGAGCCGACGAGGCTCGACCGTCTGAACTTGTTGACGAGGTCGCCGTAGTGGTAGGCACCGCGCCTCTCCATGATGCGCGACCATCCGTCCGAATGCTGCAGGACGTCGTCCTCGTCTGGCGTCTGTCCGGCCTCGATGTTTCTCAGGATGGCCTCTTTGCGGTTGCGCTGCGCATCGTCGGACAGGGCGAGGCGCTGCGACGTGTAGAGGTTAAAGGCAATGTCTGCGCCAATGTACGTCTGCGAGCCTGCGCCAATCTGCTCGGCCGCCGTCGTCCAGTAAGGATCGCAGTCGCGCGACATTTCCTGGAGCACATTTGCCTTGCTGGCACCTGCCGCATCGTTGACCCTCAGAACGACGAGGCTCCTGAGCGCATCGCCCACCACGAGCAGCTTCTCCTGCGGCGAGCTGAGGGTGATGGCCGTGAATGCCGCCGACCATCTGCCCCGCTCAGTGAGGTCTCCGTTCTCGTCCTGCCCCAGCATCCTCGAGTCTCCCTCTGCATCGTCGTCTTGCCAGTCGTCGTCTGCTTGGCCTGCTTGCTGTTGAGAGTAAAGAACGACCTCCGAGTTGATCGCGGCCGCCACAAAGCGCGAGACCTGAGCCAACGCAAAGACGTTTCCTCTGACGACCTTCTGGAAGACAAGCTTGAGCTTCCGCGTGGACGAAGAGACTTCAAAGCCGAGGATCCTCCCTTCCGTCGTCTCCTTTCGGTCCGGCAGCGAGGTGCCCGTTCCCACAACGAGGAGCTCGCGCTCATCATCTTCACCCTCATCACTGTTTGCAAGCCGCATGAACTCGACGCAGTTGGGCCGCTCGCTCGCCTGCAGACTGTACTCGTCGAGCCTCTCAAACGTCTCCGAGTCAAAGAGGAGCACTTTGCCGCCCGCCTTGATCTTCGTCTGCCTTCCCTCGGGCATAAACGTCCACGTCGCCACGCCCAGCGCCTTTCTTGCTGCAGACTGCGCAATGGCCAGGGGGTTGTCCATGCCAAGGGGCACGGTGCGGACATCGAGCTTCTGGATGGCGCCGAGCTGGGTGAGTCGCAGCTCGTTGGCTATCGCAAAGACGAGGCACTGGCCCTCGAAGCCGCCATTGGCAGTACTCGACGTCGAGAGCTGCGCGACATCGACGACGTCGCGGTGCTTGACGGCAGAGTAGGTCAGGCGGGTGCCCTCTGCAAAGAGGACCGTGGGCCGGTCGCAGGCGGCAAAGACGGCGTGGAGGCCACGAGAGGTGACAAAGGACCGTAGGAGCAGTGGGTGAGTGCCGAGCGAGGCGGTGCGACGCTCCGTGACGAGAATGGCCGAGCTGAAGGACGACTCCACGGGCAGATCGAGGGCAAAAGAGTACAGAGTGCCGTCGCCCAGGCCAACGAGGAGGTGCAGTGGCGAGTGCGCCACGGCATCGCACCCTCCCTTGACGACGGCGAACGTATGCAGCAGGACGGAGCGGGGTAGTGAAGGAAGGTGGCTGTCGAGTGCGTCGGGCGAAACGTCGTTCAGGTCGGGTAGCTGGAGCATCGAGACCTTTGCCGGATTCCAGAGAGCGACGGCTGCATAGGCGGCAGTGCTGCCTCGAGCGGCCGTCACATCGATGCTGCATGCTTCGCCGGCTAGCTTGGTCGTGGCGACTGCCTCAATACTGCCGGGATAGACTTGCAAGAGGGTCAACTCTGCGCCCTTGGTGCCCACGAGCACCTGCCCCGTCGTCGTGGCAGAGGCGCAGGAGATCGCCACGGGCGATGCCCACCGTGCGACAACAGCCGAGGTGTCGGATGCTACGATGGAGACGGCCTTCTCCGTCACGTGGACGAGGTGACGGCCGTCTTCGAGGCCGTGGACGAGGAGGCAGGCCTCATCACAGCCAAGGCCTGCTGAGGTGAATGTCGACGTGGCATCTTCGAACGTTCCCTTAACCGAGTCGAGGGCGAGGAACCTCGTATGGGAGGGGTAGCCGAGCGCAAGCAGACGAGTAATGCCCGCCCCATCGGCGACACTCCAGATCCTGCGCACATCGGGCTCCTGAAGCGAGGCCACATCCTCGACAGCGACGCCGTTTCGCACGACACGGAGGCTGCCCGTGGGACCGGTGCCGCTGCAGGTGATGATTCTGGCCTGGGCGCTCTTGGAGCTCGAGGGGGAGCCGCCGGAGCCGTCATCGGCGACAAAGTCGAGGATGGGCGCCAGGTTGGGCCACCGCTGCACCTCTTCGAGCACGTCATCGGTGGCCAGCCTGTACAGCGTCGAGTCGCCACTGGCACTGGCAACAAAGACAAAGTTCTCGCCCAGGTAGGCGATGCCGTGGGGCCCACCCGGCTGGGGAATGTCGCCGAGGAACTTGGTCGACATGGCAACGGGCCTGAAGTTTGTTGTCGACGATTGCGGCTGCTGCTCGAGGCTGATTGTCAATAGATCAAGGCGACCAGCGCGGGTGCCAAAGAGAACAAAGAGCTTTGCTGAGCCGTCGGCATTGATGCGCACGCCATCGTCTTGCTCCTCGTCAGATGACGTGGCAGGCAGAGGCTCCTTTACAACAGAGGCAGCGGCGACCATGACTGGCCTGTCTATGCCTGCACGGAGGATCCTCGGAGCACCAACAGCTGCTGCTGATGTGCTTGCGCTCGACCTTCGCCGAGCCGAGGTGGGCGAGGTGGGAGAGAGCGTGGTTGCGGTGGCTGCGGTGGCAGCGGTGGCGGCGCCTTCCTCGGCGGCAGGCTCCTTGCTGCTCGAGCCGGCAGCCGACCGCCTTCGCTTTCCGCTGCTGGTGCACAGCTCTCGGCCGGTGGTTGGGCTCGTCGCCAGCATGGCCGAGGATGAAGGACTGGTGCTGAATGCCGATGAAGATGCGCTCGTGCGCCGCTGCATGCCGCCCTTGGCTTCGCTTCCGCTCGCCTTGCGCCTCTTTCCAGCTGCTCCTGCTCCAGCTCCAGACGGGGCTGCTGCTGCTGCTGCATGGCCAGTGGGCGACTTGGGCGTGTCGCGCCGCTGAGGAGACTGAGGGGGCGGTGGGACGAGGAGGATGCTCGTCTCGCTAAAGACGAGGACGCCGCCGCCGGCCCTTGCAGGCAGGCTGACGAGCAGATGGGCGCCCAGCGCATCGGCGTAGGGCAGCGGCACGTGGGCTCTGGCCAGCGACGAGGCAGCGAGTGCCTGCTCGGCCGCTCTCTCTTCCTCTGCCGACCTCGTAGCGCCCATCGCCGAGGGACCTCGACCGCGCGACGACGTCGAAGGCAGCGCATCCTCGCTTGCTCCTCCTGCCTGGCCAAAGGAGCCCGGCATCCTTTCCTCGTCGTCCTCTTCCGTTTTCTTCTTCGAGCCTGCTTCCCCTGCAGCAGCAGCAGTAGCGGCGCCTTTGCCCGTGGTCGAAGTCGACGGCGAAGTTGGCGACGGTAGTGGCTTGGGCGAGGGTCCCCAGGGCGCCGGCTTGAGCTCCTGGTCCTTTGCGTCGAGGCGATGGAAGGAAAGGACAGGGAGGCACTGCATGCCCAGCCCGGGCAGCCGCGAGGGGATGCTGGAAAGCGAGAGGAGCGCGAGCGTCGGTCGAGCTGCGTCGAGAAAGAGCGAAGAGATGAGGTGCGGGTGGGGTGTCCGGACGGTGAAGGCCGACGATGAGCGAGGGAGCCCCGGCTCGAGGTCGTCCTGGTGCAGCGCGGCCACTTGCTCCTCGTCGACATCATCGCCCTCTGCGCCACCACCTTGCTTCGAGTCCAGCGGGACCACCTTGAGCACGCCTGCATGGGTGTGGGCAAGGAGGAGGCCGGCGGCATCGTCGATGTCCAGGGTGATGCCCGTCTCGGCGGGCTGCCGGCCCAGCTCGTCGACCTGCACCACCGCCCGCGTCTTCCACTGCCCATGCTGCCTCGACACGGCAATGATTCGCGGCTGGTGGTGGTCCGTGAGAATGAGAAACACTCCGCGGCGCTGGACAACCTTGATGATGCGCGCATTCAACGGCAGCGTCAAGACCGCCGTGTCGTCCAACGGCTGGAAGCTGAGCGACGTGTGCTGCACCGAGCAGATGTAGCGCCGGCCCTCGAGCTCGACCAGCGACGCCTGCGTCGAGGCCGAGGCCGCGTGCGTGTGGTGGAGGTAGTACATTGCAGTTTGTACCACCAAGCAGCCCGTCGACGTTGGAAAAAAAGGGAATTGTCTCTCTGTGTCGGCTTGTCCAAGGTCGCTGCCGAGGAGAGACGGACGGACGGGGGGGACAAGAAAGTCAAAAGTCGCGCATTGGCCTACCACCAGCTCGGCAGGCAGCGCGGCGGCTCCACTTACGCGCGCGCGCGTGCGAGAGAGATGCACTTTTCTTAGCTCATTCTGTCTGATCCAGCTGAACCCTGTGAGCCTCTTGCCTCCTACCGCGTCCTGCAAAGTGAGCGCCAGGCAATCAGTCCGATGTCGTGTGCTCTGCTTGCCTATTGAAAGTGGCGCCTCCAGTGACTCAGATGTCAGAAGCGTTAAGCTGAAGTGATCAGAAGCGGCTTCCATAACCCCGTTCAGCCCGGGAGTGTCGCCAGAAGTGAGCAACCGTGAGATTCGTCTACAACCTCAATCCTCGCGAGTCTGTCGCGTGCCTTGATTGAGTATCGCTGCAAGCCGACTGTTCCATAGTGTTGGCAGGGCCTTCAAGAGATCGATTGCATGTTCTATACCGTCACAAAGGAGACGTTTCTTATAGTAGCGGCCCCAGCATCGACCTTGGATGTAGTAGCTAAATCCGCGAAAGACGGCCGGCACGCTTTCCCTCCACCTGTGCGCTAGTTCTTCCCCACGTCTGTTTCCCGCTCGTTGCGCTTTTACTCCTCCAGCAGCCGTACTAAGAAAGAGAACATGGCTGAACACAATAGCACCGCTGTCGTCGTCGTCGTGCACGATGTCCTCGGCACGCTCTTTTCCCTGTCGTCGCCCATCAAGGCGCTCCAGTCGATCTTTGGGCCTCAGCTGCAGGACTACCCCCCCAATTTCGCCGAGCTGATCGTCATGGTGCGTCGCCGTGCTTGTGTCTCTCCTTTCCCTGTCCCCAATTTTTTTCCCCTGGTCCACACTGACCTTTGCATGAATACTGCAACGAACAGGACTGGTACCACGAAGCCCAGCGAGACTTTGCCACGCTGTCCATCAATGGCCGCTACAGGCCGATCGCCGACGTGTTCAAATCGGCGCTGCCCCGCGTGCTCCTCCAGGCCGGCCTGGCCCCTCCCGCGTCGTTTGCCTCGTCGGTTCTTCCCCCCGGCACCTTTGCCTCGGCCGACGGCGCGACAGACCCGTTCGCGGGCGACGCCGTGGTGGACAAGATGATGGCCTCGCTCCAGGCCCTCGAGCCGCGGCCAGGCATGGTCGATGCCTTTGCCTCCATCTACGCGAGCAGGCCCGGCCTGCAGATCTGGGGCGCCACCAATGGCTCCCTGGACCTGACCAAGAAGCTGTTTGGCAATGCACTGGGCAGCGACGTCCGGCTTGTCTCGTCCAAAGAAGAGCTCGAAGCTGCACAAGGGCAAGGGCAAGGGCAAGGGCAAGGGCAGGGGCACGGACGCGGACGAGCGGTGGGCCTCTACTCGTGTGACGAAGACCAGGTGGCCAAGCCGGACCCGCGTGTCTACAAGACGGTCCTCGGCCGCATCGTCGACGCGAGAAGCAAGCCATCGAGCGCGACGTCGACCTGGTTCGTCGCAAGCCACACCTGGGACCTCTTTGCGGCCCGCACCGCCGGCTTCCAGCACACGGCGTGGGTCTCTTACGAGGAATTCTACGACTCGCACGGCATCTACGGCACGCCCGACATTGTGGGCAAGGACATGGCCGAAGTTGCGCAAAAGATCCTCGACTTTGAGGATGGCAAGAAGGATCCGAAATAGGCGCAGACAATCTCCAATTGCGATTCCCTTGCTTTTCATCTTCTTGGCTACAGATGTGGTTTCCAGCCACTCTTGAAATAAAAAAAGAGAGGAATTGTGGAACAGAAGAGAGTGAGAGCGTGTGGGTGTGTGCGTGCGGAGGTGCAAGGGGAAGAGAGAAGAGGAGGGTTTGGGAGGGAGGGGTGTAGGAGAGCAAGGGAGACACCTCTACACAAAGACGCTGGACAGCTTGTCAAAGACAGGCGTGCCAAAGCCCGTGACGGGGTCCCAGCCCTTCTGAGCGGGGAAGCCCGTGGTGTTGCAGCCCTTTGCGCTTCCAATGGTAATGTCCTTGAGGCCCTTTTCGCCCTTTCCAGAGTACAGGGCTGGGTTGATGAAGCCGAGGGTGGACTTGCCCTTGGCCAGTCGCTCGTCATTGACCAGGGCCAGAATGCCGGCGACGAGTGGTGTCGAGGCAGACGTGCCGCTGATCAGAGAGTACCGACCGCCAATGACAATGACGAAACGAGAGCCCTGGGCCGCCAAGTCGGGGTAGGCGCGTCCCTTGGGGTTGTACAGGCCCTTGAACTTGTCGCCGAGCGAGGCGACGTAGGCATCGACGGTGTCCTTTTGGTACTTTGGCGTGGGCCACACGTCGGAGAAGCCACCGCCGCTGTAGAAGGTGTCGACGGCTCGCTCGGGGTTAAAGGCAATCGTGGCGCCCACCGTGACGGAGTAAGGGCAAGAGGCGGGGAACGAAGGGAGGAACTTTGGCGTGTTTTTGCCGTCGTTTGAGAAGCAGGTGCCATCGTTGCCCACGCCGTAGTCGCCCGAGGCAAAGAGCATCGTGGTGCCACGCGCGCCGAGGGCGGCAATTTCGCGGCAGACACGCTTCTGGTAGGCCAGGGGAACAGTCTGCTCGTCGTCGCCGTACGAGGTGCTGACGATGCTGGGCACCTTCTTCTTCTGGAGCAGGTACTCGAACTCGCTGCTGTAAGGCTCGTTTGTGTTCGTCGGCGTGTTTTTGTCGGCCTTGAACGGCGGGCGGCCGGCCACGTCGTAGAAGGTAACGGGAATGTTGTAAGCGACGCCACCAAAGGCCTGCACATCCAGGTTGGCCTCGCTTCCGGGCAAGGACTGGTTGTTGATGCCGCCGTCGATGGACACAATGTTAAAATCGTAGCCGGCCTTTGCCGCATCGGGCCTTTCGGTAGAGAGGAACTGCTTGAAGTCAGACTTGATGGCGTACTGCTCGAGGAAGCCAGAGATCGCGACGCTCTGACCCTGTGCCTTCTTGACCTTGTAGTCGACCGTCTTGTAGTACTCTCGCAGGCACAGGATCGTCGTCGCGTTGACGTGGCACTCGGCGGGGACACCATTAGTGTCGACGCTGTTGACGTTGGCGATGCGCACCCTGCCGTCGGCAGGCTCCGACTCGGCTTCGGCAATGCCCTTGAGACGGTCCAGGCCCTTTTGCACCGTCTCGCTCGTGGCGGCCAGCGGCTTCCAGTCCGCCGGCAGCTTGTCCTCGAGAATCTCGGGCGTCTCCATGGATCGGACCTGACCAAAGTACGTCGTGCCGCTGATGAGATCAATGTGGCCATTGAGAGACCTCGGCACCGCGTACTCGGTCGTTCGGATGAGCTGCCGGCCCGTCTCACGGTGCTCCCAGACGGCAAAGTCGGCATCGCCCAGCAGGGCACGGGCTTGCTTGACCGTCATGGCGGCGTGGAGCCAGTCGCCGGCCACGGAGCGCTTCTGATGGTCCTCCTGGACGCCGTGATCGGCGAGCCAACGTCGAACTGCATCTGCGGCGCCTTCCTCGGGCTCGAGATAAGAGTTGACCTCTTCGCGCGACAGCCACTGTCCATACGATGCAGAGTCAGGGTGAGCAATGTCGAGGAGCTTTTCCTCGAGCTCTTCGCCACGCTTGTGCTTGAGGCCGATGCGGAGGGGGAGCACCACGTCGTCGGGCGCCGTCGACTTGCGCACCCATTGCTCGGGCGCGTGCACAGACTCTTTGATGACCATGTTGCTCGGCAGGGCGCCCACGGCGGCGACAAGCGTCGCCAGTGCAATGGCAAACTGCATCTTGCCTTGTTGTCTGTGCTGCTGTGTTGTTGAATCGGGGAATAAAAGGAGCGTGCAAGACGAGACCCAGGTCGAGGGAGGCTTGGGAGGAAAGAGGGTCGTCGTCCAAACAGGGGGACAGGGAAGGGGGTGGGGGCAGGAGGAGTAGCACGGCAGGAGGGGAAGGGGTGAGGTTTGATGGAGGGGAGGAGTAGCCACAAAACCACAGCCAAGACCAGCCAAGGCAGGGGGGGTTTATTTCCCACTGAACGGGCGCTCAAAGCGGAAAATATGCGACTGACGCGATTTGATCAACCCTCTAGCTTGCTACCCGCTTCCATTCTGCGCATCTTTCCCTTTAATATCCGCTCATAGGCCCATGATAACAAATCGGCGAAAATAGGCGCTAAGGAAGGGGGTGTTTGTGCCTTCACTCAAATATATTTTCATTTTGTCTTACTAACCCTAGTCTCGAAGGAAAGAACCTTCTAAGGCCAAGATAAAGCATGGTTCCTGAAGGCAAGACCGCGTGCTTCGTCCTGGCCTTGATAGCTGATGATGCGTGATGCTTGCTGCATGTTGCTTCGGTCATTCGGAGCGTGGAGTCCACGGACATTGGTGCCGACATGGGCCCAGTCACCCGAGTCAATTGTCTGCTCTCCTGCTCCCCTGGAAAGGAAGTCCTGGAAAATCAGAGCAGACTAGCCATCAAAAGGACACGACAGTAGTCAATCTCATCCAACATGGGCAGCCGTATTTGTGCAAAAGAGGAATGACCTATGGAATCGCTGCTCTCGAGCTGCTGAGGTGACCTCAGAGTATTCTGAATCTTTCACCGCGCTGACGCACAGCCTCTTACTTTGGAAGCACCATTAAAGCAGTAGGGGCGTTAAACAACTCTTTTGGCCAGCAAAGGCCCGAGCAACGTCCGGGTGCCAAGACGCCCACCGCCTCTTTTCTGTGGGTCTAGTTGAAAGTGTTCCAAGCAGGAAGAGTGTGAATTGAGTTGCCACATCTTACGAGACGAACAGCATCTTTCTCCTTTCTCATCCTCCATAGGCAGCATGAAGTTCTCGTCCTGCATGAAGTTCTCGTCCTTCATCCTCATCACCATTCTTCTCTACGCTGTCACTCTCTTCGCTAGCGCTGGCGCTGAAGAAGACGGAGAATTGAGCTTGGTCAAGCGAGCGAGGACTAAGAAGAGACACCGGGAGCACCTTTCCAACCACTGGTTCGCCGACTATGGTGCTTTTCACCAGCAAAAGGTCGACGATGGCAACGACAATAGCCCGCGTCTTCAGACAACGCACAAAACAGCGCAGGCAGAGACGTCTCACAGGCCCCAGCGGAACAAAGCAGCGTCTTTCGTCATCCCAGAGTCTTCCGACCATCTGCCAGGAAGCAGTGCAGAATGGCAGCTGTCGAGGGAGGACTCGCCCTGTTCTTCGCAAGATTGGGAGCCGGGAGGTCCTCCCCCCACGTCTTCTTCTTCAGCTGAATCTGGAGACTGGAACTCTCAAGGGACCTTCTCAGCGTCTTACTCTTCCGATTGGGATCCAGAGCAAGCTCGCCGGCACACTTCGTCGACCGCTCGAACCCGAAATCGTTCGTCTCTCTTAAAGGCAGCAACGAAGCCTAAAGCTTTCGAAAGAAAGGCAGGATCGTCCTCCAAGATTGCAGCAAATGACGTCCGCCTACGTGGAGCCAGAAAGTCAGCAGCGATAAGTCGTACCTCTGGTACTGAGAAGCTAAATTCTCGCATCGCGATTAGTACACCGACGTCGCGGCAAAAACAGTTGCCACTTGACAGCCTCGACATGACATTGGGGATGCCGAGGATGAATGACCCGATAGCCCGGGCAGAGAGCGAAGAAGCCATGAAAGCCTACACACGAAGTGTGGCGAACGGTACACCTAAAGAAAAGGCCCAGATGACACTTGTCAACAGGATCTTTCGGATCTGCAGTAGGATCAGGGAAACATCTTCGTGCAAAGCTTACGACCCTTGCTTCAAGCTTCTGGATGGTGAACGAGAGGCGATGGGCAAATTCTTTCTCTCAATTTTTAAGAGGAAGGTAAATAGCTTTCAACAGGCTATCTTTCGCAAGAAGAGAAAGGAAGTTGATGAAAAAAGGGCCCGTGAAGGATACGATCCTACTTTGAACGAATTCAAGAAAGGTATGGTGCCAACGACGGAACAAGAAAGAGATTGGGAAGAGTACAATGATTATAAGCGACCCAGTCGGCTATTAGACGCTCATTTCAAGCCGGATGCGCAGCCCTCTGGTTCTTGGACCCAAAAAGAAAGCCTTGAGGTACAAGACCTCCCCGCAAAGTATCCAAATAAATTCGACACTCTCAGAACGAGGTACCAGCTTCTCCGAGAAAGGCAGTCACGTCCAGAGACAACAGCAGATCAAGGTTCCGGTCAGGTGGGCGAGATCGACCATAAGGAGAAGGCCAAGAAAGATCACCACAACCTAATGGTTCGCCCAGAATGGGCCTCAAAGAAAACAAGGAAACATCCCTCTCTCCTCTCGCATGGCCAACAAGATGAGGATGAAATTAATTCGACTACCCCAAGCCCTCATCGGTCTTTCGAATCCGATCACACCTCGGCAGCAACATCAGATGTGCCTCGGAGGCATCAGCAAGCCCTTCCAATTGATTTGTCGGATGATGGCGAGGCGGCCCTCTATGGCGACCAAGAGCAGGCACCATCGCTCTCCTCGAACCTTTCAGGAGGCTTACTAAGAGACTCAACTATTCCTCGACGCCCAAGGTCGGAGCGGAGGACCTTTCCGAGAAAGCTTCAAAAGAAAGGGGCAAGTGCGCCGAAACAGTCAATAGATCTTCTGGCCGATTCTCTCGATGTAAAGACATCTGGCTTTTCGGGTTCTTATGATGAGCAAGGAAGACAAATCCGGGCCGAGCTCGATAAGGTTACCCAGAAGGTCATAAAGGCCTTCCAGAGACATGATCAATCATTTTTGCCCGCCCAAGAACAAGGTGTAGAGCTCGGTAAGGCGATCTTTGATGCGCACCGTAAGCTCAAGCAGGAAATTATCAAAAATGAACCGCACCAGGCTAGACGACAATTCTTCCGATTGAACAGCAGCTACGAAAAAGTCATTGGTCGAGCAGACTACGATCTTTATAAATCTCTCGCTTCACAGCAGTACAACATGGCATACCGGCGACAGGAGTATGAGGAGTGGAAACTGAAGCAACGAAAGTTTTATAGTAGACGCTATGGGCCGAGCTCGAAATGGTCGGTCATGGGATTAACGCCAACGCCGAAGCAAGCAGAAGCAAGGGACCAGCTACGAAATTATCAAAACTTGCAAACAAAAATGAAAAGGTTGGCGAGCCACCCGAGTAAACACGGCCCCGAACGGAAGCCATGGTCACAGGAAGACACAAACCTGCTTTATAAGCTTCTCCGCGAGCGTCCAGGGCTCAAGAGCCTCCGTGAACGTTTTGATGAGTTCAAATACAACATTCCGCCAGAGTACTGGCGAGAAACGACAAGCGGAGCTTCATCGCCACATGAAGGCGGCGACAAGGAGGTGAGAAGCGAAAGCAAGCCAGAGAAGGGCAAGATGGTCGTCGGCCCAAGCCGGTACAAGAGACTGAGAATGACGGAAGAGCTGTACCCCGGCGATGAGGGGAAACTAGACCACTAAGTCCTAGAGCTCCTATGCTATTCTGTCAGTAATGTGATGCCTGTGTCGTGAGAGTAACGCTGTGTCTAAGATCTCGCTCTGATCTACCCTGCGCCCTGTAGGAACCGAACCTCAAATGACTTGAAGCAATCGTCATCTTTGTCATTAGACCGCTCTTCTCCCTCTGACCTCTCGAAAGCTGCTTCTGCTTTCCTTCACTGGATATCAGCAGCTGCACTGGCCTCGTTTGGCTGCTGTGTGATGAGTATTGCAAATCATTTCCGTCATTCGGGCGTGAAGTCCGCGGTCATCGATATTGACATGGGCCCATTCCTCCTCCATTGAGCTGCTGGCGACCTCCGGGGCTTTGGAGCTTTCACCGCGTTGACGCACAGCCTCTTACTTTGGATGCCCCTTTCAAAGCAGCAGGGGTGTTGTGGTGCTCTCTTGGACAACAATGGAGCGAGCAACGTCCGGGTGCAAAAACGCCTATCGACTCGGGTCTGGTGGCCCACTCGAAAGTACTCCAAGCAGGAAGAGTGTGAAGTGAATTGCCACATCTTACGAGACGACCAGCGCCTTTCCCTTTTTTCTCCCTCCATAGACACCATGATGAAAATCTCCTCTTTCATCCTCATTGTCATTCTTCTGCATGCTATCACTTTTGTGGCTAGCGCTGAAGAAGACGGCGGGGTGAACTTGGTCAAGCGAGCGAGAACTACGAGGATGCACCGGGAGCATACTTTCGAAAACTGGTTTGCCAATCTCTCTGGTGAGATTCCGCAGCTAAATGCCGACGACGGCAATAACAACGATTCGCTTCTTCAGACACCGCCCATAGTAGCCCAGGCAGGAACATCTCGCAGGCCCCAGCGGAAGAAGGCACCGTCTTTCCGTATCTCAGAGTCTTCCGATCATCTGCCAGGAAGCAGTGCAGAAAGGCAGCCCTCTACGGATGACTCGCCCCGCTCTTCGCAGGATTGGAAGCCGGATGATTCTTCCTCGATATATTCTTCCTCCTCAACAGAGTCTGAGGAGCCGAGCTCTCGAGGCGGCTCCTCAGCATCTTACTGTTCCAAGGATTGGGATCCACACTACGCTCGCCAGCGCAGCTCGTCGACTGCACGAACTCGTGCCTCCACCTCAAGAACAGCGACGAAGCCTGAAGCCTTTAAAGTCAAGAAAGGATCCTCCTCCAAGACTGCAGCAAAGAATACTCGCAGAAATGGAGCCAATAAGTCATCAGCACTCATTCGAACCTCGGGTGGTGAAAAGCCGGCTAACACAGTGAATCCATCAACATCCCCACTGGATTTATTGTCGCTCCACAGATCCCAAAGGGAAAGGGAAAGGGAATTTCCAAGGATGAGTGACTCCAAAGCTTGGGCAAAGAGCGAAAGAGCCATGGGCGTCTTTGAACAAAGCGTGGCAGCTGGTAAACCTCAAAATAAGGCTCAGGCAGCACTTGCGAACAGCCTTTTTTTAATTTGCAAAAAGCTCAAGGAAGCTGCTTGGGACAACAAACAGCACGACTCTAACCAACAATACTTTAAGCTGGACGAGTCTGAAAGAAAGGCTTTGGACGGACCTGCTCTCTCACGTTTTCAGCGCAGGGCGAGACGTTGGCAAAATGGGCCCTGGAGGAGGCAAATTGGAAAATTAGGCGATCGGGAAGCAGAGCTGTACTATCAACGATATGGTCCCTCTCTGGAGCAGATCAAGCGGGGTGCGACAGCCACGCCGAAGCAAACAGAATTCAGAGAAATGCAAAGAAAGATAAAAAATGCGTACTCGATGGTGATGTATCGACTTAATCGGCTAGACAATTCGAAAGGAAGAAAGCCGGACGGCAGGCAGCCTGTTGTTAAGTGGACCGACTCTAACAGCCAAAAAGTAGAAGGTGTCATCGAGATGTTTCCGTCACAATCTAGATACCTTGCGAAACGTTACAAGGCTCTCCAAAAAAGGCTGTCTCGCCAAAAGGCAATGACGATTCAAGCCTCTAGTCGGGCGGACAAGATGGATCACAAGCACAAGGCCGGGAAAGCCCAGCCCAATCTGATGGCTCGTCCAGAACAGGCCTCAAAGAAGAAAAGAAAGTATTCCTCTCTTTCCTCGTTCGGCTCAACCAAGCTTAGCCACCATCGGTCTTCTCAACCAGTTGACACATCGGGAGCACTTTCAGATCCACACTGGGGGCATGAGCAAGGCCCTTCAAATAATATGTCAGATGAGGGCGAGGCGGTCTTGCACACCAACCATGAAAAGGCAATATCGCTTACCCCGAACCTTTCAGACGAGTTGAGTGGCCCCGCTATCCCTCGACGCCCTCGGTCGGAGCGGAAGCATCCTTTGAAATGGCCTAGAAATGAAAGCGCAGCTGCGCCGGAAGACACTTTAGACCTCACTTCCGACTCTGCCGACATACAACCAGCTGCATCATTGCACCAGCCTGATGATAATGAGCAGAGAAGGCAATTGCAGGCCAAGCTTGACAAGATTGCCAGAGAAGTCGTCGAGGATTTCTTCAAAAGCAAGGATAATTCAAAGTTGCCCGCCCAACATCAGAGGATGCTGGTCACAAAGGCGATCTTTGACGCGCGCCTAAAGGCCAGGCAGGAAATGCTCGAGAGCGACCCGTCTCAAGCTAAAAGACACTTCTTTAGAGTCAGAGGTGACGAGAAAGAGGCCATTGACAAGGAGCTTCTAAATGAGCTTGTTCATGATGTCTCCAACAAGAATTGGAGAGAAGCAAATCCCGAAAGGTATCGAAGATACCAACGGGAGTATTATCAGCAACGCTTTGCGCCGAGCAAACGAAAGATGGCCAAAATGTCCGCTGGAATGCCCGGGCCAGAGAGAAAACGGGAGATATCTGCAACTTTCCACAAGCTGAAAGCCCGGTTGCAGAGGCGGGCCTCATTGCCTCCCGTAGATTGGAGCGAAGGACAAGAATTGCCGCGTTCATATAAGGCATGGACGCAGAACGACACAAATGAAGTGTTCAAATTTGCCCGAGAATTTCCAAGGTACGCTGCAATTTTGAACTTCTTTGAAGAAGCCAAACACAACATTCCGCCAAAGTACCGGCAAGAAACGACAAGCGGAGCATCATCGCCTAAAGGCGGCGAAAAGGAGGTGAGAATCGAAGACAGGTTAGAGAAGGGCAAGTTGGTCGCTGCCCCAGGCCAATATAAGAAATTGAGGTAGACTGAAGTATTGCACCCTGGTAATCAGGAGTAAGGAAACAGCTAAGTCCTGGACCTCCTGCGCCATTTCGTCAGTAATGTGATGCCTGTGTCGTTAGAGTACTGTACATTATCATGAAGTAACGTCGTGTACTTGGGTCTCACTCCAAGCTACCTTGAGGTCCATAAGATGCGAAGTTCTCGCTCTGATCTACCTTGTGGTCTTTATGACACGGACCTCAAATAGCCTGGTGCGATCGTCATCTTCGCCATTAGACCGCCTTTTTCCCTCTGAGCTCTCGAGAGCTGCTTCTGCTTTCCTCCACTCGATCTCAGCGGCTCCACACCCTCGCCTCGATTGGTTGCTGTGTGATGCGTGCTACAAATCGCTTCAATGATCTGGAGCCTGGACTCCGCTGAAGCTGGTGCTGACATTAGGCCCGGACATCCGAATCGATTGTTTGAGCTGCTGAGGTGACCTCCGGGACTTTTGAATCTTTCACGGCGCTGACGCACAGCATCTTACTTTGTAAGCGCCTTAAAGCAGAAGGAGCGTAAAACAACATTTCTGGACAACAACGGCCCCGAGCAACTTCCGGGTACGAAAACGCCCATAGACTCGTTTCTGGTGGCCCATTCGAGAGCACTTTTAGCAGGAAAAGTGTGAGACTAGACGCCACGTCTTCTAGGACGACCAAGTACTCGCTCTTTTCTGGTCTCCACAGACACCATGAAGCTCTCGTCCTTCCTCTTCATCGCTCTTCTTCTCCACGCTGTCACTCTCGTGGCCGGCGCCGAAGAAGACGGCGAGGTGAGCTTGGTCAAGCGAGCGAGGACTAAGAAGCGACACAAGGAACAGCGTAACAACCACTGGTTTGCCAAGTATGGTGCTTTCCACCAGCAAAATGTTGACGATGGCAACGACAATAGCCCGCGTCTTCAGACAACGCACGAAGCAGCGCAGGCAGGAGCATCTCACAGGCCCCAGCGGAACAAAGCAGCGTCTTTCGTCATCCCAGAGTCTTCCGACCATCTGCCAGGAAGCAGTGCAGAATGGCAGCTGTCGAGCGAAGACTCGCCCCATTCTTCGCAAGATTGGGAGCCGGAAGGTCCTCCCCCCACGTCTTCTTCTTCAGCAGGGTCTGAGGACACCTCGTCAGCATATTACTCTTCCGAGGAGTGGGAACCCCACCAAGCTCGCCAATACAGTTCGTCGACTGCACGGACTCGTGCCTCCATCTCAAAAGCAGCGACGAGACCTAAAGCGTTTAAAGTCGAAGTAGGAGACTCCTCCAAGACTGCAGCAAAGAAAAGTCGCCTACATGGAGCCAATGAGTCATCAGCGATCGTTCACACCTCGGGCGATGAAAAGCACATCAACAGAGTTGATCCATCGACGTCGTCCGACCATGAAAAGGCACCATCGCACACCTTGAAACTTTTAGACGATCTTAGACAAAGCAACCCTGCTATCCCTCGACGCCGTAGGTCAGGACGGAAGCGCCGCCCACGGGAAAGTTTCAGTTTTTGGAGAGAGCTTGAAAACGACGGTGCAGCTTTGTCGGAAGAGTCGATAGATCCCACAACCGACTCACCCGGTCTACAGCCAAACCAATCTTTGAGGTCGAAGACTCAAGAAAAATTATTTTGCGAAAAGCTTGAGAGACTTACCGAAGACGTCATCAAGGCTTTTGAGTTGGAAAGTCACCCAGGCAAGTCCGAAGAAGCCCAAAAATTTTTGCTCACCACGGCGATCTTTAATGCGCGCCAAAAGTTCAGACGGGCAACGATAAAGAAAGATCCGTCGCAAGCCAGTCGAAACTTCTTTGCCGTGAAAAATACCTACCCTTTAATTGACAAGGAGCTTATGAAGAAGCTTTCTCATCGTGTTGCCAGCGAGAAATATCGGAATAAGAACCTCGGCTATTCAAACGAGGTCGCAAGGAAGAATTATCACAAACGCTTTGGACCGAGCAAGCAAGAGTTGGCCGAAGGGTACATTCTCACGCCTGAGCAAGAAAAAGCAAGGAATATTCGTTCGACAGCCAAGAGGCTGAGAGATCTGTTGTGGAAGACGATCCGAAGACCCCCACTTGTTAAGGGAAAAAAGAGAAAGCGGCGTCCTGGACCGATTGCTAAATCATGGGACCAGTCCAACACAAATGAGCTTTTCAGATTTGTCCGAGAGCATCCAAAGCACCAAAAAATCTTGGAATTGTTCGACGAGGCCAAGGCCAAAGCCAAGATTCCGCCAGAGTACTGGGAAGAAACGAAGACGACAAGCGGACCATCATCGCCTGGAGGCGGCGAAAGAAGGTGAGAAACGAGGACAAGTCAGAGAGGGGCAAGATGGTCGTCGACCCAAGCCGGTTCAAGAAAATGAGGATGAAGGAAGAGCTGTACACCGGCAAAGAGGGAAAGTAGACCACTGAGTGCTGGACCTCCTGTACCGTCTCGTCAGCATTGTGAGGTTTGTGTCATAAGAGTACTGTACATAATGAATAACGTCGTGTGTTAAAATCTCGCTCTGTTCCGCTTTGAGATCTGTACAACCCGAACCTCAAATAGCTTGAAGCAATCGACATATCTAGACCGCTCTTTTCCATCTGACTTGTCGAACGAAGTGGAATTTGGTCGCTCGGCGTGCCCGCAGTCATTGACGGAGTTGAGGAAGTACGTCGGTCGAGCTGATCGATTCCTACGGGTCGATCAAACGTCAGCGAAGACCTCAACCCGGGAAATTATAGCTCTCCTAGGCTTCGCCTGAGAAGTGAGGTGACTTCTAGCCCCGCCTGTTGCGGTGACAGCGAAGCGGTCGACTCTCCCGATCATTCAGACTACAAGTAAGAGCAAGAGATGTGAGTAGGTGGGAAGAAAAAGGAGCGTCATAAGGCAAAGTATTCGGCGCTTCGCGCTCGGACCAGCAGACGTGTCTAAAAAAGTCGAAGCGGTAGGAACGGGGCATCAAAAATAGGTCACCCCGACAATTGACCGAGCAGAGTCCGAGTGCGACAACGCCACCACTTGCTTCTGGTCGTGTTTAGACCAAAAGAAACTCTGCAACTAGGATGAAACTGTATAAGTTGCCACATCTTACGAGACGACTGACCGCTTCCATTTCTCACCATAGACACCATGAAGTCCTCGTCCTTCATCCTCATCGTCATTCTTCTGCATGCTATCACTTTTGTGGCTAGCGCTGAAGAAGACGGTGGGGTGAACTTGGTCAAGCGAACGAGAACTACGAGGATACACCAGGGGCAATTTATCGACGACTGGTTTGCCAATCTCTCTGGTGAAATTCCGCTGCTAAACGTCGACGATGGCAATGGCAACGGCAACGATTCGCATCTTCAGACATCACCCATAAAAGCGCAAGTAGGAGCATCTCAACACCCCCAGCGCAAGACAGTAACCAAGGGCAGCAGCTCAAAAAGGAAGTCCTCGACGGAGCACTCGCTCCATTCTTCACAATACCGGGAATCGAAAGGCCCTCCCTCGACATCTTCTTCAACATCAGAGTCTGAGGAATGGGATCAGGAAGACGCTCACTTGACATATTCTTCCTCAGCACAGTTTGAGGACTTGAAGTCTCAAGGGACCTCCTCAGCATCTTATCCTTCGCAGAATCGTTGGGATCCCCGCCAAGCTCAGCAGAATGCTTCGCTGACGGCGCGAACTCGGGCGTCTCTCTCAAAGGCAGTGACGAAGCCTGATGCTCTCGATCCAAAGGTAGAATCGTCCTCCAAGACTGCAACAGATAACGCTCGCCGTAATGAAGCTTGTGATTCATCAGCACTCGTTCACACCTCGGGTGCTAAAGAGCAAATTAACGCAATTGGTCGATTGACATCGTCACCAGAACAGATGCCACCTCACGGGCCCATAAAGACAGAGCGGATGCCGAGGATGAATGATTCGAAAGCCCGGGAAGAGAGCGAGAGAGCCTTGGAAGCCTATAAAAGAAGCGTGGCAGCTGGTACACCCGAAAAAACAGCACAGGCAACACTTGCCGAAAGCATCTTCTTAATCTGCAAAGAGCTCAGGGCAAGACTTCCGCATGATTCTGACAGAATATGCTTCAAGCTTCTTGGAGTTGAAAAAAAGATCCTGAGTCAAGCCCGTCGCACGGCATTCATGAGACGAGCAAAAAGTGTGCACAATGCTACCTATAGCAAGGGCAGGAAGGCATACGAGAATCACCGTAGAAAATATGGTCCCACTGCAAAGGAAGTCAACCAGGGTATGGTTCGCACGCCGGAGCAGGCAAAAAATTATGAAGCACGCACCACAGCTAACCGACTCTCACGGAGGGTAGACGGCGAGCTTCGAGGCCGAATAAAAGATGATGAGAAAAGGGTCGGACGGCGCCCTATGCCTTGGACGCCAAAAGATAGCCGCGAGGTGCAAGACTTTCTCGCCGAACACCCAGGAAAGTTCCGCGCCCTTCAACGCAAGTTTGGATCTCTCCGACAAATGCCGTCACGTCAAGACATAATGGCAGATCATGGCTCGGGCCAGCCAGTCAACAGTACTCATCATGGGGAGTCTGAAGAGCATAGCCGCAATCCGATGGACCGCTCAGGACAGACCGCGAAGGAAAATAGGAAACTATCTCCCTCCTCCCTCGGCCAAGATGATGTTGGTAGCTCGACCAAGCCTGGCCCTCGTCGGTCTTCTCAATCCGATGACACCTGGGGGGCAAAATCAAATATCCCTGGGGGGCATGAGCAAGCCCCTTCATACCACATGTCAAATGAAGGCGGGACAATGAAGGGTACCGACCCAAAAAAGGCACATTCACTCCCCTCGAACCTTTCAAACCTGCTGAGAGAAAGTGGCCCTGTTATCCCTCGACGCTCTAGGTCAGGAAAAAAACGTCCACGAGAAGACCAACGCATTTGGAAAGATTTTGGACACGACGGTGCCGCTTCGCAGGAAGAGCCGATAGATCTCTCAACCGACTCTCCCAAAATACAGCCAACTACACCATGGAGGTATAGAAAGGGCGGAGAGCGTATCCAGGCAGAGCTTGAAAAGCTTACCGAAGACGTCATCAAGGATTTTGAAAAACAACCTCCGCCAGGCAAGTCCCCCCGACAACAAAGCATCATGCTCACCACGGCGATCTTTAATGAGCGCCAAAAGTACAAAGAGGAACTCATCAAAAAAGACCCGTCGCAAGCGCACCGAAGGTTCTTTACCATGAAAGGCACCTATTCTTTGGTTGACAAGGAGCTCTTCAAAAAGCTTGCTGGTCGGGTGCACCAAGAGAATTTTCATTATAGGAGACCAGGATATTGGAGAGAGCATTCAAGAAAAAATCAATACCGACCTTGAACCGAGCGAGCAAGAGTTGGCCGGAGGGGACAAGTTAACGCCTGAGCAAGAGAGAGCAACGTATACTCTTCGTATACGCAATAGGTTGCGCTATATGTTGCAAAAAGCCAACTGGAGACCTTCACTTGTTGAGGAAAAGAAGAACAAGGGGGGAAGAGAAGCTAAAGCATGGGAGCAGGCTGACACAGATGTGCTTTTCAAATTGGTCCAAGAGCATCCATGGAACGAGAAACTTTTGGATTATTTGAACAAGCCAAAGACACGTTCCACCACACTACTGGCAAGAAACGACAAGCGGAGGCCCATCGCCTGAGGCGGCGAAAGGGAGGAGTGAATCGAGGGCAAGTCGGTGAAGGAAAAAAAGATCGCTACCCCAAGCTGATACAAGAAAATGAGGACGGCCTAGTAAAATCTTTGTCGTTAGACACCTCTTCTCCATTTCGAAAGATGCTACGGCTTTCCTCCGCTGGATCTCAGAGGCTCCTTCATCCTGGCCTCGACTAGCTGCTGCGTGATCCGTGCTGCAAATCGCTGATGATGTCTAGCGTGAAGTTGATGCCGTTATGGACACAGTCTTCCGAACATCGAAGCTCGGCCAGTCTCGTCCACGCTGACTGCTTGCTTTCCTAATTTTGAAAAAAGCATGCATTTAGAGCAGAGCATCCATCAGAAGGATTTTATCAACACGGGCTGCCAGATTTTCACAAAAGAAATTGTCAAGTGGAATCACTAAAAAGAGAGAGAGAGATTTGAGCTCCTGGGCCGACCTCCGGAATTTTAAGACTCTCACCGCGCACAGCCTCTAGTCGTGGGCGCCCTTTGAATGTAGCAGGGGCAATAGTCCAAAGTGGCTCTCCCCGACAATAAAGTGAACAGAGTCCGGGTGCCACAACGCCACCAATTCGCTTCTGGTTGTGCCTCACAGCAAGTACGAAGAATCTGTATAAAGTGCGAAATCTAACGAGACGACCAGCGCCGTTCCCTTTTCTCTCCCTCCATAGACACTATGAAGTTCTCCTCTTTCATCCTCTTCGCCCTTCTTCTCTACGCTGTCACTCTCGTCGCTAGAGCTGAAGAAGACGGCACGGTGAACTTGGTCAAGCGAGCGAGAACTAAGGAAAAACACAAGAAGCATCTTGTCGACCACTGGTTCCCCAATCATACTGTCGATAATCCGCAGCCAGACGCCGACGATGGCAGTGGCGATGATTCGCGTCTTCAGACATCGCCCACAGCAGCGCAGGCAGGAACATCTCACCGTCCCCAGCGTCTCCAGCGGAAGACAGTGACCAAGGGCAGCAGCGCAAAAACAAAGTCCTTGACGGAGCACTCGCTCCATTCTTCTTCACCGGACTGGGATTCGGAAGGACCTCCATCCGCATATTCTTCGTCAGAAGAATACGAGGAATGGAAGCCGGGAGACGCCTCGTCGACAAATTCTTCCTCAGCACACTCCGAGGACTGGAATTCTCAAGAGACTTCCTCATCATCTCAATCTTCCGACTGGGACCCAAAGCAAGCTCGTCGACACGCTTCTTCGACCGCGCGGACTCGTTCGCTCCTCTCGAAGGCAAAAGCGAAACCTAAAGCTCTGAATTTAAAGGCAGGCTCGTTCCTCAAGGCTGCAGCAAATGACGCTCGCCGACATAGAGCCAGTGAGTCATCAGCTCACGTTCACACGTCGAGTGATGAAAAGTCGATCATCGCAGTTCGTCCATCATCGTCGTCCCAGGAACCTTTGCCACTTGCCAGACCTAAGATGACATACTCTATGCCGAGGTTAAAAAATCCCGAAACCCGAGCAGAGAGCGAAAAAGCCCGTGAGGAATATGAGCAAAGTGTGGCTGACGGTACACCTGAAGAAGAGGCCCGGGCAACATATGCGCAAAGCCTCTTTTCCATCTGCAAAAAAGTCAGAGAAACACTTCCGTACAATTCTCATATACCTTGCTTCAAGCTTCTGACAAGTGAAAGAGAGACTATGGGCGACGACGAGTATCACGCAGTATTCATTAAGGAGGCAAAACGATATCACCAAACAGTCTACCGCAAAGATAGAGAGGCAGAAAGGAAAAAGTACCTCCGTGACAGATTCGGTCCCACGGAAGAAGAAGTTATGCAGGGCATGGTCTTCACGCCGGAGCAGGCAAGAAATTTGAAAGAAACGAGAGTCACTAAAAGACTCGGGCAGAGATTAGCTACGCTGCTCAAACAGAAAGATCATCCGGAACGAGTCGTGAGGAGACCTGCTCCTTGGTCCGAAGAAGAAGACCGCGAGGTGACAGACATCATCGCCAAGGATCCAGGAAGATTCCGCGCCCTTGAAAGAGACTACAGACTTTTCCAAGTAAAGCAGTCACGTCAAGACAAAACGTCAACTCATGGTTCTGGCCAGCCGGCTCATCATGAGGAAAGTGAGGAGTATAGCCACAATCCGATAGACCACTCAGGACAGACCAAGAATAAGAATAGGAAAGATTTCCCCCTCTCTTCGCTTGGGCAACATGATGAGGAAAAGGACATCTTGACCACGCCTAGCCTTTATCAGTCTTCTCAGTCCGATGAAACCTCGGGGGCAAATTCAGATATTCCTTGGAGGTCTGAGCAAGCCAATTCAAGCGATATGTCAGACGATGCCCCCCCCCCCCGACGGCGACCAAGGACAGGCGCCATCGCTCACCTCGGACCTTTTAAAGTTACTGAGAGAAAAAGACCCTACTATCCCTCGACGCCTCAGGTCAAGGCGGAAGGGTCCTCAGAAAGAGTTTGAAGACGAAGGCGCAGCTTCATCTGAAGAATCGATAGATACCATCACAGAGTCTCCCAACGTACGTCCAGCAGCACGGCATAGCGCTGAGGTGCGAGGAAAGAATAAATCTTTTCAAGCCGAGCTTGCCGCAATCACCAGAAAAGTCGTCAATGATTTCAAGAAGACCTCTCATCAAAATCTGTCTTGCCAAGATCAGAAGATACAACTCACGAAGGCGATATTCCAAGCGCTTAGCAAGTTCAGGCAGCGAAGACTCAAGGAAGATCCGTTTCAAGCCAAAAGACCATTTTTCGCCCTGAAAGGCCTGAACAAAAAGTTGATTGATGAGAAGATGTTTCAAAGCCTCAAGGAACAGCACTTGAAGGAAGAATGGCAGAGCAAACAACCCGGATACCAAATTGACTATTATAGTAGACGCTTCGGGCCGAGCAACGCCAAATTGGCCAAAGGGTACACCGGAACGCTCGAGCAAAAGAGGGAACGGGATGATGGTAGAGCTATCAGGCTTATGAAAGAACGGTTGCAGCGGTGGATCCCAGACGGAACAGGAAAGAAGAGGACCCGAAAACCATGGACGAAGATCGACACAAACAAGGTAATCAGACTTATTCGGGATTATCCAAGCCGCAAAACGCTCTTGAAGACATTTGAAGAAGCCAGACCCTACCTTCCGCGAGAAACCTGGCAGGAAACGACGAGCGGAGAATCGTTGCTGGGAGCTGGCGGAGAGGAGGCGAGAATCGAAGGCAACTCAAAGAAGGATAAAATGGTCGCCACACCACGCCGACGCAAGAAAACGAGGTCGACCTAAGGGCTTTTTCCCGAAAATAAGGGAAAAAGCAGACATACAATTTCGAGCCATGTGCTCGTAGTGGCAAGATAGTGTCTGCTATTGAGTAATTGCTTAAAAGATGATTCTTGAGAGATATTTGATTTCAGGCTTGTGTAATTCGGACCTCGATTAGCTTGAAACGATCGTCATCTCTGCCGTTAGACCGCTCCTTCCCTCTGAGCTCTCGAGAGTTGCTTCTACTTTCCTCCACTGGATCTCTGAGGCCTGGCCATCCTGGCCTGGATCAGCTTGAATGTGAGCTGGAAGTCGCTTCGGTGATTAGAGCATGGAGTCCATGGACATTGACGCTGATATAGAATCAGTGTCGGCCGATTTGAGCGGCCTGCTTGCTTTCCTGAGTTGGGCTTGGAACAAGCCATGCAATTAGGGCAGACCAGCCATCAAAAGTATACTACCCAGCATGGGCCGTGTTTGTGGAAAAGGAGACTGATGATTGGGAACACTGGAGAGAGAGGGAGAGAGAGGCTTGAGCTGCCGGGGCGACCTCCGGACTCTGGCACTCTCACCGCGTTAATGCACTGCCTCTAGCCGTGGATGCCCCTTGAACGCAGCAGGGGCGTCAGGGTGAATATGCCCGACGAGCCGAGCAGAGTGCGAGTGCGATAACGTTATCAGTTTGCTTGTGGTCTCGCTTATGCTCTGCAACTTGGATGAAATTGTTAAGCCCACACATGCTACGAGACAACCGACTTCTTTCTCTTTCTCTCCTTCCGTGGATACCATGAAGTTCTCGCCCTTCCTCTTCATCCTCATTCTTCTCCACGCTGTCACTCTTGTGGCTAGCGCTGAAGAAGACGGCGAGGCGAATTTGGTCAAGCGAGCGAGAACTAAGGAGAGACACAGGAAGCAGCTTGTCGACCACTGGTTTGCCAACCACCCCTCGCAGGACGGGGAGTCGGAAGACCCTCCCCCGACATATTCGTCCTCAGGAGAGTCTGAGGAATGGATGTTGGAACACCCTTCCTCGACATACCCCCCTTCATCAGAGTTTGCTGAGGAGTGGAAGCCAGAAGATGCTCCCTCGACATATTCATCTTCAGCAGAGTCTGAAGACCGGAAGTCTCGAGGAAGTTTGTCATCATCTCACTCTTCCGACAGTCATCTGGATCTACGCCAAAGTCACCAGCATCACGAGCACGCTTCGTTGACCGCGCGGACTCGGTCATTCCTCTCAAAGGCAGTGACGACGCCTGATGCTTTCAAGTCAAAGGTAGAATCGTCCTCCAAGATCGCAACATATAACACTCGCCGACATGGAGCCAGTTCTTCATCAGCACTCGTTCACAGCTCGGGTATTGAAAAGCAAATTGACGCATTATCGTCGCAAGAACAGACATCACCTCATGGGCACAGAAAGACAGGGCGGATGTCGAGGATGGATGGTTCGGATGTCTTAGAAGAAAGCGATACGAGTAAAGGCTCTAGTCAGGGGAACAAGAAAGACCACGAGCACCAGGCCGAGAAAGGCCACCACGATCTGACAGTTCGCCCAGGACAGGCCTCTAAGAAGAAAAGGAAGTTTTCCTCTATCTCCGCGCTCGTCTCGACCAAGCCTAGCTTACATCGGTCTTCTCAACACGATCACACCTCCCGAGGTGATCCAGGTACACGCTGGGAGCACGAGAAAGCCCTATGAAACAATATGTCATATAACGGCGAGACGTCTATGGGTACCAATCAAGAAAAGGCACCTACACTCAACTCGAATCTTTCAGGTTTAGCGAGAGATCCTGCTATCCCTCGACGCCCTAAATCAGGGTGGAAGCGTCCACGAGAAAGGCTTGAATATGAAGATCCAGCTTCGCCGAATGAGACGACAGGCTCCTCGACTGACTCTCCCAATGACCATCCACCCAAAAAGAAGAAAAAGTCGGCGAACTCTGAGCTCCAAAGGGAGAAATCAAAATTTGATAAAGAGATGGAAAAGCTCACCAGTAAAGTCGTCAGTGACTTCCAAAAAAAAATTCATCAAGGACCGTCAACCCAAGACCAAAAAGAACAGCTTACAAGAGCAATCTTCAATGCGCTTCGAGACGCCAAGCAGCGAGCTGTCGATAGCGACGAGTCCCAAAGTGGAAACAGTTTCTATAAGCTCAGAGTGGTGGACAAAGCATTAATCGACATGGAGGTTTACGCTCGGCTCGTTAAAGCGCAACACAAGAAAGAGTCTCGGCACAGGCACCCCGAGAGCAGGATACTAAGCGAACGGCAATATGATTTTAAACGCCATGGGCCGACCAAAAAGCAGGTGGCCGAGGGGCACACGGCTACGCCCGAGCAAGAGAGACGTCGACAAGACTATGCGGATTACAGAAATCTGAGAGTCCGGCTGCACAAGCGAATTTCAGGCGAGAAAGAAGGACGGAAGGAAGGACGGAAGGAAGGACGGAAGAGGCGTTCACCCATGCCATGGACGCAGAAGGACACAAACGATGTGTTCAGATTTGCCCGGGAAAATGAAAGATTAAGTGGAATCCTGGAACTTTTCGAAAAAGCGAGACTCTTGCTTCCGCCCGAGTACTGGCACGAAAAAAAGAGCGAAGCATCATCATTTGAAAGTGGCGAAAGGGAGGAGAGGATCGAGGGTCAATTAGAAAAGATCGCCACCCCAAGCTGATGACGACTGAAGAAGCCACTAAATAACCACATCGTAGTCAGATCATGCATTTGTCATTGAGTTACATATCATGAAGTAACGTCGTACTTGAGATCTCGCTTCTTATCTAAGGCCTGTATGACCCGTACCTCGAACAGCTTGAAGTGGTCGTCATCTCTGTCATCTGACCGCTCCTTTCCCTCTGAGTTCTCGACAGAAGCTTCTGCATTTCTCCAATGGATCTCAGAGGATTGGTCGAGGAGAGCTTTGAGTCTGGCCATGCATTCAGCTTTGTCCTTGAGCTGGTGCGTTGTCACGCGACCACTCGTAGAGGGTATGGAAAAGAGCAATGTTGCCCCGATGCTTGTCAGCCCAGTCGCAAGGCCTCCTGCGGATTTGCCGATTTCTGCGTCGTCTGCATGACCGATTGCTACTGCCATCAAGCCAACCCCTTTTCCCAAAATGGAGTCGGTAACCGTCGGGATCCCTTTCGGAATGCTGAGCACAACGCGACGCTCGTCGGCTACCTCGCGTCTCTCTGCTAGCTTGTCCGAATTGCGTATCGCGGTCACGAATGCTCGACCAACACCCAGACCAATGAAAATTCCTGTCCTTGGCTTATGTTGCCGGACAAGATCGATCAGCACCTTTGCTCCATTGGCATTCTCAGATGCGCTCAGCTCCTCGGCAAGTCTTGACGGTCGTGAGGCTAGATTCGTAAGACCGATCGAGTAGTATGGCGGAGGCTGATGGAGAAGCACAGCGTCATCCTGAGGCGCAACACGGACCGGTGTCAGTCCAGAGAGGTGAAGAGCCTTATAAAAGTGGTTCGAGGGATGTGCAAAATGGTGGCCGCTGCGACTAGATTGGCGACCAGGATTGCTGCCGATGACCAAGATGTCACATCTTTCTCTGACGAGATCAGGTACTGGCGGCAAGATCTCTTCTTCGCCTTCTGCCTCGTCTCGCTTAAGTGCTTCAACGGCTTTGGAGCTTTTCAGCCTCCCACCTGCTTTTGCTGTTTCGGCAGTGAATGGCTTGACGTCGCACTGGAGATTCGTTCTACGCTGAGTCGCCTGCTTTGCACCAGAATAGTTCGCCCTTTGGGCTCTTGGCTTGCCTTGAGGCTGGAATCGAAAGGACTCCAGCAACGAGGGAGGAAACTGAGCCGGCGGATCTTCCGACTTCACTTCAATCGTCAGGTCTTTTCTCGCCCTTCGCGAGACGGGCATCCTGCGATTTGCCCGGCCCACCGCCCTGCGTGGACGTCAGTGTCGTCTAACGCGTATCTAACTTTGGCAAATCAGAGAGGAAGGTCTCACGTCAATGCGACCCGTGCGAAATCTGACCACGTGTTTGTCCGTCACCCCTTTCGCTTCATCCTTGGCTGGCGTCGAAGACTGACCCCCTCTCTCCACCTCGACGTCTCCTTTTCGACTCGCTCCTTTCTTCTTCACCTAGGTGCGGCAGGCAGCACAGGGACAGTCACCATGTCGAAGATGTCGGATCGCGAGCTCTTTGAGCTCAACTCAAAGGCTGCTGTTCAGAATTACAGTGTTGAGCCACGCCTTGATTATCGGACAGTGTCAGCCATCAATGGCCCCCTAGTCGTACTGGACAATGTCAAGTTCCCCTCGTACAACGAGATTGTCTCTCTCACCTTGCCCGATGGCTCCCGACGAGGCGGCCAGGTGCTCGAAGTGTCGGGATCCAAGGCTGTCGTCCAGGTGTTCGAGGGGACAAGCGGTATTGACGTCAGGGACACGCACATCGAGTTCACAGGCTCGAGCATGAAGCTGCCCGTTTCCGAGGACATGCTCGGAAGGATCTTCAACGGATCCGGTGCACCTGTTGACAAGGGACCCAAGGTCTTTGCTGAGGACTACCTCGACATCAATGGTGAGTTTAAAAGAACTGTGTTGCTTTTATGTTGCTGTCGATTCACCCCTTGCGATCAAATCTTGCAGGCTCCCCCATCAACCCGTACGCGCGGGTGTACCCCGAGGAGATGATCCAGACTGGTATCTCGACCATCGATACCATGAACTCGATCGCTCGTGGCCAGAAGATCCCCATCTTCAGCGCTGCCGGTCTGCCGCACAACGAAATTGCGGCTCAAATCTGCCGGCAGGCGGGCTTGGTCAAGAAGGGAGACGCAGGAGGAAGTGCAAAGCCTTCCAAGGGCATCCACGACGATCACGAAGACAACTTCAGCATCGTCTTTGCGGCCATGGGTGTCAACATGGAGACGGCACGCTTCTTCAAGCAGGACTTTGAAGAAAATGGCTCGCTGGACAGAGTCACACTCTTCCTCAACTTGGCAAACGATCCTACGTGAGTCCCCCTTCTAGGCTTAGGCGTGCAATCTGTCGACTAAAACCCCCTCTTTTATCAGCATCGAGCGTATCATTACGCCTCGACTGGCCCTGACTACGGCCGAGTACTATGCATACCAGCTGGAGAAGCACGTCCTTGTCGTCTTGACCGACATGACGTCGTACGCCGATGCCCTTCGTGAGGTCTCTGCCGCCCGTGAAGAGGTTCCCGGTCGTCGTGGATACCCTGGTTACATGTACACGGACTTGTCGACCATCTACGAGCGCGCCGGTCGTGTGGCCGGTCGCAACGGATCCATCACCCAGATTCCCATCCTGACCATGCCGAACGAAGACATGACGCACCCGATTCCCGACTTGACTGGCTACATTACCGAAGGGCAGATCTACGTCGACCGGCAGCTGCACAACCGGCAGATCTACCCCCCGATCCAGGTCCTCGGTTCTCTGAGCCGGTGAGTACTCTCCCCGAATACCTCACCTCACTTTGCTGCAAGCTCACTGACGCTCTCATATCCGACCTCTGCCAGTCTGATGAAGTCGGCCATTGGAGAGGGCATGACGCGCAAGGACCACGGCGACGTCTCCAACTCGCTCTACGCCCTGTACGCCACGGGCAGGGACTGCGCTTCGATGAAGGCTGTCGTCGGTGAGGATGCACTCTCGGCAGAGGACAAGCTCAGCCTTGAGTTCCTCGAGGCGTTTGAGAGGCGCTTCATCAACCAGGGCGCGTACGAGAACCGAACGATCTACGACTCGCTCGACATTGCTTGGAGCTTGATGAGAATGCTGCCCAAGGAGATGCTCACTCGGATCAACCCCAAGGTAAGCTGTGCATGCGTGAAGAACAAGAGATCCCGATCCGCTAACAGACCTTCGCTCTACCTTTTGATGAAAAGATTCTCAAGGAGTACTACGGCCGCAGGGCTCAGGGCTCGCTCAAGAAGGCCGCCGAGTCCGAACGGGCCTTGGCCGAGGCGGATGACAACAAGAAGCAGGACAAGTCGACGCGCGACGGAGACGCAAAGCTCGTCGATGACAACTGATGGGTCCGATGTTGGTTCGATATTCCACGCCTACCGCCCTTCTCTCTTGTGTTCCGATAGTCTCTCTCGTCTATCTCCCAGCTTCAATGGAATATTTGAATAGAATGCTGCGCTTGAGTACATCTTTCAGCCGATCGTTACATTCATGATTTCTGGTGGGAAGGGTGAGGTCAGCTTTGGAAGAGCTCCAGGTACGATAGAAGACGAGAGGGACCCACTGATGTCGTCTTTCGGCTTGTCTGTATTCCGATCCGTTCTGGCTGCTTCAATGGCATGGATAACATCGAAGCCGGCCGAAGCACGGCCAAAGATTGTGTGCTTGTCATCCAGCCAGGGTGCCGGGACCGTCGTGATGAAGAATTGGCTCCCTGTAGTTGAGAGACGCACGCTTCAGTTCGAAAGAGTCCACAACGTCGGGTAGAGGGAAAGCCGCACTGAACTGACCATTGGTGTTTGGGCCTGCATTGGCCATGCTCAGCACGTATGGACGATCGTGTCGGAGTTCCCTCACAAACTCGTCCTCGAACTCGCGGCCCCACAATGACTCGCCCCCCGTCCCATCTCCTAAGGGATCACCAGTCTGGAGCATGAACTTCTTGATGACTCTGTGGAACAGCACGCCGTCGTAGTAGCCCTTTCTGGCGAGGCCCACGAAATTTTCGACAGTCTTGTGCACCTGCTCGGGAAAGAGGCGGAGGTGAATGTCGCCCATCGTCGTGTGCAGCACAGCCGTCTGCGACACGTTAGACCGCCCCGGGCCAGTGCGCGAGTTGAGCGGATTCAAAGAGGCAATCGTCTGTTCTTCGCGAGTCGGCTTCTCGTTAAAGATGTCTCGCTCGGCACCGGACTTGGATCGTGGGTCACTGTTGTCAAGAATCAGCATACAGGGAAGACGTGGGCGCAGAACAGGAGAACACACTTGTCGGGCTCCTGGCGCGAGAACATGTAGAAACGAGCTCGCTTGAAGGCGGTGCAGAAGAGCGTTGGGTCGTGCTCCTCCTTTTTGGCGGCCAAGAGAGGGTTCTCGGAAGCCGCAAGCGCCTTAAAAATTGGGGTCAGTCTCGCGAAAGAAGTGTGCGGTGGACAGCGTAGCTCACAATGCTCTTTGCCTTCTTTCGGTTGGCCACACCTTGGAACAGGCTCACGTTGAGAAACCTTGTCGTCTCGTCCTTTCCCAGGATCAGCGCCACTTCGTTGATCTTCGTATTGATGATCTTTATGCCGAGCATGCTCCCGTAGAGGATGAAGGTCCCACTCTCGTCAAAGACGACATTGGCGCTGCAAGCCCCCGACGCCGCTCGTACTGCATTGCCGACCGCGTCTTGCGCACTGGCGTCGAGGTCTCTCTCGAGGGCCAGTCGCCGCCCAAATTCCATATCATCAAGCTGCACCTGGAGTTGCTGTAGCGCACCACCCAGCTCCGATGGCTCAGACTCGTTCACCTTGCCTGAATGCATGTCGTGAGCCGCTTGGAGACTTTCGTCGTACTTTCGTAGCAACTTTCCGCTGGCAAAGTCAAAGATGCGGATCTGTCGGTCTGCTGTCGATACCGTCACGAATCTAGACGAGTCGGGCGAAAAGTCCAGTGAGGTTGGGGTAGATTTGGCTTTCTTGAAGTCGAACAGGTCGGTCCGGCTCTTGTACTCCCAAAGCCCTTTGCCCTTGGGCGCTTCGTAAGGTTCCGTTGGGGACCAGTATTCTACCATGCCACCCACGTCGGCAGAGACAACGCAGTCAAACGGTTCATTATACTGTGTTTGAGACAATTAGCTGCCAATATCTCTCAGCCGCACCTAGTCTCTGACACCCACAGCAAGGAGATGACAGGGCGCCCGATGCAGGCTCTCGATCGTCGCTCTTGGAGATCCGTCACCGCGCCCATCGTAGAGTCTGATTGTGGGCGAGCCTTCTTCTGAGACGGCCAGTATTGAGTCTGCTCTTCCTCTTCGATGCACCCAAGAGCAGGTCCTCGGCGTGTAATCGACCTTAATCATGTTGATGAGGTCTGCCGGTAGCATCAGCATACACTCGCTCCATTCTTGTAAAGGCGTGCTCTCACCGAAATTGACGACGTCAAATACCTTGCACGACCCGTCGCTGCTTATACTTGCAGCCAAGGCTCCATCCGCGCTCACGCAAAGACCCGTCACCGGCGCCAGGTGGGCGCGATACTGCTTGACGAACTCGACGCCCGTCTCCTGCTTCTTCCAAAACTTGACGAACCCATCAAGCGACGCTGTGAGAACAAAGTTGGTGTGCGGCGTCACCTTCACAAAAGTCAACGTGTCCCGGTGCATAAGAGATCGAATGTAGCGGGATGCGCAGGGCAACGAGTCTAGAAAGAACTTGTCGCGGCCAGACGCTGAGGAAGAGGCGGCTGCTCCATCGACGAGCTTCGTCTGCTCGGACGTCTGGCCTTCTGCCTCCTCATCGCTCGCGCTGCGCTTGGGCTTCTTCGATGCCGTAGCAGCATCTTCGGGACTCGCGCTGCGTTTTGAAGTGACAGTCGCTACTCCCTCAACGCCCTCGTCTGCCATGGAATCTCCGTGATCCAGTCTCGTCGAGAAGAAGATGGAGGAGAGGCGAAATAAATGACAGACAAGAATTGTCACTAACGACGCGTCTAGTGAAAGAGGCGCGCGTCTTCCAGCCACGCCTATTTCGAAGAAGAAAGCCAGAGTAGGCATTCAACAACACCACACCACACCCACCCATCGACTCGACTTCGCGACAGCCGAGGGGGCGACAGGCTCTCTCAAACCTCCTCGCTATGGGGCGGCTCATCAATGACATTCCAGTACCGCCGTCTTCTTTCTACGGATCGTCGTCGGCCAAAACCAGGCGCACTGGTGAGCTTCGCAATGCGCATGTCGGCTCAGCAGTACAAGGTAGGTTCAGAGCGATTGAGCATGTAGGCTCTACAATGGAAACTCATTTCCGCTCAGCAGGAACGAGATCGGATATCGTTTTCGAGGAGACTCCTGCTTTGGTATCTGGTAAGAACAAGTCATCTGCGCCGGAAAAGGTGGCCAGCCGAACAGTTGCTCGGAGAAGGACAGCTGGCAACAGGCCAAAGTCCAATGCGAAGGGGCTGCCAATTCCGAGCGGCAGCTCTATGGATGGGAGGAAGCGAGCCAGAAACGCGATGGAGGCGCAAAGGTGAGTCGAGACTGGGGCGGAAGGGGGGCTGATGATGAAGTCAGTCGGCTGATAAGAATCCTTGTGTCCTTCGCAAAAGGATGCCATCCTCATCAAAACATAAAGAGATAGAGAGTTCCTTCAGGCTAGGCGTACCAGCGTATCGCAAGAGTCAAGAGACATTTGGTGGAACGGCCTATCATGATGACGCAGCCCTCTTGCGGGAGCGCGCTCAGTACGCGTTTTCACCATCTCCGACACTTTCACCCTCACGCGCCTTCTCGCGATCACCCTCGACGCCTGGCTCTCTGATCTCAGGGCCTTCTTCCGATATTGAATCTCTGCAGAGTCCTGTGCCGAACGAACGGCCCGGCTCCTCGACACCTGCTCTCTTTCACACCTCCACTCTGGTCCCAGAGCGGCGCTGTGGTCTCCCTGGTGATGATTTCACTCGGCGCGCATTGGAGCCCAGCAAACAAGATGGCTCAAGAAGAGGTCCTAGGCCCACTCTCCCCATTTCCTTCACCACCGCTGACGCCGACCTCCCTCCGCTCCTCTGGCCTGACCAAAGGTTTGATATTCCTTCACTCGGAGCGGCATCTTCCTCGTCCGGAGGCAGTCGACCGTCAACCCACTCCCCTACCTGTCTGCACCACCTCCAGCAAAGTCCCCTCTTTCACAAGAGGAAGGCTGTCAAGGACTTGACTCTGCACCAAGGCAAAAGCGACGACATGGACCTCAGACGACCAAGTCAGAAGCAAGCACATGCCGTCGAGTCGAGCGAAGACGAAAGTGAAGCGCATACAGGCAGCTCCGAGAACGACTTTAGGATCGTCAAGATCACACACAGCCCTGCAAAGAAGCGCAGTGCCAAGCGCGCTTCGAAGAGGGCTCGCAAAGCGTCTGCCCAAGAAGTGGAAATCGTCATCGATAGCCTCCCACCTGCCGTCTACCCGACGCCACCGTCTGCCCCGCAGATAAACGAAAAGAGCGTCTCGAGCACCAAGGCTCGCTCCACTTTCACTTTCCTGAAAGCGGACGAGGGCGCCAGGGAAAGAAGCGACATGGAGGACGACAGCAGCGACTACTTCGAGGATGACGAGATTCAGTTTGTCGGGTTACACCGCAAGCAACGAAGTCGAAGTGGCAGTAGCGATGTCATCTTCGTCGATGCCCTTGAATTTGCAGCATCAGCTCCGGACTCTCCAGCAAAGAAAGTCTCCGGAGATAGGAAACTGGTAAAGACCTCAGCAAAGCGCACACCCATTGAGAAGCTCCAACAGCTCATGACGGACCTCTTTGAGGCCGATGACGCATGTATTGAGCCCGACGACAGGGAAGAGGGAGAGACACCCCCAGAGTGTGCTGCCTTTTTCGCCGTTATCGATGGCCACACCGTGCTTCGGTCGGATGTGATTTTCAAGGTCCTCAAGACAACTTGGTCCTGTTCCAAGGCGGACGCCACTTCGACTCGCCTGGAAGACAGTAATGAGGGACCTCTTCGCCTTCGCGATCTGAGCATCCATGAAGTCGGTCGTCTTCTCAGGATCCTGGAGCGTGGACTCAAGCTGGCCGAAGGATTAGAACCGTTCAAGGAAGCACGCAGACCTGTTGCGACTCTGACAGGCAGACAGTCCAGAGGAAACACAAAGGGTAGCAAGAAGTTGAAGGGCAAGGATCTCTCACTTACGCACGATATCGATGAGGAAGGACCAACGTGCGCCAACGGTGATGGCGTCGCAGACGAGCCTGAGACGCTGGGCCAGTTAAGTGAAAAGTTCGGCAAGCTTGCATACAGCGTGCTCAGCGCCAATTGCATTCTCTCCATTATGGCCGGCGACGAGTTGGCCAAGCCTCTTCTGTCCGAGGACGCTATCCAGCCATGCTTCGAAGCTGTCAAGGCAGCTCTTGACCACGTCATTCTGCCCTTCGTTGACGCTTGCAATGGTTCAACGTCCAAGGGCAGCTCCAGCATTGACACGCTCATATCGGCCTTGGCACCCAGTAAACCAAAAGGAAGGAAACAAAAAGACGAAAATGGCGAAAGGGATGGCGATGCGGTCAGATGCGCCAACAATCTCGAGCAGCTGTTCAAGCAGACGTGTGCAGCCTTTTCTCAGGCGCACAAGCTTATACAGATGCCTTCGCTCGTCATGTCCGAGACGATTGTCAACAATGCAGTATACGCGGCCATCGGACCATTCTTTGCTGGCGAGCCGGATGCAGGAAGCGGAGCGGGAACAAGTGAGGCCTCAAAGGCGGCGCACAGGGGCCGCACGGCACTGGCTGCTTTTGGGAGCGGAGTTTCGCCAATGAAGAGCCTCAGGTTACCGGCTTTGAACTTCCTTCGCCGCATCTTTGCGCGTCAAAAGGAGCAGCGTCAATGGATCATCGAAGAGATTCTGGCGAATTTGACGAAGCTTCCCGATCTCAAGAGGACGAGGAGACAGCATGTTCTACGAAATGGCAAGACAATTAGCTCTGTCACTGCTCTCTTGCTGCACCTCATTCAGTCAGCTGCCCATGGGTTGGATGGCGACCCGAAGGACAACGACAGTGACATGCTGACCCTCGACAAAGGTCTTAATGAATCAGAAGAGATGGAAGTCGACACGGCACATATGCTGCTCGACAGAGCGACCACTTCTCCCTCGTACGATCTCGAAACTCTGAGAAATGCGCTCGAAGGCCCCAATCAGGCTGCCCTCGCCGTCGCCAACTACCTCGTGAACAGGTAAGCAAGGATGGGGGGAGAGTGTGTTTCTGAAGCTGACCGTGAGTTCCACTCTAGGATCAGCACCGGAAAAGCCACAAGATCGTCGACCGACAACAGCTACGCTGCGATTCTCGAGCAGCTCGTGGGCGATCTACAGACGACGATGTTCTTGCCACAATGGCCCGCCGCGGCGCTGCTTCTCAGCCAAGTGTGTAGAGGTCTGTCGGCCTTTGTCGACGATCCCAAGGCTGCCCAAGATGCACGAGGAATCGCTATCGAGCATCTCGGCAGCACAGCAGCGCGCATGCGCGAGTCGCAGCTCCGCATCGCTCGACAGGAAGAGGGCAAGGCACTCTGCAGCATTCGTCAAATCCAAGAAGCAGAGAGTGGCGATCGTCTCGACTCCATCAACGATGCGTATGAGCTCGTCATCGGCTATCTTGCACGTACTGGGAACGACGACCCGGCCAGCGAGACGGCAGTCGATTTTGTGTATGCGCAGTGGGCGTGCGAGTTGTCTTCTTCGCTCATCGGCAAGACAGACTCACTTAATCTTCTCGAAGAGGCCGACGACGATGGTTTCTCCATGGCAATGTCGGATGCTACACGTCTCAGAGGACTGGTCCACGCGCTTCACCATTGCATGGGCCGTGTCGCTTCGGCAAGGTCTCGTCTCATGACAGCGAACAGCACAACCGCAGATGTCTTCAAAGCAAGGTCGGAGGATGACTACCCGGCCGCTCAACAGACTGCCGAAGAGCTAGTTCACACAACGTCGTTTGTCCTTTCCTACGACTTTCTTCGCGCAAAGCTACTCCTGGCTCTCGATGACAACGTCATCAGCAATCGAAACAAGGCGCTGCGGGGCATCAATAGCGTGAGCGCTGTCGACGATCATCTCCTTGATGACCCAAGCGTACGTCAGCTCGTCGAATTTCGTGTCCGTGACGAGAGTGCCAGTGTACGCGAGGCGGCGCTCGCCCTCTTGAGCAAGCACGCCTTGTCGAAGGTCGAGAACATCGAAAGTGATCACACCGTAATTTTTGAAAGGATCTTCGACACCGGCTTGGCAGTGCGCAAACGGGCACTAATGACTCTCGAGAGCGTGTACGAGAAGACGACTTCAGAGAAGATCCGGCTCGAGGCCATCGCTCTAATTATCCGTTGTGTCAATGACGAAGACGATACGGTTCAAGACATGGCAGTCGACATCGTCGGCAGACTTTGGTTTGGTCTCGGTCCAAATTCCGAGAGACCTTCGCCAGCCAAGATGCGTGCTCGGAATGCAGGTAGCGAGATGCCCACAGCGGAGCCATCAGAGCCAAGATCATCAGGTCTGGACAGGAACGGGCTCGTGCCTGGTACGGAACATTGCCTCGAGACGATCATATCAGTCACAGCGAAGCTTCAAGAGAGGCCGTCACCCCTGGAGTCTATCTTCCGCCGCCTATTCAAGAAGCTGAGCGAAGGCGAGGCCAGCATGCTCACGGCGAACATGCGCATCCTCAACGACGCCATGATCGACTCCCTGGTGGCCGCTGAAGAAGCTGAGACCGAGAGCTTTGTCAATCGGGTCAAGACAGTTCATCTTTTTGTCCATTGCAACCCCACGATTCTCTCCATCACAAAGGCTAAAGCGCTGGTCCCTTATCTCAAGAGCGCCGAGAGTAACACCGACGTCTTGGTCATGGAGCTCTTGCTGAAGATCTTCGGTTCCTGCCTACCGTCCATGCCTCGCACTGCACTCAAATTTGCCGAAGATCTCCAGCGTACACTCACACCTCTCGTCAGCAAACCGCCGAATCGGCCCGGATCTAGCGTTCTCCAGGAGCTCATTGCTTGTTATTGCACTGTGATCAAGACTCATACGCACAACTTTGCTATGGTGGCAAAGTCTTTGCAGGCTTGCTTGACTCGCCTCGACAGAACTCGACAGATGGTGGAGAAGGGAGCCATGACCCAACTCGACGTCACGACGAAGCTTATCATGTCCATGACAGCGTTATTTACCGAAAAAGCCGACGTTGACGCCCTTCGTCGAGAGCATCCCGAGTGCGCTTCCGACATCGATTTGATCAGCAAGGGCTGCATCAGTGATCAGGTCTTTGATGCCTTCCTCGCTCTCTACAACGCACGCAACGGAGCCTTCAGATCGGCCAGTCTCCAGTGCATGGGCTTCCTTTTCCGAGCTTTTCCTTCTCTGATGATCCGCGAGAGCACGTTCGAAATCATGGACGACGTCTTCGACAATGGCAAGATGGAGGACCGAGACCTGCTCCTTCGAGTGATCATGGTGTATCTGTCGACGGAACAGGCCCGTTACGATCCTGAGGCCCGCTGTCCTGCGAAGACGAAGCGACCTTCCACAACCGCTGCTGAGGGGGTCGACATGGGCGAGCTCGTAGGAAATACGGACCAGCTTGCAGAGTCTGGCGTTGGTGCAACATTGATCCAACGTTACCTCTCACACGTGCTCGGAGCTGCCCTTCGTTTTGTATCACCGCAGATGCAAAGGACCGCCATGGACGTTCTGCACTTTACCGTCATGCAGGGACTCTGTCATCCTCTCGACTGTGTACCGACACTTGTGGCTCTCGAAACTCAGGCTGACTCAAGGATCAGTGGCCGAGCACTTCAACTTCATGATCATCTCTGGTCGAAGCACATCTCGATCATCGCAACGCGCTATCTGGAGATGACCAGGACTGCTTTTGAATACCAGATAGGGCAGCAACAGCGAGCAGGAGACCTTCGAGGCTTCCGCATGGATGCAGAGCAGAGGCCATGTGCACTGCTGCAGCCGTGGTATAGCCTCGTGGGCGAGCGTCGGGACAAGAGGCTCGACTTCTTCAAGGCTCTGACAAGAGCGCTCGACGTCGACACGCTCAAGTCGAAGACGTCTGAGGCTGATGTGCACTTTGCCCGATTCGTTGCGGACAACCTTGCGACGCTTCACTACAATTCGAACGAAGAGGTGTTCTTTGTCGTTGATACACTCAAGAGGACGCTCTCGATCGCAGGAGTTCAGGTACTCGAGATCATCGAGGGAGAGTTGGACAATAACGGAGATGAAAGTAGCGACGAGGAAGAGGACGAAGACACGGATGAAGGGTTCGCAGACGCAGACGAGGAGCGCAAAGAGCACAAGCCCAATCAGAAGATGGCAAGAGGGAGCAAAGGCAAGTTTAGCAAGACAACCACCGCTGCAAGAATGGCCACCGTCATGGGCATCGCATTACTGCTTCGCAACCACCTCAAAGCCCTTTACGGCCTGACCGAGGCCCGTTGCGCGAAGTACTCGTCTCAGCCGAGGAGGCGGTACGGTCCAGGGGCCGACAAAGCACAACGCAAGGATCTCGAGCACCAGAGCGATGCCGCGCTCGACCTTTCGCTGCTGTCGGGCGCTTTCCTCGTGGCAAATGAAGGGAACGAGGAGCTTTCTCAACAGCACATGATGACTTTCGAAGAGCTCATGCGTCAGGACGGAACGATTGCGGAGCCAGAGGACGACTTTGCCTTGGACGATTGAGCTACAAGTACACCAAAGAGAACACCTACCTGCCCTAGGCAGTCTAACAACCTCGACCAATTACTCATGACGCACTGTCAGACATCTGGAAGATGGAGAAGAGATTACAACCAAAGCTCCGTACAGTACATTTTTAGCATTGAGCATCAACAGCAAACATCACATACAGTGTACACTACAATCTCGCAGTCTCCATCATCACAATCCAATGGCAATTAGCCCATATTGATCCTCTGAAGAAAAGTGAGACACGTTGGCTGGTTGGCTTCTTAGCAAGCAACAAGCGCGTCGAGGTCTCTTCCCCACACGCGTCGCGATCCGGCGGCGACCGCCTCCTGAGAAGGCCAAGGAAAAAAAAAAATAAACAAGAGGCTCTGCTCGCCTCGACGAGCCGGCTTTTCCACTCTCCTTCTCTCCACACCAACACTACCTTCCCTGCCTCTGACCTCTCCCTCTTTTGCTCGGTAAGTGTTTGCACAGCCTGCGATTCGCTCTCTACAGCATAAGCTGCGGATGTGCCTTCCAAATCCACCGTGCATCAGATTTGTCATTGCAGAATTGAAATTGACATCCGTCTTTTTCGGTTTTAGTTTTTTTTTTCGTCATGGTGCAAACCCGGTGAGTGATCGACTTCGCCGTAGCGGTAGAATGTGACCGTAATCTGGCCTAGTCGTGGAGGTCAGGCTGGCGCGAACCTTCGCGGTGTCATGACAAGGGGCCAAAGGAGACCGAGATCTCCGAAGTGGGCCGATGAGGGTTGATTGGCTTTACTTTGGCTTTTATGGATCGTTGGGCTGCACGGATGTGTGGGAAGGAAACTCTTTAATTTCTTATGTGAGAGAGGCGGAGTGACGTGTTGGTAGTCATCGTTCGACTTTCGTTCTAGGCGGATTTCAATGCCGTATGCCGTGGCCTTGGATAAACTTACCGATTGTGTTGCTCTGACAAAGGGTCAAATGGGGTGATGTTTCTTCTTGCTGCACCGCATTGCTGACACAAACCTCTTATAAACCTTCTCGCCTTGACTCTTCGCTGATCAGAGGTCAGTCTCGAACACCCTCGCGCTCAGCCTCGCGCTCCAAGAAGACCGAGACGCCTGCAACAAACGGATCGACGAAGACCACCTCTTCGACATCGTCGTCTCCTGCCACACCTACGCCGGCTCCACGACGTCGCACGCGCTCCACGACGACCAAGAAATCACTTCTCTCTGCGGGAAGTACTTCATCCCCCTCCAACGGCGGACCCAGGTCGACGAAGTCGAAGATGTCGAACAAGCAACAGAACATCTTGGCGCCCAAGACGGAGTTCACCGAATTCGGTGGCCCCATCGGCGGCCTCTTTGTCTCGGTCGCGACGCCATTTTTCAGCTACCTTCTCTTCTTCTTCTGCAATGAGCAGGTCGGATGCAGTGTCCTGCCAACCTATCCGGCCGCCATCTGGCAGCAAATGGTCCAAGGCATCAGGGAGAGCATCTTTGACACGACGGCTTTCGCTATCTACTTTGGATGGTACGCCTTCGTTGTTGCTTGCTGGGCCATTCTTCCGGGCAAGTGGGTGAAGGGCTCCGAGCTCCGGACAGGCATTCGTCTCGATTACAAGCTCAATGGTGAGTGCTTAGCGAGTCTTCTCCTTTGCTGAATTTCAATGCTTATCCGTTCTGCCCAACAGCTTTCAATACGCTCGTTGCTTCGTTCATCGCATTTGGAGCTTACGTCTACGTCCGAGGCCCTGCTGCTGGCGCCATTCTTTACGATCACTGGCCTGGCCTTGTCACTGCCTCGTTGGTCAATGCCATCATCCAGTCCCTGTACGTCTACGCCCTCAGCTTCCAGGAAGAGAAGCTTCTTGCAAAGGGCGGGAACACAGGCAACCACCTCTTCGACGTGAGTGCGGCTCTACTAAAGGCACCCTCCGTGCGTGTGGCTGACATTCATGTCTCGTCCTATTTAGTGGTTCATTGGCCGCGAGCTCAACCCCAGGATTGGCTCCTTTGACATCAAGACCTTCAACGAGCTGCGTCCCGGCATGATCCTCTGGGGCCTCCTCGACTTCAGCTGCGCTTGCCACCAGTACGTGTCTCGCAAAGGAGGCTTGACCGACAGCATGGTCCTCGTCGTCCTCTTCCACACTTGGTACATCGTCGATGCCCTTTTCAACGAGGAGAGTATCTTCACCCAGATGGACATCACCACCGACGGCTTTGGCTTCATGCTCTCCGTCGGCGACCTGACGTGGGTGCCCTTCGTCTACAGTCTTCAGGCTCGCTTCTTGGCCTTTATGCCTAACGAACTCGGTTACCTGGCGACCGCCGCTATCCTCTTTTTGAACCTCACCGGCTACTACATCTTCCGGACAGCCAATTCCGAGAAGGATGAGTTCCGGAAGGGCGGCAACCCAAAGAGTGAGCACACTATCTCTCTCGACCTTTGTGAATCCCAGCAATTAACAAGCTTCTTTGCCAGACCTCAAGTCTATGACTACATCGTCTGGTCGCAAGCTCATCACTTCGGGTTGGTGGGGCCGTTCCCGCCATCCTAATTACTTTGGAGACTGGATCATGGCCCTGTCCTGGTGCCTGCCCACGGGCTTCCTCACTCCGATTCCCTACTTCTACATCTTCTTCTTTGTCGTACTCCTCACCCATCGGCAGCTGCGCGACGACGAGGCGTGCAAGGAAAAGTACGGAAAGGACTGGGACAAGTACCAGAAGTTGGTCCCGAGCCGGATCATTCCGTACGTCTATTAAGAAGGACAGCTCGACCCATCGCTCTCGTAGGCGAATCTCTGCGTCCCCAGGAAATCTGGCCTGCAGCTACTTCGTGGAGTATACCTCTTCATCTTCTACACTTCCAAGTCTTTCTTTTTAAATTGGGAGCTGGCTCATTGCCTATGGCCTCCCTTTTTCTCTGCCTCTGTCCTCTTTCTCTCTGTGCTTAGACCCTCTCTCTTTGTTGTAAGGTGGAAATCTTTTCCGGTGCTTGGGAATAGGAATTAATTGTCGAGGAATGGCTATGTTAACAGCTCTGTGTAGCCAATTGATCCTTGTGTCGATACGGCAGTCGCACCGTCTCCAGTCCACGACCACGGCCATTTTTACAGCTTCGGCTTAATCTCATCAACAACTCTCCTGAGGGCTCTTGGATCCAGTGCAATAGAGACAGTCGAGCTATCCGAGACGTTGGCGAGGCCTTGACCCAGGACGATTCCTTCGTCTTCTGCGCCCTGCGACTGCGAATGGCCGCCCTCGACGACTCGGACGAGACCGTGCGAGGTGAACTCGACCAGGAGGACCCTCATCATGTCTGGAGTGCCCGCGAGGAAGTTTCTGCGGGCCAACTCGGCGAGCTGCGCGTATGACATCGTCGCCGAGGTCGCTGTGCCGCTCGTTGACGACGACGACGAAGACGACAGGAGGCGGTCGGCTAGGAGCAGGAACAGCGCGCGGGCCTTGTATGTCACGGAGCGGAGAATGTGCAGCGCGGCGCGATCGGACAAGTCGTGGGAGCTGTCCACGCCGTTTGCCGCTGCCCCATTTGCGAGCTCGGACGGCATCACAGAGGACGATGGGCCGAGATCGAGGCCGCTCGATTGGAGATCGAGAACCTTGGGAAGGCCTGCAATGCGGGAAGCAGATGAGGCTGAGGACTGACCATGGAGACCATTCGCCGTGGATGCGGTGCGCTGGGTGAGAATCTCATCAAGAGAGGGGACGAATGTCGTCATATCGATCCAGAGCCAATTCATCGTTGATGGCCCATCATCGTCGAAAACCCCAAAGCTCCTCTGGTCAAGAGTGTCGTTGAAAGAGAGACTCGAGGGGCCTAGACCACCGAGATGACCCGCTTGAACATGGGCGACGCTGGCGAGGAAGTGAATCTTGGGGCTGGACTGCAGCATCGAGAATATTCGCATTGCTCGCGGCTGCTGCAAGGCAGGCGTCGAGAAATTGTGAAGGAGGACGAAAAGGCGCGGTGGAAGGCGGCCATCGCGTTGGGAGAGCCTCGATGCAATGCGCAAGGCTCTCGCTTCAAGAGCAGAGGCGAACAGTGGGCGTTGACGATCCTCTTCCTCTATGCTCGTGGACGGTTGCCCAAGCCCTCGCTCGATCTCACGCACCACATCATCGATCCTTGCACCACCTTCTCCTCGCACGATCAAAGAGGCACCTGTGCCCTTGCTGGAGAGATGACTGACATAGTCCTCCAGGTGGGCTTTCTTAGAACCTAAGCCGTGGAAGAGAAGCGGACGGTTGGTGTGAAGCATCAAAGTGGTCCACCGGTCGTATAAGGGCCGAAAGTGCGCATGTGTACGCATCGCTGCCGTACTGTCAAGGCTCTCGCCATCGTCTTCGTTGGCATTCACCAGGCTTTTGATCTGTTTGTTCAGTGCTGTTATGGTTCTGGTCGGGATGGGATGGAACGACTCCGAGAGGATATGGTCCGAAGTCATCTGACTAGCTCTCTTTCCTCGACTTCGTGATGCATGGGCGACAAAATAAGCATCCGACGACGTTGGCTTGATAAGCGACGACATCGTAAGGGCCGTCCCGCCATTGACGCGCACCGATGGCGACGAAGGGCCGATGGCATTGACAGCCTCGGAGTCCACGATGCGTTTGGCGCTTGGTCTCGTGGACTGAGGTACGATCCTGCGCTTGGGTGTTGTCTTTTCCACAGCCTTCGACCCTTTCGGAGTTGTGGCCACTCCATTACGTTTCGGCTTTGACACAATGTCTGCGTGCCTTGACGTCGTCGTGGAAGCTACTGATGACGGAACCACAGGAGAAGCTGCCGTCCTATCTTTTGCATTGATAGAATTGTCACAGTTGCCTGCCGAAGGCCTCTTTGACGAGGAAGGAGACGAGACGGTCGAAACAGGCGGAGATGGTCTCATGAGGACCACCGGATCGAGCGCTGGCGCCTTTCGCAATCTTCCGCTCGAGCTTGGCTTCAGCTCTTGCTTCGCTTCCTGCTCGTGTTCTTCTAAGATCTTTGTCCTCTTCCTTGTGGGCCCTGTCGTTGGCGTTGCGGATCTGATCGAGGTCGAGCGGGGCGTTGAAGGACCAGCTTCATGTTCGGCGGAATGCCCTTGGCGCCGAACCGGCAGCGGCTTCTCCCTGATCCTTCTTTTTGGCTTTGGCGCTATCTCTGACGTCGGCGACGTGGAGACCTCCGTATCAGTCTCACCAAGCTTTCGCTGTATTGGTGGCCTTCCATCCTTTCTTGGTCTTCCCCTCGGCCGCTTGACGCCGTCCTCCACCTTCTTCTTCGGTTTCTCCTTCACTACATCGCCACTGTCGTCGGTGAGACTCTTGCGCCCGCCCAAGTTCTGCCACACTAGGCTGGCCCTGCCTGCAGCGGCTCTTTTGCTCCGTCCTTCGACATCGCCCCGGCCAGTCTCGTCGTCTACGCTCGCCTGGGGACCGGTCACACCTTGCGGGATCGACTGCGACTCGTCCTCAGAAGACGAGCTCAGCTCCGATTCCTGCGAAGCGTCATCGCCCAGGTCCATCGCGACGTCCTCCATCGCTCGCAGCTCTGTCATCCAGCTGGCTGCCCTGCTTATGGTATGCGCCGACTCGACGGCAGTGGAGAGGAGAAAGGATCGAGAGCGCTCGAGCCATTTCGACACGAGCAGGGTAAGGAATTTTAAGAAGGAAGCAATGACGAAATTCAGTGACAGAATGTGACGCATAAAGTACCATCTGCACCATTACCTTCCTGAAGAACCCGAGTTGGAAACACAAATTTAATGCATCTTAAAGGCGGGGATCGGTGCTAATATAGTAGTAGTGTATAGACGCATTTAACACCGTTAAAAAACTTTGCAAAACAAAACCACGCCACCCTCTTCCCCGGGGAAGGACTTGAAGGCGTGACGAGCCTAAATTGGTCGAAGCCGAGCACTTCTAAGCTAGCCTTGCTTGACCCGATCACTGGTTGGCGGACACGGACTCGGTCATGGGAAGAAGAGTTTTCAGGTTACCAGGCAGGCTAGCGTGAATTTTTTCGCACGAGACACAGCACTTCTCTTCAGCTTGCATTTGCGCTGTGGGGAAGACCGAGACGTCGAGGGTAATGTGACGGACACATATATCCCCCATTTCCTCCATCCATCAAACCTCTTCCTCTCCCTGCGACATCCAGCTGGAGACACCATGTCGCTCTCTTCCCGTTTTGAGCTGCTCCCGCGGCCGCCGCGATCGCGCCTGTCGCTTGGGAGCGAGGAGACGAGGGCCATGCTGCCTGACTTTGTCGAGGCGCAACAGCTCCGCCAATTCGTCGAACGCCTCTTTATCTACAAGCTCGATGTGCCTGGCTCTTATGTCCAGATCAAGCTGGGCGCATGCATCATCGCCCTTCTTGTTGCAGTTGTCTCTCTCATTTCACTTCGCCGAGTCTTCCTGAGGAGCTTCTGGCTTTTCCGGCTTGTCAAACGTCCTTCGGGAACGCTCGTAGTTGTGAGTCTTCTAATCTTCACACCCGCCTGATGACATTTCTACCTTTTTTTTATTGACTTGAAACGTACGCAGCCCAACTCGGTGCTTATATTCTCCGTCGTCGAAGGATTCTTCGGCATCCTCTTCATCACATTTCAATGGCTGGTCTGCGACTTCTACCAGCACAAGAACATGCGCCCAACCAACTTCTGCCTGTGGTATCTGCTCTTGTGGATTCCACTCATCTTCGCTCCCATTTGGGCAGCCAAGGGCACCTATTTTGCCCTTCCAAGCTCTCTCGAGCCGCTAGACAACCCTAATCAGAGGTGGTACCTGCGACCAGCCTTTTTCAATTTTCTAGGTCTGGCCGTTCCTACGAGCTTGGCGATATCCATCTTCGTTCCCGCCATTGTCGCAAATGATTTCTACCGCACAGCCTACCACGAACAGCTCTCCTACCTCGAGACCTATGCCACCGCCACGCAACTATCCCAAGACATGGTCCAGGATGCCCAGAGAGTGTGGTACGACGTATTAAAGGCGATCAGGATCGTGAATATCACTTTCATCCTGTGGACCTTTTGGGCGCTCTGCATGTGCCTCAGCTATTCCTACGTGTCATGGAGGCTCATTTCGGCCATTTCCAACCAACTAAAAGCGTCAAAAGACCCGATGTCCTCTGCGCGCCAGTGGCAACAGGAACAAGAACAACAAAAGCAGATCGGCCGTGCTCAATCGCAAACGTCCAATTCGATTTCATCGGCAGGCGCTTCGGACTCGCCTGGCATGCTGGGCAATGCGCCTCTGCCCCAGCCGTCTTCCTTGCAGAAGTTGAAGGTGCCGGTCCGATCAAAGAAAGTCAGAACGCCCAAAGACAATTTTTATTTCACCGAGGCAGAGATGGAGAACGACACGCTTTCGACGTCCTTCTTTCCGCCTGTCAGACCCTCTCGCTTCTTTCATACCGACCGGATGGGGGACAAGAGAGGAGGCAAGGACTTGGAGGAGCGGATGGATGAGGAGGTGGAGAGTGGTGGCCATCATCATCAACAGCCGCAGGAGCAGGAGCAGGAGCAGTCGCCGCAGTCACCAAGGGATGTATCCTTTGTCTCCACGTCCAACCCCCCCACAACCAAGAGAAGCGAATTGCGCGGTGCGTACATCCATCTTTGGATTCAATTCGCCGCCATCAGCCCGGCTTGCTTCCTATTCGCGCTCGCAGCCTGCTCTTTAGGTGCTGGGTCTTACGGCCTCTACGAGCAGCCCAAGGGCACAGATCTTAACGACATGGGCGTAAAGTTTGAGAGGTTGTTCATCTGCGAGCTCATCGCTAAGATCTGGATCACTTGCGTCTTTGGCACCGTCACTCTGACGGCCATCGTTGTGAAAACGTATGAACATGCTTTTGTCAACCTGACAATCAAGGTTCCTGTCGTTGGCTTGGCCCCGACGCGCAAGAGCAACACGTTCTCACCGGCTGTCATCAATCCAACCGGTTCGTCGTTCTTCGAAACTAGAACGAGGGACGACAGGACGGCAGACAACAAGGGAGGACGCTATGCGCTGCGCAAGCAGGATTCCGACCTAGTCCCGCTCAAGGAAGTTGCCGAGTCGCCGTCGAGTCCCACAGCGGGTCAGCCTGTTTTCTCCACGCCATCGATGCTTAGTTCACAGTCGCCAAGAGCAAGTAAGCCTAGCTCCCCCGACATTCGGGCGCCTGCCGGCGGCCACGTGAACGAATCAGCCGCAAGAAATCAAGGAGGAGTGTGGTACCGCCTTTGGGAACCATGAGAAGCATCATAGATTATCCTAGCTTCTTTCGTCTTCTGTAGCTCTGGTAGCTGCTAAGGAGTGCCGTGTAGAGCCTTCCTGCTACGCCGTGCTTCCTTATAATATAGCAACGCCCATTGTTTGAAATGTACTTGAAGCACGACCCTGTCTATTTCGTGGGCGCAAAACTGCCAAAGCCGTACTCTGCCCACAGCCGAGCACACGAAAGCCGTCAAAGTAAAGCGGGGCGCGTGGCATGCAGTGGTCAATGAAATATTGACGCAGTGCCGACCACACTGTTGCGTTCCTGCGGGACGGCACAGCTTGCGGAGTAAGAATCATGGGCATGGCACGGATGGTCCGCGCCTGCGGCGCATATCGGCGATCAATTATAATATGATCAAACGCGTATACTCTCGGGAGAGACACCCGTAGCTAGTAGTGTAGTAGTGTTACTACTACGAGGCTTGATCATAAGAAATGCCGCGGCGTCTTGTTTTCCTTTACTTCCTGTTCTCATGCATCTGACGTAATTGCTCAACCTCTTCCTCTTGCATTTTTCGTTTTTCCCTCTTGGCAGGGCTCCATTGCGATTTACTCAATCAGGTTTTGCGCCGATCAATTATGGGTCATAGGGCCCTGCCATCATCGGGTGGGGCAGAAGTGTCGTAGCCAATAAATAGTGATATAGTGCAGTACCAAGTCAATTCCAGTCCCTGCCTAGGAACAATTTCTCCAGAAGGGATCTGGGCAGCTTGGGGGCCCCAAAGCCTTAGCAAATTATAAAGCACAGTGGACGTCGAATTTTTTCCCCTCCCCTGTTCCCCTCCCCAGATACCGAGCCGCTCGGTCAAAGACCCGCAAAGCGAGCGATGGCGACCACATTTGAAGAAAAGAAGCAGACGACTCCCTCGGACGGCTCTCCCACTGTCGAGAATGGTCCGCAGGAGAAGCTCGCTCCGACACACTCACGCCATGTCACCACCAAGGATGCACCCGAAGAGGCCCGGCACCGCGACGTCTTGGGCGGAGGGAAAGTGATTCTGACCGAGAACGAGTGCTACGACGAGCTTGGCTTCTCCTTCCCAACGTGGAAGAAGTGGATGATCCTGACCGTCATCTTCATGGTCCAAGTCAGCATGAATTTCAACACTAGCCTGTACAGCAACGGTCTCGAAGGCATTGAGAACGACTTTAATGTCTCGGCCCAAGGAGCACGGTGTGGCGCCATGATCTTCTTGGTGCTGTACGCGTTTGGGTGTGAGCTGTGGGCGCCCTGGTCCGAAGAGCTCGGCCGCAAGCCGATCCTCCAGCTCAGTCTCTTGCTCGTCAACATCTGGCAGCTTCCCGTGGCCCTCGCACCCAACTTCGCCTCTCTAATGGTCGGTCGTGCCCTCGGAGGTCTGTCGAGTGCCGGCGGAAGTGTCACCCTGGGCATGATTGCCGATATGTGGGAAGCAGAGACGCAGCAGTATGCCGTCGCATTTGTCGTCTTCAGCTCGGTCGGTGGCTCCATCCTGGGCCCCGTTGTCGGTGGCTTCGTCGAGCAGCAGTACCCGAGCCTTTCGTGGAGGTGGACTATCTGGATTCAGCTCATCTTTGGTCAGTTGATTTTGTTTGGGCGATGTTATAAGAAAGGGTCTAACTATTATTCTCTCCTCCTCAGGCGGCTTCGTTCAGCTCATGCACCTCTTCCTCGTTCCCGAAACGCGCTCGACCATTATGATGGACAACATCGCAAAGCGACGCCGTAAGCAAGGCGAAGATGTCTATGGACCTTCTGAAGTCTTGTCCTTCCGCGAAAAGTTCTCGGCAAAGGAGATTCTCATCACCTGGATGCGACCTTTCAAGATGTTCGTGACAGAGCCAATCGTCCTTGTCTTGTCGCTCCTGAGTGGCTTCAGCGATGCTCTTATCTTCATGTTCATCCAGTCCTTTTCGTTGGTGGTGAGTATGGACTTAATAACGATCAAAGAGCCTGAAAACCCTTTCTGACTTTCCTACCTCATCCTCGACAGTACAAGCAATGGGGCTTTAATGCGTCCACGACTGGTCTCGCGTTCATCCCCATCGGTATTGGGTACTTCCTTGCCTGGCTCAGCTTCATCCCCGCCATCCGACGTAATATTGCTGAGCGCGAAGCCAAGCCCGACGACGAGCGCGCTCAGTACGAATCGAGGCTCTGGTGGCTTCTTTTCACGGCTCCCTGCCTTCCGATTGGCCTCATTGGCTTTGCGTGGACGTCTGGCGGCCCTCCGATTCACTGGATCGGCTCGATGTTCTTCAGCGCCATCGTAGGCATTGCAAACTATTCCATCTACATGGCGACGATTGGTGAGTGTCATTCTCAGAGTCATAACATCCATCCAGCCCTTCTCAGTACCTTGCTGACCTTTTTTGAACTTTGTCGAAACAGACTACATGATCTGCGCCTACGGTCCATACAGTGCTTCCGCCACCGGTGGCAATGGTTGGGCTCGTGACTTCCTGGCGGGTGTCTTGACGCTCCCTGCGACGCCCTTCTTCTCCAACATTGGCCCTGACAGTCCGCCAGGAAGGCACCTGCAGCTGGCTTCGACAATTCTCTTCTGCATCTCCTTTGTCCTCGTCGTGGCCGTCTACATCATCTACTGGAAGGGACCTGTGCTGCGCAAGCGCTCGCCATTTGCCCAGCACCTCCAGGAGGCCCGCAACGAGCTGCACGGAGGGTCGCACGTCGCCAACGCTGAATCCGACGTCGAGAAGCCGTCGAGGATCCCATTGGGAAGCAGGAGGAGCTCGTACGCGCGCTCTGCGCAGGAGCAGCGTATCAGGCAGGTTATGGGCAGCAGCAGGAACACTACGCCGAGCCACAGCAGACCAAACAGCCGGCCCGCGAGCAGGAGGCCGAGCTTAGATCTACAGGCGGAGGAAGACGAGTAAGAGTTCGACTCTATAAGAGGTTGCGACGTTTTTACAGCAAGTCCCGAAAAAGAGACGGTAGTCGTACAAAAAAAAGACGGAAGCTACAATGTACCAAGAATGCTGCACCTGCCAAGATTCTGTCCCACTTAGCAATGAGAGTACTTAGCAATGAGGACGAAGTCAAGATAGCTCAGTGGTGCAACTGTGTGATGCGCGTCGGTACTGTGCAATACGGAAAAGCGGCATGTCATCGGCTACAATGACCTCTCAGCATATCACAGTGGTCGGAGCAAAGATACGTGTCCCTTCAGTGGCGACGGCCGATCTCTCAGTATCTTCTCTTCTTCGTGATAAAAGACCCTTCTGCGCTTGCTATTCCTTCCGACAATGCAGTGAGCCAACAACCAGATTGGCGGCCGTAAGTGGATGCAATCTTGATGCTATACCCCAGGACACCGACTGTCACCCTGCATGTCTTCGTCTTCCCTTGGATGCCTCTCCTTTGTTGGACACCTTGTTATTCGCCGGAACTCGCGTTCTCCGTACGATAATATTCCGGGCAAGCCACACGTGGCTACTAATGTCAGCAATTAAAATTTTCCTGCAGCAAGCTAAAAGCCGAGGGAAGGGAAAGGAACGGACGAGTCAGTACGTAGTGGAAGCCCATCTACGTTCTTCCTGCACTTGTGCTTCTTCCTAGATCTTCCCCACTCCAAACCATCAGCAGCAGCCGATTCCAGAGATCATGTCCAGCGAACACCCCCAGATCGTCGGTACGCTGCCCCCGTCTGCTGCGGCACCCGCGGTGGCCAATGGCAGCAGCGCCGTGCCGCTCGAGAAGCGCTCGGCGTCGCACCACCAGCCGACATCGTTCAAGGCTGAGACGACGACGTCGAACAACCTGGGCACGTTTGGCGTCAAGTCTGGCCTGGCCCAGATGCTCAAGGGCGGCGTCATCATGGACGTCGTCAACGTGGAGCAGGCTCGCATCGCCGAGGAGGCTGGCGCTTGCGCAGTCATGGCCCTCGAGCGAGTCCCAGCCGACATTCGCGTCGAAGGCGGTGTGGCGAGGATGAGCGACCCGGGCATGATCAAGGAGATCATCGAGGCTGTTTCTGTCAGTGTGATCGCATCTTGAGTTGCGTGAAGGCGAGCACCCGCGCTGACATGTCGGTCTCCTCTATGATACTTTTCCCCTTTTCTCCTTACTCAAAACAGATCCCTGTCATGGCCAAGTGCCGCATCGGGCACTTTGTCGAGGCGCAGATCCTGCAGGCACTCAACGTCGACTACATCGACGAGTCCGAGGTGCTGACGCCCGCGGACGACTTCCACCACATTAACAAGCACAACTTCAAGGTGCCCTTTGTGTGCGGCTGCCGTAACCTGGGCGAGGCGCTGCGGCGTATCAGCGAGGGCGCCGCCATGATCCGGACAAAGGGCGAGGCAGGGACCGGCAACGTCGTCGAGGCCGTGCACCACCAGCGCACCGTGCGGGCCGAGATCAACCGGGTGGCGAGCATGTGCGACGAGGAGCTGTATGCGTACGCAAAGGAGATCGCCGCGCCCTTCCACCTCCTCAAGGAGACGGCCCGGCTCAAGCGGCTGCCCGTCGTCAACTTTGCGGCCGGTGGTGTGGCCACGCCTGCCGATGCGGCCCTCATGATGCAGCTCGGCTCCGACGGTGTCTTTGTTGGCAGTGGCATCTTCAAGGGCCAGAACCAGGCCGAGCGGGCCCGCGCCATCGTCCAGGCTGTTGCCCACTACGACGATGCCGAGAAGCTGGCCCAGATCTCCGAGGGCCTTGGCGAGGCCATGGTCGGCCTCACCATCACCGACAACATGAAGGGTGGGCGCCTGGCAGGCCGAGGGTGGTAATTGCTCCCTTTCTCCTTCCGTTGCTTCCTTTAGACCCCTCTCTCTCTCTCTGACTCGCGTCGAGAGGCGGAGAAATAAGCGCATACAAGGAGAGAAGAAAAAGTACATAAGATTACAGTCCGAGAAATAAGAAAAAGTACATAAGATTACAGTCCGAGAAATAATGACATTGTTCATCCTTGCTGCTCCTGATCACCGTCTGCGTACGAGCTGGACTTGTGCTTGGCTGTGGCAACGTCAGCGGGGGGAATCGAATGTGGTAAGGTGATGTTCAGACTCACGGAGGAAGGACCACTGGTCGGGGGCCTTGCCCAAGAACATTTCCGAAATGCTGATCCAGTCTGACGACTTGCCCGAGGCCAGCAACGTCTCGAGGTCATCCCTGCCCTTATACGGCGGTGGCCGGTCATTGAGGCGCGAGGGAAGGTGCTCGAGGAGCCCCGTGGGGACGTATCGGTGGGTAAAGGAGAGGTACTCGCAAAGAAAGCGGCGCGTCTGGTTGACACCCTGCGAGTCGCTTCCCCAGTGCGTCAGGCCATAGTGGGCAAATTGGCGAATAAGGTCGAGGCGCTCTCGACTGGAAATGTCCCAGTCGCGATGTTCCTTGATCTCGGTAAAGACCCAGGGCTTGATCAGCGCGCCCCTGGCAATCATCTGCCCATCGACACCGGCGAGCTCCTTGTTGGCAACGTAGTCCTGCCACGAATACACGTCGCCGTTGCCGTAGATGGGAACGGGATGCATATACTCGCCCTCGCCTTCTTCGTTGTTGCGCACGACGCTCTCGCGCAGCGAGTCAGCACAGCGCTTGATGTAGGACCAGTCGGCCTCGTTCTTGTACCGCTGCTGCCGGCTGCGTCCGTGGAGTGTCGCGGCACCCACGCCCCACTCGACCTGGAGGCGAGGATAAAGCTTGTGGGTGGTGGGGTTGTTGGACGCCGTGCCCGTGCGCAGCTTCGCCGTGATGGGCACCTCGCCTGTCACGGCGGCCATGCCCCGGAGGATCTTGCCCAGCTTGCCGGCATGGTCGAGGAGCGCAGAGCCGCCACCACGATTATAGACGAGGTCGATGGGACAGCCACAGTTGACGTCGATGAAGTCGAGCGTGGAGCCAAATTCACGCGCGAGCACCTCTGCAACGGGGACGAGAATGTCGGGCTTGTTGCCGCAGAGCTGCGTGCCAAAGCACCGCTCGCCCTCCCACCGACGCACTAAGCTCCATTCGTTCTTGTTTGCCTGGAGGTAGCTCTCGGCCAGGCCCATCTCGCCGCAGTGGATATCGGAGCCTAGTGACGCACAGAGCCTCCGAAAGGGAAGGTTGCCCGTCGTTGTCAAGGGCGCGAGGTACAGCTCGTCGTGGAACCAGTCGAGCTTCCTCTTCTCCGACGGTCTGATTCTGGCCCCATCGTCTTTCGACCACGTGTAGGCGGCGTCCTCGATCCGGGCACGGCTGCCCTGGTTCTCCAATTCCTCAAGGTCCATCTCGGCCCCAACGAGATCACCGCCGTCGCCGCCGCTGCTGCTGCTACTGGTGCTCAATGCTCTTTTTGCCAGCTCCTCGTCCACGACGATGGGTCCATCTGCCAGGTTTTCTTTATGCCTTTGTAGGAGGGAAAGGACGGCTTTGGTCCGAGGGAGTTGATAGGTCTTTGTCCGCAGGGCCTTTGCCAGACCCGAGGCGGGCCAATTGACCTCACCCGGCGCATTTCTCTCGTCCTGGTCTTGGCCGCTGCTCGACGATCCTTCGATGAGCTCGAGCCGGCCATCCTCTGACCTCTTTGAGTGCGCAGCAACGTATCGACACGTCCAGCCCCTCGGACAGCTTCCGCTGCTGCTCGACGACGCCTGCTTGGCAGAGAGGTGCACTGGGCAGATTGTCTCCCCCCGCGGCCACTTGACGAAGGGTTCCGCTGTCGAGTAGTTTTCCTCGAGGTAGGCTTCCCTCTTTGGGTCTTCTGCGACCTCACGTAGGCTGCCGTGGGGGCCATCGCTCGGCGGTGGTGCAAAGTAGAGGTCCTCTGGCTTCTCATCGAGGTACGCTTGGAGCGAGTGTGAGAAGGTGCATGTACCAGCAGGCCGATCGCACTTGCCCTCGCCGCCCCTCGCCACAGCCTTGCACAGATTGATGCTGTCCTGGATCCTCCCAAATTTTCTCCCCTTGTTCTGTCCTCTCTCTTTCCTGTCGTCTCGCTTGCCCCCACGGCGTGCGTTGTTGTCACCCTTGAGCTTCTTTGCATCGCCCCCCTCTCTCGCCTCGTTCTCCCTTTTGACCCCCCATGCCGCCGGGTTCGACTTGGACTCGGCCGCATCGTCATCTGCAGCCGGTTCGACCTTTTCCTTTGCGAGGACGAACTCAGGCCTTATGGGCGCCACCCCCTTGACTCTCTCTACCATGGTCAGTGTTGTCTGCGTGCGGTTACAAAGGCAGGAAGAACAGAGGAATTACCTGCCTGAGCATTCAAGAGCTCTAAAAAAAAGCAGGTGGAAGAAATAGAAACAAAAAAAAGTGCGAACCACGTGGGGCAAATGCACCGGGCAGGGGTCTCCGTGCGATTGCACTTCAATGCAACGACGAACGCCAACGGCTCCCCCGGAAAGAGAGAGAGACATATGGCCATCTTCAGTCGCAAGCAGGGTGCCACCAAGGCCAAGGCGCCCGCAGATGCGAACCGGAGCGATGCCGGTAGCAGCTCCGGCGCGCCCGAGAAGAAGACATTTGCCCAACGCAAGCCTGCCAGTGGGTACCCTCTCCAGGAAGTGAATCGTGTGCCAAGCTTACTGACCTTGCTCCCAAAGACACGGCTTTCAAGCAACAACGGCTCAAGGCATGGCAGCCCATTTTGACACCCAAGACAGTTCTTCCCACGTTCTTCCTCGTCGGGATCGTCTTTGCGCCCATTGGCGCCGTGCTCTACTACTTTGCCTCCAAGGTCAGCGAATTGCGAATCGACTACACTGACTGCCACAACCATGCCCAGATGGCAGACATTCCGCCAGAGAACTACGACTACCAGCTCTCGGTGGGTACGAGCCTCTTCGACATCCTCCTTCTCCGGGCACAATACTGACGGTTGCCTCTCTCCACCTCCAGGGTAAGACGACGCAGACGTGGCAGAACCCACAATGGGAGTACGTCGCCAACACGGATTCTCCGACGGGTATGGCGTGCAATGTCTACTTCAACATCCCCGAGCAGCTCGAGAGCACGGTCTTGTTCTACTACCGTCTTACAAACTACTACCAGAACCACCGGCGGTACGTCAAGAGCATCGACCAGAACCAGCTCATTGGCGACGTGCGCTCGCCCTCGGACCTGCAGAACAACAACTGCAAGCCACTGGGAAGGGAGGGTGACAAGGGCATCTATCCTTGCGGTCTCATCGCAAACAGCATGTTCAACGACACATTCTTCAGCCCTGTTCTGCTTAACCCCGCGGGCAATGGCCCGGCCAACCAGACGTATGCCATGAAGGAGACGGACATCATCTGGCCGGGCGAGAAGAAAAAGTACCAGCGGACAAAGCAGGCTGCCAGTGATCTTGTCCCGCCGCCGTTCTGGAGGGGAAATTTCTCGAAGAATGCGCCCTACAGCTTCCCCAACGGCTACAACGAGGACAACATCTTCGATCCATCAAACGACGAGCACTTTATGGTGTGGATGCGCGTCGCCGGGCTGCCGACGTTCCGAAAGCTGTACATGCGCAACGACACAGCGCCAATGCCCTCTGGCCGGTATCGGGTCACCATCTATGACAGTGAGTCTGACTGTGTGCTGTAGTGAATTACCTTCGCGGGCTAATGGACGGCCATCGATGCAGACTACCCCGTGGCCATGTTCAACGGGACAAAGTCCTTCATCATCTCAACGGTCACATGGGTTGGCGGCCGGTCGCTCTTCCTCGGCGCGGCATACATTGCCACGGCAGCGCTCTGCGTCCTCCTCGGTCTCATCTTCACAGCCCGTCACCTGATCCGGCCGAGGAAGCTGGGCGACTTGAGCCTTCTGAGCTGGAACGAGTAGATGCTCTTATTCCCTCTCTCATTTCTCTCTTTGTCTCATGATCTTTGCTCCTCTCTCTCTCTCTTCTTGTGTCTCTCTGTGTCTCCTCTGCTTCAATTCTGATTGGATTCCCTCTCGTATCACTACATGTTGTGCCTAGGCATCCCTGCCGTACACGATACCACCACCGGGCGCGACGCCCCTCGGTAACGGGCCTTCGTCGTCCCTCCTCTCCTCTGCCTCTTGGTTCCCGTCTGCATGTGTCGTGGAAGAAGCCATCGATGCCGTCCCAGCAGCGCTGCCTTGCTGCTCCTTCGCCGGGTCGATGCCCGCGGCGCTCATGAGATCGGCAAATTGCCCCCAGAGATGGGCAATGGGCGCGAATTCGTGTCCGACGCTGATGGACTCTTCGAGCTTGCGGTTGAGCGCGTTTGCGTTGCCCAGAATCACCTCGAGGCCCTTTTATTTTTGGGCACTGGTTCAGTTGCATTGTTGTGAAAGTAGAATGCGACGGGTGCTCTTTCGCCCCTGTGCTATCCTCTGCTCTCTCTCACCTCTGCGATTTCAGCGACGAGCTTCTCGCGCTCTCGCTCGTAGAATGTGGGCGCGCTCCGGACTGACGCTGAGCCGCCGCTGCCTCCGCCGCCGCCTGGCGTCACGGGCGTCGTCATTTCGCCGCCTCGCTGTCCCCGGTCTGCAGTGTCGTGATCAGTCCGTCTGTGGATCCAGCCTGCCCTCTCTGGTGTTGTTTGGAGAAAGCACAGACGCGCGACACGTGAATTTACCAAGAGGCATCTTTCCCGGCGTGTCCAGACTTTCTTTTTGCTTATCAGACCAAAAAAAGGTAAAAATGAAGGAAAATAGGGCAGGGCAGTACAAAATAATTTAGAGCCGCTTGCAGCTCAATCAAGCAGTAGTAGTAGTAGTAGTAGTAGTAGTAGTAGTAGTAGTGTGTGTGAACCCTTTCTTTGTCTCATTGCCCAGGAGAAGGAAAAGCCGATGCAGTGAGAGAGGGCGCGAGGGAGGTGAAAGAAAGGGAAAATTTGGGTCCCCGCTTCACTTGACACAACCTTGGTAGGTAGATCGACGACCGCACACGCTCTTCTTTCCTCTGCCGGTCCGCACTCTGCGTGCAACTTCCTGCCCTGCGCAAGACCACTGGCGCCCAAGCGACGACGACGACGAAGAAGAAGAAAGAGGAGAAACAAAGAAAGGTAGCGAAGATGCATGCGGCCGCGACACCGGCCGAGGCGCCTCAGGGCCGGAGCAACGAGCCCAAAGTCGAGGCGCCTCCCACGCCGCCGCCATCGACGCACAGCGGCGGCCCAAAGAGTGCCTCGCCGCGCCAGACCCGTTCCACCCCGTCACGTTCCTCTTCGACGCCGTCTGCTTCTGGCTCTCCCTCCTCGTCTTCCCGGTCGACTCCCATCGAGCCGGCCTACTTCTACCTTGGCGGCAGCGGCGGCGGCGGTAGCAATGGCAGTGGCAGTGGCAGTGGCAGCGGCAGCGGCAGCGTGGACGACGTCGATGCTGTGCCCGTTTTCGAGCCGTCGATGGACGACTTTCGCGACTTCTACTCGTTCTGCGAGCGAATCGACCACTGGGGCATGCGGAGCGGCATCGTCAAGGTCGTGCCGCCGGCCGAGTGGACGGGCAAGCTTCCCAAGCTCGATGAGGGCGAGGTCAAGAGGCTAAGAGCGGTGCGGATCAAAAACTCCATCAGCCAGATGTTCAGCAAGGCTGGCGGAGGCGCCTTTCACCAGAAGAACATCGTCCACCCGGCCAAGGTGGTCAACGCAAAGCAGTGGGCGGACTTGTGTGCGAGCAAGGAGCAGAGGGGTCCGGACATGGAGCGGATGAAGGGAAACGCGAGGGCCGAGGCCAAGGCGAGGAAGCAGGAGCTGCGCATGGGCCACTTTGCCGTCCCCACTGATGACAATGACGACGACGATGATGATGGGGAGCAAAAGGAGGAGGATGGCGTACGGACCAGAAGTGGTGGTAGTGGCTTCAAGGCGTCCGCGCAGGCACAGGCACAGGCACAGGCACAGGCACAAGCGCAGCCACCAGCTCCATCGAGGGAGACGGCCAAGCATGGACAGAAGGCAGAGGGAAAGGTCAAGATGGCCGATCGGACGACAGAGGCAGAATGGAATGCCTTTGACTATGAAAACGGCTGGTGCCATGAGGCAGGGCCAAAGGCTACAGCCGACGACTGGAAGGACGAAGAGGTGTGCAGGGCGATTGAAAAGGAGTACTGGTCGGGCCTCATCTGGGGAAAGCCGCCCATGTATGGCGCCGATCTGGAGGGGACGCTGTTCACCGACGAGACCAAGGACTGGAATGTGGGCCACCTCGACAACGTCCTGACCCGCCTCAAGCTCAAGCACAGACTCAAGGGTGTCACCACCCCGTACCTCTACTTTGGCATGTGGCGCGCCACCTTTGCGTGGCATGTCGAGGACGTGGACCTCTACTCGATCAACTACATCCACTTTGGCGCACCCAAGCAGTGGTACTCGATCCGCCAGTCGGACCGCCAACGGTTCGAGCTCGCCATGGCCGGCGCCTTTCCTGGAGACTCGTCGCGGTGCCGTCATTTCATGCGCCACAAGTCCTACCTCGCCTCGCCCTCCTTTCTCGCCTCCAACAACATCAAACCTCTCCGGCTCGTCCAGCATGCCGGCGAGTTTGTCATCACCTACCCCTACGGCTACCACTCGGGCTACAACCTCGGCTTCAACTGCGCAGAGTCGCTCAACTTTGCCCTCGAGTCGTGGATTCCCATTGGCAGGCGGGCGGGCCACTGCCTGTGCGATCCAGACGCCGTCCACATGGACATTGACGCCCTCCTCGAGGAGTCGGCCGAGCTCGAGGAGATGGAGAGGCGCAGGGAGGAGCGGCAGCGAGGCCAGGTCGAGCACGAGGCTCGGCTCGAGGTGCGGAGACAGCGCGAAAGGGAGCGAAGACGCCAGCGCAAGCTCGAGATGGAGCAGCTGGGCCAGGGGCACAAGCAGCAGCAGCTGCTGCACGGGGCCGCATTGGTTGGTGCGGAGGAGGAGAAGGAACGGCAGGACAACTGCGTCTTTTGCCCTTACAATCTCGACGACGACCTTGTGCCGCTACGCGCCGATGCCAAGGCAAGATATGCCCACCGCTTCTGCACCAACTTTATGCCCGAGTGCTGGGTTGGTGAGGACGACGACGACGACAGAGGGCCCGGTGAGGTGGTGATGGGCTTCGACTCGATCAACAAGGCCAGGTGGTCGCTCAAGTGCCAGCTCTGCGCCACACCCCAGCTGGCGAAAAAGGGGGCAAAGGTCCAGTGCACCTACTCAAAATGCTCCCGGACGACACACGCCGCATGTGCACTCAAGGATACCTCTGGTTGGCTCTTGGATGTCGTCGGAGATCGCGCGGCGGACCGCTTGGAGGGCAAGACCACAGGCACGGACGAGATCGAAGAGGACGACGAAGAGCCAACGCGGATGGTCGTCCTTTGCAAGCAGCACAACCCCGAGCAGAAGCAGCGCGAGGCTGTGCGCAAAGCCCTTGTGCTCAAGGCCTGTGTCACGAGGCTTAAAGAGGGCCAGAACGTGCGTGTGAGGACAAGCAGGGGGGTCTGGATGACGGTCCTCGTCGAGGTCAAGATGGCTCCTGAGGGTCACAACGGGGCCGGAGAAGGGACCATCGTGACGAGTGACGGGGCTGAGACACCTTGGTCCAGAGTCGTATTTGAGCAGGAGGCCTTAAAGGAGGCAGAGGCAGAGGTGGAAAGACTGCTGAAGGCGGAAGAGGAAGCCAAGGTCAAGTTGGAAGCGGAAATGGAACGCGAGGAGTGGCATCGCAAAACCAGAAAAGAGGCCGAGGAGGTCAATAAGCAGATTGCCATTGAGCAAGAGCGTGTCCAAGCCATGAAGCGCGAGCACAATCGTGAGGCACAAGAGAGCCAAGCGAGCCAGATGCTGCCGGACGAGACAGCGGGTGCGCATATAGACTCGCAGATGGAAGACGAGCACAAAAAGCAGCAGCCAAAGAAGCGAAAGGGACCGCCTGTCCAAGGCCCCTGGACCGAGAATGGCGAGGCACCGCAGTTGATCCGCAAGCCATACCAAAAGAGAAAGAAGGTCGAGGCTTCTGCTGACCAGCCCCAAGGACTGCTGCTAGCGTCGCGTAACGTCATGGCTGTCGACCACATGCTCGCGGGCACTTCAGCCTCGGTGGCCAACGCACCTCAGTTGCCTCCGCCTCGACCCATCTCTGCACCAGAACACAACGCCGGTCCGATGACGATGGTGCAGCCGGGTGGGACAGCATGGGGCCCAAGGGTCCTTTCCTGGCATCCGCCCTCATACGATTTGTACTATCAGCAAAGGCGATACGCAGAGCAGCAGCGAGGGCTTGCGCTCCAGCAGCCGTATCAGCCTTCGACCCAGCATCCATCGCACCCGCAGCATCCACCCCATCCACAACACGTCCATTACCAGCCGCACCCCAAGTACCAGACCCCACACCTGTCTCAGCAACGCCCATTGTATCACCACGAGCGACTGCCTCCTCGGGAACAGCACCCACAAGGTTCAACCATCCATCAGGTGTCAGCGCCACCTCGAACGTCGATGTCTGGTCCATCCGACATGTACCAAGAACATTACCCTACGCTCCCGTCACCAGCCCATCACAGGATGGGCGATCAACGTCAATCCATGACCCCTCATCATCGATACTCAAACTTGGCTCCAGGGGCGATGATGGCAGATGACGCTACCGGCGAAGTGCCTCACTCCCCCAGCCAGAGAAGTGGACATCACCCTGAGATCACAAGGGACCGCTTCTCACACGAGAACTCCGACAGAGCTACAAGCGTCCACCCGTCTTATCCGCGCCAGTATTCTTGATCGTCCCTTGCATCTGTTGTTGTGGTCCACCCCCCCCTTCTCTCCTCACACACACACTCTTGTGACTCTACTGATATTGTTTCTCTCGCTCTGTTGTAATCTCTTCCCTCCATTCTCATGGGGCGGTTCTCTGTTTCCTAATTCTGATTCGCATGGCTTGACAATCTTGCCTCTTGGAAAGGTCTACATGATTGGATGGACGCTGAGAGAGAGATACACTAGACTTGGTCGACTAGGATATGGGGAGAAAGGATTTAGGAATCCTTGTTGAGCTCGGCGCTGATCTTGGCGAGCTCCTCCTTGCCTGTAGGTAACAGTGAGCAGGGAATGGATCAAGGCGTGAAGAGGGAGCAGGGGCAAGAAACACACCCTTTGGCGTCTCGATCTTGGAGGCAATCTCGTCAGGAAGCTTGGCTAGGCCCGGGTTCGACTGGATCGCAGCCTCCGTCGCTGATGCCTGACCACCCTGGGCAGCCGAGCCCGACTTGGTGTTGGTGTGGCTCGTCTCGGGGTGCGGCCTGAGTGAGTGAGCGAGAGAGTGTGGGGTGTGTGAGCTCTGCTGTTGCGCTCGAAGTGTGTAGTAGCTTCGCGCGGCATGGAGAAGGTGTCCGCGGGCACACGGCTCAGCTCAACTCACTGAATCGTAAACTGCTGCTCTTCTTCCTTGTTGGATGACATCTTTGCGTGCTGTGGCTCGTGGAGAATATGGATGCGTTCTGGGAATGCTGTGATAGTAGTGGCGGAGAGGTGGGCCGCGCACACTACACCGGCCTGGAGCTGAGTCTTGTGCCTGCGCACAGACGTCACCGCATCTCCACGTGGATTCGCAACTCCGCGCACGGACATTATCCCCCACGCCGTCACTCTTCTGCCCTACTACCTCGACCCGGTGAGCCTGAGTACGGCCGTCTTCAGGAAGTACCTACCACCTAAGGTCTACAATGCCACTCCAATATTGGCCTCAACTATGAGGAGGAGAAAAGAAAACCCTGGCTTTCACAGCTGCGCTTTCCGACATCACAGCCTTGCGCTAGGGAGCATTCAATCTATTGACAGCATCATAACACCTTCTTGGTTTGACAGACTCTCTACGCGGAGTTCGCCGTGAAGCGAACACAGTTGTTCAGAAGGTACCATAACGTGCTCAAAGGAATCCAATGTACCTTTTGTGGTGCAATGCCGCAATTTAAAGGGCGCCCTTGTCAGTGATTGGACGTCCATTGGGCGAATCAACGTCTGGGTCTGGGTCTGGTTCCTCATCGACTTTCTCATCCTTTTTCTTGGTGGTTGGACGATGATGGATGGGCTTGACGATGATCTGCTGACACTCCCTAGGGTGCTTTTCAGGGAGAGTCGATTGGCAAGCAGGAACCTTTGCTGGCATGTCGGTCAGGCCGTTGAGCTTCTCTCCTCTGGATGCTCGCTTCACCATCTTCCTGTAGCTGTTGGAAAGCGCAGGAGGGAGATGGCCGTCATGGCTCCCCTGCGTGCCATGAACCAGAGTCAAGATCGCGAAAGCAACCACTGCAAGTGAGCTGAGAAAAGGCGCTCGCACCATCTCGGTCAACGGTCAACAGTCAAAAGAAGGAGAATGCTCGGCGCAGGAACCAGAGCGTATTAGATGCCTGAGAGTTGCTGGAGACGGCTTGGGTCTTCTTCTGGATGGGACAAGACGGAAATGGGGCCGATGTTGGAGAGGAGGGAAGCTCCTTTTCCATGACCAATGCCTTTATAGGGCCACTCTCAGCCTTTGTTGGGTGGATGCAAGCCCCGATGAATACTCAACTTTTGGGCCAGGAGGTCCGAGAGAGACAGAGGCAGCGCCGAGCACAGGTTTTTTGTCTGCAGGAAGTTGAGCGACAGGAGGTTGTATGTGACCGGCTCGTTGCGCCGTGCATCTTTACTCGCCAAGCCCCCTCGGCCACTACTCATCCCGAAGGCGTCGTATCACTCCAGCCAGTTGGCCTGTGGCTTCCTACCGGCAGATGAGAAGCCACCGGTGGCGCAGATGCTTTTCTTTCCAGCTCATTGAGGCCCTGGAGGAAGCAGCTTCGTGGTGCGCTAACTCGAAGGCAGGGTAGCTGGCCATTCGCGCCCTTCTCTTTCCGTCTTTGACCGACCCCGGAATTCCCGGTCAATGCATAAAGTCACGAAAGAGTCATCTTTGCTCCCTCACTTCAGCCCCCACGTCAGCAACTCTTGTTGTTGCTGCTGCTGCTTAACACATTGCTTTGACCGCCTTCGCTCGACAGTGCACAATAGACAATGACGGACTCAGCTGGGAAAAAGATACAGCTCGGCATCGTCCTCTTCCCCGACAACACGATCCAGGACCTCATTGGCCCGCATCAGACGTTTGCGTTCCACGGGGAGACGCACCTCATCAGCAACGTCGTCGGCCCTGTCCGAAGCGATTCGGGCATTTCACTCGTTGCGACACGGAGCTACGCGCAGGGCCTTCCCGAGGGCGGCCTCGATATTGTCATGGTGCCCGGCGGACAGGGCACATTTGCGGCCATGCAGGACCAGGAGCTGATTGCCTTTCTCCGCGCTGTCGGCCCCCGGGTCAAGTACGTCACTTCGGTCTGCACCGGGTCCCTCATTCTCGCCGCTGCGGGCCTGCTTGACGGATACAAGGCAACGACGCATTGGAAGTACTACGACTTGCTCGAGACCCTCGGTGCGGGCAAGATTGAGTGCATCAGGGGCCAGCGCGTCGTCATGGATCGCAACCGCTTCTCGGGCGGAGGCGTCACCGCCGGCATCGACCTTGGGCTCACCATGCTAGCCCACATCAAAGGCCAGGAGGCGGCACAGACGGTCCAGCTGCTGATGGAGTACGACCCCAAGCCTCCGTTTGACGCTGGCTCGCCCCTGAGCGCGCCCAAGGACATTGTGGATAAGGCCGAGGCAGCAACCAAAGTTGTGATGGAGCAGAGGATGCACACAGCCAGAGATATTGCCCGCAGGCGCTTCGAGAAGACATGATACCACCCTCCTTGTTGCTCTTTACCCTCTCTCTCTCCTCCTCTTTCAATCGTAACGCTCAAGGGAGCGTGGACGCATCAAGCGGGACTCGGGACATGGATAGAAAAAAATAAAACTTCGGCCTTTGGCAGTTGGGACCCTCTCTAGCTCAATTCGACTAAGGTCGCTTTGGTGGTCAGATCAGGCCACCTCGTCGCCTTTGACTTGCAGCTTACTTCTGCCTCGATCTGTCAGACTAGTGGTCGCGAGTGGGTCTGACGAGCGTTGAGAAAAGAAAAGTGGGGCAGTGGTAGCTGCAACGGCAGACGTTAGTGAGACTGAGGGAGCGGGCGCAGGCTCCCGCTTTGAATCCGAAGGCTGAGTCGAGAAAGAGGCCAGGTGGAGCTCGGGGAAGCGCGGTCTAAGCAGGCGGCTGCAGCGCTGACATGATATCGACCGCGCGCGCGCGAATCTTCCGACTAGATTCCGTATACTGAGTTGCCTTGGCCTCAGTCAAGTTCAGAAGCAATAAAATAGAACCTCTTCGATGCTCCCTTTCCCCCTCTTTCCGTAGCTCGTCGTCGTTCGTCGTCAGGAGCCCCGTTCGTTCGTTCCCTTAGACTCGCTCGGTGTCAGTATACCCAGATTCAAGGGTGTATATATGCAGAAGATGGCCACTGCGTCGACCTCCACGGATGGCGCGGTCACAGTCGCGTCAACGTCGCTGCTGTCGGCAATCAGTAGTCCAGCGTACTCGACCGCCGTCTACTTCGCACGGCAGGCTTGCCTCTCGCTCTTTTCCAGACTCGACTCGGGCCAGGCATCGGGACTCATCGAAATTCACGAAAAGAACAAGCCGGACTCGCCGATTGTTTATGGCGCGCCCGTTTCCAAGCGAGCCTGGCGCTTGCGCCAGGAAAAGCAAGAACAGGAGGGACAGGTCTGCGAAGAAGCGCCAGCCTCTTCGTACGACAAGTCTCCTCATGCCCGTCTCGATGTTGAGAGCGATGCGTTTTGGATCAGGCTCGTGCTCGGCAACGATCTCGGCTTTGCGGAGGCATACATGAGCGGCGAAGTTTCGACGCCGGACCTGGGTGCTTGCTTCAAGGTGCGTGTGGAAGAAGACGCTCGTTTGCCTTGTCTTGTCTCGTCTCTCTCTTGCGCTGCACTTTTCTGACGTCTGTTGAGTCCATCTCGCAGCTCTTCATCGACAATCGCGACGTGCTCTCCAACATGTCCGTCGGCCCGCTCGCCAAGGTGACGTCGACGATCCAGGCACTCCTCAACCGACGTTACGCCAACACCAAGCGGGGCAGCCTGCGCAACATTGGTGCCCACTACGACATCTCCAACACCATGTACGAGGCCTTTCTGAGCGCCGACATGACGTACAGCTGTGCCATCTTCCCCACGCTCGATGCAGACGTGCAGGAGGGGCCCTTGCTAGCAGCGGCGGCCAGTGCGGCAGCCAAGGCCGAGGAGAGCGGCGCAGGCGGGCGGGGTGTGGCGCCTGGCATGGCATATCGCACCGCAGGCTTCCGCTCCGCTCAGCACGACGCCGGCTCCAATGGGCCGATCAACGTCAATGGTCTTCTCACGCCGGAATCGAGCAGGGGCATGCACAGCCCGACGATGCCGGTGCAGGACGAGCTGGAGGAGGCGCAGACACGCAAGCTGCGCACCCACATTGAGCGTGCCAACCTGCAGAGCGGGCACCGTGTCCTCGAGATTGGCACTGGCTGGGGCTCCCTCGCCATTGAGGCTGTGCGCTCGTCGGGCTGCCGTGTCGACTCGCTGACGCTCTCTGTCGAGCAAAAGGCGCTGGCCGAGACGCGCATCGCGGCGGCCGGGCTCAGCGACAGGATCAAGGTCCACCTCATGGACTACCGCGACATGCCCGCCTCGTGGACCGACCGCTTCGACCGGGTGATTTCGATTGAGATGCTCGAGGCCGTCGGCATCGAATTCCTCTCGACTTACTTTGGCTCCATCGACCGGGTCCTCAACAAGGACGGCGGCGTGCTAGTCTTTCAGTGCATCACCATGCCCGAGGAACGCTTCCAGACGTACATTGACACCGTTGACTTCATCAAGCGCTGGATTTTTCCCGGAGGAGTCCTGCCCAGCGTCACGTCGCTCATCCAGGCCGTCGAGAGGGGCGCCAAGCGCGGCCTCGTCCTCGACACTGTCCACTCCATTGGCCCACACTATGCAAGGACACTGCGGGAATGGCGACGGCGCTTCGAAGCCAGCTTTGACACCATCATCAAGCCGGCTCTACTGCGCGACCACGCCGAGATTCGCCGATTGAAAGCAGACGAGCAAGATCGCGAGTGCGAAGTATTTCGAAGGAAATGGATCTGTGAGTATAGACTATCCTGTATTCGTCAGCTCAGTGCCAATTGCTGAACCCTGCGGCCTGTCTTCGTGCTCACGCACGACAGATTACTTTGTCTACTGTGAGGTGGGCTTCACCGAAAGGGTCATTGGCGACCACATCATGTCGTTTACCAGGACATCGAATAAGTCGCTGCCCGTCTGCTGCGGCTCATGATGACCCCACTCTCTTACCACCTTCCCTCTCCTCTAATGGGCTCCCGCTCTCTCGTCACTGGACAGTCTTCCTATGACCTCTTCTGTTGTAATCCATCGATTCTCGTGCGGTCTCTGCAGATGTGAATATATCCCCCTTCCCCCACCCAGATATTCAAAAAAACCTGCCTCGCGTTGCAGCCCTTTTTTTCTTAGCACTGCTCTGAGGCGCTGTCGACCGTGCGCGCGCGGCCGAAGACGGAGACGACGCCGGGAGATTGTGCATTGATGAGCGGTGGTCCCCATTATAGGGTACGATGGTATTTCTGCTACTCCTCTGGCAGTGTTGGTACGGCTTTCGAGTAGCACGATCCTGCTCCTCGTTTCAGTCCCTTGTTTTTATTTCTTTTTTTCTTTATTCTTTCCTCCTTTCCCCCGCTCCATTCATCACAGCCAGCGGAGAGACGCGCCACTACTACTGACACAGGGGGCGTGATGGGCACACGCGCGTGCAGGTGCTGTGCCTCTAATGACGTGACCTGGCTTGTGTGAGCTACTTGTAGTGGAATCGTAGCTGATAGTACGCAGCTTGTAGTGTAGTGATTAGTACTAGTGTAGTAGTTGTGTAGCTGGAAGGTAGAAGCAACCGGCTTTGGGTGATGACCTGGCATGACTGTTGATATGCACGGACTGGCCTGCACAATGAGGCCTGCAGAGTAGCTATAAAAGCTCCTTTCTCGTGCGCATCCTCTTTCCTGCCAGTCTTCACCCCGATTCTCCTCTTCCCCTTCTCCCCTCTCCGCTCTCGCCCCCCTCCCGTATCTTTCGCCCTCTGTTGGGTCACTCTGTCCGCGAAATCTCCCCCGTTATTCGCTCGTCATCCATCCCGTCGCCCTCGATCACCGTCGCCTCCCCTTTCGCCTCCTTTTCTCTACCTTCCTCCTTTCCTCTTTCCCTTTGTCTCCTTTCTCCGCTTAGACTACACGGCGACTGCTTCCGGCTCCCCTTTCGTGCTCGTGCTAGGATCTCTGGAGCTGTCTAGTGGTACGTCTTCATCTTTTCCTGCAGCACTAATCTAAGATAGCGTCAAGCTGACTAGGAAAGGGTCGATATACAGCCCAGCTTGAGTCTAGGTTTTGAGAGACAGGATGAGAGACTCGCCACCGCACCTGGGCGAACGGCGACCAAGCATCCCTGTGCAAGAGACGGAAAGAGGAGAGGGAGGACGAAACGGCCCCGAGGGCAATGGCAGAAAGGGCGTCGAAAATGACCGCAACATCACGCCTCCCCCTTTGGGACTGGCCGAAGAGTTTCGCCGCTTCCACTTTGGCAATCTGGACGAAGGCGAAGGCCGACGTGCAAGACAGGATAGCCACCTTTCGACGATGAGCCACTACGGATCCTCGTCGCCCCATCAGCAGCAGCAGGTACAGCATCGCGGACACCACCGTACACCAACGGAACGCTTGTCCAACGACGATGACGAGGTTGTCCGGCCCGGTTATGGCCACCTCAACAGGAGCGACCCCATCGGCGCCGAGCACGACCTCGTCACAACAGCCATATCAGGATCCCTTGCACTCGATGCTCACGCTCATCTTGACCAACATCGCTGGCCTTCTTCGGCAGGAATTGGACGCAGCAGAGAGGCGAGTCACCAACCTTGTCAAATGCCTTGTGTCGAGGGAGGTAATGGCTACGATGCCAGCTTCACAAACTCCGCCTCTAATTCAACAGCCACAAGATCCGTCTCTGGCACCACGAATTGGAACGACTCCTTTGCTAGCAATGAGACGTCATTGAGCTTTGACACTTCCATCGACAAGGAAGAAGGGGCCAAAGGCTTCGATTTTCATTCAATCCAGCAGCAGCAGCAGCAGCAGCAGCAGCAACAACAAGATCTCAAAAGCAGCATGACTCTATCGGGAACCGAGATCTTTCACAACACCGCCGTCACGGGCAGTCGGCCCTTGAGCACGGTGCCACCTTCGACTGCAAGCTTTGCCACCTCACGCTCTTCGCCCAGCCACCTTGTGAGGGCGTCATTGGCACCCAGCGCGAACACCGATCGAACAGGCTACTTTGATCACCACCCCGATCTCCTCAGCTTCAACAACTCGCTTGGTAGCACAAGCCCTCAGCAGCCTCTCCAACATCATCAGCATAGTCACGGCCTCCATCTATCTCAGCCAATGTCCCTACACGAAATCGCCAGCGGAAGCTACTTTGATGAGGTCCGTAACACTAGTGCGCCGCCCACGGTCCAACCTCTTCGCACGCGCATGAGCAGCATCATCCCCGAAGAGGCCCCCAGCGATCTAGAAGAATGGTCTCGACAGAGCCAGGACCCAGGCAAGCAGATCAATGTCGTGGCGAGTATCAGTCTCGCGCATCCTTGCAAAAGAGAGGTTGTGATTTGCTGACTGTGCTTCTTTGTCCAGAGCTGGGCCGACTTTGTCAATCAGCACAAAGGGTCGCGGTCCAAGACGAGCGAGGGAATTCCTCGCCATGCCCTTTGTCGCCTTCAGCAGCTTTTGAAGGGAGAAGAGGAGTTGCCAAAGTCACGCAAAGACCTCGAACAAGATATCGCCTCGGTAAGTCTGTCTTCAGTGTCAAGCTAGCTCTTCTCTTGTGGCTGAACATGCCGTGACAGCTACAAAAGCAGCTCGAACAGAGCGAAAACGCCCGCTCCAGCCTGAGTCAGAGGGTCAAGGATTTGGAAGAGGAACTGACGAATGTCAAAGCGGTCAACATTGTATCAGCGACGGCAGACAGAGCATTAAACGAACGTTTCAGTCCGCTCCTACAAGCCAATGCGCCCTATGATGCAGCACAGGCGTTTCCCATGCCTGTCTTTGCTCTCGGCAGCGAGGCACACTCGGAAGTGACGACGGCCACACTCACGCCAGACTCCCTCAACCCGTACCACAATGTGCCTTCTTTTCGCCAAGCACTGACGAAGCCCGTTCAAGGGACGATGAGCCCAATTTCCTCGACGGGAGGTCACAGCACCGACTCTTCATCAACGACGATGGACAAGAATGAGTATCCCATGACGCCCTCGTCCAACCCGTATCCCTTGCCGCCATCCGCCCAGACGGCACCTTCGTTCATCCCGGGTGCTGGTCTGCACTTCTGTCCTACACCTGGTCTCCAGCACGACGGCTCTCCGCGGAACGCGGCCAACACAGTCTCTCCACGGCTGTTTCCGACGCCCACCAACGCGCCACCGCCTCTGACGAGAAGCCCTGCTCCCTATATGGGCGGAACTATCGGCCTAAGTCCCAACGGCCAAGTCCATCCTTACCGCCACCAGCATTCTCACTATCACGATTTAGTCGGTGTTAGCCCGCGCACCGAACGCTCGCCAAGGATGGCCAATCTTGAGTCACAGGTCCCCGTCGATGTGCTGATCAGCCGCGCGTTGGGTACACGTAGCCAGGATGCCAGCATCTCGCTGCAACAGCAGCTCAAGACGGCCCCATCAGCTCGCAAGGCGGCCATCATCGCCGCGCTAGAGCCGCACGTATTTAAGCTCTCCGACGACAAACACGGCAACTTTCTCGTTCAGCGAGCCATTGGCGTCGACAACACTCTCGCCGAGAAACTCCGCGGCCATTTTGTACAGCTCAGCCTGAGCCAATTTGGGTGCCACGTCGTGCAACGTATTCTCGATGAGCCAGACAACATCAAAAATATGGTCGTCGAAGAGCTTCTGGCGGTCCGCATCGAAGAAACGCTCGTCTCACGCAACTCTATCCATGTCTGGCAGAAGATTCTTTCCATTTGTTGGGGCCCCGATTTTCCTGATGCCCGTCGCCACCTCTTCTCCGTCGTCAATACGACAATGAAGGGCAAGTGGGCCGAGACGGCTTGCCAAGAGACGGGTTCGATCGTATGTCAGAATATCTTTGAGAGCGCCAGCTCGGACGAGAAGCGCGACTGCATGGGCGAGATTCTCAAAAAGCTAAAGGATTGCGCAGCAAATCAATGGGGCGTCTGGGTCGTTCAGCACATCGTCGAGCACGGTGACGATGAGCATCGGCGTGTTGCATTCGAACACCTTTTAGAAGATGCTGTCGGCCTTACCCTGAGCCCTTTTGGCCAAAAGGCCATCACGAGCGCCCTCAAAAGCCGCGACAAGGCTTTCGTCGGTGCTTACGTTGATATCCTTTGCGAGCAAGAGACGGGCCACGGTGCCGGCTCAGACCAGCCTGGTCGTCGGTCCGTCCTAGTTGACATTGCCGGTGCAGCTCAAGGCGTACAGATTGTGACCACCGTGAGCGAAGAACCTTTGAATGACTCCCCTTTTGACCCGAACTAAATCTTGCACGTTTGCCACAGCTTCTTACGTCTGTCCAAGCTGATCAGCGCGACCGCATCATCAAGACTGTCCGCAAGAACTCTGTCTTTCTTAAAGGTTCAAAAGCGGGCCTCCGTGTCCATCAACTATGTGGTCAGTCGGCAATCTTTCAGATCGCTGGCAAGATTCCTTTTGGCTGACATACGTGAGCCATGACAGAGCGAGCTCGTGCTTTTACGGGCTACTAAGGGGCTGGACCCTGCAATCCGCAAACATCATAACCTTCTTTTAATCGTCTTCGTCGTCGTCCACGTATCTCTTTTTCAAGTACACCAACACCAACACAAAACAACGCATTGCGCAACCAACAGACCGTCGGGCCCTTACCTTTTTCGTATTCCAACCAGACTCGGGCTACCCAACCTTTTTTCCACTTCATCTACGCAGTGCTTCCTGTCTCCCAATCCACCTCTCTTCCCTCCGACGCTACGTCTTTTCGCCGCCACTTTTTCTCTTCCCTTTCTCTTAGACGCATAAAGCTCTGTAGCCATCTTTCTTCCGCTCCACATCTGACGAAATGATCTAGACAAGTTGTCTTGGTGTTCTTGCAAAAATGACGATGGCACTTATTCTATTTCTTATTGTTACAATTACAGGTAATTTACACTACCTAGGCACCCTCTCTTCCCTCCCTCTAGAATCTTCCCCAGACTAGATCAATCTCCCTGCTAGTCGTCCTCGGTGGGCCGCGTCCAGAGCGTCTTTCCCTTCTGCGGGTTGGCATAGTAGACCATCTCTGGGTTCTGTCTCGACCGCCTCAGTTGCCAGCCTGGCGGAAGAGGGCCGTGCGCATCGGCCACCTTCGGCGACTTCTTGGGCAGATTGGAAGAAGCCTTCGACGGCGCGCGACCTCCCCCACCATGTCTTGTCGTCGTAGTCTCCTCTGATGCACCTGCATCTGCCTCTGGAATAGGCACGGGGATGCTCGACCTCTCTCTCTGACCTGTAGCCGTCGGAGAGTTGTCCGATCGCTGACTGGCGTACTCTCCTGCTCTGGCGATGGCTTTCGCGACCGCGATGCTGGCATTGACCTCCGACGCCTTTCTGATCCTCTCGTCTTCCACCTCTCTCGCCGTCAGCGGGTGCTTACGCGTGCCCAAAGACGACTGGACTTCATCTTCGTCAAGATCGTCAGCCGTCCTCTTTTTGCCTCCCTCCTCGGTACCCTCGGCATCGGAAAAGCAGAGAAGCATGGCACCAAGGCCTTTCATCTGTGCCCGTCTCCTGGCCGCGGCCCTGTCCTTGGCATAGCCCTTGTAGGTGTCCACCTCCATCGCCTTTGCCGCGCCTGCTACGATGCCTGCCAAGCTCAGAGTGACCCTCACATCATCAAGTGTGTCTTCGTGGCCCTGCTGCTGCCGCAGTCGCTCCTGACGAGCAGTTTTGAGATCGTATGCGAATTTGCTCGTCGATCCTGACGACGGCCCACTCGTGGCCAGAGAGCACCAAAGTCGGCCAGCAAGCTGCTGCACGGAGCAAACGACGTCGACCGTGGAACGATTGACGAGCTGGATAGCAAAGCCCGGAGGCAGATAAGGCGAAGGCGGCAGGGACCTCGATGATTCGAGTCGACGCGTAGGAGCGTATGCTGAGGCAGAAGGAGCCGTAGTCGGAGGGTGAAAGGGACGAATGGGTTCAGTGAACGTCGACCTTGCTGGTTCTCCGTCATTCACGGGCGGCAGCTCGACGTCCATCGAGTTTTCACTCTGCTTTTCGGCTGGTTCTTCGCTTTCAATGACTCGGTAGACGTCGCCGGCCACCCGGCACTTGTCATCAGTGTCTTCGGCCGTGACGTTTGCTGGGCGGTAAATGGCCTTTATACGCATCAGGTAGGGAGCGCGCAGCTGCGGATTGGTTCGGTCTGCTGCACGCACGAGGTCGTTCCCCTTCGCAAGCGCCTCCATCATCGTTTTCACATCGTCTTCGGCCAGGCGCAGGCGAACAAGGTCCCCTACCCAGATTCTCTCGAGGCCAAAGAAGGCGCCCTGCCAGTACTGATTGTTGTCCAGCAAACCTCCATTCTCTTCCTCAACATTGTTCTGTGTCTGTCCCAGGCCGCGTCTCCTGCGGCCAAAGTCGTCGTCGTCGTCCACCATGCCGGCATGACTCTCAGCTGACTCTCCACCTAAAAACCTGTTTGGTCCGCCAGTGTTGTTCGTCGTGGACGTCGCTGTTGCCGTCGCAGAGGCACTGGCATCGTTGTTAGCAGCTGTTGCACTAACCACTGGAGGCGCCGGTCCTTTGAGCGACTCTCGGCTGAACTCGTCCGTCGTAGTGTAGAGACTGCGCAGTAGAGTGAGGGCATGCCACTGCCATCCGAAAGCGACGACGAATTGCTTGAAGGGCGGTCTTGGCTCTAGATTAAAACATGATCAATGACTGGATCGGTCCAAAGAAGCAGCAGAAGTAGCTCACCCTGATTGATGAGATTGAGGACCGGCTTGGACCGGTCCTGAAGCCAGGGGTGGTCCGCAATGTCGCCCAGCTCAACTGCTTCGAGATCCTCCGGCATTTTGGCAGCAATGCCAGGCACCACCCTATCTTCGTCCACGGTGGCTTTCTCATCGGTACCCAGAAAGAGGACGTCGTAGCACCTGATCTGCGACACTCTCCCCTCGAGATCAAAGTGGTGCTCCTGTGACCATGGCGCTGCGTCTTGGGGCGGGACATCGGCGACATTGACCCGGAAGGTACGCTTCACGATCTCGACTGGCCAGATATTAATGACTCTATTGCTGTCTTCCTCATCGACAATGGGCCGGTCGAGCTTGCAGCACGCCACTTCGCCCACCCTGTGTCCCTCGGACTGGCCCAATTGGATAGAGTCCATAACACCTAGCTCGCTATTCCTGTCCTCCGCGCTGTCGATGGGGATGCCTGGGAGTCCTCTGAATTTCGGTGCGGCTACCTGTGACCTGATCAGGACACTATTTTCCGTCGCCATGTTGCGCCTCGACAGCGTCTTTTTGCCACCCAAGCCTGCATCGCCTCCCCTTGCTGCTCGTCTTTGGCCCTCGCTTCGCTCAGCTCGTTCTGACGTCCAGAACTCCTTTGCCATGGCATGGCTCTGGTCTACCTCGCCCTGCTTCTTGAGCTTTCCGCAGTACTTGCATTCGCATCGATACTCGAGCAGCAGGGGGTCTGTGAGGAGCCAGGTCGCATGGGGAAAGAACTCGGGCCCGGATCTGAATCGGTGCGCATGGCTTCCAAAGAGGTATGGGTCCGTCCTGACTGCTCCCTTTGGGCCTTTGCGCTGCTCTGTCATGTGGTAGTCCTTTGGAAAGCTCTCGAGGTACCAGTGGTCGCCCTGAGGAGGTTTCTTGGGAAGCCCGAAGCGAGCAGCCAGGGCAGAGCCAACTGTCTTGCTCCACGTCCTGTACCGCTTGTCGTCGCTGATCTCCTTAAAGACAGCGAAGTAGTTGACTTCCCGCGCACTGTTTGGTGGCACGACGGTATTGGGAGGGCCATAGCTGGCTGAGCCGTCCGAGCGAGGAAAGATGATGGCACCCCGAGGCGTAAAGATGGACGTGTCAGCGCGGACTTCCTCGAGCGTAAGCATTCTGGATGACCTGCTCATCCCAGGAGCCATTGTCGTGCTACTTTCACCGTCAGCGCCAGCGCCAGCGCCATTACCTTCCCTCCTTGGTTCCGACGACGACGGCGACGCCATTGCCGGACCTATGATGAACTTCCCTTTGTGTCACTCAGATGTTCTCAACCGGACCGACGCGTTCAAGACCTGTGCGAGCCAAAATTGAGGAGACTTCACGTGAATTTAGGCTCAAGAATTCACTCAAGTCGGTCGATAGACAATAGGAACATGACATTGGAAAGAAACAAAGACAGCAATTCTGACGTGTGGTTGACATGCAAATAACTATTAACCTCTCCAGCTGCCCGATACGAGACGGCTGACGGCAGCGAGGGCACGGTACTGAACGTCTGCGTTTGGGTGCGTCATGAGTTCCATGATTCTCGCCTTTGCGCCTGCCTCTTCGACTCGTCTGAGCCGGGTGGTCGTCGTCTGTCAGCACAGCTCGACGCATTGCGTTTAAGTGAGGGGAAGGAAAACTCACCTCTTTCCTCCTTCTGCAAATGTGACTACTTTTGTGATGTCGTTGCATGCTACGCTGAGGCTTTGTGCATCGTCGCTCTCCGTCAGCACCTTCACCAAGAGCTTGAAGCCGCCCTGTTCCTTCTGGCCCTCGTCAGCGCCCGACTCGGTGTCGTTGACGAGTGTCGTCGCATTGTCTCTCCAGAAGTCGTCGAGGCCGTGCGCTGGGTTGTCCCAGCTGAGCCTGCCAGAGGCCAGCTCGGAGATGTATTCGTCGTAGGTGCTCATGCCCTTGAGCTTCTCCGCCAGAACAGCCCTCACCGCCTCCACGTCCTCGGGTATCTCCTCGTCGGACCACTTTCTCGCGGCAAGCGAGTCCATCAGGGCCAGTCCTCGGCTTCCCAGCAGAGCGGGCGCGTTGGACGAGGGCGCCTTTTCGACGAGGTTGCGCAGCGTAGCTGCAATGACGCGCACCACTTTTTCCTTGATGGCGTTGCGCGCCACGTCTGCCAATAGGGCCACAAGGCCGAACTTGGTATTGAGCTGAGCGGCAATGGCATCGTCGAATGAGAGGAGCCAGATGCAAAAGACGACCTGGTACACCATCTGCACGCCGACACCGCCACCCATCGATGTCGGTCCCCTCGTTGGCACTCCTGCGACGAGTGTGGCAGCCGTGCTGCTGCTGCTGCTGCTGATGCTGGCCGCACCTGTGTTGGGCGTGGATGTCCCGCTCGCGGCTCGCGACGTGGGGGTAGCACTAGCCCTCAGAATGCTCCTTAGCCCCACGATGATGGTCATCTCGTCACCCCCGTTCTCTCCATCGTCTTTTGCTGTCTCGCCCATCTTTCGAATTTCATCGTTCCAAACGAGCTTCCTGTATTTGTTGTTCCTCAACAAGGCTTCGAGCAGCTGGATCGCCACATCGACGCCGTTCCCCTCGGCAAACCCGCCCTGGGCCTGTGGAGGAGCAAGCACGCCAGAGCCCGGCGCCATGGCGGCCGGAGAGGCCTGGGGCACGCCGCTGTTGACGAGCGACGACAGGAAGGAAAGCAGTCGGGGCAGCACCTCGGCAGGAGGCTCAGTGTGTGCATCGGATACGAGGAGCAGCGTCAGGAACTGAGCTGCTTTGAGCTGCGAAAAGTCATCCTTGACGTCCAAGAGTCTGTCTCCTGGGTCAGCAAATGCCATTTAAATAGATGCCAGATTCCCAAGCTGCTCACTTGATCAAAGGAGCCCACGGCCAAACATTGTTCTTGTTATCACCTTTGACATTCAAGAAGAGCGTTGCCCGGTCGTCCCTTCCGTCGAGCATATCGCTTACGAGGACAAGGACCTGCTGAAGCGTATCGGTCCTCGTCAGCTTGGCCAAGAGCCTGACGAAAAGGATTGCGTAATTGTCGCCCTGGCTGTCAAGCAGCTCGTCTGAAGCCTTGGAAGACGCCGCGTTCTGGTGGCCAGCATCGTCAACGGACCTGATCATGCGAAGCTCATCCTGCGATACGAGCTCGGCGCGCGCATAGCCCTCCCATGGAATCGGCCTCGACCGGATCCTCGCGCTGAGGTCAGAGAGCCAGACATTGTTGACCGGTACGAGAGGAGGAGCCAATGCCGAGCCATTGATGGCCTTGCCCTCGTCATTGTTGCTGCTGCTCGCCATTGTTGGTCCCCGATCTGGGCGAGAAGTCGCTCTTGTTCGGGCGGGCGAACTGACTGGCTCGTCTATGGCTCAGGAGTCGAAGTGGTGGAATTGAAATGGAGGTCTGGCCACACACGTGGTCTTGTATCCTTCCCACGTGTTGAAGCTTAACCCTCCGCCTCTTCTTTTGGTTTTTTCTTCTCGAGAGGATCGCATTTCTGAACGATCGATCTGCAACAACGACGGCTGTGAAAGCCGGGTGAGAAAGGCATAATGAGCAGCCCAATCGCATCGACCTCGCGGCAGATGCTCTCCGGCGTGGTCGGTCGAAGCGCCCGGCGGTACGCCACGTCGTCAGTGCCAGGAAGTGCTGCAGCGGCGGCACAGACTCCGGCAGCGGCCGAAGACCACGTCACAACCTCGCTCCTCCTCTCTCGGCCGCCCAGGATTCTCCGCACTCCTCACCCGTTTGAAACGGCCTACTTTTCCTACAATGCTCGGCTGCAGCGTGCGCTAGCCCAACCTTTTCCCAAGGACTTTTACTTTAAGCGCGGGAGCGCTGCCGAGCGCCGCTTTGACCAGGAAGAGGCTGCTCGGAGGGCGGCAAAGACGGAGGAGGCTGCCGCTGCAGCCGCTGCCTCATCGGAGGGCGAAGCAGGGCAAGCAAAGGGGCTGAGCGAGGAAGGGAACCAAGAGAACAGCCCTGCACCTCGCCAGACAAAGGCAGACGAGCTGGGCGATGTCAAGTCGCTCGACCGAGCGCTGGACAGGACCCTCTTTCTTCTCGTCAAGGAGCAGGGATCACAAGGACGAGGGTGGACGCTGCCCTCGACAATTGTACCAAAGAGCGGTCGAAGCGAAGGGAGCGAGACGTTGCATCTGCGTGCACCTGGCGCTGTGACGAAGCTTTTGGGTGACTCGATGGACATCTGGATGATCAACCACCTGCCTGTTGGCGTCTTGCCCCTGCTCGAAGCTGGGTCCGACAAGGTGAGTACTACCTGGCCTCTCGTTTTCAGAGATCTACATACAGATGCTAAGAGAGACATTTGGCAGACCTATGTGATGCGGGCTCACATCCTCGCGGGACAAGCCTCTGAGTCATCATCGGTCGATTACGCCTGGCTGACGCGCGAAGAGGTACAGCAGCACCTGTCGTCGTCCAAGGCGTTGCCCGGCCTCGATGCACTCCTCAGTCAATGACAAATCTCCGATTGAGCAGCTAAAAAAAAGAAAATTATAGCCAACTTGCATTGTATCAATCCCATCAAGAGAAATACTGTCCATGATTGTCAGCTTCCTCCTCCTCTATGTGTCTTTTCTCACGGCCTCAGTCGAGTGGGAGGGTGACCCCCCGACGACGCGCTTGGCGCCTGCAGCAATGGCCAGCATAAAGACCTGCAGCATGTTGGCCATGACAAAGTGCGTGATTGTCCTTCCGATCTCCAACCAGCTGCCTTCGGTCGAGACGCTGAAGAGAAAGTTGAGTGCGAGCACATCGGCTGCGATGCAAGCAAGCAAGACGGGCGGAAATCCGTCGCCCTCCAGACCCAAGCCCCCGACGGCTCCGTCTCCGAGCAGGGGAGGGCCGCCGAGATACTTGCCCGTCTTGACGGCCGGGATCGCCTGCATCGAAGCACGGGGGTGCGGAGGCGATAGGCAAAGGAGCTGCATGACGCTTCCGAGAAGGATGAACGGAACGAGGATCTTGAGTAGGAGCAGGGCTGCCATAAGAAAGGGCGAAAAGACGGGCACAAGACGGTAGACTGGTGAGAGATAGAAGCTCGAGATCGAAGCGACATTGCCTGTGTCCAACACCACATACAGGTGTCAGCATAAATTTCCCTCAATCTTGAAAGCAAAAAGCATAGGATGGTGCTCACCGGTGCCAAAGAAGCCAAAGTGGAGCATGAAAAGGAAGGTCAAGGCCAGCCTTACGTCCTCCTTTTCCAGTTTTCTCCGATCGAATACGCGACTGGTGAGCGCATCGACTTTCCCCTCTGCCGTGCGCTTGGCGACGAGCCTCTCTTCGTACAAGGACGCCTCGAGCTTGGCCCAGATGAGGAGGGTCAAGACGTAGCTGCCGAAGAACAGGGCTTCATCGCGGATCGACAGGAGGACGAAGACGGGTGCGAACGCAAAGACGATGATGGCCATCCTTTGCGAGGGCGACTTGCGAACATTGATAGCAGAGGAAGCCGAGAAGCCATAGGCAAAGGGCACGGTGAGGCAGACGAAGAGAATAAGCCAGGCGATGATCTGGTTGAGAAGGGGAAGGCCACGCTTCGCCTGTAGCTCCCTCGAGGACGATGCCGTTACGATGGTTGATACGACGAGGACAAGCAGCTGACCTTTGAGCACGTTTAATGTTCGAGACAAGTTGCCGCTGCCGCCATTGCGAGAAAAGAAGTTGGACGGGAAGGCGACAATTGTCACGCCCGCGGTGAAAAAGATTACGCCGGACAAGACGAGCAGGACCACGCTCTCCTCCTTGTCGACGCCACCAATGGTAAAGTGGCCCGTCACAATGCAACAAAGCGTCCAGAGGAGGAGTAAACCCTCGTGTCGCGTCCTGACCTCGGCGTCCATGAAGAGAGCAGGCCAGGCGAGGGCGAGCATGGCAAAGCCAAATGACCATGCCAGCCGCTCGAGATAGCCATAGGCCATGAGCTCGAGGGCAGCAAGCGCCAGTATAAGTCGCTGGGCGATCGAGATGAAGAGCGAAGCCGCAGGGGAACCTTTGTCGTCGACGTCTTTCGAATCGAGGGCAGAGCGAAAAGCGATGACTATGACCTGGCGCTGATTGATGATGCGAGCCCAGAAGAAGATGGCAAACGCAACGTACAGGTAATAGGTCAGCGGCGCCTCCTCAGCGACGAACTTGGCGGTGAAAGTTGCGCCAACAGGAACAGCGAGGATGTTACCCAGGCCGAGCGGACCGGACCGAGCAGGGAGCTGAGCAAGGGCTTGATCCTTGAGAACATAGCGGTGCAAAAGGAAAATGATGCCGTAGATCATCGAACCAAGATAACCAGTGCTGACGACTGCGACAAGGAGCAGCCAGTCGTAGGTCTGAAGGTATGTCGCTCCTCGGAGTGACACGTCGACGAGCTGCCTGATCTGGCGGAGCGCCTTCGGCAGTTGGTCGAGATTGATCAAGTGTTTGATGCGCGTCACCTCTACCTCTCCCGGTAGCTTGCCTGACGGCGCAGTGGGAAACTCAGGAAAAGGGACGTAGCGCAGCATCCTCTTCCTGCGATACTCGTCCTTGACCCTGTACATTTCAAGGATCTCCATCGCGTTTGCCAGGCTCGCCCGGACGCCAACCTCGTCAGACGCTTCGAGGTAATTTAGGGGCAAGATTCCCTCCGAATTGGCCGGCATGGGCACATTGAGAAGCGTAGCCTGTCCAGCAGCTACATATTGAGCGACCGTATCAGTGGGAAAACAAAGACCGCAGACTCACCATCAGAGGAGTGATATCAGCCTGGCGAACGTCTTCTCTCCAGATGCCGTCCAGGTCTTCTCCCCAGCTGCGAAAGTATGCGTCCTTCTCCTTCTGCTCAGCGCGCCAGGCCTGCTCGTCGCCCTCGACCAGGGCCGGTCCACGCACGCCAGCCCCCCATGCCACGAGAGGAGTCCTGGTGTTATCTGGCTCGCCATCGCCGTGGTTTCCCTTGTTGCTCATGCCATGGTCGGCCGTAAAGACATAGGCCGTCTTGCTCTCCTCTCCGTCGTCTTCCTCAAAGAAATCGGTCATCAGCGTCTCGACGCGCTGAACGATGGAGTCGACAACCATGAGGTTGCCCACGTATTCGCTCGAATGGGGACGGTAAGTATGCCCTGTTGTGTCGAGGCCGAGCAGATGGAGGAAAAAGACTGTGCCGGGCGCGCGGAGCTGGCTGGACAAAGTCTTGTTCTCCCTTGCCTCGTCCAGCAGCTCCGTCAGCCTGTCGAGCACCCAGAGATCCAGGTCGCTGGCGTCTGTCGTCGTCATCGTCTTCTATGCTCAGTTCCATGCTCTTTCGGCCGTAGAGAATGTTTGCGGGATCACTTACCTGCGGTGAAATCCTCTGCACTTTCATCGTACGTGCTGACATCGACCTTGTCCCTCGGAGAAGCACCTTGGGCAAACATGGGCAGAATATCCGGCGAGCCGAAGGAGAAGGTGTGGGTCGACTGGTTGAAGAGGGAATCAAACGAGACGGGATTCAACTTCCATCCTGTTGCAAAGCCGTTGTCAGCATCGCATACGGTTCGAAGGGACAAGGCTGGAATAGGCTTGACTGACCTTTTGTGACGGCGCTCACATCCTCGTACATGCCTGCGATGAGGGCAACGTGGCCAGGCCTGCTCTCAGTGGGCACGCGGGTGTGGCTGATGCCCCAGGCGCCTCGCTCGAGGGCAATGTCGCGGAGATGGGGAGCAGCATAGAAGGGCTCCGTCTTCGTCGGCTCTGAACCCAGCTGCGCTTTGGACCAATCCTTCTTGTAGTACAGTGACCCAACAAATGACCCTTCTTCATCATCCTCTACCTCTCCCTCTTCACTTTCGCTAGACTTGCGCTCCTTGGCCCATGGAGGCCACAGCTGCGGCGAGTGCTCCTTGAAGAGCGTGTCTGCTCGCAGCCCGTCGCCGACGATGAGCACGAGGCGCTTGGCGTCGGGCGGAGGCGCACTCTGGGCAAAGTAGGCGGAATCACCAATGTAAGTGTCGTTTCGCGAGAAGCGCCTGGCAGGGTGCACGACGGGCGAGGTGAAGTAGATGTCAAAGATCGATGTCGTATAGAGCAGGTGGAAGACAAGGGACAGGATGAGAAAGACGGCCGTCGAAGGCCTCTTCGCCTCGGCTTTTAGACTACGCACTTGGCCTGGCGCATCGACTGCCCCTGTCTTCCCGGCCGCCGCCGCCGCCGCCGCTGCTGTCGCCATGTTCGTTGGAAAAGGAGAAGAAAGCTTGAATTTCCCTAGAAACGCAGCACACGTTTTATTTTTTTGCCTGGCTCGTGCGCGGCGACCTTGTGCGACCTTGTGTGGCTGGGTTTCTTATTCTTAGCTCCAAAGCGGCAACAACGACAACGACGTCGGCGGTAGAGACGACGGTAGAGACGACGACAATGTTTCAGGGTCTGCCACAGCACGAGAGGCAGGAATTCTTTTCGCTCCTTGACGAGTACTTTGATGCACGGCCCCACCTCCTCCCCATCTCTGGCGGTGCAGACGAGGCAGCCGCGGCGACGCCTCCGCCTCCCTCCGCGCGTGGCCCACCCCCAACAACGGCAGCCAAGCCAGCGCCGCCTCCGACGGCTCCGCGAGCCACACCGCTTGCGCCTGCTGCTTCTGTGTCCCCTGCTCCCGCTCGGAAACCGTTCCATGCTGCGCCACCGATCCCAGCGGGACTATCCAGCGGTAAGGTGAGTTACATTCTCTCGCTCCATGTTCTTGCCTCCGCTGGAGACTGAGGGGAACCGTCTTTCTTGGAAATGCTTCTAGTCAATCGGGCGCATGTCGACGGCGAGTGCAGGATCTGCTTTTGGCTCGCTCGTAAAGGGCGAAAAGTCGCCTCCACCGCCCAAGAACCCGGCCGAGGCCATCGCTGGTGCATCCAGCTCACCTCGCTCCTCGCTCCCGCCGCCGGCCCGTCGAGGACCACCGCCGCCCGCTCCGGCTCCTGTTCCAGCGGGGCTGGGGCAAGGCGAGGCGCTGTTTGATTACGCCGTCACCGAGGCGGAAGACCTGGCTGTGAGCGAGGGCGAGACGGTGGACCTGCTTGAAAGGATCAGCGACGACTGGTGGAAGGCTCGGGCGAAGGATGGCTCGGGCCGAGAAGGAATCGTGCCAGCAACATACATCAAAGTCCTGTGAAGCAGAGGCAGATGTTGCCAGGCATGAGACTCAACGTGAAATTAATTACGTTGTCAGAGCTTGGCGATAGCGCTTGGGGAGAGTTATTAGTCACAGCCAGAGGGAAGGATTGATCGAAAAAGAAGAGAACGGGAAGCAGATTAGCCGTCCACGGTACCGCAGGGGTCTAGAATGGACAAGGACCTTTCTTTGCGGAATGCGCGCAAATGCGAAGAGAGAGAAAAGGAGAACTGTGCGCGAAGAATAACATAACTGGGGCCAAACATAGCTCTGCGTAACGTCATTTCGACGATGGACGGATGGCGCTGGTCCTAACTGTGTCTGGACAGGCTGCAAATACCAAAAGAGGGAAACTCAGGGCGTTAGGGGCACGGCCGGACGAAGAGGGCCGTGCACTTCGAGATACCACTTTTCTGCTCCCTTCTCTGGCTGTGCTAATAAGCCAGTCCGCTAAATGGGCGACGCTTGATCTTTCTGGTTCAAGCCACAAGCCACAGGTAAGAGAGACAGTAACAGGCGCCGGTACTCTCGAGGTGGTCCCTCGGTTTGTATCCTTAAATACGCTTCAAAAACGTCTTTCGCCATGTACGTCTTCCCTTTTTGGCCAATTATTCACGATGCTTGGCACAAACCGTCGCATCACCAGTAACTTTGTAGACCTATTTCTTACTCCAGCAGAATGATCTGTCAGATTTTGTCAAGTCTTTGAGAACACGAAGGGTTCGTTGAAAATTTGCATCTTCAATTCCGCTTGTGCCTGACGAAAGAGGGGCGCTGTTGGGCGTTAGGCGTCGTGACAAGCGGCCACAAATAGCAAAAAGAAAATCTTTCTATTGCACAATTTAAGCAGAGAAGGGGCCCTACCACTCTGTCAAACCCTACACCGTCTACCATACAACAAAGTGAGGGTCGTCGATCGCAAAGGGCTCTGGAAAAACATAAAGCCTCTGCACAACTGAGCTTTGTCCCTCGTGAGCTTCACAGACTTGTTCCACCCCCTCTACCCCAAAAAGAGCATGTCGATCTCAGAGTGCTTCCACGTCAATCTCCACCCAACTCCTCGCGCCGCCGCCGCGTTGGGTGGTCCTCTTCCCTCTATGAGAGACTTGCCTGCCGTATCATGCGCTATCGAACAGGACAGGGCGACTAAGACTGCAACATCAACATCCGTCGCTCATCCCTCAATCTCGAAAGGCAGAGGACAGTCTCTGTCCAGCCAACCATCACTTGCCCTTGGACTCTTCTTTCCCGACGCTATCTCTTCAGCACGACTCACAGCAACGATACCGTCACTGCAGCACAATATCGACGAACAATGCACCTTTCCGTCGACCTTTGCATTTAGAGACGAGAAGGTCGCATCGACATTGCTCTCGATGTCACTCTCGCCATCCCTTTCCGTTGCCGACGCGGCGCTTTCTCAAGCTCACGAAAATCATCACGTAACACAAATAAGCGACGAAGGAGTCCAAGCGAAGCGAGTTCATTGGGAAGAAGAAAAGGAGAGAACAGGAAGAGGAGAGGAAGATGAGCTGCCGCTAGTCAAGCTTAGAGCAGGAGATCCAAATCGACAAGACGAGAACAGCGTTTTCTCGACTCCAAGCTTTCCATCCGGTGTTCGCCTCCAACCATCCAGACTCCGAATCTTCGGCACAAATGACGAAGAGTTGGATGCGGACACTTCGATGTCTACCCTGCCTTCACTATTTGAAGACCTCACACTCTCAAACGCTTGATAATAGACAACAAACTCTTTAATGATTGACTCAGATTAATTAATTATGGTGGAAACACATTTCACTTCTTTACACTACGGCAGGGGCAGCCTTCCGTTGCAGAAGCATTCATCTGCTCGCTTTCGTCAGCGTCTTGGGTGCTCTGGCGACTGAGTTCAGCGCCACGAAAGGCGGCCTCAACGTCTGGATCGGTAGAGGTGGCATTGGTCGCGGTACTGTCGTCTGCAGAATCAGTCGATGGAGCATCAGCGACATCGGTAGCAGCGACGCGGCTCGTTCCAGAGGTCTTCCATGCCAGAGCCGAGGATGTGTCGTTGCCTGTCTTATCACTCTTATCTTCTTGTTGTGCTTGGTCCCTGTCGCTCTCTATAAGGTAAAGCTGGGGCTGATCGTCCTTGACTGGTTTCGCAGGAGAGGCGGGGACTGCACCATCGCTTTCCTTGTCCCAATCGTTTGCGTCGCTGGTGGCGTTAGCGTAAACGCTTTTTCCGAAGGTTTGATCCGTGCGATAATCACTCGATGGCTCCGTGTGCTTATCGTCCTGGGCTTGATGCACCTTGGGTAGCTGTTTCGACGACGTAGAAGCGTCGGAGTTCACAGCAGATGCCAGCTTTTCGTCGTGATTCGAGGTATTGTTCTTAGCAGCGGTGTCATTGGAGGAAGCGTTATCATGATTGTCCCTGGCGGGCTGTTCCTCCTCATCGATGGGAACGAATTGAAGTCGGACTGCTGTCATGCCTCCCTGATCCTTCGAGTCTAAAGCATTAGTATCGTGCTCTCGGTGCATCTTGGATGACGTCGGTGTGGTTGCATTGGTGGCGAACATTGGCTCGAGGCGACCGTCGGTTGCATTGTACGAGAATCTCTGCGAGGTGGTACCATCCTCGGTAGCGTTAGCATCTCGGCATGTCTCGAGATTAAGAGTGCTCGGCGGTTTGCTAGCATAAGTAGCACAGAGAAGCGATGCTTTGCCTTCCTCGCTGACGAGCGGGAGGAGAACTTGTACCGCGTTCATCGTCCTATTTGAAGACCCATGGTCCAGATTTTCCGTGGTCGTCGCGTTGGTGTTGATAGTTGATAGATAGACCTGGGTTCGCTGATTCTTGCTGGCCATGAGGCTGAACGCATATTCCCGCTCTCCTGTCGAAGAGTTCGACGACTTGTTGCTCGCGTTCGTCGAGTCGGTGCTTGTCGCATTGCGGTGGCTGACATGGACATGGAGTACAAGACCCCCCAGCTGATGGAGGAGACCTGCTGATGTGTCGTCGCCGAAGAGGAGGTTCGAGATCGTGACGAATCCAGGGATGATATTGAGAGGCGCTAGCAGTGGTTTGACCAGGTCTCCCACCAGGCCACGCTCGTCGAGGGACTGCGATGGCACACTAGTGTCGGGGCTGGGAATTGACTTATTCCTGCTTTTGCTGCTATCGACCTTGAAACAGAAGACATAGTCAGTAAAGGTCTTGGTGAGCGGACATGGCTGAGTCTCACCTCTCGAGAAAATGATATGTTGCGTCGACGTTGCTCCTGGGCCGTCTGCTTCCCGTCTTCCACGGTGACGATGCCTCCTAGTCCAATCTTGAAGGAAAGAGGCTGTGGGATAAAATAAGCTCAAGCTTGCATTAGGCAAATCAAACTTCCTTACCTCGTCAGACTCGAGTCGACGGATAAGACCATGGTGCTCGGCCCAGTGCTGCTGTGGGTGGCGGTCAACAACGGTCAAACTTAAAGACAAGGGCCAGCGAACCTTGGAATGGTGGTGGGGGTCCTTGCCGTGATAGTCATGACGTTGGTGCTCATGGTCATGAATGTGAACGTGATCATGACCATCGTCGCGCAGGTAGCCGTAGTGACGGTGGAAGCCGTCATCGTCGCCGTGGAGGTGTCCGTGGTCATGCTCATGAATCTACCCCGGGACATGAAAAGACTCAGTGAAGATCTCAGACGAAAAAGGGCAATGAACTTACGTGAACATGATCGCTGCTCCTTTTTGCTGTTGGCGAGCTTGAGTACAGATGTTCTTCGTGCGAGGTAGTGAGGACATCCCTCCGTCGTTGAGCTTGTTGCGGGAGAGGAGGCACGGGTGGGCTCGTCGATCTTAGCTGAAGGCCGCGTTGCTTTCTGGGCTCTTCGTTGAGGGGTACAAAGGCACGTTGGTACTGGTGGCGAGCATATACATGCGAAGGAGACGATTGTTGCCGAGGCTGGAGCGCGGCATCGGGCGAGGAGGCCGAATAGAACGACGTTGCGACAGGCCGACCTTCGACCAGGGAGGTGAGTGCCAGGGCAACGGTGAGGGAAGAAGCGACGAGCTGCATTGTTTTAGTAGAAAGAAATTGTGCTGGGTGTAGAAAAGGATCGCCAGGATCAAAGAAGATGAAGGGAATAAGAAGGGGGGCTGATCACCAGGATCAGAATGGGTGAGTGAGTGGATGGAAAGAAGAACGATGAGTCCGTCCAAGGGTGTTCTTATATTTTTTCACATCTGCAACAGAAGCGAGACCTCACTACTACTTGGGGTCGACTGCTAGTGCTGGCACGGCCAGCTGGGCCCCCTGACCGCCAGCCGCCAAAAAGGCAAGGCAGGCTTCACGGTGACGCCTAGGGAGCGCAGGCTGCAGGTGGAGTGAATTACGTAATCCTAGCGCGGTCCGTGCATGGCAAGGACGCGAACAAAGCGAGGCGGGCCTGATTACTCCTTTGACAACCGCCGCCGAGCGCAGCTGCGACAGCACCATGGAAGAGGTCAACGTGCTAATCCTTGGTGGGCTTACGCACCTCGCACGGCCGTTGCTCACGTTTCTGGTGAATCGCTCGCCCGACGAGAAGCCGAGGGTGGCCAAGATCAGAGTCGCCGACAAGCACCTTCTCGCTGGCCAAACGCGGACAACGTGGGTCGAGCGGAACGCCCAAGGTTCTTCTCTGACACCGACAACTGACGGCGAAAGCATCGACACAGGTACATTGACTCAGAAACAGAGGCGGCGCTCCAGGATGCGAGGGTCGAATACCGCCAAGCAAACCTCAATACGCCAGGTGAGCTTGGCGTCTTCTTTTCCTCTTGACTACTTAGACCACCTACTCAATTTGCCCCAACTCACAGCTACGGCGTCGAGTGTTTTTAAACTCGAAGCCGGATCCGTATTTGACTTCGTCTTTGACCTGACGGGTGAGGGCATCCTCACGACTGGTGAGTCTCGTCGAGCCTTGTCCAGAGTTTGCACGCACAGCACTTACAGTAATGCCGCGCAGAATCACCGGCCAACGTCCTGCTCGAGCGAACAACGAAGCTAGCAGGCCTGCTGGCGAGTGAAGCAAAGGCAAACGGTGCACGAGCTTACATCAGGGACACGCCGCCCTTTTGGACGTCGAAGCCAGACGAAGGCGCGGCCAAGGAGGGCGACGTGGCCAAACGGAGCCTTCCCAAGGACCCAAGGACCTACTTCTACTACGAGGCCGAGCGGGCCGTGGCCAATATCGACGAGTGGGTGCATTACTTCCCGTTGCGCTCGGATGAAGATTGCTGATGTCTGTGCGGTCACAGTCTGCCAGTCGTGCTGCTGCGGTCGGCCGCCGTCTGGGGACCTAGTGAGTTAGCGTGACTTCCAACTCAAACCCGGCCGATGGGCTGACAGATCAATCGGAAGACCAATACTATGGCCCAGTCTCGCCGCGAATAGCCTTGGGCGATGTGTATGCGTTCCTCCAAGAGCCCATGAAGGTGCTCTGGAGCCCTGAGATGCGTCTTAATACCCTACACGCCCATGACTGGGTCTCGGCCGCCTGGTCCAGCGCGCTGTGGGCCTCGTCTCGCGACCGAGCCCAGGGCAATGCTGAGGCGGGTGAGCGCCTGCCACCGCTGCCGATCAAGGAGAAGACATCGGCCGTCGACACGGAGGCGGACCACGAGCGGTGCTGCCCTCGTGCCAAGACGCCCGTGGCGCCCGTGATGAACCTGGTCGACGATGATGACACAACGACTCGCAAGCTCCTCGACGTCGTTTCCGAGCTATTTGGCATCGAAACGGGCTTCACAAACGCTGCTGTCAATGCCTGGGCCAAGGTCAACCTGAGCGGAGTCGCAGACGACATCAACGAAAAGCACGTGGAAGCCCTCGACAAGATGCGCAAGCAACAGGGAGAAGGGACAGGAGAGGCCGGCGCCGAGGGCAGGAAGCCATGCCCCATTGAAGTGTACCTGCCCGTTCAGAGCCTAGTACAGCGCTCCATCCACCTCGACGGAACAAAGGCGAGAAAGGTGCTTGGGGAGTGGAAGTCGAAGCAGAGACTCGACAAAGATTCCGTCGAGGCAGTCGTCAAGAGCTTCAAGGACAACGGCGCCTGGAGTAAGAATCCTTTGCCTGCCTTGTTTGTTGAGCTTGGCTGCTGACGCAACACCCTCTTTCTTCCCGCCAGTCCGCAAGTGATAATTCACCATCTTTCTCTAATGACACAAAATACACTACCGCATGCTTATCTACCCTGTCGCAGTCACAGGACCAAGCCTGGGCTTGCATCTACACTCGAATCCTTAATTCAATTGCAGCAATCTACACTACATGAGATCCTCATCGTCGTCGTCACCCCCTCCAATCTCTTCTTCATTCTCCTCTGGTGCTTGTTGCACTTGTGCCTGACTCTGCTTGGCCGCCACAAAGCTGGGTCCACCAGCTCTTGCCCTGGCTTCGACCTCTGCCTTTCGCATAGGGTCGTTCTCCTGGTCCTCGTCGTCGTCTGCCTCTTCGTTTGCTGCTGCTGCTGCTGCGGCAGACCCATTCGTCTGCTGCTTTGCCTTGGCTGCTGCGCTCCTGGCATAGGCCGCAATGTAGCTAACGTCGGTATTGAATTGGGCCTGGACGCTCCGCTTGATCCGAAGCATCTCCCTAAATGTCTCCTCGGTCCCGCACTCGATTTCGAACCTGTTCCATGCCTTCCAGAAGCCCAAGCCTCCCTCTGCGCCACTTCCTTCGTCGTCGGATCGGGGATCGACAAATTGAGCCGCATGGCCGTAGATGGCTCTTGCCCGGTCCACCTCGCCAAGCTTGCGCTCGAGAGCCGCAAAGCGGAGGCACATGCGCGCGGTCTGCCTGTCTGGCAGCACCTCAATCGCCCGGCTGTATACGCTGCGCGTCGCTGCGATGCCCCCGGCCCCCTCGGCCACCTTGGCAATGTAAAAGGCAAACATGTCGAACCGGTCGTCTTCGGACACGCGCTCGGTGGCGCGCTCATAGATGCGCATTGCCCGCTTCGACAGGCCGTGCTCCTCCTCGAGCTGACCGTACTTGAGGAACAGCGGCCGGACAAACTTCTCCGGACAGCTCTCGAGCGCCTGCTCAAAGAGGTCCCTCGCGCGCTCGATCTTAGTCCCGCCGTACCGTGCGACAAACTTGGACAGGTATACGTTCCAGAGCTCAAACGCAACAGGATAGGTGAAGGCCTCGACGCCGCGCTCGTACACCTTGAAAGCCTCCTCAAAGTAGTGATGATCCTCGAGGAAACCGGCATAGTTGATGAGGACCTGGGGTGTGGCGATCTTGAGGTCGATCATGCGATCGTACACGGCCTTTGTTCCCTCGACGGATCCATCACTGTCGAGGGCCTCCTGCAGGTCGACGTAGAACGCCCACAACTTGGCACTCTTGAACAGGCGTGTCTGCACGGGTAGGCTCTCATCGTAGAAGCTGATTGACTTGATCTGGGCCGCCGATCTTGGCGCGGCCGTCGCCCGAACCATGACTCGGAGTGCGGCATCAAAGTTGCCCTGGCGCGCCTCCATCGAGGCCCACTGGCACCACACGTCTGCCAGATCGTCGACGCGCTTAAATGGGACCGTCGTCGCTCGTTCATACACCTTCCTGGCCGAGTCGATGTCAGCCTCGGGCACCTCCTCGTCCTCGCACACTGGCTCCTCGCCCTGTAGCTGCTGCAAGAACTCTCTGCCGGCATTGCCACCCTCCTCATAGAAGCGAGCAAAGTTGATGAAGAGCACATGGTGGTTCGCAGTCGCCTTTCGCGGGTTGATCGTCTCGATTGCTTTCTTGTACGTCTCAACGACCTTCTCATCGTCGTCGCCGTGCAGCAAGACGCGCTTCTCCCACTCCTGCACGTCGTTCGGATTTCTTCGGAGCAAGACGTCGTTGACGAGGAAGGGCCTTCTCTCCATCAGGTCCTCGAATTCCTTCATTTTCTGATCCAGCTCAGCCTCCTTTGCCGCTCTGCTCTCACCCTCCTCCTCCTCCTCTTCTTCTTCCTCGTCTTCCTCGTCTTCTTCGTCGCCTGCGAGCGCCTCCATGAGGAAGCCAACGACATTCTCGCTCGTCTCGGCGTAAGCGTCAAAGATTTGGGTGAAATCTCGCACCGTCACGACATTAGCAATGCCCTCTTCAAAGGTGTCTTTGGCCGCCTCCAGGTCGTTTCGTCGAATCCAGTACGTAGCCAGGCCGGTCCAGAGTCGGCCTGCCTGGTCTGGAAATCGCGCCAGGCCGAGCGAGCGTACAATGTGCGAGACGGGCAGCCTCGACGACGAAGCCACATCGGTATCCGAGTCTGTGAGCTTGTATGCCGCGCTGCCAGACTCGCCAGACGACGAGGGTAGCGCGTCTTCCTCCTCGCGGTCCATCCCTACTTCGTCGGGATACTTTTCGCAGAGCTCGAGCCACTCGATGAGGAGCTGGTAGGCGCTCTTTCCCTCGGGCGAGGTGTAGCGGCCTTGCCCAGCCTCGCTCGCCAGCTTCAAGAGGACCTTTGCGGCCTCGAGCGACCTCTTTGCCTTGAGCTTGTCCTTCTCCTCGTCTTCCTCTTCTTCCTCATCGTCATCGTCCTCTTCCTCCTCTTCGAGACTAGCCCTCATGCGCTCGAGGAGGACGACAAATCGCTCCGTCAAGCTTGGGTCGACGGAGAGGTAGCGCCTCCAGATGCGCAGGCACGTCTCGCCGGACCGCATCTCGGCCCATCTGAGGTAGAGCTTCCAGACGCGGAGATGCTGCGAAGGGGCCAGTGTCCTGAGTGCCCGGTCAAAGGTGCGGCGGGTGTGCGTGTGCGACAGCGTCGGCGGGCAGGAAGGATGGAGGAGGAGCGTGAAGTACAGCAACCAAATCCGAGGGGCCTGTTCATGACTGCTGGTCAGCACTCGACCGCAAAGAGAGAGATCATGCAGCGCATATAAAGAATGCTCACCCTGGGTATACAGATCAGGCTGCGCTCAAAGACGGCCGCGAGGCTCTCCCACTCCCGATGCCCCACTCTTCCATCGAGGGGCTCGATGCTCGCGCCCTGCCGTTTGCCCCACTCCCACTCGTCGGCCCCCTCAACGCCGCCCTCCAAGAGTGTTGGGCCTGCTTCGAGATTCTGCTTGCCCGTCTTGATCTGCCGCTTCCAGAAGCCATCCAGTCCGCCCCTGGGCTCGGCGAGAACAAACTGCATCCGAAGCAGCAGGTAGTCGCGCCAGACACCGTAGGAGGTGGGGAACTGGGCGATTGCGCGCTCATAGGCAAACGTGACCCTCTTGAGCGCCAGGCGGTTCTCGGACGAGGCCAGCGGTCCCAGATAGCGGACCTCGACCGAGGAGAGGGCATCGTCGGGCGAGTGGAACAGCGGCTGGTTCTCCGACGGCCGGTTGGACGAGACGACGTGGTCCAGGTAGCCGTTCCAGGAGCGCTGGTTGTCGATATTGAGGAGCAGGTCCTGCTCCAGCGACACGTCCGACGCCGGGATCACGTCGAGGTCCGTGAGCGGGTCTGGGAAAGGGTAGGTGAGGGGAAAGCGCGAGACGACGGCCTCCATGCCGCCGCTCTCCTGTGCGCCCCCGCCACTTGTGGATGGCGCCCCGCCCTTGGCCTTCCTCGGCGCCATCGTCTGGTATTTGTGTTGCGTCGAGAAAGGTGCACCAGATGGGGAAATGGGAGAAGAATTCCTCCATCTCCTGCTGCTCGAGGCGCGTCACGTGCCCCTACTTCTCTCAGACTTTGCACTTCTTGCGGACATGGTCATTGACGGCGGCTCATTTGGATAAGTATCCCGCTACATTGGCAGCTGCTGCTACGAAGCTATGAACCATTACTTTTGATTGTCACCTGTTCCGGAGAGAGGATAAGGCGAAGAGAGAGGCAGAGAGGGAAGATTGCTTGGCTTATGTCATCCTCCAAGCGCTAAACTTCCTGTTGCGTGTTGTTTGACGAAACGTGTTGCCCTGAAACGGTTCTCCTTCCCACGACACCCCGATCGAGAACTCCGATGGCGCCCACCTCCCGCATCCTGCTCTGCAGGCACTCGCAGGCCGAGCACAACGTCGACCTCGACTACAGCATCCCCGATGCGCCCCTGACGGCCCTGGGCAAGAAGCAGTCGGCGGCGCTGCAGAAGCAGATTGCCGGCCTGTATGACTCGGTCGACGTCGTTGTGTCGTCGCCGCTCCGCCGCACGCTGCAGTCGACCAAGCTCGGCTGGGGCCCTGCCGTCGAGCGGCTCGGCGGAATTTCAAAAGTCGTGTGCCTGCCCCAGGCGCAGGAGTGCAACGACTTTCCCTGCGATACAGGCTCGCCGCGCCAGGAGCTCGAGAGCCTCGACGAGTTCAAGGGCTTCAACCTCGAGCTGCTCACACCAGACTGGACCTCGAAGCAGGGCTTCTACGCCCCGGACCGCGCCACGATTGCCAAGCGCGCCCAGTGGGTACGGCAATTTCTCCGTGGAAGACCAGAGCACACCATCGTCCTCGTCGCCCACGGCGACATTCTCCGCCAGATCACTTCAACCGCCGAGGGACCATCGACGTACCAGTGGAAGAACGCAGAGGTGCGCGAGTTCCGCTTCAACAAGGCCTGGGTGGACAAGGACGAGTGCTTCCTCGAGCAGGAGCACGACATTGCTGCAGCTGGCGGATACGAGGCAACGAGCACAGAGATGGACCTGTAGAGGATGCGCATGACTAGAGTAGAAGACAAAATGTATCAAATTGCAACAGAGGGGATCTTCTATCCCCGATGAACGCCGCCCATGCTGACAAGGACCTGCTTCTGTGGCTTTCTCTTCTTGCTGGCACTGCTGTTGCTGCCGCCCAAGTCTGCTGCCTGCTGCGACAGGGCCACGTCGCCCAGCCTCTCGCTGACCTGGTGCATGTCACCGTCGTCTTGTGCCAATCCTCCTCCTCCACCATCTATCCTGCCCAGCCCACTGCTGCCCCAGACGTTGGGTGTCGAGGTGCCGCTGCCCTCATTCATCGGTGTTGTTGAGCCAGAAGTGACGCTCCGGCCCTTTGACCTGGACAACACCTGTCGCTTGTGTGCAGCCAGGGCAGCCGCCTGCGCGTTGGTGGGTAGCGAGGGGAATGCTGCTGGGTTGGATCTCGTCGGGGTGTTCCTGGAGCCAGTTCCTCCACCCGATGACAGGGCAGGCGTCGAGGTGGGTATTGGACGACTGTTGGCGGCTGCATTGGAGTGGGGTGCAGCGTTGGCGACAGAGATGGACCAGGGCGTTGTGCCCCTGCTGGCTGCGTGCTGCTGCTGGGCATTGGCCGAGGCAGCGTAGGGCGCAGATCCGGGCACGGCTCTTCCACCACCGGCGCCACCCAGCGTGGGAAAATGTTGGCTGGAGGCCAGTCGCGAGGCAGACGATGTCGCAGCCCTGGGAGCAACTGGCCGGCCCGAAGCGGCGCGCTCGACAGAGGCCCAGACGGCATTATTGCTCGCTGCGTTGGACTTCACATTGCGAATCTGGCCCCTGGCCGCGCCAGAATAGCCATCGCCGGGCCCGGCCACCAGCGATGGGAACTGCGTCCTCTCCACTCGCAAAGTGCTCCACGCCTGTCGAACCGCCGTCTTCTTGTCCTCGTCCTCGAGCAGGTCTACGAGCCCGTTGACGACCGGTGACATGCTGTCGACGTCCTGACCGACAAGTGAATGAATCGAATCGATCAGGTCCGAGGCAGACATCTCGCCACCGCGGAACATCTTGACGCTGCCCCTGAACGACGTCATCTTGCTATCAGAGTTGCCCATAATGGCAGAGACGCGGCCCATGTATGCTTGGTGCCGGGCCACGACCTGCTCATCGAGCTGCTCCTGACGCTGCCGTGAGGTTTCTTGGGGCGTATCATCGGTGAGCCCAGCCCGAAAGATGGCTCTTCGAGTGGCATGGTCGGCCGGTCCAGCGCCTGGAACATGTGTCCGCGAAGCAAGACTCGAGATGCCGAGCACGTCCCGGTCCGTCGTTCCCCTTGTTGCTCCCGCGGCCACAGGCTCCTCATCGGCGGCCGCAGCAGCTCCTCTCCTCCTCGAAGGTCCGCCCCTCCTGCTGGTCTGCTCCCTCTGCGCTGCGCCCGACGAGGCCGAATCGTAGGTAAAATTGGCCGCGACACGCAGTGCGTCGCGCTTCTCCCTCGAAGACAGCTCTGTCCCGTGCTCGTTGACCTGATGCGCCTTGTAGTCCATCTCGCTCTGTATTGTTCCAGATTAGGCTCTCAGCACATGCATACATCATGATCATCATGATCATCATCCCCATCACAAAAGACCACAACGCACCTCGAAGACGACAAACTTCTTCTCCAGGCATGTGTTGGATTCGCACAAGTAGTGTGCATCCCGAAAGTGGCGCTCCAGCGCTGGATAATCTCGATGGTACTCGAACCCACTCGGGTCTCGCTTCTTGCAGATGTGGCATTGCTCGTGGTCATCGCGCATGTGGACGTAGATCTCGTCATCGGAGTAGAAGAAGCGCCGGCAAAAGTCGCAGTGCGGGTGCTCGGCGCGCTTGTGTGCGGTGAGCTCCGAAGCAGAGTAGAGAGTGTGTTCGTGGGCAAAGATGCGCTTGTGGCGCAGGCAGAGGTCACAGAAGAAGCGGCCGTGCTCACTGCGCGTGTGCGCCTTGAGGTCGTTCCAGCTGCTGCCCACGAATTCGCACATGGCATCGGGGCAGTTGAACCGAAGCAGGATCAAGGCTTCTTCCTTTGCTTCAGACGTCTCAAAGAGGATCGACAGCCTCTCATCGCGGTACGGCGTCTCCTGGGCCGTAAAGGCAAGGTAGTCCTTGGTAGGGTTCTTTGTAAAGATACACGTCTCGATGGGAGCCTGGATCGGCAAACTGTCAGCTAGCCAACTTCGCAGCAGAGAGCGAGAATTTCGGGATGCACTCACCTTGCAAAAAGTGCATTCGTTCTTCTTGTACAGGGCACGCAGCCTGATGGCGCATATGTGGCACGTTCGGTGATTGCACGACGGCACCGAATACAGCTGCACAGGCTCAGCACAGATGAAGCAGAGCTCGGCATCGGGGGCCGCTGCGGTGGTAAGCTTCTTGACTTGCGGCTCCTCTGCCCCACCCGCGTCCTTCTCCTTCCCCTTTTCAGAGGAAGCTTGCTTCTTCTCCGCTCCTTCTCGCTCCCTTTCGCGCTCCTTGCCGTGGCCTGACCGCTCCTTGTTGCCCTCTGCTGTGAGCTTGCCCCCAAAGTCTTTTCTCCGCCCGCCTCTCGGTCCACCACCACCAGCGCCCCTTCCTCTGCCGCGAGCAGAGGGACCAGCTCCTCGGCCGCCTTCTCCTCCTCCGTTCACGCTCATTGCCTGATCTTCAGTCGACTTTGGCTTCTGCTGATGTCGTCCGCGGCGCGCTCCTTCTCCACCAACAGTTTGTAACGTGACTGAAGGTTTGAATAGCACGTGGCCGTATCTTAGAGTTTTCTATTCAAAGACTACAAGCAACTCCAACGCGAATCAAAAAGGAAAAGGGGAGAAAAAAATCCGCAAGGCAAAAAATTTCGCGCGCGAAGAAATACGGTGCCTCGCGAAGCGACGCCCCCCTCCTCACCATCGAACCACTACTCATTGCCACCACCCCGGGGAAAGTATATCACTTCCCCTTTTCTTGCACCTTTACCAGCGATAACAGCGCACTTTCATCTACCCTTCAAGCCGTCTGCACAATTGCGACTGCTTGACCGGTAGGATAACAAAAGAAAACTTTTGCAATCATGTCGAAGTGAGTAGCCCTTTGCCGTCTTTCTTCCCCTCTTTCGACGAAAAGGCAACAAGATGCTGACAAGAGCTGCATCGAAAGGCCTGAAGAGAATGTCGACCTTCAAATCGCCGACGGCGAGATTGAGTCCAACTGGGACACGGTCACCGACAATTTTGACAACATGGACCTGAAGCCTGAGCTGCTCCGAGGCATCTACGCTTACGGGTGAGTGGCGCTGTAGCATGTATCTGGAAGGACGAATAGCAAGCTAAATCGCGAGTCCATTCTCTTCTCCCTTTCCACTTTCAAGTTTCGAGCGGCCGTCGGCAATCCAGGCGCGTGCCGTGGTGCCCATCATCAAGGGCCACGACGTCATTGCCCAGGCGCAGTCGGGCACTGGCAAGACGGCCACCTACTCGGTTGCCATTCTCCAGCGCATTGACCCCGCCAACAAGAACGTGCAGGCGCTCATCCTGGCTCCTACCCGTGAGCTGGCTCAGCAGATTCAGAAGGTCGTCATCGCCCTGGGTGACTACATGAACATCAACTGCCACGCCTGCATCGGCGGCACTGCCGTCCGCGAGGACATGGCCAAGCTCAACGAGGGCTGCCAGGTCGTCGTCGGCACGCCCGGCCGAGTGTACGACATGATCAACCGACGCGCCTTCAAGACGGACAACCTCAAGATGTTCTGCCTTGACGAGGCCGACGAGATGCTCTCGCGCGGTTTCAAGGACCAGATGTACGAGGTCTTCCAGCTCCTGCCCCAGGACACTCAGGTCAACCTCCTCTCGGCCACCATGCCCCAGGACGTGCTCGAGGTCACCAAGAAGTTCATGCGTGATCCCATCCGCATTCTCGTCAAGCGTGACGAGCTGACCCTCGAAGGTATCAAGCAGTTCTACATCGGCGTCGACAAGGAGGAGTGGAAGCTCGACACCCTCTGCGACCTGTACGAGACCGTGACCATCACCCAGGCCGTCATCTTCTGCAACACCCGCAGAAAGGTCGACTGGCTCACTGACAAGCTCCACGCCCGCGAGTTCACCGTCAGCGCCATGCACGGTGACATGGAGCAGGCCCAGCGAGAGATCATCATGAAGGAGTTCCGCTCCGGATCCTCGAGGGTTCTCATCACCACCGATCTTCTGGCCCGTGGTATCGACGTGCAGCAGGTCTCGCTCGTCATCAACTACGACCTGCCATCGAACCGTGAGAACTACATCCACCGTATCGGTCGTGGTGGCCGATTCGGCCGTAAGGGTGTTGCCATCAACTTTGTCACGGCCGAGGACACCAGGATGCTCCGAGACATTGAGCAATTCTACTCGACCGAGGTCCAGGAGATGCCCCACGACGTCGCTGACCTGATCTAAGTGTAGTCACTTAGACGTTCCCACCCAAAAGGAAATCCTATACTTTCCACTTCCTTCTTCTCCTCTTCTTTGATTTCCCATTTTGTTGGTCGGTCTTTGTCAGACTCGCCTCGTCGAAACGGACACATACCTCATTTGTGGGGTTGCCTTCCCTTTTTACCCATACACCCACCGCCTCCTACGTCTTGTTGATGCCAACGTCTCTGTCTTTTTTGTCTCCGCAAGAGAAATGAAACGGTAGTAACGAGCCACAGAGTCATGAAATCATGGAAAGAATCTTCATTCTGCTTTGGCAGGTACAGCCTGGACAATATATAATATTTCCGGCACAGCTTAGTGCAGAACGGGGATCAATGGACATGACCGAATGGGTGAGTCGTACCAGCAGCATAGCGGGTATAAACGTCGTCGGCAATGTAGAGAGTGACCACCAGAATCACCAAGAGAGCGAGCAACGAGCATGTCGCTTCGGCATTGAAAGGCCACCAGCCGTATCGCGCTCTTTTTCGCGTGACCGTCGGTGGCGGTGGCGGAGACGATGTCGAGATCCGAATGGTGTGTGGATATCCCAGCTGCGTCTTTTCCGGGGTGTAGTATAGCGTTTGACTCTCGGAGTCAAGCTCGTACCCGCCATCGCTAACATCGATCCTGAGGCTGGCGTACGCTGGGCCGAATTGGTATTTCGGCACAAAGATCTCCGTCTTTCTAGCCTCGGCTCTCGCTCGACCGTCGTTGGACTGAAAGGGAACTGAGTTGGCAAATTTGAACGTGAAGACGAAGTTTTTGGAGTCCCAAGTCGACTCGATCGGTAGACCTGCAATCTTTGTCGCATACGGCCGAATGACGGCTGCCAGTGCCCTGCCTCCCTCGTAGAGCTCATCATCCTCGCCCATCTTCCGCCTATTTCGGTCTTCTGCCCCGCCTTTCTCAAAGCACACAATTGAGAAATCCTCGTTGTTCCATCCGTCACCGTGTGCTGTCGTGTTGTTCGGATCGTAGTTCCAGAGAGTGTAGTGAAGCTCATTGCGCTCCATAGCCTCGATGAGGGCGTCGAGGAGCTCCTCGTGCAACGTATAGTTGCCATTCTGCAAGCTTTCACGGTGATTGAGGTCGAAGGGGACACCCACTTCGCCAACAACAGTCGGCATGGGGCCGAAAGACAATTTCCCGTATTTCTTCACGTTGGACAGCTGCTTGAGGTAGCTGTAGGCAGGTTGGTCAGCATTTACTCTTCTGCTGGGGGCTGCTCCGCATAATGACCCACTTCTTTTTGAGTCCGTCGCGGCCAAAGTAGATTGCTTTCCAGATGGCTGCCCCCCTGCTGAGACCTTGCACGTTGACACTCATCTCGTTGTGCATTTTGGAAAAGAGGACATTGAGGTCGTAGAAGTGAGGAGCGTATACGAGACCGTTTGGACGAATCGTGTCAATGAACGTCTTCGTGGCGTAGCCCTGGTCGTACGAAGCCATCATGAGCTCTCCTCGATCGGCTTCAGAAATCGTCTCGATTGTCTCTGGACTAGCCCACGGTGGGAAAAACTCGTTCGGAATGGGCTCGACAAAACAAAGGAGCTGGGGGTTGTTTTTGCGCACTCTTTAAGAGTCGATCGCGTACGGTTAGCAGCATTACATGCGACAAAAGGTGAGACTGAATAAACGCACCTCTTGAGGAAACGGTCAATAAAGGGAGCGTAGCAATCCCGATACCACTCGATCCGACTGTGTTCTTTTCCTGGTCGGGGATCCCGCTCAAAGAAGTCATCGCACAAAATGACGGGCTGCTCCTTTTGTCGGTCCCACTCCCACGCACCGTGCGCTCTCCAGATGCACTGGCCCATACCGCCATCCATGGCATCGGAGAACCAGCAGGAGGTTCCCAGTGGGTCGACGATGGAATGGTGCGAGACACGGGTGGGAAAGGGCCACGATTTCACGTAGCTGTGAAGCAGTAGTATTAGACGTGAGAATAAAAGGGCCCAGAACTGAACCAGCGGACTCACAAAGGCACCTTCTGGCGATAGCCGCTGCCCAAGGCCAGACTCTGAATAAAGCTTGGATAGAATCCGATGTGCAGGTCCGTATTGTAGTTCCAGCTAGCAAACAAGGAAGCCTCGCCAGTCAGCCCAGAAGCCGTGGAAATGAAGCAGATGCAACAGAGCCACAACTTACCTATGCCAGTCCTGGAGGCCTACGGCGCCTCGATGGGGCTCGTTCATGATGTCGAACCCGACAAGCGCCTCCTTCTTTGCAAGAACATCGGCCAGGTGCCCAAAGGCTTCAATGTAGGCTGTTTGGAGGTACTCGCGAATCGAAAGGTCTCCGTCACCCGTTGACGTTGACGAAAGATCGTTCTTCAACTTGAGTTTCCAAGCGAATATATCGCCAGCCCAGAAGAGTGTTGCCATCGTGACCGCTGCCAGCTTCTGATAATTGCTTCATTCCCCAGATTCAGCAATACGTGGAATACTAGAACTTGAGGGCGTGTGCAGCAATAACTCACGAAGGCCAGACAAAGGCGCCTACGGGCTCGGGTTTCTTTGACGTTTTCCTCTCATCTGCGCCACCCTGCAATTCATGAACAAAAGCGGCGCCGGTTGCTTTGAATCTTTCAACGTCGAGGCCGACTTTCTCAAATGTCCAGCCAGGAGCGCCGCTGCCTCCGCTGTACCGGCTCCATACATCCTGGTGGGCGCAAACGATGCATTTGATGCCGTACTGTGGCATCAGGTCGAGCAGCGCTTCGAGGTACGCAACGTACTCCTCGTCGATATCAGCGGGACCCTTGTGCGAAAGTGCCTCCCAGGTGACGGTGAGACGAATGAGCGTGTGACCCCAGGCGCGCAGCCTGGCGAAATGAAAAGGCGCCTTGCAAGCACAGACATTGAAGTCAGCGAGCTGTCATTCACTAGAGGACCGCATCAGAGAGCTCACCTTAGACAGGGGAAACGGGCGGCCGACAAAAGACACATTCCGGTGGTCGAAATAGCTCTCTGATGATTGCGAGCTGCCGTCTGCTCGTATAGGTCTGAGCCACTTGTCTTGCTCAGCTCATAACAATAGGCTAGACCGGACATGACTTTTGAGCACTTACAGCTTGCATGCTCCGCTCACGTTGAAGCCTCTCATCTGCACAATCCGGCCATAGCCGTCGACAAAGTGCCGCCCTGAGGTCCTCAGCGGCTGGCCACCCAAGGCCTTGCTCGAGAGGTCCGCCATTGATCGAGAGCGTCCTTCAGCGGGAGACAACAAACGCAGCGAGCCGCCGCGCTTCTTCTTCGTCCTGAATCTCACAAGGTTTTGGAAGGGTGGCCCAAACGCGCGCAAGAGGGTTTCTTGGACCTCCATTTCACCACGTGTTTTACGCCCTTCCTCCAGGTTGGCCTCGCTGTGACGAATGTCACATCTTCCAAGGCTTAGACAAACACAACAGTTCGTGCTAGACCGCAGAGATCGTTTGTCCTCTGTTCTGCTGCCAGACATGTCGGTCTCGCCACGCGGGGATCGAGGCGGCGGAAGCATGAGCGATCGGGAGAGCATGGAGCTGGGCGTCGCTCACCTCATCCTGAGCGAGATCAACGCGGTGACGTCTGCGATCCGAAAGCACGTCCGCAACTCCTCGTCATCGTCCTTTCTCGGCGGCAGTTCCACGACCAACTACGGGCCTTCCGGCGTTGGTGTTGGCGGCCCGGTGGCGGGCGGGTCGAGTGCTGCGAGCCTTTTGCGGAGCGCGGTCCAGGCAGCAGCCGCCTCCTCATCGTCCTCGTCTGGGCCTCCACCGCCTGCGGCCACCTCAAACGGTATTCACTTCAGACCTCCGCGCATAGCAGGAGGCGCTAGAGGCATTTCAACAAACGCAGCAGCTGGAGCGGGTGAAAGCAGCAAAGGTCGAAGAGACGATGGTGTGGCCGGTCTCCTCAACGGCTTCACCGTGCTTCGAGCTCAGCTGAGAGAGTCACCGTCCGAGGGTGAGTCAAGCTCGGCATAGACTATGCGCATAAATCTTCGTGCGCACTCATGCTAAATCTGTATGTGGCGTAACAGACATCGAAAGTTTTCCCCTCCCTCAGCTCCTCTCGCCCTTTCTGCGAGTCATTCTCTCGCCTAGAACAACGGGGCCCATCACCTCGATTGCGCTCCAGGCCGTTCATCGGCTGCTCATCTACAATATTGTCCGGTTGCCCCGTTCTTCATCGAGCTCTTCGGACAGCCTGGGAGCCCAGCTCGCTGTGGCCGAGATCGCCCATGCCGTTAGTCATTGTCGCTTCGAGGCAAGCGACTCTGCAGGCGACGAGGTGGTCCTGCTGAGGATCCTGGCCGTCATGCGCGAGGTCATCTGTGCAGACGGCGGCGGCGGGTCCTCGCAAAGTGGCGGCCCAGCACTCGTCGACTACCTCAGCGACGAGGGCGTGTGCGAGATGATGGAGACAGGGCTGAGCATGTGCTGTCAGATGCGCCTCAGCGATCTCCTCCGAAGGACGGCCGAGCAGTCGATGACGACCATGGTCCGCGCTCTCTTTGTCCGCCTCCGACGTCTCCCCACCACGGCTGATGAGAGCTTCTCGGCGGATCCTAGTGTACCTGGTCCACCCCCGGACCACGACACACTGGCCGCCGAGCCCATCGGCACAGAGGCGGCGGGCGACGAAAAGAAGTTGCGACGAATGACGATGCCCGATCCAACGAGCAGAGACGTACCAGCGGCTGCTGGCACGGTGCTCCAGCAGCTCAAGGAGATGGGAGAGGCAGAGACGGCCCTGGAAGCGGTGCAGGAGGAGGAGTCCAAAGAGGCGGGCGAGCAGGACCACGAGGTTCCTGGAGATGGTACAGAGGAAGCTTCGACGCAAGAGAAGAAAGTAGAGCCCGAAGAGCCCAATGCTGCAGCAGCGGGAGAAAGCCAAGACGCCAAGGAGGCAGTACAAGAAAGAGAAGAAGAGGATGAGCAGCAGCAGCCGTTTGGCCTGCCAGCCATCAAGGAGGTCCTCCGCGTCATTGTTTCGCTGTTGGACCCGCACAATGCCCAGCACACCGACACGATGCGGCTCCTCGGCTTATCGATGCTCTGCTCAGTCTTCGAAGTCGCCGGCGAGTCCATCGGCCGTTTTCCTTCGCTGCGTGCTATTGTCCAGGACTCGGCTTGCAAGCACCTCCTCCAGCTTGCACGGTCCGACAACTCGACGATCCTCACCTACAGCTTGCGGACGATCAATGCGCTGTTTGCGACAATGCGGGAGCATCTCAAGCTCCAGTACGAGCTCTTCCTCACCTTCCTCCTCGACCGTCTGGCGCCGACGTTTCCCATCGCCTTGGAGCCGTGGAATGAGGAGAAGAAAGACGACGCTCTCAACCCAACGGCGCCAGGGCCACCTCCGCCGCCACCTCCGCCGCCGATGCCAAAGAGCTCAGAGCGTGCACCAGCACATGGGGAGATGCGGGAGATGATTCTCGAGACGCTGGCTCTCCTGCTGGGCAACCCCGAGACGATGGTCGAGCTCTGGGCCAACTACGACTGCGACGTCGACTGCGAAAACATGTTTGAGCGCGTCATTGGCTTCCTCTGCCGGTCTGTATATGCGAGCCATCCAAGCAGCCAGGCTGGCATCCAAGACGGCACCCAGCTCCTCGCCGTCGACATCCTTCTCGATTTCGTCTCATCAATGGCCGCCCGGCAGTCGAACGAACAAGACGAAACAGAGCAGGAGGTCTGGCCAGAGGGACTGCCCGCAGCCGAGAGCCTTACGACACAAAAGAATCGTAAGGCGGCCGTGCTGGACGGTGCTGCGCGTTTCAATGCCAAGCCAAAGGACGGCCTGGCGTATCTGGAGCGTGAAGGGTTCATCGACGTGAGCCAATCGAGACCTCAGGGCATCGCCACGTTTCTCAAAGAATGCCCTCGGCTCGATAAGAAGCTTCTTGGGGACTACATCTCCCGACCAGACAACCTGGCCATCCTCGAGGCCTTTCTCGGCAACTTTGACTTCCGAGACAAGCCCATCGCAGAGGCCATGCGCGAGATGCTCGAGTCGTTCAGGCTGCCCGGCGAGTCGCAGCAGATTGCCCGCATCACCGAGACGTTTGCCAAGACGTACTTTGCCGCAGGCCCAGAGGGCATCAAGAATGAGGATGCAGTCTACGTGCTCTCCTACTCGGTCATCATGCTCAATACAGACCAGCACAGCCCTCAGAATCACAAGCGTCGCATGACCCTGGAAGAGTACCGCAAGAATTTGAGAGGCGTCAACGATGGCGTCGATTTCGACCCAGAGTTCCTGACGGCCATTTACGAGAGCATCCGTCGGAGGGAGATTGTCATGCCTGAGGAGCATCTTGGCCAGCTCGGCTTCGATTATGCGTGGAAAGAGCTCCTGAGAAAGTCGCGCAAAGCTGGCGCGCTGCTAGCCCCCGCAACGAAGCGCTTCGACGGGCCAATGTTCGCGGCGAGCTGGCGGCCCATCGTAGCCAGCGTCGCCCACGCCTTTTCCACCTTCCGCGACGAGCACATGCTGGAGCGAGCCATAAGCGGCTTCCGCCAATGTGCCATCCTCGCAAGCCGCTTCGGCATGTACGACCTCTTTGACTTTATGATTCGCGGTTTGGCCGGCGCTACGGGTCTCCTCGATGCCAACGTCGCCGGCGGCGGCGTACTGACAAACAATGCTACCGTCGAAGTCGAGGGCAGCCCGGTCACTGTCAGCCCCCTGTCCGTCCGCTTCGGCATGAACTTCAAGGGACAGCTGGCTGCCGTTGTCCTTTTCACCATTGCCAATGGCAATGGCGATGCAATTCGACGAGGCTGGTCGCCAATTTTTGAGATCTTCAAAAATCTCTTCTTGGCATCACTGCTGCCCCCGAGTCTCGTAGCCATGCACGAGTTTGGCAGTGACAGCTCCTTGTCAGCATCATCAGAGCCACCCAAGCAGATCCCGCTTAAGCCGAGAAAGCCGCCAGGTCCCCCACCGCAAGATCCACGAGCGCAAGGTGGTGGTCTCTTCAGCACTCTTTCGTCCTACCTTCTCTCGCCCTACAGCAACGCACAGGAGCCGGCGATGCCCGATGTAACGGACGAGGACGTCGAGTCGAGCCTGTGCACGGCCGACTGCGTGGCCAGCTGCCGCATCGAGGATCTCTACAGCCAGATCCTCGAGCTCCATGCTGTCATTCCCTGCCTGACAGCCTTGCGGGACCTTGCGGAGAAGTACACCGTGGAGCGACGAAACCAGCAGCTGCTGCAGTCTCAAGAAGGCTCCAGCTCGGGACGGTCAACACCGGTCCAAGGTCAGACTCACGCGCCGTCAGCGCCGCTAGCTGTCGCCATGGCTCGCGCACTTCCATACGACCCTGCGGCTGCCTTTATCCTTGAATTGCTCACCACTGTCGCCTGCGGTGTTGGACAAGCCGACCTGCAGGAGGCCTGGACGATTGCCACGTCGCACATCCAGTCGCTCCTCCAGGCTCCCACTTCCTTCCACCCGCTGCAGATCGAGCGCGCCGTCGTCTCGCTCCTGCGGCTCACGCAGCGCGCATCGATCGCCGCAGACGAGGCGATGCGCCACCAGATCTTTGTCGCATTGGATCAGCTTCGAAGCCTGCCTGTCGAGCTCCGGCCGACGCTTTCCACACAAGTCACGCTCGGACTAGGGGCGATGCTGCGCGCAGACGAGAACCTCGTTCGATCCCAGACCGAGTGGAACATCGTCTTGGCCATCCTCTCCGACTTTTCGTCGGCCCGGAATGCCTTGGCAGCTCGGACTGGCTTCGACCTGTTGCGCTTCATTGCTCAAGAGAGGCTATCGGCAGACAACTATGCTGCCGTTGTCGCGATGCTGTGCGACATTGCAGCGGCGGCCGAGACCAAGTGGACGTCACTCGAGAGAGAAGGCCAGCGTCGAACGCTGACGGAGAAGAAGGAACTGGCCGAATTTGAGGAAGCATGTCAGCAGAGAGGCACAGAGGCAGTCGAGGTGCTCGACTCATTGCGTCCTCAGGTTCCGCGGTTGATCGAGAGCAACGGAGCAGACGGAGCTGCGTGGAAGCTCTACTGGTCACCATTGCTCATTGCCCTCTGCAAGCAGTATACCAATGGCCATCGGCCGGCAAGGCTTGCGGCCATCTCAGTTGCCCAGAGAGCCCTGCTGGATCCACAAGCGACAGCTACATCGCCTTCGCCCCCGTTACACGTCTTCTACGAAGTTGTCTTCCCCATGCTCGACGAACTGCTCAAGCCTCAAGTTTACCAGAAGGACCCCAGCCCGGGCGCTGGAGGAATGCAGGAGACGCGCATCCGGGCATGCGCCCTGCTCGCAAAGATCTTCCTGCACCATCTCGGTGCCCTGTCGACTGGATCGAGCGACGAGCAGTTTCAAGAGTTGTGGCTCGCCGTGCTGGACTTCTTCGATCGGTTCATGCATGCCGGCAAGCGAGATCAACTGACCGAGGCCACGCCAGAGAACCTCAAGAACGTGCTCCTGGTCATGAACGCCTCTGGGCTTCTCTTGCCTCCACCGCCTCCATCGACGGGTGAAGGCAACGGGGATACGAGGACAAAGGAGCAGGCGGTGCTGTTCTCAAGGACATTTGATCGGATCCAGCGCTTCCTGCCCAAGCTCAAAGAGGAGTTGTTTTCGACTGCTCCTTCGTCGAGCCATACCCAGACGCAGAGGAACGAGGTGCCACAGGTGCAAGAGGGTAGCATAGATGAGAGCAGAAAGAAGCTTGGAGGAGAATGAGCTGTATCAAAGATGTGCAATGAATGGTCAATCCGCTTCACCATTACTACCCATCCTACGAATGCTGCCGGCCAGTTCACGAATCCGTTCGTATATACACGTGACTTTTCGCCCGTCTGAAATTTTTGAGAAAAGTTGAGAAGATGGAGGTGTAGAATGCAGAGCTTAGTTTCTTGATCAATCCTTTCACCAGCCAGCAAAGAAGGAAAAGGGACAATGGCGAAGAGAAGGAAGAAGACACGGACGCACCTCAAGGGGCAGGCGGGTACCAATGCAGAGGGCGGCGGCGCAGGCGCCAAGCCAGGTGCAGGCGGCGGCTCTCCGAAGTCATTTGTGATGCGCTCGGGCAACGTGGGCCGCAATGTCGCCAGCCTCGTCCAGGATGTGCGACGGACGATGGAGCCCAACACGGCTTCGCGGCTGCGGGAGCGCAAGTCGAACAAGCTCCGCGACTTTTTGACAATGTGCGGTCCGCTCGGTGTCAGCCATCTCATCATGTTTGGGCAGAAGCAAAAGGCGAGCCGGAGCGGTGGCCAGTCGCTTGGCAACGTCAATCTGAGAGTCGCCAGGACTCCGAGAGGTCCTACCGTTACGTTTCGAGTCAACAAGTTTGCGCTGGCGAGCGACGTCGCCAAGGCACAGAGAAGGGCGAGGGCGCCCGGCGGCGAGTTTCAGACTGCTCCCCTGGTGAGTGTGCTCCTTTACCTCGCAAACAGGTGCAACCAGCTGATCGATAGCGTGCCTGCAACGCAACACAGCTTGTCCTCAACAACTTTGGATCGGCCGAGAAGCATGTGAAGCTCCTCGTCTCGGTGTTCCAGGGCCTCTTTCCGCCAATCCAGGTACAGACGATGCACCTGTCCTCTGCGCGCCGCATCGTGCTGCTCAACTACCACGAAGAGACGGGCACAATCGACTGGCGCCACTACCTCATCTCGGTCAGGCCCGTGGGCGTTTCGAGGCGGGTGCGCAAGGTTGTCGAAGGCTCGAGCGCCTCTGCGCGATCCAGCAAGCTCGCCCGCAGCTTGCCTGACCTGGGAAAGGCGGGCGACATTGCAGATTACCTCCTCGGCAACGCCAACGGCACAGACGGCGACGGCTTCGAGACGGACGCCAGCTCGGCATCAGAGGCCGAGTCAGATGTCGAGGATGGGCCGGGTGGCAGCTCAAAGGTGACACTACCTTCCCGATACGTCGGCCGGGGCAACGCATCGGGCCAGCAGCGCGCCGTCAGGCTCCGGGAGCTGGGACCGAGGATGGAGTTGCGGTGCGTCAAGATCGAGGAGGGCATCCCTGGCGCAGCAAAGGCAGGTGGATCCGGCGGAGGCAACGAGGTGCTGTGGCACGACTACGTGCAAAAGAGCGGCAAGGAGGGCCAGAGGCTGAGAAAGGAGGCATTGGAGAGGGAGAAGCAGCGCAAGCAGAGGAGGGAAGAGCAGGAGGAAAATGTGAGGAGAAAGAAGGAGGCAAGTGGGAAAGGGAAAGCCAAGGCTGCTGGTCATGGAGAGGATGGCGAGGAAGACGAAGAGGAAGCAGAGCGACAGCAAGAGGGGCAGGATGAAGAGGACGAAGACGAGTTTGCGTACGAGGACGCACATGGAGCCAGTGTGGCCCCTGATGGCGATCTGTTCGATGACGACGACGATGATGATGACGTCGACGATGCTTTCGATGACGAAGCCTCGATGGACGAAGGCGACATCGGGGATGAGGATGATGAAGAGGACGATAGCGACCTCACGCCATTTGAGATTGATGAGGACGAGGACGACGATGAGGAGGCATCCGAGGAGGAAGAGCAGGCACCGCCCCGCAAAAAGAGCAATCGTCGATGATCATGTTGCCCTTTTCATCTTTCAATTTCATTTCTTCATTCACTTTTGGGGCCAAGACGCTGTGACATCGCACGGCCATGCTTCCGGCAACGGAGAGGCAGCTAGTTGCCTCTGAAGGAGTGATACGGGGACGCCTGGTTGGTGGGGAAAACCAAGACGTCGGCCACCTGAACGTGCGGCGGGCGCGAGGCGACAAAGATGATGTCCTCTGCGATGTCATCGGGCGAGAGCGGCTGCAGGCCCTTGTACCTGTGAGGATTTGATCAGTGCTAAGAAGAGCAGGACAAAGCGTCCAGAAGCCAATACCGGAAACGCACTCTGCATCAGCCTTGGCCTTGTCACCCCGGTATCTGACAGTGGAGAACTCGGTGTTGACCATGCCCGGCGCAATTGTGGTGACGCGGCACTGCGTGTCGACGAGTTCCTTGAGCAGCGACGAGTGGAAGGCTTGGATAGAGAACTTCGATGCACAGTAGATACTGTCATGTGTCATCAGGTTCGGGTCAGCTTCGCCCTCATAAGACAGTTGATGAAGGTCGTGGTCGCTCACCTGCCTCCGGGGTACGCTGCAGAGAAGGGTGGTAAAAACGCTTGCTTCAGTGACTGTGCGCGCATAGACAAGAGCCCAGATCCTCCCTTTCTCTCTACTCACCTTCCTTGCCTGCGATGCTGCCGAGGCAGATGACATGCCCGCTGTTCTTCTTTCGGAACTCGCGGACGAAAGTCTGGGTGAGGTGAATGCACCCGCGCACGTTTGTCTCGAGCACCTCGTCGATTTCGTCTGCGTCGATCTCGCCCACCTTTTCCCGACCGCGCACGAGGCCAGCGTTGGACACGAGAATGTCAAACGAGCTCAGCGGTGCCCAGGATGGCAGACGGTTTGCAAGTCCGTCGATCGAATCGCGCGAACGCATGTCGAGCTCGGCCGTGGCGAACTGCGCCTCGCCGGGCGAGCCCTGTGCTTTGTTTGCTTCGACGCAGGCCTCTCGCGCAGCCTCGAGCTTGTCCTTTGAACGAGCGGCCAGGACTACCGAAGCACCGCATCGGGCAAAGATCAGGGCAGTAGACCGTCCAATGCCACTCGAGGCGCCTGTCACAAAGACTTTCTTACCGATGAGGCGTTGCGTACCGAGGATCGGTTGGGCAGGGGACGGAGTAGCCGAGGACATGGCGCGTGACTCGAAGATGGGTCTGCGACGGAGAGATGGGGCAAGATTCGTGACACGAGCTGTGGGAGCAAGCTTGGCTGAGGGATTTTGCAGTGAAAGACGAGTCGAAGGTGAGCCGAGACCACGGAGAAACAGCATGTGGAAGGAGGGCGAGAGAGGATTCGAGAGCGGGCGACTGAAGGAGTGGAGCCGTGACGGAAAACGGGGCATTCTGTCACGGTGGGGCGTCGTCTTCGCGTACGCACGGACCAGTCTGTTCAAGGTTGAAGCGGCGGATCCAATCACCATACCTTGAAATTGTCACCTAGATGTGGGTCTGGTAGCTGCAAACGAAGCTGTGAGTGTTCCGCAGTGAAATAGCGTTCAAGCAAGGCGAGGCGAAGTAGTCGACATTCTGAACTTGAGCTTCCTGAGGGAGGAATCACATCAAGATAATCACGATATGTGTATTGAACATCGAACGAAGCGCCAATACAATTGATGGGACACTCCGCTCCCGCGCGTGACAAGCACTTACTGGCTTTCGTCATATTGATGAGAAGACCGCCTTCTCGCAGCTTTCCTCCCTACCACACATCTCGGACCATGAGCAACTCAGTGCAAGCTGATGCTTCGTCGGAGAAGCCTAGCCTTGCAGAGGATCAAAGCTTCGAAAAGCCTGCCGTCGAGACCTTTCTGGTCACAGGAGAAGATGGATGCACATCGCCAGCAGACTACGTTCTTCGTTGCAGAGGTGACAAAGGCCAGGTAGTTCGGTACAAAACACATAAGCATGCTTTGATCCAAGGAAGCGCCTTCTTTAACAATATGTTTGCTGCTTGTTCATCAAATGACGAAGAGAGCGAAGACATCCTCGCAGGCGAAGACCTCGAATACTTAGAAATGGAGGAAAACAGCTTCGTTATTTTCGTCCTTGTCCGTTCGATGTATGGTGGAGGAGCAGCTCTACAAAACATTCTGCTGCGGAAAAAATCGGATGATGTGGCCTCTTACAGCAGGTGAGTAGCAGTTGAGCTGGCAGCTCGAACATACAGAAGCTTAGCACCGCTCAATGATAGGCGCCTCATACTATGCCTGCGGGCGGCCGCCAAGTACCGTGCATCTCGCATGGCTGAAGTCGCCGCAAAGTATATGTGTTACCTCTGGGATCTCACTTGGTCTCAGGTGCCGAAGACGATGCGCCATGATCTTGTCGAAACTTGGGTCTTGTGCCGAACCAACAATGATCTTTTCGCCTTCCCGCCTTCACCTATGGTAGAGATGGCCGTTAAGAAGGGCGCCAATCACTTCACGTTTGGCATCCTGGATCTGGTGGACCCGGACCTGTGCTTGCGCATCAGCTTGGCCGACTACAAGACCCTCTCGAAGCTTCTATATGAGAATATGCGATCGGTGAGCAGTGTCGTATAGTTCCATCACTTAGTTGTTCTAATGTTCCTCCCTTTTTTCAGGCAGAAGCCCTTCGAATGATGTGCAGCGAGTTCAACTATCATGCTAAAGGGTCTCAAAAGCTCAAGGTCGAAACGAGCAATAAGGGCCAGCTACTCTGCAGGTTTTAAAACAGCTCCCACTGTTCTTGCGAGAGTCTTTCTTCGCCCCTCCTGAATACAGTGCAGATGATCCGGTGACGCTGTCCTTTTCATCCTTTCTGCAGAATCCAATTGTGCGTGAAAAAGCCGCAGACAACAGCCTTTATAACTTTCCACCCTCATACTCAACATGTGGCTGCAGACGAGAATCTCCAGATCTTGTCGCGGGGGTCACACTAGGAAGTGACGGCATGAGACGGCAGTGAGCATCGTTTAAAGCAGTGGGTGAGCATTTAGATGGGCGAGATACTATTAGAAGAGAATGAGAAGGAGAATGACCTTGAGCGAGAAAAGCTTGCTTGCTCATGCTTGCGTTTTTTGTCTGTAATTTGAGAGGGTGTGCAAGGGAGCGGCGATGATGATGGCCATGATGACAAATACCTCTTTCAGCATGAAAAAGGTCGGCCCACTCCTCGCTTGAATTCTCTCAGAAGATTCATGATCGAAGCGGCTGTCAAAGAGGGATTTTTATGAAGTCAAATAAGCGCCAAGGTTAAAAGAGATAGAGGATAGGTGTGGGACTCACTGCAACCGCCCACGACAGTGCAAATAGCCAAGGCGAGGATCGCAACGTGCACAAACGTCCCTCCTACGCTCGCCCAGCTCTCGTTCCACTTGCCCTGCTTTAGCACGCCAAAGTACATGAGCGTCGGAAATGCATAGCAGAACGCTGTGATCAGCAACGATGCAACAATGGCGAGCAAAGATTCGAAGACGGGGATTGACTCGGCAATGACCCAGGCGATGATCGTGATAAAGAAGCCCAAAGCGACCCAAGCGATCTTTCCCTGCGCCGTGTCCATAAAACGATGCTTTGAGTTGCCAAAGATACGATCGTAGAGGAAGCGTGCAGCCGTCTGGGTGTTGATGGAACCCGAGATGAAGATGACTGGCAAAGCCAGACCGAATGCAACTTTTTCCATCGTAGGATTAATGGAGAGGATTGTGGGGCTCTCAACGAGGTGGCCCTTGAAGTAGTAGGCCGTCGAGCCAATGACTGTGTAGAGGACGATCTAAGATACTCATTCTCTGAGATCAGAGTCTGTGCGAAAATTAAGGCTCCTGTTCCTCACCTCAAGACCCCCGAGGGTCCAGAGAGACTTGGAAACATCGTCTGGTTTTCGAAGCTCCGACATGAAAGAGGGCAGGCATTGTGCGAACGCGAATGCAAAGACGATATTCGTGATTCTTTTGGGCGTCGTTTAGTGTGCCATTCTAACTTGAAGACAATGAGCTTGACTCACGCAACGATGACCTGAGGCCAGTCGGAACGACGCTCTTTGGGCAGAAACCAGTACCACTCCGTCGCCTGGAGTCCTCCTGGCTGCTTTGATGCTTCGATTCCGCACGTCACCAACGTGACGACAATCGCGGCGAGGATACTGGCAAAGTCAATGTAGGCCAATAAAGCCATCTCGGTGAATGTTCGGGGCAGGGCGAGTACAAAGAGAAGAAAAGCGGCCACGAGGCTGAACGTGACGGAACATGTTGCGTTACTCGAGAGGGCGTTGAACGCGATGACGCCCGTCAAAACATGGCTTAAAGTAATTCTGTCAGTGAGCAGTAAATGGCTAGGGGGAAGGGAGAAAAGTTTTTCCTACCTTGCTGTACTGAGTGTCAAACACACTACAAGCATCGTGGCGGCAATCCAATAGCCCCGCTTTCCAAAGAGATATCCCATCACCTGCGGTGAGAAAGACACATTAGATCACGTATTGCCCACCTGACACCTTCATAATCACCTCGGCATAGTCCTTCAAGTGGGGCAGCTTCAGACAAGCTTTTGCCAACAGCAAGCTGCAGTGTGTAGCAAGAAGGCCGATAGCCACCGTGAAAATGATACCGTATGCCATGCCAAGCGTGGCAAACGCTTTCGGCATGCCAAGTGCCCCGAGTGCTATGGCCTCGCAAATGAGACAGCTTGTCAGCCTCTGCCATGATAGCTGTGCAAATTTGTGCCGGGCTGAAATGATCGAAATGGGCCTGCTCGACTGCGCTTTGCTGCCGCTGCCATTGCCTGGACCAGTAGCCATGATCGCGGCAGCTGTCGTGAAGTCAGGGTGTTTCTCCTCGTCATCAGCATGGTAGCTTGTCGAACGGACATCTGGACGGGGATGGCACGCAGCCGATGTCGAATCATAACAAGCGGTCCCGCCAAGTTTGACCTTGTAGTCCATTTCGTCGGTTGATTGAGCCATGTCTGGCTCCTGTAACGGAGAGCAAGTCCGGGAAGGAGAAGGCAAAGACGGGAAGGGGGTTGACAAAGGAGTCCTGCTGCTTGTCGAAAGATGGAGAACGAAAGAGAGACCGGGAAGAGGGGCGCACTTCCCTGCTCCCTCTTATACGGTTAAGAGACCCTCATCCCCCTCTCTTCACGGATGGCAGCCGGCAGCGGGGAGATAGGAAGAACTCCCATATCACTATACCTCTCTTATCTCTGTTGAATAACGCCTCTCAGAAAAGGAAATGCCGGGGTCGTCATGACGAGTATCTTCAGCCCCCTCTTTGTATCGAGATTCAGAAAGGCGTACAAACCGCGTTGCAAGCGCTCACGATAGGGGCTATTTGAGGCGCAAAGTGATGAACTGGCTGTAGTAATTGTTCTCGGGGCTACTTTCCTTCAAAAGACGACCCGAGAAGCTGGCGATACCGGAAAATTACAGGTGAGAAGCAAGGCAGATGCACAAGCAACGAAATACCAGGCTCAGGACACGATAAGAAAGCTGTGAAGGATCAAAGATTAGATTGGTACGGCCAGCTGAAGTTGACCCTTATCGCTGTCCTTCTCTGTGGTTGGTTTTTCATCATCGTCGTGCTCATGACCCTTGCCAAAGCTCTGGCCATCGAGCTTCATTGGGTTCCAGCTCTTTGAGCCCTTCGGAATGAATGTCGAGGCCAAGATCACTACGCTGATGAGCGTAAATTGCAAACCTGCTACCAGCTTCAGCGCAGATCGCGCCTCCGCTGACTCGGCTTGTGGTGACGCAGAGGGGCCGAGGGCGTTGAGCCTCGCATCGACGTAACGACCCATGAGTGTAGAAATGATGCTGTACGCGACGAGGTACACGATGTAGAGGAAAGCCATGACGGCACCGAGCGAGCTCACATCCTCGTCCTTTGCTTCGATGCGTGCAAGGATGGCCTGAATGTGGGCTTTGAAGCAAATTCTAATCAGCGGAAAAGAATAACGGGTGTCGATAAGCTACTCACCAGAGAGGGAACAGTCCCCACCAGCCCAACCGTAAGATATAGGTATCATGCAAGGCGCCAATTTCCACGCCGAGGAAACTTGTTTACGAACAACCGGGAAGATCGGCAGGACCCAGACGAGATTGAGCAGGAGAGCGTCCAGCCGCAGCCAAGGGATAGGCGTGGGGAATATGTGCAAGGCAAGCATAACACTCAATGCGCCAAGAAGCTCGCCAGCGTTGGATCCGCCGACCTTTGAGCTTTCAAGATTTAATATAGCGACGATAGCAGGAAGATTAAGACCCCACTCACAATGATCTGAGCGTAGGATGACTCGCCAAGAACCAGCTTGCTGAACATGGGAATGAGGCCGTTTTCGAGGTAGCGATGCGCGTACAGCCCGAGTGCATAGCTAGGCACGAGCCAGACGAACTTTCGGTGCGTGCAGCAAAGCCAGGCGCCGTAGTAGCAAGCTTTCGCGAAGCTTCTTAAGGCCTCGAACCAGCTTTCAAGTATCGAAGTGTGGTAGTGTGGGTGCTCTGCAGTGGAAGTAGAGGCGTGCTTGCGAGCGTTGTCAATCAAGTTTGAATCTTTCTTAAATTCGTCTGTCGAGGATGTCGACGGGCACTCTTCCTCATCGATAGCGATACGCTCGGGATCAATAAAGAACCAGATGGTGGCTGCGGCGCTGAAAAGTATAGGTGAGAGAATGGAAGAGTAGTTGTAGCCGAGCTTGTCGATGAGGCCAGACGATGTCAACGCAGCAAATGTTCCAGCGACCTCGTAAAGAACATGGACCATGGCGTCCATCCTCTTGAGTAGGTCCACGTCTCCCCCAACAATGTCCCTGGGGATGATTTTTCGGATGAGTTCGATCATTCCGTAGCTGACGCCCGCCGCTGTGAAGATGGGGAAGAGGAGGTTGGGATTCCACCGGCCATACTTCGTCTGATTGTTGGGTGTGTTGAACTTGATCGCACCTCCCGTAACCGCGTCGACAACGAGGATAGCCGCGCTGACGAATCCAAAAACCATCACGCCAACGCTTAAGACGGTACGTGTCGGGTAGCGCTTGACAAGAGGTGCGATGATAATGCTGCCCAGTCCTTGGGCTGCGTAGTTGACGCCAGTGAGGATAGCCATTTTCTGGTACCGATCTGCTTGTTCGAAGCGCTCGTTCGCCATGGTCATGAAGGCGCCGTTGAAGTATTCGAGACCGAACTTGTACATCATAATGCCCCAGACATAGAGGATGATGTTATGCTTCTGGCTTGGGGTGAAGCAAGACCATACGGGTGGAAGTCTGCCCATGTCGAGCTAGAAGAAAGTTGATACACCGAAAGAAACGAGTGTGGTTGCTGGTCACTGTGGAAGGCGTGCTCTCCATCGTCAAGTTTCTTATAGGAGCTGAGTGGAAGGAGGAGAGAATCGTTACATGCGATGGCGCGGCTGGGCGGAGCGAAGGCGTTGGGCCAAGCCTGAGCTCGCTAAGTCTAAGCGCGTTTAGGGAAGGCGAAAGCGACGCCTTCGCCGCCACCCGTCGGGATGAGAAAGTGACAAGGCCGGCGCATGGACGTATCAAAAGATAACACCTTGGTAACGCAAGGTAAGAGAGCATGTCCTATCCATGCGCCGCTACTCTCGTTCTCTGCAAGCTTTTGCGTTTGATAGTGTTCTCTTCAGGTTGGAAAGAGACGCGTTGAGGATGAATCTGTAAACGAAGTGGGCACGAACAAATCGCGGGCGGGGCCCAACTCTTTGCAGCTGTGCAAGTTGTCGCCGAAGAGAGAGAGAAACAAAACATCCTAGAAGCAGGAGTACCATAGTAAGCCGTCACATGTTTCCCTGAAGTCCCTGCTCTTCTTGGCATTGCAAACACTGTTTAACCTGTAAGTTGACAGACCATTGATCCAAGAATATTATAATCTCGATGAAGAAGTCCTTGCAAAGTGCGACTTTGAGATTATTTTAACCGTATCGTAGAGTATAGTCAATCAAATTTGTTCGGCTCTCTCATCACACCGCTCGTAGCCACTGGCAACATACATAAGCTGCTCGGGTTCTTTGCTCCATAGAGCGTGCTCTAGTCACCAAGTAAAATTCACAAGGGGCTTCACGAACGAGCAAGCTGGTGTTGTAATGTGCCTGAGAGAAGTGACAAGAGTTTCTTTCGCGGTTTCATGGTAAACGCTACCTGCTTTCACTTTGTGCATTCTCCCCTCAAAGTGCTTTGACTCCAAAAGCCACAACCAGGGTAAACATCGGATTTCGAGAAGATAGGACAAAAAGAAGGCAAATCTGTGGGCTGTACGAAGTATCTCTGAACAGCACACGCCACAAGTAAGGCTGAGTCGCGCCCTTTACTTCTTTGACGCCCAGCCAGGCGGGCGTTAGCGATAAATATTTAATGGCATTGAAAGCAGAGATGGAGAGTCGCTCTCTTCCACCATTTGCCACTGTGCTCAGAGGAAGAGCTGGCTCTCTTCCTTGCCTTGTCCTTCTTCTCACACCCCGTTCGAAGTCAAAGAGCCGGTCTCTTGACAAGGCAACGATGCATCATTACCATGCCATCGCGCTCCTCGTCTTCTCCATCTTCTTTGCAGCCTTTGCGATCTTGACGATCTGCGCCTTTGCACCCAAGATGCAGCAACACGGCGACGAATCCGAGGCAGTGCGCGCGAATGGTGCAAAGATGGGCGCTCTGGCCGCGCTTCCCATCAGGCGCCGTGGACTCTATTTCGGTGACGAGCACAGTACATGGAGCGATTCCTCAATTCTTACGCCGAGCCAGCTCGAGGAGCAAGTTGAGAGGAAGCTGAATCCCGCTACTGTCTGGTTAGCAGGCGAGCGATGGGAACCAAAGAAGCTGGAGCGCTCCAGCTCGGCAGTGCAGCCCGACTCGCTTCTCTTCGTTCGGCGCTCTGCGCCTGAGGATTCTTGGGAGCAGCAACACCAGCAAAAGAGCCAATCCGCTGCCCTGGCTCTTCGTCAACGACACAAACGGGTCCTCGCCGAGTCTTCTGCCCCTCAAAAGCCTATCAAGAAGAAGAAGAAGATCCTTGTCGACTTCAAGCTGTCGGAGAACCGAGCAAGGGAGCAGCACCTCATGTCTGGCTTCATCGTCGAAGACGTTCACCCAAGCCACTACCATGCAGCTGCCCCGACATTAATGCACCATGAGAAAAATGAAGGCATGCAGATGACCGATGAAGAGGGAATTCTGCCAACACACCATCGCATCCCCAAGCTTGATCAGCCGCACCACAGGTATTTCCGAACGACGAGCACCGATTGGACGAGAGAAGGCCGACAGAGACCCGCTTTCTTACTGAGTGGACACAAGGAGAGCGACAGGCAAGAGGTCCAAAAGATCGTTGAGGAGGTGCTCAGCAGCCACGATGGTTTCTCGATGGCAGATCATAAGTCTGAAGGTCGGTCGAGGTTACTCGAGGCCACCCCTCTTCGTCATCGCCGTCCACGCTGGCATCCTCATCCGGAAGAGGAGGACGGGCACGGCGACTTCGACTGAAACGACCAAGGGCATGTGGGCAGTATTCATCGTGTGAGCACAACGATGCATATGAGGAAATTATGGGGCTTGCTGACATGACAATGCCCGCTCCAGACAGATTTGCTTTTCACTAATATGCAATTCCACAACTATTCTCCTCTGTACACTGGCGCCCTCTTCTCTGCAAAAGCCTTAAGTCCCTCGAGGCGATCTTTCGTTCCAATACATCGGTCATAGCATGCCCTCTCCCAGTCCAGAGCCGTTTCCGTGTCGAGGGACTGACCCTTGTCAATGGCCTGCTTGGCCGCTTGCAGCGCAATGGGCCCGTTGCGTGCCATCTGGCGCGCCAAGCCGATACTATCCTTGAGTGCCGACGAAGCGGCCAGGTGATCGAGGATGCCAAATGAGTGGGCCTCAATCGAGTCGACCAGGCGGCCCGTAAAGACGAGGTCCTTTGTCCGCGATGCTCCGATGAGGCGGGTCATCCTATGCGTGCCTCCCGCCCTGAAGTTAAGTCTGCGTTAGTATATTTGGGAAAGGGGGACAGGACATTTCGGCGGAAACAGCTCACCCGGGAATGATGCCCAGCTTCGTCTCTGTCAGGCCGAGCCTGTTTGCGTCTGGGCTTCCCACGCGAATGTCGGTGCACAGGGCGAGTTCCATCCCTCCGCCCATTGCCAGGCCATCGAGGGCGGCAATCGTCGGGCAGGGCAGCTTCGAGAGGTTGGTAAAAACCTTTCGTAATCTCGCCAGAAACTGCTCAACCTCGCTGATCGACATGAACTTGCGTTCTTTGAGATCTGCGCCTGCGCAGAATGTCTTGTCGACAGCAGAGCGAAGTACAAGGACCCGAATCGAGCTGCGAATTGCCGGTGAGTGCCGCGAGGCAGACCAGCACGACGGTGGAGACCCACGTGACGACGAGCACTCACTGGTCCTTCTTGACGTTATCGATCGCTTCATCGAGCTCGCCAAGCATCTGCTGGCTGATGGCATTCTTAGCTGCAGGTCTGTCAAGGGTGAGCACGCCAATATTTCCATCGTGGCCCTCGTCGCCTCCATTCTTGTCAGGCGAGGCCAAGTCGGAGAGACGCTCTAGGTAGGCCTGAGCCGAGCTGTTGGCCGCCGAGTAGTACCTGGGTTGATGAGCTTGAAGGCATGGCCGTCTCGCTAAGGGCTGCCTCAGCACCAACGACGACGCTGCTGTCCCTCGAAGCGCTATCATGGTGGTTGGTCTTCGAGCTATCATGGTGGTTGGTCCAACAGAGAGAGGGAGACCCCAAGAGGGACGGAGGTGGGACCGCGGAGGCCATTGACCGTGTGTTGCTTCTCCACACGTGGAAGAAGCTCAAATGGCGCGCACGAGCCATCAAGCAGGAAGATTCTCCAACGTGTTTCCCTTCTCGCCTCTATCGTCACTGGCTCAGGATGATGTTGCGGGAGCGCTAATCATGCTGCTGGGGCCAGTACTGAAGTGGCTAATCCATCGACTTCTACTGATTCGTCCAAACTGAAAGAGTGGTTTTGGTGACGCGTTCTTCTGCATGCCCATTATGCTAGACACGGGAAGGCCTGCGGGAGTGTCAGACAGGCGCCCAAGAGGACAAAGCGACCCAGTCGTTTCAAAGGCGAATGCTTTCTATGCTTTCATTTAACTGCGTGACTAAATGCGATGCTATTCCAAGTACAAAATCCTCACCCGTCGCCGGTTGCTTGCTGTGAGGTTGACGAGTCTGGCCTGTTGCTCGTCGCTGTGGGTGATGCATACTACGGCAAGGCCAGCGTGAATCATCTTGGCGAGCGTTGCCTCGACGAGCGCCGTCGTCTGTGCATCGAGTGCCGACGTTGGCTCGTCAAGCAGCAAGACACTGTCGCCCGGAACGGCGAGATGAAGCCCGATGGCGAGCGAGATGCGCTGCGCCTCCCCTCCTGACAGGCTGCTCCAATTCCGTGACCAGAGCGCTGCAGCGATGCCCCACTCGCGAGAGATCCCGTGGGCAGTCGCTGGAGTCGTCGCACTCTTGTCTGTATCTCTTTCTTCTTGCTCCTGCAGAGCCGACAAGGACTCGTCATCGATGTGCCATCCGGACCCTTGCTCTGGTCTTTGTGGTCTATCTAGAGCTGTCGCAGCTTGTCGCTCCTCGTCCCCTGCCTCGTCTAGTCTTGGAGCAGCGTCTCGGCGATTTGCTTTGAGGCCAAGCACCATCTCCAGGAACTCCTCGGGCGTCGCTCCCATGGCTGCAGGTCTCTGTGCGACGTAGATGACCTTTGACCGATACGCCGCCGACGAGGCCGATTTTGTCGACGAAAGTGACGTAGCCCACGCCCATCTAGCCTTTCCTCCTGCGACGAGCTCGTGCGGTTGCCTAATGCCTCAGTCTGTGAATCAGTGTTTCGTAAAGGGACGGCTACGGAGTAAAGTGAGAAGGTGGCGTAGGGACCATGACTCACCTGCCTCGATACCTGACCTGCGTGCTCGCCGCAGGGAATGGCTCAACGAGGTCCGCCAGCGCCTTGAGCAACGTCGTCTTGCCTCGCCCACTCGGGCCGCGAACCAGCAGCAGCTCGCCCTCGTGCAGGTCAAAGCCCAGATCGGTCCAGGGCGGCTGCGCCGATGACGCAGTAGACGCCGCGGCACTTGGCAGGCTCAGCCCGCGGACCGAGAGCAGCGCTGCGCCCACTGTGGCCCCCGAAGGCGTTGCCACAGTCGTAGGCGTCGTCATCGTCATCCGTTTCGTCTCGTGTGCAAGAAAACAATCGAAAAAGAGATACGGCCGAAGTGAGACTGAGATCCGAGAAGAATAAAAAAAGGGATTTCTTTGAGACTTGCCCCGTGCGCAATTTTGGCCGCGGGATCCTGGGTGGTGGACTGGAACCTTAAGTCCGACAAATGGTCGACTTCTTTCGATTAGGCTCATAGGCACAGGCCACTCTGTCCTGTTGCACAGGCCGGGCTAGAAAGCACAGAGTAGGTGGGGAGGAAGGTATAAAAAGGTGCACCCTCCTCGTCGTCCAACCTCCCCACAAACCATCCTGGTCCATCTCTTCCTCCATCCTTGCGTTCGCAGAACAAGAACCAATTGACAATGTCGCAGCAAGTGCCAAAAATCGTCACCGTGTTTGGTGCAACGGGCAACCAGGGGGGCAGCGTGGTCAAGCTCATCCTTGCGACCCCCGAGCTGCAGGCCAAGTACAAGGTGCGCGCGGTAACGAGGGACCGTTCCAAGGAGGCTGCCCAGAAGCTCGCCTCGTCAGGCGCCGAGCTCGTCGAGGCCAACCTCAACGACGTTTCGTCGCTCGAGAACGCCATCAAGGGTTCCTATGCCGTTTTTGGCGTGACCAACTACTGGGAGTCGATGTCCAAGGACACCGAGGTGCAGCAGGGCCGCAACATCGTCGATGCAAGCAAGGCTGCCGGCGTGGCCCACCTCGTCTGGTCCAGCTTGCCCAATGCGACCAAGGTCTCGGGGGGCCAGCTGAAGCACATCGAGCACTTTGACGGCAAGTCCGAGGTCGAGGCGTACGCCGAGCAGGTCAAGGGCTCGGACATGGCCGCCACGTACTTTATGCCGGCCTACTTCATGTCGAACCTCAAGAGCTACGTCCAGCCTGGTCCCGACGGTGTCGCGGCATGGGCCGGCCCGATGGACGCGGACAAGACAAACGTGCCGCTCATCGACACTGCCGTCGACACGGGCAAATTCGTCATCGGCATCCTCGAGGCTGGGCCCAAGGCCGCCGACGGAAAGCATGTCCATGGCGTCAGCGAGTGGGCCACGCCAGCGCAGCTCGTCAAGACGCTCTCCGACGTCACGGGCAAGCAGGTGCGCTTCAACAGCGTGCCACTCGACATCTTCAAGGGCTTCCTCCCGCCTCAGGTGGCAGAGGAGCTGGCCGAAAACATGGCCCTGATTGGCGACTTTGACTACTACGGCAAGCAGGCCAAGGCAGAGCAGGCCGACAGCGATCGCTTCTTCTATTCCGAGACGGGGCCAAAGGTGTCGCTCGTCAAGTTCATCGAGGGCAACGGTCCTTGGACCCTGTAATTGTTGTCTTCTCGTCCTCTTTCATGATCTCTCGCCCCTGTCTTGGACCTCGCATCTAGCAATTTTATTGGTGCCATACTGTACAAATCAGCGGTCTCATTCCTTTGCCTGTCCGCTCTGTCCCTCTGCCGGCGTTTCGCCCACCAATCCCATCTTGACGGCCAGGATCTTCGCCTTGCAATTCTGCCCGTATTCACTGTCAGCATCAACTGCTTGGCATTGTGCAGCTTGGGCCTACGCCGGGCCACTCACCCGCACGTTGTCCTGGGCACGCTCAATGCCGCCGTCCCGGGCTCGCTCGTAGGCCTTTGTTGCTTCTTCCAGCTGCTCGCCTGTGTGTGACACTTTTAGGGTCAGCTCCTGGCGTCCTTCGTGAGAGTCACTTCCGCACACTTACAAGCTTCCAAGACGGCGCCCAGATTGAATTGAATCTCTGCGTCGCCGGGTGTGATCGCTGCTGCTTGCCTGGGAGGTGTGCCGGTCAGCTTTGTTACGCATACATACACTCTCGCATCGCGTCTCGTCGTGTGACGGCAACTCACTTGAGATGGTCCACCGCCAAGTCGGGCCGGGTGGGGCTCGACATTACGTAGGCGCTTGCCAGATTCGTGTGGGCATCGGCCGCCTCGGGCGACAGCTCCAGCGTCCTTTTCCATGCCTCGATGGCGCCCTCGACGTTTTGCTCGTGGTAGAGGCAGACGCCCAAATTGAACCTCGCCGAAGCCGTCTCTTTGACCTCGATGCTGCGCTCGTAGGCAGCTTTGGCGCTCGCCACATCGCCCGTCTCGAGCGAGGCCGTGCCCAGCTCGAGCTGCCGCTGTGCCTCCTCAACGGCCGGATCCTTGAACGACGAGTGGGCCGTCGTGGCTTCGGCCGGCCGCAATGCGCTCGTGCTCAGTGTCTGTGTCCTCGGACTATGCCGCACAGCCTGCGCAGCTGTGGGTCGTGCGGCGCGGCCGGACGCTGATCCGATGCTCCGCAATGCAAGCCTTGCAAACTGTGTTCGCATCATCGAGGTCGATTCGAGCAGAGGAAAGAAGCTTGCTGATGTTTGGCTTCCTAGAAAAAGAAAGTTGAGGAAAGTGGCACGTGCATTCGGCCGACGTGCAGCCCGAGCAACTTCTTCTACACCCTTTGTGGGCGGCGCTTCCCATCCCCTGTCGACTTCGCAAGATGCGGCCTAGGGCACGATGAAGGGAGCGTAGAAAAGAGAGAAAAAACATGTCTTTGCAAAGGTCGGCCTATGCCTTCACCAAGCTCGCCAAGGGTGGCCCGCTTCGAGGCTCGCTTCGAACGTTGCGGTCAGGCAGCGCGCCGCTGCGCGAGGTGCGTGCATCGCAGCACCAGCACCCGCAGCATCGGCGTGAAGCAGGCTTCTTTACGCCCACTGGCCCCACGGCCCGGTCCGGAAAGGAGGGAGAGGAAGGTGAAGAGCCGCGCCAGCCCGAACGTCCCTCTTTCGATCCACAAAGACGGGTGTCAGACCGCGAGTACATGCTGCGCGTGGGCCGAGCATACGATCTCCTCCGGGGTACCATGCCCGAATTCATGCGCACAGGTCTGGTCGACTACGACTCGGCCTCAACCTCGTCCTCGCACGGCATGAGCCTGCTGGAGGCATTCACATTCCGCAGGCTGCTCAGCAACGATCGCAGCAACGAAGAGCGGCACAGCAAGGAAAAGCTGGGCGAGGAAGAGGATCTGGGCCTGGATCGCTTCAACCGGGCCTATCACCCGGCCATCCACTTCCGCTTCTGTGCCCACGTTCCCTCTTCACACTCGTCTTCGACAATGTCATCGTCGTCGCCCTCACTCTCGCCGTCAAATGGGGGTGCCCAAGGCGACGAGGACGCATCGCTGTCGTTCTCTGGACGCAGCCTGTACTTTGCGTCTGCGAGCGTGCTTCGCCACACCCTCAACGCCCTCTTCAGCGAGGCTCGCGTCGACGTCGAGCGCATTCGTCTCGAGAGAAGGGACGGGTCCCTGTGCAGCCAGGGTGGCGGCACCATGACTGGCGCAAGGAACCATGTGCTTCACCTTCGAGCCACATTCACGGGCAAGCTGCGAATGACAAGGGCGCCTCATCGCTACACGCTCGTCTTCAAGTACGACTTTGACGACGATACGGGTCTCATTTGTCGGCATACAGTCATGCGCATCGAGCCAGAAATTGGTAAGAAGGTGAGTGCTCAAAGATCCGGATTGATGAGCGATCACAACTACTTTGTGACTGACACGCGGCTCTACTACCGAAGCTCTGGGCAGGCTTGTCGACGGTGTGGCAGCGCCTTGCGGGCCTCGCCCCTCAGGAACCACATCCGCAGACGGCCCATGCGCACTGCAACGGACGCGTACGATATGTTCTAGAATCAGCGTCACCTCATCGAGGTGAGGTCCACGCCAGGCTGGTACTCTTGCCGAGAGCTGCACCGAGAGGACCAATCTCCCGTCAATCCCACCTTGAATCTTGATCCTTGTCGATCTGAGGATGTGGTCTCAGTCCGAAGAGATTCGACGGTCAAGGTGATCAGGTGGCTCTCCAAATCTCAACGTGAACGTCAGCTGCGAGTTCTAGTCTGTCGGTAACTTCGACTCCGTTGCAACAGGGCGTTCAAAACATTTCCTCGCAGCGAAAGCTCGAAATAGCGGAGGGTTCTGGTGTCAGTCGCTTTTCAAGGCTGGGCCAGCCTAGCAGCGCGCAAAATTCGCAGAAAAACATCTATCGATGTATTGCGGGGTCTTGCATTACACGTTGAGACCTTACAATCCTGTAAGAATCGCATGGACACGTTCTTCGATAACTCGATGCAACTAGGGCACGATGTCAGAATCTGTGGGTTAAGGACACTCCGAGATCTACAGCCTGGGCCCGCGATGGAGACCCGCCGTCGACGTGACGGCGTTGCTTCACATCGGCAACAGCTGCGTCTTCTCTACGTTTTACCTGAGGACGTATGCCGCTATCGGTGGCCAAGACGTCTCGAAGCTTCTTTGCTGGTGGTAGTAGCATTTTCTACAAGTTTCATGTCAGCTATCAGCTCAGATGAACTATCATCTATACGCAATAATTGGGGCTTCATTCTCATTCCACATTGACTCACCTGTATTCATGCTTTGGCTCGAAGGAATAGCCAAGATCTCTTCATAATGTCCGGATCGCTGTTGTCGTAGCCGTGAAAAATTCAGTACGACGAAGCCTCAGTGTCCAGTTGGGGACGACCGAGCGCTCTCGCCGCGTGCGGTATGCATGAGAGAGTGTCATGTTGCCGCCGGCAGGTGCGAGTCGAACAGAAAGTCGTCGAACCACGTCACAAAATCCCGCCCTACCTGTACGGAGGCGTCATCGAGCGTGGGCATGGTGAGCGCCTCACTACCTGCTAGTGGTGCCTGCTGCTGCGTAAGGGCTGGTGGCTTCAGGAGCGACGGGTCTGAGTTCTCTCCGTGCGACTGCTTGCCTTGGCCACTCGCGACGCTCGCCATGTGCATCGCAAAGGTGCATGGCACCTCAGACGGCGAGACCACAGCGGGCTGGACATGGCCGTGGGCGAGAGTATGAGAGGACGCGGAGCCGCGTTCTTCAAAGGACGACAGCAGCGCCGAGAGGAACCGTGCGTGGCTTTGAGGCGTGTTGTAGGCGGCGTTGTCCTGCGCAGCCGTCTCGTTGAAGGCGGTGACGACGCGCTGCACCAGGTCGCGGAGCGTCTCAACGGAGAGCCAAGGGGCGTGGTGGGCAATGCGGATAAGCTTGAAGGCGATGCAGCAGATGTACGATGCCGTCATAAACAAACCCCGTTGCCCATACCTGATGATCTGGACGTTGGCGGGGTCCACCAGGCAGGTGAGGTAGCCAATGACGGATTCGTAGAGGAAGAAAAAGGGCCTGTCAAGGGCTTCCAGCGTCCGAGGACATTTCTGCAGAAGCGTGGAGCACAGGACGATCTTTGCGTGTCTTTCATACACTGATGGAGAGCACGACGCGGGCAAAGGTCAGCAAGATAGCCACCAGGGTCAGTCAGAACAGAGGAGACACCCACGCTGAACCTTTTTCGACCTTGTTGACGTCGGCTCGGCGTGCGACCACGTCTTCGTCCACACGTCGACCTCCCACCGTATTCTCTTGAGACAGAGCTGTATCGCAGCAATGTCTACGCCCACCTTGCTGTCCTGAGTTGCTGTGGACCAGCCTTGCGAGAAGCGGGCGAGGAAATCTTGCAACTCCATCACGATTCGGCGCAGGCTTATCTGGCCCACAACGATGGCGTCGCCAGAGACCTTGTGAGGCGACAGGTGCCAGTCTGTGCAGTCGGCAAGCGCACCATTGACCGTTAGCGACGATCTCCGTCCAGTCTGGTGAGAGAGGGACTGCTCGATGAGCCAGAGGTTCAACCAGGTTCTAACGCAAAGCAAAGCCGTGGAGGCCGTCAGCGTCTTTCAATGGCACAAATGGCCTTGTATATGAAACTCACCTCTCTCGGATCCGCGCATTCCGGTGGCCGAGCTCATCGAGCGGCCCGACATTTCGAGACAAAATTGCCGAATGGAGGTCGAGCTCGGTGGCACATTTGATCGCCTCGCCGAGCATCGTCCACGAGTAGTCATTGGCCGAATCGTCGGTGCACGGATGGAACTGCACGTACAGGGCAAAGGCAATGACGATTTCGATGGAACAGTACCGGTCCACGATGACGATAGGACGGCACCGTGTCAAAAGATGATCCTGGAGTCGATTCGCAAGTCGGCAGGCGAGCTCACCCGAGCGATGCCACGCAGCCACCAAACAAACAGCGGTGAGCAGGGATCCATGATGGGTGACAAAGTCGTACGTGTGAATGAGGGGGTCTAGCATTGTGGCGATGGGATTGATGTGCTCCATAAAGAGGCGAAAGAGGTCACGAGCCTCTGACTCGGACAAAATCCCATTCGGCAGGGGTCCACACACCGACTCGGGTTCCCGTCTCGGCTCGTAGTGGTCGCGTGAGCGACGCATGAAGCCCCGCAACACGGCTGCTGGGCCTTCGTGCTGAGAGGCCGAGTCTTTGCGTACGTCTGAAGTCTCGGCCAGCAGACGGACGGGATTCAGGAGCTGGGGTAGGCCCATGCCGGTGTGGCGATCGGGCGAAGCGCTGCCGCCCCTCGAGGGCACAAAGAAGCCCAGGTGTTTGTCGTCTCCAATAACGTCGTTGTTGCCGCCAGCGCCGCTGGCTCCGCCATCGCTGCCATCGTCAGCTCTGTCCGTGGCCACCCAGGCTTGCGACAATGGTAGCAACACGTCTTCATCGAACGACGAGAGCATCTTTTTTAGTATTCGTTATCCAACCAGCCAGTAAGTGCCACTCACGAGAATCATGCGGACGACGAGGCGCAGGCGGCCGTCCGTTTGCCCACGACGGCTGACCTTTTCCCATGGGTGTCCTTTTCGACGCGTTTCGTACACAGTGCAGTCTCTTTCTCGCGCACCGATCGCAGGCTTGCCGGTGTGACGTGCCATCGCACCGGACCTTTGCGTCTCGGCAGGCAATGCATGACATTAGTCTCCGAGGGTGCGGCGGCGATAGGGCAGGACTGCCATGGTTCATTGTTGGAAAAGAAGTCTGACTCGGTGTTCTGTCGGGAGAGGACATCACAGGGGTAACGCGGCTGTGATCACCAAAAGGGCAGCGACGGCTTAATACGCGAGGTTGGTGTGGAAAGCGAGCAGCGAAACGCCGACAGCGACAGCCGCACACCGAAGGGGAGAGCGAGATGCGACGTGAGGAGCAGTTCTAAAGGCAATGAGATGGCAAGGGTACGAACTGCAAAAAGCGAGGCCGAACCAAGCACGCGGTACAGACACCCCGCACTCACTCATCGCGGGGGGTGGTGCAGGCACAAAGTACCCCACTGAATCTCGGACTTCGGCATGCCGGTGCCTGATTACGGCTAAAATCTGCGCGAACGGAAACAGTGCATTAATTCAATCGGCTCTCGATGCTCCCCCCTGCCTGGGCTCATGCAAACGCGTGTGCTACACTACACAGTACAGCACAAAGCTTGCCATTGTCCGCATGGAGCACGACGAGCCATTCAGAGTAATGACCTTCTCGCAGCTCCTCAGCTCTCAATTGGTGAGTCTTGCTATGGACGGGTGGTAGAAGAGAGCAGCAGCGCAGTCCGACGTTCGAGTGGTGTCACGGTACTTTTAGAAACTTCTTCTTGGAAGGCAGGCAGACATCATCAAGCAGACATTAATCACACGAGCGAGACTATACACATTACTTGTACAGAGGACTAAGCTAGAACATGAGAATGACATGAAGTGGTTGCAGGAACCTTAGAGCGTAAAGTAAAAATCGGGATGCTTGGTCCCCAGCTCGTCAAAGGACCTCAGACGGTCGTCCAAGGTCTCGTCGCTGTCGGCCCGTGCCCTCTTTTTCCGGTTCTCGTGCATAAAATAGAGGTCCAAGATGGCCACTAGCACGGTGAGGCCGATGAGGTTGCCGCACGCGCCAAGGGTGCCTCGGAAGTAGCGGGGCGAGTCGACAAAGGTATAGCCCGAGGCTAGGCCCCCGATCTGGCCGAACACGTTCTGCAGGGGGATGGACAGCGCACGGCGAGAGAACCCAACAGTGTTGGTGAAGAGAAAGGAGAGGGTGAGCGGGATCAGAGGCTGGACGCTGGCGTTGATGAGGCAGAGGGCAAACATCCGCACGCCAAGGCCATGGCTCACGCCAGCCAGGATGGCAAAACCGGCCGCAGACGACAGCGCTAGGCCCATGATCAGCGGGCCCCGCCACTGGAAGCGGTCGCTGACGATGCACCAAAAGTTGACCGAGAGAAAGCCGAGAAAGGCAATGGGGACCGTCAACAGCTGGCTAATCTCGGTGTCGAACCCGAGCCCGTTGACGATGGCCGGCAGGAAGTTGCCGTAGCCCGACGAGGACCAGATGACGCAGAAGTAGCACAGCCAGAGCAGGTAAGTCTCGGGCGACCGAAAGATGCTGAGCATGCCGCGAATCGTGAGCTTGGCGCCGGCAGTGTTCCGAGCCCGCATCGTCCTGGCGATGCAGAGAGCCTTTTCTTCCTCGGTGAAGAACTTCGTCACTTTTTCGGGCCTCGAGGGGTAGAAGTACATAAAGATCGGCCCAAAGACGATCGGCAGGAGGCCCTCGGTGAGAAAGAGGATCTGCCAGGGCTGCAGGGAGGCGTGGGTGTGCACCGAGGCACCATAGGCAATCAGCCCATTGAAGCTGCCTGCTAGGACGCCCGAGGAGTACCAGATGCCGGTCCTGGTGGCAATCTCTTCGTGCGTATACCATAGGGTGAGAAAGACGTTGTTGATCTGGACCAAGCCCTCGCTGGCGCCGATGAGGACGCGGAGCACCCGTGGCAGGACGTCGTTCCTGGACAGCAGCAAAAGGCACGTCATGGTGCCCCAGAACATGTTGGCCGCTCCGAGAATCGCCCAAGTCTCGACGTAGCCAATCAGGAGAGAGCCAACGGGTTGCATGACGAGGTAGCCGATGTAGAAGAAGGAGACGATGGAAGCGTACTGCAAGTTGGAGGCGTGGATGGCTTTTTGAAAACCAGCAATCTTGGCATTGCCAATGTCGCTGCGGTCCATGGACGAGAAGAAGTAGTTGAGGGCGCAGAGTGGCAGGATGAGAAAGTCGATCTTGCGTCGAACTCGTCTGTCCACCTCTCGCTCCTCGGGCGTGAGGTCTGGCAGTGGTGTGCCGACGTCGACAGCAGGCGTGGCGTCCAGCGTGGCGATGCGCTCTTCAGCGTTTCCCTTGCCCGCATACTTCTCGTCCATTTTGACACGCGCACGTAGGGATGGGCAGAGATATGACGATGGGGCGAAGACAAGAGGAGGAAAAGGCGGGGACGGTAAAGGAGCTGTGCAAAGGGACAGGGGACGAAGCGAGATCTCTATCGCGCGGCAGGTGTATTTATCACTTGTGCGGCGGAGAGCATCACCTACGTTGTGGGGCCCACTTGTCTGACATAGCCGTTCCAGGGACGAGATCAAGTCCGGGCCGCGAAGGGATGGAAGGGGTCAGAGAGCAATTTCGTCTGCCGCACCGGCCGTTGCGGCTCCTTGTGCGAAGACTTTCCCCGGGCTCGGTGTTGCGGGCGCAACACCGGTTCACGAAGCGACCGACGGTGTCGAGAAGGTGAAAGGCGAAAAGCGTGGAGAAGTAAGACCTGGCAAAATAGGAGCAACACCGAACACCGACAGGATCATCCGCACTTGCGCTTGGCCCCCCCCCCCCCCCGTCAATACCATACAAGCGGGCACTTCCCCAGTCTCCCTGCGTGCAGGCGGCACGAACGCGCGCCGAAAATTTAAGCTCAGGCGATCCGTATCGGTCTTCCGGGACGGCACGGTTTTGTCGGGCAGCTTGAGGAACCTGGAAATTTAAGAAGGGGGGGGGCTCAACCGAACGCTAGCAATCCTCTCCGCCATTGCAGTCATCCTTTGCACAATTATCGACCACCAAAACCACTGCCACAATGACGATCACCACCGCTGAGCATGAGAGGAGCACCAGCGCTGGACAGATCACGGCCATCGATACACGCAATGTAGCCGTGATGAAGGAGCTCGGCTATCTCGGCAAAGTGCCCGCCCTCTCCCTCTTGGCAGACCCACGGTTCAGCTACTACCTTTACGTGCCCAAGCGCTATGCCGAATTCACGAGTTGCCCCCTCATTGTGCTGGTCCACGGGAGCGGCAGAAACGCCTACGAACTGCGCGACTGGTATCGCGACTTTGCCGAAGAGCACGGCGTATTCCTGCTCTGTCCCCTCTTTCCCATCGGGTTTCTCGATGCAGACGACGCGGACAACTACAAGAACATCGCCTATCGAGGCATCCGATATGACGAGATTCTACTCCAGATGTGCCGCGAGGTCCAGAGTCGCTATCCTCGGGTCGATGTCGCACAGTTCTGCATGTACGCCTTTAGCGGCGGCGCGCAATTCGCCCACCGTTTTGCCTACCTCCATCCCAAGCGCCTCTCCACCCTACTGTGTGGTGCACCTGGCACACAGACCATGTGGGACGAATCTCAAGCGTATCCGCAAGGCACCCACGATCTCGTCACCGTGTTTGGGCGCTCCGAGATCGACTGGGACGCCCTCCGAAGGGTGCCGACCGTGTTCCTCTGCGGATCCGAGGACATCGACGATTCGTGGTGCAAGCTCCGTGGTCGACCACCGCTGGGCCCAAACGGACGGCTGGGGGCGTGCAAAAGGCTGGCCCGTTCCTGGGAGCTCCATGGCGCCAAGACGGAGTTTATCGCGATTCCCGGGGCCAAGCACGAGGAGCATAAGCTCATACCCACTGTGACGACCCTCTTTCAACGGTGGCGGCGATCACTGGAGACACAGGGGCCACACGAGGCGCAACCGGGCGAGGCGATGCCGCATTCGGCGATCTATACCATTCCTAGCCTCCCGCAAGAACCGCGACTGTAAATCTCTTCGTAGCAAAGGTGCAATAGGCCGGCGGAGCCTCGACTTTTGTCTATTGTTGTGAGGATACGCTCTGCTTGCATTTACCGTAGCGAACATTGCGCGCCTCGAATCACCTCTTACTTGCAACTGTACTGTACAGTGTGGGAGGATGAAAAGTCGTGCGTGCGCGGACGCGTTGTCGTTGTCATCGTCGTTGTCGTCGTTGTCGTTGTCGTCGTTGTCGTTGTCGTCGTTGTCGTTGTCGTCGTTGTCGTTGTCGTTGTTGTTGTTGTCGTCGTTGTCACGCTCTTTGTTCTTGATGCAACTCTGCCATCTTTATTCCCTTTGTTCTCCATGTGTGAAGCTCGTAATGACCTATAATCTGAACAGCATGAGAGCTGTTGCCCCGTTCCATCATCCCCCAAACTTGGTTCGTCAAAACTCTCTCTACAGCAAGCTGTTGGCAGTCATCTATCACCAGGCAGGATACTCTTACAAAGAAATTTCTGAGGCCAGCCGGATACCAGTCAGAACAATCCCAGACATCATCAGGCATTTTGAAGAGCATGGCACTGTCGAGTACCCCAAAAGGTCTGGCTGTCCAAAGATCATGTCCACATGCAGTGAGAGGGCTCTGCTCAGGTCCATGAGGGAGAACAAGGCTTCAAGAAAAAAGACAGCAAAACAGCTGGCCAGTGAGTACACAAACCAGACTGGCGACTCTATCAGTGCTTGCACAGTCCGCAGGATCCTCAATGCACACGCTGTGGGCAAGCATTGAGCCAGAAAGAAGCCAAAACTAACTGAGGTTCACTTGAAAGCACGGCTTAGATTGGCAAAAGAGCAGAAGGACTGGACCATCAAAGACTGGAGAAAATTTTGTGGTCAGATGAGACCAGTGTTGGTTGAGAGAAGGAAGGAATCGAGTGGGTTTGGCGCTCAGCAGGTGAAGCAGTGAAGTACGATTGCCTGCAAGACACAACAAAGAGCAGCAGGGTGTCTGTGATGTTATGGGGATGCTTCCAAGCAGGCGACAAGGGAGTGCTGGCCACTACCCCCCCTGGCTCACTGAACAGTGTGAAAAATACTGCCATCTGCTTCAGCAACGGCTCCTTCCTTACTGGAAGAGGTCCCCCGAGGGTACTACGCTCCAGCAGGACAATTGCCATATCCATACTTCAAGAATAACGCGCGCATGGCTTCAAGAACAAGGCATCAAGACCATGGAATGGCCAGCACAATCACCAGACCTGAACCCCTTCCAACATGTCTGGTCAGCGCTCAAATTTAAGATGCATGCCAACCATCCTGGCCTCTGAACCGCTGAAGGGACCCCCCGAACTGTCCTCACTTGTCAATACCTGCGCAAAGGATGCCTGGCGGTCGTTGGAGTCCTCTTTCTTCGAAGTCTTGGTTCAATACATGCCAAGGAGGGTGGCTGCTGTGATCAAAGCAAAAGGTGGTTCAACAAAGTCCTAGATCTCCCAAACTTTCAGGTTACCTTCTTCGTCTCATTCCCTACAGTGAACAATCTTTTTATCCTCATTTTGTATGGTAGATCTCAGAGAACGAGACGCTGAGAGATTCATGCTGAAAAAAAAATGTGAAATTTCTGATGACGATGAGACGATGACGAGTACGAATTTTGCCCCCCCCCCCCCCACTGTACTGTACAGTACATCCTCATATACACACTGCCGAAAGCAAGAGGCCAAACATTCACTCTCGAGAAAAATTTGATTCATGAAGATATTATGCTGCACCCCGCCGAAGTCCCTCTAGACCACACCCAAATCTTACAAGCCTCTTGTCTCCCCAAACTCACGAAACACCTCTCCTCCTACCTCTTTTCGAGGACGCCCCCGCCTCGTTCGGAGTCCTCGAGCTGTTAGTTTATGATTGCCAACAATGTAGGAGGGAGTCTAGATTGTGCCAGGCCAAGATTGTGGCCTCCATGAAGAAGCTTTGCCAACGGGTTTTACGGCAGTCGTGACAATCCTGCCAGCACCATTTCCAATCAAGCGCTGCACCTTTTGAGGTCCCGAAAGCACCATCAAATGATCGCCTGTTGCGGTGTGGAGAAACCGAGACCTAGAGACAAGAGCTTGCTTGTCGACGATGCGCCGAAGGGCAAGATTCAGCTCATTGATGTCGATGGAACGTGGCGATGCGAGGCTTGAGGTCTCGTCCTGCGGTCCTCCACCGTCTCCATCTTCCGAACTCGTCCTCGACGTATCCATCACGACATCGAGCGACCGGGTGCGCCTCTGATCGAAATCAATTTGTTGCTGGCAAGTTCCGACCGTCTTTGCACCTCTGCGTCCTGCTGCTCCCGAATGAGTCCGAAGCATGACCTGAGCTTTCAAAAGCTTATCCATGTCAACTCTGCTGTCTTGTTCTGCTGCTTGCATTCCCGGCATTCGATAATTGGACCGACTGAGGCACAGGCTCTCTGGCCGTTGTCGGCTAGAAGGAACTTCCCGACGAAGCTGGCCATGAACATGCTGAGCGGACGGCAGCGCAGTCGTGCTCGAAGAACTTTCATCGTGTAAGAGAGTGCCATCTGCTTTCTGTTCCTCAGAGCAGGACCGGCTGTCGTGATGTCGTTCAGACGAGCGAGAGCGACTGCGTTTCATAAAGGTGGCCACGGGATTCGCACCTTCTTCCTCAGGAAGATCGGCCCAAGAGACATGCTTGTAGGCGCTGCTATTTTGAGCGAAGCTCTGGACAGACGACGCCGAGCAGGGAGATGCAGCTCGGACAATCCCATCTGCTTTTCTCGTCAAAGCTGGCGAAGGAGGCTTGAGGATACCTTGGATGGAACGGTACGAATGGTGGTGCGGGGAAGCTGTGTGTAGGTAAAGGCTTGGGCTGCCATTGATGAGGATCGCCTTGACAGTGCGCGAGCGACGCTGCTGTATGGAGCGAGGATCTTTCTTTTCGTCAGCATTGCTATCATCAGCCAGCGGACAGAAGCAGGAGCTGCAAAAAGCTCGCAAAAGTTCGAGAAGCATGCCGGATCGATGAAGGCGTGAGTAGAGAGATAAGAGCTGCCAATGAAATCCCTTTGGCCACTACAGAGGCAGGATTGATTGAGGCCAAGAAAGCCCCGACATGCTGCACAACGCAGAAGGGAGAACCTGAGTGCCGCCCCGAAAGCGTCAAAAGCCATTTTGTTACATGAGCCTGTCAAAGAAGGACTTTGATGGTGAGTAAGGAACGACGTCTTCACTTTAAAAGTGGCTTGCCTGATCTCGCTGATCAACATTGATAGCAACAGTGATATCGCCCCTCCCCTTCAACCACCCCCCACTCCAAAAAACTCGCTTCAAAATCCCTTTCATCGGCTTCATCGGCTGAAAGGGCGTTTTGCAATGTCTGGCGTAGTAGCGCCGCTTTTGAAGAAATTGGCGGGAGAAATGGACTCGCCTCCGTAAAACTTGAAGCTGGCGTCGAAATGCAACTCGAGGCATTAGGCACCAGGACGCCAGCGCCCATGTCTTCGATTATGCTACTGTGGGCGAGCACGCGCCTTTGCTGCGTCTTGGCGAGGATGCCGCCCTTCTATAAAGTTGGACAGGCTGTCTTGAACCCAAAAAAGAGCCAACTCTCTCAACCACCCTTCGATGCCTGCTAGCAGCCTCACCTTTCTTGCAGGATGTATGGTTACTTGCTCTTCTACTACCTCATCGCAGCAGGGTCATGGGCCTACGACTTTGAAAATCAGTCCTCAGGCCATGCGATACTCTATAATATCAGCTCCCTCGGCCAAACCCCGAGGAACGTCGACGAGCCTACGAAAGTTCACTACGAGCAGAAGATCGACATCAAGGAGCCCACAGACAACCGGCGTGGTAGTGTCTTGACGCTCATGAACGGCAATATACATTCGATTGGAAACGTCGGTGGAGTCAGCGCTCTCGGGTGGAGCGGCACCCGCTACAACGAGACTGTCGGACAGCCGGCGACCGAGAACCACGGCCTGTCGGGGGTATGGCTCGCGTTCACTTCCTCGCAGGCCATCGCAGGGGGATATTCGCTGACTTCCAAGGGTCTCACCACGTCGAATAACGTCAATGTGGGGAACGTGACGCTCCGTTCCAACTTTACCCTGGCTCTTCCCGAACAAGAACAAGGAGAGGAAACAGGTCGACATCATGGCAAGACAAGGTCAGCCTCGCAATTGAGCTGGGGGGGCAAAGGTACGAACGAGACGCTCGAGAGTAAGGAAACGGATTCGCGAAGCCGTTGGACTTTTACGTTCTCGTTGCCTAATCCGAATTGTCAAGCCTCGACGAACGAGAACGGTGAATGGACGATGACATGTGTTGGCAGGGCATAGGTTAGAAGAAGACCCTACAAGATATCTAGGCCTTACACAGAACAACAGTCGTCGCTGAGCATGTCGCACCAAATGTACAAAGCATGAAAAAAATATTGAAACCTATCTACAAGAAAGGCTGTGCCTACAAATGTGCTACAGTAGCCCCACAAAGAATCACCGTTTCCTACAGCTATGGAAAATAAGTAACACCCTCCGCGCATTTTGACCATTTCGAAGTCAAGCACTCTTACTCATTTTACTCTCGTCACAACCAAGCTGTAGACCTGAGACCTAGCATGAAGCCTCCTCTCACTCTATGCAACACCCACTGGAAGGGAGAGAGCCTGGAAGAGGCGTGGAGAGGAGTTATCGAGGAAAGAAGACAGGACTGTAAAAGTAGGGAGACGCGCCGAGGGTGTTACTTTATTTTCCATAGCTGTATATTGCGGAGCCTGCTTCGAAAGGTTGATGGGCGCGCTTTCGAAAACTTAGGCGTCTGACCAGAGGGCCGCTAATCGCGCGGAGGAACGGTCGCCTCCACCTGAGCTCCTTCATCCATCAACATGAACGCAAAGAAGGCAGTTGCTATTGTCGGTGTAAGTAACAGATATGTGTGTGCTACCGAAGTGGGAGTTGGGTCTGACGGCAGAAATCACTCTTCAGGCTGGCCCCGGTCTTGGTGCAGCGCTGGCCGAGACGTTTGCGCGAGCGGGCCATCCCGTTGCGATTGGCGCGCGCACGCTGAGCAAGCTTGAGACCCTTGCCGCATCAATCAACGAAACGACGCAGGGCAGCGGTAGTCCCCAAGTCAAGGCTTTCTCAGTCGATGCAACAGACACTCGATCCGTTAGAGACTTTGTGAAGAAGGCATCGGGAGCGTGGTCGGCCGACACACATCTGCACATCGGCGTGTGGAATCCAAACACGGGCTTCGGCATCCGTCCATTCCAGGAGTGGACCGAAGCGCAGGTCAACGAGGCGCTGCAGGTGCAGGTGTAGGTGTTTTTCCCTTGAAAAACCTTCAGTGCACTGATACGAGCTTTCCCTTGACGCAGCCTCGGTACCCACGCCTTCACGCAGCAGTTTCTGGAGACCCTGGGTGAGCCCACATCGGACATCTCCGCGCCCTCTCATCGGGCCACACTCCTCTACACGGGCGCGACAGCTGCTCACAAAGGGGCCGCTAAATTTGCGGGCTTTGCCGCTGCCAAGGCCGGTCTTCGCATGCTCGTGGAGTCGCTTGCAAGGGAAAAGGGAAAGCAAGGCGTGCATGCCTGCCATATCGTCGTTGATGGGCTCATCGACACAGAGCATGTGGCAAAGGCGATGGGACCTGCCTCTCATCCAAACCAGGTGGGTGCGGACTGGGGTCGTGCTGAAGGCAGATTTTGACAGGCTTGCAATTTTCAGCGCATCAATGTAAATGATCTCGCTGCGCAGTTCTACCACATCCACCAACAGCCCATGAGCGTCTGGTCTAGCGAGCTTGCTGTCAGGTATGTTGTCTGTTGCGAAGAGCAAGGCCTGCACTCAGCTAACTATCACGGGAACATAGACCTTTCAGTGAACAGTGGTAGGGAGCAGTGGTTCCTCTTCTGTACGAGAGCAACAAAAAGTCTAATCCTTATCCACATGTTGAGGCTCGTGTGCAATAGGTCATGGTTATACACAAGCGGATGTAACGGAGACGATATGCACACGTTTGCACGTTCGCGAAGTGTTGCAGATATATGGCCAGGAACGGCTATTCGCTTCTCTCGACGAGCAGTCGAGGCTTGTTCGTCAGGAAGCTCGGGAAGCAGCACAATCTGACAGTGTAGTGGAAGCCTCTTACCGCTTATAAGGGCTTTGATGGCTCGAAGGATCTGTTAATTAGCCGAAGACCCCAATCCTCCTCCACAGCATCGTCTTTCTATATGACGTTGAGCCATTTCGTATTAAAACGGCATCGCTGCCGGCTCTCCACATGATAATCATACATTGGCTGGGGTCATTGGTCTCTTCATCGACATGAGAGACTTTCTTTCGACGTCTTTAGCCAAAAGTGTCCATCTCAAAGCGTCATCCAGTATCCGAGCATCGAGGGGGGTTTATTGGCACCTGGAATACAATAGTCGAGCCTTGAAGACAAGCATGTCCAAGTAGAGCACCACAATACTATTATACCGTACATGTACAGTACACTGTGCTGTAAAATGCAGTACATGTGGTACAGTCCGAGCGCATCACTGGTGATTTCCCGCGATGCAGCTTCAGAAGATCACCGCTCTGCTGCCGGTAGATTCGAAAATTAAGCTTCTAGATGCTCGCGTCGTCAACTTAACCTCGACCGATAATCGGCCGAAAGGTCTCTCTCAGGCACCGTAGTGTGAATTGAGACCACGAGGTCGCCCCTGCTCCTCCCCTTTCCACGATGATAAGCATTTAAGACGACCACCTTTCCCATCCCGTAGCGAGAACAACACAGAATGTCGGCAGCGCTGCCGCAAGGCGAAGAAGCGTTGGTACGCAGCATCGACCTCACCACCGCCATTGGTTCGTCGATGTTCACCTTTGTTCTTTGCGTTGAGCTACTCTATCTCCTCTTTTCAACGTCAGCGGCACGGCGATCACTTCTTTTCCTGATCAATACCTTTTCGTTCCTCCTCGCCGCCGTTTATTTCATCCTCCTGGCAAATCGCGCCACTTTGATGATTCAGGTGCTCGTTGGCGGTGATGCGTCGCGTAATGTCGACCTGGCCACCCACATCACCGTGCACACCTTTCTCTCCCTCTTTGCGCCCCTGGTTGCCGAATCGACCCTCACCTTCAAGCTGATCGCCTTCTACCCCTCCTGGCACGCCTCGCGTATCAAGAGGCTCGCAATAATCGGACCCTATGTCATCATCCTACTCGTCCGCCTGGCTGCGAGTTTCGTTGTTCTCTGGGCTACTATCAAGACGGACATCGAACCAGCCAAGAAGGGCGTCGATCTCTTCGACTACACGGCCTACAATGAAGGTCAGATTGTCCGTCTCGTTGATTCGTGCCTTCAACTCGCCGGGTCGGCCTACGTCTCGTTCCTCTTCCTTCGACGCTCTTTTCTCTACCACAGGAGGACCCAGCTGTCGGTCTCCTCCTCTCTTGCTTCCAATTCGACGTCGCCCCCGGTTAAGCGGCGGCTCCGCTTCTTCGTCGAGTCTGTCTGCATGACCTTCATCCCTCCAGTGTGCCTACACATTATCATTGTCACAACACTCAATTACGACACTAGGCGTTCTGAGTCGGCCCTAACGTGGGCTATTGCCTTCAACGTCGCTTTCTCCTACGCCTTTAGTATTCTCGCTACCAGCTGGTCAACAATTAGAGAGACGCGCTCCTCCGCTACCATTTCGAAATCCTCGTCATCAGTCAGGCCCGTACAGAGAGGAATTCTCACCGAAATGGATGAAGAAAACGTGCCGTCGACAACCTCGCTGCGGTCAATCGCGATGAAAAGATCTCCATTGCAAGGGACTGTGTTGGGCTCTATTATTGGAGTATCAGTGCATGACGATGACGAGGGAGACGATGACAACATGGAGATCATCGAATCCTACCAAGAGAGTTCATCGCAGCCCGACACACGGCAAAGACGTCGATGGAGATAACCATCAGTTGTTCACGCTAGCCTGACGTCGTAGTTCCTCGATCTTTTTTCTTCTTTGTGCCTCGACAAGACATGTTGCCTTGATCAGCTCTCCCGTTTATCATTTTTCTTTCGACTCACTTATCTGTGTGCGCGTGCTTTTGACGCCCGTCTCATTTTGACCATGCCTAGACTGTGCTCAAGAAATGATAGCAACATTCAGACTGCAACGGCTAAGTGCTGCAAACCACGTTCATCTCGGGCTTTGAAGACTCGCATTGGCGGGCAAAGTAAACAAAGAATAAGAGGACAGAAGCTGGAGATAGAGATTAGACTTGCGGAAACCCTTGTGCTGAATTGTGGCTCGAGGACGGGAAGAAGAAAGGACATTAGGAGCGGGTGCTCTTCACTTGTAGAGGTCCTTGTGCTGTTTCTTGAGCAGATCGGCTCCCTAAAGGAAGAAAACTTCCGTAAGTAGGCTTCGGTGGCACTGTTTTGGGTAATCACTCACCTTCTCTCCCACCATGTAGACCGAGTTCTGAATGCGGCAGTCAGGGATGATGGGAATAACGGAGGCATCAACGACTCGGAGGTTCTTGATGCCGTGTACCCTCAGCTCTGGGTCGACCACGCCCTGCTCAATGTTCTTCGACAATCGATTGGTGCCGCAGGGGTCTGATTTTCCTTCAAATCAGTTTTTCTTTTCACTTCGCATTCACCATTGCAAAACTTACGAAAAGCGGTCTGGCTCCGATCAAGCACAGCCCTCTTCATGTCTTTATCAGAGTCAAGAGGCATGTCCCATGGGTACTGGTCAACGACCACGTCCTTGAAGCCATCGCCCTTGAGGAGGAGGTCATAAGTCCACCGAATGCCTTCGCGCATGGCGATAATGTCGAGATCGTCAGCGAAGAAGTTGAGGTTGATATTGGGCTGCACGAGAGGGTCAGCGCTGTTGAGCTTCACCTCGCCACCCTCTGAGACAGGCCTGACGAGGTCGACAACGACGGAGGTGTAATTGCCTTCCTTTGGAATGGGGTAGTGCCACTGGAACGCACTCCCAAACATGCAGACGAAGTCGAGCTCGAAGTGAGGCTGGCCCTTGGGAGAGAAAGGATCGAGACCACTATTGTTGGCCTTTGCCTCGCGGTACTCCGGAACTTTTTCCAGGTAACTGTCAATGCGAGGAAATCCACCAATTTCAAGCAAACTCGAGCCCATTGGGCCCGTCTTGCTTTGCTTGTATGTTGAGACGACCGAATCATGGCGCGGACCCGGTCGGAGCAGCTCGTCTTCCATGCCAAAGCCTTCTTTCACGCGCAGCACAAAAGGCACGGCCGGGTGATCGAGAAGGTGCTGGCCGACATGGCCGGAGTCGACGATAGTTTCGATCCCGTGTCGAGAAAGCTCGTCAGAAGGACCCACACCACTGAGCATTAGGAGCTTGGGCGACTCGAAGACGCCTTGGGAAAGCACGACTTCACGTGTAGCATAAAAGCTGAGCTCGCCTCCCGACTGGTCAATGACGGTGACACCTTTGCACGTGTGCGACGCCTTCTCGATAATAAGCTTCTTCGAGTGAACGAGCGGCAAGACAGTGACATTTGGCTTGTCCTTCAGAAACAGGAAGCTTCCTTGGCGCTGGCCCTTGTAGATGGTGTTGACTGTATGGGTGAGGCCGTTCATTTCCCCATCAAAGAAATCCTCAGACAGAGGCTCTCCTTTGGAAATCCAAGCCTTGGTCAAAGCCTCGCGGAATGGTTCGATCTCGGGAATGAGCTCGGAATGAGACACATCGACGGGTCCACCACCACCGATCTTCTTGAGAGCTGGGTCGTAAAGTCCCTTGTCGTCGTGGTAGGTGACACTCTTGCGCAGATAAGGAACCAGGTTCTTCCACGTCCAGTCTTTGCCACCGTAGGCTTCCCATTCGTCAAAAGTGGCCTTGCAGCCGGGCAACCAAGTGAAATAGTTGAGCGAAGAACTGCCGCCCAGAGCTTTACCACGCGTGTTGGGCTTCTCGACGCGCTCGTAGTCATCGCGCTTGATCATCGTCGTCTTGTAGGCCCAGTCGTGCTTGCTACTACGCAGATCCATAGCAACAGCGGGCGTTCGGATTTCCTCGAGATCGATTGAGTTGGCGACACCGGCCTCGACAACGAGGACGCTAACATTGGGGCTCTCTGCCAAGCGACCGGCGACAACATTCCCGGCAGTGCCACCGCCGACGACGATAAAGTCAAAGTGTGCTCCGTTTTTGGGTGCGACCATGTTGTTAATTCTTGAGGATGTTGTTGAGAATAAGGAGGTCTTCATGGACTTTTCCCTCGGGTTTTTATCCCTTTGCAGAGTCTTGTTTTGATCTCTTTCGATTCGGTTTTACGTAGCCATTTCGGCAGCAAATACCCCGCCCAGTGATATGTGCTAAAGAGAAGCCCGTTAACGGGCTTCTCAGGCTGTGATCGTTATAGTGGCTCATGGTGACGGGCAACGCAGGTAGCCCGAGGCAGCCTTATCGTGTATAAAACTGAAGGTCACGCTGGAAGTAAAGCTCAAAGTGTGCCCGAGCCGCTTTAAAGGGCCCGATGCAAATGGCCCGAGGTGCGAAGTCCCGATGGCCCGAAGCATTCAGCCCGATGGACAAGCAGCGGCTTGTTACAAGGAACGTGGAGCCGGTCCAATGGTAGATTAGAGGACTGGGTTCATGCTGAAACATGTAGAAGCTGGAACCGGGCAATGGCGAACGGGCGAAACGATACTTACTTCTCGTTGGAACGTGGTCATCGTACTGTACTGTACTGTACTGTATTGTACTGTACAATGGAATTATAAGAAAATGCAGCAGTAGATGGAATTTGTTTCACCTTCGGTAAAGCAATAAGACTGATACCAGTGCTTTGCCGGCTTTGCGGCAAGCAGTTCAGATAATTCAGGTGGTATGCATGCTGGCAGCATTGGTGTGTGACTTCGCACTCGTACAATGCAAAACGGGCCATGCAAGAGCTCACTTTTACTGTTTTCAGCATAGCATTTGAAGATTAATGTATCTAGAAGTCAGTCAGAACGAAGAGAGGGAGTGAGACAATAGTGCGTGATACCGGCAGCGTAGGAAACCACAACAACTCTATGTGAGAGATAGTCAACCAACCAACGCATCAATTGCGGCTTGCAAGACTTGCTCGAGCTTTGCACTCTTTACTGGCGTGAGCACCCTCTCAGAAGTCGAGTATGCATTCGAGTACATCAGTCTTCTCGATATATGGCGATCGTCGTACACTCGTAGACAATTGCTTCATACGCTACAAGAGTCTCGCCAGCGTGTCCATTTTCGACAATTTCGGTCAATTTAATGCCGAGCTGCGCTCGCTACCGTTCGTTCCTTCATAGAGAAGATGCAAAGGTTGCCCATGCAAAGGTTGCCCATATGGCTTTTCGAACGAGCCCAAGACTGTACCGAACCGTTCGTCCCGGCTGCATCGCCCAAATTGAGACTACATAGGTGCACGACCCACACCTTTCTACACCCGCGTATTCGTACGAAACCAGCCAGATTCGTCTATATCTAAACGCTTGAAGTTACTCAAATCGGACAAACGGTTGATAGGGCACCATGTTGCACGGATGAAGCTAAGCGTAATGGGAGCAGGGGTGTTGAGTTAGTATTCATGGGCAGACACTGCTCCAGAGCTTGCCAGCTTGCATGAAGGAAGAAGCAAGCATAAAATAACATGCAAACCTAGGCTCATACGTCCTTAAATGCATCAAGATGGTGGCGGCGGCGTCCCTCAAGGCACGCATTTACAGATCACTTCAACTGCCGAATTGGACAAATTGCATTTTCTGAAGAGGAGAGAGCGCTGAGCCAAAGTGCATCTCTTCACAAGGAAGGCATTAAAACGTGCTTGCCCTTGCGGACTGGTTCTCATCGCCTCAAACTTTGAGGCGGGGCCGTCTGCGACCTCTGCAAGGTGACCGAGGCCGACTTCGGTCACGCCCCGACCCCATCAGGCTCGTTCGTCCTCGGGCCCGCTTCACTGTAAGATCACTTGCACTGGTCAGAAACACGGAGGGTGTTGTCGAGTCAATGGCTGCGAGGTCCAATTTGGATCGGGGTGGACGGTTAAAATTCCGAAAGGCCCACTCAAAAGTGACCAAGCTTTCGAGATCTTTCAAGGAACCTCAGGAGTCCTCATGAAATGCTCTACGGAGAGATCGGAACCGTTCCCCAAGACTTTCGGAGCCGTTTCGATTGAATTTCGGGGCCGTTTTCCTCGACAGGTCGTTGAAAGAACATGATCTAGCCTTGGGACAGACGTGACAGCAACAAGATGTGCTCTAGACTAAGGCACATTAGTGTGCGGACGCTGAATCTCAAATAAGCAGATTGATTTGATTTGCAGGCCTCAAAGCTCACATCGGGTACATGAAACAAGGAATCTAGGCCTCTTATCGCCAAGATTGCGTTATTTGTTGATCTGAGCAAGCTACAGTCCCCGCATCGGCACCATAGTGCCCACGTCGGCAGAGGTAGACTCGCTTCATTTATCGTTCACAAAACGACTTTGACTGCTCGTTCCACCCAGCAAAGGTCAAAACAGATTCTGGACCCTAACTTTCAATGTCCGACTCCTATCACCTGCAGGAACTTATAGCCGCGGGCCCGGGAAAAAGAACACTTCAGCGAGAGTTGGCTACAATCTAAGCAGTAGTAGTTGCGGTGCAATCTCGGTCCACCTGCATTCTGCCCACTTGTCTCGATGCATGCCTCTGCTCGGCTGTTCTAGAGCCGAAATGAGGTGTGGGAAATGAGCCCTAATGCGATTGTTTTGCTCGAGACACCATATCTGCAAGTCATATGGTACTTCCACACCAGCTAAATTCTATTTATACTTTACGTACGGTACACTACAGTACACCATTACAGATAATCAAACACTTCCCAGTTTAGGCAGCAGCGGCACTACTTTATTTCTAGTATTCTTAGCGGAATGAAACCATCTTATACGCTCAGATTTGCACACGAAAGCTTCATGCATATGACGTTGTGCAGTGGTCGGGTGTCCAGCTCGCTTGCTAGCCTGGAGGCACTGTGGGATCAGTGGTTAGGAGCACCGAACGTGCGGAGCTTGAAATGCAGTCCTTCATGAGAGACAGCGGATGTGAACCATATGAAAGAAGCGGTGTTATTCAAGAGAAACAAAGAAAGGGACAACATGGCTAGTTGCCTGAGCATTTGGTACTGTTGAGCTGGTTACATGAGCATAAACGTCTCTGAGAACTTCGACTCAATTTTCACAGGGCGACTGGGAATGAAGAGCGAAGTTTTGTTGGCGATAAGGACAAAACCACACGGACGAATTGTTGTTCCAATGGCACTTGTCTAGAAGCTGCAAGAGGCCCATCTTCAAAATCAGCAGTGAGCGGTAAGTTGATGCGGAGAAACGAATCAGTGTGACCAAGCGATGATATTTATAGCCATAGTCACTCTCCGGCATCTAGCAACTCGTAATTTGTGATCGCGGAAACCATCCACCATCACCATGTCCCTGCCAAATAGCGCCGAAACAGACATTTACTCATCGAAGAAGAGCGAGGGCCAAAAGAATCGAGTCGGCGTCGCTTGCACGCGGTGTAGAGAGAGGTGAGGTCTCTCGGCCGGTATTCCTTTCGTTCAGAATTCATTTGGCACTTTTTGCTCGACAGGAAAGTACGCTGTGACGGAGCGAGACCGAAGTGCTCTCAGTGCGAACGAAGCGGAAGAGAGAATTGCATTTACATGAGAGTTAGCCCAGCTGTCACGGATGCGTCGCGAAAGCGAAAGAGAGATCTATGGCTGCGGCGCTCTATTGATCAGCTTCTACAAAGCGGAAACCTTTCGAGGCAGTCGTTAGTACGGCCGTCGACGTCATCTAGGGTAGCGCAGGAGATGAGGCCAGCATATCCTACTTCTGTGGCAAACGGTGATACAAATACAATTGATGCCGTCCGTCGCCGTCACAGTGCAACTTCGATCCTTGAGGCGCTACTGGCGAGTCGCGCTACCGCGACGGGCTTCATTGGATCAATTCATGACAATAACACTCAAAGTGGGCACCTCGAAGATACTCTAAACCTGACCAATTGCACCGAAGTCGCCACAACTCTTCCACAGAGCGCTGCAATCTCATCTATCACTTTGCGCGACAAGAATACGTCGGACCGTGCACCAGGATGCCTACAAGCTACACTTGGCTGTACAACCTCTCCGGCCGAACAAAGCGACATCCCTTTGCTCTTTGGCAGTGTCTCGTCCTCGCAGCAAAACATTTCGAGAACCGATCCGCCTATGCTTGACCTCAACCACAACATCACAAAATCAAGCCCAAATTTATGGGACACGCCTGCTTCGAATCTATCGGGAGCCTGGGAAGACATTTTCAGCCTTGATGACCTTTCCTCGCCCAATGCGTTGGGCCTGTTCCCTATGGATCAGAGCAGCATCGGCGACAGGTCGAGTGCGATAACAGCAGCGTCGACCTCATCGTCCGTATTCAGCGGCATCAGCGGGTCTGATAATACGAATATGTCCTTTCAGACTGGAGAAGTTGAAGCTCAGGGAATGCGGCCGTCGCCCGATGCAGCCTTGATTGGGTCGAGCTTTGACAAGGGCACACACACGCGACGGCGCGCTCACACCGACGGCGCCTGGGCATCATCTCAATCATTGGGTCCAACTACGTCCCTCAGTCTTCCATCGACATCGGGCCAAGGGCCTCCGTTCTGCGCTCCTTCTGCCAGTTCAGTTTCGTTCCCCGGTAATAGCAACATCAGCCCACTAGGTTTGGGACTCAGCTTTCCTGCGGTAGCCACGACAACAGCAACTACAGCAGCGACAACAGGACAGTATGTGATCGACCATGCACCTTGCAACTCACCTTCTTTTTTCCAATGTCAATCGCCCATCGACATCCCTCCCAGGAATACGTCCCATGTCCAAAGCGAAGAGACTTGGTAGATAATCTCTGCTTGCTGCTTGCGATTCTCACTTCCGTCGCAAGCAGTACAACTCATCGCCTCGACATTGTCCCACATGTGCCTCGCAACACCTTTGCGTTCCATGCACGGGCAGCCAACAATTCGTACGCTTGCACCATACACTGCCCTTGACTCTCCCGCATCCGAACCGTTAAGTTATTCGCAAGTCTTTATCGCATTGTAAAGCTATCCTCGAGAAAGGTTAAGTATTTTGTAAAAGTAGCAGCATGAGCAATCAAGATCCTGATCGAGCGATACAGGAAAGTTGAAGCGGCATTGGTTATCCTGCAACGTACAGTACAACTGAACAGTACTGTACTGTACTGCACTGAACAAAATGTCGGTTTGGACCCGCCGCCGTTCGAATTCGAGTCACAGGACTTGCTTACGCACTTAGACCATTGGAACCACCTCATTGACCGCTGACTCGACATCAATGAATCTCTGTCGCTACATCAGTCCGCGACCCAGGTATAGCGGGGGTTTCTGTTACAGAGGAAGATTTACATCTCATCCCCAGTTATCATGGTTCGCTCAGTCCGATTGACGCGACTAATGTCTGCCGGCTGCTATAGCCCTTCTCCTTGCTATCTTTTTGTTCGACCTCATCAGGTATAAGCACACGCTCTTTTCTCTATCTTTGAATTGCTCTTCAATCAAACTCAGAGACACACGAAAAGCTAACACGGGCCTTCTCGACCTATTTGTATGGAGCTCCGGTCTTCACAGTAGAAAGGAATCAGAAGAGCCTCAGCTACTCTTTCGTCAGGGCTCCCGTCTCGTACGAGTGTAGAAGTGGGTCGGTAGTCTCTTGCTCCACATAATCGGAGAAAGGACCATCTTCTCGCTTAAACAATCCTTTATCGTGTGCGAAAGCCGTCCCACCGGCAATTAAAGCGCCAGTTCCAAGCACGGCCGCCGATATTGCACCTGCCTTACCCTTCCCCATGCGAGATTTTGTTTTGGGAACTTTTGTGAGCTGTTGCTGAATTGGCGGAACCTTCGTGCGCTGAGGCCTTACTTTCTTGCGCCGAGGCCCTACTTTCTTGCGCCGAGGCCCTGCTTTCATTAGCTGAGGCCCTACTTTCGTGCGCGGGAGCTTTACTTTTTTTGGCCGAGATACCTTCATGGGAGTGGTCTTTTTCTTTAAGGCTTGGGCTTTGCCCTTTGTGCGCTGGGGCTTGCCCTTCTTGGGCTGGGGCTTGCCCTCTGTGGGCTGGGGCTTGCCTTCTGTGGGCTGGGGGCTTGCTTGTTTTACCTCTACCGGGTCCGTGACAGGTGGGGTCTTCGCCTCGGGAGCGGGGGGAACGAGAGACTGGTACCTTACGTCGTTTATTTGCCAATCCAAGAGGGGTTTGTACTTTGTCGGATCAAGGAGGCGTCGAACAAGGTTTTGGTCATCGTCATGTAGACTTTGGTCAGGTTGGCGAGTGACGTAAGAAGACAGTACGTCCTGGGCGAAGAAGGACGAAGAGAGCAAGGCAAAGAATACACGCCTGCCGAGCAGCATCTTTCTCCTTAAGTGTTCTGACCAGCAGGTGAATGGAAATTTAGGTGAGGGAAGAAGCGTAAGTCTGAAGAAAGGCCCGCCTTATGTACTGTACCTTCAGCTCACCTCTGTAGGTGGTGAAAGAAAGCAAGGGCTGAGGAAGGGGCTGAGGGAAAGGCTGAATTTCAGCGACGGCCCGGTCAGTCCTGGTGCAACGAGTAAACGGATTTGTCTCGGTCGACGGGGCTTTCGGAGCGTCAGCGCACATTGCTACATTCTTACTTCTCAGCATCGTGCACAGGGCTAAGGGTGGTTTCAAAAGGTGAAAAGTACGCCCACCATCGCCCTTTGCTCTTGTCACGTTCAAAGATACCAGGCCGTCATCGGCTCTCATTCGGTTAACTTCGGGGGCTTACAAAATGGAAGAGGTAGAGGGTCAAATGAGTATGTCTCAAGATACAGCCTTTTCTATTTGCAAAGAAGATATTGCGCACAATAATGGCAAGGGTGCTCAAAAAAGGGGTATCTGATGTGCGCTGGATGATTCTGGCTCTGCTTAGATCTCGCCGTGATCCTGGAATTGGCGCTATGGAAATGGGCGTAAATGTTCGCTGCACCTTTCCGCTCTTGTTAATGATATAAATTTCAAGCGTTGCTGCCACGCCGAGTGTCTTCTGATGACCAGGACCAATCCACGTATAATAAGATAGCCATAGCCGGAAAAAAACGACCAATGCCTCTGTCATGTCCCTTAGAGGGCTTCGTGACTTCGCCATTGCGGATGGGACGTGTCCCCATTCGCAGTACAAGTCCAAGGACTTGCTTACACCCTCAATCCATTGCAAAAACCTCATCTATCGCTGAACTCGACATCGACCGATTACTGTTACTTCAACCGTCTGTAACATAGGTGTAGCGCAGTTACGACTATAGAGAGTAAAACTTATCTAATCCCCAAATATTATGGTTCGCTCGTTTCGATTGATGCGGCTACTGTATGCCGGCGCGATTTTCCTTCACCTTGCCATCTCTTTGTTCGGTCTGATGTTCATCACATTTCTTTGAATCGCTCTCCAATCGATTTCAGAGACGCACGAGAAGCTAGCACGGGCATTCTGGATCTGTTTGTATGGAGCTCCGGTCTTCACAGTAGAAAGGAATCAGAAGAGCCCCAGCTATTTTTTCATGAGGGCTAGAAGTGGGTTGGCGGCCTCTTGCTCCAGAGATTCGAGAACAGAACCGTCTTCTCGCCTAAACAATCCTTCTTTATGTCCGACAGCTGCACCACCAGTAAGTAAAGCGCCAGTCGCGACCAGGGCCGATAGTGCACCTATTTTACCCTTCCCCATGCGAGATTTCGTTTTGGGAACTTTTGTGAGCTGTTGCTGAACCTTGAGGGACTGCGGCTGAGGCCCTGTTATCAGGCGATGAGACCCTCCTTTCGTGCGCGGGATCTTTACTTTTACTGGACGGGTTACTTTCACGGGACGGGGCTTTTTCTTCAAGGCCTGGGATTTTCCTTCTGTGGGCTGGGGCTTGCCCTCTATGGGCTGAGGCTTGCCCTCCATGGGCTTGGGCTTGCCCTCCGTGGGCTGAGGACTTGCTTGCTTTACCTCTATCGGGTTTGCGACAGGTGTGGTCCGCACCAGGGGGGGAGCGTACGGATGGACTACGTTATTTTTGTTCCAGACCGAGGGAGGGTCGGAAGCGGCTACGACGGGAGACACGGCCATGATGGGACTGATGCGCTGTTCTCCGCGCCGGGCAAGGTTTGAAGCATCGTCACGTAGATCTGGGCCAGGTTGGTGAGGGACGTAAGAAGACAATACAAACTGAGCTAAGAAGAAGGAAGAGAGTAGGGTAAAGAATGCACGCCTGGCGATCAGCATCTTTTCCTTAAGTGTCCTGACCAGCAGGTGAAGGGAGATTGGGTGGAGGAAGGAAGTGTAAGTCTTAAGAAAGGCCCGCCTTATGTACGTTCAGCTCACCTCTGTAGGCGGTGAAAGAAATAAAGGGCTGAGGAAGGGGCTGAGTGGAAGGCTGAACGTCAGCGACGGCCCGGTCAGTCGTGGTGCAACGAGTAAACGAATTTGTCTCGGTCGACGGGGCTTTCGGAGCGCCAGCACACATTCTTGGCATCGTATGCAGAGCTGAAGGGGACTTCGGAAGGTGAAAACGTACGCCCACCATCGCTTTTTTATTTTTGACACATTCATAGATCCCAGATCGTCATTGGCTCTCATTCGGCTAGATCCGGGTGCTTAGACGGAGGAAGAAGTAGAGTGTCAAACGAGTGTGCCTCGAGACACAGCCATCCCTATTCACAAAAGATATTCAACGCCCACAGTTCTGGTAGGGACGCTCAAAGGACACGGGGCGACTGACGTGCGCCGAATGCGTGTGGCGCTGCTTCAATTCCGCCCTTGACTTGCAAGATCAGCGCCTTAGACGTGAGCATATACGTTGTTACACCCTCCTACTCTTGGAAATGATCTCGTTTTCAGGCACTGCTGCCGCGCCAAGTATCTTCCGGTGACCGGGAAAGAAGAACCAAAAACATCGCAGTCCGAACGAACGACTTGTGCCTCCGTCCTGGGGTTGAGCCGTCCTGGGGTTGAGCCGTCCTTGGGCTGAGCCGTCCTGGGACTGAGAGGACTAGTGGTTTTTTACAGCAGCTCTACATTGTGGTGTTTCTCCCGGACTCAGCAAGGCCCGCGTAAAGCAGCAGCGATGAAACATTTGACAGCTGCTTACACCTGCTGCCCGATAGCAACTCCAAGACCAAATGTTTCGAAAGAGACGATGTACTATACAGTACGATTGTTGAAATAGGGTATCATCCAAGCTATCGCCACTTCATCCCCATACATCCTCTACAAGCCTTCCCTCTCGAACCAGATCCCGAACAAAGTCTTCAGCGGCACCCTTCGACAACATTCCCTCTGTATGGGCCACATCTGCCAGTGCTTCCCGACAATTGACACCTGTCGTGCTCGCCCCGCCGCAGACGTATAGCGTCACAGTGCGATCCCGAAGCTTCGTCCAGAAGTCACCTGCTTGTGAACGAATCACGTCGCCGACATATCGGTGCGGCCAGTTTGGTTCTCTTGACTTAGCGACATGGAGCTGCATATAGGGAATAAGCATCAATGGCAGCACGAGCAACGACATGTGCATTTAAAACTTACTCGGGCTATGCTTCCATCTTGCACCATCTGTTCGAGCACCCTCTTTCTCAAGAAGCTCGTGTCGTCTCGACAACCAAAGACGAGCTCAGCTTTCTGCCCGCGTACGCGAGTCTCATTGAGGAAGCCCATAAAAGGTCCTAGACCAGTGCCGGTCGCAATCATGACGATGCTGCCTTGCTTCGCCGGTCTGAAGTCGGGATTTGGGTGGAGCTTGCCTCTTAGCTTTAGCCCCGTCGCTTCACTGTTTAAGAGGAATTTGCCAATCTGGCCGAACTCTTCATCAACCGAGACGTAGATATTAGCCTCTCCCGATTGCTCTGCCGACGACGAAAGCTCTGCGATGGAGTAGAGACGCCGCTTTGCCGCAGGCCACACAGCTAGCCAGTCTCGCCATGTCAGATTTGGCACGGCGTCTTGCACGGCGACAAACAAGTCGAGCATTGTCCTGCAGACGTCCCCTTCGAGTCGTCCTACGAGCGCCTCTGCCGACTTGACGTCGCCTCTCGCTCTTGCTCGGGCAGAGAGACCTGCTATGACGGAGTTGGGAGGCCGGCAGCCGAGATCGAGAAGATGTGTCAGAGCATCATTGATAGTGCAGCCACTGATTGAGAAAGCAGCAAGTGAGGAAGGGCTACGCTTCGTTGAAGTTGTCCTGAGCACTTCGTGCCCTTCCATTCCAAGCCTGTCTTTGAGGAACGCCACCGTCACGCTCGAGTTTCTAGGCCACAGCTCGACGTGATCGCCAGGCTGGGGACTGCCAATTCCCTTCAGACCTACACAAAGTGCTCGTCTGCTCAGAGGCGCGATGCTTGTCACTTCGATCTCATCTAGCGTCTTCTTTGGCGACGACACGTCAGGATTCTTGTCCAGACTGACTTCGATCTCTCTCGATGACGCAAGCTGGAAATTGGCCGGTCCAGCATCAAGTTGTAGGTGGTGGTGCTTGATAATGGTCTGAGCCAGGTCGCAAGCCCATTGGCTCCATGCCAGTTCGACGTCATTGCCCCTCGCTTCAACATCGGCAGTACGAAGCGGTAGCAAAGGCTGGCAGCCCAGCATGGAAAGGCCTTGATGAGTCGTGCGGGGAAACTGATGCAAAGTGGCACGCCACTCGGAGCTACCCAGGCCGAACACTGCGAATCTCCACAAATGTCTTTTCCATCTCTCGGTGGACGTCTTCTCCGCAGTAAGCCAACGATGAAAGCGCTCGGCGGTTGGTGGGGGCTCGCCGTTGTACGTCGATGTAATGCAGGCAATGACGATATCTTCGCTTGCATCGAAGTCAACCAAGTCGTCAAGGGTGCATACGACGCATGGCAAGCCCACCTCCGCCAGCTGCTCGGATAGGCCGTAGCTCAGGCTGCGACACTCGCCGAGGCCGCTTCCGTAGGCTAAGACGAGCTTGCAGCCCGTATTGCCTCTTATTTTGAGGTTCGCCGCTTCGTCACCTATGCGGCTGCTGCTGCTCATCGCGCTGCTGTTGGAATTGCTGAGACTTTGGCTGCTTGCGTTTGATGCACTTGTCGTGCTGCCACTCCTCGAGCTTTGGTCTACTTGCGCCATGCCGGTCCATCTATTAGTTTCCTTCTGCAACTCTGCCACCGCACAGCCCTGACTGCTTGTCGCCTTTCTAGGCCTCCGTCTGACGTGCACAAAAGCATTCTCGGGGCTCCTTGTGACGCCGTAGACATCCTTGCGCCGCTTGAACCTCGCCTCGACCCTTGTGAAGTCAAAGCGCGAGACCACAATTGCGACGAAGAGCTTGAGTTCCTGCGTCGCGAACATCCTCCCGAGACACCCTCGCATCCCTGCGCCGAAGGGGAGGAAGGCATACGGGTGATGCTTTGATGTCAGAAATCGATCAGGCCTGAAGCTGAAGGGGTCTTCGAATTGGGCAGCGTTGCGGTGCAGCGCCGACGATACGATTGAGACAATGTCGCCCTTGCGGATCCGATAGCTTTCGCCGTTGGTCGAAGAGATCACGTCGACATCGTGGCGCGCTATGCGCAAGAAGAGGGGTACGACAGGATCCACGCGCAGAGTCTCATGGATTACACGCTCGCAAAGTCCAAGACTGGACACATCGTCAACGCTCCATTGTTCTGCCGCACTGTCGTCGTCGAAGGCCGTGGCAGCGACCTCGTTTCGAATGTCAGCGCAGGTCTTCGGGTGCATTGCGAGCAGGTCGAATCCGCTTGCTAATGTTGAGGCCGACGTTTCGAAGCCGGCGACAAGAAGGATGACGAGCTGATCAATGAGGAATTCGGCAGGGTCGTTCGCGTCGAAACCAGCGTCAAGCATCTGCTGCAGGATGTCATCCTTCTTATCACCACTATCCACCCTATCCCGGAGTAGTGCCTTCACGCGGCCTCGGACGGCTTCGATTGATTCGTCGAGGCGCTTGGTGCCGCGAAATTTGAGAACAAGTTTGGGGTAGTACGTCTGCCTGACAAACTCTTCGAGAGCAAAAGAGGTGCCATCGACGATCGCATCATCCCGCCGCCCGCCTAGGAAAAGATCCGAGCGATGGCTGAATACAGCAAGCAGTATAGCGTGCGCGGTCGCTCTCCTCGTAAAATCGAGCAAGTCTACACGATTGTTCGTGCCCTGCCGCGCATCGAGGAAGCCAAGCATGGCCTGCGCCGTCTCTGCCATTGCTTTAAAGTGCCGTCGGACGCCTTCCTTGGTGAAGAAGGCATTCATCAAGCTGCTCCTGTCAAGTCAGCATTGCTTCTCCTTGCCTGGACAGGTCACCAAACTCACCCCCTGGCGTCCCTCCATCTCCGGCAATCGGTCGACATGGTCAAGAGCCCATCCCCCAAGAGCCGCCTTGAGCTCCATAGAGGACCCCACCGCTCTGAAACTTCCCGATGGAAGTGCTTCTCGTCCAGCACCGTTGAGCACACGCCCGCATCATCAGTAATGAGGAGCGCCCGACCCTGGTCATCGTATCGAACCAGCACCAGAGGACCCCTCTCGCGCAACTTCGTGTCGAACTTGGCCCGCACGTTCCCGAAAAGCAAGCCGACTTTTTCGTAGGTTCGGTCGAAGAAGGCTGTTTGTGCAGGATGATTAGCTAGACCGACCTATCCTCAATTAGAGGGTTAGGTATGCTCACGCGGGAGATCCTTGACTTGATGCACCGCCATTGCGATGATCCTGTCAGCTCAAGACAGTCATGAGGGGTATGAAGGAGGTGTTGAATTCACAAGCCGACAGATAGCTTTGTCTTGGATTTTCTGAAGCTGAACCTCAGTGAAAGCATGGACGGCCAAGTTTGTATCCTCCATGAGGTCAGAGGCTATCCTAGCTCGGCCAGGAACGTCGTGATCGCTACTTCACTCCTGCTCCTATACCCTTCAAATTGTCTAAAATCTTTAGCGCCATTCTCCATTTGCCCACAGCCTCTCACTTACTTTACCGTTGGCTTTCCCGGTGTTTAGGGAAAATAAATTTCAAGACAGGCACAGCAAGATAGGATACAATGAATTCGACTGGTCGAGAGGGCGGGGACGCTAAAGAAAAGAAGCGGAAAATTCTTGAATGGGCGTCTCCTTTCCTATCGTTAGCAAGGAAGATTTCGATTTCAAGCACTCGACACACTTTTGCTGCTACTACTGTAGCAGTGTGATATTGAGGGAGCAATAAGTTTTCGAGGTAATTCGTAAATCGAGCGCAAGAAAGAGGCCAGGGCGCTTGGAGAGCGAACGTGATATTAGGGGTGCATACTGGCTTGGATCGATAAGATGACGTGGATTAGAGAGAACACTTCAGCTGCTCATGCGGATTCTGTTGCCATTCATAGCTCTCGCTGTGCCACATCTGTGATTGCGGCAATTTGAGTTGTCCTCCATGCTGGTCGTCCTCACCTTCTCTTAAAGATCTGAGAAGATAAAAGCCCCTGCCTCTCGTCAGCTTTGCATCTGCATCTAGGTCGTTTGCATGTATTGACAACGATAACGCGAAATGAATGCAGGATCGAGAGCCCGACAGACCAGACGACAATTTTGTTTCCGGAAGCCAGCCAGAAATCTCAGAGCCTGCTTTGGTTCTGTGGGCGAGGGTGCGATGTGCAACGAGGACAATTCTGCTTTTGAGCTATAGAGCTAGGCGGATTGTCAACAACGATTAGGCTGCTCTAGCTGATAAGAGCTGCAAGACAAGCTCTCCGTCGTCAAGAATCATGCGTTTGCTTCTGAAAGATCACGCACTTCCTTTACAGTGACAAATTGTGGCTTTCCCTACAGATAGAAGGCGAAAACCTTCGGCTACATCCAAGATGCAGCTGCGTCGACTTCATTGCTCATTATCGTGGGGGCTTCCATGCTATAAGCTTTCCGAGACCGTGCTCTCAAAGCCAGCTCCTTGCGTCTACAGCTAGCTCACGTCTGAAAGAGGGAATCACACACCCATCACCCTAACGGCGGACTGAACGTAATGGGTTGCGCCCTCACTTAAGTTCGCGCCACGTGGGATTTTAGTCTGTGCGAGCAAATTGAGACGGGGCCCGAACTGTCTCCCCCTGCATCGACGGCCACTCTAGAATCAGCCTTCCTGTCACGCCGCCATCACCGCAAAGACGATACGATGGCGTCCTGGAAGCTGGGAAAGAGTGAGTACTTCCTCGTATCTAGCAGGCCCCATGTGTGGAATAGACTTACAGGAGGAGAAAAGAACTCAAGGAGGGTGCCCTTGGTAGTCGCTCGCCATCGACGAGTCAAATGCCCATCGACCGCAGCGCTACGCCAACGCCTGCCAGCGTGGCTGCGGAAGCAACGTCGTCCTCTTCGACGTCATCACCCCTGCATCCGCACTCACACGCGGCGACAAACCCGCTGGCTTCGAGCACGGGTGCGCCAATCGCTCGATCCGGTCTTCTCTCGATCCGAGTTGTCGATGCTCGCAACCTCAACCTTCCCGTTGGCGCACACCTACCCCCTGCTATTGCCCGTGCACTGCAGCAGAATGGCCTGGGGGCTGGCAGCCTACCGCAGGGGTCGTCAGCGTCCGGGGGAGGAGCAGGCGGTGGAGCGGGAGGGCAGAGGCAGAGCATGCAGAGGAGGCAGTGCTGGTGGCTTCCTTACCTCGTCCTCGAGTTTGACAAGAACGAGGTGTTGATCGATGCGCTTGGAGGCGACATTCAGAGCCCAACATGGATGTACAAGGCGCATTTGTAGGTCTTTTTACTTCGATGACAAGGCGTCATAAGCTGACGCAAGTGACATTCTAGTGACGTCTCGAGAAACTCGGAGATCTCACTCCAGTGCTACCTGCGCTCCGGACAGCAGCAGCAGCAGCCTCAGTCGCAGCAGCATCAGCCACAAAAGGACGGGCAGGGCGACGACGTCATGGGTGTCGGCGACATCTACCTGGGTGGAGTCAAGTTTGTGCCTGACTTTGAGAATCAGCAACGAACAGACGAGTGGTACCCCATCAGCGGAGGATCAGGCCAGATTCACGTACAAGTGTCGTACAGACGCAATGAGCAGGGCAGCCAGAGCCTCAACATGGAAGCATTTGACCTGCTCAAGGTTATTGGAAAGGGAAGCTTCGGCAAAGTGATGCAGGTGCGCAAGCGCGACACCTCGAGGATCTACGCCCTGAAGACGATCAGAAAGGCCCACATCGTGTCGAGATCCGAGGTCACTCATACTCTGGCCGAGAGGACCGTTCTGGCCCAAGTCAATAACCCTTTTATCGTTCCGCTCAAGTTTAGCTTCCAGTCGCCCGACAAGCTCTATCTCGTCCTGGCCTTTGTCAACGGTGGTGAGCTCTTCCATCACCTTCAGCGCGAGGGGCGGTTCAACGAAGAGAGGAGTCGCTTCTACGCTGCGGAACTCCTTTGCGCCCTTGAGCACCTTCACGGCTTCAACGTTGTCTACCGCGATCTCAAGCCAGAAAATATTCTCCTCGACTACACTGGACACATCGCTCTGTGCGACTTTGGTCTTTGCAAGCTCAACATGGGCGATGACGAGACAACAAACAGTGAGTGCTTGCGAAAATCGGCTTCGTTCTGATGGTGCCACCCACAAGGAAGACTAATGGACGTTGTGACAGCCTTCTGCGGAACCCCGGAATACCTCGCGCCAGAATTGCTTCTCGGCCACGGCTACACCAAGGCTGTTGACTGGTGGACGCTGGGCGTGCTCCTTTATGAGATGCTGACGGGGCTACCTCCCTTTTATTCGGAAGACGTCAACGAGATGTATCGCAAGATTCTCCAGGACCCTCTGCGATTTGGCGACGAGGTCAGTCCCGACGCGCGATCGATTCTGACGCTCCTCTTGAATCGGGATCCGGCGCAACGATTGGGCACTGGCGCCAATGGGGCGCAGGACATCAAGCGTCATCCCTTCTTCAGCAAGCACATTGACTGGAAGAGATTGCTGGACAAGAAGGTGCAGCCGCCTTTCAAGCCTGCGGTCGCCTCTGCCGTCGATACATCCAACTTCGACCCGGAGTTTACAAACGAGCAGCCCGTCGACAGCGTCGTCGACGACAGCCACATGCTCTCAGCCACGGTTCAGGAGCAGTTCCAGGGCTTCAGCTACACGGGCGTAGAGGGAGCCATGGCCGACGGCGAAAGCGGCAGCCTCGTCTGAGTGAAGGCTGCCTTGAGCAGTGGAAAGAAAAGGAGTAATGAAGGAATGAACGCTTGACTTGTCTTTTTTTTTCCTCTTTGTCCCTATCACGATTCATTATCAATCTCCCATCCTTGTTGCCTTGCCTGACGCGCGTGCGCGCGCGACCAAATTCGGATCCTCACCACCACCGAGTGGCGTTCTGACGAGAGAGAGGAGAAATGTCGTCGAGCATTCTCCGTTTCGGCGCATTTGATGTTACGTCGCAGGTGTTTGCGTCTACACGGCACGCAATGGCTTTCGTCAATCTCAAGCCCATTGCTCCGTTGCACGTACTCGTCGTACCGCGTCTCAATAGGTACAGGCGCCTCAATGACCTGCCGCCGGACGTGCTGGGCGACGTCTTTGGCCTGGTCCAGGCCGTGCAGCGCGGCGTGGAGCGGGCGGCCGCGTGCGCCTCATCGACAATCAGCATTCAGGATGGGCCAGATGCGGTGGGTCTGTGCTGCCGCTTTCATGCTGACCAAATGAAATGGAGTTGCTGAAGCTGAAAGGAGATGAGATTTACAGGGGCAGACGGTTGACCATCTCCACGTTCACATTGTGCCCAGGCGCAAAGGCGACTTTGAGCCAAACGACGCCATCTACCCCAAACTTGATGAGTTTGGCCTGAAACTTCGGGCTGCTCAGCTGTGCGGGACCATCGAGGACGAAGCGAGACATCCAAGGAAACAGGAAGAAATGCAGAAAGAAGCACAGTGGTTGGCGAGGGAGCACTTCGCAGATCTTCAATTTACCCCCCAATAGCAGTGATGGCCCAGCCCTCCGACGTGCAGCGCGTTTGGTAGACCTGACAATTTTGTGGTGTGTGTGTGTGCGTCATAGAAGACAGTAGTACATGTGAAGAGCGAGACAGACAAGAGAAGCCAGCTTAGAGAAGACCGACGCGGCTCGAGACGTCGAGGGCGTCCTGGTCCGGCGAGAGCTTGATGTAAGCCTTCTTCTTTCCGTCGGGCCTGTCAGTGGATATCTTGTCAGCTCTAATGCCTCCAATGATATGGAGAGGAGAGGCAAGAAGAAAACACACCTGATCAGTGTCCTGATCTTGTCGGCCTCAACATCGTAGAGCTTCTTGAGGGCGACCTTGATCTGGCGCTTGTTGGCCTTGCGGTCGACGATGAAGACGAGGGTGTTGATCTCCTCAATCTTCTTCATGGCGCTCTCCGTGTTCAGAGGGAAGAGCACCGTCTTGTACTCGTCCATCCTGGGCGCGTGCGGCACGCTCTTGCGAGGGTACTTGGGGTTGCGCGCCAGGCGGAGAGTCTTGGGCCGGTGGAACGAGGTATCAGTTCGGACCTTGCGGATCTTGCTGCCCTGGGTGCCCTTGAGGGCTGCCTTCTTGGCGGCAGCGGCCTTGATGGCCTGAGGCTTAGCCTTGGCCTTGCCCTCGGCTGATGATATCCTTTTCGTCAGGACGATGCTCTCATCATAATGCTGCTGCAATCCACACCCACCTGTACCCTTGGTAGCGCCCTTGTTTCCGCTCGACATTTTTAATCTGTTCACCGCAAAAGATCTCTGTAAGCTATCCCTGCGACTCGATCGGCAATGCGTTCGTGCGTGACTACCAACCGGGATGGTGGACCTTGACCTTGAAACCGTTTGTCGAAGGGTGAGAGCAGGTCGCTTTTCGAAGGCGCACCTCTGAAACTGGAACGGACACGTGATTTACTGAACTGCGGCTCAATAATAAAAATGCTGCCAAATGGTCTATTGAAAATTCAATAATGGCAGACCCGGGTTCAAGCGCGCGCGTGGCATCAGGCTTTCTTCAACCTTCAGTCCTGTCCACTGTGGTTGTCGTCCAGGGTGCGGTTACTGCAGCCGGTGGATATGATGAAGGAGCGGACAAATGATTGAAAGCGGCACTCTATGGTTCAACATGACTAGCCCCCTCTAAGAAAGTCGCCTACAGCTGTCCAGACTGATGAAAGAAGAAGGAACTTGTCAGCGCACCGATGGGCGATTTCACTGACAGATATGACTTACCGCTGATGACGAGGACCACACAGCCAAAGATGGCACAGGCCACTGCGGCCGGCTTTGTCGAGGTCCACCACCTCCACCCATCGCTTCTGGTCCTCTGTGGCCCTCTTCTGACCCGGACCCGCGCGCCTGGTCGGAGCGGTAGCTCGACGTCTTCCACGCTCACATCGCCTGCATGTCCTGCCCTCTCTTCGTCGTCTTCGTCGTCTTCGCGAAGATCCCCTTGTATCTCATCGTCTTCCTCCTGATCGATTCGTTCAAACCCGGCAGGCGCGGCATCTTTTCCTTCGCTTGTCAGCTTCAGGAAGCAGATGGCGGGAAAGATGAAGGCCAAAGCCGTTGCGCTCAAGCCGCCTGTAACCTCGAGAACCACGCCGAGATCGGTCGCGGCGAGCGAGACGATCAGGGAGGAGACTGTGAGGCTTGACGTAAAGATGAGGTGCCGGTTCACATCGTACTCTCCCTGAAAAAAGTACGTCTCGATGACCTCCCTTGCAACAAAAAGCTCCAACGGCCACGTAGTGAGCCTGTTTCAAGCACAAGGATGGATCAGCAACACTTATTGGTAGCTTGCAGTGGCGCTAGCGGATACACACATGTTCATACCGAAGCAGAAGCGGGCCAAGTTGACCATGACATCGTCGGGGGGAAAGTTGTTGAGGACATTGCCTAGGGTCTTGTCGGTGAAAGACCAGTAACCTGCCAAGCTCATGCTGACGGCAGCGATGGCGGCAATTGCAGTGCTGTAGTGCGTGACCTTGCCGAATCGGTCCATCGAGGGTTCTTTGAGGCTGCCGTAGATCAAGAGCGAATTGTGGTGGCACACAAATGCGAAGGAGATGACGGCAATCGAGCGGACGACAGCAGACGGGTGAATGATGGTAAATCGCAGGCTGGGGTCGCCCTTGAGCTCGGCTGGCATGGCGGGACCCCTAATGATGACGGTGAGAATGATGAGAACCATGCTGACAAGGGCAATGGCACTGGCCTTGCTCAAGTTCTCGATGGATCGGTAGAGGGAGAGCGGGTAGGAGATTGTGAGAATTGACGAGACCATGATGAACCATCTCGAGGCCAGAAACGACCCTTCGAGACTTGGCAGGATCGACGTCAGGACGTGAGGGATCGTATCTCCGATAACAACCTAGTTATCAAACTTGTCAGTAAGGTCCAACTAGTGAGAAGAGGGCCAGAAAGGGGTACTGACGATGAATGCACACATGCCCCCAAAGGCAAAGGCGCCTTGAAAGATGGAGACAGCGGCCCGACCATTGGAGCCAAAACAGTGGTCCATGATATCGATGTAGGTGTTTCGACCAGATAATTTGGCGTTTAGGACGATGAGCCGGATGGTCCAGTCGGTAAGGAGAGCAATGCCCACGAGGAGCCCAAGGCCTGTGAGGCAGCCCGAGGCCTTCAGGGAGTAGGGAAGACCCACGACACCTGCGCCCAGGATACTATTACTCATGTTCCATGTCGAATCGAGAATGCCCGCGCCTCGTCTCAACCAGTCGGGCAGCTCTTCACTGTCAATAGCCCTCCTGACTGACTCGCGGAGATCGTGTGCGCCAATGTCACCAAAGCTCTGCCTTGCGTTACTGACGAACGGTATTTGGTCGATCAAAGGAAGCCGTCTGCTAGGACTGACAGGGACCTGATCAACCTCGCCTTCATCGATGTCGCTGTCGTCAGCGTCGAACTCGGCCTCTCTGGAGGACGGTGTCATTTTGAGCCCGTACTCTGGCCTCGTCGATGACGAAGAAGGCACTGCAGCCTCGCCATTGCTGCCGACATGTTCCTCCTCATCCCCCGGCGCTGAAAAGAGAGTCTCCGACGTCGACGGCTCGACAAAGCGAACAGAGGGCCGTCTGCCGTCCATCTCCTCTCTCGCAGGGAGCGCAAAACAAGCTAAGTGGATGAACGAGAATCAAGGTACTGACCACGCTCGGGCCAGCTGGAAATTCCCACCACGTGGATGTGTTGATCTCGATGCAATTTATTCGTGCGGCGCTGTTGACGGATGGCTGTGCGCGGTTAAGATCTAACTAAGTAACCCCTTTATAAAAGGAAGAGGAGAATCGCGAAGTCGGCGACCCCCCTGTCCGCAACGACGCTGACGACATGCCGCCTAGGGGACCTGGACAATCTTACGGTGGCTCTCCGCCACCACCGCCGCCGCCCGCTGCATCGCAGCAGCATGCCTACCAGCACCAGGCCTACCCCACATACGACGAGGGTGCCCCACCCACAGAGTACGACCATCCGCCCTATTCGTACGAGGACGAGCGACAACACCATCTGCCTCGTCCTTCCGCCTCTGAGAGCCACCACCACTACACAACGCCATATCCTGCTGAGCCATTCCCTTACTCTGGACCCACTCCGATGGACAACCCCTTTGCGCCGGGAAGCTCCATCGACCATGGCGGCCAGCCGGAGCGCGAGTCGAGCGAGGCCTACCGACGCATGTCCGAGGTTGGCGGCGGTGGCCTCTATGGTCACCACCAGCCATCGGTTCACAATGGCAAGTACGACGATGAAGAGGCGCCCGGTGATGTAACGGGCGACGTTCCCCTGCTGCCCCACGATGGGTCCCGGTACGCCTATGCGCCTGCGAGCGCCTTTGACGACGAGGGCCGCATCATGGGGCACCAGTCGCTCGACGACGACGCCTCATCTTACGTCCCCGGCGGCTTCGATCCTAGCCTCATCGAGCAAGGACAATCGGTCGCCAACACCAATGTGCGCTATGGCCGCATTCCCCAGCGTGTACCAAGGCGGTACAAGACGCTGAAGCGCGTCGAGCTCTTCCACGGCAACCTCGTTCTCGATTGCCCCACGGCACCCGCGCTCCTGGAGAAGGTCAACGACCGCGAGAGCCGAGAGATGACACATGCGAGGTACAGCGCTGTGACGAGCGACGCAGACGACTTTGTCGACGAGAGGTACACCCTTAGACAGGTCCTCTTCGATCCGCCCAGGCGGACCGAGCTGATGATCTGCCTGACAATGTACAACGAGGACGAGGTGCTGTTCTGTCGCACACTTCATGGTGTTCTCACCAACATTGCTTTCCTGTGCAGGTGTGTTGATGATCTTTCTCTCAACGTCTTGGATAAGAGCGCTGACTTGAGACACAGCCGCACTCGATCGCGCACCTGGGGTTCCGACGCCTGGAAGCGCGTCGTTGTCGTGATCGTCGCCGACGGTCGAATGAAGTGCAACCCGCGAGTGCTTTCGGTCCTGGCTGCCATGGGCGTCTACCAGGAGGGCGTTGCAAAGAACGTTGTCAATGGAAAGCCCGTCAAGATGCACGTGTATGAGTACACGACGCAGCTGAGCGTGGACCCGAACCTCAAGTTCAAGGGCCGGGAGAAGGGAGTGATGCCATGCCAGATCATCTTTGCGATGAAGGAGAAGAACGCCAAGAAGGTGAGTCGCTCCTTTCATTTTCTCTCTTCTCCGCTTGCACCATCAAACTGACACTTATTTCCTTGTGCGCACAGATCAACTCTCATCGCTGGTGCTTCAATGCCTTCGGAAGGGTCCTCCAGCCAAATGTGTGCATCCTCCTCGACGTGGGCACCATGCCCAGGTCCAAGTCCATCTACCATCTTTGGAAGGCGTTTGACATCAACTCCAACGTCGCCGGCGCCTGCGGTGAAATTGTCGCCCTGAAGGGAAAGCTCTGGTCAGCCCTTCTCAACCCCCTTGTGGCAGCACAGAATTTCGAGTACAAGATGTCAAAGTGAGTCTCGCCGTCGATGCATCGAGCACAAATGTGTGCTAATTGGGACACTTTATCCTACAGCATCCTCGACAAGCCTCTCGAGTCGGTATTCGGGTATATCACTGTCCTACCAGGTGCCTTCTCGGCCTACCGGTACATTGCCTTGCAAAACGATGCAAAGGGAAACGGACCCTTGGCATCGTATTTCAAGGGTGAAACTCTTCATGGCGGCACTGCCAACGCCGACATCTTCACTTCGAACATGTACTTGGCGGAGGACCGAATTTTGTGCTGGGAGCTTTGCAGCAAACGCGATGCTGCCTGGATCCTTCATTACGTCAAGAGCGCCCAGGCAGTCACGGACGTGCCAGACTCGGTACCGGAGCTGATCAGCCAGCGTCGTCGGTGGCTCAATGGCTCCTTCTTTGCTGGACTGCACTCCATCGTCAAGTTCTCGTACATCTACCGATCGAGCCATTCGCTGGGGAGGAAGATAGCCCTACACTTCGAAATGCTCTACCAGCTTATCCAGCTCCTTTTCACCTGGTTCGGCATCGCAAACTACTTCCTCGCCTACACAATCCTCACAGGCTCCCTGTCCGACTCTGTGCACGCTCTCAAGATCCCCAACCTGATCCTGACCTACGTCTACGTCGCCCTCATCATTTTCATCTTCCTATTGGCCATGGGTAACCGCCCCGCCGGCGCTAAGCTCGGCTACACGCTCTCTATGGTTCTCTTTGGGCTCTTCGCCCTCTACATGACGGCCGCTGCCATCTACCTCGCCGTGACGAGCGTCATCAATTCGGAAAAGGCAGCCGACAGCGCCACAGCCCTTCTCACAAATTACACGTTTATCGCTATCGTCATTTCCGTCACAGCCACCTTTGGCGTCTACCTTCTCGCCTCGATTTTGTTTTTGGAGCCGTGGCACATGTTCACCTCGCTTATCCAGTACTATCTCTTGGCTCCTTCTTTCGTCAGCGTCTTTGGCGTCTACAGCATGTGCAACGTCCACGACGTCTCGTGGGGCACAAAGGGTTCCGACAAGGTCCAGACCGATCTCGGTGTGGTCTCTGGTGGCGGCAAGGATGGGCAAGTCGAGATCAACTTGCCTACAGAGGCAAAGGACATCAACGAGATGTACGAGGATGCCGTGCACGTCCTATCTCAGCCTGCGCCCAAGCGTGAAGATAAGGTCGATCCGGACACGGCGCAAAAGGACTACTACTCCGCCATCCGTACGAACGTCGTTCTCGTCTGGGTCATCTCCAACGCGGCCCTCTGCGTCGTCATTCTCAGCATCAATAACAGCAAGGTCAAGATCATCTACATGGGCGTTCTCCTGTATGCAGTCGCTGTCTTGGCCGCTTTCCGACTTGGCGGAAGCATCACCTACCTCGTCAAGCGGCTCTTTGCAGGCGAGTGATGCCCGCCGACCTCGATATTCGCGCTCTCAATGGACTCTATCTTCTCTCTTAATTTTCATGTGCCTATTGATAATATTGCAATTGTCGATTGCTTCGCTGTGCTTCACGCAACGTCGAGGCTGATCTGGGACTCTCCGACCGAGATGCGCACATTGCGCTCGCTTGGCCATTCAACCTTCACACCTTGCCACTCCTCTTCTTCCTCTTCTTCTTCGCCTTCCTCCTTCTCACTGTTTTCCTTTCTGACCTCTTGCCGCTTTATTGGGCGTCGCTTCGAGACGGCGTGGAATTCTACGCTCTTGTACGCCTCGCCCTCCGCGCCTCCCTGCTTTGGCAATGTGCCCGGCTGGAAAAAGGTCGAGAATCCTCCACCCACCTTCCAGACGCTCACAGACCCTTTGCCGCCCTGAGTGCCGACAACTGCAGTGTTGGCGGACGAGACAGTGACGAGCCTTCGTCCATCAGGGCTGAAATCGACGGCCGTCAGTCGTTGACTTGCGCCGAGCGACGACTGGGCCTCGATGACGTAGAGCCTCGTGGCCGTCTTGAGGTCGTACAGAATGACAGCACCCTCATGGGTGCCAACTGCGAGACGCTGGAGCTTGCCGCAGAAGCTGATCGACGGGTACGCTCGCACGAGCTCGGATATCATCAGTGTTGCGCTCCCGGACACGCTCTCTCGCCGCGCACTGTTTGTCGGATCGAGCGACTGTTTTTAGAGGATGTCAGTGAGTGTCAGTCTAGAGCAGGGAGCCAGGGGTGATTGGTCGCACCTTGACGACGGCTTCAGCCAGTCTTGGCAAATTTGGGTAGAGAACGGACGGCTTCTTGCGGACCATGAACGCGACCAATCTACCCCAAGTGGTCGATCCATCAGCACAAACTTTTCAAATGCTCAAAAGAGACAAGGGAAACGCACCGCATTGTGGCGCCACAGTGACTCGCGCTTCTCGCATGCAGGATATCGAGACTAAGCGTCGTCATGAACAGCGGCGTGTTATCTTGGGCGATCTGCAGGGTGGCACGCCTGGCCAGGGCCCGATTTGCATCGTCCGCTCCTTCAAATGCACTGGTTCCATTGGGAGAAGAGGAAGAGGGAGTTGTAGAAAGTGCAAAAAGCGTCCGCACGACTTCCATGGCGTCAAAGTAGTGTTGCCAGATGCTGAAACCTTGGCAGCAGAGATCGATCGCAACGGCTTGTCCCCTGCTATCAAAGGGTGACCTTGCCTGAGGTACTGCTTCCTCTTCGATGCCTGTCGTAGAGGAAGAGACGAAAAGCGATATTGAAGTCGAGATATCCTTTAGAACAGAGGGAGACAGAGCATTGTATCGCTGTGTCGCGATGAGGCCAAGCAGCGAGAGGCTAGTGATGCTCTCCGCTTGTGAGTACAGCTTTGCGTGCTTGACGGGTAGTCTCGGCGCATACATCTCGCACAGGGCATCGACTGCCGGCTGCTCCATCGGCTGCAGGCCGTGAGGACCAAGAAAGAGCTGCCTGGCGGCCTCTTGCACCTCGTCGAGGGGGTCCATCGTGTAGGCCGCCAGCGTAGCCAGACAGAGTCGATCGGGTCCCGCCGTCAACTTGGGCGCGGTGAGGTCCTGAATGCATGCTTCCACTACGCCTTTCAGTCGCGCAACATTGTTGCGCAGCACAAACAATATCGACAGAAGAGCAAGAACCCTCGTGGTGCTTTCTTTGGTCCGGGCGAAGAAGTCTCGAGGGGGCGAATAGGTGCCCCACTCGACATACAGGCCTTCTTGTGCCGGTCCATCCGCCTGCGTGAGAAGTTCTGACCAGCATTTGTTCGAAAAGGACGAAAGTGAGCGGACGAGGGGGCGGAGAATCTGGACAATCTTTGTTGTCTCGAGCCGGTGCGTCGCCGCTTCGATCGCCCGTCTTATATCCGCCAGAACACTCGACTCGTCCAGAGAACGGGACAGAACGCCTTGAGTTGTCGGCTCTTCGCGGTCCATCGGGCTGACTAGATGCTGCATCCACGCCGAGGAGCCGCTTGATGGGTCAATTTCTTCGACGAGGCTCAAGGCCTGTTGCAGGTCGATGGACCTGCGCAGCTCAAGGCTGACCATATCCCATATCCTCGCCCGTCCATCTCTATACAGGAGCAGGATTTCGTTGCCCCGCACTGCCATCCTTTCAAGAGGTGATGCGCATCCAGGAATGACGTAGAGGTGCTTGAGCCCGTCGAGGAGGAACACGGCAACGGTGCCATCAGCCCCCACGGCAGCCATGCAGCCCTTCAGCCTGGGTCCTTCCGCATCGAGGACGAAGAGGCGAACAACGGGGCTCGTCAAAAGTGAGTGTACGACCTGCAGCTGAAGAGAGTTGACGTCGTAGAACGCAATGTCGCCTTCTCTTGTGGCCGCTACGATGTGCTTCGTCTGTGTTCGCGTATTGACGACCGTCTCTAGCAGGCACACGGTGCCCGGCACCCCGTCCCCATCGTCTTTGGCAGCAGGCACTTTGCCCATGGCCAATTCAGCGAGGGAAGCGAGGCCGAGATGGCCAGATGGGAGCGCGACTACAATCCTCTCCATGCTGAGCGGCAAAAGGCAACCCAGCCTCGGACTCTCGGGCGCATTGCCTTTCCACACTTGCCGTCCTTTTTCATCGGTCAGGGACACGCAATCTCTCTCGTCCTGCTCTAGAACAAAGGGTAAGCCGGAGGCGAGAATGGCGGTGCGCCCCAAAGCACCGCTGCGCTGTAGACCCCTCGAGGGCTTGATTTGTAACAGCAATGCTGATCGCTGTGAGTGAAGAAGATGAATCGTCTCAGCCAAACGCTCTTCTGCATGTTAGGGGATGAGAAATACGCACTGTTGACTGCACGCACACCGTCTGGCCAGACACGGTGACCTGCTGCGTGCTGCGGCAGCTCATGCTGTCTCCCACTTGGGCTAAGCCACTCCTCTTGAGTAATCTCAACTCGTCCCCGGACCAGACCACCAAGAGCTTCTCCCCATCTGCGCTGTCCTCGATTTCCACCACCCCTCGGCAGGTGGATTGATGAAGCTTGCCGAGCTTCTCCGCCTCTGTGCCCATCGAAGGGCGATGAGCGGCAAGAGCACCGTCCTCGCTGAGCACGTACACGTGAGAAGGTGAAATCCCGACGACTCTGCCGCCTTGGACTTGGTGGACGCCCACAACCTTCGAAGCTTCCTCGTCGAGACGGAACCATGAATTTGGCCGACAATCGTCGAGAGCGACCCAGCCAGCGTCACCACCTGTCTCAGTCCTAATCCTGACCAACTTGGCGAAGCGACACTCGATTCTGGCCCTTTTAATGGGCGCCGGAGGCTGCTCCCCTGCGTTAGAATTCCGCCTTGATCTCGGGGCAGGAGAGCTAGCCGAGGCGCGCAGGGCAGCCAGCGTCGCCAAAGGTCCACTCGGCGCTGGAGTTGCAAGATGTGCAGGAGTGGGTGGAGGTACGGGGGGATAGCTCGTCGTGAGGCCCAGGTCGAGACTGCGGTCCAGTGAGCCATCTTCGAGGGACCAAGCACAGAGTAAGCCGTCCTGTTGAAGTGCTATAACTCTCCTTTGCTTATCCAGAGTGACGTCGACGACGGGAGAGGTGGAAGGCGTTCGCAACTGCATTCGAAGCGACCATGTAGAGGGGCCTTTTTCGCTCTTGGCAGCTCCTCCCCCGGTCTGCTGTCCTTCCACAACGGCATTGGGAGGCGACACCCAGGGCAGCGGACTATGACTCCTACTATTCGCATTCGAGACCTTTCTTCTCGAGGGCGAATGCGCTCCAGACCCAGGCACAGACGAGCTGGCCGAGGCGGCAAGATGAGAAAGGGGCGGCGAGTGGCCGTGACCGTGGCTGTGGTGTTGTGGTATCCCCAGCGCGCCCATGACGTTTCCCACGACTGTCGCAGCGTTAGGGTTGCCGTGATGCCACTGGGCCTCGAGCTTTTCCTCGACGCCTCCCTGGCCATTGTGATTGTGTTCCTCGACAAGCTCGGCCAGAGCGGACGTCTTGCTCGTCGATGTGCCTGCTCCCTCTGTGTCGGCGTGCGGAGAGGTAGGCGAGGCGAGCAGCTGGGCCTGCTGCGAGCTCACCGACACCTGTGACGAGTGGCTCGCACGGCGTCTTTGCGGTGTCGTCTGCCCTTTCGCCAAGCCAGGCTCGAGTGTCGGAGCCGAGGGACCCCGAAGCACGTACACGCTCCCACCGCGCGTCCCGATGGCCACGTCGATGGCCGAGGCCGCTGTGGAGCAGCTGGCCGCTGCGCACGAAAGCCACCCGTCTGCGTTTTCATCATCAAATCCGAGCGTCTCCTCGTCTTCATCTTCGTCTTTGTCTCCCTCATTAACGTCGTTGACCCCCTTCCCACCGGACAGTGCTGTATGCGTCTCGCTCCTCCATCGTGTCCTCCAATCACGCGGGACAATCGCCGGGGACCCTGACGTAGCAGACGCAAACGGTGCAGACGGCGCAGATGGAGCGGGATGGAATCGAAGCGGAACCTTGAGAGGCGGTGCAGACATTGCTGCCACTGCTACTTCCTGCTCCTGCTGCCGCTTCTTGGTCCCCTTCACTTTCCAAGTCTCGTCGTCTGTCCCGAAGGGCGCGCGCGCGCCAGAAAATGATTAGATGTCTGTTGGTTGTGGATGGAGGAGAGGAATAATATCGCGCACGGACCGAATGGGAGGGGCCAACGGAAGAATTGCGAACAAGAAGAAAAATCACGTCCGAGAAGCACGACCAAGACGTCACCCAAGACGACGAACAACGATGCACCAGGGGATCACAAAGCCGATCGGGGATCTCTTCTCTTCGGCAAGCGGCGACGCTGCGGCTGTGGCACAGCAGATCCGCAAGCAAGAAGCTGAGCGTGAGTGTGGTCGTCGCCTTGCAGCCGGCTATGGCTGCTCCCTCCTCTTGCACCCCCTACCCATCCTCTTGCTGAAGCAACCAAGTTTTGCTCAGTCACCTTGCCTCGCGTCGACGAGCAGACGGCACTTGAGATTGAGACACAGATTCGAAGCCTTTATACGAGCACATTACTGGCAGGCCAGCCGGACAAGGCAAAGCATCAGGGCATCGCCTTTGCCGTGGAGCTCTTCGGTGGTATGAGACTCGCTGCCGGCACAATCGGCCCCGGAGTGACGCCGGGCAACTGGACCTGGATCGAGCGCAAGATCAACACCGGTGAGTCAGATCCAGCTGGTTGGCAGAAGCACAGTCAAACAGGAGAGGGCATTCGAATATGCTGAAACACAATCACAACAGTGCGGCTGCACCATAAGTCGTCGTTCCTCACAGGCCGCGAGCTCGTGACCAAGGGGCGTGACATCAACTCCCTCGGGCCAGACTTTGCGGCGCACGGTGGTGCGTTTCCCATCAGGGTCACGAGTTGCACCTATCCCATCGGTGAGTGAGCTCGGAGCGGGGCCTGATCCTCCAAGACCAAATTTTCTTCACTGACGAGAACTATTCCGCGACGATGTTTCAAAAGGCGCCGTTGCCGTCTCTGGCCTAGCACAGGAAGTGGATCACTGGCTCGTCACTCAGGCGCTGTGCAATGTCATCGATGGCCAGAAAGCGTAGGAGTAGAAGAGGGGCACGGGCGCATGTACTCTACCTTTTGCGCAGATGATCGCATTCGCATCGCGCACAATCCAACATCGTCTATCTCTCTTTCTCATTCTAGTCGTATCGAGAAAGGGAAGCTGCTGTACAGTAGTTGTGTGTAATTAAAGGATTTGGTCTCTTCAGATGCGGCAGTTTGCCAGTGCGACGACGAGAATGTCGTGTGCGCCCTGTGCCTCGAGTGCGTCCATCACATTTGCCACGTCGCTTCGGAGAACCATCGACGAGACAGCATTCCATCCCTGGTCATCAAGCGGGCTTACCGTAGCGGCCCGTCGCCCCGGCGTGATCTTGAGCACCTTGTCCAGGTTCTCCTTCTGCGTGTTGTACTGCACCAGCACGTACTTGCTCGCAGCAATGACTCCCTGGAGCCGGCGGGCAATGAGGTTGACGAGGTCCGTGTCGCTGCGCTTGTGCGGCGTCGTGGGCCGGATCAACACAGCCTGCGAGGAGAGGAGCGTGTCGATGGCGTGCAGCCCACACGCCCGCATTGTTTCTCCGGATTCGACCAGGTCGACTGATGATTCGTATCCCCTCATTCGTCAGTACTCCCAAGTACTGGCGCCTCTCTCTCTCTTCTCTCTTTTGTCTCTGACTCACCAATACCATCAGCCACGCCCAGGGCACAAGCGGCCTCTACGCTTCCTCCCACATACTCGATCTTCGTCTTGACCTCTGCCTCTCCTTTGGCGCTTCTCGCCTCGTTGACTTTGGCGTCGAGCTTGGCAAAGAATTCACCGGCAAGGAAATCAAACGACGTAGCCACCTTTTTCCCCACCAGGTCCTCGACTGTCTTGAGGCTCGTGCTTGCCTCTGGCACCTGCACCTGCAGCTGGCACTTTCCGAATCCCAACGGAAGCTCCTCGGTGATGAGCGACGAGACGCGGTCGCCTGCCTCGGCGACCATGTCCTGGCCAGTGATGCCGAGGTCGACGTTGCCCTCGCCCACGAAGCGGGGAATATCTGCTGCGGGGAGAAAGACGAGAGCCATGTTGTGGTTCTGCACGAGGGCCACGTCGAGACGGTGCTGTCGCTTGAATTGAATGTCCGCGCCGCCCAGCAGCTCCAAGCACTTTTCGTAGAGCCGTCCTGTGTGCATGCGCTCCTGTCAGCGATCTTCGCACGCGGCGGCACCATTCAACGACCACTCAGCCCACTCACCCTTTTTTGGAATCGCAAAGAGCGTCCGCCCTTGCAGGCTCTCCGACGTCAACAGGTTGCTCATCGTCGCTGGTCGTCTCTCGATGTCGATTGGGCGGAGAACGCCGAGTCAGGAAGAACCTTTAAGCACGGCATGGACAAGTGCGTGCACGTGTCTAACTCATTTTTTTTTTGTGTTTTGTTTTTGGGTTCGTATTGTTCACGTGTGTCAATCAGTCGACCGGAACGGTGGCTTGATTAAGGCTCTGCTCCACGGGGAGCAACACTTCGAGAGTCCAGATCTACCATGCCGGCCGATCGGAGAGCGCGCCATTTCAGACCGGCAACCAGCTCGACCGTCGGCGAAGAGTCCCTCGCCGCATCGGTCTTGCTAACAAATGAAGAGAAGGTAACCACGGAAAACATCAGGGTGGTCATGGCTATTCAGGCCAATCACCGCGGCATGGGATGCGCAGTCTACCAGGCCGAGACGCACCGCCTTCTCCTCCTCCAGGACTCGCCCGCTCCAGAAAGCTCTTCAACGCATCATACTTTTCTTGGTGTCCATCCCGACTCAAGTCCAGACCCAGATCAAGAGCAGAAACGGTGCAGCGCTGACCGCGACTTTATCTCGTCTTGTGGGCTTCCTCTGAGGCCTATCCGTGCTTGGCTGTGCCGTGAAAGTGACTGACTGGTGCTGCTTGAGAAGTGATCGGACAGCTCCATCCAGATCTTGTCTTTACGAACGAGAATTGCCCCTTGCCAACCTTAGACTCGATCAAGTCTCAACGCATGTATCGCCCTACTTATCTGCTAGTGGCCCGAGTGACCTGACCCTTGTTCCTCCTGCACTCAGTATCTCAGCTCGAACGTCACACCACGCTCGAGCTACGCACCTCGTCGGAATTCGACCATAAGTCAGGTGTAGAACGGCTGAGGACTTTTCATCCCACTGATGCAGAGATGGTCACCATCGACACAATGCACATGTCGGTGCGTCTTTAAAAAAACGCTTTTCCGCTCTTAGATTTTCGCTTATTTGAGCGTATAAAACATCCCTGAAAAGGTTGCTGCTTCGAGCTGTCTCATCGGTGAGATGCAGAAGAGGAGTGCAATGGCAGGAAAGGGCGCGTACGACTCCGACGAAGAGTCAAACGATCCAGACGACGAAGGCGACGATGCTTTTGTGCACTTCGCTGTCTTCGCAATTGATACGCTCACGTTGGACGAGTACATGTTCGTGGACATCGATACGAGGGCTGCTCTGGGAATCTTTGAGGAACAAAAGCACGCCACAATGCATTCATCAAAGAGGAAAGAAGGGCTCAGTATTCTTTGTGGGTCTTGTCACTCTGGTCGAGGATAATCTTGGCTAAGGATGAGATTCCACAGCGTTGCTGAACAGGACGCATACACCCCGTAAGTGCGCTTCTTCTTTTTTTCAATACTGGTAAAGAAAGACAGTTTGACCTTTGCACAACAGTCGGAAGTTTCCTGCTACGACGGTGGCTAATGTTTCCGTCCATGTCGATTCCCACCATCGAAGCACGTCTAGATGCCGTGGAAGCCTTTGTTTCGCACCGCGAGCAAGCCGTGGAGATTGTCAAAACGCTCAAAGGAGTACGCAATGTGCCGCACATCCTCGCAAAGCTAAGCACTGGCAGCAGGAATGATGTGAACAAGTGGAAGGCTGTCTCGAAATTCATTTCGAAGGCACAACTCGCTCGCGGCCAGGTGGTGCAATTTCAGGCGTTACAGCTGCAAAGCATTGAGCTTGCAATCGTTAAAAAGGTCAAGGACAGCGTCAGAGCGACTGAGCTTGAAGAGCTGCGCGGTGAGCTGGAAAAAAGCGTCAATTGGGAAGACAGCAAGAGCGAGCGGCGCATCTGTATCGCGTATGGGGTCAACTCCGAGCTGGACGAGCTCAAAGAGACTTACGCCAATCTACCATTGACACTCGCAACCCTGGCTAGGGAAATGAAGGCCCGCTTGACCGATTTTGTTGATGAATCAGAGCGCATCAATCTTGCCTACTTCCCTCAGATAGGCTATCTGCATCAGTGGGTGCACCGACCTGGGTTCTCTGAGGCATATTACGTCGAGCGTGGCAAGGCTCTGGGCTGGAAGCACCATTTTGCGCTGGACCGTGCCTCTTTCTTCAAGAGCGAGCATTGTTTCGATGTCGATCGGCATCTCGGCGACATTCATGAAATGATCCAGGGCATGGAGGTAGAGATTGCGTATGTACTGCTGCAGAAAATATTGGCCAAGGCGAAAATCCTCGTCGAAGCAGCCGACGCCATCGCAGAGCTGGATTGGTTGGTCTCATCAACTTCAAGGGCCACCTTTTAGGAAAGCTCACATAGCAATCAGTCTCCTTGCCTTTTCCTTTAGTGCGATTGAGCTGGACTACCGCCGCCCGACTGTTGTCGAAAGACCGATCCTCGACATTATCGCGGGACGGCACCCTCTGCAGGAGCAGTGCGTCGAGAATTTTGTAAGCTACTCATCTTTGTTTCCTTTCAGAAAGATGAGCTCATTCAGAGAATGATGTCAAGGTTGCAAATGATACGTGGATCGTTGGAGGTCGTGGTCTTATGCAAAAAAGCGAGACTCTGACGCATAAGGATGAAATTGGGAATGGGGATCAAAGAGCGAATGAGGTGCAGATGGAAGACGACGATGAAGGACGCAGCGTCCTCATCATCACAGGAGCGTGGGTATTCTACATCGCTTTCCACCGAGGCGTGCTGGAAGTTGATCTTCTAAATGCAGCAATGCTTGTGGCAAATCGGTCTTCCTCAAGCAGAATGCCCTCATAGCGTAAGCTTTTCCCGCTTCTATTGCCATGCTTGAGCTCACCGTGCCAGCCTTTAGAGTCATGGCCCAGATCGGCTCGTTTGTTCCTGCCTTCTCTGCCACCGTTGGTCTTGTTGACAAGAGTAAATCGTAGCTTTATACTGCTTCTTGTACACTTCCTGACACCGACCTCACCTCCAGTCCTCACCCGCATTCAAGCGCGCGAGAGCATCACCTCCCAGCGTTCCTCTTTCTACCTCGACAGCATCCAGCTCTCGCACGCCCTCCGCCACTTTACCCTCCGATCCTTGCTCATTCTTGACGAAGTGGGCAAGGGCACCTCCTCTTCGGACGGAGCCGCCCTGTTTGCAGCAACGATCAAGCACCTCCTTCTTCGCGCCCCTCACACGCCGAGGACAATGACCACCACACACTTCTTTCAAGTCATCCACCCCAGCTTTCTCGATCCTGACTGGCCCGTCCTCTACGGGCATTTTGACGTACGGCCCCAGGACAATGGCGAGCTTGTCTTTCTGTACAAGTAAGTCTTTTCCTCAGTCTAGGTTCCTCTCTCTCTGGTATTTTGCTGATTGGCCAGCGAGGGCACGCCCCAGGCTCAAACCGGGCTGCCAGCTTCACTCTTTCGCCTGCGTCGTCTGTGGCATGTGCGGCGTGGATCGCTCCACTGTGCGGAGGGCGAAGTACGTGTCCGAGGCGTGCCGTTCTCACAATCTCGGGCTCCTTCGGCGTGAAATTGCCGAGATGCAGCACGAAGAGCAGCAAAATGTGCATCCGGCCTCGAAGGACGAGATGCTGTGCAAGGAAGTCGCAGTGAGACGCTTTGTCAGCGTCGACTTTGCATCGATCGATGCGCACGACTCTGAGGCTCTTGGTAGGATGCTCGACGAAATTCTCTCGGATCCACAGGATAGCTGAGCAGAGAGTCATTGCGAATTGCACCTAGAGGGAGGAGAAGAGAGAGAGAGAAAGAGAGAAGAAAATTGTCCATACATCAATGTAACCTTTAACGAATACAAGCAAAGCGATAAAAGAGAATGAGGTCTACCCAACGACGGCGCGGTGGACCATAAAGGCTGTGCTGCCAATGAACCTGATGCAGCTGAGCGCACCGACAAAGACAAGCACCAGCAGCATGTAAATCTTGCTCCTGGTAGTCCCAGACCCGGGCTCAAACGTGCCCCGGGTGTCGCCCGAGAGGATAAGGGCAGCCAGGACGCCGTTGCTCAAGCACCAAGCCAGGAGGACATTAGTTCGGATATTCCGGTAGTAGTCCATCCTCCGCGCCTCCTTCTCTTCGCGCTTTTCCTCGCCCTTGAAGAGCATCGGCCGCGTGCGGAGGTTGTGCAGCGACTGGTCGTACAGGCTGTCAATGTCAGCCTGGTTCGTCGGCAGTGTGACCTCGACGATTCCTTGCCCGCTCGAGACGACGATGCCCAGGTCGTTTTGCTCGGCTGTAGCACCTTTTGTGCCCCAGCTGAAGTCGTGGAGGTTGCAGAAACTGTAGCACGATACGAGGTTGACCATGGTAGGAACAAAGAGGAGGTACTGGAAGAAGCTCGTGACGAGATGCAGCGGGTCGAGAGCGATGAAGGAGCTGAGGAGGTACACGCCATAAGTTGCCAGAACACTGACGATCATCTGGGCGTAGATGGAGTCATGGTCGGCGTGCTTGACGGCTTGTACGAGACACAGAACGGCAGCAATCATCATGAAGAGCGTGAGCGCAGCATAGATGCAGCTGACGAGGAAATACTTCCACCGACTGCCCTGGGGCCGGTTGCCGAGCGAGAGGATGAAGCACGAAATCGTGGTTCCCAGGTAGATGTACTGCACGACGGTGTTCCATACTGCGATGCCCTTGCCCAGGTGGAACGACGGCGCCTCGAGAGACTGCGACAAGATGCGGAAGAAGATGTAGAAGTTGGCGAGCGAGAACCAGGCAAATGCGAGATTGATGAAGCTGTAGAGTGACTCGACGAGGAGCATAGCCTTGCGCCAGACGCCGTGGCCCGAGGACAGGAACTGCGTCGTGTGCGTCAAGGCGTAGACACCAGCGAAGAAGGAGCCGTTCAGCCACCGACGACGCTGGCTGATGAATTCGGGTAGCCGGTCAGGTACGTCGGTGACACCTCTCGCGCTCTTGACGTATCGCAACACCCATCCTTCTTGCCTCTTGGCTGCCAGCTCGAAGCAGAGAATACGATCTTCGGCAAGGTACATGTTACTTGTAAAGACGTCTGCCTCTGCGCCATGCATCGTCTCTCCCTTGAAGTAAGAGGCGAGAGGTCCCTGACCAAGCTCGTTGTTCTGCAGCGCAATGTAGCGGTAGGCGGAAAAGGCACCCGGCAAGACGGAGATGTAGCCAAAGACCGACTCGGTCGTCTTGTCAAGGATGTTGCTGATCTTGTACTCGAAGTTCTGCGCCGCCACGAGAGGATTCAGAAGTGCCGGTCCCAAGCCCCACTTGCCCTTGACATCTGCTGTGATCTCGCCACAGGCACCAGCGACGTTAGAGTTGAGGTCGAATGTCTTCCAGAGGTGGTAGATGGACTTGTTCTCTGGCCTTGTCCCTGCGTCGATGAGGACACATACATTGGGCTGAATGATGGGACCAAAAGCGTTGAAGAACCAGCGGTGGGAGTTGATCTTCTTCTTGTTGCTCTCTTTGAGACAGAAGATGACCTGCATGGGCACGAGACCTCTCTCGGCACCCTTGAACTGCAGATTGGAGTCGATGGAGAGCTGCGTCGTGTACTCGTAGATGTGCGCCTCGACTGCCTTGCCATTGACGCTGTTCTTTGCCACGCCCTCCTGGTAAATGCCCAGGCTGGCAAGAACGTCGAGCACCCGGGGATGAATCTTCTTTCGACCGTCTGCAATGATGGCGACGACAACCTTGCGCCAGCCCTCTGGGCCCCAGGTGCGACTCTTGTGCCGCGAGCAGAGGTGTGCGATGTTCTTCATGACCCCGTGCAAGGTGCGCGTAAAGAGCACCTCGTCTTCGTTGTACAGGGTGATCGCGATGAAGATCTCGGTGTGCCGGTTTAGGAGTGCCGGTCGAAGGCTGAAGTTGGATTGTGAGAAGTCGTCGGGTTCGCAGGTGGCTGCCGTGTACCGCATCTGCATGAACTCATCGTCACCTCTCCTCGAGAGGAAGCTCTGGAGCTTGGTGGGCACGGGACAGTCGAGAACGAGGTTACCCTGTGTCAATTTGACGTTCTTCTTTGTCTTATGCCGCCGAAGCTGGGCGCCTCGCGCTGGCGCTGGCCCAAAGTGCATCGTGTCGGAGCCATACATGATGGCCTCCTTCTCGGACGGACCAGCGACGTCGTCTTCTCCTGTGCCCAGATACGTTTCTTGGCTGGATCTTCTCTCCTCTCCTTCATACCCGTACGGCGACTGCTCATAGCCTTCGGCAGCAAAGTTGCCAAACTGCCTCTCCTCCTCCTCGTACTGTGCATAGTCCTGTTGCCCGTAGCCTTGGTAGGGTTTCCCGTTCTGATCCTCGTCCTCGTAGCCATAGACGCCGGCTTCCTCCTCGTCATCGGCGCCCGGCTGGACATAGCCTCGCGCGTAATCGTATCCGGCCGGGCTCGTGTATGATGGTGCCGGGTCCTGTTGTTGGGACAGCGGGCTGCTCGCAGTGTCGTAGGGAGATTGCAGAAGCGTGGGCAGGTAGGCATTGAGGCCCGCTGCATGTGCGCTCGCAGCTGGCTGCCTCGATCCATCGCCATCGGCGTTGATGTTGCCCAACGCAGCCGCGGCCTCGTGGTAGAAGCTCTCGCTCAATTGGCCCTGGTGTCCCGCGCCGATCGGAGACAGGCCCCTTTCGTCGTCAACATCGCCGTCGTGAACGTGGACGACGTGGTCCTGGCCCCTGTAAGCCATGGTCGATTAAGAAGATAAGATATGACGACGACGATTGTGATGCTGGTGGTGTGACTTGGTAATGGAGCGCACCTCAGAACGGAGCGTGCAGGTAAAATCTATGCAACACACACCCTAACGCATTACCCCCTAAAAGTCTCGCTGAAAATCCCCGAGGGATTCAGAAAACAACTCAGGGGTCCCGCGATCGGTCACGTGTGTTATTCTTGATTTGACACACGAAGAGACAGGTCAACATGACGCCTCGAGCATCATCACGCCGCGAGCATCAGACGGTCAATGTGACTCGAGGAATAGCTTCGCATGATATGCTTACGTGCTTTGTGAGAAGACAAGGCCAGCAAATAGACAAGAGCAGTCTGTTGTCGTAATCAACTACATGAAGGAGCCACGTACGGCGGCGTAGAGGATACGGGGATGCATCAGGGCCAGGCTCCCTTTGGAGCCAAACATGACAGCAAAGAGGCAATTCCCCACTGAATGGTCCTCATGGCCAAAACGGTGAATGTACTTGAGAAGACCACCGAGAAGCGAGCGCAGCTCTTTCCCTTGTGTGACTGGGATCTTTGGGTTTACTTTTCTCGCGCATGACAGGTTTAGCAGAGGAGACTTCTGACGAAGAAGGAGGAAGGAAAAGGCCACTCACGCTTTTGAATGTCGGGACTGGCAAGGTCCATGGCTCGATTGAAGTCAAAGAGACCATAGGATCTGGGATTCCTCCTCGCATCAAAATCTCTTGCGACGTCCTTGACATTGTCAAACTTGCTGAGACTGGCCGAGAGTGTCAGACAGTCTGACATAGCCTTGTGCGTACCCTGTCCAAAGGCCGGGTTGAGCTTAGAAAATGAATCACCGACGAGAACGAGGTTGTGAGGCAGCTTCCGGTTCCGCGCATCGATAACCGTGACATAGCTGTCCGAGTCTCTCGCTTGACGGAAATGGGCTTTTTGTTCCGTCAAGTCCTCGTTCTCCTGCAGTAGATCAATGGTCTCATCGAACCAGGATCCAATATCTTGGTCCGTGTTGGCAGCATATGCTTCTTTGACATGCTGCCTGAAGTGATCCAGCTTCTTGGGCATCATATCTGGTGTTGTGTCGTACTTCATGGCAGCGAGGTAGTCTGTCATTGCTGTCAGCAGGGAAAAGCGAACGCATCGCCTTCTCAGCTCACATTTGTTGCCATCAGTGTGGGTCATAAGTGCGTAGCTGCTTCCACTCGTCAGCGTCGGCGCAGTAAGGAGAACGTTGGTTATTTTTCCCCAGCCTGGCTCCAAGCTTTCTGGCAGAGGCAGACGCCGAGCGATTGTTTCATCGACGTCGATGAGAGCAGTGGAGTACGAGACATTCATTTGGTATTCTTCCACCTTGGGAGCCTCGAAGCGTGGGTTGCTGAGCACCTTGAGAATGTTCTTGTAGACCCTGGCTGCACCAGAGCAGTCTATGAAGAGCTGGCAGTCCAGCCATTTGCCTTCGCCCGATGCAGTCTTGACGTGGACCCTGTCGATAAGCGCATCGTCATCCTTACCCAGCGAAGCTCCCGTCACCTTTCCATAGACGAATTCGACGCCGGGCGTATGAAGTTTGGTCAGATCTCCAATGACGGCCTGCAAGCCAGGCCTATTCATCATCAGGCAGTCGTCCCCTGTCGGACCGAACTTGTCAACATTGCTGTCCCAGTCGACACGGGCTTTGTTGAGCCAAAATTCGAATCTGACTGTTTCATATCGTGCGAAACGTCCGCCTCGCTTCAGCACCTCTTCCCTGAAAAGACCTGGCCAGATGCGTTGGAGGCTTTCCACAGTGAAGGGGCTGAAGTTGTGCAGCTGATCGTACTGCTTAATAAAATTGCGCCACGAATCGTTTGACTGGCACGGCTCGACGATGACCACGCGCTCGTAATGCCTCGTTGCAACGGCGGCCATCATGCAGCCAGCGACTCCGCCGCCGGCAATGACACAGGTTCCACTGCGCTTCTTGGGCTTGCCCTTGTCGCTCTTGCCCTGCCTGAGTGCCAAGTCGAGCTGGGTAAAGCGCTCGGCATCGTACATGGCTGTCTCTTTTTCCGTCGACATGTCGAGCAGACGCTTCCACAGCATAGGCCATGTGAGGCGGACAGCGACAAGCGTCAGGACGAGATAGTAGGCGAACATCTCAAAGGCGGACGGGGAAAAGTTGGAATGGTGAGCCCAGTTGCGGGAACAGCTTTGCACAAGCTCCCTTATATGCTCTTTACTCGGCTGCTCGCATGAACATTCATTCCATTTGGGCCGCATGAGAGCATATGACAGGCGCATTATTTTGAAAAGTCAGGTACTAGCTGGTCAGCTAGTCAGTCGTACAGCAAAGATGGATAATAAGCTAGCTAAGGGACAGATCAAATTTAGTCTCATGATGCAGACTGGGGGCAACAAACCCGGCGTAACGCCGCATAATCTTCGAGTTTTTTATGCTTGCGTTTGCGATTAGGGTGGTTGAATCGACTTGCGGACAAAGGGGAACAGCCCTGGCCCCTTGACGACCACTTCGAGATATGGCCAACAGCAAGAGAGACTTGTCAGGCATTGCACCAGATTGATGAAATGTTTGTCCCGTAAAAAAAAGCAATTATCTCCTCGACTTTTGAGGTCAATTCATCGGCCTGCCTCTCAAGAAGTTGTGCGTGTGCCCGCACGTCGCAAATGGGAACGAAAAGGTGGCTTTGTCGCTGTCTGTTTCTCTTTGCACCTCGTTCCCAGGCCCAATAATGTCCCGGAGCCACTGCTAGCAGTAGCGGGTCCGCTGTGGCTTCTGACGTTTTAGGAATCTCCCGCTAAACCCGTGCTGGTGCTGGAAAGAAGGTTGCGGATGGGCCGACGGGCAGGCAGGCAGGCATGAAGGCAGCCCTGCCCCGTCTTATTGTCCAACCCGAATCTAAAAAAAAAATGTAGCTTTCCACGTGTAATCGCGCGCGTCTGGTGCGTTCTTCGTCTCCGATTTTGGCGTCACATCCAGCGAGCTCTAATCTCAGAGAGAAGACCAGCGACGCCTCACCCCCTCACACGGCACAAACGCGCAACACGAAGCCTGGTCTCGGTCACCATGTTTGCCGACCTGAAGCGCACCGCGGTGCGGCCGTTGCTGCTCCAGATTCTCAACTTTGCCACCGTCGTCGCGACAGCGCTGGCCATGTGGAAAGGGCTCAGCGTGCTGGCCGACAGCGAGAGCCCCGTGGTGGTGGTGCTGTCCGGCAGCATGGAGCCGGCCTTTTACCGCGGCGACTTGCTCTTCCTCACCATGCCGGGGCCCAAGACCCGCTTCGAGGTCGGCGACATCACCGTGTACAAGATTCCTGGCCAGGAGATCCCGATTGTGCATCGTGTCATCGAGACGCATGACGAGTGAGTTCCAGCCCCCCAGGAAGGGAGCCCCTGGTGAAAGATTCGGGGAAGAGGCTGACCAGACGGGCTTGCAGGAAACAAGGGTACGATCAGCTGCTGCTGACAAAGGGCGACAACAACGACGCAGACGACCTCGGACTGTACAATGGGCCACGCTGGATGAAGCGAAAAAACGTCGTCGGGAAAGTCCGAGGGTGAGTAGCACCTATTCCATATTCTTGGCCTCACTGGACTGACAAAGAGAGTGCGGGACAAAGGTACATGCCATACGTGGGCTATGTGACCATCGTGCTCAACGACTATCCCAAGCTCAAGTACCTCCTCTTGGCCGGGCTAGGTCTCTCGCTCCTCTTCTCAAACGACGAATAGCACGTCGCTCTCTCGCCGTTCGGCAACCGCTCTAGCGAGGGGGCCAGCTCTCATACTTATAGAGAAGAAAGAGAGAAATGGTACAGATAAGATATTGCAATGCCCGAGAAATGGGTGAGTGAATGTGTGCTTCAGTGCGCCAAGGAAAACGAGTGTCTGAGGAGGACCAGGCCAAGTCCAATGTGCGGGGTTTGAGGGTATGAATGTCTTCATCGAGCTCGCTGCTTCGACCCAGTCGAAGACGGGAGCATGCTTGGGCTCGGATTGAAATGGTTTGATGTGCCTTACTGCCCGCTTTGTCGTATCCGTTATTGCTGCTGCTGTTCATGTTGTTGCGGCTGCTTGAAGTGTCTGTTGAGGACAGAGGAGCTTCTGGACCTCGCCGTCCTCGGCTCGTCCAACTTCTTCCGTTCAATGAGGTTCCCCGCCGACTTTCTGCGTACCGGCGACAATCCAGTCGCGACTTCTATGTCCTCTACTTCAACATCATTGTCAATGCCAGGGTCCCTGCGCAACGCGCCAAACGTTCCTGGCCCACTCCCGCCGGCTCCGTTGCTCGTCCCCGGCCGCTCGTCTGCGGTACCCTTGCGGCTGCTTCCTCTGGCCGTACGGGGCCTCTCTGAGCTGCTGCCCAGGCGTCCATCGTGGGCCGTGTGCATGGTCCCCCACGAGGTCTTCGACCTCAGGACGCAGTCCTCTTCGACCGTCTGCCGGAACGCAAAGAGAGCGTCCTCTGCCTCGTCGCCCGCTCCCGCTCCCGCTCCTTGCCCATCCGAGCCCAGGGCCGGCACCACCGAGTGGGTCTTGCTTGGCGACGAGCGCGGACGGCTGTACGGCGTGGCGTTGTCCCTCCGTGGCGATCCAGGAAGACTCACGCTCGGGCGGGGAGCCGCTTCGACCTCCATCGCTCGCCTGTCGCCGTGCCCGCTGTAGGCGAGTGGAGCGGCACCTGCAGAAGACGGCAGGGAAAGAGGGGTAGGAGGCAGCTTCGACGCCGCGGCTCTCAGTGCCGAAAAGTTGGCGCGCTTCATGACGTCTTTGACGTCGAGCGCAGCGTGGCTCTGGCTTCGCGGATCCGGGCTGCTGTCATACAGGGCGGGTGAGGCGAGGTAGGAGCGCGACCTGGCAGAGCCACGGTACGAGGCGGGTGTGTCAACGGAGCGGGGTGAGCCGCGGTCGTCGTACAGCCGCAGCGGTGTCCTTGCTGCCGTCGAGGAGGGTGATGGCAAGACGAGGCCGGCGCTGATCAGCCTTTCCTCTGCGTGGCTCAAGATGCTGCGCTTGCTCGCTAATGTCGGTGGCCGGCTGTTGGGGTTGCTAACGCTGCCACTGCTGCTACTGCTCATCGTTGCAGCCGTTGTCGGGGGCAGGCTCTCGACAAATTTGAAAGCCGACCTGGTCGATGAGGCGTCCAGGCTCGATGTCGATGCAATGTTGTATGCAAACGTGCTGGCGTGGGCGGACCGGATGCCTGAGCGCTCGGCGGCAGCTGCGGCCCTCGAGTCGATCCAGAGGCGCGAGTAGCGCGATGGCTTGACGAGATCCTCCCTCTCCTCTTCCACATTTGCATCTGCGCTGCTGTTCAGCTGGCCATCGGGTATGGCATCGTTCACGTCGTCACAAGACTCCGTCTCCTTCTCCTTCTCATCTGTCTTCTCTGATGAGCTGTCTCGGTGAGGCATTGGTCTTGATCCATGCGGACGTGCACTTCCAAGAACAGTTGCAGGCTTCCCTTCCTCGTCCTCGGCTTGTCCCGCCGCATCTATGCTGGCACGCGCGACGGACGAGAGGCTCGGTCGACGATGAATGCGCCGGTACGCCCTGCCTGCCATGCTCGTCGTCGTGGCCTGCATGACGGCGACTGGCAACATCCTGTAGACGGCCTCTTCGGTTGTGGCACAGACTATGCATGCGGCCACGAGGCAGCCGAGCTGCACCGCAACGGTGGCAGCCACGATATTTCTGTTTCTCTTGGATCCAAGGAAGAAGAGAACAACGAGGACGAGGACGTCGAGGATGACGAGGGACGCCACGAGGCCAATGGCATAGAGGCCACTCCCCCCGAACCAGGCGCAATACTGTCCGATGCTTCCAGTTGTGGGACCCACCATCCATGGCAAGGTGAGGGAGAAAATGAGGACGAGGAGCCAGGCAAGGCAAAGGCCGGCAACGACGCGGTGCCGGAACTTGCTGCGTTCAAGACCGCACCCCAGGCTGAAGATGACGACGAGCGTGGCTTCATCGTACTTGTCAGCGGTCGACGAGTCTTGCACGGGAAGAAATGAGAGAAGCACACTCACTGGAGCAGAGGGCGAGAGCAAAGACGAGGAGCGAAGCAGTCGTGCGTCGGTTGCACGCATTGCCCGCATCGTCTTCGGGCCGAGCATCCGTCTCGACGACGACAAGAATGAGCCAGGCGAGATTGATGTACCGTGACGCAAGGTAGGCAAGCGTGGGGACTGTGCGATAGGCCGAGAGAGCAATGCGCGAGGTGGTGCTAGTGCTGGTGTCGATTTTGGTCCTGATGCTGGTTCTGTTGCAGGTCATGACGGTGATGACGGCATCGAGGTCATGGTGCAGCGTCGAGATTACATCCCAGCCAAGGGCGCCCGTCGACAGCGAAGAGAGAATGAGCCTGTAGTACGAGTCAGCGCTGCCTGCAATGGGCACCTGCTGCTCCTGAAACTCACCCGACGTCGGCCATCTTCCCTTGGAGGGCTTCGGTTGCAGCGCGCGATGGCGGTCGGGATGAAGCCACCGTCGCCCCCAGGAAGCCCTAGTGAACGTGCGCTGGAGAATGATCAGAGAGGAGGAGAGACGAGACGACGACGACCTCCTCCTTCTAGCCACGCAGTGTGATGGCAGCAGCGATCGCTCTTCCAAGCCTTTTTTGGGCTGACGAGCGCCCTAGCGGACAGAAAGAACCAGATGCAGCGCACGCACCACGCGCGTACCGAATCGAAAAAAACGAGATAGCAAATCTCAGAAAGCAAAGCAAGGAAAGGGAAAAACGAGGCTAAAATAGAGCGCTTGCATTTCATGGAACCAGCGCACGGCCCGGGAGAGCGAAATGGGAAAGAAATTAGACGGAAAAACGAGGCAGGGAGGAGAGACTACTACTAAAGAGAACCCCGCATCGCGAGAGGCAGGGACGGAACGGACGGCGCGAGAAGCAAAAGACAACGAGACCTCATCTATCCTTTGTTCTGCTTCCGAGTGCTAACAAGGGCAAAGGAGTGGCTGCTTCTCTTTTGCGCGGTCGGAGAGCTCATTCGCGGTACCGAGCGGCGAACTCGGCGACGGGCATCTTTGCAAGAATGGCCGCCTCTGCCCCGCTGCGCCTCGTGCGCAGCCTCGTCTTTCTCGTCACCTTTCTCGCCAAAGTCGGCATTCTGTCCCCTTACTGGCTCCTCCGCGCCGTCCTCCACCGCAAATCTAAGGGCGGGCCCAATGTTCTCCAGCTGTACATGGACCAGGTGGTGAAGCACGCGCTCGTCGGCCAGGCCGCGTACAAGGTGCAGGCAGGCCCGTGGACGAGCGCGCCGTGGGCGTGGACGGACAGGCTGCAGGGACGGCAATTTGCCTTCGTCGAGCCGGCCAAGGAGACGTTCAAGGATGAGAAGCTGCCCAGACGGCTGGACGAGGTCGAGAGGACGAGGCGGAGCGCTGGATTTTGGTACCTGAACCCCAAGGAGAGGGGAGACTGCCCCAGCAGGACAAAGAAGGCCAGGCGCTCACCCTGCGTCCTCTATTGCCGTGAGCATCTTCGCGGTCCGGAATTGAGACAGAGCGCACACAGATACTGACTCTCGAGTGGTGTAGACGGCGGTGCATACATTACGCTGGCCGCGGGCGATGCGGCCATGGGAGGCACACTGGCTGCGAACCTGTCCAAGTGCGCAGAGGTCGACGTCTTCACCCTCGACTACCGCCTGGCACCCGACTCGCGCTTCCCCTCGCAGGTCTACGAGGTCCTCTCGGCCTTTCGCCACCTGCAGTCGCTCGGCTACGATCGCATCTTCCTTGGCGGCGACAGCGCGGGGGCCAACCTGGTCCTTGCCTTTTGGCGCTATGTCGACCACATTCTCGGCGAACGTCAATCCATCGCCGGTCTTCTCCTCAACTCTGTGAGTTGCTCTCTCTTTCTTGCCCTCTGCGCCGGTCAGGTGAGCCCATGCTGAAGCTGCACGAAAAAGCCCTGGCTCGATCTGGCCGGATATGACACGGCGGCGTTCCAGCAGGCCGCGACGCGGGATCTCATTGCACGCTACTTTGTCGAGACTGGCTCCAAGGCGCTGGGCATCGCGAATCTGCACGACCCCTTTGCCTCGCCCATCGTCTGGTCCGATGCCGACCTGGCTGCGCTGCCGAGCCTGTACGTCATTCACGGCGGCGACGAGACGCTCCTCGACGAAGGCACCCGCTTCGTCGAGCGTGCGCAGGCCCAAGGCATCGATGTCACACATGCAGTCTATGTGAGTCTTTGTTCCTCACTCGAGGCCTTGCAGGGGTCCCTTTACTGATGCTCGCACGTCGCGAACAATCCAGGACGGGTACCCGCACGACTTCTTCTCGCTCCCGTACTATGGCGGCATGAGCAAGCGGACCTTCCGTGCAGCCAAGACATGGTTCCACCGTGCAGAAAGGGCGTAGCTCTCCCTCTCTCTCTCTTTCCTCCCTCTTTTGTACATACCAGTGTAGTAGTGGCTTTGTCGCGGTCAGCGGGTGACATGCTCCCTAGGGCAAATCAAAATAAATAAAAAGCCTCAAAAAAAAGGAGGAAAAAAGAGACGAGGACGAGGGAAGAAAGCGCGACTAGATCAAAAAAGCGCGTTGCCCCACCGAGCTAGATCCACATCTTCTCGACGAGAAGTGAGAAGAGCGAGCACTCGACGAGCGGGGCGAGCACGCAAGCGCAGCGCGGCCTGCGACGGGGACCATGGCCATCGACACAGCAATGGAAGCGCCCGAAGAGAAGGAGAAAGAGGGGCGGGAACGGGAGCAAGAGGAGCAGGATGCAGTAGTAGCAGGAACAGAAGGAGCAGCAGCAGCAGCGCATACGGGGCCCTCGCTCGTGCTGATCATGGGCATGCGCTCGGCGGGCAAGACGACGCTGGGCAGGCTGGCGGCCGAGCACCTGCCCGGCCACGTTGCCTTTCTCGACGCCGACGACGAGTTCTGCCGGCTGCATGCGCCCCACACGCCCAAGACATTCGTCGCTGCGCACGGCTGGCCTGCGTTTCGCGCGGCCGAGACAGAGATCCTGCGCAGCGTGCTTGCGGCGCATCACCCCCAGCAGCAGCAGCAGCAGCAGCAGCAGCAGTGCCGCCAGCCCAGCAAGCTCGTTGTCTCGCTCGGCGGCGGCGTCGTCGAGGAGCCAGCGAACCGGGCGATGCTCACGGCGGCCTGGAGTGGCGCCGACGGCCTGCTCGACGTCGAGAAGCGCACCGCCGTCGTGCACGTCTTTCGCGAGGTCGACTACGTCGTGCACGAGGCCGACGGCCGCCGTGCGGGCGCCCGTGCCAAGCCAGCGTGGGTCGGCGTCGGTGGGGCCGAGGAGGTGTGGGCCAGACGGCGGCCCTGGTTCCGAGAGTGCTGTGAGTGTCGTGTATTCAGGCCCTCATTATCGACGTCTGATCTCACAGGAGTGGGATACACAGCATCGCACGAGTTTGTCAACTTCACCGAGCCAGGCGCCGGCGACGAGGCCGAGTCGTCGCTGCAGGCCCGGCTGCGCTTCGAGGCCGTCGAGCGCGACTTTGTCCGCTTCCTCGCCCGCCTCGTCTCGTCCTTTTCCGGCCGGGGAAAACCGATGTTTGGCGCGGCAGACGACGGTAACGACGCCGCCGCCGCAGCCACCGCCGCCGCCGCCCGGTCCTACCTCGTCACGCTTCCGTTTGCAGACCTGTACCCGCACGTCGCCCACCTGCGCCAGCTGTCGACGGGCGCATCGGCCATCGAGCTGCGCGCCGACCTGCTCGTCGACCCGACGCCCGACTCGCGCGCAGGCGGCAGCAACGAGGCGTACGAGAACCCATCGCTGTCCTACCTGTCTGAGCAGGTCGGCCTCGTCCGGCGCCACCTCGCCGATCTGCCCCTCGTCTTTAGCCTCCGCACGCCGGCCCAGGGCGGGCGATACCCATACCCGGCCGATGCGCCCGCCTCGGCGCTGTTCCGGTCGCTGCACCATGCGCTCAAGCTCGGCGTCGACTGCCTCGATGTCGAGCAGGGCCTGGACGCGGCCATGACGCAGCGCCTGCTCAGCGATGCCGGGCGCAGGCAGACGTGCGTCATTGTCAGCTGGCGCGACACGCTCCCACCTGACCAGGGCGGCTTCGCGTGGGGCTCCCAGCGAGCCACCGAGCTGTACGAGGGCGCATGCCGGCTGGGCGCCGACGTCGTCAAGATCGTCGGCACCGCCGGCGACACCAACGACAACTTTGCGCTGCGCCTCTTTGCCAGCGCTGTCTCTGGCGAGCGAGAAAAGGAGACGACGACGAGGCGGCCACGGCGGCCGCCGCTGTGCGCATACAACATGGGCTACCGCGGGCGCATCAGCCGGTTCCTCAACCCGACGCTGGCCAGCATCACCCACCCACTCGCCAAGACGCTGACGTCCGAGGGCATCGTGGGCTCGCCCTCGATGACATTTCGCGAGGTGCAGCAGGCTCTGCACCTCAGCGGCCTCATTGAGAGCAGGACCTACGTCGGTCTCACCAAGCGAGACGACGGCGGTGGCAGCGGCGGTGGTGGGCTGGACAGCGACGGTGGCGTGGTGGGCGGTAACAGCAGTCGCGTGACGGGTGACGAAGAGAGCAGCAGGTACGCGGCCTGGTCCCTCGAGCTGGGCCTGCCGTACGCCGCGCGCACCGAGTCGTGCCAGGGCCTGGGCGAGCGCCTCAACTACCTCCTGGGCCACGAGCGGGACCTGATGGGCCTCTGGCTGGGCGAGGGCGACGAGGTGTGGAAGCGCGACGAGGCCCTGCTCCTGCGCTGCACCACGCTCAGCGATGAGGTCACAGCCACGCGCTGCATCGACACCATCATTCTCCGCAAGGACAAGCAGGGCTACAAGACGCTCCACGGTCGCAACTGCCTCGTTGAGGCCATTCGCGGACTCGTCCGCGAGACACTCTCGCCGAGCATCCACCTCACGCGCAGCAGTCTCGCGGTCGTGCTAGCTTCTAGTGGTCGTGGCGGATACAGCGGCGGCTTTGATGACGATGACACCTACACCTACACCACGATCATCACCAACGAAGACGACGACGACGATGAAAGCGACGAGCAGGACAGTGTCGCGACGAGGTCCGCCGTCTGTGCTCTGCACGGCGCCGGTCTCGAGCGCGTCGTGGTGAGGGACCCTGCCTCTCCCGGCGCGCTTGACTTTGACAGGAGCCCGACGATTGTCGTGGGCGCCTGCCGAAGCATGCACCAGGCGCAAATCGACGCTGCCAAGCTGCTCGCCAACCAACAGGGTGGTGAGTCTTCATCTCTCTCTCTTTCTCCCCTTTTCCTCTTCGCTGACTGGCAGTATGTGAATCACCAGGCCTCTACATCGATCTGCTGCGACGAGATGGCAGTACTGGCTGTGACATGGTGGAGCGCGTCAAGGAAGCCAAGGACCGCGGCTGGCGACTCCTCGACGATCGCCAGGTCAGGGATAGGGTTCAGTCGCAGCGCTTCTTCTCCTTTACGGGCGTCCTCCCTCCAAGTTACTCCTCCTCCTCACCCTCCTCTGTACCATATGCTGCTCCTCAACCTCTTCTCTCGCCATCCCAAATCTAATCAATCGATCATGAAGACACACATTGATTGAAGAGAGGAATAGTACAGCTCAGTGTGTGAAAAGCAAGACTAGTGGCTCAGGAACCGTCTGCCCTGCATGCGCCGCCGCGCGAGCATCTTGCGGCCATTTCGGGTGCGAAGGCGGGCGAGGAAGCCGTGCTTGCGCTTCCGCTTCCGTTGCGACGGCTGGTACTCTGCGCCGTACGTTGTGAATCGCTTCTGGATCCCGGCGCCGGTGGGCGAGAGCGACTGGATCGCGGGCAATGTTGTTGTCGTTGTTGTTGTTGTTGTTGTTGTTGTTGCGGCCGTCTTGGCTGTCATTGTGGGCGAGGAGAGGAGCGAGAGGAGCGATGTGGGTCGATGCCCGAGGGAGAAGGTGGACAGGCCGCGGTGCGCGCGTGCGGGCGTGCTTGGTCGGGCCAGCGGGCGCATTGCGGTCAATGCCGACGTCGACGACGACGACGACGTCGATGCAGAAGCGGGTGCGGCCGAGGTCGAGGCACGCGGGATCGACCTCGCCAGGCGCATGAATGTGGGTGCCAGGCGCGGCATGGCTGATCGATAGTTGCCCTTTTGCTCGTCGCCAGGGACTTCTTCTCTTTATTTTTTCAAAAGAACGAGGAGAGAGCGTGACCAACGTACGAACCTGCAAAATCGTGACGGGATTCTTCCTGGGACTGCTTAGGTAAGCCCCTCGAGGGCGAGATCCCTCCTCCACCAAATTTGGCAGGCTTATTTTATTTCCCTGACCACTTTCTTCTCGCTTGATCAGCAGGTGAAAAGATGGCCTCGACTAGACGACTCGTCTCGCTCGCGGCGAGCCATACGCCCCGACGACCCCCTCTTCCCGCTACGCGACCCACATGTCCTACGAGGGCTGCACAGATCAAGCCGCGCGGGCTCGTCACAGCTGCGTCCACGCCAGGATCCTCTGGCGGACCCCCTGGCGGTGCGCGCGTCGGCACCGTCTTCTGGACCCTCGTCGGCGCCGGGATAGCCGCGACGTCGTATGGCCTGTACAGCTACCTCGACTCCTTTCGCACCTGGCCTGCCGAGCTTCGGCCCGACCTGCGAGCGGCCCTCAAGGCGCAGAGGGCCGGCGACGTCCGGCGGGCCGAGGCAATGTACAGACAGTGAGTCGCCCCCTTTTCTCTCTCTCTGATCGGCCTTTCCACCCCCCGACCCTTTTGTTCACTTGACATTCGTCGTCAAAGGGCACTCACAAACGCCCTCGCCATGGATCGGGCAAAATTGGAGCCGAATATGCTGCTCAAGCTGTCGGGCCTCTTCATCGCCCTCGGCAGCTTTTTCGAGGAGCAGGGCCGCCTGCTTGAGGCCTACGACGCCTATCATGACGGCCTGGACTTTGTACAGGAGCAGGCCACGACGGGCGAAGAGAGGATGCGGGGTGTGGCTATTGCGCAGAAGCTCGGCGACCTAGCGAGAATCGCCGAGGTGGCGAGAGAGCTGCCGCCAATTAGCCAGAGTGCAGCGGCAGAAGAGGACGGCGGCGTGACGTCGGTGGCGGAAAAGCACCTCAGATGGAGCGTCGAGGAGCTGCTCAGGCTCCTGCCCGTCGTGCCACAGAACAACCAGCCCGGGCAAGAGATGACCAACAGAGAAGAGGCGACGCTTCTGTCGGACCTCGACCTACCGCCGTGGGTGAGCAGGACGTCGCTGGGCGCCTCGCTCGAGGCGCTGGGCCAGCTGTATGCGGCCCAGGGCCGTGCAGAGTACGCGGTCCCGCTCTACATCCAGGCGCTGGACCTGCTCATGCCCTCGGACAAGGCCAAGCGGCGGCAGCAGGGACGAGGGGAGCCGACTGCATCGGAGCGGTGTCGCGCAGGCATTCTCATGAACAATATCGCACAGCTCCTCGTCGATGACCGCCGTGCCAAGGACGGTCCACGCAAGGTGCACGAGGCCCTCTCCTGGGCCATCAAGGGCCTCGACATTGTTGCCTATACCCAGCGGGCCGCCGGCTGGGACGGCAAGGCAGGCCCGGGCGTTGGCACCGTCGTTGAGAGCGATGCCGTCAGGACGCAGCAGGTGCGAAACGAGTGCGCAGCGGCAGAGGTCGCCCTCTTGTGGAATCTGGGCGAGCTGTCAAGGGTGGGTCTTCTTTCCTTCTCTCTGCATAGCTACGGTGGGTGGCTAACGTATGATGCATGCAGATGAACAAGGACGACTGCAAGGCGCGCAGCTTCTGGCAGCGTGCCTATCAGCGTGCCGACGCCTACGGCATGCGCGAGGCCCGCTCCCGTGCCGCCCAGGGTCTCTCCCAGCTGGAGCGGACGTCACCAGCTGCGAGCAGAAATTAGTCGTCATGTAGTAGTAGTAGTAGTAGTAGTAGTGATAGTGCTACAGCATCTTGGCAATGTACAAAAAGTAGTGAAAGGCGTCGCCCATCGTCCGCGTCTCGACACTCCACCGCTCGCGTCTCTCGATGTAGGGCCGCCGAAAGTGGGGCTGCATCCACGTCAGGTAGAGAAAGACGCCGGTGTGCGGCTTGAGCAGCCAGACGACGCCGTCGATCTCCGCCTGCACGTTGCTCCGCACCGTCTCGGACGGGTCCCACACGGAGCCCTTTTCGGCCATGAGGGCGTCCATCGTGCCTGCTCCACTCCCCCCGTCAGTTCTCTTCTTTGCTTTTCCTTTCGACTCAGAGGCATAGAACCCACCCTTGTCAATGACGACGTCAAAGGACCCCTCGTGGTCCAGCTCCTTTAGCTGGCGGACATCATGCACTCTCCAGTCCAGCGAGGGGTATCGCCGCTGCATCTTGTCAATGAGCACCTCGGAGTAGTCAATGTCTTTTCGTATTCGCAGGTTCTCCATTTAGCGATCACCGATCGGAGATGCCCAATAGATGAAAGACTCACTGACAATGTTCGCGTAGCCATGCGTGGCCATGTCGACCGACAATGTGCTGTTGCCACAACCCAGCATGAGCACCCGCGCATTCTTGTCGGGAATCAACTCGGACAGGATCGGTCTGGCCTCGCGGTTACGGTTGTCAGTCTCTTCAATTCTCTACTGCTTTAGGACGGAGGGAAAGCCACCCACTCGAGATCTTCATACGTCTTGAACCAGTCAAAGTCTTCGTCGGGGCCTTCGGCCGCGTACCGCTCATCCCAGTACTCCTGCCAACGCCATGTCTCAGCCCTGCACTGCTACGTGCGTGAGTCCGCCTCACCTTGGTCTGGAAGGCCTCATTCGCCGGCTCGTCAGCTCGCCCCATCGCCTTGCCCTTCTAGACGCGAGCTTCTTCTTCTCGAGGAGCATTTCAACCAGCCAAAAAAAAAAAGCTCAAAAAAGGGCGTCCAGGCACGTGTGTCGATCCTCCACCGTAATAGACTCAGAAAGGAAGGAGCTCGAGACCCTTTCTTCTTTCGATTCTTGGCTCATCTTTCTGTATCCTCTCTCTTGCGTAAGATACCAAGGCCAGCTGTGGAGCGATGTCCTACTCCTGGCGCCTCAGCTCTGGAGGCGCGAGTGGAAGCCGAGCGAGCAGCGAGCAGCCTGCGCTCGGATCCACGGCCGTCGACACGCCTCCGACTCCTCCGTCGGTGCGCAATGTGACGCCATCGACGTGCCTCTCCATCGTCCAGTTCCGCGGTGCGTTGTGTATCTCGTCCCTCTTCTTTTGAAGGCCTCCCGCTGACTCGGAGACTCTGCATTGGTGTCGTCTTTGCTGCTGCAGCCCTCATGCAGGAGTACCGCTCGCTGGACGACAGCATCACGACGCGCATGAACCGCGCGCTGGCCAAATCGCGCGCCACGGGCGAGACGTCGTCGCCCTCGCTCCTCTCCGCCCATGCCACATCGTCGAACCCAACGACGAGCGACCTGGGCCGGTCGACGTATGGCACGGCTACGCAGGGCGAGTGCGCCCGGTTCTGGAGGGAGCTCGTCGACGTTTGGACGGGCAGGGATGAGGTGCTCAATTACTGCCTCGCCGTCGCGGCGCAGGCTCAGGGTGCCGCCGCTGCTAGTCCGGCAGAGCGGTTGGGACTGCAGAGAGGCAACGGTGACGAGAAGAGGCTCCTCGACGCTGACCTGCCGAGGGACGTCAGGGGCGCGCTGGATGCCGTCGGGCAGCGGCAGCAGCGGGGGGCAAAGGCAGACGACTTTGATTCGAGGGACTCACGGAGCGAAAAGAGCCAAGACCTTGTCGTGAGCAGACTTGTCCCCTTCTTCATTAATGCTGCAGTGATGGGCTCACGGACAGCTGTGAGGCTTGCAGAAGAGACAATTGAGAAACGAGGTGTCAATAGAGGCAATCATAAGAAAGCGGTCCTTAGAAGGTGGGTGCATGCAGCGACCTCTGGCCAGAGTCAAGGCTGACAAATCACCATGCCAGTCCTCAAATCTCGCTGCCGGTTCTTCCAGCCTGCTTTCACCAACGACGACAGGGGCAGACGGGAGCAGACTCTGTGGGAGCAACAATGACAGGGAATAATACAATTTGTAATGCAAAACACTTCACTAGCTGTGCTACCGCTACCGACGCTGCTTCCTGCGCGAGTCGTGCTTCATCTTCTTTTCGAATGTGTTCTTGCGGCCCCTTGCGGTAGGAGCAGCCAGAACATCAGCGCCGCCGCCGCCATCGCCGGACAGGTCCCTTGATCTCTGCAGAGCACCCTTTCTCCTTGCCCCTTCAAAGCTGCCTCCCCTTGACGAGCCTCTGAGCAGATCGCCAAACTCTTCCTCCAAGCCAGCGCCAACCCTTCCCCGCTTCGACGAGAGGCCGGCGCCACCCAGGGCCACGTCTTCCTCGTCGCGTCGCCTTCTCTTTGCATCCTTCTTGCTTTGGGCCAAGCGGGTGAAGTTGTCCTCTTCGTACGCCTGCATGCGCGCCAGTGCCTTTGCCCGGCTGCTCGAGTTTCCCTCACGGCCCGACGAGCCAACGCCCACGCCCGACGACGACATCTCGTACGGGTTCGCAGACAGCGAAGAAGACAGATCGGCGAGCAGCGCAGCGCTCCGCTTGGTGGGCCGTTCCTTGGCGCCCTTGCGCTTGCTCTTGTAGTTTTCGTCGTACGCCACGGGCGCCAGACGCGGTGGCCGGTAGATGCCGTCGCTGTCGTCGGTTTCAGCGTTTCGAGACGGACGAGAGTCCTTCTTGGTCTTGGAGCGACGGTCAGGCTGGGATGAAGGACCCTGGTCAAACGAGGCCAGGTTGGGCCGGAACGAGAGCGGGTCTGTATGTGGCATGGTCAGCTCCTGATACCTGACACCAAGCCACACTTGTACCATCCACTCACCGACATCTGCGGCTCCTTCACCCTCGTCATCGTTGTTCTGACGGTCCTGTGCATTGGCAGAGGAAGAAGTCGCAGCCCGCAGGAGGCCCTCGATGTGGCCCTTGATGCGCGCCTCCATGGGCCTCATCTTCTCCAGCACGAGCCGCTGCCGGATGAGATTGTCCACAATGTCTCCTCTCCTTTCGCTTAACGAGCTCTTTTCGGAAGCAGAGGGCCCGCTGAGCTGCAGAGAGCACAGAAGGATGAGGTGGTGCAGGTACGAGACCATCGTCAGGTTCTTGAGCCCGAGCAACGAGTGGCCCCCGGTCGCGCCAGATTGCGAGTCAAGTGGAAATGTACTCGACAACTGAGCGAGGAGTGACTCCGCATCGGTCGACAGGCTCGACAAGAGCGCCGAAGCCTGCTGCACCATTGTTGCCGTCGTCATCGTGGCTGCACGCCCTGGTGAATCAGAAGATGCAGACCGAAGGAAGATTCGTGCGTCTTTCCTTTTTTTTTTCTGGGAAAAATTTCAGACTTGGCCGATTTCCACAGCTTGCCTTATTTTTATTTTTATTTTTCCTTGGCTCTCGCGTGCTCTTTTGGGTCCGGATTGCCTGTGGGCCCAGGCTAGCGGTAGGAGGCAAGAGCGCAATCAAAAATTGCGCCGCCGTCTCTTGGCTTTTGACAGCCCACCCGCCACGATGCTCCAGGGCGAGCGTCTATTCAGGGTCTAGATTGGCTCTTGGTTCCGTTTGAGCAAGTCTTTCCTTCTGCTTCCTTGAATCGAACCATCCAGATGCGAGTCTATGATTATGAAATGGATCTGCTTCCGCTCTTTGGAGCTGTGTATAAGATGGGGCCCGACTGAGGGCGTCTGTAGATAGTCACCTTGCTCTGCTTTCCCTACCAACCTTCTCGCCCTCGCCATCTACACGTTGCAGACAATCAACCTGCACTGCGTAAACAAGAGACTCACGACAGCGATGTCGCGCTTTCTTGACCACCGTCGTGTCAAGAGCGCAGACGATTCACGTCTGTTGAAGGCTCTCGGTCTGACAAAGAAGCTTTTGGGTAGAGCAAAAGCGGACAGCCCTGAGGGAAAAGCCGAAGCTCGGCGCCTTGGGATGTCGTCCAAGTGCAGCAGTAGGTCCACCGTGGCAAGCTCGCCAACGACAACGATTCCCACCATGTCCGTGGTCGGTACCAAGTCCAGCATCGGAGAAAGTAGCCGAAGTGTAGAAACTCCGGATCGAGCAGCCTTTTCTCCATGGCAAGGATCCGAAAAGGGGTGGCAATTCCCCCTGAAAGAGGAGGAGATAATGGCCGTGGCAGCTGCACGGGCTGCGACGGATCGTCGGAGCTCAGAATTTCTTCTTGCACGCACAAAGCAGAGATCCCCAGAGGTGGTAATGGTGGGTGTTGCCAAGTCAGAAGCTTCTATGGCCAATATCCCAGAAACATCGACACAGGTCGCAAGAGAGCAACCTGTCACTTCAAGGATGGGCAGACAGCCAACGGTCAAAAGCATTCGGAATTACCACAGGCCCACGCCACCGACAACTGATAGTGATGAAATCACAGAGTCGAAGACGGGCCAAATGCCTGTCCCGCAGGCTACGATGCCTCTTTTTGTCTCAGCTATTCCGCCAAGGAATTCAGGTATGCTTTCTTTGAACGAAAAGAATGGTACCAAGAGCAAAGGAAAAGCAAAAGAGGATCACCAAGAAGACGGTCCATCCTCTCCTGAAGCAACAGATGCTTCAAAAGGATCAAGCGTCACTACGAAAAGGGGAAAGTCTCGCCGTCGGCGCTCCCACACACGATCGCCTTCACCAACATACAGCAGGCGTGCACGCGAACACTCCGGCTCGTCACTATTTCCTCCTATCGTCTACGGTCTGGATCCGCAGTGTACAGACTCGATTGAGGATTTCGCGTACAACACGACACCGGCCTCGGCCGAATTCACTACGTCCAGTCCTTGCCTCACTGCAGAAAGACGGCCAACACCGGACTCGTCAGCCTCTTCTTCCCCTCATCTCCCGGCAAGTCCTGAGCCGCTGGAAAAGGACAATGTTCGAGAAGTTTGGCGCATCAACACCAAGGACAACGACGACCAGGATGAATTCTCTTTGTTTATTTTCCCTCTCCCTCCTCGAAGGCTGCCGCCCCGCTTCGAGCTCCAGACTTGTTCGTCCACGGAGCTCAAGCTTCATCGAGAAACTTGTTGGCAGAAGCATGACAACTGCATGTAGCACAAGCAAAAGGCACGTTAGCTCAATCAGTCTTTCTTTGACTTGTATCATCTCCGCCCATCTGTATCCTCACAAACTCAGCACGCAACACAAACAAGTCAGTGCGTACATCCCTCAAGCCGCTGCAACGATCTCCAGCAACCCTTGTTTCCTGGTATATGTATCATCGAATTCAAACGAGTTCCTCAACCAAACCATTTATAGATGTAGTCTGCCGACCTCTTCTTTGTGAGCACTCTGCGTCCTTTGACGTGTAAGACTATCAACTCACAGAAACAAATGAGGGTAAAGATGGCCCCGACAGCGAAGATGATGTTGTCCTGGGTGCTCCTCCGCTCAATGTAGCCAATGACGTCCCTGCTGAGCCCCATCGTGACTCCAACGTCTCTCAGCCTCCTCTGGGTACCCTTGAGAATGTCGCGCTGCTCCGTCAGATTACTCCACACTTCTCTTCCTTGAGCTATAAACGAATCGAGCTGGGCTTCTGTCTGCTGGATGAACGAGTGTTCGCGCAGCGCTTGTCCCTCGCGCGCAGAACCCGTGCTTGAGCCGAACATGGCGGCCGCTGAGGCATTCATGCGGTACGCAGCCCGAGGATCCGACGACGCATCCTCATCGAGGCCGATCGAGACAGTACCGCCACCAGGACCGGCATAGGCGGAAGACGACGAAGCGGCGCCACCGGGTCGGTAGGGAGACTGCGCCGAATAGGGCGAGGAGCCATAGCCAGACTGATTTCTTGCGTGGAGCGAGTACGGCGAGTCGGCACTTGTCCCGGCGCCAAGCCTCGAGGACGAAGCAGCTGTGGACGAGGAACCCGTGTATGCGCTTCCGTTCCCCGTCGACGACGAGGACGACGATGCGGCCGCCGCCTGTGGATCCACCGCCTGTCGGGCAATCCACCGCTCCGTTTTAGCTTCTCTGCCCAAAATTCTTCTCTCTTTCCCTCTCTTTCTCCTTTTGAAGCAGGAGCTGCTGCTGCAATTCGACTCACCCTCGCCTTGGCCGCTGCAAAACCATTTCGGAGCTCCTTTTCCTCTTCGCGAAACTTTTTTACTCGCTCGAGGGCGCGCTGTCTCTTCGCTGTGTTTAGTTCACGCTTGGCCATGCCCTCGTAGTCGTCGACTGTCTTGGAGAGGGCGCCCAGCGACGCGGCGAGCTGGCCCGAGAGCGCCGTGATCGACGAGGGCGATGCGCCATTGGCCGTCGATGACGACTCGAGCAGCGAGAGATCAGACTGGATCGACGACGACTGGCGCAGCGCCAGGTTGTACAGTGAGTTCATCCTCCCCCTCTTCTTCTCCGCTGTCCTCTTGGCACACTTGCTTCTCGTGAAAGGTGCTGAGAGAGAGAGGCGCGAAACGTCGCTCGGACATCGATGCAAACAAACTAGACACGCTTAAATTTAATCAAGGAGCTGTACACGTGGAGCGGCTTAGCTTTTTTTATGTTCTTCTTTTCTTCCTTCTTGGTGGTGGGGTAGACAGAGTGGGGCACGATATGAGGGGCAAAGGATTACTTGAGCTTGGAGAAGGCGAGCTTGAGGAAGATCTGGAGGCAGGAGCCGACGCTAATCTGGTGCAAGACGGTGCGTGCAAGGTCAATGTTGAGGTAGTAGGCCAGCGGGAAGAGGAGGAACCTGAGCCGCGTGAAAAAGAAGAAGTCAGCTAGACCGGACATTAACTTTCTGAGGGCTATCCGGACTCACTTGACGGACGCGACAAGCGCCAGCTCGTTGATGAGATTGGCAGAGCCGCCAACGATGCCATGGTCAAGTGTCTGCACGAGAACAGCGGCCACTGCGAAAGCAGGGTAGAATTCAAGGATGGCCTCGTGGGCCGCCGTGAGCCTGGCAGGGAAGCCCCTGAGGTTCCGCTTAAAGCTCCTCGGCTCCTTGTTGACGTAGCCGTCCTGCGCATAGGCAGCGCCAACAACGCTCAGGATGGCGGTGACAACCCAAGTCTGGAAGGTGGCGGCGACAAGGAGCGCGATGGGCAGGCGGCCTCGCGAGACATCGCCCAGACCAATGGTCTGAAAGAGGGCTTGCCAGTAGGGGATGAGATGGATGGAAGAGTAGGGCGCGAGGCGGGGTACGACAAAGACCGCCGTGCCGACGTACATCGACACGAGGACGGGCGCGAGGAGAGGTGCCTGCTGGCCCGCGATGTTAAAGGGAGAAGAGGGCGCCGACATGGTTTTGATTTTCTTTCCGTGGTTAGAGTGGATGGATGGTGGTGTGAAGAAGCTAGAGGACGAAGAAAGTAGGTCACATTAGCGGGTGGATGGACCAATCTTCTACAAGCGCAAGGAAAGATCATGACAGACATGTCATTAAACCGGCGCAAAACCTCTTCCGGACTACCCGCGCCCCGCGCACAATGTCCGTGCACGGACGCGTCTCTTTTCTGTCACTTTCGTAAGTCACTTTTGGCTTCTGAAACACACAGGCAAACGAAAAAGAAAGACAAGGCCTTGGTCTGGTAGTAGAAGTCAGAGGGTAATGGCGGAGGAAAGAGGCGGTCGGCGTCTGAAGCCCGACAGCCTAGAGAAGTCCCTGCTCGCAGAGGAGGTGCGCAAGAAACGCTCAAAGCGAGACGAGGACAAATCCAAGGTTACGCGGCTCGAGTCGAGGATGCTCTACGGGAGCGAACAACGACGCCTGCAGAGGGGTGCAATCCGCGCCCTTCGTGAATGCAGCAAAGCATCTGCCGGCCCCTCATCTGCTAGTACTGCTGGTGCTTCAAAAGTAGGCAGAGAATGGGATAGGATGCCCTTCTTCGACTTCAAGACGGCCCTCGCAGATGAACAGACGCAGAAGGATGAAACCGATACACGGCAGAGATTCGTGCTTGCTGCACAAGCGTCGGACGATGTCCCTTCGACGTCGTCTTTGTCGAGTCAAGAGAGAGACGAGGGAATCTCAGTCACCGTCTACCAGCCGTATGTGTCATCGGAGGAGGACGACGATGAGGAGACAGAGCATGACGTTTCCTCTTCTCGAATCGACGCGACACTGATTCGTCAAGAACGGAAGGCCAGGAGAAAAGCAGAGGCTCAGCAAAGAGCCGAAGCTGTCATTGGCATGCACGCTAACGACGACGAGATGAAAGATGAGGACTTAGTCCATGTAAGGCCAATCATATGGCGCGGTCGTAAGCAGATCAACGGTGGGTCTTCTTTTGCATGCAACGTCTGAGAGCAGTGACTGAAGCTACTGGAACCGAGCAGACTACTTCACAGCGTCGATTGACCGCTTCACCTGGATGAAGCGTCCGCCAAAACGATCAGAGGTACTGCTGGAGGGGTTAGAGCGAGAAGATGGGGATGGCCTTGATTCATGGCCGCAGGACTCCTGGAAAGAGCAAAGTCATTGAGGATAATTTCATTATTGTACAGTACATGAGCTCAAGGGGAAGCGAGAGAGAGAAGTAAAGTGAGCGCAATCACGCCTTCTTTGGTCTGCGCTTGACCTCGTCGTCCTTTGTAGCATGCAAGAAAATCTTGTTGGGTGTGTTGGGGGGATTGGCATATTGATGACCCTTGTGCCAGTCGTAGCTCACTGTTTTCGAACACGAGTCAGCCAAGCGAGCTCCTCACGCTTTCTCGCTGATCCACTCACCAGCATAGGCAAAGATGTTTCCGTTCTGGTTAAAAGCCGTTGCCGAGATGGGACCCGCCTTGGCTTCAAAAGCTATCCCATGAAAAGAATGGTCAGCACCAAGTAGATTATGAGGACAGGGGAGGGAGAAATGCTCACACTTGAGCCTTGTTTTGCTGTCTTTGTCCCAGAAGTTGATAGTGCCGTCAGAGCCAGCCGTGGAGAAAGTTCCCTGGATGGGGTGGAAGCTGATTGCATTGACGCAGAAGAGCTGATGCGGTTCCCTCTGTGTCTGGCCCGGCGCCGGTGCCGGCGGGTCTTTCCGGTGGCATTTGAAGCTGAAGTTGCTGGATTTGTTCTCCTCCTTGACGTACTGGATTGCCACCCTGCCCTCGACGCTCCCAACTGCGAAGCCAGGCGGATTGGGCGGCAGGCCTGGCTGATCAGCGCGCTGGAAGCACGACACGACGCGCGTCTGCCACTTGAGCGGGCTCTCCATTGTCTGTTGTGGATCGCCTGGTCAGCGACAGAGGGAGCGGAAGGCTAAAGGGGCTTCAGGCCGCTTACAATGATAGCGTTGGATGGGTTTTGCGAAAGGTCGAACACCTGGATCTTGCGCTCAGCAGTAGCGACTACAACGTAGGGCCAGACAGAGTCCATCGAATAGCAGCGCTCCTGCAGCTGCGCCGTGGCAATCGCATTCGGGGTGCGCAGGTCCCAATACTGTGTTGCACATCGTCAGCTCACGAGACACACAGAGAGAGTAGAATGGATCCCACCTTGAGAGTCTTGTCCCAGCTGCCTGTCGCGAGGATGCCACCGCCCTGCTCGACCCATCGAACGCCCTTAATGGGTGCATCGTGCGCAGCCACCTGCGACGACTGGCCCGTGTTGACGTCGTACATGCGTGCCGCTTTGTCTGCCCCGCCAGAAATGATCTTTGTCCCGTCCTTGCTCCATGTCACATCCAGCACCGGCGCCTCGTGGCTATACATGGCTTTCGGCGACGTTGTTCCTGTGCTCTCGACCCCATAGATCCGAACCTGGTGTCGGGCTCCGCCTCTCAGCATACTTGTACACGTCCATGCACAATTTTGAGCACGTCACTCACGTTATTGTCCCAGCAGCTGGCGGCGAGAAAGTCGGCGACGGGCGAGAAGCTCAGAGCAGACACGCCGTCAGTGGGAGGCTGCATCACCTCGATATCTTGCGGCTCGACGGATGCTGCTGGCTGCTGCGCCGGCGCTTGCCCAAATGCGGGCGCCGTCGTGCCCCCAAACAGCGACATTTCTTCTGTCTTTTCTTCCTGATTCGATTGACGATCCGAGGCGAGCTGTTGTGTAGCGCAGGCGGCGATCCAAGTTGAGACAGGAAGAAGAGAGAGTTGGCTCGCTAGGTCGGCCGAAGAGGAAAATTAGTCTAAACACGCGCATTTGAGAATCCTCGCCCAAGGACAGGAAACGCCGCGCATTGACCAAGCAACGACGAAGGTGAGGCGAGAAAGAGGGCGCTGCCGGTCGGTCGCACAATGTCACGGAGGTCAACACGCTCAATGTCCAGAGAGCTATCCGAAGATGAGGACAGGAAGTCGACCGCCAAATCTAGAATCTCCAAGGAGGACAAAGAAGAGGAGAGGGCAAAGATCGAGGCAATAGACGAAGAGCTTGACTTCCATCAAGACGGCAACGACGACGATGACGAGCAAGAGGAGAAGCAAGTCTTGGATTTGCCCGAGACAAAAGTGGCTCCAGATACAGTGTCTGCAACGCCAAAGGGCAACAAGCTCAGACAACTGCTGGGTGCCCTCTTCAGCAAGCTTCTCGTCGTCCTGCCACTCCTGCCTCCTCTTCTCGTTGTCGCCTCGTTCCTTCTGGCCGTCCTGCTACCGTCGCCGAGCAAACCCTTTGCACGCAAAGTCTACGTTGACGAGAATGCACTTCAGCCCGGGGCGGCTGATGTGTCGTGGGACTGGGGCGAGGTGCAATGGGCAGACCAGGTGGCGAATCGGGTCGGTTTGGTCGCAGACGACCGCTCAGAGAGGTGAGCAGGCTTGGGGTTCTCGAGGGTAAAGCACAGAGCGATTGCTGATGGTTATACCTTAAGACGTGCCGCCTTCCTCACCAGCGAGCTCCGGAGTCTCGGAATGACGCCTTACAATCAATCCTACACATTCACCCTCCCTGGTACAAAGCGTGCTTTCTCCACGCGAAACTTGCCGAAGGGTCTGTCGGGCATCAATACGTATGCGCGGTGGCCAGCTGCGAGAGGTGACGGGAGAGAAGCGCTGGTCATCTGTGCACGGTGGCGAAGCCAGTGGGACGGGACCGACGACCCTGATGCCAAGGAAGAAGACCAGAAGAGTAGGGCAAGAGCAGCCCTGGAAGGTTCCATGGACGACTATGAGCGTTCCCAAGTGCGGAGGGCAAACGTGCGAGGCATCACAACGGTACTTGCGCTAGCCCGTTTCCTCATTGGGCACTCTCACTGGAGCAAAGACCTGATCTTTGTTTTTGGCGATGGCAATTTGGACGGCATCCAGGCGTGGACCTCAACCTATTTCGCTAGGGGCCAGTCGAACCTTCATACCGAGCGCATACAGGAATCAGGCTCGCTCATTTGGAATGCCATGGCGTTCGACTACCCCTCGGACAGCTTCTCGTCGATCGTCGTCCGCCACGAGGGCCTTGACGGCCAGCTGCCGAATCTTGATGTCATCAATACCTTGACGCGTGTGGCCGAGCGCATCAATGGCGTCCCCATCGAGCTCTCCGAGTCCTCTGTGCCGCCAAGACCCTACCAGCGCCGCCTGGGCTCGCTGGGCGCCCTTTTGGAGGAGCATCTGTGGGGCGACCGTGATGGCGAAGCAAAGTACGTCGGCGGTCTCCTCAATGTCTTGGGCCAGCTGCGCAATCTCGTCGTGGGCCACCCCACTGGCGTTCACGGCCTCTTCCATCGTTTCCACGTTGATGCAATCACCCTCTTTGCCAAGCCTGCTTCCGGCCCCTACGGATTCTGGCACATGGGAAGGGTGGGCGAGTCGATGACAAGATCCTTTTCCAACCTTCTCGAGCGATTACATCACTCGCAATTCTTCTATCTCGTCACGAGTACACAACTTTTCATCGAAGTGGCAAAGTGCATCGCCGTAGCGGTGCTTTTGGGTGCTGCTATGACCATCACCGGCATATCCATTTGGCTCGACGAAGGGCAAAAGGCCCAGCAGAGAAGAATTGCCCTCGTTGAACTGGCTCACGAGGTAGCCTATGAGGAAAAGGTCGACCCTTTCAATGGAGGAAACACCCACGAAAAGCCCAATTTGCTTAATGAGGAAGAGGAAGACGACGACGATGTGCCTTTGGAACGACCCACAACGTCACAATTTCTCACGGACCTCATCTCTTCGTCTATCCTCGGCGCAATTCGGAGGGGACAAGTGCTAAGCTCTTCGCGAACGAAGGCACTTACGGAACTGCTCGACATTCAAGGCCGACCGCTGCCCGGTACGCTGGCCGTGGTTGGTTGCTGCCATCTGGCTGGGGCTGCGTGCTTTTGGCTGTCGAGCACGGCACCCATCGACTGCGCCAGCCAGGGCCTGACCTTGTGTGAGCCCCTCCTGGCCGTCACACTGGTGACGCTGTTGGCAGCTGTCTCCATCCCTCTCGCAGCTGCGTATCAGACAAGGACGGTAGTTGGAAGGATCAACCAGAGCTGTCACCCGATTCTGTCGCAGTCAGCCACGTCACTCGTTACTTCGGCCACCTCGCGAACGGCGTCCTTGGCAAGATTGCTGCAAGCAATCACTCTTCTCCACGTCGGCATCATCGTTGTGGCAGCCAGCATCGTCAACTTCTCCCTGGCGGCTACTACTGCCGGCCTCCTCTGCCTGCCACTGTGCTCCCTCCGGCTAGCGGTGGGGCCGCGTGGCCGAAAGACGAGCAGGTCCGTCACGCTCTTTTTCTACTCCCTCTCCCTTCTATTCGTCTCTCCTGCAGGCCTCGTGTGGCTGTCCAAGGCACTCATCGCAGTTTACATGCGCTTCTCTTCGCCGTCCTCGCCTCAAACGCTGGTCGGTATTCCCCTCACCGTAGTAGTCGAGAGGGTTGTCGATGGAAGACTGTGGGACTGGCAAGTCCTCGGAGCCGCATTCCTCCCTTACCTCTTCCTCGCATACATGCCCGCGGCGCTGCAGGCCTGTGTCGCTGCCGGCCTCGCCGCCGTGGCGTAGCACTATCTTCCCCAATGATGAACAAGGGAATCGCAAATGGAGCAATGAGATTTTATTGCTGCTTGCCCCGTCCGCATCTTTCTAGGCTGCCGTCCTGCAACATGTAGGCCGGCCTGTAAGACTGACCGTCTTCCGACTTCAAGTAAGGATTCCGGAATGTGTTGAAGGTGCTTCCCAGAGATGTGTATCTGTTGGATTAAAGTCAGCTAAAAGAGACTTGCAAATGCCGAGCACGGGACATGGACGAACCCTTGATCGTAGAGTATGCAGTAGGGGACTCCTTCGGCAGACCCGCTCAGTTTCTTTGCCGGGCTGCTCTGTGCATTCCCGTGCTCTTCGTCGCCGGAGTCTGCAAGGAGCGGACAGCGAAGAAAAGCCCAGACGTCGGCGTAGTCCCAATCGAGGATCGGCTGGACGCGCTCGACGTTCGGCCACCCCTTGTCGGTTGGCGCTCTCGGCGTGAGATCGGCTGGTTGAAAGAGCAGCGGCTCTTTTGTCAGTAAATCGAGCATCGGCGTAGGGGCTGGTCACCACGCCTGGCTCTCACCTCCATGCGGATCGGTGCGTCTTGTGCCAAGGAAGATCGCCCTGCAATCCCGCTTCCTCCGCTCTCCGTTTCCTGCCTCCTCCATCGTTGCAGTGCCATTCGGTGGGCCACCAGAAAAACTTCCATGGACCTCACTGACCTCCTCGACGCCGTCGAGGTACGCCTCGAGGCCGGCCTTCATATCGCCGCCAAGCTTGACGAGGCGGAGATCGTACCGCTGCATCGACTCGGCCACGAACTCATCCACTTGCTCAAAGGGCGAGGTGCATGTGATGTACAGCGCCGGGATCGGATCCAACGTGCGCGCGGGAAGCTTCTCGAGTCGGCGCAGGACAGCAGAGAGGATGTGAACAAGGACAGTACCTAATGACACAAAGGGAGCTTTCGATAAGCCTGGAAGGTCTCGGTCAGAGGAGCGCAACTAGCTCACAATCTTTTCCCCCATTGAAGCTCAACGCCCATCGTCTCGGTCTTTGAGACGCTCTCTTTGGTCAGCTAGATTGAACACAAGAGGGGGAAGAGGGAGAAGAGAAGGACTCACCCAAGCTCCTCCAATACCTCCTGGCACAGCTCGACGGCCTTCTGCACCTTGTCGGCAAGCCGCGGATACGCAGCCCGGTTCGCCTCTGATTCGAAGAGCGCATAGACGGCATCGATGGACCGTGTCCAGGAATCGGGATGCTCATGGCCCTGAGGCGAGTCTTGCGGCGCCGACATTGCTGTCGGAAGGGTGACCATGGAGCGACCTTTGCCTTAGGAAAGCAAACAGGCGCGCTTGTCCACCAGTGGAGGTTGAGCCCACGTGCTTTCTCCGCCTAAGCCATCACGCTGTAGCGACCGTGAAGACTGAGATGCTGGTGGGACAAAGCCACCACGATGGGTCTCGACATACCTAGAAGCAAACAGTTGAGAGAATCTCCGGGCAGAATGTACGATCGCAAGATCGGCAATTTGTGCCCTCCAGCTAGATTGTAGACCAGCAATCTTTTCACAATTATGTTCCGTCGACCTCATGCGGACAGATGGCCAGTTTGAACTTCTGTGACGAATAGTCATTGAGGGATAAAGACAGCCTGCCAGTGCTTGTTGTCACTCCAGGTCAAATGAAAGCTCTTTGGTCAACTATCCCATCAAGGGAAGTCCGCCATCGCTCAATTGTCTGCGGGCAATGTAGACCCAGTCTTCATTCTAAAGCGAGAAAATGGCACCAAGAACCGGTGAAGAAGCATAAAAGGGTCGACTGATGTCTGAAAGTTCACCACCTGCTAGGGTTCCAAGTGCCAATAAGCTCCGCTGTAATGAATAGACAGCCGTAAGGGAGAATGACCACCTCGACGTTGCTACCTTAGAATGTGGCACCACGTGGGTGTGTGTAACGCGTCTGGAGGATTGAGGAGACCAACACCTCCGGAAACCAAAGTAGGCCATCTTGATGGTCGCTGCCATGTCCTCGTCGTTGTCGCCACTGCAGGTCAAGAGCGACTTTCCAGACTCGAGCCCAGCCAGGGCCCGCTCGCTGCTCAGAAGAGCGGCCCGGCAGCTGTCGGAGAGGGGCCTTTCGCACGCGTCAAAGTGGTGAGTCTGTGCGAAGGTGTGTCGAAGAGATAGAGCAGCGCTAAAACACTTCGATAGGGCTCTGGAGCTTCTTGTCTGCCTCCCTCAGCCGGATGCTGTCCAGCTCAAGTCACCGCACACGGCTCAGTACTCAACGGTGAATGGTCCTCTGGCCTCGACGCCAGCCACAAGGACCCTTGCCAGTTTTCCAACGCAGTCGACGCCGGCTTTCCCCGCCATCGGTGGTGGCAGTGGCAGTGGCAGTCCATCAGCAGATGACTCTGGCCGATTCGCGAGCTTCCGCAACGTAGCGCCTCCTTCGCCGCTGGCTAACGTCAGCTATCCCGAGGAGGAAGAAGGGGTACCCGATGTCAATGTCGATGACGATGCGTCCATGTCGGCACACGTTCATTTTGCCACGTCCGCTTCAGCGTCAGTCTCAGCGTCCCAGTCTGCCTCGGTAGTGGCTGGGTTGGGGGAGCTCGACGAAGAAGAGGAGGAAGACGTATTCATGCTGGCCAAATCACTCTTTGATCATCAACAGTGGGAGCGGTGCGCGACCATGCTCGAGGGCCACAGGGTCAAAGGCGTGAAGGCCCTCTTCCTCGGCTTGTATGCTCGGTACCTTGCGCTGGACAAGAAGATGGAAGAGGACCGCACTCCGGCGGCCAAACGGAAGGGGAAGGTGCCGAGAATGGGGCACGAGATTCTCGACATTCTTCGGCAACTCATTGATCCTCACGACCCTTACCTCCTCTTTTTGTGAGTTTGACGCCTTGCACGTTTTACCTCGCAGCTTAGTCCAAATCAACGTAGGAAAGGTGTGATTTTCCGCAAGCTTGGCCGGCGCATTGAAGCGATGGACTGCCTGCTTCGGAGCGTTGAGGCGATGCCATATAACTGGAGCGCCTGGCTCGAACTCAGCGCGACGTTGGAAGGTGGTCTAGCTGAAGTGGGTACTGCTCAACAACGCCGAGTCTGCAGGCACTCACACTTTGCCCCCAAAAAAGCTGGAGGAAATTGGGCCCCTACTTCCAGACTCATTCATGACATCATTCTTTTGCGACCACTTTGGGAGAAGCAGCGCGGCTCGCCCCCCGAACGACTGCCTCCAGCGCATCGACTGCTTGCTCGAGTCGTTCCCAGACTTACCCTACCTTCTCATCTGTCGCGCTCACAATCTCTACCTCGTCCAAGACCTTGAAGGGGCCGAAGAGGCATACGAAGCAGCTAGAGCCATCGACCCGTATCGTCTCGATGGTATGGCCGACTACTCGAATTGCCTCTTTGTGCAAAACAAGGAAGACAAGCTTGCCCATCTGACACACTTACTGGCCAAGGCCGGCATCGACGACGCTGAAGTGTGCTGTGCCGTAGGCAATTATCACACGCTGCGAGGCGACAATCTGCGTGCTCTGGAAGCTTTCAAGCGTGCAGTCAGGCTCGATCCCACTTGCTCATCGGCCTGGATCCTGCTGGGTCATGCATACATCGAGACGAGAAATAGCATGGCTGCAGCAGAGATGTACCGGCGCGCACTTGAGATCAATCCCAGGGACGTAAGGGCTTGGACGGGACTTGCAAACACCTACGAACTCAATTCGGCCTTTTCGCACGCCCTAAATCACCACAAGAAGGCTGCCTCGATCAAGTGAGCAGACTCGTGCCCGTTCCCTCCTTCCTAAAGCCTGGCAGTAAAGACTGACGAAAATCACAGTCCTTATGACCACCGTTTCTGGAACTCGATGGCAAATTGCTATGAGCGCATGGGGCAGACGAGCAACGCCATCGAGTGCTACAAGCGGATCCTGTCCATCGACTACGCGGACCTTTGGGCCCAGGTGCACGTCATGGAGGCCATTGCGCGCCTCGTGGAAGAAGAGGAAGCAGAACAGAGCCGAGGCATCGGCGCAGATGAGCAGGCAGGAGCGCTGTGGCACCGACGAATCGTTGAATTACTCGAGAGAGCAAGGTCCTTGGGCGAGGAGGAGATCGACGTTGGACCTCGGGCAAACAGCTACATCATTGCAGCTTCTCTGGTATGTCCTCTGTGATCCCCTCCCACCTCAGTAGCTTTCCGCTTGAAGGGACTAAGACACTCTATGACTGAGCACAGGAGATTCAGTTGGCTGGCATCATGTTGCATGAAACTGCGGTCGAATCGGCCTCTGCCAGCCTGGGAGCACCATTTGCAGCCAAGCAGGCAACAGCTGCAGCAGGCAGCGGCGGAAACATCAGCCTGGCTATTGATTACCTCCAGCGCGTTGTCGCTTCCGGCAGTGTTCGTGCCCCGGACGCCGAAGAGATTCTCAAGAGACTCGATTCGCTAGGATACCAATGATACTGTCGAACTTTTCTCATTTTTCTGACCCCCCATTGTGTATTAACAAGTTACCATTATTACGCCCATGCATCAGAGACCGAGCTTGCCCTTTGGTTGAGCTTTTGCCAAAAGCGTGCGATAGGTGCTCCAGATCGCATCGCCATCGACGTAGCAGCCTGCAGCAATCCCTCGTGTGAGCACTGATCTCTCTGTCGAAAGATGTCTAGACACGCACCTTTCAGCCACCTTTTTATCTGTCCTCCTTGCTTGTTCTCTGTTTCATCCCACTCGAACCCCCTTCTCGCGTGGAGCACCCTCCGGTTGTCAAAGATGACACATTCGCCTGGCGACAGGGTGCGCTCGTACCGGAACTCGTCCGACAGCGTCAGATCGGCAAACGTCTTGAGAGCCTCGTAGAACCGCTCACGGTCCGCTGTGGGCGGCGGAAGCGGCGACTGGAACGGAGGCGAGTAGTTGACAGCGCACAGTCTCGGCATCGTGGTCGCCGCGGAAGAGGGGCCGGCGTGGCCCGACGAGGATGTTGCCAGCTCAAAGGTCGGGTGTGTGTAGCGGTAGTGGCGGTTGTCATTTTGGTAGTGGAAGCCGACAGGCGTCTGAATCAAGCAGTGTCAGCATATGATCGAGCAGACTGCGCGGAACAGGACTCACCTCTGCGAGGACCCGGAACTGGTCGCGATGATCGTCCCACATCTTCTGAGCCACGGCAAAGCTATCGACGAAGATGCTCTCGCCACCTCGCACCTCATTTCGCAGCATGTGCAGGAATTGGAAACGCGGTGGGTTCTGGAAGTAGAGGAGGTCCATGTGCAGACCCAAGTCTAGATTCGTGTAGGCGATGTTACGTGATGTAGAGCCGAGCGAGCGCACATCCCAAAGAGGCCCATAGAAGGTGTGGCGGATCTCACCGAGCTGTCATTGAACACGTTCAGTCAACAGACGGGGGCCAGAGAGCGAGAGATGAAGCAAGTAACTCACCATCTCGGCCAGACGGGCTAGGGAGGGAGATGTAGGCGACGATGCGTCCACTTCGTTCCCAGTCGTGTCGGTTGGAAGGCTCGTGACGAAAGCGATGCCGTCGCGCATGAGAGAATTGACCAGGGCGAAGCGTGCTGCTGTTGCCTCGGCTTTTGCATCACCGCCACTATCCTTGGCCGAGAGCAGCGAGGCCCACGTCAGGCGGGCAGGCCTCGATGTAGCCGCTTCGACGTCCATGCGTTCTCCTGGCACTACGTCTTGAGCTCTTGGAGGGCTCGGCGAGCGGGCAAAAGCGGGTGAGAGATCCTTGGCCGCCCACGATCTTGCTGCACCGCCAATGTCGCCATGGCTTGACGCGTACAAAGCCGGCTGGGCGTGCTCAAGGAGCAGGGCCAAGGGTAAGTGGGAAATGTGTGGCTTGTCCGATGATGGCGGCACGGAAGAAAAGGCTGCAGAAAACGCATTGGTTACTGCATGGGCCGGAGCGAAGGAGAGCTGCAATCGGGGCAGCTCTTCATCGCCTTCCTCCAGGAGCCGAACAGCGTCGGGTCTGGACTTCAATTCAGCCCTAGTCTCTTCAGAGGGAGGCGAGGTTGCTCCTGAACTCACCCGGCAAGGAGACCTCGTGAGTCTGGAATGGCAATGTCCGAGGTGTGGAAGAGCTTCTGCTTGGTGTCGGGCTGGACGCTGTTTGGCTCTATGCACGCGTCTCGAAGCCACACATGGTCAAAGTGGACGGGCTCGTGGATGCCATGCTGAGGCGAGGCGAGGGAGATCGTGGTTGGATGGACAAAGACAGAGATGCCGGAACGTTCATGGTGGATGTGCTGCAGCGTGGACTTGCCTTGTCCTTGTAAAGGAGCTGGTGGTGGGGCATTCGCAGACTGGAGCGATGGCGTCGCTGTCGGCGCTGGAGCCGCTCGGTGGACAACGCCAGACTTGCTGTTGATCGATCGTGCAGGAGCTGATGCCCTCAGCAACAGCGAGCACGACGGAGACCGTCTTAAGGCAGACGTCAGCATGGCACGCCCGGCCATGTCCGGGCTTGTTTGGTTGGCGTGATGTGACAGAGTGGGTGAATAAGCTAGCGATGCAAATTAGCCTCTCCGGTTCAATCGGATTTCATCCAGCCGGAATGTCATCCTCGACGCCATACGATTTATCTGGTTTTACTTTGTCGAAGTGACAGACAGCTACAGGATCAGAGAATGCATTTCAGGTCATCCCTCGACTTCTTGCAACAAAAGTCCTCTTCGTGTACGTACGCAATCACCGGTGACATGCAAGGTTCAAAAAAGCGAGAGTCTTGAAAGAGTGGCCACGTGGAGCTGCCCTTCTAAAGACGATGCCGTCCTACCCCGCCTTGGAAGATGGCGTTTGCCGTCACAAATGGCGCGCACACACACACTTTTGTTGGTCTGTCAAACTTTCGGCAAGGCAGTCGCGCGCGCTTGTGTGTGTCTTCCACCGCTTTTGCGATGGATCTAATTACGTACCTAGCGATGGAGTGAAGATGAAGAAGTTACAACGGACCTGCCGATCCCGCGGCCAGACGGCACTCCTCTGCACCGCTTCCTTAAAGCCACGGCCGTTCTTTTCCTTGGTACACGTAAAGCCTCTCCTTCGGATGCCTTTTCCGAACTGAACAGATCCAAGCCTGCCCTGGTAATGTCCGATTAGCCAAAGCGGGTCTCAGCTGAGTTCATTTCGTCCCTTGTGCAGATAAGAGTTTAGGCATATGATCAGCGTACATCGGTCTTGGCAAAGGTAATTAGAGGAGGGGTCCAGCTGTAACAGTGCTACTTATATAGTACCCGTGCGGTTCTTGTATCGATCGGCGGCGTCCTTCCGTTCAATTTTCTTGCGTTCCTTGTTTTTTTTTTTTTCTTAGCCAAATCAGAAAACTAGTGTTGTTTTGAGGATGCACCCATCACACGACTTGGCCCATTCCGTAGGGCTCAGGTCAAGGCGTATTGCGAGGGAAACCCCTCGCAGGTGCTCCTGCTAGAAATATCAGCCCGCACAGTTTTGAAGCCTGTAGAAGCTACCTTCATCATCGACCAGACCGTTCGAGAAGAACGGAAGAGAAGAGAAGAGAGAGATGGCATCGAAGCTGCTGTTGATACCGCTCTGCATTGCGACGCTAATTGCGTTGTTGCTGCTCTTTGAGCAGGGCAGGAGACTGGTGAGGCACTGCTGGGACGTGCTCCTGAACGGCAAGTCTCCCCTGCGATGGTTTGCTGGGCTGGCTGCGGGCATTGTGCCGCCCGTTACATGGACGCTGGCGTTCAAGTGCGCCCGCAACCTACCCCCCGAGTGGAGACCAGCGGTGAGCATGCTTTGTCCGTCTATTACCATGTCTTTACGGAGGCTCACTGCGCTTTTTGTGCCTCTCTGAACAGATCAATGTCGATCTGCTTCCGCGAATCGAGGCAAGGCTGCTTTCTGTCAGCGGCACCCTCTTCTTTGCTTGCCTGCTCGTTCCTTTGGCTCTGCTCGTCCGAACACGGAGTCGGACAATGCAGTCAAGACGTCTCTACCCTGTCCTCATCCTCCTCTTTCCACTTTGGCTCAAGGCTCTTAACAAGCTCGCCCTGGGAGTGGAGTGGACACCATCGCAGGACGTCATCGCGTGGATTTTCTACGGCGTCCTCCATTTCGCTTCGCCCTTCATTGCAGGATGGTGGATCTGGGGATTTGGCCCACCGGGCGCAGCAATCGTCTTTGGTATGTAGACTTGGCCCCTCAGCATTTGCTATAAGTTGGTAACTTACAGGGAATGCGGACAGGTCTCACGCTCGGCGTGCAAAACCTCAGCGGTCTATTTACCCACATCGTCTTTCCCAATGCCGCGCCATGGTACTATGACGTGTATCCTGTCGAGACGATCCCAGACTACGACTTTCCCGGCAATCCAGCTGGCCTCATTCGCGTCGATGCAGCTTTGGGCACGCATTTGTACAAGGCCGCCTTCAAGAAGAGCCCCGTGAGTAAACCATCCTGGGTATCTTTGGAGCTCTCTGGTTGACGTGGTCCAATCTTGACGCAGGTCGTCTTTGGAGCACTGCCAAGCTTGCATGCGGCGACATCGATGTGCTTTTCCTTTTTCGTGGCACGGTATGGCGGCAATTGGGGCATCGCGACGATGATTGTCTACTCCAGCGCGATGTTCTGGAGCACGATGTGTGAGATCCCTTTCCAGCTCTCTTCCCCGTCCTGCACTAGCTCACTCCTCCTCTACCTGTGCTTTCTCCTCTAAGACCTCCATCATCGTGAGTATATGTGTCTCTCTCAATGTGGGAAGAAAGCTCATCACCGTTATGGAAACAGATTTCGCCATCGATCTCGTCGTCGGCTCTCTCTACTCGCTCGTGGCCTTTTCGCTTGCCTCGCATTTCCTCCTTCGTAACCTCGATGCCAAACACGAACGCGAGATGACTACCCGCGGCGTGGACCGACTCTTTGGCCGGAGTATGCGAAGTACCAGCAAGAACGTCAACAGCTACGAGCGGCTGCCGCCGTCTGCGAGAGTCGCAGCCCAGCTCGAACAAGAGGAGTTGACGTCGAGTCGCGCTTCTACCAGCAGGAGCAGCTCGACGGACTCGGAGATAACCGCGAAGATTATCGGTTTCGGTCTTGGCAGCAAGGTTCCTTCGGACTCCGTCATTGAGATGGAAGAAGGGCGGAAGAGTGGGGTCTTGTCAGCGACACCGATACCAGCGGCATCGTCGGCAGCAGCAGCAGCAGCGGCGTGATTGGCATGACTGAAACATCGATACCCCAAGCCCGCATACAACAATTCGCATCTGCATAAAGGGAGCGCAGGTATCTGTTTGCGGTCTTCAACTTTCTGGATTCAGAAAAGCGTGACAGACTCCCCTCTCTGCATCCCCACATTCGCTTACTCTCCTCTCACGTTCTTGATTGCTCTTGCCACTGCTTTCCTTCCCAACGGGGTCAATCAACATACATCTGCCTATCTATAATGGGGAAATGGGAAAAAGACAATTACTAGACAGTCGAAGGTACGAAGATTGCACTGAAAGTATTTTATCGAGCAGCTGCAGCTCAGCATTTTGAGGTGTTTTGTGCCCGCTGTGACCATCGATCAAATGTTGTCGACGGTGAGGAGACTGATGGGCTTTGCCATCCCGGGATTCGGGCAGAGCGTATTCCCATTTGATTTTTTTTTTTCTCGTCCACTTCCTTCGCAGTCCATTTGAGATCTGGTGTACCTCTCCCGTCACAGCCTTGCCCTTCACTTTCGGCAGAGAAGATGGCAGCTAGCGCACCGAAAGTTCGGAGGCGCATGCACATCTCTGGATTGAACCCGTTGCAGTGCAGTACCTCTGACATCTCGGCACGTATGGCGTCATTTGGTCTCGAAGCGACATCGATCGAAGGATGGCCTCCAGGCCAGGACGGTGTCGGACGCACCGTCAACTGGTGCTTCGCCACGCTCGTGGGTCCCGAGGAAGGAGTCAAGAGGGCGATAAACACGCTCAGTGGAACGACGTGGAAAGGTCACAAGCTCAGATTAGGGCTTGCCAGGGAAAGAGCCTGGGGGTCCAGGAATGAGGAAGAGGATGGCGAAGGCAGTAAAAAGGGAACAAGGGACAAGGCGGACAAGGAGCGTGAGGAGAAGGAGGCAAAGAAGGAAAAGAAAAAGAAGGAGAGAATTCGAAAGGCAGGCTTTGAGTCAAGGGATCTCAGCGAGGCCGTCACCTCTGAGAAAGTAGACAAGGGCGAATGGGTGAGTGGTGGATGTTCGCACCAAGTGTACCTGAGTGGCTTGATACTGACGGGTTTCTGACTCAGGGCTGGAAGAAGACACCAGCAGGGCACCTTATCAGGCCGATGCACATGCGCCCGGAGAGGCCTGTGCCCGTGCCGGCAGTTCCGGCTGCGTCTACTAAGGAGGACGACAAAAGGAAGAGAAGAGGGAAGGGGAAGGGATCGGGCGAGCCCGCAAAGAGAGCCAGGAGGCGGACCATTGACCCCACGCGGTACGCTGCAGTGCACTTCAGCGGCTCTCTACTCGACGATGGTACGGCGGCTGTGGAAGGAGAGTGGACGTTTGAGGGAGAGGGCGATGAGAGTGGCGCGGAGAAATGGATACTGAAAAGCAGGGACGGCAAGATTCTGCGCGAGGAAGTGGCTGTCAGGAAAACACATACTCTTCCTTCTGCCGAGGCAGAGTCAGATCATGGTGGGGCATCCGAGTTGGAGTCGGAAGCAACAGCAAGTTCTAGCTCGCAGTCCGACTCGTCAGTCGAATCGGAGACCCCGACGAATCAGCAGAATAAGCGGGAAGCAGAGAAAGACGCAGCCTATCTCAAAGTCGACTCGTATCCGGCGTATGATCCGGACGAAGAGGATGCTTTCTCGGAGGGGTATCAAGAGGCTATTGAGGGGGTCGATCTCGCGCCCGGGCCCGGTGAGGACGAGAGATCGCGATATCTGACGCTGCTGCAAGACATGTTCGGTGGAGTCAAAGGGTCGATTGATGCAGACGAGGCAAACCGTTTGCGCCAGGCCCAAGAAGAGAAGAACAATCTTTTCGAGGACAGTGACAACGACACTGACAGCGACGACGAAGATGACGATGGCGATGATGACGAATATGATGGCGACGATAACGAAGGTGATGCCAAGCAATTGGAGCAAAGCAACAATGATGTGCAACAAGCCGACGACAATGAAACTGGAGACGATGAGGGACAGGGACAGATCGAGCAGGATGAGGTTATGAAGGCGATGGACCCTCAACCGAACGAGGAAGTAAAGAGCAAAGAGGAGAAGGCAGCTGCTGAGGCGGAACAGAAGAGAATAGAGCGCAGAGCCGCCTTTCTTGCCGTTCCAGCACCAGATTCAGAACATCGAGAGCAAGCGGATGCCTTCACGCCTCACGTGCGCTTTGATCCTGGATTCGTCGAGGAAGACGAGGAGGAGGAGGATGTCGTCGAGCAAGGGCAGGCCGACCTCTCTCCAAATGATGAAGCCAAGACTCAAGAACAGCAGAGTCAAGCCAAGGACGGACCAGCAGAGCCCAACCGAGTCTCAATGTCGAGCCTCAAGGACATGTTTCGGCCACAAGAAGAGAGTGAGTCTCCTGCTCTCAACTCATCTATGGTGAAAAGGGCTAACATATTCCGATCGAAGCCGGCGGATTCTCCATCATGGGAAATCTCGACTTGGACCTCGACGAAGAGCTTAACTTTGAGCCTGATGAGGATCAGCCCGTATTTCCCGCCTCGGATGATGCAGGTACAGAGTCAGCACCGGGGATGAGTGGCACGGCGGTGGTCAAACAGCCCAAGGGCCTCGATTTCGATCCCAACACCCCCTTCTTCTTTCCGACAGTAGCGCGGAGCTCGAGCCAGTCGTCCTCGCGGCCGGACGTGTTCGACGTACTGCGCACGACTACAACATCCTCGGTTCAGCCTTTTCGCCGCACCGCGACCGAGGACGAAATCCGGTCACGGTGGCAGGAAGCACGGGGACAGCTTACCTCTGACTATCGGAAGAGGCACAAGGATGCAGTTCGCAAGAAGAAGAGGTCCAGGCTCGCGACTGCTTGATCGACTCCTTGACCTGCCGCTGATGCAACCCTGTTAGACCCTTCATGCGAGTCGAAGGTCCTGAGGGGGTACTCAAATGCGGACAAGTGCGGAGAAGACTGTAATGCAAGCATGTCTTTCGTCGCCTGACGTCCGAGCGGGAAGGTCGCAATAACGAAGAAGAAGCAGCTAGTCTAGTAGCTAGAAGTGGATCTATGCGCATGCATGACTTGTCTTCGAGCAGCACTTAATCAGATCTTTCTGTGCAAGGTACCTGGAGGCATTAATGGCAGAGTCGGAGCGGTATGGTGGTAGCAGGACGTGAACGTGTTCGAGGTTAAGGGGTACCTCTTAGGGCGAGGAGGGCGCGGAATGTGGGAAAGTCTTGAAGCCGCCGGAGTCGCGCGTCCATGTCTCAAGGTAGGCTAATAAAGTGCCTGTAGCCCGGGTCCAACTTTTTGGAACAAGATCCAGTTTCTAGGCCCGTTTCCACCAAGCCCGATTACATCACGGTGGCTTGACGCTCCAATGAAAAATGCCTGCATACCTGTGGGACTCTCGCTTTCCCGTCCCTGCCAGAAAGAACAGAGGGCAGAACGTTATGCAGACATGCAGGTGTGGCCGGATTTGCTGCGACATCCAGGTTCCAGTCCCACCGAGAACGGCCTCATTCTTCCGCCGCCGGCCTTGATCGAGGCCTGTACCCTGATTAGGCTGCTCGGGAGTAAAATTTAAGGTAGGCACCGAGCCGACGACGATCGACAGGAGAAAAGGGTTAAAAGGCGGGGCAAAAGTCGATCATTCATCCCCCTCCATCACTCACCCAACCATCTCAGCATCTCACTCTCCTCTCAACTTCTCACTCTTTCCATCAGATAAAAAATGCAGCTCACTTCGTCGCTCTCGATCGCCTCGGCCGCCCTTGTTGCCCTCCTGGCTGTCTCGCCTGCGCAGGCCGCTGACAACCGTCAGCTTGTCCGCTTCGACTCGCGCTACTACCGCTCCGGCGACGACTTCTGCTCGGGCTGGAAGTACAACTGCGAGCACTACAAACCGTGAGCATCCAGCCTGTATCTTCCACGCCCCCTTCTCTATGCTGATTCTTTTTGACGTCTTTTGCCTACAGTACCGACAAGACTCTCAAGTGTGCGTGAAAGACATCGATTTTACCTCAAGAGGAAAAATGCTGACGGTGCTTCTCCTCTTCACAGACAAGTCTGACTACTGCCAGCCTGGCGACTTCCAAGGCAAGCACACTGAGACCGAGGCCAGGGTCTTCTGCATCTACCACAACGAACAGGGCGACAAGAGCATCATCAAGCACATTGCCAAGGAGACGGGCGACGCCCAGATCCAATAAGTGGCTTCAGTCCTCGCCTCTACTGTCTCTCTCGCCTCCAGCAGGGCCAATCTGCTCTTGATTAATCGAGGCTCGGACTCTTGTAATTCCTAAGGACATTTATCTTTTTCTTTCCCCTTTCTTGAGCTTGCTTCTCTTGTGATTATTCGTGTGAGGACGATTGCGCTGTGCGCGCCTGCTACGAGTCAGCCCACGCTTGTCATCACCTTCTTCTTGTCAAATGAGTGGAGCTTACGCCTCCCGGAGTGCATTTATAAAGTTTTCTTCGAAAAACGCAACTCCGACATCGTGACTCTGTCGACATACTCACGACTGAGAGTCCAATCGACTTCATTGATTCACAATCAAGTCTTCGGAAAGACCGATCTCCTTCATGTTCATGAGCAATCACTTGCAATCTACACTTGGTATTGTTACAGTGCCGGGCTAGTCTTCGGCCATCGCATCATCATCGCCTTTAGCTTTCAAATGTCCGTCATCAGGCTTGCTTGCCTTATCTGTCCCTGTCCCATTGGAGTCTTGCATCCTTGCGTCGCCATCGTCATGCTCGCCTTGATCTTGCTTAAGCTCTTCAACCTCCTTGGTCAAGCTCCCCACCCTCGTCTTCAGCCTCCTCAGTTCATCGACCATCCCACTCCTCCTTGCTGCCCACTCCTTGTCTGCCTTCTCAAGCTCCTCATCGACTTGATCTTCCTGTGCATCCATCGTGTCATCTTGTGCCCCCAACATCTTTTTGGGTAGATAGTATACCGGCGCAGCTGTTCTTGCTGGGCCGAGCACGAGCGGCACGCCTGGCGCAATGACTCTGTCGATCTCTTTGCTCCTCTCCCTTTGCTGGTCGCCTCGAACCTTTAACAGACCACGCGCTTCGTCGGGTACCGCGACCAGGAAGCTCGCCATTCGCCTCTTTTGTGCTTTTCGCACGCGGACGAGGGCGTCTTGCTGCGCAATGTCGCATGCCATATCGACGACCTCTCTCTTTGCGCCCTCCAGCTCTGCACGGAGCCTTTTGCTTGACTCGAGGCTCTCCATCCTCTTTTCTAGGGCCTTCTTCTGCCGAGACTCAATCTCGGCGCGCCGATTGGCCTAGACGCAGACGTAGCCGGTCAGCTCGCGACAAGAGAGCACGACGGGGAGAGCAACTCACCGCTTGAACTCCGCGCGCATTTTCTGCATTTGCCTTGGAGAGGGTCTGGTTGAGCAGCCCAAACATCCGCCGGCCAGCGCCTGTCGAGCTGTCAAGCGATCTCCGACCTCCCCGTGCCGGTGCTGATGGCGTTGGTCTCGAAGACGAAGCTGCCGTCGGGGCAGGAGGAGATGATGAGACGTCCTTTTCAATCCTGAAATGGACTATCAGCTCCATTTTCTGCAGTGCAATGCTTATTCACAGCTCACCTCGGCGTAGAAGGTGACGCCGACGCCGATGCCGACGAAGAGGCTTCTTGCTCCATCGCCGCGATCTGATGGTGGTCCCAGAAGAAGAATGGTGGGCCTCATGAACACGTGAACTAGAGGAAGAAAAGTCTAAAAACTGTCTGTGCGCAGGTCTCTGCTGCTCCTTCAAGTTCGAGCGCGAATCTCAGCACTTTCTCACTTTCGACTTGCAAGTCGATTCTTCCGAGGTGGAAGAGCAACAGATCATGGCGTCACAAGGGGAGAAAGAGAAGCGGCCAAAAGCGCCCACAAACTCGACGTCTTTCTTTTCTGCTACACAGTTCTTTGAGCATCAGACTCCTCCTCCAAACTTGGCCGCGCACCACGAACAGGTACAAGAGTTTGTCGATCGGCACGCCAAGCAAGGTAGAAAGGTTGTCCTTGTCACAGTGAGTCCACTCCGTTCCCACTTCCATCGTCCATCGAGGCAGATTGTTTACTTGGTCGAATGGACAGAGCGGCGGAACTACGGTCCCTCTCGAGCAGAATGTGTGAGTTCTAGCAACCTTCCACAGGCCCGACCGAGCCTGGCTGGCTTCCTGTATGCATGCTGACCACAGCATGGAACCATTGTCAACTCAAAGTGTCCGGTTCCTCGACAACTTCTCCGCGGGTACACGCGGCGCAACATCTGCCGAGTACTTTCTCGAGAGCGGCTACGCCGTCATCTTCATGCATCGCCAACACTCGCTGAGCCCCTACACTCGACATTACAGCCATACGACCAATCCCTTTCTCGATCTGCTCACAACTTCGCCCTCGTCTGCGCAGGGAAGTGGAGATGGAGGAAGGAAGACCGAGATCAGAGTACTCGAGCAGCACGCTACAGCTCTTCTCCCCGTCCTCGAGGCATACCACCGTGCGGTGGACGCAGGAACGCTTCTGCGCATTCCATTCACAACCGTGACCGAGTACCTCTTCATGCTCCGCGACATGAGCAGGCTCATGCGACCCTTGGGAAGACGAGGAATGTACTACCTGGCAGCGGCCGTCTCAGACTTCTATGTGCCGTCGCAAAAGACCGTGAGTGTTGTTGCCTCTTTCTTCAGACACCTTTCCTTTTCTCAACTTGGGTCCCTTCCACAGCCTGAACACAAAATTCAATCGGGCAAAGGAAGCCTGGTGATCGAAATGGACCAAGTGCCCAAGGTGCTGAAGCCCATGGTGCAGCAATGGGCGCCTGAGGGCTACATTGTTAGCTTCAAGCTCGAGACAGACCAAGATCTCTTGATCCCAAAGGCTCGCGCCGCATTGGAGAGGTACGGCCACCAAGTCGTCGTGGGGAATGACCTTCACCGGCGAAAATTCGAAGTTGTCTTTGTCGAACCAGACAGCTCTCAAGAAGAAGGTTACAGAGAGACCTGGATCAAGCTGAAACCACCGCTGGCCGAGGCAGGAGCAGACGCAGGGACCAGATCGGACACAGAGACAAAGCCCGGAGCAACGGGAGGAACGGAGAAGGAGATCGAGGAAGACATAGTCAGAGAGCTTAGCAAGCGCCACGAGGACTGGATCCGTCAAGGAAGCCAATGAAGCATGTATGACTCGATTCTACAGATACAACTATAGTACACATTGCAATCTTTGGACATGCTGCGTAAGTTTATGCAGGAATTTATCTACTACCGCTTCACGCTCGCGATAGATTCAACCTTGTCGAGGGCCTCTCGCCACTCCTTGGCCGGCTCAGATAGGTAGGTGACGGCGCCACCTGCGCCGACTTCCACCCGAGAACCATCGAAACATGCCGTGCGAATGACGACGGAGAACGTCGCTGCACCGTCGAGCCCTATCCAGCCGAGGATGCCCGCATAGATGCCTCTGTCCACGCCGCCCTCGAGCTGATCCAACAGCTCGCATGACCTTTTCTTGGGGGCGCCCGTCATGCTGCCTGGCGGAAAAGACCGTCTGAGACACTCTGTTGGGCCAATGTCAGGCCTCGATCGGAGAGCAGAGACTGTTGTGACAAGCTGGTGAACCGACTCGTAGGACTCGACGACCATGAGCCGAGGGACGGCGACACTGGCTGGATCGCAGAATGACACGAGGTCGTTTCGGATCAGGTCGACGATCTTCGTCCTCTTTGTCAGCTCGCTAGCCATGATGATGATATCAGCTGGGAGACGTCACCAAACTTACCATGAGATTCTCTGCCCGCTCCTTGGGGTCTGCCTCCAGCGCTCGCCGCCTCTTCTCGTCTATGGCCTTCTTCCACTCCACTTCCTCCATCCCGCTTGCCCGCATCGCCTCGTGGTCGCCAGCCTTGAAACCTGCACGAGCTAGTGTCCCCTTGATGGGCTTCATCGAGATCCTTCCATCCCTCGACATGCTCATGAACCTCTCTGGACTTGTTGACAGAATCTTCTTCCGGCTGTCGTCGAGTTCCAAGTAGGCAGAGTAAGGTGCCGGGTTGCGCTGCCTAAGGCTCTTGTACGTCGACCAGGCCCCCTCGTCGCCTTCTTCATTTTCGCCATCTGTCTCTCCACGGAAGCGTGTGGTAAGGCACAGCTCGTAGGATTGACCCTGCGAGATCAATCTGCGGCATTTCTCCACTTTTTCGATATAGGTCGACGCATCGTCGAGCGGCACCAGTCGAGGTAGCCCTTTCTCAACTAAAGAAGGGGGAACCGAGGTGGGCTCGGCCAGATGAATGGTCTGCTGAACTTTGTCGAACCAGTCCTGGATCTGAGCAAGAGATAGCCCGAGATCGTCCTCCTCGAGTGCCTCTTGGATCATGGCGAGCTCGGCGCCCTCTGCCTCTCCGCTGCTTACCTCAAGCAGAAGGGCATACGCGGTCCACTCTTGTTTTTTATCATCAAAAGCCAGCACTCGATCGCAGAAGCCAAAGTCTGCAGTGGGCAGGTCGACCCACTTCTCCTGTCCTTCCTTCCGGTTTGGGTGAGCCGGACTAGGAGGCAAGCTTTCGTCCTTCATCTCGTACGAAAAGTAGCCAACGAAGCCCGTCTTGAAGGGCGGCGTTTCTTCCTCGTCTTCGCGAGGAAAGTATGTCTGGGCTTGGAGCTGCTTCTGCAATGCGTCGAGAAAGGTCCAGAAGGTTTCCTGTGATGAAGAGGTTGCCGCAGACATTCGCTCGGATGCTGGCGAGGCAGATCGGCTCGTCATGGGTGTTGGGAGACCGTGCTCGTTTACCTCGTGCGCCTTTGTCTTGCTGCCGGGAGCTGATGCTGACGGAGAGAAGGGAAGTGTCTTCCTTAGCCGGTTCCTTCGACTGAGCGCGAGGTGGCCCATCCTGACATCGTACGACAAGCTAAACGATGGCCCGGCCATGTAGCTGAAGCGGCTTTGTGGGTCACCATGCCTTGATCCGTCCAGCCAGACGCTCCTCCCCTTCTCCCTGAAAAGCTTCTCAAACACTTTTTCTCTTCCTATCGAGCCAGGCGGCGAGAATAAGCGTCTGGAGACGACCCTGAATCGTCTCTTTTCCGCTTCCTCCCCGTTCCTGGCTGGAGGTGAGAGCGGCAAAGAGGCCTCAACGAGGCTACGGCCCACCTGCCTGACCCAACCTGGGAGCTCGCAGCCGAAAGCTTCTTTTCTGACTGCCCCAGCGGTCGCCCAGAAGCGATTCGTCTCGCGGACAAAGTTGGCCAGCATGGCGCCTCCACCACCGCTGCAGATCGATTCCGGGTGGAATTGGACGCCCCAGAGCGGCAAAGATGAGTGCTGGAGGCCCATGATGACCCGCTCGCCATCGTCGTTCGAGATCGCTGTTGTTCTCAGCTCCTCTGTCCGCAAGCCTGATTTGAGGAAAAAGGTCAGCGCATGCAAAGCTGTCCCGGCTCAAGAAGACTCAACTGGATTCGACGACTGTGAGGCTATTGTAGCGAATCACATCGATCTTTTCACCCTGAAGGCCTTCGAAGATGTCGCCCCACCGGCAGCCCTCGGCCTTCAGAAGCTCCAGCCGGCTCGAGACGCCGTGTCGGATGCTCGGTGCCCTCTGGACTTGTCCACCCAAGGCGACAGCCAGGCCCTGATGGCCCAGGCAGATACCCAGCGTCGGGAGCACAAATTCCCCAGCATCTTGCAGCATCCGTCGCAGGATGCTCAGTGAAGCGCTAAAGTCGGCAGGGTGACTCGGGTGACCCGGTCCAGGTCCGAGAATGAGCGCGTCCACATGGGGCAGGATCTGAGTCAGACGCGGATCGGTGTGCGAGACGACGATACAGCGTGCAAGGATATGGGCAGGAGAGACGTGCGGAAGCGAGCGTATTATAAGAGGCACGAGGTTCAGCGTGTACGAGTCGGCATGATCAATGATGAGCAGCCGAGGGAACCGCTCATCCATCTCCATCGTAGCTTGATGGTCGGGCTGTTCCGCCGGTGACAGCGCCGTGTAAAAGCCTTTAGAATTCGCACCGACTGAAAAAATCGCAAGACGATCTCGGGACTCGGCCTAATATTACTCCAAGCACTACTTACCTCAGTCGACGACGACTTCGCGCCGATCACTGCTCTTGCAGCAACAGGACAGGCAGAGTAAAAAAACAGAGGATTGACCATGTCGTGGGCCCAGCGATTTCTCCCGCTGGCCGTGGCGTCATCCATCGGCATCATCTCTGGCGTCTACATCTTTGACCCAATCGTCCGGCAGTACACCGTCGACGCGGGTCTTGCGCCTGAGCACCGCGCCCTGCTCCGCCCAAATCCCGACGATGCAGCAGAAGGAGCACAGCAGAGCGGTGGAAAGAGCGGCGGAGAACTGCAACGAGAACTGAACGCCGCCATTCCGAGAGAGCTAGGCCAGGACACGAAGGGGCAACAGCAGCAGCAAAAGGTCGTCTAAGGTGAGAGAGGTTCTTCTTCTTCTTCGACTCGGCCGCGAGAGCTTCCATTGACACGTAGAAAAGCGCCGAGATACAAGATCATGTGGGGCCCTCAGGACTGAAGCAAGAATGCAGTGGCTGGATGAAGCTCTCAATGTATATTTATTGTCCGTAGAGGTGTGCGAGAACGAGGCAAGCCTGAGGCTTTCGTTAGCATTCTTGGCCGAAAGGAAGACTTCATCAATGGTGTGGGCTTCTAAGAAAACAAGCAGCGGCTAGAGCCTGGGTCTAAAGCCTTCATTAACGTCTCAAGTTGTCACACTCATTGTCGGGAATTGAGTGGTGAAGAAGGCCGGCGTTGGCGAGCCCCACTGATGGAGATCCCTGGTCTTCTTCGGAAATCGGGCAAGCCCCAGTGCCCAACTTCTTCTAAAATTCTCATCCAATTTTTTTTCTCTCTTTCGCTGATCGGACTGATCGACCAGTGCGCGCTTGGACCAAGGGACCTGATGGCGTCGACTTCGATGGCCAAGCTCGGCCGCGAGCTCATCGCCTACACCTTGAGTCCCCCTGCCGAGGCATCTGCCTCGTCTTCGGCGCCTTCGTACGCATCCATCGTGACGCTGTCGCACCCCACGCCGTCAGCGCCCGTCGCGTCGTTGCGTGGTGTGACACCGTTTCCCAGCTCGCTGTCGCTCATCAGCTCGCCGCTCCGTCCTAGCTGCCTCACTGTGCACTCGGACGCCAAGAAGGGACAGATCTATGTCCATGAGCCTCGCGTGTCGGGACCGTCGACGACGACTACTACGACGCTGTCCCATCACCTGCACCCGCCCGAGCCCACGCCCTGCATCGCCGTCTCACCGACAGGCGCCTATCTTGCCGCTGGCTCCACCTCGGGGAAGCTCTACCTCTGGGAACTTGCCTCAGGCAGTCTCGTCTGCGCTCTTGATGCCCACTTCCGCCAGGTGACGTGCCTCAGTTTTACTCTCGACGGACTCGGCCTTGTCTCGGCCTCGACAGACGCCCGCATCCTCGTCTACTCCCTCGCCGCTCTCGTTTCCTCGGCTTCGTCCGAGGCTGGCAAAGCCCCCTATGCCGTCTTTGCCGACCATACACAATCCATCACGGCGCTCTCCTGCTCCTCGTACAGCGCTGCCGCCGCCGCGGAGTCGTTTCCTTCGTCGACGCGCATCCTCTCGGCGAGCGAGGACGGATGCGTAAAGCTGTGGGACGTTCGAAGCAGGAGGCTCGTTAGGACATGGACGTTTAGCGGGTCGGGCGGCAGGCCAGTCACACACCTTGCCGTCGAGTCTGGCGCGAGGGCCTTCTTTGTGGTCCTGGGAGATGCAGGGCAGGACGATGTCATGGACGAAGACGACGACGACGACAAGGGTGGAGAGGATGCCATGGGTGCCCGGGGCGATGCGGTCAAAAGGGTAGACATGTATGCGCCGTCGGGTCAGGGTGGCGGCGAATCAAGCGACCAGACCGTCGTCAAGGGTGCTGCCCTCTACCGGACGGGGTGAGTGTCACACTTTTTCTCCTCGCATAAGCAAGCATTCACTGACTTGATCACTGGCTTGTGTCCTTCTAGGGACAAATCGACGCGCATCACCTCGCTTGCTCTGTCGACATCGTCAACACACCTCCTCATCGGCACTTCCCGCTCCGCGCTCGTGGTTCTCGATGTAGCGTCGCAAAACATCATCCGGTCCCTCTCGCTGCTGCCCCAGGGCGCAGGCGCGGGCGCATCCAAGGCCTCTTCTTCACAGCTGTCCGTCTCGAGCCTGGTGCCATTCGTGGCGTTTGAGAGCCCGTCAAGCCCCATGTTGAGTGGTTGGGACGTCTGCTCGAGGCTGGCAAGGCAAGAGACGTCTCACGAGGACGACGTGGTCCCCATGAGGCTCGCCCAGATCGATGTGACTTCGCTTGCCGCACAGCTCTGCCCGCCCTCTTTGGCTGCGGACCCATCGTCGACGATGATGACGACGACAATGGGAGACACAGCGGCGGGCGCGAGTGTCGCAGCGACAGAGCGCAGCAGCGCAGGCTCCGAAGTAGAGAAGCTGCAGAGGGAGAACGAGGAGTTGAAGCGACTCGTCAAGCGGGCCCATGCGGCCAACGAGGCAATGTGGACAAAGGTCGTCCAGGGTGCAGTCAAGGGCGTCACCGCCACATCCTCGTCCTCGTCGTCTTAGACTCAAAGATGTCCTTCATCCCAAAACTATCAGCAACACTGTATTTGTATACGCTTTCCGCAATAGATTAAGGTCATGGAGAGAAGAGGGACAGAGGTGCACATAGGCAGAGCGACAAGAACATCTACGAGTGGAAGCAAAGGGGAAAGCACGGAAAAGTAACGAGAGAGGACCGATGCGCGCTGCATGTAGACAGAGAGAGCGCTTAAAGACCAAAGATGTTTGGCACGTTCTCCCAGGCATCTTGACCCTGATTCTTTGGTTCCTTGTCGCCTTTTTCCTTTTCTGCCGAGTCGGAGCCGACGACCTTTGCCCGGGCCTTGAAGTAGTTTGTCCCGTCTTTACTTCCGTACTTCCACTCTGGCTCGTCGCCTTCCTCCTTGTGGAACCATCGGGGACCGGGCGCCTTGCCTTCCTTGCGTCTCTGCCTCTGCTCCCCCTCGAGCTTCTGCTTGAGCTCTTCGGCCTTTTCGACGTTTCCTTCCTCAAATGCGCGCTGATCCGGCCTCAGTCGTGAGTCAGTCTTGGGAACGACGCCGTCGAGGTCCTTGGTCAGCTCATTGAGCGACATGGCAAAGTACGTGAATCCGTAGTAGTCCTCGGCCCGCTTGGGCATCTCGGCCGCCTCCCACAGGACCTGGTAGTTTTCGCTGTCCTTTTGGATCGCCAGATTGTCGGACCACTTGCCCTTGACCGTCGAGATCTTCTTTGACTTTTCGTCGTACACGGTGCCCACGACCTGGTTGCGGCTGTTCTGGCCTCCCCACATGTTACCCTCCTTGAACTCGATAACAAGCTTCGCGCCCGTGTTCTCGTTGGTCACGGTGAGCTCGCCGACGTGCTCGAGGTATTTGTTGCCCGCGAGGAGGTTGCGCATGAAGCTGGACGGCTTCTGGAAGCTAAAGACGTCGCCATCGTCAAACTCGAGCCTCGTCTGACCCTCAGGAATCAGCTCGAGGCTCTTTCCCCAAAACTTGTTCTTGACAGACGACCAGCCTTCGCACTGCCAGCCCTTTCCTTCCGCATACAGGGCCACAATCGGGGGCTGATGGACGACCTTTTCGGCAATAAAGCGCAGGTGCTTGTCCTCGCGCACGCACTCGTACGTCTCGCCCAGCAGCGGGTTAAAGGGCTTGCGAGAGGCGCGCAGCTTCGTCGATGCGTAGCCCGAGACGGAAAAGGCGCCAACGAGGCAGATGCGCTCGACCCAGTCCTGCGTCTTGGCCGCCTTCTCCAGCAACTCGGGTGCATACTCGTACTCTTCGGCTGCAGCCTGGAGCAGGCTCAGGGGGCAATTGAACGAGACGGGGAAGCTGATCGTCGACAGGTCCTTTCCGACGTTCTTCTTGAGCATCGAGAAGAGCGAGACCTCGTCGCCCGATACCGTCGCCGGGAGCTCCTTTCTGTACTCGGTCTTCTTCTCGTCGACACCCCTGGGCGGGCCGTCGTCGTCGCCAGAGTCGTCGTCGTCAGAGCCTTCTGCGCCGCTGCTCTCCTCTGCTTTGGAGCTATACCCGCCCTCATCAAAGCCAGCGGCAGCATCGGCATCGTAGTAGACGGCCTCGTCGGTGTTGGTTGTCTGGAAGCTCGACACGCTCATCCGGTGCTGGTTGCCAATGACGTTGTTGTTCTTGCGCGACTGGAGGCTGTTCATCGTCCCATCGGGTCCCTGGGATCTGGGAATCTTTGTGTCGAGTGCGTGCTGCAGGTTTTCGTGCTCGGCCCGAAGCTGGTCGAGCAGCGTCGAGAGGCTCTGCAGTGGGCTATCGTTGTCCGACGATCTGGGCATGACGAGGCTGACAAACGACGGCTGGTCGATCCTGTCCTCGCGCATCTGCCCCACCTTTTGCTGGATGGTTTGGATGAGGTTGCCCACCGTCTCTGAGCTTGTAAAGAGATGGGAGAGGTCGACAGACTGCAGCTGTGTGCCGTTGTTGGCCGAAACATAGATGCGCTTGTCTGAGCCGGGCGCGGCGTCCGGGATAAAGGAGCGCAGGTGGGAGCGCCATCCTTCAAAGTCTTGGGGCGAGAGCATCTTGATGTGAAACACCGACGAGCCGCTGTCGACATGCAGTGTGCCTGCCAATGCGCCTCTCATGATCAGTCGAGGTGCGGCTAGAGGTAGAGAGAGAGGTACAAAGGGCCGCCAGTGGATGACTCACCATGACGCTTGCTGCTCGTGACGCTCGCATGGGGAATCTCGATGCTGTCCCTCGTCAGCTTGTCGGGGCTGAGGCTGTAGGTGAGGAGGCCCTCCTTGGTCAGGATCAGGTACCGCTTTGCGTAGCCTGTTTCCGGTTCCCCTCCCTAGTCAGCTTCGTCTACTCTTTATGTTTCAGCGTGGTGGGAGCATCAACCCACCCTGCATCTTCTTTCTCTTCTTCTTGAGCACCCATCCCTCGTGCACGACGTTGAGATCGGTCACCTTCATCCGTCGTCCAAACTGATGCCGACCCTCGCCGCCGACATCGCCGGCGATGGCCGTCTCGTCCGTCTGGGAGCTCGACCGGTTCGGCATCCTTCTTTCTTTCCTTTTCGTCGCAAAGCCTTGTGTCGTGAGCGTAGCACTTTCGCAACTGAGGAAGAGAGGGTAGATGAGAAGAAGCTGGAGGTGGGGGAGCAGTAATAAACGGACTGAGGATCCGCTCGATCGAGAGGAACTTCTCAAAAGAGAGAGAGGCAGGAGTGGGGCAAATCCGGCCCGCTACGCCCCTCGGTCTCCCTGCGCTAAAGACTGGAATAATAGGAGCAGCAAAAAGGTCCATACATCCAGGGTGGAGATCTCGTTTTCCTTTTTTTTTTTTTTCCTTTTGCAGAAATGTCAGTTTCAATTTGTGAAAGGACCCGGTTTCAATATCCCGCACGGGCCTGTCACCCGGACGTCTCCACGCCGAGGCAGGCAAGACGACACGAGGACGACTTCATTACTATGGCTTGCTCAAGGCATAGCTAATCTGGGGTGGCTTCAGATTCCGCTGCATGTCGTAGGTTCGTCTCGAGCTATGGTGTGGCAGCTAGGTCCTTGGCTTCGTCAGAACTACCACACTCAGGCACAACGATCAGATCTTGCTCGACAAGCAGGCGCCTAATGCTCGGCGGTCAGAAGAATGCTGATGTTGATGATGTATTTCAGAGCATCCTTTTGATGAGCGATGCCGCCAGCTTTACACCCCAATGCACCTTTCTATCGGGTCTTTCCAGCAGCTCTCTGCCGACCTCATCGTTTGCGTCCTTTCTGATCAGGCTCAATTCCCTGGCCAGACGCTCGCGCATGTGAGGGCTCTTTGTCGCATCGACGAGGAGCGTGCATTCGAGGTCGAGTTGCGCCGATCGGATGCCAAAGTTGGACGAACCCAACAGAGTCAGGCTCGGCTGACCATTTCCCGAGGGCTCCGTAAGCCAGATGCCTGCACGCAGACTAGCGCGTCAGCTTTTCTTGCCTCTTGATCTGAGAGATGGTAGCAGCGCACCTTTGCAGTGGTATGTCCATCCTTTCTTTGCCCATTCTCGTATTGAGACCTGGCTTCCCCTTCCTCGCGCCTGAGCCGTCTTCCAAAAACGGCCCTCGAGCCAGGTGTATGCTGCAGGCAGGTGCCTGCTGACGCCCTTAGATCCAAAGAAGCCGTTCGCTTGGGGTGAAGCCGTGATGATGTCGCTCGTCGCCTTGCTCGAGAGAATGCGGCCGGCATACAGCGGGTTGAGACTAAAGTAGCCCGTTGTCAAGTCCAGCTTCGATGTGACCTGGGCGTCGTCAGACGACAGCTCATCGGCTTGGTCTAACACCATCGATACGCCCTTTGTCTCGTGCTGTATCCCCATCGGGCCCATCTGCAGCAGTGGCACAACCTCGACTGCCTCTGTTCCATCCTCCTGTTGCCCTTCTGCTTTCTGAAGCTTTCCCAACGTCGCCTCGCGCCACTCGCCCGTCAACGCCTCGATTTTCTCCTTCAACGCTCGCTTCCACCCGGTCTCACTGTACCCTCTCCCCGCGCCATCCCACTCCAGCTGATAAGCGGCATGGTCTCCGTTCCCTCCCTCTTCTTTCACTCCCTGATCCTGAGACGGCCGATGGACGAGCCGATATGAGAATGCGGCGACAGTATCCACCAGTGCGCAGAGGTAGTCGGCCAACGGCTTGTCTCCCTTCACATTCAAATATCGATCCCTTCTGTTGGTAAAGTAGTCGTTGGACAGATTTGCCCTTACCATCCCACTCCCTGCGATTAGCAACTTCGCATGACAATTTCACACATGAGACGCCAAAGATTCCCAAAGCTCACCCCGTGATGACGACCTCGTCGTCAAAGCCGTACACCTTCATGTGCTGCAACCCCCACCCCTCGACGAAGCGCTTTCCGACGAGCCATTCCAGCCACTTTGGTAGGCCCGCCGCTCTAAAGAGTCGGACATCGGCACGATCCGGGTATCTTCGCTGGAGGCCAGCCAAGAGCGAGGCGCACGACTCCGTCGCTGGGTCCTGGCCGCCATCGTCATACGGCCCTTCTCTGGTTGAACGAAGCGCATCGACGAGGATCGTCGCTCTGAGCGCTGGATTCCTCTCGAGCGCCTCAGCAATGCTTCGGATCTGCACACGTTCGTATCTCTTTCCACGTCAGCAGAAGATGAGAAAGAAAGAACGGAGAAGGGAAAGGAGACTGACCAGTTCGACCTCGGACTTGCCAATGTAGAGGCTTGACACGAAGATTCGCTGCTTTGCGCGCCCAAGGCCTGCGAGGAGTGCAGCGTAGAACTCAGCTGGCTCATCGAGCAGGCCCACGTTCGACGTGGGAATCGTGAAGCAGGGCAGCGAGAGCGTGTTGGACACCCGTGTGGCCAGGCTCGTCGTCGGCGCAGCCGTCGCGGAGCTTGAAGACGAAAGACGTGCAAAAGCGACGAGGGAAGGTCGGACCCGGGTATAGGACGCTGATGGACGGCATCGACAAATGGCCAAAAGCGGGCCTGTGGGTGCCCTTCCCATTCTCTTGCAGTAGGGTAGAGCGCAGAGAACGCAGACGGGGCAGTGAAATGGCAAGACCCAAAGACGAGAAGAGAAGGACGGAAAATTTCGCGTCTTGGGTGGCCCAAGCGCAGAAAAGAGGCAGAAGATGAAATGTCCTTGCGCGCTCTCTGTCTAGCTAGCCTACAGGAAAAGATGACTATCTATACGCTCATCTTCATGTCAATCTTGGGATGAGGGCTGTAGCCCAGCACTTCAAAGTCTTCTGGCTTGAAGCCGTCGATGTCGGTGACTGTTCGTTTGAAGTTGAGCTTGGGAAAGTCCTTTGGCTCTCTTGTCAATTGCACTGTAGGCAGGGCAATCGGATCAGCACAAGAAAAGGGGGGAGGAAGGGGGATGCAACTCACCCTTCAATGGCTCGACGTGGTCACGATAGACATGCGCGTCACCCATGGCCAGCGTCAGCTCCTTTGCCTCGCAGCCCGTGACATGGGCGATCATGTGCGTCAGCAGCGCATAGCTGGCAATGTTGAAGGGCACGCCCAGGCCCAGGTCACACGAGCGCTGGTACATGTGGCACGACAGTTCCGGCCGGCCGGTCTTGTTGCTGTTGACAGTAGCGGTGGGTAGCGAGACGTAGAACTGGCAGAACATGTGGCACGGAGGCAGGGCCATCTGGGGAAGATCTTTGGGGTTCCAGGCCGACATGATGATGCGCCGGTCTGTAGGGTTGTTCTTGATCTTGTCGATGACCTCGGCCAACTGATCCACACCCTTTCCCGTGTAGTCTGCGTCACAGTCGGTATACTCTGCACCGAAATGCCGCCACTGGAATCCGTACACGGGGCCCAGATCGCCTTCTCTCCGATGGCCGAGGCCCCTCGACTCGAGAAACTCCTTGCTGCCGTTGCCATCCCAGATGTGCACGCCCCGGTCGGTGAGCAGCTTCGAGTCTGTCTTGCCTGCCACGAACCAGAGGAGCTCCTCCAGGACGCCGCGGAGGAAAACACGCTTTGTCGTCAGCAGGGGGAGCGTACCGTTGCGCAGCGAGAACGACAGGCTGGGCTGGGGCGCAAACAACGACAGAGTCCCTGTCCCGGTCCGGTCCGGCCGCATCTCGCCGTCGGAAATGGCACGGGAAACGAGGGAGAGATACTGGTGCTCCTCGTGGGCCGCTTTCACTGTTGCGTTTTCAATGATCATGAGCACGGTGTTGTCCCCATGGTAGAGAGCAGCACACAACTCACCATGCTGTGCGGCACCCACAACAGTAGCCGAAGACCGTGGTCCTGTCTTGCTGGAGAAGATGCCGGCAATCGTCGGCTCGTCGAAGCTTCCATGGGCGTAGCAGAGGATGGCCACGCCACCAGCATCAACCTCGAACAGCCGGCCCAGGGTTAGGGGAAGATTGAGCCATCTGGCAATGAAGCACCGATTGAAGTGGCCATGCGCGACAACCATGACGTCTCCTCCTCGCTTGGTGACGGCCTCATCATGGAGCTCGGCCGTCTTGCCCTCGATGACAGCCTTTTGCAGCGTGCGAATCTTGGCAATGACCCTGTCCACCCTTGCTGTCATTTCCTCTGCGCTCTCGCCGGGAAGCTCTTGCGGCTTATCCGGATTATCGGGTGTCCCCTCTGTCCAAATGTCCCAGCCCGGGTGCTTCTCCCTGATCTCGTGCGTCTTGAGCCCTTCGTATGCGCCATAGTCCCATTCGCGACAGTCCTGGACCGTCTCGACGGGCACGATCTGATTCCGCTCATCCTGGGTGAGGTGCGACATCATGAGCTCCAGTGTGCGCTGGCTCCTGCGCCGCGGACTGCAGAGGATGTGGCTAATATGGCGCGGGTCCACCATCTTACTGCCGTCGCATGAGACAAACGTCGGCGCGAGCTGCCGCATCACGTCCTCGCCGTGCTTCGTCAGCGGAATGTCGGACCGGCCCGTGTGCTGGCCCGAGATGGACCACTCGGTCTCGCCGTGCCGAGCCAGAATCACGCGGGGCATCGCAGGTGCCATCGTGATCAATGACTTGGAGTCTGCGTTGTCTTGTAGAGTAGAGGGGGTCGGGTTGAGGTGTCGTTGTGAAGCTTCCTGCGCGCGTGCACGCGCGCACATAAGAAATCGGTCCGAGACGCGCTTCGCTCGCATGGACCATTTAAAAGTGGTCGGCCGAGAAAGAAGCCAACACTGCTTCACGTGCACGAAGAACAAAGCTCAAGACTTGGAGATGATTCTTCGTTGTTGAGCGCAGGACAGACCAGACGTTACGCAGCAACGAAAGGTTCATCATGTCGTCGCTCGAGCTACTCAACCCGCGCGCTGAGTCGGTACGACGGCAGCAGGCGCTGGCTGTCAACACATCGGGCGCCGTGGGCATCTCGGGCGTGCTCAAGAACAGCCTGGGTCCCTCGGGCGCGGTCAAGCTGCTCGTCGATGGGAGTGGAAACCTGCGCGTGTCCAAGGGCGGCGGTGTGCTGCTCAAGGAGATGCAGATCACCAATCCAACGGCGTCGATGATTGCCAGGACTGCCGTCGCGCAAGACGACCAGTGTGGCGATGGAACGACATCGGTGGTGCTCTTGGTCGGCGAGCTGCTCAAGCAGGCCGATCGCTATATCCAGGAGGGCGTCCACCCGAGGGTCATCAGCGAAGGATTCGAGCTGGGAAAGCAGGGGTCATTGAAGGTGCGTCTGGGAATTTTAAGAGCTGGTAGGTCTATATGTTGACTTATCCTGTCATCCTCCAGTTCCTCGAAACGTTTAAGCAGACGCCTGAGCTGGATCGCAACACGCTCGTGACGGTGGCCAAGACGTCACTCACGACAAAAATCCAGGCCAAGCTGGCTGAGAAGCTGGCCGGAGACATTGTCGATGCGGTTCTGGCTGTCAAGCCCACGACAAAGACGACAATCGCCTCTGCACCCAAGCCGAAAGCGGATGGATCATCGGAGAAGGTGCAGGACTGGGAGGTGCAGGACCCGATCGACCTGCACATGGTCGAGATCATGAAGATGCAGCACCGAAATGAGACGGACACACAGCTCATTCGCGGTCTCGTCCTTGACCACGGCGCACGGCACGTCGACATGCCCAAGCGCGTCGAGAATGCCTTTGTGCTCACGCTCAACGTCAGCCTCGAGTACGAGAAGACCGAGGTCAACTCTGGCTTCTTCTACTCGTCGGCAGAGGAGCGCGAGAAGCTCGTCGAGTCGGAGCGCCGCTTCGTCGACGCAAAGCTCAAGAAGATTGTCGAGCTGAAGCAGGCGGTGTGCGACTCGGCCGTCGGCAGCGAGTCGTCGGGCGAGAAGCCAAAGAACTTTGTCATCTTCAACCAAAAGGGCATCGACCCCATGTCACTCGACGTCCTGGCCAAGCACAACATTCTCGCGCTGCGCCGGGCCAAGCGGAGAAACATGGAGCGCCTCCAGCTGTGCTGCGGTGGCGTGGCGCAAAACTCCGTCGATGACCTCAGCCCAGATGTGCTGGGCTACGCCGGGCTGGTGTACGAGCACACGCTGGGCGAGGAGAAGTTCACCTTTGTCGAGGAGTGCCGGGATCCAAAGAGCGTGACGCTGCTGATCAAGGGCCCCAATGGCCACACCATCCAGCAGATCCATGACGCCGTCCGAGGCGGGCTGCGCGCCGTCAAGAACTCGATCGAGGACAAGTGCCTCGTTCCGGGAGGTGGCGCATTCCAGATTGCTGCTGCGCAGTACCTCAACGACGTGGTGAAGAAGGAGGCAAAGGGACGGGCCAAGCTGGGCGTGCAGGCATTCGCCGACGCGCTCCTGGTCATCCCCAAGACGCTGGCCTCCAATGGCGGATTCGACGTCCAGGATGCCATTGTGGCCATGCAGGATGAGTTTGCAGACGGCAACATCGTCGGCCTCGACATCAAGAGCGGCGAGCCCACCGACGTGGTCACCCAGGGCATCTGGGACCAGTATCGCACCATCCGACACATGCTCCACTCCTGGTGAGTATTGCGCTTTCCCTGTCTCTGTCTCTAGATCTTTGGCTAACCCTGCTTCTGCCACAGCTCCGTCATTGCCTCAAACTTGCTGTCGGTAGACGAGATTCTGCGCGCAGGGAGGAGCTCGCTCAAGAACGAGCAGCAGCCTGGAGCCTAGACTGAATCCAGCATCACAATCAAATGAGATTTGCATCCACCGTTTGTTGAGTACGGCGTGACCGTGAAGAGCTGTAAAGAGATTAGCAGTGTGTTGTGTGTCTTTCTGGCTGGCCTTCTTTCATGTGAATGCGCGTTCATGGCCGTCTATTCTTAGCGCGAAGGCCTCTCAATGTGGGGTCCCCACGTTAGCCCGCCTCGACAAGCAGCACCCTTGTTTTATTTTAGTCTCCGTCGACGACCTCCGACTTCTCTTACTCTCAATCACTCGCACGATCGACCGACCGAGCGATGGCGCCCTCTGCCTCCAAGGAAGAGCACCACCACCAGCACAGCAGCGACTCGTCGTCTGCCTCTGCGCGCCGGCTCGCTGCCATCGCTGGCCAGCTCGGCAGCGTTACCTCGTCCTCGGTCCAGGTGCTCTCCTCGTCGCGGCGCCACCCTTCGTCGTCGTCTCACTCGTCGTCTTCATCATCATCATCACGCTCGCACAAGGAATGGCGGCATCTCCCCTCGTTTTCCTCCTTGCCGCGCGAAGGCGGCTTCCCCGGCTGTGCGTGGTCCGTCTGGGGCAAGGGCGACGAGCTGGGCACCGTCAACCTCCTCACCGACTCTGTCGTGCTCCGTACCGCCAAGGACGAGATCCGGACCGGCCACACCGTCTCGCTCAACCTGCCGCTCCACTTGCCCCTCAAGCCCTTTTTCCACCGTAAAGCCCTCGACCACACCATCTGGGGTAAAAAGGGCGGACGGTACCAAGAGGCGCGCGAGGCCGTGCGTGCAGCCATGGGCGAGCAGGGCCACGCCGTCCAGATCCGGGCCAAGGGCGAGGAGGCGGCCGTGAGCGACGAGGAGATCCACCTCAACAGCCAGAGCGGCACTCAGTGGGACGGCCTAAGGCACTTTGGCCACTTGACCCTCGACTGCTTCTACCAGGGCGTGCCCCGTGATGCGATCCAGTCCACCTTTGGCACGCAGAAGCACGACGCAATCGAGCCCGCCAAGGACACCGACAGGCTCGGCATCCAGTCCTGGGCCCGCCACGGCATCTGCGGCCGCGCTGTTCTTCTCGACGTCTGGGGCTACCTCCAGGCAAAGGCGGCCGGCGGGGGTGACTTTGTGCCGTACGACCCCATGACGTCGCACGCCATCTCTGTCGACTTGCTCCAGGAGGTCGCCCGCGCCCAGGGCGTCCGCTTCCGTCAGGCCGACATCCTCCTCGTCCGCCTTGGTTTCACTCAGCGCTACCTCCGCGCCACGCCCGCCGAGCGCGAGCAGTGGGAGGCGCGCTCGGCTGCCGGCAAGGAGGAGCTCGCCGGCCTGGAGCAGGGCCAAGCCATGCTCGAGTTCCTCTGGGACCACCACTTTGCCGCCGTCGGCTCCGACATGCCCGCACTCGAGCGCTGGCCCGCACCCCGCGGCGCCACCTATCTCCACGAGACGCTCCTCACCTTTTTCGGCATGCCCATCGGCGAGCTCTTTGACCTCGAGCGCCTCGTCGAGCACTGCCGTGCCACCAGGCGCTGGTCCTTTTTCCTCTCGAGCTGGCCTCTCAACCTCCACGGCGGCGTCGCCTCCCCCGCCAACGCCGCTGCTCTCTTTTAGAAAGAAAGAAAGAACCCCTCCTCCCTGCTTCGTCTCTGCTCTCCCTTCTCTACACAAAGCCATACACACAACACACACGCATTCACCATTCTAGGTCTTTTATTTTTGTTGAAACAATGCCTCTAAAAGAATGAAAATGAAAATGCTTAGACCTACGCAGTCGAAGCCTGCGCCTGGCCCTCGCCGTCCTTGACCTCCAGCGACGAGAGCTGGTCCGTGAGCGCCTGCAGCTCGTTCTTGAGCTTGAGCAGCTTCGACACCTCGCCATCGACCTCGGTCTGCTTGACGTCATTGTCGCCGCCGCCGCCGCCGCCCTTCTTCTGGGCCTCCTTGAGCTTGCGCACCGTCTCGCCCTGCTCGCCGACCTGGCGCTCGAGCTCGAGGTACTCTGGCGTCGGGTTGGCAATCTTCTTTTGCTTCTTGGCCTCCTTTGCCAGCTTGGCCGCCTTGTTCTTGCTCATTGGCGGTGCTGCTGCTGCCGCCGCCTCTTTCTTGCCGCCTGCAGCAGCAGCCGTCGAGGATTGCACGCCGCCAAACATGACGCGCCACTCCTCCTCCATCTTCTCGTCAATGTGCTTGAACAGATGCGCCGGCGTCCCAATCTTGTGGCCGGGCAAGAGGTCCAGGGCGAAGCGAGGCTTGGCGAGGCGCTCGCGCGCCTGGAAGCTCGACTCGCCGCCACTGCTGCCGTCCTCGTCGTCGTCTTTGAGATCGACGATGCCCCGGTCCTCGACGGGCACCGTCCTGGGCGGCGCATCCAGCTGCCGGCACATGTCGTCGGTCGTCTCGGGCATGAACGGGTGGAAGACGGCGCTGAGCACGTAGATGAGGTTGACGGCCAGCAGCATCGTCGCGTCGCACTCGGCACGGCGCTCTGCAAACAGCTTGTTGTCGAGCCCGACTGACGACAGGAACTCGTTGCCGCGCTGCGAAAGGCCGAGGGCCGTCTGGAGACCCAGACGCAGCCGGACAGCGTCCATGGCCACGACGTATGTTCGAAGCTGGGCATTGACCTGGCGGATGAGCGTCGCAAACGGCGACTTGTCCTCGTCCTCGCTTCGCACCTCGAGTGGCTCGGGCCCAGCCGTGAGACCCAAGCCTTCGGGGATCGGTGGAAGCACACCGTCGTACTTCTTGGCCAGGAAGCGCAAGACACGGTTGACAAAGTTGCCCAGGTTGGCCAGCAGCTCGCCATTGTTTCTCGCAATGAACTCTCTCCAGCTGAAGTGCGCATCGCCGTTCTCTGGTCGGTTCGCCAGCAGGTAGTAGCGCCAGACATCGGCAGCCACGCCAATGGTGCCGGCCTTGTCGCCAAAGACGCCAATGTTGCGCGACTTTGAAAACTTGCCAGACTCGTACTGCAGGTAGTCGGTCGTGCTGATGTGGTGCAGCTTCGTCCACTTCTCCCGTGTGCCCAGCAGGCACGAGGGGAAGATGACGGTGTGGAATCGCACGTTGTCCTTGCCCATGAACTGGTACAGGCGGACGTTGTCTGGGTCCCGCCACCACTTCTCCCAAGAGTCGGTGTAGTTGGCCGTGATCGAAGGGTAGCCAATCGGTGCGTCGAACCAGACGTAGAGCACCTTGCCCTCCATGCCCTCGACGGGAACGGGCACGCCCCAGCGGAGGTCTCTTGTCAGACTGAAGGGCCTCAGTCCCTCCTTGAACCAGCTCTCGGTGATGTACCGCCCATTGGAAGACCATGCGCCCTTCTCTGCCGCCTGCCTCGCCCACGCCTCTGTCTCTGGCTGGAGTGCATCGATGCGCAGGAACATGTGTCGCGAGTCACGCTCCTCGGGCGGCGAACCACACAGCTTGCAGCGGGGCTTGATGAGGTCGACGGCGTCCAGCAGCTGGCCACACTTGTCGCACTGGTCGCCCCTCGCATCGTCGTAGCTGCACTTGGGGCAGATGCCCTCGACGTACCGGTCAGCAAGGAAACGCTCGTCCTTGGGACACCAGAGCTGCCGCATGCTCCTCTCCTCGAGGAACCCATTCTCGTGCAGCTTGACAAAGATGTGCTGCGCAATCGTCGTCTGTGCCGGCGTCGTCGTTCTCCCAAAGTGATCAAAGCCGATGTTGAACCACTTGTAGACCTGTGCATGCAGCGTGTGGTACTTGTCGCAGAGCTGCTGGGGCGAGACGCCCTCCTCGAGCGCCTTTGTCTCTGTCGCCGTCCCGTACTCGTCTGTGCCACAGATGTAGAGCGTGTTTCGCCCCCGCGAGCGAGAGTATCGTGCATAGACGTCAGCGCTGAGCGTGGAGCCAATGATGTTGCCGAGGTGGGGCACATTGTTGACGTAGGGAAGCGCCGACGTGATGAGGACGTTGTTGTGCCCTGGCTCGGGGAGCACCGTAGCTGCCTTTCCATCTTGCTTGGTGTGCCTAACGAGGATGTCAGAGGAAGACACCTTTCGGCTCGACGCCGTCTCGGACCCCAGCGAGACGGGAAACGGCGAGGCCATGGTTTGCTCTGTCTCGCCCTGACTAGTCGTTTACTTCTTCGAAGGAAAGGCGGCGAGACGATGTCGCGAGTCTTTTTTTTTTTTTCTTTTCTTATTTTTTGTGGTTGTTTTACAGGGCGCCCAGGATATTCCACAGCCAGGGAGGGACACGTGATCGTGACTCACGCTAAACTCTCTTCTGGCCTTTAGCTCGGCCATCTTCCGAAGAAAAGAAGAAGACCCACCTTTCAAATAAAACCCAAGAAGATAAGGCGACCCTTGTGTTCGTGGGTCCCCATCCGCTAACGTCGATGCAACTTCGACGACGCCTGCTGCAGCAAGTAGTCGTCCAACCACGCCTCCGAACGCTCGGCACACCCTTGGTTTTTGCATCGCAGAGCGCTGCTTCCCGTGCTCACCTTCCCCCGGCCACCCGCTTTACCTGCGCGCCCTTGCTAGCGACACAGAGTAAGACTCTGGCTACCATGGCCTCGCTTCCAGGACAGACGGCCGCTGGCGGCGCCAAGATCATCGATGGAACTGCACTGGCCAAGTGAGTCGCTAGCAGCAGCCCGCCCTAATTAGTGCTGCCCTCATTTGACTGACCGACTGGCCACAGATCCGTTCGTAAGAGCGTGGCCGATCGTGTGGCCGCCCTCAAGGCGCAGTCGGCCTCGTTCCAGCCCAACCTTGTCATCGTCCAGGTGGGCGAGGACAGTGCATCGTCGACCTACATTCGCATGAAGCGTCTGGCCGCCGAGGAGTGCGGCATGCGCTTCCAGCACATCCACCTGCCTGCCGGCTCCTCGGAGGCGGCCATAGTCAAGAAGGTCACTGAGCTCAACGAGGACCCTGCTGTCGATGGCGTCCTCGTCCAGCTCCCTCTTGGCGACCACATCAAGGCCGATGGAGAGCGGAGAGTGACCGAGGCCGTGAGCCCGGAAAAGGACGTTGACGGCTTCCACGCCCTCAACATCGGCCACCTGTCGTCCAAGGCATGCAACCCCCTCTTCCTGCCCTGCACCCCGGCCGGTGTCATCAAGCTCCTCGAAGAGGCCGGCATTCACGACATGTCGGGCCTGCGTGCCGTCGTCATTGGACGTAGTGACATTGTGGGCAACCCAGTCATGAGCCTGCTCCGGTCCCGCAACTGCACCGTGACCCAGGTCCACTCCAGGACTCGCGACCTCGCAGCGCACCTGGCCGAGGCCGACATTGTCGTCGCAGCCATGGGCAAGGCACAGTTTGTCAAGGGCGAGTGGCTCAAGAAGGGCGCAATCGTCATCGACGTCGGCACCAACTACATCCCCGACCCATCCAAGAAGAGCGGGCAGCGGCTCGTGGGCGACGTCGATTTTGACTCGGCCTCGAGCGTGGCCCAGGCCATCACGCCCGTTCCTGGCGGCGTCGGTCCCATGACTGTGGCCATGCTGATGGAAAACGTGCTGCAGTCGGCGCAGCGCAGGGCCAGCCAGGGTGCCGGTCGGGGCCGAGGCGTGACGACGCCGAACCCCATCCACATTCTCGAAAAGGTGCCCGCCGACATTGATGTGGCCAGGAGCCAGACGCCCAAGCCCATCACCCAGGTCGCGCGTGAGATTGGCCTGCTCAGCACCGAACTCGAGCCTTACGGCGATGTCAAGGCAAAGGTCGACCTGTCTGTGCTCCAGAGGCTCGCCCACCGCCGCAACGGAAAGTACATTGTCGTGGCCGGCATCACCCCGACTCCCCTGGGTGAGGGCAAGTCGACGACAACGATTGGCTTGGCGCAGGCCCTTGGCGCCCACCTGGGCAAGTCGTGCTTCGCCTGCGTGCGACAGCCTTCCCAAGGCCCCACCTTTGGCATCAAGGGCGGCGCCGCCGGAGGAGGATACTCGCAGGTCATCCCCATGGAGGAGTTCAACCTCCATCTCACTGGTGACATTCACGCCGTCCAGGCTGCCAACAACCTGCTGGCCGCCGCCATTGACACGCGCATGTTCCACGAGGCTACCCAAAAGGACGGTCCCCTCTTCGACCGTCTGACGCCCAAGAAAAAGGGCGTGCGGAGCTTTGCGCCCGTCATGCTCAAGCGTCTCAAGAAGCTGGGCATCGACAAGACCAACCCAGATGACCTGACGGAGGAGGAGCGCTCGCGGTGGGCTCGCCTTGACATTGACCCAGAGACAATCACCTGGCACCGTGTCACCGACACCAACGACCGCTTCCTCCGTGAGATCACCGTGGGCCAGGCAGCGACGGAAAAGGGCCAAGCGCGCAAGACTGGGTACGACATTGCCGTCGCCTCGGAGTGCATGGCCGTCCTGGCGCTGAGCAAGGACCTCAAGGACATGCGCGAGCGCCTCGGACGCATGGTCGTTGCCTCCAGCCGGCAGGGCGAGCCCGTCACGGCAGACGACCTCGGCATTGGCGGTGCGCTGACGGTGCTCATGAAGGACTCCATCAAGCCCAACCTCATGCAGACGATCGAGGGTACCCCGGTCTTTGTTCACGCCGGTCCCTTTGCCAACATTGCCCACGGTAACTCGTCGATTCTCGCTGATGCTGTCGCACTCAAGCTGGCCGGCCTCGAGGAGGGTGAGGCAGACGACAAGGCTGGCTACGTCATCACCGAAGCCGGCTTTGGTGCCGACATTGGCATGGAGAAGTTCTGCAACATCAAGTGTCGCGAGAGCGGCCTGACGCCCGACGCCGTGGTCCTCGTGGCCACTGTTCGCGCCCTCAAGACGCACGGCGGTGGACCAGAGGTCACGCCGGGCAAGCCCCTGTCGGAGGTGTACCTGGAGGAGAACCTCGAAATTCTCGAAAAGGGCTGCTCGAATCTCCGCAAGCACATTGAGAATGCCAAGAAGTTTGGCCTCAAGGTCATTGTCGCCGTCAACAAGTTTGCGACGGACACGCAGGCCGAGCTGGACCTCGTCGTCAAGGAGGCTCTCGCCGCAGGAGCCGACGCCGCCGTGCCCTCGAACCACTGGGCGCGCGGTGGCGAGGGCGCCGTGGACCTGGCCAAGAAGGTGATCGACACGCTCGAGGGCCAGACGCCAGACTTTAAGTTCCTCTACGACCTCAACCTGTCGATCGAGGACAAGATCAGGACGATTGCGCGAGAGATGTACGGTGCCGCAGACATCGATGTCTCTGACTTTGCAAAGGGCCAGATTGAGACGTACACACGGCAAGGATTTGGCCATTTGCCCATCTGCATGGCAAAGACACATGTGAGTGATCGTTTCCCCTTTTTCTCTTTCTTTGCTTGAAGTTCGACGACTGAGACTTGACTTGGCGCAATAGCTCTCGCTGAGCCACGAGCCGACGCTCAAGGGCGCGCCCACGGGCTTCACCGTCCCCATCCGATCAGTCAAGCTGTCTGCAGGAGCAGGCTTCCTCTACCCGCTCTGCGGCGCTATGCAGACGATGCCGGGACTGTCCACGAGACCAGGCTACTACGAGATCGATCTCGACGAAAACGGACAAGTGCAGGGTCTCTTCTAGACTAGAAAAAGTTCCATATCATACTAACAGGGCTCAACCCCTTACGACTCGTTCACTCTCATCCCCTCTCTCTCTCGTGCATATAGCGTGTATTATTGTTCACAGCCTAATGACAACTGTTCAACCATGAACAGACGAGCGACGAAGTTTTGGGGAAAAGGTGGTGGGGAATTCTAGCCGAGAGTGCGGAGAATCTCGTCGTACTCTGCCTTGGTGATGGGCTCGACACTTCCCTGCTTGAGGTCCTTGGGGAAGCCGCCATTGGAGGCGCTTGGTGAGTAGTGCGGGGTTCTGGACAAGGCGTCGGGACCAGTGTCGAAGGGCTTGTAGCCCGTGGCGAAGAGATCAACCCAGACGTGCCACAGATCCGGATCGCGGTTGTCCTTGAAGAAGAGAGGACCTCCGTTGGCGTCGCCCTGCTCCAGATACCACTCCGTCGGACCCTGGCCGATGTCCTTGAATTTACCTGGTGCAGCTCATAGTCATGTCAGTTCCCAGGAAACAACGAAATGAGAAGGTGAGGAGCCCGCCTCACCGAACAATCCATTGTCGCTGATCTGTCCTCGGACCTTGAGAGCGCCATCGGTGTCTTCTCTGAAGAAGCGCACGTAGCAGTCGCCCTGTCCGACGGGGCTCTTGCCGACGTAGCGCAGCGTCAGATCCCTCAAGCTTCCACCCGTCTGAGACGCGGACAGATCGAGATACACTTCGGGAAACCGAGGGTTTTCGCTATGGAGATCGACAAAATTGTCCGTGTAGGCGTAGAAGATCTTGGTCGGTGAGGCCTGGCCGCTGTGGTCCTTGGGATTGGCTGTACCGAAATAGGCCGAGGACCACGTCAAGAGGTATTTGCCCTTGGCCGGGTCCCAGATAGCCTCGGGCGCCGCAACGAAGCCAAAGTTGTCCGGCACGATATTGACGAGCTTCGGCGTGGGGTCCCAGCTCGTCAGGCTCCCCGGCGCAGAGGCCCAAACGAGAAAGCCGTGCGTGCCGTACCGGTTCACGAGATCGAAGTTGTAATTGATCAACTTGAGGCTGGCGTCGGTGGCCAGGATGTAGTTGGGTCCGCCCGGCCTAGCCGCACGCACAAGAAAAGGGTCGCGGACACCGCCAGTGCCAACGCGGCGTCGAGACGCAATGGGCACAGACTGGGCCGGTTCCGAGGTCAGAAGTGGTTGTGCTTTTGGGAGTGCTTGGTAATTGAGAGGGTCGTTGCCTCGAGAGAGCCAGAACGAGACGTTTTCGGACTTCTCTTGGAAGCCTACGAAAAGATAGGCTTCCTTTGCCTCTGTCTCCACTGCGAATGAGATTCAGCTTCAGCTAGGAGGTCAGAGCAGTAGACCTTGCATTACACACCAGCAATGGACTGAGGAGCAGCAACGGACTGGGGAGCAGCAACGGACTGGGGAGCGGCACAGACGAGAGTGGTCACACCCACGATGGCCGTAAGCGCAGCAGCGAAAAGCCTCATCGTTTGTGTTTTAGTCAACGACCGAAGAATTGGATGAAGAGAGAGGGGAGTGGACGGTCAAAGAATCGATGGCAAGACCGAGAAGGAATCGCCGCCTTTTATATCGTCTTGTTTCGCTTTTGGACCCGAAGGGCGGTGTTGCAAACACGGTCAACACCGCCGTTCTCTGATCTAAGAACGGCCTTGGATTTCCGACCAGCCATCGCAAAGTCCCTCCCTAATCATCTTTCTACAGAATTGGCGGACGCAGCCGTCTTGTTTGTCAGAGCGGCGGGCGAGCGGCGGGTCACTTTGCAACCTGACTCCGTCCACAGTACCGACGCTGGAAAATAGCAGCGCTTCGGAAAACAAAAGAGAGGGCACCTAATATCGCGTGCGCAGCCGCGGCGCCGCTGCTTGGCGCGATGTGAGAAAGTGCCAGTGGGCGAACGAGGCGGGGCAATCACGATCTCAGGGCGACAAACAGGTGAGCCCAAGGCGAGCAGCTGTGCAGGTGAAAGCGTTCCATTTGACAGATGTGGATCCAAAAGTGTGAATCATTGAATGAATGGAGCAAGTAAATGAATGGATGAAAGGGTACAGTACTTTTACACAGGGCAATGCAGCCCGTCCTCTATGGCAACGCCGCTGTCCTGCCCTTTGGCGTCCCTGGACCGGCCTGCGCATCTTCAACATCCTCCTCCTCTTCTTCCAAGAAGGCGCTCAAAGGCCTTGAGCCGCCTGCTGCGATGCGCGTCATGCTGCTCGGCTTGTACAGGTGATGGTTACCCATTCCTCCGATACGGTTCTTGTTTGTCCGGTTGTACCTCTGACTCGCTGCCGTCTTGGCGGAGGTCGCATTCGAAGAGGCCGGCGCAGTCGATGGCCTCTTCATCGAGGGAGACGGCGTCGACCGAGACGACGTCACGTCATCTTCGTCGGAATAGTAGTCTTGCGAGGCAGACCGTCCCTGCCGGCTCCTCGTGCGATACACTTCTTCGTCGTCTGAATAGGCCTCCTCTTCATCGTTGCTAGACAATCGAGATGAGTGACCGTTCGTCGAGGTTTGGCGGTTGCCGGAAGATGACTCAATCGGCGCAGAATTGGACGCTCTGATCGGGGCATAGTCGCCAGCATAGCCCTCCGCGTCCTCGTCCTCGTCGTCATCGTATTCAGGAGACGAGTCCGAGGAGGAAGACGTCATCGTCCGCGACCTCGCGTCGGACGAGTCTGTGCCTCCGCCTGCCCGACGCTGGAAACCATCAATGACCTCGAGGTCATCCAAGAAGGAACCGCCACCACCGGCGCTGCCTCCAAATCCAAGTGGCGGTAGCACAGGATCGGCAAGAGCGGAGGGAGTATGGTCATGCCTTGGAAGGCCCTTTTTGGCAACCGGAGACGCCGGGAGCGACTCGATTCGCCTCTCCATGACTTCTGCCGTCTGGAGCTCCTTCGCCAATTGACGTCCCTCTTCATCCGTCTCGTCTTCGTCATAGTCCTCGTCCTCCTCCATGCCGCTCAGTTCCTCTTTGGCTTCGTCCTCCCCTGGCGACTGTTGTCGAGGTGCATCGACATGTCCAGCGTCTCGAGACCCTGACTGCAATACAGCCGAGGGTCCAAGCTGCTGTACCTCGGACTCGACTCCGCGTTCTTTCTTTTCCTGGTGAGCCGGCCTTACGTCTTCGGCCCTGACGACATCGGCCAGCGGTGTTGCCCCATTGGGACCCGGCCCGTCTGTGGTCGTTGCTCGTGCTGGTGCCGGTGGCTCCTGTCTCGCTTGAGATACTGGCACCGGCTCGACCATGCGCAGCATTTGCATTGGTTCCGGGCTCGGTGTCATTCTTGGCGGGCTCACAGGCTCGAGCTGGCGCCGGTCAAGGCGCTTGTAGTCAGTGTCTTCGCCGAGGTCATCGAACATCCTGCCAGTCCTGATTTGCTGCGAGAGCGGAACCTTGGCAGCCGGTGCTTCCGAGGCGGCCGATCCATTTGCTGCTGTTGATGACGGAGACGAAGGAGCTGCGGCCGCTGGGCTCGATGTCGCCGTCGGAAACGAGGGCGACGAGTCCCTGGCTGCGCGCGGGCTGGTGTCTTCGAATCGATGACCCGACGTCAGAATGCGCTTCTCGAACAGAGAGAGGGGAACGCCTCCCATGGCACTGCTCTTCTTCGCTGCATTCAGGGCTGCCGACACGGCCGCTTGCACTTGCGGTGCCGGCGGCTGCGGCGGGGAAGGCACGACTGGAGATGTTGACGAGGATGCATCAGCAGCTTCGTGTCCTTCGGAAGCCGAGGCAGGCAACGAAGATGTCGAGGTCTGGCGCCGATGCGCATGCTGGCGAAAGGGCAGCGTCACAGCCACATCGTTGCTCGCCTTCTTCCTCGCCGGCGGATCGGCGGCATCGTCGAACGACGCACGGTCCCTCTCATCAAAGTCTGGAACATCGTCGATTCCAAGACCCTTGTTGTTGTCGCTCGTGGTGGTGCTTGTCGTCGTCGTCGCCGCCGTGGTAGTCGCCGGACGGGGGCGAATGTCTTCACGGCCGCTCGGTCCACCAACACGCGTCGTCTGAGACTTGGACCTCGACACGGGCACAGCGGAGGTGTGAAAGGGTCGCAATGACTGAACGTCCTTGAGCGACGACACAGACTTGGACGCCTTCTTGCTGAGCACGGAAAGGCTACTAATGCCGCCGGTCTTGGAGACGTTGAAGGTCTCATCATCGATGCGGGTAACGAAGCCCGTCGGCAGATCAGACAAGTTGGCCATGCTCTTTGAGCGGTCGTTGAGACCATTGCGACTGTTGCGATGCACGCCCGCCAAGGACGAAGAGTGGGAGTTCGCGTTTGTTGGGTTGCGCCTGGGCCGAGTTGGGGACAGGTGAAACCGTGCGGCGGCGGAAAGGTATGCCTGGCTCGAAGACGATGTGGGAAGAGGGGGCCGAACGGTGTCGCGCGCGGCTGTTGTTGAAGCAGACGATGTCGGCCTCGTCTGTGAGTCCACTGGAAAGCTTGGCTGCCCTGGCGCGTCGCCGAGATGGGCGTTGCCGCTGCTCACGGTCCTGCGGGACCTCAGGGTGACGTCGAGATCCCTTGGCGCCGCTCCCTTGGACCATGAGAAGGGCAGGGCTAGACGTGCCTTTGAAGCGAGCCTCTCCGTGGTGCCCATGGCCGCATTTGACGAGGCAGTGGGTCGGATCTCGACAATCTCCGTCCTTGGCGACGTCGTAGTCGCTGACTCGTCCACCATTTCAGCTCCGTTGCTGGCGCTCTTGGCGTGAGTGTCGCGCGACCGTGCAGCAGCAGCGATAGCGGCTGCCGACGAGGTGCTCTTTGTGCGGAAACGGCCGCCAGCCCCGCTCATTCTTGACGAAGAAGAGGCCGTCGTCCCTGCCGTCGGCGGCCTGGACCTGAATACGCTCTTGATCGGCAATGTCCTGGCGCCCCTGCTGAGCGAAAAGTTCCTTTCATGCCCACCATCTGCGGACGCATTGAAGTCTTGCACCGACTCGGAGCTCATCAACGCAGGCCGAGCCTCTCTCTGCCGCTCTTGTTGCAGCTGCTGCATCTTCTTTCGCGACGGGAACCTGAGACCAGCGCCCAACCTCCGAGCGTGCGTTCGATCGGCAGACCGCGTGCTCTGTGCAGCACCTCGACTGCTCTCGCCGTCCTCTTCGCCCACGGCCTTGGCCGACTTGAGACTGAGATCACATCCCGCTTGAACCAGGATCCGTGGAAGGTCGAGATGGCCCCTCGTTGTTACCATGCGGTGGGTGAAGGAGCACTGCAAGCCAGGGCCCAGAATAAATTCGCCACCGAGCAGCTTGAGATCGCCAGGCGGGCGCAGTGGCATATCGAAGACACCCTTCTGCAGAATGGGGAAAAAAGAGATGCTCAAGCGGTGTCAGCATAGCATATAGAGTCTTTCGTTTAGAAGAAGATGATCCTACCTTCATGGCAGACAAGGAGGCTTTGAGCATGCTCTTTGTCTGATAGTCTGGCCTGGTGCTCGCCGGGCCCATGTCGTTGGTCCTCAGCGTCATTCCCAGGGCCGTGTAGATGTTTCTGCTCGGGTCAGAGTACGCCTTGACCCACTTGGGCACATTCATGACGTCCATGTAGCTCTTTGTGACGTGCCAGTGGCCCTGTCCGACGACAACGAGACCCAAGTTGGCTCGTTGGAGTGGAAGGGGATCGATGTGCTGGATCGACTGGCTGAACATCTGGCAAAAGGGGCAGAACCAGTGGCGAAGGAAGACGACGAGGGTGCGCTGCCGGATGAAGATGTCGCCAAATTGGCACACGCGGCCCTCTGCATCGTACAGAGGCAGCTTGGCCGCTTCGGCCAGGCGCGCACGGGAAGGAGGATGGATCGCATAGGCGCCTGGTGGTGCATCGTCATCCTCGTCATCCTGCTGCACCTCATTTGCATCAAAGTAGTCGTCGTGCTCCTCGTTGTCAGTATCACCATGCTCTCCTGCTGCTTCCCTGGCCTGCGTCGCCTGCTTCTGGATCTGCGCCGGAGACTGGGGCTGAGCTTGAGCAAGCTTGGTCGAAGAAGAAGAGGCGATGAGCAAGGCATCCGAGCCCAGAGAGCTCGGCCCGGTCGAGTCGTGAGGATGGCCGCGCTTCCACTCGCTGAAACCTGCCGATGCGTTGCTGTCCTCTGACGAGTCCATCGTCCTTTCCCTCTGCCTCCCTGTCTCTGCCTCGTCTTGCTGTCCCCGGTCCCGAGAAGAAGCGATCACGCCTGCGGCCTGTTGGTTGTCGCCGTTGGCCTTCTGACTCGCACTTGGCTCCCGACTCTCCTCTTCGCCGTCCAAGAGGAACATCTGACCATCCACCATGAGTAGCGACTTGGCATGCGGCCGCGTCTTAACCAGCGGTCTGCGCTGGCTGGCCATGTCGGAATCCACCTCGAGGTTGCCCGTGCTCTTTGGCCTTGCCAGCTTCGGTCTCGGTAGCGAGTCGGCCGTCGCCTGCTCATCGAGTCGGTCAGTGGACGAGGGCGCGGTCAGAGCTTGGCCATCTGCGCGGAGATCGATCAGCTGCAGCGTCGATGAAGGAGCCTTGTCGGCTGTCGCAACGCCCTCGCCCGGTTCAGGCACAGCAGAGGGGGTGGCATCGCCGGGCCGAGCGGTCCGGTTGGAGCTGGCGCTGGGCGTGCGAGTGATGAGGGCTGCAGCAGCCGAAGTCTCGTCCACCTCGGCCACTTCGTCCGGCGCTGAAAGGGTGAGCGCGAGAGCGGGTGCCAGAGCAGGCGTAATCGACAGCAATGACGACGACGACGATACTGTGACTGGGGCTGGCCTGGAAGCAGACACCGACGGCAGCGAGACGGAGGAGAGCGAAGCCACACGAGCCTGTTTCGACGACGACGACGACGACGGACCAGCATGTTGGCTGTTGATGGCGACGCTGCTGTTGCTGCTCTTGATGCTTGTCGCTGTCGCTCTTGGGTGTACAGAGGAGCTGGACCGGTTCAGGAGCAGCGAGGGCCGCGAATAGCCGCCAATAGGGAGCGTATATCGAAGAGTCTCTTGGGGCAGGTGGCGTGGCGATTTGGGAGGGACCGGTGGTGGCGACGGGCTTCTGCTCCGGTTCGCTTCGGCCTGCTCCTCCTTTGCCTTCCCCTTCTCCTGCTGTGATGCCGCGGACAGAGGCGTTGCTTTCTCTGCCTCTGTTGTCGCAGCTGTCTCTGCCGCCATCGTCACCTTTGTAGCCTCCGCCGTCTCTGTTGGCTTGGTTTCCTGCGCTTCTGTCACTGCCTCGGTCATCCCTGGTGCCTCTGCATCCCTTACTGCGTCTGCTCCTTCTACTGCCTCGACCTCCTTTGGCACATCTGACGTCGCTGCAGTCTCTGGCGCCTCTGTAGCCTCGGCTGTTTTCGCGCCTTCTGGTTGCGCCGACTCGTTGATGCCCGCCTCTTCAGCTGCTTCTTTCTTGGCCAGTCCATCACCGCCCTCGTCTGCGTCTGTACTTCCCACCCTTCTGGATTCCTCCCCGCCCTTCTCCGCCAAAGCTTCGGCGTTTGGTCCCTTTTCCTCGTTCGATGGCGCAGCGACATCAGCATCCTGCCCTGCTGCTGCGTGTCCATTTCCAGCGGTGGCTCCTACTACATCCTCCTCCTTGTCGATGTGTTTCGACGAACCCGTCTGGTCCTCGGGAGGAGCAGGGGCCGTCTGCGCGTCCAAGACGGAGCCGGTGATTGAAGCGGACGAGATGCTCGCACTCCGCTGCCCAGTCCCGCCTCCCTTGCGGCTCCGCGGCCTGGGACCCAGCTGCGTGGGCAGGTACATTTCATCGTTGTGCCGCTGCTCGCCTCGATCGCCGTCGATCAACGTCGGCGCGCGACTGCTGCTGCCGCTGCTCTGCATCGACAACGACGACGCCGGCCGCTCCATCCTTGCAACGTTGCTTCTGCTTCCCACCCCCCGTCGATTTGGCTCTCTTCTTGGCGTGATGGGGGACTCTGCCTGTTCCTCTGGTCCCCCGCTCTTTACGACAGAGTGTGCGGTGCCTGGACAGACTCTCAAGAATTGAAGTAGAGTAAAAGACGGTGCAAGGGAGCGCAAGATATGGTGGGACGACGACGAGGGGAGGGAAAAATTAATACGATTTAGGAAGGAACCATATCCAACCTTGATTGGGCTAGGGCAAAGGAAGTCCAGGCAGGCAAGACATGGGCAAGACATTTTGGAAGGGCGAGATGCACTTGCACTATCGAAAAGTGCGGCACTGCACACTACTACTATATTTGCGGGTTTGGAACCGGCCGAATAATTAAACTGGACCGTTGTTAAAGAGCATGTGCCCTCGCAGATTTGCGCGGTGGGGGGCCTTCGAGCAGGACATGCGGCGCACCCAGAGCAGGTGGGGATTGGCATCATATTTGCGCATGCCTGCCATAAGTGGACGAAGCAGGACTTTCATCAGTTCATCTAAGCTCAAGCCGCTCTGGCCTCTCAGAAGCGCCGCTGATAGGGATGGAAAGCAAGCGCCTTCACGGAAAGAAGAGAGAGAGAGAGAAAAGGCAATAGCGGAATTCACGTGGCGTGAATCTACCATATGTCCGAGAAAGTGGAGATGGGCTTCCCGCTAGAGAAGAAGAGAGAGGGTCCTCAAGTCAGCAGTTCTTCTTCGCAGCTCATCACCACCCAGAGCAGAATCAAGGAGGGAAGCGGAGAAAGCGATGTCGTCCATCTTTGAGGCCAATGATTCCGCGGCGGAACGAGGCCGCAGCCCGGCCGTGCCTACCTCGAGCCTCTCCAACGAGACGCTGGCGACGATCGTCTTGCCCTGTCTCGTCTCGAAAAAGGACAAGAGAGAGCTAACCAACTGGGGCGGCTCGTTTGTCGCGAGACCGGCACGCATCTTTGCGCCAACCAATGTCGAGCAGGTGTGCGCCATCGTCGAGCTGGCCCGCAGACGGGGCGTCGAGTGCAGGGCCTACGGTCGGGGCCACAGTCCATCGGATCTCATGATGACAAAAGGCTGGACCATGCTCATGCAGGACTTGTCGGGCGTCATCAGTGTGAGTTGAGCTTCTTAATGTTGTTATCACGATATCAATTGATCAAAAGCTTCTGTCCAGATCGACACCCAAACGCCCCGAATTGCTGTATTGGGCGGCACGTACCTGTCGGACGTGCACGAGATGCTCGACCGCTCGACACCGGCCCTGAGCATGTCCAATGTCGGCTCCATCTCCGAGCAGACGGTAGCAGGGCTCATATCGACGGCATCGCATGGCACGGGCATTGAATTTCCCGTTCTTTCCACGGCTGTGCATTCCCTGCGCCTCGTTTGTCCCCTCTCGCTCGACGAGGGAGGCACCCAGGTCATCTCATGCAGTCGAACGGAGCGGGCAGACCTATTCAACGCAAGCCTGTGCGGCCTAGGTCTGACGGGCATCATCGTTGAGGTTTGCCTTAATGTCGAATATGCATTCCGGCTCCGGCAACTCGTCGAGGAGTGCCCCTTCGACGACATCTTCGGTCCGCAGACGGACCATCCCTCGGTGGACGCGTGGGTCCTGGATGGAGAGAGCGGGTCTGACTGTCTTCCGAGCAGCAAGAGCAAGCTTGCAGCGCATCCAAAGGCTGGCCTGGAGGAGTTCAACGTCGAGGAGCATGATTCGAAGACAGGTTCGGCGGGTCCGCCCCGCAAGGCTCGTCAGTCGGTCGGGAGACTAGTCGCGAGGGGCCACCAGCGCCTCTCGGCTACGCCCGAACGCCTTCTGCCAAAGATGCGTGTAGAGGATCCGTCAATCGTCTACCCATGTCCTTCGTCAGTGGAACAAAGCGAGGAAGCAGCTCTGGACGGCGACGACGAAGCGACACGCAGCGCACAGGTCCGGCTGGAGGAAATTGTGCGATCGTCGCAGCATGTCCGCTGCCTCTGGTTCCCACAGGCAAAGATGTGCACGATGATGCGTGCCGACCGGACGCTGGAACCCATCAGTCGACCGCTCGGTGTGTTTGGGCGCCTGTATTCAAGGCTCGTTGGCTATCATCTGAACCAGATGCTGCTGTATGCATCGCGTTTCCACCCTTCTTTGCCGCCCAGGACCGCACGGTTGATGCACCGCCTCACCCATCCCTCCTACCCTGCTCGGCCTGTGTCTGGCCCAGCAGAGGCTCCAAGATCGGCAGTGGGCGCCACGACGGAAGAGGAAGGCGCTCCAGCGCACCTCAGCTCGCTCGAAGCCTTTTCCAAGGGCTCGCCCTCGTCGTCCTTTTCCTCTCCAACGACAAAGCGCCTTGAACCTCTCTCGCCCCTGAACCCCCATTCAATTCTCATCGACACCTCTCACCGCGTGTTCAATATCGACTGCCTCTACCCGCAGTACACCAACGAGTGGGCCATCCCTTTTTGCCATGCCGCTTCGGCCATCCGCACGCTGCGCGACTGGCTCGCCGAGGAGGAGTCCCTCCCCACGGGCGATCGCATCCACTTTCCCATCGAGATCCGCTTCACAGACGCAGACGACATCTACCTCTCCCACGCCCAGGGCCGGGCGACATGCTACATTGGCCTGATCCAATTCCGGCCCTTTTCGAGCAACACGGCCTACCGCTCCCTCTTTCGCAAGTTTGAGATCATCATGCGCCGCTATGCGGGCAGGCCGCACTGGGCAAAGGCCCACACCTGCGGCCTGGACGAACTCAGGCGGCTATACCCTAGCATGGACGACTTTTTGCGCGTGAGAAAGTCCGTCGACCCAGAGGGTGTGCTCCTCAATCCGTATACCCGCCGCCATCTCCTGGGCGAGATTGGCGATGATGTGGGAGGGAGAGTGTTCAAGGCCAGAATGTAAAAAAAAAGAAAATGTTGGACAATAGTGTGCATCAGACAGACAATGATATTTCTGTGCAGCGTGCTTCATCAAGAAGACGTCGACGCAGCCTCCTCCCGCTCCTTTTTGAACTGCTCGATCCACCGACGTTCTGCCTCGCTCTTGCTGGGCAGGACGATGATGGAAAGCAGACCGTCGCGCAGCACGACGCCGTCCCTCTGCTCGCCTTTCTTTGGATCAGCGTCCTTGGCGCCTTGATCCAGGACCTCGCGCAGGGTGAGCTTGCGCCCGAGTTTGAGCAGACGGCGCCGCTTTGTCGATGTGTACGCAGACAGCTTCGGCCCCACGTACTCGCCGCGCTCATCCCAACCCACGGCGCCGGCCTGGGGAAACATGGCGTCGAGGTGGTCGCCAATCGTCGTGTCCTCGTGGAACTTTTCGATGAGGTCCGACTGGGCGTATTGCGGGTAGATGAAAAAGACGGGAAAGACGACGGGCGTGCGGATCGGGTCGGGCGCTACCCACTTGCGCGTGTCGCCCTCGGGCAGCACCAGGGGGAGCGACGAAGAGGACGAGCCGGCTTCGGGGTCAAAGTGCGCTTCCGACGGATTGTCCGGCGGTCTTGACGACGTCTCGACCCAGATACCCCTAGCCTACAACACATGCAGCAAATCATCAGCCGACGAAGCCTCAGCGTGGGTATAGCAAGCAGCCAGAGAAAGGAAACTCACCAAGAAGGCGCGCCCAAGCGCGACCTTTGTCGCCTCCTTTCTCCTCTGCCACTCTTCCTGCTCTTTTTTCCTCCGCTCGACCTGCAACCCCTTCTCGACAATTTGCGCCTTGAGCTTCTTCACGGCCGTATTCGCCTCGTCGATGGCCAGTGCATGGTCGCAGCAGTCGATGGCCTCGACATTGCGATCCAGGCCATGCAGCGCCCTAGCCGCGCGGTAGAAAGCCTTTGTCGATTTTGGGTTGATCTCGAGAGCTGCGCTGCAGTCCCGCGCGGCTTGCCTCAGGTTGCCCAGTTCCAGCTCGCATGCGGCCCGATTCAGGTGCAGCGTCTCCCGCAGGGTGGCATCGCGCGGGTAGGCGTCCAGACCCTGCCTGTAAAAGTCACGCGCTTCCTTGTACCGCTTGCCGAGAAAGTAATCGTTTCCCTGCTTCTTGAAGTTGGTCGCCACCTCTGCATGCAAGAGTCATTCAGTATGCCAGCCCAGGGTACTTATATTGAAAGAACCAGAGAGGCCGACACTCACCATCGGGCGTGCCGTCAAAAGTCAAGCTCTGGAGCGCCTCGAGCGCCGTACGATCACCTTCGTCACCATCCTCAGGGAGCGATGTCATAAATAGCGGGACTGAATCGAAGGTCCTCATTAGGTGTTCCACATCCTTTGCCGGCTTGGCAGCCCTGTCGACAAGGAACTTAGCACCCGCGTCCAATCCCAGCTCCGATGCCCGAAACAGAAGGTACTCACGTCGCCTGTTTCGAGGAAGAGGCCTCTGCAGGAAGCTCTTCTAGCACCGCCTGCAACGTTGAATTGTTTCAGCCATGCACATCAATTTGATCATCGTCCCCATCAACCTCACCATCTTCTCAGTGTTTGTCTAGAAGAAGGCAGCGAGCAGGAGAAAAAATATTCGAAGTGGAGCGAGCCAAAATTTCCCACGTGTTGCTCTCTCGCTATTTGAAGACACCCATCCTCGAGCAAAGGCGTGGGCATTGCAGGCTTCCGTTCCCGAGGCAGCTCAGCGCCAAGCTTTCTTGACCTCAGCACCACTAGACAAGGCAGAAATGCAGCTTGATGCCGAAAGAAGACTCAGTTCCGAGGTGGAAATCGTACTAGTACATGGGCCAGAGCAAAAGGATGGGCACGGCTACTTTTTCTTGGACGCCGTTGCCTTCTTCTTGTTTGATCCTTTCTTCTTGTCTTCTTCTGGCTCTGCCTTGCGTTTAGTTGAGGCAACGCTGAGTTGATCGCAAAGTAGTCTTAGTCTTGAGTTTCGCGCAGGGTATATCAAGATGAGCGATTACTTACGTGAAGAAGTTGTCGAGCCTGCCTTGCTGCTTCTGGCCAATCGCCTTTTGAAGCTTTTCGGCACCCTTTCGAATCCGGTCTTCACTGTGGAAAGAAAGAGTCAGAGGCTGCTTGGCCTGGACGAAGCAATGAGAAAACCCACTTGAATCCTTTGTCTCCGCACAGGAAATTGACAAGGCCTTCAATGTCCGGTGCCTCCCACTTGAGCTGTGAGGAACAGTCTGGATCAGTCTTTCGTCCGGTTGCATGGAAGGTGAGAGGAAACTTACCTCCAGATCATCGCCCTTCTGCACGTCGGGGCCCTTGAAGATGGCCCTCGCCTCCTCAAAGGGCCAGACTTCAGGCACGGTGATCTTTTTGCCGCTGTCCTTGATGTGCTTGAGGACGCCCTCGATGTTGTCGTGCTCGCGCAGCAGCTTCAGTGCCGTCTTGGGACCGATTCCCTTGATCTGCTCCATGTAGTCACACCCCAGGAGGATGCACAGGTCGGTGAACTGATGCATCGAGTAGTTGCATCGAGTAGTTGTTAGTCAGCTGTCCTCCAGTCAGCGCGCCTGGACGATTTATTCACCTGGTCGACGTCCATCTTGAGCCCCTCGAGGGCCTTTGCGAGGTTCACCTCATGCACAGGCATCTTCTTTGCCTCGGAAAATGTCAGATGTTTGAGCAAGATGGGCGTGCCAAAAGTCAGGGTGTCCATGTCCTCTGAGCCGGCTGCAAAGACTTTGCCAGCCTTGACCAGCTCGGCACACTGCGCCTCGGCCTCGGAGGGTGCCTGGCCACGACAGAAGCCAAGTCAGCAGGACAAGTGCAAACATATGAAACAGAGAGCAGCTCACAGTGATGCATGGGATGCCCATGAGCTTTAGCAGCTCCCTCACTTCCTGGTTGTGCTGCTTCGTCACCTTGACCTGCCTTCGCGCCAACTGGTCGGCCCTCTCCTCGGTCGCTACAGCCCCTCTAGTCAGCTTTAAAGAGCATGTCACGAGGTGGCAAAAGTTGCGAGAAACGTACCAACATCCTTCTCCTCTTCCTCCTCTTCACGCGCCTCTTCCCTTCTCCCATAGCGTCCCTGGAGCACCTTTGCCTTGAGGTCCGGCGGCTTGCCATCAAAGACGTACATGGGCTTGATGCCGACGTCGATCATGCGCAAGGTGCGGTAGAAGAAGCCCATGAGATGGCTCGTTGTCTCGCCGTTTTCGCTCATGAGCTGCTGCCCATCGCTCTGACGCACGGCAATGAGGAACTGGTATAGACTCATGCTGGCGTCGATGGCCACCTTGCGGCCAAAGTACGTCTTGATGTCGTGCTCCTTGATCGCGTCGGGCGCCTCATCGCTGATCAGTCCCGTCAGACCTGGGCAGTCAGGAATCAATGTTAGCTTCCAAATCCGATCGCTACCGCTCAGTACCAGCTTCTACTCAGCTCACGCACCCTTGATACCCATCTTGGCTAGTGACAGTCGTCCTGGAGCAACGCAATCAATCCTGTTGGTCTGGGAAAGAAGCGCGACGCGGCGCACGCGCTTGGCTTTTTGCCCCCCCCTTCTCCACTTTCGGACTTTTTCCCGACGACAAAAAAGGCAAGAGACGACGGCACGGACGACGACGAAGTGGGCGATCCGATAGATGGCATCACGTCTTCAAAGCGCCGTCCTGGGCAGGGGCAGGCCCTTGCCGCTTCTGAGGTTTTCCAGAAGTGCGTTCTCTACGCCTCTCTGCCCCTCGTCTGTGCGGTCGTCGGCTCTGCTGGCTCGGCCCTCGCTCGTCCAACGACCGCGGCAGGGGTCATCGAGCATCGGAGCATGCTTCATTCATACCTCGTTTTCCGTGAGACAACAACAGCAGCAGCAACGGCAGGAAGACGATAAGGAGAAGCAACAGCAGCCAACAACGCCGCCGAATAGCAAACCTGCACTCAGAGAAAGAGCAAAGGCCGTGTCGGAGGACATTCTCACGATCCCCAATGTGCTCACGACCATGCGGCTGCTGAGCACGCCTCTGCTGGGCTACCTCATCGTCGTTGATGAGATGCGCTACGCACTGATGCTCCTGGCCGCCTCGGGCTTCACCGATGTCCTGGACGGCTGGCTCGCCAGGCGCTACAACTCCTCTACGGTCTTTGGCAGCATCGCCGATCCCGCGGCCGACAAGGCGCTCATGACCGTCATGGTGGGCGCCTTGGCCTGGCGCGGCCTCATCCCTGGTGAGTACTTCCTTCTTGCTTCACCAACCATCGTCGCGGCACATTGAGCTCATCTCAACCGTCGTGTCGTGAAGTCCCCCTTGTCGTCCTCATCGTCGGCCGAGACCTGGCCCTGGTCGCCTCGGCCTTTGTGATCCGCTACCGCACGCTGGAGCCGCCCAAGACGATGGAGCGGTACTGGGACCCGCGCCTGCCCTCGGCGCAGGTGCAGCCAACGCAGGTCTCAAAGTACAACACTTTTCTCCAGCTCGTCCTCGTCGCCGGATGCACAGTCATTGCCGCCCTCGACCACGAGTGGAGCGCCTGGTGGGACGACGCAGAGGGGCTTTGGGGCCAGGGCCAGGGCCGGATCGAGGGCGATGAGGGGAGCGAGGGCGTGGAGCAAAGGGGCGAGCTGAGGGCAAAGGACGTGGCAAAGAAGGCATGGCACGCATTCATGGGCGTCGTGGCAGCCACGACTTTGTGGAGTGGTGCCAGCTACTTGAGCGGCTCGGGCGCCGTCAAGCTGTCCAAGCTGGTCAAGAACAAGAGCACTTCGTCGCCATAGTCTCTGTTGTGACAAATAAAATGCTCCGACCTATGTCTTTTGTCTGATCATGGCATAAGGCATCTCGGGATGACAGAGGCGGGCGGCTGCGAGACAGCAGACGGCCAAGAAGAGCTGCGATGCACGGCACAGTATCAGACTTTGGACACAGTAAGGAGGATTGGAAGACTGGAAGATTTGTTTACGGGGTACGACGGTCAAAGTGAAAGAGAGACAGAGACAAAAAGAAGAAAAAGGACTCTTTTTTCCGATCTGCGGCCTTCCTTCACTAAGCCGTCTGGGCCTGAGCGCTCGCTCCCAATGGTGTCGACGAAGGGTTGTTGTTATTGTTGCTGCTGCTGCTCCCGCCTGGCGTCGTTGCATTTCCGCTTCCATTGGCCGCTCCGATCCCAGACGCTTGCTGCGCGCTGCTGCCGCCATTGTCGCCGCTGACATCCCCATTGTTCGTCGCCGCGGCTGCTGCTGCCGCTGCTTCGGCAGCCGAGTTCGGGCCCCTCTCCTCAAGGGCCTCGTATGCCAGGACAAACTCGCGGTGCACCTTGGCCCAGCTGGCCGGATCCCAGAACACGTAGACGCCCTTTTCCGCCCGGCTGTCCTTGTGCACGGGTTGCACATTGGGTTCCTTTGTCAGCCAGAGGTTGAGACCTCCCCGATAGAATCGCCAGTTTCGGTTGTACCTGATTTGAGGAACGTTGTCAATGTCTCTTGTTCTCCCTCGAGTCACAGACGGCATCCATACTCACAGCGTTTGCGCGGCGTATTGCTGCAAAATGTCTCTCGGCGTGCTGTAGAAGATGAAAAACAGCGTCTCGTCGCTAAACTCCGACATCTTCGTCTGCGCCGGTGGCGGCGCCTGGACATTATAGCACGCTGGCAGGTGAAATTCGGGCTCCGTCGTGTTGGAGCTGAATGCCCATGGTGTGACAAAGTTGCCAGACCGATCCCTGAATGGTGGAATGAGCCCCACATCTGACACGGCGAGGAGAAAGAGAGAGAGAGACTCACCCAGAGGCAGTCATGTCGACGCCTAATGTTTGCAGATCGCTCCCCATCGCCAGCATACTCAAGTCGGGATCCCGCATTTTGATGAGGCTCACCAAGCCCAACAGCCCGAAGCGATCAGCTGGACTAGAGAGGACCTGGTGCGCAGGCGTCTTCGGGCCCGTCCTTGTTGCTTCTGAAGCACCGCTGTTTTCTTCGCTACTGCCACCTCCGCCGCCGTTCCCTAGCCCAGAAGTCGCCAAGGAGCCAAAAGCTAGCGCGCCTGTCCCTTCGCCAGCACCCAGGCTCCCATTGACATTCGGCCCTCCAAACGACCATGTTTGGCTGTTCATGCTTGGTGGTTGTTGAGTGACCATCCCTGGTTTCGCAGCGTAGTCCTTTGATCGCTCTTCAAGTCAGCGATCGTGGATTCAAGAAGAATGGATTTCACTCACCCGGTCTCTTTCTCCAAAACCCCCACGAGCAGCACTTAGGGCCTGGGTTCCATTTGACCGCCCACTCATGGCTCCCAGCAATTCCCTTCGATGTTGTTCTCTCGCCAAATGCTGATGTTGGAGAGCGGCGGCCGCGCTGACCTGTTCTTGGTTGGCGCTTCCCAACTCCCCGCTCAGGGCCGGAAAGTCGTCGTTGGAGAAGGTGCGGTTGCCCAAGGTGCCTTCAACACCACTAAGACCCAGTGTCCCTGCTTGGCTGGCGTAGCTGAGCGGATTGTTGGCGGTCTGCTGCTGGCCTTGACCCTGTTGCCCATTGGCACCACCAGTGCTACTGTTGCCCAATGCAGGAAAGTCATTGATATCCAGGTTGGCGTTGGCGTTCGAGTTTGGCGCATTCGAATAGCTCGCCTGGGTACTCGGCCCTCCAAAGGGGAAATTTCTCCCAAACGCATTGGAGCCTGCGCCTGCCATCCCTGAAGGTGCTTGGCCACCGCCTGGCCCTCCTGTTGCTCCCTCTCCAGCCGCTTGAGCTTGCGCCTGTGCCTGTGCTGCCGCTGCCGCTGCTGCCGCCGCCGCTGCCGCTGAGCCAGTATACGCAAAGGGGCTGGATAGACTTTGCCCTGAAGACGGCGCTGGGCCTTGCCCTGACGCTGAGCCTGCTCCTCCTGACCCGGCCCCTGCAGACCCAGACATGGCTCGCGGCATGTACGGAGACGCTGTGCTGCCGCCGCTGCCCCCATTGCCCGGTGTCGTTGCGGAAGGCATGGACCCAAGCCTGTTGAACGGCCCCAGCGGGTTCATCGACGAGGGCCTTTGTGGTGGTGGACCTACACTCGCCGCCATCATCAGCTTCCTTGCTAAACTATTTTTCCAGTCCAATCGTTGGAAACGCACCAGGTCTCTGCATGCTTGCTTTTCGGCCTTGAATCTTTCGAGCCACGAAGGTCATCAGCATCAGGTCCCGCCTCTGGCCATTGCATCCCCCTTTTCAGCCATGGCTCACCTCTCTATTCCAGCTGCCAGTCAGTGAGTTGATCAGTGATCGGTGGATGCGATGGTTCCTCCGCCAATGCTAAAGACGGAATTCACGTGAGGCGCGGCGCAACGTGACTGGCTGGCTCAAATTGCAACTCGGCGTGCGTGCAGTCCACATGAAAGCAGCTCCTTCTTTTGAGATCATCAGCGTCACCGACGTAGGCACAGCCAGCAAACGACCGCCATGAGCAGCGATTCCGGCCCTCCCAAGGAGGTGAGCTCTGTCGATGGCATCGATTTGAAGAGTCTCTGACTGACTCGCAATCTCAGGAGCTTGCTCAGATCTTCAAACACCTCAAATCGCTCAGAAAGGAGAACAAGGTGAGACCTGAACTGGTGATGCCATCTTCGAAGCACAGTCCTCACTCACTTTCTTCACCAGCAATGCTTCGACTGTGGCGCCAAGAACCCTTCTTGGGCATCTGCGACGTTTGGAATCTACATCTGCCTCGACTGCTCCTCAGTGCACCGGAATATGGGTGTCCACATTTCGTTCGTCAGGTGAGTCTGGTCTTTTCTCTCCCTCTCTCACACGACATGAGACTGATCTCAATGGGGCTTGTAAAGATCGACCAATCTCGATTCGTGGACGTGGTCCCAGCTTCGGCTCATGAAAGTGGGCGGTAATGGACCTGCGTTCGACTACTTTTCGCGCCACGGCGGCAGCTCCCTCCTCACCCCAGGGACGGAGGGCAAGGTCAAATTCACTTCGGCCACCGCGCGCGGTTACAAGGAAGAGCTCACCAAGCGTGTGCAGGAGGACGCAAAGGGTGGTCCCATTGGCGCGCGTGTGGCCTTCCCTGGCCTAAACTTCGGCGGTGGCAGCATCGAGGGCAACGGCAGCTCGGACGCGTCCATCTCCAACTCAGCCGGTCCCAATGCAAATGCAGATGACTTCTTCGACGACTGGGACAAGCCAGCGGGCAACTCTGCGTCGGCCAACCTCGCCGCTGCCTCTGTCAAAAAGCAGGCTACTGCTGCCGCGTCAGCCCCACCCGGCATCGGCAGGAGAGCCATCGTAGCTAACAACAGTAGCAGCACTGCGCCCTCCTCGGGCATTTCGACACCTGACCGTGGCTCGTCTCCATCCATTACCTCGTCATCCACGATCAAGTCTTCCTCGCTGGGTGGCGGTTCTCGCGGCCCGTCGGGTGCGCGCAAGGGAGCCCTGGGCGCCACAAAGGTGGGAGCTGGGACAGGCGCTGTGAAGAAGGGCCTGGGTGGTGTGCGCAAGGGAGGCGCACCCATCAACTTCGAAGAGGCCGAGGCACGCGCAAAGGCCGAGGAAGCAGAGGCTAAACGGTTAGAGGACGAGGCCCTCAAGCATAAGGAGAGCATCGAGCAGGCCGAGACGTTTGCAAAGGCTGCGATTCAGAAAGCTCAGGCAGACCAGGCAGCGGCCAGAGCGGCAGAGAGCAGCAGCAGCAGCGGTGGTGTTGGCGGTGGCAAGGCGGGCGCGCCGACATCGCCGACAAGCCCCAGGAGCCCGACGGGTCCCAAGGGCAGAGGCAGCATCGAGACGGAGCGCCTCGGAATGGGCTTTGGCAAGCTCAACATCGCCCAGCAGCGCATCCAGGCTCAGCAGGCTTCCTCAAAATCAAACGGCGGAGCGTCGGGCAGCACAGACAGCTTGAATGGATCGGGCGAGGAGCCCAGCTATGCGCGATCCAAGTTTGCCGGCCAAAAGTCCATCAGCTCGGACCAGTACTTTGAGCGGGGAGGCTACGACCCCAATGTGTCATCCGAGGCAAAGGAGAGGCTCCAAGGGTTCAGTGGGCAGACGTCCATCTCGTCGAACCAGTACTTTGGCCGAGAGGAAGACGAAGACGCAGAGGGCGGCGGCTACTCTGCCGCTGCTGGAGGACCCGGGGGCGAGGACTGGACCGGTGACCTGGAGTCGGCGGCGAGGGACTACTACCAGCGCCTGATGGCGAACCCAGACGTGCAGAGCGGCATCGAGAGCTTCCGCGCAGGTGCTCTCAAGCTCTCGCAGTACCTCGAAGACATGTCGAGGAACGGCGCTTGATCTGCGCTGCCTGCGCGCAGCTTTCCTTCTTTCACTTCTTAATCCTTCCTTACATGATGTCACTCTGTGCTTGTCCGTGTGTGTCTCATGGCTATTACAATAGTTTATCTTCTTTCTTTGCTCAACCGCCAATGGCCCCCTCTGCCCGGAGCTTGTCAATGTCGTCTGACCCGAAGCCCATCTCCTGGAGCACCTCGTCGGTGTGCTGGCCCAGGACGGGCGGGGGTCGGTTGACGGCCATCTTTGCTGGCCCGTACCGGACGGCGGGGGCCGAGATCTTGATCTTGCCCGCTCTGGGGTGGACGACATCGACGGTGACGCCGCGGTCCTGGCTCTGCGGGTGCTCAAACGTCTCGCGGATGTTGCGGATGGGCGCCACGGGGATGCCGAGCTTCTGGATCGTGGGCAGCCACGCGTCGTTGGACTTTGCTGCGAGCAGCTCCTCGAGGAGCGGGATGAGGACGTCGCGGTTGGCGACGCGCGACTTGTTGTCGACGAAGCGCGGCTCGGTCGCCAGCTGGGGCCTACCGAGTGCGCCACAGAGCTTCTTGAACTGCGAGTCGTTGCCGGCGCCGACCATGAGCATGCCGTCGGCCGTGCGCAGGACCTGGTAGGGCACAATGGACGGGTGCGCCGTGCCCCAACGCGTAGCTTCTTGGCCACTGACGAGGTAGGACGAAGCAACGTTGGCCAGTGACGCAATCTGTGACTCGAACAGCGAGGCGTCGATGTGCACCCCCACATTCGTCCGCTGCCGGCCCAGAAGCGCGGCCATGATGGCGCCGTGCACGTAGAGGCCCGTCGTCAGGTCCGTCATGGCCACGCCGATCTTGACGGGCGGCCGCTCCTTTTCGCCGGTGCTATTCCGTCGAGTAGTTGTAGCAACACAGTCAGCCATCGATGCAGCAAAAGAGAGAGTAGGAAGATGAGGAGAGGAGGGACTAACATGTGGAAGAGACCAGCGTCGGCGGCAATGATGACGTCGTAGCCAGCCATGGAGGCGTATGGCCCCGTCTGGCCGTAGCCCGTGATGCTCGCATAGACGATCCGCGGGTTGAGTGCCTTGGCGTCCTCATAGCCGAGCTGCATCGTGGACAGCTTGCTGCGAGACCGCACATCTCTCCATTTGTCAGCATACAGGGCACTGTTCCGATCTAGATGAGCTAGACTAACCCAGGCAGGTAGTTTTCCACGACGACGTCGGCTTCCTTAATGAGCTGCCGCACAATGTCGCGGCCTGTCTGCTTCTTGAGGTCGACGGCGATACTCCTCTTGTTGCGATTCACGCTCAGGAAGTAGGCGCTTTCGGGCGGGAGCGTGTCCCAGTAGGCCCTTTGCCGCGCAGAGAGCTTCGGCAGGCCAAGCGATGCCATCTCGGCGTCGGTCAGCGTCTTGAGCGGCGCCGACGGGGGTGACCAGCTTCGTGTGTCGTCGCCTGCAGCCGGGTGCTCCACCTGGAAACAAGAAGGAGAGAAGAAGAATTTAAAGTCTCAGCTAGGACCTCACTCCTCTTCATTCTCTTCGTCTCTCCCCCCTGCCTCTCCACACTCACCTTGATGACGTCGGCGCCGAGATCTGCCAGCAGCATCGACGCATACGGACCGGCCAGAACCCTGGTGAGGTCGACGACCTTGATTCCAGCGAGGGGAGGTACGAAGCCGCCGTCGGTGCTGGCAAGGGGAGCAGATCGGACGATGGTCGATGTATGCAGCGTTCGCTGTCCTCTTCGCAGCGCTCCTGTGGCCATCGCATGCCTCGCCCCCAGCCCAGTCCTGAGCAGCATAGCAGGCATCGTGGTCGTCGTCAACATCGTCGTCGCGCCTTTCTCGTCGTCCCTTCGGCCCCAAGTGTCTCGTCGCGCGGGGTCGAGCAACTTACGTTGGAAGAATACTTAGACTAAGACGCACGGACAACCACGGCATCCGGCAAAAGCTGCAAGACCGAGGCCCGAGCGAGAGATTTCGCGTTTCGAAAGTTTTGTGCCAGGTTTGCCTCCATTTGGCTGCATGCGCCTTGTGCTCAAGGGCTTGGTTCGCTACCACCGGCCCGACCGATAGATAGATAGATACCCTCCGTCCTTCATAGAACATAGAGGGGCTAGCAGACAGCCTTCAGGAACATAGAGGGGCTAGCAGACAGCCTTCAGGAGGAGGAGGAGGAGGAGAAAAGATGTCGTCGTTTGTCTCGAGAACGCTGCTCGGTCCGCTCGGTCTCGCACCGGCCCGCTTCACCAACATCGAGGTCGTCTATTCGCCCACAGTGCGTGATGGCACAGCCCAGGCTACAGGCGCACAAGCGCCACCATTTCTGCCCGCCCATGTGCTTCCCGCGCTCGTCGAGGCATGTCCCTCGCTCCATGGGCCCAATGCACACTTTTCGCCCTCGCCCCAGCTCGCGACGGGCCACTTGCAGACCATCTACAGCGCATTTGCAGACACGTCGGCCGTCGACGAGGTCTACTACACCAGGCACCTTTTGCTGCTACCCGATGGCGGCATCATGTCTGTCGACATTGCCGAAGAGGACGAAGACGTAAAGGAGACGGTCGTCATCTCGCACGGCCTTACGGGCGGCAGCCAAGACACCTAGTGGGTATCTCTTTCTTATCTTCTACCAAGATCCAAGTTGACACGAGCCTGAATGCTACCATAGTGTCCGGCACTGTGTCAATGCCCTCATCAAGAGCAAATCGCAAGGAGGGCCGGGACTGCGCTGCGCCGTCTGCAACTTCCGAGGGTGCGCCAACACGCCCGCAACGTCCTCGCAGCTCTACAGCGCCGCAAAGACATCGGACCTGCGTGCTGCCCTCCTCTTTCTCGCCCGGCTGTTGCCAGACTCTGGCTTTGTCGGCCTCTCGTTTTCGCTCGGCGCCAACATCATGTCCAAGTACCTTGGCGAGGAAGGAGACGAGTCCGTACTGCTCGCAGCCATTGCCTGCGCAGCACCATTCGACCTCCAGGCTGGCTCCCACGTGCTCGAGAACAGCACGACCAGGAGGGCCGTCTATAGCCGGGCCATGGCTTCGAACCTATCCCGGCTCGTCTCGAGGCACGCCGCCACGCTGCAGCTTGACGAAGCGCTGCGCGAGCCATTGAGGAGGCTCTTTGATGGGCCCACTGCGCAGGCCTATGCGCGTCAGACGGGCTCCAGGCTCAACACGCTACGCTACGCCGACGAGGCCGTGACGAGGCACGTTGGTGGCTACCGCAAGCCGTACGATGGATTTCCCTACGCTTCTGCGCACGACTACTACCGCAACGGTGGTGCGCTCAATGTCCTGGCTGGGCTCAGACGACCGTTGCTGGCCCTCAACGCCGACGACGACCCGATCGTGGCCAAGGAGAGCATCAAGGAGATCATGACGATCATGGGCCTCGTCGAGAAGGCCAAGGAGCTGCAAACTGACGACGAGACAGAGACGGGCGAGCAAGCTAAGGACGCGGCCGTGAATGCCAACAAGACGACAGACTTCATCGCGCTGGCCACCACTCAGGGAGGAGGGCACATTGGCTGGTGGGAGGGCGTCCGCAACCCAACGAGATGGATCAGGACGCCCGTGGTCGAATTTTGCAACGCTGTCTTTGCAGAGGCGGCCAAGCAGAAGTCTAGCGAGGCCACAGGAAAGAACCAATATGATCAAAGAGAGACAAGAGAGGACGACGTCGTGGTTGAGCTCATCCCCGTAAGCGAGCTTCCTCCTTACGAGGGGCTTCCCCCTGCTTTAAGCAATGGGCAACAGGACAAGAAGAAGAAGGCGCACGAAAAGGGAGAAGAGACAGCTCCTTCCTCGGCTAGACTTCCCTGGTTGAGGACGCATCTTTTGAAAGAGCTTCCTCTGCTCCATCCCAGCATGGCACCAAAGGGATGGTGTGGCCGAAAACTTGCTGCAGAGGGCGACGCCACCGTCAAGATCGACGGTCGGGGTGACATTGTCGAAGGAAAGGACGAGGGCTGGCCCGTCCTGAGTGGAAAGATGATCAGGGACGTCAAGAGGCCTGAAGTGGGCTACATGCGGCTGGGCGAGTGGACCCGTGTTGGTGGGTAGGCTCCTGTCTCAAAGTCATCAGAGGTGCAACACTGACTTGAGAAATATTCAATAGCTGGCGCAGGAAAGCGCTTTAACTCGAACAAAGATGTTCCTGGATCCTATGATGGAGTGGATAAAGATGCAAACGACGGCATGATTAAAGGACTCTGATTGCCCTCCCTCCCACCATCTAGATCAGGGACAAGTGGGGTAAGGATAGATGTTTGACGGTGAACCGGTGCACGTGCAGCGATGCCTTCCCGGTCGCCGGCAACCACTTTTGTAATTGTAGCAATTCAATAATAGAGCCGGGTGCGAGAATAGAGGAATGCGAATTTGCTAATCGATTAAATCACTATTACAAAACATTGCGCGTGCCTACAACGATCGGGGCGTCCAGGGAGAGGAGACGAATGATGAAAAAAACTCACAGGGCGAGGGAGGCGCCACTGTGGGCCAAGCAACCATCTCCCACTCTTACGCGCGCACACACTTCCACCCTGCTTCCCGCCTGCTCCCGTCACAAAACGGGACGAGACGAAGCACCAGGATGGCGCAGCAGTACGCAACGCCTTCAAAGGGACGGAGTGCCGGTGGCCTGCAGGAACAGCAGCCGGCGATGCGCGGCGGCGAGTTGGCTGATGTGCCGTCGACGCCCGAGGGAAAGGTGACTGCGTTCATCAGCAGCAACGCGGGCATCGAGCCGGCCGACGAAACCAAGGCGGCATCGGGCGCAGCAGTAGCTGCAGCAGGAGGGAACGCAGTCTCGCAGGAGGAAGAGGCTGAGCGGCAGAGGGTGGCAATGGAGGAGCATCAGAAGCAGTACGCTGAGAACCGAGACGCGCTCGTGGACGCGATTGGAAAGACGTCGGGTGTGTTGAGGGAGCTCAAGGAGTTCAACAAGAACAGGTGGATCATTCACTACCCCGAGCTTGTTGGTCCCGCCGCGGCGTCGAAGCGAGAACAGCTCCATTCGACGTCTTCGACGATGACCGTGCCAAAGGTCGGCGAGGAAGAGCGGCCGAGCCTGGCGCGCGCGCAGACTTCCATGGGCGGATCTACGGGCAAAGAAGAGATGTCTGTCCTCAAGCTCGATCTGAAGCTGGGTGCGGCCAACATCGGCTCGCCAAACAACGGTCAGGCGCTGGTCCACTCGCTCGAAAAGTCTTCGGTGGCCCAGCTTCTCGAGGGACGCATGACGACGTCGCTCCGTCAATTGACCAGCCTCGAGCAGCGCATCAGCGACACGCAGTCCAAAGTTCTCGTCACCGGCGACCTCAACGCAGGCAAGTCGACGTTCGTCAACGCGCTGCTAAGGAGAAACGTCATGCCGATCGACCAGCAGCCCTGCACCACCGTCTTCTGCGAAGTCCTCGACGCAGCAGACTTCAACAACGGCAAGGAAGAGGTGCACATGCTGCGCAAGGATGTCCAGTACGATGCCGCAAACGAGAGCACCTATACCAAGCACGCTGTCGAAGACATCGAAGACATCGTGGCCAAGGCGGAAGAGTGCTCGCCCGAGGACGCGCCGCTGCTCAAGTGCTACTGCTCCGACACTAGGTCCACCCAGCAGTCACTCCTCCGCAACGGTGTTGTCGACATTGCACTCATCGATGCGCCTGGATTGAACCGTGATTCGCTCAAGACGACGGCCCTCTTTGCGCGGCAGGAGGAGATCGACGTCGTTGTCTTTGTCGTCTCCGCCGAGAACCACTTTACCCTCTCGGCAAAGGAGTTCCTCTGGAATGCGTCCAACGACAAGGCTTACGTCTTCATCGTCGTCAACAAGTACGACCAGATCAAGAACAAGGAAAAGTGCAAGCGGCTGGTGCTGGAGCAGATCAAGCAGCTCAGCCCGAGGACATACGAAGATGCAGAGGACCTCGTCCACTTTGTCGACTCCTCTGCCGTGATGGAGCGCGAGCAGCAGGACGAGTCGCCTTCGTTTGCCCAACTCGAGTCGGCGCTGAGGGACTTTGTGCTGCAGAAGCGGTCCAAGTCGAAGCTGCTGCCTGCGTCAACCTACCTTTTGAGGCTGCTCTTCGACGTGGGCTTTTTGGCCAAGACGAACCTGGATGTGGCCCAAAAGGAGCTCAACGATGCTCGCAAGGCCCTCGAGGCGGCAAGGCCCGCGCTCGAGCTCGTTCAGAAGAATCAGGGCAAGGTCGAAGGCCTTGTCGAGGGCGAAGAAGACGGTGTCGTAGGCAAGATCAACCAGGATGCAACTGGCACTCTTACGAAGGCTGTCGACGTTGTCGGAAAGGGTGGTATGGCTGACGGTCGGCCGCTTCCCAACTATCCTGGCCTGCTGGAAGTGTGGACGTACGCGCAGGACGTGCGTAGTGCCCTCGTCGACTCGCTCGAGGCCGTCGTGCGTTCCGTTGAGGACTCTGCACGCGTCGTGGCGACCGATGCCGTGCACCGCATTCGAGAGATGGGCGAGTCCCATCTGCCAGCCGATGTCGAGAAGAGCCAGCGCGTCTTCCTCCCCGAGGCCATGTTCGCCAAGCGACGGAGCAAGAAGGCAACGCACGTGGCCGGTCTGGGTCTTGGAGCCGAGCTCGTCGAGGTGCGCATCTCGGACCTCTTTGATGCGAGCCACCACCTGCTGGTCATCACGGGTCAGGACGAGGAGACGGCTGGAGGCAACGCCAAGAAGGATCACGAAGAAGAGATGTCGCTGGTCAACAGCTTCTCCGTCGGCATGGGCGCCTTGACCTTGGTCGGAGGAAAGGCGTTTGGAGCAAAATCGGCCGTCGAGGCTTTCGTGCGCGTGAGCGACATGCTGGGAAGCAAGGCTTTCCGACGGTGGGCCATGCCCGTCTTCGTCGTTGCCAGCTCAGGCCTGGTGCTGTGGACAATTGTCGACCTTCCCAACTCCATTCCCCGAAACGTCGGTCGGTCGCTGAAGCGCGAGCTCAAGTCGGCCGATTCCAAGAAGACGGCCTTTGTCGATGTCGATGCAGCACGAGTGTCGAGGGAGACGAGGCGCGTCCTCAGGCTGGCAGGTTACGATCTCTCAGAGCGTTTCCGTGTCGCTGTGGCGCAGCGAAGGGCTGAAGTCGAGAAACAGGAGAAGATTGCCAGAGAGGCAGACGAGGCGGAGAGATGGTTCGAGAAGACGGGCAAGGAGGTGCAGGACATCAGGACTGGCGTCGCCGGGCTTCAATGGGGCCAGTAGGCAGACTTTGCCCCCTTTCACCTTTCCCATTCTATATCTATTCCCTGTCGTCCGCCCTTTGTCCTTGTATATAATTTCGACATCATTCACTTCACATCACTGGCTGGCTCTCTTTCATTCCACTGTTTCTTTTCTCATTCTCTCATTGCGGTTACACAGAATCCCCCATGATGACAATCCTTGCTCTGCTTGATGATATGCCTGATGATGAAGGATTGATTACAAAGACGGTGGGGATGGTGTATGCGAGCTGCGAGATCTTGCAAAAGCCGCGGCTGCACGCTCAGATAGAATTTTCAAGAGACAAGAGGGAAAAAAAGAGGCCCTGACTAAGATCGAGAAAATGAAGACGGCAGCCACTCCACAAAATCGAGGCCCTGTCAAACGTGCATTTGGTTCAGGCGGGCGCGGGACCAGTGCGCCGCCTGGCTGCTGATACAACGTGCAGTTGTAGCTGGGTGCTCTGTTCCTCTCCCTCACCGGCGACTGCTTCACCCTATCGTACCTCTTCCTACCAATTTTTCCAGCTGATAAGCGACTGCAGCCTGGATACGTACGCTGGCTCGCATGGCAGAGAGGTCCGCCTGGCCGACTTTTCTTCCTCCTTCTCAAGCTCTCTCTGTGCGTCTCTCTCTCTCTCCTCTCTCGCTGGTAAAATAAACACTCGAGAGTGCTGGACGTGCGATGATGGAGCAGCAGCAGCAGCAGCAGAAGCACGCCGCATCTTCCTCTTCGGCTTCCTCTTCTTCGTTGGCCGCTGCGACACCGGAGGATGATGCCAAGGAACGCAAAGAGGCGCAGGAAGAGCGCGTGCATGTTCGAGACTTTACCTCGCCAGAGGGCGCGTCGAGCAGCGCAGTCGCTCCTCCCGCCCCGAGCAACCGAGGCATATTGAACGATGCCGATTCGATAAGCGAGGCACGACCGGTCAAGCGGCACGGGCGGAAAGGGGGCCTTCCCATGACGCGGACAATATCGTTCAGTACGCCTCCGGACCTGCCATTCTCAAAGCGCAAAAGCAGATTCGCGAGGCGGGACACGGGGGAGACTGATTCGTCCGACGATGGTGACGACACGATAAGCGAACTCTCTTCCGACGATGGCAGCTCGTCAGAGGGCGGAAGAAGGAGAAAGACGAGATTCAGACCGCATGTGCCCCATCGGATTCGGCGGTTGCGCAAGCAAAAACAGGAGACGGAGACGAAAAAGGAGGAAGAGGAAGAAGATGAAGGGAACGAGAGGCCGGCAATAGACCGCGTCTACCGACGAACACCAGTATTCAGCGGCACGATTGCGCCGTTCAGTATCATGCTCGAGATCCCCGGCTTCACTTCAAAGTGGTACGTTCGAACGGGGGGCCAGGTCTACCGGCCCAACCCACCCGTGCTCGACGTTGCTCTGGCCCTGTCGCTCTTCTTTGCCGTCATTGCCAACGCTGCCGTCCTAGGTCGTTTTGCAGAGCGTCTCTCGCCCAGGCTGGCCACCCTCATTGCCGTCTGTGGCTTCCTGATCCACGACGTCATCAATATCGTCGCCCTCGTCGTCTTTGCCGTCATCCACAATGTGGACGACGGCTTCACATACTCGGAGGCCTTCTGGATGACGACAGCCGCCACGGGCGCCTCGCTCCTCTGCACCACCTCGCTCCTCCTCGACTACCGCAATACCAAAAACTTCAGATCGGCAGGAAGCGGCCTGACCCGGAAGCAGTCGCAGCTCGTCATGGCCATCATGGCCTTTCTCGCATACATTTCCATCTCTGCCCTCATCTACTCGCTCGTCATGCAGCTTCAATTTCTCGACGCCATGTACTTTATGGTCGAGTCGCTCGCCACTGTCGGCTTGGGTGACGTGACACCAAAGGGCACGGCGGCCCGGGTGCTGCTCTTCTTCATTGCTCCGGGAGGCATCGTACTACTGGCCGTCGTCATTGCATTTGCGCGGCAGACGATCCTGGAAGAGCTTGAGAATGCGTACAAGAAGAACCGCGCGCTGTACAAGGAGAAGCTCGCTCAGCGGGCACAGGAGCAACGGCAGCTCAAGGGCGTCAAGCATGCGCTCAAGCGAAGATTCACGAGCGTCCGCCGGGGTGTCACGAGGCAATTCTCCATCGCCCCTGATGTCCGGCCTGCTCCTCAAGCGGACCAGGTCAAGACCGAAGCTGGAACAGACAACGATGAGGGAGCGACAGCGGCTGCGGGACGAGTCATTTTGGAACATGGAGACGGCGCGCCTGTTCCCCTCTATGAGTCGCCCTCGGGAAGCTGCGTCGACCTGTCTATTGATACTTCACCCGCTCCGGCATCTGCGCCAGGAGATGAGCAGCTCACAGCCACGCCCAGCATTCGTTCGCGGCACGACACCCTGCACTCGATCGCACCGTCGGACATGCAGGCGATGACAGAGATGGAAGCCGAGCTCGTGGCGCAGCGACAGGAAATCGACGCCCGGTTCCACCACTTTACTCTGACGCTCTCCAAGCGCGAGCGCGCAGAATTCTGGGCTAAGATTGGCTTGTCTGCCCTCCTCTTTGTCGGCTTCTGGGTCGTCGGAGCGGCAGTCTTTAGTGCCATCGAAGGCTGGACCTACTTCGAAGGTAAGCGAGTGCATGATGTCCCTTTGATGAGAAGAGGAGACAAGGAGAGAAGGGTGGCTAAAGCGACGGAGAGCTGACGACAAACGCACACATTGAGCAGGCTTCTACTTTAGCTTCGTCATCTTTTCCAGCATCGGCTATGGCGACCTGGCCCCGCGAACCAGCTCGGGAAGGGCCTTCTTCATCGTGTGGACACTTGCGGGCTTTGGAACCTTGACGGTGCTGCTCAGTATCCTGACGGTTAGTGTATTGTGCCTTCTACTGTTAGAGCAGGAGCTGATTGAAAGAAACACGTAAAGGACGCTGGAGGCGATTTCTTCCAGAAGAGGCGAAGGATCAAGAGCCGAAAGAACAGAAGGAAGAAACGCGTGCGTCAGCCGCATGACGAGGAGAAACACGTAGGGGAGAGGCAGACCGAGAAGAAGCACGACAAAGAGGAAGAGTCGTCGCCCTCGTCGTCGCCAAGCACGTTGAAATTCAAACAACCCTCTTCCTCATCTGCTTCCCTTCCTCCTGCTCCATCGTCTTCGCACGAAACTGCAAAGCCGCCCTCCATCGTAAGCCTGACGCGCACTGCTATGTCGATGCATCGCGGCGCGCTCGAGATGCTGCAGCTTGACAGGCATACCCTCGTCGATGCCTTCCGACACTTTCCCGACCTCATTTCCTCTATCCATCACCAGCAGCACCACCAGCAGGGCCGCGACGATGGATCATTGACGAAGCAAGCGCGCTCGCTCACTCCCAAGCAGCGAGAGCGTGTCATCAAGACAATCGAAGAGACTGGCGACGAAAAGCTTGTCCTCATCGTCAGGCAGTGGTTGCTCCTGGCCGAATTTGAAGGTGCGTGGCCTCGGCACCTCTCTCTTTTTGGACAGACAAGATATGGCAGGCAGCTGACATTGTCGGTCCTTTATTCTAGAACACCTACATGAGATGTTCCGCCATTCGACGCTCCTGCACAGCGAAAGCGTCGAAGTGCTAAGCGAAGACGGCGATGGCGACAACACTCAACAGGATATAGATACCTCAACACATACTGTATAATACTTTAGTCTTTTAGCATAGCAACCAGCAATATCTGTTCTTTCTTGTTGTCGGCGATGAATCAGACAGCCGTCGCATGCCGACAGGACGGAGCAGCGTAGCCGAACAACGATGTCAGTACAGCATGGGGTTTACTTTCACCAGCAGGATAGGTTGATGCACGCACAGACCCAAGTTTCTCGGCGTAAACATCCTCTTCACTCCGGGCAAACGTCTGAAATGGGTGCTGGCCTGGTCGGACCACCTTGCTCATGGAACGGGCAGCAAAAAAGGACACACTTTACCGTTGCCGTTTCGATCTGGCAAGTCTCTTTCAACAGGGCTCAAAGAGGGACAGGGCTGACTAAGGAGGCGAGAGAGAGACCCCCATTGCTGACGATCCGACTTGGATTAGCAAAGAGGAAGGGGGGCCCAAACATACGTCGGGAAAACAAACGGGCGAACGGTCAAGAGGCACGGCACGCCCAGGCCTATTTGACGCGCACGCACGCGCCTGTCCTGACCAGCAGGAGAGAGAGCACCGTGCGTGTATGGCTGTGACTTTGCCCGCCTTAGCAAAGCGATGAGATAAAATTCAATGAAGAATAAGGAAAGGGTGGTTGATGATGAATTCTCAGCATTCTGGCTGCGAAAGGCCTGCTAGCCGTCGTCAAGCACCGATCCGGGCCCTTGTTGGGTCCAGAGGCTCGGTCTCGGGAGGAGCGAAGATTCGGTAACAAACATTGCTGAATTCTTGGAATACAATGGCGTGAGCTGAGGTGATCAACGTGCGCGCTCTCATTCCAAACGGACGCGTACCTCGGGAAGGTCCGAGGGAGTGGGACGGATGAGCTCAGCTTTAGCGGCAGGAGCTAGCCAACGGAGGGAAAAAGATAAAAAGTCAGATTTAGCTCAGACTATTCTCGAAATGCAGCTTTGAGTGTGTGTGTGGAGGGCTCTGGAGGCTGTGTCGAGAGCAAAAGAGGCCGGGGCGCCTGGAAGGAGCTGGCTGTATATGTGTTTGTTTTGAAGACACTCTCCATTCCAGTAGGCAGCCGTCTGTCTGCTCGGACTCCAGCTGTTGAAATGCTGTGCATGCACACCTGTCAGGTTCGCCCGCTACGCGCCACAAGTTAAGGGCGCGGACCCGTCAACGTTCCTCCGTATATGATCAAGCAAATCGAGGACGATGTCTCAGTGTTGGTGTCGCGTTAGCTTTTTCCCAATCTAGTTATTCGTCATTGATCGTTGGTGGGAAGAAAAAGATAGAGACGGTGAATATACCCACGTATTTTTACATTAGCTACTACTGCTACTACACGTACTACTATACGACAAGCTACGTACTCTTGGCTCTCTATGTATGTGTGGCGCTGCCGAAGAAAACACATGTATGCAACCTGTCTTGCTCTGTCTGCTGCAGAGAGCTGCAGGACGGACTTTGTGCGTCCGAGGTTATCTGCATTTCCTCTTCTGAAATTTTGCCTGCACCCACTGACGACTGCTGCTGCTACTGCCACCATTATTTCCCCCCTCCTACCATCGGCTTTCATCGATCACCTTTCATCCCACCCCTTGACCGCGGACGAGAAGACCCGTCCTGGGTCGGATCAAGTCAACGACTCACCCCACTCTAGATCCCTCTGTCCCGCCCACGGCAGCTGCTGCTCAATCTCCGAGCACGTTGTATGCATCCATAACCGGCGAGGCGCGCACCCCCCGCTCGGACAAAGATGTCGGAACGCGGCGAAGATGAGACGCGAAGGCGGCGTGGGCGGGACTCGGCGGAGGAAGCCGCACCACCCCTGACATTGACGGACCTCGCATCGTCCACCACGACGTACCCTGATGCTGGTTTCGGTGGTGTTGGTGGTGGTGGTGTAGGAGGTGGAGCTACCGGGATGCAGGGAGAAGGCGACAGAGAGGAGGAACATAGAGGTCTTCTTCAAAGGCTTTTTTCGAGAGGACATCCAGACGAGGCCGTGCAGGAGCAAGACGAAGCAGCGACTTACCACAGTGGCCGAGAGGAGATCTATATGGGTACATTTGGGAGGAGCAGTAGTTCAAGTGGGAGCCCGCCTCAACTGCCCAGGCCGGCCATGTTTCCATCTTCTTCGCCAGCTTCCTCGACGACGACACCACCACTGCCCAGCAGCGCAGGTCAACCCAGCGGCGCATCGTTGCCTTCGAGCAAGCGAAAGCGCGAAGATCCTCTCGATCCAAGGGCACACTGGGCCGGCAATGACGTTGCAGCAGGTCCAGCAGGGCCAGCTCGTCTTTCTGTGCCCCCCGTCGTCGCGTTGACGAGGGACAGAAATATGAGGGAAGCGAGCAGCTCGACAGGCCACAACACATTTGGCGATCATGGCCGCGAAGGATCCATCAGCAGCAGCCAGGGAGAGGCAGCTTCCTCGTCCGCCGAAGCCGACCCAGCCTACAACACCACTGGTGTCGACACCACTTCTGCCTCGCGTGAGACGCAGCGGCGCAATGGCGGAGACGCCGCAAGTGTTGACGAAAGCGGCAATGTTGGCAGGGGAGAGCGAGGCGGCCTGGGCTTCGTGCCCTTGCAGAGAGTGTGGACGCCCGAGCAAGAGGAGCAGCGGATGGAGAGACGTCAAGAGGAGCAGAGACTATACAGACAATCGCTCTCCAGCGATTCGAATGTCGGATCCCAGCCCGTCATAGGCCAGGCGCTTCGGCCCACCTCGGCATCATCCTCGAGAGGCCTCTCGACTGCCTCGGACGAGCGAAGAAGGACGCCAAGCTCACTGACGACTGACCGGCAGAGCATCAACGGTCGCAATCGGCTCAGCTCAACTTCGCGAAATGCGGACGCAGTCGTCGCGGCAGTAGACCCGGCTGCCATTCACAAAACGAGGAGCCGCACATTCAGCGAGCCCAAGAGTGTCTTGTCTTCCTCAACAGATGGCATGACGATTTCTGCGCCCGCGCCCGCATTGGTGGCCCCATACGGCCCTACACTTTCCTCGTCAGTCGCTGCGTTTGGCGAGCAAGGGCCACATACGCCTGTGTCGCTTTCCGCACCCGCACAGGGACACGCTCGAGTCACATCATTGCCCTCGAGCAGACCGCCGAGAACGAGCTTTCAAGAGCCGAGAGAGGGCACACCGAGATCGCCGAGAGCAGGGCGAACGCAGACGCAAAGCTTTGGGGGCGGCCAGCATCGAAGGTCATCGTCGATTCTCAAACGCGATCCATTGTCTGCTCAGCAAAGTCCCCCGATGACAAAATATTTCAGCAGTGGCGAGACGGGTTTCAGAATGTCGTCGATGGACGCTGTCACGACGCCTGGCCTGACAGCAGCGACGTCAGAGAGACCGTCGTGGAGTACCATGCTGACGCAACAGGCCCGCGCCCAAGCGTCCTACCACCTCGCTGCTCTCTATGCGCTCCAGCCTCGCTTCCCACCTCGCCACTCGTCCCTCTACGACTCGATCAAGTACGAGACCTTTTGGCCCAAGCTCCACCATCGCCTGCTGCTGCTCTTTACCTACTTGCACGTACCTACCACTATCTTTCTCGACTTTAGCGCTCTATATGCGCTCGTAGAGGTTGCAAAATACCCCGACGCGGGCGAAGACTCTTCGGCGGCGTGGTGGATTGCCGCTGGAATCTATGCTGCCAGCCTGTTGGCTTGGCTCGTTGGTGTTGTCATCGTCTGGGAGGTCGTCTACCAGTACAGATCGAAAGGAGCAGCTCGTGCTGCTTCTTCGTCCGCGTCCGACCCAAGCAAAGCGGCATCGACAGCCTTTGTCACGCCCGTCTATCTTTCGGCACCAGCCTTTACGCTGACGGCCGTTGAGTCGCTCGGCAAGTACTCGTTGCTCTTCAAGACCAGGTTTGCTGCGAGTGGAAGAGATCAACTGATCGAGACGTTTTGGTTCTATTCCCAAAGTAAGTCTCTTTTGCAATCGTGATGAAAAGAATTTTAGCTAACGTCACTTGGCTCGACAGACTGGCCTACGGTTGTCACGCTCTTACCCCGTGGTATCATCCTGACGGTCTTTTTGGTCCTCTACCACCCTGGTCAAGACTCGGCGCGGCCGCCAACGTCGATGCGGGACGACACATACTTCGACTCGGCATCGGGTCTCCTCACACGTTTCAGCTACGTCTTGCTCCTCATCAACGTTGCCTGGATGCTCTGGCGCCTCGTCATTGTACTCGGCTGCTTTTTGGGGCTTTTCTTTACAACAGGATTGCGATCGCTGTTCTCGACGAACATCTTCAAGAGGGAAGAGGAAACAGCGTTGCAGCCACAGAGCACATCGAGTCGAGCCCTGCTCATGGGCGCCTCACAAAGCGAACAGGAGGTCTCGGCCTGGACCTCGGCGCCACGGATGGACACCGCTGCCGCAGGGGAAGGGCAGCGAAGGTCAAGCCAGGGTGCAAGGGAATACGAGGCGATCGGATTAGATGAGGAGGCAGCTGTGGCCAATGAGCAGGAGATGCAGGAAAGAGCGGCAAATGCTCGACGGAAGAACAGCCACAAATTCTCGCGGCTCCAACCCGAGCGCTTCACTACGCAACACGAGTATGTCTTTAAGCCCGAGGCGTGGAAGGCTAGGGCCGAGGACCGGATCAGGAACTTGCTCTTGCAAGCAGAGGAGGCGTCCGGAGTAGGCGGCGAGGAGGACGGCATGATGATGATGGCTGGCACTTTCTCTCCTGCGACACCTACGCCCCCACCTATCATGGTCAGTGCTGGTCCTGGAGGCATTCTTTCCAGATCGCAACTGTCAGATGACCTGTTGAGGACAAGGCGAAGAACCGGGACGGGAGCAACAGCGACAGACATGGAGGAGAGGAGGAGGAGCTACCTGAGTGGAGAGATTGGGCCGCCTACAACGGTCGCGACGACGCCCACGCCACCGGCCACAAATACGCCGAGCGCTTCTGCTCCCGCCCTGTCTCCCTTTCCTGGACAGGTAGGCGCGGTTTTCGTGCCATCGATGACGCCTTCTTCCAACTACATTGAGCAGCTTGAATCGCCCGTCACCCGAAATTCGCAAGAGGAACGCTTTCGGGACTCTGTGGCCTCACCCTCGTACCCTTTTCCTACGACAGCGGCAGCTTCCTCCGTGACCGTCATGGCGACTGACAGTGGTGTCTCGCATGGCAAGCAGCACCCTGGCAGTGTTGACCACTTGGAATCTGGACGATCGATGGGCGAAAGCGGACCGTCAACAAGCCAGCCGATGGCCTCCACTCCACCCTCAATGCACCAAGGCTCCCCCGGCCCGCAGCTTGCTACCGCTACACCCATTTCATCCCCTTCCATGCTTGCCGAAGGCTTGACAGGCGAAAAGGCCCGGGCCGAGTCACCAACGTCGACGTCATCCTCCTCGGAAGACAGCGAGGAGCAGCGTCTCTGGGCCACTTTCCCAGAGCAGTCAAGACGCCACCCTCCTGGGCTGATTGCGCTCGAGCTGGAAGAACAGCGGCGCGCAAGGCTTGAGCAGGGCAGCAAGGAAAAGGTCCCCGCAATCTCCGAAGACGCGGAGACGCCGCGAAAGGCGCCAAAGGACGACGGTGCTGGTTCGGGAGCAGCGAAAGCAGCAGCAACACCCACAGGCAGTGGCGGCGGTACCGCAACAGAGAGGCCAGAAGAGACACTCTTGCCAATCAAGGAGGAGAGCTGGGGTAGCTCTTTGGACGAGAACGTGTCGGCGGCGGCCAGCTCTGCAGAGAGGTAGCCAACCGTAGCCGTCCAACTTCGATACCCCCTGACACAGACTAATTCTCATCTAAACGTGCTACGCCATGCTCGCATACGCACGCATGCACGCAACTTCACCTGCTCTTTTTCTTCTCTTCCCCGTCAGGGAAGGACTCATGCTTTCATTTTGACCCTTTTGTACTCTAAAGAAATTTGAGCTCATCAAGAATAGAGAAGATTCGATCGCGCTCATAGAGCAAGAGTGGCAAATGATTGAACTGCTCAGGAAATCGTCGACATGATGTCGTCATCCACCGTGTTTGCCTCGTTCGCCGCCACTGTGGACCACTCTTGTCCCTGCCTGCTGGACCGACGGTGATGGTCTCTCGGTACTGATTGCGGCGGTGCAAGGGGCGCGGCAATCTGACCCCTCCTGGTTCTGACTTCTCTCAAGCAGTTCAAGATCCTTGCGAGCTCCAGCTTTGGCCGCTCGTCTCGCGCCTCGTCCTGTGCGACCCTTTCGTCATCGGACTCGTAGCTTGCATCGCCCACACCGCGCTGTGCCCTTTCCAAAATCCTACGCCAGGCAAGCAGCGGGAGAGACTCTGGTTCAGACGCTCCTGAAGCAAAGCCAGACGACGTAGCGTTTCGCGAGGATGGTGTGCTCAGGTCCAGCTCCCAAAGAAGGTCGCCCTTGTCAACCGTCTGTGCGCGTCCTGTGGCATCAAGAGCGCCTGAAGACGAGATAGACCCGTCCTCGTTGAGTCTCTGTCGTTTATTGGAGCTCTCGCCGTCGTCGCCTGTAGCAGAAGAACGATTGGCGGCGGCCGCAGCCGCAGCCGCAGCCTCCTGCCTCGCTCGGTCCTTGCCTGCATTGGCTGCAGCGAGAATGTTTGCCAACGGGTATGAGCTTCCACCTCCTGTGGCATTGGACCTCTTCTTGCCACCAGCTGCGCCTGCATTGGCTGCTGACCCGCTCCCTGCGGCTGGAGCTGAAGACGCGAGGCCACCTTCAACGTTTCCACTCTGCCCAGTACTCATCGAAGAGTCATTCGTTCCATCAACCGCCTCGCTCGGACTCTTTCTCGCCGGCGCATTGCTCTTGCTCTCCTTGAGTCCACCGCCACCGCCAGCAGCCTTCTTTTTGGCTTCCTCGCCCTCGACTCGAGCCTGCTCCTCTTCCTGGAATCTTACAAGAAAAGCCGATCTAGTATCTCTCATCTTGTGCCCAAACTCCAACTCTTCCTCCGTATCAACATTCTCGAGCGCCGATTGCGCAAAGGAGATCGTGGAGAGCTTTGGTGCAAGAACTCGATCGACGTATTCTGACGGCGGGTAGGTGGCGCCAGACGCATTTTCCCCCTCGCCTTCGCTTGCTGCCTTAGTTGACTCGACGGACTGTTCCGCCACTTTGGCATCGCCGTCTGTGTCTGTTGCAGCCGCTGTCGCCGAGGAAGACGAAGTATTCTTCGGCCGCTCTTGGGACGATGCTGCCTCCTTTTGCTTCTTCTTCTTCCATTCTTGCCATGCCGGATTCCTCGTTCCCTTCCAGATGACCTGAGTATTTGCCATCTTTTGCTTTTCCTGCTCCGTCAAACTATCCCAGGCTCGATGGGCCTGTAAGCTGCTCTCACGCCCTGCCTCGTCGTTGAACGGGTTCTCGTACAAGCCTCCAACAGCAGAGATCACGTCGTCGGTCTTGTCAGGCCCGGGCGGCAGCTGCGCCCCTCCTTCGAGATAGTGCCAAAGAAGCCAGAGAAAAGATTTGGCGCGTTCTTGAGAAGGCACTGCGAAGTCTGGGTGAGGGAAGAAGAGGGAAAAGTAGTCGTGAGGCGCCTCGAAATGCAGCGTTGTGACCTCGGCCGCATGCATGGCCAAGAGGAAGATGACAGTGATGACGCTCGTCGACGGCTTCAATGGAGGTGCCTCTGGGTCCATCTCGTCGAGGCCTAACGAGGCCATCTTCTTGCGACGCATCTCGACATTGCGTGCTCTTCGTCGAACTAGTTCGGGCAAGTCACCCGGCGCCTCTTCGCCCGCACCTTCGTCTGCGCCTGCCTTTGCGTTCTTGGCCGCCAGTGCACCGGTCGCGGTGGTGCTGCCCGGCACGCCTGGCCTCTCGCCATCCAGGAGGACCGACTTGAGAAGCGACTTCATGCGTGGAGCATCCTGCAGGTGACGCCGCGTGTTTTCGTTTCTCTGAAGCGCCGGCAGGGGGTGGTAAGACCGAAGAATTGTCTTCATCTCTGGATAAAAGGCCAGCGTCGTGTTGATGCGGCCCACATTGACGAGGAGACAGACCTTGGCAAAGTCTTCTGCGAATTCGTCGTCGGCCAGCATCTTGTCGCGCATGGCCTTTGTACACTTGCCGCTGTGCATGAGCGCTTCAATGTAGAGCTCCTTGAACGTCAGCTTGTCGCTGCCCGGGGCGGGATAGCCCTGTCGTTGCTTCAGTGACGGCGGCGTACCCATGCCTGCAGAGGACGGAGCAGCAGCAGCCTCGCTGGTGGATGCCTCTTCACTCTTTGCCTCGCTCGATGTGCCGTCGACAAAGGGCGCTTCTTGGTAGCTGTGGACTTGTTCTTCCCACTGTTTGCGTTCCTCGGGCGTCTCGTCGGAGCGCCTAGCGCACGTCTTTGCCATGCCATACGGGTACACGGGCACTGGACTCCTCCAGGTCGTCGAGCCCTTGGGACCGTGTGGACCAGGACGAGGATTGGTGAAGCATCGAGTCGTATCGCTGAAGAGGTGGCAGAGGACGTTGTGCTGCAAATCGGGCCTCGATAGTGGCTCTCCATCGTATCGTTTGACGGGCAAGTTTCGCGGCGTCTGGTTTGGTGCATTATTGCTAAGTTGTGAAGAAAGAGGCGAGACGGGGTGGGTAGGGGTGAGAGAGTCAGTATCTGAGGTGAGATCAATGACTTCAATCATGATAATAGTGCTTTTAGAAGAGATGACGCCTGACAAGTTTGTTGGGCGTGCGTGCTGGCGGCAAGAAAGACAGGGGCGAGGGCGGGGGCGTTTCGGACAAGATTCAAACTGAACTTACCTTCTTGCCCTTTCGTGGGCGTTAATGGCGGCGGGTCCGATCCAGTAAGGCGCTGAGCCAGGTGCATATTTGTTCTTGAGCTCCTCGTCATTGAGCCCGGTCGACGTCTTCTGAAAGGGTAAGAGCCCTTGACTGTTGCTCGATGTTGGCGCAGGCATCGCTGCCAGATCTTCACCGCCCGATCCATCTGGAGCAGTGGCGATGCTGCCCTCCTCGGCAGGAGTTGTCAATCCCGCGACAGGCTCTTCAGCGGCAGCCGTCGCGAGCTCCTCTGTTCCGCCTCGTTCCCCAGTGTCGCCATCCTCGAGACCTGGCTCGGACTTCATGGTGGTACCTATGCTCGACCTTTCGCCCTGCACATCAGCTCCTCTCTTTCCTCTTCCACGTCTTTGGTCAATAGAGCCCGCCGCCGCCGCCGCCCCGCGATGCTGTCGTGAAGGGCCAAATTTGAGCCCTTTGCTGAGTGTGCGGCAACGCACGCCCACATCCAAAGGGGGTCGAGAATATTGAAAGTTGGCACGTTTTTGAATTTCGCCTCAGATTTTGTATTCCTCTTTTCGGATTGCCGTCCAGCACACGAGGCTCGATTCAGTCAGACAAGGGCAGCGCAGCCCGTAGCGAGGCCAACCCCCTGCCCTTTTTTATCATAAGTTACCATCTCTCTCTACCTCGCTCCCTCTTGTTTCTCTCCTCCCTCTTCTGTTCCCTTCTTACCCTGAGCCTTCCTCCTTCTCTCTCGGTCTCACCCGAGTAACGCCTGGAGACGACTTTGCACCTGCGAGGGCAGAAAGGAGAGAGGCCTGCTCTTCGCTTCGGCCACCAATACACGCACCACACGTACACACTGGCATCAGCTTGAACAGCAGGCAGATAGCGGACAAGGAGACGCTCAGCAGACCAACGTCTCAGCACAGCACTCTCGGAAGCGCACATCACGATCAAGGACCTTGGTCCACTCCTCTGCTGCCAAAGGTATCTATCCCCTTATCGCCGAACGGCGAAGCCCCTTTAGTATTCTCCCCGCATGACAGTTTGCTCACCAACTCCCTCTCCCCATTGCTTTGTTACAGATTCTCGCATAGATTGGGAGCACTCGAAAGAACTCTGCGCAAGCTTCGTCTAATCTACATCGTCTGCCAAGATGGATCTTCGTGTCGGAGGCAAGTGAGTACTCCCTCGATTGTTCAATAGAATGCTGTCGTGTCACAACCTGCTCACATTACCGCCTCTTTCTCTCTTCCATCGCGCTTCGTCTCCTTCTCTGCACGACAGGGTGAGTGATGGTCATGGACAATCTCCCAAGGTGGCATAGTACACTGACTATCGAAAAATAAACACAGTACCGCATCGGAAAGAAGATCGGGTCGGGCTCGTTCGGCGATATCTACCTCGGCATCAACATCATCTCGGGAGAGGAGGTGGCCATCAAGCTCGAGTCGATCAAGGCAAAACACCCTCAGCTCGAGTATGAGGCAAAGGTCTACAAGACGCTGGCCGGCGGTGTGGGCGTACCATTCGTGAGATGGTATGGCCAGGAGTGCGACTACAACGCCATGGTCATCGATCTCTTGGGCCCCTCGCTCGAGGATCTCTTCAACTTTTGCAACCGCAAATTTTCGCTGAAGACTGTCCTTCTCCTTGCCGACCAGATGGTGAGCTTGTCTCCATGGCATTGGACCGAATGAAACGCCTTGCTGACCTTCATCGACAGATCTCGCGCATCGAGTACATTCACTCGCGCAACTTCATCCACCGCGACATCAAGCCTGACAACTTCCTCATGGGCATTGGCAAGCGAGGCAACCAGGTCAATGTCATCGACTTTGGCCTGGCAAAGAAGTACCGGGACCCAAAGACGCACTTGCACATTCCCTACAGGGAGAACAAGAACCTGACGGGCACCGCTCGATACACGTCGATCAACACCCACTTGGGCGTCGGTGAGTACGGCTCTTGCCCTTTTGCTTCGAACCGCTCCACTGACTTCAACGTCATAACCGCTCAGAACAATCGCGGCGTGATGACCTTGAGTCGCTTGGCTACGTCCTCATGTACTTCCTGAGGGGTTCGTTGCCCTGGCAGGGTTTGAAGGCAGCGACAAAGAAGCAAAAGTACGACCGCATCATGGAGAAGAAAATGACGACACCTACGGAGCTGCTGTGCCGAGGTTTCCCCTCAGAGATGGCTATCTATCTCAATTGCTGCCGATCGCTCCGCTTCGACGACAAGCCCGACTACTCGTACCTCCGCAAGCTCTTCCGCGACCTGTTCGTCCGCGAAGGGTTCCAGTACGACTACATCTTCGACTGGTCCATCCAGCAGAGGAGCATCGACGACGGCAGTAAGATGGCCGGCGCCGACGTCTCTGGCAGCAAGCAGGCCGCTGCGGCGGCTCAACAGCTTCCTAGGCGCAAGGTCATTGCTCAGGGCGACGACGAGGCCGCCGCTGCCGCTGCTGCTGCTGCTGCTGCTGCTGCTGCTGCTGGCAAGGACACTACGCGCGTCCAGCATGGCTCGTACCAACAGGGTGGCCAGAGTTCCTCGATGCGACCACGCCGCAATGATGAGCCCAGCGCCAACTGGTACTAAATCATGTCCTCTCCAATCTTCCTCGACAACACTACATCAGCTCAAGAAGCGTTCTAGAGGAAGGGGGACCAGGAGTCGTGAAGGAGGAGGGGGCACAGAAGAGGGGAAGGAGCGCCTAGATTTCCGCGAGTAACGCGAGGGCTTCGATGGAATTGACGGCCACTGCAGGCGTTGGAACGCAACGCGACGCAAAGACTCGGAGAGCCTTGCTCTCTTCTCCCCATGCACTCAACCAACTCATCACATTTCCGACTGCCGCTCATGACGTCCGTCTCCCTCCCCCTCCTTCCATTCGGCGGGCCGACTTCGCGGAAAAGGTCCTCGTCCATCGCCCGGCCAAGCGTCGGACGAGACACTTGATCGATTTTGCGTTGCCTTTCCCCTGATCATCACATATTTCACTCTTCACTTGTTCTTATTCTCCTCTCCTTTTCCGGCCCGTAATTCTCCGCCCACCTCTCCCCCTATCCTTTCTTCTTCCTCTACAAGTATTTGTCCTCCTTTTGATGGCTTATCATCAACTCTTTCTTCCCCCTCCCCCATTCTCCACCTCTCTCAGTCTTGGCTGTTCTCGTCTCTCAATCGTCTATCAACACATTCTTGCTCAAGTTCGTTGTAGGATGAGAAAGACCGTGTGTGAATATGGTGTAGTGAGGAAAATGAGCATGATTATCCACGTGCAGAATTGTCGACCGAGAGAGCCAAGGAAGACTGATCTTCCAAATTGACCAGCTTCTTCATCACTCATTCCTCCTCGCCCCGCTTCACACAAGCCATGGCGCCGCCGTTGAAGAAGTCGTCGACGACGCAGCTGCCCACAAAGGAGCGGGGGCTCTTTGCTCGGCTCATACAGGAGGTGAGAATCGCGTCTCGTTGGCCAGCCTCGCTTTCGCACAGTGCTGACCCGCTGCAACACCTTTACAGTACGAGACAAAGAAGCACAAGACGGGACTCAAGACTGCAGACCAGATCCTCAAGAAGTTTCCCGAGCATGGCGAAACTCTCTGCATGAAAGGGTTGCTACTCGCATCTGTCGACCGGCGAGCCGAAGGAATTGAGCTGGCGCGAAAGGGTGTCCGGTTCGACCTCACCTCGTTCATCTCATGGCATGCCTTGGGAATCTTGAATCGCATGGACAAAAACTACGATGAGGCCATCAAGTGCTACGGCCAGGCGCTGAGAATCGAAGGCGGGACGAACATCAATCTCATTCGAGAGTCGGCGTACCTTCATCTCCAGCAGCGCAACTTTGCCAGCTTGATCGACAACAGACTGACGCTCGTAAGAAGTCAGCCTCATCTGAGAATCAATTGGGCCGGTCTCGCTGTGGCACATCACCTCGCTGGTAGCTTGGAAGAGGCAGTCAGGGTGTTGGAAGGCTTCGAGAGTGTTTGCAGGGTGAGTCGACGTCGTTGTCAGGATATGAAAGGGGAGCTGGGAAAGCAAGAGGCTCACATAGGTATTTTGCAGGACGTCCCTCGTAGGTCGTTTGAGCAGTCGGAGATCTACCTCTACCACGCTTCGATTCTTTACGAAGCGGGCAAATATGAGGAGGCAAAGAAGCTCTTGGCCGATCGCAAAGATGATGAAGTAGTCGATAGAAAGGCACTTGACGTTCTCACAGGTCAGTATCCCGAGCTTCTCGGCCATATAGGACTCAGCACTGATAACGACCCCTCACAGCACGGTGTCAATTTGCACTGGGAAAAAGAGAAGAAGCGGAAAGAATATACAACGACTTACTGTCGCGCAATGGAGAGGACAGGAGCTACCTGGCCGGTTGGCTCGAGGCACGAGGCGTTGCGACGCAGGCCGAGTCGGATGAGGCAAGGGAAAAGGCAACAAAGGCTTTTGAGGAGCTGCGAGAGAGGTTCCCCAAGTCTCGAGCCGTCAAGCGACTTGCCCTCGTCTATCTGGGAGCAACCTCTAACGACTTCAAGAGCCAGGCGAGAGATTACCTCCAAACGGCCTTCGAGAAGGGCGTGCCTTCGGTCTTTACAGACATTCGGTCGCTCTATGGCGATGTGGCCAAACGAGACATCATCGAGGAAATCGTTGAGGAAATGCGTCAGACGTGGTTCAAGGATCAGGGAGAACCTCCAAGCTCATATCTCTGGGCTATTTACTACCTGGCTCAGCATTACTCACATCTCGGCCAGGATATTCGAGCGCTCGAATACGCAGACAGCGCCATTGCACACACGCCCTCGATGCCCGAATTGCACATGACGAGAGCCAGGATCCTTAAGCGGGCCGGGTCTCTGCAGTGGGCGAGTCAGGCAATGGAGGACGCCAGGTCGTTGGATGGTCAAGACCGTTTCCTCAACTGCAAATCGGCCAAGTACTATCTCCGAATCGACGATGTCGACACTGCCGTGGCGCGCGTTGGTCTCTTTACCAAGCCAGATGCACCCAGTCCTGTCCACGATCTCGTCGACATGCAGGCGTTCTGGTACCTACTCGAGGAAGCCAACGCTTGGGAGCGCAAGGCAAATTACGCCATGGCATTGAAGAGACATGGCCAGATCGACAAGACCTTCACCGAGATTTGGGATGACCAGCTCGACTTCCACTCGTACTGCATCCGCAAGTTCACGCTCAGAGCATACGTCGACATGGTTCGTTTCGAGGACCAGCTCAGATCGCATCCAGCATACTTTGTCTCGGCCCTCTCGGCCATTCGGATCTTGACAAAGCTTCATGATCAGCCGGACTTGTACAAGCCAGACGAGTCTTCTGCGTCCAAGACCAATGGCGAACTGACGGACGAACAGCGCAAGGAGGCAAAAAAGGCCAGAAAGGCAGAGCTCAAAGCTGCAGAAGAAGCTGCAGCCGCCGAGGCGGCCAAGAAGAAGGCTGAAATGCTCAAGCAGCAGCAGGACAAGAAGAAGGGCGCGGCCAAAAAGGCGGCTGATGATGACGAAGAGATGCCTCCGCCACCGAAGGACGAGGACCCGCAAGGCACCGAGGCCCTCAAGAAAGTGGACCCGCTGGTGGATGCTCAAAAGCATTTGACGCAGCTGCAGAAGATGGCGGGAAGGCGGGTGGAGACATGGCTGGCCACTTTCGAGGTGGCATATCGGTCGAGTGCGTTTCAATTGTTGCTCTTCATTTCCGGCAGAAAGCTGACTCTCCAACTTGTGACAGAGAATTGGCTGTTGGCCACCCGAGCCGTGGCACACGCTCATGCGATCGATGCGTCCAATGCCGAGCTGCAGGTCCAGCTCGTCAAGCTTCGTAAGGCTCTCGACTCCAACCTGAACGAGTCGACGACCTCTGCGATCCGCGACTCAATTGAAGCAACTTGGAAACATATCGTTGGCTCAGAGCAAGTCTCATTGGAGCAGTTCATCTCGCAAGCGAGGCAAACGCATGGCGAATCAGTCCCACACGCTCTCGCGCATGCTCGATCCATTCTCGTGCTTCGACGAGAGGCAAAGGAGGAGGCAGTCGACATCGTCTTGCAAACTCCCAAGATGGTCAAGGATGCCACGGCAACATCTCAGACGAAAGGCCTTCTGAGTCAGTTCCTAGAGGTCCGGCAATTCGTCCTCGGCGTGGGTTCAGAGGCAAACGTCGAAGAATTTGACAGGTCCTGCGAGGGCCTCTTCGCCATGGCCGACGTCTTCAAGTCGGACAAGCGGAGAGGGGAGGAAGAGAAGAGGAGAGTCCAGGAGAAGAGGAGCTGGGAGCCTTCGAAGACCGACGAAGACGTTCAAGGTCCAACTTCCAATGGATCTTCCTCATAGACAAACTTGTTTGAAAATCTTCTTTTGAAGAGCTCACACTATGATAATACAACATGTCATACAGTCTAGTCTAGACATTGATCTTCTCGGCGACCTCTGTGCCCTCTGCGTCGACCTCTGAGGCCCCGTCTTGGGCTGCCCAAATGACTTTTCCCAACTTCGATCCCATCCACTCCCATCTTCTTTCTCCTGCCTTGCTGCAGCTCGTGTTGGGGTTCAGCGCAATGATCGCGACCTCCCTTTTCGTCGATGTCTCGTCGCAACCCTTTTGGGTGTCGACAACAATCTGTGCCAGTGCGCACACGATCCTCGCTACATTTCTCGTGTCATCAAGCCCGCAATGCTGCCTTCCCTCGAAGGGCCCCAGCGAGAGCTGAGCGAGCAGACCCTCGATGGTTCTGTCGCGCCATTCTCGCTTCTTCTTGGCATACTTCGTCTCGACGACAGTGACATCAGGAAGACTTGCGGTTTCGTTGTCTCCTGCCACCTCGTTGTCTCCTGCCGGTGGCTCTCGCACCGTAATTTGCTTGTCAAGCGTGACCTCTGCGTCTGGCGTGACTCCGTTTTGCGAGGTTTCCTCCGTTGGAGTGGCTTCGGGAGAGCCAAGGAATGACCCAAGCGATGAGGCAAGCTGACCGATGGACGATGTGACCCAGCTGAGACGAGAAGATTCTTCTTTGTGCGTAATTTTCGCATCCTCGACAATCGTCAGCCTGTCCATCCTTTGAACCAATGGGTCGCTCGCTTCCTTTCCATGTCCTTCCTCGTCTATCCTTTCGTTATTGCGGCTCTGCCCTTGCTTGACGAAGTCGACCACCTTTGGGACGGCTTTTCTAATATCTAAGAGGGGGCCCCTCAGAAACCTCGGTGGGCCACCTCGCATTTTCGAGATGAAAGCCTGTTTGACGACGAAATGTAGAAGGTCGTAAGGCCCGTGCGTAGCCCACACCACCCCCTTCCTCAGCCTGGGATCCTCTTCTTCGACAAGGAGACCATGCGTGCGCAAAAAGCCAGACAGGTGCTCGCACACTTCGGGAAATTCCGGTGCGGTGTCGACCTGAGCCTGTCATAGTCTCCTGTCAGCTATCCTGTAGACTCGCCCGTACAACCAGGGAGAAGGGCTCCTCACCTGACTGATGCCCGTCAGCTGCCGACAAAAGGTTGTCAATTTCGGCATCCAAGTTGGTCTGACGTATGTATGAAATGTATCTTTCACTTCTAAGCGCTCGAATCCCTCTGTCCACTGGAGCAACACAACTGGCATCTCGATGACTTTTTCCCTTGCTTGTCAGGCCCTTGGTCTTCTGCGGCCTGACACTCTCGCCAGACTCACTCTCATTGGGGTAGTCGAATGAACCATTCTTTGAGCCTTCGCATGTCGCTTCTACGTCCAGGACGAGGTAAGTGTCATGCTTTGGCCTCCAGTTGTGTTCTTCCTCCTGAACAACCGCTTTGACAGCAGTACCCCGCTGCTGTTTGGCGCGCTGCTTCTGAAGTCTTCTCTTTATCGTTTTCTTCGTTCCGCGCGAGTCTAGGCCCTGCGCTGCCAGGGCACATCGGAGATCCGCGACGGAAGAGGTGGATGTTGTTGCGCTGGGCTGCTCGCCATTGATGATGCTACTGCTGTCGGCTACGCCTTCACTGGAGCCGCCCTTTTCTTCCTCGCCCGAGAGGGCATGCATCATCTGTCACCCTCTCTACGTTCCATCAACCCTAGCTTCTTCTTCTCCGAGATCTTCAGAACCTCTTTACTGGGAACCGTGCGACCAGAGAAAGGAGGAGTGCAAATGGTCTCCGAGAATCGTAGAAATCATAGAACCACCGCGAGAAGTTTGGCATCCTCCACAGAAACAATCGGGAGCGAGATTAGCCCTCGACACGCGCCCTGTATTTCGGCCGAGTCAGAACACCATCCCCACGTCTCTCTACAAAGAATAATGAGTCGGGGGCGAACAAATTTGATGAATAAGGCGAAGTCCGCATAGAGAGAGGGACGGCAAGTGTCCTTCGGCACGCACGGTACAAAGCAGCCCAACATTCAGCGATCTGGGAATAATCGAAACAGCACAACATGGCTTTCCTTGTAAGTATATGTTTCGTCGACTTTACGTGACGGCATTGTCGATTCAAGCCCATTCGCTCGAGACAATCGTGCTTATTGCCCGAAGTGCATGCTGAAGCACGGACGTGACAGCCTGTGTGCGTCAAGACAAGCTTCAATTGTTTCCAAAAGTCCGAGTGCAAGCTGCCACTTCAACAAAAAAAAGTTCTGGCAATCGCCAAAACTCAAGAAAAAGCCTTGACCAAGGATTGGGACGGGATAAATCAGAAGTAAGACCCAATGCTCACGCTTGGTACATTCGTTGCATTTATGGTAGCCTTTAAGGGGTCACTGCAGCGGTCAAGTAAGCTGTGTCGATTTTTTTTTTCTTCATTTTCGACTTCATCGCTTGACTCAAGGGCCTGACGGTATATTAGGCAAGTCTCGACGACAAGACAAAGAGACATCTGCTTGATTGCATCTAGTGAGAGAAGCTTGCGCAACAAAAGGCGCGAGAGGTGACCTGCATTTGGAAGATACGAGAACCTTTTGTTGACGGAGTGCAAGACGCCGTACAAGTGACCCATAGCTGTTTAAAACCTCACGTCGCGCGCTTCGCTCACATGGCCACTTCAGATATCGACTTTCTCCTATTCTTTACTGCCAGACATCAATGAACATGACCTTGCAAAAAGTTCTTGCATTCTGAGATGAAGGATCCGCTATTGAATTACATCAAGGTATCTGTTGCTGTTGCGATTCTTCCCTCAGCTTCACCCTCTCTGCCCTTCTCTTTCCAGCGCCTTCTCGGTATTTGAGATTCTTCTCGTCGGCTGTATCCTCCCGCTTTCGACTGTAGAGACCCTTCCAGTCGATGGCCGTCTTGTAGCTCCCGTTCCCGAGCGGCAAGATCCTCCTCATCTGATTCCTCTGGTCTCTGTGGAATCCTTCAACGTCAACTTTTGCTCTCGCACCTGGGTACCCAGGAAAAGAGGCCTTGTCGAAAGTCGTCGAGGCCGGCAATGTGCCATTATCCAGCCGCGGCATGGCGAGGAGAAAGTGTTTCGTCATTTCAGCCTGGATCGCATGGGATGACCACAGTGTGTGCAGGCTGGCCGTCGCCATGCTGAGCGGCGACGTCAAGTCGACCGCTTTGCTCGGAGCGTCGAGGTTGGAAAGTGGTCCGTCGTACATCCCGGCTCGCCACTGGATGTCACCGGGCCGGAAACCGCAGTCCCACAGGACCAAAGGCCTGTCCGATGCCATCTCATACTGCGGCTTGCGGTCGTAGATTGCCAGACTTGACAGGCGTTGCAGCTCCTCGTCGTCTGTTTGCTCCTCTCCAGCATCGCCCTCTTCGTCTGTCTGCTCTCCATTGACGAGGCGAGGTCCAGTGCCGCTGCTGGCCACTTTGCCGTCTGGCTCAGTGCTTGTGCTGCCCGGTAGATATGTATCCCCACGCCCAATCTCGACGCCGGCGACACGCATCTTCTTGCGATCCTTCTTCGTCTGCCCCTTCGCGACATTGAAGAGCTCATCGACGATGCTCACATCTTCCAAGTGTGCTCCAACAAGGAAGAGTATTTGGACGATGTGGCGGACCTGGTGGTAGAGAAACGCGGTGCCCCGAAGATTGAGCACGTACATGTCCTCCCTTGTGGGATCTTGGAGCGGGCTCAGCTCTTGCTCCTCTTGCTGCGCCTTTTCCCTAGGGGTCGAAGAGCCTGGGTCAACCACAGGCCAGCCTGGGTGGACACGATCGATCGAAGCACCATCGATTCTCCGCCTGAAATTGGTTATTTGCTTGCTCGCATCGATCTTGCACATGTTACGAAAGTCGTGGTCGCCAAGAAGCCTCTGAGCCGCCTCGCGCATTCGGTCAATGTCGAGACGGGGGACAGGGCCAAACGCTTGTCTTCTCTCGAGGCTGTTTGATGACGAGTGGAGCCAGGGTGGTGCACCGGCTGTGAAAAAGTATTTGTAGTGCCTATAGCGACAATCGAATCGGGCAGAGAAGTCAGGCCTGACGGGCGACCAGGCCTGAACGTGGATGGTTGGGGGCAGAATGCGGTTGAGTGTGCCGATGTAAGGAAGCTCGTCCCCATCTGCATCGATGACCGTCTCTTGCTCTTCATGCAGGTCTGAAGCGGGGCCAAGGACCTCCTCGTCGTCAGACTCGTCCGAGGCTTCCAGACCTTGCTCCTGCCTCGCCTTCTTCCTCTCCTCCACCATGGCCTCGAAGCGTTGCCTTTGCTTGCGCTGATCCACCTTTCTGCTCCTGACCCACAGCGCGACGACCTGCCCGGCGGCGCTGACACCTCGGTCAGTTCGACCGCATCTGGACCACCCAGCACCAGCCATGCCTTTGTCCGGGTCCACGAGTCGCGCCACACACATGGCTTCCCATAGCACAGCCTCGACTGTTGGGACCACCGTGGGAGCACCAATCTGTGCTGCAAGTCCCGAGTAGTGGGCTCCGTCATAAGAAAAGCGAAGGGCAATCTTGCGACACGGCTGATCCGACACGGAAAATTCCTTTTCCTCCTTCTTCTTCGTTGACTGCTTGCGTCGACCGCTGCCGCTGCCGCCGGTGCTGCCGCTGCTCCCCTCCGCTCCCGTATCTGTGGATATGGCAGACGAGGACGCGCCATTCGGCTCCTGCTCGCGAAAGGTCCGAGAGGAAGCGACGACGCCTTTCGGCCCGTCCTCCTTGAACGCAGTCGAAGCCACCTGCTGCTGTCCTTGCCTTCCTTCGAGCGCTTCAAGCCTCGCAATGAGGTCTTGTCGCGACATTCCGGTGTATCTCGAGACCGTCATGTTATGCATGCTACTCCTGGGTATCAGCAACGACGCTCCTCTTGCAAGTCGTAGCATCCAGCGTATTGCTCTTTCCCTCTCGTTCGTAATCGACAGAAGAAGACTGTCGGAGGGAGAGGATATAAGAAAAAAAAAATCAACCTGGAAACCCGAGTCCCGGTGCACCTAGGGCGAGCGACTCTGATGTCTGGACGCGTCGGTCGATAAAACACCAAAAAACCAACACGAGCAACACCTAGGCAAGACGAGGATGGCCACCCCTCGGCCTCGTCGGAGCGCGGCGTCTTCGTCCGCGTTTTTGGGGCAGGAAGATGAAGACTCGTCAAGAGACAATTCGCCGATTTCCGCTGCGGACATGGCTCTGCGCTCGGCTCGCAAACGAGGGCGGGCGTCTGCCTCGCAGACGCCGAGGAAGAGGGCCTCGCCCCAGATGAGCGCATTGGGCATCGAGGCTACCCCGAAGGCGCCTTCATCCTCTTCTCCTTCAGCAGCGACATCAGGAACAAGACGGAGAAGGTCTCTATCTCAGCCCCCCTCTGCTTCCGTGATCCGACAAGAGGTGCGAAAAAGCCTTGCAGCGGCTGCGACTCCCATGGCCAGACGCGCTGGCGGGCCACCTTCAGCGCGCCAGTCGTTGGCCGCCTTTCAGCAAGATCTTCGCCTCGCCTCTACCCCTGGCCCATCCTCTTTTCTTCGAACCCCTGGGCGTGGAGGTGGGGCAAGGGATACCCCTGGCTTTCTCGATACGGTGCGAAGAAACAAGGAGCTGCACCAGAGCGCGAGCAAGAGGCCGGCAGCGGTCAAAAGCACCCCGTTTGCTGCCACCCATGGTATCGGGGGGTGGGGCGCAGGGATCGGAGAGAGCCCCATGGCTCTTCTCGTACAGCTCGCTATGGGTGAGTCCCTAATCGGATTTGACCATGGGTGATGTTGTGGCTGACCGAAGACAACCAACCAGCACCTGGAGTCTTGCCCGAGCCCACTCCGAGGGAAAGGCCCGCACCGTCGTTTGTCCGACCTGGTCTACGCAACATCCCTCGCCGCAATGCGAGCCTGCGGCCTGGTGAGCCAGTCCCTGGGGATCTGACGCGCGACGATGGAGAGGTTGCAGGCGACGTCAGCACGAGTAGCGCTTTGGGCAATGAGCAAGCGAGGCAGCGCCGTCGCCAGTCGACGCGATCGAGCAACATCTTTGCGGAGCTGCTGCAAGATGAAGGAACCACGCTCCTCACGCCAGCTTCAACTGTGACGCGCAACAGACCAAGTCTCTTTAGCATCGGCGAGCCGAGTGGCCTGCGCGACGACGATGAAGAGGAGGAGGAAGACGTCTTCGGATCAGCCCTGGGACGCGAAGGAGAGGATCGGTCGGGGCTGATGAATGCATTCGCAAACGCTTTGGAAGGGTTCAACGACGACGATTCGACGAGGTTGTCGCTGACGAGAGCCATGTCGGAGCCCACGACGGTCGGCTTCAACGATGTAGAAGCAGACGTCGACTTCCTCACAGGCGACGGAGATGCGTTTGGTGACGAAAGAGCAGCATCCATAACAGCATTCAACGAGGATGAGCAGGACACTCCAAGAAGCAGTGCGCCACGCCCATCGGACACGGACATCGTCGACACGTCTAGACTCGGCCCGTCTGACCTTCTCGACAAGAGCCTCATTTATCAGTATGACGAGTCCGACGAGGACATTGGAGAGGTCGGAGCTGAAGATCTAGATGCATCGTCCTCTTCTGGAGGAGAAGACGGCGACGCACTGACGCGCCAGCAGGTGCGCAAGGCACAAATGGGTCTGCTGCGCCGCAGAGTCGCTCGCCGCAAACGCAGCCGCAAGTCGCCCATCACGGGCAAACCGACGCCAATGCTGCCCCCGACGACTGTCCGAAGGCTCTTCGATGCTGCCGTGCAGCCGAGCAAAGGCTCCCTCTCTGGTGGGCCAACTGCGACTAAACGGCAGACCATCGCTTTGGAAAACGGCGTCGTGGATGCCGTCGAAGAGGCGTGAGCTTTCGCTTCTGTCCCTTTCAAAGACGTCAAAAAGCTGACCATCTCTTGTAGCACCCACGAGTTCCTGGCTGAATTCACACGGCAGGTGTCGGACGTGGCCAGGCAGCACGGCAGATCTCGGACCGTGACCGAGCAGGATGCCATGGCCGTCATCAAGACGTGAGTGCCCCTTTGTGTCCTTCCTTTTTCTCGCCCCAGGCTGATGGTCTCATCATCAACAGACATGGTTTCGCAACGCCGCGGGAGCCTATCCCGACATTGGCGCGACGGTATCTGCCGCGCGAGCTGAGCGACCTCTTGGTTGGGTGCCTCAGCACACCCATGGCCAACAGCGCTCTTGCCGTGGCACCAGACCCTTCTTCGCCGTCTTCCTCGGGCTCGTCGGCCTCGTACTCTCCCACCAAGAAGAGGACAGCAAAAGGCAAGGGCAAAGCCAGAGGCAGGCGATGATTGTAATTATAGCAATGCATGTGTATACTGTCAGATCACATCGACTTCATCCATATACCCATCCCCCAATCCGTACTCTGCCTCGTCTACCTCCGAGTCCCACTCGTCTGCCCCTGCATCTACCTCCTCGTCCCCTTCCTCCGCGTCGCCGACGCCTGCTCGAGCCATCGTCTTGAAGACGAGATTCTCCTTTTTCTCTTCTCGTCGAGCTTCCTCCTCCTTGAGCTTCTCGGCAGCGGCCGCGATGGCAGCAGCCTTCTTCGCACCCTTCTTTGGCCCAGTGTTGTTCTTCCCCTTTGCCTCGCCCCATGTCGTCGACGTCGTCTTTGCCACATTCTTCCCCCGCTCGTCCCACTTCTCCTCGCCGTCGTCGCCCTCCTCGAGCACGAGGGCCGAGGAATCGCCCAACAGTCTGCGCAGGACCTCTTCGTCCCTGATCCGTCGAGCTCGCCGTGCGCTCTTTCCCTGCGCAGAGGGGCTCGACAGAGTCAAGCCATCAATCTTGATATCTTCCTCTTCTTCTTCCGCCTCTTGATTGTCCAGTATTGTGATGGTGGTCGTCGGGCGGCGCGACAGGCCAGGCCAGCCCTCCCCGTTCTCCTCTTCGTCGTCGTCGGAAAAGGAGTTCGATGGACGGACAGGCCGTTCAAAGAGCCTATATGGCTTCAGCGCTATCCCGCCGTCGGTCCGCGCAGCTCCTTGTTCTTCATGATCGAGTCCGGCTCTTGAGCCACGGCCAAGACTGGCATCATGCATCGGCACATCCTCCATTGGAACTGGTGTCGTCTCGGTGGGTGGAGACGAAAGCGAACCTCTTTGCCTGTGCAGCAAGGTGGCGGTGTCCATGGCCGAGGAACGCGGCGACGATATTGATGAAGAAGTGCTAGAAAAAGCTCCCTCTTCCTGTTCTTCTACTGTCCTTTCGCCCTCCATCTCTGCTCCTCCCTCTTCTTCTTCCTCCTCCTCCTCCTCCTCCTCCTCCTCCTCGTCGAGCCACTGCCGTTTCGATGAAGCGGGGCCGAAAAGCGGTTGATAGCTCGACGAAGATGCTTGCACTGAACCCTGAAAGAGGCCCTTTGCTCGATTCGCCCGGTTCGGCGAGGGCCCAAGACATGCTTCCTCGTCGTCGTCGTCTTCGTCTTGCGCCCTCTTTCCCTTCCCTCCCACAACACCGAATCCGAACTGCGCCAAGGTCCGTGTCTGTCCCTGACTCTTCTGCCTCTTCTCGGGTCGTCGGTCCCTCACTTCGTTATCATCCCCGTCTTCCTCTTCCTCGTCAAGGACTAGCAGGCCCCCAGCACCTCTTCTCCTTCCCGCTGCACCCGATGCGACACGCCTGGCAGCAGGCGTCTTTGGCACGGCCTCGCCCCTTAGCCTCTTTCTCGCCTTTGTCCGTGGCGTGTACTCGAGCTGCATGATGGCCCGATCCAATCTCTCGCGCTGCGCCTTGCTTTTGCTCGGCGTGATCACCGTCGCCGCCGCGGTCGGTGTCGGGCCTGCCGTCCGTCTGGACGGTGATGGTGATACCAGGGCTTTAGATAGGGCTGGAGATGAGGACGTCTCGCCGTAATATGACCAGGTGGCTGCTGTTGAGCCCCACGGCGAGGCTACTTTGGGACGCCGGCTGGGCGTCATCGCAGACGGGCTCGCAAGGGTTGCGGCGTTCGTCAGTGCGGCATCGACAACGGACCCTCCTGAGCCGTTGACCGAGGGTGAGTAGTGTTTGGAAGCGCTCGCGGGCTTCGTCGGCGTCTTAAATGGGTCTCCTCCTCCTCCTCCTGGTCGCCTCTTTGATGGCGTCGAGGGGTCCACGAGCGGGCGCCTCGTCTTTTCTCTTGCTGCCTTCTGTCTCGGTTGCTCGGCTCTCTTGGAGTCTTCCCTGGATGCCGAGCTCGAGCTGGACGAGGCCTTGGGCTTCGAGCCCTGCGACGCATGCCACTGGTCGTAGATGGCCGCAACGTGGGGCACCTTGTCCATGTCCTTCCGGCTTGGCTCTCGTCCATGCTGCCACGTACAAGCACGTCTGAGCTTTCTTCCTCCAGTTTCATGAAGCTCGTTGGCACTCACCTGCTGCCGGAATTCACGCTGCCACGCCTTGAGCTGGCGCTTCAACGTCGACTCCATCTCGGCCCCCTTTTGATTCCCGTTTCCTAGTCGCAAATCGAAATGGACGTTAACGCCAAATGGGAAATGAAATAATGCCCGGCCTGCCCGCGACGCGTCGGCTCACGCGGCGCCATCAAAATCTCCAAGCTTGGTGTTCTTTGCAATCTTAAAGTTTCCCTTGCATTGGCAGTCAGGCCGTGTGACACCGTCATTGTCGGTTCTTAGGCATAACCAAGCGTGGTGGATTCGGGTCCGGCGTGCGTCGAAGGAAGACTGTTGCTCCGATTCCCTTGCTGGCCAACTCCTCTGTGGAAAAGACAAGGGCCACCCAGCGAAGGAAGTTGGAGGCATCGCAGGTGCGACCGACACCTTCGTCCGCCCCCCCGCTCGTTTCAAGACGCAAACGGGACCATGGTGCCGGAGGCGAATGCCCTCCTCGCACCTCACAGTTTTGCCCAGCTGGCAGATGATGCATTCAGCGAGGACCTCTGTGAGTGGTGTCTTCCTCATTGGTCGTGGCGCACACCTTGCTGTATGCTGAGCATGGACCATGTCAGACGAAGCGGGCCTGCACGTCGTAGACGACATTGCTTCACAGGGCTTCTACCCCGACTCGTGAGTCCTGACAAAGCGAGCTGGAGCGTGGGTTTCTGACTCGGCAGCAGATCCCTCGTCCGGCATGTAGCGGCCATTGCCCTCGTCTCGACTTGTCCGCCCCAGCGCAGCAAGGACAAGACCAACAGATCGAATCTCGCCAGGCCCAGCAACGAGGCCGCGCTGGCGTCTACGGCCATTCTCGCCCGTCTTGCGCGGCTGCTCGATGTCGACGTCATTCTCGATGCCTTTCCGCCGTGCTCGCGGGCTGCTGTACGTGGGGATGCGTCCAGCAACAGCAGCAGCAGCAGCACCAACACAAAGGGACGCAGAAGCAGCGGTGAAGGCAGCGAGGAGGACAGCGCGGGGATGAGCAGTCGGACGAAGATGCTTGCTGACGAGTACGGGGCAAAGGAAGACGTCTGGGAAGTACTGAGGATGGAGGAGCTTGGGAGTATCAAGGTGCACAGCAACAGCAGCACCAAGAGCAGGACGAGGGAGGGGGAAGAGGCCGGCGTGCGATCCAGGTTCAGGAAGAGGGTCCACAAAGAGGGACATGAAGAGGAAGAGGAGGAAGCCGGCTCTAGCGCTTACGATCGCGAGGCAGTCTGGCGGATACTGGACGTGCTTGTCCATTGCTGGAGGGGACAGAGGATGCGGGTCGAAGCAGGGAGAAGATCGTCGAGGCTCTCGCTGCATCTCGCGCGACAGTTTCCCAGGCCGAGGAGTAGTGCGACGGGGAAGCGGCGTAGAAAGCCAGATGGGCACGAAGGGGAGGATGACGAGGGGAAAGAGGAGAAAACGGCTGTTGCATCCACCGAAGTAGGGGAAGCAATCGACGTCGTCGTTACCGGGCTTATGCCGCGGTGGACAAGAGAGAGGGAGCAGAAGACCAGGCTGAGCCGAAAGGCAAAGCATGCGGAGAGGCACAGACGAGCAAAAACGGCAACGAGGCTGCTCATAGAGGTGGGTACTGCCCTCGTACACACTGCCTCAGAGGTGGCCCGAGCCCTGACCACCCCATGCATACACAGCTCCTTCATCTGGGCCGACTCGGCCTGCTCGACAAAGACGCCCTCGTCCGGCGCACGGCCATGATTCTCGACGAGGCTGACGACGTGGCCATCGATGTCATTCTTGATGAGATGCTTGCAGAGACCGATGCAGCCGTCGAGAACGCGTTGATGCGTGCAATCACCCTATACCTGGTTCAGACGGTGAATGTGAAGACGCAAGCTGCCGACTTTCGGTCTGTCGAGATGCTTCCCGATCTAATCGTCGACGACCATGATTCGGAGAGCATCCCTCTACTTTCGCGTCTCGTCCTTGCCTCACCCACGCCCTTGACCATCGAGAAGTTCATCGCCCCAGACGTGGCCCAAGCCAAGAAATCTCCGTACGACGAACTTCAGAAGGAGCTCGATGTGATGCGCGACACCTGGACGCTCTCGACGGACGAGGCGCCGCGCAAGCGACGCTGGGCCTTTTCGAAGGTGTCGAGCTTTTCCTCTTCTGCAGGAAGGGTGAGCAGCAACAGCAGCAGTAGTGGCAGCAGCGGTGGAACTGCATCTGCCCTTGGCTCGAGCCAGACGAGGGCCGACTTGCCAAGCAAGACGCAGAGGAGTGCCTGTGTCGAGGCGCTTGCCCTGACGGCAGCCATGCGCCTCGCCGAGCTCCAGGCCCGGCTCAGGGCAATTCGCTTCGTCCTTGTCCTTGTCGACGCCGTCCGTCGCTCGTCAAATTCGATGGGCGACGGCCTCGATCTCGACCTCGAGGGCTTCGTCGATGCCCTCAAGACGCTGCGGGACAAGGTCGTGGAGACAAAGATATCAATGGAGGGCATCGGGAATGAGAAAATTGAAAAGCTCGTCGCTTCATTTGTCGTCGGCAAGCCAAGGCACATTGCGGCAGAGAACTACAGAAATCTCTTCGAAGACGCCCTCATGGGCTTTGAGCGGGGTATCAGCACGCTGCAGGGGTGGGTCGACGTCGGCGAGCTCTGGACGCGTGGTGGGATGGATGACGAGGACTGAGGAAAACTCTACATTGTATATTGTAAAACCACTACTACCCAATCAAACAATCAATCACTGACTGGACAAGACTGCAACACGATGGTCATGGTGACTGTTCTGTACAGGTGGCGCCCTCGGTCGTGACGTGGAGGAACTGGACGTGGCAGGTGATCTGCTCCTTGGAAAATTCGTGGCAGATTGTGTCTGCAATGGCCTGCTGGTTGGGCCGCGAGGTAGAGGCGAGGGCGAGGATGGTGGGGCCGGCGCCTGAGAGGCAGATGCCGAGCAGGCCCGGGTGCGTCGACGGCGTGACGCTGGCGAGAATTCGCGGCAGGCCGGGGATCAAGTGCTTACGGTACGGCTGGTGGACGCGGTCCTGCATCGCCTGGAAGATGAGGCCCTGGTCCGGCGGGCTCCTGGCGAGTGCCGTCGTGAGCACGGCGAGGCGCTGCAGGTTGAAGATCAGGTCCGCCTTGGAGTAGCTGTCCGGCAGCGCGCTCCGTGCTTTCGCCGTCGAGACCTCAAATTGAGGAATGATGGCAATCACATCGATCTCGGGCGCCCAGCCAAAGCGGATGTAGTGGCCAATTCCGTGCGGCGGTGCCGGCGGGTCTTTGCCCCACTCGGCCCCCGCATCGGGCGGGTATTCGGGCAGGACCTCCGAGAGAGGCACGGCCTTTGCCGTCGTGTCTTCTGGTGAGAGATCGAGGAGGTAGGACCCGACGAAGCCACCGATGAGCGCAGCCGTGACATTATCTGGGTGGCGCTCGATCATGAGGGCATGGTCCAAAAGGCGCTCCTTGGGCAGGCGAAGCTCGCCCAGGGCATCACCAAGGAGCAGACCGGCGACGACAGCGGCGCCCGACGACCCCAACCCTCGCCCAAAGGGAACTTCGTTGTTGACGTCGATCGAGACACCGAGTGGGAATGATGAGATACCGGCGCACCGGAGGACGTAGAGTGCCGTCCGAGTCGTCAGATTCTTATAGGCGTCGAGAGGCGCCTCGGACGCGCCCTCGCCAGTGTATCGAAGCGTCGGTGCTGTGTTTTTGAGCTGGGCGTCAACGGTGACGGACAGCGTCAGGTACAGGGAGAGGGACAGGCCGACGACGTCGAAGCCGGGTCCGATGTTGGACGAGGTGCAAGGCACCTTGATCTCGAAGCGACGGACCATGCCCAATTCAATGCCTTTTTCCTTTGAGCTTTGCGATTGGAGCGAGGAGTCATTTCTTCCTGTCCACCCAAATGATTCTTGGCTTTTGGCTCATGCATGCACCTTCTGCTCGCGTGACCGAATATTTCCGTCACGCGTTGCCCAAGCCCCCAATCGACTTTCTTCTCGTCGCAGAAAAAAAACGAGAAAATCAGAGACGACATCACCAAAGGCATCGCCATAACAGAAGGCAGCGATAATGTCGGTGGTACTACCGCCTCCGGGCTCGACTTCGCGAGTCCTGCGGCATCTCCGCCACATGCTGCCACCCCAGGGCAGTAGCGTCAAGGGCAATGGCAAATTCTCGCGAAGGGGCGTCCCGCGGTACGGCGGCAATGGCATGCCTGCGTATGTGCAGCCAAAGGATCGCATTGCATACTGGAACATTGCACCGGGGGACGAGGTCGTCGTCACACGAGGCTCGTTTGTCGGCAAAGATGGACAACGAAAGCAGTACGGCGGCATCGTCGCGAGCGTGGACCAGGAGCGGAACCTCGTCTGGCTTCGCGCGGCCGAAGAGGACAAGCCAGAGCTGACGGAGCGCATCCCGACGCAATACAAGCACATGCTCCCGCGTCTCTACGATCCGGAAGACCCGTCAAAGGGCTACTCTAGCAACGTATCCCTCGTCCCCAAGCCGGTGCACTACTCGAACCTGTCGCTGAAGCTGCCAACGAACCTGCAATTGCCTGAAAATGTCAAGCTGGACCTCAAGAAGGGTGTCTATGCGAGCAGGCTTACAAGGTCCGGTGTCAAATACGACCGCAAGAAGGGCGCCTTTGTCTGGGAGCGCTATGCCATCGTCCCAACGCTAGATCAGGGAACGGTCAAAGTGCACGTACCCTGGAAGAAATCCGAGGGAAGACAAAGCGTCCGGCGGAGTAACGCTTCAGTCGCCCACGTCGTCGATCGAGAGACGTGGGTGCCTTGGTCGCCCACCGATCCCATCTTTGTCTCTGCTTTCCAGGGCAAAGGCTTGGGCAGTCTCAGCAGGGGATTCAGGACGAGTCCGGCGTCTGAGGAGAGGCTGGTAAAGGCGATGGAAGAATGGCGAATGTTGCACGGGAGCAAGAAGGCTCAACAGAGGCGCAGAGGGCTCTTGCTCGTCGGTGACATGGTGCGGCAAAGCGTCAAGGCTCCGCCCGTTGCACAGGCGCCAACACCGAGCGAACAAGTCGCAATGCTGAACGAAAGCAGAGCGGGGTGGAGCCGCACAATAGACGACTCGGACGCCTCGGCCTCCTTTGCAGAGAGCGACTACCTCGACTTGGCACCGGCCGAAGGTCCCCTTTCCTCAGCAGTCTCTCGCACCCTGCCGCTCGTTGCTGCTCACTCCTCGTCTTCAGGAGCAATTCCGACGAAGCGAGACGGGAAGACGGGAAGATTGGGACCTGAGCACACCGCCGACAAACGCACAGTTGATGCCTGGCCCATCGAGCTCCTCATGAAGGACGATTTGACCAACGAGGGCGGTCTCAAGACGCGCATGCGCCGCTGGCGGGAGAAGCAGCTCGAGAAGAAGCAGCTGGATGAGCTTGCCAAGTTTGAAGAGCATCAAAACATCCAGGCGCTCAGAGACCTGAAGCTGTAAGAGTGCCATCCCAATGAAATGCAATTCCAGGCAAATCCAGAGCAAAGCAAAGACAGAAGAGAGAAAGAGAGGTATGCTATGGTGTGTGATGGGACGAGCCGGGTTCCAGAACTCGAGCTATACAGAATGCGTACGGTGAACGAAGTTATTGTCCTGTGCTGCTGACCATTATGAGGAAGGAAGGAGATTAGAACACCAGAAAGAGAGCAAGGGTGCAGAGAAGGAAAAGAGAGACGAGAGACGAGCCGGCAAGTGTGGAAGCGTCACTCGTGCCGGTGGTCTGAGAAGAGGAGCTGGACGAACCAGTGGTCGCGCTCGAGCCTTTTGTCTGGCTCGATGAATTGGTCGCGCCTCTGTTGGGGGGCGCCTGGGATGGGACGGCTGTCCAGCCGTCGGGCCTCCAGCCTGTTGGCAGGTTCGAGTCTTTGAAGAGGGAAGCCCTTCCCTCGTCGGACGAAAAGACCTCCTCGGGATTGTGATCGGCATTTTCCACGACAATAAGACGTGTGCTGATGTAGTTCGACGAGATGTTGCTCCAGTCGGGCAAGCTATCGTACGACCCTGGGAAGCCGGTGAGGTCCTCAGAGGTTCGCGCAAGTGTGTTGACGTAGCGCCACCAGATCAGATTACGGTCACGTCGCTTGGTGCCGCCCTGCATTTCAGCCATGCAGTACGTGTCGCCACTGGCGTCGACGTCTTGGTATCCGACAATAGAGACGACATCGCGGGTGATGTACTGCTTGAAGTAGTCTTGTGGCGATTTGAGGCCGTCGGACGTGCCTGTGAAGTTGTCGAAGCCATAACGCCAGGTGTTGTACTCGGGGCAGCTTGACTTGGACGGAAGAGTCTCGCCCGAGATCGAGGGGCGGTCCGTCGTGAAGTATGCACACGATGACGGGTCACCGTGGACGTAACGAACGTGGACGTTCGAGGGTGGGTCCTTGGCGACGGCGGCATACCGAGAGATGAGCTGTCCGCCTCCGCCATGCCCGGCCACGGTGATATTGTTCATCTTCGGGTACCTTGTCGAGTTGGAGAATTCGTCCACAAGGGCATCCAAGGCATCGAACGAGGTCAGCTTGGTTCCCGATGGGTGGTTCGCCGGGTCGCCGGCCTGCCAGGCGTTCACGTCGGGCCATGCCAGATCCGACTTGGAGTATTGCTGCGCAAAGGGCAGCGTGAGCCTCGCAGTTCAACTCATCGCATGGAATGCGCAACACTTCTCCTCACCCCTGAGTTGTATTTTGTGCTGAAGAATTCTGGTGCGACCACGATGGAATCCTCGTCCGCACCGGGGTAGTTGGCCTTCACTGCGCTATCGAGGGCATCGTTCATGATTGTCCAGTAGTTGTCTCCGTCTCTGAGCTTCCCGTGGATAAAGATGAATGCTTGCTTCGCCTTGTCCTCGTTTGGGTTCTTTGTCCAGTATGCAGCGATCGTCTCACCGCCATTTCCGACGGGAATATCAGTGAAAGTGGAACCCTTGGGCGGTTTGATTGTGCCGTGTGCTTCGCCCTCGTTGTTGTTACCGCCTGACATCAGCGTGCTGGCGTCCCTTTTGGCATGGTGCTTCGAAAGGTTGAAGCGCGACTGCACCACTGGCTCTTGGGCCCAGACCGAGTGCCCAGCGATCAAGGAGATGCCGAGCATCGCGCCTGCCACCGCGCTGAGCTGCATCGTTATAAGGGATAGTCCGAGAGAGAGAGGGGAAGGATAAAAGAATAAGGAAGAGAAGAGGAGAGAGAGGAAGAGGGTGGTTAGGTGGATGATCGTCAGCCAGCAACGAACGACATGGGTTGGTGAGGGAGGAAGGTGAATAGCGAACCCTGGCGAATATTAAATGCACTGCCCGGCGTACTGGGCTGTTCTCGTCGCCTTGGCAACGGCAGATTTTCTCCCCAGAGCTCCAAAAATACACCTGCACCCGACCTTTCATTAGCGCAGGGCGATTCGCCAACCTATCTTTCGCCTGGCCGGCAGTGCGGAAGCCAGCCGCTCGAAAGCGTTGGAATTGTCCTTTTGCAAAAGGCATGTACAACCGAGCGCAATATTAATTGTAAGCAAGAATCGGCAATCATCATATACAGAATGGGAGAGTCCGAGCGAGTGGGCAATCAGGCACTGAGCCCTTTGTGTTTGTGGATCGTGACAAAAAAGTTCTTGAGTAGAAGCAGAGAAGGATTGGAAACGGGTCACCTCTACCAGGATTTCTTTGGATTTTTTCTCGGCTTGCATTTTCATACAGAACATAGCGGAAAAGCTGAGGAAAATGCGTGTCTGCGTGTTTGCCAAGGGGAATCGGGAACATCGACGCGCATGAAGCTCAGACATTGGTTCGTCCACGTGGTTCCACTTTTGTTTCTTCCTCATGAACGAAAGAATACGCAGGGCCGCGGTCCGTGCGGACGGCAGGGAGTTATGGAGACCATGAAGAAGCAGAAGGCTGCTTCAGAAAAGTTCTGTGACAGTGAAATCACTAATCTTCGGCAGGCTGACATGGCTCGATGCTGCCAGAAAGCAATGCATTGCGATCCACGAGGAGAACTAAAACGTACGTTGAGTGCCTGGCCACTACTGAAGGTGAGCCGGTGCACCAAGATCGACCGTAACGCCAAGAAGGCTCTACGCAAGGAATGCCGAAATATTCTGCTTGCAGGCCGAAGAAAGATGCGGAAGAAGCAAGCTTATTTGTTGTGGGCAGTATCGCTCTCCATGTGTCTCGCCTCGCATTCGCAGCCACGGCTTGATATTATCCGAGACGGTACTCCGCTGTTTGGGCGGCAGGGGAGTTGGTGGTAGCTTGCGTAAGGGGAACCGATATGCCGGCCATCACCGCAACGACCAATCCATTAATCTGCCCACAAGCCAAACGCCGATCGCACGGCGCGTGGCTGCACTGCCGTCACGCAGGCCACACCCGTGCTACGCCGTACGGTAGCCGCTCTTCTCATTATTAAAATTAAGGACAATGTGCCAATGACTTCGTCCGCCTTGCCATCTCAACTTTAAAAGCAGACGATTAGGAAGAGGCGTGCATTCAGTTCACCATTGAACTCGAGCCGTGACATGAGACGATCTAGCCGGCCCCGAGTAAACGGCAATGAAAACGCTCATTCATTCAATATCTTTAGACCCAAACAGCTCACAGGTGTACCTTCACCAGCTCAAATTACGCGGTTCTCAACAGTAACGCTCTTCCCCTCATACCCAGCATAGGAATATCTAGCCGTTTCTGTTCGCACTCCGAACAGTCAGGCTCAAAATGACAACACACAATGCTTCTGAAGGCTCCTCTACGTCCACCTGAATGCTTGATCCCGAATATTGAGTCAAAGATAAAGCGCACCTTTCAGCCACGTTCCTGAGTCGGAATTTGATCCTGCCTCATATAGTATGGCGAACAGATCCCCACAAATGCAGGACCGTCTGTTCGAAAGTCCGCTCAGGGCAAGGGTCCTATCTCGACGGTATCCTCCACTCCCTCCTTGAGAAAGAGTACACGAGCGATTGCGATCAAGCTAATGCCTGAGATGCTAGCGTTCCCGGTAGCGGCGACTCAGCTTGACAGTCAGGGTTTCAACACTTCACAGAGGGTTGAAAGAGAGCTCCCGCGACTCGAAGGGCTGGTTATTTGGCCGTCACCGATCCCTTTTCCTCAGGCTGCCACAGCCATTTGGTAACGGAAGTGGTGACCCTTGGCTGTTGTATAAGCAGGTCCCCACATACACTCGTTCGTCGCCACTACGTATACTCCATGACGATGGCTTTCCTCCCAACAACTTGTGTTCACTGTATACGAAGAAGCCTGAATTATTCCATTGCGCGCTTATTGTGACTTCGGCGGGCGGACAATGGGAGGCGGATATGTTCTCACAGGTATTTTGCAATAACAACGGGAGTCGTTCATTTTACTGCTGTGAAGCTCGTCGCAATGGTCTCTAGCCCGTGAATGGTAACACGTAGAATTTGCTCCGATAGATGGGGGGTCAAGTTCCCCTTGTGTTGAAATGACGCACAATTGCAGGTGCAAATGTAATTCTCGCTGCTTTACCGATTAATTGCTTTGCCCGTATGAGCAATCAATAAAAATTCGCCGGTGCATGTGTTGCCGCCCGCAGGATGCGCATTGTCAGCACGGGGACGGCAACAGGGTCAGGGTAAGGCGGTCCGCCTGCATCATTGAGCTTCTAATAACATGTACCCAATCCGCACCTCGGGACGGTTTGCCCACTAGTTGCTAATCTTGGCAAATGCACGGCGTGGAAAAGGGGGGGAGGGGCACACCCCATGGAGGCAGGCTAGGAGCAAAGGCGAAAATTTCAAACAATGAGCTTAGGAGGCCGAGGCGTCGGTTTGAAACGATCGATGACGTCCTTGTGAACTCTTGAACTTAGGCAATCAAGAAAATAGAAAATTATAGAAAATCCTTTCCACAATCACATTGTAAAGGTCATCACCAGCACGACATATAGCGACCGCGAGGACACATACATCGACAGGTCGATGTCGGTCGACGATCAAGACTGTCCCAAACTTCTCTTTCCTTTCTGCTCGTTTCCTTCGACATAGAAGACGCAGGTCAACCTTGTCAGCAGTTCCGCGAAAGCCCACCACCCTCTTTCATGTATTAGAACTCCGCGACCGCCCACCCTTCTTCTCTCTCCGCCCATCTTTTCTTTCCTCCGCCCTTCGCATCTCCTACTCTTAGCCCCTCAACTCGCTCACCTGTACCGCCGCGCAGCGCCACTCCGACACCAACGGTAGTACAGGAGTGCAGCAGCAGCGAGCGTTAGATTGTCACTCTTCTCCCACGTCCCTCTCTTCGAGCCTGGTGCTTGAAGTAAAGACAGAGATCGGGCATCAGCAATACCATACAACAATACAGATCTAAAGCGATAGAATGGCAGCAGCAGCAGCAACAGCAGTGATGGCCGACGTGGCAAGGCCGCGACAAATATTGCACGAAGAACAGCTCGACGAAGAGACATACGGCCCGGCAGGAACGGGGCCAAAGGTGGTCCGACGAGGTGGACACATCATTCCAATGATCCGTCTGACGCCGCCTGACAGCCGGCCAAGCCCGTCGGTCGCCGTGCCCGAGCAAGAGCTGGGTAAAAACTCCCTTTACGTTCCCCTGCGGACCGAGGAGGTCGGCTGGGAGGAGGGCGGGCTCATCTGGGCCCCAAAGAGGTACTGGTATCCCACCGTGAGCCTGTATGGTGGTGCCGACGACCACGTCATCGGCACCTACCGAGGCGGACCAAAGGGATACAGCTTTGTCAACATCACCGACTCGGCCTTCCGTCTCGCGAATGGTGACGGCGAGAGCGGCGCGAGTAACAGCAATACAGGGAGTGGACAGAGCCGCAAGGATCGGTCCAGGAGCCAGCTACCAAAAGCGCACGTTGCCACGATGGCCAACAAGGCAGTGGAGGAAGAGCCAGCAGCTGCAGAAGCAAAGACAGTGGCACAGGCGCTCGAGGAGCAGGTCGAGGAGGCGGCAGCAGCAGCAGCCGAGGAAAACCGAGCTCAGGCTCAGGAAGAGGACGAGAAGGAACGCGAGCGTTCACGGCGAATGATCTCTCTTCCACGCCGATCGTCATCAGTCTCCTCATCTGCGTCTTCGTCTGCCTCGACATCACGCCGGGGAAGCTCTTCGACGACGTTCGACGACGACGAGGCCGGTTCTGGCGCCGACACAGGCATGACAACACCCGCCGAGTGCGAGTCGCCGATGGACGTGGATACCAAGATGGCTGACCGTCTCGAGGCGGCCCTGCACGCCATTAAGGAGGAGGAAGTGCAGATTGAGCCTGCAGCGAACAAGGCTAAGCTGGCCAGCCGTGTTGGCAAGGACGTCGAGATGGAGGTTCCAGAGGAGCCCATCGATGCCGCCCGACTTGGTGGTCCATTCCAAGCATCGCTGCTCCAGAAGTCGTCTTCGATCGGCCTTCACCGCAGCCTGGTCCTGTCGCCTTCTGTGCCCAGCCAGCACCTCCAAGCGCCAAGAGGCCGATCCACTTCGCGACCTAGTCCGCCCTCGTACGTGACGCAGGACCGATACAACGGTGGCTGGGCATTCGAACAGAATACGATGCGCCAATGGCTCTGAAAAATTTATCTCATCAAGATGCTCGCTTTGAAGCTTGCATCTTCTTTACCAATCGTCATGGGTCTTTGTGCTTCATATCTCCTCTCTCCCACTCCAGATGCTACTCTCCTTTTCACATCAATCTTTATGTATTTATAAGACCGGCTTCTCAGCATCAAGAATAGCCACCGTCTCCAATTCCCATCATTGCCTCTTGCTACTTGAAAAACGGTGTGCGTCCAGTATTTGGCTGGGGTCGGAGCACCTCGGCTCGAGGCCGTGAAAAGAGGACGCGTGGGCAGTGGAGTTTTTCTGGCCTCTGTGGAGCAAAATTGAGCCGGTCGCGCTGTAAGCCGGTCCCGCCGTCGTCCTTGCCCAGAAGCAGGAATCTACGAGATTTAAAGAATCCTTTCTCCATCCTCTGCGCTCTCCGGGTTTCTCTGCTCTCCCCTAGCCTTTGTTCATCGCTTCTTGTCCAGGCGTGTGTTTCTCACCCCACCCCATGCACTCGCTTGCCAGCCTTACCGCCCGACGAGCAGGCAGAAGCACCATCACATCTTCCTCGTCCATTCTCAAGACCAATCGCATTCAGGCGCGCACCATGATTCTTCGCGCAACAACTTTGGCCGGCGGAAAGGGGCCTCTGCTGGCCGGACAAGACTCGCTGCCCAGTCTCCCCGTCCCCTCTCTCGAGCAGACGCTGCCAAAGTACCTCCGCACCACTCTTCCGCACCACCAGGGCAACGAGGCATCGCTCAAGCGCACCGAGTCGGCCGTCGAGGCGGCCCTCAAGGGAAAGGATGCCGCACTGTTCAAGAAGCTCCAGGAGAGGCTGCAGCAGCGGGCAAAGGACCCGGAGTCGGACGGCAACTGGCTGGCCGCCTGGTGGAACGACGCGGCTTACATGGGCTACAGGGACCCCGTCGTGCCATTTGTCAGCTACTTTTACCTGCACAAGGACGACCGCTCGCGGAGAACCGGTCCGACACGCGCTGCGAGCCAGATCAAGGCCATGCTCCAGTTCCGCAAGCTCCTAGAGAGCGAGGAATTGGCTCCGGAAAAGACAAAGAGCGGGCCCATGTGCTCCGGCTCCTACCCCTGGATGTTCAACTCATGCCGAATTCCGGAAAAGCCAATTGACCAGGCCAAGAAGTACGATCCTCGGAGCAACAACCACCTGGTCGTAGCCAGGAACGGCCACTTCTTTGAGTTTGAGCTCGTCGTCAACGGAGAAGAACTCAGTGCTGCTGAGATTGAGGCGTAAGTCTTTTGAACAAACTGCCAGAAACCAGCCGAGAGCGAGGAGCTGACTCCCTGAATACAATGCAAACAGGCAACTGGAAAAGATCGTCAAGGACCCGGCGGCATCGAAGATGGACACGTTGCCCGTCGGAGCGCTCTCTTCGGTGGACCGAGACACCTGGACCGACTCTCGCCAGGCGCTGCTCAATGTCACAGGTGACGGCGGCAAGCACAACCAGAAGATGCTCGAGCGCATCGAGAGCAGCGTTATCCTTCTCTGCCTCGATGATTCTGCACCCGTGACGACGGAAGAGCGAGGCTGGAATGTCTGGTGGGGTGATGGCAAGAACCGCTTCTACGACAAGCAGCAGCTCATCGTCACCAACAACGGAAAGGCTGGTTACATGGGCGAACACTCTACCATGGATGGAACGCCCACGCTGCGCATGAATGACTTCATTCTCTCTGCCTTGCCTGCGGGCAAGATCGATCTGGGCAACTCAAAGCGATCGGACCTGCCCACTCCCGCGCTGCTCAACTTCCAGCTCGACAAGACAGTCGAATCGCGCATTGCAAGCAGCATCGCCGCATTTGAGGACCTCAAGTCGAAGCACGACCTGGCTGTCCTTGAATTCAGCGCCTACGGCAAGGAAGCCATCAAGAAGTTCAAGTGCAGCCCTGATGCGTGGGTGCAGATGTGCATCCAGGTCGCTTTTTACAAGATGTTTGGCAAGCCGGCGCCGACGTACGAGTCGGCCCAGACGCGAAAGTTCAAGTGGGGAAGGACCGAGACGATCCGATCGTGCAGCCCCGAGTCGCAGGCGTTTGTCGAGGCGTTTGAGTCTGGAAAAGTGTCGGACGAAGAAGTCTATGAGCTGTTCCAAAAGGCGACGAAGCAGCACCTGTCCTACGCCGCGTCGGCGGCCAATGGCGAGGGCGTGGACCGACACCTGTTCGGTCTCAAGAAGCTTCTGCAGGAAGGAGAGGAGGTGCCGGACCTGTACAAGGACGAGATGTACGCAAAGAGCAGCCACTGGCTGCTGTCGACGTCGCAGATCTCGAGCGAGAGCTTCGATGCGTGGGGCTACGGAGAGGTTGTCCCCGATGGCTTCGGATGCGCTTACGCTGTGAGTCGTTCTACTCCCTTCCGCTCTTTTTACGGTTTCAAGTCGCTGACTAGACGAGAAATGTACAGATCAAGAGCGACTACCTGACCTTCTCACTCACGAGCAGGAAGCAGGACGCCGCCAAGCTGCGCCACTACATCAACGAGGCCTGCCTCGAAATGCGGGACTTGCACCTCCGTCTGGCCTCGAAGTCTGGCGGCGAAAAGGCAAAAATGTAGACTGCCCATCCTCTGACTCAATGCCTTACTTTACATCTTCCTCACTATCTCCCAATTGCTCGCTAGTCTTGTTCAAAATACGATATACAATTACACACACAGACGACAAAGACAGTTGAGGACAATTCTCGAATTAGAACGCACTCGTCGTTCGGAGCGACTCGAGCTTCTTGTTGATGTCGGAAGGCGTTCGGTCGTTGAGCTCCTCCGCAATGGCGGCCTGTCTGGCGTGTGGAAGCAAGCCAAATGTCTCGCATAGATCTCCATCAACGACTGCCTTGACAGGTGTGTAGTAACCGCGGTAGGAGAGATGGTCTCGTCCGACGAGAGATGCAGCTGGATTGGTCTCTTGGCGAATGTGCTGCTCGAGCATCGACATTGTCTCGACATCGTCCTTGGCCACAAAGGGAACGAGGGCACCGACTGTTCCGCCCAGGCAGGTGTACAGGATCACATCTCTCCCGCCGGCCACGAGTCGGACCTTTTGCAGGCTCGTCACGACGTCTCCTACGTAGAAGTGGGCTTCCAGGTGCACCTTGTGGGCCGATGCACCCTGCAAGAATGGCTTCTCGGACACGATGCTCTGCCCGCTCGGGTCTTCATCGACCATCTCGGTCAAGTGCGCATCCGGTTGCCGCACAATGGCCACATTCCCGAATCTGTCCCCGACGCAGACCGTCTCATAGTCGAGCATCGTCGTTGCCGTTGTATACCGCGGCATGACGTCCTCTGCAAAGACGACGAAGCGGTTCTCCCTGGGCTTGTAAGCGCAGAAGAAGACGCTGTCTTGCATGTCGCCCACAATGATCCGGCTTCCCTGGGTCCGGAGAGACACGATGACTGAGTTGCTGAACGACTTGTTCTCGCTCTTGCGCAGCAGCTTCTTCTTGCCCAAGTCGTAGATCCGCAGAGACTTGCCGACGCCTGCGAGCAGTCTCCCCTGGAATGACTCAAGGACGAGCGCGACGTCATCGACGGGGGTCTTATGGACAAATACCAAGCTTTGCCCTTCTTCCGAAAGCCGGTAGACATGCAAGAAGCACGATTTACTCTCTCTTGGCGTCACCCGCGTCTCTTGCCCCGTTCCCACCACAAGGTACGTCTCCTGCGGGTTGTCACTGCTGAGGAAGTTGACAAGAGCAAGGCTGAATGCTGCTTCGTTCTCCTCCAGCTGCAATTTGAATGTTGTCGCCTGCTTCGTTACGTCTACGATTCGGACGCAGCTGCTCCAATGCCCAGCACCCGCTCTGACCGGCCCAAACTCGGCTTCGTCGAGGTCTAAGACACCCTGGTTTCCCACCTTGAGATCTTTGCCCATGCTCGCCAGTCGCGTTTTGGCCTCCCAGGGTGACAACGTCCGATTGTCCGACTCGACGGTGTAGAAGAGATGTGGCCGTTCGGGGTGGCTTGTGATCTTGCGAGGCGTGTACGACAAGGGAATGCTGTCCGCCTTGATCTTTGTTCCCAATGTCGGTATCGTGAAGATTCGAAGGCTGTCGCCAATGATGCCGATGAGACCCTCCGGGCACAATCCAGCACTGAAAGTCCAGACATCATCGAGGGCGTCAAAGAGCAAGGGTGTAAAGTGCGTTCGATCTTGGTAGGTATAGGAGAGCCAGGAGCGAGAGCTGAGCGCCAGCACGGCTGGTTGAGTGCCCTGCACCTTGACAGGGACCAGTTTGACAGGCTTCGCACCAAGGAATCTAGTTCTCGTATCCGTCAGTTGGCCCGAGGTGGGGTCGAGAATCGTTCGCAAAAGGACACCATTGACGAGACCAATGTTGACGAAAAATGTTGGGTGGTTGCGATCGATTGTCATGTCGTTCATCTCTGCTACACAGATGCTGTTGGGTGCCGCTGTCAAGGCCTGAATCGAGATGGTGGCCAAGGTGCTGTCCGGATCCAGCGACACGACGCGAACAGTATTGTCATCGCAGCCCACGGCTAGGTACGGTGTCCGCTGGCGTCCTTCGGGCACCGAAGCCATGCTCAGTGTCACGACCCCCGCACCCATGCCCTTGCGCTCTTGATACTCATTGAGCTGACCGTCCATATCGAGCTCAAAGTACACGATCTCGTTCGTGGGCTCCAAAGCAACAACAACCTGACGCTCATTGGTGGCCGCCTGTACGATTGTCGCCTGTCGCCCATCCGAAGTCATCGGCGCGGGCCATTCGGTCGGCTGGCGGGCCCCTGAAAGGATATGTCTGATGCCTGTGGGATGCACTTGCAAGAGTGCATCTTGACCGAGTTGCTGGACGGCCAGCGTAGGTGCCGACGTCATAAAGCCGCTGTCACTGACCTCTTCAATCATCTCGCCAATGGACAGGACTAGTGTTCCGTTGACGAAAGATAGAATGATGTATGAGTCGAATTCGTCGCTAGCCTGCAACTTTGTTGTCCAGACTGATTTGGGGACACCAGGCAGCTCGCTGCTGATCGCCTCTTGGACATCGAGACCGTGTTGGAGCACCTTTAGCGAGCTCCGGGGTCCTTTGCCGCACGCAGTAACGATCTTGGGCCCCTCTATCCCGCCCGAGGCCTCGTCATGCAGCAGCTTGGCATCAACGAGCGGGTCTAGCGCCGAGAGCTCGTCGGTCAAGAGGAGATTGACCAGGGGACGAGGTGCAAATAGGGGCGGCGCAGGAGGTATGTCGGACATGCCTAACGCAGGCAGGTCGTCGCTGCTGTATTCTGGCAGGTCGTCTTCATCGCCGAGCTTCTGGAACGAGTAGAGAAGCGTAGAGCCATTCTCGGCTGCAACGTAGAGGAAGCCGGCTCGAAGAATGCAGAGATTGGCGGCCACTGGAACCGTGTCGAAGTACTTGATCTTCATCCGCTGCATGACCTCTTCCTTGTGGTCGATGGTGACCTTGAACAAGTCGCCATCCTCGGTCTGAAGGAGGAAGAAGAAGCTGGCCTTCATGCGATGACACACACTCGCCACAATGATAGTCCCTCTCCTCTCCGACTCGACTTCGACCGGATTCTTCCGTCTTGGAATCGGCAGTCGATGGTCCTCGCCTTCATTGTGCTTGTATGTGATGTAATCTTCGGAGCATACCAGAACGCCGCTTGGCCCCTCCCATCGGTCGCTATTCTGGTTGAAACCGCCAGGGACTTGAACGAGATGATTGGATCGCATATCGACGGCCGTTGACCACTTGCGCACAACGTGATTGAGGCCCAGATCCAACTCATAGTAGGTGAGGAGCTGAGTGAGATGGAAGTCAGCATCCTCATTTGTGAAGATCGGGGGGAAAGACCAGCTCACCTTTTCTGCCCTTTCGAACGCCTCTCCCGTCGGATCTCGGTCGGAGTCCTCGTAGTCGACTTCCAAAGTAGCAAATAGCGGGTTCTCATAGCCAACATCCACCCCTACGATTGCGTGAATGATTGCATTTGGTCGATGCGCCTCGAGGGGACTCGAGATCGTGAGGTTGGCGGCCGAGTCTCTGTTGAGAATGTAGACGAGCTTGGCCTTCTCTACAGCTCCAATCATGACGGCTCTGCCTTTGGGATCGGTCGCGAGGTATTGTCCAGCAACAACGCGACGCGAGCCTGACCGGCCGTACGTCTCCTGGTGGACAACCGCAAATGAATTCGTCTTGGCATCGTATTCGGCAATCGTGATGCGCCCCGAGTCGGACCCGACAATGAGATAATCCTTGCTCCCTCCCGTCAGACGGAAGCTGGCCAAGCTGCGCACGACGCCAAAGGCGTGCTGTTCCAGCACCCGTCTTGCCTTTCCCACCGACACGTCCGGGCGTAGCAGCTCAAGCCGGGACCCGGCGCGACACACGACAACCTCCTGCTGCTTGGTCCCACTGAACTGGCCCACGACGGCTGCCGTGACATTGGACGGGGGCACGAGGGTGAGGTTGTAGAGATGCATCTTCCCACCAAAGCTCCAGCTGAGTCGTCCTGCGTCGTCGTCGTTGTCGTCGTCGGCTTGGATGTCTCTTCGAAAAAGTCAGCCTTGGATTCTTCCTGACATTTTCTCGGCCGACTGAGGCAACTACTACGCACGACGCGCACGGTCGTTCTCTAATCACACCCTCAGCATCCCCACCACTGACCGGCTCGGATCACCGACGCTACAAAGATGTCTGACGATGAGGTGAGCAGGTCTGAAAGCTTCGAGAGCATGTGCAGGCGCTGAAGCTTCTCCTTTCTTCTCTTCCCAGTTTCTTATGGACGATGCGGCGGACGAGGTGAGTGCTCGATGCGTATGAGCTGTCGCAGGCCGCCTGACTTACTGAGTCGATCGAGCAGGACTACGACTTTGACTATGAGGAAGACGATGCCGAGGACGAGGCCGATGCAGACATCGAGAACATGTACTACAATGCCAAGGCGAAGAAGCTCGAGGACGTAGACGGCGCATTAGACGACTTTGCGAAAGTCGTCGAAAAGGAGGGCTCGCAGAAGGGCGACTGGGGCTTCAAGGCACTCAAGCAAATGACGAAGCTCAACTTCCGCCGTGGAAGGCATTCCGATGCACTCAAGACGTACACCCAACTGCTCAGCTATACCAAGAGCGCTGTGACCAGAAATTACAGCGAGAAGTCCATCAATGGAATCCTCGACTACGTTTCTGCGGACACTTCTTCTACAACACAGGATGCGGCCAAAATCGACCTTGCGACGATGGAGCAGTTTTATGACGTGACCAAAAAGGCGCTCGAAGAGTCAAAGAACGAGAGGCTGAGTGTGAAGACAGACCTGAAGCTCGCTCGCCTCTGGCTTGCGAGGGGCGAGTACGGGAGGTTGAACACAGTGAGCATGACTGGGCACGTTTACCTGCATCTGAGTGCGAACTTGCCCGCTGACCTGTGACCACCTTCCGAACAGATTCTGAAGGATCTCCGGGCACACTGCACCACTGCCGATGGCGCAGACGACCAGTCCAAGGGTACGATCCTTCTCGAAATCTTTGCTCTCGAGATCCAGATGTATGGCGAGACAGGTAACTTCAAGAAGCTCAAGGTAAGCATCTGCCGGGCTGCTTGCCCTTGCTCCCCACCTTGAGCTTACACAAGATCCTAAGGAAACGTACGATGCCACATTGCAAGTCAAGAGCGCCATTCCCCACCCACGCATCATGGGCATCATCCGCGAGTGCGGCGGCAAGATGTACATGTCTGAGAGTGAGTGTGCAGGCCCGTCCCGTGGGAATCAGGAAAAGCCTGCTGACGGAATGTGGTCAGAAAATTGGGAGGCAGCCCAGATCGACTTCTTTCAGGCTTTTCTCAGCTATGACGAAGCGGGCAGCCCGCAGAGGATCCAGGTGCTCAAGTACCTCGTTTTGGCCCACATGCTCATGGGGAGCGACATTAACCCGTTCGACAGCCAAGAGACAAAGCCGTGGGTATCTTCGCCTGTGCCGTGGCTGCAAAGGTGATCAGAAGCTGACGGCATGGCGCCCAAGATAGATACAAGAATGATCCCGAGATCGTAGCAATGACGGACTTGGTGTCTGCCTACCAGCGCCGCGAGGTGCACGAGGCCGAAAGGATCCTGCGCGAGAACAAACGGACAATCATGGACGACGCCTTTATTCGTGCATACATCGACGATGTCCTCCGTGGCTTGAGGACCCAGTACCTCATCGACCTCATCAAGCCATACACGAGAATCGAGCTGGGCTTTCTGGCGAGGCAGCTCAATGTCACGCCAGCCGAGGTCGAGGCGCTGCTCATGACTCTCATCCTCGACGGCAAGATCGCAGGCAAGATCGACCAGGTGCATGCTCGCCTCGAGCTTGACAATGGCGCACGCCGTGGCGGCGATCTCAACGAGAAACGGTACAAGGCCCTGGATCGGTGGGCACGGGAGGTGGGCAACCTGAGTGCCACGGTCCAGGACAAGCATGGCGGAGGGGCGGGGGGCGGTTCAAGCGCAACACAGGGCGCTTTCGGCGGCCTTGGCCGATTGGCCATGGGCATCGGGCCTGGCCTTGCCTGACCTTCGGAACCGATCAAACAAACGACCAACTGTATCATGACATAGTACACTTTCATTCCCCTTCTACCTCTTTACAATCTTCACGCTCTACAAGTCTGCTGTCTGCTGCGGTATTGCGATGCGGGCTCTCATGCCTGCTTTTGTTGAGCCATGGCCTCCTTTTCGTCAAGGAGCTTCTGGATGAGCTGCTGGACGGTCGACATTGCCTCCTTGGCAAAGTTGCCCATCTCCCTTCCTGCGGCGTCGAGCCCTCCTTCGTCGCTGCTACTAGCCTGCTGCTGCTGCTGTTCAAGAACACTGGAGTGGGCGGCCACCTTGGCATAGAGGCTCTCTGCCGCCTTGAGCTCCATGATGCGCGCGTCGAGAATGGTAGCGAGGGCCTCTTCCTTTGACTGGGGCGCGTCGGCCGCCGACGCCGCCGCCGCCGCCGCCGATAAGGCGCCCATGTCCGAGCCACGGCCCTCGACGAGCATGCCGGCGTAGTTCATCATGCCCGGCGCGCTGCCCAGCTCGGCGGCCTTTTGGAACCAGCGCTTGGCCTCGGCGTCGTCGGGCGCGACGCCCCATAAAGCTTGGTGTCGCGCACGGGCCTGGCGCAGCACCTCGTCGTCGGACCGCCCGTCGCCGCTCTCGCGCGTGCCGTCGGCGCCGACCTGGCCCTGGCGGATCTCGGCGACGAGCTCGTCGCGGAGCAGGTAGCGCAGGCCGACGTTGTGGGCGCTCTGCGCATCGCCGCCCTTGTCGGCCGCCTTGACAAAGTGGTCCATCGAGAGGGCGAGCAGCTCGTCGCGCTTGGCCTGCTGCGCGGCGTCGTTGATCGCCATGGCGGCCTGGGTGTACATGATGCCAAGTGCGTGGTCGGAGCGCGCATCGCCCTTGCTGGCACCCAGCGCAAAGTACTCGCGCGCGCGCTGCTCTCCTTCTCCATTCCCCTCGCTGCTGCTCTTGCCCTCACTACCGCTGCCACCACCGTCATTGAGCGCGAGGAGGCCGAGCTCAAAGTAGGCCTCGCCCACGCCGAGGCTTCCCGCGCGTGTCCAGAGGGCCGTGGCGCGCTGGAGCATGAGCTCGACCTCCTTTTGCGCCTCGGCGCCGCTCTTGCCCGGCACGGGGTCCGCGCGCCGGGTGCCCGCGACGAGGACGCGGCCCATGCCGAGCATGCCCTGGGCGTCGCCGCGCATCGCTAGCGTCGCGTAGATGCGCACCGCACTCGCCTGCTGCCGCGCCACCGCCGCCACGTACTCGCGCGAGCCCGGCTTGAGCAGGTGGATGCCTGGCGGTGGCGGCGACTGGCCACCCAGCACCATCGAGGCCCAGCTGTAGCCTGCAGCATCAATGCCGAAGCTACCAGCGCCGGCAAGGGGCTCTCCAGCGCTGCCGCTGCTGCTGCCATTTGCCGCCGTCGCCGTCGCCGTCGCCGTCGGTGCTGGAGGCGTCTGCGTGGGGTCGGGCAGCGAGGCCGGCTCGACGCCAAAGGCAATGGCAAACAGGCGGAAAGCAATGGGGAACCGGCGCGGGTCCTTGCTCAGTCGGAGGATCCGCGTCGCCAGGCCATGCAGCGTCGCCGCTGCCGCCGTCGTCGCTGCCGCATCATTGCCGCCCGCTGCCCCTAGCAGCTGCGACCGAACCTCGTCGTTGGCGGCCGTCTGGAGCGCGAGCGTCTCGGCCTCGGTGCGCGCATCGACGCTGGCACGGAGCTGCGAAAGGACCGTCTCGACGACCTGCCTCGCGAGCGGCTCGGGCGGGAATTCGCCGGCGAGGCCCTGCGCGAGCATCGTCTCGCCGCCGTCGCCGCCGCCGCCGCCCTGCTGCGCCGACGCAAAGACGGCTGGTGGGAGGATGCGGTCGAGCGACGCAGCCATGTCTGGCGGCGGTGGGGGCGGCGAAGACGGACCCCTTTTACTCTCGGACGACGACGAGGCGGCAGCAGCAGCAGCAGCATCCACCTCGGGCGACGTGGGTGTGGCGAAGCGGAGAGCCGCAGATGTCGTCAGGCCCGCGCGGCCGCCCCGAGAAGCGCCCAGGCTGCGGTGGGCTATCGCACCCGTCATCCTGGCCGTAGTCGTCGTTGCCTGAGAGGACGCGAGGCTGCGGCGGGCCAGCGCCGACGCCGCGGGTCTCACTAATCGAGTCGTCATTGACATGCTTGCAGTAGTTGCACCGATGAGAAGAACTGGAATTGCTTCGAGAACCAAAATTGTTTGCAAGTGGAGCAGCGTTCGTCTCCCGCTGCTGACATAATCGCGTCATATGAGGCCAGCGTGGGGTCCAGTCGCAGACTTCGTCACACAGAGCGGGAAAAGTTAGATTGAGTGTCGTCAAGGCGATCGTTGCGCCCCAATGTGTGTCTTTGAACAAGTGTTGTTGATAGAGCTAAAGAGAGACAGACAGAGAGAGAGAGGGCGCGCGGGTTGAATTGAAAAAGAACGAGGACCGAGGAAGGAGAAGTAGGGACAGTAGAACTACATCATGACGTGAAAGATCTCTTGAGAGAGAGAAGAAATATAGTTGGTTGTGCTCAGGCCGCCACCTTTGCCGCGGCGCCATTTTCGATGTCTGGGCTCGGCTGCAGGCTCGGCGAGACACTCGACTGTGCGCTCAGCATCGGGTTGACTGGCAGGTTGAGGGGTTTCTTGCTAGGGCTGGCCGAGAGCGAGGCGGCCTCCCTCTCTTGCTGCTCAGCGGCTACGGCGTTGGCCAGATGGTGTGCCGGCGAGGGTCCTCCGTTGGCGGCGTCAAAGAGGGCGGCGGCCAGAGGCTTGGGCGGGAGGCTCGAAGGGTTGGACCCGCTGCCCGTCCGCCGATGGCCGAGACCGGCGAGGGAGCGTCCGGTGCTACGGGGGCTGTTGGTCGAGCCCATGAGATTGCGCGCGGGCGTCGCAGGCAAATCACCGTTGAAGCCACTGCCGCTGCCGTTTCCATTGCCGTTGGCGTCCGCCGAAGCTCCGTACGCGGGGGTGGCATGTGCATTTCCACCGGCGTTGGACCGCGATCGGGGTCGATTCTGGACTGAAGAAATGACCTGCGCAGCGTCGTCGCCGTCGTAGGGTCGGACCTTGGCAGGGACGCCGGCCGACGTCATGAGCGACGGCGGAGGCGACATGAGGACATGGAGATAGGCACGCTTGGCTGTTTGTATTCCATAGTCGATCAGCACAATCCAGCAAGGTACGAGAGAAGCCACATAAGAGGCACTAACCAGGGGCAGGGTCGGCAAAGATGACGAGAGCCGTGGTGTCGTCGACCCACTTGATCCTGAAGCCACCCCGGTCGTCCTCCCACTGGGCAAAAATGGCCTGGATGTCCCTCGTCTTGAGCTCGGGTGGGAATCCAGACAGCTCGAGGATCCTCGTCACCAAAGGCGAAAGCAGTGGAAGAGCAGACGACATTTTCCTGGTCTTTGAAGCGATCGACGCTCGGTACTCTTCTTGTTGGATTAGTGGCTCCCTGACTGATAAGAGGCAGCGTCGCTCGTGGGGGGCGGTGATATGACACCCGTGAACCGAAAGGGGGAGAAACAAAGTCGAATGCTGAGTGAACAGATCGACGATGAAGAAGAATGCGAGATGGTGGAAGCTATGCGAGAGGGCGTGGGATTTTGAGAACTGCGGGCCTGGAGTAGGAGAGAGGGAAATCAGCCACGGCTGAGAGAACACGAAATCGCACTTTTTTTCTGAGCGCCGGCCACACACGGCAAGACGGCGTGAGGCGCGGCGCGGTGCTGCATCGAAGTCTCACGTACCTGACTTGGCTTTCCCTTCCCGAGCGTGGCCTGCCTGGGTGCTCAATCGGTGGTAGAGGGAAGGCAGAACTTGTCAAGGGTCTAAGTCGTGACTGATAAGGAAGGGAGTGAAAGAGGATGGAGCGGTGACGTGTGAGAAAAGAGGGGAGATTAGGGGCGATGTGATGAAGGGAGAGTGAGGAGGGGATGATGCGACGGCGAGACGGGGAGATGGGCGAGAGTAGAAAAATGCCGATTAGGCTTAACCAGCCACAGCCTCGTGGCAAGCCGAAGCCTCAAACCTGTTCACAGAGCCAGGTTCGCCGAGGTGTATGAGACATGTCCGTAAATTACTGCTCCAGTTGTTGCTCGAGCCAGTGTGCAGCTGCTGTCATGCTCTCGGAAATTCCCGTCGATCTCAAGGAGCAGCATACACGACCACCCCTCGCCACCGTCCAGTGTCAAGTGCCTCGCCAGGTCGTCTGCTCTTGGTCTGCCATCGGTTTAGCGTCGTTGGCTCGTGCGCATGTCAAAATAAAAATAAAAATCAGGGCTGCATTGAAATCCTCGGCTGGGACCTGCTTTGCCGTCCCGGTGAACTTCTCAGTTGTCGTCAACCAGGACCCAGGTAGCGTCACTCAAAGACGACGCCTGTCACTCGGCACACCTTGCAGCGCGGCGGAGGACGACGTGTAGACCACGTGACAATCAGCAGGTTCGCAGCAAGATGCCCCACAACCACCACGATCACTACGATGGCAATTGCGGCCACGAGCATGATGACGACGACCACCTCAAGGTGGAGGTGAGTCTGCTGCTAAGCTTCCCTTGCGATGGGCTCTGCTGAAGTGTAGAGATACCGGCCTTTTGTCAATAAAGGGCGAACAGAACCTGCTGTTCAGCCGCATCGACCGCGACGGCGTCGTGGCTATGAACGAGCAGCGCCCTGGCATGGGCGTCGAGATCATCAAGCCTTGGGCCGAACGGGACGACGAGACACGGTACCTCGAGTCCGACGCCGACGACCAGCTCATCATTCGCATCCCCTTTGCGGGCCAGGTCAAGCTTCGCTCGCTCCTCCTCAAGGCCGGCCCCACCGACCAGACACCCTCGGCGCTGCACCTCTATCCTAACATCGATAATCTCGACTTTGAAGATGCCTCGCAAGGGACGCATCCAGCACCGGCTCAAAAGCTCGAGAGCATCGCTGTTGCCAGAGAGGTCATTGAGTATCCCCTGCGCACAGCCAAGCTGTCGGCCGTCCGCAGCCTCACCATCTTCGTGCCAGCATCGCTGGGCAGTGACACAAGCCGCATCTACTTTCTCGGCCTCCGTGGCGAGTGGCAGGACCTGAGGAGGGAGGGTCCCACGAACATTGTCTATGAAGCCGCACCACAGGCCAAGGGTCAGTCGAGCCTGTGATTCTGACCTTTCCCACTAAATGCTGACAGCCGTCCTGCAAACAGACCACGTCAAGATCCCTGGTACGGAGGCTGGCAAAAACAGCTTCGGTCCCGGCTAATCGCAAGAATCCTGTACATCAACCTAATCTCCCTCTTAATGCCATCAAACGTCTCGGCGGCGGTTATGCATCAATTTCCCAGGAGAGCGCCCTCTAAAGGAATGGGCACGTTGCTAGGCTCACTTGGCCCTCGCTGTCTATGAGATGACCTCGCCCTTGCGGACCTCCTTTCCTGTTTTCTTGATCTTTTCCAGCACCGTGTCGTAGGGCGCAGTGCCCTTGACGACGACCTGCTGCGTCTCGAGCGAGACGTCAAACGAGGAGACGCCTGTCGGGGTCGCCCATTCTTCCTCAGTTCCTGTGCCGAGCGAAGACATCAAAGACGAGGATACTCACCATCGAGCTTCTGCAGCACCCGCGTGACGGCGCCGGAGCAGCCACCGCACGACATGGCCACGTCGAACTTGTACTCGTGCTGCTGCGCCCTCGTCAGCATGGGGCCTCTCTCCCCTCTTCCCAAGGCGCGCCTTTGCTGCTCACCTCGGCCATTTTGTACCCTTGTCAAGATGAGGAGAGAGGAATGTCGGTATTGCTGAGGAGAGCCCTTTCGAAGTGGGACAGAAGAGGGAGAGGCGCTGTAGGTAGAATGGTGGTGGTAGTTGATAGAAAAGGAAAAGGCGCCGAGGTCGCCTTAAAGCACGTCACCACACCGCCCTACGGCCGATATCTCCCCAAGCTCGCACGCGGCGCCATACAGCTGCAGCACTCTAACTCCCTAACTTTGATTCTTTATTTTTTTTTATTTTTTTTTATTGTTCTCGTCTCGTCCTGCCACTTCTTCTCACTCGCATGCTGCAGCGCTTCAGCTCCTTCAGCCTACGCAGCGCCAGTAGTCCGTTCCTGACATACCCGATAGTTGCACGCTGTGCGTTGCCCCACGCGCCGAGAATGTCTTCAAGCAGCAGCAGCGGCAGCAACAGCAACCTCCAGCCCGTCGTGCTCTGCGGGCCGTCGGGGGTGGGCAAGAGCACGCTGATCAAGAAGCTCTTTGCCGACATGCCCAACCAATTTGGCTTCAGCGTCAGCCGTGAGTGGTAAGAAGGAGACCCTGGCTATACAGAATGACGAAGCTGAGGCGTCGTCGCAAACAGACACAACGCGACAGCCGAGACCGGGCGAGAAGCCCGGCGTGTCTTACCACTTTGTCACCCGCGAAGAGTTCCAGCGTCTCGTCGCCGAGGGCGCGTTTCTCGAGCATGCCACGTTTGGCGGAAACATGTATGGGACGAGCGCAAAGGCCGTCGAGGATGTCAGCAAGCCTGGGCCAGACGGCCGCCGGCAGAGGGCCTTGCTCGACATTGACACACAGGGCGTCAAGCTCATCAAGGCCAACCACGCGCATTTGCAACCGCTCTTTGTCTTTATTGCCCCGCCGTCCATCTCTGCGCTCAGATCCAGGCTCACAGCGAGGGGCACAGACGACGACGAGGCGATCGGGCGCAGACTTGCAATGGCCGCGAGCGAAATGGCCTACGCTCGGGCGGGCCACCACGACGTCATTGTCAAGAATGACGACGTGGACAGGGCATACGGTATCCTCAAGGCCGCCATCCAGGGCACCTTGCAAGGAAAGGGCGACGACATGCCAGAGGAGGAAGAAGAGGAAAAGGCACTGAGGAGTAAAGCTCCCTCATCTTGATGTGGATTGTTGTCATCAATGCTATCGTACAAAAGAAATCCCTTTTTGAAGGCCCATCCCCTCTACAGGAAGAGGAGGATCGTGATGCTGTTTGTGGATTTTGGCCCATGTGATCATCCAATCTTTGTGTTGATGTTCTCGAGGCCCTCGAGCGATGTGACGCTGTTGCCCCTCACGACCTGCCGAGAGAAAGATCGTCAGATAGGTCAATACATTGCTCTCCACCAGACCGCCATGGCAAGACTCACCACAGTCCCGCACCGCGGCCCCTCGCTCCAGACACCACCAATACCCCCTGCGCCGCCGCCGCCGGGCGGTCTGATCATCTCCTGCGCCTCATCAACGACAAGGTTGAGAAACATGTCGAAGCCGCGCAGAGTCCCCTGCACGCGCCGCCCACCCTGGATGTTGACGCTGACGCGCTTGTCGAGAAACCGCTTGAGCTCTGGCTGCGAGACTTTGGCCATCCTGCCTCTTGTTTCCCTTGTTCCGGTAAAGAGGGAGGAAAGAAAGCGAGTCGGTCCAGAGATGGATGAAGAAAGGACAGAGGAAAGTCGGACAGTGGTGAGAGTGAGCGATCGAGCGAGCGACGAAACCTCGAAGACTTGCGTCTCAATGTTCTTTCTCACGTGGAGACGTGTTTAAATTTTTGGCTCGCGAGAGAGGGGAAGATGCAAGTCGAGTTGCAGCTGTCGACGATGACGAGGCAAGGTAAGGCAACGAGATGGGCAGAAAGGGCCCATTGAACTGCTGCAAGAAGGAGTCAAGAAGGCTGACCAGAGGTGCAAGCAGCGGCGTCGCTATATTCAGCCTCGACGGATCTGAGTGCTGACTCGATCGAGTCGCATCCTGGAACTAGAGGGCTGTTTGCGCTCGGGACCTACCAGGTGGATCAGGCGCAGGAAGAGGGACAGCCAGCGGACGAGAACTCAAACACATCGCCCGAATACTCTCGAAGAGGGAGACTGACATTGCATCAAACGGGGACCGATGGCGAGGGCAAAGTCTCTTGCAGGACACTGTCGTCCTTGGACACAGCCGCGATCCTCGACATGAAATGGCTTGCTTCGGGCTCGCGCCTGTCGGCTGCCTTGGCTACGTCCGACTTGGCCTTCTTTCATCTTAATAAAGGGTCCCTCTCTCCAGCTGATACACTCAAGATGAACGATGTTGGCGCCCTCTGTCTCTCTTTGGACTGGAGCGATCGGCGAGGGCTAGGAGCTGAAGGAGGAAGCGGGCCGACAAAGGGCATCGTGAGCCAGAGTGATGGCTCACTTGCCTACATTCCCGATCTCGAAGTCGCACTCTCCTCAAAAGGCAACATCGAGAGCTGGGCTGCACATGACTATGAGGCCTGGATTGCAGCGTGGGACTGCTGGAGCGATGGGAACATATGCTGGAGCGGCGGCGACGATCTCACACTCAAAGGCTGGGATGTGCGAGAGGCGTCCAGACAGCCCACATTCCAGGTCCGAAAGGCATTTGAAGGAGGTGTCACGACGTTGCAGAGCCACCATCTGCGTCAGCACCTCTGGGCCGTGGGCAGCTACGATGGCCACCTCCGCCTCTTCGATGCCCGAAAGCCGCTTCGTCCGCTCAGCTCAACGAATGTCGGAGGAGGTGTCTGGAGGGCCAAGTGGCATCCAACGGATTCAGAAAGCCTCCTCGTCGGTTGCATGCACGACGGCTTCAAGATCCTGAAGCTGCCCAACGATCCTGCGAGCGGCGACATGGACGTGATGGTGCGCTTCGATGAGCACCAGAGCCTCGCCTACGGCTGCGACTGGGACCGTTCTCTCTCCGAGCCCTGTTCTCACGTCTACAGTTGCTCCTTTTACGACAGCCGCCTTCACATCTGGGAGGCATGATCTTGCTCCTTTCACTCATGTTCGCTCGCATAGACACACCTGTACTTTTAAACAGTGAATGAAGCGCTTGTTGATTGTGTGATTACTTCTACGCTCTAGTTTGCTCCCCCGATGAGATCTGCCACCTTCTTTTCGACGTCCTGAGCCGACAGACCGTCGAGCTCGGCGTGCCGCTCCACCCCTCGCTCTGATTGATTCCACAGGTCAGCGCACGGGGTGTGAAGCCGCGAGAAGTGCCAACTCACCGAACCTAGCAAAGATCCTTGCAGGCGTGCCGGAAGCCTCGCGGATCAAAAAGGGCAGTTCCGGGTTCGACTGCTTGATGGGAGCATACGAAGACTGAACAAATTGCCTATTTGTGACCCGTCGCCGAGCAGTCGTCAGCAAGGAGAGAAATCATTAAAAGAGAAGGGGGATGGGTGGGGGAAAGAGACAACTTACCTCGCTCCGGCAGAGGCGGCGCCGGTCTGGCAGAGGTGGAGCCTGACCTCCTTGAGAGCACTTGGGAACGCCCGCGAGAGTGCTTTCGATGCCATTTTCTCCCCCACTCTTGATCCTTGAGAATATGTGACGTTGTTCGGCGGCCGGCCCTGACCGCACCATCTGAGACGAGGAAGGGCGATGGCAGCCACGTGCATTTTTTTATGGAAATGCTTGAGCTTAAAAATCACGTGAACAACAGCTGCAAGGCGCGCTCCTTGCTTGTCTGACTGGCACGCATCGACGTAGCCGCATTGGTCGAATGGAAAAAGAAAGGGAAAACCTGGAGCGCTCGTCCGTCGCCCCCAGCCATGAATGCACGCACGGTCCAGAGTCTGTCAGGGTGCGGTGGCCACAGGGTCGGGCAGCCAAACAATTCGATATATGGTTCACCTTCCGAAGGCTCGCACTAAGCAACGGGGTGCAAAGATGTTATCGGGAAAGAATGCTTCCCTATAGAAAAATGAGACGCACGGATTGAAGAAAACCGTCAGGGGGAATCCTGCCCCAGCAGTGTAGCAAGGCCGCTCCCAGCGGCGGACGCATGTCCGGCTTTACTAGCTTCTGGCTGCCACTGATTCTTGATAGACGATCGAAATCCGAGAACAACAAGAAGACATTCTCCGTCCACGAACCCCCTATCCTTGACTGACTTTGCTGTCCTCGCCACCGTCGCATCTCCTTGTCACCTTTCCTCTCCTTACAACGTGAACTGACAACGACGACGACGACGACGACGACGACGAAGCTGTCACCATGCCGCGCATTCCTGTGCGCATCGAGCCGTATTCGTCACCGTCACGGCAGCACCGTCACTACAAAAACAAGCGGGACCAGGTGCTGCGAGCACTGGGCAAGTCTGCCTACATCAATGGCAGCCACTTTGCCATCATGTGGGTCTCTGCCCGTGGAGACGTCGAGACATATGCGTCCGAGGCACTCCAAGGTAGACTCGACGACTGGTTCAATACCAGCGGCATCGCAGACGAGGCCAAGAAACTCGTTCTTGAGGGCAACAACGGTGAGGCATCGCGACGGCGGAAACCACCAATGACACGAGGCGGTGACGGTTCCGACGGCGAACTCGAGGGCGAAGCATTGGAGGGAGACGAGGACGACGAAGACGAAGAGGACGAAGGCGACGACTCTGGCAGCCTCTCTGCTGCGACGGACGGTGCCACGATGCGGGGGTCCATCACGCCCCTGATCCAGGCCGACGACGTGTTTACCGACCCCAACCAGGCCACATCACTGCAGGCTAGCCAAGCGCGTCTCTCACATGGCAATGGCATGTCCAACAACGGGAGCACCAACAACAACAACAACATGACACAGCAGCAGCAGGGGCTTCGGCGACCAAAAATTGGCAGGAGCTCATCAACGTCGACTGGCCTGCGTGCGGGCCGCAAGCCCATCTCGCCCCTCGACACCAACGTTGCCAATGAGCAATACAAGCGCGAGAGTGGCCACAGCCTCCTGCACCCGCACTCAGCGACCGAATCGCGCTTCCAGGACAAGTCGTCTGGCATTGGCAGCAGCAACAGTCTGGGCCTAGGCCTAGGTCTGGGAGTACCCATGTCGGCTTCGACCGACGGAGGTGCGCTCGACATGCCACCGAGACCATCGACTGCCTCTGGTCGCCTGTCTACCGGCCGGTCCTCCTCATCGGGCAACGTGTCATTCGAAACGAAGCTCAACAACGAGGCTGCTCGACGCGCCTTCCTCGAGCTGCGCTTTAGCCAGCTGCAGCAGGGCATGTGCAAGACAGTGGCAAAGGCGTGGATCAAGATCATCGAACCCAAGAAGCAGACTAGGTGTCCCTACAACAAGGGCGAGGAGGGCAAGCCGGACTGGTGGCCTGCCGGTGTCCGTCACAAGGAGCCAGATCACCTCATGAAGCCCGAGAGGCACCAGCTGCTCCTCACCATCCTCCGCAGCCCGAAGATCCAAGTCGCCCGGCTCCAGCTCGCCACGGCCGAAGTCGTCGCGCTGATGCGGGCCGAAAAGGTGCAGCTGCTCCTCGACATCTACCGCATCGCGCGCGAAGAGGAGAAGATGCGCGAAGCCGGCGTCGACATGGACACGCCCATGACGGTGGCAGTCAGCACCCTCGATGGCTGGTCTGAGAACGACCAGGTAGCCACCAACGTCGACTCGTCTAACGGCACTGCCAATGCTGATGACGACGACGAGGGCGCAGCAGGAGGCCGAAGGAGGAACAGTGCACTGGCGTCGAGAAAGAGGTCGCTGCCCTTGACGCGCTCCGTCTCGACGGCGTCAGCAGTCTCTGGAGCCAGAAAGCGCGGTAGGCCCTCGGCATCCAACTCGGCCGCCAGCCCGACTCTCATGGCCGATGGGACCATGGCAAATGAGCAGCTGGAACAGCGTCGCCCCTCGTCTTCGAACGCGACTTCGTGGCTGATGCAAGAGGTGACGAACAACAACATGCGCCGCAACCACTTCTCGGCTGCTGCTGCCCAAGCCTCTGCTGCTGCCGCCGTCTCGGCCAACCACAAGGGCTCTGTCGCCAGCTTTGATTCTCAGTACGGCATCTACACGCCTTTGACTGGCAGCAGCCTCCTTGCCGATCCCGGCTTCGCCGCTGCCGCTGCCGCCAGCTCCTCATCGCCGACCAACATTGCGGGCCACAATGCCTCGTTTGCTGGCTACATGTCGGCTCCTCAGCCGCCACACGCCCAGCTCTACCCCGGCAACACCTCCTTCAACTTCGACGCGGCAGGCCAGTCGCACCACCACCCGCACCCGTCCAACCAGCAGCAACAGGGCCACATGCATCAGGCGCACTATAGCGCTCTTGCAGCTAGGGGCCACGATGCGTCGAATCTCTTTGCGTACACATCGGTTGATCAGCGCCGCGAGGATGTTGCAAGCTCCGAAGGCCAGGACGCATCGTCTGCGAGTGCTCTCGGACTGCAGGGTATGAACTTGCACTGGTCTCAGGGCTCGTTCATGGACAACGGTAACCAGTGGTGGCAACAACAGCAGCACCAGCACCAGCAGCAACAGCAGCAGCATCACCAGCAGCAGCACCAGCAGCACCAAACGCATGCTCAACAAGGGCTCCATCAGGCCCCTTCCTCTGATCAGCAGGCGCCCTCGTCGCAGCAATCGACTCATCAAGGCGATGTCTCGCAGGCTGAAGCATCATTCGACAACAGCTTCTCGACCATTGATACCACCGGACCCACGACGCCTTCGACGAGGGACGCAGGCCAGCAGCATCACTTTCAGTCGTCAACCATCGTCAAGAGGCAAGCTCCCTCGTCTGATGAGCTAGGAACGAATTACGAATTGTCGCTGTCTTCAAGCGCGACCAAGCCTCATCTTCAACACCACCACCACCACCACCAGTCTTCAACGCAACAGCAGCAACAGCAGGCAAGCGCATTTGAGCCTTGGGTCAGTCACTCGCAGTGAATGCGAGTTCACGACTGGACCGGCTCTAGTAATTAATTGTTTCGCCTCTTTATGTGCATCGTATCATATCATCCACGCACAACGGTCCGATCTACAACGAGACGATACCCCCATACATTTCACGCTCGTTTCCTCCTCCCCCTGATCTCACCCTCGGAACCTCACAGCCTCCCCGTGTCTCTTACCTTCATCTCTAGTTAGACGTTCTTGTAGCTACGCACCATTATCAGTTCAAGCCTCCCTTCTCTCCCCCTTCGCTAATACCTCCTAGGTCATTAATGATGAAATAAAGTTGATTTGACCAAAAAGGATGAGGATGGATGAGAAGGGGTGCTGACTATTGTTACACATTCATTCGCCTTGCTGCTGTGGGGATGAAGAAGCGACGAGGGCTTGAGCTTGGGCCTGATAGTAGCCGGCATAATACCAAGCCATTGCGAGATTTTGCAATGTGTCTTCTTTTGACATTGCTGATGGCGTGGATGTTGACGGTGCTGCAGCAGCTTGTGCATCTGCTGATGCAAACGTTGCAACGGGATCTGCTAGCCTCGTCGCCGTCGCCATCGAGGGAGCAGCCGAGGGCACTGCTGAGGTATGGGACGGGCCAATGCGATTGGGCGTCTGGGCAACCATTGCGCAGGCACGCTTCCAGGCCGAGCTATTGCTGGCGAGGTGTCGCGAGGGAGGCACCGATAAGTTGCTCTTGCTCAATGGAGGCGTGGCCTCGTTTGCGGCCAGATCCCTGACCAGCTTCTTTGCCTCCTGTTTGCGGCGGGCCAGCTCTCTCGCCTCGTCCGCTTGTTTTGTCTTTGCTTCGAGGGCGGCTTTGCTCCCCGGCGCTGGGCTGTCGTACCACAGCGCACTCTCGCGTTTGCGCTTCTTCTGCGAAACCTCCTGCTGCTCGTGCGCCTCCTGCCGCCGGCGATGGAAGATCTCGTACTCCTCCACGGCAGCATCCCACGCGTTTTTGAGTGCATCGTCGTCCCAGATCTCCCGGTGCGTTAGTGCTCGCCCACTGCCATTCTCGCTTCCTCCATTGATACCCTGCCAGTCGAACGAGTCAATCGCGCCTCCCTCATCCATCTCTTCGTCCACTTCTCCGTGTCCCCCATTCACTTCGTCGAAGTCGTCATTCTCGTACTCTTCTTTCTCATCTCCCTCCTCCTCCTCTTCCTCTTCTTCCTCGTCCTCGCCTCGCATCGCCCGGCGTGCCTCACGCATGGCCTCCTTGAGCTCCTCGTTCACACGAGCGCCCGCGACCGAAGCATCGTTCTTCAGCATCGACTCAACCTGCTCGACATTTCCACCGCGCGCCAGACTGAGGAGCTTCCTGAGCTTGCGGCTCGCGCTCGCCGTCAGCGCCTGGCCCGACGAGTCCCAATTCGGCCGCTTGCCAGACGCAGAGGAGGCAACCAGCGAGGGAGCCGAGGGAGCCAGCGAAGAAGTGGATGCGCTGGCCGCCGCAGCCATGTCGAGGTCGCTGTACGACACGACCTTGCGCGAGGCCGTTGACGCCATCTTGCCCCCCGGATGTCGTCAGCACGGGCGCAGCAGGTTCTGCTAATGGTTGAGGAGAAGAAAGGGAAAAAAAAATGCGCCGTGCTCGACAGAAAGAATGGCATCGCTCAATTAGTCTAACAGCCCCAAAAAAAGGCCCCGAGACGGCTATGATTATGTAAACTGCCTGCTCTCCACTCACGACCTAAAATCAAAAGAAGAAAAAAAAGATGTGTCGGGGAAAAAGCACTTATGCAAAGCAATCTTCCTGGAAGGTGAGGAGACAAGGACAACGATGACGAATGCGCAGAGGCTGGCCGTGACGGTGGTGGGTCGGAGAGGACTGCAGACGAGTGCGGCTTTGGCGAAACTAGAGCCGAGGGGAAAGCCACCGAGAAGACCAGGCGGGAGGGGCGCGCAAGGGCGCCAGCAGCAGCAGCAGCATGGCCATCGACCGTCGGGAAGGCCGGCACTGTCCGACGAAGCAAACAAGGCGCTGGCCGAGAGGAAACGAACAATGGAAGAAGGGCTCTGGAAGACAATTGCCAAGCACGAGTCTGTCTTGGAAGAGCTTCGAAGACGGCCCGGAGGTGCATTTGGACGAGCTTCAAAGACGAGAAAGAGGGAGCTGGACGACGTCTTGCCCGGCGACTTTGTGGAGCTGAGGACGTCGAGCTCGTCGAACTCAGCTTCAAATGTTGGTGTTGTCCTTCCAACGCCGAGCAACGTGGCGGTCTCAGGTACTTCACAGGCAATCTTCGTCGTGGGCGCCACGGGAAGCGTGGAAGTATTCCGTGCGCCCGATGTTGCATTAGCATTCATCGATTTCGTCGATCCGAAGCTGGCGGACGCCGCGTCAATCTCGCCACAGACGCCAGCAACCGCATCGACACAGGAGGTTATTGAGGAGCCGTTCGATGAGGCGCGCTTCACCGCACGGGCTCAGATCTGCACGAGGATCAGGGTACTGCAGCGGCAGGCAGAGACGGCGAGGCAGAGATTGATGCCGGCCTTTGAGTCCCTCTATCTCGCCGAACGAGACGAGAAAGACATGAGCCAAACGCTTGAAGAGCAGACGTTGACGACGGTCGAAGTAGCCAGGAAGCTCTTGGAAAGTACTGGGTCAGAATCGGTCGATGAAGAAGCCGACTCGCCGGCAATATTGCTGGCCACGCACCAGCTGCTCATGAGTCAGCCGCGGCGCTTCATCTCCGATGGGCTCTCGCACCGAACGACGAATCTCTTTTTGAAACGACCAGAGAGGGACAGACTGGCTTTGCGCGACGTCGAGACGTGGGTCAACGACTGTCAGCTCTACGAGGGCGGTGCAGCTGGATTGGGCGCTCAAGCAAAGGATGTCATCGATGGCTTCTGTAGCCGCGCTGTCCGGATCATGGAATCGCGCAAGGGAACCGTGAGGGCCGAGACAGAGCCGGCAGGAGCCAAGATGGGCGCGATGGAGGTTGCGTGGGCAAAGGAGGACCTCGTCATCTTTGACTTTCTCAGGGCCACCTTGGGCGAACGCCGCACACTGCAGGGCGACCACTACAGCGCACTCGCCATGTTCCTCGTCAAAAGATGTGGCCTGGCACAGAAGCTGCCTCCCACGCCCCACCTTTACGACGAAGAGCCACCGACGGCTGCGCTTGCAGATGTGGTCGGGCTGTCTCAGACCCAGGCTGCGGTGTGCGACTTCCTGATCAGAGTGGGTCAGCTTGCACCATCGCAAGACCTGACCACGCTCGAGACCGAATTCCAGATCCTCTTTCCCAAGGATACGCCTTCAGAAACGGCAAAGAGCAAACCAGCTCTCGTGGACCTGGACGGCGATCGAAAGCGAGAGCAGCTCGATTGCCCCATTTTTGTGATTGACGACGCTTCAGCACAGGAGCTCGACGACGGTGTCGGCATCGAAGCAACATCGGACCCGGACGTCCCCTGGCTCCACATTGTCATCGCTGACCCTACGGCCAGTCTCGGTCCGCGCGACGGCGTGGCCCGCGACGCTCGTAAAAAGCACAGCAGCGTCTACCTGGTCAACGAAACCCATCCGCTCCTTCCCCAGCCACTCATCGAGCCTCACGGGCTAGGCAAAGGCACCAAGAAGGGGCTGAAGTTCAGTGCCAAGATGAAACTCTCGACTGCCGAAGTCTTGGACGTGAATGTAGGGCTTGCGTGGCTCAAGGATGTCCGAGTGACCTCGTACGACGCCGTGGACCAGCTTCTAGGCTCTCAAGCCCAGGATGATGAGGTAAGAAGACTAAACCAAGTCTTTGACATCGCCTGCAAGCTCGAGAAGAGGCGAAAAGTAGTCGGAGGTGCCTTCGTGGCGCCCTACCTTCGAGCCAGCGCCCATATCTCTCCTGATCCGTCGACCCTGGGAGATTCGTCTCTGCAAGACAATGACGGTCCTTACTCCATCTCGAGAGGATACCCAGAGATCAATATCATCAAGCCCTCGCTTGTCGAAGCGGGTATCGGCCCCAGCCAGACAAAATCGAGAGGCATGGTGGCTGAGCTCATGATCTTGGCCGGTCGGATCGCGAGCATTTATGCGTCTGCAAACGACCTCCCCCTCTACTTTCGAACACAGGCGAAGCCTTCGGCTGCAGAAGACCTCGCCAAGCTCGAGAGGATGAAAGACGATGAAGGCATCGTTGGCTATCGGGACCTTCTTGCCTCCGGAGTGAGGATCAGTGCAGCCTCGGCCAGCGACGTGCCGGGCGAGCATTTCAGCATGGGCATCGGTACATTGGCCGAGCTAGAACACCCATCGGACGACATGCTCAAGAAAAGCGGCTATGTCCGCGCTACCAGCCCGCTGCGACGGTATCCCGATCTCGTGGCCCATTGGCAGATCAAAGCAGCTTTGGCTGGCGCAAAGCTGCCATTTGATCGCGAGACGATCCGCGCCGACATTCCCCGCATCGTCCGTATGGATGCCTGGCACCGTGCCCTCGAGCGGTCCTCGCAGCGCTTCTGGATGACAATGAAGCTTGCTAGAGTATTTGAGAGCGAGCCGACCTCGCCGCTCTTGGGCCCACTCGACGCCCTCGTCACTTTGCCAGACGTTCGAGTTGCGATGGACCTCCAGGCGAGGGTCCGCGTTCAGATCCTCGATACCGGACTACCTGTTGAGTGTATGTGGGGCCAAAGGGAGCCGGCACCGGAGTCGGGCACTGCCCTGAAAGTTGCTGTGAGGGACGTTGCCGTTCATGGCATGAAGGGAAGCGTCTTGGTCGAGCGCGTGTAACGCACAACGGGCATTGTAAAATATTCCTAGCATCAAACATCCTGTACATCACCACTCTGGCAAATTTACATCCCAACCAGTGTCCTCAATTGGACTTTCGAGAGCCGGATGGTGGCGTGAGAGTCGGCAAGGGGAGCTAGGGGAAGCTGGGCTTGAGCGAAGCCGCCCAATGACCAAGGGCGTAACCGTAAGATCGGAGCTGACGGGCGCTCAAGTCCGACATCGGAGGCCACGTGAAGCTTTTTTGGCGCGTCATTCTGGTACCTACCCTGCACCCTCTCTGCTTCTGCGAACTTCACCACATCCCACCTGACTCCACCCGCTCTTGCACCCCACGCTGCACTCAATCTCTCTTGGGTGGCGGCTTGAATCAAACAGAGTCGAAACCAATCGTTTGTTTTTGGTTGTCCTGAGAAAGGAGACCAAAAGGAGAAACGAAAAGCGTGAGTGTTGCTGTGCCACGCCACTACAGTGCTTTTGCTGACGGATCCTTGTTCTCGACGGCTCTTCTTCCTGTTCGCACAGTCCAATGATTCACACCCTTGGCAGACGCTGCTGCTCGTCCTCGCTGGCCAGGGCTGCCCTCGCGCGCCCTGTGTCGGCGACGCCGGCCACGCTCCGTCAGCTCCATGCAACCCGGACTCTCCCCCAGGCAAGCCCGGCGCCGGCACAACCCAACGCACCGTCACCCAATGATAGCTTCCTGTCGAGCAACAATGCCTACTACATCGAATCCATGAGGAGGCTCTGGCAGGAGGACCCGGCCAAGGTCCACTCGAGCTGGGACATCTACTTCAGAGGACTCGACCAGGGACTTCAGTCTCAAGACTCTTTCCGTCTGCCTCCTTCTCTAATGCCTCTGCCCATCGATGCACCACCGATTGACGCGAGCGCCGTGTCGAGTGGCGAGAGCATCGACGACCATCTCAAGGTGAGTTGCTCGTTATTCCTTCCTTGACAGATTGCGAAAGTCAAGCTAACCCACCCTGCTTCCACCAGCTGCAACTTCTTGTGCGTGCCTACCAGGTGCGAGGCCACCGCATCGCGAAGCTCGACCCGCTGGGAATCAACGGTCTGACTGAGGAGACGACGCCCGATGAGCTCAAGATTGAACACTACGGCTGGTCGCAGTCGGACCTCTCGCGCGAGATGCGCCTCGGCCCTGGTCTGCTGCCCAACTTTGTCAAGCACGGTGTGCAGAAGATGACGATTGGCGAGATCATCGATGCGTGCAAGCGCATGTACTGCGAGGCCATTGGCATCCAGTACGTCCACATTCCCGACCGGGAAAAGTGTGACTGGCTGCGTGAGCGGATCGAGATGCCTGAGCCATTCAAGTACTCGATTGAGGAGAAGCGAACGATCCTCGACCGTCTCATCTGGTCCGACAGCTTCGAGCGCTTCATCTCCAGCAAGTACCCCAACGAGAAGCGCTTCGGTCTCGAAGGTGGCGAGTCTCTGATTCCTGGCGTCAAGACGCTCATCGACCGATCCGTCGACTACGGTGTCAACTCCATCACCATCGGAATGCCTCACCGAGGCCGTCTCAACGTGCTTGCCAATGTCATTAGGAGGCCAATCGAGGGTATTCTCAACCAATTTGCTGGCACCGACGATGACGGTGAGGGAGGTGGTGACGTCAAGTACCACCTCGGCGCAAACTACGTTCGCCCCACGCCCTCGGGCAAGAAGGTGGCTCTTTCGCTCGTCGCCAATCCTTCGCACCTGGAGGCAGAGGACCCAGTCGTGCTGGGTAAGACGCGCGCCCTGCAGGACTTTGCCGGTGACACGGCTCATGAGACGTCGATGGCCCTCCTGATGCACGGTGACGCCGCCTTTGCCGGTCAGGGTGTCGTGTATGAGACAATGGGCATGTACAACTTGCCAAACTACGCCACCGGCGGTACCATCCACATCGTCGTCAACAACCAGATTGGTTTCACCACCGATCCCCGTTTCGCTCGATCGACCCCTTACCCCTCGGACATTGCCAAGAGCATTGACGCGCCCATCTTCCACGTCAACGGTGACGATGTCGAGGCTGTCACCTTTGTTCACCAGCTTGCCGCCGACTGGCGTGCAAAGTTCAAGAAGGATGTTGTCATCGACCTCGTCTGCTACCGTCGTCACGGTCACAACGAGACTGACCAGCCAAGCTTCACCCAGCCACGCATGTACGAGGCCATCAGCAACCAGGAGACGACCTTGACCCAGTACTCGAAACAGCTCGTCGAAGAAGGCAGCTTCACTCAGAAGGACATCGATGAGCACAAGAAGTGGGTCTGGGGCCTCCTGGAGGAGGCGGCCGAGAAGAGCAAGAGCTACGAGCCGGGCGAGCGTGAATGGCTTTCGAGCGCTTGGGAGGGATTCCCCAGCCCTAAGGAGCTCGCCGAGCAGATTCTTGACCACAAGGATACGGGCGTGGACGTCGAGACGCTCAAGCACGTTGGTAGGACGATTTCGTCGTACCCCGACGACTTCGAAGTCCACCGCAACCTCAGCCGTATTCTCAAGACGCGCCTCAAGACCATCGACGAGGGCAAGGGTATCGACATGAGCACTGCAGAGGCTCTCGCATTTGGCACGCTTTGCATGGAAAAGTACTATGTCCGTGTTAGTGGTCAGGACGTCGAGCGAGGTACGTTTAGTCAGCGCCACGCCGTCCTCCACGACCAGAAGACCGAGAACATCTACGTGCCTCTTAACAACGTCGAAAAGGACCAAGCACCATTTGTCGTGTGCAACTCGAGCCTGTCCGAGTTTGGTTGCCTGGGTTTCGAGCTGGGCTTTAGCTTGGTGGACCCCCACAATCTGACCATCTGGGAGGCCCAATTCGGCGACTTTGCCAACAATGCCCAGTGCATCATCGATCAGTTTATCGCGTCCCAGGAGCGCAAGTGGCTCGCCAGGAGTGGTCTCGTTCTCAATCTGCCCCACGGTTACGATGGTCAAGGACCCGAGCACTCGTCTGGCCGACCCGAGCGCTTCCTTCAGCTCGTTGACGACAACCCCTTCGTCTACCCTCCACCGGAGAAGATGGAGCGGCAGCACCAGGACGGCAACATGGCCGTCGTCTACCCATCGATCCCCTCCAACGTCTTCCACGTCCTGCGCAGGCAGGTCCACCGTGACTTCAGGAAGCCTCTGATTCACTTCTTCAGCAAGTCGCTCCTTCGTCACCCCGAGGCTCGCTCCACGCTCAAGGACATGGAGCCCGGCTCGGGCTTCATCCGCTTCATTCCTGAGCCTCACCACACCGAGGGCCAGGATGCACTGGTGCCGCCTGAAGAGATCAAGCGTCACATCATCTGCACGGGACAGCACTACTATGCACTGCTCAAGCACCGACGCGAGAACAAGATCGACAATGTGGCCATCTCGCGAATGGAGCAGATTGCGCCCTTCCCCTTCGACGACGTCCGCAAGGCCATCGACACGTACCCCAACTCGACCATCTGCTTCAGCCAGGAGGAGCCTCTGAACGGTGGCTGGTTCGGATACGTTCAGCCGAGGTTGTGAGTGTTTGCTCTTCTGACTCTTTTCCTTTCTATGACTCACCAACTTTCTCTCTTCTTTGATCTACAGGAGGACTGTGTGCAGACACTCGGAGCACCACAGGGATTCGCTCGCCGTTCTTGCATCAAGACCGCCGTACGCATCTGTGGCGACGGGCAACAAGCACGCTCACGTCCGTGAGCTCGAAGAGCTGCTCCGGGACTCCTTTGACATCTCGCTCCACGCGAGCTCCGACTTGCAGTAAAAGCAGTAGCAGTGATAGTAAGGGGCTCTCGACCATCCGAGGGAAATCTAAAGCTTGAAATACGATTGTGCATACAAATGAAGGAGGGATTGTTGAGTCTAGTTCAAGGCAGTGACTGGCGGACTTCTGCAAGGCTCTTTTTCTGCCTGCCGTCGTCGAAGTTATCGTCTGCCAGCCACTTTGTAAAGACGGCTTTGAGGATGGGCCAATCGTCATCGATGATGCTGTACCAGTTTGTGTCGCGGTTCCTGCCCTTGAGGAGCATGTGCTTGCGAAAGGTGCCTTCGAACGTGAAACCTAGCCGCAGGGCCGCACGGTTGGAAGCGACGTTGAGGCTGTTGCATTTCCATTCGAAGCGGCGCAGCTTGAGGTCCTCGAATGCAGTCTGCATGACCAAGAAGATGCATTCGGTCGACCCGATACTCCGCTGGAACGAGGGCGCAAAGAGGACGGTGCCGACCTCGCCTACGCGATTGGGCAGGTCCATGCGCATCAGGGCCAGGTGACCCTTTACTGCGAGGCCTGGCTGCGGGGCATGGTTGTCGAGGATGGCATACAAGTTGAGCGTCTCGAGCATGCGGTGCAGTGCAGCAACGTAGGCACCGGCGTCTTGAAAGGGCCCGGAGAGCATGTAGTCCCACAGCTGGGGAGCGTTTTTGATTTCTTCGAATAGCGGCGGGCCATGTACTGGCGGGTCAAACGCGACGAGCGTGACGTGCTTGCCCACAAAGGGCCCCGGAAGAGGCGCGGGCGAGGCGGCTGGGTCGGCGACGAGCTCGCCGAGCTCTCGTTGGTCGTTCATGGTCCTGGGCAGCAGTCACCAGCAATGTTCGTGAATGTGTGCAGTAAGGAAGGTGTAGGAGAGAAGCACGCCGTTCTTCTTGCTCCGACTCGAGTCATCTGTCATGCGCAAACCCAGTCCAAAAGAACAGAACGCGAACCGTCCAGGAACAACACGCAAGAAGAAACTGCGACTAAAATCCGCGAATGCTTTCGCCCTCCACTTGGTTTGGCCCTTTGCTTAGTTAGATCTTTCATCCTTTCGCTCCCCCACGACGACGATGGCTGCATCGAAGCTCGTGTTGTTCCTTGACTGGGACGAGACGATTTCGGCGCACGACACGCTCGCATGCATCGCGCCTCCCGATGGAACCCATGCTGGTCCGCACTTCGGGTGGTACGGCGACGAGTACAAGCGGGATCTCGAGGAGCACGAGCGGCAGTTCGATCGACCGCGCGACACACTCGACGGCCAGCTTGCCTTTCTCGACAGCTTGGACGACGTGGAGCTGCGGAGCCAAGCGCGCATCGAAGACGGCGGCCTCTTCAAAGGATTCGATCCTGAGCAGATGGACGAACGCGCGCGGCGACAGGTGACGCTGAGGAACGGCTGGGCCGAGGCGGCAGCCAAGCGGCTGGCGGCGGAAGAGGTGGAGCACCACATCATCAGCGTCGGCTGGTCCGCACGCTTCATACGTGCAGCTCTCGGACAGAGCACGCATCCAACGACGATTTGCGCAAACGAGGTCGAGCTCGACAGCGACACAAAGAGGGGCACCGGTCGGCTGACGAAGAGCAACGATGTGGGCGCTCCGGGCCTGTCGGGCATCCGCGTCGGCTCGCACAAGCTCAGAGAGATGAAGCGACTGCTCAACGCGAGATCCCGGGACAGCATCATGGTCCTCTACGCGGGAGACAGCAACACCGACCTTCCATGCCTCCTCGAGGCCGACTATGGCTTGCTGCTGGGCGATGCCGCGGGCCTCAAAAAGACGCTCGAACGCATCGGTCTGTCTCACCTGGTCAGCGACACGGTCGATGACTGGCTTCAGAACAAAACAAAGCTAGTGCACGTCAAGGACTGGGTTGAAGGTGATAGAGTTCTGCAAGCATGCCTCTCTGCCTGTAACAGGAACAGTAGATAGAATAATTAGATCTAGGGGCACTCTCTTCTCTGCTGTTTGCGCGTCCCCAGGAAAAGTGTTGAGATGGAGGGAAAGATGCAGGTGGTCAATGCGCGCGGCTGGACGCGTCTCCTATTTTTTTTATTTCTGGATTCCACCGCTGACGACTACTGCCGGGAGCAGAGCAAAGGACAGGACAGCATCGCTGCGCTCGCCGCGGCCGCCAGAGGGCCCAGAAAGCCAGAGATGGAGCTGACGTCGTTTGGCTTTCTGCCCCAGGATGACGAGAGAGAGGACTCGACCTTTGCGCTTGGCTCGCTCCTATCCCGTGTCAGGAGCGCGCTTGGGTCCTCGGGCGATGATGGCGCAGCTAGCAGCAGCAGCAGCCAAGGCAACAGCAACTTGCGGCACGACGATGCGCTCCTGGCCGCTGCGGCGAGACGCTCGCCTGACATCGATCGACAGAGCCGGGCGTCCTCGGTGGGTCGCATCAGCAGCAAGAGCGCTGCCACAGCCACTGCCACGGCGACGGCTACGACAATTCCAGCCTCGACCGCCACCCCGGCAACCACATCATTGGCGTCTGCATCGGCCTCGCTGGCTGCGACTCCGCCAGCTGGAGCGATGCCGCCCCCGTCTTCGGACGCGACCTCAGAGCGGCGTCAAAGCCATCGCTCCAGGCCGACCTTTGCAATACGTTCCTCCACCGGAGCGCCTGCGGTCACATCGACTGCGTCTGCACACGCCCTGAAGTCGGCCTCGTTCAAGCCGACCCGGCTGCACCACGTCGATGCCCTCGACGATGCTTCTATCGCGGGACACGCACGGAGCGATTTCGATGAGGACGACGAGGACGATATGAATGGCGGCAGGGACGAGGATGAGGATGACGTGCTGACGGAGCTGATGCGCAAGAGTGGCGTGGACAATGCGAGAATTGCACGGTCAAAGGCAGCAGCGGCAGCCGCCGCCGCCATGGCTCAGCATCGCGGCCCAGGCACAAACGCAACAGCGTCAGCCAATGACGGTCGCATCTCGGTCATCCCAGGCTTCCCGCTGTCCAAGGAGACGCTCGCCGATGATACACGCTCCATTCACTCTTCTTCGTCGCGCCGACCAAGGTCCGAGGTCAACAGCGAGGCACACCTTGTGTTTGCGCATGCGCAGGGTCATCATCACCAGGCTTTCAATGACGCCAGTCGGGGCCCTGCTGGTGCATTTGTGGGCGCTGGTGCTGCCGCTGCTGGTGGCGGCGGTGGCGGTGGGCTTAGCACGAGTGCAGAGGCTTTCAGGAGGATGAGGGGTGAGGGCGCCGTCCTCTCTCGCGCCTTTTGGATGCCAGACGAAAACGTAAAGGAGTGTCGGCAGTGCCAGAGTTACTTCACCCCCTTTCGACGTAAACACCACTGCAGGATCTGTGGACAGGTCTACTGCTCCCGGTGTGCATCCAACATCATTGCCGGCTCGCGTTTTGGTCTTGCGGGCTCGGTGCGCGTGTGCGACTACTGCCTCCGAATGCTGTCCGAGTACGAGAGAGCAGGAATGCGCTCGTCGTCGATGCAGTCCGAATGGTCGCCCTCGAGCCCGTCGATGAAGACGGTGGCGACGACGTATGCGCGCAAGCGAGTCGACTCGGCCAGCAGTCTCTTTCAGCAGCATCTCAACCACGCCGCCCAGACTGCACTTCAACAACAGCAGCAAATGACGACCAAGGCACCCGACAAGGGCATGATCAGTGCACCTCTCGAGGCACAACTGCAGAGTCCCCAGGCTCAGTTTGCTGCAAACAATCTCTTTTCGAGTGGTATGCCTCGAAGGCCCACGGTGCCCTTGGGAAACGCCGTTGATCACAACGATGAGAGTTCGAGCAGGCCGTCCACCGATGAGCCCGCGCCCTTTCGCGCAAAGTTGGGCGAAGAAGATCGCGTGACGACGAATCTCGACGAGGAGGCCTCCTTTGGCAGCAGCAAGCCCCACTCGACCGCCAAGGGCGAAGAGGCACCTTCACAGCCCAAGGCTAAAGTGCAAGCATCGCAGGCGGTGGCCACTACTGCCGCCATGGGTGCTAATTCGTCCACGTCTTCCGTCCTCAAGCCTTTTCCCAGCCTCGAGGAGAAAGACGTCTCCTCATCGCCACCTCCCTCCTCGGCCCCTTCAGCGGCAACCACGCCGCCGGCGGGTCACAATTACGATGCTTCGTCTGACACCAGGAGCCGTTTGGTTTCGGACGCCGCCTTGCGTGCGTACAGGAGGTCTAGACTCAAGAGTCGGCCCGGCCCTGGCCTCGGTCTCGACCCTGGCTCAAAGGGCAATCTACGAATAGCAGCGACGATTGCTTCTGAGGCGCTTTTGGAGCCCAGCAGTCACGCTCACCTGTCCAAGCTCCTCGAGCAGAGCTTGAGGACCGCATGCATCCCCAGAGCCAAGCTGTGGCACCGCACACTCTTGCCCCTCGCCGTAAGCGTTGCCCGCAACATCCACCCAAACCCGAAAGCGGGCGAGAGCATGGACATCCGTCAGTACATCAAGATCAAGCGCAACCCTGGCGGCGCCATTCAAGACTGTCGCTACGTAGATGGTAGGTTGTCTCCTCTCCTTTCGCCTGCACAGATATGAGGCTGACCTGTCTTCTCTCTCTCTATCTTCAACAATCCAGGCTTCGTCTTGTCAAAGCAAGTCGCCACCAAGCGCATGATGAAAGCCCTCCCCCTCTCTTCGCCCCGCGTCATGGTCGTGACTTTTGCCATTGACTTTCACCAGTCCAGAGGCCAATATCTGAGCCTGGAACCGTTGTTGGCGCAGGAGCACGAGTTCACCAGGATTCTTGTCGCCCGTATCCTGCAGCTTCGGCCGAACATCCTCGTCGTCAAGGAGTCGGTGTCCAGGCTTGCCCTCGATATGTTCCAAGAAGCTGGCGTCATCGTAGTCTGGAGCCTCAAGGAAAGTGCAGTGCAGGCCATTAGCCGATGCTGTCAGGCCGACATTATCCCTTCGATCGATCGACTGGCGCTGGAGCCCCGCCTGGGCCGATGCGCAAGCTTCGATGTCGAGACATTCGAGAACCAGCGTGCAAGGGGGCCTGGGACCAGAAAGACGTATATGCGCTTCTCGACGGCTGGTAATGCCACCTCGCTGGGCTGTAGCATCGTGTTGAGGGGCGCTAGCTTGGAGGTGCTGGCAAAGATCAAAGCAATCGTGCTGCTACTCACCTACGTGGCTCACAACTTGCGCCTTGAAGAGCGCCTTAATCGAGACGAGGGCACGCGCTCATGTGTCGATCCAAGCTCGAACACGACGCGAATCATTGATGACGATGGTGACGCTAGCTTCCAAGACGACGACGAGGAAATCAAGGAAGCGCTTCTTCCCTTTAAAGACGCTGTCCTCAGCTCGAGCGCAGCGGTGCGAATCACGCCTCCCTTGCCCCTTGTCAGGGTCAGAGAAAGCCATCGAGATGTGGTCAGGCTGGCGCGCGCTCACAGGGCCATGCCCTCGTCGGACGACGCAGTCGGGGATCACGGTCAAGGGCTCAAAAAGCCTTCGGAGCGACAGCCAAAGTTCGACCGCGCTGTGGTACGTCGAGATGCTGCTCGGAGAGAGTGGGAGGAGTTTCGAAGCCAAAACTTCACATCCACGACCGACTCGACGAGATTGCAACGCATCGGCGTCCTCTGCTCATTGCTGTTGTCCTCCGAGCAGAGGCCGTGCCTTGGACCCAGGCTGATGGCTTGTCAGCTCTACGGCCCCGGTGACGAGACGCTGGGACAGTATCTCGAGAGAACGTGTGCCGAGAGCAGTGTCCTCTGCTCGGCTCGAGGCTGCGGGCGTCCCAGGGGCGTGCACTACTCGTCATTCATCCACAACGGCACCAGGGTCCAAGTCGTGCTGGAGCGATTCGTGTGTCCGGTTCCCGGTCAAGAGGATAGGCTGCTCATGTGGTCATACTGCAAGAAGTGCGAAAAGGCTACCCCAGTGACGCCGGCATCGGACGAGACTTGGAGTTTGTCCTTTGCAAAGTATCTCGAACTACATTTCTACCGATGCAACAAAAAGCTCAGCTGCAGCGAGGCCACCAGGGAAGATCCAAGTACGGGCAGTGGAACAAAAGCGAGTCCGTTGGCGTGCTCGCATGACTATTACGCCGACTGCGTCCGCTTCTTTTCGCTAAAGAACCTTGCGATTCGCTTTCACAGGGATCGAGACCTGACTGTCCGCGATGTCGTTCTTCCTCCGCTCAAGAAGCCTCTGCCACGGCCAGACGTCGACTGTCGACTGAAGCTCGAAGAGGTGCGCACACTCGAGGAGCGCAATGCAAGCTACTGGAACAGTGTCATCGCCCGTCTCGGCGCGCTTCAGCGGGAAATCTCCAGTTCTGGTGCATCTACCTCGTCAGCGTCAGCAGCGGCAGTGGCGGCGGCATCCAGCACAAACGCAGGCGCGACATCTGAGTCAGAATCCACAGGCCATGCCCCCGCAGAAAAAACTCGCACGCAAATTGCCTGCGAAGAGCTCGATGAGGCCAAGAATCGAGCCGACGAGGATCGCAAGGCAATCGAGGCATTCCTCGCGGAAACCTGTCGTAATTCGGGACCCACAGACGTCTTAGCTCTCAACATCGTCCGCAGTCGGCTTCAAGCGACGGTGGTACGCTGGGACGTGTTCCTGCGCGAGTTTGAAAAGAGGAACCTCGTTTCGCCTGAACGCGATGCCCGCAGGCTCACGACGCAGCACCTCTCGCGGCTGTTCCAGGAGAGGGAAAAGGAGAAGGAGCAGCACATGCCGCTTGCTTCGTCTATGACGCTGACTTCATCGACGGACAATGGCTACGACGCAGGTCCTCCAAGGTCTGCTGCCGTCTCACCAGCATCGACAAGCGCAGTCTCATCCCCCACACGTCCGACGAGAATGACCGACAGCGGCAGCATTCCCAGCACGTCTGCGCTCGCGCGAGCTCTTGAGGTGACCGACGAAGGAGGCTCGACAGACGCAAAGAGCGAGAGTGCACCTGCGACATGGCGTCGTCGAAAGGCAGAGAGAAAGGCAGCTTCAGCCTTGCCTGGGACAAAGAAGGAAGATAACGATCAGAAGGACTCTTCGTCCTCGGAAGCAAAGACTTCACCAGATCCAGACGGAAGCAAGAAAGCGGCTGCCTCTGAGACTCGCAGACCTTCGATGCTGCCCAGAGCTCGACAGAGCGCAGATGCCGTCCCTAGGACATCCAGGCTTGTCTCCAGTTCCTTAGACAAAGGCTCGGAGAGCGACACGACTTCATGGACCGGAGGTGCGAGTGGCCAGAAAGCGACACAGAGGAGACTGGCATCTGGAAGCCACCTTCATCGAAGTAAGAAAGAAGGACCCCCGAGCAGCTACCGCCCCATCCGTGGGACATTGGCGGCTGGACAAGCTTCGAGTGCGGAAAGTGACGTCGAAAACGCTACCTCTGCTCTCCGGCGTCCGGGTGTGGTCCGGCGATCTTCAGCTGGGCAGCAGACAACGCTGGCAAATCGAAACCGTCGACCTGAACTCAACTCGTCAACGTCTGGGAACAGTCATACCAGCATGAATAGTCGGCTTCCCGTCTCCACTAGCCAAGCCAGTAATCGCGTATCGACGATTGCGCGTCGCTTCGACAACCTGCATCGAGAAGCGGAGCGCGAGCGCGAGAGGCAGAGACAGCTCATGGCTGTGCGTGCCAGACGAGCCAGACCAGTGGGCGCGTCACAAGCCAAGGTCCAGGTGTACCGAAATGTCAGGGACGCGGTCGGAGACGATGACGATGAGGAAGAAGAGGAAGTCCATATCGGAAAGGGCGCCAAGAAGAAGCTTCAGGGTCTCGAAGAGGAACGGCACGACGACGACGCCAAGGGAGAGGAGGCAGACGAGGAGGATGCTGCAGATGATGAGATGTCCACTGCAATGGCGAAGACGGACACGCTCGAACCAATAGTTCCAGTAGCGGGAACCGATTCGAAGGCTTCGCAATCATCTTCGCAAGGGCCGGACGTGGCACACATCACCGAAGACGGCGCGGAGCGGAAGAGGCTCGAAGACCAACAGGCCCAGCTGCAGAAGCAAGAGGCTAAGCAGCAGACGGCAGCTGAGGTGACGGTGTCTTCGCTCCTTTCGGGCACACTGCCAGCTTCTTGGAGGTCAAGTGACGATGGCGCGGGCACGACCAGAGGCTCGCTTCTCAAGACCATCACTTCCCTTTGGGGCAAGGGTGTGGGTCAACTCCCGTTGATCGAGTACCCTATGTTGGCGTCCGAGCACCTCTTCTCCGACTCGCCCCTTGTCGTGCTTCGGGAAGACGAGCCCAGCAGCCTGATCGCTTTCACGCTCCACTCGTCCACCTACGCCTCGAGGCTTCAGTCTTTGAGGGACTCGCACGGGCTGGGAGAAAGCGGGCAGGGGCTCAGCATAGAGAGGCAGCAAGAGCTGGCGATGCGGCAGACGGAGTCGGCGCATCTGAGCTTCGCCTTTTCCAGCGGCGATTCCCGCTTCTCCATTAGGGTCCTCTTCACCGAACAGTTTGACGCCCTCCGTGACGCCTGTGGGTGCCAAGACAGCTTTGTCCAGTCGCTGGCACGCTGCTGGAACTGGCTCGACTGCACGGGAGGCAAGAGTGGAGCGACGATGATGAAGACGCTCGATGACCGATTCATCATCAAGTCACTCTCGCGGGCCGAGATGGATGCGTGGGCAAACAATGCTACAGCCTACTTTGGCTTCCTGTCAGACGTCATCTTCCAGAACAGGCCGACGACGCTGGCAAAGATCTTGGGGGTCTACAAGCTTACTGTGCGTAATCCGCAGACGGGCAAGAACATCAAGCTCGACTGCGCAGTGACGGAAAACGTCTTTGCGAACGCACCCATGGCAAGGATTTACGACCTCAAGGGTGCCCTTCGCAATCGCTTTGTGACTGTCCCCTCGTCTTCCTCTGCTTCAGCTACCAATGCCTCCACGAGTGGGCCCAACGCGTCTTTGACGACGGCGACAGCTGCCGCAGTTGCTGCCGCACCCATGTCTACGTCTTCGCATCAGATCGTGCTGCAGGATGGCAATTTGCTCGCATCAAAGGATCCGCTTTTCCTCCACGAGAGCGCGAAGAGGCGTCTCAGGGAGGCTCTCTATCATGGTGCGTCTATTGGCGTCTCTTCATCTTCTTTCTTTTTCTTGCTCACAGCTCCCTTTCACCCTTGCAGACTCAATGTTTCTGGCTTCGTGCGACGTCATGGACTACAGCCTGGTCGTAGGCGTGTCCGACGAAGAACCTGTGCTTCGCGTGGGCATCATCGACTTTATTCGCACATTCACCTTGGGCAAGAGAGCGGAGAGCTTCTTCAAGGAGCTCGGTGGTGCTGCAGCGGGAGCTGCGACTGGTGCGGGCGTACGTGAGATCGTGGGCGGCGGTGCGACCTCGACTGGCGCGGGAGGCACGAGCGGGTCTGGGGGGTCTACGCAAGCAGGTGGTCTCGGCGTGGCCGGTCTAGGAGGAGCTACCGCGGGAGCAGGAGGGGTGCTGGCAGCCTCAGCGACGGCCGAAGGCCCAACAATTATTGATCCGAAGCAATACGCTGCCCGTTTCAATACATTCCTCGATGCCATTCTGCTCCTGGCGCCCGATCGGTGGCTATCGAGAGAAGAGGAGACTCGCGCGGTACAAGACCACGGGCTCGGGCTGGCTCTCTGATGTAAAGCCGTCGAATCTTTTCAAATACCCGAGCTTTACACTGTCTCGTTTTCAATCACATGTAGTTCATTCAAAGACGAAATTCCAGGTAGCAGAGCAGCGTCCTGCAGCATCAAAGCAGCAGTAGTCAGCAGCTCGATGAGTGAACATCGTTTTTATATTTGACGCCCTCGCGAACGACGCCAACGTGCATTTCATTTTCGAGAACAAGAATTTTGCCGCGACACTGCGCGTCTGCCTTGAAAATCTGACCTCGTGGACGCCCACGGATGGAATTTGCGTCTGACCTCGCATGGTGACCAGGAACCAGTCGGGAGTGCATAGGAGCAGTAGGATGAGGTGTGACCTTGCGGTCTGCTGACTTGAGTTGCTTGAACGAGGGCGACGGTCTGATCCATGCCCCCTTCCCTCGCTCTTCCCTTTCCTCTTCACCAACACCATCTTTTTCTCAGTCCTTTGCTGCTGGGCACCGTGAAGAGGCTGTGCCTCTTTCGCTTACTTTTCGACCCATTCTTCTCTGCAGGATCGACTCCAAGCTCTTGATCTTGAGTAAAAGCAAAGCCTAGCAAGAATTCTAGGCTGCTATAGCTCTCCTCGTGCTGGTACACGAGAATCAAAAGGCCTCTCAACTCCCGTCTTTGGACCGAAGTATCGACAACACGGCTCGGTCTGCGAGCTGAAGCGAAATCAACCAAGCAAAGCACCGGCTGCTTTGTAAGGCCAATAGCTTCGACACAACCTCTCTTATCTTCTATCCTTCGGTGGAAAAATATGTCTGTCATTGTGCAGCCCATTCTCCCCAGAGGAGGAGACCAGACACAAGGAGGCGATGACTCTTCTTCTGCTCGCCAACCTACCCATCAATCTGGGCAGGAACCATGGTCTTCCTCTAAGACCGCTCCAAGTTCATCTTCAGGAAGCGGCGAGCATCCCCATGCAACACCGACACCCACACCGACGCCTAACACCGACGATCTCTATCAATCGATTTTTGCGTCCATAGATGGCGCTTCGGAAAAGGACGAAGAAAACAAGAAGAAGGACGAACACAAGAAGGATGGCAAGGACGGCAAGGATGGCAACCCTTCCAGCGTGGACAAACATCCAAACACGTCTTCGACCAAGTCAACTCAACAGTCGTCTTCTTCCCATGGTGCAGGCGCAACGTCTACATCGTCTTCAATTAAGCCTGACCAGAAGTCGACTTCGTCTACCTCGCTCAAGCCCGGCCAAACTTCGACTTCTTCTCCTGGTAAGGCCGCTCAAAGCGGAATAATCTCGCCACCGGGTGCCAACGGAACGGTAGCAGGTGGTTCCAACCACACTAACGCCACCGACGGTACTCCTCGCAATGTGACAATCAATTACAACGAACAGAACATCAACAAGACCAACATCACCAATATCACCCAGGTTCAAGTCGTGAACAACTACATCACGATGACGACGAAGGGCGCAAATGGACAAATGTCGACGGTGACAAAGCCGACGACGGAAACAAAGACAGCCACGATCCCGTACACCGAAACAAAATTGAGGACTGTGACTACTAGCAAGCCCGCTGTGACTGTAACGACCAAAGGTGCCGGTGGCCACGCAACCACGGTGACACAGCCTGCCAAGGTGACGACGCACGTTGATCGCGTTCCAAACAATGAGAACAAGCGCCCTGTCTTGACGACCACAATAACAGCGAGTCCTTCAGCCGCTTCGCATGGTACTGGCGGCGAGGGTCACAAGAAGCCAGTCAGTATGCCCAACACTGATGCTGGCTCCAAAAAGAAGCAAGACGGATACTCTTCGGCAGCTGCCGGTGGTGGTGACTACGCTGCAGCCGTTGCGCCCACCACTGTCAATAGTGAGGTTGCCTCTGCCTACGACTCTCCCGCTGCCACACCTCTGGCTGCTTCAGCTCCCCTCCCAGGTGCAGATGCTACCACGACTGCTGGTCAATCTCCGAAGTCTGTCGTGGCGAACCAAGATGGCTCAGATGGCGCGTGGGACTTGGACAATCTCCCCACCGACATCGGCTCTTTCATCAATAGCGCCACAGGACTGGCCTCGTCTATCATGAGCGAGGTGAGCGGCGGTGACATTGGTGGCATGCTGGGCGCCGCAACCAGCCTCAACTCCACGATTCCACCTGCAACGGCCACTGCTCAGCTCGTCTCGTCTACCGCTTCGGTCCCAAGTAGCAGCGTCACGTCGCCACCGCCGCCGGCTAAAACGACAAGCGCTTCTAAGACGACTGTCAGTGATCATCACTCAAGCACGACCAACTCGGCAAAGGGAGGTACCATGACGACGGATGCCCAGGGTCACGTAATGCCGGCCAACTCGCAAAAGGACCAGATAGGGTCGCCTCAAGGCAATGGAACCAACCTGAGCAAAGGCGGTGTAGCCGGTGTCGTCATCGCTACATTGGCAGCTGTCGCTGTTGTGTTCCTGCTGATGCTCCTTTTCGTGCGGAGGAGAATGAAGCGCAGGCACGAGCGCATGCCTTGGTCTCGAGACGCCTCTCGTTCCAACGATAACGACGGTGCCCCGCAAATGTTCCGTACTCTTTCCCGAGGTTTCTCGCAGTCGCGTCGAGCCAACGACATGACCCAGATTGGCACCTCCTTCACTCCTTACACGTATGGTGCGACTAACAATGCGAACTCGATCCAATCTAGTTCCAGGGGTACACCGATGCGCTTTGGACACAATGAAGGACCCGTTTCTGGTCCCACTTCTGCCACGGCTCCTCGTTCGGTCAGTCTTAACCCTATCGTTGAGAACCCTTTCGACGATCGTAATGGTGTCTCAAACAGTAACAAGAGAACGCCTCCAGCGCCCAAGATCACACCTGGACCCAACTCTTTGAGGACTGAGCTCGGAGGTGGAAAGCGCCCTGGACACCAACCCAGTAACTCGTACTCTTCGACAGCTTCATCGGCCTCTCGCGGCTCTAGTCCTCAGACTGTTCCACCGATTACTGACTCAGACTTCTACCAAATCGATCGCGCAGCACGGGCGACGGTCGACCCGAACGTCGTCGGTAGAGCTCAGCCACGAACGACGGTCCCTCGTGCCAAATTCTTTCCACGAGCGGCGCCATCTTCCACCTACGGTCTCCCCGCAAGGGCATCTCATTCTGTAGCCACCGACAATGCTTATCCCCAGATGTCGAGTCGCCAGGACAATTCTTCCTACCGTGACAATAATGCTCGTCGGCCCAGCGTCGACGCCCGTGGCGCAGACATCTCTGTTCCTCGCTCCGAGCTCCTTTTGAGTCGGGCCCAGCACCACAATGATTACAACAGCGCCGCTGAGGCAAACCGCCCTACTTCGTATCAAACGACCCCTAGTATCTACTCGGTCAACAGCGAGAATCCGTTTGAGAACGAAGAACCAGCGCCGGCTGTGCCCCCCGTGCCCAGCACTTATCGCTACCACTAGAAGGGTCGCTCCTTTCTATATTCTTAGCTAGTCATATCTTCGGTCTTCCAGTAAATTGTTCTTTTGTCTTGGCGAATTGATCTCACTGCTTGCTTCTCGATGACGGCCCTTGCCTGTCAAAAGCTGTGAAATGCCTGTGGCTTTAATTCTCGGGCTGTGTACATGTACAGGGACTGTCGATGGTGTCCGAGATCCACGTGGCGCCTTAAATTTAAGGCCTTGGCAATGCGATCCTTAAGGGCCGTCTAAAAATACCACCTGCATCTCGCTCTCATCTCCTCCACCGGAACTCCCCTTCCTTCAACGTCGACCTTGTCATCTCTGTCTCTCCCTCTGTCAAGAAGTTGGCAACGAGGGAAGCTTCATTTCCCGACTTTCGCTGTAGCCTACAACCTGACTCTAGGTCTTGTAGCGACAGCTCTCGTGACGTAGCTTAGTTGCCTTCTGGAGAAGGATATTGCGCCGCTGGCCGCCTACCGATACGATAACCTGATTGTCCCTTCTCTCACGCCTGCACACATCACACAAGGAAACAAAAGCAACAATGGGAAAGAATCAGAGCAAGCTGACGCCTGAGCAGCTCGTTGACCTCCAGAAGAGCACCTACTGTGAGTATCAGCTTCCTCTCCCACACGTCCTTCTCCTGCAATTTCTGATCACATGGACGCAACCTCACAGTCGACCGCAAGGAGCTTCAACAATGGTAAGTCATGCATTTTACCCTTTTCCGCTTCCCTCTCCTCGCGAGCAAGTACCGATGGTGTCATTTGCAGGTACAAGGGCTTTCTCAAGGACTGTCCCTCGGGTGTGCTGGATAAGGCAGAGTTTGCTCGAATCTACAAGCAATTCTTCCCCTTTGGTGATCCTTCTACCTTTGCCGACTTCGTCTTCAACGTCTTTGATGAGAACAAAAACGGAACAATCGACTTTAAGGAATTTATTTGCGCGCTCAGCGTCACCAGCCGAGGCAGGCTCGACGAGAAGCTTCGATGGGCGTTCCAGCTGTACGACATTGATGGTGACGGCACCATTACCTACGACGAAATGCTTAGTGAGTTTGGGAAAGAGGACGGCAGCAAAGAAAGAAGATAGGGTGCTAGACAGCTGACAAGAGAGTGTCGCGACGCAGCCATCGTGAGGAGCATCTACAAAATGACGGGACAAATGGTGAAGCTGCCCGAGGATGAGGATACGCCAGCAAAGAGGGTCGACAAGCTGTTTGCGATGATGGACAAGGACAAGAATGCGCAGCTGTCGTTTGAGGAATTCCAAGAAGGGTGCGTTAATTTTCTCACACTATGCTCCCCACCTCCCACTCAGCTTTCTGTCCTTGCAGGTCAAAGAAGGACCCCACTATCGTTCAGGCCCTCTCGCTGTACGACGGCCTCGTGTAGACGAGAACACTTTGCTTATTCAATGCTGTCATCGTCTTTCTTCTGCGTCTTTCGACCCTCTATTTCAACCGAACTAAGTCTCTCATAGTTACAGTTACACGGTCTACGCGATGCTTTTAAGAAGAAAGAGAGAACACTTTGTAGGGCTTCTCCTCGCTGTCGTCATGAGTAAGGCGGCGGCGGCGAACAACACGAACCCGGGACTTCTTGTGGTTGTCGTGATTGTCGTGGTGATGGTGGTGATCATGATGATGGTGATGGCTATGGTTGTTCGAGGCGGCACCGTGGGAGAGCTCGTCAGCGATCTGATTGTCAAGATAGTCGTCGAGCTGGGCTTGCTCCTTCATGGCATCTTCAAGGGCTTCATGCTTGTGCTCGACCTGCTCGTCAAGGTTGATGAGACGGCGCAGCTCTTCCATGTCCCTAGCCTCGTCGTTGTCCTCGTCACTATCGTCGTCGTCATCGTCGTCATCGTCATCATCGTAGTCGTCGTCACTGTCATCGTCATCGCTGCCATCATCACTGTCATCGTCGCTGTCATCGTCGCTGTCATCAGAGTGGCGATGGTCATGGCTGTGGCCGTGATTGTGAACGGGCAGACGGCCGAGGCCACCCAGCTGGACGACCGCGGTGGGCTCGTTTTGAGGGATGACCACGTTGTGGTAGCGGTGAGCCTGAGGGGGCAGAGGAAGCGGCAGGGTAGTTTCGAAAGCCCGGCGCTGCATCATCTTGTGCGCTGTAAAAGACAAGGATGTGTCAGGACTCAGTAACGACGGGGAAAGGGAGAGAGGAAGCAGATATTCTTACGGCTAAGCATGTGACTGTGGCTCAGATGATGGGGGTGAATGTCCCTGCGTTCAAGGCCAGGGGAGTCGAGCTCAGTGAGTTCGTCGTGGTCATTTATGTCACTGTGTCCACGGGGAGCCGCTTCGGCGAAGTGGTTGCCAAGAAGCGCTAGGCCGATGGCGATGGAGAGCAGAGTAGCAAAGTTGCGCTTAGAGAGCATCACGAAAAGGAGCAATTGGTTGCTGTTGTCGTTTGTGTCGAAGAGTTCCCAGCTCAGACAGATGCGATCGCTTTTCTTGAGGCCAGCTCAGAGCAAATCGCAGAGAACAGATGAGAAGGTTGTGGTGAGGAGGGAAAGGAAGAATTGTCGAAAGGGCCCCTTCTTATATCCCTTTCGCCACCCCTTGCTCACCTTCAGCCTCTGACTCCTCGTACTTGCCACGCCGCGCTGCACGGCAACGGGGCATCTGGAGCGCCTTTCCGAGTGCACTTCCGGTATTTATTCTCAAAACATCGTCCTTGTTTACAGCGCTACCTGATCCCTCCAAGCCTCTATGCTGTGAATCATCTGGGGCGTGATCCTTCGCCTAACATCAGCCGCCGCCCCACGTAAATGCCGCTGCGCGATGCAGGGCGCGTTGAGGTCCTCGTTCATGGCCCTCAGCCCGGCGTCCTGACAAATTGAAACCATCTCCGCCCCGGAACAGCCCTCGGTCTGTAAGGAGTAGAAAAAAAAGGCCATTCGGTTAGCCCACACGCCGACCCACCCGAAGAACGCCCCGGTAAACAAGAAGAAAATAAACAACTCACCATCGTAGCAATCTCATCCAAATTGACGTCGTTGCCAAAGGTCATCTTTCCAGCGCGAATCTCGAGCAGCTTGCGGCGCGCTTCCAGGTCTGGTGGACCGACGTAAAGGAGCCTGTCCAAGCGACCGGGCCTCAGCAGAGCTGCATCGATGACCTGGGGACGATTGGTGGCTGCGACGACAATGACGTGGCCAAGGCCCTCGACGCCGTCCATCTCGTTCAGCAGCGTAGCAATGAGCCTGTCCGAGTGCGACGCCTCGCTGCCGCCGTCGCTGCCCCTCATCGTCGTCAGGCCGTCGATTTCGTCAAAAAAGATAATCGAAGGCGAGGCGGCCCTGGCCTTGCGGAAGACTTCGCGCAGTGATCGCTCTGACTCGCCCACGTACTTGTTCAGTAGTTCCGGGCCCTTGACAGCCACAAAGTTTAGGCCGCTTTCGGTGGCCAGTGCCTTTGCAATGAGCGTCTTGCTACAACCGGGCGGGCCGTAGAGGAGCAAGCCTTTTGGCGCTTGAATTCCTAATCGGGCCAGGGTGTCTGCGTGCTTCAAGGGCCATTCCACACATTCTCGAATCTGGCTCTGAACCTTGGCCCCCGCCTGGCCGGTAGCAATGTCGGACCATCGCACCTTGGGAAGCTCCAGCGTGACTTCGCGCATCGCAGAGGGTCGGACAACGGTCTGGGCGTGTCTGAAGTCTTCTAGGGTCACCTTGTTGCTGTCATCTTGACTTGTGAGGCTGACGTCGTTCATCTTGGAGACAACGTGGTCCATTGCCATGGAGTCTTGGCTGCTTCTGGGTCCATCGAGAAGCTCGCGCGTGACTGCGCGCATGCCCGCTTCTCTCACCAGCGAGGCGAGATCGGCGCCCACGAAGCCGTGACACTGATCGGCGATCTGCTTCTTCTGATCCTCGTCAAGGGTATGTGGTACTCTTTGCAGGAGCACATCGAGTATAGACCTTCTGGCTTCGCTCGATGGCACGCCAATCTCGATCTCTCGGTCGAGCCGGCCTGGCCGTCTCAGCGCCGGGTCGATCGCATTGGGACGATTGGTGGCAGCAATGACAACGATGCGGCCTTCCTGGTCCTCGGGTTCCTTGTTTCGACCCTGGCTCGAACCCTGTCGTTGACCCAGGCCATCCATGAGCGTCAGAAGGGTAGCGACGACGCGCCTCTCGACCTCGCCCGCCCCTTCGACACCAGCTCCATCGGCTCCAGCTCCCGCATCACGTCTGGGCGCCAGGGCATCGATTTCGTCGATGATGACGACACTGGGAGCTGTCTCTTGGGCGCGCTCGAACAGACGTCGAAGGCTACGCTCGGTACCTCCGTGAAAGGAGGAGGAGAGTTCGGGTCCAGACACGAGATGGATTGAGCCAGCCTCGACGCAAGCCGAAGCGGCGGCATGGGCCAGCGACGTCTTTCCTGTTCCAGGCGGGCCGTAGAGGAGCACGCCCCTCGGCGGCTTGAGGCCATATCTTCGAAAGACGTCCGGTCTCGTCAGCGGCATCTCGACCAGGCGGCGGATCTGTTCAATTTGTCGATCGAGACCGCCAAGAGCAGCATAGCCTTCGCTGTTTCTCTTGATTCCGTTGCTCATCCCCTCTCCCTTCCTCTCCTTGGCAACCTCGACGGAGATGTGTGTTCCTCTCGTCACTTTTAAAACCGTAGATGCGACGTCCTCAGGCCACTTGTACGAAAGCGGAGAGGTGTTAGAGGCGGTACGGATCCTGTTGAGCTCCACGCTCTCCATTGTGCACCGTCCTGGCCTCCCTTCGGAACCACCCTCACGAGGGAGCTGCCATCTTTGCCCCACCCAGCAGTAGCCTTGGCCTACAAGTGATTCCCTGGCATGGACTTCGAGCAGCCGCATGTACTCGCCACTGTCCTCTTTCTGTTCCAGCCCCGTGCACTTCACGACGATGTACGTGGCTGCCATAACGTCTTGTTCCTTGAGAGGGAAGACGCTTATGCTCGTGCATGACTCGCTCGTCGAGGTAGAAAGAGAGATGGCTACTCGCCAGATCATTTGAGCTTTCCCCCCTGTAACTACTCAGCACCACCAGTACTCACCATCGGAATCTAGGCTCGAGTTTGGCCAGAGGTTGGTGACGAGGCATCCAACCTTTTTTGACGAATCATCGAGTGCCACCAACACTGCTGGGGATCCAGCTTGTGCGCCGCAAGTCCTAAGGGATGAAGGGTGGAGATAGGCCCTCGAAGATGTTATCGAGGCCGTTGGTGCCTTTCTGGTGACTTTGAACACCTTCTCGCTCATCGTCAGCACCTTTACCAAGAAAGAAGAACAACCTGTCAACTTTCTCTTTCTTTAGTCTCAAGCAACTTTTTTTTCTTTCTTTTTGTTTTCCCCTGCCTGCTCGCTCAGATGTTGAAGTCGACGCGTGGCTGGGGGATTTTTCCTCGCACGGTGCGGCGACTTCATTGCCTCTCTCTCCCGAAAAGGGGGTTGACTCTCTTCCAGCCTGGACACTCACTGTACACCGCGCCATGTCGTATTCGATAGACGACCCCTGGTCGGCGACGTCACCAAACCGGCACCAGCAGGGTGCCTCCTCCTCTTCCAACTACCCGAGGCCGTTGACGTGGGCGCCCTCGTCCTCGGTCAGGAACGGCGCCGCGGACGCGCCATCGTCTGCATCGTCGGATCAGGACGGCGCGGGCAGCGCGTCCTATTTCACCCTTCGCCTCCCGCCCGCCTATCAGGACGTGTGGAACCGAGCGAGCGCCGAGGACCAAGACGACGGAGAGGCAATCGATGAACTGTCGCTCTCGCAGCTGCGCAGAGTCGTTGGTGCAGCTCGCGGACTGAGCGCTGGCGACGTAGAGGAGGTGAGTGGAGGGAAAGAGATAAAGAGAGAGAGAGAGAAGGAAAACGCAGACGCATTGGCCTTTCTTCTTCTTCGAGCTGACGACTAGATTCGTTTCTCTAGATTATCAACCACTCTTCCCCGCCCTCGTCTAGCAACATCACCAGACACGCCTTTGCCCTCGCGCTCGTCCTTGTCGCGCAGCACCAGCAGGGCCATGCAATTGATGCGGGCCTCGCACGCCGCGTCATCAGCAGCAACCCGGCGCAAAACGAGTGGCCCTCGCCTGACCTCGACCTGAGTGCAATGAGTGCTGGGAGCAAGACATTCAATGGCAGTCTCGCAAGAACGGCCAAGAGCCAGGCCAGCGAAGTCGAAGGCCTCCCCAGCTCCATGTCCTTTGCGAGCACCACGTCGGCGATTCGTGGGTGGAACGAGGGATCGCGAGGAGGCGCAAGGGGCGGACCACAGCTTGAACCAAGTCCCTTCTACGTCTCACCTCATCCAACGACGGTCCAGCTGCATCCCGAGCTGGGCGGCTTTCTGTTCCGCCACGTCCTCTACAATGTCAAGACGCCGCTCTCGCCTTCCAGGAGTTCTGTCAAGCGACGCTATACGGACTTTGTCAACCTGCACGGCTACCTTGTTGCCCGCTATCCGTTCCGGCTCGTGTACCCTCTTCCCTCCAAGCGACTCTCGCTTCCTCAGCTCAATCGCACCGACCCAAACGAGGCCCAAGACGCCTTTCTTGAGCAGCGCAGGCTCGCCCTTGCCCGTTATGTGCGCAACCTCGTCTCCCACACGCGTCTCAAGCCAGATGCCGTTGTCGCCAGCTTCCTGACAAAGGGCGCACAGCCGGCGAATGCCAGAAAGAGGACAACCGCAGCCGCATCGCAAGCAAGTTCTGCTTCAACCACTTCCGCTTCGGTCGCCAACGAGGAAGACAACGCCTGGAAGTTGCCCGCGCTCATGGACCAGCCCCTGGAAGAAGGCCTGGACGACGGCTGGACACTGTCCGAAGCCGAGATTCAGGGCGTGCCCATGGATCTGGACGAGCGAGTGTCTCGCGCCAAGGAGCTTGCTCCGACGCTCTTGGACCGCTGGAACATGATTGTCGCCAGCTGGGAGCGGGTGTGCCGTCGACACGAGGCGGCCGGCGCCGAATCGACGCGGCTCTCGCTGTCCCTCTCGTCGCTGCTGGAGGTGCAGGCCAAGATGCACCTGACGGTGCCGACCACCAATCCTGCTCAGCACAAGCGCGCCGCGCAGCTCCGTCCGTGTGCGCAGGCTAGTGGCCTCGTACCCGGTCTGCTCGTAGACTATGCCGATCTGGCCCATGCCAGGGCAAGGGCCCAGTCGCTGACGCTCGACAGCCTCAAGAACCACCGGGATGCGATCCTGGCCTTTTGCAATCTCCTCAAGCGCCACGAGCGACTCGCGCGGCCCGAGGCCGTCGGCGATGTCGAGAAGAGAATCGCGGCCACGAGGCAGCGGTGGAAGACGGCAAAGGACGCAGTGGCGGCAGCTAGGGACCAGGCAAAGCCTGTCGCCGCGCTGGAGCAAGAGGTCAAACGGCTAGAGGGGGAAATCGTAAAGGATCAGGCCCTAGTTGAGAAGCTCAAGAAGCGGAACGACCGGATCAGAGTCGCCGTTTGGGACGAGATTCGAAGATTTCAGTATCTCGGTGAGTCAAATACGCCCCTCTTCCCCCCCTTCTTTCTTTGCATGCTTTGCGTTTTCACACAGAGGGAGAGACTGATCCATATGCTCTTCACTCAACCAGACGACCTCATCATTGACGATTGGATCGCGTTCGCAAAGGCCGAGGCCGGCAACCTCGCTGCGAGCCGCTCAGCCGTCGAAGACCTCATCGCTCAGCTCCAGGGCCTTTCCTTTTCCTCTCTGTAACAGCACATGCAGCAGTATACCTCGCTTCCACACAATTATGCATTGCCATGTTCCATCTCATCGATATGGAGGATACTGTTGCTGCTGCTGCCATCCCTGCTGCGGCTGTTGTTGTTGCTGCTGCTGGGGATAAGCCCCATAAGGTGACTGCGTTTGAGGCTGCTGGTATGTCTGGTATTGGTTAGGCAGGGGAGGGGGCGCCGGTTGTGATCCGTGTTGAGGATAGGAGGATTGTCCAGGCAGAGGCGGCGGTGGAGGTCCCAATGACATTTGGCGGGAGTACTGCTGCTGGGAAGACTGCGGTGGTGGTGCCGCTCCGTAGGCGACCTGGCTGCTCCACTGCGGAGGCGGGGGAGGCAGGCCAATGGACGACTGCTGTTGCGGAGGTGGTGGCGGCGGTGGCATGTAAGAAGAGGAAGAAGGCTGCGTTGGCGGCGGCGGCGGCGAACCGTAGATCGAATGCGGGGGTGGTGGCGCGGAGCCATATGGGGAAGAGGATGGCGGAGGCGCGGAGCCATACATGGAGTGAGTCGAGGGAGGCGGTGGGGAGGCGTAAGCAGAGCGTTGAGGTGGCGGCGGAGGAGAAGTATATGACGGATGCGATGGTGGCGGGGGTGACGCGTACGAAGCCTGTCTCGACGATGGTGGTGGTGGTGCAGCAGCAGCAGCCGAGGCACCTGACCCTCTTCCAAACGCGAAGTCGAGGTTATCATACGGTGAGGTTGGCGTGACCGGCGACTGATACTGCGAAGTCTGTTGGTACTGAGGCTGTTGCTGCGGCGGCGGTGCGTAACGCTGCTGATAAGCTTGCTGCTGTTGCTGCTGAGGAGGCGGTGCTTGCGGGGGCCCGGCTGAGCGCCAAGACTGAGAAGTGTCTCGACCAAGGTTGAGTCCGCCAAGACTGCTCTCGAGACCGCTGCTACCATCAGTGCCCCTTTCCTCCCATTCGACCTCCTGCTTGAGGCGTTCCCTCTCTGCTCGCCTCTCTTCCGAGAAACTCTTCGCATTCCGCTTCAGCTCCGTGCCAATCTCTTCGAGCTGACCGTAGAACGCCAAGGCCTTGCCCAATCCTGCTCTCACTTGGGCGTGAGCATCTTTGGCCCTCCTTAGCCTTGCAATGAGAGATTGACGAGCACTTCGCTTGGCTTCGTACTGCGTCGAAAGAGTTTTGCCCAAGTTCGTCGATGTGAGCTTCTTCCAGGCCTTTGTCACTTCCCCGACGAGTCGCTCTTGCTCGGTCACACTCCGAGCGCTGCGCTGTGTAAGAGTGCGGAACTTGTCGAGCTCCTGTTGGAAAAGCTGCGTCTGCGCTTCGGGAGGTGACCGACGATTGAGGATGAGAAGGTGGGAAATGTCGTCAGACTGGATCCGGTTCCTCAGTTCCGAAAGACTGTCGCTCCGTTCTCGCTTGACGCGGTGAAGAGCCGACAGATTCGACTCGATGGACGAGACGAGCGACTCCACCCGTCGCTTTTCCTCTTCGTCAGCAGTCTCCTCACTCTCTGTCAGATCAAGCAGCTGTGGCTGCGACCCGTTTCGAGCTCCGCTGTTGCCGCTGCCGCTGACGGCCTCGATAAATGCTGCCTCAAGCCCCTCATTACCGCTCAGAAGCACCCTGATCATGGCCCCTTCCTCTTTCCACAGCCTGGCAATAGCCTCGTCGTTTCCTACGGCCTGGTCCAGTGCTTCTCGGTTACTCTTGATGTCGCTCCGCAACGCCCGTGTCGCCGATCCACTTGGCGCTTGGGTCCACTTATCCCCAAAGCGAACTCGAAGCTTCTCACACTGCGCCGCTTCATCGTCGAGGAGCCGCGACGCTTCTTGCATGTCTGCCCTGGCCTTCTCTCTCCGAACAGAGAGGCTCTGCAGCGCATCATCGACGGCACTACTGCCTGAGCCGAGGCCGTCCATGCCGAGGGAGCCTCCACCGGCAATTTCCTCTTCGGACCACTCGCGCACCTCCTTGCCTGGGTCAATGAGATCGTCAAAGCCACTATCGCCAGCACCGCCTTGCTGTCGAAACTTGTTGAGTGATTGTGGAAGTCCCATGTACTCCAGCGCGGCCGTCAGCTGCCCGTCGGCCAGCGTCGCCTTTTCGCCTTCGCTACGAACGAGCTTTGCCTTTTCCTCGCTGTACATGCTCGCCGCTTCGTGGACGCCTAGCGGGACAAGGTTGCTGAAGAGGTCATTCGCCGGTGCAGCCCCCGTCGTAGCACCGATCAGCTTCTGGATATCTGCGCTGCTGTACACCTCCTGAATGCTGATGGGCGTCGCAGCCGGCAGTGGCTCGATAGGGGCCAAGGTGCTCTCGGTGGGCAAGATGTCGTGGTAGATGAGGTCGTTGTCCTTGATCGCTGTCTGCTTCTTGGCCGTCGCCTGGGCCAAATGGGCATCGATGAGAGACTTGAGCGACGTGCCTGCATCGGCAGGCAACGTCGAGTGGGAGCCCGTAATCGAGACGGAAAAGGAAATGCAGAGCTTCTGCGCCTCTTTTGCTAGGGATTCCGACAGCGTCAATCTGACGAGGGCCACACCATGAGCACTTGCACCAGAGTCGACAGTCGCACGATGGTACTGGGCCAGTGAAGCGAAGTATTTTGCTTTGGTCTGCAAAGCGTGTGTGTGAGCCTCCTCTCCCCCCTTCGATACCACACAGCGTGTGCCAAGAACTCACCTGGACGAGGAGCCCCCAGCTGCGCTCAAAGACTGCCTTGGTGATCCACTCTTTTGCCTCTTCGGCCAAGTTCCCGTACAAGATGCTTGCTTGACAGGCCAAGCGCGCGACCAGGCTGCCTCCCTTCTTCTCCTCGAGCGTCTTTTCCCAAAAAACCTCGGTGGCCTGGGCCAGCTCGACGTCGACAAGCCACTTGACCACGTCCTTTGACAAGTCAGTCGAAGGCGCATGAAGGAAGTTTTCGTTGATGTACGAGAGCATGCCTGCCGACTGGCGCAACGACTGGTAGGCGAGCTTTGTGCCTCCCAAGGGCGACGTGGCTACCGCTGCTGCTGCAGCAGTTGCTGCGCTGCCAGCACCACTCTTTGCGCTTGAAGAGTGTGCCGCCGTTGGGCTGGCTGGCGTGCCCGCTGGGCCTGGCGATGAGGCAGCGGCGCCTAGTCGATTGGTTCTCGCGCCAAGCGAAGAGAGCACAGCTGCCATGCAGAAGATGATGCTGGCCTTTTCATACGCCAGCGAGTGCTGCGAGATGGGCTTCTCCGTGAAGGCGTCCTTCCTGAGAAGTCAGATAGGTCGTGAGCAAAGGGAAGTCCACTGCACAACGGAGACGGAGTATGACCGAGCGCAACGAACTTACCAAGGGAAGGGAACCCTGAGCTCGGGAAAGCGCAGCTCGAGCATCTCCAGCATGTGGAACCACTTGTAGAGAAGGTCTCTTGCTGTAGAGGAACGAATGAGCCGCTGCTTCATCTGCTTCACCTCGTTCCCAAGCGCCCAAGGCTCTGCGCTGTATAGACGCACCTGTCAGATCGCTTCCGGCGCCCTGAACGGCATCCTGCCGGGCCCGATTGAGCGCGCCCAGCTGCTCTGCGTAGTTTCGTGGATCCTCGCCATACGAGTTCTTTATGAGCTGGCTCACCACAGAGGCTAGGTCGACCTCTTCCGTCGCCTTGTGCGGGATGCGCAATAGCGGCGACTGCGCCAAGTGTGTCGACGTCATTCTCTCTGAGCGACTTCCGTCACACCACTGCTATTAGTCGTCGTCGTCGTCGTCGAGGAGGGACCACCAACCTTCGCCTTATTCCCCAGCTTGGTTGGGCGGACAGCGGGTGCCCCGTGCTCAGCCACATCACGTGGCGTCACAATCTCGCGTCACCTCGGCGGACTGTGGACAAGCAAATTACGTGGATTACAGGAGTCACAACGACAGCAAGTGTGTTACAGGCAAGACATGAGAACGAAGCACAGTGAGAATGCGACAAGTCGGGGTATCTGGAAGATTAATGGACAACGAGCTCATGCGGCTCGGGCACGCTCGAGGGCGAGCGTGTGAGCGTCGAGGTACACTGCTGCTTGCGGTGGGACTGATGGTGCTGCTGCTTGACGGTGTTGCGGGGGGACGTGAACTTGCTGCAGATCGTGAGGGTTCGCATAGTGAGGTTGCTGTTGGCCCCAGCCAAACCCGTCTGTCCCATCGTTGGAGAAGGCGTCATAAGCCTTGGCGTGTTGCAACGCCTGAGGCTGGAAGTGACCCTTTCCCTTGCGGTCATCGAAGATGTCGTCGGCCGAACTTGGCGATGGTGGAAGAGATGTGGAGGGTGGCATCTGATGAGCCTGTTCCATACGACGGTGCCTGTCCATCTCGTGCGTCTGCGGAGAAAGGGCGACCTGGCTCATCATGGCATTCCTGCCCTGGTCGAAGCCGCTCTCGTCATAGGGGCTGCCAGCTGGTGCAGCTAGCTGGACGAAAGGACGACGAGCAGCTTCTCGTTCCTTTTTGTCGTCGCGGCGCGCCGTCTTCGTGCAGCACCACCACAGTGCAAAGACGACGAGGACGACGATCGCGACGAGGCCGACTGAGAGGCCGATGAGCTGAGTCTTGGAGAGGTCTCCTGTGGCCTGCTGGGCAGCATTGCTTTGGTGAGGAAGTAGATGAATAAGAAGAGGAGCGAATAAAATGAATGAGCATAACCTTGCATGCAGGCTCTTTGGAAAATCTCCGGCAGCTCTCACCTGGCACTCTGGCCGCCCGAGCTGAGACTGCTGGTGACCCCTCCCAGCGCCTGTCTCTTCTGAATCTTGACAAGGCGGGACGACATCGGATGATAAATGGCAGTCTTACGGTCGGCAAATCGGTGCGCAATAGAGGATTGTGAACACGACGATGGTGGTGGCGATGAGACGAGGACAGGGAGGCTGATGACGGATCCCCCGCTTCCTCTGCGCGGGACACCCCCTCCCCTCCCTTCCGTTTCTGTGAACAGAAGCCGTCGTCAAGTCGCCGTAAATGGGCAATCAAGACAGGATTTGAACCATCATGTCTGGAATGATATTCAAATGCGGCTAATTAAAGTGAGACTTGTCTTCGGGGGTATTAGCGCGACCTCTAGCGCAGAGGACAGCTATTTCGGGTGTGTTCGCACACTTAACCAGGCTGAGTAGCGTAGAGTAGGTAAAGGTTCGTGTCAGCCGATCAATATTGATGAGGCTACACGCGAGCGTGGAATGCTTCTTGGCACCACTGGTAGGAGTCGTGGTAGCGGGTGTAGTTGAACAGTAGCAGCTCTTGCGAAAGCAATGGTGCTATCATGGTACAGTAGAAGCAGCTCCCCAGACCGAGCAAGCCCCTCCTTTTTACTACCTGGAAACACCATCTCGGCCTCCGCTGTGCAATCTTCAGCAGCGCTTTGGCCACGTCAGATGCGAAAAGAAGCCCAATATAATCCCGGGCTGTCATGCTCATTGTTCTGCTGTTCGTCCGCATATGCCGCGTCCGGCTTGATGAACTTGTAACACGCGCGGCCTGATTGGCACGCTTTTGCTCGGCCGCAAGATCCGACGTCTAGACATCACGTGATACTTTGCTCTCGGCTTCTCAATCCTTCTGACTCCACCGTCGACGTCCACGACGGTGCTGCATTAACGAAGACCACAATCCAGCGTTGCTCCCCACCATGGCGGCCCCAAGAACGCTTTACCAAAAGATTTTCGATAATCATGCCGCCTACAAGCACCCTGATGGGACGTGAGTGGTGTTGTCGAGGCGGTCTGCGATTCCTGAAGCTGAGAACCAAATTTTGGCAGTGTTATCCTGTACATCGACCGGCACCTCGTGCACGAGGTGACCTCGCCACAGGCTTTTGAGGGTCTTCGAAACGCCAAGCGAAGTGTCAGGCGGCCTGACTGCACGCTCGCCACTGTCGACCACAACATCCCCACAATCTCTCGAAAGACGTACCGCGACACAAAGACATTCGTCGAGCAGTCGGACTCGCGGATTCAGTGTCTCACCCTCGAGGACAATGTCAAGGAGTTTGGCCTCACCTTCTTTGGTCTCTCGGACAACCGCCAGGGCATCGTGCACATCATTGGCCCTGAGCAGGGCTTCACGCTTCCCGGCGCCACGATTGTATGCGGCGATTCCCACACGTCGACCCACGGTGCCTTTGGCGCTCTGGCCTTTGGCATCGGCACCAGTGAGGTCGAGCACGTCCTGGCAACGCAGACCATCCTTCAGAAGCCGGCCAAGAACATGAAGATCCAAGTCGATGGCCAGCTTGGTCCTGGTGTCAACTCCAAGGACATCATCCTCCACGTCATTGGCATCATCGGCACGGCTGGAGGCACGGGTGCCGTCATTGAATTCTGCGGCTCGACGATCCGCAGCCTGTCGATGGAGGCCAGGATGAGCATCTGCAACATGTCAATCGAGGCCGGCGCCCGTGCAGGCCTCATCGCACCTGACGAGATCACGTTTGAATACATCAAAGGCCGGCCCCTGGCGCCGACAGGCAAGGCATGGGACGATGCGGTGGCAAACTGGCGCTCGCTGCCGTCCGACGAGGGCGCAAAGTACGATGCCGAGGTGTACGTCGACGCCAAGGACATCGCTCCCACAATCACGTGGGGCACGAGCCCCCAGGACGTTGTCGCCATCACGGGCAAGGTCCCCGACCCAAAGACGGACGGCAAGGATGCCAACCACGCCAGTGCCATGGAGCGCGCCCTCGAGTACATGGGCCTCACGGCAGGCACGCCCATGGAGGAAGTCAAGATCGACAAGGTCTTCATTGGCTCGTGCACGAATTCACGTATCGAAGACCTTCGCGAGGCCGCGCGGATCCTTCACGGGCGGAAAGTGGCCTCTCACCTCTACTGCATGCTCGTTCCTGGCTCCGGACTGGTCAAGAAGCAGGCAGAGGCAGAGGGCCTCGACAAGATCTTCATCCAGGCCGGCTTCGACTGGAGGGAGGCTGGATGCTCCATGTGCCTGGGCATGAACCCGGATCAGCTTGCGCCTGGCGAGAGGTGCGCCTCGACGTCGAACCGCAACTTCGAAGGCCGCCAGGGTGCTGGTGGCCGAACGCACCTCATGTCTCCCGCCATGGCCGCCGCCTGCGCCGTGACAGGATACCTGACCGACGTGAGGAAGCTCGAGGCTGGCCAGCGAGTCGGCTTCGAGGCCTCCAAGCCCGGATTCCAGATCCAGATGACAGACAACAAGTCGTATCTCACCGACAAGCCTCTGCCGCCACCCTCGCCCATCGTGCCTGGTGCCACAGCGGATGCGCCAGCAACCACGGACGAAGACGCGCTCCGCGACGTGCCCCAGTCTGAGATGACCACGTCTGGAGGTGGCATGGAGAAGTTCCAGGTGCTTGAGGGCTTCTGTGCTCCCCTGCCGCGCAACAACGTCGACACGGACCTCATCATTCCCAAGCAGTTCCTCAAGACAATCAAGCGCACCGGCCTCGGCTCGGCCCTCTTCTGGCCGCTCCGGTACGACGTCAAGACGGGCGAACCGCTTCCCGACTTTGTCCTCAACCAAAAGCCATTCGACGGAGCCAACATTCTCGTCGCGCAGGAGAACTTTGGCTGCGGCTCCTCTCGTGAGCACGCTGCGTGGTCCCTGACCGACTTTGGCATCCGGTGCGTCATTGCCGAGTCGTTCGGTGACATCTTCAGCACAAACTATACCAAGAACGGCGCGCTTCCGGTCCGCCTCCCCAAGGAGCAGGTGGCAAAGGTCATGGAGGCAGCCAAGGCCGGCGAGAAGGTCAAGGTGGACCTGGTCAAGGAAGAGGTCGTCCTCCAGGACGGCACATCATTTGCCTTCAAGACGCCCGAGTTTACGAGAAAGTGCCTTCTCGAGGGTCTCGACGACATTGCTCTCACCCTCGTTCACGGCGACAAGATCAAGACCTTTGAGGCTCAGCGGAGTCAGACGACGCCGTGGCTCGACGGCTTCGGCTACACCGTCGGCGCCTCCAAGGCTTCAGGGGATTCCAAGAAGCTCGAACCCCTCGTCGCAAAGGCCACCACGGCCGCCAAAAAGGTTTCGGATTGGTAGTTCTTTCTTTTACCTCACGCCTCTTTTGGGAGAGGAGAGGGCTTGTCAGGAGCGTAGTGACTCTGATGCCATGTTCAATTGCATTTCGTTCTGTTCTTGTGTTTCTACAGCTTAATCTTGCCGTGATTTGAGCCAGCGCTCCGTCACCTTCTCTGGTGTACTGTTGAAAGCGGTGGTGGCAGCATTCTTTAATCAGTGCCCCGTCTCGAGACAGCAGGACGAGAGAGCATCACTCACATGACTCGGACAATCGCTCCCCACCCACTCAAGGCGTCGCGTTCCAAGGCGCCCAGCAGTGTTTGGCTGATAGTCTCGAACAGCTCCTCAGGTCCCTGAGACGAGAGTGTGAGCGACCGGTCTCCAATATCGAGAGTCTCATCGCCCAGTCAGCCTACTCACCAAATCTTCCTCCCAGAGCCCCTCGGCCATACCAAAGAGCTTGTCGCTGTCGAGTCCCCATTCCCATGTGTGAGCTTCCCTTCCTCTGTGAAGTTGCTACAAGAATCTGGCGAGGGCTTACCTAGCGGTTCCCGAGACAACAAAGTCCTTTGCAAAGTTGAGGCACCCAATGAGGTCCGAGGCTGCGATGAAAGGCTCGTTTGGCACAGGCGCATCTGGTGAGGACAGGCCACAGATGACGGGCTCGATAAAGTATGGGCCAAACCTGTACAGAAGAAAGGGTGGACGATGATGAGCCCTCTGCACTAAGGCCCTACTGGACAGCCCTGATGGAATCACCCACCTCTTTTCGTACAATGTCGAGCTGACGAGGTGAGCAAAGGTCTCTGGCTGGATCTCTCGCTCCTCCTTCATCTTGTACATATTGACTCGGTACCGGAATGTCTCCTTGAGCGTGGCCACGTCGCTCGCCAGACCTGGAAGACCCAGATAGGTGCGCTCAGTGACCGCAAAGACCTTGTCAAAGTTGCATGCCACTGTCATGGCCTGCTGGCCCAGACGGAGGTCCGAGGCTGTATTCCAGGAGAAGCATAGCATATTAGCTTCGTATTCATCTCTCTCTCGCGCATGCGCAAGGTGAGCCGGGTATCGTTACTCACCAATGGCAACACAGTTCTTGCCCTTCATGGCCACGACGGACCCGCCGTTATACTCCATAATACTCATGGTGGGCGAAGCTTGCTTGCGGCCGGTCTGGTGGTTGTAGGAACGAGCTGCGTGGCCCTTGCTCGAGCTTTCTCGAGAAGGCGTTGCATCGCTCCGCCTGACGCGCGGCCGCATTACGTAATCCAAGCCTTTGCGACCACTAGGCATTTTTTGGACATTGGGCTTTCAGCAACAACCATCGCCCAGACCGACGAGGACGGAAAGAGGGGTGCATCATGAAGGAGGCGACGAGAAAGCTGGCAACGGACATCTTTGTCTTTGCCGTCAGCAATGTGAGTGACCTCCTTCTGTCTCCGTGGCTTGCCTGATACTTGGGCTGATTGCGACGGCAACTATTTCAGGTGGCCTTCTACTTCGCCTTCAAGACGATCATGAAGTCCATGGACCCTAATCGTCAAAAGCGACTCGATGCCAAGAAGCAGAGCGACGACAAGCTTGAGAAGCTGGGAGTAAAGGGGACTCTCCTGAATCTGACCGAGTACGAGGAGCAGATCGCCACGGAGCTTATCTTGCCCGCGCAAATCAACGTCGATTTCAATTCGATCGGAGGCTTGGATCCCATCATCTCATCGCTGCAAGAGAGTGTCATTGCGCCGTTGTGTTATCCAGAGCTTTTTGCTGGTGCTAGCGGTCGCAACGGTCTCCTGGGTGCACCAAAGGGCGTCCTGCTCTTCGGACCTCCGGGCACAGGTGAGAGGTCCAGAACGAGAGCTCCAAACAAACCCTGTCTGACCGATACTGGTTGATTTCAGGCAAAACAATGCTGGCGAAGGCCCTGGCAAAGGAGTCTGGAGCTACTTTCATCAATATGCACGTCTCCACGCTGACCAACAAGTGGTTTGGCGAGTCCAACAAGCTAGTCGCTGCGCTCTTCAGTCTGGCACACAAGCTTCAGCCGAGCATCATCTTCATCGATGAGATCGACTCCTTCCTCAGAGAAAGAGCCACTGGCGACCATGAAGTCACAAGCATGATGAAGGCAGAGTTCATGACGTGAGTGACTTTCTCTCCTCTACCTTGGACTGGCCTCTGACACGTCCGTCCTCATGCAAGGCTTTGGGATGGTCTCACTTCGTCTTCGGATCGAATCATGGTGCTGGGCGCCACGAATCGTCCAAATGACATCGACTCTGCCATCCTCAGACGCATGCCCAAGCGCTATGCGGTCCGCCTTCCAGACCCTTCCCAACGGCGCAAGATCCTCGAGATCATGCTCGCAGACACCCGGCTCGACCCGCGCTTCGACTACGACGAAGTGGTCCGGCGTACCGAGGGCTACAGCGGCAGTGATCTCAAGGAGGCTTGCCGGAATGCAGCCATGCAGCCAGTGCGAGAATATATGCGGAGCGCAGAGGGTAGGAAACAGATCAGCAGCAACTCGAGACGAGGATCTTCTGATTCTCCTGTGGCATCCTCGCCCCCGACACCCACCAAAAGCTTTCAAACAAGACCGATCTCGAACCGTGACTTCTTCGTCTCAGATACCGCGACGGCGGCCACGACGCTGAAGCCAGCTCGCCTTATTGGCGAGGACCCTTTGGACTGAGACAGGTCTCATTCCGGCCATACTCTCCTTCTCCACGATAGACGCCCTATCTGATGGACGATGTTAATTGTCCATGTACTGTAAAACATTCAATTACTGCTCGCTAATGGATGAAAAAGAGGGGACACACCTATGAAGCCACTGGTGACATTGTATCTTCTCAGCTGTTGGCGCCCTGACGAGCTTCTCGAGGACACAAACACACTGCGTGCGAAATTGGAACAAAAAGCCAAAAAAAAGGGATTTCAGGTCAAGCGTATTATGCTTGGTTCGCCCGAGACTCGAACTCGGGTTGCAGGGTAATTCGAAACTGTCACCATCCCCATAAAAGGGGGGCCAGGATATGAATCCTGCTTCCTAACCACCTAGAAGAGCGAACCTTGTTCTTAACAGCGGAGCTGATTAAAAACGTACATATAGCCTGCGGATTTTGCTGCACTCGACTCAGACGGTTCTGTAGCGACGACGCTGTCAGATCTTTCCGACCTGCTTGATCTCCGCTTGATCTCCTCAATCGTCTTTCCAGGGCCAAGTGACCACACATTCGCGCCACGATTAGGCTAGAGAAGTGCACAACCCCGCTCGCTAGCTGAGCTACGCCAGCAATAGTCACTGGCTTGAAGTTTTCCCACCTTTTGACGTAAAGCCAAGGAGGTCCGGAGGCACGCACCGGTTATAAAGTGACTTGTCTTTCTAAATTTACTTGATGTCTTAGAAATTGGCCTACAAATAAAAAGCAAAAATCCTCGACCTGGTAAGTTTTGTTACCAAAAGGGAAAAAGGCCAAGAGTCTCTCGGCGCCGTGGCTTGGCCCTATCGTAACTCACGGCACGTAAGGGCGAAAAATCCCGAAGGCCTGTTCATAAACACAGCCAGAGTCACGAACACTGCTAATATATTGCTACTGTCACTGCCACGAACATCATCTTCCCTTCTGCCTTCTCACCGCTCTGCAACTTCCAGGCTCACCCCTTCTGAGTTTTCGAGGGGATCCAATGGTCAAGTGTGCCCCCACCGACACGTCACAGAGAAGATGATGCCGCTCAGCGAGAGCCAGGGGCATGAGGCTGCAGGCGGCGGCGACGGTGGCTATTTTGGGAGCGGCTCAGTCATTATCACCGATTCGCCCTCTTCGTCACCCAGCTTGGGCGCCTCGCACTACAGCACGGCCCACAAGCAGCAACAGCAGCAACAGCAGATCCAGCAGCCGGCACAGGCAAGACATACACAGGTTCAATACCTGTCGTCATGGAGGAGCACGCCAGACGTGAGCGATGTGCCGAGCCTGAGCCTGAGCAACTCGTCCTTCTCGGCCACCTCCGACGCCCCGTTGCCCTCTCCTGGCGGCAGGGGCCAGCTCGACTACGAGTTCATTGAGACGCTCGATCGCATTCGGCGTGTCGCCTACAGGTTGGCGTTGCCTGTCGCCGAGGTCCAACGAATCGTGGATGTAGCACAGAGATTGGCGAATGGAACCGAGAACGCCGCGTTGGACGACAGCCTCCTCTTGTCGCGCTATGGTCTCGACGCTGTTGTCTATAGAGCGGTGCTCGAAGCGATGCGAAGCGATCAAGAACAGCAGAGAAGCCCGGCGGTCCCTTCGGCCAGAGCCACGTTGGAGATGCTCTCAACTCCCCACCCGTCCGATGTATCGGCTTCGCCCCCTTCTTCGGCTCCCTCGTTTCCTTCTATGCAGCAATGGGGACCTGCCACGTCTGCAAGACGTCAGCGATGGATCACTTCCTCACCTACATCGACGTATGGCCAGCAGCAACAATTACAGCAACAACACCAACACCAGCAGCAGCAGCAACTGCTGCGCACGCCACCCTTTCACCCTTCTCGGTCTCAGGCTCCTACTCATACCCAGAATCATACCCTTCTTCCATCGTACAGCTACAGAGATGCTCCCGGTCGGCTTCGATCGCTACCCACACGTTCTCACCGCTCGATGGACGATTACACATCGACATTGACAACCGCTACGGACAGCAGCATTTCACAGAACATTGATCATCACACAATTCACCATCTACCTCCAGCAGCGCCTTCGCTTCACGGTCTCTTTTCGCAGCAGGCGTCTCTCGTCTCTGGCGGCAGAATGACGTCGCCACGAATCGATGAGGAGCGCGATCGCTACGCTGTCAGAGAAGACACGCTCAAGCAACCAAGCTCGCGACAGTCGACGGCAACAAAGCCTCCTCAGAGAGGTTCCTCGACGAGCCAGCTCGTAGCATCGCCATCCTCGGCATCGTGCGCTTCGCCTAGTTTGTCCGGAAGAAAGGCATCGCGAAGGGCCAGCGCAGATGTCCTGGGCCTGAGCATGGACCACGGCGCATCTCCGTCAGGAGCTTCCCGAGCCTCGTCACCTGCCAGTGCCTCTGCCTACGCTTTTGGCGCTGCGGCGGACGAGCGGTCCGGGTCGAAGCTCTCTCATGACGAGATTATGGCCAAGCTTCAACGCAAGGTCAAGGAGCGAATCGCGGCAAAGGCGGCAGCTGCTCTTACTGGTGCCGGTAGTCCTAGCATGGGCAGCAGCAACAGTGGCAGCAGCAGCAAGCCATCCTCACGCAACAGATCGAGGTCACGGCCGCCCAGACCGAAGACTACGGGCGACGGCCAGACTCGAGGCTCGTCTAGAGGCATGAGTGTCGACGAAGAGGCCAGAATGAACGTCGACGAAGACCCCAGGAGCCCAGCTGGCATCGAGGCGCTCCTCAGCGCAGCAGCCATTGCCGATCATCAGCGCTTACCGTGACCTTTTACACCTCCTCACCTTCCCCCAATTCTGCATAGAGCATCCACGGATCAAATCACTGCATGTATATTTGTCTCACTGTTTTTCTTAATTTCTCCCCCTCTATCCTCTCTTTCTCGCATCTCTTAGGATCTCATGTCATGGATTGTCAATCATACACTGAATAAGATTGATTCAGGAGGTTGCAATGTTTGCATAGACAAGAGCACATGCACGACACTATTTTCGGCCCCTTCTTGCTGCTTTTTCCCTCGCCCGCCTCTCTAGCTCCCTCTGTTCTCGCTCGTCCTCCTTCCTGGCCAGCTGTGCGCTCCGCATCTCTTCCCGGAAGACGCTCTCCGCATCTGCCTCCATGTCGTCATCGTCGTCATCGTCGTCGATGGCTGAAACGTACTTGCTACGGTCCTTGCCAAACATGCGCCAGATCTCGTCGCCAATCGCGGCCGAGACGCCACCTCGACCCTCGTCCATGTCTGAAGACGCCTGCGAGTCAGTCTCGTAGGTGTCTTGCGACATGGACGAGGCGTCTGACCCTTCGTCGTCGTCGTCGTCGTCGTCTTCCGAATAGGATACCTTGTGCGCAGCACGTCCCCTGTCCCTGCCGGACAGGCCCGAGCTGCTGCTGGAGGAAGCAGCCTTCTTTCTCTCGGCCTCTTCGCGCAGAAACCGGTCCCGCGCCGTCTCTCGTCTCGGAGGTCCCGAGGGTTTGCTGCCTTCGGCGTGCGAGTCTGAATCTGCTCTGCTGCTCTGCTTTCTCTTCTTTTTTTTGTCCTTCTTGTCTTTGTCTGCCTCGTCTGACTTTCTCTTGCTCTTGCTTGCGCTCGCCTGGCTGCTGCTGCCGCTGCTGGCCAATCTGCTGCTGGAAGGTGGCAGGTGTCCAGGTACACCGGCAAGGAAGTTGGCAGCAGCCGTAAGGTCGGACGAGCGAGGTCGAGGCGGCACGATGGTGCGGGCTGCAGTGGCAGCACCATTCTGCCGGTCGCTCTTCGAAGAGCGGTCCACCGCTGGCTCTGCCGAAGACCGCGAGGGACCCGAAGAGGGAGCAGTAGGCATGGGAGAAGACGAGCCGGCATGGGGCAGGCCCGCCTTTTTTGCGTCCATGGCCTTTTGTCTCCGCAGCTGTGCCTCGGCTGCCTCGAGGTCTCGTCTGCTCTGCGTCGATGCACCGGCGGCGCCCATCCTCGCTGCGCGCAGGTCCCGGTCAATCTCCTCGATGGACCGGTTGTCGCGCTTCTTTGTGCCGAGCTTGACCAGGTCTGCCAACATCGCTGGCGAAGAGGCGGTTGCATGGTGGTGCGAGTGTCCCTTGCTCTTCCTCACTGAGCCCGACGAAGAGATGCCCAGCATGTCTCGCGTGGCCTTGAGCCGCTTCTCTTCCCTCGTCAGCGTCGAGTATCGATTCTCGTCTGGAGCCCTCTTTTTCCCTCTGTTGATTTCGTCTGCCTTGCCTCTGGCGGCACCGTTGGCTGCTCTGTCCCCTGATCGTCTGGCACCATTTGCAAGTGAAGCGAGTGTCTTTGCCCGTGTCGCTTCCTCAGCCTCCCTTTCCAGCCTCTTTCTCCGCTCCTCGTCTCGCTTCTGGCGCTCGAGCGCTGCGTCCTTGTCCCGCTGGGCCTGCTCCTTGCGCCGACGTTCCTGCGCTGCATACAGCTCGCGCTGACGCTCTCGCTCCTCGCGAGCCGCGGCATCGGCAGCACGCTGCTTGGCGAGAGCCTGCTTCTCGCGCTCGGCTCGCTCCGAGGCCAGGAGCGCCTGAGAGCGCTCGTTGCGTTCCTTGGCAAGGCGCTGAAGCTCGGCGAACTGCCAGGTTGGGTGAGGTACAGGTGAAGTTAGCCTTCAAGAAGGAACCTGATCATTATAAGAGAATGGGGAGATTCAGGGATACTCACGCTCGACATCGTAGGCACTGGACCAGCACCGCGCTGACTCCCCAGGCCACTCTCTACGTAGACGGCGCTCCAGCTGTATTCTCAAGCAACGTCCCTGGCTGTCCGTTCGCGCATCGATATCGTCCTTCCTTTCCACACTCGACGATTGATGAAGCCAAGCCCTCTCTCGCAACAGCAGCAGCAGCAAGACAGTCAGGGCGTTTCGTTGAGATGCAAGAGATGCCCCGGCCAGTCTAGACGCATCGCTTTGGCGGGCAGCTGCTAGTTCCCCCGATTTCCGTGTGGTCCAAAAAAGTGCGCCCAGAACTTGCTTCCAAAAAGGGAGACAGGGAAATAGAAACGGGAAAGGGGAGGGAGAGAGTGGAGGAAAAGAAGAGAAAAAGTAGTTCATTACCTCAAAACGATCACGAAGCAACGAGCAACAAAAAGGAGCGAGGCAAGATGGCTCCTGCACACAGATTAGCATGTCGAACGGCTGGGCTCGCAGGCAGGCTCGCGCGATCAGCTGCATCGTCCTCGTCAGTAGCGCCACGCCTCGCCTCGGCTGTCGCTGCACCAAGGTACCACCGGAATTTGTCGACGAGCCGCATCGTCCGGCTTCCCTCTGACGATCCTGGCGGCAAGCCAAACGACGGCTCCTACCCGACGGTGTATGAGTGAGTGTGTCTCAGGCTACTCGTGCCTTGGCATGGAATGCTCACAATATGCTTCTGCGCTGCACTCTGTAGCGATTTCAAGAACATCACGGCCTCCGACCAGCCCCAGCTGTCTGTGCACTCGCTGGCCGAGGACTGCATCACCCTCTCCGACGGCCTCGTGGTCCACCAACCCGCTATCCTCCTCAACGGCCAAGCACTCCTCTGGGACGCACCTCTGCTGGACCTAAACAGAGCCATGCCGTCTGGGCCTGGGTGGGAGGCGTGGTCTGACGAGGCATGGAGGGTCTTTGAGATCTGCACGCCACGACCCGGTGGGTGTCTCTTTTCCCCGGTAATCGATCGCTCAATTACTGACCCCTGGCCTCTTCTCTCTCTCTCAAAAGAAATCATCATCTTTGGGACAGGCAAGCGGGTGCTCCCGCCGCCCGCCTCGGTGAAGCGCTACCTCAACACGCTCGGCATCCAGCTCGAGGCGCACGACACGAGAAACGCATCGTCGACATACAACCTCCTCACCGAAGAGGGCCGGCTCGTCGCGGCAGCCCTCATTCCGGCCACAAGGAAGCCGACAAAGAGGGTGATCTCCGGCACGGCGGCATCGGACGGTGCTACTACAGGAGCGGAAAAGGAGACGGAGCAGCTCAAGGGCGCGGCAGTGCTCTCATGACCCATGCCTTTTTTCACTTTCAGTTGTATAATCACGAGTCTCTTAATCTTGCTGTTCTCGCCGAGCATCTGATCATTTCTTTCTTGCCAAGTACCTCCCACGGGCAAGGCCCAGCAGCAGCGAGAGGTGATGACAGAGCAGGAGGGTCTCTGTGTTGAGAAGACCGCTCCACGTGAACAGCTCCCCCGGTCCGAATTCCGAGGCCTGGATGTGGCTCATTTTTTTGGATTTTTTTTTACTCTCGCAAGGTGACTTGAGGGACTGACTGAGTGTCGTCCATCCCCAACGTTTGCCCTCTCGTCGACTCGACGAGACGGAACACGGAGAAGAGCAGCAGGATGCCCAGGCCCAACTTCTACGACGAGATCGACCTGGAGGATATGACCTTTGACGAGGACGCGAACCTGTTCCACTACCCGTGTCCCTGCGGCGACCGGTTCGAGATCAGCCTGGCGCAGCTCAAGGAGGCCGAGGATGTGGCCAAGTGCCCCAGCTGCAGCCTCATCATTCGCGTCATCTTTGACCCCGTGAGTGTGGGCCCGGCACTGTCCTGTCAACAAGCTCTCATAGGCGCTGACTCTCTATGCTGCCACCGACAGCTCGACTTTGAGGATGATGACGATGCAGCGGCAACGACGAGTGCGGAGCCTTTGCCACAAGCGCAGCCAATGTGAGTCGGGGCCAGGAGTGTCAGACTGTCGGGAGCACACAATTTGGCTGACACAGAGCATTCAGCGCTGCCTGATGGACTAGGTAAAGATGCTGTACTAGACCATCAGCATGTCGAGCCGCGCCACCAGGGTGTCTTTCGTCAGTATTCACCAAATGGCCGCCTGCCAAACCACGCCCGCTGTCAAATCACGCCGGTCGCCGAAGAGCTGTCCTGGCACAGGTTAAGCTGGGCCCGCGATGTCGCTCCAGCCGCATACATAGCACAAGCACCGCGGCTGAGCAGAGGCCGTGACGCTGCGCTTTGGCTTCCCGATTGATATGTGAAAGGAGGTAGCATACAATTGGAATGACAAAAATAAAGAGAGGGCTTCAAGGTGCCCTGAGATAGCCTTCGAGAATCTTTGCTGTGTCTTGGACCATCTGCTGCAGATCCCCCTGGCCGTCCTGCTTGACGACAATGACGTCTCGCTCCGTGGCTGGGTCGGGCGCCTCCAGGGCAGCGAGCTGCGTCTTGAGGAGCTGTGGCGGCATAAAGTGCGTAGCACTCCGCGCCTCCATTCGCCGCAGGAGCTCCTCGGGCGGCACGTCGAGGTAGACGTGGACCGTCTGGAGCGCCTGCTCCTTGCCTGCTTCTTCGTCACTGCGAGGCTGCCCCGCGAGCGTGACAATGTCGCCGCGCAGAAGGTCTCGGTAGGCCTTTTTGAGCGCCGAACAAGCAATGATGCAGCCTGCTCGTCTCCGCGGCGTGCCGTCTGCTGACTCGTGCAGCTGCGGGGGCGCACCACCCACGACGGCGTTGCCCTGCTCCTTTCGGGCTTCCCCGTCCTTCTCTATCGCCTGAACCATGCCCGCATCGACACTGTGCCCGCTCGTCTCATAGACTTCCGCCAGTTGGCGCTGCTTCTGCCCTCCTCCTCCTTCCTGGATAACGGGCTCCCTCGCAGGGTGCGTGAGGTCAATGGCCGTCTCCCGGATCCGGTGCAGCCACGGCTCGCGATCATTGTCGCCCAACGGAGTCCCACCTGCCATCTTTGCGACATTGCTCGGCGGGTGCAGGTCATCGCCGTCGACAAAGGCCAGCGACAGGCGCTCGGCGAGCTTGGCGCCCAGCGTCGACTTGCCCGAGCCTGACGTGCCCTGGGGGCGAAATCGAGTGTCAGCTCTTCTTGCCCCTGTAAGAACTCCGGAAACGAGACGGGATGTGTCTCACCATGACCACAATCAAGACGCCCGCCATTTCTATGTGCCCTTCTTGCCGATTCGCGAGGTTCTTCTTCTCGATGTAAGGGTGGTAGGAAAGGGAGGAGGAGAGGGCGTGTCCCCCCACGCTTATTCCTCTCGAGAATAAAGTCAATCTTTCCTAGTTCGGCCGAGGCAGCCCTCTGTCTCTAAGCAAGCAACTTGCCCAGCAGTCTTTTGTGCTGATGGAATGCAACTTGCCCTTCAGTCTGGGCTCAACCGAGTCGAGACAGCGCTGACAGCGAAAGAGAATCACTGGCGTTGAAGAGAGGGTTGGTAGCATTTGCCTGCTTTGGCATGCGCGCGGAAGTCGGGCCGGGCCCCATCGACAGGCTTGTCGCGCGCTCTTTCTCCACTTTGCGCAAAGTCAAAGTCGCTGAAAAGTAGCCATTACTTTTTGACATCTCGCGACGAGGGAGGAATAACACTGAAATCAAGGGAAGAGGATAGAGAGAAGTGGGGGAAGACGGAACGCCACACTCAAGATGTCGACGTCGGCCGCGCGGACGTACGAGGAGCAGAATGACGCCTCGATGGACCGGCTGTTTGACAAGGTCAAAGCCCTGGTGCGTCTAGCTCGTCCCCCCTCCGTTTTGGTGTCTTTCTCCATCCCCGTAAAGCTGACTGTTTTTGACGTCCTCATCCGCACGTGCTGCAGCGCGGCGTCACGACTGACATCCACTCCGATGTCGAATCGCAGCGCGCCGGCCTCCTCGCCGACACATCCGAGTCCTTTGACGCATTCGCCGCCCGCCTCAGCAGCACCTCGCAGCGCTTCGCCAGGCACGTCGTCCATGCTGGCCGATCCAATCGAACACTAACACTCTACATCATTGGCGCCTTTGTCGCCCTCTTTTTGATCTGGCAACTCTTTTTCTAAGTGCTCAAGGAGGGGCGTAACCGGCGATGGCGAGAATGTGGTGGCGCACGTATTATAAACTAATCTCTTTCGTGCCTCATTTCGAGTGATCGACTGAGGCAAAGGTAATCTGGTTGGCAGTGCTGCTTGGTTGGCGGGAAGGACACTGGCTGGAGCATCTGCTAGCGAGCCCCGACCAAGAATGTATCTGCAAATTTGCTTTCTTCATCATTGCATGCACGGCGCAGTAGGTAGGCATCACACAAGGAGAAAGAAGAGACACTACTTTGCCCAGCCGCCCAGCTCGACGACAAAGGCCGAGCTGAGCCTGACAAACTGCATGAGATGGGCAAAGGAGAACTCGGGGTAGTCGATGACATCGTTGCCCGAGTGGATCCTGCGCAGGTTGCAGTCTTCGTACGTGGCCTCGATGGCGAATGCGCTTGGGAAGCCGGCCTTGTTCCAGGAGCCGTGGTCGCTGGCCGCGTAGCCGAGCTTGGTGTCGACGTAGGGGATGCTGAGGTAGGCGTCGACGAGACGCTTGACAAACTTGCTCAGCGGCTCATTCGTAAAGTCAGAGACGATGCCGACGCGCTCCTGGGTGCCCTGCTTGACAAAGGCAACCATGTCCTGCTGCAGCATGGCTTTGATCGGTGTTCCTCGCTTCACGTACTCCCGCACCACCTCCTGCGAGCCGAGGAGGCCGCCCTCTTCGGCGCTGTACCAGTGCCACTCGACATCCGTCTCGGGTTGCCAGCCGGAGGCGAGTAGGCCACGCAGTGCCTCGAGGATGGTCACGGTGCCAGAGCCGTCGTCATCGGCACCAGGGGCCGGCAGGAACGGCAGCAGGTGGGTCGAGTCGAGGTGAGCGCCGAGGATGGTGAGGCCTGCGTCAGATGACGAAGAAGAGACGTTGCTCGACTTCCGCCCAGGCACGTGAAGAATGATGCTGTTCTGGCCCCATTCATGCTCGAATTCCTTGACGGTGATGTCCTTGTTGGCGGAAGCGATCTAGAGTAGCACGAACCCTGCGTCAGTGTGGTGAATCACGCGACAGCCCAGGCCATCCCATCAGCTTACCTCCTTGACCTTCTCGAGCAGCCAGAGCTGGCTGCTCCGACCCGTCTCACTCTTGTAGTAGCGGTTGCGGAACGAGGTGAACTTTGCGAGGTTCTCCCTGGGCCCATCCTCTGAGACCTCGTCATACACCCTGTCCAGCTTCTTGGCGTGGCTGAGCTTCGTCGGGAACACAGGCTCCTGTTGCTTCATTGCTGCCGTGATGACAGGGCCTTGCTCCATGTCGGTGGTCACGTCAAAGAAGTTGACGCCCCGGAGGCGCAAGAGGTGCTTGCCGATCTCGTTGGTCCAGTAAGGCTCGCTGCTGTGGCTCGTCTGCACCATTCGCGGCGTAAAGAGGCCATGGCTAGACGAGAGGAGGCGAAGGACTAACGAGGGGCCCGACGACGACGGGTCTGCCAGCTCCGTCACGTACGAGGAGGGCGAAGTCCACGAGGGCAGCAGAGGCAGCGCGCCGCAGAGGGCTACGCCAAAGGCCACGACGAAAATGGCCGGCACGAAAAGACGCATATTGATGGTGGTCTATCCAAGATCCCCTAGCCCGCACCCTTGGTCCCTGACAGAGCAAACCGTCTGGCTTCAGGTGGAGTGGAGAGCACATGCAATTGCCACGTGGATCACCCAATTCCATAGTCGGGAGGACACGGTCATTCCGACATTGAGACCTCGTTCGGAGTCGGGCCCGCTCGATGAAAGCGAGCCTCGCTAGTCCTTCTCGCGGTGGAGCGATGCAGATCGGATCGTTCGGTATAAGTAGAGCCATCTGTCAAACTCCTCCTCCCCCTCCTTTCCCCACCAATACCATCAACGGTAAAACACAAAGTCAGATGTGAGTGCTACCGGTACATCTTCACGTCATAGTCACGTGTTGCAACCTTCCTCCTTCCTCCCCTTCGACTTCTTCCATGGTATCTTATCTTTTGTGGGCGAGTTGAAAAAATGGCTTCTTCCTTGGGCATCGGTGCGGCCTACCATCGATGGCCAGGGCCAGGGCCAGTTGGGTGCGCCACGCACAGCTCTCAGTGCCAGTAACGAGTGCTTGTTGGAAGAAGTTTGTCGGCGTATCTCTTGCCAAAAAAAGTGGAGCGGAGTCAGAGCCAGCAGGCTTGCGGGCGCGCGCGCGCGCACAGGCGTCGCCCAACAAGCGAAAATTCGGCCTCGCTTCGTGGTCCTTCTTTTTCCCTCTTCCAAACCACCACGTACCAGTGACTTCTCTTTCTTCCTAACACCACTTTCCCACCCACCCAGACCAAAACAATCAAAATGGCTCCCGCTGTCGGCATCAACGGGTGAGTTGAGCGGGCGTCTTCAAGATTTTGTATTTTGTACTGACCAGATCCACCTACTTGTAGATTCGGTCGTATCGGCCGTATCGTCTTCCGAAATGCTATCAAGCACGACAAGGTCAACATCGTGGCCATTAACGACCCCTTCATCGACCTTGACTACATGGTCTACATGCTGAAGTGTGAGTTTTCAGATAGCTCGTTCTGTTCAGTCGAGCGAAGAAACTGATGATTCCCCTCTTCACAGACGACTCGACCCACGGCAACTTTGACGGCGAGGTCAAGACCGAGAACGGCAAGCTCGTTGTCAACGGCAAGGCCATCCAGGTCTTCGGCGAGAGGGACCCCGCCAGCATCCCCTGGGGCAAGAGCGGCGTCCAGTACGTCGTCGAGTCCACTGGTGTCTTCACCACCATCGAGAAGGCCAGCGCCCACATCAAGGGTGGTGCCAAGAAGGTCGTCATCTCGGCCCCCTCGGCTGATGCCCCCATGTACGTCTGCGGTGTCAACCTTGACTCGTACGACCCCAAGGCCGAGGTCGTCTCCAACGCCAGCTGCACCACCAACTGCCTGGCGCCCCTCGCCAAGGTCATCAACGACAAGTTTGGCCTCCTCGAGGGTCTCATGACCACGTGCCACGCTACCACGGCCACCCAGAGTGAGTTCCACTCTTTGGCGATTTGAAAGCAAAAGAGCAACGCTGACGGAGTTTCTTGCCTACTCCTGCAGAGACTGTCGACGGACCCAGCAGCAAGGACTGGCGTGGAGGTCGCTCGGCTGGCGACAACATCATCCCCTCGAGCACTGGCGCTGCCAAGGCCGTCGGCAAGGTCATCCCCAGCCTCAACGGCAAGCTGACCGGCATGGCCTTCCGTGTTCCCGTCTCGAACGTCTCGGTCGTTGACCTGACTGTCCGCCTCGAGAAGGGCGCCTCGTACGACGAGATCAAGGCCGAGGTCAAGCGTGCCTCGGAGTCGCCCGAGTACAAGGGCATCCTCGGCTACACCGAGGACGAGATCGTCTCGACTGACGTGAGTCTTGCCTCCGCTGCCTGCTGCATTGATCTTTTTTGACTCACGTCATTCAATCCCTCCGAACAGCTCAACGGCAGCACCTACTCGAGCATCTTCGACGCCAAGGCGGGCATCTCGCTCAACCCCAACTTCGTCAAGCTCGTCTCGTGGTACGACAACGTGAGTTTCTTGCCTCTAAGTTCCTTTTTTGTCCTTTCAATTGCTTAACACCGTTCTATCAATCTCTGCAGGAGACCGGCTACTCGAACCGAGTCCTCGACCTCATCAGCTTCATGTCTACCAAGGACTCTGCGTAGGTTTCTCCTCTTTGCCGGGTCTCCTCTCCCGAACAGGTGAGGTGGGCAGTGATGCCAGCATAGATGCCGACTCTCACACCCACACGCTTGCTTGCTTTCTTTTTGCAGGGCTCGATTGTAGAAAGCATCGAGAGGAAGGCAGAAAAGGGTTGGAACTGGAATTCGTAGAAATGATCTAAAATCTTTCGTAGTACTCCTACCGATTGACGTGCGAGCGTGATTTTTCAGATAGAGTTGTTTTATTTGCTTTCCCATGGCTTGGGAGGTCTCTGCATCGTGGCTTGGCTGGGCGAAGCTTCGTTGATCTAGTGACCGTATAGAGGGCTTGTCAGCGTCTGCATATCCAGGATCTTCAGCACAGGCACAATTACCTTGAGAGGAATGCTGCGGATGCCGGGAATGCTATCTGCTTGACCGGTCGAGATGAGCTCGACAATCTCGTCAAAAGAGGGTGCAGGTCCAGACGCTACTGCCGTGGGAGCAGCACTGCTGGCGTCCGAGTGTGATTCTGCGGCGACGAAGTTGCCTCCTCCTTGTTCTGCGGTATCGGCAGCGACGTGTCGCAGTAAGTCAACTACGGCTCTGACAAGGTTGCTCTTGGCGGCCGGCTCGTCTACTTTGTGGTTGGCGCCTTGCACGACGAGCGCGTTGAATTCGCCTTCGTTGCCCGCAATGGCGTTCCACTTTTGAGCAAGCGCTTGCGGCGTGACGGACGGCGGATAAAACTCGCTTTAGGTTGATGGGTAAGGGCTACAACGTGAGCGAGGCAGCAGCAAAGGTCAAAGAAAGGAAAACTCACTCCTTCTCTCCCAAAAGGGCCAGCACTCGCCGTTTGGGGCCTTCACTCGGCGAGCCAACGATGTTTGCCCAGATGGCGCGGACCCGGTCGTCAGGAAGGTCCGAGGAAAAGTAGTCGTCGTGGCCGCCCTTTGCGTTGAGGGACCAATAGCGATACGCCGTCATTGCGGGCTCCTCAAAGGCTTGCCCATTCACCTCGGGCGTTCGGTTCCCTGCCTCGTTCTCTTTGGCAAGGGGCTGAGGTGGGAGAATGTCTCGGGACAGGAGGGTGGCCCCCTTGCCTTGCTCGACCAGGCGAGTGGCCTCTTCCAGACGGCTTTTCCTTCCAGCATCCGTCTGTGCGCCCCACTCAAAGTCCTCCCGGTCACTCACGGGCGCCTGCAGGACGGCACCGTGCACTGCCTGGCTCCGCCGCCGGTCAGCAAGGGCAAAAAAGTGGGCAATGTCCTGGCACCCCGTCGAATGGCCCATCAAGACCACCTTCCCCAGCCCAGAAGGCGTCCCTTGGCCATCTCGGCTCTTTCGCTGCTCCTGCAGAAACTTGATGACAAGCTCCAGCTCCTGTGCGTCTGCTTCGAGCGAGGAGAGGCCAAAGCCGCCGAGCGACGACGAGAGTTGGGGCTGCACCAGACTAAAGTCGAGCTCCGCGATGTTGGTGGCGAGCTCATCGAGGTAAGGCACCGTCCCTAGTGTGTCGGTGAGACCTGGGATGAAGATGAGGACATTTGCCGAGCTCGGCAATGTTTCCAGCAATGGCAGTGTCGGAGATTGGTGCCACAGAGATAGCGTATGCCTGACTGGCGTCGCACTCGAGCCGGGAGCCGAGGTAGCCGTCGCCATGTCTATCGTGCGTGCACTTGTTCGTCTTCGTGAGGTTTAAAAAATGGCCGTGCGCACACAACATTTTGAGCTCTTGCGCCAGCCTGCAGACACGTGGAGCGATTGAATGGGGTTGATGAAGAACCTGATGATGATGATGGTGAAAAGATAATGCTACTGTACATAATGCTGCGTGCTTTCGATTGGACTACTTGTTGGAGCGGAACGTCCGGCGAGCCAAAGAAGCATCCATGGCCGCTCGATCCTGGTCATCTCTGCCCTCATAGCCCAAGACGAGCTTCTTGAGCTGCTGCCTCTCGGCCATTTGTTGTCTCTCGTTTGCCCTAGAATTGACAGCGATCGCCGAGTCGGCGGGCACTTGCACGTCATGTGCCTGGAAGCATACAGAGGTCAATTTACGAAAAGAGGAAGCACGATGGATCAATGAAACTCACGAGATGCTTGTTGCCGCGCTTGGACAGGAGCGTGAAGCGCATGTGCTGATCGTTGCTCGATTCCGCCTCCTTTGGCGCTGCCGCTCCCCGCTCTTGTTGCTGTTTCTTGATAAAGGGGATTCCAGCATCGAAGATACCCTTCGGATGGTGGTGGCCCCTGTTGGCACTGAGCGCCGAGGCATTCGAGCTGCTCTCGGTCATCATCTTGGCAAGCTCCCTCGCGAATTCGTCCTCAGCGTCCTGGTCGAAGCTTTGATCTTGGTTTCTTTCGAATTCGCCCGCTACCTCTCCAGGTGAAGAATCTGACTCATCTCCTCCCTCGTCGTCTTCGTCTTCGTCTCCCTCACCATCGCCCTCGTCGTCATCGTCGTCGTCGACCGCTTCGTCCTCACTTTCGGTATCCGACGCAGATTCGCGTCGCTTCGAGCGCGCATCGACCAGCTCGTCTTCCGAGGCAGAGCTCTCTTCGTCTTCTTCACCATCGTCCTGGTCCATCACAGAAGGTATACTTTCTTTCTGCTTCTGCTGCTCATTGCTGGTAGCAGCAGCAGCGAGCATGGCATCGACCTGAACGCTGACCTGATCAAACGACTTTGACATGACGAATTTGGGGCGAAGAGTCTCCAAAGTGTCTGCCAGCATGAAGTCGACGTCCATCGGTACCGGCTGTGCCTTGGAGAGAAGGTAGAGGTTGAGAAAGATGAGAAAGTCATCCAGTCGTTTCCGGAGCAGGCCGCGGTCAAAGCAGTGACCGCAGGCATCCAAGAGGGTGCATACGAGACGAATCCTAAAGTAATCGTCGGGGGCATCGGTGGGGCAGATCTGACCGGGCAATGGCCGTCCGCCAGGGTGACCAAAGGTGACAAAGGCCCAGAGCTGATCAAGAATGAGGCTGCTGCCGACCAAACGGTAGTTGTACAGCTCGCCTAAATATTTGGTGGTGGCCACCCTGCGGACATTGTGCTTGAAGATGTTGGTCTCCATGCCCACGTGCATCTGCTCGCAGACAGTGTCGATGACGTGGATGGCGAAGTCAGGGTGGTAGGCCTGCAAATCGGCGACCAAGACGGCCAGCAGGTGGAGATTGCTGAATTTGACACGCCAGCTGCGCACAAACGTCTCCTCGAGCATCTTGCGTACCGAAGCATCGCCCCAGGGAAGCTTGCGAAGCTGTAGCAGGACCTTTGCAGCCGTCTTCTTGGCCAAGACCTCGTAGATGAGCCATCGAATATAGAGCTCGATCGATGACCTTTCCTTCTGAGGGACCGCTGTCCGGTCAGGTGGGTTACACTGGTAGTAGGCGTTATCGAGCATCAAGACGTAGCGATGGTCGAGATTCTGGGCTGCTCGCTTGCGTCGCACCATCTCCAAGATGTTTCTCGTTCTCTCTCCCGTCTCCTCGTTGCGCAGGAGGTACCGGCCGCACGTCTCGAGAAGCGTCGCCAAATTTTCAATGTTGGGGCCTGCGAAGTCATCGAGACACATCTTGAAGCAGTGGAAGATGGTGTAGAGAGGCGTGACCTTGAATTTCGTCAATTCGCCCAAGAAGCGCACATTCTTCGCTCGAGTCTCGGAGAGGTCGACATTCTTCTTCTTCTGCAAATAGCGGAATTCTTGATCGAGCTGTTCATCGCCGCCCTCAGTCAGTATATGATGTCTCGCACATGGTTTCCACAGGCAGATAGACCCACCAAAGCTACGATGCCTTGGCCGACATCAGGCATATACGGCTGCAGAGTGGCCACGAGCCGAGCATAGTAGGGGATCAAGTCGCTCCTGTTCCGGGGAATGGCGCCGAGGTGCTTGACCAAGCGCTTCCTCGCACCTTTACTATTCATAAAGGCGAAATCGACTGCGGCCGAGTCGATCATGGCCCGGTTGGTGAGCTCGGGCAGCTTGGTGAGAAGCGTGGTGAGCTGCGCAGCTGGGCCCGCTCCCATGTCGATCTCGTCCTTGGTCGTCGCCGCCGCCCCTGGTGGAGCTTCGTCCTCGCTTGGTACTATCGCCTCGCCCAGCTCGGCTGAGTCGCTCATCAACGGGCTGACTTCTGCGCTCGCTTGCTTTCCTTCGGTCGAGGGGATTGCATCGGCTGCCGCTGATGTCTGCAGTGGATCCGCCGTCACTGCACCGGCTTTCTCCCCAAGGAGACTGGGTGGCACCAGGTCGCGCAGATCAGTCAGGTCCTCATAGAAGCGCCGGGTATCGTCGTCCTCCCAGGGACTTTTCCCTGTCGCAAACTCTGCCTCTGTCGCCCGATCGGCACCCAAGGATGACCTCGAGTCAAGATTGATGGCAAGGCCCACACCGCTGGATTTCGCTTCGCTCTTGAGCTTGGGCATTGGTACGCCAAGGAGGTCCGAGAGGCTCTTTCCCCATTCGTGCACCTTTTCGAAATTCTTCGTCATGCGCTCGTAGTTGTGCTGCCGATCTTCGAAGATTTCACCAGACTTGATGTACGCCTCATGATTTCGCCGGTCCTGCTCCTGAAGTCTCTCGTACTCGCGGGTGACGCGCTTCTCGAGGGTAGAGAAATAGGTCTCGAACAGCTTCCGAAATCGAGACTGCACCTTTCGAGGCACCAGGACATCGGCTCCTTCGTCGAGATTATCATCGACTGGCGCCGTTGTTGATGATGAGGGAGGACCAATGAGGTTTGGTCCGAAGCCCTTGAGAAGCGTGATGACGATGGGCACGTTGCTGTGCTCGCGGTCGACGGAGAGCAGGTCCTTTGTGACAGAAAAGAGCCAAGAGAGATTCGGAGGGTCGTCGCCTGCTTCGGCCGTCTTTGCCCTGATCAGGTCGACGAGACACAGCTCAGCAGTGGCCCGCAGCAAAGGTCTCTGACGCGCTACTCGAGCAGCCTCGTCCTTTTCCTTCTGATCGGAGCTCAAAGCCTGAAGCGCCACCCGAGAAGGCATGGAGAGCTGAGCAGACAGGAGCAAGGAGAGAGGCAACGAGAAGACTGTGGGGCCAAAGCGTTGATGGAGAGCCGAGATACTCTAGCATGGACTCTTCGGTTCAGTGTACTGCACATCAAAGCCCTCGTCAGAGTATAGAGGACACGCACCTCGGCAGCAGCAAAGGAGTCCTTCTGCGATGCACATTTGGCCAGACCCTCAGGGATGGCCTGAACGACTTCTTCGACGTATTTGTCGAGATTAAGCGTCGCCACCTCCTTGACGATGTGATCTCTTGACTCCACTCCCAGCGTCTGCTTGACGCGCTTGATGAAACCTGTGTTCTTCTTCATGTTGCTGTCCAGCGGGCCTTTTGGCGGTTGTGGCCCCTCTCGCCAGACCTGGGCATTGGCTTGCCTGATGCCCAACCGCTTCTTATCTCTCTCCATGGCTGCTGACTTGGAGCTCGACGCTACTGCGGCATCCGTGGTAGCAGCAGCAGCTGGAGTGACTCCGTCTGCAGGAGCCGCGCCGTTGCTCGACATGTGCGCACGCCTAAGGAGAACAAAATCGTCGATGAGACTGACGTAGGTGTTCTTCAGATATTGGATTTTTTTTTTTTCCTGATCGTCTGTGCGCGCGTTCTGAAAGGGAAAGCCTTGGGAAAGCCTAAGTGGACGGTCGCGTGAAGGTTGAGACCCTTCACCGCCACCGTCGTCAATATCACGACAGTCGACAGCAGCAATAGGGACCAAGATGCCGACGGTGTATGTCATAAACGACACCCAGGTGCCCCTTCACATCTCCTTTCGCCATGTGTCGCCACTCCACTTTGTCAACAGCGTTGCGCCAGGCGAAAAGGCAGAGTTCCACGTCGGCGCTGTGTTTTTCACCGTTGAGGCGCGCATTGACCAGGGCGGCACCAACGGCTACACGCGCTTCGAGAGCGTGGCTGCGCCCATTGCCATCACCGTGACGGCGCTCAGCTTGGGTGCGGGCGCTATCTACTTTGCTGGGGCTGCCAGTGCTGCAGGCGGAATGAGCGCGGCCGTCGCGGCCATCAGTGCCAGAATCGGCGCCACGGCCGCCGCCCATGGCCCTACCGTGAGGTAAGTGAAAGTGCTCTTGATCTTTCCATTTCCCGCGCAGCGACTCCTGACGCCTCTTCCAACACTGCAATAGACGGCTTTACAAGTACGCTCGGCAGGGACAGAGAATCGTGCAGATCGGAAACGTCATTGGGATCGGCGGCGGTGCATGGCTGGGACTCAAGGCAGCCGACAAGAACAAGGGGGAAGACGGAACAGTCGACAAGGTCGAGGACCAAAAGAAAGCCAATGCTTGGTCAGAGCACAAGCGGGTCAAGGAGGCCAAGAATGCGCTCAAGGGTCTCTTGGAAGGAAGCGTCGTGAGGTGAGAATGCTCTTTCTTTGTGATTCTGGTGATTGTTGTCCTCTGACGTTTTCATGACTTTGCTATCATCGAACAGCTCGGCAGGGTGGTACATGAACAAAGAGAGGACGCTGCGCATCACGGGCGGGCCTCGAGCCTCGATGGTCGACGATCTCTTGGTGATTGGTGAGTCTAGGCAGGAGAGCGCTTGTCTTACCTGTGTCTCACACACCACTCCAAATCGCCTTCCTTGACAGAAACGGACACACTGGAGCCTTTCAAGGTGGAAGCAGTGGAAGAGGAGAGCAAAAGCGGGAAGAAGAAGGCTGAGGGTGAAACCAAAAAGGAGGCTAAGGAGCAGGACGATGTGGTGCCCAAGACCAAGGAAGGAGAAGAAAAGGAGCAGCCGTGGTACGACCGACTGAGTGACTCGTCCAAGTGGCTCTATGCGAGAATCAAGCGATCGCCCCATGAACCGGCGCCACAAGACGACAGCGACGCAGAGGAAGACTACGAGCTGCCGGGGTCCAAGGGCAAGCAAAAGGAGGGTCTGCCTCGTCCCAGCTCAAGCAGCCTGGCGCCACCACCGGACGATGACCCGAGCCATCCGCCGACGCTCAGCGTCGTCCTCTCTGAAATGGGATACGACCGAGAACAGATCCAAGAAGCAGTCAAGGCGCTGGACCTGGAGGGACCAGACGAGACGAACCCCGACGTCGTTCAGAATGCGGTCCTCTACCTCGTGTCCAAAGACCAAGATTCGACTCAATCCTCATCTCCACCGCACGGGGATGAAAAGCCGCCGCCTTTGGTTGTCGATGTCCTCAACGCCGGGAGCTCAAGGGCCGAAGGAGAGAGGTTGCCTGCGGCCGCGTCTGGCAGTGGCGAGAGCGGCCAAGAAGGAGCCGATGATGGAGGGGACGGCAAAGAGACCAAAAAACCTGCGGCTGTCGTTGGTGCCGCGGCTGTCACAACGCCGCACTGGACCGAACGAGCGCGAAGAAAGCTCGAATCTACGGGCGCATTCAAGGCCCTCGACGTTGGTACCTCGCACCTGTTCACAAGGGGCGAAAAGTGGCTTCAGGGCGGCGAGGCTTCCAAAGTTGCGAAGAAATAACGATTCGAAATTCGCCTGCTTTAGTGTATTTAGTTGCGTCTTAGCAGACAGGCAAGCACCTCTGCCTAATCTGAGCTGCTTCGATCGGGCCGCTTTGCTCGACGTCAATTTCGTATTGTTCGTCGTTGATTTGCTGTGGTCAAGAGCCTTCAAGAAGTGAGCTTTGAGATATCGTCTGCTCAAGGCTCGGCCTTTATTGCTGTGCCATTGAGCTTGCCCGGCGCGGCGACCCTTACCACACGTTTGGCCCACTCAGGCACACGTGTTGTGCCTGCAGACGCCAGTGTGCGTCATAAGAAGGACAGACACGAGGAGCCAAGATGATTTACGGGATTTAGTGCAGTCCGAGAAGGATGGAAATCGGGTTGCATGGTAGGTGCGTGGGCAGTGGCGCGCCTATTCTCCTAGTCTGTCTTTGGGTCACAGCTTCTTTACTCGTGTCTCACACACCTGCCGCCTCGAGGAGTGCATAGGGCAGCATCACAACATGGTCCTCGGTTTCTCTTCATCAAAGGGTAAAAAGGCAAGAGAAGCCAGCGAGGGCGGCTCTTCTGCACAGGCATCTGCCAAGCCGCCCGATGCCGAACCAAAGACCGTTCCTCAGGGCATGCCCTCGTCCTCGTCGGCGTCCTCTAGCCAGCCTCGCACACCAGCTAGTGAGTCGTGCGGCCTGGCGTTACACTCTTCTCTTCCGCGTAGAAGCAGCACTGATCTCTGTGTGTCCCTGTGTCATTAGACGGCGCATCGTCGGACGTGGAGGGTGCGGCGGGTCGAGGAGAACGGGAAGTCTACTCGTTCCATTCGACATGCCTGCAAATAAAAGATCCCATACGAAGCCTCCAGGTGCGTGTGTCTGAGCGTAGATCGTCTCGTAGATGAAGACTCAGCGGGGCTGACGAGCTGCGTCTCTCGGGACCACACTACGCCGACGACAGTTCTACAGAGATATTTTGGGTGAGAGAGAAGGAGCTTTGGTTGCGAGTGTCTACAGCTGGGTGCTAACCCTGCATCCCGCTATTCGATAGGCATGGAAGTCGTCAAGGAGTCAGAGGCCGAGTAAGTCACCTTCTTATTCTTCTGACTGTCTCTCTCTGTTGACTTGCGCACCTGCCTTACCTTCGCTTCAGCGAGTACTCGATGATTTTCCTAGGCTTCAAGACAGGCGACGAGGAGGAGCAATTTGGCGTACGGCAGGGCCTGCTGCAACTAGTGTACGTGCATGGAAGCGAGGAAGACGACGATTTCAAAATCAAGACCGGCGGGCCGGTGAGTGCTCTGTTCTGTCTTGCAGCGCCCGGCAGCGCGCCTTCAGTCTGTCTGATCTAATAACGACAATGCTCTTTTTTCAGGGCTTTTCACATTTCAGTATCGGCGTGCCGGATGTGGAGCGGGCCAGAAAGCGCATGGAGAGCCTCGGCGTCGAGATTGTCGAGGACGGCAGCAATGCAGCGTAAGTGTTTCCCTTCCTCTTTTCCTCTGATCCCACCAACTCACTAGATTATGTCGACTACTATAGGGGCTTTGCCGCCGTGGCTGATCCCGACGGCTACCACATCCAACTCATGTCGCAGAGCATTGGCCAGGACGACAAGCTGCGTAAGCAGCTCGAGGCTCTGATGCGGACGCCCTCGTCAGCCTTCACCCTTGACTCGATGAGCATGCAGAACCGTGGCGATGGCCTCGAGAGCATTACCACGAGAGACTCCTACAATTCGTCAGACGCTCTCCGTTTCGCCAAGGGCGGGAGTCCGGTCAGTCCCTCGAGTCCTGTGCACCCGTCCTCGTCGCCACAGATGTATATCAACCAGCAATCTTGAGAGTACCTTTCTTGTGATCAACCACCTCGAACAATGTAGTCTCGTCTATTCATTTCCAAGCATATTCTCCTTATTCCTTCCTTCTTAGCCCATTCTGCCCCCTTCTTGCCTCCTTCGGACTTGTATGCTACGAGTCTAGAAACAAAGGACTGAGGGGAGCGGGAGAATAGAAGCGGGAGCAGGCAATGAGGGCACGGACCCCTTTCCAAAAAAAAAAGGGCGGTGCTTCGTGGCGCACACAAGCCGTGCGCGCACGCACATCCACGCACACACGCATGGGGGAATCTCCAATTTAAGGTCTTCTTCCTTCCTGGTTCCTGTTTCCCACCAAAAGGAAGCGCTTAGACGAGTGCGTCTCTTAGTCCTTCCGCCCATCACGATGCCGGACGCCGAAGAAGATCGGGCGGCTCGAGCGGCCCGAGCTAGAAAACAGGTGCGTCGTCGCTTCTTCCCTGCCCAGCAATGTTAGGATGGCCTGAGCTTACTTGTGTCGGTGCATGTACTGCCTCCGCTTCTTCCCTTCTGTAGCTCAAGAAGGCGCAGCAAAAGAGGAAAGCAGCAGCTGCAGCCACGGCCTCGCCTGCCGAAGATAAGGCCGGTGCTGACGACGACACAGCGAGTGCGGGAGCAGCCGAGGGCGACGAGGTGCAAGGCAATGGCGATGCCGACGCTGAGGAAACGGGCGTCGGCGCGGCATCGCCCCCTTCCGCCGCGTCGCCAGGTGTCGCTTCGGCGAGCAACGGGAGCGGGGCCGGCAGCGGCAACAAGCGGCTCTCTGCATCCTTTTCGCCCTTGGCCAGTGCTTCATCGGCCCTCTCGCCCCCGTCCGCCCTGCGGAGCACAGCGCTTCCGTCGCCGACGACGCCGACGAGGGAGCGGAGCCATTCGCGTGCCGGAAGCTTGGGCCTTTCGACAACACCCCACGGACCGCAGCACACGCGAACGACGAGCTACGACCTGTCGTCGCTGCGACAGCAGCTGACGCAGCAGCAGGTCGCGATCAACCAGCTCACTGCCGAGAACAAGAGGCTGACCGACGAGAAGTCGGCTGAGCACCTCGCTGCGGTGCAAGAGGTGGAAGAGGAGAGGGATGCGCTGCAGGAGATGCTCAAGGAGACGGAGAGAAGGTTGATAGAGGAGAGCGAGGGCCACAAGGGTGCCAGGAGTGCCCTCGAGTCGCAGCAAAAGAGGGCCCAAGAGGAGAGCAGGAGGGCCGAAGCGGAGAAGCACAAGGCCGAAGAGGACAGGGCCACGGGCGAGAAGGAGGCCACATCCAGAGCAAGGGAGGAGGTGAGGGCAACGATGCAAAAGGAGCACGAGGTGCAAATGCAGGCCAGGGAAAAGGAACTTGAGGCCCGCTATGCAAAGGAGTCGTCTGAGCTGCAGTCGGGGCACTCCAAGGCCTTGGAAGACCTTCGCAAGCAGCTGTCCGACAATCAGACCCAGCACGAAGGCCGGTCGGCCGAGGCGCAAAAGGCTCTCGTCAAGGTGCAGGAGGAAAGGGACAGTCTTTCACGCCGAGTCGAAGAGTTGAAAGAGGTCAGCAAGGAGCTTCAGTCGACGAAGGACGCCCATGGGTCATCAAAGGCAGCCCTCGAAGCGCTTCAGAAGCAGCTCGACGAGCGAGGCGCTGAACTCGTCGCCAGCAAGAAATTGGTCTCGAAGCTCGAGGAAGAGAGCAAAGGGCAATCTTCTGCCGCCAAGTCTTTTGAGGACAAGCTTAAGACGTTGGAAGGCCAGACCGAGGCTCAGAGCAAGGCGCTCCAAGACAAGGAGCAACAAGTCGAGAGGCTGCAAAAGGAGGTGGAGAGGCAAGCCAGCAGCGCGCCTGCTCTGAAGAAAGAGACCGATGAGGCCGTCAAGAGAGCCGAAGAAGCCCAAACGCAACTCAAACAGCTGCAATCGGAGAAGGACAAGCTGGATGCTGACGCACGAGCAGAAAAACAAGCGGCTCAAAAGCGCTTCCAAGAGGTTCAGGGCCAGCTTGAAACGCTGCGTTCGGAATTGGATGAGGCGCGCAAAGGCACCGAGGCCAAGGCTGTGGAGGTCGAAGCGAAGAGGAAAGAATTCGAAGACGCCATCGCTCAAGCTCAACAAGCCGAGAAGGCCCACGGAGAGACTCGAAAGGAACTCGCAGCACGGAAGGAAGAGCATGCGAGGGAAAAGGAAGAGCACAAGACGCGCATTGCCAAGGCCGAGCAAGACCATGGGGAGAAGGCCTCAAAATTGCAAAGCGAGGCTGAAGAGCTCCGGCGCTCACATCTTGTCGAGATCGGGAAGGGTCAAGATCAGATCAAGATTTTGAAAGAGCAGCATGAACAGGCAGTCACGGATCGCAGCAAAGCCCATGACGCGCAGATCTCCAAGCTCAAAGACGAGCATGCCCAAGCCACGAAAGAGCACGAAAGCCTGTTGCAGAAGGCAAAGAAGGAGGCAGAGGAGGCCAGAAGCGCCATGACGGCGAAGCAAAGCGAAGTCGAAGAGCAGCATCAGGCGAAACTGTCGGCTTTGGAAGACAAGCACGGTCTGTCAACCAAAGACCTCGAAGAGAAGCATCGGTCAGCTGCCAAGGCACTTGCGGACCAGCACGGTGTGGCCATCAGAGAGCTCAAAGACGAACATGGCTCCATCGTCAAAGGCCTCGAAGAGAAGCATGCATCGGCTCTCCGTGATAGCGAAAATGAGCATGGCACAGCCATTGGGGCTCTCAAGAAAGAGCACAGCTCAGCGATTCAGACTCTCAAAGATCTGCAAGATGCCGCCCTCAAGGAACTCAAGGACGGACACGGAACCACAGTCAAGCAACTTCAAGTCGATCACGACTCTTCGATCAGTGCACTCAAAGCTTCACACAGCTCCTCCGTTAGCGATCTCGAAGCAAGACATCAGCAAGAATTACAAGCGGTCGAGAAGAAGCATGGTGACGAGCTCGACAAGGTCCAGTCTGCGAACAAGACCGTAGCAGAGCAGGCTTCTCGGGACAAGCAAGAGCTCACCAAAGTGCGCGCTGAGCTCGAGGAGAAGATCACGGCCCTCGAAGACGAGATCAAGGCAAAGAGCCAAGAGGCTGAGAAGGCTATCAAGGAGGGCGAAGCAAAGCTTGAGTCGGCGCAACAAGATGCGATCGATGCGGCCAAATCATCGGAGAGCAAGCTCGCGTCGATGAAGCAGAGCCTCGAGGCAGACACTGAGAAGGTCAAAGACGAGGCAAGGAAGCGGCAGAAGGACACGGAAGCTGAGAGAGACGAAGCCCGAGAGCAGAACGAGAAAGTGCAGGCGGAGCTCTCCGAGATCCTCACGAAACACCGCGATGTCTCGCAAAGCCATGATTCGCTGTCAAAGGAGCTCGAGGTGTTGAGAGGCGATCATGAAACGCTTCTCGTCACTCACTCCGATGCTGAAAAGGAGCGTCTAGAGATCCAGCAAAGTCACGAAAAGCTCAAAGAGGAGCACGTCACAATCAAGGAGGTACACAAGAAGGACCTCGCAGAGACGCAGAGCTCGTACCAGAACCAGCTCAAAGAAGCTGACGAACGGCAGGTCTCTATTCAAGGCGATCTCGAAAAGACGCGCAAGGAAGCGGCCGAGGAGAAGTCGACTCTTGAGAAGCTTCTCCAAGACGAGAAGACTGCACGACAAGCAGACGAAAGTCAATGGCGGACGGCAAAGGAGGAAGCAGAAGGGGAGAAGGAAAAGTCCAATCAACGTATCGCTGAGCTTTCTTCACAAGTGGAAAGCGCCGCGAAGGCGAAAGAATCACTTGTTGAGGAGCTCGAGAAGGTCAAATCCGACCTCGAGGCGCAACAGCGAAAAGGAAAAGAAAGCGACGCAGAGGCAGCCAAGACGTTGCAAGAGGTGCGGTCCGAGGCAGCTTCTACGCTCCAAAAAGCGCTTGAGATGGCAGAGACCCAGCGACAGGAGGCTTTAGCCGAACGCGATCAAGAGCATCAGACTCGACAGGAAACAGCTTCTAAGGAACATGGCGACGCACTGGCATCGCTTGCGAGTGATCACAAGGCTCAACTCGAGGCGGCTGTGGCGAAGGGCGTCAAGGAGCTCCAGCAGGCCAGAGAGGACCATGAGCAGAGGCTCTCGTCGACAAGGAGTGATCATTCGGATGAGAAGCAGAGGCTGGTCAAGGAGCATGACGAGAAGTTGCAGACGATGCGTACAGACAGCGAGAAAAGGCAGGCGGAGACTGAGACTAAGCTCGACGAACAGCAGAGAGACCTGCGGGCCAAACTCGATGAGGCTCAGCAAACCCACAGCGCCCAAATCGATGACCTCGGGACAGCACATCAGAGTACAGTAGAGGGTCTCAAGAAGGCGCATGATGAAGAGCTCGAAGGCCTCCAACAAACTATCCGAGATGGCGAGGAAGAGGCAAAGGCGGTCAGAGAGCAATCTGAGGCGACAAAAATTGAGCTTGATAAGCTGCGTAAGGAGCTCGACGAAAAAGAAAGAAAGGCAAAGATCGATCGAGGAAAGAGCCTGAGGGACATTAAAGGGCTCCACGATCAGATCAAGGAGCTGCAGTCCAAGCGGCAGTCTCTCGCAGCTGAGGTGGAGCAAGCGCAAGCCAAGGCAGGGGAAGAGAAGAGAGACTTGGAGCGACAGCTGGAAGAGCACGCCGAGGCGAGACAACGGCTAGAGAGTGAGGTGAATCGCTTGCAGGAGGAAGCAAAGGCCAAGGCCGAGGCGGCTGAAGGGAAGAGTCGCGAGCATGCGTCGAGCATCGGAGCCATGGAAGAGCAGCTGCAAGAAGCAAGAGGCCTGCACTCCAAGATTGAGCAAGAGCTCGGCGATGTCAGGGCGCAACATTCTGACCTCGGCCTCAGCAGCCAGAAGGACAAGGAGAGGATGGAGAGAGAACTCCAAGAGGCGATCCGCCTGCATGGAGACGAGAAGCAGACTCTTGAAGCACAGATCAAGAAAATCACCGAAGAGCTCAAGCAGCAGTCTGAAGAGGGCCGAGAAACGTTGAGTAAGCACGTCGATGAGGCCCAGCAAAGGCATCGACAGCTCGAAGAGGCGTCGCGGACCACCGAGGCGCGCCTATCGAAAGAACTTTCGGAACTCGAGAAGCGAGCGGAGCAGGACAAAGCGCGGGCGCAGTCTGAGCTCCAGGCGACCAAAGATCGACACACAAAGCTCGAGACAAAATTCCAGGAGGACCACTCACGACTACAAGAGGAGATGGAGGAGACAAGAAAGAAGCACGAGGTAGAGCTCGACCAAAGATCCAAGGCGCACAAAGAGACACTTGAGAAGCAGCTTGCCGACATGCACGGTAAACATCAGGAGACTATCGAGGCTGAGAGAACCGAAACCAAGCGTCTGCAAACAGCGGTGCAAAGCGAGCACGAGAAGACGCGATCGTCGTTGAGCAGAGAAGTGCAAGAAGCCAAGGACCGACTGCAGCGCGCGGAAAAAGATGCGGCCCAAAAGATCGAGGCGCTTGAGAAGGCAGGGCGACAGGAGTCGGAGTCGCTCAAAAAGGCTCTTGAAGACGCAAGTGCGAACGTGGAAGCTCGAAGTAGCGAGATTGCGTCGATCAACGAGGCCTTTGAGAAGACTAAGAAGGAGCACAGCGCTGCAGAATCGGCTTCCAAGGAAGCAGAGGCCGGACTGAAGCAACAATTGGCAGAGCTGCAGTCAAAATCCACAAAGGAGGTCGATTCGCTCAGGGGAACCCTTGCCGAAATCGAGGTAGAGCTTAAGCATCGCGATGTTCGAATCGACGAGCTTCAGGGGGAGCTCAAGGCTGTCCAAGCGGCATTGGAGGACGCAAAGTCACAGTGGAAAGAAGAGCTGGAGCGGGTCAAAGCACAGGGCCAAGAAGTGCTTGTCAAGGAAAGGCAGGAGCACGAAGAGCAGAAATCGCGGCTTCAAAAAGCGATCCAAGACGCCAAGGAAAAGGCTGAGGGCTCATCACTTGCTCACAGCGAGGAACTCGAGCGGTTGCGCGACGATCACTCCAAGGCGCTCGAAGATGAGAGGGCGACTGCCGCGGCTGCTGCTGCCACTTCGTCTGAAGAAGCGATCAAAGTGGATAACAAGACCATCTTCGATCAAGCCTTCGTTGACGGTCTTGGTCAGCAGCACGAGCTTGATCTCTCGACTGCTCGTTCGCAGATCAGAAAGTTGGAGGCGCAGTCGTTTGAGGAGCAGGACCGCGCCAATCGGATGGTGAGAAAGGTGGCTGAGCTCGAGGAGGAACTCGTCAGCATTGCAAGGCGGCTGGCGCCACCCACGCCCAGCAGCCTGCAGGAGATGGAAGGTGCTGCTGCAAGGACACCCAGCGAAGGACGTGGTCAAGAGCCGGGCGCGTTGCCCATCAGGGCCGTTAGCACCGCGATCGACGAGGAAGAAGAGCAGGGGCAGCCAGACGAGGCTGCGCTCGAGGGCTCATCTTCAACATCGGAGCCCAGATCTGAAGAGGCTGGAGCAAGGAAGTCCGTTGCCTTTTCACCTCCTACTACCTTGTCCCCTTCTCCTCACAAGCCACCTTCGGCCGCCCAATCGCACGTCATTGGCACAGCAGCATCAGCCGGACCTAGATCGCATCGAAGGGCGGCAACGACGGCAGACATTCTCTCCATCATGCGCGGAGGGGCTGGCTCACCTTCGTCGGCGACGTCTCCGCCCCTGCTCTCTCCTCCGAGCCAGGATGGTGGCGATCCCCTGCATGCTGCCTCCATCACAGCTTCTAGGAGAGCCCAGCTGCTGAAGAAGGCCAATGCGGCAGCCGCCGCCAAACGCCGTGCAGAGGGAGCAGGGCCGTCTTCTTGAGAGGTCCCTTCTCGCTCGCCATCGATGGATACACCTGTGTCGCTTCTCCCCGCCCCCTTTCCTTTCCTGCCTTTCACCTGCAATTGCGCTCCGTGTACTGTACAACGATCTTGCTGTTGTCTGACATCATTCGTCTTCCATTCTTTACAAGTACAGTACAATCGTATACCTTTGCACACTATTTTGCAAAAGTGATGCGCAGCTTCTCCGTCGACCCTCCAAAGTTGTAGTTGTTGAGGCCGTCTCTTGCCACAGCGCTCGACGCCGAGTCGGTGAATTCGACAAAGGCCACATTCCTGCCCGGGATGACGCGCACATCGATGAGACCAGGGTACTGGCGGAAGAGGCCATCGAGGTCGTCGCGCATGACGGCCTCTGGGACATTGTGGATGAAGAGGATCTTGTTGGGCGGCAGATACTCGTCGGGCATCGATGGAATCGCCTGTTTCTTGTGCGCCGGGACAACTGCTGCTCCATCCGTCTCTCCCGCGGCAGCTTTGTGAATGGTCTGGGTTAGTGCAAGGGGTATTACCAGAGAAGGGCAGAAAGAATCTCACCTCGCTTTGCAGCAATCTTTTCGGCCAGCTCTCTTCTTCGGTGCTCGTTTCCTCTTCTTGTCCGCTTTTTTTGCTCCAGTCGCGCCTCCTTGTGCTTCTTGCTCGCTTCTGACTCCTCGCCCCCATTGAGCTTGGCCACGACAGCGTCTGACTTGGTCTTTGCGAAGGCCAGTTGCTTTACATGGGTGAAGAGTGTCAGCAGACTGTGAACGACGACATTACCTGTGCTGTTGCGCTTACCATCGGTTTGCCGTACAGGGGGAACCCAACGACTTCCTTGATGGCTTTTGCAGCAGCCTCCTTGTTGTCAAATGCAATAAACGCCTGGCCCCGCATGCGCAGATTCGAATGGGCAGTCACAGAGAGGACGGGCCCATATGTTGAGAAGAGGGCTTCCAGCGACTTTTTGAGAACTGAGAAGGAGTGAGCTTTAGCAAACGTACAGCTACAAGTCTGAGAGCAGTGCCGAGGATGGCAGATCTACCCACCATCGATCTTGACGCCTTCGTTGAGATTTTTGACGTAGATGGTCTCATTTGCATCGGCTGGGAGCGCGTCAGTGGCGGGCTTTTCTTCTTCGTCGCCCATGGCGACATCCATGTTCTCTTCCTTTATATCCATACTCTCTTCTTTGACATCGGGTGCCGACATGATGACGAGAGGTGGTCGGGCGCTGATCGAAGTGGTGATGGTGGTGATGGAGGAAAGTGAACTTCTTCGACGGGCGTTCAACACGTGACGCGGTAGCACGGACCTCCTCCTCCTTCCTGGCTGACGGCCCATAGCTCACGTCTTTGAGCAGCTGAGAATGGACGAGCCGAGGTATGTCTCAACAACAGGTGTCGAAAGAGCCGGAAGCAGCTAACAAGTGCTGTACTACAGCTCGTCTTCGTCGACATCCTCATTGGCCCGACGAGCTCGCCAGCCGGGCGGCTTTGACAGCGACGAATTCGACTCCTTTCGTCGTTCCGCATGGTGAGGTGCCCGAGCAAAGTTCCTTACTTGCAACAAGGCAATTCTGACCATTTCTTCTCTTTTCATAGGCTCTTGCTGCTGGACCTCTCCTACTTGGAACCTCGTCTGGAGGAAGCACGCAAGAGGAGAGTAAAGGCCGCTTCGTCTGTTTCCGTCTCTGAGAAGATCGTCGAGCATGCTGGCCTGCACGCAGACTACATCAAGCTCGACTCGCAAGGATGGCAGATCAGCAACGGCTCCAATGGCCTAGCTCATGACGAAGAGGAGGGCGAAGAAGAGGAAGATGACGGGTGGCAGATGGCGAGCAGCAAGAAAAGTCGAAGAAGGCAGGCGCGAGAGCAAGGTTCAGGCCGAGACCGACGGGAGGCGAGCGTAGGCCAGTCCGTCGATACTTCCCGCACGGCAACTTCGAGTGATGAGCATGGCGGGAGGGACAAGGTTGACGACGAGAAAGGAACTAAAAAGAGCCGAAAGAAGAGCGGCAAGAAGAAAAGGAGAGCTGAGCAGAGACCATCCGAAGAGATACAGCATCTCAATCAGGAAAGCGTAGCGAGAGCAGACACAGAAGCGCCCCACAAGGATGAGGAACAGGTCGGCCTCGACATCAGGCGAAGTTTCGTGGGCTTCAAAGAGGGTCGTGAGTGATCATCTGCATCCAATTTCAGGAGTGTTGCGACAAGGAGACTAACCTCCCTTCGCTTCTAGCTCTTGCCGATGTCAAGCTACGCGAAGAGAGACGCCGGCAGCTCCAAGACGTAATACGCGCTGTTCTTCGGCGGAGGAGAGGTCTTCATTATTACCAGGGGTATCACGACGTCATCTCCATCTTCCTGCTCGTCCTCGTGCCGCCTCGGGCTTCGCCGGAGAGAGGCATACAGCTTGGAGAGCAGGAGCGAGATCTCGAACTCTGGTCCAGCCCTGAAGAGCTTGAGTGTGTGGTCGACGTGTGCGAAAGGGTCAGCTTGCACTATCTGCGCGACAGTATGACGACCAATCTAGACCCTACTTTGGGCCAGCTCAAGTTGATGCGCAACCTTCTACGAGAGGCCGAGCCACGCCTAGCTCGCCGCATTGAGGTGGCCTCACCTCTGCCCCACTTTGCCATTTCCTGGCTCATCTCCTTCTTTTCCCACGACGTGCCTCTGGAGCAGAGCCGTCGGATCTTCGACTTTATCCTCGCAAGCGCAAACGGCCCTGCCAGCATTCTTTACATTGCCACCGCTCTTGTCATTTGGAACAAGGATCTGATCATGGGCGATGCCAGGGACGACGAGTCAGCCGACCCGGCAGAGCTGCACCATCTCCTGTCCAAGCTGCCCATGACGCTCGATCACGGTCGAACCGCATCGCTGTTTCAAGACGAGACGGAAGGGCTGTCGCTCCCTTGTACAGCTCCATCGGACCAAGACGGACAGCTGGCCTGTGTGCTCGAGCTGGCCGATGACTTGGCGAATCGATATCCCCTCGACAAGGCACCTCTGCCGGCTGCCAAGAAAAGAGTCGACGCCGTAATGGGCCCAAGATCTGTTCTGAACACCTGGTCTCAATTGCCACATGTGCAATCAAAGCAGCAGCCACCGACGCACCGAGGTGGGACGGAGGCCTCTAATCAATGGCAGCAGGCAGATGCGTTTGCCGAGACGATTCTGGAGAAGTCGTCAAGTGACGTTTCCATTGTCGTGGTTGATGCCATGCCCTCACCACCACCCTCACCGACGTTGGAGATACCCCCTGGAAAGGAAAAGGCATCGTCAAAGGGAGGGCAGAGGAGGAAGGCGGGGAGGAGGGAATCAAAGAGGTCTACGGCAGCTCTTGTCTGGGTTGGCGCTGGTGCTGTGGGCGTCGTCAGCGCGGCAGCTCTCATCATGTACGGCTCCGAAGCCATTACCTCGGGTGATTTACGCTGGGCTGGTCAGCCCTTAGTTGAGGCCATCTGGAAAAATGTACGGCTCTGAAATTCGAGCACTCTATAATATTACAGCAGAGGCGTGGTGGTATAGAAGAAGCCGGCTCCTTCTACTTTCCCGATCGTGAACCGAGTAGGAGCCAAAGTCTTTGCCTGGCTCGTACAGCTCCCAGCGGCTGGCGGGGAAGATGTGCTTGTTGCGGTTGTACCAGGTCCTCTCGACCACCTTGCCCGCGTGAGACTCGTCCTTTTCAACAGTGGCGTCGGCCAGCATTCGCACGTCATCGTGAACGTCGAAGCTGAACAAGGGGCCAGACTTGCCACGGGCCTTGGAGACGATAAAGTCGTAGAAAGAGAAGTGGTGTGGGATGATGAGGTCCTCCTTGATGTACATGAGGCTGTCGACGCTCACTCCACGCAGCTCGGGGAACTGTTGTCGGCACTTTTCGAGGAATTGGGCAATCGTGTCGCCCTTTTTGCACTGCATAGATGTGACGTTACATCAGAGCGTATCGAGGAGAGAGAGAACGCAGCTGGGAAGAAACTCACAGCAACAGATTTGCGATGGCCGCTGCCGTCCCAGTACGAGTAGGTGATCTCGATTGCTTCTCCCTTCATGATCTCTTGCTTTGCCAGCCACTGCTGTCGGAGCTCTTCTCTGGCTAGCCGGTCCTTTTCCTCTCGCTCGCGATCCGGCAAGAAGCTCGTGTCCACCGACGGGTTCTTGATGCCCTTGAGCTTGCTACCCTTTTCCTCCTGCTTCTTCTTCTTGTTCTTCTTGGCCTCTCCGCCCGGCCCGGCCCCCGCTGCGCCCCCTTCTTCCTCTTCGTCGTCCATGGCGAAAGATAGCTTTGAGAGGGCGTCTGTCTTGCTCCGCTTCTTCTTGACCTTTTCCTCGGCCCTGTCACCCACCATGTCAGCCAAACCACTCACACCCGCCCCACTCGTAGAACCTCCTCTCTCTCTCAGAGAGACTCACTTAAGTTCGCTCGTCTTCGCCGCCTCGCGCCTCTTGAGCTCCTCGAGCTCCTCTCTCCGCCGCTTAAAGTCCTCGGCACTGACGAGGCCGACGGTGTTCTTCTTGAGGCTCTCCTCGATGCTGTCCGTCTTGGACGTGAACCGGTTGCTGCTCGTCGACGCCGACATCGAGGCCAGCTCGGCCTTTTGCCGCTCAAACTCCTCCAGCATCTGCTGGCGCGCCTTTGTGTGCTTGTCGGCGCGCCGCCCCTCGGCGTGCGACGATGACATGGTGTGTTGCTCTCCTTTGATTCTTCGAAGGTAATCGAGAAAGTGGAAGCTGCAAGTGAGTGAGCGCGTCTCGATGCAAAGAATCTCGAGGCAAGAAGAAAGCTTGCTTTTTCCGGTGACCAAAATCAGATATATTGACAGTGCGTGCGTGCCTACAGGTGAACAAGACTATTTCATGACGATGAGGGACGCCTACTGCTAATGGACAAACACTACTCCAACTTGGACTCGCCACTATCGACTCTCGTCGCAGGGTCTTGAGCGTGGTCGACCAGGCCGACGTTGCTCATATCGTAATTGTTCTCTCTCAGGTACTCTTCAAATTCTGCGTCCATCTTGGCCATGCCGTCCTGCACCACGGGCGGGACAAAGAAAAAGACGACGAGGGCGGCAAAGACGGCGAGCGAGGCGCCAATGTAGAAGGTTCCAGAGTAGTAGATGTCTTTCTTGCCCGTCGGGTCCAGGCTGTTCTGGATGTCGGTGTAGGCATATGTGCCAACGAATGCTCCCACTGCAAGAAAAAGAAGAGGGACCGTCAGCCTCACCGAAAGACATTAGCAACTGAGGAAAAGGCGAGACACTGACCCTTTCCGATTCCTGCCGCAACACCGTAGAACGTTCCTCGGACCGCACTTGGTGCAACAGCTTTGCTCGCCAAGAGGCCCAGGTTGTTGCCAGATCCAAATTCTCCAAATGCCACAAAGAGGCCGTAGAGGACGACGAGTCCGCCAATGTTGTTCTTCAAATCACCAAAGGCGCCAGCCAGCGCATAGCCGAAGATGGCTTGGCAAACGAGGCCCACAAGCATGGTGTTCTTGGGCCCGAGTCGGTCGCAGACGAATGCACCGATAAACGTTCCAGGAAGGTAAAAGGTGTTAATCAAGACGCTCCAGCCCAGAGTTTGTGTAAGCGGCGGGTCATCGCCAAGGATCTGGTCAAGGAAATAGCTCGAGTAGATGCCGGCTGGGAACGACACAAAGTCATAAGCTGAGAGAAGGCTCGCGTGTGAGCAAAAGCAGCGCGATCAAGCTCGAGATTGAGGGACAATACTGACCGAACCAAGCAACGCAGACTGCTGAGAGACGCAGCCAGTACTTCTTGAGGACGAGCAGCCAAGGGACGTGTCTCTTGATAGCACCTTTTCGGTAGTGCTCGGGTTCAGCCATCTTGACTCGGAAAAAGAGGACGGCAAGAGGAGGAATGGCACCGAGGCCCAAAGTGAGCCTCCAGACCCAGACCAAGTGCTTTTCGCCAAAGATTTGGTAGAGGATCAGAGCAACAAGCGTGGCGGCTACGAAGCCGAGATCGATCATCGAGTTGGTGGAGAGGACAAAGTAGAGCTGCTGACGACGAGGGTTGACGTCCTTAGACTCGGTGTTTTCAGAAGCCGCCACGCTCCCGGCCGGATACTCTGCACCAATGGCAATACCTTGTAGGAAGCGGTAAGCCTCAAGAGCGGCGAAAAGTCCGGGAATGCTTCCACCTGCGCCCCAAGCGCCGGAAATCAGGACCGAAAAGAGGGCGAGCCAGAGCGAGGCAAAGATCATGCCAAATTTGCGACCTGAAGAAGACGCGGAACCGTCAGTCAAGATCCAGCGCCTGAACGCTTCATTTCTTCTCACCGATCCGATCACTGAGAACGCCAAAAACGAGCATACCCAGCAGTGTTCCAGCGAAGGCCATTGAGGAGTAGAGACTGGAATAGTGGGATGTGTACACATCTGTCCCATAGATGCGTCTGAGGATCGTGTTGGTGGGTCCTGAGTTGGCATTGACGTAGCCGTCACTGAACAAAGCTGTGCCACAGGCAAAGATGAGGGCGACCGGGCCAAGTCCTCCGTTCTTCTTCTTGCGGTCGGCGGCCGTCTCGACGGGCTCTTCGCTCACCACAGCTCCATCGCCACTCTCCTTTTCGAACATCTTGTCCTCGGCGCCGGGGCTGTGCTTCGAGGGGCTGTCGCCTGACGCGAGCAGCTCATTGGTGGGTGTCGAGGCACCGTGAGCCTGCTGAATCCCGCTCGACATCTTCTGTCGCTGCTTTGAGGAAAAGAAAAGGGGAGGAAAGGCAGGAGGGAGCGAAAGATAATCGGGGCAAGGTCGGCTCCCCCCTCTTCTCAATTTATCAGACTACTTGGCCCCCGCCGGAAAAAAAGCAAGCTAACGCAGTTCCTGTCCGCGCGAGAAGAGCTCTATTGAAATAGGTACAGTACGTGCAGCAGTAGCGGTAAGTGCCTGGACTTTTATCTCGAGCGGCGCGAGGAGCACGCCCCGGCGGAAGGCGGCAAGATTACCCTTGAAACTCTGAAAAAAAAAAAAAAAAAGAGAATAAAGTGAAATGTAGCCAGGTGAATTTCGGCAGCTGCTGCTTCTTCTCCACTCAATCTGAAAAAAAAAAAAAAAAAAAAGTGGAAAGAGGACGTGTGCTAAGCTGCACAGAAGGGAATCACGCTAACGAACTGATGCAATTCGAGTCGGCAAGCAAGATGGACCTCAAACGGGACCTGCGCACGTTGATAGGTCTGCCTCTTTTCATTGGATGAGCGACCGTGTGACGTCCAGGGCAGCAGAACCCGTGCCGCTCTGTCGTAGTCGTTTGACTACAACACGACAAGAGAAGCCGATTAAGAGATAGAGATTCGGCCCGCCGAGATCCCAGGAACAGAGTGCAATCACCGGACAACGATTCGGCTTTCATTTGTGTTGTGTGCAAGTCCTAAACGAGCGTAGTCTCTCAGCATTACTACTACTGAGCCACCAGCTTGAAGACATCTTCCACTGCATCAAAAAAGGTCCTGTCCATTCATCTACGTTAAAATCACAGTTCGTCCTTGGCCGAATGGTGCTGCTGGGCCGGCGGCGACTCAACAAGCGGCTGGCAGACTGCTGGTGTTGTGACTTTGGCTTCGTAGATGCACTTTTCCCCCTCAAAAACGTCCAAAAGCGCGTTCTCAGTGTCGCAAGCCAAGTCGACCTGATAGAGAAAGCCGCGTGAGTGAGCAGACGGGCACGTTGACTGAGGACGAAGGGCCTCGTAGGGCGTACTCACGATGACACTTCGATCGGGGCCATTCCAGCACCGCTGACCGGCGTCGTAGATTTGTCGGAGGAAAAAGTCGGGATCGGCTGGGGTGAGGCTGCTATTCTTCGGCTCGAATCGGCTAAATCGGCTGTATGAGCATGCGGGAGGAGCAGGACGGTCAGCCTGCAGACACAAAAACCAAAAGATGAGAGGCTCGCTCACCCAAGGCTGACGTGACCACCGCCACGGTTGGGCTTCTGCGTAGCTCGACCAAAGAAGCAGTACTCGTAGGTGTACTCGCCAAAGTTCTTCTCGACGCACTTCCCGTCCAGGGCCTTAAATTCGCCTTGTGGACCCCACTTCTCGGGAGCCACCTTGGCTGCCTCTCGCTTGTGCTTCAGTGAGTCGGTGATACGGCGGAGAGCGGCCTCCGCCGATTGGTGGGCGCTTCGAGCGAGGCTGACGTCTGATCGCGACGATGTTAAGGGTCAGCACACTTCTAGACGGGCGATGCTTGATTCAGCACCACTTACTCTCCGGTTCCCCCTCTTCAACGCTTCTTCGTGACTTGCGCTTGACATCGGTGATGACATTTGCCTTGAGCAGCAGGTCAAGCAGGGTATCGACGGCAGCCTCAAAGTAAGGGACCACAGCGTCGGGCAGGTATTCGTGTATCCGGAATACTGCACGACACCAGTCAGCTGGGTCAGGGTCAAAGGATTCTCATCAAACTCACGGATACCAGTGTCATCCGACGAGCCAGCCTTGAAGTTGTCATCGTCGAGCAGCGTCAAAGGGTCCTTATCGACAATATCCAGCAATTTCTCCTTCGTCCACTCCCCTTCATCGAGCAAATCGTTGAGTTTCTTTGGTTCCTCGTCAGCAACAGTCTTTCCCTCCCCGTCTTCGCCCTCCCCCTCTGACGCTGCTTCTGGGTTGCCTCCCCTCTTCCATTCACGGTACGCCATAACAGCGCCTTTGACGGCCATGTCTTGATAATTTGGGTTGTAGTCTCTCGACAGGTCATCGAGGAGATGGGTAAGCTTGCGCAGCTCATCTTTGAGGCTATGGTCGCGTTGCATCAGCGCCCGAAGGCTTTCCTGATGAGACTTGAGTGTAGCGTACAGGGCTGTTGCTCCCGTCAGCTTCGACGTCTTCCCACAGTGAAGGGAGTCGCAGGGGCTGACTCACGAGAGGCCATCTTCTTCTCAATGACTAGGCGGTCCGAGCTCTCTGCCTGTTGCAGCTGCTGCTTTGCTCTCTGCTCCCTTTCCGTCGCCACCTCGAGCTCAACCTCGAGTTTGACGATTTCCGCATCTAGCTCCTCGAGAGTCTTCTTGCCTTCTGCAATGTACTTGTCGCGAATCTTTGATCCAGCCCGTCTCTTGTTTTCGATCTCCTGTTGTTTCTTTCTATAGGCCTTCCCAATCGACGCACAGGCGTCGGGACACTTGACTTTGCCATCGTTCTCGTCAGAGCCGTCGCAACAGTCCGGGTCTGGGAGAAGAGGAGCGCGTCAATGTCGTGTAAAGAAGAGTGGTTCCTCGGGTTATTCTGGGACACTTACCGCATACACCGTCATTGACACGGCTCGAGAGGATATAGGAGGGAATATGTCCTGCGTTGTTGCAATAGAATCTCGAGTCGGGGCAAGCCGATGTACCTATGTGAGCAAATAGATGAGCGAAAGTTCCTCTTTGCTGTTCTTTTGTGCGAATGCCTCACCTGGCTCGTCTGTTCCGTCGTCGCAGTCGCAGTAGTCGTCGTTGATGGCGCTAGCATTGATCTCCTGGCCAGATTTGAGGCACTTCCAGGTCGTCTTTCCTTCTGGTACCGCATACAGATGGGCGTCTGTCATAGTCAGGCAGAGGGCCGGTCAGTCTCGGCAAGTTTCAAGTGCGAGGAGAGCGACTAGTTGGACGCACCTTCGGGAGACACTCCTCTTGGGACGGACTCCGCGCCCGTCGACTGGCCCAGCTGGGTGAGCGCCACTGCGACGAGGGAAACCAGCTGGCCTCTGTTGAATCGCATCGCTCCCCTTCTCGTCGTCGTCGTCGTCTTCGTCGTCGTCGGCTTGCTTTATCGTTCTTCTCGGCTGGTCGTCAGATCGACACTTGTCGAGGAGCGGCCGCGAACGCTAAAATTCCACGTGGACGCGTGTACTGTACACGCTTCGACGCGACTTGGCGCGCCTCGCGCGAAGAGATAGTGTAGCTTCTTCCTGGCTAATTGTCATTTTTACGAACATCCATCCATCCAGCATCCGGCAGACTCCTCACAAGCATCATCATAGAGATTACGAGCAACCTTTGACAGTGTTGTATCCGCGATGGCAGGATCATCGACGAAGAAGGGAGGTGTCCGAGCGAGGGCGCCGCCCGCATTTCAACCGCTGGTCGGCCACTTCAAGCCCGGCAAGCCCTTGTCCCGGCATCCATCCACGACAACAAAGGGAAAAGGACCGGATGCAGGGATAGCAGTCAACGTAGCAGTGGCTGCGAAGGAGAAGGAGACGACAACAACAGCACCAGAGGAGTCGACACAAACGACGGCTCCCTCGCAAGAAGAGACGATGCCACCCCCAACACGAGCCAGCACGCCTCCACCGACCCGCTGCCCAACTCGACCGCCTCGGACGCCCACGGGACCCCGAACAGCGACGCTTCCTTCTCCCGACCTGTTTGAGCCTCTGCAAAGGTCTCCTGTGTCGGTCAGGACGGATCCCGACTCTGGAAAGATGTTTCTGATGCTCTCGCCGCGTAGAAGCAATTCTCGAGCCGCGGCAGTCAAGGGAGGCAAGGCGGCGATGCTCTCGGAGGGACAGGGGCTCGGCATCTATAAGGCTACAAATAAACGTAGCACTTCTCCCGATGAAGCGGGTGCCGACATGGGAAGGGAGGCGAGACGAAAGAGGACCAAGTCGGCGCAGACCTATCCAAGCGAGGATCGACTTGCCAATCCATTCTTGGGGTTTTCCGTGTCGTCGTCATCGCCGCTGCTCTCACAGACAGAGGGAGCTGCTTCCATCGAATGGCTGGAGCCCGTGCCAGCAGCGGCGCTGACGAGAAGAATCAGGGGCAATCGAAGCTTGGCTCTTCCGCGTCACCTTGCATCGCTGTATGCGCTGCATGCTGCGATCGAACATAGCCTCGTCGTCCACCTCGCCACAGCCGGCACTGGCGGCTCGCCCATTGACGAGTCGTCGCCCGACGGCACCGTCTCGATTCCACACCTCATCACCTACTCCACTCTGAGGCCGCTCGTTGAAAAGTCGTCGGGTCGCAATCTTTCTCCCAAGGATCTTTCGCGGCTGCTTTGGATCTGGAGCAAGGGTGGCAAGAAGGACATTGGCCTTACCATGAGCGCCAAGCGAGTCGTCGATCCGCTCCGAGGCACGAGACCGGTGTTGGACTACAGCCTTGGCATACGTATCGGGTCGGAGTCTTTTGAGAGCGACGACGAAGACGATGTGCCCTTCGATGAAGAGCCTCAACGGGCCGCAACCCCACCCCGCACTCGGTCGTTGACCATCGATGAGCCAACAAGCCCCAGTCCCAGCCCTCGGAAGAAGAGTAGGAACGGCGGCGTATACCCTACTCGTACACCGCCACAGAGTCCTTCGTCAAGGAGTCTCTCTGCCTTTCCCGGGAGAACAGGTGGCACGAGAGAGCTGACTGCGGGAGCAGCCAGCCCGAAGCGAGGCATGAACCTGGTAGCGATGTGGAACAAAGGCATCGAGGCGCGGAAGCGAGAAGTGCGCAAGCGCCTCGTGGATTGGTCTCTCCGATGCTTCGCAACGTGGCATCGTCAGCAGAGGCATCTCTATGTGTCTGACTCCCGAGAGGAAGCGAGCTTAGCGGGGACAGCTGCTGGAATCGCACCCCAGACGCCAAAGAAGAAAACGTCAGGAGGAAAGAATGCAATCGAAGGGTATGGTGGTCTCTGGACGCCGGCCAATTCTAAAGAGTCGGATCACGTTGCGGGTCAAGGACGCATCCTCGGTCGGGAGCAAGTGCAAGAGCACGACTCTGCCCTTCCGACTTGGATCGACGAGTGGCCAGAAGACTTTCCGCTGGAGCGTATCACCCCAATCCCGTGCGCCTCCCTCCCAAGCCTGGACCTGGACTTGTCCCTCCCTGCATCTGCTTCATCGTCGCTGCGGGCCCTGCACAACCGCGTTGTCGCACCGTCATCGTCCCCTGCAGCACCCACCGAAACGGCCACCACAACAAAGGCAGCCTCTTCGCAGCCCATGTCTCTGACAGAACGTATTCGCGCCAAGGAAGCTGCCAAGCGGGCCACTGCTGTCCAGACGCTCTTTTCCCGTCGACCAGGCATTATCAGCAGCAGCACGTCGTCGTCGTCTGTCTCATCGCCTACGATGGACGACTTTAAGCGCCGGTCGATGCTCTCGCGCCTCTGCGACATCTCCGAGTCCCTCTACATGCTCTTTACGAAGTCGCGCCAGCCGCCCACAGGCGGCGCGCAGCGGAGGCTGCCGACGCTGCCGATGGAGCAGGTCATCAAGGCCATCATGTCGAGCTCCAAGGTGTCGCTCTCGGAGACAGAGGCCACCAAGGCGCTCGACCTCCTCGACGAGGTGGCGCCGGGCTTTGTCACGGTGGCGACGGTGGGCCGCGGCAAGTGGGTCAGACTGGGCAGTCGTCTGGCTGACCAAGACGGGAACGAGGAGGGAAAGGAGGAAGTGGGCGATGGTGCGGGCGAGGAAGAGGACGAAGGGATGGGGGAGAGCCTCTTGGAGGCCGTCAGAAGGAGGATCCGCAGGGAGCTAGACAATTGAGTGGGGCTTGCACTTCTTGTACTACTATATCACTATACCATTTTTGCATCTCCTATCTGTGCTTGCTTCACATCTGATGCTTGAATAGAAGACCTATCTCAATATTTCCCTTTCTTCTCTTCACAGAGTCTACAGAGGCCTGAGATGATGTAAATATCGAAGCGGGTGAATGAGCAGGGAAGACGGAAGCGAGAAGGAGGGAATAAAAGGGGAAGGAGCAAAGTCTACTCGACTTTGCTGCTGTTGTGGTGAGGGCCCGACGGGCTGTTGCGAATCTGGTGCTGCGGATGGCGGCGGTCCGTCTCGTACAGCTCGATGATTTCCTTTTCGACGGTCCTCAGGTCTTCGCCCGACCCATTGTGGCTCGTGAGGGCATTGACAAAGTATGGGTTCGACCCCGTGCTCGCATCGGCTACGCCATTGATTGTCGACGAGCCTTCGGCCGCGGCCAGGCCGTCTCCGGGCGTGGTGGGCATCGAGCCCTTGCTCATTGACCTGGCGTCGAAGTCTACGGTGGCGGACTCCTGCTGTTGTTGTTCTTGCTGCTGCTGCTCAAGCAGCTTGCGGCGCGCTTTCTCGGCCGCACGCGCCCTTCGTCGCTGCGCAAAGATCTCATGGGGCTTGACGGCCTCGTAGACCCGCGCTGGGTCGGGCCAGACGAGGTTGACGAGAATATACGTCGTAAAGGAGACGACGGTGCCAAAGATCCAGGCCATCTGGAAAGGAACCCAAGCCGTGCCGATGTTGAGCGAGTCATCAATCGACTTGGCAAAGCCGGGCACCGAGGGGATGAAGCCGACAAAGAAGGCGACATAGGCACGCCAATTCCAGCCGTGGGTGTACCAGTAGAGGCCGTAGGGCTTGTAGAGCTCGCAAACGTCGACCTTCTGGCGCTTGACGACAAAGAAGTCGGCGACCATGATGGCGGCCAAGCACGAAGTGTAGGAGGCGTAGCCGAGGAGAAAGGTGATGAAGCCTTGGCCACTCCTGATAATGTTCCAGGGTGTCGAGATGACGCAGACGACGGCGGCAAAAGTGTTGGCACGGAAGCGGTTGATGTACCGTGGCGCAAGCGCCATCGAGTCGTTGGCAAAGGGGATGCAGTCGGCGCCGAGCTGATTGCCCCAGTAGATGAAGAAGGCGATGAGTTCAGGGGGCGTAATGTTGGCAGAGGCGGGGAAGGGGTTGTGCATGGTGAGAAAGGAGGGGAAGAGAGCTCTTTGAAGGAAAAGAGGGTCATGTCAGGGACTTTGATATGCCACCATATAGCCACTTCTCAACACACGACAGCAGAACTTCCATGAGGCGACCGCCGGTGCATGTCAGGATTGACAGCCACATCTACTCGAATGAAGAACAGAGGCGAGAAGAGAAGCCGTAAGTTAACGCTGGAAGATCACTTGCTTCGTGACATCAACTGACCAGGGCCACGAAACAACGAGCACAAATAGCAGGAATTGAGCCCCAGAGACCAAAGGCGATGCGACTGGCGACGGGGTAAGGCACCCGGTACTGGCATCCGACCAATGTACTGTAGTTCACGAGGCCCACCCAGTCAGTGGCAGAAGAGCATTTGCGAGGACATTGAAAGCGAATGACACCCACGTCAAAGTGATGACGACGCCACAGAGGGAGAAGCCAATGATGCAGATGGGCACCGTCTGCCTCGCCGAGAAGCCAGCAAGCATAACCGTCGAGACGGTCGACCAAGTGGGGAGCGCAAAGAGGTCGCAGAGCCAGTACGAGACAAAATCGATCTCACGCCAGTTGCACTTCTCCGGTGGGATCGGGTCGAGGTTGCGGTTTGCCCAACGGTTCTCGGCCTCGGTGTCGACAAATATGGATTTGGGCACATGGATGTCGGTAAAGTACGTCCTCCAACGATAGGCTACATCGCGACGCCTCTTTGATCGCACAGAGCTTGACATTGTGTGCAGGAATGGGTCAGTCTGGAAAATAGCAGAAGTGGGTCAGTTGAGGGGGGGAGAGAGGAGCGAAGGAGGGTGAAGAGACAGAAGAAATAGGAGGAAGAGGGGTTGCGAGGAGGCGACGGAAGCAGAAATATGAAAAGCAGCTCCGTTCTTATCATTGGTCGAAGCGCCGACAGGATATGTATAGTTGCACAGACTGAGATGTCAAATGTCGGAGCGGCCGCCAAGGCAGAAGAATTGACTTCTGAGACGGAGCTTCAAGAGCGACCGCCAAGGCAGAAGAATTGACCTCGGAGACGGAGCTTCAAGAGCTCGCGCCTCGATAAGGCTGAGAAGCGAGGCACGGGGCGGACAGTCGCTCTATTGAATCTCACTGATGAGGCGCTTGATTATTGATGGAGCAGAAAGCACGGTCCAGTTGTCATCTGATGAGACCATTCAGAGAGAGTAGGGAAGGGGCGGCGAGGGATTGCCCATTACCTTGCCCTCAGCCGCCGCCACGGCAATTTCATTCTTCGCCGGCGGCCACCTCCACCTCACGCTTTTACCTCCTCACCTTTGCACTCTGCCATCAGCGTGCGGTGGGGCTGCGTGTGTACTCCTGCGTGCGTGCATGTGTGTGTTTGCGTGCCCGAGAACGGAGAGATAACAGTAGACGCTGGGAAAGTCCGCGCCCAGCGACTGTCGTCTGGGAACGGAGCGCGGCTTCAGCGCTCGGTCCTTCAGCTCGCCCCGTTCCGCCCATCTCCGCGCCGTGCCTCCCCCGCTCTCTTTCTTTCCTAGCCTGCCTTGGTCAAGATTCTCTGTCCCACCGCTCCTCTGCACCGAAACACAACAGCAGCTACGATGGCGGAGGGGCACCTCAGCATCCCCGCACTGCCGTACGAATACACTTTTCCTACGCAGCATGTCGCGCTCGTCGTCATCGACATGCAGCGCGACTTTGTTTTGCCTGGCGGCTTTGGCTTTCTCCAGGCAGCGGCGGCCGGCGCCGACCTAGCTGAATTTTCCGCGAAGATGAGCCGTGTCGTTCGTCGCTGCCAGGAGCTTGTCGAAGGAGCTCGACGCGCTGGCCTATACGTCATCCACACGCGGGAGGGTCACCGTCGGGATCTGAGCGACTGTCCCTTTAGCAAGATCGAGCGCCAGGCTTCGGCGCCTGGCACGCTGCACACGGTGCACATTGGCGACCAAGGCGATGCCTTTGATGGGCCCATGCTAGTGCAAGGGTCCTACGGCCACGACTTTGTCGACGAGCTTCAGCCGAGGGCTGGCGAAGCCGTCTTTGACAAGCCGGGCAAAGGAGCTTTCTTCGCGACGGGCCTCGATACCTACCTGGCAGACCGTCAGATCACGCACTTGATCATAGTGGGCGTGACGACCGAGTGCTGCGTCACGACGACGTTGCGCGAGGCAAATGACCGTGGCTACCAGTGCTGCCTCGTTGCAGACTGCACTGAAGGCTACAATGACGGCTTCGGGCGTGCCTGTCTGGCCATGACTACCCTTAGCGATGGGTGAGTATCACAGCAAAGACTTGTTCACCAATACGGGACCGATCAGCTCATCTCTCTATGGCAGTCTCTTCGGGTGGGTGTCAGACGAGAGCCGCGAACTTGTTCGACAGCTTGCCACCGTGCGCCGTGACGCGTCTCCAGTCGGATCAGCCTCGCCCGCGCAAGTCCTCTTCAGTCGCATAAAGCAGGTCAATGGCAGCCACAATCCCATCTTCACCCGCTTGGCCTCCCTCGAAGAGCTTGAGGCAAGGACAGAAGCGGTCAAGCCGCAAAAGCAAGACAATCGGCCCCTCGCTGGACGCCTGTTCGCCGTCAAAGACATGATATCGACGCCGGGCTGGCCAAGCAGAATGTGCAATTTCGGGAAAGAGGAAGCAGATCTCAACGAAGGAGCGTCACTGACCGGCAGCAGCAGCCCCGTAGTCGATCGGTTGCAGAAGGCAGGCGCCGTCCTTGTCGGAAAGACCAACATGGACGTGCTCGCCACGGGTCTAACTGGCACTCGCTCCGACGTGGGCAATCCTCTCTGCAAGCCGTATCCCACACGCATTCCCGGGGGCTCCAGCTCAGGCTCGGCCGTGGCCGTGGCCGAGGGCCTGTGCGACTTCTCGATTGGGACCGACACGGCCGGCTCGGGTCGCATCCCGGCCGCATTCAACGGCGTGGTGGGTTTCAAGCCCTCCAAGGCGTCTCTCAGCACCGACGGCGTGCTTCCGTGCATGCCCTCGCTCGACTGTGTCACCATCTTTGCACCGACGGCAGCCCTCGTTCAGCGAGTCTGGCTAGTAGCAAAAGGAGACACGGTCAGTGGTGCACCGTCGCCCACGCATCGCAAGGCTGGACGTGCAGTCGGTCGACTGGAGCCCGCGTTCAAACGCCGCTTCACCTTTGCCGTACCAGATGAAGAGACGATCCAGAGACTTTGCGAGCCCTGCTTTGCAACATCCTTTGCTGCTGCCACCGAGCGTCTGACGAGCATGTTTGGAGCGACAAAGGCGGTGCTCAGTCGAGACGAGTTTCAAGGCTTCTACGACGCCGGACAAGCAATCTATTTTTCTGGACTTGCCGCTGAGCGTCTCTTCCATGTCAAGCGCCACGTAGAGAATTCAGGCAAGCTCCACGGTGCAACTCGAAAACACCTCGAGACCGCTGCCAAAGTAACGGTCGACGAGGTGCTAGAGGCGCAGGCAAAGGTGCAGACGATGCGGAAGTGGGGCGATGGCTTCTGGGACGCGCACCGGGACTACGACGTTCTCGTCTTTCCCACGGCTCCTTGCCACCCGACGGTGACGGCGATGCAGTCGTCGGTCGACGATAACCTGTCAATCGGCTCAAGTCTCGCAGCGTTTACTGCGTGCGCAAATGTCCTCGATATGCCCGCCGTCTCGATTCCGTCTCCCTTTGTCGGAGAAGAGGCTCATCGTCCGTTTAGTATCATGTTTATGGCTCCTCGTCACGACGATGGCTTCCTTCTGAGACTTGCCCAGCTGTATCAAGAAAGAGAGCACACTGAATCTGAATGAAACGCCTGCTTGAGCTCGGGACTGGCCATCATCACGCGACGAGAGAGAGAGAGAGATTTTCCCTCCTCCAATTTTTATTTTTTTGTTAGTCTCGTTTCACCCCATGGCGTGGCGGCTCTATTATTATTCCTTCGGTCTCCACTTCCCATCTCCATCCTCCATCCCCCATCCTAAAAAAACGCGACGGCGGCACCCATCTTTCTGACTGCCGCTTGACTTCTCTTCTTTTCTGGAGGGGCCTATCCGACTGCTTTAGAAGACGGTCGGCTTCGGCTCAAGCTCTACAGAGTCGCTACACGGAGTACGCGGCCCTGAGAGAGAAAGAGAGAGGGGCGCAGGCGAAGGGTAGGAAGGGGGCCGAGCATCCACGCCGAGGGACCTGCCTACCTGCCCGACGAACGCCGTGGTGCCTCTCTCAGCTGCTGGCGTCCGTTCCAAGATGTCGGGTCCTTCAGCATGCTCTCATCCCGTGCAAGTCGCCGGTCTTTGCGCTATCTGTGGCATTGAGGTTGACAGCAGGTGAGTCCAGCCCACTTACAGAAAGACGAAGCGGACACTAAAAATCGGCATTGGAAAGCAGTCAGAGCATCAATGGCTCGGCTAACGACAGCAGCAACGGAGGGTCCGAAGGCGGAGGAGGAGCAGGGGGAGGGTCAGGAGGCAGCGGGACGATGCATGAGCTCTCGGGCGTCAAGGTCTCGACAGCTGAGGCGCAGAGGCTCGATGACGAAAGTCGGGCCCGGCTCTTGGAGCAGAGGAAATTGGCCCTCATCGTCGACTTGGACCAGACGATCATCCACGCCACTGTGGAGCCCACGGTGGGAGACTGGATGCGTGATCGAGACAATCCCAACTTTGAAGCTCTCAAGAACGTCGGCACGTTTCGATTAGGCACCGACGGCAAGGCCATCCTCGGCCACGACTCGGTCGGCGACGACAAGGCGGAGGGCAGAGGAGGCCAAGCAGGTGGCGCAGAGCAAAGTGGGGAGGAAAATAAGGAAGAAGGGTGCTGGTACTACGTAAAGCCGCGGCCGGGGCTCCAAGACTTTCTCCGGACCTTGAGTCAGTCATACGAGATGCACGTCTACACGATGGGCACCCGGTCCTACGCGGAGTGCGTCTGTCGGCTCGTAGATCCCGACGGAACGCTGTTTGGGGCCAGGATCCTGTCCAGAGACGAAAACGGGAGCATGCTCCAAAAGAGCCTGAAAAAGCTCTTTCCCCTCGACACGACGATGGTCGTCATCATCGATGATCGAGCAGATGTGTGGAAATGGAGCCCGAACTTGGTCAAAGTGGTCCCCTTTGACTTCTTTGTCGGCATCGGCGACATCAATGCGACCTTTCTGCCCGCGGCACCCTCGGTACCTGCTCCCACGACACTCGAAGGGCCAGGCGGCGGGCTCGCCGAGGAGGACGATGCTGCATCGTCATCGTCCTCAGCACCTTCGATTGCTGCGTCTTCTCCGGCTGCGTCTTCTTCCACGCCTGCTGCATCATCGTCATCGTCGTCACCATCATCCCCTTCGAACCCTCCGTCTGAGGCAGGGCAGAGTCCATTGACGGAGAAAGAAAGATCTGAAGACGACGCTACGACAGCCGAAGACGATATCGCTGCAAAGGAGGTAGCCGACCGAAGCCAGAAGAGCGCCGTGTCGGCTCAGCTTGGAGCCAGACACCTGGCCAAGATGCAGGAGGCGCTCGACGAGAAAATGAGCGAAGGCTCGACCGAAGGTGCTCAGGAGACCAGCGGCGGCTCGACGTCGGTGGAAGAGTCGGCAGCACCGCTCCCCACGCCTTCTCCTTCGCCTGATCCTGTTCCTAGCCAGAGTCCGCAGCAGCGGGCAGTCCTGCGGGATGACGACGAGGAACTCGACAGGGTGCACAACATCCTCGGAGAAATCCACCAGCAGTGGTACTCGCAATGGGACTCCTTCCCAGCATCGCGAGACAAGAAGGGAGAAGAGGTGAAAAGAGCAGAGACCGCCTCGCCTGCTGTCAAGGATATTTTGGCCGACCTCAAGCGGCGTGTCCTTGCGGGCTGCCGGATCGTCTTTTCCAGCATCGTGCCGCTCGAGACCGATCCGATCGGGACGGATCTGTGGCGCTTGGCCCTCGAGTTTGGCGCGACGTGCACCACGGATTTGGAGTCTGGAGGCGTCACTCACGTTGTCGCCGCCAAGCCGGGGACGATGAAGGTGTGGATGGGCCAAAAGCGCGGGTTACATGTGGTGTGGCCTGCCTGGCTGCACGACTCGGCCGCTCGATGGCGTCGGCAACCGGAAGCATGGTATGCCCTGCAAATGCACCAGGGCAATCCCAGATCGCGAAAGGACGGCGAGGAAGTCTCTGTGGCTCCTTCGGTGGAGGAGGAGCCGCTGGCGATTGCCGGTGATGAAGAGGAGGACGATGACAAGAATGAGCAAGGGACCGGAGAGGGCGGCCAAGAGCAGCAGGAGGGCTTCCAGTCGATGGACTGGAAAGAAGCCATGGACGAGGTGGATGAGGTGTTAGCGGGCTTGACGGACGACGACGATGACGACCAGACCACCGACGGTGGCTATTCGACGACTGTGCACACGCCCATTGCCAGCAACATCCTTGGCAGCAACAAGCGGGCGAGGGACGGGGAAGACGGCGATGAGGGAGAGGAAGGCCTGCGTTCCGAGGCGGAGAGCGAGGCTGACGATGACGATGACGACGGCGGCAGCGGCGGCGGTGGGGCGACACTATCGCCATTGAGCAAGCGGAGACGACTGGCCGAGCTCCGCGCTGGCCACTCGAAGCTCAAGATGCAGCTCAATACCCGCGACAGCCGGAGCGCAACCCCAAACGGAGAGAAAGGAGGGAAGGAAATGGCGGGGGGAGAGGAGGAAGAGCAGGACGAAGAGTTCCTCAAGTCGCTCGAGGAAGAGCTGGAGTTGCAGATGGGACGATCTGAGGAGGTTGCTCCCGGATAGGTCCGATACCCACCAAGGGGGAAAGACAGCAAAAATGAGAAGGTTGATGCATGCTAAGAAAAGGGGGGGGGGTCGGACCCCCTCTTTCTCCTTCCTTTCTCTCGCACGTCTTTGTTTATCATTGCCTCTCATCTCAGTGTGTACAGTAGTTGGAGGGTGTAAGCCCTTTCTCCGAGGTTGTATTCGAATGTACGAATGTGTAACCACCATCTCCAGTATCCTCCATCAGACTGTGCCTCGAGACACGCACCTCAAGGACGGATCAGAATTATCAAAGACTGCCATTGCAAAGGACACGAGAATGGAAATGGGCAAAGGTATAGTCGTACATGGGCACTTTCTCTCATGCTCCCTCCGCCTCTGCATCCTCTTCCTGATCGACGACGGATCTCTTTGCGCCCCTGACGCCAGCTCCGCATCGGAGGCAGGACCACGCGGCCGGATTGGCCTCGTCGCCATCGGCAAGCTCTTCGGCCGCGTCCTCGGAGAGAAGCTTGTCTGCGATGCACACGTAGCAGTAGGCGTGGCCGCACGGCTCGGCATCGTACGACGTGTGGATCAGGGCATCGGCATAGGCCAAGCCCGAGGCGCTCGTTGATGTCGTCAGCGCTGCCGCCGTCTTGGCCGTCTTGGCTGCCCCATTGGGTGCAGAGGCAGCAGCAGAGGAGGAGGAAGAAGGAGAAGAGGAAGAGGAGGTCGACGAGGGGTCGAGCGGATCGCTTGAAGGGATGCCTGCGCGCAGGGCGGCCGTTCCTTGGGACTTGATGCCCGCCTGGGCCTCGAGGCGTTCCCAGCAGATTGCACAGACGCCCTCGGGCAGTGTGGCATACCGCGCTCGCTGTCGACGTTCTTCCTCTTCCTTTTCCTTGACTCCTTTTGATCCAGCCAGAGGCATACGGAAGCGAGGCTTGCCTGCCTCGTCGCGCGAGAGGCCCACACGCGAGGCCACGTACGACGGCAGCACCGCCAGCAGGGTGGAGAGGACGAGGGGGTGGGTCGGGAGGCGCAACAATCTCCGTAGTAGCCTTCGAGGTTTGACCAGAGGCAGCAAGAATAGCAAGAACTCCTGCATGGCGCAAGTTATGTGTCAGTAAGCCTTCCCCCTTCTCCTCTCTGTATCCAGCGCGCATATGCTCACGGTAAAGGCGTGCCAGACGAGCTGGCGGTTGAGGAACTCAAACGACACGTTTCGGTTCATCGTCCTCTGTGCATACGTCAACCGCATCCCTAGCACCCGGTCGGTCAAAGTTCGGTATCTGTAGAAGCACGTCAGTAGAGCTTCCTTGTCCAAAAGAGGAGAAAAGGCAAAGACTCACCTGCCATCGCTAAGGAAGGCGAGGAAGTTTGCCAGCGTGAGCGCTGCATAGATGCGCTGGGCTCGATCGAGACCATTCCAAAGGATACGCCGCACGTCGTCGCTGGGCATGTCCGAGTAGCTCATCCTGCTCATGGTCCGCTCAAGCTTGGTGTGGAGGTAGGGGGCGACGATGGTGAGACTGGGGAAGGCGAGGAGCTGGAAGCGCGAGAGCGGTGCGTCGCGCGATGTCGACTGGAGCCCGCCTCGATGTGCCCACTCGTTGCGGTAGCGCAGGTTTTGCAGCATGGCCCCGTACGTGGCACCACGGTCGAAGATGCTAAATTTGTAAAGGGCCAGGCGCAGCACCAGGAGCAGCTCCGGCTCGAGTGTGGTGGGCAGCGTGACTCGGATGTTGCGCAGGGCAGCCTTGAGAGGCTCGAGGAGCATTGTTGTCAGCTCTGTGTCGAGCAGCTCGGCGTCAAGCTGCGATACGCGCTGGATGCGAAGCGGCGGCGAGGAGAAATGGGGCAGTCGCCGACGAATCGAGGAGAGCGCCGGCTGAGCGGCATTCGAAGCCGCCTGCCAAAACGGTTCGTACTCATCGTCTCTCCTCTCCACGTTCCCAACGGCTCCTCCGACGATGTTGGGCGCCATCATGGGCCTCGACGAGGGTCCGCTCTCATCCTCGTCCGACATGGTTGCAGCAGGTGTCGTCCCCCCGCTTGGAAGGCCAGGGCTATTCGGTATCACATGAAAGCCGGACTCTCTTCGCACCAGGTCACGTGTCATTTTTTATGCGTGTGGAGCTGTCGCTGCAAGGTTCACCTCCGCGTGCGGCACAAGAGCCATCGTGAACGACACCACAGTATACAGCCAAGCAGCGATGTCGTCCTCCCCGCGCCACTCTCCGCCACCAAGCGCAGCCGCTCCTCGGCCCAAGGGGATCCTCAAGAATTCCAGCGCCGACCCTCAGTTGGCTGATCAGCGCCGACCGTCGGCGCTGTCTGCAGATGCAGTCGATGAGCATGGCAATCGGTAGGTAGACCCGCCGACTTCTTCGCACTGTATCGCTGATTTTTTCTCTTTGATCACACAGCCTCGCTTGGGACGAGACGAACTTGACGCTGCACGAGATTGAACGCGAGAATCAGGCGGCCCGCATGAAAATTGACGAGCCAAAGACGCCCTTTGTGCGAAGCGCCAGTCTAGGTCCCATGGACGAGGACTCGATGGGTGGGTATGCTCCTTTTTTTGAGGATGATATAGCATTAGCTGACCCAATCTCTCTCACAGGATTCAATCTCGATGGACAACAGCAGCAGCAGCCACCCAACTACTTTCCCCCGACGAACGCGTCCGGATCAGGCGCCTCGACGGGCGAGCCGAGCGCTTCAGGAAGCGGTCCCTCCTCGCGCCGCTCGTCGGCTGCTGAGCAGCTCGCTGCCAATACGATAGCCAATGCAGGCCGACGGCCTTCAGCAGGGAGCATCGGCAGCAGCGGACACGCGAGCGCAGACGGTGGTGCCGCTGTAGCGCCCGCCATGGGCCTGGACAGCGTCGATATGGCCGCAGCTGTCCCGTCTGCACTCAAGAGTGGATCGAGAAGAGCGGACAGCCGGAGCCCGAGCTTCACGCTGCCCCCTGGAGGAAGCAGGAGGAGCTCGAGCGCGGCTAACATCGGCGACAGGTCTAGAGAAGGGGTGAGGCAGGAGATGAAGGACCGCGACGATGCCATGCAGGGCATCGAGGGAGAGGCCGCCCTCGACGACGACGACGAGAATCTCGATCCAGAGGGTGAGTGGTTTTGCAGACTTACGTACTGCCCTACTTCGGTCTGCTGACCTGTCTCTGAATTCCTACACCCACAGCCAAAGCAAAGCAAGACGAGTTCAACCGAAAACGCAATGCGCACTATGGAAACGAGGCAGAGGCGTTAGTTGACGGTCGTTAAGACCTGCAGCAATTTAACTTTGGAAACTGACGACGTGGTATGTGTTCCTCAACAGAATGAAGATTGCAGCCGCCCTAGCAGCGCAAGAGGACGATGAGGACGACGAAGACGATGAGGAAGAGGCCCGAAGCATCCCGCCCGTTCCTCCGCTTCCCAATGGCTCGACCTGATTCTTTTGTCGTGACGCAGAGATGCTCTCAACCATACAATGATTAGCTTTGAAATGTGATGAAATAAAAGAATATTGCACACAGATGATTGTCATGATGATGGAGAAGCTGTCTACCTACTCTAGTCGCTGCCGTCTGCATAGGAGCCAAAGTACCTCGCGCCAGGCCCTCCCCCTGCGGCTGCCGCTGTCTCCGGTCCTGCGCCTGCGCCTGCTCCTCCCTTGCCCCTTGCGCCCCTCGCCTTTTTGGCGTCAGCCTCGCTTGCCTTGGCTACCTTGTCCTCCTTTGCTGTCTTTTTCATCTTCTTCTTGCCGCCCGCCTCCGACGCCCGCTTCTGAGCCTGCTTCTCGTCCTTCCTCTTTCTCTTCTTGCCCTTCTTGCTCTCCTTGGCCAGCACATCCGTCGGTGCAATCGAATCCACACCCCACTTGTGCTTGACCCTTGCCACCGCAGCCTGAGTGGAGCGCTGCATCTCTCTGCTGTAGATCTCGAGACCGCGTTCCTTGCCCACGGCATTGTAGATGGCCTTGCGGTCCTCCTTTGTCAGGCCGTGGTCGCGCTCGATGCCCGCAGGCAGCGCCTCGAGGTCCTCCTTCTTCTCGGCCCAGAAGCCATCGCCGGCGGGATAGTCAATGGCGCGGCTCTGGGCCTGGCTCGCCCGGTGGACCTCGGCCTTGTATCGCTCGTCGGCCTTGACCTTCTTCTTGGGCATGCCCTTGAGCGGGCCGCGTGTGGCGACACTGCTCGGCAACTGATCTGCAGCACCTTGGCTCTGATTTTGACTCTTCGATTTGCCCAACGACGACGACGAGGATTGCTGCTGCTGCTGCTTCCTCGAGAACCAATCGTCTTCTTCATCGTCCTCTTCGTCTACATTGCCATTTGGCAGCCTACTCCGCGCTCCTGGCCCTTTGCTCTTGCTCGCCGACGACGACAACGGCGGCGGCTCCTTGCCTCGCCCGCTCTTGCGCCCTGCAGCGCGCTGCTCGAGGAGCGCATCAACCGACTTAATCGCCTGGATCTGTGCTTCTGAGCAGACATGCATGCTCGCACTGGGCCCCACGGCAAAGTCGCGGTACCGTCGGCCACCCTCGTAATCATCGTCGTCGCCATTGCCTTGGCCCCGCACAACAGCCGTGGCAGGTGGCGGGCCGTAGTTGGTTGCAAAGGGCCCCGACAGCGAGACAAATTCGCTGTAGGCCGTCGGCTCCATGTGGCCCCGGTACGGGTGGCAGCGGGGCAGCGGGCAGTCGTCACCCCAGTGGTTGCCCTTTGTCGCACAGTTGTAGCACCACCGCACCGCAGGATCCCAGCTTGGGGACGGGGACCTTTGGGACGTTCTTGTGTCATCGTCGTCGTCGTCGTCGCCATCTGAATTGACTGGCCTGCGAGCAACCAGCTCCCTCGCCTTTTGCTTGCGCTCTGCCTGCCACTCCTCGGGGTAGTTGTAGGCATAGACCCGCCACAGCGTCGCACACGTTGCCTCGCTGTGGCTCGTCGCACCGCAGCGCTGACACTCGCGCCGGCCGCCGCGTGCAAAGGCCTGTGGACGGGGCTTGGGGCAGTCCTTGAGCTGATGGCCTCTCGCACCGCAGCGGAAACAGCTCCGGCCCATCGGGCACTCCCGTGTCGCATGCTCGTCGAGGACGCCGCAGGCCAGGCACTGTGTATGCGGGCAGCCTCGCTTGTCGTGGCCCTTTTCACCGCACTGCTCGCACTCCTCCCTCGCCAGCCTTTCCGCCCGCCGTTCCACCTCCCAGTAGCGAGCAGCAGCACCGGAGCGATCACCGTCGAGCTCGACGAAATCACCAATGGCGCCATCGTTATTCCCTCCTGGCCCATAGGCAGCGACACTCGCCCCGTCATCTGGCTTTGAGGACGACGAAGACGACGCTTCGGCAGGCGGAGCCACTGCAGTGATCTCGACGTGGCCTGGCAGCAAAAGTCCATTCCTCTCCTGCAGCTGCAACTGTCCTTTGGCAGGAGAGTCGACCCTTCGAGGGGGCGCCTGAGCGAGCTCGTCGGCGCTCTTGTCCATCGTGAAGCTAATCTCCATATCATCATCCTCGTCCGTGTACTCGCCCTCTTCCCTTTCTTCCTCTTCTGCCCTCTCTTCCCGCTTCTTGCTGGCCTGTATTCTGAACTTGCCGCCTCTGTATGTCGGCCCCCCTCGGCCCCGAGACGACAACGACGACGACGACGCGCCAGCATCATCACCCCAATTCGCCACAGGCCCTTTGCCGCGGTGGTCGCGGCGCACCACACGCAGCGCCCTCTCGTCCTGCGTCTCCTTTTGTTTCTTGTTCCGCGCCATCCTGGCCCCCTTTGTCCTCCCCTTTCTCGCCTGTGCTCGGCGTCGGCGTTCTTCTAATCCGTATTCAGCAGGTGCAGGGATGATTTTTTTGGACTGCCAAAAAATTTGGTGCGCAACACGTGACTCGGGCTGAGAAGCTTTGCCCAATGTGTCTCTGTGTACCGGTAGCTAGATTGACATTGAATGGGCAGGTACCACTACTCCAAATCTTTGCCTCCGATTCTCGTTCCGCTTCGGACTTGGGCGCTGGGCCGCCCATGCGTGCATGTGCTGGGCTCTGATAAGACATGGGACATGCAGCAAGGTAATGAAATCTTGCTGCACGAATGCCCAAATGACCAACTGCCGAAGCCGTAATCCTCGATGAGAAAGATACTTGCTTTCCTCCTCCTCTTTGAGCTTCCGACAACTTGGCGCACGAAGTCAACTCGAGTCACATTAAAGAAGCTATCCCGGCGCGCGCGAGAAGCTCGTCTCCGGTCGGAGAGACAGGAAGGAAAGGAAGAGGTCGGGAGAAGGAGGAATCCATCCGTCACCCGATTGGCTGCTGCTGAGTCAGCGACATAAAAGCGTTAGTTCCCGCCGTTCCGGTGGGACCGTGCACGGCCTCTGCGCTCGCCAGCTTCTCATAGCTGTCCTATTCGTAATTAGGATAGTGTAGTAGTAGCAGTAGTAGAGACAGATAACGAATCGGATATCGGATACAAAAAAATGGGAACGAAATCTAATCTTTTTTAGGCTTTTTGGCCCTTGTGCGCTATTTGGGCGATCCGGCGTGTGGGGAACGGCGTGACGAGCAGGAGCGCTGGTAAGATAGAGAGAGACAGGCGGGCATCACGGGACCCTCCCCCCAACAGCCACCAAGAACGTCTAAGCTCGTCACGAGCTTCTTCTCCCTGGTTCACCCGACGCGGACCTTGGTCCCTTTCCCTTTGCTCTTCCTGTCCCTTACCACCAGAACACAGACTCACCCACACCCGCTCGTCGATTCGCTGCGCGACGACGACGACGACGACGACGACCTCGACGATGGCAACGGCAACGACACGGTCACAGCCCCTGCCTCCCGCCGGACCGGCGGGAGGCCCCAAACAGAAACAGCCGTATCCCTTTTGGCTCGGTGAGCAAGTCGTGTGCTAGTGGTGGGCACCCCAGAAAGAGACTCACACCCCTCTCTCTGGTCTCGCGCGCAGGCGGAGCGGCGGCATGCTGTGCGGCGACGATTACGCACCCGCTCGACTTGACAAAGTACCGGCTGCAGACGGCGACCAAGAAGCAGGGCATGCTCAAGACGGTCGTCCTCAGTGTCCGAGAGGACGGGCCCCGGAGCATCTTCCACGGCCTCACTGCCACCTGGCTCCGGCAGGCCAGCTATTCGTGGGTGCCGTCTGGCTTTTGCTCCCTTCACTTTTTAAGAGCCACGTACTTACTCTCTGTGAGCCCCAACACAGTATCACGAGATTCGCCGGTGGGTTTCCTGAGAATGAAAGAGCCGCCCAGAGTAGCACTTGCTGACGCGCCCTCTCTTTCTGTGCCGCACAGCGTACGAGAAGGCAAAGGAGCAGTTCATCATCCCTGGCCAGAAGCCGGTGCCAACGTCCAGCGAGCTTGCCATCTGTGCTGCCGGTGCCGGTGCTGTTGCAGGGTGGGTGGTCCTTCTCGATCGACCTTTTACTCCTCTCGGGCTGACTTCTCCTCCTCTCTTTCTCCCTCTTCAGATTCACGGGTGTGCCCGCCGAGGTGGTGCTGGTGCGCATGTGCAGCGATCTGAACCGGCCGAAGGAGCAGCGGTACAACTACCGAAACGCCGTGCAGGCGCTCTTCAAGATCACCGCAGACGAGGGCTTCCCGGCCCTCTTCCGCGGCATGGTGCCCAACATCACCCGCAGCGTCTTCCTCAATGTTGCGTGAGTCTAGTCTCTGGCCATTGGTGGTCTGTGCTCATATCGTATTTTCCCTTCTCTCAAGACAAATGGCCGGCTACGACGCATTCAAGGTGGGTTTAGACTTGACTTATGAGGAGGAAAGGCAGCCGCTGACGCAATGCCACCACAGGAAATCATCAAGAAGCTCAACGTGATCCCCGACGGCCCCTGGCTGCACTTTTCCGCCTCGTTCTGCGCCGGCACGTTTGCCACGACGATTGTCACGCCTGTCGATGTCGTCAAGAGCCGGATCCAGAATGCAAAGGGCGAAGAGGCCAAGCGCGGCATCATGGGCACCATTCGCGAGAGCGCACGGCGCGACGGCATGTCTGTCTTTATGCGCGGTTGGCTCCCTGCCTGGCTCCGTCTGCAGCCCCAGACGACGCTCCTCTTCCTCTTCTTTGAGCGTGAGTTTTTCACGCTTTCCAGCTCGCAGCACCAGAATGCTCTTTGCTAATATTCGCCATCCTTGCTGCCTGCTTTCTCGTTCTTCGAACACAGAATTCAAGGTGAGTTGCAAGCTTGCTTTATCACGTGTCTTTCCTGCTGACCACCTCCTCTTCCCCTTTACAGACTATCATCGACAAGCAGCGAGAGGAGAAGGCCGCCAAGGCCGCTGCAGCCTAGCAGCCTTGCTTGCAAGGGAGCAGCTAGACCTGCACGGCGCTGTTGCTGCTGCTGCTCCCAGTCTCGGGCGCGTGAAAAGGAAAGAGCCGAAAGGCTGGTCGTGGAGATGAGCAATGATGGGAATCAATTACATTACATTGTATGCACTCTTTTGGCGCGACTACTCGTCGTCGCTGTCGCTTCCATAGCCCGAGAGTCCGCCGAGCCCCGTCGCAGCTGGCTTGGATGCGGCCGTCTTTTGCGCTTGCTGCTGCTGCTTTTCGCGCAGGGCGTGGAGATGCTGCAGGGCGTCGCTGCTCAGCAAGCCTGGAGCCGCGGAAGGTGTTGAGGCCACCTTTGCTGGTGTCGGTGCTTCGATCTGTGCCTGGGCAGTGGCTTGTTGCTGCTGCTGCTGCTGCTGCTTCAGCTTCTCGATTTCTTCCCACCCCTTCATGTTCTCCTCCAGCAGCCTCTGGTACTCCTCCTCCTCGTCCTTTCTCCGTTTCCTCGCCTGCTCCCCCTCCTCGCCGTCCTCGAGCTCGAGCAGGCTCCTTCCAGCCTCGCGCATCTCTTCCGTGAGGGAGTCGCCAATGACTTTGAGCCCCTGCTCCTCGCGCTGTTCGCGGTCGCGCTTCTGCGCCACCTGGTCCGGATCGTCGGCTGCCCAGCGCACGTTGAGCACCTCGTCATGGTCCAACGACTGGTTGATCATGGCCTCCTTTGCAAACTGCGCCGCCGTCTCGTCGGCAAAGGTGACAAAGCCGCAGCCGCGCGTGTGCAGCACCCGCACGCGCTCCACGTCGCCAAACTCGCCAAAGTGGCGCAGCAGCACCTTCTCCGTCTGCGAGAGGCCGCGAAAACCCTCGACGCGCGAGCTGCCCTTGCCGAGCGCGGTGGGGTACTTGACCTTCACCTGCGGGTTCACCACGGGCTTGCTTGCGGCCCCTCGCCCGCCGCCACCGGCAGCACCGGCGCCACGCCAGGAGGATGTCATGTTCGCCCCGCCGCCCTGGCTCATGGGCCGCGAAAAAGTGTCGGCCTCCTCGTGGATCTTGCCCACATACAGTGTCCGATTCACGCGCTGGATCGACCCCACGCCGCCCATGTCGTCGCGGTAGCTGCCCTGCTTGGCGCGCCCAAAGATGTCGTGGCCCTGCTCCGGCGTCGAATTGGGCAATCGGTGTAGGAAAGTGCAGTCGGACCTAATTGTGCTCTCGTCAGCATACCAGCTTATTATCTGAGCCGTGAAGAAGCTCAATCGCTCATTCTCCTCGCTCAGTCACTCACCCATTGGGACAGTAACCTCTGGCGAAGAAGAGGCAGATGAAAGCGCCCCCCGCAGCATCCGCCCGTGTATACCCGCTATCTCTCGCAATGTCTACCCTGTGTGACGCCTTTGTCTTCTCTGCATAGTCGTCCTCGCGGTCTCCGCCGGACCACTTGCCGTACCAAATGTTGTATGTCAGACCATTCTGCCCCGACTTATCGGCCGCTTGCTTGATCGCAGTAAGCTCATGTGTCGTGATCTGGCGGCGTGCCGGGCGCGACTTGACCTTGGGCGCGCCTGGCGTCGGAGCGGACCTGACGAGGGTAGACGTCGATGGCTCGCCTGCCTCTGGCGATGCGCTGCTCATCGCTGGAATCTCTGCGACAGCGGCGGGCTGGAGGTTTGTTTGGAAGGATGAGCAGCAAGATTGGATTGAGATGGAGGCCCGTTTGCCTCACGTGTGCGCGCGTCTCACGTGGAGGGCACGCCCGCACGCCCGCCCACCCGCGCACAAGAACCAACTTTGGGCTTTCCATTGCAAGAGCGCAAGAGCTTGCATGCGCCCTTCTTCTTCGAGCGACCGACTCGTGGGACGACTGGGCAACCTGAAAGGAGGCGGGTTTGGTACATGGCACGAAGGCGCCAGTCTGTCCACATTGATCTAGACGCCGTCCGGGATCAGCTGCAGAACCAAGCGCATCAGCAGCAGCTCCAGCAACAGCAGCAGCAGCAGCAACAACAACAGCAGCAGCTCCACGAGGACCAGGCGAGCACCTCTCCTCGGCTTGGCAGGCAGTCCTCGAGGCGGGCGACCAGCACGGCAATTGACATTGTCTCTTCGTCGCCGCTGCAGGAGCTCCAGCTTTCTGAGGAAGAGGAGGAAGACGAAGAGGACGCAAAGAAGAGGAGGACGACTGCATCAAACAGATTCCTCCCCTTTTCTCTCTGGTCGACATCTCCTTCGCCCTCGTCTGCGACAGCGACAGCGACGAGCGACAGGCTAGGCGCTTCGCTTCTCAAGAGCCCATACGGCGACAGAAGGGTGCCCAAGCTGGCTGCAAGCGGCTGGACCGGCAACGGCGTCACCAGCGGAGGAGGTGGTGGTGCCGGTGGAGGAAAGAAGTCTCGAAGGACCGACAGCGTTGCGCTCAGTGAGGCCGAGGACGGCGTCTTCCTTCGTGATCCCACCGTCGGTCGATCGAGAGTAGGAGCACCAGGACCCTCACTGGCTAGTCCGGTCGGTGCACCTGCGTTTGCGAGGAGGCAGTTCAGCATGGCAGCCCTCGCCAGGACATGGTCCTCGAACCGGAGGCTGCTCCTCATCGTAGCCGGCCTCATTCTCGTCAGCCTCGCCATCTTTGGCCCAGGTGATCGGAGGAGAGATGTAGTGGGGTACATGGGCAACAAAGCCAACAAGGCCTGGGGCTCGGCAGAAGGATACTGGGACGATGCGTTCAAGGCTGCCCACCCCGAGGCAGGACTCAATGCTCCCGCTGTGGACGCACCCCAGCAAGCCACATCAACGATTGTATTGCCACCTATGGAGCCGCAGAGAGGCTCGAACGAAAGGCCGACCAATCACCTTGGCATGGCCGGGCCGTCGTTGCTCTCTTCGGTTCGAGAGAAGCCAGAAATGCATGCGGACCGGGCGAAGACGACGAGATGCGACTCCAACGAGGGACGTTTCTCCGATTGGCGTGGACAGAAGCGCCCCGAGGTGCAGTATGCCATCATGATTGATGCTGGAAGCACGGGAAGCAGGGTGCACGTCTACAAGTTCAACTTTTGCTCCTCTTCGCCCGAGCTAGAGGACGAGGTGTTCCAGATGATCAAGGGCGGCCTGTCCGAGTACAGGGCAGACGCAAAGGGAGCTGCGGACTCGCTCAGGCCGCTACTCAAAACTGCCCTAGAAGCTGTCCCGAAGCACCTGCAGCGATGCACACCCATCTCGGTCAAGGCCACGGCCGGGCTGCGACTGCTGGGCCCGGAGATGAGCAAGCGGATCCTCGACTCGGTGAGGGAGATGCTCGTGCGCGAGTACCCCTTCCCCATCGCAGATGGTCGCGACCCAACAGTCAGCCCGCGCGGCATCGAGATCATGGAGGGCCGCGACGAGGGCGTGTTTGCGTGGATCACTGTCAACTACCTCCTCGACCGCATCGGGAGCAGCAACAGCGGCAATCTGGCCCTCGACGATGTCCAGCCAAAGACGGCAGCGGTCCTCGACCTCGGTGGCGCTTCGACGCAGATCGTCTTTGAGCCGGTCCAGCAGAGCGGCGAGCAGGGCATGCACCCTGGCGAGCACGTCTACGAGCTCAAGGGTGCGTTGTGCCCGTAAAGTAGCCTTCACACGACTCAGATTCACTGACTTTGCCCACCATGACAGACTTTGGAGGGAAGACATACACGCTCTATCAGAACTCCTATCTGGGCTACGGCCTGATGCAGGCGCGCAAGTCGATCAACTCGCTAGCCACTTTCACGTACTCGCTTGCCCACCCCGACCAGGTGCGGCTGGGCGAGGCGCCGACGGCTCCATGGCTCGCAACGGGCGGCGTCAAGATTCCCAACCCATGCTTTGAAGAGGGCAAGGAAAAGACGGTCAAGGTCAAGGTCCCAAACGAGGCCGAGGAAAAGGAGGTGAAGGTCATCGGCACCTCTGGCGGCTTTGACGCATGCAGGAGATTGGTCGAAGTCACGATGGACAAGGATGCGTGAGTAGTCTCTTTTCTCCTCTCTCTCTATTATTCGATCTCTATCGAGCGCATTTACTGAACGAGCAATTCCTCGACAGTGTCTGCACGCGACCGCCATGTTCGTTTGCGGGCGTGTATCAGCCCTCGCTGATGAAGGCCTTTGCCGCGAGCCCCATCATTGCCCTCTCTTACTTCTATGACCGGCTGGAGCCGCTGGGCCTGAATGCGTCTTTCAGCATCGCCCAGCTCGAGACGCTGGCGAGAAACGTCTGCTCGCCTAGATCGACGTGGTCGAAGCTGTTTGACGACCGCGCCATGGCCGAGCTCGACGATCGGCCAGAGACGTGCCTCGACCTGACGTTCCAGCTTAGCTTGCTCAAGCTTGGCTACGAGCTCGACGACCAGCGCCAGATCACGGTCGCCAAGAAGCTCGGCGGCAACGAGCTGGGATGGTGCCTCGGCGCACAGCTCCAGGTCCTGGAGGAAGGAGTCCTTTGCAAGGCATAAAGTCATATTCTCTCCTTCGAGATACGGTAGATCTGTGAGGAGAAGACAGAGAGAGAGAAAGCGCTTGCTGCAAATGGAACATCATCTATCTGCATGATTTCAGTCGTCAAATTTCGCATTTTTGGAGGTTGAGGAATGGTTCGGATCCTTTTTGTACAATGATTGGGAGTGCGTGAAAAAGAGGGAAAGAAAGAAGGGAGAGTGACACTATCACCACGCTCTTCCTTCCTCCGAGTAGATTCTCTGCTGCATCGACTCGGTATGCCGATGTGAGGCTCCGCCCGTGAGGGTGCCAAACGCGCTCGCCGTCTTGTCTCGCACGCCGCTCATGAAGCCAGATGCCGATGAGGCTGATGCAGGGGAACCGTCCATCCACCGGTGTGGGACTTGGTTGTTGTGGTGGTTGTACGAAGGCACGCCGGGCGCCCTGGAGCTGATGCCCGTGAGGCCGGAGGACCGAGCATACGCGCTCGAGTAGCTCGCCGCATACTGCTCGGGACTCGTCTCCTGCTCGCCGCTGCCGAGCGTCTTGCCAGCGACACGCATGATGCGGTCACCCACGCGGAGCCCAAAGCCAGCGCAGACCCAGACGCCGCCAAGGATGCCGGCAAGCCTGACGAGGAACTGGGTCAAGGTGGTGGTGCGCTCACGAATCGTCATGATCAACGGCTCGACGTCATACTTGATAAAGATGCCTGGCACGCCCATGCCATGTTCGACGGTGCGCGTGTAGTCGTTTACGCTGTACTGGTTCGTGTTCAGCCGTCGTCCCCACGCGTCGATGAACGTCGTGGGGATAATGGAGACAAAATACTGGAAGACGGCAAAGTGCTCTTTGGACATCTCGACGCTCGCATCGAGCGGCTGGGAGATCTGGGGAAAGTAGGGACCAAAGCTGAACTCGTGAATGACGTGCGACAGGTTCATGAGCGAGTGGTCCGTGTGCTCCCAGCTCCAGTAGCCGTGGCCTAGCGTGGTAATGTGCAGGTTGCCCGTCACCTTTTTCGCATTCATCGAGCCAAAGATGCGGCAGGCCGGTCCGTCTGGCACGATGTGCGATGTGCGGCTGAACGAGGCCTGGTGTGGACCGGCAGGTCTTCCTTCCTTTTGGAACATCGACTTGGAATTCTTCTTCTTGGAGGCGCTAATCGTGCCACCGACGGACAGATCTCGTTGCGGAATCGAGTCAATGCGCCCTGCGTGGCCAATCTCAAACGTTGTCCCATCCTTTTGAAATTCGGAGTCGGAAATGTGCAGTCGGTCCCCGACGGCGTCTCGGATGTCGATGGTGAGGTCTGCGCGTTGGCATTAGACAATTCGAGAATGGTCAGCGTACGAAAGGAGCAGAGAGAGGAGATCATGATGCTCACAGTGGCATGGCATGGCGACAGTGGCGTCAAAGTTGATCTGCATCTCCTGCTCAATGTGATTGTCGACCTTGAAGGAGGTGTGCTGCTGGCCGTACAGATAGTCCCGTGCCTCGTTCCAACACAGCACGATGAGGCAGAGGATCACGGCAATCGTCAGGGCCCCGCCCCTGGACGACCTTTTTCTGTACAGTGGTTGTGTCTGTGCGAAGGAGTGGCTCAGCTGAAGCTCCTCTGACAAGATTCCCGAGCAAAAGCCTGACTTACTTTAGGGAAGGCATCGAATTGCCGAATCTGCCTCGTCGCAAGATTGTTAATGGTCAGCGAACGAGGAAGGGGTCTCGTACAGCTCTTGCGCTCACCTGAGGCAATTTGTCGAGCTGGTCGAGCAGCGGGTTCTTCTCCTCCATCTTGACGATCCAGCCTTGCTCACAGCTGGCGTCGCTTGCACGTTGCACTTGGGAAGGAAGTCAGCAACTTAAAATGAGAAAACGCGCCAGCGATGGCGGGGGCAAGTCGAGGTCCGCCCCAGAGCTCACTACATTTCTCGGCCGAAGCTGGATCAAGGCACGGGGGGGTTGCGTTGCGTTGCGTTACATTGCGTAGATCATCCCATCACTGGTTGACCCACCGTCGACGATCATCAAGATGGGCGCAGCGCTGTCGATTCCCTTTCTGGGCGGCGGCCTAATCTCATCGCTCGTCGGATCCTGCCTCACGGGCTTGGCCTTCTTCTGCACCTCGACGGCCGCCTCTGCTTTCTTCAAGTCATGCAACTGCCAGAGCTCCATCGCCACCCGCGTTGGGTTCTGCCTCATCTTCTGCCTCGATGCCCTCCTGGCTTGGCTCAGTCTGACGCGCTTCGTCATGGACAAGCTCGAAGACTGGAGCTACCAGTATCTGAAGCTGGACTGCAAGGACAAGGACCGCTGCTACGGCGTCTTGGCTGTTCACCGGATCACATTCGCGCTCGCGCTCTTCCACCTCATCATCGGTAGTCTCCTCATTGGTGTCAAAGACACCCGCACCAAGAGGGCAGCCATTCAAAATGGGTGAGTTCAACACTTGATCTACCTTGCTGTGGCTCAGCACCGCTAACTCCATGCCGATGATCACAGCTGGTGGGGACCAAAGGTGCTCCTGTGGCTCGTCCTCACCGTCCTCATGTTCTTCATCCCCCACGGCTTCTTTGTCGTCTGGGCAAACTACTTTTCCCTTATCTTTGCCTGCATGTTCATCGTCGTCGGCCTCGTCCTCCTCGTCGACTTCGCCCACACCTGGTCGGAGACGTGCCTGGACCGCTGGGAGACGACCGAGGCGCCCTTCTGGAAGTACACGCTGATCGGTAGCACCTTGGGCATGTACGCCGCCGTCATTACCGTCACTGGACTTCTCTACGGCTTCTTCTCGGGCAGCGGATGCGGCCTCAACACATTCTTCATCACCTTCAACCTCATCCTCTGCCTCGTCGTCACAGCTCTATCCGTCAGTCCGGCGGTGCAGGAGTCGAATCCTCGAAGTGGGCTGGCACAGAGCAGCATGGTGGCTGCCTACTGCACCTATCTTATCGCGAGCGCCGTCATGAACCATGACAATGCGCAGTGCAACCCCATAACGAGGGGACGTGGCGGTGCAGGGGCAAAGAAGACGACAGTCGTTGTGGGCGCTTGCTTCACTTTCCTCGCGATTGCCTACTCGACAAGCCGAGCGGCGACGCAGAGCAAGGCACTCGTCGGTCGCAAGCGGGCGCTGGCCAATCAGAGCAGCACACCACCGGCCGGCTATGGGCCTCTGGCGACGCACGACTCCGAGGATCACCAGAGCTCGGGTGGCGTCACGACGGAGCAGCCCACCCGCAAGGAGGACCTTCGCATCCAGGCGCTGCGTGCTGCTGTGGAGGCAGGCAGCCTTCCTGCTTCTGCTTTGGAAGAGGACGACGATGGCAGCGAGGATGGCGATGTAGGCAGCCTGGGAGGAGGACCCGGTGACGAGGCAGATGACGAGCGAAACGGGACACGGTACAACTACACGTTCTTCCACTTCATCTTTGCCATTGCCGTCTGCTACACAGCCATGCTCCTGACTGACTGGTGAGTGTACACTCTCCTTTTCTCTTCTCGCTGTTCCCGTGTCAGTGCTGACAAAGAGCTTGATGCTGTTTGCAGGCGTTTCGTCAAGCTCCAGGGACCATCGCCCGAACCGACTGAAGAGGGGGGGCAGGTCGTCTTTATCGGCCGGTCTCCCACCGCCATGTGGATGCGGGTCGTCAGCAGCTGGCTCTGCGTGGGTCTGTATGCCTGGAGCCTCGTCGCACCTGTCCTGAGTGAGTCGAGTGTGCTTTGTTCCCGAGAAATAATCAGCTCACGCCTCGCCTCTCCTCTCCATTTCAACAGTGCCCGATCGCTTTGGAGATTAGTGTCTTTCTCTCTTTTCTGTACTGTACATACGTTCGCAAACGTCGGCCTCTGCCCTCGAATGATATTCGAATGATGGAGCCTTTTTCCTTGCTTCTTCCTCTCGGCGGCCCGGAGTCCGAATTGAAGGAACAAAAGGGACCGGCGCAACCGGCACCGAGCGGGCGGGCATATGCGCGAAATCCGACGAACCTGCATTTAGGAGAAAATAATGTGAAAATAAACAGAGGCCGAAAGCGTGAACCGTAGAAAAAGAGAGAGAGAGAGAGAGATAGAGCGCGGCCGTGCTCTCTTCTTTTGCTTGGCACCGCTCACGAGACCTGGTCCCCCCACTTTCCTCGATTGAACCCCATACGATACGCCTTTGGTATGGCTCAGTCCTCGCCGCGCAAGGGAAAGGCACAGGGACACCAGCACCAGCGTAGCGACTCGTCAGACTTTGCAGGAGGGAGCAGCAGCAGAGGAGGAGGAGGAGGGCAGCGGCGCCGAGCGTCGTACGAGGACGAAGCCGACGATGAGGACTACCCCTACGAAGACGACGAGGACGAAGAGGAGGACGAGGATGGCATCATTGAGCTAGGCATGCCTCTGACGTACGATCGCTTTCTCGCCTCGCATGTCCTCTCGCTCCTGCCCGCCTTTTCGCTCCTGCTGGCCCTCGGCCTCTTTGCGTGGGAGGCCCCGTGCGTCCTGACGGACGTGGGCGAGTCGACACAGGAGGAGTCGCGCAGCCTGTGCCGGAGAATGGCTAGCGAAGGGAGCAGCATCACGGCGTTTGCGCTGGGTCTGGTCGGATGGAGCGCAAGCTTTGCAGCGAGGCATGCCGTGGAGAAGCTCGTTGGTTGGGCAGCATCGGGTGTGAGGCTGGTGTTGAAGAGGCCGACTGGCACGCTAGAGGGAGAGGCCCAACAAGAACAAGAAGGAGAAGGGGAAGGCGTGCTCGAGACTATTGTGTTTTTGGCCATTCGCACCGTCTGGCTCGAGGTGCTGCGCATGATGAGCATCCTCATGGCATTCAGTGTCATCCTGGCCCGTCTCGCAAGGCTTCGTGCGCGCGTGCAAAGCGGGAATGCCCATTCCGAAGGCATGCTCTCGCCATGGGATCTCGATTGGTACGATCCGAGATTTGCCGCAAGCCTCTGGGTTGCGTTGGGCTGGGCCACAACGGAGTTCGTCGTGACGTCTACGCAGATGTTCGATCGATTGACGCTGTACCGTTCTGCGTTTGACCAGCCGCAGGATGTCGAGACCGACGTTGAGGCCGCCCTTGTCTCACGCCCTGACGCAAACGCAGCTGTCGACAGCGAGGAAGAAGAGTATATCCAGTCACCCATAAAGACGTCCTTCAACGTCGCATCGGCAGCGATGAAGCGCTCCGCATACGCCTCGGACCTCGAGAGCAGCAGCAGTGGAAACGAGTCGGGCGCTACAGTGACGGCACGCAGCTCGGCAAACAATCATCACAAGGTACCTGGCGAATTGGCCGGAAATGGTCATCAGCAACAGCAGCAGCAACAGCTCCGCAAGGTGACACCCGAAGAAACGTTGAGCAAGGCCCGCGCGGAGGCAAGGCGGACCTTCCTATCCTCGCGGCGCATCATCACGCCCTCGTATGGCTCCATTGATGCAGTCGCCAGCTCGCCAGCTTCCCCACGGCGGACTGAAGAGGAGGAGCTGAACGCACTCCAGACACGTCTTTTCAACTCCCTCGACCGGCTGATCATCGCCAAGAAGCGTTCCGACCTCGAGGCGAGCCTCGGTGTGCCTCTTCCAGATGTCCCTCTCGTTCTCTGCTCACTGTGGCGCATCGACGGCTTCCTCTGGAACTTGGGCAGCACCCTGCTCCTTTCCGCCTCGCTGACCCTCGCCCAGGGCCCGCTCTCCTCGGCGTCTTCTCCTCTGCCAGACCCGTTCGTGCCGTTACACAAGATTGCAACGACGCTGGGCTGCCTGATTCTTCTTCACGGCACCTTTACATGCTTCTGGAACCTTACGCTGCCCCGGCTCGGCTTTGCTGTCGTGACGTACACGAGCCTCTTGGCTGGATTAGGCCTCGTTGCGAGCGCCCTGGCGAGGTGGGGGCTTCTCGTCTGATCTTTCCCCTTTTCATTTATACCCCTTTCATCTCTCTCTCTTTCTTGTAACGAGCAGCGCCTTTTGGCGAGAGACGACACGCAATGCTGAAATGACATCGACCCATTAATTACCGTCTCCCATGATAGGGGATGAGCGCACCGCAGAAAATACATTATTACTCTTCTCGCTTCAAGACTCTGTCCACTTCGCCCTCTTCGATAGACTCTCCCTCCATCAGCCGCTTCCAGACCCTGACCAGCCTCCGCTTTTCTCCCTTGTTCCTCTTCTCCTTCACGCCGGCCTCCATGTCGTCGGCCATCTCGCTCGCCTTGACCGTGAGGGCCTTTGGCAAGCCCGCCAGGCGCGCACAGTGGATGCCAAAGCTTTTTCTGGCCAACCCGCTCTTGAGCTTGTACAGAAACGTAATCTCGTCGCCGTCCTCCTCGGTGGCCGAGAAGCCTTCTTCGCCTTCGGCGTGATTCTCGAGGTAGGCCATGTGCATGCCGCGCAGTGCCAGCTCGCCGCCCTGGTCAAAGGTCCACTTGCCCAGATTGGCAAAGTGCGTGACGAAAAAGAGCGTCGGCTGGCGCTCCGGCTCCCTCGAGAGAAGGTGGACGAGGACGGCTTCAGCAATGGCCGTGCCGTCGTGCGTGCTCGTCCCTCGTCCGAGTTCATCGAGAATGACGAGGCTGCGGCGCGTGGCGACAGCCATGATGTCGCACGTCTCCTGCACCTCGACCATAAACGTGGATCGGCCCTTGGCGAGCTCGTCCGAGGCACCCATGCGCGTCAGCACGGCGTCGCGTAACGACAGCTTGGCCGAGGTGGCGGGCACAAAGGAGCCGAGCTGGGCCATGACAACGATGAGAGCAATGGCGCGTACAGTCGAGGATTTTCCTGGTGTACGATTGTCAGCTTCGGATCGTCGAAGAGGGAGATCGATACTCACCGCCCATGTTGCTGCCGGTGAGAAGGACACCGCGCGCACCGTCGGACGAGTCCTCACCCAGTGTAATGTCATTGGGCACTGTCGAACAAGGTTCAGTGACCGGACGACTGTTGATTAGATACTGAAAACAACCCACCGTAGTCATCTTGCAACGTCTCAGTCATGGGATGTCTGAAACCCTCGAGCTCGAGACAGTCTCCCCCTTCGACAAAGGCCGGCCTTGAGTATCCCGGCAGTGTCGCCACGGTAGCAAGGCTAGCAAGTGCATCGAGTGTGGCCAAGCCTACTATCATGCTTCTCAGGAGCGAGTAGTGCTTCTCACAGAGCTCTGACGTGAAGAGGGCAAACGCTCTGTCGGCTTCCTTGTCGAGCGTCTCCTGAAGCTGGTTCCTCTTTTTCATGAGATCGACAATCGTTGGCGTGCGGTAGCGGACATAGGCCTTGGTGCTGTTGATACGTTGCCACGACTCGGGCATTTCCTTTGCCAGCGTTGTGCGCACCTCAATCAGATATTCTTCTTGGGCCACCGTTGCGTACTTGAGTCTCGGATTGCGAAGAAACTTGCGCAGCTCGCTGAGGTGCTCGTCGAGCTCGCTGTCAACAACAGCGATGAGATCTTTTGCGTCTTGGACAGCCGGGTAACGGTCTGGATCAGTAAAAAGATTCCGCTTGTCGTTCTTGCGCGCCTCTGAAATCGAGATGGCGGACAGCGTCTCTTCAACGAGCTGCCTGCCCTTTGGAAGCGAGGCGAAGGCATCCTGCAGCACTTTGGACCTCATTTCCTCCGGCACATCGTCTGCGCCATATTCGTGCGTGAGCCGATTGAGCGAGAGGAAGATCGTGGCCAGCTCCGTCGGTGTCGCTCGATCGTAGCTGAGCCTAGCAAGGCCTCTCTCAAGGTCTGGCAGGTTCTGGAGCATTGACGGTATCTTTGCCACCAGGTGCAGCGTTTGACTGTCTGACTTGCCAGTTGTCCCCTCCGCTAGGACGCCAACGGCCTCGCTCCGCTGGGAGAGAGCTTCGATGTTGGTCAGAGGCCGACCGAGCCACCGCTTGAGGAGCCTTCTGCCCAGTGATGTCTTGCAGCCCGAGGCAAGGAGCCAGAGCAAGGAGCCCTTCTCTCGTCCGTCTGTATTGTTGCGGAATATCTCGAGGTTGGAGAGAGTGTTGCCGCTAAGCAGGATCTCGTTCCGGCTGCCGAAGCTGGCAAAGTTGGTAGCCAGTCGAAAGATGGAGGCCAGGCCGAATGTCTCTAGGTGCTTGATGGCTCCAGCCAGAGCCACGAGGGCGAGCTGGGGAAGGTGCACGACGACCGAGAGAATCTTTTCTGGATCCATCGGCTTCTCGGTCAGATTTCCCATCGTCTTGGCCTCCTCCTTTTCCATGCCTTGCTTTGCGTAAAAATCGCCCACGGCCGAAAGAGCCTCGTTGAAGCTGGGAGACGCATCGATGCGCTCCAATCGGACCCTGTCGATGCCATTGCCTGCTGAGCCGGAACTGGTCTGTCCTGCAATGTACTTAATGAGCTTGTCCGTCTGCTTGGACAGCGACTCCGAGGGTGGCGCAATGATCTCTGCTGGTTGCAGGTGGGCCAGACGAGTCTCGAGGTCCGGCCGCATATTCCCGTCGGTAAATTGGTCATACGTCACAATGCCCTGTCTCGCTCGCCCGTCTCAGCAACTGGTTCAAGGGGCATTTTTCGAGAAGGAACACCTACCGTCGAAACCTGAATAGCGATGAGGCCAATGGAGACCCTCTCGTCTGGCCCACTGGCGCCCTCTCTCCTTTCCACAATGGAGACGAGGCTTCTCGTCGCGCTCGGATTGCCAATCGTCTCTTCCGGGTCACCCTGTGCTCCTGTTCCGGTGTCCAGGCTGTCAACCCACGTCGAGGCTGTGTAGAGCTCCGTGAGATCTCTCGCAAAGGGCTTGGACGCATTGGCCGACGCAGCCTTGAGCGCCCTCGTTTCCGTCTGGCGAATCACGCCGACCTTGTGACCGGCAGCGAGAAGCCGTTTGACGTGGTAGTGGAGGCGGTGGGTGGGAATGATGGCCGACCAGAGATGCTTGTCTTTGAAACAGGCTATGTTGAGCTCGCGCGAGGCGATGTGGGCATCGTCACCGTAGAACTTGAACTTGTAGCCAACCTCGACGCACAGCACCACGCCGGGATGCTGCCTGCGCAGTTCGAGGTACTGCGTCTCCAGGGGCGTATAAGGTGTACCATCGGGGGCGATAAGCTGGCCCTTTCTGTTGCGTTTCAGCATCGCAAGCATCGTTGAGTCATTGTTCGCAACATCCTTGTCCACCTCCTTGCCCTTGCTACTGGACCGAGTTGGTGCTGGGGTAGCAGCAAAGCGTTCAAACCGACTCGCTGCTGGTATTTCTTCCTCCACGCCGGACATGGGAGAGACTGATCCAGCATCGTCATCGTCGTCACCGCCGCTCTCGATGTCGACGTCGATGGCCTCTGGCTCAGCGCGTGCAACAGGTCTTCTCGCCGCTGATGGTCGGGGCGCGGTCGCTGCTGCGCTGCCAAGCTTCCATCGGTCCATTCTGCTGACTCCACTCCCATCACCGTCCTTGCCTTCGACACTTGTCTTTGGCAGCTTGCTTCTCGCAGGAGCAGGCGGAGGCGAAGGCGAAGGTGGCCTCTTTTTTTGCAGCGCACTCGCCACGCTCTTGCTTGAAGAAGCGCTCGCATCTGGAGGGGCGCCCTTGGGAGCAAAGTACGACGATATAAGCCCATTCTTCTTGGCCCCGCCATTTGCAGACGACGACGACGAAGAAGAAGGCGCCATCGCTGCCAATGGACCACAGGGCTCCCCCCGTCGATGGATGGAGAAGAGCGAAAACGAGGCGCGAGAGTGAGGTGTTGGTCTCCCACTTCCAAATTTCTAAAGCTGCGCGTGTAAATGTTCGCGTCAGCCCTCTCTTTCTCAGCTTCTCCAAAGAGAGACAAGAGAGGAGCGACGACAGGGATGGCCGCCTCGCTCCTCATCCCGCTTCACATCCGCTACATCCAGACGCTGGCCTCGCACACCTCGTCTCTCACCTACCACCTCACGACGCACCTCCGTCTCAACGCAATCTACTGGGCCGTCACTGCGCTGCACCTGCTCAATGCGCCCAAAGATGCCCTGCCGCGCGATGAGGTCGTCGACTACGTCTTGTCCTGCTTTGACGAGAGCAGGGGCGGCTTTGGCAGCCACACGGGTCACGATGCACACATTCTCAGCACGCTGAGCGGGATACAGGTGCTGACGATCTACGACGCCCTTGACCGGCTTCAAGACAAGCGAGAGCGCTTGATCCAGTGTGAGTTCATGTACACTCCATTCTGCCGTCCTCTATGAATGCTAAGAAAGACGGCCTTTTCGACCAACACCAGACATTCTCTCGCTGCAAGAACCCGTGACGGGTGCATTCGCAGGCGACGACACACACCTCGAATACGACACCCGCTTCCTGTACTGCGCCATGCAGGCTCTGGCTCTGCTGAGCACCTGCCCCCCTTCCTCCTCCTCCTCGTCGCCGTTGCCGCCGGTGCAGCTTCCGAGTGGAGTGACCCTGCGCGACCCGTTAACCCGCCTGGACCGCAAAAAAACCATCGGCGCCGTGCTCGCCAGCCGCAACTTTGACGGCGGCTTCGGCACGGGCCCCGGCGCCGAGTCGCACGCCGCGCAGACGTTTCCCTGCATCGGCGCCCTCAACATTCTCGACGGCCTTGATGAACTAGCACGCACGGACCAAGACAGGCTGGCGGCCTGGCTCGCCGATCGGCAGCTGCCCAACGGCGGGCTCAATGGCCGGCCACAGAAGCTCGAGGACGTCTGCTACTCCTGGTGGGTGCTCTCCAGCCTCTCGATGCTCGGCAAGCTGCACTGGGTCAATGGCGACAAGCTCTCGCACTTTATCCTCAGCGCTCAGGTGAGTGACCGCCGGCTCCCTCTTCCCACTACCACGCCATGCTGACAAGGCCGCTATCAGGACCCGGAAAACGGCGGGATAGCAGACCGTCCGGACAATGTCGCAGACGTCTTCCACACCCTCTTTGGCGTTGCCGGCCTGAGCCTGCTCCAGGTCAAGCCGCACGCAGACGGCTTAGCCAACGTCGACCCGGTGTACTGCTTGCCTGTAGATGTGATGAAGCGTCTCGATGGCCTGGCCAGACCATATCAACGCTCGCCGTCAGAGCGGGACATGAATAGATGATGAAATTGAATGTATCAAAGGGTATCAGAAAGATTGAAGTGAATGCACATAGATAGATGGAAGTTAATGAAGAGCTGAACGATCGCTTAAATCAAGAAGAGGAGCTGCCACTGCCGCCACCAGGGACCCAGCCCTCGCTCGTCTCGAGGACCTTGACGACGCCCTTGAGCAAGCCTGCCGCCGTGGGTCCCAGGAGACCTTTTTTCTGCATCTCCTTCGAAGCACCTGCCTCAGGTCCCGTGTCCTCGTCGTCAGCGTACTCGATGCCTGAGCGACGGGGTTTATTCCGCGCAGCTCTGGCGGCCCTCCTTGCCTCTCTTCTCGCCTCCCTTCGTCGTCGCCTCTTGCGCTGCTTCCTGCCCTCCTCGGCTCTTCCCTGTGGCGGAGGTGCCCCGTGACCGTTGGGTTGGGATCTCGGCACTCCGTCCCTGGCGTCGTCGTCGTCATCGTCAAAGACGATCCCTCGCTCGTCCTCGTCCTCTTCTTCGTCTTCGGACCGCATCCCAAACTCGCCTCCCTCTTCTTCTTCCTCCTCGCCCCAATCGCTCCCTCGTTCCTCGTCATCCTCGTTACTGCTCGCGCTCGCCTCCGCCTCTACATCTGCATCTGCCGCCTTGGCAGCCGGTTCTTTTCCTCCTCCGAGACCCTCCTCGCCTTCGCCCTCGTTCTCTGGCTCCTTCATGGCCGTGTCGATCGCCATGGGGATACTGAGCGTGACTCGTGCGAGCTGCAGCGTCAATCTCAATCGGCCAAAGACGTCAAAGTAGGAGAGCTGGCGCAGGTTCTGCTGGATCTCGTACAACCTGATCAGCTCAAACCGAATGACGGCCAGGTACTTTCTGCCCGCGAGGAGCATCGAGCGCAGCCGGCGAAAGGCGCCCTCGATGCTGTCTGCAGCGTCATCGCCCAGGTTGAGTCCAGGATTGCCCTCGTTCATTGCGTCTTTTTCCAGGAGCGCTCAGTCAGTCAGGTGGGTCTGGCCTAGTAGCAGCAGAGGGAGCAGCTACTCACTGACGAGAACCCTAATCATCTCAAAATCGCCATCGAGAAACTCGCAAAAGACGGCATACAGAACCGAATTCAGCGTCTCGTCTCCATTGACGCCCGCGCCCGCAGCGGCACCACCACCGGGACCAGAGGGATCATTGAGAGCCGCTGCGAGGTCCTGCCGTCCCGAGACGTCGTACATGCGCCTGCTCGTCGGCTTCGACAGTGTCTGATAGGCAAAGGAGACCTTCTGAAAGGCAGTCACGCATGGCGCATACGATGGCAATTTGCTATCGATCATGTCCCAAGTCAGCATGCCTATTCAAGCACCTGGTCACTCCCTCTAGCGAACTCACTCGGGGTGACAGACCCGACTCCGGTTTAGAAAGCCCCGTCGAATTTCGTCCGTCTTTGCCGATCGCTTGACGCCGAGGATCTCGTAGAGGTCCTCTTGCGCCACGATGCTATCGATGACCTTGATCTTTGCGAGCTCCGCAGGGCTCCGCTCCTCGAGCATGGCATCGATTCCGCCGGCTGACGCAGCAACAGAGGCGTACGAGGGCGGCGGCGACGTCGGCAGCGCCGTCGATGCAGCAGCGCCGTCCGCGGCGGCATTGTTGCTGCTTGCCCGTCGAGGTCCGCGTGCCGGGTGTCGCTTCACCTTGTTCTCGGCAGACGCCGGCGCAGGCCCTTTGCCGTTCGTCCCCGTCGCTAGTTCAACAGGCCGTGATCAGCATTTGGGAAACATTGAAAGAGGCGTCGTTGCATGTATGCATTGCTGCAGGACTTACCATAGTTGTAGAGCGAGGAGGCCACAAACATCTCGCACGCTCAATCTCCTCTCCTGGCCCGACCAGTTTCTTTGGCGAGCGCAAGAGCCCGTCGCGCACAGCGTGCGGTGTAGAAGGATCACTCCGCACACTCTCCTGGAGACCTGCGGCGTCGCGCTTCCTCTCTCTCTCGAGAGCTAGTCAGACGAGAGCGATAGGAGTAGGCGTAGAGGTAGTAGTCGTGGAAGGGGTCCAGCTTCGCAAGGGGCCCGACCGACCGACGAAGCGGTGCATTTCTCCCGCGCGCGCCCCCAAGTCCAAAGTTTAGAAACTCAAAAGCTCAGGCGCGCGCATGTGAAATCTGCAGGCAGCTTCGACGGCTACCTGTGAATAAACACTGACAGACCACTTGCCTGCCTTCTAATAAGCTGGCCAGGTGAAAAGCGTGCGTGCGCGGCGCAGATCACACGAGGAAATGACGGAACAAGCACCGACAAGAAGGAAAAGGAGAAAACGGGATCATATTCTTTTGGTTTTGATGAGAGAAGAGAGAGAAAAGGGAGCTTCTACTCTACTGCTTCAAGAAATGGCTGAGAAAGAAAAGAGGAGAGGCGGGAGGAAAGAAAAAGAAAGAGAATACAAGAGCAAACAAGACCGCGAAACCAGGTTAGAGCTTGTCGTAGTAGTAGTCGACGGGAGGAACTTCCTCCTTGAGACCCTTGCGGATTCGGATGCTCTTGACGAGGTCGTACAGCTTGCCAGTCTTGTCGTTGGCGACACCGTTCATCAGCGACCAGTGGTCGAACACGGCCTGGGGGAAGGCCTGGCCACCAGTGGCCTGGCGCAGGTCGGCGTTGAAGCCGAACGACTCGGCGACGGGCAGGTGGGCCTTGACGGTGTACATGGGCGTGCCGGGGCGTTGCTCCTCCATGTAGACGGTTCCTCGCCTCTTGTTGAGCGTCGAGTAGATGCCGCCCAGACCAGACTCGGGGCACTGGATCTCGACGTTGTACACGGGCTCCTGCAGGCCCGGCTGGGCGAGCAGCGAGGCGGCGTAGCAGACACGGCGGCACGTCGGGATGATCTGACCACCACCACGGTGGATGGCGTCGGTGTGCAGCGTAACATCGAGGATGTTGAAGCGGACACCACGAACCGGCTCCTCAGCGCAAGGGCCCTCCTTGGTCGCCCACTGGAAGGCAGCAACGCACGAGTCCTTGATTTCGTTGAGGTACTGGACACCCTTGGTGACATCGACGAGGAGGTTGGGGCCCGTCGTCTCGGGGCCGAAGCACCAAATCTTACGGGCGTCGGTGACGTCCCAGCCGTACTCGTCGGCGAGGATACGGGCACGAGCCTTGAAGTCATCTCGGGGAGCAACAGTGCCCTCCTCGATGGCCTTGGAGAGCTCCTCCTCGAGGGGAAGAGCAGTGACATAGAGACGGTTGTGCTTGTTCTGCGACTTGGACAGGGCCGTCATGGACGACTCGGCGTTGACAGTCTCACGGTAGCCGACGACGGGGTCCGAGATCTTGAGGGGAATCTGGGCGTGGTCCTCCTCGAGGTCCTTGAGGCAGATCTCCAGGTGGAGCTCACCAGCACCGGCGACAATGTGCTCACCGGTCTCGTTGATCCAGGCCTGGACGCAGGGGTCGGACTTGGAGAGACGCTTAAGACCTTCGACGAGCTTGGGCAAGTCGTTGGCGTTCTTGACCTCGACGGCGACCTGAACGACGGGCGAGACGCTGAACTTCATGACCCTCATGTTGTGGGCCGTCTCGGAGCTGGTGAGGGTACCGCTCTTGAGCAGGAACTGGTCGACACCGACGAGACCAAGAATGTTTCCGGCGGGGCAGTCCTCGATGGGCTCGATGTAGCGACCCATCATGAGCACGGTACGCTGGATCGACTTGACGAAGAGGTCCTCCTTCTTGCCGGGCGTGTAGTTGGGGCCCTGGATACGGATCTTGGGGCCCGACTTGACGGTACCCGAGAAGATACGGCCGAAGGCGTAGAATCGGCCCTTGTCCGAGGTGGGGACCATCTTGGAGACGTAGAGCATCAGAGGACCCTTGGGGTCGCAGTCGCGGATACCAATGGCCGACTCGTCGTCCATGGGGCCCTCGTACAGGGTCTCGACACGGTACTTCTGGGCAGTGACGGGCGAGGGGAGGTTGATGACAATCATCTCGAGGAGGGCGTCACCGGCGGGGAGGAACTTGCGCATGACAACCTTGAGGAGGGCCTTGCCCTCGAGGTCCTTCTCCTCCTGGGTAAGAGTAACCTCGAGCTTCTCGAGGATCTTGGCCGTCTCGTCCTTCTTGAAGTTCATGATCGAGTCGAAGACCTTGAAGATGGGGTCGAGAACGAACATGTTGAAGGCACGCTCGAGCTGGTTTCCGTCAGCGTCCTTGTCCTTGGTGGTCCACTTCTTCGTCTTGGGGTTGAAGAAGTTGTCACCCCAGAGCTTCGACATCATCTTGTCCTTGTCGGTACCGAACTTCTTCGAGTACCGGGCAGCGAACTGACGGAGGGTGAAGGCCCAGCCGTGGAGACCCGAGGCAAAGGCAACGGTTCCCTTCTCGGGGTAGACCTGCGACTCGCCAAGGACGGGGTCGTTGTACATGGAGATGACGACGTTGACCGACTCGATGGTTCGCGAGAAGGACTGGAAGAGGTCCTCCTTGCCGACCTGGAGCTCGAGGAGAGCACGGTCGACCTTGTTGAGGCAGACGACGGGCTTGATGCGCTCACCGAGAGCCTGACGGAGCACCGTCTCGGTCTGGACACAGACACCCTCGATGCAGTCGACGACGACGAGGGCACCGTCGGTGACACGGAGAGCGGCAGTGACCTCCGACGAGAAGTCGACGTGGCCAGGCGAGTCAATGAGGTTGATCAGGAACTCGTTGCCGTCGGTGGTCTGCTTGATGGCACCAAGCTCTTCCTTGTCCATGGGGAAGTACATGGAGATGGCCGTCGACTTGATGGTGATACCACGCTCCTTTTCGTCGTCACGGGTGTCGGTGTAGCGCATGTCACCGGCCTTGGCCGAGGCAATGATACCGGCCTTGGACACGAGCGAGTCAGTCAGCGTCGACTTGCCGTGGTCGACGTGGGCAATGACGGACATGTTGCGGATGTTGGACCGCTTGTCTGTAACGCCACAGAAGTCAGTTTTCCCTTTCTGAGCGTCGGCTGGTTCACAAGACGCAGAAACTCACCCATCAGGCCTCGGATCTCATCGACCGTGAAAAGAACCCTGTGTGGCGAGGAAAGGGGGAGGTGTGAGTACTCTTTTATCCTTCAAGCGAGCCTCCCTTTCTCCTCGGTCTATAATCTCGACTGTCGCCTGATCGTGCACCGACGCCACCGGGCTTGCGCAGCACTCACATCTTGTCTTAATGTACCGAGGGGGGCAAATGCAGGTGGGACGGACGGAGATTAAGGAAGAGAAGGAAGAGAAAATAGGCACGCTCGATACGACTCCCTGGATCCAGCAGACGGAGAGAGGAGAGAAGAAGGAGGGTGCGAGAGTGTCCTTTCCCTGGAAAGGTTCTCGGACAGGAGGAGCGGTAGGTAAGATGGGTTGGTGAGGGAGGAAGGGCGGTGGTTAGGGCGCGATTTCTGAAATTTTTTTCCTCCTCTCGTCGAGGGCTCCTCTGCCCTTCCTTCTTGTTGCTCGCCTAGCTGGCTTCTGCTTTTCGAACGCCATGTGGCGTGTTAGAAAAAGAAAAAAGCTTACTTTGCCTTAAATCCGCAAGGACGGCTCCGCAGTCAATGATCAGCCCCATCCTCAGATCGTCGATGAAAGCAATTGACATTCTAATAGTGATGATGATGATGATGGTGGTGATAATGAAATTACACACTTCAGCTCTTCTGCTTCCTTGCCTTCCGCTTGCGTCCAATCATGCTGCCGAGCTTGTCCCCAAGCTTGTTGGTGCCCTCGGTCCCCTCTCGCGCGAGCTGCCTTTCCTCCCGCGAAGACGACCTCGGTGCCGCCGCCTTTGGCTTGGTCGCCTGGTTCCAGTTTTCTCTTCGCGGCGCCTTGGTACTCCTTCGACGGCCGTTATCATCGTCGTTGGAGGCGTCATCGCGTCCGCGCTTGGCCGGTCGCATCGAGGACGGCGGAGCATCCTCTTGGAAGGGGCCCTCTCTCCTGCGTCTAGCACCATCGCGCTGACTCTGCGCCCTCTCCTTTCTCTTTCTTGTGATGGTCACGTTCTCAATCGAGAATTCGACAAGAAGCAGGCCGCCTCGCTCGCTCGCCTCGACCTTGGCCCCGGCCTTGAGCTCGGCGTGCCTCTTTTCGACCCGCTTGAGGCGAGCCTCGGTCTCGGCTCGCTCCTCGCCCTTGAGCGCATTGTCGCCTGTCAGCGAGCCCTTCATGCCCTTGACCATCGACTCCAGCTCGTCGATCCAGAACTTCTGCATGAGCTTGGAGACTTCCTTGGAGGCATTTGCCCATCGGACGACCTTGAGGGCGTCGGCAAACGTCCTCATCTCGAGGAACGCGTATCCCCGGCTCCTTCCTTGACCTGTCAGGGGGTCCAGCCGGGTGTCGTTTTGGCGGACAACCTTGCTCTGGATGACGGCGGTCGGCCTCTCGTTTACCTTCTTGGAAGTCTTGCTGCCCAGGGTACCACTCTCCTTGAGCTCGGCCAGCAGCCTCTTCGATTCGGCTTTCTCCTCGGCGCTCAGGTCTTCGCGCTCGCCACGCTTGACCTCTGCGTCAAACTCGCGAGTCGCATACAGAGCGATTCTCTTGAGCGTCTTCTGCGTCGCATACAGGGGCAGCTGTCTCACGCTCAACCGTGTCTTGCTGATGTACAGACCAGGGTTGGACTGCAGCTGGCTCTTTCTCAGTGAGAAGCCCGCCAGCCTCTTTTCTCGCTCCTGCTCTGACAGCTGAGAGGCCAAGGCGGTGCCGGGCAGAGGCACGCCCTCACGCATGAGGTAAGTGTTGCGCTTATCGCCCTTTTCGCGCAGCTTTCGGGCGTTGGTCTCGAGCGCCGTCGCCTCCGTCCGCGCCACGGCCGGCACGACGCTGAGTAGTCGGCCGTGGAGATTGAGCTGGGCGGCCAGGGGGGCGCTCGGATCTGCCGTCAACACCGAGGGCTGGCTGAATGGATTCTGCTTGCCCGCCGCCATCGAGGAGGAGGCGGCGGCAGAAGACCTGAGGCCGGCCTCCTGCTCGACAAGATTGACCTGCCGGAGGGCCTTATCGGCGCTCTCCTTCTGCCAGAAGCAAACGAAGCCAGTGCCCTTTGGCCGCTTCGTCGCCTTGTCCATCGTCACCTTGGCGTAGCGAAGCGGGCCAAAAGAGCGGAAGAGATCGCGTAGCTCAGCCTCGGTGGCCTGGTAAGGCAGGTTGCGGATGAAGAGCGTCGTTCCCTCTTCTGGTTCGGGCAATGCTGGCTTGCTCGCTTCCTCAGCTTCCTCGTCCTCGCTACCCTCTTCTTCCGCATCAGTCTCCCCTTCCTCATCCTCGTCTTCACCCTCGCTCGCCTCCTTTTCCGTCTCCTCTCCATCGGTCTCTTCGGCCTTTTTCTCCCACTCCTTCTTGCTCAGCGCCCAGTCCACCGCCACTGTCCGGGCTGGCTGGGCAACCTTGGCAACGTCCTCGAGTGCCTTTTTGGCCGCTTCTCTTCCGCCCTTTCCCTTTGCCGCTTTGAGCTGAGCCTTCTCTGCCGCGCCGCGACCGATCTCCTTGCCATTGACGCCTGTGATGGCGCGCGAGGCATCGGCGCGCGAGACAAGCCAGACAAAGGCAAAGCCCCGCCCTTGAGGCTTCGATGTCGGGCGTGGCTTTTGCTCAGCCACTTGCTTCTCTGCATCGGCCTCGTCTGACTCGTCATCGTCCTCGTCCTCGACCTCGTCCTCGTCTTCCTCATCGTCCGAGCTGCCAGTGCCGTTCGTGCCATCCGCCATCTCCTCGTCTTCCTCACTCTCGTCCTCGTCGTCCTCGTCGTCCTCGTCGTCCTCGTCGTCCTCGTCATCATCCTCTTCCTCGGATGACTCGTCGCCTTCGTCAGACGATGACTCGTCAGCCTCCTGCTTGACAGCAACTGGCTTTTGAGGCACGTCGACGCTAAAGATGGGGCCGTATGGCAAAAAGACGGCGCGGAGATCCGCATCGGTAATGTCAAAGGGCAGGTTGCGAATAATGAGCCGGCTGCTCTGATTGACGTCCTGGCCCTTGATGCTGCGTTGCAGCGCTGCCCGTTGGTCGGCCTCCTCTGCAATCTTTTGCTGAATGGCCTCGCGCTTGGCCTTTGTCTCAGGCCTCATGTGCGCCTCGAGCCTCGCAGCGCCATCGAGCCTCTTTTTCAGCACGGCGCTGAGCTGGGCACCCTTGAACGTGTGTGCATGCAGCTTCGTCACCGCCGTCATGGCGTGGTTTGGCGTGCGGTAGACGACGTGGGCCACATCGTCGTTTGTCTTGGTTGTTTCGAAGGCGGGCGCGGGGTAGATGACGTTTTCCACATCGCCAATCTTTCTTGTCCGCTTGTACAGCGACTTGCTGTCCGCCTTTGGCTGGCACTTTGCCAGGCCCGTCAGCACAAGTGTCCGGATCGCGTCCGGGTCCTTTGACGTAGTGGGCCGGGCTGGATTCGGCCGCGCCTGGCTTGCGGCTGGCTCGTCCTTGTCAGCGTCGTAGATGTTCAAGCCTCCTGCCTCCTGCGTTCTTGCCGTCGTGCCGCTCGACTCGACCTTGGAGTAGCGCTCCTTTCCCTTGACGCTTGTCGACCATTCGATCCTCATCTTACGTTTGCCCCCATCGAGACTCTTTCCCTGCATCTCGCCGAAGGCCCGCTGTGCATCTTCGGCGATGGCAAAAGTCACATACCCCACACCCTTGGACTTGCCTGACTCCTTGTCCGTGACGACAAAGGCCCTCCGCAGCGGGCCAATGTCCGAAAAGAGCGTCGACAGATCCGTGCTTGTAGCCGAAAAGGGCAGCGACGACACGAAAAGCGTCGCATTCTTCCCCTCCTTTCCCGCCTCGGCAGATGCTGGCTCTGTTGTTGCACCCTTGCTCTCCCTCCCCTTGGCCTCCTGGGCGCCCTTGTCAAAGTACCTCGGCGGCCCCATCGTTGTCTCTGCCCGGCTCTCGCTCTCTTTGGAAAGCCTCGAAAAAAGAAGACTTGCCTGCACTCAACACCGCTCGAAATTTTTCCCTCAAAAATAATTTCTGTGCTTTCTGGGCACGTGATTCGTTTCCCCTCCACCACACAAGCGTCTCTCAGCCCGCTGGTTCCAGGGGGGGGACTGTTGACGGTCCCATAGAACTTGGTCGCCTGTCGCAAGCCTCATTACAGCTGCGCAGCGGAGACCACCTACTGAGATCTGTTATGGACGAAGGAGGATGGGCGATATCGTTATGTAAATGACTCGCAACACCGACGCAGCTTCTCCGACGTGTTATTGATTGTAGGGATGGGCGCACATCACATGAGGGCGGAGATGCGAATGGCCGTCTACAGAATTCCGAAGGATGCTCTTCTCCGGCGCCAGGGACGGGCGGGCAGGCGCTCACCCTCGCCCGGACGAGTCTGCTACGGTCGGCGAAAGAAAGCGTGGAAGGGAATGGCAATTGTGCCAAGAACGACCGTCCATCGCGAGGAGCTCGCGGCCTTGATGTGATGAGCCCCGTCCTTGTCACATTGCACAAGTGTACTTGCAAGGACGTCTTCAGGATTTCCGTACACCAGAAATCCCGCGCAGTCGCGGTCAGACCTCACTACGCAGAACATTCGTAGGAAGAGAGCGGAGTTGTCTTCTTAGAGAGAAGAGAAGAGCCCCGCCCTCGTGAGCCCAGCGACGCGCGGACGGGTGATGAGTGGCACGAAGCAGCCCAGCTTGTGCTTTCTGAGCAAGAGAGCAGCAGATTTGATGCTGAGCTCTGGCTTGCCCTGCCGTCGGATGATGAGAAGGGGTGCACCCAGCGTCGCTCACGTTCCGTCTCCGACACAGTGGGAGGCTTTGTGGTCTGAGGTGTCTTGGCCATTCTCTTCAGTGCGCGGCGCGGTACACATAGGCAGCGCACGGTGCGGTGAAAGCCTTCACCTTGAGGGCTACTCCATTGCTAGCAGTTTCTAGTCTTCAAGAGAGCGCCCGACTAAAGGTCACTGGAAGAGGACATAAAAGGCGGCCTCTTTCGTCCTCCCTCGCTCTCCCTCACCCACAAACTCTCGACTGCCCCTCTACCCAGTCCTCATCCCACGCCAACGTACCTCGCCAAAAGAAAAACTGACTAGAAGCGTCAAGGATGCACTTCTTTTTCAAGCTTGCCGGCGTTCTCCTCGTCGCGTTCGCCGTGAGTTTGAATCGACGGGCATCTGATGCTGCGTATAATCTCGCTGACTGGTGTTGCAACTGTAAAGTTCATGGCTGTCGGCGTTGGCGCATCGCCTGCCATAACCGATCTCAAGAAGCTTGGTGGCAACGGCTTTGGTGGCGACAAAGGTTTAAAGAACATGAAGAACTTTGGACCCCCTTATCAAAACTATGCGTGAGCAACAATATGCCAAAATCTGTGACTGATTTTCTGGATTGTGGCTAACGCAAGAGTCTTGACTACCTCGCCGCAAGCTACGGAATAGTGCTCTATTCTTACACAGACTTCTACAACCGCCGTACTCATACCAATGGTAAGTGCTGAGGAGTCCAAGTCGACCCCATGGGAGCTCTCGCTGACGTTTGTTCTCCTTGAAAGTCGGTTGCTGCAGGAAAGGCAGTCCACTTGACTCGAACCAGCAATTTCGGTCCGGCTACACCTGCTCTGATATCCAGCAGGGCGGGTACCAGTACTGTGGATATCAAGTTAGCGAATACTCGGATAGCTCTCGAATGCTTTTCGTTGATGTGAGTCAAGTTCATTCCTTCTCCCCACCTCGAAAATGTGTAGCGCTGAACCCTGGAATTTGTCTTCCTCAGGCGTGCACAGAGGGTTCAGATCTCTACCCGAGTGATGGCGTATATGCCAAGGACTACTGCCAATCCTTGATCGGTGTGCCCATATCGGGCAGCCCCTCCAGCCTCGGTTCAAAGTCGTCCCCCAACAAGGTTCCCGGTGGCACATCCCATTAAAAGCCGAAGGGAGAGTGCAGGGTCGACCTCGCTCAGATACGAGCATCACGGCCAGCGCTTTCCTCGGCGGGAGACAAGCGAAGCGACGGCATCGAGTCCCTCATACAAGAACGCTCTTCTCTCACACCCCCATCATCCAGCCACCGAACGCCCTCGTTTCTTCTCAGCCTTTTCATATAGCTTCCCAAATATCTTCTCACAAAGACGAAACCTTGTTTCTACTTAAGTCTCACCTTTGAGTCTTCCCCCATAATCCCTCGAAGAAAAGAATGGTGAAAGTTCGAACCATCACTGTTTGTCGTGGCTGTCGATAGTCAGTCGAGAGAAGCTCGGCTTGCTCAGAAGTAACTTTCTCTGGCACGGTGAGAACGCAAAAAGGGACCACTTCAGAAGAGTGAGGGCGGGGCCAGCAAGGACGATCGCACAGAAAGACCACCCAGCATCATTGAATTAATAGACCTCTTAGCACGACCATGTGTGAGAAGGGGAGGGAACAGAAATAGAAGAGGTTTCGTGCGGCTGATTTTCTTCAAGCAGCACTCTCGGGGACCAGTACAATGTTGTACTTGAGCTCCGTGTCGGTGTCGACGCCGGGCGTGAACGGCTTGTTGAAGTCGACGACGAGGCTCTCTTTTGTGGCAAAGACTGCGTCGGCGGCCATGTATTTGCATTGCTTGTCAAAGATCTGGTGCGCGAGCAGCTTCGCGGTCAGCACGAGGGTGACAGCCAAGATCAGAAATGAGAACGAACCTGAGTGATGAGGGTCTTGTAGCCCGGTGCGCGCACGTAGAAGTGGATGTGGGCGGGGCGCATTGCAGTGCGGTCGAGGGCCTTGAGGATATCGCCGGCACCCGAGTCGACGGGGACGGGGTAGGGGGTGGGTCGGAGGGCCTTGAAGGCGAATGAACCGTCGTCCGCAGATGTGAAGAGGCCGCGGTTGTTGTAGGGCGACTGCTGCTCGTCCTGCGAGTCGTAATAGCCTGGTTTCATATTCCGTCAACGCAATGTCAGCAGGGTGCGCATCTCCTCTTCTTGCCTTGGCACTCACCATTGGGCGCAGTGTGCCACACGTCCATCTTGGCGCCCGCGATGGGCTTGCCGTTGAGGTCAGTCACGATGCCGTGCACATAGGTTGTCTCGCCCTTGTTGCCCTCCTTGTCCGTCAAGTGGTGGTCCTGGACAATGTCGCTCCCGTTCTTGTACTCGGGCGCATTCTCGCGGTAGAAGGGGCCCAAGATGGCGCTGTCCGTCGACTTGATGGCGGCCTTGTTGCCCGACTTGGCCGCGGCGCGCTCGGCCCGCTCGTGGGCCATGGTGTCGAGAAGGGACTCGAGGCCAAGACTGGTGCGAGTGTTCCATGCCCGTCGTCAGCGGAATGGCAAGAAAAGTTGACAGGCAAGAGCTAAGCAACTTACACATCGCTGATGAGGATCATTTCGTTGCGCTTGTCGCTCGAGTCTTGTCCACTCTTGATGAGCTGGCATGTGGGTGGAGGCAACAGGGATGAATTTGAGGTCGAATCAAGAAGAAGCCCGTGCAGCACTCACGACATTGCAAGCCATGAGCCACTCGTCGATGGTGAGGTCGACCTCAGTGGCAAACTCGAAGAGGTGCTTGATGAGGCTGTCAATGATGACCTTGGCCCTAGGGTTGGCTGTGGGGATGCGCCGCTGGCTTCAGCTCTTGCGGCACCTGGGCAAGGATCGCCCTCCACTCTCCTCCTCGCTCATCACTCACCCTTGGAGCCCGAGACATCCTGGCAAGCCTTGATGTAGGTGGCAAGAGAAGCAGCAGTGCTGCTTCCAGTGGCTCCGTTGGTGTCGACAGACGGCATTGTCGTGTTCTGGAGATGGAGGTAGTTGAGAAGGAAGAGATAGCGCGCACAGCGTTGTCAATGTCGAGCCAATCCGCCGAAAGCTTCGCTGCCCCCCCACAAATGAGCTTTAAAAAAATAAAGTCGGACCGGAGGGCTAGCTGTGCATTAGTAATAGCGCCCGTCCGCCCGCCCGCGCTCGCGTCCCGTTCCGGACAAAGTCCGGGCGACGCTGTTGCTCGCGCGCGCCCGTCGATCTCCCTGCCGTCTTGTTTCTCTCTCTTGCAGGGCAGGGTCAACGGAGCAGATCCGTGTCGCCCACTTGCCTATCTGTATGCTCGTCGACTCTTCTCCGGATTACGTGCATTCACTTGACTCAGCACACTCATTGGGCTGACACTGATGCGACGGCGCGAGCGATCCTTGTCACTGCGCACATAAGTACTAGCAACGGTTCGCGGATCATGAGAACCGCAAGAGCTTTACGAATGAGAAGATTTCTTCCTTCGTGCTTGGAGATTTCTCTTTCTCTGTTCTTGCTACCAGATACGACGGCTACCCCAAATGACGTATTGGACCGTGTCGCAGTCAGCTTGGCGTGGTTGCGCCCACCATTAAAGATGTGGCTTGATGAATGCCTTGCAACATAATGCTCGGAGGCAGTAATCTTTGCGTCTTTCCATTGACGCCCTTTCGCTACGGCTGCGATCCCTCATATCGAATCTCCCAATGAAGACAAACCAGCAATTGCTGCCGGGTGACCTTCCACCACCGTCTCTCTCTCTGTCGCTCTCCTGGCGAGATTTTTCTTGCACTCCGGGGTGCTCGCCTCTGCAAATGTCTTCTAACGCAGATCTAGCAATGTGCGGATCGCTGGCTCGCTCCTCAGTAGCGCCGAACTATCGTCAAGACCTGAGGGCGGCGTTGAATCTGGCGCGAAGTCAACCCTGCAGGAACTTGGCTTTAGGTCCGCCTCGTGGGATTGTCCATTCACCACTTCTGCATGCCTTTCCCTGTGAAACATGCCAACGCTCTCAACAGAGCAAACATGGCTCACCGATACGCCAAGGATGCGCCACAGATCCAAGGCAGTGTGGCTCGCCTGCACGTGAGTGGGTAGATGCACATTTCGGGACCACCAATATGGACCACCGTTCTTGGAATCGACTGAATATTCGAATTGCTTTCGAAGGGTCGACTATCACTCACTGCAATCCACTACTCTAGCTCCTACCGATCTGGCAGTTGTCAGACGATGAAGTTAATGTACTGTATATGTGCTCAAGGGGGGGAAAAGGGGTGTGACAGAGGCCCCCATTTCAAAAATAAATCGCTTGTTACTGTTTTGAGCGGAAGGTGGGAACGAGCTTTCCTTCTGGCGTTGGGCCAGACTCGAAAAATTCACTCGGCATGTTTTCATTTTAAGATTCCTGTGGTTCCTGCCTCAAAGACTCTTCCGTGAATTTCCTTCTTTCTACTCCTTCTGGCGCAGGAGCGGCTTTCCTATACAACATCGGAGAGATCGGCCGTCAATCTTTTGTACAGCCCCTGCTTTTGTTGTACCTAGACAGGCTTGATTGCAATAACTCATCAATACAGCAACGGCTTGTGACCTGCCTCCCTACTTTACCGCCCTTTTGGATACGGCATCCCGTGGCGGAAGCATTGCCCAAATTCATCATGCAAAGCCCCCTCCCTCATTCGGGATATTCATTATTGTGTTAGTCTTCAGTAGTACGGCGCCTACTAGTAAATTTTCGAAGTAGTGGTTGTAGTGGTGTAGTACTATCAATCAATAAAGGCATCGTCTACCTCCCTCTCTTTCTCTCTTCACCATCACTTCTCCCTCTTCTCTCCCCATTCTTCTTTCCCCCCTTCCCCTTCCAACTGACGGAATCGACAACCACGCTCTTTCGACCGTAACTACACACCCACTCTCATTTCAGGACAATGTTCAAGCAAGTCGCGCTCCTCACCCTTCTGGCCCTCGGTGCCGTCAAGGCCGACTACGACCCCGCTCACCTGCCCGCCAAGACCGACTCGGCGCACGGCCAGTCCGGCTACAACGACTGTGTCTCGCGCTACGGTGCCTCCTCGTCCACGGCCAAGTGCCAGAACATCTTCCTCAACTCGATCAAGGACTTCTGCCTCTTTGCTCCCCCCACCACCGATGTTCGTTTCGATCTTGTCTCAGTCTAAGACTGAAGCGTACCTTCCCTCCATAGCCCATGACTGAACTTCTCTTCTATCGCCCACTTCACAGTCGATTGGCAACTCTGAGGAGCACGAGGTTGCCTACTGCATGAAGAGCGGCTACGGAACGCGTCTCATCCCCGACGGCACCATCACCGGCGCCCACTTCCTCAAGACGCCCTCCTACGTCCAGATCACCGGTGTCGGCAAGCTCACCAAGCTCAACATCGCCAAGGGTGACGAGGGCGGTGAGCTCGACCCCCACGGCGCCACCGGTGCCGGAAACCCAATCGGCGGTCTCGTCTTTACGCGCGCGTTCACCGGTAACTTCCAGCAGATTCACGAATGGCAGAATTTCATGTCGGCCTCCGAGTTCTGCTTCCGTGGATGCATCGGTACTTACGCAAAGGAGTGGTGCCCTCACGCAAGTTTTTTTTTCATGTCTGTTGTGTATGACTGAGGAGCGATGCTGACGGTGGTTGTCCACAGATCTACGATGTGATGGGCTGCTACTGGAACGAACCGGCAAACTACAACAAGGGCCAGTTCGAGCAGTGCGACGGCACGGAAGGCCAGTGGCCCGGCGTCTACTCGGGAAGCACGTTCTACCAGGGCCAGAAGCACACGCCTGCCGCGCAGGCTCCCGGCTCGTCGAGCAACTGCCGCCAGTACGCGTCGATCAGCAACGGCCCCGCCGCCAAGACGCCGTCGAAGCGCCAGGTGATGGCTACCCAGGTTGCCGCCCGTGACTTTGACTTCGACATGTAGAGGCTCAATCACAGCCGTCACACGGACACTTCCTGTCATAGTCTTCTTTTCTCTGCCCCCTCTCCCTTTAGGTGAACCGCTTACCTTGCATCCCCGTCATCATTTTATGGGAGCTTGCTTGCTCGTGCATGGTCAATTCAGCCAACTTTACAATTCAACTTCTTTCTCCATTATTTGTCGTAGCTCTGATCACTGCTGGTGGTTTTTTTTGGCTGCGAAGAGAAGGCTTTGGGGGACAAATTGTCGCCTCGAGTCGTCAGAATTTGTGCTTGCGAGCGAGTCGAAGACGCGACATCAGGCCACGGGTGCACATACGCTCAGGAAGCCCGACGCCACACCATCTGGCGACTCTGGGAACTCCACACCCGCCTTTATTTAATCTTTCGATTCGTCGGTTTCTCGGCTTTCTTGGCTCTGCGCATCAAGGAACATCACTCAGTGTCTGCATGGGAGGAGCGCTTCCACCCCTTCGGAAATCCTTGGCGGTAGGCTTTGGGCAACAGTCCAGCTGAATTAGCATCAGACAATGGCTCGAGGCCGCTAGCTGCCTGCGCTCGACGGCAGTGAGGAGAGAGAACCCTATAAAGATTTGACGGCTTGTGTGAAGGGGCCCCCGCTCCGCTCGCTCCTTTTCACCATCCTCGTTTGTGACGCTGGCGCTTGAGGAGAGAGACGAAACAGGCATGAGGTCCGCGCTGTTCCTTGCTCTCGTCGTTGTTGCCTTGGCGGCTTCGGCGTCGTTGGCGGCCGTCGAAAAGATCACACGCAACGGCAAGTTCCTCGTCAAGCCCGACGGGACCCGCTTCTACATCAAGGGCCTCGCTTACCAGGAGTCGCTTCCGACGGCCGAGCAGACGCCCGAGAGCCTCGGCCAGGGCGGCTACCCGGAGCCGACCAACTACGTAGACCCGCTGGCGCAGCCAGATGCGTGCAGCCGCGACGTCAAGCTTATGCAGGACCTGGGCATCAATACCATCCGTGTCTATAGCGTGAACAGCTCGCTGAACCACGATGGATGCATGAAGACATTTGACGACGCCGGCATCTACGTCGTCATTGACCTCGGACTTCCGGGCCAAGGGAGCATCAACCGCGCCGCACCGACGTGGGATGCGGGCCTGCTTCGGCAGTACCTGCTGACGGCTGAGGCCTTTTGGAACTACCCCAACACGCTGGCGCTGGGCGTCGCAAACGAGGTCGTGACGCAGAACAACAACACCGACGCACTGCCTTTTGTCAGGGCTGCTGCACGCGACGTCAAGGCTTTTCTCCGTGCCAATGGCAAATCGGACCTGCTGCTCACCTACAGCGCCGCAGACGCGCCTTCGGGGCCAACGGGCAGGAGGACGCTGCTGGCCGAGTACCTCGCCTGTGGCTCTGCCGACGAGCGCGTCGACATCCTGGGCATCAACTCGTACAGCTGGATTGGCCAGTCCTCTTTCCAGGCCGCAGGGTACCAGACGCTGGTTGACGACTTCGCGAGCCTCCCGATCCCCGTCTACTTTTCCGAGTTTGGAGGTGTGCCGGGCAATGACCCAGACGCGAGACCGTGGACAGAGGTGGGGTCCATCTACTCGCCACCCCTCTCCAATGTGCTGTCTGGAGGCGTCGCATTCACCTACTTCCCCAAAGACCCTTCATCGGAGGGCAAGGACTACTCGCTGACGACCATGGACGGGAACAACATCACACCCCGGCCCAGCTTCCAGGCGCTCAAAACGCAACTCGGCGCCGCCAACCCGCCCACGTCGCTGGCCAACAATACCGGTGGCTCGTCGACAATCGACTGCCCAGCGCAGTCGGACGCCTTTCTGGCCTCGACGACGCTGCCGCCCACGCCCGACGACGCCCTTTGCGCCTGCGGCCTGGCGAACGTCTTTTCGTGCGTGGCTAACCAGAGAGCTCAGTCGTCTCCCGACATCATTGGCACGCTTCTCGACTATACATGCAGCGCCCTGGGCGAGCTCGGCCAGAATTGCTCGGGAGTCGAGGCAAGCGGCACGACGGGCACCTACGGGACCTGGTCCTCTTGCAACGCCGCACAGCGGCTCGACTGGGCCATGTCGCAGTTTTACGATGCCAACAACCGGCAAGCAGAGGTGAGCTCGTAGAAGTGTCTATTCCTTCACCGAAAGACTCGGGTCCAGCTGACCACAGACGATATCAGGCGTGCAGCTTTAGTGGCAACGCAACGTCCAACACAAACATCACGACGGTGCAAGCAGCCAGGAGCGGCCAGGAGCAGTGCCTGCGCGATAACCCCGTCGGCGTCCGCACGCCTACGCTCAATGCGGGCACCGGCAATGGCAGTACCGGCCGCGGTGGCGAGGCGGGAGGGAGCACCAACGCCCAGGGTGACAACAGCGCTGCCCATCACTCATTCCAGCTGGTCGCACTCCTCGCCTTGACAGTCTGCTCGACGGTTCTTATCGCGCTTGTCCTCTGAGAAAGAACAACACCATCTATCGCTCCATCTGCCGCGGGTTCCGAGCCCGATTAGACCTTTTATTTTTTTTCCCTCTCCCGGATAATTCATTCAGTAGGTTGATCTTTGCCTGTAGCCATATCATGCATGCGGTCTCTTGCTCTTCCGTTCGCTTCTCTCTAGAGACGGAGAAGAGACCAGCTGATCCAGAGCCCCGGGAGAGACAAGAGAAAGATCTAGCGAAAGCTAGGCAGAAGGTCTTGCCATGGGGAGACGGGTCACCGGGGCGGGATCCGGGAGGGGCAAAGGCGGGGAGGGTTCGCGTGCGCGAGCGCGCGCCACAATTTGTTCCACTTCTTTGACACGAGCTCGACTTTAGCTGACTGGGCCCCTTCGCGTCCTGTTCCGGCGGGGCAAGCAACGACGACAAAGGGACGCACCATCGAGCCGTTTCACGTTCTCTCAGATGAACAACCCCGAGCCCTGGTCATTGCAGACCCTGACAAATGGGTCTCATAAGTTCTTCTAAAGTCGTGGGCTTAGGGGAATAGGAGCACTCTATGCGCCATCCTGACGGCGTCGCCCCTGTGATAATGTAGTGATGAGATCTGAAATCGGTCTCGATCGTCAAAGCAAAAACAACAAGAGGAATGGAAAGAATAGAAAAAAATAATGGCGTGATTGTATTGCTTTGTTGCCCTACTTACACTGGGTGGGTCCATGGAAATTCTTGTAGCAATATCCGAGGCGGGCACTATTGAAATTTTTTGGGGAGTGGTTTAAAATGTCGTCAGCGGTTCAACCTGAGAACTTTTGGAGTGGCCAAAGGCGAGAGAAAGAGAGAGACACACTGCTCCTACTCGTGTGGTATCGCCTGCCCTCTTACCTCTCTCGACGACGTCCACCGCCATTCTCACTCCCTTCCGCTGCCAAGAGGGCAAGAGCGAGGGCAAGGCATCGACATCGAGACGGAGAAGGAAATCGAGCGGTCCAGGGAAAGAGAGCATAGCCATACGATGGAGCCGTCATCATCGTCAGCATAGCCACACACACACACTCTACCACCCTCTCCTTTCTCCCCACTTGCACGCTCGCGACTGGTGCGAGCGACCTCTTTCTTTCTCCTCTCATATTCGTCTATTGCAGAGTCTATGATCTAGTCGACTAGATCAAAACCCCTTTCTACCCACCAAACTCCGATCAATTCGCAATGATCAGCCCGCAGGCTCAGAACGCTATTGGCGCGCCACTGCAGGCAGACGACAGCGCCGTCGCCTCGCCTGACGATCCGCCCGATCATGGTCGACCTCCTCGAGGTTCGGTGGCAGCAGCTGCAGCTGCACACGCCGACGCGAGGAGGTCGCCTGTATCCTTTGCCAGGAGTGGCTACCCGCATGCATACAGCAGCCATGGCTTCAGCAGGAGCTGGACGAGCGCGTCGTCGTCCATGTCTGATCAGCCACAGCGCCGACCGAGCCTCGAGTTGACGGTGCCGGTGCCCGCGTCGCCCAGTGTCGCCGACAGCCAGTCGGATTTTGAGCACGAGCACGAGCTTGATAGTCCGAGCTCACTCTCGAGCTGGAACTCGTATGTCGGCGGACGTCGTGGCGACCTGGCCGACGTCGAGGACCTCGAACTCGACGGTGGACCTGGCTGTGAGCCCGAGCTCGAGACCGTCAGCGAGCTCGACGAAGAGAGCAGCAGCTTCGCCAGCGGTAGCGATCGTCCCTTTCCGGACTCTGAAGACGACGACCATCTCCACCATCACCACAATGGTCAGAGTCACAATCACCAGCAGCAGCAACAGCAGCAGCGACTTCACTACTCTTCCACGCCATCGCCTCGGCGAAAGGTGCAGGCTGCGCCACCGCCACCGACGTACCCGCACTTTTCGCCCAGGGCAGGCGGACACGGCCTCTCGCACGCCTCGCGATATACCCTCCGTGCGCCACCGAACCTGGCGGCGAGGAGGAAGAAGGGCAGGATCGCAGAGCTGGCCGACGAGTCGGGGCCCAACGATCCTTCGTCATTCGCTCCTACCGAAATGCCCAGCAGCGCGGTCGGCAAGGTGGAAAAGGCAAAGGTTAAGCGAACGCCAAGCCAGACGTCCAAGACCTCGCCGGCTCGCATCGTCAAGGACCAAGGCTCAGACCCGCTAGCGGAGCAAGATGCGAAGCAGCAGCAGCAGACGCATACAATGGCGCCTTCTCAGCCGGAAGCGCAGGGCAGCGGCAAGGACGAGCCAGGCACGCCCAAGCCCCACTCCTGTGCCTCGTCCTCCTGGAGCGAGTTCGAATTCGTCGGACCACCACCCATGCCTGCTCGCTGCGTCAGCCCCAGCGAAACGGTTCCCGCCGTGCCCAGCCCCCTGTCCGTCTGCCTCAACTCTGCAGATGAAGGCGAACAAACGGCGGTGGCCAACCAGGCATCGTCCAATGGCAACATCGAGACGGAGACGTCCGCTGCAGACGAGACGGTGACAATCGACAAAGAGAGCAACTCGCCCTCTGTCTTGCAAAAGTCGACTGATGCCACTGTGGCTCTCGGCAAAGACAACGCGACGCCTTCTTCCTCTTCCTCGCCACCGGCGTCCCCAGTGCTGGCTCGCAAGCCATCGCGCAGTCGACGCTCTTCGTCGCCCACACGGAGCAAGCCGAAGATGCCGCTCCGACCATGCTTCCGTCGTCGCGCCTCTGCCCGTCCGGCCGACACTGACTCGGGGCTTTCCTCCAAGCGAGAATCGTCTTCGGAGCGCGAGTCATCGGGCCGCGGCAGGGCCAACAAGGTGCGCTTCTCTGTCGCTCCACCGCAGGAGGTCCGCACCCACAGCCCAGTCGAATATGACCGTAAGGCATGCCCGATTAGCAACCGGCTCAGCCCTGAAGACGTCGAGGAGCTGCGCAACATGAAGATGGAAATGGGCCTTCTCGAAGCAAAGTGGGCCGCCATGTCGGCTTGCAAGGACAATAGCGAACACGGCACTGACGGCGAGGAGTCGGACTCATCGTGCCCGTCCACGACATGGGACCCTCGCAAGTGGAAGGCGGACAAGAAGGGCGCAATTCCCTCTTCGGCATCCGCGCCATCGACGCCATTCCGCGATGAAGACGACTCGAGCAACAGGCTTTCGTCGCCGTCAGATCCTCACCGTAAGCGCGCCGACTCGATTGCGTCGGAATCTCCCTCAAGCATGTGTGGCAGCCGATTTGCAGAGAGGGATAGCGCGCTATTGGGCCCGGGAGGACGACTAGCATCGAGGGCTGCCATGTCACCGTCGGAGCACCTGCGTATGGAGCGAGAAAAGGAGCGCGAGAGGGCGTGCCGACTCGCAGGCATCGGGACGGGCGTAGGCTTCCGCTATTCGGGCGGCCAGAGCTCGGCAAGGCAGATGCATCACGGTGGAATGGCACCGCTCGGGTGCCAATCCTCGCTCATCAGCAGGTTTGGGCTGAGCAAGCCACCGCCTCCTCTGCCGGGCACACCGCCCACCTCGATGAGGAGCAGCCCTTGCTCTGGACCGAGCAGTCCCCACGATTATCGAAGTATCGAGGAGCAAGAGCAGCAGACAGAGGCAAGAGGACGTTCGCAGAGCCCTGGCACGAGCCAGAGCCCCGCGAGGAGCGTGTCAGCGCCTCCTGTGCGCGGAAGACCAGGCACCCAAATCCAGAAGGAGGAGGAAGTCGCCGAGCAAGACGACGGCGACGACGACGAACAGCCTCGTGGACGGTCACTCGAGCTTCGGAAGGGGCCACGACCCACGAATGACTCGACTTCGACGGACGCGACCGTCACCCAAGACTCTTCGTCGCCATCCTCGTCAAGATCCGTCTCGACAATCCCGTCGCTGACGCATACAAGTCCCAGCCCCGATCGGAGCTCGGCGTCTTCGTCCCCTACGCGCCGTGGAGGTACAGCCTCGTTTCTGTCGACATATTCGCCTCCCAAGCCAAAGGAGCCGGCGCAGGTCCACGCGCCATACCCGACCCGCCCGTCCCTTCCACCATCCAAGGTGTCGCCACTGCTCTACAAGCAGGTTCCGCCAACGCCTGCTCCTCTGCCAGTGCCGTCCTCTTGCGGCTCTTCTGCCCCTTTCTGCGGAGGAGGAGGATGTGGTGGCTACGACAGTCCTGCGAGCGAGTTCTACGAGTCTGGCAGCGAATACGACCTCATCGGTTGACTGCACCTTTCCCATTTCCCACTTTCTCAGCATCAAGCATTGACAATTTCTCGATACTTTTCCTTCTCTTGATACACCCGTTTCTTTCTCAACATCACACACCTTTTGGGCATTTTGTTACAGTACTCTACTTCTCCCGTCATCTTTTCTGCAGCTTTCAGTCTCCTCTTTGGCCTTCCTTTTTCATTCCCGCTTGTCTCGTCCTTGTAATCAATTTCCGACATCCAGAGCATCACTTTTACTTTCTCCTCGCAAATACGAGCCCATGCACAACTTTTCCTTTTTTTGTTCGCCGTCTTCTTCTTCGTCGAAAGCAAGAGGGGCTACTCGTGTGTGATTTGTGCTTTACGGTAAGATGATGAGGGAATCACAGGTATTGTACTGTACAGATGAAGAGACGAGGCACGATGAATATGCGTCGGAGAATGAGTGTTTGAATGATTGAATGAGTGAGCGTGCGTGCGTTCAATGGCGCTCGTGCCGAAAGGGGCAATCGTCCTTGATGCAGCTGAAACAGAGGCAGATCAAAAGAGGGTCAAAAGAGTGTGAGAAAGAGTGGGAGAAAAAGGAAACAAAAGAAGTAGAGAGCATAGACTCACCCCTTGGGACCATTGAAAAAGAAACAGATCTTGTCGGACTTTTTCTTGCCGACTCTTTTGCCGGCACCCTGCCCAGGCCGCTGTGCGTGGCTTGCTGAGCTTGCGGGCGCGAGTGGCCGCGGCATCGGTCGCTGCTGAGGCTGGTATGTTGAGTGCTGCTGGGAATTATTATGCTGTTGCTGTCGCATCGTAAATCTGTTCTGAGCACCAAGATCCGCTTTATTTGATCCCGTCTTCCTTGGTGCTGCAGAAAAAGTATTCTTTGACGACGGTTGCAACGTCGATGGCGGCCGAGGAGGTCCAGATGGGTACCAAGGCCTGGAAGACTCAGACGAGGATGGAACCGATCCCCCCGCAGCGACAGGCCTGTATGACGCCTGGGGCGACCGTTGCTGCGCGGCCGTCGATGGCCATTTGCTGCCTCCTTGCTGCTGGTTCGGAGTTGGACCAGGCATACCTTTCGGCGCAGGCAAAAAGTGGGGAGGCTGCACAGAGACATGGTATGCAGACGATCCTTGCCATGGTTGGCTCATCGGCACAGCGTGGTCATACACTTGACTAAATTCGTTCCCGACACTAGGCCATTGGGGATAGTACGTTTCATGTTGCTGTCTTTGAGCGGTGGTGTGATAGACCGGCGGAGGAAAGTGGAGCGCGTTGCCGCCCTGCTGTTGCCACACTTGAGCTTCTGGTTGATAGGGAGCAGGCACTTGATGCAGAAAGTCATGCTCGGCTTGCTGCTGCTGTTGTTGCGGTGGCGGCAGCTCCTCCTGACCGAAGGGCTCAAAAGGGTCAAATAGAGTATAGGTGTCCCTGCGAAGATTGCTAGGAAGAAAGTCTACGGTGGAGAGAGCCTCAGTCGGCTCTTCCTCCACGACATCACCCAAGCTCTCGTCTCCGTTGTCCGGCAAGGAGGGAAAGGACGAGGGAAACCCCGCCTCCTCCGCCAGAGCACGGTCCGTCGACTCAGACCCAGGCTCAGCAAGCATGAATAGCTGCGCGTCGCTCAGCCAGACTTTCCGCGGCGGGTACCACGGTATGGTCTGCTTCTGTCCACATCGGGTCGCGACACCGCGCTTCATCTCGTGCTCGAACTTTTCTTGTTCTTCCGCCGCCACGGTCGCCTCTTCCTCCTCTTGCTTTTCCAACCGTTCATCCTCGAGCTCTTCCTCGAGAAGCTTGTCGCGGTCCACCTTCTTTTCCCTATCAATCTTGAGCGCCTTCCAACGCTCCTCGGGGTCTTGTTGTCCATCCACTCGGCTGCCCGCAGCAATGCGCTTGTCCTCAACCTCGCCTGGCTGCAGCTCGTACAACCTCGTCTCGACCAAGTCTTCGTCTGACTTGAAGCGCACCGATCGCTTGAGGCGTTTGTTCGGACCTGCAAACATGTCCTTGCCACTTGCACCCGCTTGATTCGCCGACGAAGCCTTGCCTTGCAGTGAGCCCCCCGAGCCCGACAGGAGCTGCTCGTACATGGACACGGTAGACGGAGCGCTCCTCCTCCGCTTCTGGCCCGCAAGACTTGGCGGTGGAGCCAGCCCCGCTGTCAGCTTCTTACTCGCGAGGCTGTTACGACGCAGCGGCTGTGACTGGCCAGCGACGGTGGCAGTGTTGGCAGTCACCATCGGAGTATTGGCCATCGTTGGGGTGACTGGCGAGACAGGAGCTGTCGTGCAAGTCGACGCCGTGCCGATCGAGGAGGTAGGCGAGACCTCTGGTGTTGGCATGTCGACACTGAGTGAGGGCAACGGCGGTGTCGTCGGCGAAGCGGAGCCTCTTCCAGCATCTCGTGGCGGAAGTTCGACCGCCAGGGCAGAATTGCGAGCCTTGCCACCAGCATCCTTTTCGTTTGCCTCGCTATTTGGGGCGGGCGCAGGCGAAGGGGTCTCTTCTATCCCCAAACCGACATGACCCGTCTTGGGTTCGACTTCGTTTGGGCCGTGCTGCAGCTCCATGTCCACCTCATCGGGCTCGATTATTATTGGACACGCCGCATCGCCCAGCTGCCCGGGCGACGCAATAGGGTATGCGATTGGTGGCGAAGACGGCGGCACGGAGCCCATCAACGTCGCCGCCACCGGCCTGCTTCCCAGCATGCTATCGTGCAGCAGCCAACCGAAGCCTTTTTCTTCTGGCTATCGTCGCTCTATGAAAAGGAGAAGTCTAAATAGCTTGCTCCCTGGTCCTCTTTGCTCCTCTGCCGCTGGCTCAGAGAGAAAGCTCTGTACATCTGAAAGGCGACGAGGAGTCTACAGGACCGAGACGTGCGCAGTGCAAAAGAAAATGAAAGGGTCTTATCCTGGGAAAATGCTCTTGTCTGGTCCGTCTGTTGATGGTGTTGGTGTTGATGAGGTTGCGACCCCGCCCTCCGTCAATTAGACCTAAGGCGGACACAAATAATTTGGAGCGGACAAAGGGGAGGACACTCTAAAAAGCAGTCACGTGTTTAATTTTTCCCTTTCTGGGTTCGGTCGTCCTCGCCAACTCTTTCTTCTCAGTCATCAGGCTAGACACACCCAAAGCGCGCGATCGGATATGGGTGAGTGACTGGCCTAACAGAGCGGCACAGAGTACGAGGCTGACTATAGACGCAAAAGCAGCGCTCCGGCTTCCGGTATCCTGCCTCAAGGGCAAAGCAAGGGCAACGGGCATCGAAGCCCTTTCACTGTCCCTAGCTCCGACACGGCGGTCCATCTCTTCGACGGTGTCTTCCAAGGGCCCTTCGTCATCGCCTTCGTCTTCCTCCTCTTCTTCCACAGCAAGCGCGTCGACTGTAACTCCTCCGCCTCCATCTGCGGCTGTGGCAGCCCCGCCCGCGCTGGTCGAGTCGACCTCGTCGGCCCTGGACCTCCTCCGCAGCCAGCCGAACCACTACATTGTCGCCTCGATCGCCGGCCGCACGCTCCTCATGCACCCCAACGACCTCGTCACGCTCCCCCGCCTCAACGACGTTCAGGTCGGAGACGTGCTCGAGCTCGACCGCATCCACGAGGTCGGCTCGCGCGACTACACGCTCCGCGCCATGGACCCCCTCGACACGCGGTCTCGGGGTGCCGTGGGCCTCATGCGCCGGCAGGTTGGCTCTGACTCGGCCATTGTCCGTGCGCTTCAGTCCGTCGGCGCTGATGTTGACTCGCTCAAAATGTCGTCATCGTGGGCCGCCAAGCTGGCGCCCTCGGGCTTGGCCCACGTCGGTGCCACGCTAGACCCGGCCACCGTCCGGGCCAGGGCCGTCGTGGTGGAGCACACAAAGGGCCGCATGGAGCACATTGTGAAAAAGAAGCGCAGAAAGGGCTACCGAAAGACAATCAAGCACAAGCAGACGTACACCCGCCTCCGAATCGAGGGCATCCAGCTCGGTTCTTAGATCGGTCCGTGTTCCTGTTGTACAATAGTCCTATCTCTACACTGTTGAATAAAACAAGAAAGGGGAAAGAGAAGGAACAGTCACTTGAAAACGGCAATGAGAAAGACGAGGATGACGATGAGGACAAAGATCGTCCACGTTGAGGCTGCAGTCACGGGTCAGCATTTATTGATCTATCCCATCGAAAGGGAAAGTGGCCTCCTCACCGTGCTCCTTCATGTTTTTCGTCAGCTTGTCCATGCGCCTGCTTGCACGGCCGAGCATGGCCGTGGTGCCCTCGACGTCTCTGTCAAAGTCATCGAGGAGGCCGGACTGCGTGCCGAGCTCTTCGTTCATCTGCAGCGACAGGTGGTGCTGCCTGCCGATGCTGGCAGACAGCGCATCGAGCTGTGTATCCTGCCCGTCCATCTGGGCCCGCTGCGAGGCCATCACATCTGCCGTCGAGAATGCCTCTGCCTCTTCGGGTCCAGACGGGGGCTCGTCCCGATAGGGCTTGACGTCAGGGTAGACCCCTGTCCGTTCCTCATCTTCGTCCAGCTCAGCCGCCGCGTTCGCTTCTGGCGGTCTAAAGAGAGCCGGGTGGCTTTGGTAGAAGAAACGTCAAATCGTGAGCAGCCGAGAGGGAGAGGAGAGAAAGCAGCTTCTGGCTCGGTAAGGAAGCACACCCACCTCTGCTTGACGCCATCCAGAAGTCCTCTCGACCTCTCGTCGGACTCCAGCATGGCACACACCCTGCTCCACGCCCCATCGATCTCCGCCAGCTCGTCCTCCTTGATCCTGACCTCCTCCAAGCCGACTTTCCCCCGTCTGGCCTCGGCCTCGAGGCGCCTGAGCTCGTCGCGGTGCGCCGTCAGCCCGACGGCGAGCGTCGAGAGATTCCTCGTAATCGTCCGCGACAGCGACGGGCTGGGCTGCGAGACGAGGCTCAGGGAGCGGACGAGCTCATGGGAGGTGGAGAGCGTCGAGTTGAACAGCGAGAGCAGCCGCGCGAGCGGTGGAACGCCTGCTGCCGTCATAGTCGTCGTTGCAGACACACACACAACACTCAGTCGTGCCTGTGGAGACTGGCCAATCGAGCGCCGGCCCATTGCTATTATTCAGACCACGTGGCTAAAACCCAGGCCGGGGAGAAGCGTTTGAAAAAATTAAGGGCTAGGTCTCTCTTTGTTTCTTCTTCTCGCGCTGACTTGGACAGGACCGACACACCGCCGGAGGGGAAAAAGGAAAACATGCTTGCGACTCTGGCCCAGCGGGGGGCAACCTCGCGGGCACCGCTGTCGGCCATGCCCAAGCGGACGCTGGCGACGGCTGCTCCACCGACGTTTCACCCGTCTCGCCTTCCTCCCTACCCGCGCCTCCTGGCCCAGCTCGACGAGGTGCGCGGACTCCTCGACCGGCCGCTGACACTGGCGGAAAAGATTCTCTACACGCACCTGCGCTCGCCCCAGGAGACGCTCGCCGATGCTGGGCGGGACCCGTCCAAGATCCGCGGCAAGCTCTATTTGCCGCTCAGCGTCGATCGGCTCGCGATGCAGGACGCCTCGGCGCAGATGGCCCTGCTCCAGTTCATGACCTGTGGCCTCGACCGGACCGCCGTGCCGAGCAGCGTGCACTGCGACCATCTGATTCAGGCCTTTGAGGGCGCCGAGGCGGACCTGCAGCGCTCCGTGGCGTCCAACAAGGAGGTCTTTGACTTTCTCGAGTCGGCCAGCAAGAAGTACGGCATCGAGTTCTGGGGCCCTGGCAGTGGCATCATCCACCAGATCGTCCTCGAGAACTACGCAGCGCCGGGCCTGCTCATGCTGGGCACCGACTCGCACACACCCAACGCCTCTGGTCTCGGCTGTCTCGCCATCGGTGTCGGTGGTGCCGATGCCGTCGATGCCATGACAAACACGCCGTGGGAGCTCATGGCCCCTCGCATCCTCTCGGTCCATCTCAAGGGCAGGCTGAGCCCATGGTGCACGCCCAAGGATGTTATTCTCCACCTCGCCGGTCTGCTCACCGTGCGGGGTGGCACGGGCAAGATCATCGAGTACTCTGGCCCTGGCCTGGCCTCGCTGCCGGCGACGGGCCTCGCAACGATGGCCAACATGGGCGCAGAGGTGGGCGCGACGACGAGCGCATTCGCATATACCGACGAGATGGGTCGATACCTCACCGCCACGGGCAGGGACGAGGTGATGCAGCAGGCACGGGGCGCCGCTGCGAGGGGTCTGCTGAGCGCCGACGAGGGCGCAGAGTACGACGAGCGTGTCGAGATCGACTTGTCGACGCTGGAGCCGACGCTCAACGGACCCTTTACGCCCGACTTGAGCACGCCGCTGTCCAAGTTTGTCGAGCGGGCCCGGAGCGAGGCGGAGCGGGACCACCCCGTGGAGCTGAGCGCGGCGCTGATTGGCAGCTGCACCAACAGCAGCTACGCCGACATGGCACGGTGCGCCAGCCTGGCCAAGCAGGCCAGTGCGCGTGGGCTCAAGGTCAAGACGAGCTTCGACGTGACGCCCGGCAGCGAGCAGGTGCGCGCTACGGTCGAGCGCGACGGCATCCAGGCTGCCCTCCAGCAGGTCGGCGCGCGCGTGCTGGCCAATGCATGCGGGCCCTGCATTGGGCAGTGGAACCGCAAGGAGCTGCAGGGCGAAGACAATGTCATCCTCACCTCGTTCAACCGCAACTTCAGAGCACGTAATGATGGAAACGCAAAGACGATGAACATGCTCGCCTCGCCAGAGATTGTCACGGCCATGGCCTTTGCCGGCCGGCTCGACTTCAACCCGATGACCGACTCGCTCGAGGCGCCCGACGGCAAGCCGTTCCGCTTCGAGCCCCCCTCGGGCGAGGAGCTGCCCAGCAACGGCTTCACGCCCGGCAACATTGGCTACCTGCCCATGGCCATGCCCGAGCCCGTCAAGGAAACCGAGGTGGCCATCAGCCCCTCGAGCTCCCGTCTCGAGTACCTGCAGCCATTCACGAGTCCGTTTGCCCAGTCGGCCGTCACGGGCGACTACGAGCTGCCGGCGATGCGGTGCCTGCTGCGCGTCCGGGGTAAATGCACCACCGACCACATCTCTGCCGCGGGTCCCTGGCTCAAGTTCAAGGGGCACCTCACCAACATTGCCGAGAACACGCTGATTGGGGCGGCAAATGATGAGAACGGGCAGGTCAACTCGGCGAGAGACTACACACAACAGGAGCAGCAGGAGAAAGCAGACTCTGAAGAGGACACCATCCCGGCCATGGCCAAGCGGTGGAAGGCGAGAGGCCAGCCATGGATGCTCGTGGCGGACCACAACTACGGCGAGGGCTCGGCGAGGGAGCACGCCGCGATCCAGATCCGCCACTTTGATGGGCTCCTCATCCTGGCACGCAGCATTGCGCGCATCGCAGAGACGAACTTGCGCAAGCAGGGCGTGCTGACGCTCCTGTTTGAAAACGAGGCCGACTACGAGAAGATCAGTGGGGGTGACATTGTCGAGACCGTCAACTTGACCGACCTTCTCCGGCCGGGCGGCGACGTCTCGACGCAGGTCCGTGTGCGCGTCACCAAGCTCGAGCAGGACGGCAAGACGGTCAAGGAGTCGTTTGAGATTCCGACAAAGCACTCGCTCTCCAAGGCCCACCTCGACTGGATCCGATCCGGATCGGCCCTCAACCTGATCCGGGAAAAGGCGCAGCAGGAGAGCCAGGCCGCCGCTGCTCCCCTGGGTGTGAGCGGGACGGGGGTTGGTACCGGGGCCGGCATTGGGACACGGGCGATGAGCACCCTCGCTCGTCGACCGCGTAACCACCGCCTCCCTTCCAGCTCCAGGGGCTACGCCACGGCTTCGTCGTCGGGCGGCAAGTCGTCGACGCCCGATGCCTCGCGGCTCAGCCCCAACGACCCGCGCTACCAGGCCCCCGCTGCCGACTCGCGCACCGAGGCGCTCAAGCGCATGGTGTTTCCCGAGCCCGCGGGCGGAGCCTCTTCGCGCCTCGAGGCAGCCCGCGCGTCGGACAGGGAGGCCGACGCCGCGCTGGCCAAGATGCTGCCGAGTGACCGGCGGGCCGAGGTGCACGACACGATCACGCGCGCCTGGCTGCTCTTCCAGCGCGAGCGGCGCGAGGCCCACGAGGCGGACCTGGCGACGAAGCGCGAGATGATGCAGGCGGCGTGCGACAGCCTGCGCGCCGAGGCGCCCAAGCTCTTTGAGCGTGCCAGCTACCGCGTCGCGCTCAGCAAGCGCCACCCCAGCGAGATTGAGCGCCTCCGCGAGGCCGGCCTCCTCGAGGGCCAGGCGCCCCGGGAGGGGCAGGAGAAGCTCAGCGGGCCCGAGCGCCGGCGGCGCGCAAAGGCCATCACCGCCAACAGGCTCCACGGCCTCGTGCCCAGAGAGCTCCGCGCGCCGACGATGACGCCGAGCAAAAAGGGATGGCCCACCATGGAGCAGCAGGACAGCAAGCAGCAGTCGTCGTAGATGTCTTTTTTTATCTCCTCTCCCCGTGACATTTGCTTTGCTTTGGCTGTTGTAGAATGGGTCGCATACGAGACGTGAAAATCGATGAGCTAATCTTATCATTTCCTGCCGAGAAGAGGGAGCTGACAGCTCGATTGACTACGGAATGACGAAAGCAAAGACAAGGTGGGTATCGAGAAGTAAGAAAAAGGAAAGGAAAGCAGAGTGCGGTCCAGAGTCTCTAGAGAGACAGCAAGAGACGAAGAAAGAGAGAGAAAGGAAAGGGTTTGTCTCAAGAAGTGATCGAGTCTACCATGGCGCTGCTGACAGAGGCGGCGGTCTGCCGCTCTTGCTCTAGGCCGGACGTGCTGAGGAGGGCCGGTCTGAAAGCACGATGGAGAAGGCGAGCGTGCTGCGCAGGCGTGGGCGGGATGGCGGGTGCGGGCGTTGATGCGTACGACGGGCAGAGGGACCAGCATCGCCGTTCGAGGGCATGTCCGATGGCGAGGATTGTGACCGGTGGCTGGTCGAGCCAGTGGGAGAAGCCCCCGTCGGCATCGGAAGTCGACTGCAGCGACGACGACGGGGATGACGGGAGGCACGCAGATGGCGTGTTCCATAGCGATTGCGCATCGGTAGTCTGACCGTGCGTCGCCGTTACGGTGGGCGAGTTCCATGCGCCGTTGAGGAGGCGGCGCTGTCGCTTGCTCTTGTTCTCTCCATCAGACTCGCCATCAGACTCAGCGTCGTCATGTTCGACACTGGCGTGGTTCAGCTCAGCGTCTGCCTCGTCGGCCGACTGGAGCACCTCGAGACTGTGCGTCAGCGATGAGGGCGAGGATCGCATCGCCATCGACGGCATCGATCTGGAAGTCAGCCGGCCGGGAGTCCGAGTCGAGCTGTCGGACGACGCGCTGCTTGGACGAGACGACGTGCTCCTCTTCGCCGCAGACCTCAGTGACAAAGGCGAAGGGGGAGGAGTCGATATGGACAGCGTCTCAAAAGGCGGGGTGTAAGGTGGTGGAGCCGGCTCGCCTGGCTCCACGGCATGGTATACAGGCGGTGGCGGGAGCGAGACAAGTCGAAATACATCGAGCCTGTGACACGAATACTGCACCGTCAGTCGAAGGCCCTTCCCATGGACTAGATGGCCACGAGTGAAGACTCACGTAAAGATGGTCACCCGGCGCAGTGCGCCAATGTCGCCCTGTCGGTGCTCGGTCTGCTTCACCAGTTCGTCGAGGCCCACGACCAGCCTGGCCCGCTCTACCACTTCGCAGTCTGTCCATGCATCTGCCTCGTGCCGCTGTCTGTGCTGCATCGTCCGGTCGATTCCGCAACTGTTGGAGCGTCCCCTCACCGCGACTGTGCTGCTACTTAGCACGCCCTCCTTGAGCTGCAGGATCTCAGTGGATAGAGCCGTCCGCCAGGCTCGTTCGGACCGCAGAAGAACATGTAGCCAGGCCCAGAATGTCGACTCGAGCATCCGATCGCCCACCGTCTTGCGCAGCTGCTGCATCTTGCTACGAATCTCGCCCAAGTGCACTTCGAGCTGCTCCGCATCTGCGGGATGCGGAGCATTTGTGTCCGACAAGTCCGACAAAGACGACGGCGACGACGGCAGAGGGCCCAAGCGGGAGCACGACGACAACTTACACGCAAGCTCCGAGGCGACGACGACGTGCGAGAGGACATGCTGGAGCATCGTGATGCTGCATTCCAGGCAAGGCAGGTGGATCGTCGTTGAGACAAACGAATGCAGGTGGATGAAGGCCGTCATCTCCGTCGGGCGAGTCGAGCTGCTTGCAAGCGCCTGAGCAGGCGACGCAGAACAGGAAGCCACTCCGTCCATGTCGGCGTCCAAAGGCTGCCTGTCTTGATTCCTGTCCATTGCGTGTCGGATGTTCGGAGCTGCAAGAGCGACAAAGACGAGGTAAGACAAAGGATGTAAAGGAGGGCGAGGGCGGCGTGGAAGGAAATGAAGAAAGAGCAAGGGGTGGGAGGACGGAGAGGACGGCGACTTGCTTCATATATCCCTCAGAAGCAGGCACACACACCGCCACCGGCTGAGGGAAAGGGAAGCGCGAAAGATGTCATCACCTCATCAACCTGCACCCAAGCTCGGACCCAAGAAGAAATAGTCCGAGGGAAGAAAGCCAAATGGGGGGGAGACAAAGGGAGCAAAACCCGATGGTCTTTGTGTATGTGGGAGTAAGACCAGGAGCAGCGCGAGGGGGATCCGTGCTTGCGCAGCGGTGCCAAAAGCCGAAAGGAGATCTTGGAATTATCACCCTTTCTTCGGTACATTGACAGGAGCCCTTCCCGTCCTACTCGCAAGGCAGTGTCGCGCGAGGGAGCGCGGCAAGAATCATCGACGGCCAACAAGTGCTGGTAATGTGGGCAATCTCCAAAATTGCCGGAAATTACTGGGCCATCTGTTCCAGTACATCGGATGCCAGGGCCTCGATGTGAAAGCTATCTATGCTCCATGGAGAAAGTAAGTTGGCGACCATGGCGTCAAGCGTGAGAATAAGCAGGGTGCGGTGTGGAAGAACCTTTTGCGCCATTTTCTTTTTTAGAGTTCCGGCAGAACATTGGCATGGCTGCACTGTAGGAATATATATTTGGCATTGATTGGCCCCACCGATTGCGAAGCTCAAAGCGTTGTGGCATGCATTGATGGGGCGGCTGTTCCTTGCGATATTGAAAAGCGATCCGCGCCGCATGGATTATTCACACTGTGTGACGAAGGGGGCCAAGATGGGTGAGTCGGGCTAGAGAGGCTTGGCCTTCGCATGTCAGGGCATATTCACAAAAGGGGCTCAAGCGCCCACTTGCAGCAGCTAATTTCCTTCCTCGCTGTCAGCAAAACTTGTGTCAACAAGAACACGACCGCGAGGAGACGGGCATAGCCGGATTAGAGCGGCAGAGTCCTCTCGATCGTTGAGACTGTGAGCTTGGACTTCTTCAATGCCACCTCTGAGAATCCACCTCTGATAATTCTGGGAGAGGTCCTGAATGGTCATTGAGTTTATTTGTGGAAGACGGGAGACATAATGCTCCCCGATTTGGTGATGCTGCGAGCGAGTTTGCGGCCGCCTTCCCACGCTGCACCAAAAGGGAAGCTGCCGAAACGGAAGGAGAGAATGCAAGGATGAAGGCACCGGTACGCCTTTCGGTCCATCCCTAGCGTCCAGACAACCAACGCGTGGCCACGGGAGGCTGGCGTGGCCCTCCACAACGGCCGCTTAGCGCCTGACCCTCTCGCTTCCTTCAACGAGCTAGTGGGTCACCTCTTCCTTTCACGACCACCGAAAGAGCAAGTTTACACTCCATTCAAAGATGGTCTACAAGACGAACGATCTCGGAAACCCGCCCGAGGGACACTTCTTTCTCGTCGTACAGTGAGTCCGCCCTTCTGCCCTACCCTCGGCGCCGAGATGCGCCTAGCCTCCACTATTCCTCTGGCTGGGACTGACCTGTTCCCCGCGCCCTGTCAAGCCTGCAGGGCAAGGACAAGAAGACTGCAGACGAGCTCTTCTCGACGATCAAGGCCGTCGAAAAGGTGGCCAACAGCGACCGGGAGCCAGACACCTTGACGGTGAGTACTTGAGGTGATGTCTCCATCTCGTTCCGTGCGTGCATCCTGACTCTTGGACTTGATCACAGTACCAGGTCTCGCGCTCCGAGGACGATGGTGAAACGATCCTCGTGTACGGTGAGCCCTTCCTTCCTTGCTACCCTGCCTTTTCCTTCCTCTGCTGAAGCAGCGGGGTCTCTGGGGCGACGTGACAGAGGAATATCCGAACAAGGCCGCACTCGACCACCACAAGGCCCAGCCCGAATTCCAGAAGTTTGCCGCAAGCTTTCAGCCGTTGATCAAGGACATCAACGTTCGCTACTACCGCAAGGACTGAGCTGCTCCCTTTGCTTCCTCTTCTTCGTGTAATTCACAGCTCCTGTGGAAAAGCATCTGTGTTCCTCCACCTTCTTGGCTCCCCCACCTCCGGGCCCGAAATTCATTCTTACGCTCGTGGAACTCATTCATCAACGGGCCCTTCCTCGCCCCCGCCCGTTCGGTCGGGTGATGCTTGAATCCAGAGCTCTGGAAGTCCTGCCTGCCCCGCTTCGCCGTTCCATCCTCTTCTTCTCCCGCTCACACTTGGCCTCGAGTGCCCCCACGCCAACGCACCCACGCCCACAGCCAAAAAAAAGAGCGAGGCGGTGAATCTCGTGACTTGCCGAGCGGCTTTCGCAAGACTTCTCCATATATTCCGAAACAATTAGTAAAATTGACGCTGCAAATCCGCCTGTCAGTGCACGTCATTATTAGCTATATATTTATTTCTGGGCGGCGCCCCTTTGAGCCTAGCCTTTTTGTTTTTCTTTTCTCTACCCAAAAATAAGTCCCCCTCTCCGGCAAGCCGTGGGACCTAGCCTAAGGACAGGACACAGGGCAGGGCAGGCAAAGCTCCGCCTGCAGCTAGTAGTCTCGCAAGCGGGCAAGACATACGTACAGTACAGCTGGGCGACGAGATACGAGCCAAGCCACCAACGACGACTTCGCCCCCTCCTTCCCGTGAACGACGCTGTCAGAATCATTTCCGTCGTTATCAGCAGGCACGGACCTGGGCCACAGTACAAGACCTTGTCGAGACCCTCTCTCTCACACTCTGGCGGATCCGGGCGAGATAACAAAAAGTTGGCCGCGCAATTCCGTTTCTTCGCTCCATTTTTCTCTTCTTCTTTCTCTGTTCGCCCTGAGTAGTTGATCCTCCTTTCGCCTCTTCCTCGTCCGTCCTTCATCAATCAAAAAGCAAAAGGGAAGGCGACAAGAGAGTAGGATCACCAAAACGATGAATCCGTTGCCGTTCTTTCCGCCACCGTCGCGGTCGCTCTCGCGCGCAGGCAACCAGCCGCCGCCGTCGTTGGCAAAGACGCGCACGGGCGCGGGCGGAGGCACCGGCTCGGGTAACCACAGCCCCACCTACGGGACATCGGGCAACGGCAGCGGCAACGGCAGCGGCAACGGCAACGGCAACGGCAACGGCGGCAGTGGAGCAAGCGGTGGCAATGGCGGCAGTGGACAGGCAGCCAGTGGCTTGACGTCGCTTTCGGCCTCGTCGTCGTCGTCCGGAGAGCGGTGGCCGTCGTCGTCGTCAAGTGGAAATTTGTCAGAGAAGAGCACGGGCGCAGGAGGAGGAGCAGGCGAGGCGAAGAGCAGCCGCCGCGGTGGAGCACCGGCCATGACGTCGTTGGATGGAGATGCAAAGGGCGGCCAGCCATACCTGAGCAGCAGCAGCAGCAGCCGAAGCAGCAGCATCAGCCGCCTAGCCGTCGGGGGTGGCGACGGCGCTGGCTCCAGCGACGGCACCGTGTCGCTCCCACTCAACAAGCCCTCGTCCGACGAACGGAGCTCGACGCCGTCGACGCTCACGAGCCCCGTCCTGTCGGCCAGCGGCGGCGGCAACGACTCGGACAGCTCGACGGCAAAGAGGGGCAAGAAGTCGGCGCCGATGTCGTCTCCCAGCCTCGGTGGCTCGTCGACGACGCGGAGGCCGAGCTCGAGCAGCAACACGGGGTCCTCGTCGGGCGGCCGCCTGGGCACGAGGCTGCCCCAGGGCATGTACTTTGACCTCGTCCGGCCCGAGGAAGTGTCGGCGGCCTACAAGCTCGAGCGCCAGGGCTTTGCCCAGGAGGATGCTGCGAGCCTGGACAAGCTGCGATACCGGCAAAAGAATGCGCCGCACCTGTTCATGGGCGCATTCATCCCCATTGCCCCTCCCAAGGTGTCGGGTCCCCTGACCATGGCGGGGCCCTCGCCGAGGAAGCTCATCGGCTACTGCTGCGCCACGGCCTCGTCGGCGCTCACGGCGCGGGCGATGAGCCACCACAGCGACGACGAGCACGCCTGGCTCGTCTGTCTTCACAGCGTCTGCGTCGCACCCGAGCACCAGCGCCGCGGTGTGGCCCTGCGCATGGTCGAGGAATACATGCGCCGCCTCCGCCGCGCAGAGGAGGGCAAGGGCGACCGCAAGCAGGGCTATGTCGCCCGCGGCTACGAACGCGTCGCCCTGCTCGCCCACGACGAGCTGATTCCCCTCTACGAAAAGGCCGGCTTCACCCTCCTCGGCGTCAGCCACGTCAACCATGGCACCGGCGAGTGGTTTGAGCTTCGGCGGCCCATCTTTCCCGACGACGAGGACAATGCGGCCAAGAAGAAGAAGGAAGAGGAGATGGCCGAGGAAGAGGAGCAGGAGCAGGAGCGCGAGAGTGCATCTACGACGACGACAGCGACGCCGGCCTTGGCGCCTGCGATTGTCAGTCCGATCGACACTGCTTCCATGTTGCCCTCGTCTGGACAGCAGGTCGCATCGCCCCTCTCGGACAAAGGCAGCGATATCGCCAGTCAGCACCAGGACAAGGCCGGCGACAACAAGCCTGCTGGCGAGGCCGCAATGAGCGCGACGGACAAGCTCGGTCTGCCCGAAGGCATCACCACCTCACAGATCCTCGCCGCGCTGCGCAGCCAGAGCACATCAGGCCAGCAGCGCAGCACCTCGTCCAACTCTGACGGTCCAAAGAACCCAGGCACGGCCTACTCGACGATCATGGGCCAGACGCTGGCTGCCAAGACGTCGGTCGAGGACGCCTTTTTCGCCCTCGAGGCCCGGCTCGTGGACCGCGAGACAAACACGAACCTGGCCGAGCTCTACTGCCCGCGCGAGGAGTGCGCCTGCCTGCTTCTCCGGCCAAAGACGGCCGAGTGGGAGCTGGCCGAGATGGGCCCACTGGCGAACCCGAGCTTGCGGATGGGTGGGGCCAACAGCAATGCGCCTGCGCCTCCCTCTGCGCCCGTGCCGCCCCCGCCGTCGTCGCTGGACCGCATCAGGAGCGCACTGGGCTCGTCGAGACCGCCCAACGGCTCGACGCCTGCGCGGCCCTTCTGGACCGTGGTCACGCCCATGTCCTTTGACAACGTCGGCTTCTCCAAGGACGACGTCTGGAGGCCCCCGCCGCCGCCTGTGTCTCGATCGGCAACGTCGAACGGCAGCGGAGGGGTCACTTCGCCGCGCCTGGGAGCGGTGACATCGGGCGAGGAGTCGTCGGACGGCGGCGCGTCGGTGCCCGAGAGGAAGAAGCCGCAGAAGCGCGGGAGCCTGTTCAGGGGCCCCTCTGAGCGGAGGCGCGAGAAGCAGGAACGGGCAGAGCAGCAGGCATTGGAGCAACAGCAACAGCAGCAGCTACAACTACAGCAGCAACAGCAACAACAGCAACAGCAGCAGCAGCAGCAGCAGCAACAACAACAGCAGCAGCAACAACAACAACAACAACAAGACCGGGACCAACAGGCACTGGAGACAGATGAAGCGCCGCTCGAGGTCAAGGTCAAGTACCTGACGTGCGCAGAGTGCGACTGTGGTCCACTTGGCTACACGGTACTGCCCGCGTCGATGCAGCAGGGCGGCCTGGCCCAGTCGGTGGGACAGCAGATTGGCGCACAGCAACAGGGCGGCCAGAGCCCCGGCCAAGGCCAAGGCCAGGGCCAGGGAGGAGCCGATGAGATTCCACTGTACCTGATTGCGGCAGACCGTGTGCGCTATCGGTTCCCAAAGACTGGCTAGGGTTATTGTTCTGTCATGACTACTATCTCGCACTCTTTGTCTCTCTGACCAATTCTGTCGCTGTGCAATGATGATGGGGATGCCCGCCCTGCCCGCCCTGGGCGGAGATCTTTACTTAATTGCTTGCTTTTCACGTGGAAAAAGACCCGTCGCGCCCGCCTGGAGAAAAAGCTAATGGGAGCGCTATGATTGGATGCCCGCCGCTGGATCGAACCGGGTGCCGGAGCCTTCGTCATCCACCCCCCCTTCCGATCGTCGAGCTGTCTTTCTCTCTCTTTCTTTCTTCCTGGACAATCACTCCTTTGCCCTTCTTCATACACACGAGCCAACCGACATGATTGCGCCCCGACTCGTCGCGACGTCGTCGGCTGCCGCGGCTGCCTCGTCGTGCTCGAGGTCTGCTGTCCGGCCTCGCGTCTCGCTGATGGCCTCTTGCTCCACAGGAGCCGCTAGTGGCAGCAGCAGCAGCAGCAGCGGCAGCAGGAGCCTCCGAATTGCACGGCTGTCCTCTTCCGCATCATCAGTCAGCAAGCGGCGACAGCAGCAGCAGCAGCAGCAGCAGCAGGCGCGCGCGCTGAGCACGAGCGCACCGCTGCGACAGGCCTCCGAGGCGGAAGACTTTGACCTCTCGCAGGTCGAGCGCGCCACCGACGAGGCCGACGTCGTCATTGTCGGCGGCGGGCCCGCGGGCCTGTCTGCCGCGATCCGAATCAAGCAGCTGGCCCCCGAGGAGACGCGCGTCGTCGTCCTCGAAAAGGCCGGCGAGGTCGGCAACCACATTCTGTCGGGCGCCGTGATCCAGACGAATGCGCTCGACGAGCTCCTGCCCGACTGGCGCGAGCGTGGTGCGCCCCTGAACCAGGCCGCCACCGAGGACCAGATGCGTTTTCTGACGGAGCGCGGCAGTTTCCCCATGCCCCACCCGCCGCAGATGAGCAACAAGGGCAACTACATTGTCAGCCTCTCGCGCTTCACCGCCTGGCTCGGCGAGCAGGCCGAGGAGGCCGGCGTCGAAATCTACCCGGGCTTTGCCGGCGCCAATGTCGTCTGGCACGAGGATGGCCAGGGTAACAAAGTGGGCATCAAGGGCGTCGTCACAAACGAGATTGGCCTCTCGAAGCAGGGCACGCCCAAGGACACGTTTGAGCCCGGCATGGAGTTCCACGCGCCCATCACCCTCTTTGCCGAGGGTGCCCACGGGAGCCTGTCGGAAAAGATCATCAAGGAGCTCGGCCTGCGCGAGGCCGTGGGTGCGGACCCGCAGACGTACGGCCTGGGCATCAAGGAGGTGTGGAAGGTTAAAGAGGAGAAGCACCAGCCAGGCCTCGTCACCCACACCCTTGGCTGGCCACTCGACTTCAAGACGTACGGTGGCAGCTGGTGCTACCACATGGAGGACGGCATGGTCTCCATCGGCCTCGTTGTTGGTCTTGACTACCAGAACCCGTACCTGTCGCCGTTCCGCGAGTTCCAGCGCATGAAGCACCACCCCTTCTTTGCCGACCTGCTCGAGGGCGGCGAGTGCCTGGCCTACGGTGCCCGTGCGCTCAACGAGGGCGGCTACCAGTCGATTCCCAAGCTCAACTTCCCAGGCGGTGCGCTGCTCGGCTGTGCTGCTGGCTTCCTCAACGTGCCCAAGATCAAGGGCACGCACAATGCCATGAAGAGCGGCCTCGTCGCCGCTGAATGCGTCGTCGAGGCGCTCCAGAAGCGCGGCGAAGCAAGCGCAGAGGAGCCCATCGACCTGACCGACTACCGGGCCAAGCTCGACGACACGTGGGTCATCAAGGAGCTCAAGGAAGTGCGCAACCTCCGGCCCTCGTTCCACAACCCCCTGGGCCTCTGGGGCGGCGTCGCCTACTCGGGCCTCGACAGTCTCATCCTCAAGGGCCGCACGCCCTGGACCTTCCACCACGCCAAAGAGGACCGGTATTTCACCAAGCCAGCCTCTGAATCAGAAAAGATCGAGTACCCCAAGCCGGACGGCAAGCTCTCCTTTGACATTCTCACCAGCGTCAGCCGCACGGGCACCAACCACACCGAGGACCAGCCGGTGCACCTGCACGTCAAGCAGGGCGACTACGTCGGCCACACGCAGCGCAACGTCGGCAACTTTGACGGCCTGCTCGCGCGCGCCTGCCCCGCGGCCGTGTACGAGTACCAGGACGCAGAAGAGGCAGGGGGTAAAGAGGATGCGCTGGGGAAAAAATTTGTGATTAATAGCCAGAACTGCATCCACTGCAAGACGTGCAGCATCAAGGTGCCCGATGCCAGCATCGAGTGGCGCGTCCCCGAGGGCGGCGGTGGGCCCAAGTACTCGCTCACGTAGGCTTTCTCTATACACACGCTCTCTCTCTTTCTCGTTCGTCAATCACATGATGTACTGTGTTTCTTTTCTGGCTGTTGAATGCGCAATATTGTAATCACCGTCTCCACAGAGAAAGAAAGACGCGGGCCAGAGAAAAGATGCGAGCCAGAAAATAAAAAGGTTTTTTTAGACGTGCGCGCGTCTCCATTAGCAGAACGTCGACATCTGAGTCGTCGCTTTCTGGTCGACAGTGGGGACGCGCGCCCCGCATGTCGGCGACATCCCGGCAGCAGGAGCAGGAGCAGGATCAGGAACAGAGTCGAGAGGAGGGTCGAGAGCAGAAGCAGGAGCAGGAGCAGGAGCAGGAGCAGGACCAAGAGCAGGGGCAGAGCGAGGAGCAGGAGCAGAGGCGGGTGCAGATCCGGCCGTATGCGGGCGAGTCAGACCTGGACCGCGTGCGCGGCCTCATTGATGCGCAGCTCAGCGAGCCGTACACCGTCTACACGTACCGCTACTTTCTCAACCGCTGGCCGCACCTGTGTCTCCTCGCCGTCGTTCCCGCGGCGACGGACGAGACGCCCACCCTGCACGCTCGCACGAATGGCGACGACAATGAGAAAAGAAGAAAGCAGCAGCAGCAGCAGCGCGAGAAGGAGCAGGAGCAGGAGGGAGGGCAGCAAAAGGAAGAAGCAGTGGGCGTCATTATTGGCAAGCTCGAGCCGGCGATGATGGGCCGGCGCAAGGGCTACATTGGTATGATCTCGATTCGCGAGACGTACCGGCGGCGCGGGCTCGCGCGGCGATTGCTCAAGAGCCTGATTGCGACCATGGTCATCTCCTCCGACATGCCCCTGACCGAGGTGAGTTTACAACCCTCTCTCTCTTTCTATGTGTGTGAGAGCAGCAGCTGATGTCCTCGGCAGATCTTCCTCGAGACCGAGGTCAACAACGGCCCGAGCCTGCGCCTGTACGAGTCCGTCGGCTTCCAGCGCGAGAAGCGCCTCTTTCGCTTCTACCTCAACGGCAACGACAGCTTCCGCCTGGTGCTGCCCCTGCCAGAGGCCCTCTTCTCGGGCCACGACGCCGCTGCTGGCGCTGCTGGTGGAGCAGCGAGGGTGACGAGGGAGCAGGGCAGCCCAGACAGGCGCGTGCTCGACAGGATGGTGGCCAATGGCGACATCATGTAGCTGGAGACCATGGCATTGTAGATACGCAGACAGAGAATAATAATCATACATTTCGGGACGAAGAGAGGGAGGGAAACAGAGAAAGAAGGGGGAGAACAACTGAGCCGGTCCGATACGCTTGAAAAGTAGTAATCATCATCATCGCCATTCGTGAGGAGCCTCGCCGGGCCTCATGAGTCGTGGACTGGTCCTTGCTGTGCCTTATCCGTATTGTTACACACGAGGATATTATGCGGTCAGATCGTCGTTTGATCGATCGATCGGTCGATCAATCAGTGGGCATTGAAGTGGCCCATGAGGAGCCGCTCGCCCATGGGGCTCGGCCTGCGCTTGGGGGGAAGCTGGGAGCCGTTGGACAGCGAGGCGCCTCGTCCGCGGGGTGCTGCTGCGACTTCAGCCTCGACAAGGCCGGGCGATCCAGTGGCAGGGGCAGAGGTGGGGATGGCCATCGACTGGCTCCTCGAGTGCGTCGCATAGGCGGGCATCTCGGCCTGCGAGGAGGGAGGCGTCATCGGTCCAGCGCTGCTGCTGCCCACGCTCCACTTTCTGAACAGGCGTCCCACACCACCGCCACCGACCACTCCTCCTCCTCCTCCCTCGTCCATGACTGCGCTGCCACCACCGGCAGAGGCCAGCTCGCCGTCGGTAAAGGCAGAGGACAGCTTGCGCCTGCCACTATTGGCCGACGCCCACGTGTTCCAGGCCTGGGTGCCGTGGTGCTGGTTGCCCCAGCTGGCGCGGTGCGCCTTGATCTGGTCGTAGCTCGACAGCGGCAGGCTGCTCTGGTGGCCGCCCCTCATGCCCACACTGCCGCCACCCGAGAAGCTCTCGGCGCGCGGCGTCGTCGGCTCGTTGGTGAAGCTCGACGAGGAGATTGACGAGGACCTCGATCCGGCCCGGCCAGACTCGCCATCCATCGTGGCGCCACCGATGGCGGGCTCGCCTCCGCCGCTGCTGCTCATGCTCACGCTCCTCGAGAGGTGCGAGTGTGGATGGCCACCTTGGGTGGGGCTCGAGGCGGGAAAGGACGAGGCGCTGGTAAAGGCCGCCGAGGGGCTGCGGATCCGCTGGCTGTTGGAGCTGAATCCAGCGCTGTACCACGACGTCGTCGTCGGGCTCTTTGCAGCCGAGTTGGGCCCTGGGAGACTGAATGCCGACCGGCCTGCGCTCGTGTAGATCGGCGATACCAGCGGCTGGGGCGAGGTGTTGGTGGGGGAGCGAGAGTAGGAAGAAGAAGAAAAAGACGACGAAGAGGAGGAGAGTGTGGCGGGACCTCCGCTTACTTCAGAGGGAGTGCTCGAGGCGCAGTGGTGGGAAGATGTCTCTGGATGGGGAATCGCCGTGGGTGAGGCCATCGTCTGCGTCAAGGGAGATCTGGGGCCGGCTCGATTGGATGGTGAGTGAGAGCAAAGTGCTGGCCGACTCTGCCAGGCTCGTCTATCTAGCGCACAGGACATCCCAGGCTGAGCGGCGCGGTTCACAGCTGCCGAAGCCATAAAAAAAAGGAAAGGAATTGCTTGAAAAAAAAAGGAAGGGGTGGAGTGCCGCGGCGGTAAGGGAAAGGCGAGGGCAGAAAGGCACCAGATGAGAGAGTGCTTGCCCGTCAAGTCAAATTAAAGTCAGAACTAAGAGTGCACCGTGCGCCATTCAAAAAAGCCTGGCCTCTTTCCTTTTTTTTTATCTCCTGCTCCTCTCTTGCGGCGGCAGGGCACCCATACCGCTTCTTTCAGACCAGCCTTCTGAGCCAAATCTCCCCGTCTTTCCTCCGACTTTGAACTCAATCCTGAGCTAAGCTTGCTGCTGCTGCCGCCAGAATACCAAACCTTCAAATAGTAGTGTCGCCGTGAATATCAGACGTGTACGTACCTGGCAAGGCCGTTCTTACTGCACAGTACTTCTATTTTTGAATTTCTCATTTTAATTGAAGAGCGAGCAGGCTCGCGTGCATGCATTAGCGCAGCATCTTACCCCGCAATTTCTCTCTTAGTCACTGCTCCATTGTCGGTTCATACACGTACTGTACACTAGATGTGCTGGAGAGATAGCGGCTACCTCACCAATTCTACGGGGTGCGCGCTTTTGCCCGACATCCGCCCAATCTCAAACCCGGAATTTCTGTAGAAGTTCTGAGCCCAATTGTCGGAGCAAGAGGAGCCCCTGCTGGGCTTAGCTCGTTCGGACCGTGTCGCGTGAGTGGAGATGTACGGTAGGAGGGCAGGCAACGGATTGATCATAAGTGCTTTATCGCGTGCTCTGGAACATATACAAACAACATCGCGAAAGCCTCAGGCAACCAAATGGGCTGTCGTATTCTCTAACGCTTTTTTCTTAGCGAGTAAAGCCTCTTCGTAAGCTAAGGGCGGTCTAAAGTGTGTCCATCCCCTCTTCTTCGTCTGGTTCGGAGGCTTCCTGTCTCTGCCTTTTCCCTCCGTGAAGAAACGTTCGATCTTCTTAATAACTTTCTCGATCTGAGGTACGGCAGAAAATGCCCTCTTGAATTCGATGTACCCTTTCCACCAATCCAGGTCCTCTTGCGTCCATTGATCGACCAGTCGCAACTTACGTTTATTGACCGGATCTGGACACTCTTGGCCCGTCTCGATTGCATCGATGTCCTTCGCCAATTTTGCCAGTGCAAAACGCAACGTCCTGAACTTGACCGGTGTAGTATCTAGATAAGATCTAGGAGCATCAAGTACCCCTTTCTCCTTCAATTCTTGCATCTTCTTCTCTCTCTTCTTGGCCCTTTCTTTATTCTTCGACTGGATATTGTGTAATGTTCTTTTGAATTTATGGTCCTTTCTCGCTTCTTTGAGCGCTTTTCTTTGGTCCTGGGTGAGCTTGAAGGGATTTCGTATCTGACGACGCAGATTTTGGAAGTCTTGCTGTGATTTCGCAGATACCAGAAGTGAGAACTGCTCTGGCGTTAGCTGCCCTGACCCCTGGTAAAAGGGCTCACTCGCAAACAAATAGTCTCGAATTGTGAACTTCTTTGTCTTGCTTTGACTCGTGCTGATTCTCTTGCCTCTTTGCAGATCTCGCTGTTGCATCCAATCAGCGATTGGGCGCTCGTCGTCGGTGCTGGAACGGGAAGAGACCCGAGTGTGGATTGGCCTTTCCCAAGAAGCAGCGGTGTTAGCGTGCGCGGCATGAAGTGCTCTGGAAGAAGACCTCGTCGAAACGCCCGTCCGCTGTGTCCATGGGCCGAGCGAGTTGTGCTCCCTATCGTTATGGGTCAGAAAGGGGTGGGATGGGATCTGAGCATGGCCCGAGATCTCCCACGAAGGAGAAGAAACAATGTGCGTCCCCGAAGGCGAATTTGACGGCGATGGTGTCGTGGACGTGCTCTTGTATACGTTTGGAATAGTCTTGAAACGCTTCCTTTTCTCTTCGCTGGGTCTGCTGGACTTACTTCCTGCGACGTCTCCTAAGTGTTTCCCTTTTCCCATTACCGTCATCGGGACGTCCTTATACCGCCAGGCACTTTCATGCTCTTTGGTACGCCAAGAGTCGGATTCTGTCTCTTCATCGTCAGTCTCTTCATCGTCAGTCTCTTCATCGTCCAGCTGGTCGATGGGGTCGCTAGAGATCGCCATCATCTCTTCATCGTCCGACTCGTCGATGGGGTTGTCAGACATCGCGAACATCTCTTCATCGTCCAATTGGTCGACGGAGTCGTCAGACGACGCGATCATCTCTTCAGCCTGTCTGTTGGCTGGGCGAACAGCCTTTCTGCCTGTTGACCGGGGAATCCGAGATTGCTCAAATGAAAGACGGGATGGTCCGGCAGTAGACTGCTCACGTCTCTGACGCTCCTTTTCTTCCTTCATGCGCTGCTTCAAAGCGCCTGGTTTTCCTCGTCCGAGGCCCACAGGAGGGGGCGGGGGTGGTGAATTTCCCTTTAGATACCGCTTGGAGAGCATGTTGCTGTATCCTTCAACGTCCTCTTGATTGTACTGCGGAGCTGATGCAATACACGTTGATGTGAGCAGCAGCGCCAGCAACGTTGTGGCGAGTAGGGCAAGATTCATCATCGGTCTGCGTATCTTCTTTGGCAGAGTCGTGTAGTGAAGGGTGGCAAAGGAGGGTCAATGGAGGCTCTCTCCTTTAATTCAGCTCTCGTAGGTGGTGTCGGGGCACGGGAAGAGGAGAGGGCGCAGCTGGAGCTTTTCCTCATTTTTTACTCTTTGCTGTGCAAAGCGGTGCTTTGAAGCAGCATTACCGGATCTACTCAGTTCTCGCGCCCGGCCCACATACCCGTACTTGTTTTGGAAGAAACAAGCGATGACTTACTGCGCATGTGGGTAGTGGCCTGCGCACGATAGGACTGATCAGGCAAATTCAATTAGAAGTTCGACTTTTCCGACGGCTTCAGCCCCATCGTAACGTTTCTGCCGTGGACGTGCCAGGGTATGTTTTCTTCGTTCGACGCTCCACGGTGCATTTTTTACCATCGAGGCGTCTGATGGTCTGAATGCTATCCTTTGGCTTCTTATCATTCGATCGATCGGAGCTTTGACAGCTTCCTCGAAGCCGCATCAGGCGAGGGCCAGAGTCATCTAAGTACTCAAGGGCAGCCCAGGCCAGCTACCTTGTCCTCGGTCGAGGTCTTCGCTGACGCTCGACCTCTCCGATGTAATTTGTCAGCTCGGCCGCCGTATGGTGTTTCCTCAATCGTAAGTCAATGACTGCGCACACGCCAAGCGCCCAGAAAATCAACTTCCTCTCCCACCAAGATATGTCATCATCTTTCAAGCTCTCGATAAACTGTACAGTACAATTGAGGAGCTCCGCAAGGTCCTCTGGGGCGCTCCTTTTCCTGATTCGATTTCTTCTCGCCACTTTCCTGAGCTTTGATCGCCTACCCGCAATTGTGTTTTTGCTGACTCTAAGTGGGAGTTTTTTGTCACTTTTTGTCTTGCGCCATCTAGTCATAGGCCAATTTGCAGCCATTCTTCTTCTCTTTCTTCTCTTTCTCCTCACCGGTATTCCAGCCTTGAGAAGCGTCCTAAATGGACTCCGACGCGGATTCCCAGTAGAAGTTCTGATCCCGACTATCAGAGCAAGAGGAATCCTGCTGGGCTTAGCTTGTTCGGACTGTGGCGCGTGATTGGAGATAAGGCAACGGATGCATCACAATTTTCCTCGTCGTGTGCTATGAACATATGCAAACAGTATCGCGGACCTATCAGGCGACCATGGCCTGTACTGTATTGCGTAGTGCTTTTCTCCTGGCAACAAGAGCCTCTTGATAAGCTTCGGGCGGTCTAAATCCCCCCGACACCGCGTTTTCCAGAGCTGCAGGCATCTTTTTCTTGCCCTTTCCGTTTGCAAAAAAGGTATCGATCGCGTGAACAAGACGCTCAAAGCCAGGAAGAGGAGCCTCTGCTTCCTGCCTGAATTTGATATATCCATTCCACCACTCCAAATCTTCCTGCGTCCATAGCTCGATAAGTTGCGATTTTCCTTTTCCAGCATCGCCACTTTTGATCGCCTCGATGTGCTTCACCAGTCTTTTGAGTCTCTTACGCAATGCTTCGAGGTCTTTCGGCTCTAAATTTTGATAGGATAGGGGGGCATCAAAAAGCTTTCGCTCCTCAAATCGTCGCCTTCTCTTCTCCCTTTCTTGGGCCGTCTTGACCTCGGCGCGATGAAAGCGTGCCCTCCTCAGCTTTTGATACTCTTCGAACCTTGCATCGCTCTTGAGCATCTTAATTTGGGCCGGCGTAAGGCTGATCTTGTTACGAATCTGCGGAGCCAAGTCAATAAGGTCTTGTGACGACTTTGCAGATAAATAGAGTTTTTTCTCTTCTGCCGTAAGTTCTTTTGGGGTCTGGTAGAACGGTTCTCTCGCTCTCACGATGTCATAAAATGTTACCTTCCTTACCTCGCCCACCTTACGACGTCTTTTATTGCTTCTTTGCTGCCCTCGCTGCTGCTTCCGTGCATCGAGTGCGGTCTCATCGACGATATTGGACATTGGAGGCCTGAAAGAAGTCCGAATGCGTTTGGGGGCTAGTGTTTCCCAGTAAGCAGGGGGGGCAGCATTCGGGGCAGAAAGCTTTGCAGAAGAAGGCCTCATGGAAGAGCTCTTCCGCTGTTCCCGTGGGTTGACCGCTTTGCCTTTCTTATCACTATGTGTGACAGAAGCATGAGAAGCAAACAACGCATGGGCTGGCCTTCTCCAGGAAGGAGATGAAGTAGTATACGTCGGAGAAGGCGTTCTAGAAGAAGGCGGTAATGGATGCGTGCTCTCGTAAATGCTCGAAAGTGTCTTGAAACGCTCTCTTTTTGTTCCGCTGGGCTCGCTGGAGCTGTCTTCTGCGGTTTTCGAGTGTTTCCTCCCAGTCATTACCGACATCGAGACATTATCGTTACGCAAAGCACCTTGACGTCTCTTGGTACTCCAAAAGTCGGACTGGGTTTCTTCATCGTCCGTCTCCTCGTCGTCCATCTCCTCATCGTCCGGCTGATCGAAGAAGTCGTCAGACAGCGTTTTGATCCCTCTAGTAGATCCTCTTGCCAGCCGGACAGGCTTTCTGCTCGTCGACCATTTGCGACGGGAGGGTACGGCAGCCGCCTGCTTGCGCTTCTCACGCTCACGCTTTTCTCTGAAGCCCTGCACAAGGGAATCTCGGTTCCCTCTTCTAAGGCCAAGATGAGGTGGCGTCGGTGGCGAATTTCCAGACGAATTTTCACTCGAAAATCGCTTGATCAGCATGTTGCCGTAGCCTCCATCGTCCTCGTGGTTGTCGAGAGCTGATGCACCGCACGCTGATGTGAGCAGCGACGCCAGCAATATCGTGGCGAGAAGGGCAAGCTTCATCGTCAGTCTCTGTCTCTTCTCTTGCACGATTGTGTAGGGAAGGGAGGCAAAGGAGGGTCAATGGGGGCTCTCTCTTTTAATTGAGCTCTCGTAGGTGGTGTCGGGGCACGGGAAGAGGAGATGGCGGAGCTGGGGCTTTTCCTCATTTTTTACCCTCTGCTGTGCAAAGCGGTGCTTTGAAGCAGCTTTACCGGATTTACTCGATTCTCGGCCCACATACTTGCACTTATTTTGACCGATACAAGTGATGGATTACTGCGCAATGGGTAGCGGCCTGGTGCACGATAGGATTGATTAAGGCAACTTCAACTGGAAATTTGACGTTTTCCGACACCTTCAGCCCCACCGTATGTTTTCTGCCGTGGACGTGCTACGGTATTGTTTTCTACCGTCGACGCTCCACGAGGCATTTTCCTACCGTCGAGGCGTCTGAGGATCTGAATACTATTCCTTTTGCTTCTTATCATCTCGGGTTGTCGACAGCTTCGCCGTAGCCACAGCACGGAGTGGCCAGACACACCTTAGCCCTCAGGGGCAGCCTGGGCGAGCTACATCGTACCCGGTGTAGGTCTTCGCTGACGCTCGACCTCCCTCTCCAGTGGGACTTGTTAGCTCGGCCAACGTACTTTCACAACTACTCAACGACTGCGCGCACGCCAAGTGTCCAGAAATCATGTTCCTCTCCACTCAAAGCATGTCACCACCTTTCGAGCGTTTGGTGTGCGTTTGAGCTACTCAAGGTCCTCTGTGGTGTGCTCCTTTTCGGACTCGATTGTGAATAATACTTCTCGCCACGCTTCTGAGCCTTTCATTACCTGCCCGCAGATACATGTTTGCCGACTCTGAATGGGACACTCTCGTCTTGCGCCATATGGTCATAGGCCAATTTGCGGCCCTTCTTCTTCTCTTTCTTTTCTTCCTCCTCACCGTTATGCGAGCTGTGAGAAGCGTCCATGACAAAGTCAAACCTAGAATCTTTGTAGAAGTTCTGAGCCCAATTATCGTGGCAAGAGGAGCTCAGCTGGGCATAACTCGTTCAGACTGTGTGGCGTGAACGGTGATGAAGAGTAGCAGGCTATGGATGGATCACAATTTTCTTCGTCGTGTGCTCTTCGAACATATACAAAAAAAATATCCCGGACTTATCAGGCGACCATGCCGTGTCCTGTCCTGTGTAACGCTTCTTGCCTGGCAAGAAGAGCTTCTTGATAGGCTTCAGGCGGTCTGAACCCCCCCGAAATCATCGCGTTCTCAAGTGTCGCAGGCATCTTGTTCTTGCCCTCTCCGTCTGCAAAGAAGGTATTGATCGCGTCAACTAGACGCTCAATACGAGGAACAGCGGCCTCTGCCTTTTGCCTGAACTCGATATATCCCTTCCACCACTCTGAGTCCTCCTGCGTCCATAGTTTGACAAGTTGCCATTTTTTGCCGTTGTCGCCTTTTTTGATCGCCTCGATGTTCTTCACCAATTTTTTGAGTCTCTGCCACAATTCTTTGAGGTCTTCCGGCTCTAGAGCTCGATACGATAGAGGGGCATTGAAAAGCCCTCTCTTTTCAAAACGTCGTCTTCTCTTCTCCCTGTCCATGGCGGTCTGGATCTTGGTTTGACGGAATCGTGCCTTTCTCAATTCTTGATACTCTTTGAACCTCCCATCACTCTTGAGCATATCTTTTTGGAACGGCGTAAGGCTGATCTTGTTAAAAATCTTCGGAGCCAAGTTAATAAGGGCTTGTGACGTATATGCAGATGCCAATTCTGTTTCCTCCTCTGCCGTGAGTTCATTTTTTGGTTTCTGATAGAACGGCTCTCTCGCTCTCAGAATGTCTAGAAACGTTGCCTTCTTTAGCTCGACCTCGTTTGCACCTATTTCCGTGCATCTTTGTTGCCTTCGCTGCTTCTTCCGTACACCGAGTGCGGTCTCATCGACGGCATCGGACATTGAAGGGCTGGAAGAGGCCCGAGCGTGTGAGTGTGCTGTTGTTTCCCAATAAGCAGAGGGGGCAGCATCCAGGGCGGAATGCTTTACGGAAGAAGACCTCATCGACGAGCTCGTTCGCTTTTTCCGTGAATTGACAGCTTTACGTCTCGTATCGCTACGTGTGACAGAAGCGTGAGAAGCGAGTAAAGCATGGGCTTGCCTTTCCCACGAAGGAGAGATAATAGCATGAGTCGCAGAAGGCGGTGTAGAAGAAGACGACGACGTGGAAGTGCTCTCGTGTACGCTCGGAACTCTCTTGAAAGGCTCTCTCTTCGTTCCACTGGGCACGCCGGAGCTACTGGCTGCAATTCCTACGTGTCTCCTCCCACTCAGTACCGACATCGAGACACCATTGTGTCCCAAAGCGCTCTCACGCGCGCGGGTAATCCAAGGGTCAGATTCCGTTTCTTCATCGTCTGTCTCCCCATCGTTCGGCTGATCGAAGGAGTCGTCAGACAACGCGATGTCACCTCTATTCAGTCCTTTTTTGGCCGGATGGACAGATGTTCTGCTTGTTGACCATTTGCTACTGGAGGGTCCGGCAGCCGCCTGCTTGCGCTTTTCACGCTCTTGCTCTTCTCTGAAGCGCTGCACAAGGGCATCTGGGTTCCCTCTTCTAAGGCGAAGGTGAGGTGGCGTCGGTGGCGAATTTTCAGACGAACTTTCACTCGAAAATCGCTTGACGAGCACGTTGCTGTAGCCTCCATCGCCCTCGTGATTGGATTGCAGAGCTGATGCAATGCACGTTGATGTTAGGAGCAACGCCAGCAACGTCGTGGCGAGAAGGGCAAATTTCATCGTCAGTCTGCGTTTCTTTCTTGCACGATTGTGTGATGAAGAGTGGCAAAGAAGGGTCAACGAGGGCTCCTATCTTTATTTGAGCTCTCGTAGGTGGTGTGGGGGCACCAGGAGGAGAGGACAAGGGCTGAGTTTCTCCTCTTATTACTCTCTGCTGTGCAAAGCGGTGCTCCGAAGCAGCTTGACCGAATCTACTCAGTTCTCGTGCCCCGCGCACGTACGCTTGTTTTGGCCAATACAATCGATGCCTCGCTGCGAATGTCGCTAGTGGCCTGGCGCACAATAGGACTGGTCAAGGCAAATTAGCTGGAAGTTCGGATGGTTTCGCCCGCACACACCGTCGACTCTCCACGGTGCATTTTACTACCGTCGAGGCATTTGGTGGTCTGAGCGCCCGTCTGATTGATCGGGAGCCTGGACGGCTCGCCACAGCACGCGGGGGCCAGACTCGTTTATGCACTCAGAGGCAGTCTGGGCGACCTTCATCGCCTCCGTTCGAGGTCTTGCTGATGCTCGACCGCTCCGGTGGTTACCTCGGCCGACGTACTTCCTCAAGTCTGTTGACGACTGCGCGCATGCCGAGCATCCAGACTTCCAACTAAGATGAGCTTGCTGGGGTCAGCTCGTCTAAATCGTGTCGCATAGGTGGAGATGAAGAGTGACAGGCAACAGATGGATCATGAGCGCTTCATCGTGTACTTTTGAAAGATGTACAAAAAAAGAAAAGAAAGATCGTGAAAGCATCAGCTAACTACGGCTTGCAATGTACAGAATGGCGCCATACAGGGTAAAGGCTGGAACTGACTATCACGTTGCTTTGCGGCCAGCCTCTTCGTAGGCTTTGACGGGTCTAAAGTGTATTTTCTTTCCCTTGTTTGTCTCGTTGGGAGGCCTCTTACCTCTGCCCTTCCCTTGCGTGAAGAAAATTTCAATCTCCTGCAAAAGTTGCTCGGTCTTCGGTATGCGATGGAACGTTTTCCTGAATTCGAGATATTTTTTCCACCAATCCAGGTCCTCCTGCGTCCATTGGTCGACCAGTCGCAAATCTTGTCCATCGACGAGATCTAAACTTTCTTTGCCTGCCTCTATCGCTTTGAGATTGCCCAACAATGTCGTCAGAACGGCGCGAAGTCTCTTGTACTCCTCCCCTTCCAGGCCCTTGTAAGATTCAGGAGCGTCAAAAGAACCTTGCGTCTGCATTCTTTGCCTTGTAATCTTCCTTCTCTTGGCCCTCGTAGAGTTTCTCTTCCGAAAATTCCGGACCTCATACTTGAATTGGTTATCGAACTTTCCCTCAGTCTCGAGCTTTTTTACTTGGTCCTTGGTGAGCTTGAAGGGAGATTGAATCTTAGAAGCCAATTTATCGAAGTCTTGCCGTGTTCGTGCATGCGACAGAAGTGAGAACTGCTCTGGCGTCAGCTCCATTTCTTCCATGAAAAGGGGCTTTTCCGCAGCGAGATGGTCTCGGAATGAAATTCTCTGCATCTTGTCGTTACTCCGACTCTTCCCGCGTCTCTTTGCAGATCCTGCTGTAGCTTCCAATCACCCGTTGAATCGGCGTAGGACATTGAAGGGCTGGAAGAGGCCCGATGGTGTGTCGGGGCTGAGGTTCCCCAATAAGCAGAGGGGACAGCATTCGGGTCAGAGTATGTTGCGGAAGAAGACCTCATCGAAGAGCTCCTCCGCTGTTCCCATGGGTTGACGGCCTTGCCCTTCTTGTCGCTATGTCTCACCGGATCATGCCAAGAGAACAAGGTATGGGCTGACCTTTCCCACGAAGGAGATGGAGTGGGATACGCAGAAGGCGTTCTAGAAGACGACGAAGTAGTGGACATGCTCTTGTATACACTCGGGACTATCTTGAAGCGCTTCCTTACTTCTTCGCTGGGCTCGCTGGAGTCAATTTTCGAACCTTTCAAGTGCTTGCTCCTTCTTGTCATTGTCCTGGGCACATTGTTGTGCCCCCAAGCGCTTTCACGCCTCCTGGTGCTCGAAGAGTCGGATTCTGTCTCCACATTGTACGTCTCTTCATCGTCCGTCTGATCGATGGTGTCGTCAGACAACGCAATATTCTCTCCAATTGGTCCTTTGAGCGGGCGGACGGCATTTCTGGTCGTTGACCATCTGCGACGGGATGGCCCGACAGCCGACTGCTTTCGCTTCTCACGCTCTAGCTCTTCTCTGATGCGCATGACATAGTATTCTGGTTTTCCTCTTTCAAAGTCAAAGCCAAGACGAGGTGACATCGGTGGCGAGTTTTCTGACGAACTCTCAATCAGAGATCGCTTGACGAGCACTTGGCGGCAGCCTTCATCGTCCTCGTGGCTGTCTTGAGCTGATGCACCGCACGTTGATGTAAGCAGCAGCACCAGCAACGTCGTGGCGAGAATGGCAAATTTCATCGTCGGTCTGCGTCGCTTCTCCTGCAGGGTTGTAGAGTGGAGAGTGGCAAAGAAGGGTCAATGAGGGCTCTCCCTTTTATTCCAGCTCTCAAAGGTGGCGCCGGGGCGCCTAGAGGAGAGGGTGGGGCTGAGGCTTTGTTTTTTATTTTATTTTTACACTCCGCTGTGCGAAGCGGTGCTCTGAAGCAGGATTACCGGATCTACTCAATTCTCGCGCCCGGCGCACATATGCTTGTTTTGGCTGATACAACCGATGCCTTGCTGCGTATGTGGGTAGCAGCCTGGCGCACGATAGGATTAATCGAGGCAAATTAGATGGAATTTTGGACGGCTTCGCCCGCACACACCGTTGACACTCCACGGTGCATTTTCTATTGTCGAAGCGTTTGGTGGTCCTAGCACCCGTCTGATCGATCGGGAGCGTCGACAGCTTCGCTGTCGTCACAGCACGCGGTGTCGAACTCGCTTATGCACTCAGAGGCAGTCTGGGCGAGCTTTATCGTCTCCGGTCGGGGTCTTTGCTGATGCTCGACCGCTCCGGTGGAAATTGTTAGCATGACCGACGTACTTCATCAAACCTGTTGACGACTGCGGGCATGCCGAGCATCCAGACTTCCGACTTGTTGCAACACTATAGGGAAAAGGTCTGTGGCCAAAAGGTTTCTGCGCCCCACAGGACTGGTCTCGCCACGCTTCTGAGCTTTGAACACTTGTTTGCAATTGTGCTCTCGGTGACTCTAGATACCTTCGGGATACCTTCGTCTTGTTCGACATGGTCATAAACTAATCTGCGGACCCTCTTGTTCCCCTTTTTCTCTTTGTTCTCACCGGTTTCCGAGCCACGAGAGGCGTCTTAGAAGAGAATTCAGACCCTGTATCTCCGTAGAAGTTCTGAGCGCATCAATCGGAGCAAGACGAGCTTGCCGGGCTCAGCTCGTCCGAATTGTGTCGCATGAATGGAAATGAAGAGTTAGAGGCAATAGGTGATTCATGAGCGCTTCGTCGTGCACTCTTGAAAGGCATATACAAAGAAAGAACGTGAAGCAGCTAAGTACGGCTTGCAAAGTACAGAATGGTGCCATACAGGTAAAGGCTGGACTGACAATCACGTTGATTTGCGGTCAGCCTCTTTGTAGGCTTTGGCGGGTCTAAATTGTATTTTCTTCCCCTTGTTCGTCTCGTTCGGCGGCCTCAACCCTATGCCCTTTCCCTTCGTATAGAAATACTCAATCTCCTTCAAAAGTTCCCCAGTCTGTCGTAAGGGATAGAACGCTCTCCTGAATTCGATGAATCCTGTCCACCAATTCAGGTCCTCCTGCGTCCATTGATCGACAGGTCGCAAACGCTGTCCATCGACCAGATTTAAAGGCTTTTCGCGCCTTTGTATCTTGTGAATGTCGTCCAACAGATTCATCAGAGCAATGCGCAACTTTCTGAGCTCCTTGTCCTCCAGGCCCTGGTAAGATTCAGGAGCATCAAAAGATCCTTGCGTCTGCATTGTTTGCCATGTTTTCTTCCTTCTCCTGGCCCTAAAATTGTTGTTTTTCCGAAAATTTCGGAACTCATACTTAAATTGCGGATCGACCTTTCCCTGATCTTTGATCTTTTTCTTTTGGTCCGTGGTGAGCTTGAAGGGAAATTGGAGGACATTAGACGCCAATTCATCGAAGTCTTGCCGAGTCCTTGCAAGCGACAAAAGTGAGAACTGCTCTGGAGTCAGCTCCGCTTCTTCCGTGAAGTGGTGCTCTTTCGCACCGAAATAGTGACGAAATGAAATGTTCTGTCTCTTGCCGTTGCTCCGCATCCTTCCCTTGCCTCTTTGCAGGTCCTGCCGTTGCCTCCATTCGCCCGTTGGAATCTCGTCGTCGGCACTAGTCATTGAATGGTGAGAAGAGACCTGAGTGTCGCCTGGTGTATCATAGTAGGTAGAGGTGGCATCCTGTGGGATGGATGGTGTTCCGGAAGACCCCGTTGAAGAGCCCTTCCGCTGTTCCCATGGGTCGAATGCCAAGTCGTTTCTGACGCTCTGTGTCATGGAATCATGAGAAGCGAAAAAAGCACGGGCTGGCCTTTCCGACGAAGAAGATGAGGTAGCGTAGGCAGAAGGCGTTCTAGAAGAAGACGGTGATGTGGACGTTCTCTTGTGTGCGCTCGGAACTATCTTGAAACGCTTTCTTGTTTCTTTGCTGGGCTCATTGGAACTGCTTTGTGCATCTTTGAAGTGCTTCCTGCCCCTCGACATTGTCATCGGGACTTTAATGTTTCCCCATACACTTTCATAGCCCTTCTTTCTCCAAGAGTCGGATTCTGTTTCCTCATCGTCCGTCTTCTCATAATTTAGATGATCTATGGAGTCGTTAGATAAAGCGATGATCCCTCCAGTTGGGCCTTTGGGCGGACGGACAGGGTTTCTGCTCGTTGAGCATTTGTGACGAGAGGGTCCGTCCGCCGACTGTCTGCGCTCTTCTCTGATGTGCCGCACAAAAGTATCTGAGTTTCCTCTTTCGAGGCCCTGACGAGGTGGCGTCGGTGGCGAATTTTCAGACGAGCTTTCGCTCAGATATCGCTTGACGAGCTTGTCGCTGTAGCCTCCACCGTCCTCGTGAATGGACTGCAGAGCTGATGCAATGCACGTTGATGTTAGGAACAGCGCCAGCAACGTCGTGCCGAGAAGGGCGAATTTCATCGTCAGTCTGCGTTTGTTTTTCTCTTTTTTCTTTGGCAGGATCGAGTGGTGGAGAGTGGCAAGGGAGGGTCAACGAGAACTCTCTTTTTTATCTTAGCTCTTGTTGGAGATGCCGAGCGGCGGAGCTGGGGCCCTTTGTCTTTACTCTCTGGTGTGAAAAGCGGTGCTCAGACAGAGTTACTGGAGCTACTCGATTCTCACGCCCTGCGCACGCACGCTTGTTTTGGCCGACATAGCCGATGACTCGCTACGTACGTATGTAGAGGTCTAGCGCACTAGAGGATTGATAAGAGCAGATCCTGGCAATGCTTTTCACGTAAGTTGTGTCATTGACGTTCAATGTGTTTCGAGACCAGTAGTAGTAGCTGTGCTGGAGATAGCCACTTCGCCAATTTTTGTTCGAGGTGCGCGCCCTCGCCCGACATCCGACCAATCTCAATTTGGAATTTCTGTAGAAGTTCTGAGCCCAGTTGTAAGCTCAAATGGAGCCTGGCAAGCCTCATTGAGCATGTAGAGAAGCAGCCAATGGATAGGTAGATCATAAGCGCATCGTTGCGTGCCTTGCAGCTCCTGGAGGATTTGACATTCAATGAGAAAAGTTTATGTAATCAAGGCTTGTACTGATGGTGTGACGCTTTTGGGACTCGCGCCAATTGATGCTGTCTTGCGGAGAAGAGCCTCTTCCTAGGCTTCGAGCGGTCTGAAGTTTCCTCTTTTTCTCGACTTGCTCCCCGCCGGAGGTTTTGTGGGCTGCCAACCCTTGCCCATCCCGTTGGAAAAGAAATTATCGATCTTTTCAACAAGGGTAGCAGAGGGACGATGAGGGGCCGCTGCCCTTTTCCTGAAATCGACATATCCTTTCCACCAGTCCAGGTCTTCTTGCGTCCAGAAATCGAGGTATCGCGGCTTCTCACCCTCCTTCAGTTCAAGGGCTACCTTACTAGTGTTGATCGCTTCGATGTCGTTGACGACATACTGAAGTCTAACACACAAATCGCTGTGCCTTTTCGGCTTAAGATTTCGATAGGATCGAGGTTCGTTAGAGAGCTCTAGATCCTCAAAGAGTTTCCTTTTCTTCTCCCTTCTTTTGGCCGTTATAATTTCGGAACGGCTCAGCCGTGAGTCCCTTGCCTTTGTGTATTCTTTGAGCCTTTCTGCCTTCTCGAGGATCTCTTTTTGGGCCTTCGGAAGCACGAACGTGCCTTCGATCTTGGTGGCCAGGTCAATAAGTTCCTGCGCCGACTTTGCAGATGAAACGAGATGTTTCTCCTCTGCCGTAGCTTTTCGACGCTGGTAGAAGGGTTCTTTCGCATTCAGAATGTCTAGAAATGTAGCCCTCTTTATCTCGCCCCCCTCTCCACCAATTCTCTTGCTTCGTCGCCCCCGCTGTTGCTTGCGTGCATCACCCTGGATCTGGTCGTCCATGCTGGACATCAAGGGACGTAAAGAGAGGGTAGATGGGTTTCCGGACGTCGAAGACCTCATCTGCTGTCCCCAAGGGTTGAGCAACTTGTCTGACGTGTCGCTGTGGCTCAGAGGAGGACGAGGTTTGAAGAGGGCGTGGTCTGATTTCCCCCGTGCACGCGAAGGAGTAGCATGCGTCATAGAAGGCGCTCTAGAAGAAGAATACGGTGTCGTGGATGTGCTCTCGTACACATCCTTGAGTTTCTTGAGACGCCTTTTGTGTTGTTCCTCGGAGCTTTCTTCTTCTGCGACTTCTGAATTCTTCCCTCTCTTTATTGTCATCGAGACGTCATTGTATCGCCAAGCACTTTCATGGCCTTCGTTACTCCAAGGGTCGGATTCGGTCTCCTCATCGTCCGTCTTCTCATCATCAAGATGATCTGTCAAGTCGTCAGATAAGTCGATTATTTCTCCAGTGTGTCTCTGCACCAGGCAGAGGGCTTTTCTGTCCATTGGCCGTTTGCTTCGAGATTGCTCGTCTAGACGTCGCGAGGGTCCGGTAGCAGGCTGGCTCTCTGCTATGCGGACGGCTCTCCTATCTTTCGACTGGATTTGTCGGAAATGCTGACTTGAATGATGGTGATGTCCAGCATCAGAGTGCTCACCCTCCTGACGCTCTACTTCTTCTCTGGAGCGCTGCACAAAGTTACCTGAATGTGCTCTTCCAAGGCCCTGACGAGGTGGCATCGGTGGCGATTTTTCAGGCGAACTGTCACTCAGATATCGCTTGATGAGCATCTTTCTGTAGCCTCCATCGTCTTCGTTGTTGTCATGCAGAGCTGCTGCAACGCACATTGATGTGAGCAGCAGGGCCAGCAGTGTCGTGTCGAGAAGGGCAAGTTTCATCGTCAGTCTGCGTCCTTTGTTTTGCAGGAACGTGTGGTGAAGAGTTCGAAGGGGAGGTTCGAGGAGGACTCGCCCTTTATCCTGCTCGTGTAGGTGGTGTCGGGCGTCCTAGAAGAGAAGGTGGGGCCGTGTCAGGGCCCGGAGCGTTCTGGACGACGGCGCCCTGTTCACCCGGCCCTGTTTTTTTTCGCTCTTGTTTGTTTCCCAGGCCATGTTTATCACATGCCCTGTTTACAGCACCAGACATTCAGTAAGGCACCGGACGTCCGAATCACGCAATCGAGAGTGCCGCGCTGCGTAGCAAGCCCTCAGGCAGGCCCTCAGGCAAGCAGCTCAGAGATAAGACTGTGACGCCTGCCCGATATGACGAGCTCTGTACTCTCTCGTCCCCTCGTCGCAGACCACAATCGGATAGGCCCCCTTCACTCAGGTGCCAGCTAGTTCACAAGCTGATGCCCTTAATTTTTACCCTCTGCTGTGAAAAGCGATGCTCTGAAGCACGCTTACAAGCTCACACGGCTTTCGCGCCCGGCGCCCGCATGTTTTGCCGATACAACCGACGACTCGCTGCGTGTGAAGGCTACGGCCTAGCACACGATAGAGCTGATCTGAGCAGATCAGTCGATGCCAGTCATGTAATTTGTATCATTGACATTTCAATGAGATTCTCGACTAGTAATAGTATCTACAGCGAAGAAGGGAACGAAACGAAACGAGGTGAACAAATCTAGAGCCTAACCAATTCTGCCACATCATATACAAGCTATTTTCTTGTCAGAAGATCGTAGCACTGTCAAGACTGGCCAAAGGCTTCTCTCAACTTTTCTGCGTCAAGTCTGTGCTTTCTCCCATCCTCTTCGACATTTCCGTTTCTCTTCAGCTTAGTCAATCTGTTGGTGACGTTCTTGTTCTAGGTGTTCATATTCAGGCTCTTGATGATCAGGCTCTTGATGATCAGGCTGTCCAAGGCGACGGTGTTGTTGAGCCCATTCGTGGTCAAGACGTTCTTCCTTAAGCCTTTCGTCTTCTCGGCGTGCTTGATCCGCGAGACGCTTGAAGTATTTCTCAATGTTCCGGAGATAAGGTGATAACCTCGACGAACCCCTGTAAAGATATTTTTTTCTGGCCTTGAGATAGGCCCACCACCATGTCGTGTCTTTCTCAGTCCAAGATTCGATGGCTCTTCGGCACGTTTCAGGATCGGCGGGGGGGTCCGCGACGACTGGCAGAGAGTTTAGGCTAGTTGTGCTGATACAGTCAGACACGAATTTGAGGCTTTTCCGCCTGGCCTCGAATTCGCTTTCGGTGAGTCTGAATTCTTCTGGAAGTTCATCATCTTCGCACATGAGCTTGAAGACCGATCTGCGGTCCTTCTTCCTCTTTTTCTTTTTCTTCTCGTCGGTCTTTGAACCAAAGTCCTTGATAAACCGAGTTAAGGGCTTTATGTCCTCTTTGCGCTGCCGAACACTGCGGACGCCCTTGCCCTTTCGTGTGGCCAGATGTTTATCTTCTGCGCCGGAAATCTGCATGGGAGAGCCGGGTGGAGAAAAGTCGGATTCAGATGTGGGCAAAGAGGAATCGGGCGAAGAAGGGGCGGGCAAAGGAGGGTCAGACTGTAGAGGCTGATCGGGCTTGTCATTTTTTGTTAAGGCCGTGCTTTCTTCATTCTCCACAGGGAACTTAGGGGTCCTCTTCTTTGTCCTTCCCCAGGCTCCAGAACCGCTGCCTACGTTGCCCAGAAGTAGCTTTTGAAAACTTTCTTCGAGCTTTTCTTCTTGCATTTTGTCCTCGAAAGAGCGGTGAGAGGGTAACTCGTGTGTTGGTGCACTGCTGGTCGGCTGGGCCGGATGCGACGAAGGAATTTTGTCTTTCTTACTGTCTGCGCGCTTGTAAAGCTGACCAAGGAGATTGTTGCTTGTCTTGAATTGCTTGTCATGCTGGTGAGCAGCCGTAGTTGTAGCGAGACCTATCATCGACAGCAACAGCAGCGATGCCAGCAAGGCTGCTGAGGCGACAATTTTCCTCATCTTTTTTCCCCCTTTACTGTGTAAGATCAGGAATGCTGCGCAAGTGGGAAATTGTAGGTAAGTGACAGTGCGGTCAAGCTTCTGTGGCGAACCAGGCAGCCCTTTTATCCCCAACAGCACCCCCTTTCAGTCCCGGGCCGGAAAGCAGTGGTAGGAACGGAAGACGTCTTGTCAATGGGCGTTGTGCTTGCAACTCGCTCAGGACCACGCCGCGAGCAGTGGACTAGAACAATTGTACAGTGCAAGTTGTTTCATCGTGGTGTTGGGGTGCTTTGATGTGTGTAGGTCAAGCACGTCATCTTGGAGTGAGCTCGGTGGCAAACCCCACTTCCTTGTTTTGTTTTGAGATGGGAAGTAGAGTAGTATTGTGGACTGCTGCTTCGACTCTGTATTGCGCTCGCGCTTGTTTTTTTTTTTCTCGCGCTCGTGTTTTTTTTTTTTGCTCGCCCTTGTTTACCAGGCGCTGTTGATCGGGCTATTCGCCGTGCCGGACGTCCGCAAGCTCGTGTTCAAGCAGGCGCTCAAGCGCGCCCTCAAGCGCGCCCTCAAGCACGCCCTGTAGCGCGAATCTCCGAAATAAGTCAGGCATCGCAGCGCGACGCCAGCCTCTACAGACGACCCTTCTTTTCTCCTTCTTCCCGTCGTCGCAGAATACATTGATAGCCCTTGTACGCTCAGATCTCAGGCTTGCTCAAATCTGATAGTCTTCTCTATTTACTTATGCAAAGCGGTCTTCTGAAGCGCGATTATCGGCTTTACCCAATTCTCGGGCTCGGCGCACACATACCTGTTTTGGCCGATACATCCAAACTCTTGCTGCGTTTGTAGGTAGGGACCTGGCGCACAAATAGCATGTATCAGTGCAGATTCAGGCAATCTTGTCATGAATCTTCACTTCATTGACGTTCAATGTGTTCCTCGACCGGTCTTTGAGTGAAAGCGAAGAAGGGAACAGAACGAAACTAGGCGAACGGGATCTAGTGCCTAAATAATGCTGCCACATGATAGTCAAGACTTTTCTTCTTGTCAAAAGATTTCCAGCACCCGTCAAGACTGGTCATGGGCTTCTTTCAACTTCTCTGCGTCGACATTGTGTCTTTCTCCTTCCTGTCCGACTCTTTGCCCTTCTCTCGAGACGTTCTTGTTCATGTTCATGGTGCTCCTGTTCAGGCTGTACTTGTTCATGGTGTTCCTGTTTAGGCTGTACTTGTTCATGGCGTTCTTTGTCATGAGGTTGTGGAACCCAATCCTTGTCAAGACGTTCTTGTTCACGCCTCTCGCGTCTTCGGCGTACTATAGTCGCGAGATACTCGCGGTACTTCTTTATTTCCACGTAGTACCCTGGAACTTTCGTCCGACCCCTCATGCGATGCCTTTTTCTGCAGGCGAAGTAGTTGTCCCATCGGTCCATTTCGGTCTTGTCCCAAGGTTGGAGGATTTTTAGGCACATCTCGATCTCTGCATTGGTACTATCCTCTCTCGGATTGATTTCTTTGATACTGTCAATCGCCTTTTTTATCTTTGATCGCCGATATTCATATTGTTTTTCGGTGAGTTTATGCTCCTGCGGGATTCCTGGGTCTTCTGCCATGAGCTTGTAAACCGTAATGCCGCCCCTCTTCTTCTTTTTCTTCTTACTGCTCTTCAAGCCCGAACAGGATTCCTCCACAAACCGAGTGATGTGCTCAAAGTTCTCTTTGGCTTTACGACAACCGCGAAGGCCCTTCCCCTTTTGTGAGGCCCTCCGACTTTCTTGTGCGCCGGAAATCCCCATGGGAGAGGAAGGCGGAGAACAGTCGGACGAAGAAGAAGAAGACGAAGAAGAAGCGGTTGAGGACGGGCCCGATGATGAAGGCTGATTGGACTTGAAATCTTGGTCTAACATCTTATTTTTTATTTCCCCTACAATAGTCGTAGGGGTCCTTTTCCTCCTCGTCCCCCAGCCTTCAGAACCGCTGCCTCCAATGCCCGGAAGTAGCTTTTGAAGTTTTCCCTCTCCTTCGGGCTTCTCTTCTTCCATCTCGTGCTCGAAATAGCGATCTGAGGGTGACTCGTGATTTAATGCGCTGCTGGCCGGATGGGCAAGATGCAAAGGAGGAAGATCGTCACTGTTGCGGTCCGCGCGCTTGCAAAGCTGGCCAAGGTGATCGTTGGCGAGTTGCTGGTCATGTTGGGGAGCAGCCGTAGTCGTAGCGAGACCTATCATAGACAGGAAGAACAGCGATGTCAGCAAAGCTGCTGGCGCGACGATTCTCCTCATCTTTTTCCCTCCTTACTGCGTAGGACGTGGAACGTTCTGCGCACGTGGGGGTTGGTGAGCACGTAACAGTGCGGTCAAGCTCTTGTGACAAGCCAAGCAGCCCTTTTATACCTAGTAACCCCCCCCCCCTTTCCCAGTTCGGGGCCGAAAGAGGATTGGTAGGAGCAAGATGCGTCTTGCCCATGGGCATCGTGCTTGTAACTCGCTCGTGGGAAAGCCGCGAGCAGTGGATTGGTGCACAATAGAGTGGAAACGCTTTCATCGTTGTGTTGAGGTGCTTTGAGCTTTTTCTCGAGCACAGCATTCTTGACTGAACTCGGTGGCAAACTCCACTTCCTTTCCTTGTTTTGAGATGTGATGTAGAGGAGGTACGTACTGCTGCCTCGTCTCTGCTCCTTCCCTGTATTGCGCTCGCGCACTGCACACTCATTGCACTGCCGCACGGAGCGCTCGGCGCTCGGAGCTCTTCGGTGTTACCTCTGTTTTTGTTACTCACGACAACAGTGATGTTTCAGCCCAATACCGCCATTGCAACGGGGCGGTGCGCGGAATCACGAAGTGACAGCCAAGGGTATCACGGCAACTTGCAAGTTTACTATATTTACCTCTACGAGGACTGTTTGTCAGCGATGTACAGTACAGTACAGTATCTCAATCAGTTGACGGCACCTTCTTCCATTGATGAAAAAACAGGAAAGACTAAACAGGCTTAATGACGCACGAGTTCCGAGCCTGTCTCAGGAGAGCTTACAGCACGGCGTGGTTTTTGCTTCCCAGAGGGAGGGAGGGTAGGGGAGAGTTGCCCCTCTACTGGCCATTGACTCTTCGCAAACCTCTTACATCGACGAACTTGCATCCGTCTCTCCGTGCCGCTCTCGAGCCAATGATCTCTGCCGCTTTCGAAGAGCTCTCCACCGCTTTCGGTTCCTAAACAGTTCATCCTTTGCTTCGTATCCTCCAAGCTGTTTAATGCACCTTTCGATGATGTCCACGTACCAGGCTGTACGCTCTATACAATGGAACAAAGTGCAGCCGCTCTTTGTGGACTTTCGGGCCTCTATGAATCCCTTCCACCATTCTGTGTCTTTCCGTCTCCACAATCCGAACCTTGATCGGCTTCCCACTTCTTCATTCGCCACTGTTTTCTGAGCCCCTTTAGCTGCCCGCTCAAGCCTTCGTTGCGCGTTTTTCAATGTTCCATATTCGAGGTCATATCTTTGTGGCAACGGGGTGGCAGGTTTCGACTTGCTGCTTCTCTTCCCTTCATACCCCTGCGGGGCTCGATGAGAAGAAGTGCCATCTGATTGCAGGTGTAGCTTGTCGGCAGCAATGTATCGACGAGGACGGCGAGCGTCTACGGTTGATCGGTTGAGATCGCGAGCATGTTCTGCTTCGCGATATTTCGGGCGATGAAAGCTTTTATGATCCGCGATCGGCAGGTCGTCTTGCTGTGATGGTGCTGGTGATATAGAAGGGGCAGACGGCCGAGAAGGGAAAGATTTGTACTCGTCGAGGGAGGGCTTCCTGCTCTGTATACCTGCGTTGGTCTTTCTCCGCTTTTGCGGCTGACTTCTGCTGGGACCTGCTGCGAGGCTTACAGGAGCCCGAGTGTTGGATATGCCCTCAGACGAAGCGTCGTCTTCATCGGAAGGGCGAAACAAGGACACGGGAGGGGTATTTCCTTTGATGCATTCCATTGGATCTGTAAAATCCTTCCCGTACTTGCCGATCCCATCTTTGGCTTGTAAAGCCGCCATTCTCGTGGGCGGCATCATACTTGGCTTTTGGTATGATGTGTTAAGCGGAGACGTTGGACCTGGCGGAGATTCTGGAGCCAGCGGTGACATCAGGTCCAACTCGGAGCTCATGCAGTACGGGTTTGTACAGTCGCTTTGCGTTGACGACAGTTCAGCTTTCGTGTACCAACGACTCCTTTCCCTCCTTCCCCACTTCAGGTCGTCAAAACAGCGGACGTGTAAACGAAACAGGTCTCCCTTCCGGACAAGCTCTTTCAGCTCTTCCCATTTCTTCAGCTGTCGGTGCCGGAGAGAGTCTTGAGGGGAAAAGCTGGACATCAATGAACTGCTGGCAGAGTGGCCAGGATGCGAAGGCAACCAATTATCGCTATTTGCAGTGTGGCCTGTATAAGATGACAACGATACGTCGCTGCTCGCATCTTCGCTTGAACTGTGTGGAGCCCAGTCCTGGTCGCTGCTTCCTGCGCGCTTGAAGAGCTGGTAAAGGCGGTCATTGCTTTCCTCGCTTTGTCTTTTGATTGGGAGAACCGTAGTCGAGGCTGCGGAAGTTGTCGTGGACAGCAAAAAAAGCGATGCCAGCATGGCCACCAAGACAGCGAAGCCTTCCATCTTCATTTGGCCAACTCTGAGTTGTGGGAGCTATTGAGCAGATGAAGGAGAACAAGACAGACCTTTTATAAACAACCATCATATCTTTCGCGCAAAGATTTGATCAATGCCGCGATAGGAAACGTTCGTCCAAATTCACCCAATTCCACTCTCTCAGGCCTTTCCGAAACGAAGCCGCGAGGGGAGTGAGATAGACCGAGAAGACCCCTTTTTGTTACTCCAGCCAAGTCAAGCGGGCAAGGAAAGGCGCCAGAGCACTTTGAACTTGTTGGGAGCCCTCGCCGGCTACAGAAGGAGGGCGCATACAGCCAGCCCCATCGTTTCCCACTCTGCGCCATGCTGTGCAGCTCTCATGTAGTTTTTTGTCACTTTCCCGCCGAGCGGGGCCACGGAGGTGCTTGAGCTGACCAATACCGTGTCTTTTCGTGGCTCATTACTCGCACCAATTCGTCGCACGGTCAAAATTTCAGCCCACTGTACCCGCGCAATGGCAGCGGCGCGCGAAAGCCTCAGAACGGCGGGGGAAGCGGCAACATCATGTGGAGCCATCTGGGTGTGCCAGGAAGCAATGTGGGTATTCGTTCTGCTCAGAAGGGGTGCGATAGCTCTGTCACCTCGAATGGCGATGTGGCCGATCTTGCTGCAAGAGCGACGACCATTCGACGTAGTGGCGCGCAAAGTAGAAAGTGATCTGTGTATGATTGTGACAGTCAGTGACAGTCAGCGGACGAAAGCCCGCGCGCGCGCTTAGACTCGTACCAACCTGGGGCAGCAAGTTGGAATAGGGGCTCGCTGCAGCCTTGCAGTCTTATTTCCTGATCTGATCCTTCCAAAAATTTACATCCCCGCGCCAAAGTGTTTCAGGGGCTCGAGCGCCTGCCCTTGTCCTTTGCCGCTCTTGTACGGTACGAGCCAAGAAGGAGCCGAGAGGCCGGCCGGCCGGCCTGTCTGTCTGCTTGCCTGCCTGCTTGCCTGCCTGCTGGGCTTTGTCTGGGCTTGCTTGGCTGGAACGTGTCTTTTCCGGATCACTGTAGCAGCAAGGCGAATATTTCCGGAATACATACACAAGAGGAAGAGAGAGAAAAGGAAAAGAAAAGGGGTCAGCCTCGTCCGCACATAACATAAAAAGGGGTAGGCCAAGCCATCACTCCCTCTGCATCACTCTCCCATCACTCCCCCTCATTTTTACGACCTTGACGACTTCTGGTTCTGACGACATTACGACCCCCACAACATCGATACCACGACCAGCATACAAGATCAACAACGACGAAAAGCACACAGTCTAGACACAATGGTTCTCAACATCAAGAAGAGCATCAAGAGGGTGACGTCGCCCAAGGCGAAGCGCGAAAAGGTCGACGAGGCGGCCGCCCCTGCGGTCGAGGCCGAGGCCACCGCTGAGCCCGCTGCTGAAGAGGCCAAGGTCGAGGAGACTAAGGCTGAGGAGACCAAGGTTGAGGAGGCCGCCGTTGAGGAGCCTGCTGCTGCCGAGGCGCCCGCTGCCGTCGAGCCCGAGGCTGTCGAAGAAGAGACCGCCAAAGAAGAGACCGTCGAGGAGAAGGCTGTCGAGGAGGAATCCGCCGAGCCCGAGACCGCCAAGGAGGAGGAGGTCGCCGCTGCCGCCGCTGTGACCGAAGAGGAGAAGACGGAAGAGAAGGAGGCCGACGACGTGCACATCCAGCCCATCAGCGACGAGGACAAGGCCAAGAAGGCCGAGGCCGAGGCAACGCTGGCTGCGCTCCAGAAGGAGGCCGCTGCTGCCCGTGAGGCTGCCGATGTCGCCCGCAAGGCCGCCGACGCTGCCCGTGACGCCGAGGTCGCCGCTGCTGAGGCTGAAGCCAAGTGAGTGATTTGCCGTGGAGGAGAGACAATCTAATAGGAGATTCATCGCTAAATGCGCGCCTTTCACTCTCTTGCCCCAGGGCCACGATTGCTGCTGCCAACGCCGAGGCCGAGGCGGGCGTCGCGGCGGCCAAAACAGAGGATAGCGTCGACCGCGACGCCGTGCAGAGCGAAGTCGTCGCCAAGGAGCTCGCCCGCCAGCGCGCAGAGGGCCTCAAGGTCAAGGCCGAGGCAGCAGCCAAGGCAGCCAAGGAGCTGGCCGAGCGACGCAGCCAGGACGCCGTCAAGGCTGCCGAGGCCGAGTACGAGGCCGAGATGGCGGCCTTTACGAGCGTGCTCGAGGCGCGCCGAGCCAAGAAGATTGCGGCTGCGCAGCACGAGAAGCTCAAGAACGTGACGCAGGCCAGCGTGGCGCGGCGCAAGAATGTGGCCAAGATCGAGACGGAGCTGACAAAGGCCGAGAAGCAGGCGGCTGAGAAGCGCATGGCGGCTGAGCGCCAGGCTTGGAAGGAGCGCCAGGCGGCCGAGGACAAGGCCCACAAGGCCTTTGCTGCTGCCCAGAAGCTGGCGCACAAGGAGCGCGAAAAGGCCGAGAAGAAGGCCGAGGCCGAGCGGGCCCAGGCGGTCAAGGAGGCCGACACCAAGAAGCAGGCTGCTTTCACCGAGATCGAGGCCGAGCGCAAGGCGGCTCACCTCGACGAGGAGGCAAAGGAGCGCGTTGCCAACGCCGAAGCGGCCGGCAGTGGCGAGGTCGCCCTGCCCGTCGAGAAGAAGAAGTGGTTCTTTGGCATCTTTGTGAGTCGTGTGCAGTCGCTTTCGCTCCCCTGAGCAATGTCAGGTGCATTACTGACGCATCCTTGCTTGCAGGCCAAGACCAACGGTGCCGCCCCAGCCGCCATTGCCGAGGAGGAAGAGGCTGCCCCCGAGGCTGCCCCCACGGCCGCCCCTGCCGCTGTCGCAGCTGCTTAGATCAGTCTCGCTCTCCCCCGATCTTAAGACACAAGAGATATACCCCCACCCTTGCAGTGTCCCTACATCTGAACGTGCTCTCCAAAGTCCGTCTCTGTTCCACCGAGCCTTGCTGTGCCAGGCTCTATTCATATTGTCCCCCCTCAATCGATGCAACCCTGCTGTTTCCTCCTTGGCTTTCCATTCACCGTCGGACCCGCTTGACGCTGGCCCGGTTGCCGATAGGCTTCTCCACACGCAGGAAAATACACAAGAGAGAAGAAGCGTGCCCCACTCCAATATTCCCAATATTCGACGCGGGGCGGCCCCCAGGGTCAAGTGATCTCTGCTTGGTGCTGCACACGACACCACTGTATAAAGAGACGCCCTCCTCTGCGTCGATTACCGCTTCTCTGGAATCTCCCTGTGCCACGTTTCCGAAGCAGCCATGTCGATGCGATCACTTATTATCAAGGAGCCTTACAAGGTGAGGAAGCAGAACAGCACGGAGGGGACCCAAAGAGAGGTTGACATTGGCCCATGTCCTTGCTCGCACAGGTCGCCGTCGAGGACCGCCCAATCCCCAAGGTCAAAGACGAGGGGGACGTCGTCGTCAAGAACAAGCTCACGGCCCTGTGCGGCTCCGACTTGCACATCTGTGAGCCATCGCCCTGCTGGCTGCTACCTCCTCCTCCTCTTCCCTCTGGCTGACGTTGGGACCAAAAGATCACGGCCACCAGCCAGTGCCCCACTACGACTTCATCCTGGGCCACGAGTTTGTCGGTGAGGTGCATGAGGTTGGACCAGGCGTGAAGAACTTCAAGAAAGGCGACCTCGTCGTCAGCCCCTTTACCATCTCTTGGTAAGTCCCCGATCAAAGACGCTTCTGGCGTAGCAGTCAAGTGGCCCGATGCTGCAGAGAGCTGACCCGTGCGTCTGTCGCTCCAGCGGAAGCTGCTTCTTCTGCGACAAGGGCCAGACGTCGCGCTGCGAGAAGTCAAAGGTCTTTGGGTCCGTGGTCCTCGATGGCGCTCAGGCAGAGTACGTCCTAGTGCCCTTGGCCGGTGAGTTGTGGCCTTGTGAGCTCTTCAGAAAGGCCGGCCGCTCACGCGCAGTCCTCAGACACGACCCTCTACCACGTTCCCACGGGCTTGCCTCCGGAGGTCGGCGTGCTCATGGCTGATGTGAGTATTTTGTTCTTCTTCTCGGCTGTTGCTTCCAAGTGGCTCACAATTCAACAGATCTTTCCCACGGGCTTCTTCGTCGCACGCAACGCCTACAACCTCCTCAACGAGCACGAGCGGGACGACGTGACGGCCGTCATCATTGGCTGCGGTCCCGTTGGGCTCTGTGCTGTGACGGCTGCGACGCACTTTTTCAAGAATGTCTACGCCGTCGACCAGGTTGCCGATCGACTTGCTGAGGCCAAGAAACACGGCGCCAAGGAAGCCTTCCACCTGACTGACGACGACGTCGTTCAGAAGATCAAGGATGTGACCGGTGGGCGAGGCGCTGACGTCGTGTGCGAGGTCGTCGGTGTCGAACCAGCGCTGCACCTCGCCGTGAACCTCATCCGCAACTGGGGCGTCATCTCTTCGTGCGGTATTCACACCCAGCCCGTCACGCTCAAGGGTCTGGACCTCTACAGTGAGTCTGTCTCCCGCTCTTTCTCTTACAATCCCTGACAGTCCTCTGTGCTTCCCAGACAAGAACATCAGGTTCCAGTTTGGACGTTGCCCCGTCAGGGCCCTCTTCAAGCCTGCGCTCGAGATCCTCACGCAGCACGCCGAGCTGTTCAAGAGCTTCATTCAGCACACCGTCTCGATCGAAGAGGCGCCAAAGTACTACGACCTGTTCGACAAGCGCAAGGTCCGCAAGACTGTCTTCAAATTTGACTGATGGATCCATCCCCCATCTTGTCTATATGATGTGAAGTCACGAATGAATTGAAAATGAGTGCCCTTAGCAATGACGAATCGTGACACGATTTTTCGCCTGTTTTACACGTGATTTCGGGTTCTGACGGATCATCAGAGAGGAGAGGGGAGAGAACAAACCACGAGCGTCGGATTAGAATCGCCAGAGAGGGAGAGAGAGAGGCGACTAGTCGGCGATTCTTCTGTTTTCGTGTGTCACTCCCCTCATCAACGTTCTCGACTTGACTGACAATGTCGGCGCGTTTCCTCGTCAACGGAGCCAGGTCGGCGGCGCTCGCTCGACCGGCGCTTGTGAAGCCGACGATGGCACGCAGCCTTGCGACGACCGTGGGCCGGAGCGTGAGTGTGCCCATCCGGTCTTCTTCTCTCGGTAGAAGAGCAGGGAAGAAAAAAGAGGCAGAAAGGAGAAAGGTCGGCGAAGAGAAAAGAAAGAGCAAGAAGAAGCAAAGGGGGTGGTTGGACAGCGTCATGATTGGGAGGAAAAGCTACGGAGAAGGGAGGGCCGAAGAGGGGCAGAAGAAGGCTTTCGGAAGGAAGATGAAAAGGATAGCAGACTGACAGCATAGCTCCCACAGCCTATCACGCAGACCACGACGCTGTCCAACGGTCTCACGGTCGCTACCGAGTCGCACCCATCGGCCCAGACCGCCACTGTTGGCGCCTGGATCGACGCTGGCTCGCGCGCCGAGACGGACAAGACCAACGGCACGGCCCACTTCCTCGAGCACATGGCCTTCAAGGGTGAGTTCATTCTCGTCTCCTGTTCCGTTGGCCACTTCAACGCAATGCTGACGGCTGCTTCATGAAAGGCACGGGCAAGCGATCGCAGCACAGCCTCGAGGTCGAAGTGGAGAACATGGGCGCGCACCTCAACGCCTACACATCTCGCGAGCAGACCGTCTACTACGCCAAGTCGTTCCGCAAGGACGTCGGCAAGTCTGTCGACATCATCTCGGACATCCTCCAGAACTCCAAGCTGGAGAGCGGCGCGATTGAAAGGGAAAGGGATGTCATTCTCCGCGAGCAGGAGGAGGTCGACAAGCAGACGGAGGAGGTCGTCTTTGACCATCTCCACTCGATTGCCTTCCAGGGTGAGTGTTCCTCCCACAGATCTTGGGTATTTCGGGGCTGACGTTTGTGCTACCCACGCAGGACAAGCCCTCGGACGCACGATCCTCGGCCCCAAGGAGAACATCCTCTCGATCAAGAGGGATGACCTGGCCGCATACATCCAGAAGAACTACACAGCCGATCGCATGGTTCTTGTGGGCACCGGCGGTGTCGAGCACGACGAGCTCGTCAAGCTGGCTGAGAAGCACTTTTCGTCGCTGCCCGTCTCGTCGAACCCGATTCCGTTGGGACAGCAGTCGTCGACGCCGACCAAGTTCGTCGGCAGCGAGGTGCGGATCCGCGATGACACGCAGCCGACGTGCAACCTGGCCATGGCCGTCGAGGGTGTCAGCTGGCGCTCGCCCGACTACTTTGCCATGCTCGTCCTCCAGAGCATCATGGGCAACTGGGACCGGTCGCTGGGCTCGAGCCCGCTGCTGAGCTCGCGGCTGAGCCACATCATCAGCTCCAACAACCTGGCCAACAGCTTCATGCACTTTAGCACCAGCTACTCGGACACGGGCCTGTGGGGCATCTACCTCGTGACGGAGAACCTCAACAACCTGGACGACGTCTGCCACTTTGTCCTGCGCGAGTGGCAGCGCATGTCGACGGCGCCCACCGAGGGCGAGGTCGAGAGGGCAAAGAGCCAGCTGAAGGCCTCGCTCCTCCTCGGCCTCGATGGAAGCACGGCCATTGCCGAGGACATTGGTCGCCAGCTCGTCACGGCCGGCAAGCGCTTCTCCCCCCAGGAGATCGAGACGGCCATCGAGGCCGTCACTCCCAACGAGATCCAGCGTGTGGCCCAAAAGTACCTCTGGGACGCCGACCTGGCTATTGCTGCGACGGGAAGGGTCGAGGGTCTCCTTAGCTACGACCGTATCCGGTACGTTGACTGTCTATACACATTTTGAGAGTCTACCAAAATTTGCTGACATGACCTTCTCTACCTCCTCTGCAGCGCCGACATGTCGAGCATGGTCTTCTAGAGGGACAGCCCAAATGTCGTAGAGTAGCAGTGGAAGGAAAGAAGAAATAACACCTATTCACTTCTCTATCGCTTGTCTGATAATGGTTCTCCTTGTCTGAAGTCCTGTCTGCCCTGCTCTCTCCTTCATGTCACCTTTTGTTCCCCATGAACACTGAGCGTCGTTCTTCGCACGTGGCAGGGAACATCTTACTACTCCCAGGAACAGGGCCGTCGATTCCGCCAGCCACTTCGGGAGCGCAAATTTAAAAAGGGCAAGGGGGCCTCGGTGGGGCCGTATTCAGTAGAATCAAGGAACTACAAGGTCGAAGCACTACACTACTACTCCAGCTGAGCTTGGACAAGAAAAGAGACAGGCAAATGCAACGCGACGGTCTAGCCATTGGGTAAACTTGGGGGGGCTTTTGTCCTTTATTTTTGTCCTGTCCGTCGCGTGGACAAAACCGGTGCACAGGCAGAAGACGAACAGGGCTGAGCTGATGGGTCCACTGCATCGGCCACACAACGCCGGGTCATCCCCCTTCCTGTTCCTGTTCCTGCACGACCACAGCTAGTATCTCACGTCGATACTCGACTTGTGACCTGACCTGAAGCCTTCGTCTCCTCCTGGCCAAACGGGCTGGTTGCCATTAGACAGCAAGTCGACGAGCGAGAGACAGAGCAGGCAGAGGCAGGTCAAGCCCGACTTAAATCGCAGTCGCCATGGGTCTCCTTACTGGCGGGATTCCCCGCAAAGATAATGGCCAGATCGACTTGTGAGTTGCTGTGCTGCATTGTTGAAGTGACATCCCCACTCACTCAATTAAACCACAGCACGCCACGTCGACACCATGGCTGGACGTTCTTTATCATGATCCTCGGCTTCCTGTTGCCACCCCTGGCCGTGGCCGCGCGCTTTGGCTTCGGCCGCGACTTTTGCATCAATGTCGTCCTCACGCTCATGGGCTACATTCCCGGCCACGGCCATAACTTCTTCATCCAGAACATTCGCAACAACGACAACAAGGCGCGCACGCCCAAGTGGGCCAAGCGCTACGGCCTCGTCGATGACTACGCAGCCAAGAAGCAGCAGAAGAAGCGCCAATGGGTCGGCCGCTACAACGATCAGGCCCCGCAGCGGAACCAATACGACGAGAACGGGCAGGTGTTCACGTACGACCACGACCACCGCTTCGAAGACGGCGACAGGCAGCGGGTGCCCGCAAGGCGAAGCAGCAGTGGTAGCGGCGAGCAGGAGCAATTCTACGGCGCGGGTGAGCGGAGACGAACCAACGACGACGACGGCTACTCGATCCGGAGTGGACGGCAGTCCAAGAACAGCAGCACCGACGTCCTCCCCGGCGCAGGCGAGGCCGAGCGGAGGCGGGCCAAGTCCAAGAGCCGCACGCGCGGCTTCCTCGGCCGCAACAAGAGCGGCAAGGCGGACCGGCACGTCAAGTCGACGCAGGTCATGGGCGACGAGCTCGACGGCTACGACCCCAGCCTGGACAGCTTCGAGAGGCGCAGCGGCCCAGGTCACGCCTACGGCGACAGCCTCGACGGTCCAGAGGACGCAGACATGACTGTGGGCAAGCGCCTACGCAACCAGCCCACGTCCTCTTCTGCCGCGGCTGGTGGACGCGAGTACGAACACCACGATGCAAAGGCGTTGCCTGCCGCACCCGTCGTCGACATCATGAACGACAACCACGAATTCTGATGCTGATGGCACATTCTTCTTTCTTTTTTCCTTTCTCTATCCGCTTCTGCTTTCTCCCCCTACATGTAATTTACAGTCGTTTTTCCCTTGTCTCTCTCTCCTTTGTGTCAATGGCTTATCTCATTGCTACCCTCGTCCTTTTGTCAAGATGGCTCGCACCACGCCCGCACTCTCCCTCAGTCTCTCGCGCCGCTCGAAGGTGTCTCTCGCCTCGTCGCTCAACATCTCGCACCGCCGCTCGACGCTTTCGGCCTTGCTGCCGTCCGACACATCGAGACCGGCAAGGCCGTTGCGGCTGCTGAACCGCAGCGCGCCATCGATGCTCTCGAGCACCCGTTCGAGGCTCTCCTGCACGGCTTCACAGCTCGCGCCGTGTCCTGGCCCCAGTGCTCCGTTGCTTCAATCAAATCAGTCAGCTCAGCTCCATTCGTCTTCCAATGAGGAGACAGGATTGCTCACTACTGTGCCAAAAAGGCCTGGCCAGCCATCTCGAGCTGGGTGAGAAGCTGCTGGAATGTGCGCGTCGAGGCGATCAGGCCCTCGTATGGGTCTTCTCCTCCCGCGGCGGGTCCAGTCGACGAGGCGCCACCTCCCACTCCCGCCGCCGCCGCTGCTGCTGCTGCTGGTGTTGATCCCGAGGCCGACGCGCCGAGCTGGGTCCGCGACTGGCGGGGCGGAGGCGCCATGCCGCCCGCCGCTGCAACGAGCGACGCAAAAGCCGCAGGGCTGTTGGTGTGCGTCGGAGGCCCGAGCATCGAGAGCGACGAGAGCGACGAGCTCGACGGCGAGCGGCCCACGCCGCCCGACGTCCCCGGCGCAGCGGGCGACTTGGCCGTGGATGCCTCCCTCGAGCTCACAAAGCGCGAGCCCTGTTGGGCCGACGAGGGAAAGGGCGAGGAGGACATCCCCTCTTTCTTCTTCCTCTCCTTTTCCTTTCCTTTGGGGGATGATGTCGGTTGCAGAGACTGAAAGGAAAATTGTAGCGACGCCCTTGCGCGCGCTCGACGGTGATATTTGGAAAAAGTGTCCCGTGCGAAGCAGAGAGGTGGGCCTTGTGTCCGTAGCTACTGCTCGCTATAGCGCAGCGTCGACGGCGCTTTCAAGAACGACGAAGCCATCAGAGGGGTGACCAACCAACATCGAGACACCAAGACACAGAACGATACACCATGTCGAGCAAGAAGGCCCGCGGAAGCGCGATGGCAGCAGCAGCAGCAGCAGCAGCAAGGATGGATACTCCCTTAGTGGGACACGGTGGCAGCAGTCAGGCCAGGTAAATACCACCACCTCTTCTTCAATCTGTCTGAGCAGCAATAGAAGCTCAGTAACAACATCTCCAGGTCTGAAGGAGACGAAGGCAGCAAGAGCGATGGAACTCTTGAAGGAGACGCTAGGCGTGAGTCCACCTCCTTAAGGCCCAAATAGAGGTCTGTATGCGTCTGTCTCGTAATTTACCGTTCACTACTGCCCGTCGTCTTCTCGGACCAAAGATGTGGCCGAGATGAGAATGGAGCTTCATAGGATTGCTCTGGGTAGTGTGTATGAGTCTATGCTCGAAAAGCGGCACGCTCAGGTGAAGATGATCCGCTCAGAGGAAGCAAGCGAGCTGTGAGTGTGGTGACCGTGAGGCTGGATGGAGAGACTGCTCCACAGGTTGACGGGGTGAGAGGGACAATAGTTCCAAGGCCTACAACGAATTCAGAAAGAAAGACGAGAGCATCGTCAAGGCCATCAGGGAGGAGTGGCAGCGTGTGGCAGAGTGCGCGAGCGCTGTGAGTCACTTATTCCCTGCCAGCCCAGCCGCCGAGACAAGAGGTTGAGATGCAGCCGGCAGATCCACCATGCTCAGACAGAACAGGGCAGCGACCACCTCCTTAAGAAGCAGATCGAGAAGCTCAACAAGGACGAGGCAGACCTCGAGTCTAGCGTTCAAGGTGCATAAGCCGGTCCTCATTTGGTGCCGCATATTGCTCATCTCCTGGTGCCGGGTCTCCACAGAGCTGACCACCGCCATGGACGAGATCAAGAACAGGTCGCAGTTGTAGAGGAACGTATTGTAGATTACCAGCCTAGAAACCCCAACCCCGACCCGAAGCGAAAGAACATGCGATGTCCCTACCTATTTCGAGAGAGAGAAAGAAGAAACCTAGGGGATGCGGCCCTTTATTCTTCGCCGCCGTGGAGACGGTGGCCTTCTTTTGAGTTCAAGAACGCGTTTCGCTTCGATCCCCAGCTGTAGATGCCGTATCCTGCAAAGTTGTGCACGACACAATGTGAGCACGTCTAAGCAGGAGAACAAAGAGAAGGAAAACGAGACCCACCGATGGCAAAGGGAATGGCAAAGTAGGGAGCCTGGGCCACGATCCTCTTGTATCCGTAGAATGCATAATTCCGGAAGGCACCGTGCATGGCGTTTTGCTGGAACGGCGAGACGGCTGTCAAGCATCTCAAGGTGTCAGCATGATTGCCCCACCGAGGAGAGAGGAAAGACGTAGAATCAACGCACTGTACGAAGTGATGCCCTTTTGCTTGGGACCACCCATGCTGCCCCACCAGCCCATGTACTTGCTGCCCGTGGGCATGCCACTCTGAAGCGGTTGCGTGGACCTCATCTCTGGACGAGTGTTGCGCGGCGAGAACCAAAACGAGGAAGGAAAGAGGTGAGGAAAGGTGGACAGCTTCGGCCGGGCGACTGCCAATCGGAAAGAGTCGTTAACAAATGGCGCACGTGTCTCGCCACACGTGATAGCGCCCAAGTTGGAATTTTTAAAAATTTCGAAAGTTGAGCTACCCTCGTAGAGGCCTCAAGACGTTCGTCAGAAGAAGAAGACGGCGACGACGACGACGACAGGGACGGAGAAGGCACTATGGCAAAGATTAAGAAGAGAGGACAGTCGGGCGCGGCCAAGAACTACGTCACGCGGAGTCAAGCGCTGAAGCGGCTGCAGATCACCCTTGCCGACTTCCGACGGTTGTGCATCCTCAAGGGCATCTTCCCCCGCCAGCCGCGCAACTCCAAGAAGGCCAACAAGGGCTCTTCAGCCCCCACATCATTCTACTACGCCAAGGACATCGCCTACCTGGCCCATGAGCCTGTCCTTGGAAAGCTGCGTGAGCACAAGAGCTTTGCCAAGAAGCTCAGCAGGGCTGTCGGTCGGCGCGAGTGGGCGCTGGCGCAGAACCTCAAGGAAAACGAGCCGGTATACAGGCTGGACCACATCATCAAGCAGCGGTACCCCACCTTTGACGACTCGCTCAGGGACCTTGATGACTCGTTGTCGCTCCTCACGCTCTTTGCCAATCTACCCTCGCAAAAGTCGGTCAAGGCGGACACAGTAGAGCGCTGCTCGAGGCTCTGCGCCCAGTGGCAGCTCTACGTCATTCGTTCTCGGTGCCTGCAGAAGGTCTTTCTCAGCATCAAGGGTGTCTATTTCCAGGCAGAGGTCCGCGGACAGACGATCACTTGGCTCGTCCCATATCTCTTCACCCAATACATTCCCGCCGACGTCGACTTCCGCATCATGTCGACGTTCCTCGAGCTGTACCAGACGCTGCTCGGCTTCGTCCTCTACAAGCTCTACACCGATATGAACCTCGTCTACCCACCACACTTTGACGAGAGCCAGGACGAGCAGGCAGCAGGTTTCGGAGCATTACGGCTGACAGAGGCTGGCAAGGCTGCGCTCGATGGGCTCGGCGGCGAAGGGCAGGGAGGCGCAAAGGGAAGGCTTACGAACGGCGCGGCCGCGGCAGGAGCAAAGAAAGTCTCGGCAAGAGAAGTGCGCGAGCAGATTCAGGCTATCGCGAAGTCAGCGCCGGCACAGGATGATCAGGAGGTGGGGCAGGACGAGGAAGAGGAGAGGGAAGCGGCCGCACAGGTGCAAGCGCAAGGACAGGAGGAGCCAGACGAAGACTTCACCGAGCAGCCGTCTAAGAGTGTCGATCAGGCCTCTGCTGGACCGTCGCTCACCACCCTCGCCCAGCTCGACTCATCATCGTCGAACAGCGTGCAAAATACCCTCTTTGCGCCCTACTACTTTTACATCTCGCGCGAATGCCCCCGCGGCATGCTCGAGTTTGTGCTCCGGTGCTTTGGCGCTTCGTCGGCCCAGATTGGCTGGGACTCGCTCAGCGGCGGCGCTGGCTCTGCCTTTGACGAGTCTGACGAGCGCATCACGCACCACATCGTCGACCGGCCGCCTCATGCCCGATTCACGCGCGAGCACGGCGGCAAGCGGGCCTACGTGCAGCCGCAATGGGTCGTCGACTGCGTCAATGCAAAGAAGCTCCTGGCGACGGGGCCCTACGAGCCGGGCAAGACGCTGCCCCCGCACCTCAGTCCGTTTGTCGACAACGAGGCCGTGAAGCGGAGGGGTGGCTACGTGCCCGCCGAGGCGAGGGAGGTGCAGGAGAGCATGCAGGAGGACGAGGAGCAGGGCGAGTCTGCAGACGAGGACGACGACGAGGAGGAGGAGGAGGAAGGAGCAGATAGGCAAGCAGCAGACGAAGAGGAGAACCCGATGTTGTCTGCCCTCCTGGCGGACCCGACCAATACGGAGCTGCTTTCGGCGGCCGAGCTCGAGGCGGAGCAGGCTGGCGGCGAAGACGCCCTTGGCGCACTGCATCGCGCGCACGAGGCCGCGTTGAAACGGGCCGGGCACGGCAAGAAGACGTCTTCTACGGCCAAGAAGGGCGCCGAGGACGCCGACGAGGAGGAAGCAAAGAAGATGGCAAAGATGCTCATGAGCAACAAGCAGCGCAAGCTCTACAACAAGGTCAGCCTCGGGGCTGGCCGACGAGGCGAGGAGAGGGAGAGGCTCGAACGCAAGAAGATGGCGTTGCAAAAGGACAAGGCCAAGGCCACCAAGAAGAAGGTCTGAGGAGTGGTGGATTGTCACATTAATGTCACTACCTGTTATATTGAGATTGCTCTGTTTGTGTGAAGGGTGGAAGGAGGGAAGGGTGTATTGATGAGACCGGCTCGAAGCCTAGGGGTTGGGTCCGTTGCCCAGGTTGACGTTCTCGAGGTGCTCCGTCGAGGTCGCAGAGCGCCTTTTGCCGATGCCGTCAGCTGATGCAAGAGGGGTTTGAAGAGAGGTGAGACTCACAGCATCATGTCCCACGCAAAGCACTGCAATGAGGAAATCGTCGGGACAGTGCGCAAAGTAGGAAACGCTGAAAGTGAGCCACACTCACGACGACAATAGACTCTAACACGGTCAAAAGGACGCTGCTGTCATGACTGCAGCCGTGGTGGCCACAGGGAGAGTGTGACTCACATGCTCAGGCATGCCATAGGGCGTGACTGCGTCCTTGCTCGCACTGAACTTCTCTCGCGGTTGGATCGGCGCGGCCGTAGGCGTCGAAAAGCGTGCTGCAAACTTCTCTGGCGTTTCTTGGCCTGCGGCTGCGCCTGCCCGGTTGATGAGTCCGCCGCCGCCATTTGTAAGGCGCTGCTGTGCAAAAGTCCAGCCAGGGAAATTGGTCCACACCGGTAACTCCTCCTTTCTGCTGTCTCCCCTCGTCAGCGGCGAGAGGGGACTCGGAAAGGCACCTGGCATGCTGCCGCCCCTCTCGATCTTGCGCTCCGTCCACCTGACTTCCCGCGGCCTCTGGCTGAGATCCCACCCCCTCGTGGGTCCATCGTACCGCCTGAGTCCGACGGGGACGTACGCCTGCCTGTATGCGTCCTCCAACCGAACTCGATCGCGCAAGCCCTGACCATGGCCAAAGTCCTCCTCGGCCGCCTCGGCACGCCTTTTGCGCTCATCAAGCTCGCGCGCATCATAGGGCCCGAGCGGGACAGCAGCTTGCAGGCGGCGCTGGGCGTGAGTCAGCTTGTCGTAAGCCTTGCGTGCGGTGCGTGACGAGGCCTTCTCGCGCTCGAGTTCGGACGCCACGGGCCCAGGCTGTCTCGGACGTGCTGAAGCGGCGATGGATCCAAGGTGGCGTGCGTAGCTGTCTGCCCATGCTCGAGGCGGTGGGGCTGCTGTCACAGATGGATATGCAGCAAAAGAAGCTGGCAAAGACGGCAGGAAGTGAGGCATGGTGGGCATCGGCACAGGCTCTGCAGAATGTCATTCTCCTTAGCTTTACCGTCTCTCAAACCACACTCTCATCCTAGCAGAAGACACACCTTGCGCATACACGGCATCACTTTGCCAGCCTGAGAAAAGAAAGGAGCACTTCATTAACACCTTTCTATGCACATGAATGAGGAAGCTACAAGATCCACATACCATTCGAAGCCATCATCACCGGGGTAGGTGGGAAATGAGGCTGACCAGCCTCAGCCCAGGAATTCTGCAGCATCGCTGGGTCAGGAGCATATTCAGAGCTGAAATTTGGTGTTGCGGCGCTGAAGTCGTGTGGCTGGAAGGGGGGCCATCCGTGCATTTGCAGCTCCTCATCGACCGATTGGTCAAGCTGTGCGTTCCACTCGCGCTCTTGCGAAGACTTTGGAAAAACGGGAGCATCTTGAGAATTCTGGGGAGGACTGTTGTGCTCACGACGAGTGTCAGCGACTTGCGCGGGCAGTGGCTCCTGGCTCTGATAGGAAGGAGAGGTAATGAAGCTGGGAAGCGGGGGAAGAGGAGCCGGAGAGTAGTAGCTGAACGGGATTGGTGGCGACAGGTAGGGCGCATAGGAGAACTGGGGTGACAGTGGCAAGGAAGGTGAGGCCTGGGAGTAGAAATGTTGAGGAAATGTCGGGATAGGCATCGGCATGTACATCTGTGGCAGCGGAGGTGGGGCCATTTGTACCGCAAAAGGAGGAAGGTGTGACGGTGCTTGCGGCTGAGGCATGGGTACTGGACCTCGTGCTGGACCATAGGTGCTTCTGAAGCCGCCCTTGACCGTGGTTGCATCGTCTTCGTCTTCGCCTGCTCCTCTGTCTCCCATCGACTGCATCTGTTCCTGTCCCTCTTCCCCGTTCTCAACGACTGATTCTGCCACGGAAGAGGATGAAGCACCCATGATTTTCTTGAGTGTGTCCTTTAGCATACCGCTAAGCTGGGCAGGCTCGATCCTCTCCCAGCTTGACCGTGGAATCGTCGAGAGCAGCTCGCGGACGATCATTCTGGAGGTGAACCGTATGCGGTCCGTTTGCGTCGCGTTGGGCGGCAGCACCAGGTCGGTGCTCCAGAGCGAGGAGCTGACTGCGGACGAAGACGCATACGTCGAAGAGGGCAGCTCGTATCCGCGTTGGTGGTTCGGCATGATGACCGATGGTGGCCACTGCCATGCAGGAATGGGCATCTCGACGACCTTGCCCGGAAGCACCGTTGATGGCATCGAGACGGGCGTTGCGCCCATCTGCCACGCTGCCGCCTCACGCTCGGCCATGCTGAGGTCGGGTACCGGCATGGGGATGTGAGGTGCGATTAGGTGCTCCTTGTGGCCTGACGGTCGAGGCGGTCTGTCCTCCTCTCGGTCCTTTCGGTCCGCTGCCTGGTTCGTGGGAAGCACAGGCACTGGCTCTGCTATTCGCGTGGGTGCCGGCGATGAGGTTGGCAGATCAGGGGCGGGCATCTTGAGTGGCATGTATGAGACTCCTGGCCTTGTTGGGCTCTGCTGGGGCCCTTTCTTCGCCTCTCCTGCCACTTCTTGAGATAGCTCTTTGTTTTCTTCGATAGGAAGCTCAGGCACTGGCATCGGAGGGGCCAGCTTGATCTCGGGCACCGGCATCAGAGGAGGCGGCTTCATTTCGGGCACCGGCATCGAAGGAGGCTCTTTGTGTTCCGGCACTGGCATCCCAGTCGGGCGGCTGACTTCAGGAATTGGCATCGAAGGGCCCTGCCTGATCTCAGGAATCGGCATCGAGGGAGGCGGCACTGGCTCAGTGACGGGCACGGTGGGCACGGGCATCGCTGGGCCGCCAGTCGTGTCGGGGAGTGGCAGCATGGGTGTGGGCATTTGTGGTCCCACCACCGCCGCCGCCGCTGCTGTTGCTGCTGCTGCTGCTGCTGCTGCTACAGTTGCTGGCTGTGTCGTGGGGACTGGGAATTGTGGTATGGGCTCAGGTATGTGCGGCGTGGGCATGGCCAAGCTTGCGCCAACCAGTGGCTGGGGCATGGCAATCGCTGGATCAGGACCGCGAGCGTCGGCCAGTGCTGGCGAGCCAGTTGTTGCTGCTTCGAGCGACTCGCTGGTCGAGTTTGGCTTCCTCAATGCCGGTGCTGCAATTGATGCCGTCATCGCACTCGACTCCAGCGGTGCTTTCTTAGACTTGTCCTCTTTTCGCTTGTTGTGGCGGTCACCAGACTGCGGCTGCTGCTTCTTTGTCTCGGCCGCGTTTTCATCGAGGCGATTGCCACCGCCGAGCCCAAGCTCGAGCAAGTCGCTCGCCAGTTGCGACTCCACGTTGGCAGAAGACGGCCCTTCGCTCGGGTGCGGCAAAAAAGCCAGCCCCTGTCCGTGTCCGTGCCCGTGACCATGACCTTGTCCGACGTTTGCTGGAAGTGTCGGCGAGGACTTCGGAGTGCTGAGCATCTTCGTCTGCAACTGCTCTTGCATTGCGGTGACGACGGGCGAATCGACATAGTTGTAGCCCTTGTACGGATCCTTTGCCTCCTCTTTGTTCTTCTGCTCAGCCGATGATGAAGAAACATCCGAGACGCTCTCGACTGTCGTCGCCTTTGGCTTGTGGCGCTGGGCCATTTTGACTGTGATGCTGCTACTGCTGCTGCTGTTTGAGTCGAGCGAGGGACTGCGCTTGTTGTCGTCGCTGCTGCCGCCGCTGCGTCGCCAGGCCTCAGCGACAGCGAGCGAGGCGGTGCTGGGAGTAGTGCGCGCTGATGGGGAGAGCTCGAGGGTGTGCAACGGGAGTAGAGGAGTCAAGGGGAACGCTGCTATTTCTACACTCTCCTCAGCAGGCGGCGATCGACGACGGCGAGGCGACATGTAGGAGTCAAAACGGGCGACAAGGGAGAAGAAAAGAGGGCCTTGGTTGAATGTGGCGCACAGAGACACAGAAAAAGACAAGGAGAACCCCCGGCCATGGGGTCATTGCACCGCCCGCGCGCGCGCTCTCTCGCTCAGCTACTCGGGGCCCACTACTTCATTCAGCGCTCGCTACACCGTTCAGCCCAGCCAGGCTCCAGGGATCGAGACGGAAGCCCGCGTTCCCCTCGTCGGGCCACTGAGTCCGCTCACTCAGAAAGGAGAGAGAGACAAGCAATAACAGAAAAAGGGAAGGGGAGCAGGAATATTCATTAAATCACAGCGCATGCAGAGAATGGCGCGCTCAGGCACACTCCTCGTCGGGGTAGACGGCCACCTTGGCACCGTGACCGGGCCGAATATAGCCTCGGTTGAATGTGGCCGATCCAAAGTAGGGAAAGGCGACTGTGAAGAGAAGAGATCAGTCAGCGGTGAAGGAGACACAGAGGGGGAGACGGAGACAACGCACCGTGGCCAGCCTCGTCGACGCAGATTGCGCCACCCACGCCGCCCAGGTGGCCCATCTCGTCGATGGCGTGGCGTCCAGCCTGGTCGATGTCCTCGCCCAGGAAGCGCATGCGATGAACAAGGAGCGAGGCGAAGCTGGAGCGCAGAAAGTAGTCGCCCGTGCCCGTGCCCGACAAGGCCACGCCCTTGAAACCACTTGGCCGGGCCGCGGCGTCCATCGATGTCGATGGTGCCCTTGCAGGCGAGGGCTGCCTCGTCTGTTTCTCTTGCTGCTGCTGGGGAGCCACTTCGAAGTCGCTGTCGTCATCGTCGCCTGTGGCTCCCACGCCGCAGAGCCAGCTGAGGGAAGGAAAAGAGAAGCCCCTGCTCTTTTTGCTGGTGCCGTCGGCCTCTTTTGGGCTTTTCTTTGCTGCATCGTGCCGAATGATGCGCGACCGTCCGCTGTCCTGGTGCCAGTACTCGGCCCAGAAGCCGGCACCGGGCGTGGGCGTGTCGCCGATGCGGCCAGGCAGCTTGTTGGTGATGCCGCCCGTGGACGTGGCACAGGCGAGGTTGCCGTCGGCGTCGAGGGCGACGGCGCCCACGGTGCCCGTCGGTCGCCAGTCGAGCGGCCCTCTTTGCTCTTGTGCGACCTCAGCTGGGGCCTGGCCAGCAGCAGCAGCAGCAGCAGCGTCGCGCCTCGTCAGCGTCGACCCTGGCTGACCACCGTGCCAGTCAAAGGTCCACAGACCCTCCATGCCCAGGTCGCCGCGGACATCGTCGTCGATGGAGTTGCGGCCGCTGGGTGTCATGACGATGCTGTCGCCATCGCCGTCGCCGTCGCTGCTGCTGCTGCTCCTCGACCGCCCCTCTTCTTTCTCGTCGTCAGTGGCCCTGCTGGAAGAAAAGACGAGCGAAGGCGTGGCATTCGACCGTGCCTCGAGGGAGCCGTACGAGGGAGGTTCGTCGAGTGCCGTCGTGCCCTCGGACAGGTCCGACGTCGACCGGCTCGCGCCGTCGCACCGGCCCGGGTCGACTTCATCAGGCAGGCCGAGTTCGCGGCAGTGCTCCAGCCAGCGCTCGCGGGTGTAGTAGTAGCTCGAGTCGACCCTGTCGCAGCCTGCGCTCCAGCCAATCTCCTCGGCGGTGCGCCCGCTCAGGATGACGTGCGGGTTCTTGCTTGCGCTCTGCAGCAGCGCCTTGGCCAGCAAGATGGGATTCCGCGTGTTGCGGACGAGGATCGCAGAGGCGCACCGCCGGTTGCGCTGTGCATCGGCCTGCCCCGCGACGAGAGGTGACAGCCGCGGCGGCGGCGGCTGGGCGACCATGACCGACGCCTCGAGCTCGTTGAAGCCAGCCTTGTTGAAGACGGCGCCGTGTCCGCTGTTGAACAGCGCATCGTCCTCCATCGACGCCACGGCCGCGCAGGCGGCGTCGAGTGCCGACCCACCCGCCTCGAGAATGGCATTACCCTGGGCGAGCGACCGGCGGAGCGCTGCTCGGTAGGCCTCTTCCTGCTCCTTGGGGATGTTGGGCTTCGCCGCGGGTCCTGCTCCTCCGTGGATCGCCAGCGTGGGCCGGTGGCTGCCCTTCCTGGCACCCTCAAGCGAGAGCTTGGGCAGCCGTTCGTTCGTCGTGACAATCATCGTCCTCTGCCTCTTCTCGTCCTACCCGGAACGGTCGCCTCTATCAGCTCGTCTCTAGCTATGCCTTATTGGAAAGCTGGCTGTGCCGTACACAAAGGAAGCGCGGCGCAGGCACAGGAATTCATTCGCACGGACTCTTGCTCAGCTTTTTTTTGTTTGCAATCAGGAAAGCTCCACGCGAGCGCGACCTGCAAATCGCAGGATAGATTCCATGTGGCCTTTCTGGGCCTCCATCGCCAATTGACAAGTCAGAGTCGCGCAACTGGTGCAGCTGTCGAGTAGTAGCAGCATTAGCAGCATCAGCAGCAGAAAAAGAGAGAGCATGTACGCGGGACCTTCGTCGTCGGGCAACCCGCTGTCGCCATCTTACCAGTCGTCGTCGCTGTACGAGGATGAGGAGCATCCGTGGGGCGCACCGCCGTCAAACACCAATTCATCGAGTGATAATGCCACGAACCCAGGCCCTGGCCACGGGGCCAACAGCAGTAGCAACACAAGCAACAACGCATTTGCAGGCTCCTCTTCGGCAGCAGCAATAGACGAGACCCCATCTTCGCTCTATGGCGATCCGGCCTCGGCGGGCTTCGCGGCCGACCCCTTTGTCGCGTCACCCTTTGCAAGACAACCCTCGTACTCTGGAGCCACGCACCCCAACTCCAACTCAACATCGGCAGGCTCAGCATACGGAGGGAACGGCTATCGCAATGGAAGCAACAACAGCGCAGACATGCAAGCGGAGAGCAGAGGTTATCGAGGAGGGCCAGGGGGAGCATCGGCAGGAGCAGGCGCAGGAGCAGGGTTCGGTGGAGCCGAAGCATCATGGGAAGGCTCGTCGCCGCCACCGCCGGCGCCCGACAAGCCCGCAGCGGGGCCGCCATCGTCTGGCTTCGCACCGCGGCCCTTCCAGTCGCACAACCCTTCGTCGATCATGGGCGACCAGTCGTCCGCGGGCATGCTCCCCGGCGGGCAGGGCCAGGCGCCCGCCCAAATCGCACCCGGCTATCCCATGCCACAGTCGTATGCAAGCGCTTACTCGCCCTTTGCAAGGGTCGAGAGCCTGAACACACGCAAGGAGAACGTGGAGGAGATGTACGGCGTGCCTGAAAACTTCCTCGAGGTCGAGGTTCGCAACGCCATGACCCATGGTGCGTCCCCTTCTTCCCCTCCACTGACCTGGCGGCTGATTCATCCTTTTCCCCTCGGCAGGCTATGGGCGCAAGATGTACACCGATTACGAGATCGTGACCAGGGTGAGATAAGCAGCCTTTGAATTGTTTACACACTTGCTCATGTCAAGGGACCCCGACAGACAAACATCCCGGCCTTTCGGGTGCGCTATTCGTCCGTGCGACGGCGCTACTCGGACTTTGAGTACTTTCGCGACATCCTCGAGCGAGAGTCGACGAGGGTCAACATTCCCCCGCTGCCAGGAAAGGTCTTTACCAATCGCTTCACCGACGAGGTCATTGAATCCCGGCGAGAAGGGCTTGAGAGGTTCCTGCAGATTGTCGCAGGCCACCCGCTCTTGCAAGTGCGTTTCTTCTTTCATGGCTGCCTCCTCGCTCCTCTCCTTTGCCTCTGCTGACGTTTCTCTCACGCACCACAGACCGGAAGCAAGGTCCTGTGTGCCTTCTTGCAAGATCCCGGCTTTGACCGCAACTCATGGATGTAGTAGTGTGAACCAGAATTCATACCGTTAACTTCAATCGCCATGGTTATCAGTCTATAGTGAGGCGGACAACAGGGCGATTGGGCACGCGAAACTCAAACCAAAACACGTGGCTGCAACTTTCCGGATTGGAGGCAGGGGGGCCGGGTGGCAAAATACAGGCTCCCTTCGACATGCAACGACAGTCTCCTAGCTATCTAATGACCTGCTTCGCCGTTCCATTCTTCACTTCTCGGCAGTCGTTTTCAGCAGCTTCATAACGCACATCAAGGCTCGTTTCAACACCAGCGGCAATTGCCCAACTATCCATCTGGCACTAGGTCAACAAGCCCGCATCTACACCATTCGGGCCACGACGCTTCAGCATCCAAGGACCTCTCTCTCTCCAATTCTTTCTTCGTGCAACTTCGCCGTTTGGGTTTTGGGTTCTTCTGGCCTCAGACCTCATCTCACATAGAGGGACGCAATCACTGTAGCAACAAGCGACGATCGGTCACCTCTAATTATCGACAAGCAAACCCCCCTCCCTTTATCCGGCTGGCCGTCTCTTTCGATATCCGCGTGACTCGAGTTCCCACCACCGTGTAACTTGCATTCCCTTTGTTGTTGTTGTATCGTTGCGCGCGCCCGGCCCCCTTTCCTGTTTCCCCGGCGTCGCCCAACTGTTTCTTTTCAGGATCCGCCAACCGCTCCGCAACCGATTAGCAGGACAGCACCATGATCGCTGCAATGAGACCTGCTGAACACCTCGCGCATCACCACCACAACGCCCATGCCGCCAGCGCGCCGTCACCACAACAACCGAGGGGCTCCGTTACTGCTGCACGGAACCAGTCACCATCACCAATGAAGAACAACAGCGGCAAGAACAGCCCGGCGATTGCAAACGCAAATGCAGGCGCGAATGCAACCGCCAAGGGCAAGGGATCGCTGCAGCGTCAGCGAAAGGCACCGGCCAACAAGCAGGCCACATCTGTCCAGGACATTTTTGAGAGCAGCAGCAACAACAATGGAGGGACTGGGCCAAATCAGTCAACGCCAGGCCTCTTGACGCTCAGCAGGCCGATTGGAGACGTGGCAGAAGACGAGGCGCCAGCACCCTCGCAGTCGCGCAAGGGAAAGAAGAAGGCAGGCCAGGGCAAGAGCGACGACAAGGACGGCAAGGCGGCCCAGCCACGCAAGAAGAAGGGCGACGAGAAACCTCCGTCGCCGTCGATGCTCTCCAAGTCGGCGCCTGTAAACGCCTCGGCTTTAGCGGCCGGCGAGACCACCAATGGCGCCGAGTCGTCGGCACTGACGTGGCAGCAGCAGCTCCTGGCAGGCGAGCCGAGCAAGGGCGCTTCTATCAAGAAGGCCACCAAGCCATCCAAGAAGGCAGCCAAGGACAAAGACAAGGCAACTGCCGGTGCAGCCAAGGAGAAGGACAGCCTGACGTGGCAGCAGGCGCTCCTCGGCTCGGGCAAGCCCCGAGGGCCGACGTTTGACGTCTTTGCCGATGCTCGCGATGCAGCCACCTTTGGCTCTTCCGGCGCCTCGACACCTACTGGCACTATCTCCCACAGCAAGGCTGCAGGAAACAAGTCAGGCGCAAAGGGACGCCAGAGGGCCGACAGTGCCGGCGAGGCATCGATGATCAACGGCCAGTACGACCGGGACCACAAGCGGGGCGCCTCGATGGGCGCCTCTGTCCACCTCGGCATCAAGCCCTCTTCGTCTGCGTCCCTGTCCTCGGGCGTGGGCGGTGGAAGCCCCTCGACGCCCGTCAAGCTGGCCTACGCCGGCCCCAACTTCCACAACTCGCCCTCGCCGGCGAGCCTGCCGATGCCCAAATTCAACAGGGGCACCCGTTCCTCTGCCAAGGGCGGCCCTTCGGCTCTGAGAGAAGTCGGCGACTCGAGCTTTGCGTCTTCTTCGACGGCGTCATCCAACGGAGACTCAGACGAGGATGACTCAAGCATCGACCCCGCTCGCTTCAGGCGCGAGCAGACGGCGCCAGCCGAGCTCACGCCCCAGGCGCACAGCTCGCCGTTTGGCCAGCCGCAGCGGGGCCAGGCCCCCTCGCCGGACCGCTCTGCTACCATCGAGACGCTGCTGGCTAAGATGATGATGCCTTCGTCGTCTTCAGGCCTGTCGCAGCAGTGACCAGCGACTCTCTTCCTGTCCTCTGATCGATCCGGAACCGCCTTTTCTTTCCAATTATTCTCGACTTCACGTTCCCACGATTCTGCCGTATTGCATCATTCGACTCTGATCGATATCCGACGGCTTTCTTCGCGCCCGCTGTTCTCTCGCTTCTCGCCTTCTCTTTTTCTCGACTCAGGTTCCGCTGCTGTTTTTGTGTGGGTCAAGAGCTTGCAAATGAAAAGACGCATCTTGACCCGTGGGCGTCGACGACGAAGGAGGTCTCTCTTCTCGCTATGCTGCGAAGTCGAGCCTTTCTTCACTCTTCGCGACCCCACTCTTTCTTTTCTTCTTCTTCTACTTCTTCCAACCTCGCGGCAATGTCGGCTTTTCTTCTCTTCTTCGCCGGCTTTCTCACTCATCTGAGACGCAACGACGCCGTCCTCTCGCGACATCTTCAAGGCGGCGCAATACGGTCTTCTCCTCCCACACCCACACCGATACCAACACATCGACCACCGGCTTACACAGCCTTCTCCTTGCCCTCCTCACTGCCCCTCACGTCCACAAACGTTACCCTCTGACACGATCCCGTCTTCCCTACCTTCCATCATCTCACTCACTCTCCACGACTTTACCCTCCCCATCTTCCCACATCACCCCATTCACCCATTATTTCCCCCAACATCTGTACCCCTTCACCTCCCTCGCACGGCTTCTGCTCTAGGAGTCCTCCTGGTTGTATCGCATGAAGCAATATCACTCCATCCACTCGTTCTAATGCTGTTGTCCATTACACCAAGATTGTATGCCTCTAGACGAGAACAGGGCTGTCAATGACGCTGTAGCCCACGGCGACGCCACCTTCGTCGCTCTCGCGTGCTTTTGTCCTCAGCAGGTGGCCCCCGCTCTTTTCGTGCACAATGTCGACGCCTCCTGGCCCACTTTGCCCTTCACGAAAGAGGACGGCGCCAAATGCGCCCAGCTCCGAGATGACGTCGGGCGCTAGGATGGCCGACTCGCCGGGCGTGGCGCTCCCTAGGCCCGCGCGGATCAGGTGGTTGCCCGTCCCCGCCGGCGGCCGGATCAGGCGCATGAGAATGTAGCCCTCGCGCTCCTTGACCGCTGAATCTGCCCCTGCCCCTGTCTCTGTCCCCGCTCCTGCTGTTGCACCCTTGGCCGCATCCCGGGCGTCCATTGCGGCCAGCGCCGGCGGAATGTCGGCGCGATAGATATTGTTGCCGCCGCCCTCGCGCTGGGGCTTCATGACAAAGTCCTCGGGCGTCGTCTGTGCCAGCGCCAGGCCCTTTTTACCAAGCTCCGACGAGTCGAGCGGGTACATGTCCATGAAGCTCGCGCGCAGCTGCTGAATCGCAGTGTTATTGTCGCCGCTGCTGCCGAGGAGCGACTCGAGGAGGTTCGGCTCGCAGAGGACCTGCTGCACCTTTTTGGCGCCCGCCAGCTGCAGCGCCACGGTCGGGCACTTGATCGCCAGGGACCGCTCGAGGAGGAGGCGCGTGGCCCACTGCGCCGCGCCGGGGTAGTCGGCGGGGCTGTAGCCGGCACGAAAGTAGACGACGGAGATTTCTTGCGATGGCGTCTGCCCCGGCAGTGAGACGAGGAGGCGCCGCTCAGGGCCCTCGAGAACGGCACCGTTGCCCGAAAGCTGGTCGAACGTGGCGCGCTGCACCTTGATTCCTCTGCGGTCGCAATGTTCTTCTAAGCTTCTCCATTTCAAGGTTGAATTAGGGCGAGCACTCACCGCTCAGACAGGCCGTACTCGATGAGACGCTGGTCAAATACGTTTCGTTCGCCGTCCTGCACGACAAAGAGGACGACCGGCGCGGTGCCTTCAGGCTTGTGCGACACGACGTAGGCTGTATGCGCCGCCGAAAGGCCATCGACGAGTGTGTCCAGCGCCTCGTTGCGCGGGATGTTGGCTGCGTTTGTGAGATGCGGCGAGACGTTGCAGAAGCCCGTTGTTTGTGCCAGATATCTGCTCAAGACGTTCCATTAGCCTGCTGCAATCTCAGCCAAGGGAATGAGTAAATGGAAGCACGCACCGATGCATGTCTGCGACGCGCGTGCAGAGCGCGCCAAAGCTGCTCGAAATGGTGTTGAGCTCGACCTGCTTGATCTGCAGCCCCTGCTCAGGGTCCTCGTGGAGGAGGTAGTCCGATCGAAAGAGACCCAGGTGCAGCTTCTGCACAGCGCCCTCTTTCCGAACGGCCGTGTAGATGTCCCAGAGCGCCTTTTGAAAGTCGTCGACCTGAATGACGCTGCCGCCAATGACGCGGGTCAGGAGGGCATCGTCAGTGGAGATGCGCGCATACAGGGCATTGTACAGCGGCTGCAGCGCCTGCGAGGCGGCGTAGAGGCTGCGTGGAAAGGGGGAGGGAAAGAGCGCGAGGGGCGCATGGATCGCCGAGTCGAGCGCAGGGCCAGCTGAGCCCGCCGGCACAGGAGGGCGGTAGAGGATGGAGTGGGAGAGCGCGTAGTCGGTGGCAGTCTGCGACAGGTAGGCCAGCTGCGCCTCATTGGCCTTGGGCGGCCACTGTGGCAGCCTTGCCGTTGCCATTGTCGCCTAGTATCCTATGTCCGGGTCCTCACAGTCCGGACCAGGAAGAAAGGTGGCTCGAGCTCGCACAGGGGAAGCGCACGTGACGCCAACGGGTGATCGCGGACGCACGGAAAAGGCCTTGCTTTTTCGCACCGGCCGGCGAGAAAAATCGGGGAAAAGAAAAAACTACCTCCCCAAAAATAAAAACCAGATAGGCAAAGGCAGTCAGGCGGCCGCTTCCTCGTTTCTCCGTCTTTATCAGATTCGCTCCTATCCTTCTTCTGAACGACGACGACGACGGACAGCCCCTCTCTCTCAGGCACTGGCTACAAAAATGACGGCTGCTCTTCGTGGTATTTCCATGGCGTCCCGGAGCGCTGCCATGAGGGTGAGTGGCTTTTTATATGCGTCGACGAGGCGCGCGCGTGGCCTTGCCGGTGGGCCTCCACGTTGACCCAGACCCGCGCTACTGTGCTGTGCTCTCCAGGTCCCCGCCCGAAGGCTTGTCCAGGCACCGACAGCCCTTGCACCTTCCCGAGCCTTTACCACATCGCTGCGCATTATGGTGAGTCAATCTTCCCTTTTACTTTGCACGAATGTCTGTCTGACGCAGCAGCAGGCTGGAGGACACCGGACAGAGAAAGACACATTCGGGCCACTCGAGGTGCCCGAGGACCGCTACTGGGGTGCCCAGACCCAACGGTGGGTAGTCTCTTTCTTTTGCAGGCGCAGGCAGAGTGTCACGACTGATTGACGGACGTGAACACAGGTCACTGCAGAACTTTGACATTGGCGGGCCACAGGAGCGCATGCCCCTCCCCTTGATCCAGGCCTTTGGTGTGCTCAAGAAGGCCGCTGCCCACGTCAACAAGACCTATGGCCTGGATGCCACGGTGGCCGACGCCATCAGCCAGGCTGCCGACGAGGTCATCTCGGGCAAGCTCATCGACCACTTCCCCCTCGTCGTCTTCCAGACTGGCTCGGGCACGCAGACGAACATGAACACCAATGAGGTCATCTCCAACCGCGCCATTGAGATCCTCGGCGGCAAGCTCGGCTCCAAGGACCCCGTCCACCCCAACGACCACGTCAACATGAGCCAGAGCAGCAACGACACGTTCCCCACGGCCATGCACGTCTCGGCCGTCCTCGAGATCACAAAGTCGCTCCTGCCTGCCCTCGAGGAGCTCCACGAGGCCCTGGCAAAGAAGCAGGCCGCCTTTGAGAACATCATCAAGATCGGCCGCACCCACCTGCAGGACGCCACGCCGCTCACCCTCGGCCAGGAGTTCTCGGGCTACGTCAAGCAGGTCGAGAACTCGATTGAGCGTGTCAAGGGCGTTGTCCCTCGGCTCAGCCTCCTCGCCCAGGGCGGCACGGCTGTGGGCACGGGCCTCAACACCTACAAGGGCTTCGACTCCAAGGTCGCTGCTGAGATTTCCAAGCTGACGGGCGTCCACTTTGAGACGGCCCCCAACAAGTTTGAGGCCCTCGCCGCGCACGACGCCATCGTCGAGGCCAGCGGTGCCCTCAACACCGTTGCCGTCAGCTTCATGAAGATTGCCAACGACATTCGCTACCTCGGTTCGGGTCCCCGCTGCGGCCTGGGCGAGCTGTCGCTGCCCGAGAACGAGCCCGGTTCGTCGATCATGCCGGGTAAGGTCAACCCGACGCAGTGCGAGGCCCTCACGATGGTCGCCGCCCAGGTCATGGGCAACAACACGACGATCAGCGTCGCCGGCTCCTACGGCCAGTTTGAGCTCAACGTCTTCAAGCCAGTCCTGATCAAGAACCTGCTCCAGTCGATCCGGCTCCTGGCCGACGGCGCCCGCTCCTTCACCAAGAACTGCGTCGTGGGCATCGAGGCCAACGAGGACCGGATCGGCAAGCTGCTCAATGAGAGCCTCATGCTCGCCACCATTCTCAACTCGCACCTCGGCTACGACAAGGTGGCGCAGTGCGCAAAGAAGGCCCACAAGGAGGGCACCACCCTCAAGGAGGCCACCGTCACCCTTGGCTACCTCACCCCCGAAGAGTTTGACCAAAAGGTCCGGCCGGAGCTCATGCTGGGCCCCGACGAGCCGCCCAAGTAGTAGAGGCGGCCCTGCATGTAGAGCAATCAACCCCCCTTAGATGGAAAAAATTAAAGTAATGGATTTCTTCTTTTTTTGGCAGCCAAGATGGTGAATGCTGCCGGTGCATATAGGTTATCATCGCGAGTGATCGGGTTCAAATGATAGCATACAATTGTGGTACAGTACAGTGAGAAGAAATAGTCATTCTGGGCGACATGTTGCTACGCTGGGTCCATCTCTCTCAGGAAGCCCCAAGCGGGTCCACTCTCGAGCCCGTTTCCACGCCGTTCCCACGCCTCCCACAGGTCTCGTTCTGTCACCGGCGTCGCGAGCCAGGCCACGGCTATGGCCGCAGCCACCACCAGCGCACCAGCGAGGGCGGCAGGCCACAGTTTGGCCGCTGCTCCTTGCGCATTGAGCGTCTTGGCCGCCTTGGCTCGCTCCTCGTGCGCCTGCTCGTCGTCGTCCTCGTCGCGGAGCGCCAGCGCGGCACCAAACAGGTCCTCGAGGCCCGTCGGCACCTCCTTTGGTCCAAAGAATCGCTGGGGACCCAGCGTGACACCAGCAGCACCCACGTCTGCCACTGCCGGTGCCGCTGTCGTCGGTGTCCAGTCCATCTCCTCGTCCTGGCCTCCTTGCGCGAGTCCATTGTGGGTTGTGTGAGGAGACTGGAGAAGCTCGTCGAGGGCGCTGCTCATTGGGTCAGACGACGGGAGCCCGTCGGCGAGGGAGAGGGGCAGCGCGCCCGCTAGTGGGTCCGTCGCCGGTCTGGACGAGGAGGAGGCGTCGCTCAGCTCGACGGGGCGCGATCGAAGCGTGACGCGCTGCGGTGAACGCAAGCGCACTGCAGTGAATGCGTGCTTGAGGAGCTGTTGAGCACGGCATTGCGTCAGTATGAGATGAGAATCGCGGGAGCAGGCTGGCGATGGCACGGAGGGGGCCACGCACCCAAAACTGCAAAAGTAGAGAGACGAAAGACAGGGCAGGGCGTACGACTGTCTCATCGAGTGGCCAGCGCAGGGAGGGAGACAGAATGAGCAGGGTGGCAGTGCGGACGAATAGCAGGCTGTGCTGGGTGCCGAGCCACACGTCGAGGCCCTGGATCCGTCTGTGATCGGCGTCGGCAAAGAAAAGATGGCTTGGATTGTAGGAGAGAGAGACGATGCTGAGCAGGATGCTGACAACAACGAGGCTTGCGTGAGCTGAGGCGGCGCTCGACGAGACAGGTCTGACGAGGCCTAATCGTCATAGTCAGCATGCATAGCCTGTCCAGACTGAAGAGTTGAATACCCACCGTGAAGTGCGACCAAGAAGCCAGAGACGGTGCAGAGGAGCCAGACGAAGCCTCGTGCACTATTCCCCCCTCGTCGGCCCGTCTTCTCTTCATCGTCTGGGCGACGCGAGCCGTTAGTCTGGTCGTCTTTCCTGGCTCGCCGCTCGAGAAGCGACTTGTAGATGAGTTGCCGTGCCATGCGGTCCTTCTCCTCGATGCGGGCCTGCACCATGGGCTGGCATGCTTTGCACAGCGGCGGGTACCTCCTCTGGAGCGCCTCGCGCCACTCGCGCTCGCGCCCATGTCCGACGTCGTCCAGGTCAGACTCACCCTCGGCGTCGTGCGAGGCGAGCATGGACAGCACGAGCGTCTGGTTGGTCTGGCACGTGTGGCAGAAGAGCGACTTCGACTTGATCGGCGCAGAAGCAGAAAGAGGGCGAGAAGAAGGCGGCGGCGGCGGCGGCGAAGCGACGCACGCCATCGACTCGTCCCACGTCGCCAGGCCCCCAACCTGGGCGGCATCGTACCTGTTCCAGCACCTGCACGAGGAGCAGTACCACGCTTCCTGCACCGTGCCTACGCTCCTCCGCAGCGTGCTTGCGCTGCTCGTTCCGCCCAGATCGTCTTGGTGCTCGTCCGAGGGAGGAAGCGGGGGCACAATGAGGCTGACTTCGTTGCAGAAATGGCAGCGCCGCGTCGGATAGGCGCCCGAGTCCCCCTCTCCCTCGTCGTCCCCCTTCCGTCGCCGTCGTTGCCACCGACGGCCCTGTCGCCCCGGCAAGAAAGACATCATCGTCACTGCCAACAGCGCGCGCGTGACCCGTGTTTTTCTTTTGCGACGTTGGAAACAGAGGCCGGATCCAAAAAACAAAAAAATTTAGATTGAAAAAGGGCTGGTTCGACGTGCGTCGGCTCGGAAGCTCGGTCTTTTCTCGCAGCCGTACGCACGGCTATTTATCCCCCCACAATTCTTCCCCTGCTTCTCGGTCTCACTCCTGCTTGTCGCTCTGGACTTCCATGCTCCCGCGCCTCGCTGCTCTCCGCCCGCTCAGCACCGCCGCCATGTCCGCCAAGAAGAATCTCATCTCGTTCCACTACGACGTCGTCTCGGTGAGCGCGCCACCCTCCTCTTTGCTTTGTAAATGACTGGCCACTGACTACTGCCACTGTTCTTGTCTCAAAAGCCATGGTCGCTCATCGCCTTTGAGGTGCTCCTGCGCCTGCGTCCCGCCTGGGACTGCGACCTGGATCTGCGCCCCATGAACCAGAACTACATCATGAAATTCTCGCAGAACAAGCCGCCGATGTTCGTGCCCAACAAGGGCGCCTACATGTCCCTCGAGCTGCGCCGCGCCGCATCCCTCTTTGGCGTCGAGGGCCTCAGCATGCCCTCGGGCTTTCCTGTCGACACGACGGGCGCCCAGCTGGTGCTGCGTGCGCTCAAGGATGCGTCCGACAGCGAGGCGCTGGCGCAGGCCACGCGCGCATTCATGAGCGCCGTCTGGAAAGAGGACCGGCCCGTCAAGACGGCCGCCGACATCAAGGCCGTCCTCGTCGACAGCAAGATCCGCCTGCCCGCGCCGGCGAGCACAGACCTCGACGCATTCATTGCGCGGGCACTGGAGAAGGACTCGTTTGCGCGCCTCAAGGAGGAGACGCGCATCCTCGTCGAAGAAGAAGGCGCATTCGGCGTGCCGTGGATCATTGTCACGCGCGCCAGCGACGGCCGCACCGAAAAGTGGTTTGGTTCCGACCGCTTCGAGGTGCGTTCTGGCACTCTTTCTCACTGTGCAAATCCGAGAAGAAGACAAGAGAATGCTGACTCGTTTCCGCGCAGCAAATCGCCGCGTTCTTGGGCCAGCCGTACAAGGGCGTGTTTGGCGACTCGCGCATTCCCCGTCTGTAACGAATCGTATCTCCCTGGCTGGTAGTCCGCACAACACTTGCTTGTCTGCTACGCATTCATTGCTCCAAATTAACATTCATTTCCAACAGCAAAGAAAAGAGTATGTGCATGGCTCCAGAAGGAGCACAGCAGAGTCATAGGGGGTCATATAGGGAGGAGGAGCGAGACAGAGGAAACTAGCAACAAAAAGAAGAAAACACATATCCGGTCACATCGCGGGGGCGCAAAGGCCGCAAAGGAGGGTATCAGGGTCCCTTTGCCCCTTTGCCCCTTCCGTGAGAAGAGAGCGAGAGAGAGAGAGAGAAAGAGAGAGAAGAGAGAGAGATTGCTTGCTTAGGCAGCGGTGGCCTGGGCCGTCGACGTGGCAGCACCGCTGATGGCTGGTGCGACGCCAGCGGTGTTGGTAGCGGCGCCGTTGGGCAGCGTCGTCGAGCCATTGGCACCAGTGGCCGTCTTGACGGCAGCGTTGGCGGCGCCCGTCTTGGGCGTGGCGCTCGTCTGCGTCGAGGCTGCGCCGCCGACGATGGTAAAGGCAGGCGAGTGCCAGTCGGGCTTGTGCTGGGGGCCCGAGTCCTTGGCCTTCTCCTCGGCGGCGTCGAGCTTGTGCACCCAGCCGTCGGGGTGGCCCATCTGGGGCAGGATCGAGTTGCGCTTGCTCGTGGCCAGCTTGAACGTGCCCTTGCTCTCCGTCTTGGAGCCTGCGTCCTGGGAGCCGCCAAACTTCTGCTTGAGCGTGTCGAGCTTCTTGCCCTCCTCGGCGTCGCGGACGGCGACGAGGTGGTCGTTGAGCTTCTCAAAGCCGTCGCGGATGCCGCCCTCGGCCGCCTTGCAGATCTGCTTCTTGACGAGGCTCGTCGCCAGCGGCTTGGCCACCTTGGCCATGAGGTCGTGCTTGCTGCCGCGGATGGCAAAGTCGATCTTGTGGATCTTGGCCTTGACCTGCTTGACGGTAAAGACGTCGCGTCCGCCCGTCTTGGTCTCGAGCGTGACGGCAACGGTGAGGCCGTGGCCGCCGAGGAAGACGTCGGCGCTGCCCGAGTCGGTAATCTTGGGGAAGCCCTGCTTCTTCTTGACAGCCCAGTGCACGTCGCGCAGGTCCGTCTGGATCTGCGAGAGGAGCACCTTGACGGTGCCCTTGTGCTGGTCCGTGATCTTCTTGTAGGCCGACATGCGGTGGAAGTGGTGGGCGTCAATCTCAATCAGATTAGGCAGCAGGTTGGCAGGGTCGACGTTGAGGTTCTCAATGACGAGGTCCACCATCTTGTCGCTGTACTCGATCCGGGGGATGGGCACGTAGCCAATGTGGGTGAGCAGCTGGGGCAGGATCGGGTCGCGGATGTCGTCCCAGAGGTGGGGCTTGAACGTGGCCTTGCCCTCCGAGTCAAAGAAGAGGTCCTTGCCCAGCTTGTCCCACTTGGAGCCAAACTCCTTGTTGAGTGGGTCATCACCCATGGCCTTGAAGAAGTCGGCGACCTGCTGGAAGAAGTTCTCAAAGTGGGGCTGGTACTTGCCCTTTTGCTCGCCTTCGCCCGTGAAGAAGCGCTTGCCCTGGTCGCGCAGCAGCCGGCCCTGCGTGTTGGCCTCCTCCTTCATGACAAAGCCGGGCTCCTGGACGCAGCGGCGGAGGAACGTGTCGATGCGCTTGAAGAACTCCTTGAGCTCGGGGTCCTTGCCCACGTCGTTGTACAGCGTGTCGAGGGCATCGACGATGGGCTGCGTCGAGCGGCCGTTGGCAAAGCGCTCCAACAGGCGACGGAATGACTTTTGAGCCGTGTCGACGTTGTTCTCGCTCGTCAGGCTCTTGGCGTTCTGCTCCGTCTGCGTGTGCAGGTCGTTGGCCACGCCCTTGTAGTTTTCAAACGCCGTCAGGAAGTAGTCCATCGCATCCTGGTAGTCCTTGTGGCGCTGGCACTCGACGAGGACCTTCTTCAGGCGGTAGATGAAGTTGTTGCGGCGCTCCTCGGGGAAGTTCTCCTTGAAGTAGTTGACCGTCTTGTCCTTGTGCTCCTTGGCCAGGTCCTTGTGCTTGTCAGGGATCTTGGCAGCCAGCTTGTTGCCTGCTGCGGCCGCCTGGTCGGCAGCCGTCTGCTTGTTGGCCTCGACCGAGGCGTTGGGGTCCTGCGCGTCGTTGGCCGTCTGCTGGACAGCGGCGGCGACGTCCTGCTTGCCCTCCTCCTTCTTGTCGGCGGCCTTGTTGGCCTTCTTGAGCGCCTCGGGAATGTCGTCGTGGAACTCATTGTCGGGCGCCGGGTGGTCCACCGTGGCGAGCTTGTCCTCGTTGGGGCGCGCCTTGCCGGCAGCAAACTGAGCCGCATCGGCAAACATGTCGCGGCCAATGAGGCCAAAGTCGCTAAAGAGCTTGCGTGCCTCGCCGTTGCGAAGGAAGAGCTTGACGAGGGTGCGCAGCGCCTCGCTCGCCGTCTCGGCGTCCTTCTGGGCCTCGTCCTTGGACACGGGCACCTTGAGACCCGTCGCGCCCTTGTAGTCGGCCTTGGTGGTGTGGAAGAGGAAGTTCTGGAACTCCTCGTTGGGGTTCTTCTCGAGGACCATGCGGCGCATCACCTCGATGATCTCGCGGATGTCCTGCACGAGCTTGCGGCCGTCGGGGCTCAGCTTGTCCAGGTCCACGGGGCTCGTCTGCTGCGTGTAGCGGAGCGCCTTGTCGATCTGCTCATTGTCCGGGTAGCGTCCTTGGCGGAAGGCCTGGAGCACGCCGTAGAACTTCATCTTTCGGTTGACGTCGGCCTCCTTGAACTTGGCATCTTGCGCGAGCGTCACGGCATTGGCATCGACCTTGTCGCCAACCTGCGACTTGGAGGGGGCCACTTTGGACATGGTGTCGTCGATATTATTAATCAAGCCTGCCATGGGGAGATAATGCGTCAGTTGTGCTGCTCGATGATGGTATGCAGGCCTGCCTGTGCGTTCCTCCTCGACGCCAACGTGGGGGCGAAGAAAGCAGACGCCCGTGATGCGTGCACAAGCCACCTTCCTTTCATTTCATTTCCGTCGTCACTCACCTGTGCAAGGGCTTGAGGGTGTGTTTTCGTTTGAGAGAGATTAAAGTAGATGGGATATAACTGTAGCGGCGACGCAATGGTCAGCGATCCACAAGGTGATGTGCATCCTCCTCCCCACGCTCTCCTCCTACCACTCACCTAGATCCTTGGTATCGGTACAAAACTATTTCAACAAGACCCCGTGGTAATCAAAGCAAGGGTAGATGGGGGTAGGTGATGGTAGTAGTAGTGGAGCGAAGGAGAGAAGGAGGAGGTCAGACCCTTTTATTTGGTCCCCCGGGGGGTGCGAAACGACGACCAAAGTTGCCCTTGGGCTACAGTAGTTACGTACGCATCTGGACTGGCTCTTCGCAACACACAGGGTCGAACGTTTTTCGACAGGGCTGGCACTGCCCCACGGCCTCTCAAACAAGACGCATCGATTGCCTTCAATAATCTCCGCCCCTGCCCAAGAAATCTTGTCCTGATCGTGGCCTCTGTACTGCTGCTGCCACACAGTGCTCCTTCTTTTTTATGTTGTCACTGGCACAAAGGGCTGGGGGGGAGGGGGGAGAGGCGGGGGGAAGGTGCGGCAGGAAGAAATGACGACACGCTGCAGTCTGCATGCGGCCAACGTCAGCGACGCGTTTTTTCCTTCCTCGCTCGGGCCAGGCCAGTTGGCGCGCGTAGTAGATGCAACAACACAAAAAACTTTTCCCTGTGCTCTACCGCATTTGACGAGTCGTGGCCTCTCCATCCTCGTGACCTGATCAAAATCTACCACCACTCTACCACATTACTGTAAATAGAAAAGTTTTCTCTTGCGTCTCCAGGATGCACAACGTCATATGATCTGATGGGAGGCGGGCAATCGCAACTTCGCGTGCCCTTCTCGCTCCCTCGCTCGAAGGGTCCACGGTGGTCCGCTCGGCCTCTTTCATTTTGATCCGTGCGGCAACCCCAGGTTGGTGATTCATTTGGTGGCCTTACATTTCTCAACGGCCACAGAGAGTCAGTCCTCTCTAGCGGCCCTCGGACAAAGCTCCGCCCAAACAGATAACAGCCACGTCATCTGAATCCGTCATTTCACAGCGGAGGACAAACAGGATAGCTACTGCTCTTCATTTGTTGTTGTTTCAGACACCGGGGTAAGAGAGAAGAAGGAAGAGGAGAGATCCGTGGAAGAATACAACGAGGAAAGAAATCGAGGGTGGGCGAGGCGAAGGAGATGATGAAGAGAGATACTACCCAAGATACTGCTACTGATACTCATACTTGTACACGCAGAGGAGAGAGGAAAGAAGAGAGAAGCGAGGAAAAGAGAGATAGAAAGAAGAGACTAGAAATGAGAAGAAGAAGGGAGAGAGAAAGAGTAGAGAGGAAGCTACGACGAAGCCAAGTCGCTTACGTCGAGCACCACCAGGGTCCGGTCGGCCTGTGAAAGGGCAAGGTGTTGCTTGTTTGAAGATGACAGACTGCCGCGCTTCTCCTCCTGCGATTGGTTCGGGGCCTGGTCGGATTGCTGCGGCTTCTGCTCCTCCTCTTCTTCCTGCATCGGGGCGCCGCTACCGCTCTTGACCTGGTCGTCCTGACCAGAAGTGCGCTGAACGTGCCAGGTGACATCAAAGATGCCGCCGGTGCCGGCATAGGCCTTGACGAGGCTGCCGTCGGCGACGCTCGTGACAAAGAGCCGGTGGTCCATGCCTCCAGTGACGAGGAAGCGTGCATCGGGGCTGAAGCACACGCTGTAGACCGAGTCCGTGTGCTGGTCGACGACGCGGAGACAGCTGCCGTTGTCGGCATTCCAGATGCGGGCCGTTGCGTCAAAGGAGGCCGTCGCCAGGAGACGTGGGCCGCCATCGGACCTCTTGGGTGCCCAGGCCACGGCGTAGATTTCCTTGGTGTGGCCCTTGAGGACATGCCTGCACAGCTCGCTGCGGTTCGACCCCGCTGCCGATGCTGCCAATGATGAGGAGGAGGAAGACCCGTTGACCGCATCTTGAGACTCTGCTTGAATATGAGAGGTTGAAGAAGACGCAGCGGCCGCCGTCGCATCGGTTGCCTGTGTCGTCGACTCCTCATCGACGTCCATGTCTGCACTGCCGCCCCGCGCCGAGGGCCTGGGCGTTGAGCGCTCACGCTTGCTGACCTTGACGTCGCTGAGCGACGAGGCAACGCCGCTGGCCGACGACGAGGCGAGGATGGCGTCCATGCTCCAGATGCGCGCCGTCATGTCGTCCGAGACCGAGGCCAGGAGGCTGCCGGTGGGGTCGAAGCGGATCGCATTGACCTCGTCGTCGTGGCCCCGCAGTGTCTTGACCGGCTTGGTCTCGCCGATGCGGAGAATGTTGACGCTGTTGTCGGCGCTGCACGTGGCAAACGTCGCATCGTCGCCCATGCCTGGCTGGCTGTCGCTCATCGAGCCTGTCATCCAGTCAATGTCGAGGACCGAGTCAGAGTGCAGGCTGTACTGCTGCCGCACTTTGCCGCTCCCCAGGTCCCACACGATGGCCGTGCCGTCGGCAGAGCCAGTGAGGATGAGGTTGCCCTTGCGGTTCCATCGAACGCCAAAGATGGGGCCCTGATGCATCGACATGACAAGGTGCAGGTCGCCCTGCGGGGTCCAGAGCCGGAGGATGCCGTCGTAGGACCCGCTCGCCAGCAGCGTCCCGTCGGGGTTCCAGCTGAGCGCACTGACGTCCTTGGAGTGCGTCGCTGGCAGGTGCTTGCACACTGCCGGCGGTGGCGCTGCATCGACGGCACTTTCGACGCCGTCGGCCTCTGCGATTATGGCTGAGCCAAGGTCCCAGATGCGCACTGTTGCGTCGCCGGCGCCCGTGGCCAGCAGGCCGGGCACCGTCGGGTTCCAGGCCGACAAGAAGACCTCGGCAGAATGTCCACGGAAGCGGAACACGTCGGTGTCGGCCACCTCCTTGCTCTTTGCTACTGCGCTCAGCGTCGGTATCCGATTCGCCTCGGCTGCCTTGGCTGCCTTTGACTCTTTTAACGCTGCGGACGGCGATGCATTTGCTGCAGACGACTCGTCGCTGGCGTTCTTCTTCTTCTTCTTTTTCTTGCCAGCTGGTCCCCGGACTTCGTCGACAGCTGAGGCTTGGGCAGCAGCCGCCGTCTTGCCTTTGCCTCCGCCAGGACCCTTGCCGTTTCGGCCCCCATTGCCGTGGCCGTTGCTGCCGCTTCGTGGTGTCGGCGCGTCATCCTCTTCCTCGTCGCCCTCGGCAGCTGCATTGTCCTCCTCTTCCCCTGAGGCGGCATTGGGCACGGATCCCCGGCCGTTGATTCCCCTTGCTGAACCAGACGCTTCCTCGGTCGTATCCCTCCTCGCTCTCTTCTCGTTACGACTGGCTCCGCCGCCTGACTTGGCAGTCTTTCTCTTCGAAGACGATGGTCCGGGCGTCGTCTCTCTCGGGCTATCTGCATCGAGCTTCGTCTTTGACGATGCAAGCTGCGACGACGTCGACGTCGATGCGACAGCCTCCTCTGCCGCTGTGGAGCCTGTCCCTGTCCCTGTCCCTGCCTCTGCTGTGCCTGGATGGAGCCCATTGACCTTGGCCAAGGTGCCTGGCGAAGGCGCACCCATCGACGAGGCCCGCGACGTACTCTTTCTCGACGACTCGCCTCCGCCTCCGACTCGATCGGCCTGCGTCTGCACCGACATCTCCTTGCGCGTGCTCACTTCGGCCGGTGGTGGCGATGGCGTGAGCTTCCTTGGCACCGGCGTCGTCTCCTTGGACGGCGTTGGTCTCGGCTGGCCGTCGCAGACGTGTGCGGGTCCCACGAGGGAAAAGGCGGCCGAACATGGCTTCTCGCTTCCGTCCTGAGGGAGCAGAAGAGTCTCAGCATGCCTGTATTCTACCAAACTTTCTGGACACCTGGCATTTACTAACCGGATTGACATGGGCTTCGACGGCGAGATACAGGAGGCCCTTTTGGAGCACCTTGACGAGCTGGCCGGGCTCGATGACGGCCTCTTTGCTCAGCGGCTCCTCATCGAGCCGGCTCTCGTGTCTGAGCGAGAAGCAGCTGTGGTGGAAGCCTGTCGAGAGGACGGTCAGCTGCGGCCAAGCGAGCGAGCATAGAGGGAGGGGGCAAAGCAAAGTGGATCCAACTCACCTGACTCCTTGAGGTAGTGATAGATCAAGAGGTTGATCTGCGAGGCCGTACAGACTGGCGCCATGGTGGATGGCGATGCAGAGACGGGCGCAGCAACCTCTACGGCCTCCTTCTCCCGTGCACGGATTGATGGTCGCCTCTCGCCCCCGCTCTCGTCTTCTGTTGATGGACGAAGTGAGCAATAGCCTGGTTGGATGCTTCTATCTGGCGAAGTTGGACCCGGTCAGCGGCATCCGTCCTTGGCTCGACCGTAGTCGCAAGCCTGGGGCACGAGGAAGGGCTGGATGGGCGGCGAGCAAGCTCAGCTCAACGAGCCTCGGCGATCGGCGATGTCGACTGGCGACGGCCCTGCAGTAGTAGTCGACAAGTCTCAAGCTCCAAGCAAGCCAGACTCGTCGCTGCCAATAGAGCCTTCTCTCGAATGCGGTCCCCAGGAGTAATCTGCCAAATTTTATTTTTCCCTCCTGAGTGGATCGTCGATGCTGGCTTGCGACGGAGGCGAGCTGCTGATGCGACTGATAAAAGCGAATTGGGGGAAAAAAAAAGGAAGGAGGGAAATCCAAAAAGAGGAGGGGTCAAGATGGAGAGAAAGAGTCCTTCAAGAGGTAAGAGAGCGTGGTGTCGGCGAGAGCGGCGCTTCGGTTGAGGACTGTGGTCGGTAGAAGTAGGGGTAGGAAGGGTGGTGGTTGCCTCGGTTGGCAGTAGTAGTCATGGGTGAAGGTGCGAGAGCGAGGGACTGGTCGACCGAGAGGACTTATTTTTTAGAAAAAAGGAAAAGGGCAAAAAAAAAGAGCGAGAGGGGACAAAGAGAGGCAGAGTGCCGTTGAACGCGCGTGCGTCGCCTCGAGTCGTCTCGCTAAGCACACCTGGAATCATGCTGTGCAGACGCGCTCTCTTTCGCTCCCTCTCCTAGTCGTGCCTCATCCAAAGCTATCAACAGCAAACCTACCTGTCGAGCTCTCTGCAGACTCGACTCAACCCTTACACCCGCTGGTCCACTCCTAGACGAGAATCGCGAGCGCAGCAGGAGCAAGCAGCTCGTTAGTCGAATCCAATACAAGAACGTACAGCGAGCGACGCGTGGGTGGAATTGAAAATTAAGTCTCGCTAGGCCCGAGGGAAGGAAGCTAAAAGTCTCGAGAGCAAAACTTCGTCGCGCTCGCAGAAGAGACAGACAGCCAGCAGCAGCAGCAGTACAGCCCTTTCTTCGTTGGCAACGCCAGAGAGACACCATGGCCGTGCTCAATCTCGCGTCGACGGTGAGCTCGATCCCGATTGCGACGCGGAGTCTGACGGCGGCGCTGCTCTTCTTCACCCTCTTTCTCGCCCTGCTCCGGCTCACCTTGACGCCCATCGGCCTCCATGTCATCAGCTTCAGCAAGGACGACTCTGCCGTCGCCTTTCCCTGGCTCGTCATTGTCCCCGGCAGCAGCTTCCTCTATCCCTGGTTTGTGTCTTTTGTCCTGCTATGTACCTCGCGTGCTGACTCCTAGTTCGCCATCCAGGACGCTGATCACGTCGGCCTTTTGCGAGACGACGCTCATCGAGTTTCTCATCTCGGCTGTCTCGCTTCCCCTGGCCGGGCGCTACCTCGAGCGCATCTGGGGCCCGCTTGAGCTTGTGCGCTTCTCGGCCATTGTCATCGTCGGCTCCAACATCATTGCCTGGTTCATCGCCCTTGTCCTCTTTGCCGTCACCCGCGGCGAGGTGGGCATGTATGGGACTCAGTACCACGGCCTCGAGGCGCTCCAGACCGGCTTCCTCGTCGCACTTGCCCAGCTGATTCCCGAGCACCAGATCCAGCTGCTCAAGGGTGCCGTTCGCATCCGTGTCCGGGTGAGTTGCGCAAACGCCCTCTCTATGTTGGCAAGTGACGCTGACCGATGACCTCTACAGGACCTGCCCATGGCCTACGTGACGTTCTCCAACATCACCTGCCTGCTCGGCTACCCGAGTCCCTTTATCCTCATCCAATTTGGCTGGCTGCTCTCCTGGGCCTACCTTCGCTTCTTCAAGCCGGGCGAAGGGGGTATCCGCGGCGACCGCTCCGAAACGTTTAGCTTCGTCTCGTGGTTCCCGCCCTTTTTGCACACGCCCGTCACCATCATCTCCAACTTCCTCTATGGGATATTCATCAAGCTCGGCGTCGTGCAGCCGTGGCACTACAGTGCCCTCGGCGACGTCGAGCTGGGTGTCGGCGCCGGTCTTCCCGGTATGGCTGTTGGGGTGGGAGGCGCAGGCGCAGGATCAGGCGGAGCATCGGGAGGGTCAGGTGGAGGACAAGGAGGTCACGCAGGCGGCCAGGCCACGACGGCGAGGCAGGAGGCTGAGAGAAGACGGGCGATGGCTCTCAAGGCGCTCGACCAACGGGTCAAGGCCGGCGCAGCAGCCGCTGCTGCAGCCGGCTCATCGCCAGCCTCGTCCAACTCGGCCGCTGCCCGAGCTGCAGGCGCAGGCACAGGCGCACCACCACGGACACCAGCGGCAGAGACAGCCGCGCCTCCCCACCAGGAGGCTGCGAGCGAGAAGCCAAACGCGAATGGAACACCTGCTGTGCCCAAAGTCGTCGTCTCGGACTTGACACCCGCAGACAACGACCACAGCGAGGCAGAGTCGAGCGGCGACATTGGCGTGACGCCGACAAGATAGTCAAAGAATAGAGCCTTTCCTTTCCTTTCTTTTCCTTGTACTTTCCACCATGCATCTCCTGTGAACCGGAGACTACCCTCATCCCTTTCCATATAAAGCATCTTTCCACCTCCTGACGACTGCAACCACGTACTACTACCACTACCTCTACCCCTACTGCTACGTGTGGACTAGAAACGAAATTGAAGGTTGCAAGTGATAGCTTCCCTCACGCTATCATTGGCAAGAAGGTCCACATCAAAGTTCTTGTCCGTTGCCACCCTCTCGTGGGCGGCACTTGACCTTGTCGTGGTGGCTTGCGATTCCTGACGCTGCTGCCTCTAGCGGCAAAGACCGGCTCCGAATAAACTTTCTCCCGGAGAAAGATCTTGCCTTCTCGCACACGACCCTTCTCAACGTCTTTCTTGCAACACGTCGCACTCTCGCCCACACAGCTCGCCCCGTGTCGGCAGCAGGCAAGGAGGAGGAGGAGGAGCAAGGACCGAGAGAGTGGAAGGGAAGCAAATGACGCCGCAATGAAGCCCGTGTATGCGGACGCGTCGGACGTGCCGTCGCTCTCGGCCGCCTCGCTCGCGCGAGCCCGCACGACGCACACGCGTCACAAGCAGCTGCTCCGTGCCGCGCGCCGGCCACACGATGCGCCCCCGCCGCGGCCGGGCGCCGACGAGTGCTGTGGGAGCAGCTGCAAGCCCTGCGTCGTCGATCTCTGGCGCGAGGAGGTCGATGTGTGGCGGGAGCGCTGGTGGGGCGACAAGAAGGGTGGGCCTAATCTTAGTGCGACGGCGACGGCGGCGGCGGCGGCGGCGGCGGCGACTTGCAAGGTCGCAGTCGAGGGCGAGCAAAGCAAAGACAAGCACGACAGGATGCCGGGTGCTTTCTCGCTGGAGTGGTGATGCCAGGCGCGATTGCATCAGGACAGCAGAAGGAGCAACCAAGGCATAGAGCCAGGACAAGGCATAGAGCCAAGCCATCACACATAGAGACATGCAAGGGATTGACACAAAGGAAAACAGAGGCAGAGAGGCGAGAAGAGGCGAGACGAGAGACAGCACACAGAATCAGCACAGAGAAGGGTGAATGTAGGGTAGATTGCACTGCGGCTCAGGCCGGCGCGGGCGTGTCCTCGGCCCCCGGCGGCTTCATGCCCTGGCCCGTGAGGAGGCCCCAAACACTAAGCTTCATCTCGCGCAGCTGGCGTTCCTGGTCCTCCTTTGCCTGCTTGCGGAATGCCTCGACGTTGTCGGCCCAGTACCGCTGGTCCTCCATGTAGCCCTGCTGGAAGCGCTCCCGCTCCTGCTCGTACCACGACTTGGGCACCCGGCCCGACGATGCCGTGGGATCCTTGAGCCCGCCGAGCCAGCCGGAGCCCGTGTGTCTGCGGCGCCACTCGGCCTCCTCGGCCTCCTTGATCGCGCGCTGCCGGGCCGCGTGCTCGGTGGGGATGTGGGTGCCTTCGTAGGCCTTGATCGTCTGGCGCACGTCGGGGATGTTGTAGATGCCAATTGCTGGATGGTTGTGATGAATCAGTCACTTATCTCGATCAATCTTTAAGGATATGACGGCCACACTCACCCTCGAGGAAGGGAATCATCTCTACAAGGCCAGTGTCGCCCCGCTGGCCCTCCCACTTCTTGAGAATGACGGCATTTTCTGGCTGCAGCTCCACTGCCTCGGGCTCCGTGTCGAGCGCAATGACCTTGTTAAGGTCCCGGTTGAGCGCGGCAAGGTCCTTGACGACGTGGCCCTCGTCCGTCATGCGGCAGCTCTCGCGGAAGAGCGTGTAGGTGATGTAGCGGTGGTCTGGGTCCAGCTTCTCGAGCACTGGACCAACGATGTAGAAGGGCTGCCGGGTGAAGACGACAATCTCGTACCACTGCGACAAGTAGCCGAGGAAGTAGTCGAGCCCGGGCCGCTTGGCGGTGCGCCAGGCGTCCTTGCGCGACCACTCGCTGTGGATGAGGAGGTTGTCGAGGTCGAGGATGAGCGTGTAGGGCCGCTGGTACGGGTGGGGAAGCGGGTCTGGCAGCAGCTTCTCCCACGCCGGCGCCTGCAGCGATGTGTACATCGACTTGAACCGGAGCCGAAGCCGGCCGAAGAAGCTCTGTCCCAGCGGATCGTCGCCAAACTTGGTGCGCTCCTCGACCGTGTCCCACTCCCGGCCCAGGTTCACGATGCTGGCCCCAACGCCGACGAGCACGAGACCGCCGAGGATCGTCGTCGTCGTCCGCCGGCTCCGCTCCTGCGACGTCTGCCTGCTCTTCGCCCGCGCACCCGTCCGCTTCTCCTGCTGCTGCGTCTCGGCGGCGGCGACGAGCTGCGAGGTGGACGTGTCGATGTCAAAGGCCGACGTCGACCCGGCCGCCCGTGGCTCCTCGGCCTTGACGCCCGACGACAGCGCCGCGTCCTCGTCTGGATTGACGCCCCCCTGCTCCTCCTTCCTCTTTTCTGTCTGCTGGTCCCCTGTGGATCTCTCTGGCCCTGCCGGCCCCCGTCCCTCTGCGTACGTCCTCAACTGTAGCGGTTGCACCTGCGACGAGATCCTCGAGCCGACGCTTGACAGCACAAGCCGTCTCTGCATGGCCATCCCTCTTCTCCCGACGGCCATTGTCCGGAGGAGCGAGACCGATGCCGACACCGACGCCATCGTTGCTGCTGCTGCTGCTGCTGTTGTTGCTGCTGCTGCTGATTGGCTTACGACTGATGCCTCGTCGATGCAGAAGATCCATCGCCCTTTCTCTGACCAAATTTTCCCTCGCCCGAGCGCTGCACGTGTTTCCGACCTTTTGAAAAAAATAGAAAGGGAGCGGAAAAGAAAGAAGCGTCTTGCAAAATCTCTTCTTTCCTCTCACCCTTCAACACGCCCGTCGGACGCCGGTTCGAGCAGGACTCGTGAGTACAGCGCTTGCGAAAGAAGCGCTCCAGAAAGAGAGGGGAGGCTTGGGAGCGATGAAAACAGGTTTCACGCTTGATGCCAACTGAAAGCGTATCCATCAAAATAATATCTGAATCACCTGACCCAACCGAAAGCCTCCTCTTCCTCTTGTCTCTTGTGACGGAGCACCTGGCTGACCGCGAGTTTGCATTCATCAGAGAGAAGCGTCCGCCGGTCCAATGGCGTCGTGCGCGAAGTAGAGAGCCAGCAGAGCAATGCGTGAGTAGAGCCAGGGCAGCAGAAGAGCGGCGAGGAGCGGGGCTGGGACAATGATGCCGGTGAAACAATCCGGTCAAGCACACATACAAACTAGAGTCTCGCGGTCCTGGTTCGCGTTAACAGCACGCTCCTGAGTCTTGCCCATCGATCCTCTCTCTCTCACATGCACTCTCTTCGTACTGTCTGTTGTTTGTGCGAGCGCCGAGGCTGACTTTCGCTTCGCTCCGCAGTTGCTCGCTGCGTCTCGCCATCCTCCCCACTCGCAGGCCGGGTCGCCACTACATCCTACAGTGAGTACCCCTTTGAGGCCGCCTCGCCATGATTATTTCAACATCTCAAGATGCTGGAAATTACCGTCCGACCAGTCACCTCAAAAAGAGGGGCTGGGTTAGTGAGGATATTTAAAGGCTGATAAATGAGCTCCATTCCATCTCTCTTTCTTCTCATCGAGCGAGAACGACATGGCTGACGTTGTCTGTGTTTCCTCAGATGAGGTCGTACTATTACGTGACATGGACACGGTCATGGCGACCGCTTGTATGATAAGAATGGTGAGTTGGTCTGTTGCGCTGCTCCTCTACTCTCATGTGATGATACAATCACGACGGTCTGCGTATACGGGGCCATCAACCTCGATTTTGCTGCCGAAAAGGCCCGAAACCCAATTTCTCCGGGCAACCCTCCTGATTTTTGCTCTTCTTTTCTCTTTGTCTCCTGTGCCTGACTGACATCAGCGTAGCTCCTCGTCCAGGTCCGCCGCCGCAACGTCATGCTTGAGGACGCGGGCGCGGTATACGGCATCGAGCGTCTCCTTGTCTTTTGCGAACCAGGTCAGGTCGGCCTGCATGTATTTGTAGCCTTTAGCATACATCAACAATCATACCCTCTCATCCTACGCACGATGTCCCCTGCCTTGATGCGTCTTTCTGAATTGACTTCGTTGAGCCTCGCCATTGCTTGTCGAGCTAGCGACGTGGCTTGTCAGCCAGTGACCAGCGCGCGCACCTTCTCTCTCTCTTTACTCACCGCCAGCATCGTCGATTTCGGCGAGAAAGGACACATCAAAGATCCGCGCGAGGATCTGCCTCTTTTCCCGCGACTGGGCCGCATCCGATGCGTTGCTGATGCTACTGGCGGTGGCGCTCTGCAGCCACCAGGCCCGCTGCATTTGGTATTGCTCTGCCGAGATGAGCTTGCGAGCGAGGGCCTCTTCGAGGAGAAAGGCTTCGATGTCTTCGTTGCTGTCCAGGACGTTGAATCTGTCGATAGGGTGGTGCTTCCTTTGGAATCACGAACGGAGCTGGCTTTTAGCTGGAGGGGTGGGACTGACAGGCAAACACACTAACGTGAGGAGGATCTGAGGAAGCGTACACTTGCGTCAGACAGAGGCACATAGGAAAGCGAGGCAGACAGAGAGACACTTGCATAGATCATCAGACCGATGCACCAGACATCGTGCTGTCGAGAAGCCAAATGTGAGGGCGAAGTACAGACAGGCAATCGCTGAGGCATCACCTACGGCAAAGGGGTCGTAGCATGTGTGCTTGGTTTTGGCCAGGAGGGCATCGGGCGAGAGGTAGTGCACCGTGCCACCGACGGAGGCGCTGCGACCCCTTGGGATGTGCTGCCGCTCTCCCGCCTGGTCTACGCGTTCCGTCTCCTGGTTGGCCGAGGCAAACGCCATGCCAAAGTCGGCCAGCTGGACATGCGGATAGCTGTCAGGGCTCGAGATGACGAGGATGTTCTCAGGCTGTGCAGCGTCAGGGTATGTGAGCAGACCTTCTACACCATCGCTGCCGCTGCAGCCTTTACCTTGATGTCTGTCATCCATCATCAAATTCAGTCTCGTGGATGGTGCCATGAGGATGACTTTAGCTCATACCTCGGTGGGCAATCTCCAGACTGTGAATGTGCTGCAATGCTTCGACGATCTGCATCAAAACGACTGGCAACATAGAGCGAAAATGAAAGCAGATGAGATCTCATGCCGTGTTATGACCAGCGTCGCACCCACACTTTGTCTCGAGGTGAGGGAAAACAGCACGGATCTGGAGCAACTCGAAGAGGTCGCCTCCTGTGGCCAATGTGCAGAAGATGTACCTGCGCAGAGAACCGTTCTTCGAGTCAGCAAAATAACCGGCTCTCGACATGCTTTTCCTGAAATTGAAGACCGACAATCGCTCCTTTGACTGAATCTTATCATGTATCTTGTTGATGTTGGGCTGCACAGTGATGAGCATCGACCGACCGTGCTCAAAATGAAATGCTCACATGCGAGATCTTCTTGAGGAGCTGTGTGTCGGAACATCAAACGGTGAGCCGTTCTATGTCTCAAGCGAGACCAAGATAAGGGGTTCACCCACGGCGATCTCTTGTCGCAGCTGCCGCGTGCTGATCGAGGAGCGCTTGAGCATGGCCAGGTCCTGCACCTTGCACGCCAGCTGCCGATGCGTCTCGGTGTCGTGAGCCAGAAAGACGGCGGCGAACCCTCCACTGCGTGTGTATGCATTAGCACCGTCGATCTTCAAAGCAGGATGTCAAAAGCCTTGCTGATTTTCACGCACGTCCCTAGAATGCGTGAGTGGACGATGTACCGTCCCAGGACTGCCTCGCCCTTCTTCTTGTCCGTGAAGGGGTGCTCGCCGCTGCGGTACTCGAGCGCAGGCGTGTTTCTTCCAAGCAGGCGAATCTGGTCGCCATCGTTGAGCACGACTGCCTCACCGCGCTTGAGATGTACGCCGTTCCAGAGGATACCGTGGCGAGACGTGTCCTTTGTGCCCAAGGGACATACATTCAGGTGAGCGCAAATTTATGGGAAGATGCACACAAGAAAATACCTCGCAGCTGACGAGCGTCCTCTGGTCGTCGCTCCTGCACAGTTCTTCAGCTAGGCAAGAAAAGACAATTCAACATACAAGCAAAGTAACGCACGTATGGACAAAGAACTTGATGTGCTGTCCAGGACTGGGCATCAGCCACCGTCGTTTTCCAAATCATGCCCGGCTTTCGTGATCCACGTACCTCCTTGGAGACATGTGGGAGTTTGATCCGATAGTCGCTGCAAGATAGATGTTTAGTGTTGGTCCAAGCAGCGGTACATTGTCTCGCACCATTTCGCTGAGCGGCCCACTTTGAATGCGCGCCTCTTTGCGAGGAAAAAGACTGGCAGGGAAGGGAATGAGGGGACAAGAGAGGAGAAGGTGTCAGAGCGAGATTTGGCCCCGTGTTGAAGATTGAGAGACAGAGAGACAAGGAGAAGGGGACTGGAGGGAAGACATGATCCGAAGGATAAGAGGGTAACAAGGACTGACTGCTGTGTGAGGGGGAGGGAGTCGAATCGGGGACGTTTTTGGTCTTGCTTCGTGCACTCGGCACCCTGCGCACCAGCGGCCCAGTGATGAGGTGGTGACGATCGTGGCCATTGAATCGCAGTGACTCAGGAATGTACACTGTGCTAGTTGCGGGCTTCGGGGAGGAGGAAAGGTGCGCTTCAGTGATCGAACGTGACAGGCATCTGGAGCAGATTGCAGGGGAATGAATGACAGAGGAAAGAAAGAAGAATAACCTTTTTTCGAAGGCAGCTTTCGCTGAAACGGACACGGGAAGGAGCCTTGCCCCTGCCATCTGAGGAGGAGGGATGAACAGAGACAGTCATGATGCTAAGGTAGAGAGGAAGAGGAAAGCAAGGGGAGACGCGCGATCGCTGACGGTGGTGGAGTTCCTAGTTGCTCCACCCTGTCTAGTGCTGGTGAAAGCAAATGTGGCTTTTCTGTCTTGCTCAAGCGCCGCCCCGTGCGACGCGCCAGTTTGGATCCACCCGCCTGTGCGTAATCGCATCCTTCCTGCCTAGACTGCTCCCCGCGCACCAACTCTTGCTCGTCAACCAAGGGGCTAGTCTGCTCCCCGACCACCCTCGCTCCTTTTGCCCAGGATGATGAAGGTGAGAGCCTGTCTGTGACACATATCCCCCACCAAGATTAGCTTATCGCCCCTCCCCACACCCAGTCAATGAACGATGCGCTTGGCAACACCAAGCCATTCACCTCAGTCAGCGTGTGGATCGACCGCCTGTCGTCCAATACCGTGAGTGGCAGTCACGCCTCTGCGTCGCTGAGAATGGCAAGCTGAAGCTAAGCCCTCGCCACGTCTGCAGTACGCCGAGGACGAGCTGGACGGGTGAGTCGAATGCGCATGTACCCGCCCTACCAGTCGGCCTGACCAATGAGGTGCCCGTACAGGATCCCCGAGCTGGTCGAAGCCATCAACATCCAGGCCACAGGCCCAGCAGAGGCGAGCCGGGCGCTGCGCAAGAAGCTCAAGTACGGCAGCGTCCACGGCCAGAAGCGCGCCATCACGATGCTGGGCGCCCTCGTCGAGAACTGCGGGCCGCGATACCAGACAACGTTTGCCGACGAGCGCCTCGTCGAGCGCATCAAGCTCATGTCGCAGGATCCCCTCGTCGATGCCAGCGTCCGCAAGAAGCTCATGAAGATGCTCTCCTGGTGGCACATCCAGTTCCGAAATGAGCCCACGATGCGCCTCGTCGCGGGTCTGTATGCTGCCTGCGGTGGCGGACGAAAGAGTGAGGCGCAGCTCAAGAGCGAGGCCGCCGAGGCGTACCGGAAGAAGTCCGAACAGGAGGATCGCGAACGACAGATTCGCATGGACAAGAAGGCGGCTGAGCGCATGCAGAGGGAGGAGGACAAGCGGCGGGAAAAGGAGCGGCGAAAGGGGGCGGGCAAGGCCAAGCGGCCCACGTTCGACTTTGAAAAGGTGAGGGAGTTTGAGCGGCGCCTTTGACCCCTTCCTTGTGTGCTGATCTGTCTCCCCCACCACAGGAGAAGCCGCAGCTGCTGTCCTCGCTGGCGACATCGCAGCAGGCCGCCACGTCGCTCGTCAATGCGCTGCAACACGTCAACCGCGAAAAGGAGACGGTGCAGTCCAACGAGCGAGTCCAGCTCTACCTCGGCCGGGTCAAGGCTGAGCGCAAGAAAATCGTCCGCTACAGTGAGAGACCACCCCTTCCTGCAATGAAGCCTGTCGCACCCACCGTTTGCTGACCACGTCTGCCAAACCCAGTCCAACTCGTCCGCGACGAGGAGTTCCTCGGCGGCCTCATCTCGGCCAACGACCAGATCATCCTCTCGCTCGAGCTGTACGACAAGCTGTCCAAGCCCGCGACGGCCGACTCGGACGACGAAGACAACGAGCCGCTGGCGGCGATTGCAGACCGCAAGACGGCGGCCGAGCGTGCGCAGGCGCGCGCCGAGGCCGAAGAGGCCGAGATTGAGCTCGTGCAGAAGCGACTCGCCGCTGCGCACTTTGAGGAGGGCGAGCTCGAGGCACTGCAGGACCGCCAGCGCATCCGCATCGAGCGGCACAACTCCTACCGCAGCGAGCGGGCTGCTGCGCCTACGGCACGCGGCGCCGCGGCGGTGCAGGACCTCATGGACCTCAACTTTGACGACGATACGGCACCGAGAGGAGCGTCCTCGTCGTCATTGTCGCGGCAGCAGCAGGCGCAAAGCCATGCAAGAAAGGTGTCGCAGGGCGGCCAGAACGCCTCGCTATCCGACTACAGCGACTACGACTCGGAGTCTGACGAGGAGCAGCACCAGCCGGTACTGCAACAAGGAGGAGGAAGTAAAGCAGCAGCAGTAGCAGAAGAGGAAGAGGAGTGGACGCACAAGCCGCGCATTGGGCCCAGCAGCCTGTACGACTACGGCAGCGCAGGCGAGGACGACGACGGAGCAGACCCGTTTGCGGACCCCGACGACGATGCGGGCGCCTCGTCTGCCACTGGCTTTGCCAAGCACACGGGTCCCCGCAAGGAATTTGCAGCCGTCTGAGGAGGGAGACGACTCTTCTATATACGAATTATGCCCTGCCTTTAGACGGACAGACCACTTCTCTTTGTCATGTGATCATCGTCATCATCATCTCATATATAGGGAAACAGAAGAGGCTTTACTTTGGGAATCGGCTGGAAGACTAGGAAGGAATGAATAAAGAAGGACGGGCTGTGACTCTTGACTCCGACGAGGAAATCACTCCTGGATCTGGGCGCCCTCGTCTGGGGCTCGGCTCTTGAGTACGAGGTCCTTGCCGCCCGTGGCCCGCTTCCAGACGTTGTGCACATCCTCGACGATGGTCTCGACGTGGCTCGTCGCGTCGAGGCTCCGCGTGATAAAGATGTTCTCGGCCGTCCCCTCGGTCGTGGGCTCCTCGAGGGCCGAGATGCTGACAAACTTGTCGTAGATGGGCCCCAGCAGCTCCAGGCCGGGCCGCAGCTCGAGCTCGGGCGTCGATGTCTCGACGACGGTCGACACCTGGGCGACGTAGACGTCGCGGGCGCATACATTGTGCGCGCCCGAGACCTCGGAGATGTAGATGTCGTGCTTGCGGCCGACCTGGTTCTGGGGAATGATGAGCTGGACACTGTCGCTGTTGTCCGTGTTGGGGATCGGGTGCTTGAGGAGGCAGATGGCACGCACGACCTTGGCCGTCTCGCGGACCATGGGCTCCGACTTGCCCTTGACGTTTGCAAAGTACGACGGGTCGCCAATGACCATGTCGGCCTTGACGGTCTCGTCGCCAGAGCGGACGCCGACGAACTTGCCGTCGTCGCCCGTGACAATCTCGTCGACGGGCTTGTCGAGCATGTAGGTGCCGCCGTAGATGGCCGAGAGACGCGCAAAGCCCTGCGGCAGCTCGCCCATGCCGTAGAGGGGGTAGATGTAGGGCGACTTGCCGTAGCGGGCCATGGACGATGTGTAGAGGATGATGCGGTCGTACGTCTCGCGTGCGGGGCGTTGCATGTACCTGGGCCAGCCAGTGTCAGTGTAAGCCAGAAGAATGTCGGGAAAGCAAGACTCACGAGTCGTCGAGGTGGAGCGCCATGGCGTGACCGATGAAGTCACGCGTGCCTGGCTCGAGGCCAAAGTGGTCAAAGACCTTTGTCATGGGCACATCGTCGATGTTGAGGCCTGAGGAAGAGGGAAAAGAGGGCAGAGTGAGCAGGAAGCAGATGTACGAGGATGAAAGGGGGAACTTCACCTTGATGAGTAGCCGGGTCGTCGTCCTTCCAGTTCTGGAGGAACTCAAAGAACTTCTTTGCTCTCCTCTTTTCGAACAGCCCCATCAGGCTGCTCCTCACGGCCTCCATCTCTGTCGCAGGCACCTTTGCGATCCTGCCATCGCGGTAGACGTAGCTGGCAGCAATCTGCTTGAACTCGAGGTAGCGCGTGACATCGGTGTGGACGAGCATCTTTGTGAGCTCGCCGTTGGCCATCATGAACTTGGGGATCAGATCGACGGCATAGTCGCGGTCCCGTCCAATGTCTGTCGGCGGCGCAGAGCCTGGTCGAAACTTCTCGTAGAGCTGGGTGAGGTTGAGCGAGGCGCCCTCGCCGCCATAGTACTGGTTCCGGTCCATGTGAAGAACCTTTTTGCCGTCGACAGACAGGAGCGCAGACAGCACACACTCGGTCAGTCCCGTGCCCAGGATGATGGCATCGTAGTGCTCGTCCATGGTGTGCTAGTGCGTCGATGAGATAGGAAGGGGAAAGAAAGGCTCGCTTGGGTCAGGGAGTCAAGGTGTTGGTTTGCGTTGGTCGGCTGTTGGCGCGACGACGATGTGGAAGCCTAAAAACTGCCTGGGTCGATCACTACACGTGGGAAAATAGCAAAGGGTCAGCTGCGCTCGGGCCACCGGCGCGAGGCTTTCGATGCGATCGACTCCGCCCGCCACACGTGAAGCGACGCCCTGCGACCTTCGTTGGCCGATGCGACCTCGTGCACGCCCGGACAGCTGTTCCTCTCTGGTCCATTCGCACGCCACAATCTCTCGTGTCTGTAGGATGCGCAGATAGACAGGGGGAGCACCACAAAGAATGTCGCTGCTCTCGCTCCGCGACGTCGTCTTCTACTACCTCCTCGGTGGCGTCACCTTTCTGCCGTTGTGTGTCGCCGGCGTCCTCGTGCACTTCTACCTCTTTGCGCCGCGCTACCAGCCCCACGGCTCGTCGTCGTCGTCGTCCGGATCGAGCCTCGCTGGCCAGGATGACTCGCAGGGGCAGTCACTGTCGGAGCAGGACCTCTCGCCCGAGCTCAAGAGACGCGCGCTGGACCTGGCCGTGAGCAATGCCGAGGCGCAACGCGAGGCCGAAAAGGCGAGCCAGGCCGATGCCGCATTGGGCTCTTCGACGGCCCCGGCGGCGGCCAAGCGTCTCAAGCCCGCACCGAGGCCAGCGCCCAAGCCCCACCGCGCAGGATGGCTGACTGTCCGGCGGCAATTCGAGGCCGACCATGCGGCGACGATGACGCAGCAGAGCGCAGCGGCGCAGCAGGCCGCCAATGGCCAGGCTGCCGCCCATGACGCTTCTTCTTCGTCATCAGCAGCGCACGAAAAAGGACCGGGATACATGAGCATGGTGTACCGCGGCATGCTCAACTACCGAAGCAAGCGTGGAAAGCAGGGTGGTGGAGCAGGGGCAGGGGCAGGTGAAGGAGGCCCATCAGCCGCGGCCAGTGGGGCGACGGCCGCCGCCGAGAACGGCCATGGAGCTGTGGCTGGCCACGGTGCAGGAGCAGCAAAGGACAAGGGCAAGGCGACGACGCACGCCGCCCTGGCGCAAGGCGCGGGCGCAGGACCTGCGGGGACAGGGACGCGGGAGAGGGAGGCCTTCCACTGCATCCTCAAGGGCCCCGTCCTCTACCTCTACTCGTCCGACGACGTCAGCGACCCAAACACGGAATGCCATGCGGCCATCGACATGCGCGACAAGCGCGTGAGCCTCTACCTCGCCGCTTTTGGCGACACGCTCGGCGAGCCCGGCGAGGACGAAGACGAGAACGGGAACGAGAAGGAGAAGGAGGGACGCGAGGCTGGTCCAGGGCAGCACTCGGGCAGCCATGATGGGCCGGGAGAGGGCGAAAGCTGGGCGAAAAAGGAGTGGAAGAAGGCAGGAAAGGCCGTGGTCAAGGACGACGAGCTGTTCACCAAGCGCAACGCCGTCCGCATCGTCTCGACGGGCGCCTCCTCGCGCTCCAGCTCCTCGTCGCGCCCCTTGCAACAGCAGCAGCAGCGAAGAAGGAAGCGCTTCGCCCAGTGGTTCGTCTTTGCAAAGAGCGCCACCCAGCTCGAGGACTGGTACCACGCCCTGCTCCACGCCTCGCTCCTGCCTGGCCTCGACGAAGGCGCTTCCTCGTCGTCGTCGTCGTCAGCAGCCGCGGCGAGGGCTGCCGTCGATGCGACAGAGGGCGACCCGCTCCTCGGGCCCGTTTTCTCGCCCCTCGACATGGTCAGCCTCTTGACGTCGCTCGACACGCTCCCGGACCCCATTCCCCTCCGCTGGCTCAACGCCATGGTCGGCCGCGTCTTCTTCAGCATCTACCGTACGGCGTGGATCGAGGACTACATCAGCCGCAAGATCATGAAGAAGATGTCGCGCGTCAAGACGCCCGGCTTCCTCAGCGACTTTCGCGTCCGCGAGGTCGACGTGGGCCGCAGCCCGCCTGCATTCAGCAGGCCGATGCTCAAGAGCCTGACGGGCGACGGCGAGGCCAGCATGGAGGTGAGTTTGGCACGCATACATAGCACTGGTTTCAGAGCTCAGAGCTGACGAGATGCGCACCAGGTCGGGCTGCATTACACGGGCAATCTGCGACTGACAATCTCGACGGTGCTCACCATCTCACTCGGCTCGCGCTTCAAGCCGTACAATGTCTCGCTCGTGCTTGCCGTGATTCTGAACTCGCTCGAGGGCAACCTGCTGCTGCACATCAAGCCGCCGCCGAGCAACCGCATCTGGTTTGGCTTCACCAAGCTGCCAAAGATGGACATCTCCGTCGAGCCCGTCGTGAGCGAGCGTAAGGTGCAGTGGAGCATGGTCAAGCGCCTCATCGAGAGCAGGATCCGGGAGCTCTTTGTCGAGTCTGTTGTCGTGCCAAACATGGACGACATTGCCTTTTTCGACACGCGCGCCCTCCCGCGCAGGGGCGGCATCTGGGCCGATGCGGCCAAGCGCAGCGATGTTGCAGCGACCGCAACGGCAGCCGCAGAGAGGCAGAAGCAGCAGCAGCAGCAGCAGCCACAGACGAATGAAGATGATGCAGCGGCGGCGGCAGCAGCGCCAAAGTCGAAAAGCACGCCGGCGTCCATGCTCGAGGTGCCCCTCGACGACTCATCGGGCACGAGCACGCCTGAGCTGGGCAAGAGCAGCTCGGCTGATGCCATGGCGGGCATGAGCAGCATCGATGCGCACCTCCGCAGTCGTCGTGCTGCTCGCACCGAGGGCGAAAAAGCCACACTGGCGAGCCAGGACGGGAACATGGCCAAGCGGGCCGAGAAGACGGCACCGCCCTCGCTCAGCTCGTCGCCCTCCTCGGCCGCCGTCGCAGGGCTCTCGACGCTGCTTGCACGCGATCAGGCCGCCAGCTCCCATGCCCTGTCCGACGAGGCCCAGACAGGGACCTCGCTCCTGAGCTCCTCGCCGTCGAGGCCTGCCTCTTCCTCTTCCTCGTCAAGGACGACGCAGCAGCAGCAGCAGCAGCATGGCCACAGAAAATCGTGGTTCGGCGGTGCGAGGCCACCGGCGCCGCAGCCCGGCTCCGAGGGCAACCTCGTGGGCAGGGGAAAGGGGCCCCAGAGCAGTTTGGCCTGGGGAAGCGCCAGCCTGAGCATGCCGCCAAGCGGCCACGCCACCCCTGCGTCTGTGCCTGGTCCTGCGCCTGGTCCTGCGTCTGCTGTGCCTGCCCCTGGTGGTGCTGCAAGCGATGTAGACGGCATGAGTGAGGCCAGAGAGCAGGGGCATGTCAAGGGCACGGACAGCGTCTCTTCGATGGGCACCGAGGAGAGCGTTAGCACGGACCAGCTTCACGACGGACTGGCCGCTGCACTGCAGCACGAAGCAAAGCAAGAGGAGGACGAGGAGCATGACGACCTGTCTGTCGCAGTTCCACATCTGTCGGTCAACGACGTCGATGACGAGGCTAGCACGCCGCTGGCCGAGTCTAAAAGCGAGGAGGCCATGCTGGCCTCGGGCGACGACACCCTGACAGACAGTAGACCGTTTCCCACCTCGGCAGCAAGCGTGGCGCCTGCTGTTGCTGGACACGACGCAGACCGGGACAACGAGACGCAGGCAGACGCACGGCCTCGAAGGCCGAGCAGCGTGTCCAAGAGGGCGGGTGGACACGGCTTTGCGCCGCCGCCCCAGCGGGCCGTCTTGACGACGACGAGCAATCCATGGCAGCCGCCGTCTTCATCGCCTGCTCCTTCGATTGCGTCTTCGCGTTCAACGTTGAGCAGCACCGACGCGGCAGCCAATCTGTCTGCGCTGCATCAGAGCCGCTACGCTGTGCCCTCGAGCGACTCGGATAGCGTGCGCTCCTCTTCGTCGCCCGGGGCAGGATCGACGGGGCAGACGCAGACCTCGTTGTTATGGAACAAGGCAAAAGCCAGTATGGCCGACAAGGAGAGCAGGCAGCAGGCCGCAAAGGAGGCAAAGGACGCCATCAAGCGTGGCTGGGCCACCTGGAATGCACAGCGCCGAGGCACGGGACAACAGCAGGGCGCCACCTTCGCTGCCGATGCTCCCGTCCTCCACACACCGCCGGCGTCGTCTTCGGCCGCATCCACGCCCGACGAAGGACGGAGGAGGAAGGCAAGCTGGCTGGCAAGCAGCCCACCGGACCCGGCTAGCATGGGCGCAGGCCTCGAGCCCTCACCAGAAGAGAAGACGACGCCGCTGCCGCCCTCGGCACTCGCACCGCCGTCGCTGGTTCCTCCGCAGAGGAATAGGCGCCTGGTCGGAGGGTCGCCGTCGACATCGTCATCCGTCTCTTCCGCGTCTTCCAGGGACATCTCCCCTTACTCTACAGCAACGACCGAGGGTGCTGGCGTCGACACAGACACGGCGAGCATTGCGAGCTCGGGCACGGGAAGGGCTGCAAACTACAAGGAGCACCGCGCGACAAAGGAGCGCGCCTCATCCAGGCCCTCGTCGCGGCCCTCGTCGAGGGCTTCTTCGCGGCCCACGAGCGTCGATGGGCGCAACCAGAGCTGGAATGCAAGCGTGCCTTCAATCACCACGCCTGTTCCTGCGGCCATGGCGGTGCAGAGGAAGCACGACAACACCCAGGCACCATCTGCCACTGTCACTGCCACCGTCGCATCGCCTGCCTCTACCTCGGCGTCCCCGTCGAGGCGGCAGTCGACGACACAGCCATCGCTGGATGTAGCCGATGTGCAAGCGCAAGACGCCATGACGAGCACCAGCGGGGTGGTCGGCGACAAGAGCGTCGCAGTGGCGGCCGTCGCATCTCCGGAAGAAGGAGCCACGGCACAGCAACCGCAGCGCGCCTCTTCCCTGTCGCCGATTCCCAAGCAGGCCACGCTCGAGTCCTCGCCCCAGCGCGGCTCCTCGTCCACCTCGTCGCCCTCGAGCACACCACTGATGGGCCCGTTGCACGCCACCCCCTCAGCCTCTCCAGACACGAGTGCGAGTGCAAAGGGGATCAAGACACAGCCGATGCGCGCCACAATGATGGCCGTCCCGGGAATCCCGTCGATGCAGAAGAGCGCGGGTCCTCAGTCAATCAGCGGCGAGCCACCTGCGCCACCTCCTCTTCCCTCTTCTTCCTCCTCAGAGGCACTGACGAGCAGTCCGAGCCTGAGTGCGGGAAGCTTTGGTGGGATGCTGAGGAAGATTCCGTTTGGTATGTCGCCGACGGGCTCGGCCAATGTGCCTCTGCCGGCACAGGCGCAGGCGCAGACGGTATCGGGCAAGGAAGCCGAGAAGGTTGAACCGCCGTCGACGAGCATCGAAGCCGTCCTGCCGACCGCTGCGAAGGAGGATGAGAATGTAGTCGCTGAGTCGCTGCAAGAGCAAGGACTTCAGCAAGGACTTGGACAGGACCAGGAATTGGGAGGCGGCTCCTTGGGTCTGAGCAGTACAGCGCCAGCTCCACCGCCTGTCGCTACCTTGAGTAGCCTTGCTGATGTCAGTACTCTAGCGGAGGAGCCAGCAAAGACGGACACGACGCCCAAGAGGAGGGTCCCGCCGCCTCCACCGCCTCCCAGGAAGCCCTCTTTGCAAGTCAGCGCCGATCCCGGGCCCCAATCTCCCTGATTGGTGATGTTGTATCTGCCCGTTCATTACTCAACATGTCTTTTACTCATCTTCCGGTGCAATGCGCGACCTTGTTCAGCCTTCTGCGCTTCTGGTCTGATTCATCTCCGTCGCTTGACTTGATAGCAAGGACAGACTGAGGGAATGGCTTGCGAAGCTCCGAGAAGATAAGTTATTGCAATTGAATATAGAGCAAAAGGAAGAAAAAGAAGGAGAGAGAAGCTCGTCTAGAACGAGTGCTCGGTCGAGTCGCCGCCCATGGCGCTCGTGGCGCTCGACCCGCTCGAGACAGTCTGGATCATGCGGTCGGCGTAGCCGGCGCCGCTCCACTTTTGGTGCGTCAGCACGTCGACGCCCAGCTCCTTTTCGCGCCGCTGGATCAGGCGCACGTAGGCTTCCATGCCCGTCTTGCTGAAGTCGCGCGCAAGCTCCGAGGTGATGAGGCCCGTCGAGTGCAGTCCCGCGAGCGAGATGAGCTGCAGGACAAAGCCCGACGACGCCAGGTCCCAGATGAAGTTCTGCAGCGCCGTTTCTTTTGGAAAAAAGGCATGCGTCAGTCGAGCAGTAGAAAGGGGTCGTGAGTGGTAAGGGAAACTCACCATCAAAGCCATGGGCGGACCAGTTGAAGCTGGGGCTGAGGTTGTAGACGAGCATCTTGTCAGGGTGCACCTCGTGGATCCTCTTTGCGAAGCCACTGGCTTCCTCGACGTTGGGCGTCTTGGTCTCGAGCCAGAGCATGTCTGCGTATGGCGCAAAGAGGTTGACCCGCTTGACGGCCGCGTCGAGGCCACCCGTGAAGTGGAAGTAGCCCTCCTTGGTCCGCGGCTTCTCCCAGTCCCACGAGGGGACACCCTCTGGGCCAAGGATGTCGGCGCAGATGGCGCGAGCGACGGTGTTGGAGACGCCGCCAGCGACGCGCTTCTTGTACTCCTCGACACCCGCCTGGTTCGAGGCATTGTGCTCGGCAACAGCTGGCACGAAGGAGTCAGCACCATCTTAGACAGACCTCTGAATCGCGCTCACCATCGTTGAATGTGACGAGCTTGCACGTGTCCATCCATGCCTTCTCCACGTCGTCCACCTCCTTGCCGCGTTTACCCGCCGCCTCTGCATCCTGGAGCGTTTCAGCGAGGCTCTTTGCACCCTCGGGCAGGTTCAGAGCACCCTTGATGAACTCGTGATCCCGCACGTCGATGTTGCTGCTGATGAGCTTGCCGCTCTCGCTGTCGGTCCTTGCGATGAGCACGTTGGCGGAGCCTAGGACGTCCCAGGCCAGACGAGCGGCATTGAGGCGGTTGATGTGCTCCGACGTGGGCACGAGGACCTTTCCTGCTTGGTGTCCACACTGCACGCGCGACGGGGAAACAAGCGAGTCAGTACGAAGGGGAAGAATGAGTCAGTGGCAATCTCTACCCACCTTCTTGCCGCCGTGCAGCTGGTCCTCCATGTGGATGGCCGCGGCGCCGTGTTCGGCAAAGAGCTTGGCCAGCTTCATGACGGTGCTCAGCCCGCCGTGGCCCGTGTCGGCATCGGCAATGATCGGCCTCAGGTAGTCGGTCCAGGGCGTCTTGGCGCGCTGCTCGGGCGACAGGAGGCAGCGCTCGTCGTAGTGCTTGCGGTCGTGGTGCAGCTGGGCCTTGAACAGCCGCTGGACCTGGTTGGGCACCGTCGTGTACGGGTAGTCGGCCAAGTCTGGTCCGACCTCGTTGTTGCACGTCGTCAGGACCGACGAGGCCGCCCAGCCCGAGACGTAGGTGACCTCGAGGTAGTGGGCCATCTGCGACTGCTGCACAGGGTCGATGGCGCCCATTGTGTGCACCGGCTTGCGCTCGCGGAAGCGCTCGGTGAGAATCGAAAAGAGCTTGTCGGCCATTAGCGACGACTGCGGCGGCTGTACAGGCACAGACCCGCGCTTTGAGACAACATCGGCCGGTCCGTAGGGTCGCTGCACGGGAGGAGAGTCAGTAAAGAGAGTGCATGTATTGCGGCGAAACCCACCTTGATGCCCTTGAAGCGAGGGCTGTCAAACCACTTCTGCACTTCATCACAGGCCTTCTTGAAGTCGGCCGTCTCCTCTTCGGCCGTCGGGGGTGTGATGCGGAGCGGTTGTGGGGCCGCATACAGCGACGTCGAGGCAATGTTTGTCATGTGCCGTGCAGCAGACACTGCGCTCGGACCAAGGCGGCCCGCAGCAGATATGGCTGATCTGGAACAGGATGATCGGGAGACAGCTGAAGTCAAAGATGTTCTCGAGGCGACCGTTGTACCTCTGAGCATTCGAGCGGCCATCCTTGCTTGCCAGATCAAGTCAGAGTGGCGGGGGGTATGGCGTGGTGGTGGTCAGGCGCTCGTTTGAAAGGCGGTTCCGAGAAGATCTCTCGCTCTCGCACGCGCGCGCGTCGGCCGGGTGGAGATTCGAGCGAGGAAGCGGAGGCGTCGGACTAAAATGTGTGCGATTCTGAAGCCGGAGCCGGTACGGTACGTTGCGGCCCTCGGCTTCAAAAAGTCTAAAATCCGCTTGGGCCACGCTACTACTGTCAACGGTCTTGTCCATGTGACGGTGGCGTATAGGTTCGAGGATGGGAGACCCAATCAACGGCGGCGAAGAGGGCCATGAAGTCAAAGTCAAGACCGAGTGAGAGCGGAGGCTTTCTCCAGCGCAAGTAGCTGCGACCGCCGTAGGTTTCCTGGAGTCGGGTCGTACTATATGAGACGACAATCAGGGCAAGAAAGCCATAGCAGCCTGACAATTGGGGGAGCCCTTCCAGGAAGCTGAGCTACTCATGATGACATGACCGATCAGGAGAAGGCCTGTGCATACAAACGAGCCTGTCTTGCCCTTGACTGGGGCGTCCTGATCCCCTGCACCGTGAAGGCGCAGGATGGCGAGTGAGGAAGTGCGTAGATTGTAGGGGACATCTAGAAAACGAGAATAGACCACAGTGATCAGGTGAGATCCCAACGAGGATGGCTGCTGAATGGATCGAGATTCGATCGGGCTGCCGTCAAACAGCGTCAATGGCCCTGGTTTGTCCCTGGATAGATTTGCTCTGAACGCGCGATCTCACGCGAACAAGTCCGCCCGCTTGTTCGTTGAAGCTGTGGTCAACTCTCATTCTACTGACTTGGGCAAAAGGCCAGCAAGCATGCAGCACAGCGGCCTTCATCGCCTGTTAGAATCAGTGCAATTCTGGACAGAGTTGATCTATTTCAGGAATGCAAAGTTGCCCTTGTTCTAAAAAAGCGAGATACCCCACCCGTGTCCACTTCGACAGTGTCTTTACGGTGAACCTGACACTTTGCCGTTTGCGTCGGCTTCCTCCTGCCTTTCGCTTTGTCGGAACAGCAACGAAACGTACCCCGACGAGTAGCAATCCTGGTCTATCCAAGAATAGGTGTGGGCCCCCGAACATGAGAAAGGCCTCGAGAGCCGATGTGCCAACGCTCAAACGATATAAGCCCATGTCATTGGTGTGTTCTTTCCCCTCTTCGTCTAGTCACTCCCACAGAATCCCAGTCAGACACATCACCAGTCCACCATGGCACGCTTCTTTCCCCTCATCGCTGCCACTTTAGCCCTCTTCTCCTCCCTCGTGTTGGCATCCCCTGCTACGGAGCTGTATGCTCTCGGACAGCACACCAATGGCCAGTACGCCGTCATCGACCTGAACGACGACTTCGAGACAAAGTCGACCTCCGCAGACAGCCACGTCCTCGACAAGCGCGTGAACGTCAGGTGGTGCATCGAAAGTGCGGCCCGGCGTGCATTGGCGCGTGTACGCCGATGGTAAGGGCTGCGACACGACGGCGCAGCTGTCAACGATCGCCACCAGCATTGCAGACTACTTGCGCGAGGTCGACGACAACGTTTGCGGTGTGCACTGCATCCGCCTCGATCATGCCGGCAACTGGAATGGCTATGTCACTCTCGGTCCGGCCCATCAGGATCTCGATCACCTCTATTGCGGACCGAAGTATCCTTTTGGCAAGTGTGGTGGTCGCCAGAAGTAGGCACTTTCCCCGTCCGCCCCTTTCCCCTCCCTTAAACACTCCCCCACCCCTAACCAATAATGTCTGGCCACCTTTCGCTCCTCCTCTTTCGTTGTGAATCAAGACAGAAGACTTTCGCAATCCAGCGACTGAGTCTCACACTTGCTCAAGCAAGAACCTGAATATGATTTTCGTTTGTCACCCCACTGTACAATGCAAGTCTCGCGGATGAAGAAGAATACAGCAAAGTAGGAGCTACCTTAGAGGAAACCGGACACGTTCATCCGACGAGTAGCGATCGATATCATACAATCCGAATGCCTTCTCAGTTATGTCGAGGTGTTGCCTCGGTCGACGACGTGTGTTGTTGAAGGACTTCGCCACAGATCTGTAGAGCTGCTCTGCGTCTTCATCGACCAGAGTGTCTATAGCTTTATCTTGGATTACGGTCTTCACCTGCTGCAACGTCAGGTCTTCGTCCCTGCCCTGCAGGAGCTGAAAGAGATCGGCGCGCAAGCCCTTGACGGCATCATACCGTGCTCTGACCGCATCTGATGGTAAAGTCTTGCTGCCATTTGTTGCCAAGCTGTCAAACTTGTCCCAATCAAACATGTTGTCCGTTCTTGCCGCCAGAGAGATAGCTTGAGGTAGCGCAAATAGATCCCTTGGCGCAGCGAACCCTGTGAGATACCCAGGGGTGTCAAGCATCCGATACAAGATATCGGCCTGGCTGCCCCGTTTCACGTTGTCCGCAGACCGCAGCCGACCTTTTCGGCCATCCAAGACTTGTTCGAGACGTGGGAGCTGGAAGTCTTGAGTGGGGTCCTCTTCGCCTTTCAAGAGGGAAAGTCCTGATGCTGCGCTTAGACTCAAGGCGAAAATCTCGGTTTCTCGGAGCAGTTCAGGGTACCATTCTGCACGCACTCAGCTTTGTTCAGCGTTAATTCCCTTGTGACCTGCTTTTTCATTTTCGACTGACCTTGGAGCCAGGAATAAGTACTGACTTCTAATCGAACAGTCCGAGGTAATTTGCCGGCCTTGATGAGGAGATCGGCCACGTACTTTGGAATTCCTTTTGAGAAGATACTTGCGGCGTCATCAGTGTAATAAGCACCGTCATCTTCACAAGTGCACTCACCGAAGAGTGGCGAAACCCAGTTTTGCTCCTCGAGAGGAGCATCATTTTCGACGAGAATCTCAAATATTCCCTCCATCCACCAATGGAAAGACTCGGCGTCACCGTACTGCTCTTGGTAATCATTTTCGGTGTCAACCAGACCGTTGGGGTGAAACTGGTAGTAGCACTCTACGCCATCGTCTTTCATCATGGCACCGGTAGAGAAGTCGAAGAACCACAAGTTGGAGTCACTGAGCACGCCCCAGTCGATCTGGATGGACCGTACATGACGAGCAAGTTCGGGATGCTCATTCAGCATTTCGTACCACCACATGACCTCCCAAGGATGCGCCAGTCGGCAGAAAGAGTAGCTTATGGGGACAAATATGCGTCTCCAGAGAGAACACGTCCGCAGAAGCATATCTTCCGGACGAAAGCGCCAGCCAAAGGCGCCCCGAGATGGCACATAGAGATTGTCCGCAACGAATTCCCCGATCCGCCTGAAGTGCCGGGAACGTCAGCGCAGGCACACGACTATACCAAGAACAGTGCACCTACAGAATGATCTCATGGGGGAGATCAAGAATGCCGGCCGGCGCCATAGTCAAAATCGGATGAGATGGTGGCAGGATGCAGGTTGCCTCTGAGGTCAAGAAAGCGCGTGGTGCTTGATCGAAGTAGCGCGCCAAGCGCCTAAATTAATTCTACCTAGGAGGGCGTCCGGAGGAGAACGAGGAAATTTAAGCTAAAGTGCGACCTTGTGGAAGAATTCGTTCAAGAGTAGACGGGCTACCAGCCTTGTGCGCAGACCGCTCCGCCTTCCTTTCTCGAAAAGGTGGCCAATATGGCGCCCTACTTGATTGTTCAGATACCTCGTGCAATGTCAAGAGATCACGCACGCAGCCGTGCTGCCTCGCGACAAAGGTTGCAGGCATGGGAGCAGTACCAGGTATAGTCGGCGCCCATGCAGTGCCGTCGTGGACTATTGCCAGCTACATCAGGACCTTTACTCATAAAAGGAAGAGATGAAAAGTGGTTCTCGTCACTTTCGTTCCCTCATCTCCTTACTTGCTTTGGCCCTGGTGGCCTGAAAGGACACCTTCTGTGCAACGCCGCTTCTTTTTCGAAGGCACACGATGTTCGCCAGGCGCGGATCCTCGTGGCTTCCTCTCTTTTTCCTACTTCCAGTTGTCTATGTGGCTGGTTCCACAACAGGCACTTCTGCTCCAACGACAACTGCACATGTCGCAACTGCTGTCGCTACGTCTACCCACCAGTTTGCTTTTACGACAGCGGCTCCCTTACCTCGAGGTGGCGATGGTGGCATATCTGAAGGTGACGGTACCGGAAACTGCCCGGTGAGTGACACGCATCGAACGAGGGTTGCTCGAGAGATGCAAGTATTGACAACCACCATGGCTCAGATTGGAGGTAATTATATCCCTTCCGAATTTACGCCCAACCCCTACTGCTGGTACCGTGACGACTACGCCAACGTGCCGTGGCCCTACAAAGACATCAGTGAAGACCAGTGGAAGGCCGGGCACCCGAATACCATTGTGGATTCGACATTAGCAACCCCCTTCAGAACTCCTGTGCCGCCTCCGCCGGCCAAAAGTCCACCGCCACCACCGACGTCGAAATCTCAGCCTTCGTCAACTGCTCCCGCTTGTCCTCGGCCGTCCGCCAGTAAGAGGGACGAACGAGACGAACTTTACGCCCGCGCCGAGAAAAGGCCTAGCACTCCTGGCGTCACCAAGCCGAGACCTGCGAAAAGTCCAAATTTGGGAAAAGGCCCAGATCGTGAAGAAGCTCTATGCAAGGGAAAGGGAAAAGATCCTAAGAAACGCCAGGATGCGCTCGTGCTCCGGACGCCAAATTATGGTGATTACTGCCGACAACCTAAAACAAAGGGCACCATATCATACAAGTACAAGGAGGTGGACTCCAAAAGTCTCATCGGGGAGATTCGCGACGCCGGAAACGAGTGGAACCCGGGTGGTAGGCAAGGGTCAAATCCTAAAGACGATGCTGGCCAGTGCGATCACTATGTGGAGCTACAGTGGTTCAAGTTCCAACTCACCGGCCTAGTGAAAGCCACTGAGTCCTCTTGCACAGGAGATGTCGACGTTTGGGAGGACGTGTGTACGATTTTGCGAAAGGACGAGAACCGCCAAATACTGTTGGATATCCTGAACAAGGCCCAGAATTTGCATGGAGTTCCGCTGACCATTAATCAGCTCAAGAAGCGCATGACGGGCCTGATTCTTCAGACGCGATTCTTAGGGCAACCGTTGCCCATTCTCAAATGGTCGTTCGACAAAGAGGAACCTCAATTCAACTTTGCCAAGTCGTGGTTGGGGCTGGCCTATTATCTGGAGCTACACCAGAAAGAAGCCAAGGCGACAGCAGGTGAGCTCGAAGCAGCAGTTGCAAAGCTCTTTGCGGGCACATACATCCAACAGCCTTCGGGTTGGGCAGATCAGCTCGACAAGGATTGGTACAATATGCGCAACACGATCCATGCCCAAGAGCCCTACGTCATGGCCGCCGTCGAAAAAAACTGCGGAGAGAATCCGAACGTGCCCAACAATAACCACCAAAAGGATGCTGACGGCTGCTGCGGGGACCAAACCAGAGCTGCACAAGACAAGTCAGCCCCTCCTCTCTTCACAGAGTTGCAGGCACAACAGCAAATTCCCGAGGATCAATGCTGCTCTCCGAGCGAGTATTGCTGCAAGGGCGCCCAAAAGTCATCGGCTCCTTCCTCTCGGCGCCGTGACGAGATGCTCCGCCGACCTGCTTTTGCCGGAAACCGCAGGCAGGACAGATCGTGCAAGAGAGAAGATGAGGAGGAAGAGGATGACAAAAAGCACAATAACGATAAGCCCGTCACTGTCAATCCTGCTGTCGTCGCCGCTGGAGCCAGCGCGGTGTATCCCCTCGCCGCTGCTTTTGGCGTAGGCCTAGCCTCCGTGTCTCTGTTAGAGAACAACAAGTCAACCAAGGCCGAAGTCCAAGAGGCAGTCGGACCAAAGCTCGTCGACCTTGTCAATAACGAATTTAAGCAGTTTGCTACCGATCCCAAGAATCACACCGAGGCTGTGAAGATAATCGATGGACCGAGCAAGGATGCTTACGACTTGTCTCCCGCTGACTCGGATGAAGACCCGTACGCAGTCGTAATCTCTGATGAAGGGTCCATGTATCCTGATGGATCTGTCTTCATTGAAAAGAAAAGTGAGTCGAGCTCTCGTTTCAATCCTCTGTACATCGCTCTTTCAGCTTCGATTCTCACCTTCTTGCCGATCAAGCTACATGCGAGTGGATACGAGATGCGCTCGAGACGATGCTCGTGGCCGCCAATCTCAAGACGAGCTTCTTGCCTGCATGCCCCAAATGATGTCTTCCTCACACCTCCTGGTGGTTGCGTGCTCTAATGTCTCAATGATTCTAGGATCCGGTGATTCAAATTCTGTCACTTCTTATCAAGCAGCTCGAAACGAGAGCTGTAAATCTCTTCATTCCTTTTCATACGCTTGGAATTCATCGACGGTTTACTTGGATGTGACTGATATAGCGTCGACGTCCTCCGGTCAATTTATACAGGTGCGTTACATTGCCCTTGGGATTTGCGCTGTGGCGTGTCTATTCTTGAGCTAGATGCAAGTGCTTCCTCGGGGTTGCGCCGACGTGGAGTACGCATGGTCGAATTAGTCTTGCCCACATCGGACATAAAAAAGGTCCACACGAGCCGGGTTGCTCTCCACACCTACGCTGGACGCAGGGATCCAACGACTAACGCTGTCACAGTCTCATCATTCCTCCACCAGGACTCGCAGGGCTTTTAGTAAGGATGATGGCTTCGCCTCCACCAGAAAAGGCAGTTCCCATTGCCGCACCCTTAGACGGAGAAGAGTCCAAGTCGGGCTTCGCTCCGCTCCCCTTCACTGTCTCCTGCAACATCGCCCATGGCTTTCTTCTCTATTACCAGCGCGACAGCTACACCACCTTGTCCGTCTTCTTAAGCCTGCTGACCATGGCGGGATCAACGGTCGCTGTCTGGTGCTATCACGCTGATCGACGCAACAAGGTTCGCTCAGCTCCTGCCTCTGCTGCTGTCTTTCGCCGCCACCTGCTCGACAGTATTTGGCCCTGGGCCTTGGGCATATTCGCTCTCAACTGCCTCCTGGCAGGCTTACGTTACTACTGGATCGACGCCCCTTCGAGCGACAACGCCTGCGCTTGCACGATTCAATCGCAGGCCATTGACGAAGTGCACTGGAAGACATACGCGACGAGGTGCAGCGCTTCTGCACAGCGCAATGCTGTCGCCAACGCGATGGCTTCTTACCTCTTCAACGCCGACGCCGACATCTGCGGCGTGCAGTGCCTCCGAATGGACCCGGCAGGATCGTGGGTCGGGCACGTGAGTCTGACGCCAGCGGACACGCCCGTCGATGGCACCTACTGTGGCACAAAGTACTCCTTCGGCAGGTGCGCTCCTGTTCAATAGACGGCAGCGGCGCGAAGACCTGTCTCTTAGGAGTCCTTTGTCTTCGTGCAATAATCAATCGAAGCAGGCCATGTCCAGCTATGAGAATACAAGACCTGCTTGAAGCGTATCAAGCAGGTCAGAAGTCAACGACAGAAAGTGCCATAGTGAGAGGATGGTACCGTGAGCATGCACAGGCCATTGTCAGGTGGAGCGAAGGGGATGTATGTGCCAGCACTGATTGGTCACCGCCTCTCTGTGTTTTTAGTGGCGTCTAAGCAGGTTCATCCGGGTTTCAAACGGACGAGCTCTAATTGACGCGGCGTGGGCCCGTGCTGACAATTTTAGGAACATGTACCCCGGACGACAATCTCGCAAAGAAGAAAATGAGAATGGCGGGTGAGACGCTCGCCACAGGTGCTTTCCAATCAATTAATAGGAGCAGCGTCCGCTCGTCTCGCAAACTAGTTGCCCCTTTCCGCCACCGTCTACTGCAAGGACAAGATGAGCAACGTAAAGCGAGCTCCTGCCAGCACGCCCGCGACGTGGCACCTCAAGGACCCGTCGACGTGGAACTTTGCACAGCGCTCCATTGTGCTCCTCGACATCATCCAGGACCCGGCAGGCTCGGCACGGCCGCCCGTGCACGCCAAGGAGGACAAAGTGCCGGTGTATCCCGTCTGGAGGCAGCATGCGTTTGTGCTCCCGCGCGCCCTGCCGCCGCTGCTCATCCACTGGGCCCTGATGCGCTATGCCCGCATCACGCTACACCCGGCCGCTGCCGTCGTCTTCTATGCGGCAAGCTTCCTCACCTTTGGCGTGAGCCTGTTCAAGATGCTGCGCCGCATGGGCAAGCACTATGGCTTTGTGGGTATTTTTCTAGTGTTCATGCTCTGGTCGTCAAAAGCTAAATGGAGAGGGCCTGTAGTTCGACGGTACATCCGAAAGAGACGGCGTGCCAGACACCCACGGCTGGAAGGTCGCCCTGTCGCTGCTGGGCGTCATTACGGTGCGGCCCATCTTTGCTGCCTTTGCTGCCTATGAGTGGGTCCTCTTCCTTTGCACTCTTGACTCCTACTCACCTCCTTCTTCTTCACACAGCCGCTACGAGATGCCAAGCGTGACGTGGAAGACGCCGATTGACATCTGCGCGTTCTGGTGCGTGTCCGCGTGTGCTCTGATTCTCTCTCCGTGAGGCCACTAATAGCACCCACCTGCAGCATGATCCTCGATTTCTGGTTCTACTGGTGAGCTTTTCCTCTTCTAGTCCTCCAAGAGACTACTGACAGGCACAAACCATTAAGGTACCACCGTTCGATGCACGAGATCTCGTGGCTGTGGCCCCTGCACCGTCTGCACCACACGACCAAGCACCCGAATGCGTGAGTCGAATGAATGCCTATCTCTCCTCTCTCTCAAACAATCTGACTGAGGATGTCAACGCAGCACGCTCGGAGCGTACGCCGATGTGTTCCAGGAATGGGGCGACATCCTCTTTATCCCCCTGCTCACCTGGCTCGTCTTGCCCGTCGACTTTGTGGGTGTCATGCCTCTCCTCTCTACATTCACATCCCACGGCTGACACAGAGGATGGACTGCTCCGACAGACGACATGGTACCTGACGACATGCTACCTCCTCTACACAGAGGCAAGCGGGCACTCGGGCATTCGGCTTTATTGGGGAGTTCCCACTACGTTCTTCCTGCGCTACTTCGGCGTCGGGATGGAGCTCTGCCTCGAAGGTGGGTGTTCTCCGTATCGAGTGGCGCTCAACGGTGTTTTTTGTGTTTTTGTTTTTGTTGTTGTTGTTGTTGTTGTTGTTTGCTGATCGATTTGTGGACTCTCTAGACCACGACAACCACCACTTGCGGGGCTACCGCTCGTCTGGCAACTATGGCAAGCAGACAAGGAGTGAGTCATTTCCCATGTCCCTTGTTCATAGAAAGTGGCTGACAGGAGTGACAGTGTGGGACACCTACTTTGGTACGGCGCGACCCCGTGGCGAGTCAAAGGAGTCCAACCTCGACTGGGACCACCCGGCCGTGACTCTTTAGAAAGGAGTCCAGACTTCGACTGGGACCATCCGGCAGTGATTCTCTGGAAAGATAGATCCTCAGGCAGTGACACGATGAAGCGAAAAGATGCATTGCAATTTGAAATGTATGCGCTCTCTCTCTAACGACCAACACGGATGACCTTCTTTCTCTGCCGTCTGCTCAGGTTCTGCAGTGGGTCCTTTTTCTTCTTTTCGTCCTCCTTGTCCTCCTGTGCGCCGCCTTCGCCCTCTTCGTCGTCGTCGTCGCCCCCGCCAAGGCCCATCTGGCCCATCATGGCGCCCAGCGGGCCCATGCCCTCCATGCCGCCGAGCATGCCGCCGAGGTCGGCGTTGAGCATGCCCACCTCGCGCGCAGGCGACGTGACCGGGTACCGCTGTGCCAGTGGAGGCGCCGACTTGGCCTCGATGCGGGCGTGAGGAAGCAGCCGCTGCGTCTTTCGCTTTGGCACGCTCTTGTCCTTGCTGTTCTTGCTGTTTTCCTTGCCCGTCTTCTCCGCGGCTCCCTCTTTCTTTGCCGCTGTCTTTGCGGGCTTGCCACCGCACTGCGACTGGATCATGGATGCAACCTCCTTGATGAGGTCTTGTTCTATGGTGGAAAATGAGCGGGCCATGCTCATTGCTACAAGAGGGAAAGACCCGCGAGTTACTCACTCGACTGAATCTTGGCATCGACGGCCTTTCCGTCGTCGTCAAACAGGCGCACCTTGACCCGGCCCGGGTTCTCCCAGTCGCTCGGATGCGTCTTTCTGGGCTGTTGTTGGAGCCAAACTTTCAGCATGCAAGCAAACATTGCACTCGGGAGAGACAATAAAACTAACCTCGTGAGCGTGGAGGAGGCGGAGCCGCTGGGCAGCGTCGGCAATGTCTTCGCTCAGCGGCCAGAGGCAGGCCTCGTCGAGCTTGATGCGGCGGGCGCCCTTGCGAAAGGGCCGCTTGGCATCAAAGTAGATGGGGTACAGCGTCGTCCACCGCTTCTCCTCGGCCGTCAGCGTCGGGTTGGCAGGCAGGTCAGCAGGGCCGCCGGGGAAGCCGCCTCCCATGCCGCCAGCGCCACCGCCACCCATCTGCGACATCATCTGCGCGAGCTGGGGTGGCATGCCCCCCGATGGACCGCCTGGTGCGCCGCCGCCGCCGCCGCCCATTTGGGCCATCATCTGCTGCAGCTGCGCCATCTGGTCGGCCGATGCTCCGCCGGGCGCAGCGGGCGGCGCGCTGGGCAGCGCGAACTGCAGTGATCTCAAAACCCGTCAGTATTCGTGCTTCCATTCGCGTAAAGTCAAAGCACCCACGTCGGTGTCATCGTCAAACTCCTCAATGGTGCCTGACATCTCGTCGTCGTTGTCTTGCGTGTCCGACGATGGCCTGGCGAGGCCTCGCTCGCAGCCGTCGCAACTTGCAATCTTGCGCTTCTTCTCCACGTGGGAAAAAGGCATCTGCTCACACGAGACGGAATTCCATTTTTTTCTTCTTCTTTTTCTCACCAATCAACTCATCCAGCGGGAAGGGGAAAAGAAGAAGAAGAGGAAGAAGAACAGGAGAGACGCGCAAAGGACCGCCATCGTAGCCAGGACTCTCGCTTCGGCAGATCCTCGCCTACGGGGAAAGTCCCCGGACACAGGGAGCCAGCCGGAGGGTTTCGTCTCCAGCTTCTCGCGTCGACCAGAGAGAACAACGGTTTACGGTCGGGCCAGAGGGAGACGGTGGGTGAGGGTGTGCCCCTTTCTTTTGCCTCTCTGCCTCTTTCCAGTCGTTACTGGTACGACGAGCAGTCTCTGGATTGACCGTCGGGCTAGACGCTTTTCCCCCCCTTTGCCCGTTGGACAGGGACCCAAGACGGCGAGGAGAGAGAGACTCAGGAAGATGAAAAGCTGAGGGGGATGCAAGGACAGGAAAGCGGGCCGAGCCATCGTAGAGATGCGGCCATGAACTCTCCTTCCTGCTCTCTCTCTTCCTGCCCGAGGTTCCTCTCCACCGTCTGGCAAGAGGGCATGAAGGTGTTCCATGCCTGGCGATTGTATTCATAAGCCCGCTCGTCGCATCAAGACTGGAAAAGGGGCGAGGGGTCCAAAGGTGGGGGCTGGGGCTGATGCGGGCCTCGGTCGGCGTCTTGGCCGGGGTGGCTCGCCTCTGCTTGCTCGCAAGCGGCACTACAGAGCCTGCCCCGTGCCCGTCGCATTCGATGGCCTTGCTCTGCCCTGAGAGCGGCGCCTGGCGTGCCTCTGGGCTTCTGCGGCGCAGGGAGGTGTCCTCGTTGAAGAGCGAAGATGTGAGCTCCATCGGGGTCCTCCCTGCTGCTGCTGCTGCTGCTCACGCAAGCCTGTGCGCCGCTTCTCCACCCTCGATCCCTATACCGTCGATCCGCCCTGCTCTTCCCCGGGAGAAGCTTACTATCCCCCCCTCACACTTTGCACCGGGGAAGAGTACGCCCGAGCCGCAGCCCTTGTTCCGCGACACACAAACACACAGAGGGCTGGAGAACGACCCTCCCTCGTGGTGCTGCTGCTCCTGGGTTTGTCATCCAATCGTGCACAGTCATGCGGTCACCGTCGCATTCCGCGGCGGCAACTCAATGGGGCTTACTCTTGCGCCACGTCTCTCACCTTTTCCTTCTTCTTCTTCTCCCTTTCCCCTTTGCTGGATCCCACTTTTTTCCTCTCTTACAACACTCACACTGCAGACCTCTCCGAGGCGCAGGCCCGTCGTCTCGAATGCTATACAATTTCTTCACTTATTCTACGACTAGCTGGTTCCACATTCTACGACTAGCTAGTGCTTTCTGTGGAACAAGATGCTTCATGTGATTTGCATGGGCGCTGCTACTGCTGATCTTAAATAAGCCACTGCTGGTGCGGCGGCTCACTTGCTGGCTGAGGGGACTGGTGAGAGTCTACTGCTGGAAAAGGAGGCTGGCGGCCACCTCTACGTTGCCCCCCGCGGCGTCGAGGAGCGCCTTGGCCTGTGCGTCGGTCGCGCCGAGATCGCGGAGTGTCTGCATCGACGCGGCGGGCCATGCCTTGCCTGCTCCTCCTGCTCCTCCTGACGGTGCTGACGGTGCTGTTGCTGCTGATTGTTGTTGTTGTTGTCGCTGTGCTGATGCTGGGCCAGCCGCCGAAGAGGAATGCTGCCACGACATGCCGCCCATGTCGCGTGGCGGGGGCGTGGCGAGGGTGCCGCCTGCACCGGCGCGCGCGGCGGCATTGGCATTGGCCGCCGCCGCCTCGTGTGGCCCTGGCCTGGCCCCTGCTGCTGCTGCTGCTCCAGCTGCTGGCGGGGCAGTAAAGGATAGGCCCTCGCTGCCACTGGCCGGCTCCTCGCCCCCCTCCTCCTCGGCCATGCGCGCACTCTCGGGCAGCTCGTGCTCGTCGAGGAAGCGGATCGTCTGGCCGTGGACGACGAGCCGGTTGGCAGCCATGTCGAGCACGCAGGCGTGGCGCTTGAGCATGTCGAGGCCAAACAGCAGGTCCACGCCGCGGCCCTCCATGATGGTGAAGCTGCATGGCAAGAACAGGGCATCGCCGAGCTTGATCTGGGCGCTGTGCACGCGGCCCAGGATCTTGGCCGTGCCCACGCCACGCGCAATGCCGGCAAAGCGCCGGTCGAGGAGGCGCATGATGCCGCACCGCTCGGCGCAGTCGGGGCTCACTGTGGGTACTTGTCAGTTTCTGTTGTGGCTCACTGACACAAAGAACACCCACTGATCGTCGCCTGGGCACCCGAGTCGACAAAGGCCTTGACCGGGGTGCCGTTGACCTCGGTCTCGACGTAGAGCATCGTGACCCGGCCAAAGCTCTCGGGGTTGTACTCCATCGCCGACTCGAGGTTCTCGAGCACCTGCTCCTGCCGGATGGCCTCCTCGATGCGCCGCTGTGCCTCGACATCGAACTCGTCAGCAGCCGCGAGCTCAGCCTCGGCGCGCAGGCGCTGCTGCTGCGCCGCCGATGCCCGCTGGCGCTCCTGCTTGAGCAGCTCGGCGAACCGGGAGGGGTTCGAGGCCACGGCGTCGGCCAGCTCGGGCCGGTTGGCGCGCAGCTGCGCCATCATCTGCGGATTGCCCAGCAGCTCCAGCCGCAGCGTCTCGGCCGCCTGCTCCTCGCTTTGCCTCTTCAGTCAGCGTGCTGATGCGCTTCTACTCTGATCAGCTGCCTGACCCACCTGTATGCATCGCCGCCTCGCGACGAGCCTGCGCCGGCAGTAGCTGAAGAACCCGCGAGCTGGGCCTTGTTACGCAGCAGCAGCAGGTCGTCGGCACCGACGCCCATCTGCTCGAGCGACTGGTGCGCATCGGCGAGGAGGCGGCCGTTGCAGTAGAGCGCCTGCTGCGCCGTCGGAATCGACGTGTCGGCCTCGAGCAGCGCCTGAAGGTTCTCGAGCGAGATGCTCAGGTCGGCATCGATCGTGTACGTGTCCTCGTCGGTCGCCACCGTGATCATGTTGCCGACTGCAGCCTCTCAGCTAGCCTTGCCTTGGGGGAGTCTCGCTGCACACCGCTGCTGCTGCTCTTTGCGCTGCCTTTTTAATTCTCCCGCTCAGTGATGCTGCCAAGACGCCGCCGATGTTGCGTGGGCATGTGCGTGTGCGTGCCTTGAACGAGCGCAGTCGTGGGTGTGAGCGCGCGCGAGGGCTTGTGTGTGCAAAGGCTGTGCTCGTTGTATGCGGTGTCGTCTCCCCTCCTCCACCGAGAAACGTCGACGAAAGGAAAAGAAACACTCTCACTACTACTACTGATGACGCGTCAAAAGACCTCCTCTCTGCTCTCTTCCTCTCGTGTCGTCCGCTCCCCTTGCGCCCTTTTTATTCATACGCTTCTTCTCGGGCCTCGTCACCCTTCGCAGCTTCGGCCTTTTTCGCGCTCTAAATCGTCTTTTGTTTTTTTCGGTTTTGTTTTTATTTTTATTTCTTCCTCGACGGGGCAACCAACCTAGTCACTACGCTGAGGCCGTAATTGGGCTCAGCATTCCCTGTCGGCATTAGCTAAACGACGCAAGAGAAAAGACACCGGGGCGAGTCACCCGGAGGCGGTGCGAAACCGAACGTGGCCACTTTCGTCTAGACGGACAGACGGACATATCGGCTCCATTCTGTCTCTCTTTCGGTCGTACGGTCGTACGCTCGCTGGGCTGGGCTTGGCGATCTGCGGGCCTGGCCACAGGGCCGAAAAGAACGCCACTAGCATCGGCTCGATCTGGCCGAAGCTGTCACTTGGCGGGGCTAGCACGCACGGCACTGCTGCACATAGAAGACAGGCAGACAGGCAGACAGGCAGACAGCGGCCAGCCGCAGGACAGGACACTCGGCAAAGACGCCGCGTGTCCAGCCATCGTGACCTGCACCGTCAGGCTTTGCTTCTTTGTTTTTTTAGTTTAATTTATTCATTTTATTTCTTCTTTTTTGCTGCGCTCGGGCCGATCGGCGCTCGCCTTGACCACAGCGCTAAAGAGAAAGCCTTACCAGTGACAGACGGACGCTAAGAGGGACAGCTTGTCTTACGACTCTGCACACATCGGGCCGAGCATGGTCATGGTGCGAGAGACGCCGCGGCTGGTCGTCGCTCTTGCCTTGTCGTCGTCGTCGTCGTCGTCGTCGTCGTCACGTGGCGTGTCCGTGGTCCGTGGTGCGCGAGCATACAGCAGCGACGAGGGCCCGTCGTCATCATCGTCAATACCGCCCTCGTCTGCACAGGTGAGCCGGCTGCGGCGGCTGCCGCCGCCGAAGCCCTCGTGGTCGTACCGGCGCGCAGACCTCGAGGCGGGGCTGGCCAATGCGCTCGTGCGCAAGTCGACGTTCACGCGCGACGACCATGCGCAGCTCGAGGCGATGCGGCCCCGCCTCGAGGCACTGCTGCCACGGCGGCAGAGCCTGGCCAAGGAGCAGGCCGACGTCGGCCACGAGATCCGGCGTCTTGTTTCATCATCATCCACAAAGGGAGACGGGTCGACAAAGAGTGACAAGGAGAGGGACGGAGAGCAGCTGAGGCGCGCGCAGGCCCGGGCGCGTGCGCTCAAGGACGATGCGACGAGCGTGGCGGCCGAGATCGAGGCGCTGAATGCGACGAGCCTCCGGCTGCGGCTGAAGCTGCCCAACACGACGCACGACGACGTGCCACGGGGCGGCGAGAGCGAGGCGCGCATCGTCGCCGTCGGTGGCCAGCCGTCGCTCCTCGCCGACGGGCCGCTGCGAAAGGCCTTTGACGCGCTTCGTCTGCCTGTGACTCTGTCGCAGGCAGGGCTCGATGGCGTGGCAAGTGCAGACCCGGCGCGGGACCACGTCGCGCTGCTTGATGAAGCAGGCAGCCAGCTGCTCGACACGCACGCCTCGCAGCTCGCCTCGGGCGGCTCCAACTGGCCCTATATGCGCGCCAGCCTGGCGAAGCTCGAGCACGCACTCGTCCAGTACGCGCTCACGGCTGCCGTCTCCCAGCACGGCTTCTCGCCCTGCGTGGTGCCCGACGTCGTCAAGCGCGACATTCTCGCCCGCACCGGTTTCGCCCCGCGCGACGGCGGCGGCGGCCAGGTCTACTGGCTCACCGTCGATGGCGACGAGCGGCCGTCTGCTGAAGAAAAGGACACGGACCTGTGCCTCGCGGCGACGGCCGAGATTCCCCTGGCTGGGCTGTGCGCCGGCCAGCTGCTCGAGAACCTCGAGGGCCACCCGCGCAAGCTCGTCGCTGCCTCGCACGCCTTTCGCGCCGAGGCCGGTGCGCGCGGCGCAGACAGCCGCGGCCTCTACCGCGTCCACCAGTTCACAAAGGTCGAGCTGTTTGTCGTCTGCGCCGGCGCCGAGTCGCACGCGATGCTCGACGCCCTCCGCGGCATCCAGGAGCACCTCGTCGGCCAGCTCGGCCTGCCGTACCGCGTACTCGACATGCCCACCGAGGAGCTCGGCGCCAGCGCACACCGCAAGTACGACGTCGAGGTCTGGATGCCGGGCCGGGGCCGCTGGGGCGAGGTGTCGAGCGCGTCCAACTGCACCGACTACCAGGCACGGCGGCTCTACCTCCGCCATCGCTCTGCTGCCTCGGACGGCGAGGCCTACGCGCACACACTCAACGCCACCGCCGTCGCGGTGCCCCGCCTGCTCGTCGCCCTTGTGGAAAACTCCGGCGTGGCGTCCGACGGCCGGCTCCGACTGCCCGACGTCCTGCGGCCCTTCTGGCTCGCTCCTGCGCCCACAGCCCCCGCCGACGTCGAGTGGCTGTCGTCAACCTCCTCTTCCTCGTCGTCGCATCCATCGTCGTCGTCGTCGTTACAGTCATCATCATCATCATCGTCGTCAAACTCGCCGCCAGGCAGCAAGGGCAGACTCGCGCGCGCCATCGACGCCGTGCGCGCCCTTGCGCAGCGCCAGGGCACCGACGCACCCACCATGGTCCTCGCCTTTCTCATCCTCCACGAGCTCACCGCCATCCTGCCCCTCTTTGTCCTCTTCTGGCTCTTTGCCACCTTTGGCCTCGGCGGTGCCGTCGTCGCATGGTTCCTCGATGCCTCGCATGGGCAGGTTCAGCCAACAGAATCGCCAGCCGGGTCCGTCGCTGCGTGGAGGCGGTGGTGCGGCGAGTGGCTCAGCGAGGGCGCCGCCCGCGTCGAGCGCTACGGCCGCCGCAAGGGCTACTTTGGCTTTGCAGCCCCCGGCGCCTCTGATGACGACGAGGCAGCTGCGTTAAAGACGGGCACCGTGCTCGCCGGCTCGTTTGCCAATGCCGTCGCCGCGTACGCCGTCGTCAAGGCGCTCCTGCCCCTCCGTCTGGCCGCGTCCGTCGCGCTGGCGGGGCCCCTTGCGCGGCGCTGCATCGAGCCCCTCAAGCGTGCGCTCCTGCGCCTGTCGCGTGCGCGTTCCACAAAAGTGCCATAGCTTGTACTGGGGTCATGTCACCGTCGAAAAAGGACAGTGCCACGGTCAAAATCGGCCCGAAGTCATAGTTGAAAGAAGGCCAGTGTCACGACTTAAAGCAGGCCAATGTCGTCAGGCCAGTGTCACGGTTGAATCAGGACAATGTCACGGTGTAAAGTAGATCAATGCCACGGCTGAAAGTAGGCCAAGATCACTGTGGAAGAAAGGACAAGGTCACTGTGGAAGAAAGGGCAAAGTCACGGTTGAGATAAAAACACAAAGTCACCGTCTTGGATAGGTTATGCTGGGTAAATTCAATTGTATTACAGGAGAAAGAGCCCTCATACAGGCTGCTGCTGCTGCGAGGCGCGCAGTTGGCTGTGCGTCAGTGTCGGTCTCGGTCTTGCGCGTGCTCTGCCTGGTCGATTGCGGTGTCGGAGGCCGTTGGAGAGCGAGCCGACGATGGCGGGGTGCGGCTCTTCTTCTTCTTCGTCTTCCTCTTCTTCGTCCTCCTCCTCGTCCTGCTCGTCCAGTAGCACATTGCCCCGCTGGACCGTCAGCCGGCCCTGCCCCTGCATCAGATCCCCGTCCTCGTCGACCCCCTCCTCCTCTTCCTCGTCATCCTCGTCGTCGTCCTGCTCTTCTCCTTCGTCGCCCCGCTGCGGCCCCGCAGCCCGCCGCGGCACGAGGTTGGGCAGCGTCACGCTCCAGTAGCGCGGCCAGACGAAGCGGTCGTGGACAAAGGCGCGGAGCCGAGCGACGAGCAGCTGCTCAATCTTGGGCACGTCCTGCAGCTTGGCCCGGCTGCCGACGAGGCTCGTCGCGCGTGCGTCGAGCTCAAAGTCGGGGTGCAGCGAGAGGCGCAGCTGATGTCGCGACCGCGGTGCCTCGCTGTCTGCGGCTGCTGCTGCTGCGGCTGCTGCACTGGCGCCACTGCGAGCGAGTTGAGAAGCGGGCAAGGACGGCGGCGAATGCGGACTGGAAACGAGCTCCAGCGCGAGGGTGCCGCTGAAGCGCTCGACGACGAGGCCCAGCGAGAGGGGCAGCACGGCAAAGCGGGGCCGCGGCACATTGATGAGCACCTTTGTGTCGATCGACAGGCTCACCAGGTCCGAGTAGTCGACGTCGACCTCGACGCGCTGTGTATGCATGGCATGCCACCACCGTCAGCATCGTCGTTGCATCACAAGAGCGCATGTACAGCAGAAAAGACACGCACCATGCGGCCACTCGCATCGGCCGGCCGCACGCGCGCATTGGTAAAGATGGGGTACGATTGGCCAAACTGCACGTCGGTCACCTCGATGGGGTCGAGGAAGCTGATGCCCCGGCCCAGCGTGTTGCGATTCAGCACCTCCTCCATGACGTCGCGCGCGGTCCGCCGCCGGTCGCCGTCGCCGTCGCCGTCGCCGTCTTCTTCCGTGGCTGCCGTCGCCGCTTCGAGCAGCCCACTCCAGCCGCCGCGCTGCACGTCGTCGCGGTAGCCGGCCAGGGCCTGGGCGACGACGACATTGACCCAGTCGAGGCTCTCGCCGAGGTGCGAGGCGACGTCGTACGACGTGCGCGCCAGGATGTCGGCCATGACTTTGGCAATGTCGAGCTCGCCATCATTGTCGTCGTCGACGCCCCTCGCTCGGCGCTTGGCCCCCTTGGCGTCCCGCTTCGCCCTCGCCCGTCCCGGCCAGGCGCCCCGCGGACCCGGGGCTGAAGCAGAGGAGCGCGACGACGATGACGACGACGAGTCCTCAAAGATGACGTACCGGATCGCCAGGAGCGCGAGGATGACGACGGACAGCTGCCCCGCCAGGAAGCCCTGGGTGAAGGTGAGGTGGAAGCGCCCCGCCGACGTCTCGACCTCGAGCGCCATTGTCGGTGTGTCTTCCAAGGCGGTGAGCGCCTACGAAGAACACTCTCTCTTCTCACACGCACACGTGCAGGCCGGGGCCAGTCTTAATTTGAGACGCGCTGCAACGCGCGCTCGCTTGCTGTTGTGCAGTGCGCATTGCCGCTCCCGGCTTTCTTTTCTTTTGTTCATCGACGCTCAGCCCCCGCCATGGTCTCGTTTTCCTTTTTGCAGCAGCACAAGAGCCCGTACGAGCTCGACGCCATCGTCGACCTCGCCCAGCCCTCGTTTTGGATTGCGGCAGCGTCAATGTGAGTGGAGTGTGTGTGGCCTGCGCCGCGTCGGAAGCGAGACTGACTGAAGTAAGACACACACCAGCTGCTTCAACCCGCTCTACTGGAACATTGTCGCCCAGAATGGTGAGCAAGCATTGCTGCTGCTGCACCGTCTTGAACTCCCAGCTGAATAGTAACACCCCCACAGAGTACAACAACAAGACACTGACGAAGCTCCTCGGCGGCCGGCGCTACCTCGGCTGCTACCTCCTGGGCGCCTCCATCTTCCTCCTCGGCATCCTCCGCGACCACCTCTACAATGCCGCGCTGGCCACGCAGCCGCACAATGCGCTGCTCGCCCACCCGCTCGCCAAGGCGCTTGGCGCGGCTCTCTTTGCCGCCGGCCAGGTCTTTGTTCTCAGCAGCATGTGGGCCCTCGGCATCACCGGCACCTACCTCGGCGACTACTTTGGCATCCTCATGGACGACATCGTCACTGGCTTTCCCTTTAATGTCATGGGCGACCCCATGTACTGGGGCAGCTCCATGTGCTTTGTCGGCGTGGCCCTGTGGTGGGTTCTTTTGCGCTGCTTCGGGCCCTCCTCCCTGCTTCTCTTTAGCTGACGGCATGCCACAGGTTCGCCAAGCCCGCCGGCCTGCTCCTCAGCGCCCTCGTCGTCGTCGTGTACACAGTTGCGCTCCGCTTCGAGGGCCCCTTTACCGCCAACATCTACGCCCAGGCCGCGCGGGAAAAGAGCCGGACAAAGACCATCGACGACCTCCGCAGCGTCGACGGCCCCGCGCGGGGGACGAGGAGCAGCGCCGCCAACAGCCCGGCGCCGGCCACGCGGCGGACGCGCTCGTCGAAAAAGTCAGACTGAGGCGCTTCATTCACTTGACACGCAAACAAAAAGAGGCGATTCAACTCTTCCTCACCGTCGCTGCTACGTGCAACTCTCTTATCCCCTTGTACCAAAGTCACCCGGATCACGCCTTTTCTCTCTTCTCTCTCTCTCTCTTTCACTCTTTCACTCTGTCACACTCTCTTTCTTTTGTCGTAATTAGATTCTTTGCTGCTCTGATACCCTTACTTGCTCGGCCGGCTGATGATGCGCCGCACCACGTCGAGCGTCCAGGCCCGGCTGGCGACATTGAGCTCGGCGTTGCTCGCCAGCGCGTCGGCGGCCGTCTTGAGCTGTGGCTGCCGCGCTGCGTCGCTGTCCTTGAGGAGCGACGGGGCCAGCTGCGCCGAATAGTCGCCGCCGACGGTCTCGTCGAGGAGGCGCATCCGCTCGTCGCGGCTCTGCTCCTTGATGGACTTGTCGCCATCTGCTGCTGCTGCAGTAGCCTGCGTTGCGCACGCCGTGTGGGCGCCGGGCCGCGCGATGGGCGTGGGCGCACCGAGCGGGCCCAGTGTGTTGTTGCCGCGCGGCGAGAGGTGGTAGCGGAGGGCGCGCTCGGCGTTGCGCAACGGCCGCGTGCGCTTGCTGTTGCTGCTGCTCGCAGCTAGGGAAGACGACGAGGCCGGCGAGGCAACGAGGGCGTCGAGGTCTGGCCGGCCCAGCAGTTCCGAGGGCGTCGTGTAAGGGATGCGCGAGAAGGGCACGGTGCCCTTCGACGAAGAGGCGGACCACTCGGTGCGAGGGATCAGCGCCTCGATCGGCGGCAGTGGCCGGTCGAGGGCGGGTGTCGTGGCGCCGCGCTCGAATTGTGTACCGCCGCCGCCCGAGCGCTCACGTACATCCCGGAGGACAGACGGACGCCGCCGACGCTGTTCCTGCCCCTGCCCCTGTGCACCGCGACGGTCGCCGCTGCTGTTGCCTCGCCGATCGTTGTTGCCGCCGCCTCGTCGATCGTTGTTATTGCCGCCGCCACCACGTCGGTCATTTTGAGCGCCTCGCCTATCACCCTCTGACCTGGGCCGAGCTCCGCTTGCTCGCCTGTCGCCATCGCGGTTTGGGCCCTTGGCTCCTCCTGCCGCTCGAGGAGGTCGCGCGCCTCCCACGACTCGCCGGAGCGCATTGGCAAGCTCGGAAGCCGAGGCGGTCGGTGCCGACTTCCTGCTCGCTGTCGCTGCTGATGCAGAAGCTGCGGCGGCGGCGGCGGCGCCCTCCTGGCGAAGGAGCGCCGTCGTGTGCAGACACCGCTTCAGCGTCGGAGCAAGCATCGTTGTTCTTCGCCTGCCGCTTTCTTCCTGAAAGAGGAAGAAAACCCAATTTGAGACGACGGTGCCCTGTCTTCTCTTTTTCTGCACGTGGTTGATTTCGCACTGGAATTTTTTAATCTTCTTTATCCCCGGGGCTGACGACGACGCACTGACCTTCTCGTTCGTTGTTCATTCTTCATTCTTCATTCGCTCTTCGGTCGATCTTCGCACGTAAGTCAGCCGCAGCGACCGCGACCAATGGCAGACGCACAGAGCGGGCGCAGCTCGGGCTCGCTGACGTCGCTCCTCGGCACCATTTTTGAGCGTGCCTCTTCCTCGTCGTCCTCCTCGTCGGCCGAGGACCCGGCGGCGGGGCTGCTGAGCCTGATCCAGGTGGCGCGCGCCCGCATCGCCTCGCTCGGCCTCGTCAGCGCCAACGACACGCTCGAGGACCTGCCCACGGCGTCGCTCCGTGCCCTCGCCCTCGACAGCGTCTATGCCGAGGCGGTGCTGCGGACGCGCACGGCCGTGGGCGACTTTGGCGCGCGGCAGGCCGTGCTGCAGCAGTCGCTCGTCGCAGCGCGCACCTACCTCGCCCGTCTCGCTACTCTTGGCGTGCTCCTGCGAGATCGAAGCAGCAGCAGCAGCAGCAGCAGTGAGGCCGACGGCGACGCCGTGCCCGCGTACGTGAACCAGCTCTCGGCCGTGGTGGCAAGGTGCATCGACGGCGACGAGGCGACGGCGCCCTTTCCCAGCGAGGCGGCCGCGCGGCGCCAGGCAAAGATTGCCGCTCTGCGCCTCGAGCGCGCCCTCTCCCGCGCTCTCGACTCGTACAGGCTCGCGCTGCGGGCCAAGCGGGGGCCTGCTGCGTCGTCGTCGTCATCATCATCACAACAGCCGCCCGAGACGGCGTTTGACCTGCTCGTGCTGCCGCCCAGCCGGCGCGGCCAGCAGGCGACCAGTGCTGAGGACGAAGATGAGGGCAGGGCCGAATACGAGGGCGTAAGCAAGAGTGAGGACGGGGACGAGGACGGCGATGGGGAGGAGGACGGAGATGAGGAAGAGGAAGACGATGGCAACTTTGTCGGTGGGGCCGGCGAGGAGTTTGGCGACGGCGTCCGGACACCGGCGGGCCTGCGCAGCTACCTCGTCATGCTCCTCCGGCTACATGCGATCCGTGCCCTCAACCACATCGACTCGACGCTCGCCGAGCTGGCGCTGCTGAAGAACATGCCGGCGAGTGCGGCACGCGACGCAGCGGCGCGCGCGGGGCAGGAGCGCGACATGCGTGCGCAGCGACAAGGACAAGGACAAGGCAGCAGTGGGGACGACGACTGGCGCATCGAGCAGCGCTTTGGCGCGTCGAGCTCGGCGCCGCTGCTGGACCCCAAGGGCAAGCCGCTGCGGCCCTTTACGATTCTCCCCTCGGGGTCAGCGTCGTCTTCCTCAGCAGCAGCAGCAGGCGCAGGCCAGGGCGGCGTGCTCAACGAGCGGCAGCGCCTGCGCGACGAGGTGTTCCGGCCCTCGCATCGGCTGCCAACCATGTCGATCGACGACTACCTCGCGGAGGAGCAGCGCCGCGGCAACATCATCCAGGGCGGCGGCGAGGCGAGCGCACAGGCGCCCACGTCGACGGAGCAGCGCCGTGCACGTGCCGAGGGCGACGGTGGGGCGACGACGCGCGACGCCGACGAGGCCGCCGACGAGCAGCGCCGGCGCGACATGGAGTGGGACGACTTCACCGAGGCCAACCCGCGGGGACAGGGCAACACGATGAACCGGGGGTGAATGCAGGATGTAACTGTGCAATTGTAATGAACAAATCGACTACTAGTGATACAGGGTGGTGTGTGTATGCGCTCACAGCAGCGCGACGCGCTCCGTCTCGACGAGGTGGCGCACGGCCCGGTAGCGCAGCAGGTGGATTGTGTTTTTCGACAGCAGGGCCGTCTCGCCGCTGGATGGGCGTGCATCTTGTGTCAGTTTTGGTGCAGTGCATAGAAGAAGAGGGACACCCACTCGAGGCCAATGTCCAGCGAGCCACAGTCGGCGAGGCACTGGACAAACACGGGCCGCTCCAGGTCTGGCCCCACGACTGTTCGAGAAGAAGGAAAGGCTACGGTTAGTCAAGTCAAGAATCGCCATTGCTCTCTTTGTTCGGACGCACCCATGTCGCCCCGCGGCCCGCCCGGCGCACGGTCGTCGAGGCCGCGCATGTTGTCGGGCAGAAAGTCGAGGACCGCGCTCGTGTAGTGGCTCGCCGCCATGTCGGCGTACTTGAGTGCGTAGCCCCGCTCGAGCTGCGAAAGGTTGCGCCGGTGCGACGCCTCGAGCGCCAGGTGGGCTGCATGCCGCTCGATCTGCATATATAGTCAGTCAAGGATTGTCTTTCTTGTCTTTCTCGCCTTTGATAGGAGAGAGACGCACCTTCTCGAGACGGCAGCGCAGATACGAGCGGAGCAGCCAGCGGGCCCGCTCGACGTCGAGCTCGACGAGGGCGAGCCGGACGTGCTCCTCCTCCTTGGTCGAAGCGTCGGCACCGAGCGAGTCGATGATGGACTGGCGTATGTCCCCTTGTCAGCCTGGTCTGCTTCTGAATGAAGAACGACGAAAGAAGCACCCACCACCTGCTCCTCGATCTGCGAGCACACGGCGTCCACCGACTCGCCCTCCCACGGCAGCAGCTCCGGCGCCCCGCGCTCCGACACCCATGCGCCCTGCAGCCTGACCAGCGGCGCGACACTCGCCCTCGCCTGCGACGCCGGCGCCAGGTCCATGTCCTCGGCCGCTCTCCTTGATGTAGTCGAGGGCCCGGCTTTGCTTCCACCGCCCTCCTCCTCGTCGTCCTGCAGCGAATAGAAGCCCCCCTGCCCCGCCATTTGTCTCGTTGCCGATCAGGAAAAAGTGTTGGTCCGCTCCAACGAACATCGCGACGGGATGCGCGTCTGCCAATTTCCACTTTGACTTTTGGAGGCAGCGCGCGGCACGTGGCGCAAGAAAGTCGCAGCGACCAACTCCATCTCCAACTGCCCATCCCCCTCTCTCTCCCTCTCTCACACACACAACAAGCAAAGCGACTGGAGGATGGCCTCGCGACCGGCACCGCCGACACCACTGACGGTAGACGAGCAGGACGCGGTGCTGCGTGCGCGGCTGGCCCTCAACGAGCGCAGCCTGCGCGCGCTCCTCAAGCGGCTTCCCCCGGCCCTCGCGCTCGCCGGCGACGAGGGCGACGCGGCCCGGGCCTCGCTGCGGCTCGATGTCGAGAGCTACGCGACGGGCCTGCGCCGGCTCCGCGGCGTCAGCAGCCGCACGACGCGCGACGAGGTGCGCCTCTATACTGGCGAGGTGCAGCGGATGGGTGAGTTGCTCACTCACAGACTGAAGAGCAGGCAGGCTGAAGCGAGACGACGGCACAGAGGCAGAGCACGAGCAGACGAAGCGCGACATTGAGCTGCTCAAGCACGAGCTCGCGGCCGTGCAGCAGGAGCGCAAGAACAAGCTCGAGTACGATGCGCTGGCGAGCGAGATCAAGCGCTACGACGCCCGGGGCCAGCTGCAGACGTGTGTCTCTTTATAAACTTGTCTCATTGGTGGTCGACTGACGAGGGAATGCTTTCACAGATCACTCGAGGGGCTGGAGAGGGACATCGAGGAGCTCGAGGGCGAGCGCGTCAAGTACGACGAGGTCATGGCGCGCAGCCAGGCGCGCTTCGGCAGCATCGAGGAGCAGCTCCAGGCGCTGCGCGCCGACGTCGGCTTCGAGGTCGGCGAGCGGGAGCGGCAGGAGGTGCAGCGTGCAGGCGAAGACGCGGGCGACGTGGGGACATCAGCGGCGGCAGCTTCAGACGCAGCAGCAGCAGCAGCAGCAGCATCAGGAGCAGGGCCAAAGCTCAACCCGGCTGCCGCCGCATTCAGGCCAGCCTCGTCGGGGCACGGCCAGGGCGCCACGCCGCCAGAGTCCAAGGCGAGCAGCCGCGCGTCGTCGCCGGCGAGGACACGCAAGCGAAATCGCGCATCTCGGCGAGCAGGCGCACAGGAGGACGACGAGGAAGACGACGAGGAGCGGGGGTCCAAGCGGCGCGGCATGGAGGCGGGCGAGACGAGCGACGTTGATGACGAGGAAGAGGAGGAGGAGGAGGAGGAAGGCGCCGCTTGACTTGCTTGCTTCTCATAGACGTGCCATTGCCATTGTAATTGTATGCGCATCAGCCAGGTCCAGGTCCCTGCATCGCCGCGTGACAAGCCTGTGACAGCCTGAGTGACGGTGTTGCGAAAAGTCTAATTTGTTCGGCAGGGCGCGCTCCGACATCGGACCCGACCTGTGCTCCACTGAGCTTCCAGCCGTTGGAAATGCAGAAGGCTGCTTTCAAACTACGACGAGCGAGGACGACAACGAGCAGACGATGTCCAGCGGCAAGATCCTCGTCCTCAACGGGCCCAACCTGAACCTGCTCGGGGTGCGCGAGCCGCAGAAGTGGGTGGTCTTTATAGCCCCGACTGACTAGCTGACTGGCTGACCGTCTGACACGCTGGTACGGACAGGTACGGCTACACAACGCTCGTCGACATTCTCGCCGGCCTCGAGGCGCGCTGTGCGGCCGCCAACGTCGCCATGGCTGCGTTCCAGTCGAATGCCGAGGGCGCGATGATCGACCGCATCCACGCGGCGCGCACCGACGGCACGTCGTTCATCGTCATCAATGCCGGCGCATGGACCCACACGTCCGTCGCCCTCGTCGACGCCCTCAGCGGCATCGACGTGCCCTTTGTCGAGGTGCATGTGCGTGTTTTGCTACTACTTTTTTCCTTTTACTTCTTCTGTGCAGTGGAAGCTGACGAGGCAGACAGATCTCAAACACGCACAAGCGCGAGGCGTTCCGCCACCACTCGTACCTCTCGGCCAAGGCCGTCGGTGAGTGGGCCTCTTTTACTGGCGTGCTTCTTCTAGACTGACGCTCCAGCTGGGACAGGCGTCGTGCTCGGCCTGGGCACCTAGTGAGTCGAGGTGGTGAGAGGGATCATTCTGCACAGCGCTGACAAAGACACACACGCACAGCTCCTACACGGCGGCCGTCGACTACTGCCTCGACCAGCTGGCGCAGGCGAGCAGCACCGAGAAGCGGTAGTCGAGACGTCCGACGGTGGGAGAGATTGCGACAATGAACAAGCAGCGCATTATTGAGCATTGAGCAGTGCTAATGGCAACGAGAATGCAAGCAGGCGTGGGGAGGAGAGTGGGACTGAGAGGGGGACTGAGAGGGGGACTGAGAGTGGGACTGAGAGTGAGCCGGAGAATGAGCTCGAGAAGGAGAGGGAGAAGGAGAAGAGATCGAGAGGCAGAATGAGATTGAGAATGAGACTGAGAATGAGACTGAGATAGAAAATGAGAGGAAGAGTGGAGAGCGAGAGAAAGACGGAGAGACATGCTCAGAGGGAGGGGGACGCGGACGGCGTCGCAAGGGCGTAATCGTCGATGATCCACTTGGCCGTGATGCGCGCCATCTGCTCGCTGTGTTCTGCGGTGCGAGTATCTTGTCAGCCAAGCCAGGACATCAAGTTCGAGCAAAGACAGCTAGCTCACCGAGGACAAAGGCGTGGGGCATGCCCACGTTGCACACCATCGAGGCCCGCTGCGGCATGGCGTCCTTGGCCACGCCCTGCCGCGGCGTCGGGGTGCGGTCCTCGTCGCCGTCGCCGTCGCTGTCGCTGTCGCTGTCGACGGCGAGCAGGTCGACGGCGTCGGCGCCCGCCTGGACCTCGTCGGGCTCAATGACGATGCTGCCGTCGAAGCGGCGCGAGGCACGCGCCGCGACGAGGCTCGGCCGCCGCTGCGCCGTGCGCGTCCGCGTCGGGCTCACGGGTGGCCGGCTGCCGTTTGCGTGTGGGTTTCTGCTGCGCACGCTCCCGCCTCCGTTGCTGGTGCTGCGTGGTGCCGTCCTTGCCGTCGTCGAGGATGTCAGGCCGTATGACGCGCCGAAGCGGGCGGCGGCGAGCCCAGCGCTGGCTCCGGCGCGCACTAAACCAGCGAGGCGCTGCGACTTGCTCCGCCGCCGTGCGCTGCGGATCTCGTCGATGGAAAAGGACTTTTGGCGCTTGCTCAGCGTGCCTGCCGCCGTCGTCGACTGACCACTGAGGTGGTGCGGCTGGAGCTCGAGGACGCGCTCGACATACAGGCGCGACGACTGGGGCGCCCAGCCATCGACGTCGCCGGCGGCCCAGTAGGCGCGGATGCGGGGCAGGCCATCGGCAGACGAGGCGCCAAGAGCAGCGGGCGTGCGCACCGTGTCCATCTCCTCGCACGCCATGCCGAGGCACTGGCGCACGGCGCGCCGGCTCGCGAGCAGGCCGGCCGTCGCCCGGATCGCCTCGGGGCCCTGGGTGGGCGAGGCGAGGAGGATGAGGAACTTGACGACAAAGAACGGCACGAGGGTGAGCAGCCACGCGATCGCAGAGAGGGCAGTGGCGAGCAGTGCGCCCGTCAGCTGTCCCTCCTGGCTATGGCCTCTTCTCTGTGAGGAAGACGAAGACACAGCAGCAGCGCGCAGGAGGAGGCGCAGCCGGCGCGCGTTTGGCGTCTGCGCCATGTCGTGCAGCGCGGGAAAGAGGAGGTGGAGCGAGTCGATGCGCGGGCCTGTGCGACGCCGGCGCACAATCTCGAGGGCCATGTATGCGCCGATGCTGTGGCCGGCGAGGATCACCCTGTCGGTCCCACCGGCGAGGGCGGCTAGAATAGCCTCCTTGTGCTCGATCTGGCGGCGCAGCGACACGACGGGCTCCGTGTCCAGACTGAACCCGGCCGAGGCGGGGTCGTGGCCAAGCTGCGAAACACAGACAATCTCGAGCGATGGCCCCACGAGCCGGTGCAGCTCCGAGAGGTAGCCGCGGTAGTAGTCGGCCAGGCCCGGGTTGCCGGGCAGGAAGAGGAGGGTGAGGCGCGGGCTGCTGGGCGTGCGCGCCGCCGTCGCAGGCCACACGAGGCACTGTGCGCCGAGCATGCTCGCACGCAGCGGCGGCGTCAGTGCCAGTGCCAGCTGGGTGTCCATTTCTCGTCTCGTCTTGCCGGCCGTAAAAGGGGGAAAGAAGGTTCGATTGTGCGTAAAGCAGGACTTTGGCGTGACGGGGGCGTGCGCGGGCGACGGCGATCGACTCGGACGAGAATATAAAGTAGGGCTGCATTTTTAGGAAGAAGCAATTACATAAGCAGCAGCGCGCGCGGACCCACTTGTCGTCGCGCGCGTCCAGACTGTCCTCGTCGCCATTATTGCGCAGGCGGCACGATGCGACGCCAGTACGTCGCGCAACCAGCCTCGACAGGCGGCGGAGGGGCAGGAGGGCCGGATGCGGTGCGCACGCCGTCGCGTGCCCGGGTCTCGTCGGGCGAGAGAGCCTCGGGGGGAAGAGTGGCATCGACGTCAGCAGCAGCAGCAGCAGCAGCAGCAGCATCAGCTGGAGGAAGCCAGCGACGGGGCCGACGCAGCGCATACGACTCGTTTGACTCGGTCGGCTTCCTCAATGACATGACGGAGCGTATGAGGCGGGAGCTGCAGAGACCCTTTGGCCACGGCGCATCGACCAGCTCCAACGGATATCACTCCCCAGACGACGGCGGCGGCGACGAAGGGTGGAGAGGGAGCAAGGCTGCCGCTCGGCGCAGCGATGAGGGGCGCGTGGACGCAGCGACGCAGACAGAAGGCTCCTATGACGACGACGAGGAGGCACCCATGATTCTGGGTATCGACCGGACGCAGACGGAGCAGCTGAAGCGCAACGCCCAGTCCTTTCTCAGGATGGCCGCCCAGGCCGGCGCGCCCCTCGACGCTCACCAGGGCGCATTCGACCTGTTTGGCCCCGAGGATGAGGACGACGAGGATGAGCAGGAGGCACAGGGCGAAGAAGAAGAGGAAGACGAGGAGGAAGAAGAGGAAGCAGGTGATGCTGTCCACGACCGGATAGCAAGCATGCTCGCTGCACCGGCGGACGGGAAGCCGGCGCCGGCTGCGGCAAAGATGCTGATCCAGGTAAGGGGCATTCTTAACAGCCGCCGTGGTGTTGTGCTTACTGTGTTACACCCTTCTTTTCAGGAACTTGGCGGTGCCGAGAAAGAACACGGCGCTGCAGATTCGTCAGAAGAGGAAGACGAAGACGAAGACGACGAGGAAGACGATGACGACGACGACGAGGAGGAGGACGAGGAGGACGAGGAGGACGAGCTGGCAGAGAAAGAAGAGAAAGAAGAAGAAGAGGAAAAGGAAGAAGAGGGCGAGGAGTGGCGCGCTGAGTTCGGCACCGAGCCCGTGCGTGTCGGCCAGGACGACGCGATCAGCCTGTCGGACAGCAGCGAGGACCAAGACGACGGCGAGGCTGGCCAGTGGGCCGAGCACGATGAGCAGCGAGACGAGGTGGACGAAGACGACGACGACGAAGAAGAAGAAGACGAAGAGGACGAAGGGGAAGACGAAGGGGAGCAGCACAGGGCCGACGACGACGCGCTGCAGCCGCCGCCCTCGTACAGCGGCGCCGTCTGGCCAGACGCACCGTCGTCTGCCGCGCCCATCCGCGAGTGGGTGCCGTCGTCGAGCGACGACGCGGCCGCCTCGCCGTCGAACCTGTTTGACCAGCTCTCGGCCGCCGTCTCGTCGGGCGCCGACTTCAGCTGGGCGCTGCCTGCGTCGACGATGGCAGACGCAGCGGTGGCCGACTCGGCGCGCGAGGGCGAAGGCAATGCTGCTGCGCACTTTGATGCCGGCTCCTTCTTCAGCGAGATGGCCGGACCGCTTGCCATCGCCGTGGCCGCGCAGCAGCAGCAGCAGGCGTCCGACGCACCAGCGCAGGGCGAGGCGCAGCCAGGGGCAGACTCGGCTGCGTCAGACTTGCACCGGCTTCGCGGGCTCGTCGCCGAGGCACAGCAGCAGGCAGAAGCCGCTGCCACTGCCGCTGCTGCCTCGCTGGCCGACACGAACGCCGCGACGCTGGCCCCCGCGACGGAGCCGGCGCTGGAAAGTGCGCATACATCGTCGCACCTGGCCCCTCAAACACATCCACTCCCTCACACACTCCAGCGCCTGCACAGCGAGGGAAGCATCGCCGGCGCAGTGCCAGCCAGCAACGTCGCCACGCCCGGCGGGGGCAGCAGCGTCGGTGGCGACGACGAGCACGTGCAGCCGTCATCGCCAGCCGCCAAGCTCTTTGACGCGAGCGGTGATGGTGCTGCGCAGCCGGCCGCGGTGCCCCTCGTCGAGAATGCACGGGACCTGCTCGAGCTCAAGGTAGAGGCACGCGCAGGCGCCCACGGCGAGCAGCTCCGGCTCCAGTCGCCCACGGGCTCCGTCCAGGCCGAGGCTGGCTCTGCCTATGGCGCCAACACGCCGAGGAGGGGAGGCGCAGGCGCAGGCGCAGGCGAAGACGGCGCGGTGGCACGGACGGCGTCGAAGCTGCGATCGGCGCTTGAGGCCGAGCAGCAGGCCGATGTGGACGACGTCGAGCCAGCACCAGCGGGCGAGGAGCAGAACGGCGCTCTCGACGGCATGAGCGAGCCGGGTGACTCAGCCGGCGGTGGCGACGGCGATGGTGACAACTCAGAAGGGGAGGGCGTCATGGAGGAAGAAGAAGAAGAAGAAGAAGAAGAAGAAGAAGAAGAAGAAGAAGAAGAAGAAGAAGAAGAAGAAGAAGAAGACGACGACGACGACGGCATCGCGCTCATCGAGTCCCGTGCCGCGAGACAGGCGGCCCAGAGTGCGAGCACAGACGCGCAGGAGGCAGCGCCCGTTGGCCTGGCCGAGGGTGAAGAACGGCGGGCAGCATCTGCGACGCCCGTCCTCGACGAGGCAGCTGCGGACGACGATGGAGACGAAGACGCAGAGAAGGCCGATGTCGTCGAGGACGCTCTCGTCGCCGACGCGGCCACGGAGAGAGAAGAAGAGGAGGCGCCCATGATTGTCACGCGGGCGATGAGTCGCGCACTCGACGAAGAAGCTGCCGCTGCCGCCGAAGAGCAGGTGTCAGCAGAGCTCGACCCGCCGTCGTTTGCGTTCTCCGAGGGACCAGGCGGTCAAGAGCACAGGCGAAAGAGGAGCAGGAGCAAGAGCCGACGGTCCGACCCCAACGGCGACATGGCCGACTACGTGCCTGTACCCTCGTCGTCGTCGTCTGACTCTAGCGGCGAGGCTGGCCGCAGCGGACGGCGTGTCCGGGCACGCACGCAGGAGGCAGAGGAAGAGCAGGAGAAGGGGAAGGAAGACGAGGCCGACCTCTCCGTCGCCGTCCTCGAGGAGCTCGTCAGCGACGGGCAGCAGCCAGGCGATGGCCGAAGCGAAGTTGCGCTTGAAGAGGAGGCAGGAGCAGGGGAAGAAGAAGAAGAAGAAGAAGAAGAAGAAGTAGTAGTAGAGAAGGAAGAAGAGAAGGCAGCAGCACCAGTAGCAGAAGAGGAGGAGGGGGAAGAGGAGGGAGAAGAGGAAGAGAAGGAAGCACAGTCGCAAGCCACAACGCGCAGGAAGGCCAAGGCCGCGACAAGGGCCTCGACGAAGCGCACAAGCAAGCGTGCCTCTCCTGCCAGGGCGACGACAAGGGCCAAAGGCAGGAGCGCTGCGGGCACCACCCCTGCTGCGAGCACTGCGCCTGCTGCAAGAAGAGCAAAGAGCGAGCGAAGGACGAGGAGCACGACGCCGGCCAACAGGGGCGAGCTGGACGAAGAGGAGGGTGGCGATGCGCCGGGCGACAAGAAGCGAAAGCGGACGGCCGCACCGACGCGCCAGAGCCCCAGACGGGCGCCGACGGGCAGGGGGCGTGGGGCGGGTGCCGAGGAAGCCGCAGAAGAGAAGGGGCCAGAAAAGGAAGAAAAGGAGCAGGAGCAGGAGCAGGAGCAGGAGCAGGAGCAGGAGCAGGAGAGGCCAAAGACCAGACGACGGTCTGCGCGCACCTCTTCGCGGGCGCCAGTGTAACAGTAGCAGCAGCAATGACATTTTAGATGGGCACAAGATCCAGTGCGTGCATGTAGAGACAGACGGCAGCTGTAATGCCACAGCTTTTACAAGGGTGCACAGATAGACGAAGACATCTTCCCACTCTTATGTTCTCGGACAATCACAGCTTCGCAGCCCCTCCCGCGCCCACGACGAGGGCGCGGCCCGACTGGAGCGCCTGTGCGGCCTCCTGGACCATCTGTAGACGGGGAAAAGTCAGAAACACGTGCGTGGCAGGGTGAGTGTGTGAGTGAATGAGGGAGCACGCACCTCGTCGACAATGTCCTTGGCCGGCTTGATGGTGTCGACGACGGCGGCGACATGGCCCGCGAACCAGTGGGCGAGGATGCCCTTGACCTTTGTGCCCTCGTCGTCGTCGCCCTGCTCGAGGTCGTACTCGATGGGCACGACGCCGCGCGCCAGCAGCTCCTTGATCTTCTCTGGCCGGTCCTCCCACGACTGGATGTAGGGCGTGTTGATGATCCGCAGCGGCCGGCCCGTGAAGATTGTCGTCTTGATCAGGCTCTCGTGCGTGGCCTTGAGGATGGCCTCCTGGTGAGCGCGCGGGGCGCCGGCCTCGCGCGCGCACACAAAGCGCGTGCCCACCCACACGGCGGCCGCACCGTGGCACAGCGCCGCTGCCAGCCCCCGGCCGTTGTAGATGCCGCCAGCAGCGACGACCTGGACCTGCTCGCCCGTCAGCGGGCTGCGACGGCCGCGCACGAGGTCGACAACGCGCGGGATGAGAATCGACGAGGGCACGTCGCCCGTGTGGCCGCCGGCCTCGCCGCCCTGCGCAATCAGAAAGTCCGTCCCGGCGTCGAGCGCCTTGGCGACATGCTTGGGATGGCCAATGACGTTGGCGAGCAGGATCCCCGCCCCGTGAAGACGGTCGACGACGTGGCGTGGCGGGATGCCGACGGCGGAGCTGTGACGGTAACCGTGTCAGTATCAATCAATTCTCCTGTGCGATATAGTAGAAAGACACCCACACAAAGACGGTGCACTTGGCCTCGACAACAACACTAATGAGGTCGTCGAGCTTGCCCTGGGTGTAGTCCTTGTTCGTCTTGCGCGCATTGCCGCCCACCTGGGGCAGGAGCAGGTCCACGCCCCACGGCAGGTCCGGCTCGCGCAGGTTGGCCTTGAGCTCGTCGATCTGCTCCTTGAGCATCTTGGGCGTGAACATGACGCCGCCAATGACGCCGAGCCCGCCTGCGTTGGACACGGCCGCCGCCAGCTCGGGCCCAGCGGCCTGATTCATGCCCGCAAGCAGGACCGGGTGTGCGATCTTGAGCGTCTTTGTCAGCGGCGTCGTCAGCACGGGCGGCGCGGCAACGATCGCCTTGATCTCGTCCGTCGTGGCCGTGCTCTGCGATACGCGCTCGATGTTGACCATTTTTTCTGACTCCTGTGCTTCGTTGGTGGTTGAAGACAAGCGGCTGCCGGGCCAGTGACCCCGGATTAGGATGGCGAGGAGCGAGACATAGCGAGAAGCAGAGCCGACGCGACGGCTGTGGCCCGAGCGAGCTCTATTTTCCCATCTCCACCCCACCGAAATAAGTCTAAGCCAAAAACAACTCCCGAACACGCGCATTGAAAGCGAGCCGTGCCATGCCTGTCCTGCTTCTCCGGCGGCCGTCCAAGAACCTGGCCCAGGGCGTCGTCTCGTCGCACATCCCCGACCAGCGCGCCCAGCTCGACTACGGCGAGGCGCTGCGCCAGTGGCAGGGCTACCGCGCCGTCTTTGAGGCCCACGGCTGGGCCACCCAGGTCGTCGGCGATGGCGACGAGGGCCTGCCCGATGCCGTCTTTGTCGAAGACTCAGTCGTGGCCGTCAAGAACCTGAGGGGCCATGGGGGTGCATTCATCCTGGCCAGTCCGGGCAGCAGCATGCGCGAGGCCGAGATCGCAGCCGTGGACGCGCACCTGGCCGAGGCCAAGGCCAAGAACGAGATGCCCGGGTGGTCCCTCGTCAGGATCGAGAAGCCAGGCACGCTTGATGGAGGCGACGTCCTCAAGGTTGCCTCGGAAGGCCGGATCTACGTCGGGAGGAGCGCCAGGACCAACGACGAGGGCATCCGCCAGTTCACGCGCGCCGTAGAGGGCCTAGGCTGGCGCGTCGTCGTCGTGCCGGTGTCCAAGGCGCTGCACCTGAGTGAGCTGCGCTTGCCAGTGACGCAAGGACAGGAGTTTACACAGCAGAATATCCATAACAGAATCAACCGTGACCGCGCTGGCCGACGGGACCATCATCGGCGCAGAGGCGCTGCTCGACGACGTGTCCCTCTTCAACAAATTTGTCGCCATGCCTGAGGTGTGTGCTTTCTCTCTCTTTTCTCATCTCATGCTCAGCCAAGAAAGTCGTCTCTCAACGACAGCCGCAGGGCGTGGCGGTGGTGCACCTCGACGAGCAGGGCACCAAGCTCCTCCTCTCGGCCTCGGCGCCGCGCTCGGCCGAGCTGCTCCGCGGCATGGGCTACCACGTCGTCACGGCCGACATCTCGCAGTTTGAGGTGCGTTGTGGCTCCCTGCTGTATCAGAATTCAACACTCATCAGGAAACCCCCGCAGATCCTCGAGGGCTGCCCGACGTGCCTCTCGGTGCGCGTCCGGGTGTGACTGATGTGTCTCGCCGAATCCCGAAGGCCCGAAAAAAAAAGCAATCCATCGCACTTTTTTTTAAATTTCCCGTTTCTTCGCGGCCAGCCAGCCCTGACTCCTTCTCTAGGCCGTCGCTTGTGGCTTGTGACTTCTGCCCGTGGTCTGCCTGCATCTCGTGACTCGCGACAGGGGACCTGCTACTAGTTACTGGAGGCCTGCGACTCGAGACTGGGGGCAGCATGGCGTCGACGAGTGCGCCGACTGCCACGCCGCCGACTGCCACGCCGACCACGGCAGGGCCAACCACTGCCTCGCCGCCCGAGGCCACACCGCCAAAGACCATCGTCATCAAGCTCGGCACCTCGTCGATCCTCTCCGAGCACACGCACCAGCCCAAGCTCTCGATCCTCTCGTCGCTCGTCGAGACATGCCATGCGCTGCGCACCGCCGGCCACCGCGTCGTGCTCGTCTGCTCGGGCGCCATCGGCATGGGCCGCGTGCGCATGGGCATGATGGCGCCTTCCTCGTCAGCAGCAGCAGCAGGATCGAGTGCGTCCAAGGCGCCCGAACTGGGCGAGCGGCAGGCGCTGGCCGCCCTTGGGCAGCTGCGCCTCATCGCGCTCTGGGACAGCCTCTTTGGCCAGCTGGGCATCAGCGTCGCCCAGGTGCTGCTGACGCGCAACGACATTGCCGACCGGCCGCGGTACCTGAATGCGCGCACGACGCTCCACACACTCCTCTCGCCGCGCTTCGATGCGATCCCCATCGTGAATGAAAACGACACCGTGTCCGTCTCGGAGCTTCGCTTCGGCGACAACGACACCCTCTCGGCCATCACGGCCGGCCTCGTCGAGGCCGACTATCTCTTTCTGCTCACCGACGTCGACGGCCTGTACACGGGCAACCCGCGGCGGGAGCCAGGCGCACGCCGGCTCGGTGTCGTGCGCAGCGTCGCCGAGGCTCGCCGTGCCGTCGAGGTGCAGACGATGGGCAGCCGCTTCGGCACCGGCGGCATGCAGACGAAGCTCATTGCCGCTGACCTGGCCACGGCCGCGGGCGTCGCCACCGTCATCATCAACGGCTCTCACCCCGAGAACATCATCCGCGTCGTCGCCGCTTCCCTTCCGGGCTCGGGTACAGGCCAGGGACAGAGCATGAACAAGGGCCAAGAGAGTGACACAGGAGCAGCGACAGGATCCGCACACGAAGACCTGGCCTCGTCGACGTCGAGCCTGCAGCAGATCAGCAAGGACGACATTGGCCACCCGGCGCTCGAGGACCCGCCGCACACGCTGTTCCTGCCCACGCCTGAGCCCCTCACCGCGCGCAAGTGGTCCATCCTCCACGCCCTGCACCCCGCCGGCACGCTCATCATCGACGAGGGCGCCTACTCGCGCATCCGGACGCGCGACAGCGGCGGCCGCCTCCTCCCCGCCGGCGTCGTCGGCGTCGAGGGCACGTGGGAGCGCATGCAGGCCCTCCGCATCGTCGTAAGGCGCCGGCGGCGTCCGCGGCAGGCGTCGGCCAACGGCAGCGACGACGAGCAGCACCAGCTCGCTGCGGCGGGCGCTGTAGTCATGCCCCCACTCAAGGCCCTGGGCTCGTACCTGCGCCGCAACGACTCGCCCTCGGGCACGGTGACGCCGCCCGTCATCGACGGCCTCCGTCGGCCGCACCGGCCGCTCTCTGCCACAGATACAGACGCTGGCCACGACGGCGAGTCGCGCGGGAGACGGGCGGAGCAGCACGACGAACAGGAAAGCACACACGAAGAGCAGCAAGAGGAGGCATGGGAGCTCGTCGAGGTCGCACGGGGCCTGGCCAACTACAACTCGATCGAGAGCGAGCGGATAAAGGGCATCAAGAGGTTGGTGTGATCTCATACAAGCAGCACTGAGCACTGACGCTGACTCTGAACTGAACAACAGCTCCCAGATTGCCGCGACGCTCGGCTATGCAGACTCGGACTACATCGTCGACCAGCTCGCACTGCATGCGTTCCCCTCGGAGCCGATGCGGTGATGTTAATCCATTCACAAGGCAGCTGATCCAGTTGATAGACAGAGTTGAATGATAGACAGAAGGGCGTGGGCCCAATTCAATTGATATAGACAGGGGCCAGTATTGCCCGTAGCTTTTGGGTGTGATGAAACAGTGAGGAAAGCGTTACTTGGCAGCCGCGCGCTGGCGGGCGCGCTCGTGCGTCTTGCGGTGCCGCGCCGCCTGGTCGGGCCGGCTAAAGGTGCGCCCGCAGCCGTCCTCGGGGCAGCGAAACGGCTTCTCGCCCGTGTGGATGCGCGCATGCTTGGTCAGGTTGGAGCTCTCGGCGAAGCGGCGGCCGCACCACGCGCACTCAAACGGCTTCTCGCCCGTGTGCATGCGCCGGTGGATGGTGAGGCTGCCGGCGACGGCAAAGGCCTTGCCGCAGCCCGGGTGCGTGCACACGTACGGCTTCTCACGCGTGTGGGTGCGCATGTGCTGGGCCAGCGTGTTGCCCTCGGAGAAGCGGCGCGCGCAGACGGTGCAGCGAAAGGGCCGGTCGCCCGTGTGCGTCTGGACGTGGCGCATGACCTTTTGGCGCTGCGAGAAGCTCCGCTCGGGGCCCCGGGTGCAGCCCTGCCAGCGGCACTCGTACTGCGCCCGGCCCCGGCCGATGTGGACGGTGGAGATGTGCGCGGTGAGGGCGTCGTGGGTGCCAAACGAGCGCGCGCAGCCCTCCCACCGGCACGGGTGGCCTGCCGTGCCGTCGTGCGGGCAGCCGCAGTCGTGGGCGAGGGCCGCCTCGTCGAAGTCGTCTTCTTCTCCTTCTTCCTCTTCCTCCTTGCCCTTGCTCTGAGCGCTTCCTTGCTCTTCCTCGCTCTCCTCTCCATCCTCGTCTTGCTTCTTTTCGTCGATCTCCCGCAGCTTCTTCCTCCGTGTCGCTGCCTGCGGTGCGCCTCGCTTCTTGGCAGTCTTTGCATGCATTGGCAGGGGCAGGTGTGTGTGCGCGCCATGCTCATCAGGCTGGCTGCAGTCTTCCTGCGCAACACCGAGGTGGCTGTCGAGGATGTGGCGCAGGACGAGGTCCGTCGCCGCAGCAGGGTCCACGCCATGGCTGCTGCCCACCGCGGCGCCGTCGAGCGTGGGCTGGCTGCACGAGTCCCAGAGGCAGCGCCACGCCAGCTCGTCGGACGGTTGCGTGTGGCCGAGCAGCTGCTGAGCAGCGGCGTAGTGCTGTGCCCCGTGCGGGTCCTCCGTCGTCGACGCATGCGCGACGAGGTGGGCCCGGTTGACGTGCTCGGCCAGCGCCGACACCGAGGCGCACCGGACGCCGCAGCCGGCCCACTGGCACACGTGGTCGCCGGCAGGAGACCAGTGGAGACCATGCTGCTGCTGCGACGAAGAGGACGACGGAGCAGGGGTGGAAGAGCCGAGCGAGGCGCTGCTGCTGTGGAGCGTCAGCGCCGGGTCGAGGCACATGCCCGTCTCGTCGTGGCTGTGGGCATGGGCAAACAGGCAGCGCGGTCCAGCGTCGTGTTGCTGCTGTTGCTGCTGGAAGAAGAAGTGGTCGTCATGGGAACCAGGAAGCTGGGCGCCTGCACGGCGACGGTGGTGCTTTGACGACTGTGGCTGGGGTTGTGGGTGCACCTCTGTCTTTGCCGTCGCAGCGGCATCGGCAAACGAAGAGACGGTGGCGGGCGAGTTGTGCATCGACGAGGAAAAGACAGAGAGCGAGGCCGAGCGCGAGCGTGAGCCAGACGCAGACGCAGACGCAGACGCAGAGGCCGTCACGGTCGTCATGGGCGAGCCCTGGACGGGCATCACGTCGTCGATGCAAGCGTGATGCGGCTGCAGCGACGCCGGCGGCGGTGGCAGCATCGTCATCGGCAGGGGAAAGCACTCGTCGCAGTCATCGGCAATGGAGGCCGTGCTGCCGTCGACGGCCGCATTGACCGGAGCGCCATCGACGACGCCGCAGCACTGGTCCAGGTAGACGTCGGAGCAGCAGCAGCAGTCGAGCTGTGTCAAGACCGTCTCGTCAGCGGTCGTATCAAGCCAGCAAATAGATAGATGACTCACCAGCTCCTGGAAGCTGCTAAAGTTGCGTGCGTCCTCGTCGGTGCGATCGGCCTTTTCGCACGAGGCGCAGTACTTTGTCTCGCACTTTGTCTCGCTTGTCCCGCTGTCTTCTTCTGCGTGGTGCTGCTTCAGGTGCTGCAGCTGTTGTGACGGTGGATGCTGCTTCTGCTTTGGATTGGCACATGGCGAGGGCCCGCGCCGGGCGCCTGGCCGCAGAGACGAGGAAGACGCCGGTGGGGCCATGATGCCGTCGCATACACTGATGCACTGCTCTCCCGGTCGCCCGTCGCACGGTGCTGCAGCTGGGGCGTCGTGGCCCATGCAGTCCAGCTCGTCGATGCATGCCTCGTCCTGGCACTCGATAATCTGCGCTGGCTGGTCCTCGGCGCAGCAGAGCGGTCCCGTCGCAGGGGCAGCCGAGTCACCGCAGCAGGCGGCCGCCGGCGAGGGAGCGATCATAGTCGCTGACGAAGACAAGGGCCCTCCGCTGCCACCGCTGCTGTTGCTGTTGCTATTAGCACCGCTGCTGCTGCTGCCACTACCGCTGCTGCTGGCAACGGGACATGGCGCAATGCAGCACGGATCCAGGTGCGAGTGTGCTCCCAAGCATCCCGTCATTGTCGCACCAGCCATCGCAGTCGCCGTTGCGACAGGCGGGCACTGCTGACACGCCTCACTTGTCCACGCCATACTGTTGCCTCCTGCTCCTTTGCTGTGGTTGCTGCTCGCACCGAGCTGCTGCCAATCGTACCGGTACCCGTCGTCCACGGAGCCTTGGCCGAGGTAAGCCTGCGCTGCCATGACGAGCTCCGCCAGGCCCTCGCTGCCATCCTTCATCGTTCGTTTCTCTGTTTCTCTCTCGCGACTCCGGCCCTCTTTCCAGGACGAGACGCCCGCACTTTTCGGACCGGAAGGCCGTCGCACCCTCAAATGCCGTCTCGTGGCGACGCCAGTCGTTCTACGTATGCTCTCGCTTGTTCAGCCAGTGCTTTTGCTGCTGTCCATTTCCGTCGGTCGCTATCCTCGCCAATCTCCGGTTCCTATTGCTCTCGTCCGTCGAGCCGGCCTGTTGTCTTGCTTTCTTCTTCTTTTTGTTTTCCCTTCCTCTTGCCCTCCCCTTTTTTTCACACAGGGCGTGGTAGAGACGGATAGCAAGAGGAGCGGCGGGGGCAAGGGAGTACCCTTCAGGTTTTGGCGCGCTGCCTCTTTCCCAGATAAAGAAAAAAAAAGGTAAGTTAAAAATTTCAGGCGGGACGCCACGTGCGATTCGACGTGGGCAAGATCAACGCGGCAGGTCCAAGGAGAGATAGGAGGGACTGCAAGACGAGCAGGAGGTTAAAGGCTTCTAAGAAGTGTACATTGAGGAAGGAGCATCGTTCTTGGGGCAGCAGCTGTGCTTGACGCAGTCCCGCCAGGCAGCGTACATGTTGATGACAAACGCCTGTCCCTCGGGGCTGCCCTTGGTGTAGGCCTCGGTCGTGTACCAGTCGAGCGGATTCACCGTGGGCTTGGCGATGCCCGTGTTGGGATCGACGGACCTGACAACGGCATCGCGCACGTCCTTTGTCGACTCATACAGCTCCCAGCACGTGTCGGGCTCCAGCACGGCGAGGCGAAGTGCGCCCGCGACGAGGGCGGCCGAGCCCGAGGCATCGCCAAACCAGCTCTGGCCCGTCTGATTCTGCGATTGGGGCCCACCCACGAGGTAGTTGCGCCAGAGGCCCGTCGTGGGCTCCGTCTGGACCGCCTTGAGGCCCCGGAAGATGGCCAGCATCGCATCCTTGATTTCGCACTGCAGCTTCTTGGAGCTCGACTTGGTGGGCGCGTAGTGCTTCAGCGTGGCCAGGACGCGCGCCATGCCCAGGGCGGCCCAGCCGTTGCCCGTGGCCCAGATACCAAGCGTCTGGGCCTGGGGACCGACGATGTGCGTCAGCAGGCCCTTCCAGGGCTCCGTCGTGTTGGCAATGAGCACGTCGCGGTACAGGAGCTCCTGCCGGCCTGCGTCCTTGATCATCGACGCATTGTTGGTCGATGCGCCGTAGTAGGCCATGAACGGTTGGATCTGCTCGTGGTCGCGTCAGTGTCAACCAGAGACGAACTCAGAGCAAGACGACTCACCATCGACTGAGGATGCACATTGCCGATAGAATCACCGTCAGCGCACGTGTACGACGCCTTCCCACCCGCCGGCTGCCACTCAACTCACCATTCCGTCGGCCCAGAGCTCGGGGACGGCATCGCGCTGGCTGATGGCGCCGTTGTAGAACCGGGGCGCAGCAAAGAGGTGCTCGAGCTGCTTGCTGGCCGCCTGCTTCACCGTGTCGTTGGTCGGGCTGAGGAGGATGGCGCTGACGCCGAGCGAGGCCGGGTCGCCATTGGCGCCGTCGCCCGGCGAGAGGGTGCCCTCGGCGAAGTTGAACTTTTGCGAGGCGTAGCTCAGCGCGGGGATCCTCGGCGAGGGCGTGGGCACCGCGCCGTCGGGAAAGGCCTCGCGGTAGTAGACGGCATACTCGGGGTTGTACAGCTCGAGCAGGGCTTCGGCCAGGGTGCCGTACTCCCAGCTGTGGCTGGCGAGGCGCTTGGCCTGCTCGACGACGGCCGAGATGTCAAAGCCGGCGTCAAAGTCGGTGCCGCGGGGCGAGGGGACCTGGAAGGCGCGCCACATGGGCGCCGCCGCGGCCGCCGTCGCCAGGGCGGCGAGAAGGGCCATCGGAGCGAGCTTCATGGTAGGTGCGAGGAGCTACTTGACGAGTCGTGGACTAGGAAAGAAAGGGGTAAGCGTGACGATTCCTTTATAAGCAAAAGAGGAGGGGTCCGTTCGCTCCATCATCGCAGAGAGTACGCATTACAGGACTGTAAGAAGGTCGTATCGCAGTAGGGGTCGGTGCCTCGCACACCGCGGGGATAAATTGAATGTCCGCCGCCACGCAGAAGCAGCGTCGGAAGGCACGGCCACCAATCGGGGAGCGCAACAGGAGCAGAGGCAGCCAGCGTCATGCAGCTGTCGCCAAAACTAGCCAACTCTAAAATCCTCTTTTTTTTTTTCCAAACGAAGCCAACAATGGCGGGAAGCACTTGTGCGCGACTCCGACGCCTGTGCTCCTGCGGGCCACGGTTTGTTTTCCGCCAGAAAGGGTGGCGATTTCCACGGAAAGAAAGACAAGCCCCAAGAGACGCCAGGCTCTGCTGAGCGGAATGATGCAAGCAGAATCCCTTCCTGTTCCTGGCACGGGCACGCCTGTCTCGGTCGGAAGAACAGCTGATCACTCACCAGCTCGGGCAGCTGCAGATCTGGACCGGCGACTTGCGGGCGTTGCCGAGGAGTGCCTGCTTGCGAGCGCCTGCTTGCGAGTGCCTGCTTGCGAGTGCCTGCTTGCTTGCGAATCGACCGGGTGTCCAGCACCCGTGCTGATCCAGATGTGAAGAAAAAGGAGCGTAAGAGAGGGGGGGACCAGCCCAACGAAACGATGGAGGGAAGGAGACGGTGGTGGTGGTGACACAGAGAGAGATCCATTAATGCCGTGCAACTCAAAAAAGGCAATTTGCTGCTGAGATTGATGACGCCTGCCAAGCGTTGAGCTATGCTCTCCCTCTGTTGGTGCCTGGTGCGCACCCAAGAGGCCGGCGTGCCGTACACATCGGCTGGGACATGTCAGAATGATGACAGAGACGCGTGACGGAGCCTCCACGGCCGAGCAGAATTAGATTTTAGTCTCATGCACGGCTGTTCTGGAGTGGGTGGGTGGGACAACAAAAATCGGAAAGGCAGCGAGCGTACCATTGCCGCAATGATGGCGTCGCTCCGGACAAAGGCGAGTCAGACCCTGGCCAGTGCCCTTCGTGGGCAGGCCGTCACTGCAGCGAGGAGGAGGAGGACGATGTCCACAACGGCGCGCCGTGCGTTCCAGGTCGAGGTGCCCGGGTGGGCGTCGCCCGAGGCACGCACCGCCCTCGAGGGCTTTGCCGCCCGCTTCGGTACCGACCCCTCGCAGCCCGCCATGGTGGAGACGCAGCACCTCGACCAGCACCAGGCCGCGCTGCTGCGCCTGACGCTGTCCGAGATGGTGCCGCTGGACCAGGAGGCGGGCGCGGAGCCAAAGGTGTTTGCCCACTCGCCCGAACGGCAATACGCGGGCCTGAGCAACCGGACCCGGCTGCTGCCCACCGAGCACCTCGCCTACTTTACCCCGCGCGTCGCCTCGTGGAACCTGGGCGCCGATGGGTCCGACACGTCGTTCAATCCGCCGGGCGGTGTCTTCACTCGGCGCATGTGGGCCGGCGGCGAGATGCGCTTCCAGGCCGACGCCCCGCAGCTGCTCCTGGGCGAGCGCGCCTACGAGCACACGTTTGTCGAAGATGCGCAGCTGAAGCAGCTCGGCGGCGGCCGCGGCGAGATGATTGTCGTGTGGGTGCGCAAGGAGTTTGGCCGGCGCACCAAGCAGGAAGAGGCGCCCCTGCCTCCGTCGATCATCGACCGCCGCAGCTGGGTGTTCCAGCGCGCGCTGCCTCCGAGCGCAGAGCAGCAGCAGCAGCAAAATCAAGAGCAAGAACAAGGGCTGCAGGCCCCATCAGGTGCCTTCCATCCCGACATGCCCGCGCCCGTGCGCCTCGTGCAGACACCCGCGAGCCTGTTCCGCTACTCGGCCCTCACCTTCAACGCACACGCCATCCACCTCTCGCCCACCTGGGCGCGCGACGTCGAGGGCCACCGCGACATTGTCGTCCACGGCCCGCTGACGCTCTCGCTCCTCGTGCGCACGTGGGGCCGCGACCATGGCCGCTGGTTCTTTCTCCGCAAGCGCGGCGGCAGCGCCATCGAGCCCAGCAGCGGCCGCCGGCTCGTCTCAGTCGCCTACCGCGCCAAGCGGCCCCTCTATGCGGGCGAGCCCTACTGGCTCGGCTACGCGCGCGAGGGCCAGGACGAGGCAGCGGGCAAGCACACCCTCGTCGCCGTCAAGGCCGACGGCCAGGTCGCCATGGAGGCCACCGTCCTCTCGGCCGCGCCGTCTGCGGCTGCCGCTGCCACAACAGAGGAGAACAGCGCCTAGTAAGAACATTCGTCGCAGTGACTGTCACGCTCTTGTCTGTTGAGAAGTCGGTAGAGATCAAGATGAATGGCCATTGCTAATGAAAAGATGGATGCTGCTGCTGCTCTATGTCCACACTCAGAGGCCTGCCTGTTTCTGTTGCGATGTAGAATGTGTCAGTGGCTGCGCATACAGCGTGCTTCAGCCGCGCCTACGCACCCGGAACGGCTGCCGGACCACCCAGCGGCTGCCGGCGCGCTTGCCCTCGCGCTCGGCATACACGGCGACGCAGGCATCGATGGCGCCCTTGCTGGCGCCCTTGACGCTGCTGAACTTTTCCCGCAGCGTCTCGACGAGGACGGCGCGGATGGTCGTGTCGCCCTCGATGGCGCGCAGCAGGTCGGCCAGGTGCGCGGGTGGAAAGGCGCTGGCCTTGGCCTGTGTTGCCGTGGAGGCGCCCGTCGCTGCCATAGTCACAGGCGAGGCGCCAGTCGCAGTGGCAGCCCCCGTCGCCGTCGAGGAGCCAGGCGCAGCCACGTGGCCTGCTGTTGCTGGTGCTGCTGACGACGACGCGGCTCCAATATCGCTCAGCGGCGGCGGGGCAGACTCAAAGGTGAATGGATTGAGGCCCGGGCCCGCATCTGCTCTCTTCTCGTTAGCTCTCTCTTCCTCTGCCAAGTGCCAAAGGAAACGCACCGCTGAGAAAATCAATCTGGTAGCCGCGGAAGCCCTCATAGCTCGGCTGGCCCACGACGGCCTCCCAGTGGGGCCCCGTCTGGAAGGGCACGAGCTTCGTCTCGAAGCGGCGGCCAATCGACTTGATCTTGCGCTTCTTCTTCTTCTTGCTGCTGCTGCTGCTGCCGGCCATCGCCGACGTCGACGGCTTGCACGACTTGGACGAGGGCATGAGCAGGCTCCTCGCCGCCTTGGCCACGCGGTTGCCCTTGGCGCTGACTTCGAAGACGTCGTCGTCCAAGTCGTCGTTACTCAAAGGGTCGCCGTTGGCAAAGGGGTCGCCCTCTTCCCCTTCGTCGTCCTCCTCCTCGAGATCGTCGACGAGCCAGTCGTCCATCTCCGAGTCGCCGTCGGAGCGGCTGTCGCCATCGTCGTCGTCGCGCTCGTCGTTGTCCTGCACGTCGTCGCCCTCCATCGCGTCTGCGTCCTCCCACTCGGCGTCGGAGTCGTACGAGTAGTCGAGCGCGACGGGGTCCTGGCCCAGCGGCCGGCGCGCGCCGACGAGGTTGGTGGCCCGCGTCCACGTGCCGTACCACGCTGGCCGGCGGTCCGACTGGAAGGAGAGGAGCTTGATGGGCACCCGGCGCCGGTCTGCGAGGCTCGCCAGGCCCCGGCGGCCGTCCTCCTCGAGCTTCTCGTCGCCGAGCACGCTGGCCTCGGTGACGAGGCGCATCGCCTCGCGCACGCTCACGGGCGGGTGGATGCCCCGGCGGGCACGCCTGCTGCTGCTGCTGCTTCGACCGACTCTGGCCTTGAAGTCGTCGAGCAGTGCTGCTTGGGACGACAATCAGCGGCCGTTCTCTTTCATCCTAGTGGCATCATCAACTCACTCGCGCAGGAATGCTCGCTGCTGCCCTCGCCGTCGTCGCCACTGACAGCACGGAAGAAGCGGTTGACGGGGGCCATGTCGCGGTAGTTGCATGCCGGAAACGTCTTCTCAAAGTCGGACTGCTGCTGCGGCTGCTGCTGCTGCTGCTGCTGCTTGCTGGGCGAGGCCGACGACGCGGCGTCGCGCGGCTGGAAGAGCGAGAACATCATGCTGGCCTGCTTCTTCTTGGCCTGCTCGGCCTTGTGCCGCTTCGCCTCGGCCGCCTGGCGCTGCGCCTCCTTTGCCGCGTCGCGCTGCTGCCGCTCGGCGCGCTTGGCCTCCTTTTCCTGCCGCTTGGCCTCGCGCCTGGCCTCCTCGTCGGCATCGACGGCCTTCTTGGGCGCGCGCTTGACGGCAAGCTTCGTCACCGTCGCGCTTGACTCCTCGTCTGCCGGCTTGACGATCGCGCTGTGCTCTTCCCTGTTCTCCTTCTCCTCGGTCCTGTTTGGTGCTGTTGTTGCCACCGTCACCGCTGCCGTCGCCGTTGCCACTGTGGTTGCGCTGGCAGCGGTGCTATTTGAGGCAGCAGCACTCTTCTTGGCCTTGCTGCCACTGCCAACCAGCGACGCGCGCTGTTCGGCGCTCATCTCGGCCAGCAACTGGCGCGCCGCCTCGCGCGCGCGCTGCCGCTCCTCGCGCCTCGCCAGCACCTTGTCGACGTTCTCGGCCGCCAGCAGTGCCGTGTCCCGGACCTCCCACCGCCAGATCTGCAGGCCCGGCGGCACGTCTGCTGCCTCGTCGTCGTTGTCGTCGTCGTCATCCTGGAGCGAGGCAAGGCCGTAGTTGACGCGCTCGGCGACCGTCTCGACGGCGGCCTGGATCGCAGCGACGGCCGTCGTCGCAGGGCCGCCTGCGCAGTCGTCTGCGCCACCGCTGCTGCTGCTGCTGCTGCTGCCGCTGTCCGCGTCGGCCTCGGGTATCACCGTCTTTCGGATCGACCTGGCAAGCTCGAGCGATGTCTTGTCGCTGTGTCGAGGTACGTGTCAGCCAGCATGTCCAGAAACACAAAGAAGGAAAGACGCACCTCTCCTGCGTCAGCTTGGCCACGACGTGCAGATGCTCCTCTGGGATTCTCTCCAGCGGCGCATCGAGGCCCGAGAGGTAGTTGTTGAGCGCGAGGATTGCTGGTGGGGCGGGTCAGATTATGCTTTCCTCACTAAAACGACCACCAGACTTGAGCCCTCACCCTGGAGCGTGCTCATGCTCTTTGTCCAGTCGACGGCCTTTTGGCGCAGCGCCAGCTTGTTGCCCCGGAGCTGGACCAGCTGCGGTGCCGCTGCTGTGTCATGAAAGTCAGCTGGATGATTCTGACTAAGAGCTGGTAAGATCAACGCACGCTGCTGCTGTTTGGCCTTCTTGCTGCGCTCGCTCTCGCCGCCCTCGTCGGCGGCCCTGCGCTTGGCCCCGCCTGGCCCATCGCGCGAGCCGGCTGCGTGCACATTGACGTCCGACTCGCCCATGATGTCCAGCTTGCTGTGTACGGCGGCGTGGTGGTGGTGGTGGTGAGACGGCGGCAGGCCAGCGGGCGCCACGGCAGTCATTGGGCGTGCGTGCGTGCGGGCGTGCGTGTTCGTTCGTGATGCTCTCTCACACCCAACTCTGTGCGCGCTTTCTCCAACGCCCTTCTTGCCTTCGCGCGTTGGAGGGCGCGTCGCGCAGGACTCGGCCGAGCTCGATGAAATTTAAATTTTTTGGTCTCCAAAAATTCACAAGAAGTTCAGGTGAGACGAGACGGCGCCACTCTGTCTGCAGGCAGTAGCAACCACCATGACGAGGTACACAAAGCTGGACAAGCGGCGGGCCGAGCACGACAAGCAGCGGCCCGTCGGTGCAGGCAACCACTCTGACGACGAGGCCGAGTCCCAGCCCGAGCCGCCGATGCCAGTGGCGGCGCAGGACGAGAGCAGCAACGAGGGCAAGGCGAGCAACGAGGGCGAGGACAACAAGGACAAGGAGCCAGCGCGCGACGCCACGCAGCTGCTGAAGCGCGCCAAGCTGATGCGCCTCAAGGCGAAAAAGGCAAAGACGGACGAGAAGCGGCGCGACCTGCTGCGCCAGTGCAAGGACCTCGAGCGGCAGGCGAGTGCGGCCAACGGCGAGCGCGGCCGCGACAAGGGCAAGGGCAAGTCCAGCGAGCAGCAGGGCGGCAAACAGACGGTGCTGGATGCCGAGGGCAACGTCGAAACGAACCCGTGGAAGGTCATGGAGGCTGGTGAGTGGGATTGAAAGAGCAGCGCGCCGAGGGCAGCGGCTGACAGACGGCCAACAAACAGAGCGGAGGCGGGGCAACGAGGAGCGGAACGCACACCGGCGGGAGAAGCGCGCCGAGGAGCGCCTCGCCAGCCAGCGCTGCTACGCCTGCCGCGGCCTGGGCCACTCGGCAAAGGACTGCCAGGCGTCGACGTTTGACGGCGAGGAAGCAGCAGCAGCAGCAGCATCGGCAGCATCGGCAGCATCGGCAGCATCGAAGCAGGAAGAGAAGAAGAAGAAGCAGGCGCTGCCGCCAAACGAAGCCAAGGAGTGCTGCTACCGCTGCGGGAGCACCGAGCACAACCTGTCCAAGTGCCGGCGACCGGCGCCCAAGGTGGGCCCGCAGCTGCCGTTTGCGAGCTGCTTTGTGTGCCAGGCCAAGGGCCACATTGCATCGCAGTGCCCGCAGAATGCCGGCAAGGGCATCTACCCCAACGGTGGCTGCTGCAAGCTCTGCCGCTCCGTCGAGCACCTCGCGCGCGACTGCGATCTCAACAGGAAGTCGACGGCCGACTTTTCCAATGCTGCTGTTGGCATGGGCGTGGGTGCCGAGCTTGGTCCTGGCCACAAGCGCAAGCGGCAGGCCGGCGCCGACGAGGACGACTTCCACGCCCTGTCGCGCGCGCGCATCGAGGTGGACACCGCTGCTGCTGCTGCTTCTGCGTCACGCTTCGCTGCCAAGCCCCACAAGAAGGTCGTCTCGTTCTGAGCATTACTCTCTTCTCTGTTACTGTACTACTATTATTTCATTCCACTGCAATCTCCACTGCTACTTTTCCGCAAGCACCCTGCGCACCGTCCGCTCGACGAGGACCGTGAGCGGGTCGCTTGTCGACGCCTCGTCGCCACCAGCGCCGCCGTCATCGGTGGCTGCCGCGCCGCCCAGCACGGCCCGGTGCACGTACTTGCCCACCATCTGCGGTGTGGGTCGAGTCAGCGAAGGCCATCAGAGAAGCACCGAAATAAAGAGGCTACCCACATCGAGCTCGACGTTAACCTTGTGGCCGGGCATCTTGCGGCTGAGCCCAATGGCGTCCTGCGTGTGCTTGATGAGCATGACGCTGAACTCGACGACCTCGCGCGGCTCGACGGCACCGCCTGCCTCGTCGGTTGTCTCGCCGGCGAGCCCTGCGCCTGCGCTGTGGCCCTCGTCGAGGCGGCCGCCCTGCGGTGGCGACACGTCGATGAGGGTGAGCGAGGCGCCGTCGAGGGTGACGTAGCCCTTTGGGATCAGGTACGGCGACAGCGTCGACGGCTGCGGCAGCTCGGCGGACCGCGAGAGGCGCAGGCACAGCGTCAGTGCGTTGCCCGTCGGCACCACGCTCCGGATCACGGCCGTCGTGTCGACGTGGCCCTGTGCGGCCGTCTCAGCTTCGGCTTCTCTGATAGATCACGCCTGCTCACCTGCACAAAGTGGCCGCCGAAGCGCGTGTGCGCCTGCATGGCCCGCTCGCAATTGACGCCGTCGCCCACCTTGAGATCGCCCAGGTTGGTCCGCCGCAGCGTCTCGGGCGCGACGCCGATCTTGAACGTGCCCGCGGCGGCGTCAAACTCGGTCACGGTCAGGCAGGTTCCTTTTGCGTAGTCATTGGGTCAGTGTCGTAGCACAGAAAAGTAGATCTCCGCACTGCTCACCGTTGACGCAGATGCTGTCGCCGATGTGGCAGTCGGACAGGATCGAGGCGCACTCGCCAATCGTCATGCTGTAGCCGCCGCCGCCCGACGTCGACTTGTCCATCGCCTGGATGTCGACGATGGGCGCCAGCGTCTCGACTGTGTGTGGTTCGTGTCAGCAGTGCGTTGGCGAGAGGCCCGCTGCGAGCTGCTGCTGCTCACCTATTCCTGTGAACATGACTGGCTTGGTCTTCAACGGCGTCGGGCTGAGTCAGTGGAGCGACGGACAAGGCCCGCGCAGACTAAATTCTTCCTGAGCCCGAGTCCCGTCCAACTTGATGCTCAATTGGATTTTGCGCGCTGCAGATTGTCGTGCTCACTCAAGAAAGCAGATTATCCAAATGAAAAGCTGTCTATTGCCTCACTCTTTTCATCGGAAAGCTCTTGTGTGCCTGCCTGAGAGTCCTTGGCACGAGTTTTGGTGTGGGGAGCGGTGTCTGGGCACCCTTCTTTTAAAGCGACGGCCTTTTTTTTTTGACCAGCCCGCTCCGCTCCGAGTGCGCCTCCCATCAGGACACTGAGCCAGACCGCTTAGCTCCTCTACCACCTAGGCTCCTCGATCATCGGCTGCGAGAAGATGCCGTGGCGGAATGAGAAACACCAAGCCCAGACGGCGTGATTACAGCGCGTTTAGTCAAGACGCAGAGGCGCAATGGCAGCGTGACGGAGAGATAGAAGTCCAAACTCAGTGCAAACCAAGCATTCGGCCCGCTCCGTAGACCTACCAGAGTCCTGAGCATCGAGGGACGACGTAAGAAGGATCGGAACAAGTTGCCGAGCTTGCTCGCGCAGCAGCATATAAAGAAGGACATTCTCTGCAATGCCCACACGCGCAACCTTTCAGTACCTGTGCCCTCGAGGGAAGAAGCAAGCAACCATGAAGCTCAGTGTGAGCGCAAGAAGCTTAGCAGGATCTCACCTCAGGAGGCTGCTGACCCCGTGCAGACAAGCGCATCTACCGTAGCCTGGGCGGCCATGGTCCTGGCTTGGTCGGCTTCGCCCGTTTCTTGTGCCTATTCGTGAGTCTGTGGCCGGCCGCAAGCACAGCGGTCCTAAGGCTGACAGAAGCGTGACAGGACCACGCTCCTCATGGACAGCGAGCCAAGTGAGCATATCGAGAAAGATCCATAGTCACTTCATGCAATGACGCCTTTGCAGTGACGACCTGCACGAGCAACATGAATTATATCGCCACGAAAACGGGGTACTGGGCTTGTAAACAGACAGATAGTTCGTCGATGTTCTGCACGATGGACAGCTACATAGACTTCTACCAGGCCCTCAACGCCTTCAAGAGCCACTGCGGCGCACTGTCAGGCCACACCAATTAGCCGTGCTCGTGCTGAGATTCGAGACGGCGACGAAGGTCTCGTGCTGCTTTTTCTATAGTTGTGCTTTTCCAATGTCATAGCCTTGCGTATGATCGCGAGCCCATAGTGGCAGAGCTGCCTGCAAGAGTGCCTTCGGGTAGTCTTTCCTTCTCTGCAGAGCTGCAAAGTGGCCTGTAGGAGCGGGACAAGTCGACCAGCGCTTTACGACGCCTATACGTCTTTCTCACCCTGGACTTTCTTCGCTCCCTGCCTTGTCAATCGACTCCGGAAAAAGTGGTCAGGAGGATGATTGCGGTCCTTGCCAAGGTGCCTAGTCAGCGCCAGGGGCAGAGCCGCCAACAGAGTTTGCCGTCGTCGCTATTTGAAGTAAACATAGGGTTTATGCGGAAACTGACGGCCAGTGGCGGAAGGCCGCTGTCTCAATTGGGTTTCGCAATTGCACAGAGCGACGGAGATCTTCCACTGTCGAGGGGCGACTCTCACTGACGTGTTGACAGGCAGGATAAAAGAGGGCTGTCTTTCCTTCCTCAGCTCACGCAATCACCGTCAGTCCCATTTCTGTAGAACATCCACACTCTTCTGCTCACTGCCTGCACACCGACTACAGTCAAGTGTCCTCATGAAATTCACGGTCAGTGCCTGTCAGTGGCAGCACAGCGAGGATGTTGACCTTCGACACAGGCCATTTCCCCCTTCCTGGCGCTCGCTCTCGTCGGCCTCTTGGCGCCTGCGGTGCATGGCGATGGGAGTGCGACCTGCACGTGAGTTGTCTCGTTGCCGTGCTCGTCGCTGACGCAGTGCTCACTCGTCTTTGCAATCCAGGACCTACCTCTACGATTTCTACGGCGAGAAGCTCCGTACGTCTCATTTGTGTTCTGCGCCTCACTCAAGCTGACCCTCTCTCTGTGAAAGTGAGCACCTGCCCCTTCGCTAGGACCTGCGTCGGCAGCAACGACAAGGCCTGGAAGTGCCAGGACGTCTTCCACTGCAACAGCATCGGAGCAAACTACGGTAACGTCAAGAGCCTCTTTCATACAGCCTGCAGGAAGCTGGGCGGACAGCCGGACGCTCCGTGATTGAAGCAAGTCTGGAAGCGCCCCACGACGGCCAGGACTAAAGACACGGAGTCGTAGATGTGCAATCTCCAACCCCATGCTCAACGATTGCTGCCATTAAGGCCCTCTGTAGTGAGCCAATGCCCAATGATGCCGCCGTTTGGCCCTCTTGGTGTTGAAACAACGCTCGAGGATTGCTGCTGTACCGCAGGATCAAACGACGGCTGCCGTTTAAGTCCCCTGAACTCAAAGAGCGGGCACAGAAACGAGTCCGCGGACGCAAGCACACAGAGCTAGGGGCAAGGATGGCATGTTGAATTACAGATGTGCACAGGCTTAGAAAGAGAGAAGGAATTAGGTAGTAGTCTACTTGGCCATGCCGCGGCCCGAGTTGGGCGTCCACTTGGCCTCGTAGCTCGCCGACATGTTGACGCCCATGGTCACGTAGCCGATGAGGCCCTGCTGGAGCACGCCGCCGAGGGGCTGGATGTCAAAGGTGGGCATGTAGCCGCCGTCGAACGAGTGCTGAAAGATCTGGAGCGAGTCCTCCCAGTTGCGCGTGCGCTTGCGCCCGGGCATGTGCGCCAGCGGGTTCTCGTTGTACGGCTGCAGCTTGTCGATCTCCATGTTGAGCTTGTCGTCGACAAAGAACTGGCCCGTGTGCGCGAGGCGGCCGCTGACAAAGGTGCCGTTGGGCAGCACGCTCCACTCGGGGTGCACCTTGACATGCACGTGCGTCGCGCGGCCCTGGTAGTAGCCGGGGAAGATGGAGGTGAACTCGGCGACACCGTTGGCATCGGTGGGCAGCGCGCCGCGAAGCCACGTCTCTTCGTCGTTGGTGCGCGGGTAGGCCGAGAGGAGGCCCTTGCGCGGGCCCGACGACGCCGGCTCCTCGTTGACGAGGTCCGGCCGCGGGTCCGGGTGGCCGGCGTAGTAGCCCGTCGCATTGGCGTGCCAGAGGTCGACGAGGACGTTCTGCACGGGCTCGCACGTCTCGACGTCGATGACGCCGACGTTCATCATGAACAGCAGGCCGAGCTGCCACTCGGCCATGTTGCTCCGGATCGGGTGGCCCTCGGTGTGGTAGTAGGGGCCCTCGGTCACCTCGGGGGCGAGGACGCAGGTGGAGTTGCGGATCTTTGTCTCGGTGACGGGCTCGCACGCCATGAGCTTCTTGCCGCTCTCGGCCTCGACCTTGCGCACGACGTCGCCCAGGCCCGCGCCGCCATCGAGCATCATCGACTCGGGCTCAAAGTAGCCGGCGGCAAACAGCTGCTGGTGCGACGTGGGGTCGCCGCCCAGGACGCGCTGGGCAAAGCTGCGCTTCCGCTGGCCCTCGAGCACGGCAATCTGCGGCGCACAGTGGTACGCCGTCGTCTGCCGGTCCAGGAACTGGGCCACCTCGCCGGCCGTCTTTGGCCCGTGGGCGTGGGCGCCCGCCGCGCCCAGCAGGGCTGTTGCGAGGGCGAGGGCTGTTGTCTTCATTTCGTCCTTTTCTCTGGGATGATGAGCTCTTACTCTGGTCGTCGCAGGCGCAGGCGCAGGGACAGTGACAATAATGAGGGACGGGAAGAGGAGCAGGAGTAGCAGGAGCAGGAGCAGCAGCAGGATCAGCACGAAGCGGGGTAGGCGGCAGCGTGCGCCCTTTATAATGCACGCTTCTCCATTCGAGCAGTGGAAAATTATTCGAGGCCCAGAGTGACCCTCCCGACATCGGAAGCCTCGTCGGACAGCCTGGCCGGGCGCGTGGGGGACTCACCTTTTTCCGCTGGGTCAAGCACGTGCCTGGAAGTCTTTCAAGCTTACCTAATCCGGCCCTTCGTCGCTTTTTGCAAAATAGTACCGCTCGATCATCGACGAAGCCCTTCATCGCCAGAAAGAGACCGATCCCACGATGCCGACGCTCGAAGAGATCCAGGACGAGTCGTACAAGGCCGGCCGGCCATTCAATGAAAAGGACGACGACGAGTGGGACGACGAAGACTCGGATGTCCTTGTGCGTATTTCGCAGCGCCTCCCTTGAACCATGGCTGACCCTGGCTGCCCACCAGTCCGACGACGGATCCTCGGATGACGACGACGAGGTGACGGAGCGGGGGCTTGCGCTGCGCGAAGAGACCATCTGGGAGCGCCTCTCTGCACTGCGGGACATTGTGCCACCGTCGACACGGCACCGCATCGCCAGCAGCCTGTCGACTGCCTCGACGTACGTCTACGTCGGCGGAAGGCTCGTCGGCGGCCTGGCCTGGGTCGTCACCACGTCGGCCCTCCTCGTGGGCCTGCCCTATGCGCTTGCTGTTGAGGATGAGGTCCGGGTCGCCATGCAGGAGCGGGAGATTGCAGCGCAGCAGAGCGGCGCACAGCACGTGAGTGTTCCGAGCGAGCCTCTTTCTTCCGAGCCTCTTCTTCCGAGCCTCTTCTTCCTCGCTCTGCCAATGCATGCTGACTCGTGCCGCAGATGATGGGCCCCGGTGGACCGCAACAGGGCACTGCTCCGGGCGCACAGGCGCAAGGCATCCGTCCCCCCGGCTTCTGATGTGTATCATATCGATTCCAGTCTCGCAATCCACCTCTTTTCTCGAGCTGTGCGCTGGCTTTGCGCTACTTGCGACTCTCTGACCATGGCTCACGGGCCTGCAGAGGGCCTGCAAAGGGCCTGCGAGCCCTTAGAAAGCCTTTTATTGACCTGGTCCTTCTCGCACACTCTGAGACAGAAAGCTCAGTCTTGAAAGCTAAGTGCTGCTCTCGCTGTCTCCTCAACCCCCGTAATGCAGGCTTGCACAACCTCCGTGGCACGAGCCTGAAGTTCCTACAATGTGAAAAGAAGATGGACATGTCCTCAGCGGCACGATGAGCCGTCCTGAGTCCTTTCGCTGCTCCCTGACATTGACAAGCGCTCCTTCTTTGCGCCATCTCTCGAAAGGAGAGGCAGCGAGCGAGGTGCTTACGTAAGGATCAAACCTAAACTTTTCCCTCGCGGATTCTTTTTTGTTTCTTCGCAGATGCGCGGCGCTGCTGCTAATCAGATACAATACCCCCCTTGCAAGAATGACGACGGGGCCCTCGCTCGACAAGCTCTCGGCGTGCCTCTGCGATGCGTCGGGCTCTGAGGCGCTCGATGCGCGCTTCCGGGCGCTGTTCTCGCTCAAGGGCCTTGCGGCGGCGGACGGCGCACGCACGCAAGCCGTCATCGACGTGATCGCAGCCGCCTTTGAGGGCAACGACTCGGCGCTCCTCAAGCACGAGATGGCCTACGTCCTGGGCCAGATCAAGGACGTGGGCGCCATGCCGTGCCTCGAGCATGTGCTCGCCGATGCAAAGGAGCACGCCATGGTCCGCCACGAGGTGAGTTCACTCGCCTTGCTCTTGCATGGGCAGACACTGACATCACGTGTCCAAGGCGGCCGAGGCCATGGGCGCCATTGGGTCGACTGTGGCACTGCCTACGCTCAAGCGCTACCTGTCCGACGCAGACGTGAGCGTGCGTGAGACGTGCGAGCTGGCCATCCGCAAGATCGAGTACGAGCAGGGTGGTGGTGGCAGCAGCAAGAGCGGCGACATGAGCGAGGCAGAGGCTATCACGCGGGCGAAGGCAGAGGCCGACAGCGGCGACAACGACGACGAAGACATCAAGAGGTAGGCTGTGGCTGGGCATGTGGTGTCACTTGCCTCCTTTGCTGACGGACGAGCGGCCTCCTCGCCACAGCGCATTCGCACCCATCGATCCGGCTCCCGCCCACAGCACGCGCTCGGCCGAGCTCGTCGCATCGATTGCCACGTACCGCCAGCAGCTCACGGCGGGGCCAAGCCTGCCGCTGTTTGAGCGCTACCGCGCCATGTTCTCGCTCCGCAACGCCGTGCACGCCGCGCGCCGGCTCGAGGCCGAGAGCGTGCGGCGCGGCGACGCAGCCGCGGTCCAGCGCTACAGCCAGGCGGGCACCGACGCCGTGCTCGCCCTGGCCGCAGGCCTCGCCGACGGCAGCGCGCTGTTCAGGCACGAGATCTGCTTCGTCTTTGGCGAGCTGGCCCATGCCGCGTGCGTCGACAGCATGCTCACCGTCCTCGACGACTCGGCCGAGCACGAGATGGTGCGCCACGAGGCGGCAGAGGCCCTCGGCGCCGTCGTCGAGGAGGAGGAGGAGGAGGAGGAGGAGGAGGAGGGAGAGGAAAAGGATGGACAGGTCAAGGGCAAGATCATGGCCAGGCTGCAGCGGTGGGCAGGCGACAAGGAGGCGCCGCGGGTCGTGCGGGAGAGCTGCATCGTCGCCCTCGATGAGATGGCATACAACAACGACCCCTCGCAGTTCCAGCCCGTCGAGGCGTAGCGCCGGCTCTTTCCTTGTACTAGTAATTCATCTTTCGCCTGATCCTAGGCCGCGCCTGAGCAGGGCAGGTGCGTGGCCTGAGCCGCGACTGAGCAGGGCAGCTGTGTGACCTGACCGTGCTCGATCAGGGCTAGTCTTCCCTGCCTACAGAGGCGACTGGCGCGCTGCGCAAGGGTCGCCCGCCGAGTCATAAATTCAGACGCGTCTCCATTCTATGTAGAGTCGCATATAGAGAGTCTCTCACCCTGTCTAGCAACCTCGAGGCAGATGCGACCATGACAGTGTCGGCAACACCCCTCTGCCTGTCCTTTGCCGTCGGCGCGTGCAGCTACGGCCGCCTGCTCGTGGCATGCACGCCCAAGGGCATCTGTGCGGTGCTGCTGGGCGGCATCGGCGGCGTCGGGGCCACTGAGCGCGACCTCGTGGCCGATCTCCGGCGACGCTTCCCCGGCGCGGTGCTGCGGAGCAGCGACGGCACTGCGCGCGAGTCGCTCGACGTCGTGCGGGCCGTCATCGAGGGCACATCGGCCCAGGAGCCGAAGCTGCACCTCATCGGCACGCCGTTCCAGAAGCAGGTCTGGTCCGCCCTCGTCCGCGTGCCCAGCGGCGCCACGGTGAGCTACGCGCAGCTGGCCAAGCGCGCCGGCCTCGAGGCGCGCGACAGCCGCGCCGTAGCGGGCGCATGTGCGAAGAACCACATTGCCGTCCTCGTGCCGTGCCACCGCGTCGTGCGGACCGACGGGGCCATGGGCGGCTACCACTGGGGCACCGACATGAAGCAGGGCCTCCTGGCCGCCGAGAGGGAGAAGCGCACGGGAAAGGCTTTGCCCGTCTGATGATTCCAAGCACTACTGTGACTCATGGCAACTGAGCTCTCTGTTCTGAAGAATATATTTTACTGCAACGGTGGATCTGTCCTACAACGAATTTTCCTGCAGGTGTGTTGTCCTACGACTCTTCTTGCAGGCGATTGTTCGCCAGATGTCGCCTTCAGAGGTGGACGGCCGTGTCCTTGGAGACGAAGCCCACGCTCGTGTTGTCCGGCTTGATGAGCGACTCGCCCGTGTGAATGATAAGAAGCAGCCAGGTGAAGAAGCTCTTGACACCGAGCCCCGCAACATCCCTGCTCTGCTCGAGGGCCTCCTTTGGATCGACGTGGGTGATACTGTACCCCGCGAGGAGCTCGTTGAGCGTGGCAACGCGGCCTGACACGCCCAGCGTCTGGTTCAACAGGTCTTTCTTGGGCAGCTTGGCAAAGGCGTCGCCCACGAACCGGCCCACGTCCTCCTCGGATGTGATTGTGAATTTTGTGTCGCCGGGGCCGACGATCGTCGCCGTCTTTTTCTCGCTGTCGACCGAGGTCAGAAGGGGAAAGACTGAGGTCAGAAGGCCGATGTGAATCTGCAGGTAGGCGAGGCCAAGCTGTAGAGGGCATGCACAACTGTTTAGCATCGATTCGGCAGGAGAAGATCGGACTAGTGTCTCACCTCATTGACAAAGCTCGGGAACGCGAGCTTGCCCAGGAGGAACGGGTGCACCCCCGTGCTGCCCTTTTTGATTGCTTCGAGGTCCACACCCCAGTGGTTGGCCAGGACGAGCTCGGCGCCGGCCTTCTTGGCCGCACGCGCAAGGTTGCTGCCCGACTCGCCCGCAAGCGACTCCTGACCGAGGGCGTTGATGACGACCTCGACGCCTTGGAGGGCCTTGGCGAGCGTGTCGACGTCGTCGTACGATGCGACGACGCGCGCCTCGGCGCCCTCGGCCACCTTGCTCGACGAAGACCGGGTGAGGACGACGACGCGGAGGCCGTGCGACAGCAGCGAGGCGGCGATGTTCTTGCCGATCTGGCCCGTGCCACCGGCGACGGCAAACGAAGTAAAGTGCGAGGACATGCTGATGGGGAGGGGGCTGTTGGTGCTTGAGAGGCCGCTATTGCTGCAGTGCCATCCCTTTAAATATCCCCAGCGAGTCTGTTCCGAAACTGTAAGCGGTGGAGCTTCTTCGTGCGAATCGAATGACAGCGTCGGTCTTCCTGTCTCGTGTGCGTGTGGCTTTACGCCTTAAGTCCGCGTCTTTGTCTAGGATCCGTCACGCAATCTCCGCGTAATTTGCCTGTTCGTCATCTGTTCAACGTAATGGCGGACGCCATCGCCGAGGTGTCACCATGCCAATACTTGCGTTACGGCCGTGCTCTCGGGCGTCACGATGAGACGACGCTGCGGCGATATGGCTTCTTGTCAGTCGACCCCTGGCTGCCAGTGTGATGCGAGCGACACAGAGCAGCTCGCTAAGCAGGGTGCACTACTGGCGGCCCCGTGTCGCTCCGCAGGGCGATTTGGGAGCGGACGGTGCACACTTGCATGCTGCCGTGCACGGGGGCGTTCGTTGCGGCGACTGCTTCGCCCTCGTCTTCTTATATTCCGTTCTTGTGACAGGCAGGATCACTGCCAAAGCGCCCACCACACGTGGTATGTGCCGGGCTCATGCTGACGTCGCGTGGGTGTGCCTTCCGCGGAAGCACGCGCGTCAGCAGGTGTCGGTCCTAAATTTTCAATGAATCAGTAGTGCAAGGCCTGTCAGCCATCACGCCCCCGTCAGCGTCACGGTCAGCAAGTCCTGTCAGCGTCACAATCAGCAGTCCTCCATGGAAGACGTGACATGCTGACGACCAGAGAAGGATGGCAGGAAAGACGCGATTTGCTGACGGCCAAGGAAGGTTATTCGGCAGCCACGAGAAGGAAACATGATGGAGAGACAAGCCATGGTTGCCCATATAAGGGGCTCGCTGAACGGTGGTCATTGCAGTACCAATCTCCCCCCATATCAGACGCGCAAACACGACAGCAATGGCCAAGAACATCGCCATCATCATCGGCTCGATCCGCAAGCAACGCAAGGGCCACCAGGTCGCCGAGTGGATCCACGACCAGCTCAAGCCGCTCGCCGACAAGCAGGGCGCCGCGCTCGAAGTAGTGGACCTGGCCAAGTACCAGCTGCCCATCCACGATGGCAGTCCGGCGATCATGACACAGCTCAAGGGCAAGGGCGAAGAGGGCGAGGGACACGAGTACCCCGATGACAAAGTCAACGCCTGGTCTCGGACGATTCGCAGCCACGACGGCTACGTGTTTGTCACGCCCGAGTACAACGCAGGCATCCCTTCGCCGCTCAAGGCGGCCCTCGACCACATCTACCACGAGTTCGCAGGCAAGCCAGCGCTCATTGTCTCCTACGGTGGGCCTGGCCGTGGCGCTTCATCGGGGCAGCAGCTGGCGACGGTCCTCAAGGCGGTCAAGCTCAACGTGGCCGAGCAGCAGGTGAACATTGCAGCCGCGTCGCGCGCTAGGGGCCCTAACGCGCCGGTCGACGACGAGACACGGGACACGTGGAGCGTCGACGACGTCGTCACGGCCTGGGACTCGTTTAGCAAGCTGTAGATTCCTTCTGTCATGTACCTTGAATGCAATTTTCTAGAATCATGCTGAGACGCAGTGCCACGCTGAAAGAGAAAATAAAAAAAAAATAAAAAACCAAATAAAACCCTCTAATCTCCGAGCCTGCTCTTACGCACGAGGGGTTAGGCCAGGTGCCTGGCTCGTCGCCCCACCAGCGCGCAGATCTTGAGACGATGACAATGCTCGAGCGAGTCAAGGCATCGATGTCGGTCAGTGCGGGCGAGAGGCGGAGGCTGCAGAACAGAGAGGCGCAGCGAAGGCGCAGAGAGAAGCTGCGTCGGATCGGTCTCACAAACGACGAGGTGCGCCAGGTCATTGAGGGCGAGGATGAGCCCGCGCCTGCTCCAGCGCCTTTGATGCCTGTTCCGCCACCGGTGACGGCCCCACGCCAGTCGGACCTCGCTTCTGTCCCCGTCAAGGCGCCGCAGGAGCCCAACTGCCAGCTCGCACAATCCTACTTTGCCTCCAAGTCGTCGGAGAGTGCGCAGCTGCTCATGGACTCCATCACCGCAAAGTGGGTACCAGCTCCCTCTGAACTTGTCATATGCTGATCATGGGCCGCGTGTGCTGCACAGCTTTGCAAAGTGGTCCCTGAGCGACACACAGGCCGACCTGCGCTTCTACCTGTCGACGCAGCCCGAGCTGTTTGACAAGCTCCTCATTGCGCTCCACTTTGCCCACGGCATCTCCGATCGGCGAGATGCTACCGTCTGCCTGCCACAGGACAACGGCCCGTCGATCTACTTTGCCATCATCAAGCTCTACGCCGCACGGGCCAAGGACAAGGCGCTTGGTGGGTCTTCTTCGTCCTACCAGTCGTCCTGGTCGCCGTGCTCGTCAATGTCGCTCCGGGTCGAGGCGCAGCCGCTGTTCGAGGCCGTCATCTCCAACGCGACCCGGCTCGGCTGTTCGTCAGAGGAGATCAGCGACATCGACGCTGTCAGCGGCATCGGCGAAAAGTTCCTGATCGGCAACGGGGAGTGCTGCGTGCGACCGGGCGAGCCAGCCAGTGCTGCGCCGCCGTCTGGCGGCGACGTCACGACGAAAAAGACGCGGGTCGACTGGTCCAACATCCCCGAGAACATGCACCCCACCGCCAAGCAGATGCTCTCGCGCCACTATCCCCTGATTGTGAGATTGACTGAGTGCAGTAACAAGCGCTGGACCCATGCTGACGGCGATGCTCTCTGCAGGACGCAGCGTTTGTGTGGCCTTCGGTGCGCGACAAGGTCCTGTCGCTGCCCGGCATTACCGCAGACGCCGTGTGCTACGACATGATGATCTCGAGCATCGTCAACGAGGGCGACCCCTCCTTTCTCGTCTGGGACAGCGACGCCATGGACCCAGACTCGTGGGAAGTGGGCGAGGCGTTTGCACGCCGGTGGCCGTTCCTCTTCGACCGCGACATCATTGCCCGCTCCAATTGGTGGCGGAAAAAGAGGGGCCTGGGGCCGATCAAGCTCGACGACATCCCCACGCCTTCTCCCAGTGCAGCCTCGTCTACGTGAATCTACCTGTGATACCGCTATGAATCTAGTGTCATGTATTATTTCATACCGCCCTGCGTTGAGGGCATGTCCAGCATCGGGGGCATGCCCAGCATCGAGGGCATGCTCTACATCAACGACTGCCGAGAACAACACTAGGAACAGTGTGGGAGTGAAAGGAGTCAATGGAGATCACACATCTCGCCGGTAGGCGTCCCGCAGCCGGTGGTACCACTTGCGCTCGCCCGCGTGCTCCTCGAGCCGGGGCACCTCGACGTGCTCGCCATCGAGGCCCTTGCTCGTCACGGCGTTCTGCTGCTTGCCCAGGTAGTAGTTGGGCATGAACAGCGTCGCCACGACGGGGATCGCAGCCAGGCAGAGGGCCGTGATGGCGATGATGCCATTCGTCTGCGCATACGCCCGGATCACGCCCTGGCGGATGGGGCTGTCAAACGCGTAGCCGGCGCGCACCTTGATGATGCTCCCGTACAGCTTCTCGAGCGTGGCCAGGGGCACCGTGGGCAGCTCGCGCTGCATGCGCTCCAGCATCATGTTTGTCCAGATCGCCGACGAGATGGCGCTGCCGACCGAGGAGCCCAGGGTGGACCAGAGGCTGAGGAGCGAGATGACCGTCGCCATGTCCTCGTGCGGCACCGAGGCCTGCGAGCCGACGCGCGCGCCCACGACGCTAAAGGAGCCCAGGCAGAAGAGGAGCTGGGCCACCGTCAGGCGCGCCGTGCTCTGCGTCATGGTGTTGGAGCCCGCGTCGACAAAGAGGCCGTAGGCGACGAGCTTGCCGACGGCGCCAAACATCATCAGGTTCTTGTACCGGTGCGTGCTGCGCTGCAGGAGGCCCACAAAGGGCCCCAGCAGGCTCAGGCCCATGGTTGTGATGCCCAGGAAGATGGTCCACTGGTATGTCGTCCAGGGCTTGATGACCCAGACGTAGGAGCTAAAGTAGGTGTTGCGCACCGAGCTGGCCATCTGGTTGAAGACGTCGATGACGACGGCGGCAAGGAAGGCGCGGTTGCGCAGGATCCGGCGCGTCATGAGCGGCTTTGGAGCAACGAAGCACTCGAAGAGGACAAAGCCGACGAGGATGACAAAGCCGACGACGATCATGGCGATCATGCTCGGGTTCGACCAGCCGCCCGACGCGGCCTTGGCGAGCGTGAAGGGCAGCAGAATGAGCGCAAAGGCAAAACCGAGGAGGACAAGCCCAACCATGTCGATCTCGATGAGACCCCGATAGAGCAGGGCGAGCCAGCTGCGCACCGTCTTGGGCCCTGTATCCTCGTCGCCCGAGCGCTGCATCTTGGACCCGGCCATGCTGACCATGCCCATCTTCTTGCCGCGCCACTGCATGACGTACAGCGTGGCAATGGCTGGGCTGATGAGGACGGGCACCATGATGGCAAACATGCCCAGGCCCCAGCGCCAGTGGTCCGGCGCAAAGCCAGAGGCGATGAAGCCGTTGATGGGCACCGTGACGATGAATGGCGTTGAGAGGAGCGAGCCAAAGAAGCCACGCCACTCGAGCGGCGTCAGGTCGCCCACGAGAATGTCGCTCAGCAGGTCCAGGCCGGACTTGCCCACGGCGGTAAAGGAGATGCCGATGACGTAGGCGGCAAACGTGCTCGAGCTGGCTGCGACAACGAAGCCAATGACGTAGAAAAAGACGACGACGCAGTACGTCGTGGGCCGCGAGGTGATGTCGGCCATCTTGCCGATGAAGGGCTTGCTGATCGCACGGATGATCTGGCTCGCAGTCGACACCGCCGCCAGGTTCTCGTGCAGGCCAAAGGTCGACGTGGCCATGGCCGAGAAGACAGTCGTGGTGATGCCCTGGTCGAGGGCGTAGACGAACATGGTGATCATGATTGACACGGCCAGCGCCCACAGCAGCAGCTTCCCCGACCGGCCAGACTTGTAGAGGACGCGGTTGAAGGCCTCGACCTTGGACACGCCGGGCGCCGCACCGTGGGCTGTCTCGTCGTCGGAGCTGCCGTCGGAGGAGGCGCCGTCGAGCGCCTTTTCGCCGTACGCCATCTCGTCTGGGCCTTCTTCGTACTCGCCGGGCGTCTTGGTCTCCTGTGCGTGCTTGGACATGGTGCTGGATAGGGGACTGCTCTTCGCGGGCACCGACGCGGCCTTTAAAGCGCCGCAGAGAGCGAACAACTTCAGAAGCCCAGAAGCCCAGGAGCGCGCAGAAGTTCAGAAGCCCAGAAGCTTAATTTGCCAAGCCGCCGTTCCCGGAGCGCGAAAAGTTTCCAGCGCTGGTACTGCGACTTAGCGTCGTTCCTTGCGGATTATCAGATGCCTTGTCCGTCAAGTGGTGCGACAGCCCTGTCAGCGCAGTATCTGATGTAGGAAGCACATGGTCTCCGCTGTTGACCCTCGGCCAGTTCAGTTCAATTCAAAGATGTGCCACCTCAGCCAGTCCAAGGAGATGCTATCTCGGCCAGTCGAAAGATGCGCTAAGATCGCAGCCAGGCGCTAAAGTTGCAGCCCGTCAGGCGCAGACTCACACGACGTCCATCCGGTTCCTCCCTCTGCGTCGGACGAGGGAGCACACTATATGCCGAAACCCTTGGCTAGGATGATCTCTTGTCTTGATATGCTGTGCCTTGCATCGTTGTGGCTTGCCGGTCGTCCACAGGGAGCGTGTGATTGGGCAGCGACTCTTTCCTGCTTAGGAGTACGCAGTGCGTCGGCTTCCTTCGCCGATGGCGGTACGCAACTTAGCCCTGCTTCCATGTGAGGAAGCCCTGTAAGCTCCGCTCTCTGGTCGCGCAGTGCAAAGAGCTTCGCATTCGATTATCAGTCTGCGCGTCCAAGGCGGGACTTTTGATCCTGATCAGTCATCATGAATGCGTGAACTAATGGCACGAAACTGTCCTGAGGCAGCGGCCCGTCCCACGTTGTGTTCGCCCATCACTGCGATCCACATGCATTGACTACCAGAAACTAAAACAAAAATACAGAGCCCAAGAGATGAAGAGAAAGCTCAGTAGCTGTACCGGAACGCCGGGTGGCGGTGGCCGAGCGACTCCTGCTCCTCGAGCGACAGGCCCTCGATGCGCGCGTCGCGCAGCCCCGCCTCCCTCCGCCGGTTCTCCCGCTGCAGATAGACGGTAAGAAGCGCCGAGATGATCACGAGGCCGCACGCGGCGCCCACGTTGAGCGCGTTGCCCGGCAGGTAGTCGGGCGCGTCCTTTGTGAGGTAGGACCAGCAGGCGATGAGGCCGCCGGCGTTGCCGAGCATGACGACGATGCCGATCGCACCCGCCCTGGCCGAGTCGGAGTTGCAGTTGGCGCTCGCCCAGCCGGGCATCATGGCGCCCATCGGGAACGCGCCCGAGGCGACGAGAAACGAGGCGGCGTAGCGCACGCTCGAGCTCGACACCGATGTGCCCACGTACATTGCATAGCCGACAATCATGAGGAAGCCGGAGCCGACGACAAAGACGCCGCGCATGAGCGTCTTCATCGACAGGTAGGGGATCAGCAGCACAAAGCAGGCGCCCACGACGTACGGGGGCACCGTCAGCAGCTGCTGGTGCACGACGGTCCTGCCTGGGAACAGCGTCTTGACGATGGTGGGCAGGAAGAAGGCGACACCCTGCACAGAGATGTTGTCGAGCAGAAAGGCGACGGCCATGGTGAGCGACGTGGCGTTGAAGATGCCCGCGCGGACCTGCTTGGACCGCATCTTGTCCACGACGACGTCCGAGGCGACCGTCTCGGAGCGCAGACGGGCATTGGCCAGCTCTTTTTCCTCGGCCGAGAGCCAGCGCGCCGTGTCGATGCGGTCGGTGAGGAGAAAATAGGCGATGACGGCGAGGCCGGTGGTGATGATGCCCTCGATGAGGAAGATCATGCGCCAGCGCTCCAGCGAGCCGATGCGGTCGAGCGTCAGGATGCCGCTGGCCAGCAGGCCTCCCACGGCGCCCGCGATGGGTGCGCAGACGATGTACATGGCCAGCCGGAATGCGAGTTCCTCGCGGCGGTACCAGCGCGACTGTGGGCTGGTCTCAGCTGCCGTCGCGGAAAGTCTGAAGAGGAACAGCTCACCAGGTAGTAGGCAATGCCCGGCAGGTGGCCAGCCTCGGCGACGCCGAGCAGGAAGCGCAGCGCAATGGCAGCCCCAAACGAGTGGACAAAGGCCATGCAGAGCGAGAGGATGCCGAAGCAAAAGGTGAGGAATGGCAGCCACTTTCCCGGCCCGACGCGCTTGCACATCAGGTTGCTCGGCAGCTCAAAGAGGATATAGGCCACATAGAAGGCGCTGAGGAGCGTATTGTAGTCGTAGCCCGTCATGCCGAGGTCCATTTCGAGCTTGGCCAGGCGCGCGTTGCCGATGTTGGCTCGGTCAATGAAGCAGAAAAGATACATGACGGCGACGACGGGGATGATGTGCACGTCGATCTTGCGCCGCAGCCGCCCTTCGGCCTTGGCATCGAAGCTGGTGCGCATCACGGCGACGCCCTTTTCCTCGGCATCGCCTGTGCCGAGGACGACGTCGCCCGCCGAGCCCCTGCCGATCGATTTCGTGTCGAGGTCAGACATTGGAAGAGGGAAGAGTGGGGAGTCTGTGAGGGAAAGTCATGGGCGGAGGGAGCTCTTTTATGAAGCGCGAGTGCCTGCCAGAGGTGTGGCTTTTGACGTCTCTAGCGCGGCTGGTTCCTGGTCTTGGCGGTGGGGCCCCGCAAAGTGAACCCTCCTCCGGCATTTCCGTCGCCTTCCATCCGGGATGTCGCCGCGCAGTGGTGGCTTGGCAGATTTCCAATCTCCACGTTTCCAACACTCTACACGCTGGTCCAGAATCGGAACGGACTGCCAGAGCCGGACCGGGGGAGCTGTTGGGTCCTACGTAGCTCGATCGACCACCTATTAAAGATCAGGTATCTGGGCCCGCCACCAGAGCGGAGTGGCTGGACCCTCTGTGAACGGGAAGCTCACCCCTTCTGACGATTGCTTCTCCTCCGCCGTGATTTCCGCCGCCTTTCTGCTCTTCTCTTAGTCAGGGGTCGACTGGGGATCTCTGTCCGTGTCGCTTGATGGCTGTAGCATGGATATCGCGCGATAGGAGTGGGTCTCCTGGCGCCACAGTTGTGTGTAAGCCACGCCCTGGGCCCTCGCAGAGCAGTCGCGGACGAAGACGCCGCTTCTGATAAGGTCAGGCGAGCTGCTGCACCTCACTTGATGCTGCTGCAGCGCTTGCACTAGTTGAACGAAAGGCGCAGTCCCCTCGCTCAAGGTCAACTTCTCTTCCATGTCGGCTTGTGAGGCGGCGATTCGACCGAGGCTGGGGCAACTCCTCGCGATTGTCGCGAGGAGCAGCGCGCCGAGTATGTCGTGTTAGACGTCAAGGCCTTCGAAGGTGCTGTGGCAGCGTCCGAAGCATTACTGCATTGCGTGATGTACTGCGCCAAGGAGATTTACATCGAGTGAATCAACTATCTCTCGCTTGTTAAGAATCCAGATTCCCGCCCGGGAGATGGAGAGACTGCAACATGCGCTCTGTAGGCATCGGTTCTTTCGCCGGATCAGCACAGCGGTGGCGATGGCGCAGCGAGAAGGTATGCGGGACAGAGTAGCAAGTGTCTTCGAGTATGCCCGAGAATTGAAAACGCGCCCTGATTCCCCCTCTGATCGCAGAGACGACGTCCGCCCCGCGCAGTGCCAACGCCCGTGTGCCTTCACAACCGGCGTGATTGCCGTCGGACAAAAGCCAGAGGCGCCCATCTGCTGCAGAGATTCTACCTGGCGCACTTTCCCGTCGATTAGCCCGCATCGTTTATGTCTGTGAGGGCTAATCCCTTCAGCGCATCAAAAATGGCGCTCGCGTCCGTCTGTCAGGACCAGCAACCGAGGCTGAGCGACACGGTGCGAGACAAGAGGCAAGACTGTCTCATTGCGCTTGAGCAGGGCTGGTGTCGGACTGCTGCTGGAAAGGCTGTGCTTGCTGCAGCCTCGTCAGCCCTTTGGCAGCCTCGTTATGTGAATCACGCTCGGCTTGTATGGCTATACGCCCGTTCAGACCGCGAGCAAGGCTATAAAAGAAGCCCCTGGAGCGCAGTCTTGATCCCCCAAAAATCAGCAGTCCTCTTCAACCTCCTCCAGGAACATGGTCAAGTTCACCATCTGCCTTTTTCTCTGGGCCCTCACTCATCTGCCTCACGCAAATTCTGTCGACACATACTATGGCGGTCTTCGCGTCATCCACACCGGCGACGCCGCTTACTGGGACACGGGAGTCCTCAACTACTTTGCGCGATGGTCTAAAAGCTATAACATGTTCGCCGGCAAAGGTCTCGATCAGCCAAGGGGACATCTCGTCAAATTTGATGCCGATTTCAAGCCCGACGACGACGCCGACGACCAGTCCGGTGCATTCAGCTTCGTCTCCGTTTACGGCGAGACAGTCGAGCCCCGTGCTGTTTTTAGAATCGTGGAGAGCTACACGGGATCGAATCCGGCTAAACAGCGTTCGTTTCAGCCACAGGGAGAAGTCGAGGCCGACGGATCCTTTTACGACCTCTACTCGGTTTGGCATGGCTCAGGGACCCCTGATAACGGCGAACCATACTTTGAGCTGTGGTCGGTGCGCCGTACACAGCGTACCGAGTGCCTTGTATCTGTCAACGAGCACAGTCGAGCTTGGGCAGGGCGTGGCATACTTCTGGGAACGCATACCCATCGGCTTGTGACGACAGAAAGTCAAGCCAGCGCTGGACATTGTACCATGGCGATTGACACGATCTGAGTCTTGTCGTGGTGCCTTTCCTCCTAGAGACTAATCCGTCGCAATATCAGTCAGTGTCTGTAGACGAAGAGCGTGACTTGTGTGAGGTGAGCTGCCCCTTGAATATCTCCGCTGCCATGTCACAGCTCCAATACACGCTCTCGCCTCTCGCACCACCAAAGTCCGAGCGGCATCGAACTCGAATCTTATCTCCGATTCTCCACAGCGTCAGTCTCCTAGCGCGACTTCGGCAAACCGTTCCGCATCGCCAGAGCGGCAGCAACCACCACCACCATCTCGAACTACCCCGCCGCACGATGACACTCACGGTCCACCACCTCCAGGTCTCGCAGTCGGAGCGCGTCGTCTGGCTCTGTGAGGAGCTGGGCGTGCCGTACACGCTGAAGCTGCACCAGCGCGCCCCCATCTTTTCGCCCCAGTCGATCAAGGACCTCAACCCGCTCGGCCAGGCGCCCGTGATCCAGGACGGCGACCTCACGCTGGCCGAGTCGGCCGCCGTCGTCGAGTACATCATCCACAAGCACGGCGGCGGCAGGCTCTCGCTGGCCCCCTCGCACCGCAACTACGCCGACTACCTCTACTGGTTCCACATGTCCAACAGCAACCTGCAGCCCCTCGTGCTGACCCTCCTGCACCTCTCTAGCGTCGGCAACCCCGGCGACCGGCTGGCGAGTACCCAGGCGCGCTTCGACAACCTGCTCACCCTCCTCGACAACCGGCTCACGAAAAACACCTGGCTGGCGGGCGACGAGTTCACCGCGGCAGACATCATGATTGTCTTTACGCTCACGACGATGCGTGTCTTTTACGCCTTTGACCTCAGCGGCCGCCCGGGCATCCTTGCCTTTCTCGATCGTGCCACAAAGAGAGAGGCTTACAAGCGCGCCAGGGCAAAGGGCGATCCCGAGCTGGAGCTCATGATCCAGGGCCCGGCCCCCAAGCCATTCATCGCGCGTCTCAAGGAGGCCGGCAGGATTTGACCAGCAAAAAGAAAGCGTCCGTCAGATAGAGGTGACAATTTGCTTAGCAATGCAATTCAATTCCCTGTCGATGACCACGAATGAAGAGTCAAGATCTTGCGTTTCTCACGCCCGCTTCTTCCTTGCGGAATCCTGCTTGGCCCAAACCTTAAAACGGGCGATTCTCCAGGCAACCAGCCTCCGATTTTAATCCCTCTCCACTGCATTCTCTGCATCACCCTGCGCCGGGCCGGAGATAGGCGTGCCTGCCCTGTCTCGATGGCCTGGGCGGCGCGCGATGGTGTCCTCGACGACAGCTGCAGCCCAGACGATGGCCACGTGGGCCGCTGTCCGCGGCCGACGAATCCCGACGTGCAGGGCGCCCGCGGTCGGTCGTCGTCGGGCGGTGCGCACAGGCCACCTGTCGAACAAGACCCATAAAAGGCGGTGCGATCCTTGAACGAGAGGAGCAGGCAGCATGTCGCAGCGACAGTGGAAGCTGCCTGAGCAGCCGAGGCGCACGTCATTCGACTGCCTCACGCTAGAGACGACCAAAGTGCCCACGGTATTGCCGGGCGAGGTGCTCGTTGCGGTCAAGGCGTGTTCTCTGAACTATCGAGACCTGATCATTGCACAGGGAACACACTCCCTGCCTCAGAGAGGAAAGCCAGTGATCCCCGTGTCCGACGGCGCTGGCGAAGTCGTCGCCGTGGGCGAAGGGGTGACGAGCTTCCAGAAGGGCGACCGCGTCTGCGCCCTCTTCTTCCAGGACTTTCTCAAGGGAAGCGTGCCGACGGCGGCAGAGAGCAACTCGCGGGGCGGGAGCCTGCGCGACGGCTTTCTTTGCCAGTATCGCTGCGTGAGTTGTATGTAAAGTGCTTGGAGGGTACAGGACTCATCCACTGCGCAGCTCCCCGAGCATGCGCTCGTCCATGCCCCCCACCACCTGACGTTCGAAGAGGCCTCGACGCTGCCGTGCGCGGCGGTCACGGCCTTCAATGCCCTCTTCGGACACTCGTCCAACGTCGTACAGGCGGGCGAGACGGTGCTGTGCGAGGGCACAGGCGGCGTGTCCGTCTTTGGCGTGCAGCTGGCGCTGGCCGCCGGCGCAAAAGTCGTCCTGACCTCTTCGTCCGACGACAAGCTCGCCAGGGTCCGATCGCTCGTGTCGGCCGAGAAGCAGGCGCGGCTGACGACCGTCAACTACAAGACGGAGCCCAACTACGACAAGGACGTCTTCCGCGTCTCGGACGGCGAGGGAGCCTCACACGTGCTGGAGATTGGTGGCGCAGGGACGCTGGAGAAGGCGTTTGCGTGTGTGAAGCGAGGAGGGATGATCAGCAATATTGGCTTTGTGGCCGGCGGGCCCGGCGTTCAGCTGCCGGACATCCCGACAATGTCGTTTTCCAAGGGCGTCATCTACCGGGGCACTATGGTGGGGAGCAGGGAGCAGTTTGTTGCGCTCAACCGGTGCCTCGAAGCGCACGACATTCGGCCCGCCGTCGACCGTGTCTTTGCCTTTGACGAGGCCAAGGAGGCCTACAAGTACCAGTGGAGCGCGTCTCACGTCGGCAAGGTTGTCATTTCGTGTGTGTCGTCAGAGTAGATGCTACTGCATTCTTCTTGGAACTTTGTTGAAAAAAAAAAAGAGCCCGCAGTAAGGGCGGATTTACATTCATGGTCTGACAAGGGGAAGTTTCAGATAGACGGACTAGACAACGGCCGTGATTGTGACCCGAATGATCTGCTCCCGAGCATCGAACTGCGACTTTGACGTCAGTGGAGTGAGATGCGGCCACGCAGCACTGCCAGACACTCACGGGACCATCCTCTTCGGCGAGCGCTGCCCTCGTCCGCCGATAGATTTCTTCGATGAGCCACTGGCGGGCGACGTCGACCGCGGTCGACACCACCAGTTTGGCTGCAACGCCGACACTTGGCAGCTTTGATGCATCCTTGCCCAGATTGCGGGCGGAGTGCTGGAGGGGTTTTGCCGCGGGATAGTAGGAGGGATCTGTGCGGAGAGACACGTCTCTGCTGAGCAGGCACACCGAAACGCAAGAATACAAGCAACCTACAAATATGCGTCATGGTGTCGCAGGCCTCGTCGATCGAAAAGAGCGCCGACTTGCCCTCGAAAAAGGCCATCTGCTCCGACAGAGCTGCGTTCAAGGGGCCCATCTCCACGTGGTCCTTGTAGCCCAGACGGAGCGTGGCGGTGTAGAAGCCTGGGATGAAGCTGCCGCCGTCGACGAGCGGCCGCACGACGAGCCGCTTCTCCTCTTCGATGGAGGGCACAGCAAACGTCTGCCTGGCCAAAAAGACGGTGCGCGTGCCCGTGGATGGGTACATGGTGAGGAAGTGGGCGAAGCTGTGGGGTACGGTCACGGCTTGGGCGTTGTCGTGACCAGCCTGGGGCGACGATGTGGCTCCATTGGCCCACTCTGGGGCCGCAGCGACGGGCCTCCAGAAGATCGTCGAGCAGTTGTTGCGGAGAAGCGGCTTTTCGCGGCCGTCGAGCGCCCTGACGAGGAGGGAGCCCTGGTCCGACGTAGCATCTGGACCAGCGACGAGAAAGTCCGACAGCAGGACACGGTTCGCGCGGTCGAAGGTGTCTGCGGCCGCGTCACACTGTCAGGATGGCCGCCGAGTCTGAAATAGCTGTGCCAACTCACCGACGAGCTGGGTGCCCCACGTCCACAGAAGCATGATCAGCCACAGGACCGCACCAATGGTCAGGCTGAACCAGGCTCCCTCGGGCACTTTTTTCGCCACGGCGCCCCAAAGCAGCGCATCGACAAAACCAAAGGCGACGAAAAAGAGCAGGCCCAGGACCCAGGGCAGGCGCTTGACAAAGAAGATGCTCAGGGCAATCTCAAAGGTCGTGATCAGCATTACCGTGATGACCGCGAATCCGTATGCTGTGTGGGCGGGTGAGTCATGGGAACAGAGCGTGGCTGACTGAGGCTACCCACCGTTGAGAAGCTTGGCCGAGGACCCAAACGCGCCCACGGCGACGATGATGAGGACGCCGAGCGTATAATTGACGACGGGGACTGTGTGTAGAGTGAGAAACCTGCGCAGAGTAGCTGAATCGAGCAGGCCACTCACTGTACACTTGGCCGTAGTCATCGCTGGGGAACTTTTGCTTGAGCGACGGGAGACAGCGCATGTGGACGAGCTGGCTGACGATGCTGAAGCAGGCGGTGAGGAGTGCCTGACTGGCGATGATCTGTGGTCGAGGGTCAGCTGGGGGAGCTTCAAGTTGTCACACGCTACCCACGGTCGCAAGGAGGCCCGTCGCAAAGCCGATCCAGTACACGGCGTTGCCCTGGCCGCCGGGAATCGTCAGGTAAAAGATGTTTGGCCTGTGATGCGTCAGCTTTGGCTTTGGCTCAGAAGAGGGAGTCTCGCTGCTCACAGGACAGTGGGGCCATCGGTGATGAGCTTGGCGCCCTGGCCCAGGTAGGCCAGCATCAGGCTCGGATAGACGACGAGCACGAGCGGGATCTGGATGCCGCGGCGACCCAGCTGGCCCAGGTTGGCGAACAGGGCCTCGCAGCCGGTGATGGCCAGGAGCACGCCCCCGAGCGCGTCGTAGTTGCCCGTCCTCACAAAGTCTGATGTTCCGTCAGCTCGCCGCCAGGCATATCAGAACCAAGAATACCTACACAGAACAGCGCGCGACGGGTCGTAGGCGCGCCAGATGCCCGGGTAGGCGTGGCAGTTGACGGCGCCTGTGATGAAGAGGAAGAGGAACCAGAGAAGGACGCAGGGGCTGAAAAGGAACGCGAGCCGCTTGACACCGAGCGACTGCAGCAGCACCAGTGCGGCGAGAATGGCGATGGAGATGGGCACCGTCGCGTTGCCGATCTCTGGCTTGACGACGCGGATGCCCTCCGCGGCAGAGAGCACCGAGACAGCGGGCGTCAGGACGCCGTCGGCCATCTGCCACAAGGATGCTGTGAGCTTGATCCTTGGAAGCATGTCTTGAGCACACCCACTGTGAGTGCGGAGCCGAGCAGGGCGATTGCGCACAGGAGGGGCTTGCACCACCGATACCTGAGCAAAAGCGCACGGCGGTCCTTGTTCTTGCCCGATGGCTGCTCTTCGTCCCTCTCTGCCGTGTCCTCGTCGCAGATGCGACGGGGAAAGAGACCTTGGTAGAGCGCAAACGTCTTTGGGCCCGAGTTGTCAGCAAGAGCACGATATCAAATAACCGCAGCGCACTCACGCCGCCTTCTCCCAGGCCCGTGCCGAATCTCAGGACTGCAGATCGCATCAGCTGCCGTAGCATCGGAGAACGCATCAAGAACATACCAATGGCGGCGTACTTGACCATGACGACGATGGTAAAGATCCAGCTACAGAGAGGGTTTAGCTCGGTCCGCTTATGGAAGTAGCGCCTGCTCTTACACGATGGTGGAGATGATGCCTATGACGTCCTCTTTCGGGGGGACTGGACCGTCGGTTGGCTAGTTGACATGATCAGTATATGCCCACATTTCCTGCCCTGATTCCCGATACACATACAAAGATGCCGTTCAGCACATAAAGTGGCGACGTGCCAATGTCACCGTACACGACCTGGCGATCGCCTCATTCAGCAAGGAAGATGAAGACAGACGGGAGAAGACCACCTCACCCCAAGCGCCTGGAAAGCAAGCCGGCCGACAGCCCACTTGTCGCTGGAGAGGGCGTCGAGTGGCGGGGCAGCAGGCAGCGTAAAGCTGCGTGGAAAGAAGCGCGTCTGCGACGCCACTGTCTCCCGCTGGCCTGCGTCTCCGCCACTCTCGAATGTCATCTCGCTCTTGTCGACTGCATCTTCGCTGATCTCGGCCACGTCTTCAATGTCGGCGACACCGCGTCGCGCACCGTTGTCGACGATGATGGAATCAGCACGCTCAAACATAAGCTCACAACCTGCAGGAAGAAGTTGGCAGGAAAAGGGGGGGAGGGCAGGCAGACTCAGCCTTGCCCCCGTCTCTTTAAGGCGCGCCTGGCTACCAAGACGGCCGCTATCAGGACGGCTGCTATCAGGACGGGTGAAGTTTTTCCACTGGCTCCGACCTTGCCCTCAACCCTAGCATGACTATTTTGTTGACAGGTACAGTGAGATCGACGAAGTTAAATTATAAGATAAGGAGCGGACCCGTTCCTGGCATATAGAAACGTGCCTGATGTTTCCAAAGTCTGGATCTATTTCTGGCGCGCCTCACCCTCAGCCCACGTCTCGACTGGCACCTGCGACTAGGTCCGCGGCAGGCCCCTCTCGCTCGCTTACCTCGGCACCCTTTGAGAGTCGAGCAGCGACGCGGCAACGGTCTTGAGAAGGTTGCCTAGGATGCCGAGACGCACGAGGGCGAGACCAACGAGCATCCCTCTACCTCGATGTCAGCTTGGGAACTGCCTCGACAATCTCAGATGACAAAGCTGGAGATACGCGTCCTTGAGCAGGTAGATGTACTGTCCCAGAAGGCGGGCGAGTCCTGATTAGCCCGAGCTGCCTGGTGTCCTGCGGCGACGGTGGAACGGTCAGTGACAACAAGGACCCGTAGTGAGGAGTGTGATCCGAGTGCAATTCGATGTGAGGGCCGCGAAGAAGCCAGGGTGGAGGCGCTGTGCAGCGCGGTGACGCGCATATTGAAATTGAGAAACGCATCCGTCCGGGAGACGACCGATCGGACCGCAGGCAAGGCTGCCATAAGAAGGCTTCTGGTAGGCATGCACATCGCTCCCATCTCCACGACACGATGTTCTGGCCCACGGAAAGCAAGACGGTCAAGGAAAGCTTCGACAAGGACATGCGCAACGTCCATCTCCTCTACGACTATGCCGCAAAGAATCCCGAGACAGGTCAGTGCCGACACTGCGTCTCTGCGGCACTAACACGTACTGAGTCCTTTCCGAACAGGCGCCGACGAAAAGTGGCGGTACGAGATGTGGTTCTACAACGAGGACCGCATCGTGTATGCGATCCACGGCGGGCCCATGGCCGGCCGCATCAACTTCCAAAAGGCTGACTACCAGTGTGTGCGACCGGGCGAGATCTGGCAGTGCAACTGGCTCGAGGGTGAGTGAGCGTGGCCCTACCTCGACGGCTCTCCGTTGACTTTAGGCGCACGGACACAGAGACGGGGACAGTGTGCTCGCTGGTGTACGACATTCCCAACAAGAAGATCACCACCCTGCTCAACTTCTCCAAGGGGCACTGGGAGAATGCCGAGGCTGCGCACGGCAACAAGCGCAACACCGCGGACCTGGAGCGCTGGAGGGGCCTGGCCAAGATTGGCCACCAGACGGACCGATTCATCCTGAACGACCAGGCGGACATCTTGGAGGCCTTTCAGGGACAGGGCGACCTGGAGGAGATTGAGATGGGCTGGCCGACGCTGTAGAGCAGTCCAAGCATCAATGTAATAGCATTAGAGCAGGCTCCGTCAAGCATCAATGGAACAGCTTTAGAGCAGGCGGCGTGTCGTCAATCCAAGCTGCGCGATGGAGGCGCCTGCCAAGCTGACACGAAGGAGGCGCCTGTCAATCTGGGCTCGGGATATTTACGCAAAGAAGACGGAACTCGAGAGGACAGGCAAATGGCATTTATGGAGCAAGAGCAAGAGCAAAGCAGGGTATTCACTTCTTTGGGGCAAAGCCGACGCGCTTGTTCTGCACGTCAAACACGGCATAGACGTCCTGCAGGAACGAGTCGCCGCAGATCCACTGGGGCCCGCCCGAGCCCATGTCGGAGCCCACGATCGAGGCCACCGTCTGGGAGCCCTGCGTCTGGAAGGAGAGGGCGTCGGGCGAGAGGGTGTAGTCGGCGCCACCAAAGGTAAACGTCACCTGAGGGTTCGTGCTGGGGTCGTAGAGGCCGTACACCTCGCCGTCCTGCTCCTGGATCGTCATGCCAGCAGCGGTGAGGATCGAGCGGACGGCGTCCGTGGGCCCGATGATGAGCGTCGTGCCCGTGTCGACGATGCCGTTGGCCTGGGTGCCATTGACGGTGAAATCCGTCTGCCAGAAGCCCTGGCTGTCGTCGACGCTGCTGTAGGCCAGCTCGCCGGTGAAGCGCGACTGGTCGATGTAGCCGAGGTCCATGACGGCGTTGGAGGTCCAGAGGCCAAACGCAAAGAGGTTCTGCATCGACGACTGGTTGGCCGCGTAGATGCTGTCGAAGAAGGGCGACGAGCGCGTCTGGGCGATGCTGGGGAACGCCATGCCGGCAATGCCCTGGCTGCCGTCGTCCTGGAGCGTGCTCTTGGACGCGACGCCGATGGCCTGCGCGGGCGCCGTCAGGCCGCCAACAGTCACCTTGTCGGTCCACACCTCGCCGCTTGCTTGGGCTGGCAGAAATTGTCAGCTTTGTCTCCGTCTCCTGGGACCAGCAGCACACTCACTGCCATCGCCGTAGCCGACCTGGAAGGTCTTGCCGGCGTCCTTGGCCGTGCTGCTCGACTGGGGCTTGTACGTGTTTGGGTTGACAAACAGGTCGCTGCTGCCCGTGTCAAAGTCGACGGTGATGTCGTAGCCGGGCGTGCCGATGGTGATGGATCCGGCCCAGAGGAGTTCTGCCCAAAAGAATCAGCGGGGAGATCAGAGCCAAAGCACGACCGACAGACCCACCATTGTTGATGTCCTTGAGCGGCTCCTCTCCGCCCGAGCTGGCGGCGGCCGTCGCCTTGATGGCCGCATGCTTGGCCTTGAGCTGCTTGACGCGCGCCGAGGCCAGCGCGATGGCATCGGCGCCCTTGAGCGACGACTTGGGGTGCTTGCACGTCAGGCCGATGGTCGCCTTGGCCTCGGTCTTGGTCGGGTTTGCTGCGCCCGTCGTCGCCCCCTGGGGCTTCTTCTGGTCTTCGGCTGCCGGCGAGGAGAGACAGGAGCCCATGGTGCAGTGGTACGCTGAGCAGAGAGGAGTGTAGTTTGGAGGTGGATGGATGGGTGGATGGCAGAAGAAGGGTGGAAAGGGGCTGTGCCAAAGTGGATCGAACAAACAAGTCGATATATTGTACTCCCGCCGGTCGGCATGGTGTAATGGTGCAGTAGCCACCTGCCTGTTTGGGGTCGAGCTTCTAGCTCGCTCAGCCCGTGCCCATCGCTCTTCTGCGATAAGGATTCGCGAAGGCCACCCACCCGCTGCAAATCCCAGTCTGCACTGCGTTGTATCCCAACTTGCCCAGCGTTGTATCCCGGTGTATCCCAACTTGCACAGCGTTGTATCCCGGTCTGAACAGCGTTGTATCCCGGTCTGCACTTGCGTTGTAATTAATGGTATTCGTGCGTGTGGAGGCAGACTATGGAATTCTTTGCTGAACTTTAATGTAGCCCCTCTGCCACTCTCTTTCTATGTAGCCCCTCTTTCTGAGCTAGTGAGCGAGCCCCCGTGCGCACGGGACACACGGGGACACTCATGGGCTCGCTGCGCTGCTGCTAATCCGCACGACGAGCGCCCGGTATGCCTGGAGCTGCTTGCGGCCGCGGAGCCAGTCGGCGATGAGCGCCCAGACCTGCGACACGCCCGGCGACGGGCGCTTGCCCTGGCCGATGAGATAGATGCAGTGGCTGATCTGGCGCAGCTTGGCGAGCGACACGAGCGTCGAGGGCAGGATCCACGACGTGCCAGCCGTGAGCGACGGGCACGGGTCCTCGCCGCGCGCAAGACGGTTCGGCAGGTCGGGCATGAGCCCGAGCGCTGTGCCCATCCCTGCCACGGTCCTGACCGAGTCTGCCGTCTGGCCCGGGGCGGGCGCGACGACCTTTTGGACAATGTCCCGCCGGCTGATGCCGCCCGTCACCATGATGGGCATCTGCGCCACGCCTGCAATGCGCTGGGCAAAGTCGAGAAAGTAGGCCTCACGCTTCTGGGTGCTGCTACTGCCGCTGCGCTCCTTTGGCGAACCACTCATCGCCGGCGACTCGTAGTTGCCGCCGCTGATCTCCACGAGGTCGAGCCCTGCGCCGTTGTCTGCGCGAATGCCGTTGAGCTGTGTGATGACCCACTCGGCGTCGTCCTGGGAGAAACCGCCGCGCTGGAAGTCGGCCGAGTTGATCTTGAGGGCCACGGCAAACGACGGCGAGACTGCGGCGCGGATCGCCTTGACAATCTCAAACAGGAACCGCGCTCGGTTCTCCAGTGACCCGCCCCACCGGTCTTTGCGTTGGTTCGTCAGCGGGGAGAGGAACTGGCTGATGAGGTAGCCGTGGGCGCCGTGGATCTGCACGCCCGTCGCGCCAATCTCCTCTGCAAAGCGCGCGCTGTAAGCAAAGCGCGCAATGACATCCTCGATGTCGTCCTCTGTCATTTCCTGCGGCACGTTGAAGAAGGCCTTGCCCATTCGGCCCACGTCGACTGCCACGGGCGACGGCGCAATCGTCCGGGGCTTGGCGGGCCCAAATGCCTGGCGCCCCGGGTGGTTGAGCTGGAGCCAGAACTGCGTGCCGTTTGACGTGGCCGCGGACGCCCAGTCGCGATACGCAGCGAGGGCCGCCTTGTCCTTTCGCACCTCCGACACAAGCTCCCGGCTGGTGGAGACGGGCGCGGCCCCTCCCACGGCGCGGTAGTCGACCATGACGTTGCCCGAGATGATGAGCCCGCTCCCGCCGTCGGCCCACGCCTGGTAGACGCGGATGAGCTCCTGCGATGGCACAAGGTTCTGCGAGGCCGTCGCCAGGTTCTCCTCCATGGCGGCCTTTGCGATGCGGTTCTTGAGCACCTGCCCGCAGGGCAGCGTGAGGGGCGTGAATGCGAGGTCCATGCTGGGTGGTGTGCAGGACTCTTTGTGCTCGCAGCGATGGATTTTTAAGGCTTTTTAGAAGGTTCCACCCGATTTTTGTTCGGAGAGATGAGCGTGTCCGAAGAGGAACCGAGTCGGAGATTTGCTGCCCCGTCCTCTGGCTAATTCCGGCGTGGGCTCAAATCGCAATTTTTGACGTGCTACGAGCTGTCATCTCACGCCCGATCTGCTAAATCTGCCAGACGAGGCTGTTGCTAGACCTGCCAGGCAAGGCTGTTGTTCGGAGGTGTCACTAGCGGACGGAGATTCGGGCATGGACACGGACGTTCGGAACTTCCAGTCGTCCTTGGAGCTAGCATCAAGCTGGAGTTAACGACGGTGCCTTTGTGAAGCTTCGAGCATGTGTCTTTTGGAGTCAGGCAGCCGCGTCATCGAGACAGCTCCGTGAATGGCACGGCTAGTTGGATGTGTATATTAGGCCAGCTCTCGAGTGGTGGCCTCCTCATCGCACTTCTACCAAGCAATGGCGACCACATCCTACAACAGCACGCCCAACCTCTCGATAAAAGTCGGAGGGGTGGCCTATGCCTATCGTGATCTTGGCTCCCGCATGGGCGTGCCCCTGGTTCTGTTCAACCACTGGGGCGCCGTGCTGGACGACTACGACCCCGCTATTGTCGATGCGCTTGCCCGAAGCCGCCGTGTGATTGCGACCAACTACCGCGGCGTGGGTGCGTCTGGCGGACAGGTGCGTGCCTCGGTCGAAGAGATGGCGCGCGACGCCATCGATCTCATCCGCGCCCTGGGCTTTGACAGCGTCGATCTCTTTGGCTTCTCCCTGGGCGGCATGGTGGCGCAGGACATCGCGCTCCGGGCGCCTGAACTCGTGCGGAGGCTGATCCTCGTCGGCACGGGTCCAGCCGGGGGCAAGGGCATCGGCAAGTTTGGCGCGGTGCCGTGGATCCTAGTCAGGGGCTTCCTGACGATGCAGGACCCCAAGCACCACCTCTTCTTTCCAAACACGCCCGATGGCCAGCGCGAGGCCAAGGACTTTGTGGCTCGCATCAAGGAGCGCACGGTGGATCGCGACCAGGGCCCCAGGATCTCGTCTTACTATCGACAGCTGCAGGCCATCACTGCGTGGGGGCAGCGTGCGCCCCAGGACCTGGGCAGGATCAAGATTCCCGTGCTGATCACCAATGGCGACAACGACATCATGGTCCCGACCGAGAACAGCGTCGACATGGCGCACCGCATCCCGCAGGCGCAGCTCGTCATCTACGAAAACGCGGGCCATGGGGGCCACTTTCAGTGCCACGAGGACTTTGTTGCGACGGTCCTGCCCTTTCTCGAAGAGTAATGCTCAGTGCCAGCAGCTTTTCTGGTGTCACCCCTTTAGATTCTATGGCATGCGGCCCTCCTCTTGCAAGTGTACATAAAACGACCAGCCGTCCTTCATGTGTGGTCTGAGCGCATTGATCTCGACGGCGAAGAGCGACGAACGTGCATACAAGTCGTGTTTCTGAGAGGGCTTTTCAGAATCGGCCTGCAGATAGATTCTTGGTCGTCTTTTACTCACCTCCCTCGTCGTCCACCCGAGAAAGTACCAGTTTGTCTCGGGCTCGTTTTGTGCAGGTCCCCAGTAGCCCCCACAGAAGCCCTGGTGGACCGTGTCGTAGCAGTCGGCGTAGGTCTTGTGAAGCGAGGCGGCAATGCGAGGGTCTGTGGCCTTGCTGGCGTCGTCCAGCTGGACAGTGCACTGGTGCAGTCCGTGAGAATTTCACATCGTTCTTGCAAAGCATCCGACCCACACCTACGAGCTGCGTCAGGGGCGCACGCAGCGCCCTCAGGGGCCAGCCCTCGTGGGGAAAGTGGATGTTCCAGGCCCGGAGAGACGACGGAGAGGATGGAAAGCAGGCCTGTGCAATGCCGGCGGCTTTGCCCAGCTGCGCGCTGCCCACGTTGTCGTCCCAGACTGCTCCGCAACGAAAAAGCATGGGTCAGCGCTGCTTTCCGACCCTGGCGCACACTCACAAACAAGCCACGCGAGACTCTTCTGATCCTCGATGAGCCCAAAGAACTGCCTCTGCGCACCAAGCTCGAACAGCTGCTTGCGCGAACGGGCGAAGTCGAGGTGCCTTGCGGCACCCAGCTCGATGTGCAGGAGTTGGAGCAGGACGGGGCGCATCGCTGCAACTTACGAGGGTGGTGATCGTCACTCTGTCTCACGTCGAGCGTTGAGCCTCTTTTAAGGCAAAGGCTGACCTACCAACGAGAGCAAGCAACAAGAGCGACAGGTAAGCTCACGCTCCACGGTAAGTCCAGTACTGGGCTGAGAGCGCTATCTCCTGCTCGACGCACCTTGGCGCCTGTCATCTTACGCTGCTAAAAAATAAACTCAAGCTAAGTCCGACACGGGCAGCTTATATCTAGACGGAGAGCTGGATGTCGTTTGCCCAGACAAGAGCGCAATGTCAGCGGTCCGTGCTACACACGAGCACGGCTTACAGCTCGTCGCAGCGCCTCCGCGCCAGGCCCCACACCAGGGCGAGGTGCTGATCCGCAACATTTACGTAGCCAGCAACCCAAAGGGTACGTTTCGGCAGGGGTTTCCAGTGCGCACAATCAGCTCACGGTCAAGCCACCTGCAGACTGGAAGCTCTCGGAGTGGAATCTGTTCGAAGGGATCGAGGGAAGCGATGTCGCAGGGATCGTAGAGGCAGTTGGCCACGGTGTCGCTGACTTGCGCCACGGCGACCGGGTCATTGCATGCACGCCCTCGGCTACCTCAGACAGATGTGGGGCTTACCAGCCGTTTAGCATCGCGCCCGAGCACCTCGTGGCCAGGATCCCGCCTGCGCTCTCGCTCGAGGAGGCTGCGACGCTGCCGTTGTGCTTTGCGACGGCGTCGGTCGCGGTGCATGGCGTGCTGCGGGTGGCCGTTAGTCATCAAACACGTCCGAAAATCCTTGTCAACGGCGTCGGCTCTTCCATTGGCTTCTATGCTGCTCAGCTGGCAAGGCATGCCGGCCTCGACGTGTGCGTGTGCTTTCCTTGGCGTCTTAAACGATCAGTCTCACGCACTCCCTTACAGGCACGCAATCGTGCGCTCGGCTTTCTCGGCAGCCAAGGCCAGGGCCGCAGGGATCGATAACGTCTACATCTTCGACGACGACGTGCTGCAGCTAGAGCTTGCCAGGCTCGACTTTGCCTATGCCTTTGATGCCGTCTCGACCCCAGCGACGGTGCGATGGCTGTGCGGCGTGCTCGCGACGTCGGCGAGCTGCACATTCAGCGTGCTTGCTGGCGGCGTGCTCGACGATGTAGCCGCCCTCGCCAGGGCCAACTGCCCACCCCACGTCGACGTTCGCACGACGAATGCGGGCGCGACCAGCCAGACGCCTGACTCACCCTACGCCGAGACGGTACGACACTGGCTCAGCCAGGCGGGCGCTCTCGTGCTTGCGGGCAAAATTCAGACACAGCCTCGTCAGGTGCTGGCCGGGGGTCTGGCAAGGGTCCCTGATGGTCTATGCTTGCTCCGCGAGGGCAGAGCCGGCAGCAAGAAGCTCGTTTGTGAGTGTGTCTTTGGCAGACTGTCGCCCGGTGCTGACTCAAGAGCGGACAGATCAAGTTGGGAGTGTGCACGGATAGACTATTATGTAAGAATCACACAGCCGAGTGATGGGCCTGCTACTGGTGTTCTGCTACTAGTGATGAGCTGCTACTGGTGATGGCCAATAGTGATGAGCTGTTACTCGTGATGGCCAACAGTGATGAGCTGCTACTGGTGATGGCCAACTATAGGTGATGGCACGCTGCTAATGACGGCCCACTACTGATGATAGGGAGGAGCAATGGCCTCGACGCTCTTCCACAAGTCCTCAAACGCGCCGACGAGGTCCTCGCTCAGCGGCCCGCCCTGTGTGGCCTTGAGGTTGCCCTGCACCTGCTCGACGGACGAGGCGCCCAGCAGCACGCCGTCGTCGGGCCCCAGCGGCGAGTGGTGCATCAGCCAGCGCAGCGTCGCGTCCATGGACGAGACACCGTGCGAGCGGCAGAGGTCCTGCAGCTTCCGGACCTGCGACACGATGTCGTCCTTGAGGTAGAAGCTGCCGAGCATGGGCAGCGCGCCGAAGCGCGACTCCTTGTTGGACACGGAGATGTCCTGGGCGGGCTTGGCCAGGAGCCCGCCGGCCAAGGGACCAAAGCCGTAGAAGTGAATGCCGAGCCTGCGCAGCGTGGGGAACAGCTCCGTCTCGGGCCGGCGCGCCAGCGGGTTGTAGTTGCCCTGGTAGACGCTTGGCAGTACGTAGCCCTTGGCCTTGCACAGCGCGTGCATCTCCTCTACCTCGCTGGCTGCGTAGCTGCAGATGCCAAAGCGCTTGAACTTGCCCTGCTGGTAGAGGTCGTTGATGGCGCTGCACGTCTCCTCCATCGCCACCGAGCGGTCGGGCCGGTGTATATAGAAGATGTCGACGGCCTGCTCCCTCAGCGACGCGAGGCTCTCGTCGGCGCTCCGGAGGATGCTGTCGCGCTTCAGGGCGCCCTCGCCGGTGATGTTGATCTTTGTGCTGACCTGGAACTGCTTTCCGGCATTCACCTCGCCCAGCAGCCGTTCGTTTTCGCCGGCGCTGTACACGCGCGCCGTGTCGAGCTCCTTGACGCCGTAGCTCTGGCAGGCGCCAAGGAAGGCCTTGAACTGCGCCGGGGTCGACATTGCTTCTGTCTTGGCAAACGGGCTCCTGCCCATGGTTCCGACGATGACCTTGACCATTCTTGAGTTAGGCAGCTATTCAGACGATGGGGAGCAGTTATTGAGACCAGAACAAGGCTTTATATAGCATGGAGACTGACTCAGTCGCCTCGTCTGAGGCAGGGGGGCCAGGGGAGTTAAGGCGGTGATAACATGAGACAGGGCAGTCAGAGACAGGGCAGTCAGAGACAGGGCAGTCAAGGCGGTGGAAGTTAGAGCAGGCCACTCAGGGCGGTGGAAGAGCGACACGAGGGAATTAAGGCGTGGGCATTACAGACAAGGGAGCTAAGGGTGGACATAAGACTAACTCCACCTGGGTCCTTTGGCGCGCGATGAATTTTTGCTCACAAATTCGCGCCCTGGTTCTCGTTGCTGAAGCGAAGGCTCAGCCTGAGAAGCGCGAGGCAGGGGTGGCCTCACTCACTCGTTCATCAGGCAGTAGCGGAAGCGCGGCTTGCCGTCGACCATGTCGCGCACGGCCTGGTTGGCGTCGGACATCTTGCGCTTCTCAATGAGGAACTTTGGCTTCTTCTCGCCTGCCAGCTTGAGCATCTTTTCGATCTGGGGGATGCCCCCGATGGCGCTTCCGCCGATGTTGGCGCCCGAGAAGAGGAGCGCACCAATCGGAATCGGCATCACCGCGCTCTCGGGCGCGGCAATGTTGATGAGGCTTGAATAAAAGTCAGCGCGAGAAGGAGGTAGGAGATAGGAAGACCACTCACTGCCCTCGGGGACGCAGCATCCAGACGTACTTGTCGAACGGCTGGTCCGGGTTGCTCGCCGTGTTGATGATGATGTCGAGCTCACGCCGCAGGCGCTTGTAGTCGTCCGGGTTGTCCTTCATGGCCACAAAGTCGGTCGCACCCAGCTCCATCGCCAGGTCCTTTTTAGACGACGTCGTGGAGATGGCGACAATCTTCTCGGCACCCATGGCCTTGGCAAACGCAAGACCAAAGGAGCCGATGCCACCGATGCCGACGATGCCGACCTTTTTGCCATTGGGGCCCCCGCAGCCGTAGTCGTCCAACGGGCTGTAGATGGTGATGCCGCCGCACATGAGCGGGCCCGCCACGTGTGTCTCGAGGTTGTCGGGGATAGGCACGGCAAAGTGGCTGGGCCCGCGCCAGCGCCGCGCGTAGCCGCCCATGCCGGTGCCACTGCCGTCGACGAACTTGCCCTGGTAGGTGCCGCCCATCTTGTCGCAGTACGACTCCCTGCCGGCGTCGCAGCGCCGGCACTTGAGGCAGCTGTCCGACTGGGCGCCCACGCCGACGCGCTGGCCGACCTTGAGGTGGGTGACGGCGCTGCCTGCCCGCGTCACCTTGCCGACGATTTCGTGTCCGACGACGGTGGGATACTGCGACGGGCCCCATCCCGAGCGGAGCGTGTGGCTGGGGGGTTTGAGTGAGCGTCGTTCAGCGACGCGCGCGCTGCTTTTTGCTACTCACATGTCGGACGCGCAGATGCCGCAGGCGAGAATGTCCATCTCAATGTCCGTCTCCTTCCACTCCTTGACCTGGTACTCCTCCCAGCTGAGCTTGCCCTCGACGGCCGTCTTGTCGTGTGCGACCCAGCCGATGAATTCGTTGCTGGACATGGTTGATGTGTGAGGGGTAAATCCTGGATTCTGGGTGGAGCAGGGCGGTCTTTATACCGGGCACTGCTCTCCACTTGCCGCTGTCGAGCGAGCACTCCACATCGCTGCTCACCCAGGGTGATTACGGATAACCAGTACTGTCGTCCGACAGACGAGCTCCACATTGTATTCAGCCAGTGCTATCAAAAGGGCCCTCGGAAAAATTTCTTGGGTGACAGGAGCCGAGGCACCAGGCGCTCTAAGATTATTTGTGGCAGATTTCCCGGTATTTGACCCGAATTATTTCTGCACGTGAGCCTCTGAGCGAGGAGACGTTGTGGAGGACTGACTACACCCGGCCCTCGACCGGCTGCGGATGTCGTTAGCCGTGCTCGATAGATTGTTTTAGTGGCCTCGACGGCGCGCTTGTCGAGCTTGAGCTGCTGCTGTGCTTGAGTCGCTGCTTGTGCTTGAGCCATGGCAGCGCCTCGCTTGCCAATGTCGCGGCAGCCGCTGGAGTGCAGTGCAGCACCGAGAGATGCGCGGCCGCTGCCCACGGTGTCGGCGCGACAAACAGGGAGCAGATTGGGGTAAGCCAAGTAGTCTGCCTCTTTGTCGAGACGGACGGATACAAGCTTGGTCTTGGCGTGTGAGCAACCGGAACTAGAATAGTTCCTCGATGCGCAGGCTCACTCGCACGGTGGAGGTGACCCGCACGGTGGAGGTGAGCTCGCACGAGGGAGATGGGCTCGCACGATGGAAGTGAGCTCTCACGATGGAGGCTCACCTTGCCTGACAGGCTAGCCAGAGCGACCAGTCTGATCGACGAGGAGCGAGGGCCCCTGCAGCGTGCTGCTATGCGCGGCGAGTAGCGAGCCTGCAGGGCCAGCCTCTACCGCCTGCGTCGATGTGCTCCCTGCCCGTCGTCAAGCGAGCCTGACACTCTCGCTTGCTGCTGGGAAGCGTCTTGACTCAGTTGCGCTCCTCACCTTAGCGTCGTTAGCCTTTCCGAGGAGGAGACGAGCCGTCTGCGACTCTCGGCACAGACGGCGTGAAGAAGCGCCACGTTGGGCGTGTTTGAGCATGTTTGCACGCCTTGTCAAGCGTGCGCCAGTCCAGGAGCGGTGGCCATTGGCTTCGTTCCCAGGCATGTGTCTGCCCTAGCTGCCCGTCTGCCCTAGCTGCCCGTCTGCTCTAGCTGCCCGCCTGCTCTAGCTGCCCGCCGCAGAAGCAGCGAAACCGAGTCTTTGGCGCAAGGTGCTAGCAGACGGACAATGTGGAGAGGCAGAGATAGGCGCGTCGCAAGCAAGATAAACGGGCAGCGGCTATGGCGCTTGGGAAAAGGCACTGCTGATAAGCCGTTGCACCGCAAGCCTCTCCGTGTTGCAGCCTCTCCATGCCGCACCGCTCATAAGTACGCAAGCGTCTCCGTGCCACACCGCTCAGAGGTAGCTCACAGGCACGCAGAGTGTCTTTGCCTAAGGAATGCTGGCACTCGCCGACGTCCTCTTTCTGCTGTGTGCGACGGCCGCCGTTGCCCTCGCCAATGGCCTCTACCGCCTCCGTCGACGCCAGCAGGCGCAGGCATCGGCAGCCACGAAGCAGGCCGTCGACCCGCTCGCGTTCTTTGCCAGCCCCGAGCCGTGCACGTCGGTGACGCCAGACAACCTGGCCACCTACCCGGGCGCGAGGGACCACATCTACGTCAACCGCGTCCTGCGCCACCCGTACCACCAGGTGATGGGCCACCAGCCCATGCAGTCCAACGACTGGATCGAGGTGGACGCCAACTACGTCGGGGATCTGCGCAAGAAGGCAGAGCTCATCGCGACGCAGGGCAAGGTCGTGCTGGACGTCGTCGACGATGCCGCCGTCCGGCTCGGGTGCCAGGAGCTGATGGAGCACGTCAGCAGCTGGCTCACCGTCCGCTACCCGGCGCTGTTTCAGTGGGCCGATGGGGGCAAGCGGGCCATCCACAACCTCGTCACCGGCCTCACCCTGGACCTCTACCACGGGCACTTTAGCAGGAAGGCCAGCCACAAAGAGGGAGGCCATGGCACGCTCAAAGACGGCGCCGACGCCCTGCTCGTCGTCAGCCAGCTCGTCCAGGACGACTTTCTGATTGGTTCGCCGCTGCCCGACGGCCACTGGCTCTGTGCGGGCGGCATCGTTGCGTTCCCCGGCTTCTACCTGCTCTCGGACAAGATCGGGACGACGCTGATGCAGACCCACGACCCCGTGCCGCAGTTCAACGAGAAGCTGCTGTTTTCTGTAGAGCGCACCCTGACGCGCCTCGAGCCGACAAAGCCCATCGAGCGGACGTCGTGGGAGATCGTCGACTCGGAGGAGGACCAGTTCTGGGTGCCGATGGCGGGGCCCCTGCCCACGGGCTCGGGCGCCAAGCCCACGGCGCCGCACCACCTCACGGGCCGCGCCGAGGATGCGAGCGCGACCGAGGACGCCTCGCAGCTCGTGCTGCGGCTCGACCACCAGACATTTGTCAAGATGCCCAAGAGCCGCATCGTCTTTTTTGGTGTGCATCCGTTCCGGCGGCGGCTGGAGCAGCTGCGCGGCAGCCCGCTGCTCCCGCGCCTCCTCCTCGACATCCACGAGCATGCGCCGGCAGACCTGATGAAGTACAAGGGCGCGCCGCTGTACCAGGCCAGCGTCCTGCCATTTCTCCGCACGCTGGACCAGTGGCAGCGCGACCACGGGCTCGTGCAGGGGGGCGAGCGCAGCCAGGACTTTAGGCTGTACAAGGGCAATCATCTCTAGAATGTATCATTCATTGCTTTGGCGGTGGATGGCGAATGCAAAGAAACCTAGCGAAAAGAGCCTAGCTGCTGTGTGTCTGCGAACGGAGCCTGCAGGCCTGTGAGTTCTGCTAGTCTGCAGGCCTGATAGCCTGCGACTCTGCAAGCCTGGAAGAGAGCTGATCGGCAAGCGCGCTTGTGGATGGATACGCGCGCGCTTAAAATAAGGCTTGATAGCGAGTCTCTTTTGGGGCTGCATATAAGAGCGTCGAGGCGGGCCCCAGCTTCGTCCAGCATCCACATCTCTCTGCACCATGGCCCTCATCGCACTCGTCGACACCAAGGACCCCAAGCTTGCCGACCTGGGCAACGGCGCCTTCCTCGGTGAGTGGCTACGTGTCCAGCGCTGTCTCGAGCTATGCGAGGCAGGCCAGCCGTGCGTCAAGCTGTGAGAAGCTGATGCAGTCCCCTGCAGGCGACGTTGCTGCCTCCAACGACAATGCACTCTCGGCCGGCTTCTACGTCCAGCACAAGTCGGAGAAGCCCTTGGTGTGAGTCTAGTCTGCTGAGCAGAATACTGGAATGTGACTGACTGACATCGTCTCTACAGCTACACGTACACCTGTGAGGAAGATGGCGCTGTCCCGTCCAGATCCGCACCGCTGACCTGATCCGCACAGACGACGAGCTCAAGATCGTCCTCGAGGGCGAGCTACACGTCAGCGAGCCCAGCAGCGGCACCACGATCGTCGCCAAGGCCGGCGACGTCCTCAACATCTCAAACGGCGCCACGCTCGAGTTCAACTCGCCCAGCACGGCCAGGATCTTTGTGGGTGGCCGGCCCCTGGTGCTGTGCTCACCACTTCGCTGACGAGCTTCCCTTTCAGTACGGCGCAAAGCGAGCGAGGCTCGAGTGAGCAGTTGCGATGGCGCCGACGAAGCGAGGATCGAGCGAGCAGACGTAGACGCAGATGAAGCAGTCTCGAATGAGCAAGACGTATGAGTAATTAGAGCAGCTCTAGTGATGGTAAAGAACAGCTCTTGTAGAACAGCTTCAGAGGCGGTACAAGAACAGCTGTAGTGACAAGAATAAGAATAGCCCCAGCTCCAGCTCCAGCTCCAGTGCTACTACATGATGGACATGACCTCGCCAAAGGACGGCAGTGCATCCTGCCACAGCATGACGAAGCCCGTCTCCTCTGAGCGCCGCCAGAGATGCGTGACAAAGCTTCTGTAGCTCTCGCGGCCCTTTTCGGCGCTGCCCGACGCCGTCAGGGCGTCCCAGCAGACGTGCCGGTCGGCTGGCGAGAGTGCGACGAACGCGGCGCACAGCAGCGGCATGCTGGCGTTGCCCCACGCGACCGTCGTCGGGCGCAGGTGCGGCTGCTGCCAGATGTCGAGAATGGCGCGCAGGTGCGCCTGGTTGTCGGCTGTCAATGGGCCCTCGCGGTAGATGGCGGTGCGCAGCAGAATCGAGGCTGCGTGGCGCCACATGTTGCCCAGATGGTGGTGCTCTCTGCGGCCGCGCTGCATGCGCATCTGGTGGCGTGCGTCTGCGCGCTGCTGCGACTTGCGCAGCCGCTCCTGCAGCTCGTGCGCCTGGTGAAAGGCCCACGCAGGCAGCGAGGCGAGCCCTTGGCCCGTGATGGCGCCGTTTCTGTGCGCATGCAGCAGCTGGAAGTGCAGATTGGCAATCGTCGCGAGCACGAGCAGCACGTCTTCGGGGCAGCCAAAGCAGATGCGCAGCCGCGTGCCCTCGTCGCCGATTGCGTCTGCTGCCGTCTCGCCCAGGGGCGTGGCCGAGTCAGCGCCACTGGCTAGATTGTAGTGGAGCGTGGTGCTGCGGCAGCCGAGGAGCGCATTGAGGATGTCTGTCCAGACAAACGTGCGGAAGCCGACGGCATCGAGGCCGTGGATGGCGTCGAGCTGCACCGAGTGGTTGCGGCCCAGGAGGTTGTTCAGAAGATCCTCGACGGCGCGGAGCTGCTTCTGAAAGTGGCGCGCCGAGTGGTGGCGGTAGGCGATCAGGGCCAGGTTCATGCCCGCGTGCAGGTACTTGTCGACGTGGACCACCGCGGCGTTTTCCAGCGGCGAGCACTGCATCGACGCAAGCTCCTGCTCCTGGTCGGCGGCCCAGGTAACCTGCACCAGCACCTGGTCGGCGAGGTCAAAGAGGAAGCTGCACTCGTCGTTGGGCGAGCGCAGCTCGGCACTGCGGCTCCGTTGCTTCGAGTCTGCGCCGAGCCACTCGAGGAATGCCGTCAGGCGGCGGATCTGCGTGTCCGAGAGCGCCTGCGAGATGGCGGCCCACTTGTCCTGGAGCACCTGCTCTTTGGCGTTGTCCTGCGCCTGCACGGAGCCGCGGTCAAAGTGCTGGAAGGCGATGAGCGCGGCCACGGACAGGGCAAAGACCTCGGAGCGATGGAGGCGCCTGCTGAGGGCCGAGACGAGCTTCATGCGCGACTCCTCGACCTCCTTGGACGCTCGCCAGCGGTGGGTGCATGTCGCCGCAAACACGTCGGCCAGGATGTCGAGGGCCTGCTTGTTTGAGAGGCGAGCGGCGCCCGTCGGGGCAAGAGGCAGCTCGCTGGACGCCAGCGGGGTGGCGAGGAGCGACCTGGCATCCTCCAGACTCGACGAGCCAGTGGGGATCGAGTCGAAGAGACACCAGGGGAGGTCGTCGAGCGGCTTGTCGAGGAGCTGGAGGATGTCGACGTTGCTGACGTCGTCGTCGTCGGCTTGCGAGGCTGACGGGGGGTCGGCTGGTGGGAGGTCAGCCGGCGCTTGTTGCGGCGTGGAGGGCCCTGCCGTGCCTGCTGTGCCTATTGTGTCTGCTGCGTCTGCCGTGCTAATTCTGCCAGCCGCGCCTGCTGTGTCTGCCGCACCCGCAGCGAGCTGGCGTCTCTCAGCAGACGGCGGGGCACGCTTGAGTGCTGGGAAGCCCAGGCACTGGATGGCCGACTTGCGGCAGCGCTGGCAGGCGCCCGTCTCTGGGTCGCGCGTCTCGTCGCACTTTTTGCGCCTCGCGCGGCATGTGAAGCATCCCGTCTTTGTGCGTGAGAAGCGCCGCGAGGCACTCGCACTCATCGAGCAGCCGGTCGCGACGACCCACTTGGACGAGCTCGATCCCTGTCAGCTTGACGACGAACGATAGTGGACACGTGAGGATGGAGACTGCGCTTATCGCCCGGAGCGCCCAAGATTCGATCCACGCGCGATAGCCCTTGATTTACCTTATTTTTGGCTGGTAAGCGCGCGTGAGCCGGCATTCCTCTGAGAGCGATAAGAATGGAAGAGCAACAAGCGCAGGCATGCTCCGAATCAATTCTACGCTCAGTGGCAGGCCACTGAGTGACAGGCTTATCACGGGCGGGCATGGCCGGGCGCAGACGAGTGCAGCGAGGGTAATTGAGTGGGCGCAGAGTCAGGCAGTGTGCCCTGCAAGGAGGGTGCGATAAGGGCCATGCCGCGCGTACCGCGTCTGCCTCGCTCGCTCACCGTGAGCACCGTGGTAGCTCATATATGGGAGATGCTGTCCATCTCTGCGGGCTCCCACGAACGACGTGATGACATTCAATCCAGCCACGCACCTCAACTATGCTGAGCCAGCCGAGCGCCTCACGATGGAGGACCTCGGACTGAGCAGCCACTCGGCACCAGTACGTGTGCGGAGCCTCGTGATCGCCAGACAGCTTGTCTGATTCCCTTTTCTTATCCAGAGCCGCATTGGTGTCACTGCGCCCTTTCCTCTGGTCTCGTTGGAGGGCGTGCAAGCGCTCCGAAAGGACATTCTGCAGCCCAATGTGCTGTCCAGTTACATGTGCGTGGGCTACCAAATCAAAACGAGCACTAGACTAACACGCCAACAGGATGCCGTCGGCCATCTCGGGCCCACACATCCAGCTGCGCGGGATGGCCCCCGAGGCCAGCAGGTTTCTCTATGACCTCTGGACGTCGCCAGAGGTGCTAGCGGCCGTCAGCGACGCAGCCGGCGAGGATCTTGTGCCTGTCTTTGACTATGAGATCGGGCACACCAACATCCAGGTGCCCGAGGGCATGGCGCGGGCCGAGTATGCGCAGTCGCTGTCTGCCGACCCGTACGACAAGTCGGCGCCGTCGCTCAAGCCGCCGCGCGAGGCCGACAAGGTGGCGCCCGTCGTGGGCTTCCACCGCGATGCCTAGTGAGCAGGCCGTCTGGTTGCGCTTGATTTTGACCGCTCATGTCTTTCTTCTTGACAGCCCCTGGGTCTGCGTCCTCATGCTCTCCGACGTCACGGGCATGATCGGGGGCGAGACCGAGATCCGGCGCGGCGACGGGAGCGTGATCAAGGCCCTGGGCCCCAACGTGGGCTACTGCGTCATGATGCAGGGCGGCTTCATCGAGCACTGCGCGCTGCCCTGCCACGGCGCACGCGAGCGCATCACCATGGTCACCTCCTTCCGGCCACGGGCCAAGGTGTTTCCCGACGTCAGCAACCTCGCCACCATCCGCACGTGCTCCAACTCGTTTGAGATGTACGACCAGGTGGGTCCTCAAAGCTTGTGGCTGTGCTCTCTCGCTCACAGCCCTCGCAGTTTGTCCGCAGCCGTCTCGACATTGTCGAGGAGATGGTGGCCGTCTACCGACGCCAGCTGCTGCTCCGCAGAGAGGCCGTCGAGGATGCATACGGTCGCCGCGGCGGCCTGAAGCGGCCCACGGTCGATGTTGCCGAGCTGGGCGGCCTTGTCAATGTGGTCAAGGACACGCTGAGCAATGCCGTCGAGCAGCTGCGTGAGTGGCTAGCCGTCCGGCCTGTCGAGCTGGAGACTTGCTGACGCGACACCCTTTGCAGTGCCGTACGGCGCAGACCCCAGGGACATCTACACGCCCAGACTGGAAGGCCCTGTCCACCACGAGCTCTCCCGGATGTGACCTTTATACCGCCCTAGCTTTCTGCTGTAGATTCCGATGGATTTACGACTCCCTCTGCACGCTGTCTTTGCGACTTCCTCTGCACGCTACCTACGACTAGATGTCCCCTGCCCCTCCGTTTACGATTAGATGATCCTCTGCCTCTCCATTTACGACTACGTGTCCCTCTGCCCTTTCCATTTACTACTAGATGATCTTTTGCACGCCTTGAGCCACGTACGATCTCGTTGAAGAGCAGTGTCGAGGCTGTGTGCTTGAGCGGACACGAAGAGCGCCTAGAACGGCTGGCAGATCAAAGCAATTCTCGATCTGAGAGCGCGAGGGAGCGCTCGTTGTTGGGGAACCATCGCAGACCCTGCTAGCACAAGGCGAAAGGGTGTGACACAGTGCTCAGATCGCTTCAGGCAGAGGCTGCGGGGAAGATGGTCGCCTTGGCAGCCACAATAGTACCCCTGCACTTGCTCAGTCTCTGAGGATATTCTATCTTCCCTCCCCCACGCTGACCGTGTCTTGGCTGCATACGGCGAAAAATCTTTTTGCGGAGTTGACGTGGGCCAATCCCGCCGTAGCGCGACCGGCAGCTGCGGCGGGGGGCAGGAGAGGGGCCCGATTGTCCCTGCGTGGCCTGTCGCCAAGAGGCGCTACCTGGTCTTTTCCCCCAACGCAGCGCTTTCCCAGCGCTTTCCCACCGCAATCAATCCCCGCGCGAGGTCAAGCCCCTCGCGAGACCAATCCCCGCGTGAGGCAATCCCCGCGTGAGGTCAATCTCCGCATGAGGAATCCCCCCTTTATAATAGGCCAGCGGAAAGACCCGTCGGTAGTGCCCACTGACACAAACGGCGAGAACCCCCGCGCTGCGCCACTGTCTTGCTGCAGGCCTTGGCGCTGCTTTTGCGATTCTGATTGGCCAGGCATCCTAGCAGGACTTTGTCACCTGCACTCGCATCTCCATGCAGTCGCATCCCCATGTAGTCGCAGTCGCATCCCCATGTAGTCGCAGTCGCATCCCCATGTAGTCGCAGTCGCATCCCCACGATGTGTTGGGTGGCTTGGCAGCTACTGCGGGGTGCATCAATGTCCCTGCAGTATCAGCCGGTCCCTGCCGCTGGACGTCTGGTCACTGTGTAGATGAATGCATATATAGCGGCTGCTCGTCGTCCACTTGTCCGCCCACTGCCTTACCCTCGCCGTCAAGTCTTCTACCATGCCTATGCTCTCACACCTCCGCGAAGTGCCCAAGGAGTCGCGCTCTTGGATCCGCCTCTGGTGGCCTGGTGCGTGCCTCTCTACACATTCCCCGAGCTGATGAGCTAACACTTGACCACCAGCCTGGACGATGGGCGCCCTGGGCATCGCACGCGGCCTCGACGAGGGCATCATCAGCGGCGTGCTCAACCAAAAGTCGTTCAAGTCTGCCTTTCACTTTGAGTCCGACTCGGCCGTCGAGAACGACATTGCGTCGATGCTGCAGGCCGGCTCCATCATCGGCTCCGTGCTTGCCTTTGTCGTCTCGGACCTGCTTGGGCGGCGGCGCACTGCGCAGCTCGCGTGCCTGCTCTGGGTGCTCGGCACCGCCATCTGGTTCACGTCGGCGCACGCGACGGGTGCGCACAGCGGCAACCTCTCGCAGCTGCTCGCCGGCCGCTTCATTGCTGGGCTCGGTGTCGGCATCACGCCCGTCGTCAGCCCGACGTACCTGGCCGAGATTGCGCCGCGTGCGATCCGCGGTCTCTGCGTCTGCATCTTTTCTGGCTCTGTCTACATTGGCATTCTGCTGGGTGGGTCACTTCTCGCTGGTGATACTATGACGATGCACTAAAACTTGACATCAGGCTACTGGGTCAACTACGGCACCGCACACAACCTCGCCGACACGAGCGCGCTGCAGTGGCAGGTGCCTGCTGCGCTCAACTTCATCTTTGCCGGCCTCATCTTCACGTCGACGTTCTTCATCCCCGAGTCGCCGCGGTGGCTGCTCAAGGTGTCGCGCCCCGACGAGGCGCGCAAGGCGCTCTTCTGGCTGCGCAACCGCGACGACGCCCACGCGCTCGTGGGCCAGGAGTTTGAGGAGATCAGCGCGGCGCTCGAGCAGGAGCGCGACGCGCGCGGCCAGAAGGCGTGGTACCACATCTTTGTCCGCCTCGTCACGAACCGCACCAACCTGCACGTCCTCTGCATCGGCCTCGGCATCCAGGTCTTTGGCCAGTTCTCTGGCGGGGGGTGCGTTCCAGAAGTAGATACCGAGGAGATGCATGGGCTGACTCTTCTGCAGATCCATGACCGTCTTTGCGCCAAAAATCTTTGGCTTTGTCGGCATCAAGGGCCAGGAGACGAAGCTGTTTACGACGGGCATCTTTGGCATCGTCAAGCTGCTCTCGTCGCTCGCCGCCGCCTTTTTTGTTGTAGACCTCCTCGGCCGCAAGTTTGCCGTCATGTGCGGCCTCTCGATCCAGGCCGTCGCCTCGCTTTATCTCGCCCTCTACCTGCGCTTCCACTACTCGGACAGCGCCGTGACCGAGACGGCATCGTCCAAGGCCATGGCCGACGCGGCCATCTTCTTCATCTTCCTCAGCGGCTTTGCCTGGGCCATTGGCGTCAACTCGGTGCAGTACCTCAGCCAGACGGAGATGTTTAGTCTCGAGGTGCGCTCGCTGGGCGTAGCCATCATCTCGGTCATCCACTTTCTGTGCCAGTTTGGCTCGTCGCGCTCGGTGAACCCGATCGTGACGTCCGGCGGTCCCTACACGCTCTTTGTCTTTTTCTTTGTCATGAGCGTGGCTTCGCTGCTGGTGGGTGTCTGCTTTCCCTACTTTTCCTGCTTTCCCTGCTGACTCTTCCTTCACAGTTCGTCTTCTTCATGATGCCCGAGGTGTCGGGCTACCCGCTCGAGCGCATCAAGGAGCTGTTTGAGAAGAAGCGCTGGTACCTGATTGGCTGCACGCAGAACCGGCCGCTGCGGATCAAGGACCAGCTTGCGCTCGGCGACGACGTGCCGCAGCTGGGCATGGAGGGCGAGTCGCGCCTGTCGCAGGAAGGCAAGGCACGCCTGTCGCACGAGGGTGAGGCCCGTCTGTCGCAGGAGGGCGAGGAGAAAAAAGACGACAAGGAGGCCCAGGCGACTGTGACCAAGACTGCTGATGCGTAGTCGCGACTGCCATCCCAGCCCAGTCACAGCGCCAGTCACAGCGCCAGTCACAGCGCCAGCCACGAGCACTGATGCGAGACACAAGACCCCTGCTGCATGTGTAGTCTGTCCCCCTGATGCATGTGTAGACCGTTTCCTGATGCATGTTTAGACTGTCACGATTGATGAATGAGACCAGAAAGTTCCCAAGATTGACGGATGAGGAAGGAGTGCTGCCCCTGAAGCAGGGCCATCAGAAGCAGGGCCATCAGAAGCAGTGCGATGAGAAGCAAGGCGATGGCTCAGAGGGTGATGTTCACGATGCGGTGGCTCAGAAGGAGATAATTCACAAGGCGACGGCTTAGAAGCGATGGTTTAAAGCAAGGCGACGGGTGATCGTTCTCACACGGCGTTGTGCATGGCCAGGGGAAGCATATATTGCTGCCACCAGATCGAGCGCTCTTGCAACGAGCCGCCAGAGAGCAGAGAGCCGCCAGAGGGCAGAGAGCAATTTAAGAGCCACCGGGAGCGCTTGCATGAAGCCACCGGGAGCCTTGCAAGGAGCCGCCTCCTTGCGTTATTTTTCTGCAGGCCTGGACAAACAGAAACAATTTGTCCGAGCTCCATACTATAACAATCTTCTATGTCCGAGCTCCATACTAGAACAATCTTCTACTCGAGATATTGACTCTGTGAAAGATTCGGCACTAGATGCTATTGGGAATTCGACGTGTTATTGGCCACTGTATCTTTTGGCTGAGGAACAGGCTCTCCTTGCATCTGCGATCAGACTCTTGCACTAGTACTAGTCGGGGTGCCAAGACGACTGGGGGGAAAGATTCGAGAAGGACTTCCGCAGAATTACCCCTTTGAGAAAAGCTCCCCCTTGACAAGCGCTCCCCCCTTGACAAGCCGACAAGCCGCTCTCAATCGCCCTCCGCTCCCACAGCCACCCCTTGTCGAGCGACTGCAGCTCGGAATCCGGCGTGGAAGCGTGCTGCAAGACCCTAGGGTCCTTGCTTGCTGCATTAGCAAAGCCCAGGGGGCGATGGGTGGGAATCCTGATAAGCGGCCGCCGCCGTCACACGCATATAAGGAAGCCAGACCACGCAAACCTCTCCAGCCTCTCCAGCCTCTCTCAATTTCGATCTCCCCCCCGCCATGGTCTCCAAAGCCTACTGGTCCGACCCCGCCGTGGCGTCCAAGACGGGCGAGGTGCAGAAGCTGCTCACGTACGCGTCGATGGGCATCTTTGTCTTTGACCTCGTCCTCAACGCGCGCTTCGACTGGTCCATTCTCTCGGGCCAGCGCCTGCGCAAGTGGCCCCAGCTTCTCTACTTTGGCACCAAGCTCGTCTTTCTGGTGTTCCTTGCCCTGGACACGATGCTCTTCTGGCTCGAGACCGAGATCGACTGCCAGGCCGCCCTCATTGCCGTCGAGTGGTCCATGGGCGCCGTCGTCATCATGTCGAGCTCCCTGCTGGCGTGCCGCACCGTCTGCGTCTTTTTCGGCACGGCCAAAAAGGTTGTTACTGCCCTTGTTCTCGTCTTTGGCGCCGGCCTGGTTGCTGCGTGGATGCACGGCGTGCAGGACGTGTCGGCGGCCTGGTCCCCTGCGGCTGCGTCGCCCTGGAACACGGGCGCCTGCGGCCCGACGGCCATCAAGCCGACCTACTATGGTGAGTCTCTGCTCGCTGGCCTAAGTTCCCCGCTGGCCTAGCTTCCCTGCTGACCCGGTTTCCTTCTAGTGAAATACCTCATCACCATCCTCTTCGACCTCTTTGTGCTCTCGGTGACGGTCATGGGCATCATGCGCATGAACTCGTCGTCGCGCATCGGCGACGTGCTCATCAAGCAGGGCGTCGTCTACTTTGTCCTCACGTTCATCGTCAACTTTGTCATCACCGTGCTCACCATCCTCAAGCTGAGCCCCGCCATGTCGCTCATCGCCGCCATGCCCCAGTCGCTCATCTGCGTCGTCGCGTCCACGCGCCTCTACCGCGAGCTCGTCGAGGAGGCGCAGCCCCGCAACGTCAACTCGAGCTCCCACCCGTCGAGCTCGAGCCGCACGGGCACCATGGCCAGCAAGTCGCTCAAGCCCTCGGCGACGGCCTCGCAGACGTCCGCGTCGACGAGCAGCGTCGACAAGATGGAAAAGGGTGTCACCGTCCAGCAGACGCACGCCACCCACTCGTCGCCCATGCCCGAGTACCTGCGCGGCCACCCCTTCAACAACCTCGCGACCGTGCCCTACGCCGAGGCGCCCGCCGACGACCCCGTCCAGGCTGCCTACCCGCGCCTTCTCGGCCGCACCTCCCCTGTGTGATCTTGTCTTGCCTCTCTCTCTCCTTTCTTGTAGTAGGGTAGCTTCCTTTTCTTGCAGGGTAGCATCGTCATGGAATCAAATGGCTGTATCAATTTCGATCGCACCCCAGCTTCCGTGTGAGAAAAGAGGTTAGCGCTGCCGCAACGTTACTACCACGTGGCCGTTACTTCGTCGCTGCACGCCGACCTCATGGTCCGCCAGCGACAGTACAAGTCCTTTGTGACTTTGCTCCTGTCCCACAATGAGACACCACCATGAAGCTGCTCGTCTTACTCCCCATCGCTGGGGTTGCTGCCAGAGCACACCCGCTCTTGCCACGTCAGGGGAGCGCAGTGCCCCTCGCCACAGCGCCCAATGCCACCAACTTCACCTCGATCGAAGTGATTGACCATTATGCCATATCGGCCACGACGTGCGATAGAGGCACATATGCCTTTTTTCTCGCAATCCTGAGCGAGCTAGTGGTGCACGATATGACCGTTCGCTTCCTCTTCGGCCAGCCGCGCTACGGGCCGGAAGGCGCCGTGCTCGACAGCGAGCGCACCTTTATCGACAGGACCTACAGCCTGCAAGACCTGAGAGACGACTCGCATTTTGGGTCTCGGACTACAAATGACTTTCTCTTCTATCCGTTCTTCACAGGGTCCGAGTCGGACATCAACAAACAGCTGCGCCACGAGCCGTGGAAGCTCAGCCCGAGCAGCGACGCCCCGCCTGGGTTTGTGTTACCCCAGCAGTATGCCGCCGCGGCGTTTGTCTACGCGCCTGCCTTTTTGCCCAACGGCAGCTCGCCGGGCACCCTCCCACCGGCCGTCATTAGCAACTTTACCGTGGCCAACGGGCGCAACTGCACCAAGGCCTTCTTGGGCGAGAGCGACGGCGTTGCGCGAGGCCCGCCGGCTGCGATGGCCCTCCTGCTCGCCCTGGTCCTGTGCGCTGCAGCGGCGCTCCTCGTGTGATCAAGCGCGTATGCCTGTCCGTCTGCCTGTCCGTGTGCACTGTGCTGTGTATGGCGATGCTGCGAGCGCCTTCTGTGCAGTGAATGGCAATGCTGCGACGATGCTGCGAGCGACGTTGTGTGCTGCAAGCGACGATGCTGCGAGCGACTGTGTGCTGCAAGCGATGCTGCTGTATTGCGAATGACGATACTGCAAATGGCGGTACTGTGGCATGTAAATTCCCCCCACCAGATAATCTACTTCCTTGTTGCCTGGCCTGCCCTCAGCGGTAGTAGGCCCGCTCGAAGCCACGGTACTGATAGTGCCAGTCGCGCCTCTCGGCATTGATGCCCGAGGCAAAGTCACTTGCGATGTCCAAGAGGATCTCTCGGCTGTCTGTATCATGAGACGACTCTTCGAACACGTCGAGAAAGGTAGGCCCGTCCCACGGCATCCCTCGCGGCCCATCGTCTTGCACAAAGCGGAAGCGGTCGAGCTCGACGCGGGCTCCTGGGCAGTCCTTGCGCCAGATGGGCGCATCGCTGTGCCGCGGCCTGCCCCGCGCGTCCAGCGACACAATCGAGCGCATCTCAATGTCTGTCGGTCCGCAGTGGCGCGGGATTGAGCGAAGCCTGGTGTCGCGGTAAGAGACGTCGCAACCTGCCGTCGCTGCACACGAGGGGAGACGCACCACCTGTCTGAAGGCGTCGCACATGGCTCGCCTCGCTGGCTCAAAAACGGGCAGGGTGAGCCACTGGGAGAAGGCCGCCAGCGGGCTCTCGCCGTCGCGCAGGAGGCAGGCGCCCTCGGGCAGAATGACACCATCAACCGCGCAGTCGACCAAGTGCGCAGCCACGTCTTTCGGCTCCAGCGTCCTGTTCAGCAAGCAACGAAGGGCGATGAGCGAAGGGCGCAGTGCAGCCACTGCTCGCAAGAGGGGCCGCTCCTTGCTCGCGATTCTTCCCTTGCCAACGACGACTTCCTCAAGCCTGACCCAGGACCGGAGCAGGCCAGGATGGGCAAACGGTGCGTCGGTCATGCATCCAGGCAGCTCCAGGTGGGTGAGGCGGACCTCAGGCCACGTGGCCGCTTCGATGGTCTTAATCGCCGCGTCCACGTAGCCATCGACTGGGTGTGTGGCTGCCTCGGCCCAGGGGTCGGAGGCCAGGTGCATGGTGAGACGGCGCGGGCACGACCCACCCAGGGCCTTCCAGATGGGCGCCTCGTCGGGTCCGCGGGGCCCATAATTCCCAAAAAAGGCCTGGCAAGGGTCCCAAAAGAAGTCCTCGATCGTCTCGATCCGGCGCAGGGCGTCGATCGCTGCGCGCGGGATCGCCGAGTCCTGGAATCCGCTGTCCCTGAGCTTAAAAGTTAGCAAGGACACTTCCCGTTCCAGGACACTTGCTCACCACATGAACGCAGCCAGCTCTGTCATCTTGGCCAGGCACGCCCCCAGGGCGTTCTCGACGTCGGCCAGGGACAGGAGCACGCCGTCGACCCAGCCGGTGTTGAAGTGTTCGCTTCCGGATCTGCGCTCGACAAGGTGTCTTTCGCCTCCCTTGATCGAGTGCCACAGAAAGTCGGGCCCGAACCGGGGTGCAAAGCAGATGTCCAGCGCGGTGGCCTCGATTGCTTCCCTTGTTCTCTTGCCCGGCACGTCGCTGAGGTCGGGTCCCCCCTCGTCGTACATTTCATCCCACTTTGTCAGCAGGCCGTTGTGCGGATCGCAGGCCGCCCACTTGTACCGCCATGCAAAGGAGCGTATCAGCCGTGCGCGACTGGGGACGTCGGCGAGCTTGCCCTGGAGCCTGCCCAGCTCCCAGACCTGCTGCAGCGCCACGTGGCCCCAGAGGAGGGGCAGGATGGGCGCCTGAAGGCGTCGGCACGCCTGTGCGAGCGCCACACTGGCATCGGAGGGGCCGCGGAGACACGAAGGCGAGGTCCCGTCGACGAGGCTGCCGCCCTGGTGCGGCCAGAAGAGGAAGAACACGATGCGGCCGAGCACCTCGTCCGGCAGATCGAGCAGCGTCGTCATCGCCAGGGAACGCGTCTGTGTGCGGATCGGCAGGGTGGAAATTCGACGCGACCGCGTTGTCGCTCTCAGCAAGCACCACGGATGGTCCAGCTCTGCGGGCCGGAGGAGAGTTCCAGCGTCCGCGCCGCCCACAGATGCAGGGAACTATTTTCTCGTACACACAGACTGGTCATCATGCGGACTCCTGTGGCCGATCACAATGCGGGCAAAAGTCACTGAACGAACAGCAAGCTATACAACTTGTTTGAGATCATCTTCAAAGTTCGCTCGAGGCTGCTGCCGCAGAAGCTGTTCCCGTACCGAGACGGACTTTCGAGCTCGTGTTCAAAGAGTGCCATCCGTGAATACGACACAACCTTGAGAGAGTATGTTATGTAGACCTCGAAGCTCAGGAACACGTATATTCTGAGGAACAAACTTAGCGTGGGCTTCAAGATGGATGCACACGGAGATGCACACGGAGGAAGTTAGAAACTTGACAAATTTACGCTAAACAAAACGTTAAAGGTTTAATTTTTATAGCTTTTGCAAGGCGCAAAAGACGCCGACAAGCGACAACGAAGAAGCCGACGAGGCGAACCTCGGTTTCCTTTCTTCCGACCGTCTTTTCGAGTACATGCCATGCCGCATTTCATCGCCTCGCCTTGGCTCGTTCGGTAGGCTGGCGCTGGGGCCTGACTCTGGGCCTCTGCCTGACTGGGCTGAGCTGTATCGTACCTGTACGCCTTTACGTTCGTTCTCTCCTTCTTCCTCGTATGTCACGGTCAATGGCCTGTGTGCACGGGGCGACTCGTATGTTTGCGCAGCGACCCGAAGAGCCGCGCTGCAGCTTGGTCTCCCCAACCTACAGCACCTTAGAGGCTGTTCAGTCGGCCACGGACGACAGGAGCGTGTTTCGCAGCCTATTCACTTGGAATTGGACGTTGACCGCAGATCCTGGCAGTTGTGCCAGGAGCACATCGCTCATCTCGCCCTGCCGTCACCCGCCGCATAGGAGATAGGAGCCAGTGAAAGATACTGCCCCGCCCGGGTCTTGCCCTGCCTACCTTGGACCTATAAGAGACCATTGCGTCTTGAACCCCACCACGGCCTGCTTTCGAGAAGTGCTTCTGTGAACCCGCTTCGCCTTCGCCTCCACTTCCATCGGCTTGATAGTTCCCCCCTTCCTTGACCAGGTCAGTCAGTTGGTGGTAAAATTTCACCCGAAAATGTGCCCTCGTCTTCTTCGATGCCGTTGATCGTTGAGAGATTGCCAATCGTCGCCTCCTGATTGTCCGTGTGGAGTTTCGTCGGTCCTTGCCCAAAGATCCCGTCCGATAGGGTTGTTCCTCAACCTGGGGTCACCTGCCGAGCTTGCCTCGCTCATGACGACATGATTCGATCCCGCCCCGGTCGTCAATGGCGCAGTCGACCAAAAAAGATCGCTTTCAGCACGGATTCTCCGGCTTAGAGGCGTCAGCCATTATCCAGCAGAGAATAGCTTCGCCCCATTGCCCGATCGGACAGGGGCAACTACCAATTATCTATATCAACTGTTCTTCTCGTACTAGGTTGAGTTACTGTTGCGATAACCCTCCATCAGTAGGGTAGAATTAACGAACGATGGCGTTCGCAGAGATCACCGAGCATCAAGTGCGAGAGATCGGAAGGGATGCGCTTGAGCCTCTTATGTTCCTGCTTCAGAGCCATGACATTGAGACGCAACGAGCTGCCAGCGCTGCATTGGGCAACCTAGCTGTGATCCGTAAGCATCAGTGATTGCCCTTCCCCGACTGCCCAGATGCTCATCTGTCTTTCGGACAGTCGAAAACAAGCTGTTGATCGTCAAGCTCAAGGGCCTTGAGCCTCTGATCCGTCTCATGCTCAGCCCCAACGTCGAGGTTCAATGCAACGCAGTCGGATGCGTGACCAACTTGGCGACTCATGGTGAGGCATCGCAGCCCGGTCTCGACAGCTTCGTGACACTGATGTTACCTCCTGCCCTGGCCCTCCGCAACTTGGCCAGCGACGAAAAGTACCAGATCGAGATCGTCCGCTTCAACGGTCTACCACCCCTGCTGCGACTGCTGCGCTCCAACTTTTTGCCCCTCATCCTCTCCGCCGCGGCCTACGTACGCAACGTGTCGATACACCCGCTCAATGAGCACTCGATCGTCGACGCTGGTTTCCTGCCCAATCTCATCGACCTGCTGAGCCATCAAGACAACGGAGAGATCCAGTGCCACGCCATCAGCACCTTGAGGAATCTGGCCGCGTCTAGCGAACGCAACAAGGCGGCCATCGTCGAAGCAGGCGCCGTGGAACGCATCAAGGAGCTCGTCCTCAACGTGCCGCACAGTGTAGGGTTAGGGTTAGGGTTAGGGTTAGGGTTAGGGTTAGGGTTAGGGTTAGGGTTAGGGGTAGGGTTAGGGTTAGGGTTAGGGTTAGGGTTAGGGTTAGGGTTAGGGTTAGGGTTAGGGTTAGGGTTAGGGTTAGGGTTAGGGTTAGGGTTAGGG